ATAGCCGGTTAAGGCTCCGCGAGTATATATAACCTTATCTTTATTATTAGGTTTAATACCCGTAAATCTAGCTACTTCCGCGAAATAACACTTATAATTATAAAGATAATAGTATACGGCTTTATCCGGAATACTGCTATCGTACTCCTTAATCTTTCTAATATATTTCAGAATAGTTTTTTTCATCTCCTATCGGGCCTAATTAAAAGGTACTAATAGTCCTATAGTAGCCTATAATAGAGATATAGATACCTACGTAGCCGGTTACGCCGGAACGGGCACTTACGGCTAGATAGCTACTTTATAAATTACCTAGGCGGTCTCTTTCGCTATCTCTTTATAGATACTAGGATTAGCGTTATTTATAATCCGCTCCCGGTAGGAATCGGCTAGGTTCTTTAGTAGATAACTAAAGGCTTCCTCCGTAACGGGAGTAATCGGACGTATCTATCTTAGGCTAGTAGCTACGGTACTTTCTATAATAAAATAAGTTCTTTAAATAAGGGTTCTAGATTAAATAAAATTTAGATATAGTTAAGGTATTTCTAGTCTAAACGTTTACATTCGTAGCCGATCGGGGTCCTTAACGACCTCTTTTAATCCCTTATCTTTTACTTCCGATCCTCGGTACGGACTAAATCTACGTACCCGAGGGTAAACCTCCGGAAGGATACCTTATCGCGGGGTAATCTAAAGTAATTAGACTATTCTATCCGTTTCTCTATCTTCCTATTATAGTCGGGAGGTATCGTATACGTACTAACGTAATCACTCGTAGATCCTTACGTAGTAGTAAGGGGTTTCGGTCACCGCTACTTTCCTAAGGACCCCGAGGTTACCGATATCGCCGACCGTAAGCTATCGCTCGCTAGGTCTTAATACCATACTACTACGCTAGAATAGATAGAAGAAAGGTTCTTAGAGCTCCTAATTAACCTAATTTTTCCCCTACTCTCTCCGTTATATAGAGATCGCTTCAGGAGGACCTCCCGATAGTTAAGATTTACTATACAGTTAGGCCCTCCCGTAAGCGGCCGTAGAAGGCTACTTAGTTTTAGAGGTTTACTACTATATAAGATAACGGGAGTATAAGAGCATATTCTATTATTATCGTAAGCGAATATATCTATAAGGACATAAGTACGGTTAAATATGGCAGAAGGTACCCGTAAGGGGCCGAACATATAAGGTTAAAAGAAGGTAAAGTACGCCCAGGATCACACTATCTTCTTTTTTATTAAGGCTAATATTCTAAGGTAGGGTGTCGATAATATCGTCGGATAGTCTAATCTAAAGCTCTCGGGGATTAAATTTAATATTCTTATTAAATACTACGTTATACGTTTTCCTAATAGCTCCTCTATATAGAAACTAGATTCGCTATATATTAGAAGCTATATAACTAACGAGATAGCCGATCTCTATACGATCTTCTATCTTAGCTATCCTCGGGACGCCCTAGCGGCGTACGTACGCTCTATAACTATATATATAGAGGTTCGATAGGTTTAGGCGGAATTTTAGCCGATTCTAGTCTTAGTATATCGTTTTAACGTATAGAATAATCTATTCGCTATTAGGTAGCTTAGTAGGCGATCTATTAATAATATAAACCGCTACTATAACTACTTCTAGCTAGAGGTTTCTAGGTAGGCCTAATTCTATAAGAAGCCCTCTAGCTACTCCGATAATTATCTCCCTAGATCGTTTACTATAGCTATTTATTTCCGGTATTCTAATAACGCTATATTCGATAATTATACCTCTGTCTAGATAGAAATCGTCTACTATCTTTCCGGACGCTCTCTTATAGTCGCTTTTAAATACCTAGATTATTATTTTTAGCTATATCTCTAGTATAGTAATAAAGTATATAATCGCCGATTAATAGCTATTTTTTCTTTTATAAGAAATTATTATATATAGCTAGATACCCTTAATATATATATAAGTTATCTAGTAGTAGCTATTATAGGCCGTAGTAAGCTAAATAAGGTCGAAATAAATCCTTCTATATCTTCTAAAGATATACTCTCTTACTATAGGTCTCCTAGATATCTATCTCTTAGCTATATTACGCTAATAGACCTTATATCTCTTAGGATTATACTCTATATTATCTATAGTGTCTCCCTTAATCTCGATACTATCGACTATCTCGGAGAGCCTCTCGATTCGTTAATTATATATATAGGCGAGTCGTTAATACTATCGCTTCGGTATAGCGACGGATATAAAGGATTTTTAGCTATACCTAGGGTAACCTATTACTATCGCTAGAGGAGTACTCTTAGGTAGTTTCTATCTATCTTAGATATTTCCTACGATATAGAGGTTATATCTCTTTTCTAACGCTCTAATAGGCACTTCGTTCTTAATTATAGCGGGGATTCTACTATAGAATTCGAAGCTTTTCTTACTAATACGGCCGAGGGATAGTAGATTTATATAGAAATTAGGTACGTATAGCGCTTCTACTACTATCTCTCGCTTCTTACCTATTTTTAGGTCTATTAACTAGAGGATAGCTATTCCTCTGCCCTTAATAATAGAGTCACTATTACTAGTTTTAATAGTAAATTCTTCCTCGGTAAGGCTTTTAAAGCTCCCTCGGTAGTTATATATATAGACGTTCGCTCCTAAGTCTAGTATCTAAGAGTCCTTAAAGGAATATCTCTTAGCTATTCGGTTAACCTAATAGGATATATTAGCTATATATATAGCTACTCTCCTAATCGATCCCTATATCTCTTCGGTTACTACTAGCTAGGTAGTAACCTAGATAGTACCTCTATCCTCTTTAATCTTTATAATCTTCTCTTAGTCGAATTTACTAAGCTTCTTAATAGCCTTTACGACTAGTTCTTCTGTCTCGGCTCGTAGCTTCTAGTAGTCTAGCCTAATACTTTCGACGATATAATAGCAGAATCTCTAGGGATAGTTTCTTCCGTATATATAGGGGGTCCTTTTCTTATCTTTCTAATAATTTTTAGTATCTTACTAACCCTTAGTGTTTCCTTACTTAGGTATTACCTCCGGTTAGCTATCTAGCGTTAATATAGCTAGCTTTCTAGCCCTTTCTTTTCCTAAACGCTCTAGTAGACTTCGTTATATATAGTATATAGATATAACCTTATTAAAGGTAGGATTCTCTATCTCTAACCTATTACTCTAGATTAAATAGAAGAGATTATCCTAGATCTAGATAGCTCCGAGGATATCTCTAATAGCGAATTTAGTAGGCGTTAGACTATATAAGATATCTAGTACACCCGTAGCTTTAGCTTCTTCGTATAGAGACGTCTAGACGGTTAACTACTTATCGATAGATATATTATTGTATAGATACGTTAATATTTAACGCTACTATCTTCGGAGATCTTCTATATAGTCGGCTTCCTTCTATACGAACTCCTACCTTAGCTTTACTAAGTACTCTACGGCTAACGAACGAGATATAGTATCACTAAACCTATTAAAGACTTAGGCGGTCCTCGCTCGTTCGGCCTCTTTACGGTCGTATCTATTAAGAATTCGTATATACTTCTTATATTTATTATCAGTAAGGTCGACTTCGTCTATTATATTCTTATTAATCTTACTAACCGGCGGTAGGGGAGCCTTCTTTAGAAGCTCTTTAATCTCTATATCTATCTTTATAGGGTTAAGATACTCCTAAAGGTCGTTTTCGATAGCTTTAGTTTTAAAGTAACTAATCTAAACCCTCTACTAGGCCTTCGTCCTTAACCGCTAGTCCTATAGGATAGATTAAATTACTTAAGATTTAGTCTTATTAGATATCTTTATATATATCTTTTACTATAATCCTAATAGTATCTCCTCTAGTCTAAGTCCTTATTAATCTCTTCTAGGATTTTATATAGTTATTTAGGGGTATTCGGCGATAGGAAGGCTCTTACTATTAAGATATAGAGTAACGGTCTTCGTTAATTATATCTTAATACTTCAGTATATACTCGGGCTTATAACTAATAGAATAGGCTGATTCTGTATAGGCTAGTATAAAAGATATCTAATAGGACGAGAGATAATTAATTAGATTAATAATAATAGAAGATCAGGGGGATTACCTGTTGAATAGCTATCCCCTAGCTATACGGACGTATTTCTGTCCGTGCGGCCGATACTCGGCTATTATAAAGCCTGAGTTTCTCTGTAAGCCAGTATTATATACAAAAATATAAGAAACCTAGGCGCTTGATGAATAAGCCCGTTCTTAGTAGTAAGTTACCACTCCACATATTTCGACATTATCCTCTAGCCGCATCGGTCACGTATCCAGCAGATTGATTTTTACTTCCTGGAGAGTCCTATGAGCTATTTGCAATTCTTCTGTGGGGGATTGCCTATCACCGATAAACCGAATCTCAGTGGAACCATATGTGTGCTATTTGAAATCATAGTATCATTATCTTCGGGCTGGACAACCCCAACTCCGGTGGCGCTCCATCTCCAGGCGGGTTAAGGCAATATATGCAAATGAATTGCTGTGTTATAATGCCATATCAATATGAGTTTAGTTTTCCTGTCCCTTTCCCCTTTTTCCTCAACCATTCGGGGACTCACAAATGTTTCTTGATAGCCTGTGCAGATCAAAACTGTGGTGTATATATTTTCTCTATCTAGGTATACCTAGAGCCCGCGTGGTACCTTTTGGGTGGATTTGAACTTTTCGGACAAAGCTTCAAACTAGACTGTGCTAATAAATAAGCTCATCCGTGACGTGAGAGCCTGGCAATTGGGAAGGTACTGCTATTTTCTCGAAGCAGTCGCTGATTTCAATCAACCGAGGCGGCAGGTTCCCCTTTTTGGCGTTATCGCGCAATCTGGCCGCAGGGAATGATAAGCAAGGGGCCCCAGCCCTTAGGTCTCCACTCCGTCTTTCCCCCTCACGAGTCATTTCCCATCTCCAATTCCAATACTACCTTCCCCTCCATCTCACCCAATCCCGTCTTGCTCCATACCTCAGTATTTATACCATGACCAGAAGACACGCCTCCGGACTCGATCGGCCCTGGGCGTCTCAGATGTACGCTCAGCTGCCCGAGGATGGCTACATCCATCCAGCTCCAGCTACAGCTCGGCCAGCTCCCGTACCAGCTACCACCGATGCGCCCGTTCAACCTGAGGACTACTCAAAGCCCTATTGCGACTTTATGACTTCCAACCCAACTATCTTCCACGCCGTGAAGTCTTTTTCCCAAGACCTCGAGAAACACGGCTACAAACAGCTCTCCGAACGTGCGGTGTGGACCTCGGAGCTGAAACGTGGCGGCAAGTTCTACGTCACGCGCAACGGCAGCTCGTTGATTGCCTTCAATATTGGCAAGGAGTACAAGAGTGGTCAAGGTATGGCGATCGTGGCGGGACATGTGGATGCTCTCACGGCCAAGCTCAAGCCCGTTTCGAAGCTCCCCACCAAGGCTGGCTTCCTGCAGCTTGCTGTTGCCCCATACGCCGGTGCACTGGGTCCGACCTGGTGGGATCGTGACCTTGGTATTGGCGGCCGTGTGATTGTCCGCGACTCCGAATCCGGAAAGGTCGAGCCTAGGCTGGTCAAGCTGGACTGGCCCATCGCACGCATCCCGACCCTCGCTCCTCATTTTGGAGTATCTGTGAACGGACCGTTCAACCAGGAAACTCAAATGGTGCCCATTATTGGTGTTGATAACTCCGATCTTTTTGGGAAGTCGACGGGCGAGTCGTCTGACATCCAGCCTGGAACTTTTGCTGCGACTCAGCCCGAAAAACTGGTCAAGATTATCTCGAAGGAGCTCGGTGTCACAGACTACAGCAACATCATTGATTGGGAGCTGGAGCTCTTTGACACTCAGCCCGCCCAGCTTGGAGGCCTGGAGAAGGACCTGATCTTTGCCGGTCGCATAGACGACAAGCTCTGCTGCTACGCCGCCCACGAGGCACTCCTGGCGTCTAGCGATGACACATCTCCCGGTATCGTCAAGATGGTTGGAATGTTTGACGATGAAGAGATTGGCAGTCTGCTGCGCCAGGGCGCTCGGTCAAACTTGATGAGCAGTGTCATGGAGCGGATTGCCGAGGCCTTCGCTGACGGCCCCTACGGACCCAATCTTCTCTCTCAGACCGTTGCCAATAGCTTCCTGGTGTCGTCGGACGTCATTCACGCTGTCAACCCCAATTTCCTTAACGTGTACCTGGAGAATCACTCCCCCCGCCTCAACATCGGTGTCACGGTGTCTGCTGATTCCAACGGCCACATGACCACAGATAGTGTCAGCAGCAGCATCCTGAAGCGTATCGCAGCTCGCTGCGGGTCGACACTGCAGGTATTCCAGATCCGGAACGATATGCGCAGTGGTGGCACAATCGGCCCTGTGACTAGCGCGCAGATTGGAATGAGAGCTATCGACTGCGGTATCCCGCAGCTCAGCATGCACAGCATCCGTGCTACCACAGGAAGCTTGGACCCTGGACTTGGCGTTAAGCTGTTCAAGGGAGTCTTTGATTACTTCGAGGAGGTCGATAAGGAATTTGCTGACTTCTAAGCCGATTCCCGGAATATTTCGGGTGTTGATCTCGCGCGCGTCAGCCTTTTTATGGAAGGGTTTATTTATACAGCATATACTAGACAAATGATGATAAGCTATTGCAATCCCAGTAACCTAACCGTTTCTGTTCAGGTTTCATTGCCATATTTCGAATAAATCTATGTTCATCTTAATATTGCTTGGAAACATACATGAACAAGAGAACTATAGAGAAAACAAAAAAAAAATACATCAAGGAAAGGAGATGATGATGATGGCAGGGGAGGATCATCACCAGGTCGAAAAGACCGAGCCGCTCTGGCGGGCTTTATCAAAAATTCTGAATCGTTAACCTGTTTATGCTCCCTGAGACCGATGATGGTTCCTGCTTGACGTTGACATTGGCCTTAGTATGGAACCATGGATATCATTTGCGCAAGGGACACGAGTCGGTTGAATAGGCGTGGTGGTGCTGGTTCTGCGTGAGTTCCGTAACCGAAGTAGCATCCGCCATTTGATGTTTCTCTGCCATCGACTTGCCGCTAAACCGGAAGTCGTCTCCGGAAGACAGCTCCAGCACTCGCTCGGGGTCTCCTGCCCCGTACTCAGGGTCTTCGGCCGGTGCACCGAGGGTGGACTCATCGTTCCAGTTGACCGAGCGCCCGTTAGAGACACCACCACTGCCATTTGTTGGTTGGTTGCCGCTGAATGTCGAAATCAAGCCCGGCATGATCTTGGAGATGAGCGGCTTCAGGGTTGGCAGGCAGGCACAGATAATGCCAGTATTGCATTCAATAGCAGACCATGAAGCAGCGCCGACGTTGTCGTCTGTTAGACCGGTTAGCTAACATACCAATATTATGATGCAGGGTGATCACGCGTAACCTACAGGTAGGGTCAGACGAGTCGGAAATCTTTTTCAGACTAACTAGACGGACGATACTGGTGATGCAGACGCTGTACGTCGCGGTTAGTTTTGTGCTATAAATGCTTCCATCCGGAATTCAGGGTCCACTTACAATCCGCCAACAGCAAACATGAGCATCAAAGCAATCTTCTGCTTCCTAGGGATATCGATAGCGATCAAGGCCGGGATTGGGATGATCAAGATGACCAGGTCCGTTGTGATGTGCATGCTGGCATTAGAGAACCACAGTCCAGGCTTGCTCAAGCAAAAGCCGGGGATGTTATCGTCCCAAAACTTGGCCACGGGCAGGCAATTTAGGAAGGCACTGATTATACACCACGTACCATATGCCCCCAGGATTGTAATCATGACCCAGCAGACAATGCGCATGCGCCGAGTTGGAAATACGCGGAAGTATTGTAACAGAATTGACGCTTTTGCGCAGAGAACGGCGGCGTTGTAGAAGGGAATGGTGAGCCAGAATGCCTGGTTGGTGACGCGTCAGATTATCTGATCAGGATGAGAAATAGACCTTCTGTTACCTTCAGTTGTCTCTCCAGGATGTTGGGCGGAATTTCCTTCATATGCATTCCCATGCCACTGGTAGCTTCGACGATATCCAGCCCCATGAAGACAAAAGAGTTGATCTACGAGAATGGTTAGCATTCTGAATCCTTTGGCATCTTGACAAATAGCCCGGTATGACCGAGAGCTTACCAGTGCAATGACAACCATCCAGTCGTTAACTTCCAGCCGCCTCAGGAATCTGAGTCTGGTGTAGATACGGATCCCAACGAAGGAGGCTGCCAGAGAAGTGAAGACAACGCTTACAACCAAGCCCTGCATACCTCGTGAGGACAAGTATGGATTGGCATCCTCGCGTTTGAAGATCGCATCCCGAAATTGAAGCAGGCTCATCTTCACCCTACGCCTTGGGCTAATATCAGACACTCAGAAAGAAAGATCACTATCCAAAAATCTGTAGAGATGGTGGATAAATAGTTGGAACGATCACCAGACAAGCCAAATGGTCAAAAACGAATGATATCAGAGGCACACAGATCGGGCGGCAACGATCGTGATTCTCAAGGAGTGACGAGGAGCTTATGTTATTATAACACTCACAACGCTGTTATTATTTCTTTCTACCATAACCAAAGCCGGACCTGGTCCAGTAAAGAACACGACCAACCCCATCAACCGGAAACGGTTGGAGCCAAAATCCGCTAGTCTTGTCTCCCTGGGTGAGAGAGTACCAAGGGAAGACTCCCTGCATATTGTTGCCTCTTGCCCCAGATTGGTGGATCGGGGCTTATGCGTCAGGCGAGGTTCCGCGCTGGGAATGGGCAGGTTGCAGATTTGAGGCGCAAGGGGCTGCATCCAACAAATCGGTTCCCCGTTGTTCTCCGAATACTTCGATACATGTGCGGGTGTGCTGAACTATTTGCCTGTGACTGTTGTGTTTATCCTGCACTGGATTGTGCGTTAAGTTTGTAGCTTTCCTGAAAAGGCTTTTTATGAAACATAACAGAGTCTAAGTTCTATGTGGCATTGGGTGTTTTTCAAGAAGTGAAGAAGACAGGATATCAATAAATGAAAGTTCCATTCTATTGGTAATGAATACTCCCGGAAGTTGGACGATCAATAGCTTTGTCCATCTGTAATGTGCTGTTGGCGTATAAAGCAGATTATGTCCCAATGCTGTGGTAATTGGTATACATGGAGATTCCGATTTGAAATCACCCCTTTACGGAAGAATTTCCCGCTCTAAAGCTAATGGTAAGTCCTATAAGCACTCAGCACACCGTGGAGAGGTCTATGAGAGACCCTAGCACTGAGTTTGGTTTTGTGGGATGTTCATTCTCCAGTAAAATGACCGACAATTCTGATGTATGGTAGGAATAACATTGAAAACGTGCTGACAGCCCTGCATCTGCCTGGCGTAGCTGCTAAGATGACGCTCTGTCTGCTTCATGGCGTCATCAAACACTCTAAACCTCGACTTTGCTTAAGGGGAAACCCTAGTTTCTCCCATAAGATAGGCGCATTCTAAGAGGCGCTAGAAAAAGTGTACATAATCCACATGCGTGAAGTGCAACGCGGGTGGCGGACACTAGATGGGCCCGTCTCTAGGACGCAATAGACGCCGGATCTATCAGAAAAAGCTGCAGATCATCCATATGCATCGGATGATCGACACAATTTCAGCTTGTCCGCCTCGTTCTTCCCCGCCTATCGTTACCTTGGCGTAAATAAAATGAATGACCACCCAGTGTACGATGGGATGAATGACACCATATGAAATTGACACGTAAACGAAGGGTTTTCCAAGAGGCGTGGTACTTTAGTGGATTAATGGCGAGGACGTTTCCCCCCGTACGTTGGACTTCGTTAAGTTTATCGCACGAATCATGATGAGCAAGGGGTTCGCCTCCCCAAAGCGCAAAACCTAACCACAAGGGATATCCCCGCAACAACCATGATTTTCCTTGCCGAATGTTATTTCGAAGAGCAACCGATTTGGCTGCCAATCGGATCTAAAAGATCGACCCTCGGCTCGCTGGCCCCGAGAAAGGCGCTACCGTTCCATAGAGGCGCGACTTTTGCAAGGTGCGCGCCACCAGACCTGACTGGCAAGCGAAAGTGTGGAGATTTGATGGATCCTTCGGAGGCGCCAAATGCTATACTGACTTTTGTGACGATCTCGTTGCGAATGTTTTCCTGCTTCGATGCATCTCACCCGTGGTAGCGAATGACCTAATAGCTGTCAAATCACGTAAACAGTCACATTATAGCCGATGATCTTGGAAAAGTTTTCAAGACCAGCAGAATTAAATCTGTTGCACTATTACCCCCAGCCCGGCAGCTCCACAATTGTTGAGCGACGCCACCCGCCCGGAGTGATCTATCACATCCCGTCACAGTTCTCAACTATCATTTGTACGGATCCATAAAGCTGCTACTTCGCCCTCCCTGACAGGAAGCAATTCCAAGCGGCCCCGTACTCCCGGATCTATGGAGTAAGATTAAATCTCTGCCATGTAAATACCTTTTTCTACTGCAGTTCTAATGTGGGATTCTACTTTAAATCTTGGACGCGTGGAGTGATTCAAACAGGAATGGCCCAAATTCAAATACCGAACTCAAACGCTAGAGCAAGCTAATATAACTAGCTCTACACCCGAGCAATGACTTTTAGTGAAACAGAAGTGCATTTCCTGAGGGAAGATGGAGAGAAAAATTACCGGCTCCTGATGATTCCTGTTACAAGTAAGCCACCGAAAAGCCCACCTTCGCTATTACCATCATGAGCCATACTGGTGGCTGCGTGTTAGCGACGGATCTGCGCCTGGCTATATTCAAAACATCACAGCTCATGCGCTTTGTTACGAAAACTTGTTCTTCCAGTCCTACCACTTTACCTACCTGGATCGCACCAACCGGAGAAAAGACTCGTGATCTGTGCCTTTGAGGCTCACATTATATGCCATGGGCGTAGAATACAATATCTGGTATATGCTGGGTCAAATGCCCCCAAGGCTGCCGCGATCTCCCACGTGGATTCGCCGCTACCCAACCTCACGACTGGCAGGCATATTTCAAACACGACGGCTGGATGTAGGAACATTACAAGCAGGGTAACGAAAACCAGCGAAATTGGGAATCTGACTCGCGTGATCTAATTCAGGGAAATGTCGCTTTTCATTTGAGAAACTCATGAGCAGCGATGTAGTCTCACTACAGTTCTCTCATAATCCGAGCCGACGACATCTGTAACATACTAGGACACCTGCTAATCGCAATTATCTACAATATACAACTGAGAGATGTTCCATGCCAACATATTATGTCAATGTATGAGAGGATTGGCATATCCAAAGAACCGGTCAACATCCCAGAAATGGACTATGATTACCTTCATGTCCTTGGTTACCATTCCGCGTACGCGAGCTACCCCAAAGAAAAGTTCAGCTTGCTACTATCAGGATAGCTGATGTAAAATTACAGACCATTGGCATTGTTGATGTCTGTTCCCGGCGTTTCCTAAATCTTGATAGACCTCGAGACTGATTCGACTACATTTGCGACCTTGTTTGTGTCTGTACTTGTGCTGGGGTTTGCAGTTGGGCCACTCGTTATCGCCCTCCTCAGCGAATGGACCGTTGATATCCTTTTTTGATTTTAATTATTCTCTGCGCTGTCTCCAAACATGGCAGTGTTGATCGTGTTCTTTCTGTCTATCTTTTCTGGAGTGGCTCCGATTACCTGCGCTCGTAGCACAGTCGTATACCTCACGCTTGTCAGAAGACAAGGTCTAGCAAAGTCGCTCTGGGTCGGTCGGGCCATTGTTCGGGCTCAGAATTGGATCCATGGGTGGCGGGGATTTCATTGAAGCGTAAGGCTGGCGGTGGGTTTCAAAGGGTAATCGAGATAGTGCTAAAGCGCCATGTACTCCGCAGTAATTGCCGAATATGCGAAAGCGCACTGACCCTCGAGCTGCCACGGAAAAGTCCGAGGGCGTCCAAAATCATGCGCTTCTTCACTCTCAAGCTGGCCTATCCTCCAACTCTCCTCGAGCGCAAGACTGCTCGGTGCAGAAAAGAAACAGGAAATCCGTCCTACAAATCTCACCTCCATTCAGAGATATTCAAGAAAGAGTGTTTCATGCAAGCATCCGACCCATGAAGATGCTTTGTTTATCACCGATTACAATTCTCTTCCTGCGTGGAAATTATGTATGGTCTGATTTGTATCCTCTTTACGGCTTACACATCTGCGTCGAGACGGATATTGGTTTTCTTCAGGAATTGCCGGCCTGGCCGTTCTAGGAAGTGGAGTCGGTGTGCTCTTGGGCTAGCCTTGGCGATAGCCCCTATTTCTACTCCGTGCATGGTTTGGAATTCTAGGCCAATTAATAAGAACGAACCCCAAGGGGCAGGTTAAGATTTGGTTAAATACTGTAATTGAACGACCACTCTTTGGATTTTGCTGTTTCTTCCCTGGGTCAAAGAAGCCCCTAATTCCCCGGAAATTGAGTAGGGGGACCATGGCCAGTTCTCTTGGCGGAGTCTTCACCCCAAGCTGTCATAAGGCCGCCCTTACGGGTTATACGGTGCCAAATAAATCATAACGGATCCATTTTAAATTGGAAGGATGGGTTAAAAATAGGGGCCGGACTAGGCAGCCACCGGTGATAGGCCGCAAGTGTGGGGACAGGATACTAATAGGCCACATACGCGTATGCCTAGAAGACCGAATTTTTTTTAGAAACCAGTGTAATGCAATCTCGACACGCGAGACTCCACACAAATGTTGACTATTGACTTGCGGGAGTTAAGAATCCTGGAATCGGGCTGTCTCCCGAAAGATTTGCGCCTCGATTCGTACTCGGGGCTCGTCAGCTTCTTCCAAGCTGCCAATGATGAACTCTCCGATGACATTCACACACTAATATCTACTGTACACAAACCCCTCTCTCATGTTGATTCTATCACTAGAACCTGGATCGGCATCTCATGAGAACGAACGATGCGATCTGACAGTTCGGGAGTAGCCAAAGCCACCGTGTACCCTCCGAACGGGGCTGGCTCCCCACAGGCCCGCCACAACTTTGACCTCTCCAAGTCAGCCCTGTCAACCCACAATGGCCAATACATTGAGCTTGACGATTTTGCTTCATCGACGAATCCAGTCCACAATGATCGTGGACATGTGACTTCTAAAACGGGCCGGCGTTCAATATACATTCCGAACACCTTCTGGACACGTTCGTTTGCTACTGCTGTGATCCTCGAGACGCTGGCCACAGTCGGGATTGAAAGGTAGGGGTTGGATATCAACTACCGCAGATCATAACGCAAATGACTCACGGCAATAATAGCTGGGTATTCATCAGCATCTCAAATCAACTTCTCAAACTCGAGAAAGAAGATGGGGCAACCCGCCTCCGATCGTTTCTTGGCCTTTACATCTTCGCACTTCTCTATGAGCTTGCGCTTTCTTATGATGCTTTGCGTCGCAAAAACACGTTTCAGCTGGTTGGGCTCTGTATCTGCAACTTTGGGCTTCTAGCCTATGGCGTCTTGCAAATGAACGAAATCAAGGACACTATCACAACTATGGTTGCAGATTCTGCACGCAGCAACGAGATTTGGGCGATGTACCGGATCGAACTCATTCTGGTTCCAGTCCTTCTGGGTCTCGGCACTACCGTTATGATTTTCGTGACGTGGAAACTCCGCGCGGAGTTCTCCTGGTCAATTTATAAAAACATCAGCGCGGACCTACAAATGAATCGCCGATACACCATTTACCAAGTAAGCTATTATGCAGGGGTAATATGAGGTCCTTATTAACACATCTAGGTCTACATTGCCCTTCTCAAATTTGATTGGTTTTTTATCTTTGGAACACAACTCCAGATTCTCCTTTCCATTCAACATCTCCAAAATGACCAGTTCATTATCAATGCGGCATCGGTTCCCGTTGCCATACTGGCCCTGGTGCTGGCGGCTCGATTTTGTCGTCGAGAGAAACGAAAATCTCTCTTCATAGCCATGGTAAAAGACCCTTATTGCGGCCAATTGAGACACGGGCTAATCGGCATTGCAGGTTTTGTTGGGCGGTATAATAGCAAGTTTCATCAAAACATTGCTTCAAATGAACAATTCATATGATAGCAGCGGTTTGAGCGCGTACAAGACCTCCCTCACACTGTTCGCGTCGATTGCAATTGTTCTGATCACCACGACGCTTATCAACTCGGTGTGGTGTATGTTGAATTTTAATAAAGGACTAAAGGATTACATCGACCAATCTCGAACGAAGCAGCCGGTTTCGAATCCAGAAGGCGCTTGGAATCAAGAGATCAATTCACGTTTTGTACTGAATTAACAACGCGTTATTAGAAGCTCTGTAAATGAATGAATGCCAAACGTCCATCAGACACTTTCACATATTCAATGCTGATAACGTACACTGCAAATTTGTTTTTATCTTTCAAAATAAAATGCCCTGATAGAGGATCCTTGGATTCCAGAGGGCGGGACATGTACAAAGTACGTGCTCTGTATTATCTTGAGATTGGCGATTCCCTCCTCCTGAAGAAGGGACCAGACCGGACCTAGGGCTACGTAATTACTAGTTATCAAGGGTATACCTCGGTAAAAATTATAGCAAGCAACTGTGCTCAAGTGTGGGCCCCGGTTTCTTTCATTTTCTTCCAGAAACAAGTCAAGGTTTCTTTGCCGAATGACTCGCATATAGCTCCCCTGTTCGATGGACGGAGAGTCCCACGACTCGGAAGCGGGGCCAGGAAAGTTGAGGATTCTTGCTGCAGTTGACGCTATTTCTAGACCGACTATTAGCACCATTATAATCATCGCAGAATTGCTGAGTGCAATTACAACTGTGAGGACCAACAGATGAATGGGGGACAGGTCGAGCGGGCCAGCGAGAGTTTGAAACGCACCATCTCTTCTACTTTTTGGGGCTAATACAACAGCAAAGCATCTCGGTCTTGACAGCAAAGTAGAAGTCAGACAATATACGAGGGATGATCAACCCCTGGTCACAGGGCATCAATCTCCAGTCCTCAATAGTCTCTTCAATCAAGTCATTGACTCTTCATATCGAATTATCGGGCTCTCTCGCTTGCTTTCATACATCGACTCAGATTCTTGATTGCATTCATGAATGGCGGTTTGTTCAAATTCATCTATAGGGCCTGAGCCGTCACTGCCCGCCAGGCTCTGAATTATGGCACGAAGCCGAACACACTGCAGTCTGTTTGGTCTACTCGCACCGTCACTTTTGCGGCATTGATTTACCTGGTTCTTGGTCGCCTCATACGTTTTATTGATGGCGATCAAGAGCTGTCATACCATCGAGATTAGCGAAATGTTTGTAGTGGACAGATGTGCTATCCTTGCCCACATAGTGCGGAGGTATGACTCGTCATTGTCCTATTTCTTCTTTCTTCTTGCAGCCTCATTGATTACTGTAATTGTGTAGGCTGTCAGTTATTTCTGCCGCAAAATCAAAGAGCAAGATGAAGCTACACAAACATGCCATTCTTGTCCGTCTGATTGCCAACATGCTTTCCTTTGGATTCGGTCCTCTTCACTAATGAATCACTACAAACACCACCGCAGAGTCGCTTGTCATAACTGTCAATTCGAAGCGGTACTTTACTGCCTTTCCTATCTGCTGCATTTGCCGGGTTATCGAATATATCCAGGAATTAGCGGGCGTACTGCACAGGCATGAGTACTATCCCTATATGCTTGATACTTTCCTAATGTTCCAAGTCCATGACCGTCTTCATGATCTTCCATCCAGCCATCAGAAAGCACCCAGGCTGGATGATACAGAGATGACATATCAGCAGCTGGATGAGTGAGTACGTGAATCAGCGTGTGATAGGTGATAGAAAAGTAAGAGTATGAAAATCCGTCATTTCAGGACTTTTCGGATTATTTTCCATCAAATGTCTTCATTTAACGCACTGGAATGATGCGTCGCAGTGAACCCTTAAGAGAGGCTGAAGACAATTTCCCTCGGGTTCGTATTCGGGTACTAGGTAGCGTTCTGAAGCTTGTTGATCAGAAATAAGGACTGGTCGTGGACATTCCAGAGAGGTGCCACCATTCATCAGGTTTAGGTAAGGCTGGAACATCAACAAAATTCTGCGCGAGCTATTAAAATATAATCGATGCTAAACAGCTCTTATTATTCGCTGAACGCTTGGTCCCCGATGATCTGCGCCGCAGCCGAATACGAATCCGATGCCGAACCCGACCAATATGCCCCGGATTCCCTCTGCAGATCGAAAGTAAGCGTGAGCTCGAATGGACGAATTTTAAGCTTATCACTACTCGAAAATCCGTACTCGTATTCGACTGCGGATCTTGCACCAGGCTGCAGCAATCTATTAGGCTCATGTAGTCTATTCTAGAGTGAGCCACTACATTGGGGCCGTGCAGCCATTTGAGCCAGGTAATCGTATTTTTATCCTTGATGAAACTACGGTGAGCTCAATTTGATGTTAAATCCTATAAAGACCTCATGGTTTCTCCATTTGTAAGAAGCTCATCAACATCGGCTTTTATTACGCTTTCCTTAGGAGCAGCCGAACGTTTACCTTTTTTGATCCTATACACAAGACATCTTACTTTGTGGCGATATGACTACCGACAGTGGCTATGATCTGTATAAATATACGCCCAACCTACCATGTGCAGTAATATTGGCTGCCCTTTTTGTGATGACGACCGCTTTCCACCTCTATCAACGGATTAAAGCACATTCACGATATTTTAACCCTTTCATTGTGGGTGGTATTTGTCGGTCAACCCAAAACCTCTGGAAGCCATATTTATCTTCCTTATTTTTATTAACGTACCGTACAGTTCAAATTATCGGCTATGCAGCCCGTGCTGGCTCTCATTTCTACGTCAACTCCACGATGCTTTATGCAGCTCAATCACTCCTAATCCTACTCGCGCCGACGCTCTATGCAGCATCAATATATATGGTGCTTGGCCGAATCATCACATTTCTTGGTGGGGAGCATCTGAGTTGTATTCCAGTGAGATGGATGACCAAAATTTTCGTTGCTGGAGACGTCCTATCCTTCATTCTACAGGCAGCAGGTTTGTTGATGCCCACCATACTTAGTCCATAGTTTTTTCTCTAATCGATATTGCTCTATCCGTATCTAGGTGGCGGGATTATGACGAGCGGGTCCGATAAGGCTCTCAAGATCGGTCAATGGGTAATTGTCGGTGGACTTTGTGTCCAGCTCATATTTTTCGGAGCATTCGTGATCGCCTCTTTCATCTTCCACTGCAAGATTATCCGAGAACCGACCATCAAAAGCGAGCGTTCCATGGACAACCAAGGAAGCATTTGGTCCAGAGACTGGAGAGGTCTTCTATTTGCATGCTACAGTGTTAGTGTGTTGATCTTGGTTCGATCCGTCTACCGTCTGATCGAATTTGCGCAAGGCAATGACGGTTATATCATCAGCCACGAGGTTTTCTTGTACGTTTTTGATGCCGCGATGATGTTTCTGGTAATGATAGTGATGAACTTGTTTCATCCATCTTTTGTTTTAAACCAAAAGCAGTCGCCGCACCCACACTCGAGAACTGTTGAGCGGAAGTCCGACATTGAGATGCAGCAATGATTGGTTTGAAGCGAGGATTTACTTGCTCTCGAGCTCATGAGAAGGAAAAATGTGGTTAATGAGATTTATGAATTAGACTAGTTGGTAGGCCTCGAATAACTGCTGGAAAAGCCGATATAGACTCCCTTGACTACACGTCGCTGGTAACACATGAATATAGTCTGGGTTTATCGCTACCTTAAGGGGGTATTGAATAGACAGGGACAAGAAATAGGAGTTTAGTTATCAACGCTAATGGCAAAAGACACTAAGGAAGGAACAGCCATGCCTAGCCATGAAATTCCACAACAGCTAATTTGACTCGCTATTCTCTGCTGCAAACTCCGCCGTAGCCCTGGAGGCCTTACAGAACACCCGATAAGATAGGGCGATAAGCGCGCACAGACCATCTGAGAAATTTCCTTTCCACCTCCCCGCGAATAATAAATTCCCCTCCACAACAAGCCAGCGATTTGATTCCGGCATTTATTTTGCCAACAGGAGGTGCGGAACGTGCAATCATAATGGCGGACACAACGTCATCGCCGGCCAAGCCCGTCCACACAATTGTGCTGGACGCGGGTCCCATCATCAAGAATACCCCGCCGCTGTCCACCTTGCTCGCCCAATGCGATGAGATTATTACCACCCCCTCTGTGGTGAACGAAATTCGCGATCCCGATGCTCGCGCCCGAGTTGAGACCCTTTACCTGCCATTCCTGAAGCGCCGAACTCCTACTCCGAACAGCTTCAATGTGATCAGCGAGTTTGCGCGCAAGACAGGTGACCGATCTGTGCTGAGTCGAGTAGATATCGAGGTGCTGGCTCTTGCATATGAAATCGAATGTGAGCGCAATGGAGGCGACTGGCGTCTCCGAAGTGTTCCCGGCCAAAAGCGGGTTAATGGAAAGCCACCTGCGAAGGAGGAGGAGGAGAAGAAGGAAGAAATCGAATCTGGTGTGCAAGCCATCACTGAGGGAGTCAAGGAGACCACTATAAATGAGACCACCGAGGAGTCCAAGCAGGAAGAGACTGCATCTCCCCAAGAAGTTGGAGATGCCGCAGAGAGTGCCACCGTCGAGGCTGCGACGGGCGATGATACCCCCGAGGAGAGCAAAGACGAAGACGATGCCGAGGAGGAAGATGACGCTGCCGATTCTGACGGCGGAGAATGGATCACACCCTCCAACTACAAGAAGCGGCTGGCCGACGGAGAAGGAGGCGCAGCAGTTTTTGGATCTGAACCGAAGACCATGCAGGTTGCAACTATGACCACCGATTTTGCGGTATGTAATTTTCTCTTTTCACTTGTAGCCGAACATATTGACTCATTTCTCCCTGCAGTGCCAAAACGTTTTGCTGCAGATGAACCTGAATCTTCTGTCAACCACAACTCTCCAGAGAGTCCAGCACTTGAAGTCTTTCATTAAGCGCTGCCACGCCTGTTTCCTCACCACCAAGGAAATGAACAAGCAGTTCTGCCCTCGCTGCGGTAAAGACACTCTTACCCGTGTTTCGTGCACCACCACTGCCAATGGTCAATTTACCATGCATCTGAAGAAGAACATGCAGTGGAACAACCGGGGCAACCGTTTCAGCGTCCCCAAGCCGATTGCTGGCAGCTCTAACGGCAAGTGGAAGGGCGGCGGTGGAAAGGGCGGATGGGGCACTGAGCTCATCCTTGCTGAGGACCAGAAGGAGTTCACCCGATCTACTACTGAAGAAGAGCGGCGCCAGCGCCGGGAGCGGGATCTTATGGACGAGGATTACCTGCCCGGCATCTTGACTGGTGAGCGCAACAAATCCGGAGGCCGTATCAAGGTTGGCGCCGGCCGGAACATCAACTCGAGAAAGCGCTAAGTACAGCTTGTGAACGACTTTGCATTATGGGCTAAATGGGCTGGAGTTTGGGGCATGCACAAAAGTCATTCGATCGTTTTCTGGTCACGATGGGATAAGTCTGTCTGTTTATGAGGAATGACCGGAGCCGGTGGGTTTACGATAAACCTTTGCACATAGGATAGCGCCCCATATAGAGAAATCCACATGAATATTTCAAAACAAAAATTGTCATTGGTAGCAAAACATCAGCAACTAGACGTATGTTCTCCAATGAATCTTGACCCAAAACCCCTGACAGAAGAAATGCAGCATACAGTCATCCGTCAACTGTACAAGTAACACCAAGCGCCGAATCGAGGGCTGTATCGCCCTTTAATCCATTTCCCCCAGTTTTAATGTCGCTTTAAGACGAAGCAGTGTTCTCCTCTGAAAGACGACGGTTAGTATCTATAGAATGGGAGAGGCCGGTGAAGAGAACCGTACCGTTCAGCTGGGTGAGCAGGAGGCCGTAGCGCTTCTTCAGGGTAACACGGTGGCGCGAGTACTTGTCATCGGGAGAGAAACGAGCAGGGTGACTGATAAATATGAGCAGTCGAGCAAAATGGTCCGTGGGATGTTGTGCGATTACGCAGACTTGGAGACCTTGCCATCAACAACCTTCTTCAGCGTATAGATACGCTTGCCATCGGCGCCCAGAGTGTACTGTTCAGAAGAGTAAGCAAGAGATTCGAGGAGAGCTTGCGGCGTTCACTATCAAAACGAGGGTTCGTTCGGTGTTCGTAATCGGAGGTAACATACCATAAGATGCATTCTGGGAGGCAGATAAATCAGTAAAACTTCGAGAGATTGAACGACAATCAGCGCGACAATTTTTAGCTCACTTACTTGGCGGTAGTTTATGGTCGAGTGGGTTGAGACTTGCGTGTGTCGTGAACGGAGCAGCGGAGGAATTTTTTTGACGCCGACGGAGGGGAGCTCGGACCATGTGATTAGTCACCACGGCCGCTTAAAACGAAGTGGGAGCGTCCGCAAAATCTCTTCCCTTTCACCTCGCGAGATTCGAGGAACTGCAACTCGCAGAGTCAATGATGCAGACGCAAACTCACTAAGCTATCAATCACAGCGGGCAGCTACCTGATACTGCTGTGATGATTATTTGAACACTCGGCCCTGTCTCAATATCCGCAATCAGGGCACGAAGACTTCAGGTAAGCTACGCAACAAGTGCTCCTTGGAGCTTTTTTCTTTCCTTCCCCACCCCTTCGATGATGACCAAATAAAATCAAGCCTAGGCAGGTGGCACCTTGATTTCTAGCTGCCTGCCAATGATTATTGCTTTTTTGACTACAACGGTATCTGAGAAGATTGTGATCCCAATGTTTTGCACGGACTTGCTTCGCGGACGAGTTTGCTAATCAGCCTTTTTCCGCTCAGGATCTTTCAATATCACTCAGTAATTGTTTTCGATAATGGCCGAAGCTGCCAGTTTGTCCAAGACGGGCCCCGAGGCCGTGCTTGCGCCAGAGAAATCTCGGCCTGCCCGGAATCCTCGTCCTCCTAGACCCAATTACAGGCACATCCATCGCTTTCCTCTTCCAGTCAATGTCCACCATGTTCCTCCAGTAATTCCTCATAACCCTCTCTCTATCATTAGTGTTGCCCTCTCGTACCTCACATTCCTTATCTCCCCTCCACGTCAAGAAGTCTACACCGCATACTTCGACTCGGCTACCTCGTCCGTTCATGTCACAGATGAGAGAATGATTAGGGCCTTGTGGGAGATGGGGTTCTTCGGTAAAGGTAGTCTGAGTCGAAGTGAGCCTAATTGGCTGGAGCAGGAGAAAAAGAGGAGGGGTCTTATGGGTGGTAATACTAGTGAGGAGGCTACAAGGAAGCGCAGAGCTGAACGCCGCCAATTGAAGCTGGAACGAGCGAGGCACGAGAAGCTGGCCATCGAGGAAAGACTCAAGGCCGAGGCCGCTCTTCGGGAATCTGGCTCGGTTGATGGATCAGTCATAGATGGTTCTGGTGATCCTGCATCCAGCTCGGTGGAGAGATTCTCCGTCAAGAAGGCGATGGAAGCCAAGTACGAGGAGAGACGATTGCAAGCGGCCCAGGACAGAAATGCTTCCCAGCCTGTTGATTCATCGCAACCAGCCAGCGGAAAATCGGTTCGCTTCTCCCCCGTTGTTCAGGAGAAAGATGTCGTTTCCACCTCAACTACTTCTCTTCAAGCTCCCGGGGACGAACCTGATCTTGATGTGCTTGAAAATGAGGAGCATCTGCAATTATCAAACGAAGAGACCTTTTTCCTGGTCTATGCACTCGGCGTTGTGCGTGTTGTCGACCGCAGCGATAACGCTGTCATCCCAACATCGTCTCTTCTACCACTTCTACGTCGCCATTCCTACTATCCTTCCCGCCCTGGCTCTTCAGAACTAAAGCCAGATGATCCTTTTATGATATCCTATGCGGTTTATCACCATTTCCGGTCACTCGGGTGGGTTGTGCGGTCCGGAGTAAAGTTCGGAACCGACTATCTACTCTACAACCGCGGCCCGGTTTTCTCTCACGCTGAGTTTGCTGTTATTATCATTCCCTCATACACCAATCCTTATTGGTCAGAGACTGAAGAGCGCAAGGAGCATGCCTCTAGCCAGCAAGCTCGTAGCTGGTGGTGGCTGCATTGCGTCAATCGGGTTCAAGCTCAAGTGAAGAAGAGCTTGGTGGTTTGCTACGTTGAGGTCCCTCCTCCTGTCAGCCCATCTGACGATATTGGAGCTGAGCTCAGTCGCTACCGAGTTCGAGAGTTCCTCCTCCGGCGCTGGGTTCCCAATCGAACTCGGGATTGAGGCATAGGCATCATGTATTCTACAATTCTTATGAGACAGGGCTTCCGATACCCACTCAATTATTCAAGTTATCGTATCGAGTTTTCAACGTGATATACCCAATGACAATTGCAAAAGATCGTTTGACCTACATTTCCCTACAAGAAGTCCACAATTGCTAGCCCGGCGCGCTTCCCAATATTCAAGCATAGTCAAGTCTCGTTGTGTACCGTCTCAAATACACTAGTCCGCAATAGGCAATATTGCCTGCGATGTCGCGAATGCACGTGACTAACGCGTTTCGCGTGCGGTTCCCAATTCTAATTGTCACGGCCCAGTACTGGGCCAGTCTGAGCACTTCCAACCTATCTATTATGCCGAAAGCTATACAGAATATGATTCCTGATGCTGTACAGGCCGCGTGAATATCATGTTGAGGAGATGGAGACGCAGGATAGTATCGATATCGCCAAGCTGCAACGCGTCGCGTTGGGGCTAGTATGTAATGACTTGCAGCGTCCCAGATTCTCATTGGGCTAACGTCGACATCTTCAGGAGCACGAACCATCCCAGTCATTCTTTTCCGGCCCAGCAGGAATTGCCCGCGGTTCACCACAAGAGCTCAACCATTTCAGTCACTCCCCTGCTGGTCGTTCCCATGGTGGGATATCGCAGACCGCCGTAGGTTTATCCTCGACATCCTCATCGGCTGCAACCTCTACCATCAAACGACCCCCTACTCCTTCGATCTCGTGGCAATATGAAACAAACCCCGTGAATGCCATCCACACTGCGACCGACCGAAGCAAAGCGAATCCGGTGTCTTCAGCACCATCTGGAAAAATGGACTCCGCCGAGCCCGCCCCTGGCGACACCCAGGTAGTTTCGCAGTCGGTTTATGATAGCATCATCCGACAGAATGGGGAATCGATGTACAGGGGACTTTCACAAAATGGGGCGGATGGCGCAACACTCAGGACATTGCACGAGGGCGATAGTGGTCACATTGACTTGCTTTCCGAATTCGACACTGGACGTCACGAACCACATCTGTCACCTGGCCACGATGAGGAAAGCAACTACGACGGAAACGAATCTTCTCCATTGGCCTTTCAGCCCGAGTTCTTCCCCGAGTCCCAGCGTTTCATGGCCATGACCCCGGGGACTGCTGTGAAAATGAACCAGGACACTCCGAGCACATCTGTGCGAACTCCCAGCACCTCGCGCAACCCGTTGGCCGGCGATATTGAGTCAAGCGGCGGTCTGCTAGCTCTGAGCCAGCTTTTCAAAGCAACCCAGGCGCCTTCATCTCCCCTGGTTAATAACCTGCAGTCAGAGCTGCTGTCCGACCGTCCATCGCCGAATCTCCCAATTCAACATCCCCGCCTTGCGAACGCCATTTCCTCGCCGTTAACGGAACGGCCGTTGAATTTTCTAAGAGAATCGTCGGAACCAAATTTGAACTACATATCTCTGAAAGAGTCACAGTCCAGGCGCGACAAGTCCCTGGGAGAGAGACTTATCCGTTCGGCTGATAACATGCAGGCGAGCGATGAGCTCGACCAGGTATTCTACAAGGAGTCGAGTTTTGTTGAGAATGCACGACGCCAGCGCCAAATCGATGGTGAAACTGCGGCTCAATTTGCGGCCCTAAATGCTCCTTCCAGATCCGCTACCGGAGTAGATACCTCGCCAAGTCGCCACAATAATGAATCGCTGCCAGAGGAGCCTGCACTAGAAGTTGCAGGAAGTGAAGAAGAGACAGAGCAAGAAGATGATCTCGGCCCACAAGTGCCTCAGTCGCAAGAAATTCTCCAGTCCTCAGAAGAGGACAAAGAGAACTACATCGGTCCTCCTTTGCCTGTGGATGCTACTGGAAGCGCACACGATCGTCTCTCCCAAGTACTAGCTGTTGACGAACATCAATCAATGGCGGAGCAAAGCATTGGACTTTCTGGCCAAGGCCGTGCGGCCTCTCCGGGACATAGCCAGTATCTCGGCCGGTCCTCGCAAGTCATGGTGAAGGACTCTCAACAGACACCACAGCAGTCTCCGAGACTTAATGATCAGATATCGAAGGTACCGTCGCCGAGCTATATAAGTGTGTTTGACGAAACTTCCGATGTCGAACGACCTTCACCTGTGCGGCAACGCCTTCAATCATCACCGCCGGGTGCTCGACTAAAGGAGGGATCATGGCCAGAATCCAGTACAAACATACAAACGCACCCGTGTTTGGTGATTCAAGCTACCTCGTCAAACGAGACTAGACAAATCCAGTCTAGCAATGCCTCAGACCAGCAAACCTCTGGTCCAATTCCTAAGGGGACAGAGACGGGTCTTGAGAACAAATCATCTTCGATGCCTTCGCGTGTAACAGAAACTCCAGTTCACATGAGACCTCAGATAAGTGATATGGCTCGAATGACGAGCATTCCTGAGACTAGTCCCAACCGGAATCGATCCAATGAGTGGGAGGGTGGCTCAAATCGCGACGGTCTCAATAATGAAGATGACGATCTTCCTCCTATGTTCACTGCCGAACGCATTCGAAATCCCCGACCCCGGCCCTCTCAAACTCGCGCACTTTCTTCCCCAATCAAAACGATACAGACGCAAGTGCAGTCCCAAATTCTATCTAGTCCCAGTGGAAGGCAGCGCCGAGCGTTGACTGCCATTGCTGCAGATGCCTCGCCCCAGACGGACCATAAGTTTGGAGATTTCGGGCTAGATTTCTTTATGGCCGAGGATGATCAGTTTAGCGCTCTTGTTGGTGACGGATCCCCGACCCGCCCGCGAAAGAAGCGTCGTGGAAATTTGAGCCAAAGCCTCCAGACATCTGAAATCGCTCTTCCGGCTACTCCCCGCGCACAGCCCCCAAAAACCGTCGCCCCGACCCAACCACACTGGAGTGCTGAGAAGGCCATGTCACAGTCACAGGAAATTTCGGCAGTTCAAGTGCCAACAACCGTAATTCGCAAGCAGGTGAAGCCCTCTGCGCGGCCGTCTTCTCGGAGAAATGAGAATGTCTGGGAGATTGAGAGTCCGCAGCGTGTCGTTCGCCGGAGATCAAGGTCAAGGCCCGGAAGAATAATGACCTCGCATGATCCCGCACCGCAGCGTGTGCCGGTGAAGTTCCCAGAAGAGAGGCCGCCTGTGCGTCCAGTCGTTGTTCACAACCCTCACTCAGCCCTGTCGTCTGAGCTCACGGATGTCGACCTGCCTTTCGAGATTTCAATGCTATCAAAAATCAATGCCATCGAGAGCGCTTCAAGTCCACCTCAATTATCCCACATCGGCGCATGCCGGGACGACGCTCAAACTGTTGCACCAAATCAGGTTCTTGCTATATGGATGGGGCAAAAGCGGGCGTATTATCCTGCGACCTGCTTCGGCACACCCCTTGGGGGTTCTCAGAGCAAATATTCCGTCAAATTTGATGACAGTGTTCCCGTTGAAGTAGTGAGAGGTGCCGTGAAGCGCCTTGAACTGCGGGTGGGAGATGAAGTCAAGGTTGACATGCCTCATATTCCCAAAATCGCCCATGTCATTCGTGGATTCGACGACAAGCTCACTAGGGAGGAAATTGTTCGTGCCGCAGGGAATGGCCTCTATCCGCAGACAGATGTATATGGGCACACCACGGTGATTGTTGCGCCCAAGCAACGCAAGAGTCTGCCCAATTCCAGCTTAGATACTTCCGAAAACGTGACCAAGGTGCCGATTTCCCGAATCTACATGGATACTATCCTATGGAACCGTTTCAAAGACCGAGCATATACCTACAAGCCTGAAACTGCAGCACCGGCGAACACCTCCCGAGCTCCGTCTGTGAGACCCTCACTTCCAGCCTCCCCAAACACCCGCGTTGCCCGCAGCATCCACGACCTCACTGGCATCTTTGCAAATATGGCATTTGCCGTTTCCTATAAAGATGATGAAGACTCAAAGAACCGCGTCACAAGACTCATCCGAGAAAATGGTGGCTCGCTATTACACGACGGATTTACAGAACTGTTTGAAACCGCATCTATAAATCTTGTTGAGACGCCCAAGAAAGGAGGCGCGAGTGATGGAAACTCCAGTGTCAATGGTCTGTCTCTTACCGGGCTCGCGGAGGATATTGGGTTCACATGTTTAATTGCCGATACACATTCTCGCCGTGAGAAGTACATGCAGGCGTTGGCACTGAATGTCCCATGTTTGTCCGGTCGCTGGGTTGAAGATTGTGTTGCTAAAGGTCGCGTTCTCGACTGGGACATCTACCTTTTACCGGCTGGAGAATCTAAATACCTCAACGGGGCCACGAGATCCCGAATTATGTCGCATATCTCCCCGATGGACGCTCGCTTGTTTGACACTATCGCCACACGACCAAAATTACTTGATGGGAAATCTGTACTTATTGTTATGGGGCGTGGAAAAGCAGAAGAAAAGCGCAAGGCTTACGTCTTTCTCACCTTTGCTTTGGGCGCCTCTCGTGTGGAACGTGTCCCTGATCTCGAGACGGCCAAGGCATTGTTGGACTCCCAATCCGAAGCCTCCCTCCCTTCCAGTTGGGACTTCATCTATGTTGATGATGCAGACCAGGCTGCTGCAAAATCTATGTTGGCTCCTTGTCCCCCAACAACACAGACTATCCATTTGGTACATGGAAGGAAACGGAGGAGATCGACTGTGACAATGTCGAGACCCAGCCTGGCGTCTCTACTTAGCCCACAGGTCGTGGGAAATGAGTTCGTCTGCCAGAGTTTGATTCTGGGACGATTATTTGAGGAGTGAGATTTGTTTTTCACCTTGCCTTGATACCAATTTCATTGGAAGTTTTGCTATGTACTTTGAATTTCGGTAGTAAGAAAGAGAATTTCACCATGCCCGCTGTTGCCTGTTGCAGTCGGCCTTCGGTGTGCATGTGTACCTTTGATTCCGCTGACTCATCTGGGTTTCTTAAAGTTCGAGAACCGTGAAACTCGGGGAAATTAAGTTTATGGTAGAGATTTGATATCCGAATACGAATAAGAACCCGAAGCCCGTCTAGTTTGGTGCGGCATCTCGGACTCTTATTCGGACTCGGGTTGGCCCTGCGGATCGTCCACCATGGATTCACGGCACTATCAGATGGAAACTCTTATTGTGCAGCCTTCGTCCATGTCCATGAAAAGGCTAGACACTTCACTCTTCTGAAGGCAACCACATTTCTTGTGGGCCTACTCTAACTGAATCGCCATTCTTTCTTTGCAACCTAAGCAGAACCCACCTTCGGGACCAAGGATGTTCGGAGTCTCCAATGCCGTGGATCAAGAACACGCTTACCGGACTAGAATTCCCAATCATGGGCACGGGTAAGTATGGCGATCGGCATCATGGGGATCCGAATACGATCTGACGAGCCCCTGGCGCGTTCTGTCTCTACGAACATGAGCTGTGAATAGCCAAGTCCTTATAAGAAGTTGCGACAGCCGGTTGATTGTGCCACCAAGCAGCTCCTTTACCTCTCTCAACCTGAAACTCCTGCGGTTGATAAATTTCAATGATGAAGTGTTCTGTCGCCTTCTCTCTCTTCGCCCTGGCCTCTGCCGAGATCGCTGTCGCAACTATCCTGACTGGAACTTCGGTCACAACTTCCCTGAGCTCTTTCAACCTCACCAAAGGAGCAGCATGCGCCTGTGGGAGGCTCTCTCGAACCTATGATGGAATAATCTCTCCCAATAGCGCGAACTACACCGTTCAAGCTGCAGACGCATATTGGGATGTCCGAGCCGACCTTTCTCCTGCCTGTATCTTTTTGCCCAGTACAGCAGATGAGGTTTCCAAGGCCCTTGAGATCTTCCAGTCCTGTGATGCGCATTTTGCTGTCCGTGGCGGTGGCCATATGAATGTGAGTGTCTCCACAAGCCCATGCCAGGGCTTTGCTAATATACAGCCAGTACCCAGGATCAAACAATATCGACGGGGGTGTTCTGTTGGCTCTCGAGAAGTTCAAGGATATCAAGGTCAAGAAAGGCTCGGTTGAAGTTGGACCTGGGCTTGTTTGGTACGATATCTACAAAGCCCTTGAGCCCTACGGTCGCGCCGCCATTGGTGGGCGATTGAAAACAATCGGTGTCCCTGGACTGAGCCTCATTGGCGGCTTTCATTATTTCAACAACAAGTACGGGTATGCGATGGATAATGTAGTGGGTTATGACATCGTTCTCGGCAACGGAACGCAGATCACCGTCAACAAGAAATCGCATCCGGATCTCTTCTGGGCATTGAAGGGCGGTGCGAATAATTACGGAATCGTGACCAAGTTCACACTGAAGACCTACGATATTCCCAAAGTCAGCACTACCATTCAAGTGTTCAACGAGAGCGGTATCCCCGACTTCCTGGCTGCGGTTTGCAATGCCGCCAAACTTGACGAGAAAGATCCCATCGCGGCCGGCATGGTTGCAACTGTGCAATATAATGCCACTACCAAAGTTGCAACGGCTTCGTTACTGGGCGTCCAGGAAGGCATTAGCCAGCCTCCCTCTCAATTTGCGAATTTCTCTGCGATCCCTTCGATTACCCAGATCAACAATGTCACAACCATGAGGCAATGGGCATCTTCCTTGGACACGCCTAAACAAATGTTTCGGTCAGTCATTGAGTCCTATTGCCCCCTGGTAGTCTCCAGTTCAAGTGTTTAACCCCTCACGCAGAGTCATGTTTTCCCACAAAACCATGAAACCAGATCACGACGCTCTCGTCTCCATTTACAAGGCATGGAAAGAGGCTGTCGACCAAATTGCTGATGTTGAGGGCCTTTACCCAACGTTTGTCACCAATGTGGCTTCTGCCGGCGCCGCGCGGGTCGCTCTTACCAATGGAGTAGGCAATGTTTGGGGACTGGAAGCAGAGCCTTACATCTGTACGTTTGCCAGGAAAGTCCGAATCGCTGATATGGCAGCTAACTTGCATTCTAGTGTGGCAATTCAGCACAGGGTGGGCACTGGCGCAAGATGATCTGCGGATCGAGGCTTGGTCTCGTCAATTGGCCGAGCGTCTCCATGCCATCAATGTGGAGAAGGGAATTGCTTCTCCCTTTATCTATATGGGCGACGCTGGGGAGTGGCAAGACCCATTTGCGGGATTCCCTGCCGAGAATGTTGCCCGAATGAGGACGATCAAATCTTCTTACGACCCCCTGGGTGTCTTTTCTCGACTCAACTGGGGCGGGTTCAAACTGAGTCTGTAGACCGAGCCTGGACTTAACATTCGATCGTTAGAGCATTAGATCATTGGGAACTTGAAATCATCAGCTCAGCGCAACCTGATTTGAAAATTTTAAACCGCTTGATAGGTAGCTAATATAGCCAGTTTGGAACAAAGACTGATTCTTAAGGCATCAGAAGGAGGTAGGGAGATATAGAACCTTTTATACCTGGGCATCCTGCAGGATACTCAAGCTATTGTATATACAGTTGCCGACTATATAACAATGAATCTACCAATAGGAAAAATACCTCGCAATCTATTGTATGACATCTAGCAATCAAGACTAGAGTCCCTGATAATAGGTTCGGCTTTCTCGGGAATTTCACATGATCCTAAGACTGAGCTCTAAAGTAAGTAGTTGAATTCAAGCAATATCCGTTGAAAGATTGAGTATCAATTGTTCTAGGCTTGTAACATTAGTATCTCTATTGTTAGATTCAGTGCACTGCAATTATTCTGTATATTTCAAACGGCTTCACTTCGCATTGGAAGGTCAGTACAATCAGCTACAGTATATCCGGTAGTCTCGGGAGCCAATTTCTAACAAGAATTTCTTTGCTTACAGACTTGGTTCTGGCTCAAGATTTGAATATCTAGTAGTTATTTTATATTCCTCCAAGGATTCAAAGTCAACTGCAAATCAAAATGTAAAGGACTGCTCTGATTCTTACTGCTCCTCGCTAATTATCCTAGGGTTTACTTCAATGGCATAAATACCGTCTATCTTCTTGTCTCACCCCTGGCTACTTCTACAGCCTGGTTCCTGAATTCATCGAAAGTGGGTGCTCTTCAACCACGTGGCGCAAGGCCCAGTTGTCTTACTAGTCAAAATGTCACATCAGTATCAGGTGCTGTCGACGTTACTGTTGCTGATATGGAAGTGGATGCCGTGTTTCAGCCTGTCGGATATGTTGGTCAGTCTATGATCGAGGCTTGAGCTTGGGTTGACGCAAGTGACTATGAGGTCACTAAAGTCCAGCTGAGTGCTGACTACGGCCCTGCTGTTGGTATTTATGCATGGGTTTATGTTCCGGCCAGTAGTGATACTGAATCCTCAATTCTCTATGAGAATTTTGTGTCCTTCCTTGGACCAGGAGAGGAATCCATTTGTGTCAACAATTCGATGCAGCTGACTCTAAGGGTTATTTTTAGCGTTTCTGGTCCTAACTGAGTCACATGCCGGCCTTACTAACTATCGCGTACATCATACCCTGTAGGCCTTTTGCACTGAAACGAGCAGGGCGAGTGAAGGTGTCGGATGGTGTGGTATGGTAAGAAATGGGAATTCTGCAAGGTTCAAGGGTTCTGAGAGCCGCACGCTGGTTTCCTATTACAATCGTTACATCTACCAATACTCGGGAATGCGAGGCGAATATGCGAATAGCGCTGATATTCAGAAATTCCTTCATTTAGACAATGTCTGTATTTTATGGTCCATTTGGACCATCAGGATTAGAGTAGTCAGACCACCTGAGTACTAGCGTATTACTCTCCCTTCATCCACTACCTTGATTACTTCATCTATTTGCAGAAACTTGGCTAAAGTGCTTATTATGTCTACCATGAGCTGGGGTGCAGAGACCGGTCGACGAACACTATACTGCGCGATACCACCTACTATTAAATAACTAAACGCAATAACATTTACGTTGACAGTGCATTTCATCGAGGTATAAAGCTCCGCTTAAACAACACAGGCTAAATATAGCAACATGTACCTTAAATTTACAAATCAACTTTCTCCTACCATCATCAAATCAGATAGAATCATATATCTAACGTGTACATCAACAGTAGCCCCCTATTTACATATATGACAAGATCTATCACTCGGGCACTACTTGTGTATCTATTATCTCTTAACTGCCATGCAAATTTAGTTGCAAAGATAGGAGGTTAAACATTCGTACAGGATTTCCCGTATGTCTGAAGAATCTCCGCACTTAGCCGTTTCTTAATTTCTGCGGGAACTAAAGATAATAAGCTTTCCATTCTACCCGTGCCAATGTTGGGCTTGCAGCTCGGCGTTGGTTGTAAAAAATCATTATAGGCGCACCTATGTTTACTAGCCTATACGCAGACCCATAGTTTTCAACAAGTGGTAATAGTATTTGATAAGACTATACATCAAAGACACACAAATTAAGATATATTATTCTTAATGCTTATAATGATATATAAACTAATATTCAAGTTAATATATAGTCTGGTTGTTGAGAAATGATATTGTAATCTATCGCATTTACTATGTGTTTTGGGGTGGCCGACAGGCGGGAAAGGGAAGTACGTTAAGTTTAACGTTAACGTGCTTCCCACTTACTCCGCTCCCCCACTTACGCCGCCCACCCCAAAACACGAGTAAATACGAAAAAAATTCCTATTCCCTATCTCAACAACCAGACTATATATCCATTGAAAATTAGTCTATATACTCTCAAAGGTGTTAAGAATATCATGACGTTCTGAATATATTTAAGATAAGATTTGTCTATATTACCATAAAATCATATCATGCATACTTTCAAGCCTTAAATATATATTAACACTAAAGCAGACTCCTCTAGGATTTAGTAATATATTCGGAGCCTTATTTCAAATGTGCCATTCTAATATTTCCTCTAAAGGAGATGTGATAATTTTTTGCATTTTACTAATTGTTTTGGGGTGGCGGTTTAAGCGGGTGAGTGGCGTAGGTGGGAACAACGCTAACTAACAATAAACATCCATGATTAGTTACTAAGCACTCACGTGACTGCACTAACCAGATCACTGCGAATAAGCTCGTGCTGATATTTACTCAGTGAGCCTGAGCCTGATCACCCTCATAAAAGCGGCGGCAGCCCAGACAGGAAAGCCGCACCCGGCGGACATTATGTTGTGTATATAACTATCTACAGTATAACTTGTTGATGGTGCTTCAGCGGGAGATTGTTACGGTTCCTGCAATCAGCAAGTTGAGAGTCGGCACCAACGGTGGGCCTCAGGTTGCCAGGCGACCATGCTAGTGAAAGTCACACGTGGCACCAAATAGCCCCCCAATGTACGAGGAGCGGCCACAGTACAGTACTATAGGTTCAGTACGTTTGAAACTGTACTCTGCACTGTAACTATTTCTACATACGAGACAAACCTAGAGCAGGTGTTTCCATATTGGTGACTGTTAAATCATTTATACTAGCGTCTTGGCAGTGGGGCCCGAGGATAGAAAGGCTCTGCCTGGGGTGGAAGCTGATTCCGCTTTTGACGGTACAAGAGTCTCATGGAATGGCTTTCATACTCACTTCACCGTGTATTCATCAGGCCAGTTCTGTTTCTGAACGGTCCATTGGCAGCTAGGGCAGCCCGGTTGAGTGGAGAGAATTGAAGTAAGCCCAATCTCCCAATTTTGGGTCGCCCCAGCCGTCCCACCAAACAACCTTTAAACAACCTCCACGACCCAGAATAAACTTCAGCCTGTTTCAACCACATTACTCTGAACCCTGGTCAGACTTATCCAGGCTGACGATTCAACTTTTTTTTAAAAATTTCTACCTAAAGTAGCGTGTGGATTGCGGCTCGTTGAAGGCAGCAGCCGGAAAAACTTCTTTCCCCGCGACGACGATCATCGCAATCATCCAACCCTTTCTCATCTGCTCTGCGATTGCGACGGGAGATTTTCACCCCAGTGGGAAATTGTGCGAGACCAGAGGTTATGTCACAATGGGCCCCCGACGAACACACACCAAGTCCCGAAATGGGTGCCAGCCTTGCAAGTCGCGGAAAATAAAGGTTGGTAAACCCATCTCTTCACCACGACTAGCAACTAGCTAACCCGGACATGCGATGCATTGGAAGTGCGATGAGGCCAAACCCCAATGCAACAACTGCGTTCGCCATGGGGTAGAGTGTAGCTTCAGCGGTCCGCCCACCACAGCGAGCACCCCGACTTCGGGCATCTTGACCTCCGGCTCTGTCCCGTTTGTCAGTGATGCCTGTAGATTGAGTCCTGGTTTCACCACGCCAGCAATGGGGATGGCAGAAATGGCTTTGCTGCATCACTATGCTACTTCAACGTGTTATACAATTTCACGCCACCCGGTCCTGCAGACCATATGGCAGAACACGGTGCCTCAAATCGGCTACTCCTACCAATTTGTGTTTCGTGGAATCCTGGCGCTGGCGGCACTTCATTTGGCGCACTTGAAGCCGGACCTTCAGGACCAATACGTGGCCGCGGCTGAATTCCACCATAATCTGGCGCTTCAGATGGTGTCAGGCACCATCCTCCAGATCAATGATGAAAACGGCCCTGCGGTTTATCTGTTCTCCACAATCACCTCCATCATCGGATGTGCTTTGCCGCGCAAGCGCGATGATCTGTGGGCCAGCAACGATAGAGTTTTTCAGTGGTTATCTCTCTTCCGCGGCACGGTTTCCATCATTGCAACTGTCGACGAAACGCTAAAAGCTGGTCCCCTTGGCCCTATGTTCACGTTGGGACGACGGAGGGGTCTCGCCTGGGAGGCCCGATCGACCGCTAATCAGACTTTCCTTACCAATCTGCGACGACTAACCGAGGAGACAGTTGAAGATCCGGGGGATTTAAAGTGTTATACAGATGCCATTGACAGTTTGAGCAAATCATTCGCAACAATCCTTGACGTTGGTTCCACGAATTGCGAGACAGCTGACATTTTTATTTGGCTACTTCGCATCACCGACGGATTTTTGGAGAAATTGCAAAATCGAACCCCGGAAGCTTTGGTGATTTTCGGTTACTATTGTGTGGTTCTCAAAGAGCTTGAATGGGCTTGGTGGATGCAGGGCTTCAGTGTGCATATGATCCGTGCTATTTACCATCACCTGGATGAGGAGCACCGTTGCTGGCTGCAGTGGCCCATGCAACAACTAGGCTGGGTTCCGTGAGGAGCATGTAACATCACTCGGCTGGTAAATACTTTCTGTTTTCTATTTAAATTATACCCCTCTTCCGGCGTGCTTCCTGTGTGCTGCTCTAATCAATACTATTTCCGCTTTCGATATGGACCAGGCAGTCATCGATTATGTTCGGGATGAAGTCATTAGCTGAAATGGCCCCAGTAATTGAGCAAACAACTGTACATACGTCCGAAAAGGTCAGCTAGGATGACGGCCGGAGAAGTTGTTGCGATCATGATGAAATGTGATCCGTATAAGTGTCGGCAGGCATTGACTAAATATAGACGAGTCGATCTTTCCAAGATGTTGTGATCATGCGACGTCCCATATTGATAGGCATCGCGATCATGAGAAAATGGCACTAATGTTTTATATGGAGGGGATCGGCAAGCCGGCATACTGTCTTGATAGAGAGTTACTTACTGTCCGATATAACCTACCGTTAGCAGATTTACTAAGGAGCTCCTTCCCTCCGGGTCGCCGAGTTCGGCTACATTAGCAGAAGGAAGTTACTATTTAAGTAACCACCAGTAACTCACTCCCTTTCGACCTCACCGGGTCAAATCACTCTTAGTCTAGTAGACCCGGTTTGCTCTTGTTGGCACGAGACCCGCTAGGTTTAAAGACCGGTGTATTTTACTATAACCTGCTATCAGTTACCAGTAAACCCTACCTGGCCCGGCCACCTGCAAACTCATCGCAAGGGGTATCATGGCTAAAGATCATTCAGGGAGAGTTGGAATATGGCTGTTTAATCGGCTTTCGATCGGACTCTTGAGCCAAATCCGAGGCCAGAACGCCGCTGCCCTCTATTAAGGGGATCAAGCTTTTCAGTCGTGCAGGCTTCGTCATAAACATATCCATACCGGACCCAACTGTGTCACGTTGTAAGTAGCCCTGCGCTATGCCAGTCAGGGCGATGATCCTGGCAGGGGTCTTAACATCAAATTTCTTCTCAAACTCGCGGATTTGCCTAGTTGCTTCAAGACCGTCCATGACTGGCATAGATATATCTAAAGAGAGAGAAAAAACACAAGGATCAGTTTCGAGGGAGTTGGAGATGAAGTCAGAAAATATTGAGACATACCCATGAAGATAACGCCAATAGAAGATGAATTTGCTTTGAAGAAATCAACAGCTTCTTGTCCATTCGATGCAGTTTCGTATTGACATCCCAACTTCTTCATGCACTCGACCAGGACCCTGACGTTGATGTCATTGTCATCCACTATGAGAACCGTCTTTGCCAAGGTCAGTTTGGCTTGGGATGAATGGTTGTCTTTGTCCGGGTTGAAGAGGGTAAGATCCCTGTCGGCGGGATCGGCGGTCGGCCGGACATGGGAAGGATCGAACGCGTCCTGGACCTGCAACTGGTCCAATTGACTCTCAGAGTCAGTGGTGTCTGTTGATGCTGAATTCTCTATCATTTCAGACTGTTCAGAAGAGACGAAATCCATCACCTCGATGGAGATATTGTCCTCTGCTTGTCTTGTGTCCAGAAAGATCGAGGTGATGGCTGGTTCTTTCATTGTTTCGCCTTCGGCGTTGGCCAAATCAAGCTGCTGCTGTTGACGGCGAGAGCAAATTTCAAATGTCTTTGCTAACTTGCGGGGCCCGCATGGCTGACTGATGAATTCGACGACACCGGCATCTCGCTGGTTCCGAGATTTGACGAACAGGGTATGCGCGATCCTGGGAGACGGACACAGGACGATCACCGGTGCCGCGAATCGCTGGGTCGACGATGAAACAATTGACTTGATGTTCAGATTGTCATTTCGCAAAGATTCAAAAGGCGAAATATAAAAGTCGCAAAGAGCGAATTGTGGCTGGGATGGCAGGACCAAGTGGACCTTCATTTGTAACCACTCCCGGCACAGTGTTTGTAAAGATGAGCACAGCAAACGGTCTGATTCCAAAGACCCTAGACCTAACAGACCGACGCTTTTCTCGCGAACACAGTCTCTGGAAACCTTGGAATATGAACCTGTGGAGTTATCTGCTCCACCCTGGGGGCGTAGCCCAGAGACATGATCAAGATTGACAGAGACCTTGACTTCAGTACCAACTCCCCGTTGGGACTCGACCTGAACCTCGCCTCCAAGAGATAGCACTATCCGCTGAGTGATGTTGAGGCCGAGACCGTTGCCGGTGGTCATGCTATCTTCCTGCGAAAAGGCAAGGAAAAGCTCGTTCTGTAGAAATTCGGGACTGATACCGCACCCGGAATCTCGAACAGTCACCGTGACCTGCGACCTAATGACCTCACCATCATCTGCCAACGTCACCGGGGTTGCATTGAGAGAGACGTGGATATATCCACGTCGAGTGAACTTCAAGGCATTTCCAACAATATTGGTCAAGACCACGTGCCAGGCTCCCAGCCGGGTCGAAAAGTTCCAATCTGAAGCGCTGTCGATGTCAAGAATGACCTGGACTCCGTCCGGAGTGTCAAACGGACCCGGCCTAAAGAATGAGCCGTTATGGACGGCCTCGAGCGGATCTTGCAGGCCATTAGAGAATGAGTAGCCTGCAAAGACGGTTTCCATGACGTCTTCCATGATTACATCAAGTTGAACATGGGAGTTCTCGTGGATTTGCCCAGAGTGCACATTCTCGTCCGCATGAACTAGGCTCTCCTGTGTGAGGTCACCAGAGAGTTGAGCCGAGGCTGAGGTGGCTCGAAGATCGTTGATGCTCGCATACTCCAAAAGCTGATTGATTGAGCCCAGGAGTGTGAATGCACAGGACGAGATTGTATGGACAAATCCTCGCTGAAGGGTGTTCATGACACTAAAATTAAGGAGGTCTGCCATACCGAAGATCCCATGGAGGGGTGAGCGAAGTTCATGGCTGAGTCCTGCTAGCAAGCTCGACTTGGCTTGCTCCGCAAACAACGCACCCAGCCGATGTACTTCCGCCATGATACTATTCCCGAGCGCAAACATGAACGATAATTCATCGTCGGCCGTGAAAACACGATGGCAGGATCGAGTCCACGCAACGCTTGCCGAGTACCATCTGCCTTTGTGTGAATCCCACAGTGGCGTAAAAATGATGCTTCGGGCATCGGGAGCGAGCTGTAGAAGCGTCTCTGCGTCTTGGCGCAGAATCGCTTTCCGCGTTCGTTTATACCTCTTGCCTCGCTTGCCGGGGCTGCTGGTGGTGCCATTCTGCCGGAAATCTTTGAAATTGCTGTCACTGGTATCACTTGCCGAGATAGATCCATCTTCGAAGTAGTTAAAAATTTTCCCTTGAGGATATCGGAGCAAGAGGTCTGCGAGGAATGGCTCTGATATGGCGATTTTCTTATCGCCCGTCAACTGGTCATTGACGCTAGTTTGGCTCGAAGTTGCAAATCCAAGTATTTCGCAGGGGCGCAACGTATCCTTCCCCGAGTCCTCTGCGTTGGCGGTGCTGTAGTGGCATTCCTGGGTAGTAGTGGCACACCGGACTTTGCCTTCATCCCCTGAAGTCGAGGAATGACTGTCTCGGCCGCTACTTTCCTGATCGGACCGTTCGTCGGCAACAAAAGCGCCTCGAGAGCCGAAATTAGCGTCGAAGAATACGACTGCCTCCACTTCGATACTTTCCCGAATGATGTTAGCTCCGCGCGAGAAGGCTTCCTCCACCTGGGCCCTATGGCCATCCTTTGACGGCGGACTCTCGGTGTGCTCCATGCTGACTGGAACCCTCGTTTCGGTGAGAGAGTGCATGGGTTTCCGAGAACGGTAATTTGTGGCGGACTTTGGTCTGTGATTTTTTAACCCTGTTTGGTGCAAACGCATCGGCAGGTGGCTCGATGGACCAAGTCCTCGGGTAGCCTGAGCGGCATGCTGCTCCGCACTTTGTCTGTCTTGCTGCGTCTCGTCGATGTGTCCCTCTAGATCCTCATTGTAGGCGTCTGCGGTGTCGAGTGTTCCCGTGGCTTTCAGCCACGAGTTCCGCAGGCTGCCTTTCCCTTCGAGAAAGCTCCCAATTCCCACAATCATTCGCTCCGCTCGAAGGTGCTGGATTTTGGATCGCGCCGTGTCCAAATAATTCATCACCGTCGTAGCCATATCCGACAAGAATTTCACCATGCCGGGGTCTAGGGCCGGATGGGGCTTGTCGTCCAGCACGGTATAGGCTCCAATCACAATGCCCTTCGGGCTGATGATGGGACTGCATGCCAAAAAGCGCGCGTGTGGGTAGCCCGTCACATCCGGGTGATTCTCGAATTCCGCATCCTGGGCGAGGTCGGGCACCAGCAACACTTGGTCGTTGGGTGTTTGCGTGGATGTCGTGGGGTTCAAGAGGGATTTGCAGAAGCTGCGATCATACGACATCATACAGTTCCCAATCCAGAGCCCATCGCGAGAGCTGTGATCATGGTCATCCTGCAGACTCAGGGTTCGGGTTGATTCAGTCAGGATGTGTTGTTCCTTGGGGCCGAACAGGGAGATCAACACTCGTTGGACATTTAATCGCAAGGCGCCCAACTGGGCAAAGGCCGTCAAGACGGGATCTGACGGGGATTGTGCGTGAATAGCGGTCGCCCGCGTGTTGCTATCGATATACGGGATCGCTTTCCCGCCCAAATGGCCCGCTGGAAGGTACCTGGAACGCCGATGAATTGTACGGTCAGCCTACAGACCTCCCAGTATCCAGTATCGACAGGGTGCTGTCGCATCCGCTGGCACACTTACTTGTAAAATTCTCGTTCCCTGGACGACTCAAAGTTGCTCCGACGTTGGTGCATCAAGGGGTCTGGCGGTGGCCGGGGCATTTTACGCTAGCAGGCCGGGGTCGCGATCCCCCTTCTAGGGATCTCCCGAAGCCTCTCAAAATGGCTAACAACCTCGCAACGCTTTGGACTCAGTCGGTCAAGAGTCTAGAAAGATGCCACACAGTTCAGGAGAGCTGTTTGACAGCTTAACTGTTGGAAAAACCCAGGATCTCGTCCACTTCCTCCCCTGCGGATCACGTGGATTCATAGAGAACGGCCGTGGCCATCAATCAAATGAGTTGGAGAAGAGTTCCACCCCACCAGGCTTGCAGACGCAGGCGGTTATTGGCGTTGTCGGGACGCGGGCGGGTTGGCGCGGGCCACCTTGCACGGTTGCCACCGCCTCATGCGTCAGCCTATTGCACCTGCCCTACAAAAACAGACGTGGATAATCGATCGGAAGGGGGGCAGTGGACTGCGATTGGTGCGATCTCTGAACCGACGCATCCAAGCGACTCCTACACGGTTACACTGTTACACTGCCTCATTGTCCCCAAGGTGAACAGTCGGAGGACGGACAGGTACGATAACTGCCTAACACACTCCAGCTGCTTTCGATGCACGACTGGCACAAACAATCGTGATGTCGAGAAAGAAAGTAATAGCCCACCTCGGACACCAGCACACGATCTACAAGCTTTCTCCACATGCAGGGTGCCTGCCCGACAGCCAATGATGTCACTCGAGATTGCACAGTCGACCCGAATCCACCCCAGGAAGAGCAAAGAAATTGGAACTCCTTACATACCGCGAACCCGAGTCTTGTATCCTCCTACCGGATTCCATCGAGAAGGTGCTTATTGTTCACGTCGGCCGCGGTTCTCCTGCCATGGAGGGCTTATTTAAGACGCGTGGTAGGTAGTTAACTTTATGTCTATACCCTGACATCGTCATTGGTGATGATGATGAGTAACCAACGCAAGGTCCATGGGCCGCACTTTGAGGCTGACGCTTCTAATCAGATTCGCTCCGCCGCCCCGCAATGACGTAGCTGACGACTTCGGAATTTGTGCTTTTTGAACGCCTCCAAAATGTGACAAACTCCATGCCTCGGATCCGATGACCTCCTGGGATTGTGACCAGCCCAGCATCGCAGCCTCCCCCACATCCATCCTCGACGTCTGGGCGCTTCCTGCCCGCTAGCGCAAGCAAGTAACGCCGAGTTGTCCCTTGGCCAATACGGTTCCGGTTCCGTCTCTTGGGCAATGCGAGATCTCTAGCCTTCCACGAGCAGAAAATCGCCGAGTGATGACCCAATCACGTGGAGCGGGAAACTGTTATTATATCCCAGAGGAGCACAGCCCCTCGGGTTGTCTCGAGACCCAATGCCTTTCAATTTCCATCCAAATGTAACAGCACAGCAGCTGGCGGATATCTTGCCGAACGGTGTCGCCATTCTCAACCACCAGCACGAATTGATCTCCGCGAACCGCCGGTTCCGGGAGCTGATTCCTTGTTCCACCGCCAATTTTCGCGAGTGTTGGCTACAATCGGTCCATCCAGACGACTATGAGCGGGTGGACACAGGGTACCGTGAGGCGGCACGGTCCAAACAGGCGCTACGCATCGAATACTACACGCAGGACCCTGGCTCCATGTGGTGCGTCTTGACGCTGAAAAGCTTGGAAAATACGGATCTTCAAAATTTTGGTCTGGGCGACAATGGCGGGTTCATCTGCACCGTGGCCGACACCACCCAGGAAAAGAAGGCTGAACTTCTCCAGAGGCAGGCGGCGCAGGACGCAGAGGCACGCAAGCAGAAGCAAGAGCGGTTTATCGACATGATCAGTCACGAAATTCGAAATCCTCTCTCTGCCATCTTGCATTGCACCGAAGACATCCTGGAGGCGGTCCATTCGAGGACATCGGATCAGCTTCCGCTCATGGATATTATCGAGGCAGCAGAGACCATCAGCCTCTGTATCAATCATCAACGGAAAATTGTGAATGATGTTTTGACTTATTCAAAACTGGACGCCTCGATGCTCGCGCTATCGCCGCAACGAGTTCAGCCAAAACAGGATCTCACAAAATCGCTTGCCATGTTTCGACCTGAGATCCGCAAGCACCATATTCAATTCGAGTATATAGCGGATTCGTCCTATGTGGAATGTGGAATTGACTGGGTCATGGCCGACCTTGATCGGATCAGCCAGGTCCTTATCAACCTGCTCTCGAACGCGATCAAATTCACCGCCAAATCGGAGACATCGAGAATGGTCCGAGTCTCCATTGGAGCCTCGATAGAGCGGCCATCATCCTATCCTCCTAACGTCGTCTTTTTCCAATCAGGGGAGGAAGCACTACGTGAGGATGCGACCAATACCCCGGACTGGGGAAATGGCCAGATCGTCTACATAATGGTTGCCGTCAAGGACTCGGGCATCGGGATTAGCGATCAAACCCAGAAGAGGCTATTTCAACGCTTCAATCAAGCAACTCCAAAGACCGAGAGCACTTACGGTGGTTCTGGTCTTGGCCTCAGCGTTTCCAGGAAACTTTGCCATCTACACGGGGGCGAGATCGGAGTGAGCGCCAAGGAAGGACAGGGCAGTACGTTCGGCTTCTTTTTTAAAGTACGCCGAAGTACTGAGGCAAGCGATAACGGATCGGGCAGACTCCATGCCTCTGAAATGGAAAAACTAGCAACCGATATTCAAGCGCTAGGCAATGAACTGAGAGGAGTCAATCGATCGACTGAAGTGCCCAAGATCCCAGAAAACCCCCCTGTGGCTAGCGTCGGAGAGACAAAGTCCGATGCTATCGATGACGCCAGGACGATACACACAAGCAAAATAGCTCGTCAGGTTTCACACGAGACTGAACGCGACCAACCCAGTTCGTCAAATAACCGTCGTTCCGAGAAACGAGACGGCAGCCATCACATTCTCTTAGTGGAAGACAACATCATCAACAGGCGAATTATCTCGCGGAGATTGAAAACATTGGGATTCCAAATTTCGGAAGCAAGTAATGGGCACGAGGCACTGGATGCCGCCCGAAACAGCAAATTCGATTGCATACTCATGGACCAGGAGATGCCTATCATGGACGGCTGCACCACAACCAAAGCAATTCGCGATCTGGAGCAGGAGAATAGTCTACATACCCCGGTCCTGGGAGTGACAGCGAACGCCAGAGCGGCACAGAAAACGGAGATGCTTGACGCCGGTATGGATGATATTATCTATAAGCCTTACAGCACCGATGAAATTGTTGAGAAGATCGATTACTTAACGGATCATTCTTCTCATGGGTAGAGAATTCTCACAGGTGTCGCATGTTGATATTATTATACCGAAGACAAACGAGTGCTCTTCTTTTCACGGCACATTGAACTGGCCTTGTCAAATACTGATGGGCAAGAAAGGCCTGCTTGCACGAAGATGATCGAAGACGGGCCACCAGTTGTAATAAATTCCGACCACTCAGAAACGCAGGCAGATGGCCGCTGTGTCTAGCTTACCCGCTCGTAGTCAAGCGAAGAACTGTAGAAAAAGCGATTGTAATTGAGAATATTCAGACTATTCAAGTATGTGGCGTAATATCTCAAAGATGGCCGGACATGGGTGAGAAATGGCTAGGGTAGAACAAGATTGTTAAATAATACTCGTGGAGAAATGATTTGTTTGAAAAGAAAAAAAGAATTCATTCTTATAATACAGGAAAACAAAGGATTCAATCCTCATATCGCTACAGAAACCCAAAATCCATGGCTCGAAACATCATCCCTCCTCATTTGGCCTTCCTGGGAGCCTTCTTCTTGCCCTTCAGACTCTTCATCTGGGCAGCCCGCTCAGCACGGGCCTCTCTCTTCCTCCACGCAAGCCAACGGTTGTTGCGGTCATATGATTTGGCTGTAATCCCAGCCTTCTCAGCAGCACGGCCAATAACCCAGTTAGCCTCACGGTACATATATCCAGGACGAAGCTGCGGGCCGGACCCGGCATTGACAGCCTCAGCACTAGCGACTTGAGTGCCATTCTCATTGATGGTGGCCACTATATCAGACTGGTATGCAACAGGCTCAGCGCGTGGGATTGTGACCATGTTCAGCCTGCGCCGGGTGGGCGCATTGCGCGGTTGTGGGAGTCTTTCCTCCTTCTCGAAAACGACTCCGATGTACCGACGTTCGGGGTGGCGCTCTGGGTCCAAGTAGTACCGAACGTATCCGGCTTGGGTGGCGTAGATGGTGTGGTCTCTACCCATCGCGCAGTTGTCGCCAGGGAACCATTTTGATCCTCGCTGGCGGAAGATGATGCATCCAGGGACAACGTATTCCCCATTTGATCGCTTCGCGCCAAGGCGCTTTCCCGCCGGATCACGCGAGTGTCGATTGGCAGTGCCTTGAGATGCGTGCGAAGCGAAACGTACTTGTGAGAGAGGGAGGAGGGTGCGAAATATAGGTGTAGTCTTCGGGACGGACAGCGACGCGGAAAGAGATCGTAGGATGAGAGATTGCGGCTGGTAGGCGTTCTGTGCGGACCGGAGTGAGGGAGAAAAAGCCCGTTCCAGCGCCCGCAGGGGCGCCAGAAGTCTGGGTTGCAACATTGCTCGCAGTTGATGTCGAATCGTGTTGCGGAGGTGGAAGCTCCAAAGGGGAACTTTTCTCGGAGGTAAGGCTTGGCGTCACGTGCACTGGGTCCGTTAGCTGGCTTCATCTATACGCCAACTTCAACGTTCCCTCCCAATAGACACGCTTGGCTTCACATTCTGGGATCACGCAAGCAGCGCTGCCTCACAAACATGTTTCGCAATTGGCTACAATACCTTTGGGCTCTTTTCCTATTGGCCACTGCCGCTCAGGCCCAGTTCCAGTTCTTCGACCACATGTTTGGCGGCAACCAACAACAAGCAGCCCAACACCCTGGTTCTCAGAATGTCCCCAGTGACAGTGTTCGCTACCAGAAGATGTGGGCTCAATGTGAGTTGCTCCTTCTCTCAACCCTTGCTGATTCGGCCATCTTCGTGTTTGCGGTCATTACTGACCTCGGAATTCTCCCACGCAGCGCAATGCAGCAACTACCTATGTCCTGGAACCCTCGCATGCGTCTCCTTTCCGCACCACTGCCCATGTGCGCACCCTGATGTCGAAGAAAAGGTGGAGCTAGGAGAAGGCAGTGCCATCTGCGTTTCCAAGGGAGGATTCAAGGCTGGTGAGGCGGCCCGAAAGATCGAGCTGGCTCGCAAGGGCCTTCTGTGAACTTGTCTACGATTGCTGCGTTCTGCTATGGTCTATACCCTGAATTTGCTTTGGGACCTCTGGGTTGATCTCGTTAGGTTCAACATTGGTCGGACGTGCCGTTCGTTCATTTGATAACATTTGACTTGGCATGGGGATCATGAGATGTTTTAAAAGCAATTCCAACTTAAAATATGGTTACCCAGTCAAATTCCCAAGCTAGAACCTATGTACAGATTCAGTCGACCATTTGAGGCCACTGTCATGTTTCGTAACCATGTTCTATATTGGCTGAAGTGATGCCATGAGAGGGCAGGAATTCTATCTGTTCGTGATGGCTGAACTGGCGGCAGCCAACTTGGAATAGCTGAAATAATGACCTAGTACTCGATGCAGGATATCGGGTAGATGGTTCGCAGGAGGCCTCGCAAATGGCTAGCTCATTGACGTTTGGGGGGAAAATCCGCATCAAAAGCGCCTGAAACTGGGCGATGTACTGCAGCGCTATCTCCGCTTAATCCCGCGGCAAATCTTCCGTCATCGCCAGCTCCAACTCTCTCTTTTCTCCCAACTCGACCACTTCGTCTCAAAACCATCACGTACAGTTACCACAACGATATTTGCGATAGTACAAACCTCAAAGACCTGCTTTGATCGCCATGTGGAGCGCGAAGCTCCGTCCTTCCTCGCTGCGAGGTGTTTCGATGCGCCTGCCACTATCGACCCTCCGCTGGAGAAGCACTCACCGTGGTCCGCGCAACAGTATAATCCGGCCGGGGCGGATCCCTCAACCTCGCAAGCCGACAGAGATACCATCACAAGAAGAGGCTACTACTTCCGAATCCCAAGATGCGTACAATTCCAACTACGACCCCTCGCAGAACACCCTTCTCTCCCCTGTCTATCTCCCCGAGGACCCGAATGGTGTGCTCAAAGAGATCCACCCGGCGGCAAATCTGCTGGCAAATTCTGGTCTGGTTGTGCAGCGCCAACTGGAAATGATGAATATTATGATGTGAGTGGATCCGTTTCTCTGTCTTCCCAGGCTGCAATTCTGACATCACACGATATCGGTAGTGGCTTCGAACAAGCGAATAAATATGTCATTATGGATGCACAGGGAAACCATATTGGATATATGGCGGAGCAAGAGAAGGGTATGGGAAATGCTATGGCGCGTCAATGGTTCCGCACTCACCGGAGCTTTGTGACCCATGTGTTTGATCGACATGAGAATGAGGTGTTGCGGGTATGTTGAGATCCCAAACCAGATGGTTACAAGTACGGACCACTGAATGTCGAATGTTGCAGTTTAATCGTCCCTTCTCATGGATCAACTCTCGGATTCAAGTCTACGATCCTCTCGACACCAACGCCAACTCTTCCACCTCCCACACCTCCCTTCAAACTACGGCTCAGGATGCCCTAGTCCAGGCTGGAGTGTCATCCAATGCGCGTGTATCTCCACTTGGCTTTGATCAAATGCGAGTTATCGGCGAAGCCCAGCAGCAATGGGCACCTTTGCGGCGGAAATATAACCTTTTCACGTATCACCGATCGCCAAATTCCGCGGCAGACATGAGTACCCAGAGATTTCCTCTCGCTGAATCCGGTCTTTCTAAACAACAAAACATGCAATTAGCGCAGATGTCCGACCATGGCCAAGGTGAATTCAACCAATTTGCCTATGTCAATGAGCCTTTCCTGTCTTGGGACTTCTCTCTACTCTCAGCAGAAAATCGAAAGATTGGTTCGGTAAACCGCGACTTCGCTGGGTTTGCACGCGAGATTTTCACAGATACTGGTGTCTATGCATTACGAATGGACTCCGCGGGACTGGGCACTGAAGCATCGACAAACCAGAGCAATACAACTATGGGTATGACTCTCGACCAACGAGCTGTGATGCTTGCTACCGCTGTCAGCATTGATTTCGACTACTTCAGCCGTCACAGTGGGGCTGGTGGATTTGGCTTCATGCCCCTCTGGTTCCCTGGGGTCGGCGGAGAGGCGGCGGCTGGAGGAGCGGCCGCGGGTGAGGCTGCTGGAGCTGCTGGCGGAGCTGCTGCTGGCGGAGCTGCTGCCGGCGGCACCGCTGCCGGTGAAGCTGGAGCACTTGGTGAGGTTGCCGCTGGTACCCTCGGGCGAGCAGGCGCTGCTGGCGGCATGGCAGATGGCATGGCAGCCGGTGCTGCAGGCGCAGGTGCTATGGCTGGATATGAGGCGATGCAGAGGGGTATGTCGGGCAGTCATGGCTCTGAAGAACCCGCACCTGAACAGTCACCACTGCCACCATCCGATCCGCAATCCCCAGGGCAGCCTGGCCAGTCCGAAGATGTTTGGGCTGAGGAACGCCCGGAGGACCCTTGGGGTGAAGATGAGTTCAACGACCCGTGGAATGATGGAGGATCAGATGAAGGAGGCGGCGGCGACGACTTTGATTGGTTCTAATCTCTAATCCTTGTATAACACCAATATGATACCTCTGATAGACATTGAGCACAAGTATTTTAGTAGGCCTGCATTACGCCGGGATCGGCCCGTGGGGCGAGCCAGCAATGGCGCACCCGGGGAATTCCCCATCTTCAACCTCTCGTCTTGCCCACCCTCAACTCTTCACTTCCCACACACCGATCTTTGCGCCGCTACAGTCCCAGTTCCAATAAAATCTGCGGCTGCCACCTCTAGTCAGCCTTCATCTCAAGTCTCCGATCCTCACCACCAGTGCGGAAGTGCGGAAGTGCGGAATACCTCCACCCCCGCCACCGTACCCAATCCAACCCACCGACTGTCGTGTGCAGAAACCAACCCTACGAGGACCGTTGACGATCCTATTATCACGCATCTCCCCCAAAATGGCGTCCTCCGTCGCCCAGAAACGTCTTTTCCATGAATACAAGAACCTCTCTACAAACCCACCGGAGGGCATCACTGCTGGCCCAGTTTCAGAGGATGACATGTTCTATTGGGAAGCCCTGATCGAGGGCCCCGGAGACACTCCCTTTGAGGGTGGTGTATTTGCCGCCGAGCTCAAGTTCCCCAAAGATTATCCGCTGAGCCCGCCGACCATGAAATTCGTCGGAGGTGGAGTGTGGCACCCGAACGGTAGACTTAACCCCCCGCCCCCCCTCCCTCCCCCGGCCCCGGCCGAAGGGTATAACAGCTCATTGTTGCACTTGACCACCTTCCACCGAACTTCAACTGACATCCGCCTTCTCTCTCATTTTAGTATACCCCAACGGAACTGTCTGCATCTCGATCCTGCACCCGCCTGGTGACGACCCGAACCACTATGAGCACGCCTCGGAGCGCTGGTCGCCCATCCAAAGCGTGGAGAAGATCCTCATCTCGGTCATGAGCATGCTCGCCGAGCCGAACGATGAGAGTCCTGCCAATGTTGAGGCAGCCAAGATGTGGCGCGAGCGACGATCCGAATACGAGCAGAAGGTGCGGGATGAAGTCCGCAAGGGACTGGGACTCTAAATACCAGACCGGAAGGTGCTGGTTAAAGACTAAGGACACGCTTTGATGATTGGCGTCAGGACATGATTTCTTGAGTTTTGCATGGGCTTGGCCGGTGATGGCTTGTACAGCTTGTATGTGTATCTAACATTCGGAAAAGAGAACTCTTGCGATTTCCTTGATAGGCTGCATTCGCTCGATGCTTGCTGGTTATTCTTTGAACGTCCCTTTAAACTCTATGATATACACGCTGAAGCTTTACCAATACGTCGACGTACATCTCTCGCCCGTATCAATGCTGCAAAGGGAAATCACGTCTGCCTAAACAGCTTGTGATCAATCCACGTCTCAAGGCCTCCGTCCTGCTCGTACAGCATCTCAATCTCCGCTTTGACATTCAACAGTAGCATGCGCTGCAATTCCACCCTCCATTCGGGCTCCGGTCCATTGCTCGACCACACCGGGCTATTGCGAAGCATGGCAATGATTTTTGTGCGGTCTCTGGCAGTCAAAAACAGGAGATCATTAGCGCCGGAGGATTCTGATGCTAATATGGCATCCGTTATCCTCAGACCTAGCCATTGCAGGCCTGGAATGCCGAGTCTTGCGTTCTCGTGGAGATGTGCCAGTGACCCATACTTGTATGTTGACATGATGGCTATCCCGTGAGGGTCGCCATCGACTAGGGCATAAAATCTAGGTGCTCTGTGCTTGCTGTTGGAAGCAACGTCAAAGAGTCGGTGTACAAACTTGCGAGTGGAAATATCGGGATATCCTTTGCCCTGCCGGTCCAAGTTATCAGCTGGTCTTCCAGGCAATGCAATGATGACTGATCTTACAGTTATGAGAATACCGTCGCCCATGATGGCACGTGTGTGGTAGCTGCTCCTGACCAATCGGTGGAAGATTGCCTGTCATTGGATTGGAAATGAGTCAACATTCGCAGGACAGGGCCAGTCTGTTGCAGTTGGAGATACGTACGTCCTTCTCGATAATGAAAACCCACCGAGCGCCGGAGATATCAATTTCGTCGCTGTCCTGGATACGAGGGACCATGGTGTCCTGATTATATCAGATCTGCCGTTCAAAGATAGTATTTAGGAAGCAAGGAAGCCGATAACTTACTTCAGTGATTTGTGCGTCTACAATAACGGTGGAATCACGTTTGAGACGGAAACACCCTGCAACCAATCCCTTGCCGGCTGCCTCCTACATTTCACTCGCTCTCAGCTTCTCCTCTTTCACATCAAGGCAATATCAATAGGGAGAAAGCCTACAACATTCAACGCCGTTCGATCGACACCAATTGTATAGGCAAGTTCATCAACAACACAGTTTACTGTCTGCTGTGATCGGAAATATGCTGGGTCGATGTAAAAAATGTCTCTAGTATTAGAGGATCGGAATGAGCTGAGCGCTCCTTTCGCATCGAAATTGAGTAATGCGACTCGCCTTTTGGAAATCAACTGGCCTGTCCGCAGGGCATGGTCAACGACACCCAGAAATCGGATGATCACCGCTGAACATCATGGCTTATTAGCATATCCATGATCAACCAAGGTTGGAATCTGAGTTTCAATGGAGGACAAGCTCATACTGAACTTCCATGATTCGTATGCTGTGCTGCCCGGCCAAGAATATGAGCGGTATGTCTCTTCATTGCGGCACCCCTCAAGGGCCCTGTTGGTTGTGTTGATCACACATGTCGCTGAATTTGGTCGGCAACGGAGCGTGATGGACGGTCGTCCTTCGGACGAGGACAGAGAAATCTGGTCAAGGAGTGACATGAGCAACCTGTCGATATAGCCGCGCACCAAAGCCTGGTTCTCGCCTTCAGCCACAGTGGGTGGAAGAGCAGCGGTGTTCAGAGCCATTGGTAAATCACATACTATGGAGGCGGGTTGGGCTTGGAAGCCGATGCTGTCGTTGATGCTGAGGAACGTGACGTGACAACGTGACTCTCGCAAAGCATTACTGCGTGGCTGCGACTTACGCCTGTTCTGCGAAACACACCGAGGGAACCACCTTTTGTATTGTAAATTTTATTTATATCCTGCGACGAAATCCCACGGATTGCAGGCTACCTCGCTTTGGCTATACTTAGAATGTCTAGCGCCAACAATATGCTCTGCATATCTTCATATTTTAGGGGTCCGGCGTCGTTTCACATGCAACTACTGTTTATGGTCTTGCTCGTTTGCATTGGCTCTAGTGGGATAAAGTGTGAACGAAACTTGGAACCGCCTGCGGGCCCACCATGGCAATAACTATAAAGGGGTTACTACAATTGCGATCAGGTCAGCCCTGAACGCTTCGTAGCAGATACCCCTGCATGCCTAAATTTGGAACTAGGCAGCTCTCTGGCGATTTTCCGAATAAATGTGTGTTCACACAGTTCGGATATTTCCTAGACAGACGGGCAAGGCGTCGTCGCTGCTCATCCCACGTAGGAGAATTTCACAAACGAGGAGCCACCGGACAACCAGAGTCATTTTCGTCAAGATATTTGAGCTTTACTTGCCACTAATGCCATCAATTGACACTATTGCCTTCTTTCTTTTTCCATTAAACCACCACGATCAATCACATGGACCAATTTTGTGTTCTTGGTTGTACACTGCAGTCTTGAGACTGCTGACTCAGCTACCCCGGGCGCCCAAAGATGTTTATCCGCTCTATCGCCAATCGATAGGTGCCTGCTTTCAACATCTTCAAGCTCTCAATTGGACGGAGTCGACCAAATCATGGCTTCACACATTGGTCCATGGAGGACTTCTGCTCAGGGCCACCTATCGCCCGACACCAATGGCGACTCCAAGACTGACTACACACGCTGGCGATTGGTTAATGAGGAAGGTCGCCAGACTTGGCGGTATCTGGAATCCGAGGAAGAGAACCAGGCCTGGCCGCAGACAGTTGCAGACAAGTACCATCTTGGACTACCAACGGTACGGTGTCAGATTAATCTCTCCACTCTTCAGGTCTAACGTTGCCCTCTAGGGTCTCCCCGAACTCTCAGAGGCCAAAACACCTCTCCAAGCCGCCGAGAACGGCCTATCTTTCTTCTCGCACTTGCAACTTGAGCCGGGTAACTGGGCTTGCGAATATGGGGGGCCTATGTTCCTACTGCCAGGGTTATTAATCACCTGGTATGTCACCAATACTCCTATTCCCCCGGAGTACGCGACGGAGATCAAGCGCTATCTGTTTGCCCGCCAACACCCGGAGGATGGCGGCTGGGGCCTGCACATTGAAGCCCATAGCTCTGTTTTCGGCACTGCCATGAACTACGTGGCTCTGCGTCTGGTCGGTGTTAGCGAGGATGACGCTCGTATGGTGAAGGCGCGAGGACTGCTCCACAAGTTCGGAGGTGCTATCTATGGCCCTCACTGGGCAAAGGCATGGCTCAGCATTCTAGGCGTGATGGAATGGGAGGGTGTCAACCCTGTTCCCCCTGAGATCTGGTATGTATCTCGCTGAATCAGTTCCGTTATATCGTCTGACTGCTCGACCAGGCTTCTACCCGACTGGGTGCCTTTTGCTCCTTGGCGATGGTGGATCCATATTCGCCAAGTGTTCTTGCCTCTCTCCTACATCTGGTCCAAGAAGTGGTCTCACCCTCTCAATGATTTCACGAAACAGCTCCGTGAAGAGCTGTACACACAGCCATATGACTCGATCAACTTCGCCGCACACCGCAACTCCATTCATCCCGCCGACAACTACTATCCTAAGACCTGGATCTTGAACGGCATCAACGAACTTCTGGTTCGTGTTTGGAATCCCTTCCTTCGCCTTGGTGCTATTACTAGGCGTGCTGAAGATTGGACATGGGAGTTGATCCGCATGGAAGACGAAAACACTGACTACGCGGGGCTGGGACCCGTCAACAACCCGCTCAACATGGTTGCTTGCTATATCCACGATGGCCCAGACAGCTACTCAGTTCGTCGACACCGAGAGCGGTTGAATGACTACATGTGGATGAAAAATGAAGGCATGTTGGCGAACGGTACCAATGGTGTTCAGGTCTGGGATACAACTTTTGTCACGCAAGCGGTTTCGGTGGCTGGATTTGCCGATGACCCCAAGTGGCGGCCCATGTTGACCAAGGCTCTGGAGTTCATTGACGACCATCAACTGCGGGAGAACGTGCCCGATCAAGAGAAATGTTATCGCCAGCACCGCAAGGGCGCCTGGCCTTTCAGCACCAAGACCCAGGGATACACTGTTAGCGATTGCACTGCCGAGGGTCTGCGGTCCACTATCCAGCTCCAGGAGATGCACAACTTCCCCAAGCTGATCTCAGTGGAACGCCTGAAGGATAGTGTGGACTGCCTGCTCTTGATGCAGAACCCAACTGGTGGCTTCACTGAATACGAGACCACTCGTGCCTCGCCCAAGGTTGAGTGGCTGAATGCCGCCGAGGTATTCGGCGGTATCATGATCGGATATGATTACCCCGAGTGCACTACCGCCTCCGTGACTGCGCTGTCGCTCTTCAGCAAGTTCTACCCCGACTACCGCGCCGACGAAATCCGTGCTACCAAACAGAAGGCCGTGGCCTACATCAAGCGTGCTCAGCGCACGGATGGAAGCTGGTACGGCTCTTGGGGTATTTGCTTCACGTACGCCGCCATGTTCGCACTGGAGAGCTTAGCCAGCGTTGGCGAGACCTATGAGACTAGCGAGAACTCTCGTCGAGGTTGTGAGTTCCTAATCTCCAAGCAACAGGCCGATGGTGGCTGGGGCGAGTCATACCTTAGCAGCGAAAAGCATGTTTATGTTCAGCATGAGAAGTCCCAGGTGGTCCAAACTGCTTGGGCCTGCCTGGCGCTTCTGGAAGCCCAGTATCCCCACAAGGAGCCTCTCGAGCGTGGCATGAAGCTGCTCATGGCGCGCCAGCAGCGTAACGGCGAGTGGCTGCAGGAGTCAATTGAGGGTGTATTTAATCAGTCGTGGTATGTTCACTTCCCTCTGCTTCCCTCAAAAACTAAAACTGAACTCTTCTTAGTATGATTTCTTACCCCAACTACAAGTTCTACTGGCCGATCCGTGCCCTTGGCTTGTACAGCAAAAAGTTCGGCAACACTGAGCTGCAGTGAAATCTTTAGATTATCCTGCAGCAACCCCATGTACTTATCATACCATTAATCAATAATAATAAGTGGACCACCGAAGCCCGCTCTAAAAAAACTGAGATTTGTTTGTCTAGCCCATTTCTTCCAGTGCCAGGCTGCGGCGCTTGGCATGTTATGTAATCGCGGCGGAGCTCCGGGCAGCTCCCTCTAGAAGTTTGTAGAACCCAGCTTGAGGCGTTGACTTTTGACTTATTGCTCACAACTCCTCTGACTCATGCTTGTCTCGGAACCCCAGACAATAAGGAGAACTCTCTGAAGCTTCTTTGGTCTATCGCTATTCCCATTCCCTGCTATCACCAATCTTCCTGGGAGCTTGCACCTGCCTATGTATAGCGCCAACAATTGACCTTCCGCTCCTTCCTCCCCCACGTCCTCCTGTCCTCCGCCCCACCCCAAAACCCCAGGTCAGCCATACTCGCTCACATCAGCGTCATGAACGCCGCCTCGGAGGGTGACAAGGCCCTCGCCGCATCCAACGCGCCTCTTGCCATCCAACACTATACCCGTGCCTTGGTCGAGCTACCCCGCGCCCCGGCCTACTACATTCAGCGCGCAATGGCCCATTCCCGAGTAAAGCCAGCAGACGGCGGGCCAAACCCTAGCGCTGCACTCCGAGATGCCGAGATTGCACTCTCACTGGCCCGCGAGCGCGGTAAGCGCGAGCTCATACTGTCAGCGCAGATGCGCCGCGGAGTGGCTCTGTTCCAGCTCGAACGCTACGGAGATGCTAAGTTCCTCTTCGAGCTTATTGAATCGAAGACCGCTAGCGACAAGGGATCACAAAACAAATCGGAAGGAGTGAAAGCTGCCATGTCTGAGGCTGGATCTACGAACAAGAAGAATGGATATGGAGCCGAACTGCCCATCTGGATGGCCAAGGTTCGCCGGAAGCTAGGCGAGCTGGCTGAGGGAAATGAGAAGGGTCTGGTTTCTGTGACTGAATATCCTGCCGATACTCGTATCCCGACCGAGAAGGAGCTGAAAGCTGAATGGGAGAATCTCAAGTCGGGCAAGGCGGGCGGTGCAGGAGACAAAACAGTGCAAGAGACGGACCAGCAGGCTTCATCGAGATCAAATGTGCCCCTTGAACAAGATAACGCTGAAACTGGGGCAGTACCAGTGGCCGCAGCCACCCCAGCTGCTCCGCAAAAGGTCCGCCATGAGTGGTACCAGTCTCATGACTCTGTTGTGGTGACCCTTTACGTCAAGGGGATTTCCAAGGACGACGTTGACGTTGACTTGAAGGATGATTCGGTACGTCATATTCTCCCTCTTGTCGAAACTTTATCAGAATACTGACGATACTGCACTAGGTGTCACTGCAATTCCCTCTTCCCTCCGGCTCCGGCTATGACTTCACCCTCGATCCCCTCTACGCTACTATCGACCCACTCACATCCAAAGTGTCTGTCATGGGCACCAAAATCGAACTGGTTCTGCAGAAAAAGACGCCGGGTCAAAAGTGGAGCGCCCTTGAAGGGTCAGGATCTAACACTACAAAACTTTCCGATCGTCCTGCTGCACCGCCAGCGCCAGCCAGCTCTGGGCCGGCATACCCGACCTCTTCACGGCATGGCGCGAAGGACTGGGACAGAGTTGCATCGTCGCTGACTGCTAAGAAACCCAAAGACAAGAAGAGTGGAAACCAGGAGGACGGCAGCGAAGACGTCTCTGATGCGGAATCCGTGGACTCAGAGTATGGCGGTGATGCCGTGGATGGGTTTTTCAAAAAGCTGTATGCGGGCGCTGACCCCGATACGCGCCGAGCTATGATGAAGAGCTACGTTGAAAGTCAGGGCACCTCTCTGAGCACGAACTGGTCGGAGGTTGGGAACAAGAAGATGGAGCCACACCCTCCAAGCTGATTGGGTTCGCGACCACCTACTCTCCTTGCTATTTTATGACGAACTCGCTCTCATGAACCCCACGCATCTAGCAAAAGGTGTTCACTGCAAAATTTGTTACCCATTGAAATACAATTTCATGTTGCATTAACTGCCTCCCCCTCTCTTTGTGCCAGTTCTTCTCGTAGCCATCCCGTATTTTCTTTCCATGCTGTCTTACAAACATAGTTTGATTCGGCTGGTTCATTACCCTATGATCTCTAGGCACCGAATCACACCATGGACGTGGCTTTCTCGAGAGAAGGTATCAAGTCGTTTGTGCTCATGGAAATTTTAGCGCAGATCACCGATACCTTTTGAGTCGTTTCTTGTTCATTGTTCCAGCATAACCACGCGCCGCCCCCTTCACGATACGATATCATCCGACTCGATGAACCTTCTCAAGATTCTATTCATTTCAGCATTGCTCAAGTTCACCCTAGTGTTCGGGCAAGAGGCACTTGGATCAGTCCAAAGGATCGGCCTGGGATATGACAAGTTCTCATTGACACATGGTCTTCTAATCACTATTCGGGATGAAAACAGACGAAATTTATTTTCAGAGAAATCTGCAGAAAGATGCTTCACTCAAGTGCAGCAAAGCCTTGTCTCAACATTTCAGAATTAATAGCGACCTGGATGACTGTCGAGAGGTAGGAGAGACCAACTTACTTCTTTCAACACACTAGGGATCGAACAAAATCCTCTGCAGCACCGTTTGTGTGAAGCTCCTCAAAGTAGCACAGCAGGTGATTCACTCTGTTTCATTATTCTACCAAGGCTCAAGAGAGTATAACATGGTATAATATTAATACAGCTGCCAAATGCCATGGTTGAGGCATGGGATGCAATATTGGAGCCGCGTATGCTATGTCATAAGAGTGTTCGCACGCGAAAACTTTACAATATCAATTGTGTGTATGTAGATTGTTTCATGACATATCTAAAGTTCTGGGTTTTCTCTCATGTGTGAACGCCACTTAGGCTATCAAATCAGCCCTTTGGACTGTGGCGGGGTGTGGAGTCTATGCGCCAGTCTTTTACTGCAGTGCCTGCTGCCAACCACCGAAGGAGTAACAATCTCACCGTGAGCGTAATGGGCTCAACCCGGCTGTGGAGTTGCGGGAACTAGTTCCTCCCATGCGCCAATCACACTCTAGGCGATCTTCAAGTGCCATTAATATACATAAGCAACCGTCTTGATTCAAGTGACAGTTCGTAGTGTTTGCCCATGATTGCCCTGGATCTGGGGTAGCTGACACGAAGGTTCCGGGGAAATGTAACTACCCGAATTTGTGGACACTGTTTCGAAGCTAGACTTCCATTTCCATGATCCAAGACATAATTTAGGCTCAGGCTAACCAACAATGTCCACCCACTGTGTGGTCCCTAGATGGTGGGGCTCCATCAAATAAGCTCGTCCGGCCTACTTAACTTCAGTTGACCCAATTTGTTACCTAATGGGTCCGATCCGTTGGGGTTATTTGGAGTATCTGTGGTAACTTTTATTACGCGACAATATCCTTATTATGCACACTTTTTCTATAGACGCCTACGCGTCCGGTCAATTTTACCTAAAGGTTTCGGGTGGCAGACCGGAGGTGTATCACTATTTTATGGTGGGTGATTGCCTATAGATTTGAGCGGGCAGATATTTTGACACAACCCTCTATACCAGCACAACCGAATTGCAAAAAGTAATCGACCACTCTCTTAACAATGGTTCGCAACATCCACATTGCAGTCCTCGATGTCGACATCCCAGCACGCCGGCTTTACGAGGCACGGGGCCTTTGTAGTGCTCACTTCCGCGACATCCTTCGAGAGACGGCTGCACACTTGAACAAAACCAGCCCAGCCCTAAATGACTCCATCGAGATTACTGTCACCCCATATGATATTCGAGGCGGCCACTATCCTGACTTTCACTTGCTGCGCGGCGGTGCAACTCACGAACAATTCCCTGTGCGCAGCCCCATTGACGCAGTTTTGATCACTGGGGGCGCGCCAGGAGTGTATGAAATGCCCGAGTCCCCGTGGATGCAACTTTTGGAAAAGTTCATCAAGACCATGTACAGCTACTACCCTGAGGTCCGCCTCATGGGCACCTGCTTTGGCCACCAGCTCATCTCCCACGCTTTGGTCCGCATTCCTGACGACCCTATCCGAGACGTCTACGTCGAGAAATGCCCGCTGGGCCGCGAAGTGGGTATCTACACCGTGCAACTAGAGGACTCCTTCATCCAACACTTTCCCTCGGCGCTTGGCCATCTCCCTCAGGGCCAACTTCGCATCCAGATGTTCCACGGCGACCGCGTAATGGCGGTGGAAACGGGACAGACGGTGACGCTCTGTGACACGCCGCCAGTCTCCCTCCCTGCCCCATGGATCAATATTGGAAGCACACCCATTTGCCCTATCCAAGGGCTGTACAACCCCGGTAGGGTATTGACTGTGCAAGGGCATTACGAGATGGATGCCTTTGCAACCCAGAAGATGTGTGTGGAAAATGCGCCGATCATGGGATGGAAGGAGTCGAAATTGGCGCTGTTCCTGGAGCAAGTTGGACCAGACACGAAGGAGCGACGGGATGACGCGCGGGCATTTGCGACTGCGGTTCTGTCTTTTCTGGCTGATCTTGAGCAATGACTCTACGGACGAGGCCCTTTCTTCAATGGCATGATCATGAATCTATCATTGCAGCGCTGTCTTCCTCATTGTTATTTCTTTCATTATATGTCCATAAGCGTACTCATTCATCTTCATCATCTAGATCCTTCATGTCCCGATACAGGAAAAACTGCACAAAGATCGCCATATCCAACAGCAACGTTCCCAAGCTGCCTATAATCCAGGACAGATTCACCAACACATACCGTCCGTACAATTCTGCTGTCTCGCCAGGGCGACATTGTGGACGATGGCGGTGTGAGAACGCGTTGGAGCGGTTCGTAGTGGATACTGTCCCCTGGCAAATGGGCGAGTATGCCATAATAGAGAGAACATAAGTCAAGTTGCCGATGCAGGCAAACAGGAAAAATAACAAGGAGACTCCATCGGTCGACTTGCGGCGGTAGTTGAGTAGTAGCTGGGGGAGTCGAGAGCCCAGATAGAAAACAGCACACAGATATCCAAAGAACTGGCCCAAAGGGTCCATAGTGAGAGGTTCGGGGGCCGACTGCGATTGCGATTTCTTTGGTCCGGGAGTGATGTACCAGCCTAGAATACCGGCAGCACAGACGAGAAGGATGGCTGTAGCGTTGAAGAGAATACTTTGGACCGCAGAGATACGACGGCGACGCCGTTGAGCACGAGCGCTATCTACATCGGGATCAATGAATGGAGTCGCTGGAGACAGGTGGGTTCCATCCACATGGGTGTGCAGGATGTCTTTGAATGAAGAGACAGAGTGCCGTCGTCCCTGGGCCGATGAAGATGACTGTGATCGGGCACGATCCCGGGAGTGCTGTCCGTGGATTTCACCACCAGCCGGCTCTTGGATGTGAACATGACCATTGGGCTTGGGTATCAAAGCCGAGCGTTCGGTCGGTGCTGCGGTAACCTCGGGTCGATTGCCTTCACTGTCCAGCGCACCAGTCGCAACCGGGTCAGATTCTAGGGTCGGTGAGGAAGAAAATTCATCTCGGATGTTGAACCCCCGATAGTAGAAGCACTGGCCCAGAAGCACGATGTCTGCCAGAGTGTAGTACACAGCCAAAATGACCATCGTGGGCAGAACGCCCTGGAGGACGGCGCCAAGGATATTGAAGACATCCCCCGCTAGCCAGACGATGAGGAAGAGGAGGGACAATCCATCAGCAGAGCCGCGGCGAAAGTTCTCAATAATCTGCGGCGAGAAGACAACAACCCAGCAGGCAATTGAGATCGAGCTAGAGATGATTTTAGCAGTTGGACGCGACCCCGGTGTATGTGCGGGGATGTGAGAGGTCGCCGGGTTCGACAGTCTATGGCGGGTACATGCAGGACGCATTATGCACAATTACCAAAGAGAGCCGCCCGAAAAACTCAAGATTGTGGCATTCAAAGCATCACTTACCCACAGATACCACTCAAGGCCTCAATGTCGAGATTAGCCGCCTGCGAGGGGAACATGTTGTGCCGGCGGAAAAGTAGGATTCACTTCAGATGCCAGCCGCGGGCAATTGGCAGTTGGAATGAACAGCGGAAGATGGCCGCAATAAACTATATATTGAGGCAAGAATCCCACCCCAGCACACGCCAAACCAGAGCAACTGTGATGAAGAGAAAAAAGTTGGAGTTATCCGCGGGTCCAATCCAGTGGATGACGTCGGGTCAGTCACGTGGGTCTACTATGTGACTTTGTCGTCCCAATCCGTGTTGTAGATGCCGCTACCGTGAGAATCCTACCTACTAAGGTTGTCCTCGGACCTTTTTAGTCAATGTGTATCGTCATCCTAATGAGTAGCGACTTCCGAAACTACACTCGACTGGCTGCAAAGTCAAATCTATATAGCCGGGAGTCCAAGTCGATTCGATCCAAAAATATCTGAGGATGGTGGTTCATATCACCTATCTATGGCTGTCGAATGTTATGACTAAGGGGCAGCATTCATCAATTGCTCCAATCTGTCCTGGAAGTCGCAGAAGATATTGATAGCCTTTTCTTGTCAGCAAGATCTCTTTCTGTTAAGTATGTTAGTACATACCTCAGTCAGCTTGGTTTGGCTAGCACCACCTCTGTCTCGGGCAAATGTAATCTGATACCTTCCGTGATCATTGATATACGAAACACCCGGCGCCGGAACAGGCTCCGTGGGCGCAGAATCAAATAAGGATTTGACATTAGGGGACTTGGTCTGAGCCAATAGAGCCAGTAGAAGGGGTGGAATGGTAATATGATCCACTCCAGCGAGCATGAGAATTTCATCCGTGGATGTTAAACTCGCAGGCAGAACTTTGGTCGAGGCTTGAATGGATTTGTAGTAGTGCTGAATGGCGATGCAGAGGGGTAACAGCTTCTGTTCGTCCACCAAACTGCGACCAAATTTTAGTTTGGTTGTAAGATTGAGGAATATTTTCATAGTTTGACATGACTACTAACCCTGCATTGAAATGGACCTTCAGTTCATTCACATACGGGGCCACATACGTGCAGCCCACTTCTGCTGCAAGCACTGCCTGAGACATGCTGAAGAGAGTCGTGGCAAGGGTACGCACACCCGCCAGTTCAAGCGTACGACAGGCCATCATGCCCTCCCAGGTACTCGGGATCTTGATTGCAATCCGGGCTACATCGAACCCAGGCTGGACATGCTGGAACAGCTGCACGATTCCTATTGGACAGATGTTAATCCTTCCTACCACTCTTTGTTCGGGAGAGAGAAGTAGGTGGACCTACGGAGGGCGTTGATGATGGTCTTCTCTGATGAGTAGGAATAGTACGGGTTGGTCTGCACATGGACGAGCCCGCGAATCTGCTGTGCCATACCAACGGCCAGGCGTACCATCTGTTGTTCGGTATCCGTTAATAGAATCTCTAGCATGTACGGTAGGGTCGCAACGCTCACTGCAATCTCCACAGCTAGCTCTTCGATGCTGATAGAGGAGTATTTGGGATTCAAGGCCTTTGCATCAGCCTTGGATAATGCGACAACTTCTGCCCGTGCGGGCTTGGAGAGCTCGCCAAATGCGATGGCCTGTAGGTATCGAGTCAGGCTTGTGTATGAAGTGACAATCTACCTTGTTCGTAGATATGCCCACCTGGTTAGACGTACAATCCTGGAAAGGGCCGAGAGATTTGGCGACTATGCATCATCAGCTGGATATGGCGGGTATGAGGCTTGCGTGTTGGGTGATGCATACCCTCGTCATTCATGGTATCACAGTCCACGATCGTGCGCGAACGCAGGTAATCAAGACCAGTTTGAACCGCCATGGTGATAAACACAGAGGAAGAAAAATTGTCCAAGAAGGTAGAACTCAAGAGGCCTCGGTAAACCACAGGTTGTGAGAGGGTGAAAAAACAAGAAGTAGTGAGATTGTACAGCGCAACAGCCCACCTTTTCCCCGGCACTCGGTGGGCGGGGGACCCAAACGGGGTAAGGTTCCCCGCGATTCCCATGAGCCCCCGTCGATGTGGAGAGTGGCGAGACTCATTCTGAACTGGACCGGAAATGGGCCGATGAAATACAGATTATATCATGTTTGCTCCATTCGCCGATCCCTGCATCCGGACTGATATATCTAAAAATTCTTGGAAAGGGGTTGAAGGAGGAGAGATGGACATCTCCGAAGTCCAATTGGAAGTGTGGGGGCTCATTGGGCCTAAATGCTTATGGGGAAATCATTGTGCCTTCAATCAATTCTTGTGCAATATGAGTGTCCTATACTATCGACCAATTTGAACGCCCAGCGATGCATGTCTGAAGAACCACCCGAGATAACGGCGAAAAAAATAACAAGAGGCTTTTTAGAGTGGCGCGAGCATCTATTGGGCCTGCTTGGCCAGCCAGGCCTCATGCACCTTCTTCTGTCGCTCCCAGTCCTTACGGAGCTTCTTTGCGCGGCTCTTAGTGAGCTCCTCGCCAGCAGCATCACGCGTGGGAAGACCTTCGTCATCCCAGGCGCTGTACTCGTTGGTCCGGAACATCTCAAGGTGGCTGAGTTTACCCTTCTCCAATTGCTTCAAAGCCTCCTGTTCCCGCTTTTGCTTCTCCAGCTGCTTTTGGCGGGCACGGGCTTCTTTCTCCTCCCGTGCCTGGATCATCTCACGGGTCACGGGGCGGACAAGTGCAGGGAGGTTATCGCGGTCCTCCAGGTAGATACCCAGATCGAACAGGTCGATATCTCGCACACGATCACAGAGAGTGAGGATTTCCTTGCCAGCCGAGTCAGATGACTTCAAGGAGATAACCTTGGTCCGGAAGTTAGACAGGACTTCGGCATAGGGCTTGGCTGATTCAGAAGCCTCGGATGGGGAAGCTTCCTTGGTCGCCTCTTCAATTTGCTGCGAGGAGATCCCCTCCTTGGAGAGGGCTGCTTGACGGATAGTGTCACGCATGGTAGACAGAGGGTAAAGGAAAGGTTTGGCCTCCTCAGGAACGTCAATGCCCGACCAACCAATGTCAGTGCTATCGGCGGGAGTAGCCCCGTTGAGACCAAATATGTTGACAAGTGAGGTCACCCACCGGGCGGCAGCCTCGACATCCTTGGGGCTCAGGATGGCCTTATCGGCACTATTGTACTTTGTAATGAGTTCCGAAATGGTTTGCATGGCACCTGCTGTGTTAAAGGAGTCGCACAGGTGCTTATGCACAGCCGTTTTGGCGGCCTCCAGATCAGCACCGAAGGTAGAGTCGGTGGCCGAACCCTGAAGAGCCGGATCTTTCACCTTGAGGAAGAAATTGTTGACTTTGTCCTCCCAGGAGTTGCCGGCGCTAACCAGCTCATCTGTAATCTCAATGCCTTCCTTCCAGCCTCCCAGAAGGAAGACGATGCGCAGACTCCGCGGGGTCCAATCTTTCCGGTCAAGAGCTTCCCGGATGGTGGTGAAGTTCTTCAAAGACTTGGACATCTTGGAGCCCTGAATAGACAGATGACCCATGTGCAAGAAATAATTGACCCACTGCTCATGGTTGTGCTTATCGTCCCAGTATGCCTCACTCTGGGCCAGCTCGTTATCGTGGTGCGGGAAGGCAAGATCAATACCACCAGAATGGATATCCATCCGGTTACCCAGCCGGGCTGAAGCCATGGCTGAGCACTCAATGTGCCATCCGGGACGACCCTTGCCCCAAGCGCTGTCCCAGCTGGGCTCTCCGGGCTTGGATGACTTCCAGAGAGCGAAATCGGAAGCGCTGCGCTTCTCTGTTGTCTTGTTGATCAAGGAACCTTCGCCCTCGGCGGCTAATTTGTTGTCAGATCGGCTCCAGGGTTCAAGACGGGCATACGGGTGACCAGCCGCCTCAAAGGCATTGATATCGAAGTACACAGAGCCATCATTCGTTGCGTAGCCGTAATTATTTTTGACAATACGCTCGACGAAATCCGCAATCTCAGCACCATACTCCGTCACGCGAGTTAGCTCATCGGGATCAAGGACGTTCAGGTCCCGCATATCCTTCATGAATCGCTCCTCGTATTTCTTCGTCAACTTTGTGAAGATGCTGTGGTCATCGGCGTCGATTGAGGAACCTTTCAGAGCATCAAGATAGGGTAGAAGAACATCCTGTGCGTTGGTGTAGAAAGACTCCGCAAACAAAGACGCGTCTCCAGCAGTGCCGCTCTCTGCTTTATTCAAGACTGCGGCAGCTGATGCCACAGTCTTGATGTGCATCTTGACCTTTGCCTCGTCATCACCGGCTTTCTCGTTGCCGGGAAGAGCACCGCCGCTCAGCACTGTGGCGTAAGCCTTCTCCACCTCCTTCTGGGATTGCGCCGGGGGCAACTCGGGGTCTAGTAACGACAGATTCTTCTTGAGGTATGCGGTATAAGCTTTCCTGGCCGTATCCAAGACCTCCGGGGTAATTGTGGGGTTCACAGCGACGTATTCGTTGAAAAGATGCTGTTGTCTGGCGCGCAAAATGATCTGTGGATGGTATGAGTCATTGCGCTCGAGTCGCCTCTAGTTCAGAGGCGAAGAATCTTTGCCATACCTTATCATCCACATCTGTAATGTTCATCACAAATTTGACCTCGAACTTGAAGTAGTCGCGCAGGATGCGCCGAATAATATCGGTGCTGACATAGTTCCGCGCGTGTCCCAAATGCGAATCGTCATAGACTGTCGGTCCGCACACGTACCAAGAAACCTTCTTTCCAGCTTGATCGATCGGAACGAAAGGCGTCTTAGACTTGGTCAATGAGTTCCATACCTGCAACGGCGGGAGCTCTACTCCCGCCTGGGATGGAGGTTGCCGCCATGGCGGCTGTTGACGAGACGACATGGGCCTGGCAGAGAGAATTGACACGTACACAGAGGACAGGGGCCGCGGCTTAGGCAGGAGAAACGAGCGAAGGAGGAGGGGCATAAAGAGAGCGGACGCAACCAAGAGGGGCACTCAATGGAAGACACGATCGAGTCATCGCCGCTGTCCGCCGTTTTGATTGGCCTGATTGGCCCCTGCGCAGACTCTTGAGAAGCCCTGAGCCCTAATCTCCTGAATAGGCAATGCGGCCCAACTTTTTGTCCGCGCAAAGCAACGGCGACCTCCAAAGACATTCGGGCCAGAGCAGCGCGGCTGACATTGTAAGAACGGAGCTCGAATAGCTTCTGGCTGCAGTTATCCAGCTCGTCCACCATGCCGTCCCCTTTCTTGACCCCCGGGCCCATTGCGCAGGCCAATGATGTCGCGCTCTTGCACCTACGCCGCGACCAGACCATTCCGACGATCCTCCGTGACTATGACGATGAGAACCAGGGCTACAAGGAGGGCAAGGTCTCCAATACTCGTTTTGGCTCGTTCCCGCACAGTACCCTGATCGACCAACCTTGGGGCTCTCAAATCGTCGCCTCCAAGGTCGACACCGGCTCACGGGGCCGCAAAGGCCTCGCTGGCAAGCGCAAAGCTGACGAGATCGAAGCATCGCCCACAACAACAGGCGCTGAGGAAGACAGTTCCTCTTTGAAAAAGCCGGTCGCCGCCACAAGTGGTTTCCTCCACTTGATGTACCCAACCCCCGAATCTTGGACATTGTCCCTCCCGCACCGAACCCAGGTCGTCTATACCCCAGACTACAGCTATGTTCTTCACCGGCTCCGCGCGCGTCCTGGAGGCACCGTCATCGAAGCTGGAGCAGGCAGTGGCTCATTCACTCATGCGGCGGTTCGTGCTGTCTTCAGTGGATATCCCAACGAAGAGTCCGTCGCCAAGAAGCCGAGGATAGGAAAGGTGTGCAGTTTCGAGTTTCACGAGCAGAGGGCGGGTCGAGTAAAGGAGGAGATTACACAGCATGGTCTAGATGGGTTAGTACAGGTCACGCACCGTGACGTCTATGAGGATGGCTTTTTGCTGGGCGACCCCAAGACTGGCCGGTCACCCAAGGCGACCGCCATCTTCCTGGACCTGCCTGCTCCATGGCTTGCCTTGAAGCACCTTGTCCGCAAACCCGCTTCTGGTGCAGAGTCTCCTCTCGACCCATCATCCACCGCCCACCTGTGCACTTTCTCCCCTTGCCTCGAGCAAGTCGAGCGCACGATTCGCGTCATGCGCCAGCTGGGGTGGCTAAACATTTCCATGGTCGAAGTCAACCACAACCGGATTGACGTGAAGCGAGAACGCATCGGACTAGATTGCGAGGGGATTCGCGGATCAACGGTGTTCCCGAGATCCGTGGATGAGGCACTGGCCAAGCTCCGAACTGACGATGAACGCGCCAAGAAGATCAGACAGGGCCATGTTGACGGCATTCAAGGCGATACATCGTTCCAAGAAGAGACTGCCAGAATCCCAAAGGAACAATCCGGGCCCACGTATAGCTTGGGCCGCCTGGTACATCGGTCAGAGTCGGAGATCAAGACGCATACTTCCTACTTGGTCTTTGCCATTCTTCCGCGAGACTGGTCCGAAGAGGATGAACAGAAATGCCGGCAAAAATGGCCCTCTTCCAAGTTGGAGGCTGAAGAAAAAGCGCCCAAAAAGAGCAGGAAGCAGATGAAGAAGGAGTTCAGGGAGCTTCGCCTTCAAGAACAAAAAGAAGACCAAGAGCAGCAAGCTGCGGATGTGAACACCGATGAATGAATGATGTTTGGCTTCTGTGTATCAAAACATATGCCAAGGTGTATTTTTAATAAAACAAAGTCAATTGACTAAAGCGTCTGATACTCAATCATATTACTGTACCAAGGTTAATCAGACCATGCCTCGGCTTACCTTACCAAGTTATAGGCGGACTACAATGTGTAACCGTCATTGATTAGACCGGATGGGATACAATTGATATTTGTGGTCATGGTCTCATGTGCATGCTAGCCATTGCAAGCTATAAAGGGGCTATGTTCTAAAAATTGCTCTGAAAATGAAGACAAGGGTTGTTAACAAGGTCTCAAATCATGACACACAACAGAAAGGACGGGCCTAGCAAGTAGCCAATCGCCGAGATCACAGGTTGTTCTCGACTCGGAACTTATCCCATGCCTCATTCAGGGTTCCGAACACAGCACCAGCAATCATACGCTGCTCAGTCGTGGCAGTCGTAGAGATCTAAGCAGACTCAGTTAGCAACCAACCCAGATAACACCGCGGCAAGTTGAGAGGTAAAGCATACCTTGTCAGGGTGAACCTTCGCAATACCCTTCATATATTGGATCTTGACCTTGTTTGGCAAGACCAGCTCTGACAAGTTAATCTTCTTCCAGCCCGACTCGGCCCAGAGCACACTGTCCAGACTGCCAAGCAGGGCACGTAGGTTATCCTGTTTTCCATTCCTCCATGCGGCAATTCTTCCATCAACACTCTCGGTTAGAGCAAACTTCTCCTCATCAGCACGTTCAGCGGCCTTGTTGGCCGCTCGCAGACGACTGACAGCTGCCGAATCCTGGCCAGAGGCCGCAGTGCCCGAGAGATCTGACAACGCAGAGCTCTTCTGGGGGACGGGTATTGGCCTCTTTTTGACCGGGGCTAGGGATTTCGACGGAATTTTACTGATACCAGCAGCTTTCTCGCATCTGTTCCTGCCTTGAATGCTGGTGCCTCCACCGTGACCAGATTCCACGGCTAACTTCCAGGCCTGTGCTGCGTCCACCCATCGCTCAAGCTGTTCTAGGGCTTCGGCCTTGCGCATGAGGGCTTTACCAAAAAAGTCTTTCATGGGCTTGGCAGCTTCGCCATTACCAAGGTCAATGCTCTCGTCCTCGCCCTTTGACGGCCCAATCAAACTCAAAATAGTATCGGCATCATCGATGGCACCCTTGGGTTCACCGATCTTCAGGCCGGTCATCGCTCGGTTGCTGCGAACGATGATCGTAATCGGGTGCGTTTCGGGAAGCATGCCAAGCGCAGTAGAGAAACTTTGGTGCGCAGCTGCATAGTCGCCCCGCTTGTACGCTTCTGCAGCCTTCTCGCGGTGGCGGTGAGTTGATTGCAGAGCCTCTGCAGATACGGGCGGTATGGACCGGGGCGGCGCCTTGGGGCGTACTGGGATAGTAGGAGAACGTGCTGGGGGCGGTCGGGTCTGAGGCTGGGGCCCTGGTTTCGAGGGTTGTGACGAGGGGATTGGAGAGTTAAAGAGATCGACGTTCGGCTCGGCTGCCGAAGTTGGTGCTTGAGGCCGCCTCCGCCTGGCCGGGCTGACGTATGCTTGTGTCGACTGTTCCTCCGCCGCAAATCGTGAGATGCGAGATTTGGGTTCTGTAGTGTTTGGTCGTGATGGCCGCTGGAGGAAATTGGCTTGCTGCATCTGCCGGGTGGCTGGAGATGGCTGGCGACTCGGATCGCTGCTACTGGGGGCGGCAGATTGATGCTGATCCTGCGGGCGAGCGGGCTTGCGAGGCGGTCTCAAATCCCCAGATTCCAGAAGCAGGGCCTCATTGGTGAAATCCTGGGGCTTCGCTGGGGCTGGGTCCCTTTCACCACCGCGCCGGACCGGCTGCGGAAGGAAGGGCTCGTCGCGAGGCGCGGATGCATCTCTCATCCACTTGGGCTGATTAGGGTCATGATCGGCATTGAATTCATTTACAGCTTGCTGAAACCTCTTGCTCCCTGTTTTCCAAAGAGAACCGGCGGTTTTCAACAAGTTGTTGCCAAACTGAGAGGCCACTTGAGCTGGATCCTTCTCTCCAGCCCCGGGGCTTCGACTATCCTCACGCGACCGGGGAGGTTGCGGTCTAGGCTCCCTCATCCAGGAGGGGGCATCGCGGTTGCGACTGTCACTTCGTTCCGTGCGTTCACTGGACTGGCCAGGCGCAGGAGATCGTCCTTGAGACTTCTGCCTTGACTCTTCATGCGCTTTTGTGAGAAGCCAACTAACAGCAGCCTGGATATCTATGCCTGAATCGGTAGTTTTCAAAGCCTGTCGAGACTTCTCTGCTGGGAACCCCATGTCAACCAACTCTGCGATGGCCCGATCCACTTCATTAGAAGGCATGGGAGAAGCGCTCTGGTGATCGCGATCGCGGTTGGAAGAGTCTGTTCGCTGCGGAAGCCCCTGCTGCGGAGGAATCTCGGACACTGGTTTCCCTAGCAGTCCAAGGAAGTCATCGTCGTCATCTTGAGCTTGCGGAGGAGACGGCGCAGGCTTTGGCTTCAATTGATTGAGTCCGAATGGGTCGTCATCATCGTCGCCAAATGCACCCATGCCCTCAGAATTATCCTGCATCGCAATTCCGCGACTAGGAGTCGGTTGCCGCGAATTGGCACCAATCTGGGGGGATGCGTTGGAGCTGGGAACTGGGAAGTTCGTCGATGCATCAACCGGAGCCGCAGAATTGAATGCAGCGAGGATATCGTCGTCGTCGGCCGGTGGTGATACAGATTGCGAGGCTGGAGCAGCAGCAGGGCTCTGGGTGCGGCCTTGCTCAAAGCTATCCCAGAACTGCGAATTCTGACCTCCGTATTGCGCTTCATAACGGCTGCGATCCTCCGCGGCTTTCTTCGCTTTCTCCTGCTGCAATCGCTTCTGCTGCTCTTCAAGAGACATGTTCTTGTTCGCCGCGGAGGAACTGAATGATACCAAGTTCGCAAAACTATCTCCGGTTTGCGCGGCCGGTTTAGATGGCGAATTGGACCGGTTCGAAGCTGCAGATATCGGTGTTGACCTGCCGGAGGCACCATTCGGTCGGACATTGGGGAACATGAAGCCGGCGCCCATGGGAGGAGGTTTGTTGGCAGGAGCGTTTGAGTTGGAGGACCAACTCAGCCCGTTCAGGTCATCCATGGCGGGCAAGATGATGACCTGTCGGAGAGGTGTAGGAAGGCTGCTTGACTGGGTTCGGGGTAGGGTTAGGAACCAGGAGACGACGTGTGTGTTAAGTTGTCCATGATCTCACCACGCGCAAAACAAGTAAATGAATTCAAAACGTTTGCTTGGAGAAGCTTCATTGAACTTCGCCGAGAACGCCGCCCCCTGTAAATGTGGGGATGCGGGGCACGTGATATTTCATCGCCGTTGGTTCTGTTACCGATTGCTTTTAAACCAAAAGATTGAAGCGAAAGGACAATAAGTGTGTTTGAGTATTAAGATCGCAGGATTCCAGATAGATGCTTGTGACTATATAGGTAACTATGTCTCACAGATATGCTTTAGTAATTCGCCCTTGAATGTTAGATTGACTTCGAATGTATATACTTCAACAAGTGGATGTCCACCTTCATCTCGAATTTTTCGGTAGACAACGATAGCTCAAACTTCCGTTCAAAATAAATGCGGGTAATAGAAATGGGTTGAGTTTCTTTGATCGTTCATCGGTCTCACTCAAACCTTGGTAGCAGCTGACTTTGAGCGCCATAGTCCAATCGGTGCCTTATGGGAGGGAGGCAGCCTTTAATTAAACAAGTTAGTTAACTAGTGGATAGGTCTAGACTTCTGGCCTTAAAATCATGGCCGCAATTCCAAGGTCGCAACAGAAAGTTGTCAGGAGATGAGAGTTGACGAGGGCAAGCATTGGAGCCAAATATAGTCACCAATTAGTCGTCCACGACTTCAGCCTTTCCGGAACCCAATAGGCGCGCTGACGCTGGCTGGTGATGAGAGTCGATCTGGAGATCTGGCACAAAGCCAGGGTCGTCAAGCCCTCTTGGTGGGCTTTCAAATCGATGAGCCTCTCGGCCACCAAAATATCCATGGTCTCCGAAATTCCATAATTACCCCGGTAATACAAAGATTGGACAAGTCCACCAGAGGGCTAATGATCAACTTTAACCTACATAAGAGTCAACTGCATTTCCGTATCATGTTTTTGTCTCTATGGATAGAATATATACATGTAGGTTCTACACCTATTAGGTTCTATACCTACCTACCGCGCGACCCCCCGTTAGGTATATTCTCTATTGCTTTCTGGAGATGTATTTCTTGGCAGTATTTCCATTACCGACCTTGCCTTGAATATTTGTTCAGTGATACAAAAGACGGCACCAAAGTGTCAAGATACCTTTCATCGCCCATTACGATCTAGACCACCTAGGCACAGCCTACACGTGTATGTACACTGCACCTTGTGGCCTCTGTCACAACTGTCCACAACCTTAGGAACGGAGAGAGCCAATTGCTCCAGGACAAATCAGAGCCAGTTGTCTGCCAGCACAGCACGATCATATGGGACCATACCCACCGCTTATTGAACCATTTGTTCCTGTTGAACGGTGCCAAATTAAGATAGTCGCATGTCTCAGATGCAGCAGCCCACCTCCTTGCCTGGCGACCTCCTTGACACGGGAAAGGCTCAACAGTCAATGTTGTGCCCAACCATCCCAGGAACATAATGCAAGCACGGCAACTGTGGGGTGCTTCTCGTTGTGATAGGTCGGCTGGCTCTGCATGCATAAGCAAAACGAAAGCACGGGTCCAGGTGATAAGTCGACAGATCGGGAGGGACGACCCACATGGTGAAGCCCCTAGTCGCGGATGGCGTCGATACCTCCGAGGGCTCATCCCCTCTTGGTTCCTGGGAGCTGTCGGGTCCAAGGGCTGCAGATTTTTGATGGCACATTATGATTACGGTGAGCTCATTTACGCGACAGGCCCGGAGAGGCTGGTGCATGGATATAGGTGCAATGTCCTCCGTACAGTAGTATAGGGGGTTGATGTGATGGATCATTGGCAAGCATCCTGGCCCGCATTCCGCATGTTGACCTGGAGATAGGATCAACATGGGTGTTTACAATATTCTTACCACGATAAACCGGATTGTGTACACTTGAAACCGACTAGTCGGGGGAATTCAACAATGCTTGACGCGAAAATCCCCTGCCGATTGCCGGCTATCTGGTCCGAGACAAAAGGCTAGAGCGGGACTCGTACGCATATGGGTAGGCTATGAGGGCTGGCTACCGTAATTTTGAGTTCTGGCAAACGATGCAGCTCCTAATGTGATTTTCTCCCTGAGTGCCCGCCACCGATGCACTTACAAGGAGCTGATCCTTGCTCGATCGAACGGCTCGCGATCAGTGGGTCCTTTGGATAGCTCATTGACTCGTCACCAGTCAAAATCGCGTGGGCGTCTATTGTCCAATTCCTTCTCGCTTGGCCTGCCCCGAAAACTCAAATCAGCCCAGCAATGTAGGCAGTATCTGGGAGCCTCGCGGTGTCCTGGAATTCCTGACTAGCGGTGTCATCCGTCGGTTATATGTAGGGGAGCTTGGGGCTGGGCCTGCGGCTAGAACGACTTTTTACTCTTCTTGTTTACTTCCTCGCCTCTCGCCCAATGGGCCCACCACACGCCACTTCTTTATTCTTGTCTTCTTAACCCTCTAACCGACATCGCTATCATTTGAAAGACACCTTTTCCTATACTACAAGAAACGCAATACCGAGGGGTTTTCAATGGATTTGCCTATCAGTGCTTGATACAAGTCCTATAGTAGACACAGACTACCCCCCGCTCTTGCGCTAGTTGCCCTCCGGTCAGGTTATCCTGGGATACAATCCTACAGCAAGATGCAGTGGCCATTATTTAGTACCTTGATCTTTGTGCTCCTCTGCGGAGTTACCTTTGCGGCCCCGGCAGTGGACCTTGGACGACAGAATGTTGAGGCTGTTGCGACTCTCGAGAAAAGAGCGGAACCAGTTGTAACAACAACCGCCGCAGATAATACTCCTAGCCAGACATCCACAGCTGCTACAACGAATACCAACGATGCAGCGACGACGGCCACAGCGACGGCAACGACAGCGACAAACACGACCAGTACAACCACTTCGAATACCAGCAATTCTTCCTACATCGCAACAACTATACCTTCCTTAGATGGGTCTACAGGGTCCACCAGTGCCAGCGAGAATGGAGCGAAACAAAAATACAGCGGTGGTCTGCCAATCCAACCGCAGATCACCCCAGCATTAGGTGTGGGTGGTATTATACTTCTGCTTTCGGGGGCCGCTCAGGCCATCATTGGAATTCGGAAGCAATGGTAATATGTTTCCACCTGGGCTTGCGGTCATATCGCTAATCTTGACTAGGGTGCACATTTTCCTATCCACAGCCTTCTCTGCTGCACTCGGCGTCACAGTGAGTTCTGTCTAAGGCCATGATGATCGGCGGAGGCTGACTACGCAATAGGTGTTAATTGTCTACGTGATGAATCCTCCTGTGAGCAATGCGGTACAAGGTGGATATCTGGTCGCCGTTTTCTTCACGGGAGCCGTCTTCGGAGGCTTGGCGCTTGTGTTCAGAGAAATTACTGAAGGACTAGGATGTCTTCTCGGCGGCTTCTGTATGGGCATGTGGTTCCTGACTGTCAAGCCTGGTGGGCTTGTGACCGATAGCGGAGCAAAAACCGGATTCATCATTGCATTCACGGTGGGATTCTGGTGTCTGTCTTTCAGTCACTATACGCGCTCGTATGGATTAGTTCTCTGCACCGCATTCTCAGGTGCAACAGCGCTGGTGCTCGGCATCGATTGCTACAGCCGGGCGGGCTTGAAGGAGTTCTGGCTTTATGTTTGGGGTAAGTTTAGAGTATCCCGGCCATCAACTCAGTGGGATACTCGGAGGCTAACATGCATTGTAGGATTGAATGACGACATGTTCCCCCTGAATACTAACACCTACCCAGTGACACGCAACATCCGGGTTGAGCTTGCAGTCATTATCATTATTACTGCCTTTGGTGTGATCGCTCAAATGAGGCTCTGGAAAGTGATCAAAGAACGCCGGGCCAAAGAGGAGACTTCCCGAAAGGAAGCGGAAAGGAAAAATGAGGAAGCCGAAGCCGAGGTCGGTCGTCAACTAGAGGAGAAGAATCTCAGGGAACGAACTGAATGGGAGAACATATATGGCAACGGTGCCGCCGGCAAGGAGCCCTCTCTGACCGAAACCGCCGTTGCAGAAGATTCGCGACGAGGTTCGGAAGGATTTGAGTCTTCAACTAACGAAAAAGGGGCCTCCTTTGAGATGAAGGACATACCGGCCCCTGACCAATCGACTGGCGCATCTGACTCCGGGAGGAATCTTGACGCCGTCGAAGAGGATGACACGGAAGCACTTGAGGAACATCAGGACGGCCAGACAAGCCAACCCCCCGACCAACAAACTCCACCCGAGCCCGAGAACGAGCGGCCGCCAACTGCCAGACCCGTGACGATGTGGCCGGAGCCCAATTTGCGGGAAGACAACGACTCGGAACACGGAGCTGTTGTTGGATCTGAACCAGGCACGCCTCGCTCCAAGCGCGTCTCGGGGAGGTCGTTGATGAACCGGCTTTCTTGGCACAGCGGCAATGGTCCAAAGCTCAATGAGCAATCGCAGTCGCAAGAGGCCTTGGTCGTCCAAGACGATGAGAATTCCTCCGTTGCTGGTGTTGTGGATGACATCTCTTCCGGCTGCCCCAGTATTGTTTCCGATATTCATAGTGATGCGGGAGACCAAGCAGAAGAGGAGGACAAGGAGGCAGGTACCGTCGCAAACGGCTTGCCCACGAAGAATGTACTCGCTGAGGTGACCGAGGCTGGTCTCAATTCTCAGGCCCCGCGTGCTACTCCAATCGAAGATGAAACCGCAATGATCACGCCCCCGTCCGGTACTGGAGACGGTGAAAATGATGAACCAACGCAAAGAGCCAATGGTTTCCAAATACATCAGGACGACGAGACCTATTCGCAAGCTGCTGAGACAAATAATCAGGATGTGAGCCAGCCGAAGAAAGCCGAGGCCTTCGAGCTGCGAGTCCAACCCAAGTCACAAGAAGCGCCATCCAATGAGGACGTCATAGAACAAGATATGAAAGGGGAGAATATCCAACAAAACGACCTGGAAAACGAACTACCAGCTGCCGACAACGCGCAGGGGGAAGTCGAAGAAGATTCTCGACCACCCGATGCGGAAGAGGCCGAGCATGAGTATGATTCTGCCTCGCAGGCAAAGGGTTTGGGAAGAAGAGAGAGCCCACGGCTGAATGTGTCAACCGTAAAGAACATCCCCGAGCAAACCTCACGGGTGGTGCATTCATTCCGTACCAATGAATGGGCAAAGCATTTGGCCTATGCTGAAATGCCTGAGATCGAGCCCATTCAGCTGGACAACGAGCTTCCCGAAAGCTCGGCTGAGACTGGGGAATCTGCAGCCCCAGTCCATGTCGAAGGCCTCCTCCAAACACCGTTGAATGCACATCCCCTTCCAGTTATGAACAGCCCGGAGCAGACGCCAGCATGCCCGGAGCAACCCCGTCGACAATCCGATGCTGCTCCTGAAGTACCCCGATCCAAGACCAGAAATAGCATGCACAGAATGTCCGGTGCTCGATCACCTCCGCCAATGGCTCGAAATGTTTCTTCTGCTTCGTTACTTCCGCGACAGGAACGGGATGAGAAGGCAGGTCCAAGACGTAGCACGTCGACTCCGTTCCTGACCGTCAGCACTCCTCATGAAGAGCAAGACACATCTGATTCACCGAGGTGGAGTGGACCCCCTCCTCTTCTGGCTGTTCGTGAGACGATGGTGCGAAATCGGATGTCGTCGACATCCCTTCGCTACGACCCTTACGCATCGCGCAGTCAGTCTCGTCTGTCACTAGCTGACCCCACCCCAATCGCCTCACCACCTATCCCCGAGGAAAGAGACGAGGCAATCGGCGCAGCTTCTCCCGAAGATGAGGACGACCTCCCGCTATCCAAGCGCCGTGCCCTGTTGCAGCGCCAAACTATGCAGTCTCCCTCTGCAGCAAGTCTTCAAAGCATCGAGCCAGCCCGATCGCCACCACGCAACCCACCCGATTCCGGACGACCCGCAGCCGTGATGGCTGCCTGGCGGCAATCCGTTCGAGAAGACCTCTCCCACCGACGCGACCCGCTATCCCAACCTTCTTCTCCTGCAACTCCCGCAAGCCCTGACCGACCGCGGGGTCACTGGGGATCCGTGCAGCAAATGCACGATACCTCAGCCGCCAAAGTTGAGAATACCATCGCGGAGAGAATGCAACGGGGAAGTATGACTGACTTGCACCGTCAAGCAATGCGGCGGATGCAGGCTTCTGCGAATCGGAAGCTGTAGTCATTGATCTGATTTGATACCCTCCTTTCGATTTCTTTATATCTCTCGGGCATTATTGGGAGTTGGATCCATATCGGCTTAATCTAACGCCTACATAGAACATGATATTCACTGAACATAATTCATAATGACACCACGCTTGATGCGTCCACCTGAAAAAAGCCTGTTCCTGGTATATCGCCATAAGCATCACTCCAAAAGGCAAGATCACTGCAGATAATGCTTCGGCGCTTTCTCAAATATTTTGATTGCTTCCTCCAGCCACTGCTCATATTCTTCCAATTCCGTGCTGTCTTGATCATCCGCTGCCCCCTCTTCGGACTCCGTGTCCTCGAGGCCGAGCTTGATCGAGTTGCCTTCGCCCCCTCGGGCGGTGTTGACCGACATGATATCCCGATAAAGGCCCATCGTTGTTGGCAGTTTCACCCCTTCTACGCCGCCTTTGCCCATTTTGATAAAGTGAACATCCAGGAGTCGGTACTGGGCCGCCCAGACATGTGGATCGCTGACCTCCATAGCCATTTCCCATGAGGATCCTACGCCCAGACTGACGGACCCACCGACAGGTACGCCGGATAGCGCCCCAATGATGGCCGATGAAACGCCCACCGATATCTCTGACGACTGTCCCATTGAAACAATTGTACGCGCTCCCTCGAGCAAGTAGAGACCAGTAAGGAGCCAGACTTTTGGTCGTCGAGCAAACTTGAAATTCAGAACGTAATCACTGTGGGCAGCAGACAGCCAAAGCTTCAGTTTCTGCTGCGCCAGTGGGGTGTTCAGAACACTGGTACTGAAAAATGTTTCAGGGCTGCGAACAATGTAAGACTGGGCTCGAATGATCAAGAGATGGGGATGAGCTACTCTTTCAGTATCATTCTAGTTCCCCGTTCCGCGACTACCATGCGCTCCAGATCCTTGTTGTAGGCCAGACCGAGGTTGATCAGGTCCAACCCTTCAACCCCAACCGAGGGTGAAACACGAGAAGAACCATGAAACACAACGTTATTCAGGTTTGTCGTATAAGCATGCTCTTGCAGTGCTTGATCGCTAAGAAAACCGTCAACTTTGACCTAAGCGGGGACCGCAGAATCCGTACCTGAGAAGTGGGTGAGTATAGTGGCGGGCATTCATTGGCTGCCAGTACTTTTCCAGCACCAACGTACCCAGGGTCAACGCTTCGGGCCGTTCCCCCACACCATAGAGGAAGAACGAGGAATCATCACCAGCCCCCATGTTGCTAGTACCTTCACAGATCGCCAAGACTGACTATCCGACAGCCTGTGGACTACTGTGGAAAGAAGATCTCGGACGGCATCGCCCCTCCTATTTACTGTGGTGTTTTGTTGCTGCCTTGGTGGGGTGCGGCCTAACCCGCTCTCGTCTGTGTTATCGCGATTCGGGCAAGTTTTGGCGAGACCCTCTTAGCATTCGGAATCGGTGATAGCGTGGGAACAAACGCGATGAACCCCGCCATCTGAGAATATGCGGCCTAGGTAATCTTGATACTCCATGCTGCTCGCAAGACTGCGTCTCATACCATCCAGCTGTCAGGCCAGAACTGACAACCTCCAGATCGACCCCCGCCAGAGTCCGATGGACTTCGATCATTTTATCGGGCTCTGCGGCCGATCCCTCTTCGCAGAAGAGTATCAAGGGGACTGGGATGCCGCGTCGGACTATTTAGGGCAATCGCGGCCCGAGATATCTGATGTCGAACCGACCGTCTACGCAGAGTACCTGCGATGCTCAGCCATCCACTCCATACTGATCGGCAGACCGGCAGATGCCTACAAAAGCCTTGGAGAACTAAAAGGCCTTTTGGATCAATTGCCACAAGAATGGGGACTGCGATACACAAATTACACCGTCTTAGCCGACTACACCCGCCGCTATCCCCCGCTCCTGCGCTTTTACCATGAGCGTGGACGACCTGTCAATATCTCCATGCTGGGCAACACCAGTGGGCCCGTTGAAATTACGGAGAGGCTCATGGAGAACGTTCACAAATACCTTCCTCTTGGTGTCGCCCGTGACCAAGCATTGTGTCAAATTCTGGGGGCTGTGGCGGGATTTCCAATGCGAGTCAGGAATCTAGCGGCTGTATTCCACCCGCTCTCCCCAGGGGGTCGGGTAAACATGTCCGAGGAAGACGTCGCCCCTGCAGTTGCTGAGCATGCTAAGATATTCCTCAAATTCCGCGACGTAGCGGATGCCCACGGGGCGACGGGGTTGGGCACCTATCTGGCCCGACTGGTTGCGGAGCTCCACCTTGCAAGCCAGAGTCCGCTGTCCGCTACCATTTTAGAGGAGCTTTATCAACGATGCGAAAGACTGGAAGATCGCGTGGGAATGGCCCATTCCAAGATGATGGAAGCGGACAACCTGATCAGCCCTCCATTTGCCAGCCCGGTTACACTGAACTTGATTGTGGTCGATGTCACCAGTTCCACTTATAACGATAATCTCTGGGATCCGATTGAGTTTGATCTGAAGTATGAATATGAATCCCAGGCCAGAGAGTGCTACGAGGCGGCCCTGGCTCTTTTCCGAGAGGCGAACTGCAAGCGCGGCCAAGCGGCTGTCTTACTTCGTCAAGGATGTTGCCTTCATAATGTGGCCCGTCACCAGCGGCTCTCCCATAAACAGGGTCTTGAACTACTCGCAGAGTCCGAAAGGAAACTACAGGAATCCCTCCAGTTGTTTGGAAGAGATGAAGCAAATGCGCAGCTGGTAAAGACCCACCAAATTATGGTGGGGATTACGAAAGGCGCGCCTGTGAATATCAAGGCAATTGCGAGATCAATTGGCACATGGGGCGTGGATGCAAAGAATGAGACGATGGCCCACTGCATTGGAATGATCCTGTCCCGATATGCACATCAGGAGTGGTTCAAATTCTCCAATATGGACACGGCCTTGTTGGCATGGGAATGCGCGTACGAAGTGTGCGAGCCTCTGGGAGACATAATTCCCTTGTTCCAATCCGTGGTTGCGCGAGCCCATGTACAGCACGAGATGTTTAATGCGGATGCATCGCGGATCTTCATTGAAGACGCGCTCTCCATGGTCGATGCACTTCGCGATTACTTCGATGATAAAATCCAATCCGCGCCGGAGACCCCCATGGGACAGCTGGACCGCAAAACCGTATCGACGAACAAATTCAACACCCTGTGGACCTTCAGCCGCAACGTGAGCAATATTTACGTTCGGATTGAGGATCTGCAGGGATTCAACGACTGGAACACTAAGCTCGCTTTCTGGATGGAGCATGATCAGAGCTTCCACGAGTTTCAGCAAAGACTGGAGGATGAAGACAGTGTTGGTATCACTCATCCCGGTCTTTCATTTCCGAAAAATAAGGTGAAGGGCCTCTGGCGGAAAACACTCGCCCACGATGCAGTGAGAGTGAAATTCGCATCGGTAGATATTACCTTTCGCCGGCTGATGGAGGAAGGTGATGTGTTGAAGGCCGAGGAAGGCTTTCGTCGCTTTGTGGACGAGGCACTCGAGCTGGAGAAAGGCTATACCAGAGAGCTATACCGCATCCTGGCATGTGAGCGGATTGGGGATTGCGCCAAAGCGCGGGAAATCCTGGACTCCATTGACGACAACGAACTATTCAACGAAAACCTGGCGGAGTTTCAGCAAGGGATCGGCATCCGAAACAACTTCTCCGTCTTTGCGGAGAACGCAATGACCTTCGTAGTGTTTGGTGGCGATCGGGATCGGGCTCAACGAATTGTTGATCTCATTATTAACATCCAGCCGTCGTTTTTCGAGAAAATGAGCGAGAGTGCCCTTGACTATTCTCTTCGACTTGGCTACTTTGCCGAAACCATGAAAGACCAGAAACCTGAACTGTGCTTTACCAAACTCCTGGAGGCTCGCCAGATCATTGAAACTCGACGCGTTCAGACGAAGGACCTGGATGCTCGGATTGGGACATCAAGTCAAGGGTGGATTAATGCCGTCTTCCTTAATCTTGCGTACATGTGTTTGTCTTGGGAAAATTCACGTACCCCCGTGAGTACGATTTCGGCATACGAGCATGGCCATTTCGAGGACATTTCATGGTTGGAGCATGCTCTTCTATTTGTCGAAATGAGTAGGGCACGTGCGGTCCTCGAATCTCTACAATCTCAAGCAACGCAAGTGCAAGGAATGCCCAGTGCTCTTAACACGGGCCCGCTCTCAGAAGCTGTTCACAAGAGACGACTTTTGCGATCTCTGCTTGCGTTGAAACAATTGAGCCCGGAGCAGAGTCAGGAGATTACGCAGCTTCGACAAGATATCGAGGAGTTGGAGCAAGACGGGACTCTATCTTCTGCAACGACTTTCATCGAAACGGTCAACTCCATGATCGAGCCACGATTGTTATATCAAAACATTGACGCGAACGCCGTGGTGATCGAGGCCACTTTCAGTCCTCGCGGATTCGTTTCCTTTGCAGTGACCCGGGACGGGATTCAACAAACACACCAAGGAACAACCAGCGTCACTGGCATTCGACGACCAGTGATGCAGGCAATGCAAATCTTGAGAGATATGACGGGCTACCTGGGGGAGGAGGAGGAATCACGCAAGACGGCTCTCCATCGTCTCGTGCAGGAGGTTTCCGCGCTTCTGCTGGGGCCATTTACTGAGACCATTGGAACCAAATCCCATGTCATCTTCTCCGTGTCGGATCCTATGACTGCGTTCCCCTTTTCGATCCTATTGTTCGATGAGAAACCACTTTGTATGCACGCGGCAGTCTCGCAAGTCCCCAGTCTGACTGTGCTTCATTATCTCTCCCTACGGAAGTCGAAATCGGGGCCACCCACGGTATCTGTTCTGGCCAAGTCGCCGATGGAAGGACCGTCAGACGGGTCAGACGGTGCCGCGCGAAGTAATGAAGAGGCCAATCTGCATATGGCAGCAATTGAAGCCGTCAATATTGCCCGCATGTTCGCTACGTGGCCGATCGAGGCGTCTCATCTGACGCGAGAAGAATTCCGGGGGTACATCGAAGGAGGATCTTTGATCATGCACATCGGAACTCATGGTGATGTCAACTACCGCAATCCTCTTCACTCGTCAATTTCCATCGGAGCGGGTCAAGAATTCCGGGTGGTCGACATGTCTGCACTTCGTAGCAGTGCCAACCTTCTGGTCTTTGCCGCATGCCTCAGTGGTCTCGGAAAAGCGACTATTGGCAGTGAAGTGCTCGGCTTTTCTCACGTCGTGTTGAGCACTGGCTGCCAGGCTTATATCGGGTCCCTTTGGAAAGTGAGTGATTTTGGCTCCATGTTGATCATGACCCTGTTCTACCGCCATTTGAAAAGTATGCCGCACCTTCCTGTGGCTGAACTTATGAGGCGGGCCCAGCTGGACCTTCTACAGCTCGACGGCGAAAAGGCTAGTGAGCTTCTGGACGACATGCTGGACAGCTGGACCGCAACCGAAGAGGAAGGGCAAAGCCCCGCGGAATTCGTACCTGATGCCGAATTCCTTCTACTGACGCTGAAGATGATTCTCAGTCAGCTGGACTGGTCCAGCCCCTTCTACTGGGCACCGTTTACCCTAGTTGGATACGGAGGCTTCCGGTTTGTCCACGAAGACGCTTAATTACTTCAATTTTGCAAAGATAGTTCCATTCCAGCGAGCCTTCGCTTTCGAGCAGAATCCAGAGTCCTCATAGACCTTAGATGAAGACCGGCAACCCCGACAAATCAGAGAAACCCGGATACCAGATTCTGTTTAAGTGGTGAGGGGGCTGATAAGTCTCTCCTAGAACCAAGCAGCATCCCTACGGATCGTGGCACGGTGCCATCTACGTCTACAGAGGGACCCCAGGCCTACAGCGTGTGACTTTCCGTCTGGACTGGGCGTAGACCCAAACAGATCTCACCCGACAAAGAATCCGATGCCGTTACAAGTCGCGGCGAGAAGGGGAAAGGTTGCATTGGCAAAGCTGCTCATTGGACAGAGCGCTGATACCAACGCCTCGCGGCTTGTTCGATCGGGAAACTTACAACGCCGCTCTTGCATGTCGCGGTTGAGTCCAGATCAGCCCCTTTGATTAGCTTTTTGCAGGTAACAGGACCGGAGCGAGATACTCGTACGAAGGAAACGATGTTGAGATCAGAGGAGACGCAATTGGGGGAGACAATTCTGAGGTACGCTTGCAAAAAGTGGCACCGAGAAGAGTAGAAGTAAGCGAGGACAAAAAGGACGATGTGGTTCTCGTGGAATGAGGAGATTGAGACCATAAATGAGTAGATAATAGATGGGCAGGCATAAGAGAATAATATGAGCACTGGTGTACTAATGTATCTATCAAGTGAAAGTGAATGCAGGACTGAAGGAAAGAACACCATTCGACGCCAGACACCCAGCCCGATGGTTCATGATCATAGGGCAAGGACTGATGCACACTATCCAATCCAGTAGTCGGCATTTTAGAATCTGAGAGCAGGACTGGTTAGATTATCGACACAAGCGAAAAAACATCAAGGTTTCAACATACCGGATCTCGTAGCTTCCCGCACGAGTCATGTAGCGCACCCACTTAACAGAGCTGTAATTTCCCTTCTCAAAAACCTTCAGGTATCGCACAAGCAGACCAGAAGAGGTAAACATGAGAATGCTAAACGAAAGGCTGAGCGGCGGTCGACTCCAGGCCTTCTGATGCGTCATCGAGGTCAGGGTCGCCTCAGCATTGAGGACGTATTCGCTCTGCCCCGAGAAGCGCGGGATCTTCCATACGATATTGTTTTGCTCGGGCTCGTACTTGGCGCGGCCCTGGCTCGTCCGCTCGGTAGTCTTGGCAGTGTTTAGCGGCGTGGGGATACGGACCACAACATTCGTCGCAAACAGCTTCGAGCTGTAGTTGGCCTTGATCGCCACGCTGTACTCAACCTTGGTCGTGCCGATCTCGCGCACAATGGGGTGCACCTTGAAGGGGAGATTGACGTTCTCCGTGGCGCGGTACCGCATCAACTCAAACTCGCCGTCCGGCGGCACGAAGGAGATGATCCGGTCGGCGTCGAACCGACCCAGCTTCACGCACTGGTGGAACTGGCAGTCTTCCAGTGTGACGGAACCGGCGGCGGCTCGTGTAGTCTTTTTGTTGCCAGATATGCCCCCGCTCCCTCGGCCTCCGTTCGCCCCTGGAGAGTCGCCAGTGTCGAGAAGCAGTCGATCGTTTAGTCCGAATTTGCACTCCGGAGTGCCCGTGAGATATGCTCGCATGACGATTTGGCCGTTGACGTCGGCGCGCAGGACCGTGCCGGTCGCTGACATCAGGAGGTTGACGTCCTCGATCACGTCCACGAAGGCTTCGTTCTTGCGGTATTTTATATCGGAGCGGCGCCAGGACAGCGCACCGGTCGCTTGCTGGGTGATGCGGCTGGAGTCTGTCGGCGAGTTCGCAATGGCGGACTTGACGCCTTCGGTAGTGATGTACATTTTCAAAGTATCGGGATCGGTGTTCTGGGGGTAGCCGAAGTCGAGGATTTCTATCCGTATGAATAAGGCATTGGACTTGAGCTAGTAGTCTAGTAGGTGGACATGGGGAGACGTCAGGTCGCACGCACCATCAAGCAGTTCGTAAATCAACACAAAGTTGTTCTTCACAGCCTCCTCGTCGAACTTTCCAAAGTAGCTCTTCCCCAGCAGGATGAGCCGGTAAAGGAACTCGAACACCAGCGCGGCATTGGCATTGCTCTTGGTCACGGCGACCAAGTAGATATTCTCGTGCTTGACATGGCTGAAGGTGGTCGAGCCCAGGGTGAGGATCGGGGAGCGGACCTGCGGGTTGGCAATGACCTGGATGCGAAAGATATCCGCGAGACGCGGGCGGCAGTCACTGCGGAAGGCGCGGAATATGAGATTCTCGCCCTTCTGGTTGAAGACTAGGATGCCCGACAGCATGATGGTGGTGGGCTGGGGAGAGGTCGCATCCCGTTTGGAAGGTCGACGTTGAGGAGCTCGGCGACGGGGGTGATGTGGGGAGGGGGGGTTTAGAGTGGATCGACACCGCCTGGGCGAGGTTGAGGGAGTGGGTATACACACATGTCCCTGCATGCCGCATTTTTGTAGCTGCGCTTGATAAGGGGCACTGAGAAGGTTTATTGTGGAGATTTGATTAAGCGGAATAAATTTCAGGATTGTCTCTTATCAACAGTTATAAATCTGGTCTGGCTTTTCACGTCTACAAGAGCTCTCAACAACACTTATTAGATATCTTTAACACAGGCCAAAAGGCCTATTTACCCCCGAGGGTCGATATTCGACGGAGCGGGTGCGAAAACGGTATTAGTTACAAGGTAGTAACGAAAACGTGGAGATAGAGAATCAAAGGAACGTCGCTGGGGGAGGGATATCATGCAAAAACTTGGGAGGTGGGAAAGAAATCCACATGATTACAAAGGAGATAGACAGCCAAATGGGAGAAAAATCGCACGAAAAGAAGAGCAGACAAGCAGCAGTAGGCCTATCAGTTGCCCGGTCCCACACCAGTACTCGGTCTGGTATTCGGCATGGAGGGACCCTCGCTCGGCACAACACCGACCTTAGGATCTGGGATTTGAATGTCAAGGGACATGTACGCGGTGCGGCGCAGACTCCAGATGTGGACTCCGTCCTTGGCACCTACTTCACGGTTCCATTTCTCGAGCCAGGTCTCGACATGTTGCAATTGGCCCTTGATCCCCGGGGCGTTCATGTCATCCCAAACCCAGCCGGTCAGGAGGCCAATTGCCCCGTCGAACAAATTTCGCAAGCTGAACGGGTCAAAGGCCTTGACGAGACCGTTGTTGACTGTGGAAATCACTTTCCGGAACTCTTGCTCTGGCAGTAATGGGTCCAAAATCTCGGGGTACAGGTTGGAAAAAGTCGGCGCCAAATCGCCCTTGATCATCCAGTCGCGGCGGATTCGAATGACTCGTGTTGTGAGGTATTCCTGCGAACCGATGGGAACGTGTGGGTTGAAGTGAGGGTAACATGGGTGCGCGGGGCCCCAAGCCAATTCATCGGCGACATCAGGGGCCTGGCCGGTGTTCGAGGGGACGGATGCGATCTGCGATTGTGATCGGAGCGACGTTTGTGACTGGGCATGGCGCGGTCGGTCATCATCACGGCGGCGAGTACCATCTTGCGCGAGGTACACTTCCTCTGGCGGCCGCAGGTTCTCGACATCCCTCGCCGCACTCCCGGCAAATGCTGCCGCCATCTCCGTTGGGGACAATTGCTCGCTGCGCCGGTATCGCGGGGGTAAAGCAATGCTGGTGCGCCCGCTCTCGGTTTCCCCCTGACTATGCTCGACGATCAGGCTGGTCGGAGAGGTCGGAGAAGGCGTGAGGCGACTGCGCCGGCGCTCGGGGACGCTGAGAAGAGGGTAGGCGTCGCGCTGAGGGCCCAGGGGGAGGCTCTCGTCGGATCGGTGGGCGGGCGGAACGGTGACGGGGGTGATGCGAGGGACGTGATTGACAGGGTTGGCGAGGCGGACGGCAGGCGGGCGGAGAATGGCAGGGAACGACGACGGGCCCGTGAGGGGGACGCACTGTCGTCGCGGTGCGCTGAATGACGAAGTCGCCTCCACGGGGGCGCCGCTGGCTCCACGAGGTCCTAAGGAATGCTGGAAATGCTGGCCACGCGCGAGGAAGCGAGACGAGTTGATTTCAGCTTCCCTCCGAGGACGAGGACTCGCGAAGAACGCCGTTTTGAGAATAAACAAAGGGAATTCCCGGACGAGAAGGAAAACGGTAGCTAAGGGAGCGTGCCGTGGTCGGAGGTCGGAGGTCGGGGCGGGAGGGAGCTGGAGATCGGCGCTGGAAAAGCCTCCTGGGAAAGGAACGAGTGTCGAAGAGAGGTCAATCTCGACCAGATAATGGAGGGAGAGTTAGAAAGAGCGAAAAGAAGCAAAGAATAGTGAAGAGATCCAAGAATGAACAATGGCTTGCTGGATCTCACAAGGACGTCCTGGATCGTAAGGCTCAAATTTTCGAGGCTTGACTAGTCACAAATTGCAAAAACCCTCGGAGATCCGCTTGGCAGACACAAAAAAAGAACAGCCTCGCCGCAGACTGATCGATGATCTGGATCTAAGCCACCGTAATGAATGATAAGTCGCACCGAAATAACCGGGAAAATAGGGCTAGGGGAAGCATTTTATCTACAACAGAACCTGTAATGAACGCCAAGGCTCTCCGACAACCCCTCTCCAGCTCGAATACGACCAGTCGAGTGCCCCAGTTTCACTGTGATTAATCCATTGCCCTCCCTTGTTTCATGAGATCGCCCCGGGTACGCAAGTGATCTCCTGGCCGCCAGCAGATCACGATGCACGGAGATCATCCAACGTACATACCGGAAATGGAAATGCGGGTGCTCCTTGTCTGTCAAGTCCTGAAAGTCCGTAAAAGTCACAACAGCGGAATCCTCTTCCTTTCGTGATATTGTCTCTCTACAGATAGCTCCTGGTTATATCGCCGGAACAGGAGATATAGAAATTGATTAAAAAAGAATAATAAAAAAGGTGCAGGCTTACACCACGAGGACCACGATCACGCTCATCAGGGCTACGCTGATATAGAACGCTCGGAATCCTGTCGCATATTGCGGCGCCACAATCTGGCCGACACCGTAGGACGCAAAAATTATTACCTATAGAACATTGCTTGCTAGTAGCCCGCCCGAACTGAAGACATTTGGTTGGCATACTCTGCCAACGGCTATTTTGGTTAAGGCTCCAATATTCGAAGAAACAACACTCATGCACATGATGTATGGAATGGTGTTGACATTGAGGAAGAGCAAAAGTATGTTACTTACTACATAACGAGCCAAGGTCTTTTGAGCAAGGGGGTGCTCTTGACCATGAGATATTAGCCAGTGATCGCAAATAGCATATCTTCGATCTGCCAATCACCACAATAGCGTTGGCTATAATCAAGTCCTTTAAAGCACAAATTGAGTACCGACTGCGAAATGACTCCAGCGATGACATTGGAAATAAGCTGGCTAGTATTCAGGGAAGGATAAGGCCCTGTACAGCCCTGTGGTCCGAATCTCCCATGCCAGACAGTATGAGAGTACCCGCCATAGCGATTCGACTGAGTACTTACCGCAGTCACGCTACTATCCTATGGAAGCGTCTCAGAAGAATTGCACTGTCATTCTCCCCTCCTGTACTTTCCCATCCTGCATAAGCGCCATCATTTCATTGATATCCTCGAGCTGGAACTTTCTCGGATTGATTTTGGGATAAATCCCCTTGCGCTGCGAGAACTCCAAGCACCGAGTAGCCCCGAGTTGACCAGCCACCTTAGCTCCGATAATCCTATTGAACATCAGAGCGGTATCTGCAGTGGTTAAAGGGTACCAACCTAAATGACTTAGTTGCTACTAGCCCCAGGTTCAGCGGCAACGGCTCCTGCGGTATGCCGACAACCATCAACCGGCCGTCGGGCCTCAAAATCGAGATCGCCGTTTGATACGCCGGGACCGAACCCGAGGTAACAACCACCGCATCGATGAGCCGGCCACTATTCATAGCTGCAACCTGCGCTCGAACATCCTGAGGCTGCAAACCGCGTGTGTTCAGAATCCCATCTGCGCTCCCGCCAGCTTTGACACCTTCCAACTGCCCATCATGCACATCCAGCGCCAAAACCCTCGCCCCAAGCGCGTGCGCATACTTTGTCGCGACCTCGCCCAACCCACCCACACCCACAATCGCAACTGTTTCCCACGGCTTAATCTTCGCCCGCTCCAGTGCATCCCAGACGGTGATTCCGGCACAAAAGATTGGCGACAACTGCGCTGGGGTCACACCGCTCGTCTCTGGTATGACAACGGCAGTCGCCGCATCGACCAGAGCATACTCTGCGAAATACCCAGCGCTCGTAATGCCCTTCATGGTGATTTTCGGACAGTGCTGCGGCCCGATGATTTTGCACTCCCAGCACTCGAGGCACATATCCTGCCAGAGTGGAGCGCCGATGCGGTCCCCGGGTTTTACGCTGAAGGATGCTGCATCGGGGCCGAGGGCTTCGACTACGGATATGGCTTCATGGCCAATAATCTGTGGTAGCAGCGCGTAACTGCTGTTTCCGGCAGTTACCAAGAGATCTGAGTGGCAGAGGGAGGCCACTTGCACCCTCACAAGGAGATTTCGACCAGTCGGTGTTGGGACTGGGACCTCCTCGACGACGAGGGGCTTGCCTGCCTATCATTGTTTGAAGAACGTTATAACAGACTCAATAGCTATTCGCTAGTGGCGGACAGAATCATTCAAGCATGGGTAATCTGTTTTAGAACGGACCAATTTTTTTCGAGCTAGGGGAGGGTAGGAATTGGCAGGATACCTCTTTGCAGATAGCAGCTTTCATCATATTAGGCGCCATGGTTATGGTGGAGTATGGTAGTTCAAGCCTCGGGGATTTGAAGACAGGATTCCACCACGGAGGGGCTTTTCAAAGTCCAGTCTCACTGGCTTTATATATCGTCCTGAGGTGGTAGCGGGATATTTATGCAACTACGCAGTGATCAGTCTCACCCAAAGAGACGGTAACATACCCCGCCCCGACACACGTAGGGAAGTACCCCATTTGTCACCAAGATTCATTTCATCTTCGAGAGAATCCTTTTGCTCGATCTCCCGACTCAGTGAGACCTCCACCCCCGCAGTGGGGTGGATTTTTCTCCGCATATCTCGGGTAGAGCGGGTGGGACTGACGAATTCGAAGCAGCGGTTTGATCAGACGGATCCGAGATAGGCCTCGGAATGGGACTGTAGGTAGATTGGAAGTGGAGGTGATGCATCGGCCGCACAGTGCCTAGCTCTTGGCGGAATTGATTCTGACATATGCTTGCAGAAGATTAGTTATGCAGTGTCGGGTAGCGGACCTATATATAGTTTTGGACGCGTCGACATCCAAGGCGTGCAAAGCCAACTCTGTTGCTTCAGCAACAGTCCGAAGTTATTTGTTTAGAAAAAAATAGGAGAGAAAAAGCCCAATATAATAAAAGCATGCGATTGAAATCGACAGTGGTATCTTCATAGTAAAAGTACAGGTCCAGTAGACACATAGAATAAACAGATGGTAGTACAGTGCTCAACAACCGAACCAAAAGCAGTTGCAACGAGAGCAGGTCCATGTACAGCATATAAAACAACCCAAAATCAAGAGAGAAGACAGGAGGTAAACCGAACATAAGACGAATTATTCACATAGCCAGATGCGAAACCCCAATAAAAACGATCCACGCGGAGGAAAAGCGAAAAACGAAAGAGAGATGGACATCAACAAGTATGGTAGCAAAGCCCAAAGAAAATGGTAATACATGATTGTTTCTTGCAACAGGGATCGAGGGGTGGGAAAGAACAAGGAAAAGAAAAGGGAAATATGGGCATATAATACAGGCGTTAAGAGCGCAAGGAAACGGGAAGAGCGATAATTATTGTCGTCGCAGGCTGACACGTCCCTCTTCCACCAGGGAGTGCCATCGGCGCCCGACGTCCACGCAATTGCGGTGTCCCACCTGGCGCGCACACTCATCCCATTCTTGTTGGGAGAGACGGAATTTTTCTAGAACAACCTCGATCAGGCGCTGGTCTTCTTCAGCAGTCCAATCATTCAAGAAAGCCGCAGACGGCTCATCCGGCTTTTCGATAGAGGGGAGGACAGAGTCCGGATCGATGGACGTGACAGGGGCTGGTTCTTGCACGCGCGGAACCATCTGCCGGCCCGCGGGAGAGGGAGGTGACTGTGTAAAGGGTGGAGAGTGTAGGGAATAGAAGTCTGTCGAGGAAAGGCCGAGTGGCAGTTCATAGGGGACATGCCGACGGCGTTTAGGTGTAGAGATAGGGCGGCCAAAGTCTGCATCGCTGTCGTCATCCTGCCACTCCGTGCGGCGGCGCTTGTTCGCGCCGCGCGCGGGCGCGGAGGGCGGCGGCGGCGGTGTGGATGCAAGTTTGGTCGGGGGAGGAGTTGGCTGCGGCGATGCAGGCCGTGCGGTTTTGCGCGTGCGCGGCGAGCGACGCGCTTGAGTGATGGGTAGTGGACTCTGGAGGCGCTGCGGCTTGGGGGTGCGGCGCGGCGACGGCGCTGGTGAACCGTTCAGGAGAGACTGGAGCGCACGGCAGGTGCCCAGGAGGCCGTTGCCAGAAGGGTAGCCCCGATCGGACGGGGGAGGTGTCGTGAAGAGGCGACTAGGAGCGAAGCGAGACGACCGGCGCACGTCGCATGGAATGGCGGAAGGGAGCAGCATGGTGGCGCAAGAGGTATATACGTTCTGACGGCGCGAATGCGAGGCTCGAAGAGGGTTGAAAGAGATTTGAGAGAGTGGTGAAGTCGGTGGTGGAGTTTGCGCTGCGATCGCGCCAGGTGGATTTGTGCGCGAAATGCGCCGGAGGTGGTTGCAAAGCGCGATGATGGAGTTGGGAAGAAAAGAACGAGAGGACGAGACGGTCGCTGGGATGCGCTTCAATTTCCACCCGATCCGAAGGCAAAGCGATGGGTGGGGTGGTTATTATGGGGGGGGGGGGGGTTGTTTGTTGAGCGAGTGTTTTAGGGAGGAAAGAAGTTTGGCGGGGGGCGGCCGATAAAAGAAAATTGGGTGCCCGCAAACGGTCAAGCGAACATCCGGAATGTCAAGCTGGGCTCCACTCTTTACTGACGGGACAAAGCGTAGCGGGGGTGGGAATGTTTGAAGACTGCGAGTGCTATTATTGCCAGGGTGGCGAAGGTGAAGAGTTGAAGAAGAGAGAGAAGAGCAAAAGAGTGAAAAAATAGACTCCAAACGAATGAAGAGTCACCTGCGTGTTTCCCTAGGCAGAAATCAGGGACGAGTCGGACAACGAGTGACGACGATGAACCACACCTCAACCACGCCCTCTTCCTCTCTTTTATTCTACAGAAGGGCTCTCGACTGCTCTTGCAATTCTACTGACCCCTCGTTGATCAGCTCTGCTCGTGGCCTTTCCCAGTGAAACAGCGAGAAAAGGAGGGAGACCGAGGGATGCAGGACGCAAGGCCTGCGATCACCGGCAGGGGAGCACGAGGTGACTCGGGCCCCCTGAAACGTTGCAATTCAGGAGACTAAGGCGAACTAAAGCTCACCAGGGACTTAGACGATTTCCTCAAGGGCGTCCGTCATTACTTTTCCCAATGCGGTTGGCGACCCGCGACCCGTTGTCTCCATTGGGATTATTGTATCAACTATATGCTTTGTACAGCTATGGCCCGCCCGAGAGATCATTAGCGATATCATGATGACTGCATCCCGCAGCAATCCCCAGTGATGCAATGCCTATGACGTGCATCCTGCTTCCCGCGCCGAACCGTCCATGATACTGCCCATGATACTGCCTAGGCCACGCAGAAGAGCTAAAGAAGAGTAGTTCGAGTCATCTTGTGCTGCTGGGTCCCGTGGTGGCCCGACGCGTTTTAATAACTCTCGGGTGCGCGTCCAGGCCCCCTCAGCCTTCGTCCTGTCCTGCGGCCCTGCTCCCCAGCCCTGGAGGGTTGGTGACCCTGCCCATAGCAGCCCTCGAGAAGGAGATACTGGTATGTAGACCTGATTCACAATCCCCTTTCTGCAACTCAACCGCAGTTGAGATCACAATGGCCGAGGCCGACGCGATCGTTACGTATTCGAGTTTGACGCGCCTCCGTCGCGCGGCTCGCGCGCGCGGAGGACGCGTGACGCGGCAGCCAATTAGCGGACAGGCACCACGTGCCGATTGGTCAGCTCGTGGGCTCTCCGTAGAGCGTACGGAGTACATCGCACGGAGTACTTGCCAGTGTACGGGCAAATACCAGAGAGACCGATTTAATCGCTAGGAAGGAACCCTCTGTGTGCCTAGAAAGGACCACGAACCTTCGGGAAATAAGTGTGGACCCTGCGTTCGATCTCCCCAAGGTTCCGAGAAACCAATTCCAATCTCTCCCTCCTTCCTGAAGGTTGCATACGGTATAGAATATAACCCCTCCTAAGGCCATTGCGCCGAGCATGTGGCCCTGCAAGTAATATCGACATACCGATTCTTCCGCCTTGAACCCACCTTTGGCGTTCCTAGAAGAACCCTTCATCTGGGATCGTAGGTGTTGTTGACTCAGTGACCCGCTCTATAGTCCTTGCATCCTGCAGGGCCCGTTGCCCTGGCAAGATGTGACAAGACCCCAGATCCGACAATCAGACTCGTGCTGCCGCTTTATCTTGCATTATCCTACTGCACTGCTTGTATCTCGCTTTGTGGGGTGCAGACGGCCTCCTCCCCGGCGGCTCCATTGCTCAACGTCCAATGAATCAACCGAATATCAACAACTATATTCAAAAGTACATCTGAGGCTTCCTTTTTCTTGTACCCCATTGATTCAAAATTAGTCATCAGTTCTTCTTGCTACGTGAAACAAAAGGGGTCCCACCCTCCTACTTTCTACCACCCAGGACCATCCTCTAGTCACCCTTCAAGACAAACAAAGGGATCTCCCCTCCTCTCCACTCCCTGTGGCTGAGTGTGGCAGGCTCAGTTAACCTGTGTACCCCTCTCACCCCTCATCCCCCCCAGCCCCAATTGTCCAACCCATCGCACGCAAGGGATACGCAACATCACGACTATCTCTCCCGCTAAGTCTAGGATAGGCCCATACAAGGTTCATCTCGGGACACGGGGATGCACAACATCATCGGCTGCAGCTGATCCGATATTTTTACTCTACTTTCCTTGATTGTTGCCCCGGGCGCTCGATAAGCTACGCATGGGCAGATTGCGCACCGTGACTGCGGGTCATCCTCATCCCTGCAGTCACCCATGCAAGACATTTCTGCCCGCAGCAGGCACAAGCGCAGATTGTTTGTCTCCCGCGGTGTGGCCCTTCGTGCGTAGGTGTGGCTGGGACAGCCCGTTGTACCTCCAACCGTAGCCCTTCTAGGGCTGAACCTCTCCTTTGAAGGGAAATATACCCTTCAGGTTTCACACTCCCGCCTTCATAAGCGACTTCATCTGACGCCGGTCCTGTCTGTCCCTGACAAGGATCGTGGCTTGCTCTATAGCCCCCCATGTCTCATTCAGTATATCCGGATGGGGAAAGACTGCATTTATGGGGAGGATGACGAGAGATCGGACGGGTGATCACTCTGGCTTGGAGGAACAGCTCTGCCCTGTTCGTGGGGCTAGCTGCTTTAAGTAGATTAACCAGTGTATGGTTTGTTTATTGTTGACGGCCCCATGGAAGTGGGACTGTGGCCAGTTTCTGAGACTGTCTTGGTTGACTGTGACCAGATATCCACCCAGTCTCGTTCCGCTCTGTCTATTTTGCACTATGAAAGCCATTACTGCAACCTCCCCTTAGCCTTCGTGGTTTGTTCAACGATCGAAGCCTCTTCTGTGTGGACAGCCCTTGTTGATCTGCCCTGCTCAAGTTCCCAACAAGATGATGGGGCTAAATAGGGACTTCATCGAACTCACTTATCCACCAGTTTCCTCACTGGCCTCCTCTCTGAGACTCTCCACCGAGTGTGGATGGGATCGGCAGTTTCCTCCCTCCCTCTCTTGAGAAAGGCACCCCTCCCCTCTTGCTCTGCTCCTCTTCCTTGGTCCAAACAGACATCTGATCACCCGTCCTTGATCACACGCCGCACTCCTGCAGCCCTTGACTGTAGCCAATCCGGGACCCCTCTTGGCTTCTAGGGAGGAGCAATTCATTGTGCATCAACGAGAAGGCACCATCGTCTTTCACAGCCCCGTTGCATTCTGTGGCCAGTGGCCAATTGGCTGTCTTTATCCCCGCTAAATTCGTATGTGATCAAGGGCGTCTTACATCCCCCTTTGTGTTTGCCACTGTGGATAACACATGGACACACTATTGATGACCAACTCTGCCTTCATTGTGGCGGTTAAAGTGGATTTCAAGTGGCCTGTACAGTGTTTGCCTTATATACAGTAGTATTCAAAACCAGATTTACCTCCACACTCTTCGACTTTAACTCCCGAACCCCAATTTGAAACACAGATATGGTATATCCGTCGATCCCCTTGTTCCTAACATAGAGACTGAATTTTACATGACGCGGGTGGGACCTTGTCTATTGTAAGTGATAGGAAACTGCTATACCACTTCACCCCTCTTCTCTTCCCTAAGTAACAGGCTTCTTCTGTTGAATAACATCTGACCGACACACTACACTAGGCTTGCAATATGGCCCCGAGACTTGTCCCCTTAGGGCTATATCTTATCCGTGATATAATAGAGAGCCAGTCACTAACCATAGCTCAAATGGCCGAAGAAGCCCGAATTTAGCAAGGTCACGATTATAAATATTCGCAGAAACCTACGGTAGTTTGGCACCATCCACGCACTGCCAACTCGTATAGGTTGGGAACTAACCGTAATACCTCTGTGCCCCCTCCTTCAATCCTATGGTCCCCAAGCAGGCTTTCAACACTCGTTCCTCTTAAATGCCACGTTAGACCTTGCAAAATGGTTCCCAGACTTCTCCCGTCAAAGCTGCATCTCGTCCGCGATATTATAGAGAGCCAGTCGCTTACCACATCTCAAATGGCCGAAGACGCTGAATACAGCCACCCTACGATTATAAATATTCGGAGAAACTGAAGTGTCCACGTACCCCCAACTCAAATAGGATGGAAAGCGTCAGCGCGGGGTTGGATGGCTGCGCATTTCTATCCCTCCTATCCACAAGTACGGGAAACTTTAGATCCAGATTATCTCAGGTCAGTTGTAGTCTCCGACAAACTCTCGCTGTCTTAATAATTTGTTCTGCCACCTCTTCGGCGGCTTTCACTACCGTAGGTTCGTGCCCATGCGCCAGCGAGGCTATATAAGGCCTTCGTTTGCCCGCTTCGCGCACAAAATCAAGTCTTCTGCCTATTCCTCTGCCTGTTCTAGTTGCTTCTAGCCGTTCTCTGCTGCACGAGATAGTCAATCAGAGCTAATATTATGTACTTTAGTCTTCGCTCCACATGGTTACGATTCTACCTGCCCTGTCTGGGTTTGTGATGAGCACTTTTCAACTACGGACTGTAGATGTAGCTCTTTAATGAGCGTGAGTGAATATAATCATGCGGTGGGGGGTTGGCCTGTTAGTAACGATCGATCTAATTCGGGCATTCTGTTAGAAATGGAATTTTGTATTGCCTATGTATAATTGATCTGTTGATGAGTTAACATGGATTGGCTTGACTCAGTTGCTCTATCTGGTGCACACTGGGAATGGACCCTCTCAAACCCTCTGCGCCGCCAATTCTGCTTGGATTCCGGTGACAGAGGCAGTAGCGTCGGGCGACGCCTCCGCGTTGTCCGACTGTCGCATAAACTGCACCTTGAACTCAATGCTAAAGCGTCCACGGGGAAACGTCCAATTGCGATATTCACGCCAGGGCCGGTAGCTGAAGGACAGGAAGCATCGCACGAGGAACAGAGCCAAGTGAATCAGTCTAGATGTCCAGTGGGCGTTAATATGTAATAATAAGAAGAGCAGAGAGGAAATTTTCGAAATGACTGACCCGAACACCACAGCCAACCCGGATACGACCTGGGCGATACGGATAAACCATAGGGGTATATCTGCGTCCCAGGCGGAGCCGTCGAGGCCCAAATTCGATAGACCAATACCGATTGATAACACGGCGATGGCGAGGTCCAGGATCAGGTTCAACCAGAGCCAGATAGGTCGGTTCCAGAGATACAGACGAGCCAGATTAAGGAACGAGATCAATCCGGCAGCCAGGAGCTGTTGTCGCTGTGATTAGTGGCCTACTTTCCTGGTAAGGAGTATATATTTGCGTGACATCAAAACATACCGTCCACAAGAGGGTAACTAGGGTACCCTCTGGTGCCCAGGGCATGATATTCCCGAATCGGGCAAGAAATATAAATATGATGGTCAGGTCTAGAACAAGGATGAAGACCGCGAGTAGTGCCGAGCTCCACGTCAAAATGAAGATGGTTTTGGTGCATCGTTGTTGATGTCTTTCCACAATGGGAGTGTATCGCTCATCATTCGGGGATCCTAATTCATCGGCTGTAGGGTCCAACAGCAGCGGGGTATCTTCAGTGGTTCGAGACATTACATCAATAATGGGATGAAGAGGGCAACGTGGCAATGTTGATGGGAAGAGAGTCGAGATGGCAGTTTTCGGGTTATCATGACTAACCTACCTAGGTAAAGGTCGCGGCATGACTCCAGTCACCAACTAAGGCGCCAACAGGGTAAGCACTAGCTCGATCACCGTTCCGGGATATACTGTCAAGTGAAGACTACGTACCTATAATGAGACGATAAAGATGTATAGCAAAAGAGTAGGATAGAGGGGGGATTATGCCAGATTGTTAGGATTGCCCCTTTGTTTGTTCTCTTTGCATAGAAGATTTTATCAAATTCCAAAGCAAATTACGGTATTATAACAATAACTTATCCATCGTTACTGGGGAATACAATACAGTCTAACAGGGATCACTAGGGGATGGCTAAAATTAGACTAGTGTGTTTCAAGCTAGGGTTCGGGAATGAAAGTCTGAGTGATTTCGAATACTACTGTAGAGTATTCTCGAGCTGAGTAGATACTTGATTTCTCGGCCTGTACCCGACACCACGCTAATCCGTATGAGTGAACTTGAAAAATAACTCTGCTGTAGCTTGGACGTGTTGTGGTATAGAACGTATTGGACGAGGGGATATTTTGTAACTACGGACTTCTTCAGCATCCGCTTATCCCTGCACTGGTTTTGTACAGTACAGTACAGTTCATAATTCTCGTAAGAGGATAGGACAGTCTGGAACGTACGGTACATAGCATGTACAAAGGGAGCAAAAGAGCCGCGTTCAGCAATTTTGGATTTCATGACGTCAGATACTGGGGCTAGACAGTATATAGATCTATCCCCACTTCTCTCTTTCTAAACTGCTCTTAAGTCACTGCCGGCTAGCTCACGAACAACCTACTACATTAATATGAAGGAAACTGTATTGGTCATCGGTGGAACAGGTGCCCAGGGGGTGCCCGTTGTCAAATGTGCGCTGAAAATGTCATCTCACGACAGCTTCTAACTTATTCGCAAGCTCTGGCCACTGACTCCAAATATAACGTCCACGTCCTCACAAGAAGCGCGTCCTCGAAAGAGGCCAAGTACCTAGCATCACTACCAAGCGTATCGATTTTGGAAGGAAACACATACGATGAAACTACTCTCCGCCAAGCCTTTAAAGACATAACCTGCGTCTTCGTCAACACCAACGGCTTCGCCATCGGCGAAAAAGCGGAGATCTACTGGGGCATCAGGCTCTATGAGCTAGCTCGAGAATTTCAAGTCAAGCACTTCGTCTACGCCGGTCTGGAATACGGTTCTAAGCTTGGCAACTTCAATCATAAGTACAGATGTGGTCATCTAGATGGGAAGGGCAAAGTCGTGGACTTCATCTCTGCACAGCCGACATCGCCTATGGCCTGGTCTGTTTTGACATCTTGCATGTATATGGAGGCTCTGACGGAATTTCTGCGCCCGTTCCCTGATCCTACAGATCCGGACATCTTGATTTTTGCGGCTCCTCTTGGGGAAGGGAAGTGCCCACTTATCTATCTGGAGGATTATGGAGCATATGCAAGATGGATTTTCGATAACCCGGCTCGGAGCAATGGGCTCGTGTTGCATGTTGCGACTGAGGATATCCGGTGGGAAGATCTCGCATCTGCATTTTCACAAGTCACGGGTCAAAAGGCCGTGTATAAGGACGTGAGCTTGGAGGAGTATTTCAAGCTTGGCATCCTTGATCCGGATGCGATAGTTGGTCATTCGACTGATCAAGATGACTCGACTTTACTCACTTATCGGGAGAACTTTTCGGGGTTCTGGAATACCTGGAAGGACAATTTGACTAAGAGGGACTACCAATTGTTGGATACAATTCTGCCCACAAGAGTGAAGTCCGTAAAAGAATGGATGGAAAAGACAGGTTACAGTGGAAAGTATACGTCGCTGCTGAAGGACCGCCGGGACAAGGCTCGGAAGTAGTCAAAAAGCGAGTGGTGTGGGAATTTGCACTTCGGTGGTATTATGCTTCGTCGTCGGCCGACACGAGTAAGGGGTGTTGTGACATTTCCAAATTACCGAGCATTGCTGCGAATATTGATAACTGAGGCTTACTACTTTCCTGATTAGCTTAGCAATATATCACGAATTATCTGAAGCTTGGAGAAAGGGAATCTTAGCGCCATTTTGCGGACGGGCAGAGAGGCAAGATTCAGGTTGCTAGCGGTGGAAAGCCTACGAGGGAACGAGCGATGAGGCGCATCGACGTGTTGAGCTCTCAATTCTACCGTTAACAGTTGATTAGAGGCCTTACACGGGTCTCGAGCCTTCAAAGTATGCGAATAACCCGCAGCATACCCCAGGCCTAAAGTTAGGGCTTTAGCGCAGCCTAGACTTAACATTCATCGAGATGGTGCGCGGGGCAGAGGGGGGCGTGTTCGATTTCTTGCAGTGACTAGTGACACCAAGGACAATCCCCGCACCACTGTAGCCTATATCTTCAGCCTATAACGCCTTCCTTTAAAGGCAAAGCAGCGTTCAAAGACCACACTTGGCACTGTAACCTCAGCCCTTACCTTGCCAAGTCCCGTCGGGGTTCCGCCTGCATTGTTGGCCTCGGACACTCGCCGGGCCTATGAAGCTGCTTCCTCCTCTGCCAAGGGCTGCCCGCCTCTTGGCAGATCCCTTGGGGCCCTGCCAATCACGCATCATTGTACTTTATGAACGCGTGCTTCACATGGACCCTGAAAGGCCGAAGAATAGGTATAAGAACACCCTTCCCACCATTGGCCCCGAATGGTTATTCATTCGTGAAGTACTTGACTATGAAGTGGCATTTTCTTATATACCATCTGTCCGTGGCCTTAGCTGGTCGGGCGAAGCCCCTGGTCTCACCGGTATGTGCGCATGGTGTATGCCATAATTATCAGGTAATCTGACCTAATAGGATGAATTTCCCTCCATGATTCGGTTGGAAGACCTCCTAAAGGGGACTCAACAGCTTGAGGATTTCGCTTATTCGTATCCTGAGCGCAACCGTGTCTTTGGCAGCGCAGCACATAACGATACCGTTGACTTCCTCTATCGCGAGTTGAAGAGGACCGGCTACTATCATGTGTGGAAGCAACCACAGGTGCACACATGGACCAAGGCAGAGTCCTCTCTGATGGTCGACGGCGAGTCGATTGAAGTGGCTGCCATGACATACAGTCCCAGCGTTGATGTTACCGCAGAACTGGCAGTGGTCTCAAACCTCGGATGCAGTGCGACGGACTACCCGAATGACGTGGCTGGTAGAGTCGCCCTAGTCAAGCGTGGAGAATGTACTTTCGCAGACAAGTCGGTGCTGGCCGCAGCCGCCAATGCAGCCGCAGTACTTGTCTATAACAACGTTGCAGGGGCTCTTAGTGGAACGCTGGGCGGAGTATCCAGTGACCATGGATCTTTTTCCGCTATTGCGGGAATCTCTGATGCTGACGGCGAGACCCTACTCAGTGCGGCAGCGAAGGGCGTGGTGACCGTGTCTCTTGAGATCGACAGCAAAATCGAGAATCGCACTACATTTAACGTGATTGCAGAGACCAAAAGCGGTGATCACAATAACGTCGTCTCATTGGGAGGCCACACAGACTCAGTCGAAGCAGGCCCGGGCATCAACGATGACGGCTCGGGAATCATCAGTAATCTTGTGGTCGCACGGGCGTTGACACGATTCGCCGTCCAGAATGCCGTGAGATTTTGCTTCTGGACGGGGGAGGAGTTTGGCCTGCTGGGTAGCGAGTTCTACACCTCACAGCTGGACTCTGATGAACTAGCAAAAATCAAGCTGTACCTCAACTTTGATATGATCGCCTCGCCCAACTACGCGCTCATGATCTATGATGGCGACGGAGACGCCTTCAACCAGACTGGACCAGCGGGCTCTGCCCAGATCGAGGGTTTGTTTCAGGACTATTTTACTTCGAAGAATCTACCGTATATTCCAACCGCCTTCGATGGCCGATCCGACTACGACGGTTTCATCTCTCGTGGAATCCCTGCAGGTGGGCTTTTCACTGGTGCTGAAGGCATCAAGAGCAATGCAGAGGCAAAATTGTTCGGTGGCCAAGCGAACATCTCCTACGATGTGAATTATCATGCTGCTGGAGATAACTTCACCAATCTCAACCATGAGGCATTCCTGATCAATTCCAGGGCTACAGCTTTCGCCGTCGCAACATACGCCAATAGCCTTGCTTCAATACCTCCCCGGAGTAAAACACCCGCCAGGCGAGAGGTCAAGAAAAGAGCACCTCGGTCGCATGCCTACACGAAGAACACCGGATGTTTCCATTCTCAGGTCGAAAAGTAACACGTTTGCTCCGTTGCAGATCGCCAATGTTGATATGAAGTGACATCCGATTCAACCCAGCTTTTACTGATCAATTACAATTGTCGTCTCCGGCGAGTATATTTCATATTCTGCCAAATACAGGCTTTGGGATTTTCGTAACCAAGAATTGAGAGTGTAGTTGTATGATTCTGTGGAGAGTTCAAGTTCCCGTGCCTTCTCTGTACAGAGACGAGACATGAGTCATGCACGACGTTACGTATTTAGAGTAAAGTACTGTACATAGAACAGTACATTGATATCGCTGTCCAGGGCTATTCGTAATGAAGCATCATAAGTCTTAGCATTGGGGTTTGAGAGGCAGTCGAAGAGTGTAGGTAGTGACACCGTTCTCCGAAAGTACCGGACAATCCCATAGAATCTTGGCGGAGGGGGTTACAATCTGTTCCATTCTTTGGAGTGCGGATTAAACCTTTTAAATTCTTCTAATAATGCTTCTAGGTAGTGTGGTAAAAGCTCTCGATAACAAGATATATCATACACATAATCCATGTTAGCCGTATTAATAGTTCCGGTCATCTGGGGCTCTTTCACCATTATCGCCCCGTGTCCCCACATAATCAGGTCATTAAGTACCATCAACGCGCGATAATAAATCCGTAGTCCTCAACTAGAGCATTTGGCTCAACGAGCCCCCACTTGGGCCATAGATGCATCGCTTCCGCTTGCCTGTCACGAGGTTGCACACTTCTTCATACACTTCGTCGTACGCGTCGGTCTCATCTTTGATCTCCTGATGTGTAGCAGGTGCCTGCGCAGGACGAATGGAAGGCAAGTGACTGCTTCGGGGGGATAGAAAGAGGTTTTGTCTGCTGGTCTCGTTAACCAAAGCAGAATCATCCCGTGGGACCTGCTTTCCTCCATGGGGTACTTGCAGGCTATTCTCGTCACTTCTCGGAACACTGGCTGTACCAGAGGATGTCACGTACAGAACATGTCTTTCTAGTTGCTCACGTTTGACCTGGCTGACGAATTTGACCTCATCATCTGCTGTACCTTGTGAACGGACTTTTTGGAACCCTTTCGGTTCCTTTGGCGGTGTTCGATCTGTTGCGACGAGGGACGAATGATTTGACGCATTTGCTGTGGGTGCGAATCTTGAGATAACAGGCGATACCAATGGCCTCATCTCTCCAGGTGAAATGTTTTCCGAAGAGCTTTCGGATACATGGTCAACATCGGCGAAGCGGGCGCATTCGTTGGGCGGCCAACCGGATGCAAATTCCGGTGGCACTCGTTGACTGGCAGGAGGACCCTTAAAGCTTGCAAGATCGACGATGACAGGTTCACTGGAGCTTCTCGGATTCCAACTTTGAATTGAGCGTTTGTATATTTCTTCATACCGACTTTTGCATTCTGGGTCGGTAAACCAGCTATGCCGGAGCGCGTGTTTCACGTCCATTCGCTGGGTTTCATCCCGAACAAGCAAACGGCGAATGAAGTCTTTTGGTCGTGAGCTAATCTCAAGTTTCCTCATTTCAGATTCCAGATTCATGAGATCCTTTGATGTGGACCGGCATGGGTCATCAAATGGAGTATTCCCGATTAGTAAAACAGCAGTCACGCAGCCCAGGGACCACATATCAACAGCTTTGGTGTAGCCATTTTTGTTGGTGGGATGCAATTCTCTATCTCGAAGTATCAGTCGAGAAGCTTCGACACCAGGCCAAGAATCTACTCACGGCGCACAGTATTCAAGTGTCCCGACAACGCTCGTCATTCGCTGGACTGACTGGTTTACCAGTCTTGCGCATCCAAAATCAGTCAATACAACCCTGCCACCGATTTCAAGTGAGGTCATAAGAACGTTGTCCGGTTTTACATCCCGGTGCACGATATCTCGGTCATGGAGGTACTCCAAGGCAAGCAAGATTTGGCGGATGATCATTGCAGCAGTGGTATCTTCGAGTTGGCCACCTTTGTATCGGAGGAAAGAGAAAAGGTCGCCACAAGTCACAAGTTCGGTGAACATGTAACTAGATCATTCAGTAAAGAGGTAATTGCCAGTCAAGTGTTCATTTGGGACTGACATTGTATTGCTTGATTGAATAACCTTTTGAGTGGTGATGATGTTCGGCTAAGAATTCCCTCAGCCTCGTATGTTCGCAAGGTTCCGTTTGATGAGATATAGTACTCACATGAGATAGCTCTGCCAGAAGGAGCGACTCCCGCCGATGCATAGTCATTTTTTCCCGAACGATGTTTTCCTTCAGACGATTCTTGCGTGTTGTTGTTATGGCCTTGGCTTGGGCAGCTTTCGCAGCGAAGAATTTGGACTTCTGTTCTCCGCCCATATCCGCCTGGAGTGTAGCTTTAATAGCCTGGAGATCGACAACCTTGCAAGCAAACTGCTGACCGGTATCCACCTTAAAGGCCATGTGCACCCTCCCATAAGCACCAGAGCCAAGCAGGCGCTGCGTGATGACATAGCTGTCGTTGAACTCCTAGAAAAACAGAACCATGAGCATAGGCCAGAGGCAGGTCAATGATCCGGAGGACTGACATGCATTTCGAGTTGCTGCAGGTAAGAAAACCCGTTCTCTTGGGTAATCTCAGAAGACTGGAACCGAACATGAATCCCGACTGCTACCCCAAGGACATCGCCATCACTCAACAAGAAGCTGCCGTTCATTTTACCCATCGGGTAATTATTCCACAAGGTCCCGTTTAGTGACAGGTCCTGCGCATACACAAGTGGAGGTATGTCCTGTGGATTGTCTTGATCGAAAAGGATGGTGTAGATGCGAACGTGCTTGTTCGAGACGAAAGGATTCTGGATCTGGAACTGACTGGTAGAAAAATGGTTACTGGTCAACTTCAACAAAAACTACAATCGATGGAGTCTCTGGTACCAGCTTCCTAGGGCTCTCCCGATGTAGACCTCATTGTTGCTGTAGACGTCCAGCGGCTGACTGGTCTCGTTAGTGGTAGAGTTCCATAGGGTCAAAGTGCCGACACGAAATCCAGGATCCCTCAATTGAGGGCAAGAAGAGAGACTAGGCTCCATTTCTGCTGTTGAGACCCGAACAGCGTGTGGTTATGCAAGAGAGGGGGTTGATGAAGATGAGAGATGCGATGCCACAACTCCTCCCATCACGGAAGGGCATGTGATTGATATTTACTCAACGCGTTCTAAGTTTATTCGACAGGCATCGTCACTCTAACCAAGTGGGATATTCATTTCGAAGGATAACTTCTCAGCAACCATCCTAGACTCGATGTAAGTGACGGCTGAAAGGACCAAAGAATATCCAGCAAGGGGATCATTTACTGCCCCTGCATCCTACGAAAGCGCTCTTCTGCAGCCCTCGCACGCCGCTCTCTTTCTAGTCTCATCCTCATCTCTGGCGTCATTCCACGCGTCTCTTCGTCACGCTTCTCCGCCGCTGTCTTCTCCACAGTTCCGAGGGTCCGACCACCAGGCTTGCTTGATGCCTGCTGGGCCGCTCTCTCGGCCTCTTCCTTCTTCAGACGTTCCAAGTCAGCCTTGCGTCGGATGGTCTCCTCTTCTGCTGCCTCTTTCCGCTCCCTTTCGGCTCGACTATCTGCATCTGCCTTGGAAACGGCAGACGGGACCTTCGCTGCGTTCCAATCCCATTTCAATTCGCCGAGTTCATGCCGGGCCACGCGGAACGCGTCGCGAGTGGGGCGGTCTCCAGAAAGCTCAAATGGCGTGCGGCCTTCGTTGTTTACAACGGTCGGATCCGAGTTGGCTCGGGTAAGGAGGGCGGAGATGACAGCAGGGGCGTTGTTGTTAGCAGCAAGATGAAGAGGCGTAGGACAACGGGAGTTTTGAGGCGAGTCGGTGGGCTGGAAGGTGAATGACGATGGTATTGAGTTATTGGAGATGTAAGACATAAGCGCCGGAACCTTTGAGCGCCGGATGAGAGCTTGGATCTGCGATGTGTGCAGTTGCGCAGCCTCCTCCTCCTTGGACAGCCTCGGCTCTCGGGGTTGCGGGCGCGGTGTTGAGGGCTTAGACTCTTCTTTGCCTTTTGACTCTGCCGCTGCAGAAGCCAGCGCAGCTTCGTCAATTTCACTGACCTTTACACGAGTCAGCTCTTTGAAACACCGCATGAGCTCGCCCTGGGTGGCTCGGCGGGTGTTGAAGGGGAACCCTCGCAGCCGATGGTCATTCTGCTTGAGAACCTGCCCCTCATATTTCTCAAATAGAATCCTCCTATTTGTATTTCCTGTGGCTCGAACGAACAATAACTCTGCACTGTCTATCATCTGTCGCCAATCCGCGAGGAGCTCGCGAATGTCTTTCTCTAGCGCAGCTTCGTTGTAGCGACGAAGGCTAGAACCCGCCGAGTGGGCAGCTCCTCGAGATGCGTCACTGGCAGATTGAGAGCCACCTTGCTTCCGTCGTGTGGTGTATCGATGAAACGTCTTGTGTGCAATGACTCGCGCCTGTCTCTCCTCCACGCCACCCTGCTTGCGGTGGATCTCGGGCGCCAGCGACACCAGCATCGCCGCGAAGTGGCCACCGCCAATCATGCACATGAAAATGTGTGGGCTGGAAGCGGAGGGGTCTTGATCAGCTTGCGAATTATTTGTGCGCGCCTTGACGGGGACCAGTTGCTTCTTTCGCAGCGAATCAACCAAATGAACAGGTGCTTCCTGCTCAATGTTCGAGAAGATCGCCCTATAGATTCCCAACGACTTGTTGGGCGGGAGAGCTGAGCTCGATAGCCAGAACAGGGGATTCTTTGCCGAGCTTTCCCTGGCGGTCGTTGTTGCCTCCTCATTCGCCTCGGACAGCTTCGCTTGCCTTTTCAGCAAAGCTGTAAGCGTCGTGTCGGCATTTTCATCGGCCTCCCCCTCTGACTCAGATGACTCGGACCCAGATATAGATTCATCCAGCTCTCCAATTGCCTTGTTGAACTGATTCTCATCGAGAGGTGCGTTCCCACGAAGTTGGGCTTTGATGTTGTATCGGTGGTGATCGGAGCGGACGTGGCTGCGTTGCTCCTGCACATTGTGGTATGTGACTCTGCAGAGAGAGCATAGTGTCGTTGTTGCGATCGCGGCTTCTTGCGCTGCAATCTCCGAATCTTTGGGCGTCGGCTCGGGGCTCTGTTCGGCGACAGGCTGATTCGCAGTTTTTGCGCTTAGGGTTGCAAGAAGCTCCCGCGGAAGATCATAAACTGCGCAAGTTAGGGAACATCCATAATTAATGAGCGAAAGGAGAGATGTGCACCATAAAGCGGCCTTTTCAGAAGCTCCTCCACGCGATTGGAATCCCCCATAATGGCCGGGTGTCAACGAATGGACTGTGGAATGTCGGCTGCCCTTCCAGATGACGCTGATAAGCGGGCCCTTACCGCCTTAAGAAGGCGGGCGGCAACTGCGATAGCTTCTCGAGAATGTGAATGCGGCTCGTCTGTCCCCACTCCACTTCTCGTTGTACCCTTAAGATGTTCATTCTGAGTCATATTTATTCTAGAATGTTTAATCAACCTCGATCGTTCTCTGTTTACGGGTGTACGCTAAATCTAGGAGTGGCTGTGGCTCGCAACCTCAAGCAACGCTATGACGAACATAGTGCCCGCTCTGACTCACAGTGGGCCCTGGTTGAGGCGATGCACAAGCCATGAATAGTAAGAGCAATAGAACCAGACAAGAGAATAAAAAAGTACTCTAGGTCACATGACGGCTGTGCTGGGGTTATGCTCAAGATTTGCCCATAGGAGTAAGATGAAATGCCCTGAAATGAAGGAACGGAGTAAAAGGGGTTACAAACCGTAGGTCTGCTCAAGCCTGACTTTGAGCGCTGACAGCGCTGCGAGAAACACACTCAAATTCCGCGCCAAGGCGAGAGCGCGCGTTTCCAGTTCTCGCCATAGACCTGGGGGGGTGCGAGGTATTAGGAAATGCACGAGACCCAAGGACTTTGTGGAGAGGTATTCTGCTTTTTGGGCTTGGGTGTCTTCTTCGAAGTAGATGACTCCCAGAACGAATCATTTCGCCTCGACTTGTAATTACGCGGTATCCACAAATGTGAGGGCGGCCAATAATCTTCGGGGTCCTACAAAACTCATGCCAACCGCTTGTCCTACATTGACTTAGACGTAACACACAAGTCAATAGTTAAAGTATAGCAAGGCAAAGTAAGCTATCAGACACATTGATTATCGATAGCGTCGAAATATGTGGTGTGGTAACTTACCACTAAGAACAGGCTTATTCATCAAGCGCCTACTTTCCTTATATTTTTGTATGTAATTCTGGTTTACACGAAAACTCAGGCGTTGTAACAGCCGAGTATCGGCCGGACGGACGTCTTTCCACCCGTCCGGATAGGGGATAACCCTTCAACGGGTCTTTCCCCCTGATTTTCACTATATCATCCATCAATCTGATCATCATCATCCCATTGGACATCTTCCGTACTAGCCTACACGAATAGTGCACAGTTCGACAATAGAAAGGCAGTACATGGAACCAACACGACAAAATCAAGCCGATAGATCATGTGAACCTAGGTGGAGCAAGTCAGTGTGGCGATCACTCAGCTATGCAAGGCATTGCTTTTTTGATACCACTCTCCTCAAGGAACCGGCTTTCTACTTCCATAGTTGTGCAGAAGTGCGTATGTTAGCTCAGAACTTGATCGAAACAGCCTCTAGTCAATCTATGTTACGATGCTTGGGCTACGAGTTCTGAAGTTTTGTAACATTTAAAGATTGCCGAACTAGTGAGACACGAAGAAAACTATATGCTATGTAGGGCTCATCCACTGTATTCCCAAACTATAAATATTCACAACAGCCCATGCCGGAGTCTTACATTATGAGTCTGCCCAGCACAATCTTAGTTTTAATTTTCTGTGAACCTTCAGCCCACGGCAGGTTTTTATAATTGTTCTGGATATCCCAATCGGCGCCCACAACCCTAACTATCACAATGTACGCAGCCATTAAGTGGTTGTGTCTAGTCATTGCGTTGCAACTACCGCAGAAACTACTTGCTCAGGTATGCATATCTCGTGTTATGCGTACGGGTAGGATCACAAACGGAGGCTAAAAATGCAAACAGAGTGAACGCGAGAGTTGTAGCCTAACCCAAACTCTGAGGGGAGATTGGGCATGTGACGGCTCTGATGACCGAATGAGCAAACTTCTCCACTGCCAGTCGTTCAAATGGAAGTTTCATGGCTGTTGCTGGGAGTGCGCTATTCAATTGATGACCGGCAGTGACGGAACAGTTGGGCAAAAGCCATACTGTTCATCACAGAGAGGAAAAGAGGAAGACGAAGAGTGTCCCTTGCGCTGGACGCCAGGAAAGGCAATCGGCGAGTTGTGCAGCACTGTGCACGACTGCGCTCCTAGATCGCCGGATGGGCGGACCCGTCCGGAGCCGGAAATTCGATGCTACAAGGGAAAATGCACCCGGAATCCTGCCGGTACGTCTTGCTCTAAGGATGCCGACTGTGACTATGACTATGGCCGGCTGTCTTGTATCAGTGGGACATGCAAGGGTATCCCTGGTGGCCAATGCCATGAGGATTCTCAGTGTATTGGAGTGAATGGCACGATGGCACAATGCATTAATCACTACTGCCAGGCAAGGGCCGGTGATGCTTGCCAGTCTCAGGTGCACTGCCAGTCTCCTGGGAACACCCTCATATGCAATAGGGGAATATGTCAGGCCGAACCAGGGGACAGATGTGATGACTCCACACAGTGTTGGCAGCCATTTCAGACTGCTCAGCACCCTGAATGGAAACTCGGTCCAAATGCAAAATTTGTCTGCAAGAACGAGACCTGTCTTCCAGAACTCAGTGGACCATGCACGGAAGATATTGACTGCTATCCCAACACCTGTGGACCAGGGGGTAAATGTGATAGCCCAAAAATGACGATGTGCAGGGGATGTGCAAGTCTATATCGCTCCCTTGGTGGACTGTCGATAGGTTTTTTCAGCAAAATCTGTCCCAAATACAAAGAATGCTAAGATTTGGGGGTTTGAACTCGACCATTACCCGATCGAGTCAGGATTGGGGTTTTCTGTCGATCAGGTGGCACGCACCGCTAAGAACATGCTGCCCAACGTCTACGCATTAGTTAATTCACTCTATATGGTTTTATAAGGCAAATTGGGGCCAATTCGGAATACCTGTATCGTAACATCTTAACACTCGCCTCTCGGGCTATGAGATCCCTCTCAGTGGCATACATACTTCAGTGTTCATTTGTCTTGCGGGCCAATTTATGGTGCTATATTGGATACGGCTTCACTTTAGCGAGGTGGTGATACGGAAGGATGTAGAGTTGAGCTATAACGTAGTTCGCTCACCCCACCGCCCAGTTTATCTTCATAATATGTTCTCTTCACCAAAATGCCCTTATTCTATTAGATATACAATTTTTACATACATTTATCTGGTGTCCAACCTCTCTGCATCCCGATAAAATTCTCTCCTCAACATTCTGCATTCATACACGTCCAATCGCATCTTATGCCGCAGAGCAACGTAACATGGCTTACATATTATCTATTCCAAACGAACATGCGCTTAGCTTTCCTCCAACTTATCAAACCGAACGTTCGACTTTCGTGATATTTCCCAACTCTGCCTTGCTCTTCACCCGCTTTTCGTTCCAGGGCCATGGCGTGCGAGAGCGCGCGTCACTAGTATTTTGTCTTCCAAACCTTGGGGGACTTTCGAAGTATAATGAAATGCACGTGACTGGAGCTACTGTAGAACTCCTACACCGTACGGCGTACACCTGCCTGGCCAGCAGATACTAGGATCATACGAGGTTTTTGTAAGTCCCTCTCCTTCTACCAGACAACGTTGGAGCTGGCAGGGGGGCTTCCAACCCGCCCCAAAAGTGTGTTGTGAATGTAGGGGCAGTACGAGTCAGTGTTCAAAAGATGGCCCTACAGTCCGGACCAGATGAAGCTACTCTGAAGTGTGGTATATCATTTTTCCCTGGTATGATTCTGCAAGCGAATATCTCGCGATGGCACAGCCTCGCAGTCATTGAAGCTGCGTTGCCGTCACCCAGCCCTAGTATCAACCCCGACATCGCTAAATTTTGTGCCATTATAATGGCTGAAGTACCCTTCAGCTTTACAGGTTTGCATTGATCCCGCTGGAAGGTGAACTCTGAGTCATTGTATCATGTCGGATTTACTAGAGCATATCCCCCAAGCCCCCAAACGCCAATGAATTGGTACCAGTGCCTGATCAGGTGATAACACGAGATCGAAAAATATCTATTATGATACTCTAATGTACCGTAGGCCCTACAGGGGGCCATCAGGTACTCGGCAATATCTGTTATATTGGATCAGTATCCTCGTCGTTTCTAATTTATTGGCATTCCTCCTTTTCTAGTGTCTTCGGATACTGTGAGAAACCCCCCCCCCCCCGCCCACCCCCAAAGATAAATCTGATTCTTGAACAATCTCTACATAAAGTAACAGCACTGCTTGTAGGCAGCCTACTCAATAAACAAAGTCTTGGTCAGAATGTTACGTGGCAGTCAACCCCTAGGTATGGACAGCAACAGGAAACTAAAACAACAGTGAAACATATATTTTTGCGGTGACTACCTACCTTGGAAACGTTGCTGTAGAGCCTGTTTGGGAGCATAGTTGATTATTTGGGAGTTAAGTACCTAGGTGTAAGATAGGTACTAGTCAATAGTCTGAACTGACTAACACTGAAAGATATAAGTATACAAGTTGGCTCGACGCCGCTCATCTATTCAAGAGCATCTGAATATGCAGGGGCCCGACCGCTGGACCCCAAGCGTGTGACCAAGGCACCAGCAGGCGGTTTAGCTCAAATTAAGCAACAGATGACACAAGAAGGAACCAATGAACAACGCATGTCCAACGAACACTGGCTAATTGCAGCCCTAATCAACCCCTGATCCCAGCGGTTCCTGTCCCGCGAAACATGTCTGCAGGGATTCACCAATTGGCTTTAAAAAGGCTTATCTCCGGGAAGGCGCTCAGTCCCACTTGATGCGATACGATCCTCGCCGACGTCCAGTTCTCCAATTCAATCTCAGTCAATCGCAGGGTGCTGCCTAGTGCTGGATCGAGATAAAACAGCTCTTTTTGAGTCGCAGGCACCTGCGGACGTCAGCTCTGCGGACGTCAGCTCTGTGGGCAGTGGATCATCAGCGGTCCCATTTGTCTGGGTAGGCAGTCCCGACCGCCCGGATTTGCATTTTTAGGAGCGCAAGGAGCTCGGCATTTAGTAAGCAGCCTCCGAGCTCTCGCGATCCCGAGACTGCCGTCCTTCTTCTCTTCCCTCACCGTTCTCGCCTTCGTCAAGAAAAGGAGATACTGGGCTTGCGCTGCCGTTTGTCACCAACATGTTGGATGGCCATGCGCAGATGGTGCTAGGGAACGCCCAGTCGGGAGAACTCTCGCCGTCGCGACTCGCCTCCGCTTTCGATCACCGCCAGCGACAGGCCTTCTGCGGCGATTCGGAGGGCTGGGGGCCGCTCAGTTCAAGCGGCTTCCACCTCACTTCATGCTTCGTGGATGTTGTTGTAGCCGTGGTCGCTGTATGGGGTTCGTTAGCTGGTCTCGCTGCACTGTGGATCTTGCTGAAGAAGCGCATTCCGCAACCCGTCTCCAAGAATTGGCACTTCTACGCCAAGCTGGTTCGTCGTCGATCCCGATTTCCCCAGACGCCTGCATTCCTGATGGTTCTAACCATTCTCCAATTCTCCGATAGGTTGTCCTCGCCGGTCTGATTTTCGTCACTGCGCTCCAAGCCGCCTTGCATGCCGAGACCGAGCCGAAGCACTTCTATGCCGACTTCCGTTTCTGGTCCTCCCTCTTGACGCTCGCCTCATTGGGTGTTATATACGCAGTACAGTACTATGAGCATTGGCGGAGTCGGCAGCCGAACGGGGTCGTCCTGTTCTATTGGCTCTTCTTCATCATTGCTTACGCTGTCAAGCTACAGTCGCTCGTCGCTCAGAAGGCTTACCTACAACATCTTCCATACTTCGTCTGCGTCAACGTTAGCCTCGGCCTCGCATTGCTAGAATTCGTGCTAGAATATTTTGTTCCCAAGAAGCAGAGCGCTTATGATGCCCTCGGTGACGAGGATGAATGCCCTTATAACTATGCCGACATCTTCTCAGTCCTCACTTTTGGCTGGATGACTCCGATGATGAAATTCGGATACAAAAACTACTTGACCCAAGATGATCTTTGGAACCTCCGCCGTCGCGATACTACCAGGGCGACCCTCGATGACCTGAATTCGGCTTGGGAGGAGGAGCTTGAGAAGAAGAAGCCCTCTCTATGGTTGGCTCTTTTCAAGGCATTTGGTGGTCCGTACGTTCGCGGAGCCATCATAAAATCGGCTAGTGATATGCTCGCCTTTGTCCAACCACAACTCCTACGATATCTGATCGCTTTCATCGATTCTTACCGGACTCCGGACCCCCAGCCCGTTATCCGAGGTGTGGCCATTGCCCTGGCAATGTTTCTGGTCTCGGTCTGCCAGACCAGCTGTCTTCACCAATACTTCCAGCGAGCTTTCGACACTGGGATGCGAGTAAAGTCATCACTGACTGCCCTCATCTATGCCAAGGCTCTGCGACTGTCAAGTGAAGGTCGTTCATCCAAGACCACTGGTGACATTGTCAACCACATGGCTGTCGACCAACAACGTCTTTCGGATCTGACCCAGTTCGGCACACAGCTGCTGTCTGCTCCTTTCCAAATAGCCCTGTGCATGATATCTCTCTACCAGCTTGTGGGACTCAGCATGTTTGCTGGTGTGGGTGTCATGATTCTGATGATTCCGATCAATGGTATCATTGCTCGGATGATGAAGAAACTGCAAATCATTCAGATGAAGAACAAGGACTCGAGAACTCGTCTGATGACTGAGATTTTGAACAACATCAAGAGTATTAAGCTCTATGCTTGGAACACGGCATTCATGAACAAACTCAGTCATATCCGAAATGATCTGGAACTCAACACCCTCCGCAAGATTGGAGCTACGCAGTCTGTTGCCAATTTCACCTGGCAGTCAACTCCTTTCCTTGTGTCTTGCTCCACGTTCACTGTCTTCGTCTTAACGAGCGACCGTCCTCTGACAACCGAGATCGTGTTCCCTGCCCTGACCCTCTTCAATCTTCTTACGTTCCCGCTTTCTATTCTGCCCATGGTTATCACCTCTGTCATTGAGTCTTCCGTGGCGGTGAAGCGATTGATGGACTACTTCACCGCGGAGGAGCTCCAAACCGACAGCGTGATCTTCCAGGACCCCGTGGAGCATGCAGGAGATGAGTCCGTCCGCGTTCGTGATGCTTCATTCACCTGGAACCGCCACTCTGGTATTCCTGTTCTCAAGAACATTGATCTGAGTGCTCGAAAAGGGTGAGCTCAGCTGCATCGTTGGTCGTGTTGGAGCAGGCAAGTCCTCTCTGCTTCAGGCGCTGCTTGGTGAACTATGGAAGAACCAAGGTGAAGTCGTCGTTCGTGGCCGTGTCGCATATGTCGCGCAGACCCCTTGGGTAATGAATGCAAGCGTTCGAGAAAATATTGTGTTCGGACACCGATGGGACCCTGCGTTCTACGATCTTACCGTCGAGGCCTGCGCTCTGATTGATGACTTCAAGATCATGCCTGATGGAGACCAGACGGAAGTCGGAGAGCGTGGTATCTCTCTCTCCGGCGGTCAGAAGGCGCGGTTGACTCTCGCTCGGGCAGTCTATGCTCGCGCGGACATCTATCTCCTTGATGATGTTCTTTCAGCAGTGGATCAGCACGTAGGGCGCCACATTATCAACAAGGTTCTGGGCAACTCTGGTATCCTTAACGGCAAAACAAGAATTCTGGCTACCAACGCTATCACGGTCCTTAAGGAGGCCGACTTCATTGGTCTCCTACGCGACAAGACCATTATCGAAAAGGGTACATATGAGCAACTTATGGCCATGAAGGGTGAAATCTCAAACCTTGTCCGGACAAACTTGGTAGAATCAGACGATGAACATTCTCCTAGCATCTCGGATGATGAACTTGCTAGTCCTCCCAGTTCGGATGATACAGCCGTAATCGACAATGGCGATGATTCGGACAGCGAGGACTTGGAAGAGCCTGGCTCTCTTGTTCCTATCAAGAGCTATGGCGATTCCCGCCGACGAACAAGTACTGTTACTTTGCGCAGAGCTAGTACCGCAACCTGGCAAGGTCCCCGTCGCAAGCTTGGAGATGAGGAGAATGTCCTCAAGACGAAGCAAATCCAGGAGACGTCGCAGCAGGGCAAGGTTAAGTGGAGTGTTTATGGCGAGTACGCCAAGAACAGCAATATTGTTGCGGTCTCTTTCTATCTGCTTGCGCTTGTGTCTGCCCAGACTGCCCAGGTTTTTGCAAACTACTGGCTGAAGAACTGGACCGAGTACAACGAGGCCCATGGCGGAAACGAGAAGGTGGGCAAGTTCATTGGCATTTATCTGCTCCTCGGCTTGGGATCGTCTCTCTTGGTCATCTTCCAGAACCTGATATTGTGGATTTTCTGCTCGATTGAAGCTTCTCGCAAGCTTCATGAGCGCATGGCATTTGCCATCTTCCGCTCCCCCATGAACTTTTTCGAAACTACTCCGTCTGGCCGTATTCTCAACAGATTCTCTAGCGATATATACCGTGTCGATGAGGTACTTGCCCGTACCTTCAACATGCTGTTCGCCAATTCTGCCCGCGCAATCTTCACCATGGTTGTGATCGCATCTTCGACGCCAGCTTTCTTACTCCTGGTCCTTCCGCTGAGCTGGGTCTACCTCAGCTACCAGAAGTACTACCTCCGAACCTCTCGTGAGTTGAAGCGTCTGGACAGTGTCACTCGCAGTCCAATCTATGCCCATTTCCAGGAGTCTCTTGGTGGTATCTCGACCATTCGCGCCTATCGCCAGGAGAACCGTTTTGCTCTTGAGAACGAGTGGCGTATGGACGCCAATCTCCGGGCTTACTTCCCTTCCATCAGCGCCAACCGATGGCTAGCAGTTCGCCTTGAGTTCATTGGTTCGATCATCATTCTGGCCTCCGCTGGACTTGCTATCCTCTCTGTTGCAAGTGGCAGCGGCCTCTCGGCCGGTATGGTTGGTCTGGCCATGTCTTACGCTCTTCAAATCACCCAGTCTCTCAACTGGATCGTTCGCCAGACGGTCGAAGTCGAGACCAACATTGTCTCTGTTGAGCGTGTGCTGGAGTACGCAAGCCTCCCCAGTGAAGCTCCCGAGGTTATCTTCAAGCGGCGACCTGCCGTCGGTTGGCCGGCCCAGGGTGCTGTCACTTTCAAGAACTACAGTACTCGCTACCGCGAGGGCCTCGACCTGGTGCTGAAGGATGTCAGCCTCGACATCAAACCTCATGAGAAGATTGGTGTTGTTGGTCGGACTGGCGCTGGAAAGAGTTCCTTGACGCTGGCTCTCTTCCGCATCATTGAGCCTTCTGGTGGTACCATCAGGTAAGAGCGGGTTTTCTTGTCATTACGCTATCCTTTGATGAATTTTGTACTGACATGGTTGACAGCATTGACGGACTCGACGTTTCCTCCATCGGTTTGTTCGATCTCCGTAGTCGACTTGCCATCATTCCTCAGGATCCTGCCATGTTCGAAGGCACTCTTCGTGATAACCTGGACCCACGCCATGCACATGATGATACGGAACTCTGGAGCGTTCTAGGTATGCTTGAATTGATTGGTATTCTATCTTGCAACATCCTTCTAACAAGGTTGCACCTTAGACCACGCCAAACTCAAGGACCACGTTTCTCGGATGGATGGCCAACTTGATGCTCAGATTCAAGAAGGAGGTAAGAACAAACTATCACGTACTGGCATCATCCTTAGCCAAGAATATTATCTAACCTTCTCTGCCTTCCAGGATCCAACCTGAGTCAAGGTCAACGCCAGCTCGTCTCTCTCGCTCGGGCCTTGCTCACACCCAGCAACATCCTCGTTCTGGACGAAGCAACGGTAAGCTTGCTGCCTCCTTTTCCTTCTTCTCCCCCGTCAACCTGAGGCCGCATCGGCTGACAATAGTAAAAATCCAGGCCGCCGTTGATGTGGAGACGGACGCACTGCTCCAGCGCACCCTGCGCAGCAGCATCTTCCAGGATCGCACGATCATCACGATTGCGCACCGCATCAACACCATCATCGACTCAGATCGCATTGTCGTCCTCGACAAGGGCCGGGTGGCGGAATTTGATACGCCGGCCGAGCTGATCAGGCAGGGTGGCCGCTTCTACGAGCTCGCCAAGGAAGCCGGCCTGCTTGACAGCGACGGTCTCGCCAGCTCGTCCTCGCGAATCGCATAAAATTCAATCGCTTGTACATCGCCCTGACAAGTTTTCGGCGTGTTTCGGCAGCTACAATTTCGGGGAGGAGAGCGAGACTCGTGCAGCCCGTCATAGCACATCCGGAGGCAACAGCATTTCGCAAGCCTGAGTGGCTCGGGGAGTCCGGACCTGTTCTAGAGCTCCTGGGCCGATCTGGATGAGCGCGGATGGCTGATGGTTGGATTGCCACGCCGGCTGCATGGATCTTGTCTCTTCATCTATTCAAACGCACAGAGGTGGCCCCTGCTTCTTGAGGCTGACTGGGTCTGTTCGTTCCGGTCTGGTCATCTCTTGCCTGTCTGCGCATGGGTGATTTGGCCATTTCCGCTGTATGGAGAAGGGTGACTCCTCTGTCTTTCAAAAGGCAAATTCGATCTAGACGCCCCCCAGAACACCCCTGGCAGGAGTGGAGTGGACTGGAGAGGAGACGACATAAAGCCATCCGATGCAAAGAAAAAAAAAGTTTCCTTTTTCACCACCCTTTCGTTAGCCGCCAGTGTTTCAATTATTTTGCGCCTCGATGCAACACGATCGAGGGCCGCCAATTGGTCTGTACCCCTGAGAAAACTTGAAAAGCGCTTTGTTCTCTTTATTATTCCAAATCATCTCTTTCACTTGACGTCGTGCTTTGCATTGTTCCCTTTTCTTTTCTTTTCCAAAGCTAAATCTTGCATTGGCTGCCCTCCGGGTTTCCGGTTCTTGCCCCCTATGGCTTCGGTTGTACCCGTGTTCAGCGTCATGTTTACTTTTGTTAATACTAGCATGTGGATAATACACGCCCCGAGAAAGTGCCAGCACACGCGATCGAATCCAAAAAAGAACAGGTCTTTATCGTGTCGTATCTGTAAAGGAAGGAGGGGGAGGGGAAGGGAAGGGAAGGTTACTTTGCATGGACAGAATGACATAACTGCTTTTTCTTCGGTCCTTGTCCTTCCTTGCGGTTCGAATCAGTTTCGGTGTCGCCGGGATGGTTTGCAGTAGCGCCGTGTCCAACGTGGCGGTGACATCTCATGATATCAAAATGTTCGCTGCGCCGGGGGGTTGGACTGGGGGGGCGGTTGTAGCGGTGTACACGATCAACCGGGACCGAGTACACCGCCGCCAGCTGGCTAGGGCGCCTCTTCGATACTTCGCAGAGAAGGAGCAGCACCCCCGGTCTAGTCTGTCAGCTTCGGGGTTGGGCGCTTTTTGCCTTCGCTTTTCTCGCTTGCGGAAAGAATTGGGACCTGGCTCTAGCAGGAGGGGGTGCGGGTTCACAACCCTCTTTCCCCCCCCGGTCAATACCAACTCATCCCGATATACGGTACATTCGCCACAGTCACAGATCAATCCACATAGATGGCCACACTCTCCCGCATGGGCATGGACCAGGGCCTTCGAGGTCCATGCTGCATTGGAACTGGAATTCAACCCCACTGCATTGAACGACGTTCAGCGTGGCCGTCGTGCATCGCATCCAGAAATAGACCGGGGAAATATATACTCGTCGCACCTCAATAGTGGGAACGCCGACAGAGGGTGTCCCTTGCGGCTGGCTCGCTGACAGTTATGGAATTTCTTTTCACGCGGTCCCATGCACGTACTATAGGTTGGAGTACATGGTGCATGGATGGCAGGCGAAGGGAGACAATAACACATGGGCCAGGGGATGTTGATCCCATCAACATCCTGAGGAGCCAAAGCCTCATGTCTGGTTGTTTGCAGGCGCGGCCAGGGCGCCCGCTCGATGTGCGAATAGGTTCCGCTCGTCCCCTTCAGAGCGGCGAAGGCCCGACCTGGCCCAGCTCCGTGGAATGGATGTGCATGAGAGGCGGTGGAGTCCGCAGGGAACAGCCGGGCATTTGGGGGTCGAATGGGGGCATGGGGCGTATCTACGTAACCAATCCGAAGGCAATTTACGGTCCTCCCTGCATCTCGTTCGGGGCCTTCTTACTCGATCGTCTCTTGCTACCGCCAGTGCTTCCATTCATGTACGGACGTGCTTACTTCCTCTGGACCCAGCCGTCTGCTCACAGCTAGCAGCTACGTGCAGCGTACCTGAGTCCGCGGCCGCGGTGTGGAATGCGCGATCCTCCCGCTATATCAGCGAGTCAATATATCAGATCTCGCGTGGCACAGGGAGTTGCATGTCGTGTTATTCCTGTCAGATCAGATGAGAGGGGCGATCGACCCCATCTGCCCCTCTTCGTATGCCGGATTCTGATCGTTGCGTCGGACAGCTTTTCCCCCGTCTGGGCTCTGTGCTCTGGCCTGCTCTGGCCAGGGCTATGCTATCATTGGGGGAACGCAACCTCCGGGGTTCGGGATGGGCCTTCGTTTCAGCTGTTGCCGCGGGGCATGTACGCTGTCTTCCATCGTTCAGCAGTGGTGCTGGCGCTGTACGGAGTAGGCAAGGGATGCAGCCGCCGCGGGGTCAGTGCTCTGGCGTCTTCGGGGAATCGCCGCACCCGTTCCAGCAATCTTGTTCGAAGGGCCACTGTTTGCCGATAAGCCAATGGGATCTCGGGACGGGCAGGATCCTGGAGTGAGATCATATCCGGCGAAAGGTAAAATGGCGACGGTTCTGCTTTCTCACGGGGTATCCATGTCTGCGACCCCCGACTTGGCCGTCAATGCTGCTGTACGTGGTCATGGCCCTCAGATAGCAGATCGATCTGGCGTCGAGACCAGCCGGATGGCACCGTCCGGCCCATCCATGTCAATCATCCTCCCATCGTCGGGGTCATTTGACAAGCCTGTGCAAAGCGGACCAGGCGACATCATCCAGCCTGTTCCAGCCACCTTGTCTGCGCTCCCCGAACACCTCCGAATTCGAGGCAGATGATGCCCGGCGTCCGTACTCTTTCCCCGCCTGGAAAAGTCCCAGTGGCTGCTGGCAGCGCTGCTTGTGCGACGTCGATGCAGGAGTCGCCGTACCTGCGATAGTGCACCGTCCGACGATCCTACGATCCTCCTGCTGAGCGCAGAAGAATCTCCTTTCTCCCCGTACGCACCCTCCATCACCAGCAGGCTACCAGGGGTTTGCCCGTGGCCCCAGTGCTAGTGGGGTGGATATTTTCTCCGCTGTGGACAGGGATGCCATGTGCGAACCTGGTACACGGTAACCATCCAGCCAGCCGCAAACAGGCTGCCCCTCCCCGATCGCCATCTACCATCCCTTTCAAGGCCATCGGTTCTGAGATGGATGTTGCACAGCGCTGCACATACTCGGTCCCGCATCGACAGCAGACAGCAGACAGCAGACAGCAGACAGTCGACGGTAGACCGTCGACAGGAGACACTTTGATAGTCATGGCTGTATGATCTGCAGCCGTCCCGCAGGCCATTCTAGAGCGATCCTGCACTATGCCACTTCGTACATACACGGCAAAGTTACAGAAAAAGTGGACGAACGCCGGGGATTACTTGCGGCCACGGCACGCCTCAAGCTCGGATCATTTCCAAGCGGGAGGCGGGAGCGGTACGCCACATAGTGCTCCATCCATCGAGCGACATGGAGGGAAAGGCTGGATGCGCGGATGGGCCCCGGAAGGTGGGGAGGAAGGGAAAGGGGGGGAGAGGAGGGAGGAGCAAAATCTTCTGGTGCATAGCCCGATGGACTGGTCCCTCATGGCTGGCATGGTTATGCCAGATGATCGTCGAGATGACCAGGTCGGCGGGACTGTGATCGAGCGGGATCTGGCAATCTGGGTGCTCGGGATGGCAGTGCATAGGCCTGTTGTTCGGGGCAGAGGCAGAAGAGGGATTAGTGGATTGAGGGTGATGCCACGGCGATGAGGGCTAGTGGGCGTGGCGGAGCCGAGGATATGCGAGCAGTGCCTTGCATCGGGAAGCTTAGGATGTGATTGCAGTGAACTTCCAGTCGAGGTAGGTTCCGAAGCTTTTCGGACGGAGGGGGAAGGGTAGAGCGCGGAGGATACACCGGGTAACTCAGTAGATGACTGACCGATGGATATTCCCTATGCAACGGAGAGCCCTCAACACTAACGTTATCGCGAGAGGGGTTTTCGTCGATGACGCTGTCACGACGGAATACGGAGATTGTGTCCAAAGTACCAAATCCAGTATTTGTCACGAAGGCTCCAGAACCCAGGTTCCCGCTTCCCAGCAAGGGATCGTCTCGCGTGGATCGGGCCTCTCCGGTAATGGGGAAACCCAGTTCCGGGGACATGGTCCCTCCTAGTTCCCTCCAAGAAGTTTAGTCCTCCACCGGTGACATGGACGAAGTAGTCGGCGCTAGTCCGATCCAGAGAAGTTACACTCGAGATTTGCCATAAGGGTCGCGGAAAGCAAGTACGGTGCGGTCTGTCGTCATGATGTGGCTGCAAGCATGCCCCATTGGTTGCTCCATACCAATTGCATACCGGCCATGGCGTGTCGCCGACCGTTCGCCGCCCGTCTCCGTTCACTCAGCTGTGCGAGAGAACAAGCACAAAATCCCACGCACAATGGCATTGTTTCAGCCACACCTCTCGATCGGGTCCGGACGCGGATCTCCGCCAGGGACGATCTTAGCCGCCGCTTCGGGCAATTTGTCCGTGCCTGCAGGTTTGGGAGGCTGGAGTACACTTGCAGAGGATCCTGCCTGTACTCCGTACTCTCAATTTAGAGGTAGGCCTCTGGGAGACCGAGTTCAGTAGAGACAGTCATTATCAACCAGGGCAGGGAAGGGAAGCTTTGTTCGTCCGGAGCACGGGGACGAAACCCAGCCGCTTGTCTTCGTACTGGCCCATGCGAAGACCCAAAGACGAGAACTCTCAAACGGGAGATATCATTTGTCTAGACCTGCTAGACTGATGCATGCCATCGCGATGGACCAGGTGAAAGGTCTCGACGTCTCGGCGTGCCCAGCGTGATGGAATTTCCGAATTGGCGGAGGCTTTGGAATGGGCCGTCGGGGAAGATTTGTAGCGCGCCGTGAAGGTTTGCGCTAGCGAGCATCCGGGCATCGGGGCCATGCAGCGACGGCGCGGTGCTAGACTGGGGGCATTTGGGGGTTACTTGGGGGTTGATTGGGTGAGAATGCCCGTTCACACGGAGGCGTCCTGCAAGGATCGGGAGAGGGGCGCGTTCACCCCAGCCCACTGGTCTGTCAAGCCACGGAAACCCCCCGGCCTGCCCCAGCTGTGATATCCAGGTAGCTGGGAATAGATCCGCCAGGGTGTTGGGATCGGCGGAATATACGAGGCCGGAGGCAGCCATCGGCGACCATCGGCGAGAGGCAGATTGATGTGGTCGAGAGGAAGGAGAAGTTGTCCTGTTGACACCGCGGAGGACTTGGCCAGTCTCCTCCTTTCCCCCGGCAGGAACACATGGCCTCCTGCGCATAATGTCCGCGGGGCGAGCCTCAGATGAGCATGAACCACATCGCCGGGAGTCCTTTTCCAAAATCTTTCACGCAAGGGCGACTTTGCTTTATTTTTTTTCGCTCACGACGCCATTGCCAGGTATAGTTCCCAAGCGAGCAGCGGGGCTGGGGCGATCACTGGAGAGACGTCGGAATGGTTCTCCACTTGGCCGGGCGGAGGCATAGAGGGACACCCGAGTGCAGAGGAATCGTCATTCATGCAAAAAGACAATACGCAGTAGGCAATAGACAATAGGCAATAGACAATAGGCAGTAGGCAATAGGCAAAAGGTCCGAAAGGGCAATTCCGTTTCATCGGTTCAATCCGCAGAGTTGAAACGAAAACACACAAGCGCGAATCCCGTCCTTTGGCGCTCCCCGCTCTCACGACCGGACTCCATTCTAAGAGAACGACCAAGAACGACAGCGCAAAGGCCAGGTGTCATTCCCACGCGGAGTGCGCTGCCCATCTTGTCATCCTCGCGCAGCACCCGCCACCACGAACAGAGCGAATCGCGTAATCAATGGGCCTTGAAACCATGCCGGTCGGCGATAACAGCTGTCGGATGCAACATCATTGGCCCATGGAGATGCAAGGCGCTTAGGAGCCTCCAGGGGGAGTCGGGAAGACCAGTCCTGCAGAAAGGCTATGTTTATGTTGCATCTGGGGGGGCATTGTTGCGTCACGCCCTGTTAATGCCAAACAGAGCCTGCAGAAGTCGTGAGTCAAGACTAAGGGGCTGATAGCGGCCAGGACCCAGTGTCCATCCCGGGCTCATTTGACGGGGTGTCAACAAAGTACATGGTGGCAGCGCGGTAGTACGTAAGTGGGAACAATAGTCTGTCTGGAACATCCTGTCTTGCATGTGCATTTGCATGCGTCTTTTTGCATGTTGCATTTTTAGTTGGCGTTTGCCATGGCTGCAGTAGGGCTGCACCGCTGAGGACACACCATGGGTGCGGGCGGGCCGGGCCAGTATGGAGAAAAGAATACGCTCCTGCAGTCTCACATTGCTTTTGGTGTAGAGGGAATTCATTGGGCCGTCGATCGTATTGTACATCCACGAATGGAGACGGTGGAGCCCCAGCGCGACAGTAGTGCCATTTGTCGCACTCCATATAGTCGGGACACCTGGAGGCGCACGGAATATAGGGAGGAGAGGGGGCGCTATGGGCGATTCGCCTATGGACTGTATACCGTAAACAATGATGACAGTCTGCCTCCCGGTGGTCTAGAACTCCACCCTGGCCGTCGTGTTGCGAACGAGGCCAGAAGCGGGCCTTGGCTGCTCACGATCGACGCTCTCCACTCTGGCCCACCCCCTCGGTGTCTGGTCTCCCTCTGGGGCATAACCATCCAGACGGTCGGACTTTGGTCAGTCTGGGAGCCGATCGCCATGGTTGGAGGGAGAGCCGGTTGCCTATTTCCGTCGGCAGCGACCGATGACCCAAAACAGGCCATGCTCCCGGACAGGATCGCTTTTTGAAACCGCCCCAACGGGTGATCAACGACATGCCTAGGGAAAAAAGGGGGGGGGGAGATGAGCTCCGATCGAGGGGAAGCTGGTCACACGGCTTCGAGAGCCATAGAGCTTCCAGAAAGCAGGTATCGCGCGGGTGCGTACCTGGGGCCGATGATTGCCAACTTTGACCCTATCGCCGGGTTCACGGTGGAGCCCGCGCTAGCCATGATAGGAGTTTGACAGCCTTAGTTTGCCCCGGTCCGCTCTCCCCGCCCCACCGTAGTGGCTGGCTTGAATGGCTGGCAAGGCTTGGGGTGGCGTTTGATAGGCGTCAAGTCTGGCCCGAGCCCGGCCCGCAGGCACCCCAAAAGGGGGAGGTCCAGAGTTTCCCAGCTGCCAATCATATTCCTCCGATGTATACGTCGTCAAAAGTACCTTGCCAAAGCACTGCGCAGGTGACCCAACCCGTCCCAACGTGACTAGTTGGACCACCCAAAGCCTCGCCAAAAGTCCCAGGAACCCCCCGTCAACCTGGACGCCAAAGACGATCTGGGCCCTGTTCTCTCTCCTCCCCTGGCCCCAAATTCCAAGCCCCAAGCCCCAAGCCCCAAGCCCCAAGCCCCAAGCCCCATTGAGGGCCATGACATCATGCCCTGGCTCGCAGCTCCGATGAGCCTACGATCGATGCACATCATTGAACGATCTAGCGCGCGGCCGTTCGGGTCGCCGTTCTCCGGTGCGTTAGTCGTATGCCTTCCTCGGCCGCCTGCGCTCCCGAAAAATCACATCGAGCTCGGCCACAATGATCATGATAGTCGTTAAGATACGAGACGCACTGGACAACATTGATTCTGGTCTAAAATCTCATCCATGATGGACCAGGCCCTGATCGTCCGCCCATTCTGCCATCTTTGCATAGTTGCCTCCCGGTATCTTTGTTTGGATGCTCATCCATGCACCGAAATGACGGTCTGGATCGTGCAATTGTCTCGCGAACAGACTCCCATTCCCTCAAATCCTTTGTCCTTTTGCGTCTGCTCAGCCCGCTCCCCCTTTTTATTGCTTCGTATCGATATCGATCGAAGAGGATGGCGCGCTCCCGGGCCTTCGTGGCCCCAGCTTGACAGCCATTGCGATTGTGCGAACCGAGATAGTTCAATTATCGACTATGGAGGCTAATAGTCGAGGCGAGCAACGGGTCGAAAGTACGAGTGTTGCTCGGTGTTTCCTTCTTCCAGAATCACCCTCGCGTGGCGGTGAACGAACCACGCAGTCTTTCAAGTCTCGTCGCCAAGTATGCTATATACTGCGTACTGAGTCATCCAAGCGGGACTTGCAGAAGTGCAGGCACAGGCAGACCTCGCTGGCAAGGTCGACTAATAAAGTAATCAAGCTTCACAATCCCAAACAAGACCACAGAGGGCCCAGTTCATCCTTGTTTCCGGCACCTGTCTCCCGCTTGTTCCACCCGGAGTCAACCCCTCCATACCAAGCCCCCGCCAGGATGAACGAATCCGCCTATCCCCGACTCCGGGCGCCGCCCCTCCCCCCAGCCCACCCCTATTCGCCCTGTTTAGGAACGTCAGTGCACTCCCGCTGTCACATCCTCCAGGTTCCCAAGCCAAGGCCGCGCCTCACCAGCCCAGTTTCAGGATGATGGTATCATAGCGAGCGTGGCCGAATATCTCCGGCGCATCTCTGGTCTCATTCTCGTCCTTTTGACCGTCCCCATTCGATCTTCCTGCCTTGGTCGGCGCGGACAGCGCTCGACGGCCATAATCGCAGGCCTATTCTGTCGCCCGGGTTGCCGTGTTTGCCGGGTGTCAAGCCACACTAGCCCGCATCCACCCTGCCAAACCTGATCCTAGCCAGCGCGTTTCGCCCGGCTGTAGAAAATCCCTGCACAGAGGACTACCTAAAACCGAGTCCCAGGAATAGAAGTGGGACGGGGATGGGGTACAGGGGTCTACTGCGAAAACCCTCCCATCTGCAGGTTGGCGAATGGAGCAAATGGAGCAAATGGAGCAGTCGCCAGGGGTTGTGCTACAGGGACCTTCCCTGTACTTTAATATAACATCGGGGGCCTGCTGGGGTCCGGCCCAGCTGTCAGCATGCTGGGCAAGTGTGGCGGTGGAGGGCACGTAACTGCAGGTTTTTCAGCTGAGCACTGCGTCCTCGAGCTGAGCCACGTGTGGCTTGGTCGGTCCGAGCGTTTGCATTGTGCATGCTACTGTGCACTACCCTCTGTGCATCTATACGGAGTCCATGCGGCATTTTGCATAGTGCAAAGTGAACAGTGCAGCGGCGATGGCCGCGCTGTCGGCGTTTGCGAGGGCGGAGCCAGAGTAGCGGCCCCCATGGAGTTTCTTTGTCGGTCATAGTGATCGTCTGATGCTTCGGGGCAAGCCGTGTCCACGTCTTTGTCCTGTATCGAGTATGATTCCGCGATATTATGTTCTAAGGTTGCTTTGTATCGACACGGAACGAGTCACTCCCTTTTCGTCGTACAGCATGCTAGTATGCGCCAGAGCCAACGGGCCGAGTACCCAATGCATAGGCAATATGACAGTAACCCGAAGAAAAAGCAAATTGCACCGGGGCAAAACAGGACCCGGCGAGCGGCCGGTGGATGGGATGATTGGACGATTGGACGATGCGATGTTGGCGTCAATGGTCAGTGGTGGGTGGAGCGTGGTGGGGGACGCAAACAAAGCCTCCGAAACCACCCCCTTACGACCTACAGTGGATATGGCGTGTGGCTCCCGCGCGACGTCAAGCTGGTGGCTATTATGCAGTGCTTTACACCGGCGTCGACATTGATATCGAGGCAGATGGAGGCAGTTATTGAGAATGACAAATATGTCCCTAAGTACGGGGTTTCGAGACAAAGGTTTTAGACTAGTGGTCATGCGACAACTCTAGGTCGATAAAATTCTCACTAGCACGGATCGAGACCAAGATGTGCTTGTGCTTCATTGATCGAGTTCCGCGTCGGGTTGCTTTGTGTCGTCGCTGACTCAATTTTCAGGCGCGGGCATAGCGGGTGACTGGCCCTGTCGCTCGACCGATCCGACAACCAAAAACGAAGGGCTCGGTTCCCGGCCACAAACGCAGGAAAGCGAAAACAGAAAGCGGGCACTGTCGCAGGACGAGAGGAGTAAAAGGCAATCGACATCGAGATCGATCAAACACGGCGCAGGTACAGTCCCTCTACTTGCGTTCGGCTCTTGTTTGCGCATGACACGGCCGCACTGCTCCATCGCGCGGGCTCCCGCAGCTCACAGTTGCCTGCTATCACTATCACCACCATGGGATGATGCTGAACTAGGAGAACAGGATTATACATCCCGGGCCTGGGTCGAGGGTAGCCAAGTGGCCCCTCCATCACCCCTCCACCCCCCGGGTCTCACCCGCCCGGGAGATGCACGCGTTGACGGCCGCTTGGGTAGATGGTGCCCTTGCCCTGGGCTCGCCGTAACGCCGACCCGGACTAGCCTCCCCAGGTGACCCGATGGGGCCCAAGAGAGAGGATGTTCTCCATACGTGACCCAAGGAGGCTATTGGTCGCTCATCAGTGCGCCCTGGTTCTCTCGGGGAACTTCGTTGGCTGGTTTGAGTTCGACGGGGGGAGGGGCAACAAAGGACCATTTGGCCGCTAAGACCACTAAAGACCGCTAGACTCCAGACCCGGAACTGCTTGGGAGACAAAAAGTACGGCGGCTAACCAGCGGGGGTCGAGATAATCGTAATCGACAGCCCTTTCATGAGGCAGCCTCTTAGCGAGCGTCGTGTTGGGCGATCGCCGGGCCATTGTTGGTCGAAATACGGCAGGACTTTTGTACTTCGAAGTATAGCCACTCCATGTCCAACTCCGGCATCGGTCTCGATTGGGTGCTAGAACGGTCTGATCTTCGTGTTCTTTATCTCGAACATGCGCGGCTAGACCACATCCCCGAGTCCATTCCGGTGCTTTTGTTCTTCCAATTTCCGTGCTGCCTCGTTTTCCCGGGCTTTGCGCACTTTGCTGTTCATGTGGCGAAGAGTCGCGGTCTGATCACAGGGGGTTCCAGCACCAGCTGAAATCGTGGCCAAGAGTGGCCAGCAACCAGCATATCCTGGCGAATGACCCCACGGGCCGTTTCTGTCATGTCGGCGACCGTCAAGCCGTGAGAAGAGTGTAGGGCCCAGGGGTGCCGATCGACCAGGGGGCAAACCATTACGGAGTACAGACGTCGGTCGTCCAGTTGGCGATGCGCCAATGGCAGCACTGGAACCGCCAACGCCGGCCCCCGAGAGTTGAGATATGTATAGCCTTAACCCTATCAACCCCAGACTGAGAACCACCACAGCAAGCCCTACTGGCGCGTCATTCTTCGACATCCCAGGGTCCGGGATGATGGGCCATGCACAAGCCCCATCTTGATAGGTTCGTGGAAACGACGGGGCCCCCTCCAAGCCCCCGGCACGCCCTCGGATGACCTCGCTTATTGGAGGCGGTCTTTGACAAACTAGCGCCGGGGCACATTGCATTCAGATCCGCCGATCGAGCTCGGCCGCGCGCTCTGTCAGCACTGGCTGGTTGGAGGGGTAATCTGATTGGAGTGCTATGGTGGGCTACACGTTGATCATTCGCGGGGAGCCTTTTTCCCCTTGCCTAGCACGCGATACGGGGGTAGATACGGTAATCAGGACGTAGACTGGTGTACTTCCGCCTGGCAGGCCTAGTGCCTGTGGACAAATCTGCAGGCGATTCCCAGTGTGCGGAACCTCCGAAGCTGAAGGTGATCGGCGCACCGTACCTTAAGAATAGCACCCACACTACCGGGCGTGGGCCCCGACGCAAGGCAGGGCTTGTGCGTGTTTGAACACGAACACTGGGGGACAGTATTCCGGTCGCTGGACCTGTGCCTGACAGCTCTGGAGGCGTAGATGGTGCGACCAGGGTTAAATGAGCTACGACGCTGCGAGGTCGCCAAACAAAGAGAACAGGCCCGAGGTCAGCGTGGATCCCGCGGGCTTGATCCCCCCATCAGAGTGCCTGAGCTTGAACTGTCAGTCTCAGAATAAGGAAGATGGGTCTAGTACGTTGATGGAGTCGTGTTGCCATGTCAATATCAATAGTACCATGGGGAAAACGGTTAGAACCATCGCGGTGGTTGCCTCGCCCTGGGAGCCAATGGCACAGGACCCCTATGAGAATAGGGACAGTCACTCCCAACTTTCAACTTGATCCTCCACAGCCCGTAGTGACTACCAAAGAAATGGAGAGTTTCCAGTGGTGTGGGTGGGGGGACGAGCGAGAGGCGGACGATCGATAATCGGCAGCGCCACGCTGCTTGGGGAGAGGGGGGGTGGGGGGCCGAGGAACGGACTCGACGCCAAAGCGGGACTGTCAATGGGAAATAAAACGGAGCAAAAGACCGTAGAAAAGAGGAAATAAAAGCAGGCAGATTCGGACCATCCTGTCATGGCGATCTACCCTAAAAGTCGAATCCGACAGGGGTGCCAAATCGGGAAGCGGACTTTGTGCATTAGTTTTGTTAGTTTTGTTAGACTGCTCAGTGCTTTTCTGCTTGTCGCCTTCCTAAGGGTGGTTGGCATCCTCACTACTGCATGTCCGCCCTCCACTGCGCCAATCTCGCTGCGACCTGCATAGCGCGATCAGGATAATTAAAATCAATTATTATTCTTTATGATTTATGATTTTCTCGTTCCTTAGCTGCTGCTGGGGATCCCCCGGCTTTCCGATGACCCTCGGTCCTCAGGGATCATCCTGGCTTGCTGTGGCACAGTTTGCGCGATGCTCGCTGGACTTTACGACCTCGTACTTCTGGCCGAAAAAAATCCCTAAATTCAAATTCAAATAAATTCGAAAATCGAAAATCGAATAATCCCCAAACTCCCCCCCCCCATGGCTCTGGGCCGCGCAACTTGAAATAGCCCTGCACATCTCCCTCCTCCTCCCCCCAAGCTGCCAATTTCCCATTTCCATTTTCATGGTTCTTCTTCTTGACTGTGGAAAAGGAACAAAATCAATTTAAAGCCCCCTCTCTCTTCCCCCTTCTTCGAGAGCTGTTCTTTTATTTTCTACTTCCGCTTTGACCCACCTTCGACCCCGTTGCTCAAGCTTCCGTGGTTCCATACTTAATCCTGCCCGCCTCCCCTCCAGGGTCCCATCTAGGCGTGCCAAAAAATATTTGATATACAACCAGGCCATCCCCATCCGGTGTGACCATATCAATCCAACCGCAGTCCAGTCCCGTCCCGGTCCGGTTCAGTCTCCGGCTTGCAGCACTGTTCCAACCTGGGCCCTACCCGGGAACACAAGAGAGTGGAGTATATTCCTCTCGTTCCTGCGTCGCCCTCTTTCCGTCGGTTGCAGACAGCAACTACTCTCTGCGGTCTTCCCTCGCATTGCGGATATAGCTCGATCAGCATAGCTTTCTGGTTGTCGAGCGAGCTAGCCAGTCAGCTGTCACACCACCTCCACACCCCAGCTTCTCTGCTTCTCTCTACTTCAAAAAAACGGTAAGTGATGATTATCCCTGCATAACAACCCAATCTTGGTCTGGTTCGCAATAAGCTTGACTTCGAGCCGTTCGCGGGTTGGCAGTTGTCGGTGAGACAGCCTCCCGTCGGAAGAGCCGCCGTTGGGGATTGACGGGGAACGGTCAGGAATGGCGGCTTCTCGGAATGGCTTGATGCGGTTTGCATGTCATATCACAAGGTTCGAATTTGGAGTGCAAAGGCTAAAGGCTGCTGGAAAATCTAGACCCTCTCACGCGCTAGTTTCACTCTATAAGAAGGACTGTTTCCGTCTTTCTTGAGAGCGCCGGCGCTGCAACAGACTTGTTTCTGTTCCTTGGACACGTGGTATACTTGTTTGACTATCGATACTACATCTTGAATTTGCTGGGGCTTCTACTCGACAAGAGGACCAGCCTCATTCACGCAGTACTGTGTGATCAAATTTGGCCACGGCTCCGCGATCCCGGATACTCGACACCATGGTTTACAGCAAGCCGAATACGTCTACTGGCGCTATGAAGCGCTCTGCTTCCGCCCTTCATGAAGGCGCTCCTGGGTGGGATGTCGCTCCCGTGAGTTTAGTCCCACAGAAGGAGGGAAATACAGTAGTTAACCGTACCCCAGCCCATGATGACCCCATCGCGTTCATCTTTCCGCCTGCCATATGCGCACTACGCCCTGATCTACCTCGACAATGACGGCAAGCTCAAGGTGGACGAGTCTGCCTCGATCCAGGAGCAAAATTCCACCGTTTTCACCCCAGAGGTCCGCCAGAACTTCCTCGAGATCCTTGGTGAACGCATTGGCTTCCACCAGCCCATTCGCCGTAAGTCCTGATTGGAAGTTTGGTCCCGCGATGGTCCTATCTAAATCAACAATATAGGTACCTTGGACGCATCCCCTCGCCGTGTCCGCCGTCGCCGTGGCAATGCGCCTGGCTCTGGCATCGTCGACGACCGCCTGGCCGACGCTGGCTCGGACAGCGATGACTTCTCCCCAAATGGCTCCAACGAGATGGTCCCCCTTCGCATCGGCGATACCTCCAAGGTTATGAGTTACTACGAGGGTGCCCTGAAGCACTTCCAGCAACTCAACTGCCGCATGGTCGCCAAGGCCTTCATCAAATTCATCGAGCCCCGCAAGCAGGTCCGACACCCTTACAACGGCGGTAAGCCTCCACCAGGCTCGGCTCCCGGCACGACTGGCGACCCCGAGAAGACTAAGCCCGAGTGGTGGCCCCCGGGTGTCATGCACAAGGAGCCTGACCACCTGCGAAAAGAGTGTATGTTTGATACCGGTTTTGATCCTCTCCATCTTTTCTGACGACATCTTTAGACCGCATTGAGCTTCTGCTTCATATCATTCGCAAACTTGGTGGCCATGGTATCACAGCCGATAAGCTGAAGGAGGTCGCTGGCGACACAAAGCGCAGTCTGAAGCACGCGTCCCATGTGGAGATCATCTATGAGATCCTCCGAGTGCGCAAGATGGAGGAGCGTTTTGAGCGCGGAGAAGTCGGTATGAAGAGCTCCAAGAAATCCTACTTGCATATTAATCCTGACATGGTTTAGATTCCAACATGGTCGTCTATGTGATGAACCGAGGACCCAGCCCTAAGGGTGATGAGGACGAGGAATCCAACGAGGGCACCGTTACCGCCATCGAGGGCCCCGAGTCCATCGAGGACGGCCTTCTGACTCCGACTTCCTCGATCGCACAAAACGCTTCGCTGACGACTCCCATTGATACAATGCCCGTACCAACGCGGTCTCTCTCAACCGGCTTCTCCATCCCGCAGCCGCTTAGCTTCGACGCCCCTCGACAAGACCGTCCCTACTACGCCACCCCCCCCACTACATAGACTCATTCTCGCAGTCCATGCTTAGCACCCCGGTCACCGCCGAGATGATCAGCCCGCACGACGTCTCAGTCTTCGATTACTCCAACTCCCACCCATTCCCGAGTTCAACACCGGACCAAAAATACGACACCTGGGCCCCCACCTTCCGTCAGAATATCTTCAGCCCGGTGGACTACAACACCCCCGCTACGACACATGGCCTGCCACCACCCGCGATGCAATACCATATGCCCATGGCATCGCCAGCCCAGCTCCACGACATGACGCCCATGGATTCGATGGGCCAGCGGGCCCTACCCTTTCGCACTGGCTCGCTGGGTCACCCGCACGAAATGCCTCTCCCCCACCCAGCCTAAGCATGCACCAACGGACGGGCAGGTCCCGGTTGACGAACGCCCCGGCAACCAATGGCTAAAAGAGGTGCACGGGTTTTAACGACTTCGATGACTGAATGGCTCTGATTTCCATACCATACCATATCACATGAAAGCACTTGATACAGGGGCTTGGCTTGTTGAAGGAGTTCCATTTCCATTTTCATTCTTGTTTATCTTTGTGAATAAAAAATAGGTCGGTGTCACCAGGAAAGAACCGCGCAGATATGGGGTATGGGGTTCTTTTTGGTTTTTGTGTTTGACAATATCTGGATTCTGGATTCTGGATTCTTTGTTGTTTTGGTTGCGCTGCGTTTTGCTTTTCATATATCTTCCGGCTTTTGTGGTCTTCCTCTCGCTTCTTTGTCGCCTTTCCGTCCTTCGCTAATACTGTGATATGTTTTTCCACTTATCTTTTTCGTGATCTCTTCGTCATGTATATGGATTAATTTTATAGTTTCCCTGGTGTGTATGCTCTCTGGGGCTTCTGATTTTCGATAAACAATCTTGTCTGGTCGATCTATGAAATCTTTTTATTGAAATTACCTCTGCCTTTTTCTTGCCTAGTACCGTAAATGAATGAATGGATAAATGGATGGTAGGCTACCAGTTACAATCCTAGTACGCGAATCAGTGACCGGCTTCCCTGCCTCCTGCCTCTGGATTTAATTACCAGGTAATAGGTTGTCATCGCTGCCTGGAGAAAGCGAACAATGTGCAAGCCGTGCATCGTAGTTGTTGAGTTCATTGTCCACAGGTATATGGATGCCTTAAGGCAACATCGAGGCTGACGGCTGCCCGTAGTCACCTGATCTATCCGCGCGGCTGGTCGTTGTGGACCCCGTCAGCCGGGGCCTCTGAGCTCACGCAGTGCTTTATCTCGAGGCTCCTTTGTTAACTCCGCCGCGCTGTACGTTTTCCATTGCTCGCCCCCAAGTGTCGCTAGAATACTCTAGCAGAGCTGACCTGGATGCAGGCCGAGCGAGGATAGAATGGCGAGCCCGTTCAATCCGTTTGCTGGCCGCGGCCAGAAAACCGGAGAGGCAAGCACTACCGGACGTGGACGAGGGTCAGCGCAAGGGTCACAGTCCCATCCGAGAGGTGGCTCGGATCGAGGAAACAAATGGGTCGCACGGGGACGAGGGCGAGGAGGACGGGGACGAGGAGCAGATGGGACCCTGTCATCTCGTGGGCGCGGCGCGGGCGCTGCGGCCAGAGGCGCGTCTCGTGCCGCAAGCTTGACCCCGGAGACCTCGTCGGTAGCCGAGAGCACCACCAACTCGCCATTTGCGCAATTGAGCCACCAAAATGCACCCTCGACCGTGTTCGGCGGACAGCCAGCCCCGAATAAGTCACCTTTTGCGGGCGTGGGAGCTGGTACCGCCGCTCGGAACAACACCTTCAGCCCCGGCGCGGCTCAACACAACTCTCGACAGTCGTCAGCAGTCAATGGCAATGGAGGTTCAGGAAAATCAGTGTCCATTGAGGATACATCGATGTCGGGCTCTTACCAGGATCGCTACGAACAGGTCAGCAAACCCCTCCTCTTACTCCGAAAGCGAGCTCGAATGCCGCGAACCGCGAACGGCCAGACTCTAACCCCCTCCCCAGCTGAAAGTCGACCGGGCGAAGCAACGACAAAGGGCGATCAGAGCGGGACTGATGGCCGACCCGAATCAGCCCACCTCGTTGAACAAGGCCATCACGCCCGTAGGCACTTGCACCAGCATGTGTCCCGAGTTTGAGCGGGTGGAGCGCATCGTCCAGAAGATGGTGGATAAAAGCGAAAAGGTATGTTGCGCGTGCGCATTGGCTCACTGTGACTTGACCCGCTGACCATTCTCTACCCCAGTATCTGGACCCGTCAACGAATTCCATGCAGAATATGGAAGACAAGATGCTTAAACGTTTTCGACGTTCCGCGGCTGGCTATGATGAGCAGCTCCCCTCCGATATCCGTACCCCGAAGACGCTTCTGCAGACCACCAATTACTTGATTCGACATGTCATTGGTGGAAATGAACCTCTGGGCATCATCCACAAATTTGTCTGGGATAGGACACGGTCGATTCGCAATGATTTCTCCGTTCAGCAGGTCACCCAGGAAGCCGACGTCAGGATCGCTGTGTTGTGCTTGGAGAGAATTGCCCGATTCCATATCCTATCGCTTCACCTACTCTCCAGCCCTGCGAATGAGGAGCAGTTTGATCGCCACCAGGAACGTGAACAGCTTAACAACACCATGTTGTCGTTGATGTACTACTACGATGATAATCGTGGACGTGTCATGTTCCCCAATGAGGACGAGTTCCGTGCATACTACATCCTCTTCTCCATCCACGACCAACGGCCCGATCTCGAAGCCCGTGTACAGAAGTGGCCCCCAGCACTACTCAACTCCCCTCGCGTTCAGGTGGCATTGGACCTGTATGCAGCAGCTTGCAACACATGGGAGTACCAGGGTACTTTGGATGCGCGTCGACCCAATGCTATTGCCCAGGGGTTCTACGCGCGCTTCTTCCACATAATCGACTCGCCGAGTGTGTCTTACCTCATGGCCTGCGTGGCTGAGATCTATTTCAACCACGTCCGGCAGACAACCATTCGTGCGATATGGAAGGCTTACTGTCGAATCCCGGCGTCGCAGCAGCACAAGAACGATGAGTGGACAATAGATCAATTAACCAACGTGCTGCACTTTGACGACGACGATCAGACGATCAAATTTTGTGAGGAGCAAGACCTCCAGCTGGCTGAGAATGCGAACGGCCAGATGTATCTCAACTGGGGCAATCGCCCTGTTGACTCTGTCGGTAAGTACTTGAGTACCCTGAGATGGAGAATCCGGCGCCATTTCCCCTCACTTGCTTGCTTTCATCCCGTCCGTTATCCTTTTACCCCATCTAACCTGCTCTCCAGCATTCTCACCCTCTTCCGAGCACGCCTTCTCGGAGACGTACGTCGAGTCAAAGCGTGCAGGTCGAGTACTGGTTGCCGTGGTTCTCGGAATGACCGTTAGAGAGGCCGCAGCGATGGGCATGATTGACGAGTCGGCTGTGCCCGAGCGTATGCAACAGTCTCCGGTGCTATCGCCTGCTCAACCGGGACCGGAGGACTCCCTCTTTGTCAGTGACAGGGAGAACACGACTCCTGCTCCTTTGGTAGAGATTATACCTCCGTCTCTGGACGGTGAGAACCCGGATTCGGCTTCACCCACAAAGAGCGCCTTCAACGTCTTCCAGCAACCGACATCCTCTCCCTTTGGGAACCAAACTCAGCCTCCTCTGCCTGCGGCACCGGCTACAAATCCTTTCGCCTCGATGTTCTCCAGCACTGAGGCCAACAAGGCATCGGAACCTGCACCAGCGAACCCATTTGCTGCAAAGATTTCACCATCACCTTCTCCTTTCAATCTCCCGAAACCAGCCGGCTTAACTCAGACGGCCAAGGACAACCCAAGGGAAGCTCCGAACCCATATGCAGATTCTCTCATCATCTCTCCGGAGCTCTCTCAAACAGCACCGAAAGTGAGCACAGCTGCTAACCCCTCGGCGTTCACCTTCCCTAAGTCGGTGGAGACAGTTGGAAATGAGAGCGCCTCTGGATCCTCATCTCCCTTTACGTTTCCCAAGCCGACTGAGACAGCTGCGAAGGTGACCACGCCTGTTGCTTCAACTAATCCATTTGCTGCATCTTTGTCTGCTTTTGCACCTATAAAGCCGTCGGGGCCGGCAGATAATGCTGATGCTGCTACTACTGCTTTCTCCGCTCCTCAGCAGGCAGATTCATTATTTTCGACATCGAAGCCTCTGTTCCCTTCTACAGAGGCCAAGGATACTATTTCCACAAAGCCGGCAGAGCGTTTGACTGCTACACCATCTCTTTTCAAGACAAACTCCTCTCAGCCTTCTACGGATTCCACCCTTTCCCCGTCCTCCTCACCCTTCACATTCCCTACCTCTACATCTACGCCCTCATCTCAACCCCAAACAGCCGCATCAATCGCTGCAGAAGCTAGCTCGAACCGACAGACTTCTAGCGTCTTCGAGTCGGCCAAATCATCGCCATTCGGTGGATTCTCGCAGTCTTCCCCGTTCCAGCCCCCCAAGGCACCTGCTTCTAAAGAGAAAGGAATCTATGAAGCTGAAGAAATTTCTGTACCTGCCACTCAGCCCGGAGAGCTTCAGCCTCCATCAGCGACAGATCCAGCACCGATTCCAAAGCTCTTTGGTCCGACGGCTGGATTGTCTGGTTTCTCTGCGTTCCACAACCAGAAGCCTTTGTTCCCCTCTGCAAGCACGAATGATACCATCCAGTGGGCAACATCGGCAAATGGAAAGGCTTCAATGTTCCCTCCAGCCAAGTCTAGTCCATTTGCGCAGCCGTCGAAGCCCAAGCAGGACGGTTCCGCATCTGCTATATCGCAAAAGCCTTTCCCAACCGGGGCCGCTGCGAAGAGTCCAGAACCGATAGAGCCCGCTCTGTCAGTCTCACAGCTGGAGCAATCCACCACCTCTCTCAGCTCAAGCCAGGCTTCCGCCACCTCCGACACTCTCTCATGGCGACCTCCTCAGACCGAAGAGGAAAAACAGGCTGTATGGGATAGGATTCTCCGGCGCGCAGAGGAGAAAGTAGAGCGCAAGGAAGCCAAGCGGAAGCGGAAGCGCGCTCTTGAAGAACGGGCCCTGGCCACATCGACTCGTGAAGAACCCGGTGCAAAAGTATTAAAGGTGTCGTCGGATTCCACTGAGTCATCACCACCTCCTAAGACATTCTCCCTCGCCGAATCCTCCATCAAAGCTCTGCCAACCCTGCCGGTCCTGGAACGCGCCAAGGCCCTCATTGAGCAAAAGTCTGTCTATGAGCCCGATCCCGAGATTGCAAAGAAACGCCAACGCCAGATCGATGAGGACGAGATGCTTCTTAATTCTGCTCGCATCGCAGCCGAGCAATTGCGCACCGGACCCAAGATCTTCGACGAGGTGTCGCCGCAAAGCATGGCTGACTACAACGCATATCATGAATACTGGGCGGAACGTGGGAAGCGAACCCGCTCCTATAGCAGCCTCAGCCCTTCGGTCACTCCCTACGCGCAGAGCGCCTCGCCGCCAGCGTTCCCGCGCCATCCTTACGAGGTTGCTTATGCACCCGATACGCCTTTGGGTCTCGGGAGGACAATGTCTCGGACAGAGTACCGCATTCGAATGACTGGTGGCCACGGGCTGGCGTACAAGCCGCTGGACTACTCCCGTCTGAAGAATCGGGGAAAGGGGAGTAACCCCAGTAACCAGGGCCAGGATATGGATCAGGGGAAGAACGGGTTTTCGCAGAGTCGTTAAGGGCTGGGTTACATGCATTATGGAAGGCGAGTGGAGAGCCGGGATTTGCATCATACGAGAAGGGGCGTTTGTTGATAACCATGTTTGATATATGATCGTAGCTGCGGACGAACTGTCCGGTTTACTGCACATTGCATGGTGTTCGGGCGATTCGATAGTACATACCCGATTCATTTTTTTTTGGTTTTCAATTACCCGACCTGTGAGAAAATTCGCATGGGAATATTGCTATCCCTGTTTTTAGTTTCCTTCGCAAGCGTCCCTTATGTAGTTGTTTAGATTGGTTTGATCCAACCCATCCAGCCAGGACGGAGTCATTCAATAGCTACTTGGGAGGTCGATGCGGGGGACGCGCATCCTCAGGCACCAACTGCGTCTCCATCCCGCGTCCCTGCAGCATTGCACGTCCTCCCGACTGGATGCCACCCGCGACATTCGCAACCTTTGATCTCCATCGCGATCTATTGTATTGATATATCACCTGCAAACAACAGTTTAGAACCCCCAAGGGATCAACGTTCGACCCTTGTTGACATCATTCTGGCAATCGCAGACACCACACCTGTCCGCTTCGGGCCAAGGATACTAAGATCTCGCGTGAGCACAGGGTCCAGAGTATTCCCGGGTGCTAACTGCGTCCACCCGACCTATCGACGGTTGCATCCAAGGCCAGCTGTAGCTCTCTGTCAACCGAGGACCTTTTCCACCTCCCGCTTATTGGGGATGAGGATTGCGACGCTGCAATTCGCCCCAAAGCTGGGTGATGTCGAGGGGAACATCCAGAGGGCGAATGCACTATTGAAAAAGGGCAAGCACACCTCGCTCGCCGGGCAGGATATTGGGATCGGCATTGGAATCGATATTTTGCGTCCTGATATTTTGGTATTGCCGGAGCTGGCATTGACGGGTATGTCCGAGTCGCATCGGATCGGCCATGCGTTTGTGCCCAACTTATACCCCTTCTCATCCAATGATCTCCTCCCACAACGATGCCATAGACTGACGGTTGTTTCCAGGATACAATTTTCCCTCGCTGGATGCCATTAGGCCATATCTCGAGGCCGCTGGCACAGGTCCCAGCGCGTCCTGGGCGCGTGAAACAGCCAAGCGCCTGCGATGCAAGGTCTGCGTGGGCTACCCGGAGATCGAGCACGCACATGGAACAGAGCCATCTAGGTGCTACAACTCTCTCCTCGTGGTTGACGAGACCGGTGCGGTCATCCATAACTACCGCAAGAGCTTCCTGTACTTCACCGACGAGACATGGGCCGCTGAAGGCAGCGTGGAACAGGGATTCCTCAAGCTGCTATTTCCGCGGGCAGCGCCCAAGGCAGATCTCACGGGCGAGAGAGGCCGCGAAACAGAAGCAGACCTAGACCCCGAAACCGAAACACACCCGGCCAGACAAGTGCCCACTTCGTTGGGCATCTGCATGGACATTAACCCCTACAAGTTTGAAGCACCCTACACAGCCTACGAGTTCGCCAACCGCGCGCTGGACTCGCAATCCCAGCTGGTCATCTTATCGATGGCCTGGCTGACGATGCTGAGCCGCGACGATATCGCCGCGCTGGACGGGAACCCCGATATGGATACGTTCACCTATTGGCTGAATCGGTTCATGCCGTTCCTGGAAAAGAAAATGCTGCATTCGGGGGACCTCGACGACGTCAGCGGCAACGGCAACCCTGCGGGCGCTGGTGCAGACGGCCATGGCGCCAACGCCCGCGCGATCAGGAGGACTGTGATTGTTCTCGCCAATCGCGCCGGGGAGGAGCCTCCGGCAGATGATACCAAGCCACCGGCGCGGTATGCGGGGACGAGCGCCGTCATTGCCGTGACGCAGCGGCCTCGCCGCGGTGGGTCCGGGTCACGGGTCGGGGGTGAGGAGGAAGGTGAGGGCGCCTTTGAGGCGAAGATCGCCTGCTGGGACTTGCTGGGGGCGGGGGAGGAAGGCATTTGTTTCGCGGATACCACAGCCGATCCGAAAATGGTGTTTGGGTTGCAGAGGAAGGGGAAAGGGAGTTCTGACTCGAGCTCGGAGGGATCGGGAGGCGACTGACGGAGAGGAGATGGGGGAGCAGATGGGGGGAGGTGTGAGACATCTCCTCGTGGGACGGAGGTTGGGCAGGTGTGGGTGTGGTTGCCTGCTTTGCCTGGAGGGCCCGACACCGCGTTCTCTATGGTAGCATGCGACTGGGATAGTATGATGCTCTACTACTGTAACCGGGAGGACTAGACCTAGGACCTAGGGGATGATATCCAACCCCCCTTCCATGATATCGTCTATACTTTTATACTTCTATGCAACGACTGCATGGTCCCCAACGGGAGATTTCACGCGTTGATCTCCGCTAGGTTACCTCCTCGTTGGATGATCGTATGGGAGATCGACCTCTGCAGCAACCGCCGGGCCCACCTTATTCCATCGGTCTCATGACCGGACGATCCGCTCACGGGCCAGAAGTGACGAATTTGCACAGTTGACGGAGTATGGAGCAGAGGGAGGGACGGGCCATCGGGTGCAACCCTCAACCCTCCAGCAGGAGGATGCTGGAGGGGGAGGGGGTGATATCTAGGCCTCTCGTGTGATGAGGGTCCACATGCCTTGCCCTGTCCGCTATGCCATCCATGCGGATCCCCAAGCAATCGGGCCAGTGGCTTCTACGAGGTATGCGCGGTATGTCGGGTTGGGTAGACCCTGCAAGCGCAGACGGAGTATGGCGTGCATCCCCTCGCATAACGGCATCCGTAGTCGCATCTTGGATCCCGCAGCAGCTCAGCCACCACTCCGTTCACCAGTTCAATGAGCAAGTTGACTGGCTATCAACTGCTATCCGCCAACCTCAGCGCCATCGTCTCAAGCAGATCGGTCGAGGCCCGTCCAGCGTGGTGGCCCGTGCGGGGGCTGGCCCCCCTCCACACGTGATTTGGGGGGTGGTCAGCCAATCAGCGGAGAGGACTGCGGAGTGTGCGAGGGGCACGGGATCCCAGCACATGACTGGACATCCGGAGTCGTTGGTGGTGGGCGACAAGAGGGGTGACGGTTGGCCTTGGGTCTACCCTTTCACAGTTTTGCTGGACGGTCGATAAGAGTGCGAAATCATTTGGATGTCCCTTCTTCGATAGAGAAATAGCATATGGCAGAATCAAACAGGACTGGGTGTTCCGAATCGCAGATCACTCTATCCTGATGCTGGACATGATTCGCGGGCAGCGCACCGGGCAGACGCGTTGCTGACCTAAAAAAAAACAGGGGCACAGTCAGGTGACCCAGCACCCCAGTTCTGCATAGGTAGTTGCTGTGCCTCCCCCTACTGCTCGCGCACCTCCTCCTCTTCCACGTGAGCAGTCCCTCTCGACTCGGCCGCGCGACATCCCTAAAGAGCATCCCTTTTTCATGTAAAATCGCCTGGTTTGGTCTCATTGTCGAAGTGATTTGACCCTCCGCGATCCTCCCTGCCAACTTCCTCCCCCTTTCATTTTGGGGTTTCAGTTTCGAAGTTCCGACATCGCGAAACAACGTGACTTCTGGTCTTGTTATTGTCCGTGGCAGGTGACTTCCTGTCAGGTGATAGATAGGATCATCCAAGGTAACAACTCCATCGGCCCTAATGCTCCCTCCCCTCTGCACGGCATCACGGCTTGGTCTTCCCTCAGTGCGCGCTCTGCTCCCCCGGCGCCGCTGCCTGAAGCCATCCCCCTCTCTGCCGATGGCACCCCCTGCATGTGTGTTGTCGGTCGCCCGCAGCCATGACGCGCCTCTGATGTCTTCGCGACTCCGCCAGACGGCCGGTCGTGGACAGTGTCAGGCTTTTAAAACCAACGGTCGCGTCGCGGTTGACGTCGGGGAGGGCTCCAGCGGCGATGAACCCAGCTGGATGCTTTCCCGCCCCGGGGGCTGTCGACCGGGCGCGTCGGCTTCACGCGTTTTTGGTGTTTACCCGGAGGCAGACTCTTGATCCTGCCGAGGAAGGGTGCGACGTGTTAATCGCGCACTCAGCGTGGACACCTCACTAACTGCTGCCTTTCGAATCATACACTTTTGGCCTCAATGCTTTCTCGCTGGCTCGCCCTTCGATGACTAACCTTCTCGCTGCTTCCCAGGACTCTCCGCACTAGATCATGTCCGACCCCACCATGAACAGCCCAGACGGTGCCGGCGGCAAGCGCAAGCGCGAGGGCTCTGATGATCTGGGTCACGACACACAGCGTCTGAACCGCTCGTCGCACGGCAGTAACGGCAGCATGCCGGACAACCAACACAACTTCGGCCACTCGATTGGCTACGACCACGGGCTCGGTAACGCAGGGTCCGAGCTGAACATCGACCAACAGATCCTCCAGCATGTGGGCCAGAATGGCTTGTCTGATGACAATGCGCTCACTGCCAATGCGAAAGCTGCGCTGGCCGCACACGCCCCTCAGCACAAGTACCCGCCGCCCCCGGATACCGCGGCATTCGACGCCAACAACTTGACGCAGGGCTTGAACTTTGGTGATGATATGGGCCAGGGGCCTATTCCCGGTGCCCACAACCACAACTCCACAGCCGCCGCCGTATACGCTGCTCGTGAGGCGCAGAGCATGAACCAGAAGCCCACTGTCGGTTCTCCCGAGTGGCACCAAATCCGCAAGAACAACCACAAGGAGGGTATGTTCGATGTCCATTTCCATGTGTTCTGCCGACTTGCTAACCACCCCACCTCCCCCTTCTAGTTGAGCGACGGCGACGTGAAGCTATCAACGAAGGCATTAATCAGATTGCCCGTCTCGTACCGAACTGTGACAAGAACAAGGGTGCCATCCTGCAGCGCGCCATCGAGTACATCTGCCAGCTCCAAGAAGAGAAGAAGAACATCGACGAGCGGTTCGAGCAACACAGCCTCACGGCCAACCATGCCATCAACGAGATCAGCGGCTCCAACCAGAAGTTGAAGCAGGAGGTCAGCCGGCGCAATAACATTGCCCTCAAGTGGCTTCAACGCTGCCGCGATGCCGGCCTCGACTTCGATGATTACGAGGAGGCGAAAGAATTAGAGACCCTGGAGGGAATGGAGTAAGCTGACTCTGCTGACCGGTTCGTTTTTTCTCGTCTACATGTGATGTGCTACGACCGTCTCGTTGCGTTTTCGGTGGTTAAGATTTTGAACATACCCTCGTTCCTGTTCTCTCTGGTTATTCAGGGTTTATTTTTTTTTCCCTTGCCCTTCTTTTTCCATCCCCTTGTGGACTGGACCTGGACACGGTGGCTTACACTCGGGACCTCTTTTTGTTGTGTTCTTTTAACCCATGCGACTGCAGCCTATTGTTACCGGTAGGCTTATGCTGTAGTCTCGCAATGGTCGTCTATCTTGTGGCTTTGGCTTGGTGCGGCGTACTCTGTTTGACCCGAATTCTGATTCTGAGCAACCCCCCTCTTCTCTCTGATTTGTGTATGTTACCGAGCTCTGGTATCACGATATTTTTTATTTTATTTTCATCGTTAATGGTCGGGCCGGCGAAATCTATGGATGGGTTGGGTTTGTCTGGATGCCACGCTGCTGTTGGTATAATGCAAGTTTTTACTTATCTTTTCTCTCTGGGGTTGCTACGTGTATGTGCGTGTAGACTGGACAGACGGGCATTGTAATACAGTTGCTTTACATGCCAGTCTATTGTTACCGCTCTACAACTCCCCCCAGCTTCGCGGCCCACGCAACTGATACGCTAGTCGTCAGCCGACTGAAGGCAGAACTAGAGAACGTAGATTCTGCACACGGGCCCTGACCGCCGAAGGATACAACGGATGCTCCTGATGTTGTGTCCGATGCTTGCTCATTACTCGCCTATGGGCGAGTGGATGAGCCCTCCGGCTTCAGAGAGGGTCATACTTTCATGCTCTTGTCGAGGGTGTCGAGCGCCTCGATCGATAGAGGTACCTGATCCTTGGATCTGGGGTATTGCACACGCGTTGGGTCGTCGAGGTACCCGGATAACCCGAGCTGTCTCCGCGCTCTCTCTAGGCGAGTAGTCCCTTGTCTCGCTTACTCCCGTGGCTGATCCAAGGGTGCTATACTGGTGGTATTACAAAGCCAGTCCAACGACCACTGCTCTGCTCTGTATTACTGCAATGGGTACGGCTTCTCCATAGGCCGGGCAAGCACTAGGCGGAAGCTAGCATCAATTGCGGCAATCCTCAACTGCTAGGTGTCGGGATGGGATGCCTACCGATGACCGGGGGTGATGGAGTATGTACTGTAGCTTCCGGTCTCTAATTACTCTAACCCCGCACGGAGAATACATACATTTAATTTCAGATTTCACAGGTTAGAAGAAGCCGTAATCTCTGAGCCAGAAGCGCAACCAACGCTCTTCACTACAACAGTGTTCCCAGACTCGCCCGTGACACGGACATCCACGGTGTCGGTACCAAAGCCCGACGACTGCTCGAAGTAGTTGTACGAGGTGCGCGAGGTGCTCTGCCAGGAGCTGCCGCCGTCGGTGCTAACCTCCAGCTTGGTGACGGGCTCGTTGGCGTTGACCACCTGCATGGAGAACCAGTACTGGGAGGTGCCGTCCTTGTTTCTCAGCTGGAGGGGCCCGTCGAGGTCGCACGCGGTGTACTCCCAAGTGATGTCGATCTCGCCAGCGGAGATGTCGGACAGCTCGGCGAAGGCGTTCTGGAAGAGGTCGAAGTGGCCGGCCGAACACTCGGGGCATTCGTCGACGACCTGAGTGAGGTTGATGAGCACCGTCACAAGAGTTTTAAGAATGAAGCGAGCGGACTCGGATCTGTTTTAACTTACCATTGCCTTGATGGTGTTGCCGGCGGGACCGGTGACAGCGACACAAGCGCCGCACTTGGCGGCATCATCCCACACGGCACCGGAGAAGGCAGTGCCGAACAGGTTGCTGGGCAGGGTGTAGCCGGAGTAAGAGCAAGATCCACCAGCGATATTGCCGCCGTAGAAGGTAGCTTTGCCGGAAGAGCCACCCGCGGTGGAAGAAGTAGAAGTAGAGGTGGTAGCAGCTTGAGCAGTGGAAGCAGAAGAGGTAGCCTCCTGGCTGGTAGTGGGAGCAGCGGTCTCCACGGCGGCGGCGGCATTTTGCGTGGACAATTCCGCGACGACCGCAACAGCAGGCTGCGTAGTCGTGGTGGCTGGAGTCTCGGTCGTCGGCGCTGGAGTAGCGACAGTCGCCGGTGCGGGAGTAGAAGAGGAGGTCGAAGCAGCAGCAACATCGCCGCCCACAGACGTAGAGGAGTCAACCGGAGCCGGGGCCTGAGTCTGCACAGTCGCGATAGGCGAGGACGTGCTCGTGGTCTCTGGAGCCGCGGGAGGCGTAGGAGTGAGGTACACCGTGCTATAGCTAGTATAGGTGCTCATGGTGTAACCCTTGGGGCACTGGCCGTTCTCATGGCGCCCAACCAGAGGGTTGGCGGAGACAGTAGCGGCGGCGCCGAAGAGAACGGCGCCGATGCAAGCGAAGCGCTGGTACTTCATTTTGTAAAAGTAAATTTCAGGAGTCCGGCTGAACGAAGATAAGAAATGTAAACAAAGATCGCAAAGGTCGGTCACCGACAGAATCGAATTGGATGGAAGAATTGGAAGCACGCTTCACTGTACAAAGATCAGACAGCGACAAGAAAGAATGGACGTCTAGATGTCGAATCTCAGACTTGGAATGAATGGCAGCTGTCGCAGACAGGTGAGCGTGAGAAACCAAAAGGGAAAAGAGAGAAGAAGAAGGGAGAAAGGGTTCAATAGGTCATCATAACTAACTGCCGGTCAATGGGGCGAAACAAGCCCACCAGGTTAGAATCAGTTGGCAGGATCTTGTAAATTGCGCCCAGGCGACTAGAGAACTAAAATCGAACACTTGAAACACGCGTGGAGCCAACCCGCTCTAGTTGACACTCGGGAAAAGCCGAAAACGGCGGGATCCGTGCTTGACTAGGCTTAGTCTGCCGTCGTTGATTCGAGTGGAATAGAAAGCGTGGTGAAATTGATTAAGTGGAAATGAGGCTAGGGTGAGATGCTATAATCCTGCTTCGACCGCTTTATGAGAGCTCGGGGGCCAAATAGTCCTGCCGGTGCAAAGGGACCTTTCTCTAAATAACAGAGTTGACAATGGAGTGACCCGCCAGGTAAATTCGTCTAACGCGCATCCCACATGATCTCATTCAGGCGCAACAGCGCATCGGCGCTGGCCTTCTTCGCTGCCATGAAATCCTCCCGACTTTCGGCACCCCGGGGTCCGCGCGAAATCTCGGAGAAACACAGGTCCACAAGAACTCGGAGCTCATCGTAGGTGAACGGCTCGCCATTTCCAGCGGCCAGGGCTTGGTCCCCATGTGCGGCGAACGCCTCCTTCTCGTCCTTAGCGTAGTCCAGGGCTTTCTCTGCCCCCTCTAGGAACCAGTCCAAGAACTTGGCACTCCTCGGCAGCGCCACCACCTCCTGGGATGGAGACTCAGTCCCTTCCGTTGACTCGGCGGTGGGGTCAATGATGATATTCTTCAAGTTCTGCTGCAGAACAAGCACGTCGAGCTGGAGACGAAGAGCACCGTTCGCGTTCATGGCGCCAATATAGCGGGTGCAAGCCACAAACACCCGGTCGATGAATCGCGCCAGCCCAGATGTGATGAACCAATGCTCGGCGGAGCCCAAGTAGGTTGAGATATTCGTGTCGAAGCGGATCAGATCACCGTTCAGTTGAAGAATCGTGGGCGACGCCGCCGTCGGCTGGTTCATGACGATATGCCACCAGCTCTCGCTGGTGCTGGGAGACGGTGTCAGGGGTTCAGAATTCCGCACAGTCGGCGGGTTGGGTCCCGACATGGTCTTCGTCAGCATATGGATAATACCACAACGGATATCAACATGCAAGGTCAGAAGAGCATTGGATCCAAGCCCATGCAGCGAGTCAAGAGTTTGATCGAATGCTGCTGCCGTCTCGTGGTTGAGCGGCAAATATACAGGCGTGTTGATGCTGTCACGTGTGGGCTTCATCGCTCCAAAGAGGGTCCATCGGCGAGACGGGCGACCATTCGCAGTCAAGGCAGACGACTCTGACTCCGAAGCGGAGTCGACGACCCGTCTGATCTTTGCAAGGTGGCTTCCCAGCCATTGCTATAAGTGCCTAGTTAGCGACCAAAAAGGATATGCTGTAACTGTGATCGAACTGTTAGTACTTACCATACTGTTATACAAAAGCGACAGGGCGACAACAGTCTTCGGATCTGATATGATATCGTACGGCTCCAGGGGAACCTGATCGGTCCGTTTGAGAAGGAGATCAATTTCCTGGCACTGTTAGCACTATTCATTTTCAAAAGTAGATAGATGTGATGGCTGGTGGTGGCTTACCGTATCAATAAGTGTTTGCTTCTTCGCACTGGCTCCCTTCCGCAGTTCATCAACCACGTCATGGATATCACCGGACTCGGCAAATGCAGCAGCAGCCTTCAATCGCACTTCGCCGCCATGGTTTCGTGCAGAAACTTTCGTGACCATTGCTTTACGTGACATTAGCTCTGGGCTCTGTTGTTCCAATCCGGTGCAACTTACCTTTATACCAACCGCAGCATTTATCGTAGTAAGTCATAATCTGATCAATCAAAAGCTGTGTAAATGCCTGATCGTGCGGGATGCTCGACAACATCTTGCTGAACTCCCGCACGATGGACATGAACTTGACGGTACCCTAATTGATAAACTCATTAAAAAAGCATCGGGGATATCGGGGAAGGTTTGGCGTACCTTAAAAATGGGTCGAGGTGAGACCTTGGTCCATTGCGGGTCTTCAGTGAATGCATCAGCAGCGATGAAGCTGAGCGTACACAGATCTGTCACAGTCTCGTCCAATTGAGGAAGGAAGACATTGACCATGAAGTCATCAAGGAAAGTGGTCAAGGTGCTCATGGAGATATCCGAGTCAACCGGTACAATATCCTTGAGACGCTGAATGAAAGACAGCGACGGCGGTAGAAGCAGCCTCATATTGAAGACACTAGGCTCAAGCAAGATTTTATGTCCAGTTCCTGAATTGCCTTGCCTTGAGGGCGAGGCATCGTTCGCCGAGGTCTTCTGTCGTGTCTTGGATACCAGACCTGGAACAGATGACTGAAGGATCTCATCCAGCTCATCTTGCTCAGCCTTCATTTCCGAGCTCTGCTCGATCTCGGACAGCTTGAACATTTTCTTGTTCTTATCCCTGTTACCAACGGAGAGATATCGCTGAGCATCTGCCTCGTCGCCTCGGGACCTGAAAGAGGTCTCCCCATCAGTTGCAAGGTAGTCATGTAGCAGGGACCGGATCTCGCTTTGCAAAAGTTTCCACAGTTCCTTAAATCCACCAGAGAACATCTCGCTTTTAGCAGTACCTTCACGTCCCATAATTGCTGCAACGACATCATGGACAACTCGGTGGCCCTCTGCAATAGCCTCAAACTTGGCGTAGAGAGACCAAAGGAACTCAGTAAGGACATGACCGCGCTCTTCAATGGTTTCAGTTGGCAGATTGGACTTGAGTTGGTTGTCGTGAGATGAGAATGTTCGATTCGGGGTAGGATAACGAGCATCCACTTCGGCATTTGTCTTGTCGACCACAGTAAAAAGCTCCACAGGCAGACGTTGAGCAATTCGATCAACAGCGGTGTCAAGATGTCCCATCTTGTTCAAAGCTTCGATCAACAGCTGAATGTAGGAGAAGGTATCTGCTTCGGGATTTCGAGACGCATCCTCAATCATCGGTGTTGACGCGTCAAATTTGGCCAGGAAACTGTAGACAGGGCGATCCCACGGACGGTTTCCACTCCAGCTGCTCGAGTTGATATCCCCTTCCCCGGTTGGTGCCTTCCATCGATCTGAGCAGTACGGGGACTTGAGGTATAAGTGGTCATGCAGCTCTTCAATCAAAATATCTGTGAGGGAGATCTCTTGGTTGTTGAAGTAGGCACGGATGTCGGCCAGTGCACCAATTTCTTCGAGCTCAGAGCGTCGCAGTAATCGCAGTCCAGTGTGTAAAACTTCCACTGCCGCAAGGAACCGTTTGTCGGAAATGCGGGACTCGAGCTTCTCCGGAAGAGACTGGATCTCTTCGATCTGAGCAAACAGCTGCAAGAGGTCGTCATAATTCTGCGACGAAGTGGCTAGCCCTTTCAGCTCCGGCTTCGTAGACAGCAGCCCAGACTTAGCCTCCTCCAGGGAGTTCCTCAAGTTGCGCACCCGGCCTTGAGAGCTTGAAATATTAGACTGGATCTTGTGGTACGTTCCGATGGAGCTGTTGAAGCCCTGGTGGTGCTCGTTCACAATTGCCTTGAGCGTTCTCTGGATCTGGTTGTACATGTGCAAAAAGTCGGGCTCTCGGTCTGCCTTTCCCAATGTGCTTGTGTCCATCAAGCTGAGGGCGACTTGGACTGGAATGCATTCAGCGTCGGTCATAAAATCCCAATCCTGCTGGATAGACTGGAGAACATCTGTAGACCACCAAAAACGTGAGCGAGGTGAGATCAACGGGGAATGCCTTTATAGGACGTGACGAACCTTCCACAGACTGCATTTCAGCTGTATTGCTCTGCACTACCCTGGCATCAGGTCCATTCCTCTCTCGATTCCGACTTTCTTGGTACTGCATGGCATCCAGGGAGCGATCATCCCTTCCACCTTGGTGTCTTCTATCTGTCGGCCCATTTCTTGTCCGTGACCGGGAGGTAGACTGTGGCGGCTGTTGCTGTCGATCACGATCTGCCCGATCGCGCCGGCGCTCTGGAGATGCCGGCCCTGGTGGTGCGAGAGACGGCTGCTGTGACGTCTCAGGAAGAAATCCGCCATAGCCACCAGGGCGGCGATCGCGACCTCCACCTCCTGCGCCTCCTCTTTCTCCTCCCGCCCCTCCAGCTGGACTCCCAGCGCCTCGGCCGCTGTACCCATTCGCGCCGAGGCTGCTATTGCCATAACCGCCATCACCGGGGTCATACCGGCTAGCGCCGGAGTACCCATAGCCGTTACTGTAGCCGCTTCCCCCACTCATTCCCAATGGTTTCTGCTCAATGCAGTGACGTGTCTGGGCCGATTGGAGGGTTGTTCGTGGGCTGTGACAAGGGGCGAGGGGCCGCACTTGACGGGCGGGTGTCTAGTCGGTCCTTCAGGTGGCTGTGGCTTGCGCGCGGCGATGGTGTAGAAAGGACAGTGACCATTATTGAACGCGCAATTGAGGGCGCGCTGTGGACAGCAATGGGAGGTTGTGGGGTGAATGCTGGCTGAGCAACGCTGGGCGGGATGGGGAAGTCCCAAGAGTTGGGCCCACATGAGCTTTCCGCTAGCCGCATTGCCGCCATAAAACATGTGGAATCCGAGATTAGCCTATCTATACGATTTCAAATAGCAATACAAGTGTACAAAGTTTGTTTCAGAAAGAGTATTAATTACTGTGCCTCTAGATGTACGGGTGCCAAAAACAATGTGCTTGTCTCCGCACTTATGGGAGGTCAGCCGCATCCTGGTATCGACCATATGTATCAACAGGCCTCCAGGCAACGCTCTACTTGGAGATGGGTTGGGTCTCGCGCTCAAGCCACTTCTGAGTCAACTCGTCCTCGTTGAAGTAGTGGTGCGTCTTATCCCAGACCTCGGCGTGGTAGTCATTCACCCACTTGATCTCAGCATCACTCAGCAGAGACGGCTCGATAAGGTTGCGACCAATCGGAGTCATAGTAACGTGTTCGAAGCCGAGCCACTGCTTGTCGCCAAACGTGTAGGGAGTCTTGACCTCACGAGCCATGACAATGTCTGCAAAGAATTAATCATCGCACATCAGTGGAGGGACAGAGATCGCAAGACTCACTCTCAATTCGGATGCCAAACTTTCCATCCTCGTAGTATCCGGGCTCTAGAATCGCTGGTTAGCATTAATAAAGAAGCGAAATCAGAACAGGACTTCGAACCATCCGAGATCACGTTTCCGGCAGCAATAGGAACCTCGGTGTACTGAACACGGGTGCCGATGCCAATAGGGCCCTCGTGGACGTTCTGATACAAGTTAGCGTACTAAGAATAAAAAAAGAAGTGTCGCTGGGATATATACCAGGTAGGAGCCAACTCCGTGGCCGGTGCCATGGAGGAAATCCAAGCCTTCCTTCCACAGGAACTGGCGGGCCAGCACATCAATTGCAAAGCCACTGGTGCCCTTGGGGAATACAGCGGTATCAATGCCAATAAGGCCCTTCAGAACCAAAGTGAATGCCTGCTTCTCAAACTCGGTGGGCTGGCCGAAGTGGAATGTTCGGGTGGTATCGGTGGTACCATCCAGATACTGGCAGCCAGAGTCGCAAAGGTAGATAGCTGTGGGGTCAATGACCGAGCAGCTTCCCTTCTCGGGCTTGTAGTGGATGACGGCGCCGTTGGGACCGGTGGAAGAGATTGTGTCGAACGACAGGCCAGAAAAGAAGTCGTGCTTGGTGCGAATTTGCTCGAGCTTGTCGGCGGCATCAACTTCATCCAGAACAGTCTTCTTGTTGATCAACTCGTTCTGAAGCCAAGCAAAATACTCGGTCAGCGCGGCACCATCGCGTATGTGACAGGCGCGCATTCCTTCCAACTCCACTTCGTTCTTGACAGCCTTGGCATCGGCGATCGGGCTACGGGCCTCTTCAACCTGGTCCTCGCCACCCAGATTAAGACTAAGGGCCCAGGAGGCCTTGTTAGATAGCAGGAACTTATTAGGCGCCTCGCTAGTGGACTGGCTCCGAGCAGTGCCGAGAGCCTTAGCATCGGCAAAGATAGAATCATATGGCTTGACAACCACATTCTGTCCCAGATGAGCAGTCACCTCGGGGGTGAGCTTGTCGGCCTCCACGTACAGCTCTGCTGTGGTTGGAGTAATGATAGCGTATGAGAAGAACACGGGGTTGTAGGGAATACTGCCCAGAGTCAGTCACTAATGGAGATTCACGCCAAGGTGGGAGGGAAATCCTACTCGCTTCCTCTCAGATTGAACAACCAGGCGATCTCATCCAGCATGGCTATTATTCACAGTTAGTGGGTGGAATTCCACGATGAGAGAAAGTCCGTCGTACAAACAATAAATCCAGCCTTCTTCTTCGTCTCCAGTTCCTTGCGCAGCTCGGCCACCTTCTCCTGGAACGGCTTGCCAGCATACTTAACCGGGTGTACGCGCACCTTCTCACTGGGGCGCGAGGGACGGTCCTTGCCCCAGACCAAATCAACTAAGTTTTGTTGAATTCCAACCAAAGACGAGCCATTCTTCTCGAGGGTCTCCGCCAGCTTGCGCGCACCGGCTGAGCAACAAGGCCCCGTCAGCTATGAGTTTCGCGCTGAAAGGGAGCAGTGGCACTTACAGGCGGTGATCAAAGACGGGTCAACACCTACAGCCTTGCCACCCTGGGCTTGTTCGGTCGTCCTATAGCGCACTCAGTAATTAGACCAGTCAAAGCTTCCAGCAAGTACCGCCCATACCATTCTTGCCATGTGGGAACACCCTCAATGCCCCGCTTCAGGAGATGCCAGTTGTTATCCAGTTGCTTCGCAGCTTGGTTAAAGTACCGCCCATCGGTGGACAGAGCAGCTTTGCTCAGGGAGATGATCGCGGTACCGGCGGAGCCGGAGAAGCCCGAAATGAATTCTGCAATGGAACAAATGGTGAGTTGTCGGACTAGGAGAATGGAAAGGGTGGCGATCGCTAACCTCGGCGGCCGTCGCAAGGCGCAATGTACTCGGACTGGTGGCTATCTTCTGAAGGAACGACTTTGAAACGAATAAGCAGAGGTCCAGGATTGCATAGAAGCTAGAAAAAAAGAAATAGCAGCATACTGTATACATCCACCTTGTGTTCTTTCATCAGCTGTCGCAACTGCGACAGGCGCTCCGTAGTGTCGACAGTCGCCATATCGATGATGAAGCGAGGACGAGAATCGGAGAAGAACCTTGAGGGTCGGAAAGGACTCGGCGATCGCAGGGGTGTCCGGGGGAGGCGAATCGAGCGGGAGAAGAGCATGGACACCGAATGGTAGCGGAGGAAATGCGCACCAAAGCAAGGAGCGATCGAGCACTCGCGCGAAATTCGATGATCCGCGGGGGGGAGAGGGATCGAGAAGAGGGGAGACCGAAGATAAAGCGTTTGATAACGAGCTCAGGGTGCTACAGTCGGTCTGGTCGTGTGAGTGGCCTCTTCCATCCACCGGCCCACTCTGCCATGTTGTCATGTTTGCACTGCGGAGGCGACACGGCGAAGCCATTTAACCCGCATGGCAATGTCATTGTCGAGGCAACCTTGAGGAAAGCTCTCAGGCGTTTATGGTCTTTGAAACAAACCCGATGGATTGTCCCGTGACCGCCAACCCAATTCCTTGGTAGCCCTAGTGCCTGTCTCACGGTTGCATGAACCCCGTAAGCTTATACTTTCGTTCATCCATGAGCAGCTATGCGGTTTACTACATTTGACCGCTATCTCTTACTTCAAAGTTTCAGTGTATACAAGGCCGTTAATGTTTGAGTTAGACGCATTGTTGAAACTTTACTTCCCTCTATGAGGTCAGCAGATTTTCAACAATCATCAAACCAGCTTATGATTAGTTTGTAATTCGATCTAACTTGATAAATCCCCAGTATATTGACCCAGAACTGTTTTTCTACCTGCTACAGGCCATATAGGGTGGGCCAATGGGCCTGTCAAGCTCCCAGGAAAGCAGTCCGTGGACCATCGCGTCAGGCAGCACCGCACCGCCACAGAGGCGGTGCATGTCACGAAAATAAAAATAACATCCCTTTAGCGCCTTGCGACTCGACGGACGGAGGCCAAGTGGATACAAGCCTTGGGAGCATTCCTGATGCCTCACCGCACCGGGCTGCATCAGGTCCCTGCAGGGCCACCGTTCAGGCTAAGTTTTCTTCGGGATTTTGCTTCTAACTAGATCCTCCTCTCCACCATCTAAGCTCGCAATTCACCTTGTTCCCCTTACTCAAACTTGCGCATGCCTCAGATTTCAAACACTCCAGAATCTTTGCTGCCCCGCTCAGATTCGCGAAATCCTGCTACCACATGTAGAGGGATTACAGCGCAAGGTCGGCCCTGCCGCCGCTCTTTGGCTGCTTCCCAGACTCCATCACCGGCCTCAACTCCTCGAGAAAGAGGTGTACACCATGAACCATCAGGCATGGCTTCCTTATACTGCTGGCAGCATAAAGATCAGGCAGCGTCATCCAATACCTGGAATGACACCGTTACTCCGGCGAAGCCGAGGACCAGCATCGACACCTTAATGGACAGACTCGGCGTTCTCGAGATCAATGATAAGCCACCAAGAGGATCTCAGAAACAGAAAACAGGCCAAAGTGGTTGCAGTGAGAAGCGTCGCCCGCGGTCGAAGAAAACCCTCTGCTGCTTTGAGATTGTGGACGACGACAAGGATTCCAGGCCACCGGCGCCTGTTCGGACGCCTGTACAAAAACGACCGACACAATGCCGGTCGTATACTCCTCAAACTTCATATCAAAATGTGCGTCGACCAGCCTCAGTTCCACGGCCACAGCACGTGGGAGTGCCCTCAACTAGACAGGGAGTATCTTCTGCTCCGCAAACACCGTCTCGACCGTCTTTCCCCAACAACACAAAGAATTCCTCGTCGTCACAAACCCCATCTCTGCTATCATGGATTCCTACAACTCATTCCCCACAAACGACATCTATACTTCTTACAGAGCTGGCGAAGCCTATTTCCACTGCCGACGATGAGGGCTACATCTACATGTTCTGGGTGACACCCCAGACTGCTGCAACGCGCAACAGTGCCCACTCGCCACTCCCCAGGGATATCGCATCGTCCATACTGCCTTCTGTCCCAGAAAGCAACAACAGCCTCCGTCCACCACCTCAACCTCGCAGTGTTAGCGAAGCTATCGCCGCTGCTCGGGATCTGAACGCTCTAGCCTCCAATCCAACATCAACCGCGCCAGGAACCATCAGATTGAAAATCGGCCGCACGAGTAATGTGCATCGTCGACTTTCCGAATGGACACGTCAATGCTCCCATGATTTGACTTTGATCCGCTACTACCCATATACGCCATCCTCTGCGTCTTCTTCCCCTGCAAGGAGATCCGCACCTCGACAGCGCGCCGACAGCAGTGGTCGGAACACTACCCCTGCAGCTTCGCTGGTTGCAGGAAGAAAGGTTCCGCATGTTCATCGTGTGGAACGGCTGATTCACCTTGAGCTAGCCGATTTGCGCGTGCGCGATCTTGGCCGCTGCAATGAATGCGGGAAGGAGCACCGGGAATGGTTTGAGGTCGAGGCGGCCAAGGAAGCGCTGCGGAGAGTGGATGAATGTGTACGACGATGGGTTTCATGGGGAGAGTCCATGGCGTGAAAGCAATGCATTGTATAAGACCTGTTCAGATTACATATCGTGTGCGCTGCACTAGAACATCATAGAAGGCCCTTAAAAAGGATATTAAGGGCTCGTTATGTGGGTTAACTACATATCATTTAGTAACCTGTGTCGGAAATCCGGCTTCGGCTTCATGTTTTGTGGTCTAGTAATATCGCAAGCTGTTCCATGCAACAGGACTTAAAATTCAGATCAATATTTCATGAAGGCCTCGCATCGTAGAAGCCGCATCACTATTTACAACTTTAGCAATCGTCGCATGAAACTCTTTGGGCCAGACGGGTAATTTGGAGGCATCCATTGCTCGACTTTTGCTGTATTGATGTAGGTTGGGGAAGCATCTCGCATCAAATCCGTCATGCCTACCAGTTGCATCGATGTCCGGATTTCCTCCTTGATCACTGTCCTGAAATTAGCCATATCCATTCAGTGTTATACTTCTACTTACATTCTACCGCATGCTCCACTCCCTCTTGGCCGTAGCCTACGGCATATTGAAAAGGTCTACCGAGACCAACAGCTGAGGCACCAAGACAGATGGCCTTGACGATGTCTGAGCCACGCCGAAAACCCCCATCCACTAATACCTTCATCTCACCAAAGATCTCTGGGCAGTAACGATGAATCTCCAACAGAATGAGTATGGCCGGTGGCGCAGTGTCTGCAGCTCGACCTCCATGATTGCTTATTACGATGCCATCACAACCAACTTGCATAGCAATAAGAGCATCCTCGGCACGTTGGATACCCTTGACGAGGATTGGAATATCAGTGATATTTCTCAGCCACTTGAGATCATTCCAGTTCAACGTGGAGTCGATCATCGCGCTGTTGGACTTCGATAGACCGGCGCTCTTCTTCCCGCCGGGGTTGCTATCCTGCGTCACACTGATCAGGACAGTATTTCCGTCCGGTTTAGTGCGCTCATCTGCCTCTCTTTTCGACATGACTGGTAAATCAGCAGTCACGAAGAGCGCCTTCACCTTTCCCGAATTCTGGGCTTGGCGAATAAGTGCTTCGGTTTTCGGTCGGTCTTTGTTGATATACAGCTGGTAGAAGGCTTGTTTTGAGGTTGCGTCGAGAATTTCCGACAAAGGATACGACGCCATGGTTGAAATGCAGTATGCAATCCCAGATGTCGCGGTGCCCCTAGTCAGTGCCAATTCTCCATCCTCGCAAACCGTTTTGGCTGCACCAACGGGCGAGATGTAAACCGGGATATCAAGATCGCATCCAAAGAGGGTCGATTTGGTGTTGACCACCGAAACATCGCGCATAATAGCTGGACGGAACCATATGTCCCGGAAAAAGGAGCGATTTGCATCTCGCGTGAAATTATCATTTGCCGCCCCGCTATTGTAGGCCCACGATTTCGGGCTGAGAGTGTTCATGGCCACTTGCTCGAAGTCATCCAGGTTCAATATGTCTTCGAGAGCGGGCTTTTGATACGCCCTGTCTGCTGAGTTCAATGCTTTGGGTGGCTCTTCTTCTCTGCTCCATTCCTCGGTGATGGTGCTGGTATCCAGTTCACCGATTGAGTGGTCATCCAGATCATTGATCAGAGATGGTGAGTGAGTGCTATTGTATGTCTGCGATGCATCCCGGCCAGCGAATTGGTAGATTACTATTCCAATCAGCTCAAGATCGTAACGGAGCGGTGGTATGCCTACTCTTTGCACCGCCAGGGTGCTCTGGTGCGAATCCGGTCACATCGTACACTCTTCCATTGACCACGATCCATATATCATCGTCGCAACTATGTTGAGAAACTTCATGCGTAGAGACTTTTCGGGCCATTGTATCTTGTGCTTTCCTTGGTTGGTCTTCAACTTGTTTTCCCAGAGTAATTGTTAGGCAATCATCAGCTTCCTGAGAATATCCTTTGCGTCGTATTGGGCTAGCACAGTGCGGGGAAACCAAGCGCCGCTGCGGAAGGACATCGGAAATCCACCGTGGCCATGTAGATCGGCAATGGCACCAGGAAAAGAATCGGGGGGTCAGATCTGGAAAATAAATGACGCTTCAAAATTAAGGACCACTCCCAAGAGCTGTCCAGTTCCCAGTAGGTTTCTTTACTGCACATCCTCCCGCGTACTCTAGTTGGTGTCTGATCGCATAGGTATTGGCTTTGGGTACCTAGTCAGCCGACACCAAATGGACGGCATTTATGAATCGGATGGTCGTATATCTCTTGAGTACGATCCCTTCCTCCAAAATGCGGACTAAGTATCACTCTGGCACTTCTCGAAGACGAATTACAAAAAATCTCGTTAGAAGCAATAGAGTTCATACTCTTCATCCTTCCGGCTGTTCAATACTGGCCACCAGTACGCGGTATTCAAAATGCTTCCCTGAGGCTGCTTTGGTCCAGTCAGATAAATCATATGGATATGGCAATATACGCAGGGCATCAATACAGGCTGCATAAGCGCCATTTTCAGTCCCAGGAATAGATTCATGGTAGAGTCTGCCCCCTCGAATGTTCACAACGGCTTTAAAAAGGACTTCCACTTGTTGGTTAGTTGGAGGCACTCCGCAAAGCCTCTAGCCTGTAGAATCCAGGCCAATTAGTACGTAAGCTCATGTCAGATTCTCTCAAGATCAAAGTACATCCCATTCCTACTGGGCTTGAGAAATGATATGGAGCGATTAAGTGAAAGTGACTCCGCCAAATGATTGAATTTGTCCTGAAAAGGACTGGTATCGCGATGAGATTCCACGTTAGGGTGGTAGAAGCTTGTTCCGGCATATTGTTTCCTTATTCCTCTAGCCTTCTGCCAGTCGAATGGGGAAGAACCGGAATGATACCAAATTCCGAGATCGACTTGTCAGTAGACGACTGCGCCAACGGTTTCTGGAAACAGCGACAATCTTTGGTGCCAGACAATTCTATAGCTCGAGAGTTATAGACTTAATATTGTTTAGCGCTGCAAAGACTGGATATAATATCAGGTAAGGACTGAGAAACTTGGAATTCACCCTACATGGCCAATTTCCCCTTTGGTTCGCACTTTGCACGGTCTATTAGTGCTGGGTGGCCGTGTTGAGCGCTTCGTTGCGCGTTAGTGTTCCGTGCACGTCTCTGTCATCTTCGTCCAAGCTTTCAGCATGACGCGTTCATAACTCTAGCCCTGCCGAATCAATGGGGGCTGTACTTCATTCTAGATCTCCCAAGCGCCCTGCGCACCTTACGCCCTATGCACATTCACCTGCACGCCAAGCCCGTAATCCAGGCTTCCGCGGTATGTAACGATACATACCATTACAAATGCACTCGGAAAAATGAGGCTCCGCACGGGTAGTCTCGGTGGCACAAAGGGGAAGTGGACGAGCAGGCCAATGATCGCCGACGGGCTCTGCAGGGTCCGAATTTCCATATGACACACCCCGTGAATTCCAATGACCGGGGAGCAGGGATTCTCTTCCGGCCATGTTCACTACTTTCCCCAGAGCGTTCGGCGATTGGTAGTTCGGAGCGGAGGACCTATCAGATGATCGGCCCGGCTCCCGTAGTGTCGAGGGGCGGTTATCTGCAAGACGCCTTTAGGGAGCCTGGAATTGCAAGTGTCCAAGTCAATTGTCATGGAAAGGATTGTGCGAAATTGCCCCACCTGGTTAGCCCGAGGTTTATGGGAAAGAAGTGTCCTAATTGAGATACCGGGCTCTGGGCGCTGCTGCCAAGTTGGCAAGTTGCTCCGTACTGGAGATAATTTCACAGTGACCGCCCACCCCCACCCCCCGCCCCCCAATTTGGAGAAATCAGGACGCCAGATGCTGTGCTTGGTACAAACAAAAATTGTAGGATAAACAAAAAAGTTGAATTTTGTGTTCAAAAACGGTTCGTGGCTCATGTACAAAAAATTTTAAACCGGCCTGCAGGCCAAAAGACAGGATACAAAGTAAACTCAAACAGGCAAAAAAAATGGGGTTTACCAGCCGCGGCCAGCCATCTTGTCAGCCTCGGGCATCTTCTGCACATTGATGCCAACCATAGCCTCGCCCAGACCCTGGCTAACCTCAGCAAGGACCTTGGGGTCCTTGAAGTGAGTAACAGCCTGGACAATAGCCTTGGCGCGCTTCTTCGCATCGCCAGACTTGAAGATACCGGAGCCGACGAAGACGCCGTCGCAGCCCAGCTGCATCATCAGCGCCGCATCGGCAGGGGTGGCAACACCGCCAGCAGCGAAGTTGACGACAGGCAGACGGCCCTTCTCGGCGACCTCACGGACGAGCTCGTAGGGGGCCTCCAGTTCGCGGGCGAAGGCGCGCAGCTCGGGCTCCGGGTCGGCGCTGGCCTGGAGGATGCCGCGGGCCTTGGCGATCTGGGCGTTGACGGTACGCATGTGCTTGACGGCCTCGACGACGTCGCCGGTGCCGGCTTCGCCCTTGGTGCGGATCATGGCGGCGCCCTCAGAGATGCGGCGTAGGGCTTCGCCCAGGTTACGGCAGCCGCAGACGAAGGGCACCTTGAAGGTGGACTTGGTAACGTGGTAGACGTCATCAGCAGGGGTCAGGACTTCGGACTCGTCGATATAGTCGACGCCAATGGCCTCGAGGATCTGGTGTGGCGGGGCGAAGGGTTAGCGTTCGTTCGTCCGCGATGCGGGGATCAAGATTTTCCTTGGCCGTTTGCAGGCAGGCGATGGACTGAACGTACCTGGCACTCAACGAAGTGGCCGATACGAGCCTTGGCCATGACGGGGATGGTGACGGCCTCCATGATCTCCTTAATCATGCTGGGGTCGGACATGCGCGCGACGCCACCTTCGACACGGATATCGGCGGGGACACGCTCGAGGGCCATGACGGCGGCGGCACCGGCCTCCTCGGCAATACGGGCCTAATGAGTAGAGCAAACGTATCAGCTTTGATCTAATGAATCACAGTGTGCATGACAAGGGTACCTGCTCCGCATTGACGACGTCCATGATCACGCCACCCTTCAGCATCTGCGCGAGTCCGGCCTTGACGGTGAAGTCATTGCCGTTGGTACCGTTCGTCTGGGCCATTGTGTGGGATGGAGGGGTGTGAAGGAAGAGAGGAGAATGGAGAAAGATAGGGAGTGTCCTAAGGAAGAGAAAGAAAACGGATGAGAGTTAAAAGAGGATGGCGAGGCGAAAAGTGAGTCAACAGGCCCCGATAAGAAATACAGGTTCCCCCGCCAAAATTTTCGCCTCAGGCCAAGCAGGCCGGGGCTGCCCCTCGCCCGGTCCTAAGCTCGCCGTGCGAAGTCGGGCGTAGAGTTACCCGAGGATACCGGGATCCTGAAAGACGGGTATGGTACCGTATTACAGTATGATCCTGCAGAGAGGTCATTGCACAGGAAGTATAGGGCAAGTCATCAAGTGATGATCGGACAATTATGTGCCAGATGCGCTATTGGATGAACTATACTGACGGTCTCCAGCATCTAATTCCTGGATGGATGCATACTGCAAGGAACCCACATCACAGTCGCGTCTAATCTAACAGTAGAGGTCCTAGAGAGCCTTACCTCTCTGGTCTTGACTGAAACCACAGCGATACAACAGATTTCCGCCGACACCAATTTTAATGAGACAAGTAGATTGATTTGGTTTTTAACATGAAATATGGTTACAGGCCCCCATAGAGAGCGCTCCTGACTTTGACGGCGGCACGATCGCTGACAAGACTGGCCGGCCGCCTCTTTCGCCATCCACCATGCCGGTAGCCCTTCAAGAAATCCAGCCTGATGCATTCAATACAGGCAGCTAGAAACCTCAGTGGCATCCCCCGGCGCACTGCCCCAGGATCGCCAACTTGAAATCATGGGCCGAGATCGGCCCAGTCCAGTCTTTGCCGCAACGAGCCTCCCAACAATTCATTCTCCCCAAAGATAATATAAAGAAGAGCGGCCAAATTAAAAGGACGAAAAGTAGTAAACAGGACTGCAAAAGACTACCAAAGCATAGCCTCTCATCATACTACTCATGAAAAGAAGTCGGCAGTTTCAGCGTTTAGCTGCCAGGGACGAGGCCCTTCAGGCCGGCGCCAATGTCGCCCTCGCGGGCAGCAATCTCAAAGTAACCGTAGATGATGCTGGTACATTGTTAGCTGTTTGAGTCTGATATGGATAAAGAGAGGCGGGAAACTTACGTCACAGCAAGCAGGATACCAGTACCGCTGCCGAGGGCACCGAGGAGGTCGGAGGCGACGGACAGGGCACCAATGCAGGCACCACCGAAAGCGGCAGCGGTGGGAATGACACGCTTGAGCTCCTTGTACATGCTCTGCTCACGGTGGCCGGACATAACGAGACCCTGGTCCTTAAGTTGCTTGGCAACGTCACGGGGAGCGGAGCCAGAAACCTCAATCCAGGTCTTAGAGAAGAGAGCGCAAGCAACCAGCATGAATGCAATGTAGACAGCGGTGTGGATGGGGTCGAGAAGAGCCTCCTTGAAGTTCAGAGGGGGCGACATGTAGTAAGCGATACCCGAGGCGGCGTACAGCTGGGCAGAGCCCTCGCGGGGCTCCCAGACACCGAGGAGACGGACCAGCAGGTTGTCAGAGAAGCGAGAGTACAGCATCTGGCTGATCAGGAAGACGTTGGAGCTGAGAGCAGACTGGAGCATGATAGGCATGTTCGAGGTGTAGAAGAGACGAACGGGGTAGGAACCGCGCATACCACGCTGACGGGCGGACTTGACGGGGATCTCGACACGGAAGCCCTGCAGGTAAATGACGGCAGCGAAGACCAGGAGGGTGGCCAGCAGATTCATCACGTTGGGCAGGTTCTGGCGGTAGAACGCCTCGTACAGGGCACGCTGCTTGTCGGGCCAAGTCAGGAGAAGGTGGAACAGGGCGATGATCGCACCCTCGAACTCGGGGCCACGGCCGGTGTTGATGGTCGTGGGGGAGAAAGCCTTCCAGACGATAGACTCGCAGATGTTGGTGGCAATGAACAGCGAGATACCGCTGCCAAGACCGTAACCCTTCTGGAGGAGCTCATCCAACAGAATGACAACGAGACCGGCCACGACCAGCTGGACAATCAGGAGAACGCAGATACCGGCACCGAGGTCGCTGGGCTGGCCATAGAGACCAGTCAGGACGTAAACACAGGCCTGGCCGAAAGAAAGGATGATGGCGAACAGCTTCTGGGCGGTCTGGTAGAGCTCGCGGTCGGTCTTGAGGTCCAGGTTGACGTCGATGAGGTGGGTACCGGCAAGCAGCTAGCAAACAGACGGAGGTTAGCTCGATTGTCGCCGGTCGCTATATCTCAATTGATTTGCATGCATACCTGGAAGACCATGCCAGAGGAGATGATGGGGGTGATACCCAACTCCATCAGGGTACCCCGGTTACTGGCCAGCATCATACGCAGCCAGTACAGGGGGTCCGAGGTGTCGGAGGACACGATGCCGTACAGAGGCATCTGGCTCATGACCAAGAAGATCAAGAGAGTCAACTGCAAAACGGTTGGTGTTAGGATTCCGGCCAATTCTTCATGTCCACACGCAGGCGATTTGGGCAACGTACACCCGTCCACATCAACTTTTGGTTGAAGGGCACCTTGGTCTCAGGCGCTGCCACCTCCGGGAGGAGGGGCGTGAAGGGCTTGATCAGGTCAAGGAAGCGTACTAAGATCCTCCATCAGCATTTGGAGGTCCATTGAGATCGATGCGACGTGGGTTGTAGCGATCGCGTGCTGGGAGGGCTGGGGGGACTCACGGCCGCTCATGGTGACTGTCTTCCTCCCAATCCGTCGAAAAATAAATAGAGGAAGCTGGAAATTAAAACCAACCGAAGGAGCGGAAAGGTTGCGAAGGTATGAAAGGGAAAAAGAAAAGGAGAGGGGGGGGGGGGGGGAGAAGAGGTGGTCGGAGGGAATGGGGGGAGGAGGAAGAGGAGGGAAGAGTCTCGCTGGCCACTTTTCGCTTCGCGCTAATTAAGGCCACTTGGTCTTCGCCGCGAACACACGCCTGGAGAAGCAACCACGTTGACTCAACAAGCACGCAAACGAGAGAAGCTCCAAGATCTGAACATTTTGTCCCGTCCCCAGTGTCACTCTTCAATATTCCATTGCTTTATGATACAATGCCCCAAGGTGCTCCTGTGTAGCCGAAGCATGTGTGTACCCCGGTGTAGAGGACCCCGAGCTTATCCCCACACCACCAAAAGGGTCGCTGCCAGCAGGGTCTACGGAGCTGCAAAACAGTTATAAAATATTACGAGAAATTTCCTTCATTAATGCGCCAAAGACAACTTGGGTGTCCAACGCCTGGGCATCGTCAATAATCTCGTACTCTAGATAAGTAAAAACAATCCTATCTATACAGACTCCGGGTCCTGATTCCCAACGATCAACCGTGATCGCCAAAAGCTTTCTCATCAAATAAAGTATCATAAGCTGCCATTTAAGCCTTGGTTAAGGACCAACAAGACCTAAACAGTCATCAATGACCAGTTCCAATTCCCCAAGTCGCGTCTTGAGGCCCCGGTTCTCATCCTTGAGTACACCCATGACGCTCCAAGCTTCCGAAGCACGAACACCATGGCAATTAGTACAGTTATTCACGTTCCCAACAAAAGAACTACCCAAGCGAGTGGAAGCAAGTCCCTTTATGACCCGGTCGTATGTTGATGAGCGGGTCGGTGCGGGCGTTGTGGTGATAGCGACGAGGTTCTTTTGGATGGTGGGCATCGGGGTCGGGAGCGACGAGGGCGTGGACAGGGCAACCTGTGAGAGGTTCGGCGACGAGGCGGTAAGGGTGGATGTCGGGGATTCCACACTCTCTTTTTGTGAGAAAACGCTGTCGGCAACGCTCTCGTCCCCAGACTCGAAGCCAGAATCGCTGGTGAAGGTGCCGTGGCTGGTACGCTTGCCGCTGCGGTGAGGCGTTTGGAGCGCAAGTGAAGGGATATCGTCTTCAGCAGGAATAACAGGGATGGCGCGGCTGCGGCTGCGAGATTCCTCACGCTGGCGCATGCGCCTTTCCTGCTCCAGCTCTTCGGCCATGGCCTGCATGGCTTTCTCCTGGTCTAGGACTTTGGCGGCCATCCCGTCTAGCTGTATCTTCAGGTGGCTCACCCGTGCACGAGTCTCCTCAAGTTCTTCTTGCTTTTCGTTTCGATCTGCCAGGGCCTGGTGCATGGCAAAGGTTCTTTGTTTATAGGCTTCTTGCATGCGTTGCAGGACTGTCGTGGCCTGGTCTCGGAGGTCATCGAAAGCTTCATCGCTGGTCGCATCGGAATTTGGCAAGGACAAGGCCGCAAAGATATCCAGGTTTAGGAACTCATCATCTGCAGGCTCTGGCGGGTCAAACCTCTGCTCCGGCTGTCGACGCAGACCAAAAAATGAGAACCGCCCCGGGCCTGGAGCCGAGTTCTTGCGGATATGTGACGGGGTCCCCGCCCCAAGATGGGCGGTATCCATCCCAATCGTGTCGGGGTGAGTGTCCGGGCGTGTGGTGATTCCCAAATCGCCTGGCTCTGGCTTGCCCTGGAACCAATCTGACAAGATCCTTGCTTTGGCTTCGAGCTTCTTCTTGGGGAATGTATCCGTCCAGGTTGGGATTGCTCGATTCTTGAGGGGGCGATCGTACGTCGAATCGTAGACTTCTTCAAAGATAGGGGGCCGTGCAATATACTCGGTATTCGAGCGACGGTGTGAGGGGAGACTGTGAAAGCGACTCTCGGACGAGGTTACTGGGATCGTCGATTGTGGGGGCGACGAGGCAACGGTCTCGTGGGGCCCCTGCGAAGCATCGGAATGTAGGGTCATCGAGTGGGAGGGGGAGGAACTATCCGAGGGCATGGCGGCGAGGGCGATTTGACAGGAGCTCGTCTGGATTCGAATGCCACGTCAGATCGAGAAGGGAAGGGTGTTGTGGCGCGGCTGGTGTGCGACCTGAGGGGAAGTCCAAGGGCCCAAGGGTGGAGGGTTGCAGGTAGTGAAGTGTCCACGACGGGGAAGGGGGGCGATCAGCTAGGAAAGGAGAGACGAAACGGCCCCTGATGGGAGATGATCAGGATCAAAGCGACGGCCGAGAGATTCAATAGCGTGTGGTTCACTGCATGGGGCCAGACTTGACAATTTGGGTGTTATTTTCTTTTTGAAACACGAACTGCCGGGTAAATAAACGAGAGGCTGGGAGTATGAAATTAGGAAATAGCGGTGGCTGGACCCGAGGGTAGCTCTCCCCACTAACCCGCGGTTCCACCATGGAATCTTTGGAATCGTGTCTTAGATACTCCGTAGATTGTAAGGAGTGCTTCGATCCCATCTGAGGAGTGCGAGCGAATTAGTGATTAATGAGCTGTCATACGATCAGAGCTGCTCGGTTTGAGGGACCCTCCCTTCAGATTGGCAAGACAGCCAAATCGGCTTAAAGAGGAGCCTGCGGTTCCACTATTACTCAATAATTACTTTAGCATATGAGTCTAGCTGCTCATAACGAGTGAGTTAGGTTTCTTGCAGAGTTATGGTTGATCCATCAAAGTATGGCCATCGTCCGATATGATTTTTACTTGGCTTCCTGCGACCATTCACCTTATTAGGCTCTGCCTACAGTCCGTTTACTGAAGCTCAAGAGCGTGCTTATGGGTGCTGGGCGTTCTGTTTATTGCCAAGGGCTATATGATGTTGGAGAGCGATGTACGACCGTCTTGTTTGCCCCGGTTTAGTGTTTGGCCTCAAGCAGGCACGTGATCTTCGTAAATATCTACTCCGTGGGTAAGTTCTACAGTCCACCGAATAAACATAATTCCAAGTACAATTATTGAAGCAGCATTGCCTAGATTCAGTAACCTACAGCCACGAGCATGTCCATTATACACAACTAGGCTCAGTGGGTCGTGACCGCCGGATTAGCTACTAGATTCGGAATGGAATAACTAGTTTGCATCGGCGGGCCGCCTATCCTCGAGGTCACAACCGCAAGCTTCCAGGCGACTCCACGAAAGCGTCTTCTACTTGACCCTTCCCACACACTCTTTGCAAACCTTCGCCCGTCATGGCTCACCCTATGGCTGGTCTGAAACACCTCTCTAACGCCCTTGCCACCCCTGACCAGCTCTCCAATTCGTCTTCGTCGATCGACGAAGTACCGTCAGACCTTGAAAGCTCCATTCGGTGCGCCGGCGCGCAACTTACCCAAACAGCCGGTGTGTTGCTCCACCTATCGCAGGATATAATCGCCCAGGCGATTGTCATCTTCACGCGATTCTGGCTTGGAGCAGAAGGAGGGAGCTTGCGAATCTATTCTGCCAAGGTATGCATTCATTCGACCGGTGTATTCTGTTGTTCTCATCTCATCTCAAGCGCACTAGGATGTCTCCGCGGCCGCCCTCTACCTGACAGCCAAAATCTCGTTCCAGCCTACCTCACCCCGCTCCATCCTTAACGTCTATAACCTCCTCCTCTCCCCAGACGCCTCACCCTTGTGGTTCGTGAACCCTCGCGGGCCACCGAAGCAGCCTCCCGCTGCAGACACCTATATTCTCTCCGAGGGAGGGTACCAGGCAGCCCGGCTGGTTCTTCTGCGCATCGAATCGGTCATCCTTCGTACCCTCGGTTTTGATACCCACGTTGCCCTCCCGCACACGATTGCCCTCACCTACCTTCAGACACTAGGTGTGAGCAAACCAGCGGTGTCACGGCGAGTCCTTGAGCATCTCAATGCTGCACTACTCTCGCCTCAACTACTCTATGTGACCCACCAGCCAAATGCGCTCGCAGTGGCGGCCATTTACCTTGCTACGCGTGAGGAGGGAGTCAAGCTGGTCGATGGGGAATGGTGGGAGGTCTTCGATGTCGATCGGGAGGAACTCGGGTTTCTGGTGGTGGGGATGAGAAGCACTGAGGGATTTATGCGAAAGGAGACAGAACAGTGGAAAGATAAGGCAATTCCTATGGTGACGGACGAAGTGGACGCGGAGATTGAGCGGCGGCGAATGATGGATGAAGGCGAATGAGCTCATCTGGGGTTTGAAACCGGTACAGAGCGGTCGTTAATCCCTCCCATCACGCTGGGCATAATCTGCTGGGGAAGCTGAACCCGCCAAACGCTCTTGGGAAACTCGATAGCGTGAGGCCTACCACATCAGGTCCCGGGAGACCAGGCAGCAGCTACGCCGCGCAGCACCTGACTTCCTGGGCGAGTTGTCACGATCCATCGGGTCCATAAGGCTCAGCCAGGGGCAGAAGACCCAAATCAGGTGCAGCAAATGTAAATCTTGGAGACGAAGTTTCGCGGCGGGCGCGGTGAAGGAAAGCGATGAGCTCACGCGGGGCCGATCATGTGCCCCACCGCTTATCAAGGTTGTCCCCCGCCTCATCATCTCCAACCTACCTGTGCTTTCTCTCTTTCATAGCGCATAGAACTCATCTTACACAAAATGAATATCCTGCATTCAACACTATCCACCTGGCGTGACCGCTTGGCTCCGGTCTCCCGCACGTCTACCTTCCGTGCCACCGGCCAAATTACCCCAGAGGAGTTCGTCCTCGCCGGCGACTACCTGGTCTACAAGTTCCCGACATGGTCCTGGGCTGATGCGTCTAGCCCTGCAAAGCGAGTGTCTTATCTGCCAGCTGGGAAGCAATTCCTGGTCACTCGTGGTGTGCCGTGCCATCGACGGTTGAACGATAACTTCGCTGGGGATGCGGGCCATGAGGATGAGATCGTGAGAGACATGCTAGCGGGAGATGGCGGAGAATCTACATCGGGTGGGGGTGGAGATGATGGATGGCTCCGGACTGGAGGTGGCCGTGATGTCGTCGCGGATCGCGATATGCAAGAGGCAAAGATCCGCGATGTGCGGACGGTAGATGAATCCGGCAACCTGGGGGAGCAGGAAGACGAGGAGGAGATTCCGGATATGGAGGATGATGATGACGATGAGGAGGCAATTATTCGCGAGCCTGCTGGGCAGTCCGGGACAACACAGTGAGTACAGACTGCGTGGCTCATCATTTGGTCTGTTTCGAGGCCGTAGTAACGGGCGATCCATCTAGGCCACTACGCACCTACACCCTCTATATCACTTACTCTAACTTCTACCGGACGCCCCGACTCTATCTCTCCGGCTACCTGTCTCCATCTGAACCACTTCCTCCGCACCTAATGATGGAGGACATTGTCGGCGACTACAAAGACAAGACCGTGACCCTAGAGGACTTCCCCTGGTTCGACGGCAGTGTAAAGATGGCCACCGTGCACCCATGCCGCCACGCCTCCGTCATGAAGACCATGCTAGACCGCGCCGACGCCGCGCTGAAGCTCCGCCTCGAGAAGCTGAAGCAGACACAGTCGCGTGAGGAAGCCAACCGCATCTTGCAGGCCGGTGGAAGCAGCGGCCTGGAGGGGCTCGTCGATGAAACGAAGGGTCTGTCACTCGGCGACCATGTGCAGCAGCAGCAGCCGGGCGGTGGTGATGAGTGGGAAGTCCTCCAGGCCGATGAGGAAGAGCAGGTTGCTATCCGAGTGGACCAGTACCTGGTTGTGTTCCTCAAGTTCATTGCCAGTGTTACGCCAGGCATTGAACATGACCACACGATGGGAGTATAAGCGGAGAGATGATGGGTGTGCTTGGCAAGAAACCCGCCCCCCCCCCCCCCTTTCCTTTCGTCTCGCAGGCCCCGTATCTACTTAGAGAGATGGGTTTCTCTGCGCAAGTTCGACGAGCTGGCCACGCTTGGCTTGCTAAGTGTGTTTAAGGGGTCGGGTCTGGGCGCTGGGCTTGACGATCGACGACTCCCTCCTAGAGGGAAACGTGATATGCATGACATGACAGGAATTGGCGTTTAAGATTTGCTGCTGGCTGCACATAGTATTTGACTTCGAACCTTTTGCTACGTATCAGATCATTAGCGTTGCGCAAATGCGCCCTGCGAAGAACTACCTTCTGCTCTCTTCTGTACAACTCTGCTCTTATTGAAGTTTCTTTTTGGGGTGGTAAGGGGTGGATGCATCACATCCCCTAGATCAAACTAGGGTGCGCTGTGATACGCTCCCCCGCGTCAATCCCTCACAGGTTTCTTGGCTCAGACCAGCAGAGAATTGGCGCCTACCGAGGCCCTCGAGCTGCTAACTGGGCGAGTAGCAAATATTGAGTTAGGACTAGTTAGTTGCAATTGTTTACCTGGGGCGGGGCCTATTCGAGCGCGAATGCACCATCTTAAGTATGAAAATGCAGTGTATTCATATCACAGTCGCACAAAAAACGACATGTGGTGTCCACATAAAAACACAGTGCGGAATGTGCAAAGCACGCCCCGACTCCCAAAAAAAAAATAACAAGCAAGTCCAACAGTAGCAAGTATGGCTCTCATATGTCAGCCGAGATACAGGTATCTGGGAGGTTCACCAGGCGAAACGGTGACCATTTAGGTAAATATTCAAAAGTTGACACGGAAATAAGGAACATGTGTCGGATCGCCAAAAGGTAGCAAAGATATTTCAGCGACAAGATGACAAGAGAGGCAAAGCGACCTCCAAGGGAACCAGAATTGCCCCAAGAGAGGCCTCTCTGATCACATCACTGTATCACTCGTGGCTCGGGACGTCGTCTAGTATACAAGGCCCAGAATGATAGGAATGGCGACCAAGAAGCCGGAGCTCGGGGCGAGAGGGAAGCCGGCATTGAAGACCGGCTGGGACGAGGGGGTCGACGTCGGAGCGGGGTGCTGCACCAGCGGGGTCGAGTGAACGACGACCGGCGTGGAAGACGCATAGGCGGGAGCAGGCATCATGGTAGGGATCATAATAGGAGTGGTATAGGTAGGCGGGATCATCACAGGGACGTAGGTCGAGGTAGCGGGAGCCGTCTCCACAACAACAAGGCTGGCGGGGGTCGTCTCAACCATCGCAGGACTCGAAGGGGTCACTTCGACGACCTCAGGGCAGGGCACAGCGTGGTGAGCGTCGACGGTGCCGGCACCGAAGCGCACACCGGGGCCTCCAGGAATGCCAACATCGTAGCCAGCGCCGGCGGCGTGCAAACTGTTCACGCCGGGTCCGCAAGGGCCATGCTCCTCATCGTGGGTGCCAGCACCGAAGCGAACGCCAGGGCCGCCGGGGAAACCGACGTCAAAACCGGCACCGGCATCATGCTCGCTATCACCAGTGGCAGGAGCGGTATCATGGGCGTGGTCACCACCGAGAAGAGGAAGTCCGTTCTGATATTCAGGGTTAGCTTCCCCAATCTTGTATGCTGGTGGCACAGGAACGAGTTCCATGTGGTTTGGGACTTACCATCTGGGGAACAGACAGCACCGAGGCGGGACCAACGGCAAGAGCCAGGCACAGAGCGGCCGAGAAAGTGAAAGACTTGGGAGACATTTTTGATTTTGATGTGGAGTATAGAGCTCGAAAGGAATGAGTCCGGGGAGTATTAAAAGAATGTTCGTTGGAAAGTTTGAAACGACTGTTGAAGAGAAGGTCAAAAGAAAGAATGACTGTCCGAGACTCTGATGTCGAATGGATGATAAAGAAAAACTGTGGGACCGCATGCCACGGCCTTTATGTAGTTTTTGGGAAGGCCTGCATCCGAGTATCCGAGGGGTAGTTGTGGGGAAGTAGAGAGACACCCAGGGTCAGCCAGGAACCAGGATGCTGCAAGGCTACGGACTAGCCCCTGGTGGCTTTTCCTTGACGACCGCCACAAAGACACCGATCGGCAAGGTACCAGGGGCAGACGAACGGCTTGCTCCAGTCGCGCACTGGATGAGAGAGGTCAAGTCTTGTCGGTCTTGTCGGCGAGACCACGGAGACCGTACGTAGTGCGCATGGACAACGTGATCGAGCCTGGAACTGGGGTATGCAGGCCCTAAGCAACCAAATTGAAGCTTATGCACGAGCCCAAAATGGCCGAGGATCCGAGCTGTCGAAGCCCTTCGGGTTCGTATGGTCCTAATCCTCGCTGTCTGTGAGTAACATGGGGGCGCGAACAACACGTGCGGCTGGGGGGCAGTTGAAGGTTGCAGACTCCATGCAAGGAGTCAGTGCAGGAGCAGAACACCTCCAATCCCCATTGCAGGAGATGTTTGTAGGGCCGGTGTCTGCTTCATGAACAGGGCTACCCGAAGGGTGATACATCACACGCAAGGAACTCCAATATCAAAGACAACAGGGGATATCATATGATCCTTGCCAAAAACTTGGGCCTTCCAGGTAGACTCGAAGCAACAGAAGCGCATCGCCCTGGAAATTAGAACAAGACATCCAAAACTATGTAAATCAAGTCATATATTGCAGCATATTCGGCTGTATCTCATCAGGTCGTGAAGCATCTCCGCTATTAGAAACAAGAAAAGGGTAGTCGCAACGAGGTGCATCACCAAGACCCAAGGACATGACACGAAAATGAGAAAAAAAGAAGCATAACACAATATCTACAAGCAGGCCAATTGTAGATAGATCACAAAAGTCAGCATTAAATGGTGCTCAAATATGGTTCTTTTCAAAATTTCCCGCAGTTCGATCGTCCAAACGCCGTGCCAAAATTGGTGGAATTCTTGAATTTGAATTCTGGTTCCTGTTCGTTCGGACGAGCCTTCGCTGCATCAATCTCATCGGGATCAACTGATGCAGCCGAGGTGGACAGGATGCGCTTGGCCTGGTCCAGAAGCCGCAGATCAAGTTCGTTCAGGAAACTGCTGTCGTGCTGTTCATCATTCGTCAGGCCAAGGGGCCCCTTGAGGGTAGGATCATCGGGAACGTCGGGAAAATAGGACTCCGCGTGTTCGGTCGGTTGGTGGATTTGGGTGACCACGGGCGCAAGAGGGGCCTCCTCCTCCTCGCACGGGGGCATCTCGGTGGGAGAAGCATCTTGCGTGGTTCGCTGGCTGTCATCGATGTCGATGATCGCCATCGGGGTATGGCCAGCATTCTTCACGAGATTCTCATTGGGCGGGCCAATTTCTGACAGTTTCAGCTTGAGACTGTTTCGATGTTCCATGTCCGGCCTTGCAGGCCCCGAAGGGGCAGAGGCTGGGCCATGGGTGGTCTCCAAGGGCGACGGTGAGGGTGGGGTGATCACTCGGGCAACAACTCCAGGAGGCAAGGCAGTGGACTTGAGGGTGATTCCATCCAGTCTGCTGTCAAGCTTCTCGATCGGCACGGGCACGCTGACGGTCGCGCCAGATGCGTCTACCGCCCGTGTCCGCGGTGAAAGTGCCGCATCAAGGGACGGAGGGCTACTGGTGCCCCCTTCGCTAATCGGCGACAGGTGAGCAGCGTCTGCGATTCCCTCGTCGCGGAACACCCTCGTCGGTCGCCCTCCCGGACTGGGTCCCTCCCAGACCTGCGCCAAGTGGAGGGTGTCGTTGGTGGCCTGGGAATGCGGCGACCCAAGTGCAGGCTGGGGCGGATGAGCTGGGGATAGACTCGACTGGCCTGCTTGAGATTTCAACAATGACTCTAGCTCCGCAATCTTGGCCCGCAACAGCGCCCGTTCCTTCTCCCACAGTTGTCGTTCTTGGGCCACCAGTGCCCGCTCGGTTTCAAAACTCGCCCGCTGGTTCTCGAGGAGTTGTCGCGATTGTTCAATATAGGATGTGTCTAAGCCAAAGCTCATGACTTGGGGGTCCAGTGGGTTCCTCCGTTGTTGGTATCTGACACTTGTGGAGGGGTTGCTTCCAGAAACGGATTGCGCCCGGCGGACCGGCGTTGCAGTTGGCGAAAAGCGCACCTCTTTGTAGACGCTGCCATGGCCGTCGGGCAACCTGGTCACGGCGGACTTCATGATAAGGAGTGAGAAGGGGCGCACGGTTGGTTGCGTGGTGCGCAAGCGAATTCGTATGTGTTCAAGGGCCCACAGATGGCGGATCTAGGATTCGGGGAGAGGGGAAGTGGACGGGTGGATCCTTGTTCACCGTACAGCGTAGCAAGCTCCACGTTGAAGGGAGCCAGCTCAGCTTGCAGGTTAGGTACGGAGTTTGCTGACATCCACAGGTATCGTGTAAAGTCGGCCCAGCCTCAGTCAGCGGCGACGAGTAGGCTGTATCTCACAGCTCAACAGAGCTGCAGTGGAGAGGAACAGGGGGCGGTCAATAACGGTCAGTAGGATTTCCGAGGTAGGATAGGGAGCTATCGAAAGCAGGGGTTCTCGCTCGAAGCACCGTCTATATCGGCAAAATGGCTGCACGACTTCATGTGAGAATGGGGACGCGGTGCCAACGGCTCGAGGGCCGGGGATTTGCTCGAAAGGCCGACCACGCGTTCTTAGACCACTGGTGGCTCAGATGTCGGACGCGATGTACGGAGACAGTTGGGCACCTTCAGACTCCGGGCCGGTTTGATATGCACTTAGTCGACCGATCGGTAGTTGATCACCCCATGAGATGAATGGCGGATGTTCCTGCCGAAGTGACGCTAGAGAGGGACCCGTGGAACCGAAGTTGACCTACTCGCAATCGGGCTCCAGTGGCAAGGGGACCCGAGGAACGACAGTAACGAAAACGATGAGCTGCGAGGACTGGAACCGGTTCACTATAAAGCCAGTATTCGCTCGCTTCATATGACCAGCATGGATGACGTCAAAAGGGACGCGGATGTGACCCCAACTCTCCAGTCCGTTGGGCTCCCCGCATTTACCGCGGAGGGTCGTGCGAGCAGGAATGTGGACTTGGGAGTTGCACGGAGGCGGTTGGAGGTGTTCGATTTTGGGTCTGACGTCCAGAGGTGTGCTGTGATAAAATAACATATTACCAGGGCCCTTCCTAGATTGTCATAGCTTGCTGGCCTGGCTGGCCTGGCTGGCCCCTCAGGCGCCATCTAGCGCCTCGTGCTTGCTCTTGTTGTGTCGCATGATCCTTGGAATCGGGAGGCTGGTCTTTGGTCGGACCAAATTCCAGTAAAATAACCTTCATGGCTGAAAGGTTACACCAACTAACTATTACCTACCTCTCCTTCGCCAACTTCAATGGCTATAAACCCAATAATCACCCAGGAACACTTCTCGAAAGTGCCAAGAGTTGAATCGGGGACACAGCGATATATTACACCAATGTACCATTCCCAAAGCCGGATCTTTATCTGATGATCTAGAGAATCTTTATCAGTCGATCTACAACCGTACTCGTTTTAAATACTAGGTCGTTCTGCCTTAAATATCTCAATATCTCAAAGTCTAAATATTGACCCGCCTTGGAAGGCGATCTCCCATCGAAAGCTTCCTGGAAATCACCCTCGATATATATTGCCGGGCAGTAAATCTACTGCGTTCGTTCCCGAGGTGCGACTGACTCGCGTGCTCATCTGATACAGTCACCCTTCGTTACCTTTCCCTACCGAAAATATATATGCGAACGACAACCGCCCTCGCTTTACCACCATCACCTGGGCAGGCGTACGTTGCAAACTCTTCCGGGCTCAATGTGCCAATCAGTGAGAGTCCGAGCAGACTAGCAAATCATAACTTTCTTGTACAGCCTCGCCCGACATGGTAGAGATATTCATCGCACTTGCATCATGCATGGGAGCGGAAGCACAGCTTCTTTCTAAGCTACCTACTGTATACTACCGAGTATGTGGGGTGTTGATTCCTTTTTAGATTTCTTTAGATTTCTCTTCAGCCCGCCCACCATTCTTTATCAGGCATTCCGAGACAATTGCTGTCTCTGGCAACTGGATCAATATCTCTATGGATTCAAGGGAGCGTTTGATGAATCCTATCATTATCGATTGTCGTGCTGGTCTGCCTGGTGATCGCTTAATCCTGGCCCCCAAATCCCTCAAGGCGCTCCACAGTCCGCCCCTCCCCAGCCTCATGTCCCGTACAGTCGAACTGATCAATGGCGAAGCGCGGATGCTGCCCGATTCTCCACCGCGGGAATGTCTCAGACGTCCTAGGAGTGAACCCATCGTCATCATGGTCCAATTCATGCCCCTTGGCCCTTCATTGTAATAGACAAAGACCGGCATCCAAGACGATCATCGCCCCGCATAGAGATGATCTGGTCAAGGAATACATAAAGACAAAAGTATCCAAACTCTTTGCCGTCAACACCATACCCTTTTCAACTCTTAAGTGCTCGACAAATCCTGAACAATGACAACACTGGATACCCTAAAGCAACCCATCGCCATCCGCCCAGAGCTGGTCGCCACAGCACCCACAACGCTCATTGTTCATCCGCACAGTATAAGCAATTCGGGCAGCGACTTCACTATTTCTGCCGTCAACAATGCGGGACAAGGCCCCTCGCAAGTTGCTGCCAAACCGGCAAAATTATTCTTTGTCGACGGCAAGGCCTTCTCATGGAGTAATAAGATGTGTTTCATCGACGCCTCGGGCCTTCCCCTCTTCGAGCTCCATCGCAAAAAGGCCGGGGTGACATGGTTCGTCAGCCTGCCAGAGACGAAGGATAAAAGCATCGCTACGATTGCACCACAGGGGCATTTGTTCAAGGACAAGTTCGATGTCTATATTCGGAATGCGGCCGACGGGGGCGTGGAAGTCAAGCTTGAGGTGCGAGGGAATGATATCTGGAAATACAGGACTAGCGTCTACTACGGCGGGTCGCTCGTGATGTCGATCAAGATTAAGCACTATTACCTGGTGTATGTGGGATTGGGCAAACGGCCGGAATGGGAGGTCAGCGTTGCACAGGGCTTTGATCTTTCGCTGGTACGTATTCTCATCGTCCAAGTATAAGTATGCAACTAGGGGCTTGCTAAAGATTCGACTAGGCTTCTATTATTGGCGTTCTCCTGGTGCATGTGTTGTATAAACCGAGCTATCAGTCGTCGTTCAAACCAGGCGAGTCTGGTTCAAGCCAGGATCGCGACGCAAATCTGCCGATAAAATAAGGATGGGGATGTTGGGTGGGGCTGTTTCAACAGGGACAGGGGAAAATACCAAATTGACTAGGTTGTTAACGGGGTTGGGTATAGCAAGAGTCTTGTCTCCTCTGTGATACTTGAATCTCGGGGTGCAAAGTTTGCAGTGATGGAAAATTGAGTACTTATTAGATGAAAAGGAGAAGTTGCTAGGCATATAATTTTAGGTACGGTAGTCACCGTTGATAGTGACATACTCATGGCTGAAATCACAGAACCAGTAGACCGCGTCCTCACCACCACAGCCAACAGCACCCTTCTCACCACCACCAAGGTCGACCTCGATCTCCAGATCTTCGTTTTGAAGAATGGCACTAGCACGCTCCTCATCGACAGCCTCAGGCTCACCATTCACAAGGAGCTTGAGGATGGGGCTACCATCCACAGGACGGAAGCTCACAGAGGTACGCTCAGGCACGACAACGCCATCACGGACGCCCTGGGTGTAACCAACAGCGCAGAGAATACGGCCCCAGTTAGCATCACGGCCGTACAGAGCGGTCTTGACGAGGGGAGAGCGGGCGATGGTGGAGGCGATCAGGCGAGCAGATTCATAGTCGGGCGAGTTCCGGACGCGCACAGTCACGAACTTGGTAGCACCCTCGCCATCGCGGACAACAAGCTGCGAAAGCTCCTGGGCGAAGTCTGTGAAGACAGTTTGGAGAGCCTGGTAGTCGGCGCTACCTTCGGAGCCAGAGGCGGGGGCCTGAACAGGCTCCCCACCAGCGGCACCATTGGCAAGCACAGCAATAGTGTCGTTGGTGCTAGTGTCCCCGTCAATAGAGATTGAGTTGAATGAGCGGGAAACAGCGTGTTTGAGAAGCGACTGCAAAGCAGCGGGCGCGACGGCTGCGTCGGTGCACAGGACACCGAGCAGGGTTGCCATGTTCGGGTGGATCATGCCGGCGCCTTTGGTCATACCGGCTAGGCTGTAAGTGCGATCTGGGGAGGAGGGCAGAGTAAAGGTGCGAGAGAGGAGCTTGGGGAATGTATCAGTCGTGCAAATGGCACGGGCGGTGCTCAGCCAGGCTTCGTGTGAGGAGTCGAGGTTGGCTTGCGCAGTGGGAATGCGATCGAGGATCTTGCTGATCGGCAGGCTATTGTGAAAGAAAATTAATATATGTCTGGCACAATGCGTACGTCTTTTCTGGAAAGGCACCCACCGTTGTCCAATGACACCTGTGCTCATCACTAGGGAGCTGTTCTTCTCGGCACCACTGCACTGATCCACCGTCTGACCCATTCGGACCGCATCTTCCAGACCACCCTTGCCAGTCACGGCATTGGCGCAACCGGAGTTGATAACGACGGCCCGGATGCCCTCGCCCTTGCGACTTCGCAGTGTCTCCCGGCTCACCTGTACCGGCGCAGCCTGGAACTTGTTGGTAGTGAAGACCGCCGCGGCCGAGCACGGCGTGTCGGAGGCAATAAGGGCAAGGTCCGGGAAGCGAGTGTTGGATGCCTTGACACCAACATGGGTGCCAGAGACCTTAAATCCCTGCGGGTATGTGCCGGACGTGGGAATGTAGCGCTGCTTGGACGGCGGAATGGCCATATCCAAAGGTGCGGAGTAGCATCGGACCGGGCCCTTAAGCATGCGGGCAAGAGAGCCAACCGCCATTGCGGCTGGCTGGGGTTTGGATACCATGTGTCGGGACCTGGACGATATCAATACTGAATCAAAAGTTGCGTGGTTGGTCGAGGCGACACAGGAAGGGTGAGTTGGAGAAGCTCGAGCTTGAGAGTCAACTGTGAGTCAAGGTACGGCGGGAAAAAGTTCCCAGTCTCGGAGTTACAGTTCGCTGCCCACTCGGCACGGAATGGTGTGGTGTGAGCCCACAGCGGCGCACGCCTGATAAGAAGTATTGCAACGGCAATTGAATGCGTTAGACAGAAAATGGGAAGTATAAGACGGAGCGATGAATTGCCCTAATCTCTACGCGGCGCAATTGGATTTCTTCGATCCGATGCTCACATGACCTCTTTTATCGGCGTGTCCATGGATCATCGAGAGCCAATTTATAGATTTCTTTACGGTGTGGTGATTCAGAACTACAAATCGCTCCCTAGCATTTGAAATAAGATGTGTGACAGGGCGAGATCGAATGCCTCCGTGGGCTCGACCCAGGCGCTTTTTATCTACTCGGTGCAGCTGGGGCGGAGTCGGAGAAACCCAAGGGATCCGCAGCTGCTCGAACGACTTTGAGCTGCCGCGGCACTGGACAGACAAGGCACTTGAAACAGTCGAATTACCACATTCCAGGGCGAATCCACCATTCAATTACCTGCATTGCCCTGTCCTCTGCATCAGGCACTGCAACAACAGCCCTTTGGCAGACACACCCCCAGCCAATCCGGCCCCTTGCATCGCGTCCCTGTGCACATTCTCCGGATCTGATGGTATTGTTGATTCCCTTCCCTCTGCCTCTCCATGACAGATCGTCCTCTGACTCGCCCATCATGAAGCGCAAGCTGTCGGATTCCGGTCTGGAAAATGACCACCCCGAGGTCTCGACCCCCAAGAGACCGCGGACGGCGCTGAGGCAGGCCAATGGCGCGCTGAAGGGCCACGCGCCGAACCACTCCCCGCCGAGCGGCGATGTCACCTACGAGCTCACCCAGGCACCGCAAGGCCAATCGACACCGAAAAAGGCCCACGGAGTGGCTCCGACGCCACTGAAGGAATCTGGGTTGAAGACGCCGACTCACAAATCCAAGGCTCGATCGCTATTTGCTACGCCTACCAAGTCCAAGTCCGCGACCGCTGTGACGCCGTCTCGCATCAAAAATGCAGACCGATCGGCAAAGAAGAAGAGTGCTCGGGTTCTCTTCGAGCAGGATGAGGATGGCGCCTGGGATGGCTCGGAGCAGCTTGCGGAGGAAATTCTCCAAGGAGATGAGCCCGAGGCCGACAAGGCCGCCGAACCGGTGGTAGAAAGTGTCGAGGGCGATGCGGAGAAGGCATCAGGAAAAGAGGCCAAGGCTCCAAAGCGACGGGCTGGCCGACCAAAGGGTGCAAGGAACAAACGATCACCAACACCGGAAGGTGAATTACCAGCACATGAGCGCTATTTCTTCCAGAATCGCGCTGGGACTTCAAAAACGTCTAATACGACTCTAAATAAGGTGTCGCTATTGACGCATGAGGAATACTTCGAGAAGCTTGGCCAGTACGTGGACCCATGCAAGGACGAGAAAGAGTATTTGCTTTCCTTGCACCATCGGTCATTCCCACAGTGGTACTTTGAGTTCGAAGAAGGGTTTAATATCTGTCTGTTCGGGTATGGCTCAAAACGCAAGCTCGTGCAGCAATTTGCAGATTGGCTCTACCACACTCGCTCTACGGCTGGAAGCGCTCCATCTATTGTTATAGTCAACGGCTATACTCCGGGTCTCACAATCCGTTCGGTTTTTGCCATGATTGCGACAGCCATTATGGGGGATGATCTGCCCTCCAAGCTGGGTGCACAGCCAACGGAGGTGCTTGAGCTTCTACAATCGGCGCTCAAGGCTCGACCTGCCTCGGAAGAGCCCATCACCGTTCTGATCAACTCCGTCGATGCGCCCCCTCTGCGTCGGGCAGCTAACCAGGCTCTGCTCGCCCGGCTCGCCGCTACACCTCGCATCCGCCTTCTTCTCACAGCTGACACGCCCAACTTTGCGACGATGTGGGATATTAGTCTGCGTGACCAGTTGAATCTTGTGTTCCACGATAGCACTACCTTCACCCCCTTCACGGTGGAAACCAATGTCGTAGAGGAAGTCCACACCCTCCTCGGCCGTAAAGGCCAGCGCGTTGGCGGCAAGGAAGGCGTGGGCTTCGTGCTTAAGAGTTTGCCGGAGAACGCACGGAACCTCTACCGCCTCTTGCTCACCGAGGTGATTACTGTGATGGACGACGGCCACCAGTCTGATGACGACGGGGCTGCCGAAGGGGCAGGAAGAAGCGCCGAGGAGAATGGCATCGAGTTCCGGCTGCTCTACCAGAAGGCAACGGAGGAGTTCATCGCATCCTCGGAAATGATGTTCCGCACTCTGCTGAAAGAATTCCATGACCATCAAATGATCACCTCGCGCATGGACCCCAGCGGCATGGAAATCCTGGGCGTACCACTATCTCGGGATGAACTGGAGGGCGTGCTGGAGGATTTGGTGCTCGGATAATGCATTCCTCGGCGTGCCTCGTGAAGAGTTAGAAGCGGAATCGATCGCAATAAGTCATGATACCCCTTTATGAAACACAATATTCAATACTTGACCAATCTGCATTGGCCGTGCATACCCTGCACGATGGAATAGTCTTGGTTGGGATCCTAGATGGTAGTAGACTCGGGGAGCACCCGGGGAACTTTTTATGTACAGGAAGCATTTCCTCCGCTCATTCTCTCGAGCTGGCATTTAGAACTGCGCAAAGGCCGCCATGGCCATCATCAGGCCAAAGCTGATCTTAAAAGGCCGATGCTCAGATACGATCCGGCCCAGGTTGGCATTCTTCACATATCGTTGCAACCGATTCAAGGGAAGGATGTTATAGCCCTTCGACGCAGCCCACTGCAGGGAAACCATTAGCATACTCTGTTTTCTCTGTTTCACTCCCTACCGGTGACGAGATATCCCATCATACCTCAACGAGAACAACGCCCATGCCCAGAACCACGACCAGCACTCTCGAGAAAGCCCTCAATCCAACGCCAGCAACAAGGCCGAGCACGCTGCCCAGACTAATCTGGCGCATATTCTCCTTCGTCAGAAACGTGTTCTTGGCCTGCGCCGCAATCCCCGTGCGGCCCTGCTTCTGCAGCATTGGGTCATTGGCGTTGACGGTCCAGCCAGTCTCCGCGCTCGCCTGGCCCTCCGTTCGGTAATAAGGTGCGCTGTACTGGCATTGGATCGGGGCGGCGCGGAAGGGCGAGAAAGGCGTGAGGGTTGCCGCAGAGAGACCGATGCCGAGGCCCAGGCCCAGGCGGAGAATTGTTGATGGAGGGGAGAAGAGTGGGAAGGCCATTGGTGGCGAACGAGGTTCTCGCAAGCGTGTGAGGTGACGGGGTATAATGAGGCTTTTTCAGCTAGGAGGCGACGAGAGTGAGAGCCGGAGCCAGGTGTTGTGCAGGAGATGAGGCATGGAGCTCCCTTTGGAGCTTGTTGATCAGATACCGCGTGATGTCATCGGTGGTCACTCCTCCACACAGGTGGGCTTGCGGCCGCGCGGGATTGGCTCGGGGCCAACCGTGGTTTTTCAGTAGAATTCTATGCACGTGTAAAGTGTTTTCAAGCGTATCGATCTTGGATATCAAATGGGAGATGGCCCAGTGTCCTTGTTTCCGGGCTCAGTGGGCGGCCCACAGTAGTTGGTTATTTCGCGAGAGTTGGTGCTTTCGAATCGGAAAGGATCCCTGAATATTTTCCAATTCCACGTACATGTACTTGCAATTTGGTATGGCGCATACATGCTGGAAGATAAGAAGCCAGATGGTAAAGAAAACGTGAACGAGGGAGTGAAGATAGGGCTGTACTATGGCTATATCGGATCCATGCTTGATTGGGGTGACGACAAGGATTGAAGGACTTTGACGAGTTAAGGGGGAAACAGACAGTCCTCCATCCCTTGAAACTTTTCAGATGTCTCGACGTATGCTATGATCAACGTGGTCCAGATGTCCCTGCAGAGATCGCTTGCGTAGAGCCGATGCGAGTAGGTGGACTGACTCGCGGGCCGAACCCTGGACCAGCCGGAGCAGTCAACATGCAAGATATGCAGTTTAGGGCTACAGGACGGGGCGGGGTTGCCCCAATGAGGAGTGCTGCGTGTGAGAGCATGGCGGCATGGCTTGATGGTAACTCTTCTGAATTTCTACCTCGACGTGATATAGATGTAAGCTCGGTAGCAAGAGACAAGAGGCATCTGGTCGGGTCGACGAGATGGAGGTTGGTCCCAAACTGTGGTGGCTCCACCCGAGGCGATCGGGTGCCGAACGGCATGACGGCAAAGTAGATAGTTCCCCTGTTCCAGAGAGCGCCGTTCCTTACGTCGCTACCAATCTTAGGTTTTGCCTCGGAATTACTTCGAGCTGCCTGCAGGCTTAAGATATAGACTATCGAGCGGCTCCCATGCCCAATCAAGCGGGTATACACGAATAGCACAAGGATATATATAGTCTTGCAACATGGGACTCTTTCACCCAATATGGAAAAGACACCAAAAACGCCCAGAAAAAGAATCTCGAACTAAGCCAGGGACGGTAGATTTGCAGTTGCATGTGGAGTACTATGGTTCCATACTTGGTCACGTCTGTCGATAGATGCCGAGCGACCATGCCGCCCGCAGGACAGCCAGGCCCCAGGCCATGCCGATACTGTCACGAAGGACGTTCAGCTTGCTGCCCCCGACCTCGCGCCACCCCACTGGTACTTCGGCCACCGGGATGTGGGCGAATTCTGCCAGCATGAGCATCTCCACGTCGAAGATCCAGCCCTCGGAGTGCATGTAGGGGATGATGGAGGGCAGGGAGTTGCGCGAGAAGAGCTTGAAGCCGCACTGCGTGTCCTTGACAGTGGCGGTCCTGGGCGGCGTCATCAGCCATAGGATCATGTGGAATGAGTGCATCAGGAAATTGCGCAACTTGGACCGCTATTGGACAATGTTAATACCGGTTTCTCGTCTGCCTATACAAGTTTTCGCGTGTGACGAGGACAATTGCAACTCACCTTGACTACCGCCTCACTGCCCACCATGTGCGCGCGCGACCCAACAGCCACTCCGCGGCCGCCGGCATCCTCAACCTCCTGGCATGCCGTAACAAGCTTCCCCAGATCCTCGAACTTGCTCGCCCCATCCGCGTCAGCAAACACGACATACCGACCGCGAGCGTGCCTCATGCCGTGCGTAACAGCGCCACCTTTGCCGCGGTTATGAGTCAAATTGACCACGCGAATCGTCCCGGGCGGGATGTGCACGCCCTCCTGGGCCTTGGGGGTCCACGGTCCCGCATAGCCCTTCGGGTGCAGCGACAGTTGGTGGTCCTTCGCAAAGTTGAATGCAACCTCCTCCGTCCGATCCGTCGACCCGTCTGAGACGAGGATAATCTCCCATCCGCGGTCCGATGCTGAGCCCGTGGCGGGGCCATCATTTGCCTGGCCGTTCGACGCCGGCTTACGCTTGCGCATAGACCTGGTCGAAACGGGCCCGGGCTTAATGTCGTTTTCGTCAGCGCGGCCCAGAGTGCCGTACATATGCTCTAGGTAGTTGACGGCTTCCTCCAGCATGCCCGCAAGCCGGTCTTCTTCGTTGTACGCCGGGACGACTACGGACATGAACAGCTCCGCGGGCTCGATCTGGGGTGGCGTGGCGGCGGTTTTGTGGGCGTCGAGGGCATCGAGCCAGCAGGGGAGTGGTTCGGGGCTGGTGATCGCTCCATCTTTGGCGAGGGTCCTATACTTCTTTTCTTCTGGTAGGGGTTCTCGCGGGGTCGGCGCGACAATGAAGAGGAAGAGGAAGAACTGTAGATGAGCAGAGAGGTCAGTATTGGTCAATTGGTAGTCAATTGGTAGTCTGGCACGAGTCCTCGGGCAACTGGGGGGGAGGGCGCGCACCCCGGCGCAGGAACCAGCGGGATCCGACTCACCAGGACAAACAATCCCAGCAATGTCGCCAGGAGAGTTACAAGCAGGATTGAAGCTGGCACGTCAGCTACAACAGTGACGCACTGGCGACAAATGTTGGCCCAGGATTCCGTCATCATGTTGGGCGGCATCTTGATCGTTGAGCGCGGCGATGGACGAGGGGGGTACGATGCGAGGGAGACTTGAGGGATGCCCGGGAAGTAGAGAAGGCAATCACTCGGCCAGCCATGCGATGCAAAAGCCAATCAAAGTAAATACATGTGAACAATCATGCGAAAGAGTGGTGGAGCCCCATCTGGTGACGGGGGAGAGTGGGACAAGGGAAAGAAGTTAGAGGGGGAGGTAATGTTGCATGTTGATAATCGCCAGCATGGCCTTTTATCGGCAACACGCAATCGTCGCGACTAAAATACATTACAGTGGAGCGGCGACGCCGCGGGTGGCTCGGCAAGCACTAACGCCTTTTCTGCAGATGTTTATTTGTGCCATTGAGTATTTATCCGGCTCTAAAAATTCATAGCGTTGTTTTTAGGGAGGTTTGGGGCTACGTTGCTGTTCTTGCGTGTAGTTTTCGGCGGGCCGGTTACGCACGTTGGCGGGTCCGGAGGTCGATCTTAGCTTAGCTCCTCGATCGCCGGTTCGGACTCCCCACGAGTAGACGTACACCCGGGAGGTTCTACGCCGTGAATGTCGCTGGAGGGCTCTTGTTCCTCTGGCTCGAAGGTTGGGAGTTTAGGGAGGGCGTGCGGGGGTCGGGGGTCAGAAGGGTTCTTCTTCGTACGGGGGGTGACGACCGGCGCATTCAGGGCAGCCGTCATATTCTGCGATCAATCAAGGACCCAATCCACGCCCCAGCCCAGGAAGTCATACCATGCATACAAGGATGTCCCAGTCGAGCAGGTAAGGCTATACATAATTGGAATTCTTTCCAAGGAGTGACCGGACGTAAAGCACAAAAGACGAAGGAAATCGAGCATCCACGAATATGGCTATCCTCTCTCTGTATTCCCAGTACATTTCCTGCTAACCCGAAATCCGTGCCAGTGTGCCGTCTTCCTCATAGCGATCTGTCGAGATACTCGGCACAAGCAGCCACTCCAGCCAGTCAGATCCCAGGCTCAAATGACATCTTGCGGATGCAAAACGCCCGTTCGACCGCGGCAGATCCGGGGATATTGAAAGCAACCATGGAAGTTGGTTCTCCTAGGAGAGCAATAGCCTAGAGATCGCGGTCTCGACCATTGGACCAGCTCCGGCTTCCAGTCGGGGACGCTGCTCTGCGGACCCTGGGGGCGGATCCAACCTGGCTGACATCCATGGGAAGTAAGTTCCTGGTGGAAGCCCATGAAGGCCTGGAGGCTCGAACGAATGTATATCCTCATGTCCGGGTTCCACGCGCAAAGAATCCTTAGTGGAGGTTCAGTTCCAGACCTCGGAGGAAGGTCTTCCATGGGCCTGGTTCCATCCAGATGGGCGTGGACTTGGCTCTGTGTGCCTGAAACTGTCGGGGAGCCCCGGTAGACTCGAAAATCCATTCCAAGGCTGCTGTGTGTCTATAAGGAAAAGTAAAAAGAAAGATCCGTTGCTCCGAGATGTACCCAATTTCGCCAGATCCTATCTCATCTGCGATCCAGAGTGAAAACAAGCATCCTTCACCAGCCACCTGGCGTAGCCGTGTTGAAGGACACGGCATTGTCACATTCCGCGCATATCATGATCTGCTCGAGCCAGTATAGGTGCTCTGCTGTTAAGACCGCCACAGGATTCCGCTGTGGAAGTATTCTCGAGCGCACGCGGAGTTACCTCGAATCTATGATTCTTATTGTATGTTATCCAACGATCGAACTGCATGTCAAATCCATTAGCCTTTCTTTGTTCACGACACGACCAAGACAGCGAAACCAAGAAACCATGCTACAAACCGTTGCGATCCGCACACCTAGCCAGAGGCACCTGTGCCTGCGGGGTATGAGTGTAGAAGGCCCTTCCACGACGGGTCTGTCGTCCTCCGAGGGGGCTCCTTCGAAAAAGTTCTTCGGGAAGTAGAGCTGGCTCCATGATTGGCCGCGAATTAGGAAATCCTCCGGTAGTTGTGGTATTGCTCCATCGTCGAGGACTGGGAATTCGTCGCCTTCGATTTTGGCGAAATTGATATCGGGACGGAATAAGGTGTTGAGGAAGCCGGCGATGCCCACCCAGGGGATGAACGTTTCAACTTGTTGCATGGCGGGCGGATGGAGGGCCAGGCTCCAGATAAAGGACAGCGAGATATGCACGCTTGGGTATATGCTGGGATCGCCCAGATGATTGAGTAGGACTGAGAGGGTGTGGAAGGCAAGAGAGGTTCCTTGGAAAGCCATTGGGGGCAGATGCACGCTGGGCTCGGTCGGTTCACCGACTTCCTGAATCTTGGTTTTCAAGTCCAAGCCCGAAGTCCAATTGAGCGCAAAGGCATGTGCATCGGCAGCGGTTTCATGGTCCTTCTGAGAGAATTCCATAGCCATCACGGCTTCGGGGTCGCCATATTGAAGGATTGACGCGAAATTACACGACATGATATAGACTCCAGTTTGGCCCTGAGAACCTAACCGACGAGCCTCTCGCCATAAAAGTGCCAAGAAGTGATTTGCCAAAATAATAAACTGCTCCGCTGGCCATTGATTGAAGAGGGCACTATGAGTAGCAATGAGGGCGGTAACCATGGTATGTTGATGCAGAGCTTGCCCGTTATACGGACCGAAGAGGAGGACAATACTCTCTCGTGCGTTGGGGAATGGACGCACACTCACTAGGGCCTTGGTGTAGTGGAAGAGCTGTTGTAGCAGGTCCGGACGAGCTAGCACTGCCAGGTGGTGTTGAATACGACCCACTTCGGGGCTGCGATCCGCATCTTGATTGTACCAATATCGTGAGACTCCGGCCCACACTTCACGATCTCTCATATCAGACTCTTCTACCGCCATGCGATATCGTGCTAGATCTCCAAGGCACTCGATCCACGTCTCGCGGAACGCATCGACGCTTTCAAATAAGAGCGTCATCATCGAGTAGGCGAGATAGATGAAGTTCAACATGTAGTCCAACGATTTCGGGAGCTTCTGTCGGAGGAGCTCCAAGAACGAATGGATCCCATATCGCCACATCCTCGCGGGCATGGCATATTTTTCGGCCAGGCGCTTCAACACCGGACTGGCGGACGGGTGTTGCGATGCCAGGAAGAAATCATGGTGTTCATAAAGTAAGGTCTGGTGCAAAGATATCATCGCTTGCCATTGTAAGCCGGACAATTCGACCTGTGATTCTGTTTGTTTCTTGTCGATCTCGATGCATTTTTTTTCCACCTTGACCAGCCCGGCATAGATCATGCGCACCTCATTGATCAATTGATCTTCTGTGATTGGATTGGTTTGGGGCTGTTTAAACATCTCCTCTATCCCCGGAGTCCTTGAACCGGCTGATATCAAGCCTTGTGAGGATAAGGATGAATTCGGATCGTCATGCTCGTCATTTGATTCATTGGCTGGGTTCTGGGCCGGGGACGGCTCATCCACTTCCATTTTATCCCCATCTCCCTCATCCACCCCACCACCATCGCCCCCTTTATTAGCGACTGTCATTTGAGGGACCGTGGACGGTGAATGGTCTCTCCGCTCTACAGGCGGACTTTCATAGATGGTTTGATAGTCCGACTCCCTGGTCAACTCCGATTCATCCGTGAGCAAGTGCTTCGACGGCACCCCGCCACTGGTATCCTCATAGCGCGTGGGTTGGTTCGAAGCCGAGGTAGATAGCCTTCGCTCCCGCTCTCTTAATGCGCGCGAACTGTCCCGGCGATAGAACTTCTCGGCGCGAGCTAACCTGGTGCGCGACGATGCCTTGGACACCCGCGCGCCCTGGCTACTGAGCGTCTCCAAAGTACCGTCATCCGCGAGCACCCCTGACGATAATGGAGGGCTGACGGAGGAGCACATGCGATTGGCCATTGGCGCCTCAGGCGACAACTCGTCCGAGTACAGGCGGCCGATGGATCGCCTGGCGAGTCCGGGCGTTAGCCCCGGCAACAACACACGAGAAGGGTACGACTTGCCTGGGTGATAGATCGTACGGCAAGGACCTGTCTGTGCCGCGCCAGCCTTTGGCGTTCAATCGGGAGGAGCCTGGTTTGGCTCCGTAAGAGCGGTCCTTACGGACGGATGGTCTTTCCATCGGATGTTTGGGATATTCAGGACTTTTGCCGTGGCCTCATCTGATCTGGGCCGCATTAGCTAATCGGCCTTGGAAATCGGGCAATCTGACAATCGTGCTGCAGCCGTGCCGAAGAGAGGAGAAAGTCAAAAAAGAGAGTGGCGGTGGCGGGGGGGGAAGGGTATGGTGAGCTGGGGTACAGAGGCGAAGGTTGGAGGCGGGGGAGGGGAAAGGCTGGACTAGGACTGACGGACTTTGTCAATCATCCAAAGATGGGGAGAGCATCGATGGGCACCACGACCCAGGTGTGGGCTCGGGTGTTTATAAGAGAGATCGGAGGCCGGAGTTCAGAGTAAACAAGTAAAGTCTAGGCAGCGCAGCCCTTGGCGCTAAGTCCCCAGGCACCGAAACAGGCAGATGAGGACTATAAAGCGTTAACGCGGACTGAAAAATGGGTGGAGCAATGAGCCGGTGTGAAAGTGCGCAAAACAAGTGCCTGTCCGAATGAGTCGGTCCGAGGGAAACGAGAGCTACAGTAGATGGTGTGGGCGCAAGGATGGCACCGTGGAGTTAGCACTGGTTGCCTGCTTCCATTGCCTCCCCAAGTTGCGATGTTTTGGTTGGCATTTTACTTTACCCCAGCCTGACCACTCACACACAGACCTGTTCACCTGTTCACCTGCGACTGCGACGGCTGCTAAGTATTACCGTCCTATTATTATCATGACTGGTGCAGTACCGATCGATAATCCCGGTCTTCCGGAACTATGTACCCCCTCAACTTCAAAAGCACCTGCATCGCCGTCTCTGCGTGAAATCTTCCGCTTCATTTTGCAGACCCGGGAAGGGTTGGGCCACGTTTCAGCGTACCAGCAGGATGATCACAATCCAGCAGAATCCGCATCAGCAGTATCACCCGTATGACAGGCGAGCTACGGGCCCTTACGATCGCCCACCTCCGGCCAGCCCCCCGGCGAGGGGCTGAGATACTCAGAAAATAAAAAAGACGCTGACGGCAGATCTAATCACCCCTCCTGACCCTCTTTTTGCCTTTTCACGCCTTGCGAGGCCACAGTCCAGGGCGCCGTTCAGCTTCTTCGGTACGTGAAGCGCCGTGACCGCCGTTACCCAGGCGGAGGGAACGGCACATCTCCCGCTGCGGCATCCTGCAACGGGCATCCTGTTGGTCTCCATCGTCCTGAATTATGAGGCAGGGGTGAATTATGCCCAACAGCCCCCGCAACGCCCTCTTGGAAGACCGATCACCCATTCAGCGAGGCACTTTTGGACCTGGTCCTCAACCGGGGCCCTTGCTTGTGGCCGGCTGCCGACTTTCTTTGAGCAGGCCAGACCAGACCACACCAGACCGCTCCCGCCGAGGCCTGACCTGGTCCTCGCTCACCGATACTCCCATGAGAACCCTGAGACCCGACAAACTACGCCCAAGCGACCACCGCGAAAGCCTAATTGTGAAATGCCACCTTGAAACGCCGTTGCGCCCGCCAAACCGCCCCGGAGGGCTTGCGTCAGGCTGCGACTGACGCCGCTCTCCACTTGCCTCATTCCTTCTTTCTATGACCTTGATTCCAAATTATTGCATCAGAGCAGCTGCTGGTCTAAATCGGGGCTTCGAAATCCGCGCCCAAGGGTGATCAGACCACTCTGCGGTCCAAGGCCGAGAGGAGCCCGAGGCACCAGCCCACATCGCTGGGATACCACGGGGCAGTGACCAGTTCTCCCTATGCGACACCCCGACGAATCCACCTGGTCCGTATCGTGGGGTGTGACTGCGATTCTGATCATCCCATAATACTCCTTCCTACCCCAAGTTGAACCGAGCACATGGGTCTCTGGGAAGCTTGTAATGCAAGGCCACGTTGATGGCCAGTCCTTTCCGAGGTCCTCCATCAGAGAATCAACCGGTGGCAAAATATTTTGCCCATTAGCTGGACTTGGAGATTCAAGAGCAGATCGTGATTGCAGGATCACACCGAGCTTCATCATCCCTGCATTGAGCCTTCTTGCCATGGGTCAGATCATTTCGCCATCGTGCTTCCCGAATAGGCTCTGCCTTCCGAGATCACCACGGACGAGCGAGGTCCGCATTTACGAAGGCCAACTAGTCCGATGCAATCTCTCATGATGGCCTCCTCACCATCTGTGTATATCCTAAAGCGCAGGTGGTATCAATCACGAGCTGGAAGTCGGAGGACTATTGGGAGCCGCTAGGATCGAGCGATAGGCTGCTGATCAGGAGACAGGAGATAACGGCGGCTACCCGTGTAATGATTGGTCCGGGAGAGAAAATAGCTCCCGATTTAAATCAGCCTTCTGGGATTTGGGATTGGTAATTTGGGTCCAGTGCAAAATCCCTCAACTCGCACTATGCACCTGGAGGGGATGAAGCTACAGTACAGACGATGGCACCGTACAGTACAGGATGTAGGGATCGTGCGACAAGGCCCTTTGTGCGTTCCGAGATACCGCATCGTCAACTTGAGAGCAGAATTTGTTTTCAGGATGATTTGAAATACTGAAGAGCGTTGCCGTAGAAGCCCTGCAGTAGACGGATCTATAGACATACATTTTAGTTCTAGATATACATTTTGTGGTCATAATGCATGCACGCAACTCTGTATCACGCCTGTACTCCGGACACGGTACAACCAAAAAGAAATGCAATACGGAGGACAGTTTTGGGCCCGGTCCGCATGGATCCAAAGTAAGGCAACCACTCTCCGTTTAACCCCTCGATAAATCGGAAATCTTATCGTGATCCTCGCTAAAAGGGCCCAAGGCCGGGGTTGGGGGGGTTGGGGGACGGGGGAGCGGGTGCAATACCCCCCGAAACTGCCCCTGGAGGAAAAGCGGCTAGTCAGAAAGTGTAAATGTAAAAGCAAAGAAAAATCAGATAGGTGTCATGATGTAAGTAAGGGCGGTGTCTCCCAGGGATAACAGGGATGAAGTATGAGAGTAACGTGCAATCCCAGCCCCGTGGGTTGTAGGGGCAGTAGTCGCGTTGCGCCCGGGTTGAGAAGCTACCCCCCCCCCCCAACCCTCGAACGAATCACCGTGCGGGAGCTCCCGCCCCATACTTGAAACGACTAGGATTCGCGGGACGGCAGGGCACGATATCAGTGTGAATCCCACTGTGAGGGCACATGGGGGTGCCAAAATGAGGGGGGGCCAGTGGATGCGGAGAGAAGCTTATTGTTAGGGGTGCTCAACCCGGGTTAAATAAACTAGCTTGCGTTGGTCGCATTCCGGAGCTATTCTAGAGTGCACGAGAAGCCCGTCACATCCAGACGGCAGGGCAGGCTGCATCCCATCTCATGCACGGTTTCGCTTCGAGGCACCATGGCAGGGATTTTCATTGGTCTAAGCTGGAGATTGTTTGGGTGATTGCTGTTTCGGTGGGGGCTAATTCTGAGCTCTTACAGTAGCTCTCCACGCGGAGGATATATCGCAGCCGAGGGCTTAGTCTAGTGCTCACGATAGTTACCTAGCCCGCCCATGTGGACATGTGGACATGTGGACAGTTGCTGCGCTGTTCCAGTGAGGGGGTTACGACTTCGAGGGAGGGGTTCGGGGAGCCAGACCGACCTTGAGGCCGAAGTCCAACGAGAAGAACAGGGAATCCGAGGGGCCCGGAGAATTTAATCCGCGGACGTTGCTGTGCTCTTGTGTCATAGAGTACCAATCATTGGTCCTGGTCGATTGGAGGTGTTTTATTGGTCCATAGGTATACTCAGTTGGGGGAAAGGTGTGACTACAACTGACAGAATCGGGACTACCGGCGGGTAGATATACGCCCCCAAGTATAGGAAGAAAACAAAACCAGACAGAGGTTCCAAATAAACGACCTTTGGTAGATGATCGATCACACACATCCAGGCCGGCTGAAGAAATGGATCGGGGATAGAAACATGGCTTGCGTCGCATGAACAGATCCTTTCGCAGCGATGCGTTCTGCCGTGGCCTATCCTATAGATCGCGAAAGCAGGATCGCCTTGGCAAAGACGTCATGGCGCTCGAGCAGCGAAAACAAACACTCCGCTCGCACCCGCACGCCACCAGGGTTATCGAATGGTGCGCTCAATAACAACATCACCTGCGCAAACAGGCGAATTCCACGTATCGACGGGGAACCGCAGCCTTTCATCCGTGCACGCCATCCTCATCGAGAGATCGATCGAGCTCCCCTTCACCGCCTCAGACCAGCCATCCAATCCCATCCACGAGCTGGCTTTATTCACCAAACTCTATGGAAGCGGGGGACATCCATTCATGTACCCCCGACGACACCTGCATCTTACCGCGCGGCACTTGAATTTCACGCCCGGGTACCGGTATCTGGGACCGACAGGGAGACCCGGAGCCCCCAGCACATTCACCTCCAAGCCCATGTCAACCTTCACGCTCCCCGGGTCCGAGCTGCGCATCACAAGCACACCGGACCTGGGCCGCGACGATCTGCTGTCCTTTCCTGCTTTTAATAATTGGATCTCAACGCTGCAGAATTCCCTAGCGCGTCAGTCTCATCCGTCACACGAGTTCCATGAGGACCCGTATGTCTTGCGGACGATTGACATCCAGGCCGTGGACCGCTTTGGCGGTGGGCGGGTGGGCTTTGTCAAGTTGAAGGCGGATGTGTCGAATGGCCGAGGGGAGAAGTTACCTGGGAGTGTGTTTCTCCGCGGAGGGAGTGTGGGTATGCTTGTATGTTTGCTTTCTTTCCATTTCTTTTTCGAACCGGACTGGCCCACGCAAGCGGGACGAGCGGCTGACGATTGTGCTTCTAGCTCATCCTTCAACCTGATGATATCCCGGTCTCACAAGAGAAGGGCAAGCAAGCTATTGTGACGATTCAGCCTCGCGTTCCTGCGGGCTCTTTGGCATTTGTTGAAATCCCGGCTGGCATGCTGGATGACAGTGGGACCTTTGCTGGGGGTGCGGCGAAGGAGATTCAGGAAGAGACTGGGCTGTCTGTTCAGCAGAGTGAACTGATTGGTATGACCTCGTTGGCTTCAGAACTAATTGAAGACTCAGCTGCGAATGGAGAGAACCTGCAGAAAGCGATGTATCCATCTGCTGGGGGCAGTGATGAATTCATTCCCTTGTTTTTATGCCAAAAGCGAATGCCCCGACAGGATATTGAAGAATTGCAGGGCAAATTAACAGGACTCCGGGATCATGGCGAGAAAATCACATTGAAGGTAGTTCCATTGGAAAGTCTGTGGAAGGAAGGGCTGCGAGATGGGAAGACACTGGCGGCATGGGCGCTCTATCAGGGGCTACGAGAAGCAGGGAAGATCTAACCTAACTCCTCCTACGATGAGCAGACGAGAAGATAGAGAGTCTTGGCGGTTATACCTCATCGCTAACCCAGCCAGCACTATGTGGTAGTTGCTAGTGAAAACACCCCCGCAAAGACGTCTAATGGAAATCATCTGTGTCGTCATGTCTCGAGCTTACAGCTTCCACTGCTTCATCAACTCCATCCCCTCAGCCAGAGTGCCAATCCGAGCATCGATAGCGTAGCCCTCCTGCTCTAGTCTTTTGGTCTCATCATACAGCGACGCCAGCGGGACAGAGAAGCACTCGATGAACTCGTTATCCTCGAGCTCCGGCTTGGGGTTCTGGTTTTCGGGCAGAGTCATGTCCACGCGAACGTGGACCATGCGCAAGTTCGTGTTACAGAAACCCGGGTCTAAACCTCGGAAACGAAGAATAGAAGGGGATTGGTCAGCCGCTGCACGGAAAACAAATATGTACCGACAAAATGCGCCGAGAAAGTAAATCTCCACAAAGAATTCATGCGAACGCACCGTTGAACATGACTGGGCTCGTCTGCTCCGCCACACCCACGTAGCCCGTCTCCTCCTTGAGCTCGCGAACCGCGCACTGCTCCGGAGTCTCACCGGCATCGATCAGGCCGGCCGGCACCTCGATGACAACCTTGTCAATCGGCGGACGATATTGCTTTTGCAGCAGCAGTTCAGGCCCCGTGGGCTTGTTGAGGATAGTGACGATCCCTACGCCATCGATCTCGCAATTGGCGGGGCGAGTCTGGAGATGCGGAGGTCAGCTACGAGGTCTAAGCAGGCGGGTGACATTGACGTTTCCAGAGAGATTAAATGAGGATGCAGAGCTCTGGAAACGGTCGCGTGTTGCGGTCGTGCACCAAGGCAACCCATTGACGAGGCTGTGCATCACATCACGCCCGCGCCGTATCCGCCAATACGAACCGGCAAAAAAGGTTGTAAGCTGATGCACAGTGAGCTCTGAGCTCGGAGCTCGGAGCTCAGAGATGCACTTGCCAACAGCGGCACTCCCCGATATGCGGCTGAGGGCTTGTGGACATGACGGCTGATAGATCGAGCGTGTAACTCCGAACTTGGAAGCGGGATAGAGCTAAGCCCCCGTAATGCAGGAGGCCTGAGGCAGGGGCCGGACAGACGACAAATGCAGAGGGACCCGAAGAGTGAGGCGCGAATCTTACCTGCCGTTCCGCAGACTCCCAGGTCCTCTCAACCCCGAGGGGGTCGGTATATGTGGTCTTGACCAATCGCGTCCAGCGGGCTTCGGCATTTTCCTGATTGATACTCGGTCAGAGATGAATGGCTAGACGAGATGCAGGAGTCTGCTGATTGATAAATCCCGTCTCCACTGCAGCAAGACAGTATCAAACAGGCAACAAAAAGCACCTACAAATTGACTTACCAGTGGACACCGGGAAACGTGGTTGGACTTGGCCTGCGAACGCTCCGACATGGCTGCAGAGTGAACGGTATGTGTGGGTGACAAGTACGGGGATTGGGGTCTCTCGGTGTTCTAGGCGGAGCAGGACCAGGCTTTGGGCAGCAATGGTTGTGTCTGGAGCTTGTTCTTCTTTTGGAGCTATCCCCAATGTTGACGATCCGGAGAGAGGCGCAGCGGAGAGAGAGAGGGGGAAACCTTGGCCAGGGCTGGTGGGGCGGTGCGCTTACCTTATCACCATACTGAAGCAACTAGATTGTCGAGGAGACAAAAAAAGGGAGAAAGTGGAAAGGAGCTGAATGAGATGGAAATGAGCTCTATCGGCAAGTATTGGGAATAAAAAGATCCCGTACAAAAGAGTGGAGGCTGGTTGTGGTTCCTCATTCACCATGTAGCGCTTTACTGTGTGTGGAATGAGGAGCATCATAATACGTCCAAAGCAAACTAGTAATGTCTAGCTTCTCGCAAGGAACGCCGAGTCCTTACTATGCACTTTCCAAACCGGATCAGATATACGGAGTGCATGAGAATGAATAATAGATAGGACATCTACACCGACTTCGAAATCCAGTCTCATGACACTAGTCGTCGGCAATCTTTCCATCCAAGTAAAACTTGACGCTCCCGAACTGGCTTATCGCGTGCACCCAACAATCCACATGAAGGACAATTGCAGATCAAACTCAAAGCCACAGCATATGCTGCCACGGATTAAATGTCTCATACCTACTTCTCCCCGGGGTTATGCCCTCACCGGCTAAATCACCAAGTCAACTAGTAAATAGGTCTTTCCCTTTCAGGCCGAATAGACTATCGGGCGGTCCCGGGGCTATGCGGACTAGCCTGAACTTTGAAACCCCCCTCCCAATAAGGAGTCCGGATGAAACCATATGCTACAGGGATGGGAAGCTCTACCTCAATGGAGTCCGGAGCGAACGTGGTCCCGAATCTTGGGGAATGGACTCATCAAATGTCGCATTGTTCTGGGCCGCGGTCTGCAAGCCACGCCGCCGGTCGGTCACAGAGCTCGAGCTAGTTGTCAACCCGGGTTAGTTTGGGAAGTCTGCCTCGCTGAGTTGTCCAAGGCAGAAACGCGCCTGCTGGGATCCTGCAGGGAGTAGAGCGCTTATATTTGTCTACTGCGCTGGTTGATCCTCAAGCGGGGGTATATGTTTCGGAATGTCTGAGCTTGTGCCAACCTAGCCAATACGATCTACATGACATCCTTGGACGGAGTTTTGGTCCGAGAACAACTGCCTTGTACTAGATAATTTTAGCTGGCTAACAACACAGAGCTCGGTATCCCATTGCCCAAGACGACCTGTCTATGCGTGAAAGATAGGAAGATACGGCCTATCAATGCAGAGAAAAGGGTAAGAAAAGGCTAACACGGGGCGACTCGGTAGAAACTTTCCGACTTTCGCATCCAGAAGCGGGGAGGGATGAGACGGACAGCAGGTGTTTATCGTCGCACACCGGACGAATGAAAGAGACAAAAAGAGGGGGTAAAAAAATCAAGCCCCAAAACGACCATTCGCTCGCTATCATGACATCGTGTGGTTATGGGAACTTCGGCGAGGACAAACATCACAGGCTCGACTGAGCAACGTCGGCGGGGATGTTCTCGATGAACTCCAGGCACTTATCAAACTCCGACCAGTGTGTCATAATGATCTTGACACCAAGATCCATCAGACGCTCGCTCATCTCCGCCTGCATATCCTCACTGTAGCTACCGACGTAGCCAATCACGGCGATACCGGCACGGATAGCCGAGAGGGCACCGGACTTGCTATCCTCCACAGCCAGCGTCTCCGCAGCAGTCTTGCCGCACTTCTTCAGCGCATGCAGGTAGATGGCCGGATCGGGCTTGGAGGTGGGCTTCTCGAGAGAACTAGCCGCACTGAAGATCATGTCGGGATCAAAGTATTTGTCTTGACCGACCTTCTTGATCGACGCGACGACTCGGCGCAGAGCCGATGAAGAGACCACGGCCATGTGATACTTTTTCGCGGCGAAGAGCTTGTCCAACTGCTCGTTGGCACCGACACAGGGCTTCGCCTTGGCCTCGAGCTTGGCAATGACCTTGTCCTCCTCCTTCTTGACATACTTCTCCAGCTCGTCCTGCTCCAACTCAAACTTATACTTGGCTTGCAGAGAAATCATCATGCCACGGAAGTTCTGGCCGACAAAGTCTTTGATCAGCTGCTCGCCAGTGTAGCGATCAGGAATGCCGCGCTTGTCCAGGATCTCGTTAGCCAGGTCAGCGCAGGCCTCAAAGGCCAGCTCCTCTGACAACACCAGGGTGTTGTCACAGTCGAGGAAGATTTCCGTGATCTGCAAGTCAATCGGTTAGGGTCGGTGGGTCTGAGAGTAGCGAGCAAGCGGGGGATGCTCGTACCTTAGGCATGGTGCTGGAGATGCGGGGAGAAGATCCGTGAAGCAGTCAAAAAGTGGGGGAGAGTGGTGTAGGCGTGATGACAGACGAGGAATGCGCCAAGGTAATGAAAAGCCGAGTCTGATCTATGACGATCTCGAGGGGTAAAGAAGAAGTTGGGAGGTAAAGGTAAGAGGGAGTTGAGGCAATTGACCGAGTTAGGCGGGCATCAAACAAAAGGCGGGACAGGGCAGGAAGTCAGGACCCGGTTGCTTTTAAAGGCAGGAACCCATGGTCCTACGTGCGGCAGGGCATGACGCCGCCATAATGAGAATCGCAGGGAACCGACCGGGTCAGAGCGGGTTGGCGGGGGCTGAGGTCATCGAGTTACTAGCCTGATGATGTAGGCGGTACCTCTCTTAACTTGTGAGTCTCCATATCCAGCCAAGTACCAAGAACATGACATCCAAGGGACCAGGAAGCTCGGCCGCCAGCACTCCACCAATCATATTGCTCAAATTGTGAAGTCAGCGGCACTTGCCTGATTCAGGACTAGCGCCTGTCTGTACTCGTGGAAAGTCGCAGAAAGTCGGAGCTCGCTGCGTGCTTGTTTGACAGTCCAAGCTGGCATGGGGTTCGCGCTCGGTAGGTTTAACCCCTCGATCAGATATTGGAGGTATAGCACAGTATCACCGGGTAGGGCTATGGGGCTGGTGCAAGCCAAGGAGACGGGCCCAGCAGTCTTGCATTCTACATCCTTGAAATGGAGGGGCGTGAAAGTCACGAGAGTGTAACCACGGACCATGTATACCACGTTCTATTGGGTCTCCTCAAGAATCGAAGGCCTGAACTCATGCCGCACGGTCGTACGGGGATTCGGTCGAGGACCCTGGACAGTTCCATGCAGATTCGCAATATCACCCGGTCTGCACCGACGTTCGAGCTAGTAGTTTGTATGTGGAGTCTTCCTCCTCTAGAGCTCTCTTGACCGTAGTTGATCTGGCCCGATGCTTTCGGGCTTGCATAATGACAATCTTCCCATAATGATTGACGAGGGTCATGTGTCAACAAAGTTTGGAAGGAGAGATCGAATGCATTCTACACGGTCGTAGGGGCATATGAATTTCGTAATCGACGCTGCTATTTCGCGTTTAAGGGCTGCGACATGCCATAGAACCCTAGCAAGGCCAGCTAAATGCATTCCAAGTCCTATATCAACATCCTACGAAATCAGGGCTTCATTCGTTGGCACCCTTCACTGTTGGAGAACAACAGATCTGAGGACAGTCGCAATGCGAGGTAGGCGACGAAACAGACAAGCATCCGATCAGCTTCTCTCGTCATGCGCCGGCGATCAAATCGGGGTTCTGCATCCCCTCCGTTCCGATGCACTCGGCTCCTGGTCTTCGTCGTCAGTGACCGACATTCGGGTTCACGGACCACCATCCCCACTCTCCCTACCCGTCGCAGCTGTGATTGGCCCCACCCCACGGTGGATCGCTGCGCATCTGCCATTTTCGCGACCTTTAATATTCCCCTCCATTCAAGCAACGAGCTTTCGTCGCCCACCTCTTCCATTACCAGCTTGTGACTTGACCAGGGCCCGGTCTCGCAAGCAAGAATCTCGGCACTACCCCAGAGTACGACTGTAAGGGCCAGGAGTACTCCAACACACAGCTCCTTAGCGATCCAAGTCACAATGGCATCCCCGGGTTCCTTTCCGACCCTGGACGCACTCTATTTCCCGTCTGCCCAGACATCCCTCTCACAGACGCTGTCTTCTCTCCGCCGCTCGGCCTTGTCCGTTTCCAACCGGCTTCAGTCAATTGTGACAGATGCGGTCTTTGTGCAGGAGGTAGCGGGACATTATGACCTGCCTCTGGTTGCGAATGAACGCTGTGGTAGTTGGTATATTGACCCCCAGACCAAGGCGGGCAGCGCCTATTTCAAGAGCACAGACGGCCATACTGGGCAATGGGATTTTAGTTTTCGTAGGCTCAATCTACAATTACTCCTACTGGCTCAGAAATATGGAGGGTAAGTACAGCGAGTTGTCCTGTTTCTGGCCGGTGCCGCATATCCCCGGATTCTGCTTTGTGTCCTCTTTATACTTCCAACCAAACCTGGGTTGGGCCCTCTTGTTTGAATGACAACCTTGTTGTTTGCGCTGCACGACATGCCTCAACTAACCTTGTTCTTTCCTCCGCCAGGTGTGTAATTGTCGACTCAACCCGCCGAGGGAAATGTATGTGATCCACCCCTCCAGCGCAAACCCCCAAGGTGGCAGCCTCGTCGACGCCAGTTCCGTTCCCACTCTTGTCACCGTGCACCCCCTCCCTCTCCCCCTCGCTATAGCTGACATTCCCTAGTGATGCCGGATGCCTTATCCAAAACGATCCCTATCTGGTGCGCGGTGCTCAATCGGGCCTTGTTCCCGACGCAGACTGCACATCATGCCGTCCAGCTCCCGCCCAATTACCTAGGGAAATCGGAGGAATCGCAGATCGAATCCCGTATTGATGGCTTTGTCCACTCTCTCGAGGTACGCATGACAGCATCAACCCCAGTCACGTCTCTGTCAGGGACTAGTTCCCCATATCACCCCCCCCTTCACTCTCTTTTCACCCGGGTGAATTTCCCCGCACCCGCGGGCTGGCATGACGTCGGGCTGATATCCCCACCCAGAGCCTCAAACTCGACCTCGAGCGCTTGCGCCAGCAGCTCGGGAAGCCTCTGCGAGTGGCCTGGGCCAATCGATCGTACTTCCACCCGGCAGACCTGCATAAAGGCGAGGAGTATCACCTCTTAGTGCTGTGCTCGGCATCAGAGCGCATCCGCGGTGCGGAGATGTCGGCGGGAGGATACATCCAGGGCGCAGGCGACGATAGCGAGGCATGGGCGCATGGGCTGACGCCGCCAGTGTTCTGGGCGAACCAGCCTGTTCTGAAGCGGACTGCGGAGGAGGATTTGCCGGGTGTGATTGCAGACTTGGTAACCGAGTACAAGCGCCAGCACACTGAGCACAAGGCAACTGTCATCGCGCCAACTCAAAACCTTTACATCAGCCAAACGGACGCATCTGTGGATGTGGCAGCTCAGTATGACCTCGTCATTGACTGCAACGGGGACCCTTTGCCCGTGGAAGGTAATGCAAAACGCCTTAACCTCGGCTGTGCGTCGGCGAAGCTAGGCAGCCGTGATCTACGTAAGTCGTTGGACACAGTGCGTGATTTTGTTGGCACACAACTGGGCTCTGATTCATCGCAATCGTTGTTGGTGACGTGCGATACGGGCAAGGACCTCTCAGCCGGGGCACTGCTGGCAATTATTTGCCTGTTCTACACTGAAGATGGTAATGCGATAAACCCCCAAGAATCTCTCAATAAAATTCAAACGCTAGATGGAACGGCAAAGGGAATCGAAAGAGAAAAAATAACTGACTAGTTCGGCCAGGAACCTTTGATGCCTCGCAGTGCAAGCGCTCGATCAGCAAGCAGTTCATCCGACAGCGTCTCGCGTGGATCGTGTCATCCAAGCATGACGTGAATCCGTCTCGCTCGACGCTGCAATCGGTGAACCACTTTTTAATGCAGCCACCGGATTATTGAGTCCAGGTGGATATGTTGCATATTTTGGCCGCTGAAGCGTATCTTGCCATACACGACGTACTTGGGCGTCCAGCCGAGGATAATCATGGCGTTTACTCGTTGGCCACAGCCTCCACGATGGCTCCCGCATCGCCTTGGTCGAGCGAATCCAAAAGCTCCATATCCTCCGCGCTAATATGGAAGTCGAAGACGTCCGCATTCGCGGCAATGCGCTCCGGGTCGTCGGACTTGGGCAGCGGCACCCATCCCTTCTGCAGAGCATAGCGGATCAATACCTGCTGCGTCGAATGGCTGTATTTCTGCGCGACCTCGACGAGGGTCGGGTCGTTGGCTTTATAGTTGCGCACGATGGGCGAATAGGCCTCAACAACGATGCCATGCTGCTTGCAGTACGCGACGATCGTGCGCTGCTGACACCATGGGTGGAGCTGTACCGCAACATGACATGAATCAGTCTCTAGATTCTACCGTATAGATACCAAGCCATAGAACAGATACCGATGGACAACGTAGGAAAAAAGCCAAACAGGAAAGACATACCTCAATCTGGTTGACATGGGGCGGCCACACCTGGGCATACGCCTTCATCTCCTCGATATGCTGCACGCCGTAATTGCTCACGCCAATTGCCTTCGCCTTGCCCTCGGCATGCAACTTCTCCAGCGCCTGCCACAGCTGCTTCCTCCCCGCGAAACCCGAACTGGGGCTATGAATCAAGAACAGATCCACGTATCCGCCAGGCCCGCCGATCGTCTCCACGCTCGCCAGCAGCTTGTCGTAGGTTTGCTCAGACGAGCCGGCGGGGCTCAGGATCTTGGTGGTCACGAAGACCTGGTCGCGGGGCAGACCGGAGGCGCGCAGGGCCTCGCCGACTTCGCCTTCGTTGCCGTAGAACTGCGCGGTGTCGATGTGCCGATATCCCGCCTCGAGCGCCTTCCGCACTGACTGCCCGCATTGGTGTGTTGGCGAGCGGTAGACGCCGAAGCCCAGGCGCGGGATGCGCACGGGGGAGTTGGGGAGTGAGAGCAGGTCGGTGATTTTGTCGGGCATGATGGGGAAAATGGTGGCGGGGTGGGAGCTTGGGAGCTTGCTAAAGAGAAGAGAACAGAAGGACGGGACAATTGACGCGGACGAAGCTCGAGTCATTGGCGATCGAAATTCGCGGTTCGCCCCGCTCGGAACCGAACCAGATGGAATGATATCATCCGCCGATTACTCACGCCACTGTTTAGGCATGTTCGTTACGGAGTACATCTCATGTGCGCTGGACCACGCCTTGGAAGCAGAATATGAAGGTCTACCGGATCACTCCCGCTACGTCAAGTCTGTGAGCGTATGTCACCCTCCAATCCTGCTGCAGTCGGACCACTTTACCCAGCACCACCAAGGTCGTCCCATCCCCTCTCCGTAGCCGTAGATATCGCCGATCCAAATATAAACCCCTCCGCGATTGGCTGTGCTCGTCCAAGTTTTCGTGGGGGAGATCGCCCGGGATGAAGCACCCATAGTGGCGCTGACCGCCCGTCAGCGTACTTGATAGACTCCGTACAGGTGGAAGAGAACAAAGCCGACGTCCAGTGGCCAAAACAATCGCGATCAGGGTCGATGACCGCCTACAGCAGCCGTAAAGAGGACCGAGGACCGAAGACCGAAGACCGTAGAACGCCCCTCGTTGCCACGGAGACTGGGCCCAAGCGGGCAACAGAAACACCCCGCCCGCCAGCCACTACGCTTGTCAGTCCAACTAGGTGGCCTAGCTGGAAGCACCGACCACACCCTTCACACTTTTTTCAGAGTGGCCCCATTCATTGTCGGATTTCCGATTGTCAAATTGTCTCCCCTAGTCCCGAGTCCCTAGTCCCTACCTGTCCCTAGTCTCGAGGCCCGACCTGCAATTAAGCACTGATCGCCCGCACTACGCTCCAACTCGCGACACCCTTGAACCCTACCTTTCCAATCCCCCGCCAATCGGCCCTGGAATGTCTTCGCCCTGATTGAAGATGTTGACGGTCGAGAAGCAGTGGATCAATGTGCAGCAGAAGACCTTTACAAAATGGTTCGTCTCCTTCCCTCGCTTCCTCCCCCGGCCTCCTTGCCGTGGTATCGTGCATGATCGGCTAATCAGCCCTTGTCTCCAGGCTGAACGACAAGCTGAAGGCCCGGATCCTGGCCATCGAGGACTTGGTCACCGACCTCTCTGATGGGGTGAGTGCTCTCCTCCCGTCTACAGCCCCAACGCGAGACTGCTCAGGAGCATGGGCTTTGCACGGATATCGTACTGACCCTCCCCTCTTCCCCGCATCAGGTCATCCTCATTCACCTCCTCGAGATCCTCGGAAATGAATCTCTCGGTCGATATGCGTCGAAACCCAAGCTGCGGGTGCAGAAATTCGAAAATGTCAACAAGAGCCTGGACTTCATCCGAGGGCGGCGGATTCAGATGACCAACATCGGTGCGGAAGATATCGTCGATGGCAACCGCAAGATCATCCTGGGTCTGATCTGGACGCTGATTCTGCGGTTCACGATTAGTGACATCAACGAGGAGGGTATGACCGCCAAGGAAGGGTTGCTGTTGTGGTGTCAGCGGAAGACGGCGTGCTACGACGATGTCGAGGTTCGGGACTTCTCGACCAGCTGGAATAATGGGTTGGCGTTCTGTGCGCTGCTCGATATCCATCGGCCCGATCTGATTGACTATGATTCTCTGGATAAAAGCGACCACCGTGGCAACATGAAGCTGGCGTTCGATATTGCATCCAACGAAATTGGCATTCCCGACCTGCTGGATGTGGACGATGTGTGCGATGTACCCCGACCCGACGAGCGGTCTCTGATGACCTATATTGCCTATTGGTTCCATGCCTTCTCACAGCTGGAGCGAGTGGAGAATGCGGGACGGCGAGTGGAGAAGTTCGTCAATAACATGCACGGCGCATGGGATATGCAGTCTGGCTACGAGCGCCGGATGAGAGATTTGCTTCGCCTGATTCGATCGCAGCGCGAGACATGGCAAAACTCCTCGTTTGAAGGAACATACAAGGATGTCAAAGAACAGGCGCATCAGTTCGCGCTATACAAGCGGAACGAGAAGCGTCAGTGGGTGGCAGAGAAGTCCGACCTGGCTGCCCTGCTCGGGAACATCAAAACGAAACTGGGCACCTACCGGTTACGTTCCTACGAGCCGCCGAAGGAACTGAGCCTCGAGACTTGCGACCAAGAGTGGGAGCTTTTGACCAGAGACGAACACCAGCGCAGCCAGCTGATCAACGAGACAATTCGAGATATCAAGAATGCCCTGCGCCGGTCATTCGCGGACAAGGCCAATGATTTTGCACTGACGCTAAAGACCCTGTCTCTGGCCATCTCCGGATTGGATGGTGATGTTGAAGATCAGCTCGACCATGTCAAGAAGTTAAATGACAACCTTCCGCCCCTCGACGCCTTCCTGGACACCATCGCCGAGTTGGATGAGCAGTGCGCCGAGGCCAACATCGAAGAAAACGACTTCACCACATACAACCTCGACGAGCTTTCATATGAGCTCAGCCTGGTGAAGTCCAGCATCTCGAAGAAGCTGGCATTTTTAGAGAACCAGATGGTGGCCCGCAGCATGACCAATCTCACCCCCATCCAGCTGGAGGAATTTGAGTCCGTCTTCCGCCATTTCGACCGCGATTCATCCAATACCCTGCAAGAGCTTGAGTTCTCGGCTGCACTGGCCAGTCTGGGACTGGTTTACGACGAAGAGGAGATGCATCAGGTCTACGTGGAAGTCTGTGGGCCGGACCGGCTGGCTCAGAACGCGGGTGTCAGCTTTGAGCAGTTCATTCACTTTATGGTCAGCGTCACTGAGGACCAGAATACTGCCGAACAAGTTTTCCAGAGCTTCAAGGAGGTTGCTGATGGCAAGGTTCGTCCCCGCTCCTGTTATGGTTGAATTCGTGTCTGGTGAACTAACTCCCTTTTGCAGCCATATGTCACCGAGCTCGATCTCCGACACTCGCTCATCCCTGACGAGGTCATCGAGCACCTCGTCAAGACAATGCCCCAGCACGAAGGCCCTGACCTCCTTGAGGACCGGGAGCTGGCCAAGTTCGACTACATCAGCTTTATGGAGAAGATGATAGAGGACCAGAAAAAGAATGGCGGAGGAAAGGAGTGAAAATGAAAACAGGGGGATGGTAACAGTGGTTCTTTGCACAGCGTCACCGGTCATACTGGGGTTGTATTGCTTTGATTATGTGCGTGGGCTTTTCTGGTGTGGTCGGTATTCCCTCTCCGGGTCTCTCTGTGGCCTTTTTCTTTTTCCTTCTCATAACAAGCATGCGTCCTGGGGTTTGGCGGTTGTCGCTCACTTTGGTGTGTTCATTCTGCGTGCGATTCTTGTTTATAATGTATCAGGATACCATGGAATAACATTAAGCTAAATACGAAATTGTGGGTGCTGTAGATTTAGAAGGACCTACAGCTACCGAGTGTTTGTTCTCTGTTGATCTAGGGCGAGCGATTGGCACGCAGACAAAGCCATTGTAAGGCTTTCCCCTTGCTCTTGCATTCACTTCTATCTCTATGCATCCATCCACTAGTTACAGCACTGGTAAACTCTAGGAGCTTTGATTTGACATATCATGTCCCAGCATTGGAGTTGCATTCTCCGTGCTGAGTTGAGTCTAGTCTCCGGTGCGATTTCACGTGATCGGACGCCCCAGCTGGATGGCGGAGCCCAAGTCGACAATCCTCCAGGCCACTCGCAGATCATCCAACCACCTGTTTTCCTTCAATCTTTAATTTTACCTATCTTTAGGATTGATCTCTTACCATATACCATTTCTTCCTTACTCACTCCTCTCTCTCCCTCTCTAAACCACACACACTCTCTCCCTTTTCTCTCGTCTCACATCCTTCACCATGGACCGCAGCCTGGACGAAATCATCGCCGAGGATACATCAGTAAGCCACCCACCAAGCCACTACTCACTTGTAGCCACGATGGTTAGCAGCTAACATACCTCTTACAACCGCAGCGGAATCAGAGTCGTCCCTCTGGCGGCCGGCGCAACCCACCTCAAAACCGTCGGCGTGGCGACCGCGATGGCGCTAGAAAGGTACCTCTCAACAAAGCAATCCGAGCTACGTAGAAGGCAGATCAATTCTGCTGTCGCATTCGAGGAGCACGGTGTCGCTGACTTTTCTCAACTCCTTATAGGTCCGCCCTCCTCTTCCTGCATCGAATTCTTTTGCGCCGTGACACCAATCGTTAGCCAGTCCCCTGGGTGGTCGGAGACTCGCCTGCGACGAGGCCGCGGCGGAGACTTGGAAACGCAATGCACTGTTCACGCTACCTACTCTGACTTGGAGCTAACCGTTGACCTCTTTCTTCTGATCGCAACAGCCCTATTCGCAAGATCGTGTGGACCTGAACCTGTGATTAACCCTTCTTGGATCTTTGCTGGGTGGGATTGGAATGCTGACGGGTCTGTGTTGCTAGCGACTGGGTGCATGACAAGTTTGACGATGACCGTGATGGTATGTTTACTGCACTGGCGTTGCTGAATTGTTCTATCCGACTGACTGTTTTGAAGCGCGTCCGTCTCGCGGCTCTCGTCGCCGCCGCTCAACCTCGCCGGGCCGGTATGAAATGCATATCTTAGGCATCAGATGGAGAAGATATTAATTGGAATAACAGTGGCCCTGCATTGACCAAGGTCCGTGTGGAGAATCTTCACTACGACATCACCGAGAGCGACCTCGAGGTAAGTTTCTCAAAACTTTGCTCTACCGGGCACGAGCTCGTCTAAACTGATTCGGTGCTATAGGAGCTCTTTGGACAAGTTGGTCCCGTCTCCGCCCTCTCCCTTGTTTACGACCGCGCCGGACGCTCCGAGGGCGTCGCCTTCGTCACATACACCCACCTGCGCGACGCGCACGAGTCTCTCCGCGAATTTGACGGCGCCAACGCCAAGGGCCAGCCCATCCGCCTCACCCTCGTGCCCGGCCGCCGGGAACGCAACACCGATCGGAACACCGATCGCAATACTCTTTTCGACCGCGTAGAGCGTCCTGGACGCGACTCGCGCAGCCTGAGCCCCGGCGGTGACGGCGGCGCAGAGGGTGCTCGCCGCCGAGGTGGCGGCCGTGGCCGTCGCAGCGACATCACTAAGCCTGCTCCTGAGCACATCGATCGCTATACCCCCGGTCAGCGGTCGCCGGTTCGGCGAAATGGCGGTGGCGGTCGTCGGGGTGGTCGAGATGGTCGGGATGGCCGGGATGGCCGGGATAACCGGGCTCGCAACGAGACTGGAGGCCGTCACGCGGCGAATGGTCGTCCTCGCAAGACCCAGGAGGAGCTGGACCAGGAGATGGAGGATTACTGGGGTGGAAACAATGCCGCAGGCGAGACTGCTGAGAAGCAGCCTCAGCAAGCTGCCGCGTCAGAGCAGGCTGCAGCGGCTCCTGCTGCTGCTGCTACTGCTACTGCTGCCGCCGCGCCTACCGCTGCAGACGACGATATCGACATGATCGAGTAAAGGGTGAATGCAGATTCTTGGATAAATGGGGTTGGAACGTTGCCCTCATGGATCTGGCTGCACAGCTTCGGTTTAAACCCCCCTTTGAGAAACGCGCCGGCTTATGCCAGGCAGGGTTGGGGGAACTTGTAATTTTACAACCATTATGAAATTGTCAAGGAAACTTTATCTGGGCCGCTTCACCATGTTTCTTATTACTGTAGCCTTGGAAGGGTGGGTTTAGAATCCCACGTATTTCATGGCCCGGTTATCTTTGCTGATTATGGATTGTCATCTGTTTGTTTCAATTACGGGAGCCAGGAGATAGACCGTTTCAATTATCAATCTCGCTAGTCGTGAATGGTACTGCTTCGACAATCAACATAGATTTTATAGCAGGCCCACAGGGAAGGTTGTCTAGTGTCAAGGCGAGGGTATCGGATTATTATAATCCACACAAAAGCCACCGCCCACTATGGAACTGGGAAGTTAGTAGCAAAGATGGAGAGAAAGATGAGCTTCCATTTTCCCTTGTTCATCGCCACAAACCGTATGGCTCCCGGCACGCCTTCCACAGCTTGACGGTGCCGTCCTCGCTGCCAGTGCCGTACAGTTTGCCGTCAGGCGAGAAGCCGATGGACCAGATAGGGCCGTGGTGGCCCTTTTGCACGTCTGTAGCAACTTATTAGCCCCGACCTTCACGTACAACGGAGTAATACCCCGGGAGGAAAAGCACATACCCAGCTCCTCGTCCGTGTGGAGGTCATAAACCCGTGCCCACGTATCATTCGCGCTGCCAGTCACCAACCGCCCAGAGTCACTGTTCACCGCAGCACTGGCTACCTCGTATCCAAAATCGGCCTTTTTCAAAAGCCGTCCGGGCTGCACGCCGTCAAAGAGATACACACTTTTACCCGCAGCCACAGTCAGAATCCCGGGGTCATTTGGCCGCACGGCGAGACTATTCAACTCGCACGACCCAATCGCCCCATCGACCGCGTACTCCTTGATGGGATGCCGCGACCGGAGATCCCACCACCGAATCTTGCGGTCCTCCGCGGCAGTCGTCACGATATTATAGTCCTGGTTCCAGACAATGGACTTGATCGTGCCGCCATGCACTCCGGGTCCGATCTCGTAGCTGGCTGCGTCCGCGCCGGTCTGGCCGGTGCTCCCGCTGCTGGGCATTGGCAGCTGCGGCGAGGAGCCATTGCTGCTGCCGCCGCCGCGGGTCAGGTCGAAGATGCGTAGTTTCTTCTCTGCGCCGCCGGTAGCCAGGACCTGCGGGTTTGCTTGGATGGGGAAGGCAATGGCGCGCACGATGTGTGCGTGCTGCAGCGTGTGCAGGCACTCGCCACTGTAGGTATCCCACACTTTGGCGGAGAAGTCTGCGGCGGCTGTGGCTGCGATGGCAGCGTCGGCGGAAAGCCGGGCTTGCCAAACGGCGCCTTTGTGGCCGAGGAATGTGCCAATCCTGGCGTGGATGTTAGATTTTGGTTGATCTGTGGTATGGATGGGGGGAGGGTTTTTAGCATTACATACCAGTCACCTGTGATACCATCCCGGAGCATAGGGTTGTTATCTGGGAATACGGTTAGTTGTGGCGCCGCTTTCGATGTACTTTCTTTTGCATGATATGAATATCATACCTTTGCAGGCCGAGATCAGATAGTACTGATCCTCCTCGACCGTCGAGGAGAAGCTCAGGTGGGTCACGGGACGAGAGTGCCCGTGACAGGTCAGCGGGACCACCTTAGGGATATCTGCACTCCATCAGCCACCGCCCATGCAGGATACCTAGAAAGAACCCCACACTCACCGGAAGCCATGGTGTCCACAAGGTAGAGAAAGCGTGCAGTTCAAATGATCCAGATTAAAGATGCAAGGACGTTCGGTAATCTGCCATAGACAGCAACAGCAAGCGCGTGAACCCCGCCAGTGAAAAGGACAGAGGTGTGCGAATGTTGCGAAGCTAGGAGTGCGAGTCGAGGCTGTTCAGTCTTAAGGAAAGTACAAAAGAGATTCGTCAGGGTCGTCAAGTCATCAAGTCTTGTACAGAAGGACCAAAATGGGGCATTGGCAGCTGCCCCGCGCACAACAGAAGATTCGTCGTGGTGTTCACTAGTCCAAGTCCACAATCCGCCGTGCTCTTTCGATATTGAAATCAGCCAACTAGCGGGTCACCTGCAGCCCGTGCTTACCTCAGCCCAGCTCGCTAGGCCCGATAAGGCTTAAACACGTGCCTCTAGTTGAACCTCGTTTTCAAATGTTGATAGCTCAGGTCACTGGCCTCGGCGGGCGAAAGTTCCTTTGCCGAATTTGAGGATCTATGGGGTTGGAGACAATTTGCTTTCCATTTATTGGGTTCCGATCTTGCACCGCGATGAAGGGCTCTCAATGTTCTCTGCCAATCCCTGCCACAGAGTCGGCTTGGGCACCAACCTGGCGGATTCCCCGGTCTAGTGGCAGCAGATACTTCCTTAACATGGCGTAGCATGCTCCCTAGGGGGTCCAGTGGGTGGTCTTCATCTATCGGACTTGCTTTATCCGACCTGACTACAGAGTGAAGCAGACTAAAGTGCAGTGGACGCTACTATCACCCCCAGCTGCCTTTTTAGAAAGCTCCTATTTACCCACTATCTCATATTAAACACGTTCGAGACACCACTAACGTGAATGCCGAAGTCAATTGAATGAACACTGACCCGATTGGGTCACATTGCAAATCAACTTCTAGCAGGTTCGTCATAGCTCCACCGCCCACGTGATATGATGCACAGGCGGGGACCCCAGAACGACTAAAGGACAACAACGACCTGCAACAGGGGAAGAAACGTTGGTAGCTCCTGGATATCCTTGCTTTTTATTTCTCTCTTTCATTCATTTGAATTCTCCCAGTTGTGTGGATGCCTGACTTCAAGCTCTCTGCGTCTCTCGAAGGCCACGGCGATGATGTAAGTGCCTCCCCGTCCCCGCGCCTTGATCGGACACCTTGTTGGCGCATGCGATTCGGTTCATTAACCTTTCATTTTTGCTTCAGGTTCGCGCCGTGGCCTTTCCAAACCCCAATGTCATACTCTCAGCCTCTCGTGATGCCACCGTCCGACTTTGGAAGCTTGTCTCCACCCCGCCCCCAACTTACGACTACTCGATCGCCGCACATGGCCAGGCCTTTATCAACAGTTTAGCTTACCTTCCACCAACATCCGAATACCCAGAGGGCCTGGTGCTTTCTGGTGGGCAAGATACTATTATTGAAGCGCGACAGCCTAGCAAGGCCGCCACTGATAATGCCGACGCTATGTTGCTGGGTCATGGCCAGAACGTCTGTGCTCTGGATGTCTCTTCAGACGGCGGATGGATCGTCAGTGGCAGCTGGGATTCAACTGCTCGGATCTGGAAGATTGGGAAGTGGGAGTCCAGCGTAGTGTTGAATGGCCATGAGGGAAGCGTCTGGGCCGTCCTGGCTTATGACAAGAATACCATTATTACCGGTGCGTTAGCTCGCTCGCGAGGGCCATGGACGTGAATACGTTATGCTAACAGCATTGCAGGTTGCGCCGACCAAATGATTCGCATATTCAACGCCTCCGGCACCCTCCTCGGAAGTATAAAGAACTCCAATGACGTCGTACGGGCTCTCTGCAAGCTTCCCGCGTCGCACCCCACCGGTGCCCAGTTTGCCTCGGCCAGCAACGATGGCGTTATTCGGCTTTACACTCTAAATGGCGAGCTAGTCGCCTCTCTTCACGGCCACGAAAGCTTTGTCTACTCCCTCGCAGCGCTGCCCACTGGTGAGCTGGTGAGCTCTGGCGAGGACCGTACTGTCAAGGTATGGCAGGGAACCGAGTGCATTCAAACAATCACCCACCCTGCCATCTCGGTATGGAGTGTTGCGGTGTGCAATGAAAGCGGTGATATTGTGAGCGGTTCCAGTGACCGCATCACTCGTGTCTTCAGTCGAAACCCAGACCGCCAAGCTGCTCCCGAGGTTATTCAGCTGTTTGACCAGGCCGTCAAGGAGTCGGCGATTCCGGCTGAGCAGGTTGGCAAGATCAATAAAGAGCAACTTCCCGGTCCAGAATTCCTCAAGGAGCGGTCTGGAACGAAAGAAGGTCAGGTTCAGATGATTCGCGAGTCGGATGGAAGTGTCACTGCCCATACCTGGTCATCAGCAACACAGGAATGGATTGCTGTGGGCACGGTGGTGGACTCGGCCGCAAGCAGTGGCAGGAAGACGGAGTATCTTGGGCAAGACTATGATTATGTGTTCGACGTTGATATTGAAGACGGCAAGCCTCCGCTGAAACTTCCCTATAATGTCTCTCAAAACCCATATGAAGCGGCGACCAAGTTTATTGGGGACAATGAGCTGCCTATGTCCTACCTTGATCAGGTCGCGAACTTTATCACACAGAATACCCAGGGTGCCACCCTCGGCCAGGCTCAAGAAGCACCTGCGGGTTCAGACGCCTGGGGTTCGGAGCGACGATACAGACCTGGCGATGGCTCAGCTAATGAAGTCGCCCCTCCATCTATTCCCGAGTCGCGTCCTCAGGTCCTTCCCCAGAAGACATACCTCTCAATCCGCTCTGCGAATATCAAGGTCATTACCAAGAAACTCAAGGAATTGAACGCCAAGCTCCTTTCTGAAGGAGAGAAGGATACAGCCCTGAGCCCTTCGGAAGTGGAGACTGTTGTTGCGCTGTGCGGGGAGCTAGAAGCCTCCCAAAAGCTATCTGACACACCAGCCGTTCAGTCCGGAATCCCATTGATATTCAAGATCGCGACGAAATGGCCGGCGGCCAACAGGCTCCCCGGACTGGATCTGCTTCGCTTGCTGGCTGCCGCCACACCTGCCACTGCATCTGCAGAATACGACGGCGCTGATGTTCTCATTTGTGTCTTGGCCAGCGGAGTCTTCGACGCGCCCTTCAATGTGAACAATGCCATGCTTTCCGTCCGCACATTTGCCAATCTTTTCGAGACTATCGCGGGCCGCAACCTGGCCATCCAGACATTCGACCAGGTCCTGGCGGGTGTGAAATCCGCGTTGGCCAACAGCGGAGACCCGCCAAATCGTAATCTCACAATCGCCGTCACGACTCTGTACATCAACTTCGCAGTGTACCTTACTTCTGAAGGCCGAGCCCAAGCTCCCGAATCCGCGGAGCGGGGCCTAGTGCTTCTTGAGGAGCTGACCAATATCGTTTCCGGAGAGAAGGATTCCGAGGCGGTTTATCGCGGGCTTGTTGCGCTCGGTACGCTGGTCCAGGCTCTGGGGGCCGAGGTCAAGAGCGCCGCGAAGGAGATCTACGAGGTTGAGGGTGTTCTATCGCGCATCGCGGCTTCTGGGCCGGGCAAGGAACCACGGATTAAGGGTGTTATTGGCGAGATCCGGGCGGCTCTTTAGTTTTACACCAATATCCTAGATTCACGCTATCTTTTTTTAACGACGACGACGCATATCCTCTCACAACCTACCTACCATAGCCACCTATCCCTATCCCTCTTTCTTATTGAAACTTCCTTATCCAATCTTCACCTAAGCATCATATTCCCTTTTGTGCCTTTAGCTAGTACTTCGAACCCCCCCTTGGGTCCATACCGGAACCCACCCTCCCCATCATCGAAAACCTCCACCACCTGATCAATGCCCTCATACGCCGGGCACATCAGCCCATACTTCTCCGCAATATGCTGCGTTAAAAAGCGGCCGCCGACAAAATGGCGGCCACGGTAGAACTTCACGCACGGCTTCGGTGCCGTGAGGCTGATCAGCGCCTGCGGCACGAACTTCGCGCCGGGCCCCGACGACGGCGGGCCGTCGTTGATGTCCCAGGAGCTAGGGGCATCGACGCTTAAAACGGTGACGGTGGAAGCCTCAATTTGCGAGATTAGAGAGGGGAAGGGATCGCGGAGGGGCCCGCCGAAGGAGAAGCCGAAGATGGCGTCGATTAGAAGGTTGGTGTTGGCGAGGGCCGTCGGGAAGTCGGTTATAAAGGGGACGTGGAGGTTGTGGAGTTGAGTTTTAAGGCGCTGGTTGGATGTGTCAGTTGATTTGGTCTTGGAAGGGTTATTTTGGTGATATGTGGGAGTGTTCTGAAGTGGTACGTTATACGGTGTAGGATAGGACGGGACGGACTTGGTAGAGCTCGTTTTTGCCTTCCTTGGGATAGTATACGGAGGGCTTGTAGCCGTAGTGGGCGAGATGGCGTGCCGCGACAAGGCCGTCTCCGCCTGTTTGGATTAAATAGGTTAGACGATCTGATCTTGAGTTCGGTCCTTCGACGTCATTTCAAGACTGCATACCGTTGTTACCAGGCCCGCATACAACGAGGATGTTTTGTCCTTTGCTAAGGGGGTGCATCCTCCATACTATATCGCTTCATGAGCACTTTTGGTGCATGATGCAGGGTGTGTGATGTGTCAAGCGTGGAGCGCTAGCAACATACCGGCCTGAGCAACAGACATGCCCGCAAGCTCCATCAGCTGGTCAAGCGACCATCCGCCAATGCGCACGTCCATGAGGTCTTTGTCCAGAGACGCTGCATTTTCGGCTGAAATTGCCTAGAAACGACCCAATTCAGTCAACCTGGATAATATAGTCTTTATCTGGACATACCTTGAGCGACATTGTTGCAGCTTTACTGTATCGACGAACAGCTGGGAATGAAAACCGTCGGGCACAAGCCAAGCTAAACATGCAACGTATCAAGGTCAAGAAAGAAAAGTATAACCAGTCAAAAGCAGCCGAGTCGTACAATTATTGAGTCAATACGCGCTGAGCATATAATCACAGTGAATAAAAAAGTGAAGCTCGAAGAAAGGGCCAGAGCAGGTAGACATACATCCGCACGGCCCTATTGCATCATGCCCCGCCGGCGCTAACCCGTATCAGGACACCCCGGAACAACTAATTCTCCTCTTCCTGAACTTTTGCGGAGCGCAATTTAGGCCTCTCACTAGGTCGACGATAAATCATCCTCAGTACCAGCAAAGCAGAACCCACACACCCCCGACACCATGGTTCTCCGGATTCGGTTGGCGCGCTTCGGCAACAAGCATGATCCTTTCTACAACATCGTCATTGCGCAGGCCCGGTACTTCCATTTTTCCCTCGTCCCGTCGTTTGGCTCGCCCAACCCCCCGCCCGCGATGGCTCTGCCATTGCTGTTGACATTGGCTGGGGTAGCTGGACGGAGTGGAAATTGCCATTGTGGAATTGAGTGTGAAAGCTAACTGTGATGGTTAACAGGTCTGCCCGCGGCGCGAAGCCCCTTGAGGTTATTGGCACCTACAACCCGATTCCGAAGAAACCGACGAACCTGTACGATGAGAATGCCAGTGCGCGCCCATACAAGGAGATCTCGCTCGACCGGGCGCGCGCGAAGTACTGGCTTGGTGTTGGAGCGCAGCCTAGTGACCCAGTGTGGAAGTTGATGAGCATGGTGAGTTGGTCCCGCTCAGGTGATGGTGGCATCAGGAGGAGGAGATCGATGGAAGGGCGTGGCTTCGACTTAGATCTCGCATCGTCATCCTTCATTCCGTTGAAATGGGCTACCTTGTCTTACTTTTCTGCTGAATGGAATGGCTGACTTCCTCTTTGCGTATAGGCCGGTCTTGTTGAGCAGAAGCCCACTACCTTCCACAAGGCATAGTAGTGTGTCGACTGTGCCTCCGTTGGGACTATTCACCAAGAGACTTCCTCTGTCTTCCTCCATATCATGGATCGATTCACGGATACCGGCAGCCCAGCGCCTACTATGCGGCCGAGCCCGGGAAGGAATCGCAGCCAGACAGTCCCAGGGGATCCGTTCCTGTACTTTTTCTGTCTGACTTTCTGGCATTTTCGGCGTTTATTGCGAATGGGACTATTTTTGGAAGCCCCCATCCTCGGGTTATGTTCAGGCCTTGACCTTAAAACCCCCTCCATGTACATTATGTGAACAGCCTTGCCGCGACAGCCTTGGACCCAGTGTCCCGCTCGCGTGGCATGAAATCCTACCAACCTATCATGACTTGAGCCATACAACTGCAAGCTCCGTGCATATTTGAACCTCGCGTGTCGAGCATCAACGGTGGAGCCCGTAGATCTCCACATGACAGGCTGATCGTACCGATTCGAGCGCGCGCGTTTGAGCATGGCTAATGCCAGGTAAGCTTTGGCGCGCAGGCCGCAGCAGTCCAGGGCGTGTGCCCGCCAGTCAGCCAAAAAAGAAAACATTCCCGATCCCGCGTCTCTAGGCTCGACACCAGCCGAACTCGGATACGGAATACTCTTCCCTGCCTAGTCCGACGCCCCAAGTCGGTTAGCCCGCCATCCACCGTGTTGTCGTACTTAATGCCCCCCTCTCCCAGGTGACGCGCCTATGACCGCTGCTCTGCCCAGGCACCACCTGCACACGAAGGACGGGCTTCGACTAGGCCTCATCGGGGATTCGGCGGTCCCCCCAAGAACCCTTCATCGCATCGCGCTTCGCACCACGGCCCAACCAGACATTCGCGCCGGCACCGGACTACCCTCGATAAGCCCCGGCCATTTTCACGCGCCGACCAATCCGCTGCGCGACGGTGGTCGGGCCCGTGGCAATTGGTCAGCAGCCCTGGAGGATCGCCGGGTTTTGAGTTTGCGAATTCCATGGATTGCGTGGGTTGGGGGAGGAGGAGGGGGTTTAACACTGGGGACTCGCTAGGGCCGGGTGTGTCCAGTGCGTCCACGAGAGGTGAAAAATGTGGAGGAGTAGTTAGAGATCGGGCGTAGCCTCGATAAGACTCAACTAACAGCACGCGGCGTGCCTGAGTAACACCCCCAGAAAGCGAGGAATGCGCACGGATGGAGGTCAACGCTCTTGCTCTCTGTGTGCCTAAAGGTAATAATGCATCACGAACTTAACTTTGAGAGCCGGACGGAGTTAAAACTAGTATCGTATATCGACCCTTTGGCGTATGGGGCCATGGCTCTTATAGCTACCCATAACTATACAACCCCATTAATATATGAGGAAACCCACAATTTCATTCCCGCCTAGGGGGCTGCACGTCCGTTGAGCGCTGGATCCCATTGTCTCCAAGTACCGACTGCCCTAGTGGGAGGGGAGCTGACGGATGACCAGGATGGCTCAGGCATCTACCGGTCTCCGGCTCAATCTATAGTAAATCATGCATGGTACATCGTGCATAGTATGTCGTCCTATCGAGGCAGCCTGGACCTGGACCTGGAGCTGCACCTTTATGCACATGTCTGGATTGGAGCAATCCTCTCACGGGATCGTCTCTAAGATATGCACGCACTAGGGTTCTTGTAAGATGCAATAGTGGCCATCCTAGTGGCCATCCTAGTGGCAGAACATGGTCAAGGACATGGCACGATAGGGACCGAGGTGGGCGGGGGTCTAGTCTCTACCGTGACCGCGATCGCGGGCGTGCAGGTCGGAAACTGAACGGGAAGCCGCAGGCAGTGTTTCTAGAACCCCCAGGGCAAAAAAGGCTCGAGGGCAGGGGCAGCATAGGCTGGAAGCTAGTCAGCCAGTGGACGGGGGGAATGCGACAGGCCAAAACGACCACAGAGCCAGAAAAAAACTGGGGCATTCCCAGGTTCGGGGCACGCACTTTGCCCACGTTCTGCAAGCGGCCAGCTTCCAGCGTGGCCAGCCTGGGGTAATCTGCTGACAGCGTACGGTAATTTACTGCCGGGGTACCTGTCGCAACACCCATGTTGAGTGACACTCCCCGGTAACCCCCCAGCTGCTTTCCTCGTATCACGCTCGTCACCCGGTTGAGTCGCGTCGTGAAGCAGATCCATGGATCTGGCACCTGTGGGCTCTGCTGGCTCTGGCACTCGACCGTTCCGGACTCTTTTCTCCTCCCCCCCCCCTTCCCCCTTCCTGCTCTTCCACCCCCCTCCTATCCTTTCAGCCTCGATCTCTCCACCTTCGCCCTTCCCACCCTTTCATCCTTCTCTCTTCTTGCATCCATCGTTCCTGCCTCTCATCTTCTCGTCGCGCGATTCGCCTCGATCCTCCTGCGCCTCTCGATTGCCACCCGCTCTGACAAAGGAGTGAGAGACCGTGGATCAACGCGCGCCACTGTCGCAGATCCGATGAGGAGCGAACGTCCTCGCGAACTCGCCATCCGATTGAATCGCTAATCTCGCCTCACGTCTCGCTCGTGCATCGCGCTTCTCCCGTCCATCTTCTCGGTCGCATTATCGCGCGCTCACCCGTGTCGCTGCGAACGATCCTCTCTTCCCCTCGCGCCGGCCTTTCGCCTCTTTCCCGTCCGCTCTTTTGTGTCGCGCACGCCGACCTTGTCACTGTATACCGATGAGCGGCAGCTCGAACCAGTCCACTCGAACGAGTCCAGGCTCTTACGGCACGACACAGCGCACAGAGTCCGTGTCTTCTGGTTCATCGCCACCACAGCATCCGCTTCCGTCCTCCTCCTTCCAGGTGCCCGCGACGACTCAGCATGCGATGTCGACCGACGTGTATAGCCCAACTGTCTCGCAAGCGCCCTCATCTCTAGCTCCTACCTTCACCTACCCGTTCTCGCCACTCGGCCCGTCCTCCTCCTTCGACGGCGCAATGCGCCTCGGCGAATCGGACCGCAGCCTCCAGGGCCTGAACGGCCTGGGCCGCTCCAACGGCGGTGCGATTTTGATGCGCAAGCTGCCTCGCAACACCAGTCGCGAAGCCCTGCGCAGTATGCTCCTCTTTGCCAAGGACTTTGTCGATGCCGACTTTGTGACCTCCGACCACCCGGAAGATGACGGCTTCCTGAGCGCGATCGCCCGCTTTAATACCCTGCCTGCCGCAGAGGAGGCCCGCTCCCTCCTGGATGGCAAGCCAAATTCAAAGAATGACGCGAACATGGTGGTTGAAATGTACCCAGGTCCGGTGGGCTCCAACTTGTCGAATACGCGTCGCAACACGATCGATCATACCAACTCCCGCGGATTGCTGGGTGGTGTGCCGTCGAACGGCCCCTTATCGCGTCAGTCCTCTCGTTTCAACGGCACTTTCCAGAGCCTTGAGCGGCTGTCGGCTGGCAACCCCACACAAGCCATCGGGGATGGTCTGCCCCCGGCGTCGGAATCTGGCTCGCGCCTTCACAGTCTCTTCTCCCCCCAATCGCCCATCGGTAACGGGGTCGGTGATCTTCCCCGCGTGACGGGCAAGTCCATGATCGATGAAGATCCCGATGAGGAGACGGGAGAGCTGCTGAAGGACCCCGTGGGGTACGCAGAAAATGGCCATTCGGTGTCCGTCCCGCGTCGCTCCACTAACCCTCAGATTCCGACCGGTCGTTTTGCCAACCTCTCCTTGTCCACCACGATGTCCTCTCCGCCTTTGCCAAATTACGCATCCAACGGTCCTGGGCAGCGCATGGGAAGTGCCAGTGGATCCTCATCCGCTTATCCCAGCAACGTGAACCACGCCCACGGCTTCCCCTATAGCGGCAGCCAGCACACTCCCCGCCATAGCCTCCCAGCTGCGAACCCGAACGACTTGAACCCGCCGTGCAACACCCTTTACGTGGGCAATCTGCCACCAGACACGTCGGAGGAGGAGCTTAAGGCACTCTTCTCCAAGCAGCGCGGCTATAAGCGACTCTGTTTCCGCAACAAGCAGAACGGCCCCATGTGTTTCGTGGAGTTTGACGAGGTGGCCATGGCGAGCAAGGCATTGAATGAGCTGTATGGTTATAAGCTGTCCAACAGTGTCAAGACCGGTATCCGTCTCAGCTTTTCTAAGAACCCTCTGGGTGTGCGCTCCGGTCAACCAGGCAGCATGAACCCTGGAAACCCGCTCTCAGGAGGTCCGGGTGGTGTCTCTGGAGGCAGCAGCCTCGGTGGCATCCACAGCCATATGTTCTCCTCGGTCAGTGGACCGCCTCCAGGACTGGCTGCTCCTCCGGGACTCGCCATGCCCATGCCCATGCGCAATGGCAACCCCATCCACAGCGCGCACACTAATGGTAACCCGCACGCCATGGTGGGCAACGGCTCCTTCAATAATCACAACTCGGGCCTGGGGATCCGCGCCAATGGAGCCAATGCCATGATGATGTCGCCGCCGCCACCGCCACCTCCTGGAAATGCTGCTGGCAACAACGCGGGGCCGAACATGAACGGCTTCAATCCCTTCTACCCCGACTACATGATGGGCCGCTGAGGCACGGTTCCCAAGCATTATATCTGAGATGATGTCCGGCATGTTTGATGAACGAACCTGGGGTATTTGGCGCATTGGGGGTTCCTTTCGTTTCGCGAGCTAGAATCAGCATTCGGTGGCTGCATAACTCTCGGGAGTATTGAAATTCGGGACTCTGCTTTTGTTGTTTTCGCTTCGTGGTTCTTTCTTTTCTCTCTCCCCCCCTCTCCCTCTTACCTCGGAACCCTTTAATCGCCTGTGTGGTTTGCTTTCTTCTGTATCTGCTGCTGCGTTGTTGTTTGATGTTTCTTTTGCATGGGGACCCGGGCGCTCTTTTTCACATTCCTTTTTTCCCTTGGAAGGATTGCATTTCAGGTCATTGCAAGCTTGTATTCTTATTGTGGTCGGGGCACGGCGCGAGCACAGCGCGTTTGAAATTCTGTCTCACCATTTGCGTTCTTCATCGACACCCTCATACCCTTGTGCTGTTTCTGTCTTGCTTCTGCGTTTGCTTACTTTATCTCTCCCTGTCCACTCTCGGAGTCATCAGCCACTTGACCCATCGTTCATGTGTTGAGTGGCCCTCCGAGGATCGCGGGCTCGGACTTGTCTTTTACTTTTTCGACCGTGATTCCCCTTTACATCCAAACTGCTTTATTGAATGCATCTTCATGTGTGAACCGGAAATGGATCTTATTTGCTTTACTCTCTATTTCTTGCACTTGCAATTCGGTGTCCTTGTTATGCAGGTATCCAAAGATGGTCTCTTATGCGACTTTGTTTATCTACCGTTTCTTCTCAACCTCTTTCCTCTCTTAAATCTCCTTTTCCTCGCTTTTTTTGCCCTTCGCACCTTAATCTCTCTCCACTCTGGCATGCTCTACGAAATGCCGTGGCCTCGGCGGCAGTCGGTTCTGCGCATTGTCGCTGGCGTTGAAACAAGGCTCATTTTCAAGGCTCCACACCCATTTACCATCATACATGTATTTCTCTTCCCTCAAGCGACGGAGAAAAGAAGGCGTCCGGCTCGTGTTCGGTCTGTTCATTTTTGATTCATAGCGCTTTGTTTCATTACTCGGGGTAAATGGATGGGCTCGCTTGCATTGTTGTCGTGCTTCTTTTCCCTTTCCTTGCCTTTGCGTCCAGGGTGTTTCCTGGGGGAGGGACAGACGGATTCTGCTTCAGCTGACGTTCTTATGAAAGGGTCGGGATATGACGGAGGGAATCAGGCGTGGCTTCTTCCTTTTTCTACTTCAAATCTCTTATTTGGTATCACTTTTTTTTTTCTATCAGCTTTTACCTTTACGGTTTTACTTTTATTTCTTCACCCAAACTGTTGCTCGGTGGTGCTGATACTGATACATTTGCTTCGATCTGTACTTCATACAATGGACTGCTTACACTAAACTACCTAAACTGGCTCTGTAAATACTTGTAATTGACTGGTGTATCGTGCTCGTGATCTATGGTGTCCGTTCAAATGGCCAGTCTGAGACGGTGGATTTGGAAATGATGGGGGTAACGGAGCTTCCATGGGTTATGATATATCTTGCTTCATTTAGTGTGGTAGATAATCGTAGGATTCGACTGCATAGGGAAGTATAAAATCGAAACTCCACACCTTGAACTCGCAAATTTGACAGAAAATATATTGCCCATGCGTTTACCCAGTTTTATTGATATGAACAGAGCCAGTTGCATCTAGTGCAGTGGAGATGATGCCTGGTGTGCTCCGTACCCGATGCTGGAGGTGGTTCTCGGGAGCAGGCACTCACGTGACAGCTCCGCCATTCCTTCCCGAGCAGAAAAGTTTCTTCCCCTGCCACAAAACACTCTCCAGACTCACGACCACCCACTCAACAATTGCAGCGCCAGGCTGCCAACTGCGGCTGCTTTGGTCCATTCTTGACCTGAATACCAATCTTTAATACTTATTATTTCATCTGCCCCAATCTCGAGTCCGGGATTGCCGGGTACTCCCTCCCCTCAAGATGGCACCTCGGATACACAACCGGCGTGTGTCCAACGCCCTTCTCCCCTATCTCACATCCTCCCAATCCTCCTCCACACCCTCACTCTCATCCACATGTCCCTCATCACAGCTCTTTCTCCGCCAATTCTCCGCGACGGCGGCTCCACAGACCAGGCTTCGCCGGCAAATGTTCCAATGGCTTAGTACCGAGGGAGCTGCGCTGAAGCACCACGTCCCTGGTGAGACCAACTACCTGCAGGGTCGGGCAGACCGTGACTCGGATAGCCACGAAGCACCACGGCCGTTCCCGGGTAACCGGAATTTTGTTAGCGAGAGCGTTCTCAGCGAGGAGCTCCGGAATGAGGTCTACGTGCGGGTCGTGGAGAAGAAGAAGAGTCTGCGCGCTGTCAGTGTTGAGCTTGGTATTGACATGAAGCGCATTGCGGCCGTGGTGCGGTTGGTGGAGATGGAGAGGAGACAACAGTCACAGGTGAGCAATTTCTTCCACCCTCTACCCTCGGGCTAGGGAGATTCCTTCCCCTTACCCCTACCCTCGACGCATATGATGAGACAACCAAAAATCGATTAGTCTTGAAGACACAGGCTATTAGCTTGACTGGTTAAAAATACTCTTTTTCCTGATCTACTCGCTGTCATCCTCCTCTTTGACACTCATTTTGATGACTTGGCATTATCACTGACAAGCTGTCAATCCAGGGCAAGCCCCTAGCATTGCCATATGCTCGTGCCGTCCACGAAATGATCCCGACCACTCCGCTTGCCCAGGAAGGCGAGCGCCAAACATTCCACGAACCTATCAACGACCTGCCCGCCCACCCCTTAACCGGCGCCCAGATCTTCTATCCCGTGCCCGAGTCACGATCATTCACTCGTGTCGATGCCGGCCGCGTCTTCTCAGGTGCCCCGACGTTGGAGAAGGCTGTCGCCGACAAGATCTCCCACCCCTCCGACCTCGTCGACGATATCATCCAGAATCCCAACTCGATTGAGTGGGTTGGCAAGGGTGAGAACGCTCGCCAGGTCCTCCAGCCCGCGGACGTGCGTATTCCGCACCCGCAGCTGGTCAAGCTCGAGCTTGACCGCAGGGCCTTCCCCAACGAGCGTCGGACCGTGGCGCAGCGCCACGCCGAGCGCGTCGAGAAGCAGGAGGCGGCGGAGCAGCAGCGCCGCGAGCGCGCCCAGGCTCGCCGTGAGAAGAGCGTTCAGCATGTCGAGCCCGAGGGCAGTCGGTTCGACTACCGCATCCAGGATGCGAAGTTCACCAAGGAGACCACGGGCGCGGATGGTCGTGCTCCCTGGGCCCCTGGCCGGCGGTACGGTGTGCCGTCGGATGACCGCAAGCGCGGCGTGGTCAAAATTCCGACTCGTGTGGAGGCTTAAGCTTCCTGCCGGCAATGAGTTGAAGATGTCTTGGGGGTTTAGGCGGATGTCTTGCCCTCGAGGATTTTGTACTTGTACTTGTATACATCTGTATGGCGGTGTTTCTCTTCTACCCTGTATCTATACCATCTCTCCGTGGATTCTTTCCACCCTTCATACTTTATATTCATGTGGAGCGAGACATTCGATTGTTTTTATCTTCGCAGATGAACCCTGCCGTCCTTCTGCCCATTGGCAACAGTCGACCTCCACCCTAGCTAGCTACTGTAGCTCGCCTGCACCAACTCAGACAAGGCTGAAACCAGAAATCCGCCACCAATACTATCATTAAATCAACCCGATCGCGTGTGTCCGAAACCGAGACTGATCCTGTTGCTGCTTCAATGGACCTCCCCAACCGACCGGCATCGTCCCCTGCCTTTTCGCATGCCCACCCACCCCTCCACAGCATCAGCGTCGCTGTCTCGAGACGCCGGGTCGGCGGCGAAGAAATTCCGAATGGAGGTGAAGACGCTGCGAGCCCAGGTCGCGGTGCTGGCCGGGATTTCGGCTGGCGGCTGCATAGTTGGCGATGTTGGTTTCGAGACAGACGTAGATTGCACGGACTCAAGTTTAGACGATGAGGACATGGGTAGAGCCTTTGCTCAGTGACGGCAGGGGTATTTCTTGTAGGTCCTGGGCCAGGGTGTGTGTAAACGGGAATCTAGTTCTCGGAGACCCTAGACCAACCCAGTCGAATAGATCAGGCAGACGAGACACGGTAATCCAGACAGACGGGAAGTCAACAGTCAACGATAGCGGGGTGGAAGAGGAGTAGATCGTACGGGGCTGTCCGGTCAAGGGCTGGCCAGCACAGCTTAAGTACGGCGGAGCAGACAGCTCACCTCCGGCATGAAGGGAGGAAGAAGACCCGTAAGGAAGAAGCATGCATTGCCACCGAACGAGAGCAGCCGACAAAGCAATTCTCACCAATCGCAATCCATGGATAGTGAGTCGCATAGTCCCACCCCAAGTCAGCCGCTAGGAATGCCGTCCCATGAGCTGCTCACATGGGGGGCTGCCCGCAGGTTGTGGATCGGGATCTGTACGACTACGGCGGCGACCTGCGGGACGTGCTGGTCGGGCTCGGCGGCAGACGTGAGTGGGACGGGCGGTGCGCCCAGCAGACCGCTTGATGTCGGGGCCGTGAATATAAGACGGGACGGGCGAATAGGATGGCAGGGGGTAGTCTTCTTTACTGCACGGGTTTGCTGGGTTTGCTTTGGGAGTGCGGGTTGGGCTGCTGTGTTTGGTGGCTGAGGTTGCGATTGATTGGCGCAGGCATCATGCAGTCGGTGACGTGCAGACACTGTTGCATGTGACGGATCCTTGCTGGGCACAGCTGGGATCTTCTGTGGGCGTTGTGAACTGGTGGGGGTTTACTCTGGCCCGTCACAGTTGTACCGTGGAGTTTGAACTTCTGGCTGATTTCAGCTAGGGCTTGCTTTTGGCACCTGGTGGCACGCTTCTTCGGACAGTACAAGTACATTGATATGGTAATGACCGACAACATCTCCCCTTGAACAAAACTGGTAGGGGTGAGATTCCTTTTCTTCCTAGGAAACAGCCCGGGGCATAGGATCCACAACCTTGACGGAGAGCGGAGATCTTCTCTCTAATAGGGCACCTGCTGGTGGAAGTAGTCCATAATGAGCTTGACCTGCGCCGGCTTCGCAATCGGAACCCGTCCAAAAGAGTTGCCCAGCTCCATCACCGCCTGGGTGCCATTCGCACTGTTGGGGCTCCAGCGCGGCAGCGCACCCTTCCCAGTGTAAGAGCCACCCTGGTTCGGATCCAGCGTCTTCGCAAAGTTGGCCCAGTACGACGACATCTTCTCTTGAATCTCATAGTCCGCTTGGGTGAAGGGGTAGGTATCAGCGTTGGCGTAGAGAGCGTTGAGCGCGTACATGATTTCCGACTGGTGGAATGCTCCCTGGTCTTGGCCGGGCGGCGCGTGAGTCCAGTAGTAGGTGTAGAAGGGGGAGGCAGCCGCCTTGTACCAGTCTGTGGCGTAGGCCCATGAGCCGATGAGAGAGGTATCCCGGGCCGCGGCATTCCAGGCTTGGTCCGCGATGGTCTGGTTCTGATGGGCTGGGTAGAGCTGGAAGTAGCGGCTCGACAGATTGCCGTACTTGAGTGTGCAGTAGGACTCGTACTCAGCCAGGGTGTAGTCGGTAGTTGGAGACGCGCCAGACTCGTCTTTGGTGTTGCCAGTGATGACGGGGACGTCGTTGGCCGGGCCCTCCATCAAGGTCTCGATGTACTTCTTGGGAAGAACGTAATCGTCCAGCACGGGCTTGAAGATGAGTGGGTAGCCGGCCGACAGTGCGGTCACCCACCAGATGGACTCATTGCCGACGCGGTCCTGCGAGCCGATTAAAAGACTCTCCATCGAGAGGGTGCGTAGCTCGGCGATAGTCGACACATTGTGGGACGTGATGTAGTTGACTCCATGCTGAATGGCAGTCGACATGTTCACGTAGGAGGTGGCTAGACCAGCCAGCATAGTGTCGTACGGGTATCTGATACCCGATTGTGAGATGCCGCCATGGAAGTAACCCGTGAAGAGCGGGCTGTTGACCGCGTGGTAGACCTGAGAAGAACCAAATGACTGGCCGGCGACAGTCACCCGGTCTGGATCACCACCGAATTTGGCAATGTTCTTCTGAACCCACTTGAGGACTTCCAGCTGGTCGAGGATGCCGTAGTTGCCGGAGGTCTTGTGCCCGGTGGTCTGGTATCCCTCCTCATTGAGCTCCGGGTGAGCAAGGTAACCAAAGGCATCGTCACGGCGGTTGAAGGTGATGAGGATGACATCTTTCAAGGCCATACCACCACCGTACCACCAGGTGTCATTGCTAGTCTCGTCGGAGCCCTGATTCCACACCATAACGGGGAGTCTGGCATCTGGAGAACCAGCGTTGGTCCAAAGGTTGAGACTCAAGCAATCCTCGCTGATGTTGTCGGTACCCTTGCTGGGGCATGCAGGGCCGAAATTAGTAGCTTTCAGGGTGTTGTTCCACGGCTCGCGAGGCTGCGGCGGCTTCCAGCGGTTCTGGTAGCCAGTATCAGCGGCGAAGGGAACCCCCAAAAACGCAGTCACATTGGAATCGGAGATGCCGAAGTACTTCTCCAGAGTGGATTGATTGAAGTATTGAAAACCCTCGACGGGACCGTATGAAGTTTGAATGGTCTGATCCCATAGTTGAGCGTGAGCCACTGCAGCGCCCAGGGCCAGGAAGGTGAGGCCCTTCACGACGAGGGAGGCCATGCGTTCGTGTGAATCCTCGGAAAGAGACAGACAAGAAGGAATGGAGGTGGGGGGAAGAAAGAAGGCAGTATGTATTCCAGAAATGGGAGGTCCTCCAGTGTCTTTATATACCCAAATCTTTTGAGGTCGTCCAAGAAACACACATGGTGGTCCTGACTGAGACGGGAAGTGCTCCGGTTCCACTATTGAAACCTTCGTTGAATATAAAAGGCATAGTGTTGGATTTAAAGCGCGGGGGGGGGATTTATCCTGAAACTCCGAAGCTGCAAACTTGCAGGTCACAGTGCATGTGGAGACTAGAGTGGCATAGATTAATATCGCTTTCGCTATTGAGCACTCCCCAATGGTAGCAGCAGAGACCTGAATGGATCGGTCCTCCCTCAAAATATACCCATAGTCTGAATTTCGCTCAATGAAAATGTATTCCCTAGAATTCTTGACAGTCAAACGCGAAACATGAGATGCATCGAATGACCGTGAAGAACCGCAACAACCGACCCCTCAAGGAGAGCGGGGAATCCAATGACGAGCATGGCCGATCTGCACTCAGAGTCTGAATGAGGACGGGGCCGCGTCAGGGTCAAGTGCTGGTTTTGAAGTCGAGAACGCGGCGTCGTTGCCGGTGGTTCGGCCCGGGTTTCCCAATGCAGAAGCTTGGGCCGAATTGACATCTGCAGGTACGGACTCCGGACTTGCAAGCTTGCGTGGTGTATGTGAAACTTGCAGATCTCCGAGATTCAAGTGGTACCTCTTTCCAAAATTGTCTTAGGGTCTTGGCGCATGAGACTGGCGAGGAGAGGCTTAGACATTGAGGAGGCCGGCTGTGCTGCAAACCGAGTCGACTGAAGCATATTTCTAGAGGATATCAATTTCCTCTTCGGTATGAGACGAAAATATATGGCGATTGGACTCAAAAAGCTCAACTCAAAAGCATCTTAGTATAGTTTAGGTGGCGAATTATGTAGGTGATGGCAAACACCTACCGAAGTTTGTGGTGCATTGGATTTGGTGTTTTTCCCCTTGCATCCGTTGTTTCAAAACCAGCGCGCATAGGTAGTCTTGATTTGTATAAGCCAAGATGTCCGCTACAGATTGTGCACATGTCACGGTTCTGATCCTTCAACTCAATAAATCCTTTGCCCCGTTCTGACACTGTAAGCCCTTGTATAGACAAACCACGCACAGACACTTACGGGCGAAGGTCCTCAGAAACTGTTACTTTAAGTCTAACGAGGCGGAGCCCCCACCCCCGCCGCCGAGCGACGTCAAGTACGGAGTCTCTATTATCACTTGGTCACCCATGAAGACCGATCATTGCCATGTTGATCTGGGTCGATCCGAGTCGATCCGGAAACCTTCTACGAGCCAGAACCCAAGAAAGGCATTAACGATAATCATGACGCCCATCAAAGGCAAAATATGCCGGGACCGCGATGGGAACCGATGAAGAGATTGTGTCGCGTTCATATATGGCCTCAAGCGTCATAAGTCTTCATTCTCTATTGACCAGCTGCAGACAATAATTAAAGCGGGCGTAAGAGATGCACTTATAGAAAATGGCCATTTAGCATTAAAAGGATCTTGATGCATCTAGTGGACTCTGGAACGACTTTGCTTCCGTTTGCATGAACTAAGATTGGGCTGACAGTATGGGTGGCATTTTTTCCTCCACTGGGCATTCGCTTCAAGCCGAAAGAAGAATAGCAATGGTGTACTCGCTGCTTCCGAGGTAAAAAACGCGGGGACCAAGCGAGATCCAGAGAGATGATAGAGTGTATTGAACGAGCCATTGTACAGTGAAACAGACTGGTGGAGCAAATGGAGCTTTGAATCATATTGTTCAGTGCTTGGATATATATAGTGGATCTGGTTAGTTGTCATCCCCAAGAGGAGTGTATCGCCGAATTTTGCGTGAATCTGCGGAGTCGTTTGCGGAAAGAGTAAATAGGGATTCTCAGCATGGCAGGCCCAACTGTCAGCCCAAATTCGACCATAACAGGCCAGAGCGATCCCTTGCATGTATCCAGTAGAGAAACGCAGTAGCTCATCGCAAATCAACTGATTTTGATTACAGTCACGACGACCGCATTTCCGCTGATATGGATTTGTAAGTATCAACGGTGTACGCAACCGCAACTGTAGGAACTGCGGTCACACAAAGGCCACTGAAACCATATCCAATAACCACAATGATAGGCCAGTCCCATAATTTCTGGTAGCCGAGACCCCCGATAACGATCTCGATGGTGGTGTTCTACAATATGGAATAAGGGATGGAAGCCGCATCTCATCCTTTCGGATTTCCCAGTTTCGTAATTTGGCTTTCATGGCTACCCAGTCAGAAAATGGACCAGCTGTCACCATTCTAATAATAATGATACCTCCGACCGCAAATGCAAAGTTCGAAGACCCAACCACCACTGGATTGAAATTATCTGGCGCAGCTCCAAGCACAGTGGCCGCTGCCAGGTTCCAAAAAAAGTAGAACGTTCGCGGGACCAGCTACATCCAAACCGGCCCAAAACATGATAGGGAAAGAGAAAATTCTCAAAGGAGACACGAGATCTCAAAATTAAACTCCTTCCAGCCTTCTTCAGGTGGCTGTCACAGTCGACGTTGCCACTTTGAAGGCCGGCCATGACCAATTCTTGCGCGACGACTCTCGATGCTTTCTAGGTGTTCAAATCTCTCTTCCGGAGACGCTCGGCTGCTCTTGCCCTTTTACATTCCGAATTATTCAATTCATTCGTTACTGTACCATTTGCTTTCTCGCCGCGCAACTTGGTTTCCGGAAAGCAGAAGAGAGCAGTGAGGAAACTGAAGGTAGTCATAGCCAGCGAGAGCCAGAAAAAGCTTCGCCAGCCAAATCTGCCTGATATTAGGAACTATGCGGAACGCGAACCAAAATTCAAAGTAGGATGCAAAGGGCTATGTAGTCTAATGTACATTGGGGATATGTTTCCAATAATCACAGGGCCAAGAAATAATCCGAGGCAGTATCCTGTGCTTAGCAGATCCGCTAGCTGGAAGTCAACTAGATAGAAAGGAATAAAGCGCAAGTAGACCCCGGTCCAAAAGGCGCGCCCACAAAGGAAAAGCATATCAGTGATCACCTGAACTAACAGAGTCTCCCTTGTTACGGTTGCAATTCCATTGACTGGCCGAGCTGCCAGAAATACTTCAATATGATTGGGCAAGAGCTTGCCAAACACACCCAGAAGGCAGAAAATGTACCTCTCCCGAAAGAGTTCATTGCAGGGCGGACCTCGATTTCTCTTCCATTCAAGTTATTGATCGCAGGGTATGCCTACCAGTTATGTCCATTTGACTCTTCTCAAGTCAAGCTACTGAGCTTATACCAAAACGGTTTCCGATCATTTCGTAAACATGAAAAATTTTACACACTTGGACGGTAAAATTCTCGGGCGCACGCAAGCCCATTAATACGGTTTGATCCCTAGCTTAGTATTTTATGGATGCATGGATTTTGCTGGGAAACACTTCGCAATGGGACGTAAAAATGGGAAGAAGAAAAACCTGCTAGACTATGGAAGAAGGCATGATTGGTTAAGAATTATGAATCTACTAGTCTCATGTGGCCTTAGGCGTGGATGCGACCAAGGAATGGAAGCACTGGGACTAAAATCGGTCTTCGAACGGCACGCCGTGTCCGCTCCCAGCTCTCTGTCTGACTGCTCAAAGATGCCTGCTTCTCCTTTCCTCTTGAACTCATCTTCAGTTATCTCACCTTGTTTCTCATCTGTGTGTTGCTACCGCGTCCCAGAGTGGATCTCTTTTCCTGCGACGCTCGTTTAAAGTCTCGTTCTATATGCTATCGGAATAGCAGTGCCTTCGGTTCCATCGCAAACCCTAACGAGGATTGGACTAAGATTTCAGATTTGGCAGAAAGTCGGCGGATTCAAAATCGTATTACACAGCGAACATATCGTGACTAGACCTAGAATTCGTACCATATACGATGTATTACGCTGATAGGCCATTTTTCCTCGTAATAGGCAAGAAGTTGAAGCAACGAATGGAAGATCTGGAGAGGTATATCGCTAATTCAGTATCTCCAGAGCAACCACACCTAGAGACTACATTACTCTTATAGCAATCCCGAATAAAACTCACTCTAATCAGTATTAGCAACCTCACTCGCACTAGCAAGGGTGGACGGTGGAGAAAGCTAATAGATATATATTATAGGCCCTACCCATCATCTGGCGGTCTCGCCGCCGCTAGTCATATCCTGCCAATATCTACTTATAACCGTAAATACCCTATGAAAGCTGCAATCTCCGGCGCAATTGCTAGTGGAGAACGGGCCAGTGTTGCGATACTCGGTGTCCATCTGTCTTCCGGTTAGATATTGGTCTATCATAATATACCACAGTCCTACCATGATATATCCATTATGAACTATTGGGACTACAGGGAGCCCGTGCTATCTATGGCATCAATGATAACCAATTAAGAGCTATTTATATTTGGTGTTTCGTTGTACACGCACCTACATTTCAACCTTCGGGCAAAAGTTCTCTTCTGCTTTTGTCGATATGTACAATAGGGAGTCTTTTTGTAGGCTTTAACTGTGCTGCGACGCCGGGGTCGATCATGTTGAGAGACTCAACAAAGCTATTTGGGCCTCGGCATATCATACTTCTATCTTGCCTTCGGTGTTGTCTGGATTGAAATATGCCCAAATCAGAGTCTGCTGACCCCCGCAAGTGGGTAATATCTATAAAGCGGAAAGGGCGAGGCCCTGGCAATGACTCCAGCAGCCTTGATTGGACAAACGTTTGCTATGCTTTCTGGCGCATGTACCACTTGCAGCGTGACTACGGCTTGACGACCAACTGACCTACCAAATGGAAACCAAAAACCCTGTTTTCGTGCAGATATCCCACGCCCCGGAAGTCGAGTAGGACGTGGGCCCAAGCCGATGAGCAAATTCGGTAAGTAGTGCTCGGCCAAGCATGAATGATGTGCTAATATGAGGATCCGTTCTGAGGGTTTGCAGCAGCCCTTCACATCCTTGATACGAAAATATCGGAATTGGCATTGACGCATCCTCTTCTCCAACACGACGAGTCATTACTGCCCCTGACCGCAAGCCACGAGCTGTGGGTCGCTCCCAACTGCCGGGCAACGGAAGGCTATCCTGTGCCGTCAACAGCGCGCCTCGGGAGCTAATCTGGAAATGATACCTCGGCTGGGCCTGGCAAGGCTCAGCTCCATACTGGACTGCCAGATGGATGCCACCGTTATCCCCTGTTGGAAGGCATTAACGCGAGCATCGCGGGAAAAATGTCTCCCACGCCGCCTGGAATCAGGCCGTCTGCAATCAATTTGAACGTCAATAGACTCAATTCTTCGACCGACACCTGCAAGCGAAAGCAGAAGATACCGCCCACGATCCGTTCTGCTTGGAGGGGTTATTGCATTCGGCATTTATTTCCTCCTGGTGGACTTCAATTGTCTAGAGCTAGCGATCGGACGGGAAGGATAGGAGTCTTTGCCCCGTCGCGAGCACGTTCGCCAGTGGTCTGCTTCCCAATACGCTCGCCGTTGCGCCCTTCACGGAGCTATGATCCTCCGCAATCTTCAAGACACGCCGGTAGGACTGGAGCCGGCGATTCACATCCCGCGGGCACTTGAGCGGGCCGCCACCGTGTGGTATGCATACTGCGAGTACGGGCTCGACGATACGAGCTCACAGGAAACAGCACGAACTCGCAAGATTGAGTTCCCGGGATGTTCCCGGTTGAAGACCAATAGTCAAGCTCTCCTGTTGGAAGCCAACGGCTATCGAAATTCGAAACCAAAGACGGAGTCTAGGCTCCCTGCAGGCTGGTGGACCTCCTACATTGGATTGGCCATTGGGAGCTGTCAAGGAACTTTGCGGAGCAGTGAAGTTTCCTGCTTCAGAAGACGGCAGTTAACTGCACGCCAAGAAGTTCAATCCCGAGCCGCGTCCATTGCACTGGAAAATATTCCCCCTAGCGAAGCGGCAGAAGGTCTGGAATGCGACCGCCTCTTGCCCATTTGGTATGTCCACCCATGCGCCATACCCCGTCAGGCTAGCGCCAGGCGGCCGAGTAACCAAAAAGACCTCCCCACGCTGTGCACGGGAGCAGCACCCTGCATGTGTCAAACTATTCACAGGTAACCCTAAGCGTTTTAGCCATTTAGGCGCCATGGCTAGGGTCGCAGTCGATTGCAAGCCGAGATCCTAGGGCAGACGGAGGGAATGTGAGGAGGGCGACATCCCCTGAGCCCGTGATCCGTCCATGAACCAGGGCATGTCAGCAGTTACTCAGCATAGGGCTGTCCTATGTGCCGTCATCAATGCTATTATCAATCTTCGCTCCGTCGAGCTCCACCAGCCACGTCGCCGAAGCGACCAGACCGTCGGGATTCTCCTCTGCACAAGGCCCTGGGCAGTGATGGTCCCCGGTTACCGGCTGGGTAAAACTAGCGGGTTGGGTGCCAATTCAGGGGGAAGAAGCCGTTTCCGTGGATCCACATCGCTCGTCAGATGGCGCCAAGATAGACGGCGCCCACAAGCTAAATGCTCCTGCCACCGCGACAACCTGTGCAAAACGGGTTTTCGGGCGTTACAGACTGCCGACATCTGTCAGACCATGTCAAATAATCTCCACCGAGCCACGCGACTGTCCTCTGAGCTTGTGAATAGCCTCGCGTGTGGCTCCCGTGCGGACCCCTCTCCACCGTACGCCCAGTCCCTCGGCCTTTGTCGATCACCTGCGGTGATTCGCCGCTTGGACGACTAAGGGCCTCTCGCGTACGCGAGATGCCGCCCCTGAAGTTTTCGAAAATCTGGATTCTCAGTGTTCCTTGGCCAGCCTGCGCGGGTAGCCTGCAGCTCAATTTATTAAACAGTTTGCCTTCCCCACACACGCTTTCTCCATTATGTCTCATCCGCCATGAGCATGACGGACGAGGATCAAAGGGCCCTGGCGGTCAAGACGGTCGCGGCTGTGTTCATGCCAATAGCATGTGTAGCGGTCATGCTGCGCTGTTATGTGCGGGGATGGTTAGTGAAAGCTTTTGGATGGGATGATGGCGCGATGGTGGCCGCAGTCGTAAGTCCATCTTGTCCCTGCTGTTGGGTATTGGACAAGCTGACAGGCATAGTTGTTTTATATCATGTTCTCTGCTTGCATGATTGGTGGCACTCTATACGGCACAGGTCGGAAGTTTGAGCACCTCACAGCCCATGAGCGTGTGACAGCGATGAAGGTATGCAAGTCTATCTGTTGTTCCGTTTTGGGCTTCTCACTTGGTGCTCATCTAACAATTGCAACAACAGTACTGGTGGCTCTGTGAAGTTGCTTATTGCTTTGCATCTATCTTTTGCAAGATTTCCATCAGTGTTTTCTTGATGCGTATCACCGTTAAAAGGGTGCACATCTGGACTCTCTACACTGTCATGGTCCTAACAGTCCTTGCCGGGCTAGTGTTCTTCTTCCTGATGCTTTTGCAGTGCAAGCCGCTCTCGTATTTCTGGACGCGCACGGCCCTGGATCCCACCATCGAAGGCCATTGCATCAGCATCCACATCATCATTACCATGACCTATGTTTACAGTGCATTTGCGGCATTGTGCGATTTTACTGTTGGGCTCCTGCCGATTTTCCTTGTTCGAAAGCTGCATATGAAGCGACAGGCGAAGGTCGCTGTTGTGGGCATTTTGAGCATGGCTTGCATGTGAGTCGTTCCGGTCGAAGCTCAATGTGCCGAACTAACCAAACGCAGTGCCTCCGCGGCCGTTATTATTCGATTCCCATTCGTCAAGACATTTGCGAACGAAGACTTCCTTTGTGCGTGGCTCATCCTCTTTCCATTCATGTTGGAAAGTGCCTCTTTGGATACTAACATTCATCAGATGCTACCTACCAAATCGCCGTCTGGTCTAATATCGAAGCCGGGCTTGGCATAACTGCCGGAAGCCTTGCCACGCTCCGCCCCCTCCTCCGTCACTGGCTCGGCTCACGAAACGATTCGAACTATCCGTCGGGGTTTCCCACATCTGGCCGCCGAGGTGGTAGCAATGCGCGAGCCGTGCCGCTTGGGTCATTAGAAGGAAATGGTCACAGGGATTTGAGACCGGATAAATTGGCGATCATGACGACGAATATTGAAAGCCAAAGGGACACACAGAATACGTGGGGAGGCTCGACCAGCCCCAGCAGCAGTGAAGAGAGACTCACTGTTGATCATCATCCTCTCCCAATGCAAGGGAAGATGGAGGTTGGCATTCATCATACGTTCGAAGTCACGCGGACGACAGATGGAGGCTACGCGGAAGATTCTCATCCGATGGCGAGAGAACATGTATAGTAGATTTCTACAATAATCCTTTTAACGAAATCTCATGCCCAAAAGCGCCGTTATATTTATAATCGAAATGGTAACTCCAAAGTCCAATGAGCAGGTTCATTTCAATATAAGAATTCAACTCGATTTGCGAAGTACTAGTGCCACTGGACGTACACGATCCTTAATACTTTAGTAGAAGATGCCTTTATGCTTCCTCTTCTGCGTTAATAATTCTAAGGGAAACGTAGTCAGAAACTCCCTTCCTCAATTTAAATCACTGACGGTTCTTCGACTCCTTTCTAGATTGAATTCTCCCCTCGGCTTATTGAGGATATAATACTGAACTAATATCCCATTATCCTCAATTTGCGGATATGACCCACCACCAGAAAGACGGATTAAGCAGGTCCGACCACACCCATTATGCGGAATCTGTTGAGTGGACTACAGTATCGTAGAGGCATAGCGCCGAGTAGATAGTAGTACTCTCGCGAACAGCAAGGCACCAGCTCTGCTGTCTGAAGAGACGAATTCTTGGGCTATCTTCGAAGGTGATCTGTCCAAACCCAAGATTTCACTTCAAGATATCTCTTTTAAGCGTCTCTAGTTTCTAGTGTTCCTACCCGCAATATAAAACGGGGAAAGTAACAACACTGAATAGGATTCCCAGCTTGCGGTTGCAACCTGGCTTTGGGTATTTTGTTCTCCGAGAGTGATCTTGATTGGATAATACAGATAGGTTACCTGGGTCTGCATATATCCATAAGTGCTTTGGAGCTGTGGTCCGTCTAAGGTAGGATTGATGAACGAGAATTTTCTTAAGTTATTGACCTTGTCCACAATATTGTCCCGCCTTTTCAAACAAACAGAAACTGTCCTGCAATAGCACCGACCGCAACAAGAATTAGTGGTGTATACTTGTTGGTGAATTTGTAGAGGACAGCCAGCGCAACAACATAGAGTACAGCAGCCGAAGCGCTCTCAGCGTTCGTGACACTTTGCGGCAAAACAGGTGCTGTCATTGAGTCGGAGACTAGAAGGCTGGAGTGTAACGTCTGCACCGCTATAATGGCGATCATACCAATTACAGCCCCGCAAAGTCCATCAAAGAAGGCCGAAAGGAACTGCCGGAATCAGTTAATACATAATGGAGTCGTGAATAGTCTTCGAAGACGGGACGAGTGACTTACCTTATTGCGAACAAGTTTCTCTAACAGGTCATGTCCAGCAATCGTAAACAAAAAGCAGGGGAAGAACATGCCAATGGTAATAACTACAGCGCCGGCAAAAGCTGTCCCAAGGCCGTCATCTGCCAAACCGCCCTGAAACCCGACGAAAGTTGCAAAGATCACAAGCGGGGCGGGGAGAATATTCCCAATTGCGATGCCATCCAGGAAAATGCGCGCTGGAAGCCACCCACCTTTGAGAACGGCTTCGACCTGGATGAAGGGTATTGCGGTGTATGCGCCACCAAAAGAGAGGCTTCCGGCTACTAGTCCAAGTGCGAATAGATTGGGAAGGAAGGGTGTCTTGGCTATTCCGAGCGCGAGGGAAACCGGTGATGGGACGCCTCGGAAAACCACGTAGATTGCGTATACAACATACTGGAGGATGAAGAGGCATAGGGCGATGATTCTTTTGCCATGGGATATGAAGCTGTATATTACACCGTAGAGACCGAGGGAAATGAAGCTATGTTCGTACATGTGTTAAAAATCTAGTATTGTGGACAGTTGACAAGGGGCAGGACTCACATGTTGATGCGAAGAGCACTGTTCAGCGCCGTACAGAGGCCAGCAATGACAAGGTAGGGGTCTATTTTACGAGTGTTGTGGTTAAACACAGAGTGGTCTGCGATCTTGTGTGTGGCTCGAAGTATCTACTCGCCGTCAGCAGTTGATGTTTAATGGGTCTAGAAAGTGCTCACCATGGCAGATACCATCGGTTGGATAGCCCGGAAGGAACCATTGACATAAATGTTCTCTAAGCCTGCCAGAAAATATAGATAAGATGCAAGAAGCATAAGAAGGAATCCGGGCAAGATAAAAGCGAGTCCGGCGACAATCCCACCCAGGCGGCCAGCTGAGAGACACCCGAAGAACATGCATAGCTCTGCTGCCTCTGGGCCTGGCAGGATCTGGTAGACAGCGAACACGCGTTGGAAGCGCGGGAGGGTGATCCATTTTTCTTTAAGCACCAAGTGCTGCTTGATCATGGAAATTTGTGCTACAGGACCGCCCCAGGCAAATAGTCCAAAGTTGTAGAAGAAGAACCAGAATAGTCGCGGTAGAGAGAGATGGGGCACATTGGAGTTATCCTGTAGACCTTGGTCACTGCTAATATCCTGCAAATTCGTAGATTGACTCGTTTCTTCCGAACAAGCTGTAGTCTGTTGTGCTTCGAGATCGTTTTTAGGGCTGCGGCAATCCCCGCTATTGGCATTGCTTCCTGAGACGGGTGTCGAGCTGCGGGATGACTCGACGATAGTGGCCATGGTGACTGGTAGATGTGAAAAAGAGAAGAACCAGGACGCTGCCTCTCTCTTTTGCCTGGTGAGCATCAGCCTTTTGTACTGTCTACTTCGGGGGGACGGACACATCGAACATGATTGGCGGAGGAGAAGGAGACGGACAGGTGGACAATGATTGGCCAATATTGTGCTAGTTCGCTTTGGCCTTCCGGCATTTTTCTAAGTGTATAGTGGTCTGGTATCTGGGACTTGATTGGCTGCATTGATCGCGTCACCATTTTAGCGTGGCCCTGTACGGAAGCTGATAGCGGCCACCCGAAGAAAGTGTATAATATGCATATTCTAGACCGCCCTAGGGACCGCTCTGTAACGCAGGAATCGTATTTTATACTATCTTTCCCATACAAAAATAGATTCTCCATTTTCTACTGACCCCCCCATCTTGACGCCATTTCTTGCCGCTATCCCAGGTGGTAAGATGAAGCTATTCATACTATACAATCTGCTAACTTTCGATATCCCTAGGCGTTGAATACCCTCGCTATCGCCCTCGCTGTCGCCCTCGCTGTCGCCCTCGCTATTTCCGTCGCTGTCGCCGTCGCTGAATATCCTCGCTGTGGCCGTCGCTGTTTCCGTCGCTGTTTCCGTCGCTGAATATCCTCGCTGAATATCCTCGCTGAATATCCTCGCTGTGACCGTCGCTGTGGCCGTCGCTGAATACCCTCGCTGAATATCCTCGCTGTAGCCGTCGCTATTTCCGTCGCTGTAGCCGTCGCTAAATATCCTCGCTGTGGCCGTCGCTATTTCCGTCGCTGTTTCCGTCGCTGTAGCTGTCGCTGAATACCCTCGCTGTAGCCGTCGCTAAATACCCTCGCTGTAGCCGTCGCTGAATACCCTCGCTATAGCCCTCGCTGTCGGCCTCGCTATTACCCTCGTTATATATTACTCTCTACTATGATACCTCGTATCCCTCTTAATCTGTATAGGTAGGAGATCGAGGATTATATCTAACTTAGGCGCTCTACTAAAGCTATTCGTATTATACTACTTAACGACTATAGCGTTAGCGTTATAATACGTATAATTAATAACCGCCTATAGTTATAGAATATTAGCTACCTAGCGAAGTCTACCGAAGCTCTAGATAAGCGTATTTATAAGCTTCTCTATCTCTCTCTAAGTACTAAAGAGATTCTCTAAGTACTTAAAAGATAGGGGTATACCCTTATCTAAGCGTAGTCTTCGTAGAGCTCGTAAGCGGCTTAGAATAAAGCTTCGGGTCGACGATCCTAAAGAACGTAAGCGGTAGAAAGCTAAGATTAAAGCTATTCTAGGTATAGAGGACTAGATTAGAGATATTAAAGGCTATAGTTCTCGGCTATAATATATCTTCCTTCGTAACTAAGATTATTTCTATCCTCGGTAAGTTAAGGTCTATCCTCGTCCTTAGTAAGTAGACTACTAATACTTATCTAGAGATAGAATCTACGAGGTCTACCGTAGAATTAACCCGGAAGCTATCGAACGTTGTCGGTTAGACCTCTAACGCCGGAGAGGAGCTTATACTTACCCTAGGCTAAACTAGATATAGTATATTAATAGTTATATAAAGCTAGAACCTTTCGGATTCGAGATATATACTACTATCGATAGATACTCTCGATATATTATATAGATCTATATAGGAATCTCTACACGAATAGTAATAAGCGTACTACGTTAGTATCTTAACTACGTAGCTTCGACGGGCTTTCTACCGTATATTATACGGGCTAATCTAGGCTTAGAAATAACGATGATTAGTAATACGTATCTCGCCCTTCGCCGGTTAGCGTTACTATTAGCCTTACTATTAGCCTTACTATTAGCCGAAGTGTTACTATTAGCCGAAGCCTTACTATTAGCCGAAGCCTTATACGAAGCGTTACCGTTAGTGTTATATCTTTAGCCAGAAGACTGCTTCTTCTACGGCCGAAGTACTAAGAATTAACGGATTAAATCCTAGTAAGGATAGCTCGCTAGCTCGAGCGTCTTCCTCTACTATAAATATTTCTATATACTATACCGCGATAGGATCTTTTTAAAAGAGTCTCTTCTAGAGTAGGTATCGCTTCTTACTATCTATATACCTATCCTCCGAGCTCGTATACACTTATATACGAATATTTAGAATATATACTTAATTCGGCTATAGTCTAATAGGCTAGACACTATCCTAGGGAAGCTAGTTATAAACTACTACTATCCCGACGCCGACGTTTAAGATTACTAGTAATCTTTTAATTAAGACCTCCTTCGAAGACTATAGTAAGACGTAGAAAGGTAGGATTCTATAGAATATCTTCTACTAGCGACCTTAGTATAGTATCTCTCGTAGCTTTAGTAAATTAGGTAGTAGCTTATAGGCGTTAGCTTTAACCCTAAAGATCTACTACTTCTGCTTAAGGGGGAAAGAGACTAGCTATACCGAGTAGTATATAAAATACTTCGGCTTCGTATATTACACTATCACGAATCAGGGGAAGAGCCTATCCTTAGCGTATATATAAAGCCGCGTAGTATATATTTATAGTCGCTAGTAGCCGAGATAGCCGTAATAGCTCCGATAGCTACGGCTAAGGCCTAGTTCAAATCAGAATTTTATCTATATTAAGCTAAAAGGTCCTCCCTCCGTTAATCGATTCAACCCTTATCGAAATAGCGTCTCTATAGTCCTCCCTATAGGAAGCTATAGCTACTACTATTACGGTAGTAATATCTTTAACTACGGTAGCTTTATTAACTGTAGTAGCTTTATTAACCGTAGTAGCTTTATTAACGCCTATATCGACGCCTATACCTTCGATACCTATAGCCGCATCTTCGCTAGTACTAGCGTAGCTAATCCTACGTTTTAATTCTCTCTCTTCTCTTTCTAGCATAGTAAGCGTAGCCCGGAGATCTTATATATATTAGCGAGAGAGACGTCCTCTCCTACTACTACTACCGCCGCCGCTAGCAGCGCCGGTAGCGCTAGTAGCGCCGTAGGAGGTTTATATCTCTACGTCCTTCTATCTCTAGGAGAGCCTAAGAGAGATAGAGCGGCTACTAAGTAAGTACAACTACTACTATAGAAATAGCTAGCTAACCTCTTATTCATCGGTTAGTATCGCTTTTATACGTTTTTCCCTCCTCTAAGACCATTATTAATATACTATTCTTCGCCGGAGACCTCGTCTCGCTACTCGATTAGTACACTATCTAATATTTAGAAGGATACTAGAGGAGGCTATAAGATCGGTTCTTTATAGCTAAGGATATTACCCGGTAGGGTAAAAGGCCGTTAATCGCGTAGTTCCTCTCGTAGCAATATTCTTTCGTATCTAAGACCCTTAGTAAACTTTACTAGCGGTTACGGAAGGTAAAGGGAGAGTATTATATATATATCGTGATTATACGGCCCTCGGAGGTAGAGATAGAGCGGATAACGATAGCGGAGACAGAGCAGGGGGAGTTTAATTTTAATGATCCATAGATTATTAGTAGTAATACTAGCAGTAATACTAGCGGTACTACTTCTATAGTAGCAGCGGAGGATGCTACTTCTATAGTAGTAATAGATAATACTACTACTACAGTAGTAATAGATAATACTGCTACTATAGTCGTACCAGAGGGTGCTATATCGAAGAAGCGAGCAGCTTCGCCGATACGCCGAAGCTAGCGGCTTCGCCGGCGGCAGTAGTAGTTTAAATTATATAGAGAGCTTTAATTAGACGGCGCACTACCTAAAATCAGCGGGAATGACTAAGATGCACTATAAAAATAGCTTCAATATAGCGACAGCGATATAAATAGCCTTCGAGAGAGATGCACATGATTTAATATGGGCGTACCGCCTGAAATTAGCGGAGATGACCAAGATATACTACAAAAATAGCCTCAATATCGCGACAGCGAGGTGAATAGCCTCTGAGAGAGACATGCATGATTTAATATGGGCGCTGTAATAGTAATTCAGGTATCTAAACTTTCTGCCGGTCTTAGAATATGCATATTATACACTTTCTTCGTGTGGCCGCTATCGGCTTCCGTAGCCCTGTCAATGGCGGACGATCTGACCCCCAGATTAACTCCCGCATTTCTCCGCTCAACCCATCCGACTCACTTCAAGTCACTGCCGAAGCCCCCCATCCGATGAATGCCTTCCGACTTCCATGAACGATGTCGTGCGATAAGGTAGTGTGCTCAAGTCCTTGCATGACCCCACTAAATCAGAACCTAGAACACAGAGCGCACCTTGCGCTTGCGAGAGAATAAACGGCGCAACAGAGCACACCAGAAGGAATACACGGCCGATCTGGAACACAGACTGAGGGGATTTGAACAAGAAGGCGTCCGGGCAACCATCGAGATACAATGTGCAGCTAAGAAGGTTGCAGAAGAGAATATTTACCTACGAGAGCTTTTGCTGGTGATCGGCATTGATCGCTCAACTGTCAACGATTGGATACTTCGGAGAAGGTCCTCCAATGATGCAAAGGATATTGGCCGAAGTCACTGTCATGAACTTGCGACAGGTAAAAGTATTTGCAGCAAAGGCAAACAAAGAGAAAGGCCTAGCGCTCTGTCATCACAGCCGCAATGCTCACCCTGCAACACGGTTTGCCAATCCAGCAGTTCTCCACCATGCGATTCTATCCCCAAATCAGCCCACCAATCATCGACCGCTACTGAAGACAGTCAAGTCCCTGATAGGTTCTCTTCGCCTGGGCGGAATAAATCAACCTCGGACAACCGACAAGAGAATAGCAGTCACGACGCAGGACTGCCACCAAATGAGCCAAGTAACCCGGAACAGGGATCCTCCCCGCCTCCATCTGCTCCTTGCAAGCTCCTCACGCGTCTCGCCGTGAATCCCGGCGCCGACGTCTCGACGATCTTAGCAGGGGCAGAGAACGAGCACCAAGCCGATAGCGCAGAAGGCGGTCTGCCTTGCGAGAGTGCATACAAGCTGCTGATGCGGTATGCCACCAGTGAAGAGAAACTGGAGGCTCTCGCTCGGTCTCTCGAGGAGGGTTGCGTTCCTAACTCTGGCGGTGGATGTAAGGTCAAGAATGAGACACTATCGCAAGCTCTCCTGGACATCTGTCTCTAACGATTCTGACGTTTGAGGGCCTCGGAGAAGCCGGATAACACCAGCCAAGTTGACTGCATCACCAACTTACTGTTAGCGGCGAGGCAAGATCTATTCGGATCATTCGCTGCTGGGAAGAAGGAATGAACACTACCGTGCAGCATGGGTGGTAATGTCCTGGCTCAGACTCATACCTGATCATCCAACTGTATATATTGGGCTATGAAAATGCACGCGAATAATTGGGGATGTTTCAGGCAATGGTGTTATTAGTGCTGATTTCCTCCTCTAGGCGAATGAGAATACTCGATTTGAATGTTATATTAATCTGTCCATCTGTCCATCATCCTGAGACGGTCTGTTCATGTCTACTTCGTACTTGTCTCGACAGCTTCTATACCTCAATAAGCCATCGTTCAATAATTGCCACTTCTTTGTTTTACCTCTCCTTAACTCTTGACTTCTCCCTTTTCCTCCTCCCTCTCTCAATTCCTTCCTCCCCCATCATCACACCACACCACATTGGCCTACTACAGTAAAGACCCCTACTCCGTGTCGCCCCCCCCCATAGCCCGCCCGCCACCCGGTACTCCGCCCCCGCCCCCGCCCCCCTCCCCACGGGCTGGCACCAAGGGTCGGAAGTGGTGGGTATTATAGCTCACTTAGTCCTCCCCACTAGCTTAGCTTGTTCATCATCTGTCTATCTATGTTCTTTCAAATAGCTAGTCCAGCCATCCCCTCATAATAGCAATCATAAGTAACAAGGTAACAGGCATCTTGATATCATTACTGCCAACCTGTATGAAATCGTTGATTGAGGACTGGTTCAAGCATATATGTCGCAGTTGACTAGGGGACTATGACCACTTGTTGGATTAAAGGATCCTCTCAAATATTTATTTAGCCATGGCACCGGCATCCGCATAGTTCCCTACGCCACAAAGTTAAAGTCTAGGAGTTTGTCAACCCTGTGTGAATCAATGTGACCTCTAGACCCTGCCGGGAGAAGTGGAAGGAGCATGGCAAATTGTAATTATATTCTTGGATTTTTAGGGAGAAAGGTGATAAGCATAAAAATGCGGGATTATCTTTCCGTGGCCTTTCATGTGAATTTTATAAATGTGGTTAATGTAACTCTAAAACGTCTGTTCGGATACGAGGCTTGTTGATGATATTAAGGTATACTCTCAAATTCTTGATTTTCAAACAATTAACTCGCATTCAGAGCGGAGTACAAAACGTTCAGCTGCCCTAGGCAATTTCGAAGTCTTAGCGCACCGTAGCCAACTAGGATTTGTTCAAGAGATCTCATAATTGATTCATAGTTACATTATTCAGAAACAAGACGTACACGAAATCCACACTAATCTCACAAAAAATAATACAATAAAGTAACATGACGGTGATTCTTCCACGGCTTCAATCAAGAGAAAAATGAGTAGAGGATGAAGAAGTCGAACCGACATTATGTACTCTTCCTGACCTGATCCCAGGCTTCATCATACATTCGTCTAACCATCCAGCGGACTATGGCATGTGAAGGCCGTAGAGACCTTGCCCTTATAGGCATCTTTCAGAACTTCGATGGCGGAGTAGGCACCAAGGCCGGCAAGAGCCAGTGCACCCAAGAAGTAGAAGACGTTGAAAACGCTCATCATCAGAATCTTTGGCTTCAGAGACATGCATCCACGGACGAGGCGTTTGATGCCACTATCGTGACGAATTGTATTACCCGTGGCAGGATCAAATCCTTCTCCCTCTTGCAAGGCTGCCTCCTTGATCCAGAAGAGCGTCGCAAGCATGGGTGGGAAACTGTAGGTGAAGTGCAGAATGCAGAAAGCGGCAACGACGGCAGTAAGACCTCCAAAGCTGGGAATACTGGCGGCCAGGATGAAGGCGATGCCCCAGTAGACCGGGATGATTGCCACCCACAGGAACTTGCCAGCTCTGTGAGTGAGAGGAGGGGCATGGAACATCTCAACGAAGATATTGTTGTAGATGACTAGACAGGTTAGTTTGAATACCATGAATATAGAGCAGAACAATCGAAATTAACACACCTTTGACACCAATGTTGCCATAAAGACCACCAGCAATGAGTCCAGTAACCATAGCCATGACATTGCCCGCAGTTTGAAGGCCATACTTGCTGACTCCGAGGTAGGCGGGGTTGACAGTGTACTGGCCCTGGTAACCGTAGATGAAAAGACCGTAGAGCATGTAGGTGACGTAAATGAAAGCCTGGGCGGCCCACATGGCAGTCAAGAAATCCCTGGGGCGCTTCATTTCGGCCATGAACTCCGGGAAAATCATGGAACCACCGTAGGCAAAAACGGCCTGCATGGCGCCGCTGACAGTGCCGATGAAGTTTGAAGGATCAGGAAGGCCACCGCTCGTGTGCACAGCGGGCCAGGCACCGGTCAACGGGTTCGGCTGGACAGACGAGCCGTCGCCGAAGCTCGCTCCGGCAGCCTGGTTATGAGCAGAATAGTTTGGGTCTGAGTGGGCGGCACCACCCATGCTGACGAACATGCACAGGAGATTGAGCCACACAGCGACGTTGGCCAACCATCCGAATTTCTGCAGAGTACGAACCTGGCCGAGAGCAAATCCAGCCGCAGCCCAGATCACGCAGCAGACAATGAAGCAAACCTTGAATTTAGCGACCTGGGACAAGGCCATTCCGTTGCCCATGACGATCAATCCGACATTGAGCAGCAGCTGGATGCTCTGCAGGATGTTGAACAGATAGCGCAGCCAGGGACCATACAGACGGAAGCCAATATCTCCGAAGCTGTGAATAGGGAACTGATACGAGTCAAGGCCCATGAAAGTAACCCAAAGGAGATATCCAGAGTATCCAGCGAGGCCTGCGAAAACCGTATATAAAGCAATTCCGGGGCTGACCATAGAGTTAGCGATTGGGAGGGGGGAGAGAGAGAGAAAGAAGCAAAAAAGAGATTGAACTTACCCCCATCCCATACTTGCAACCGCGTAGGGCAGACCGAATGGGCCCAGGATATCAGTAGTAATGAGGTAGAAAATAGCACCGCGGGTGGCAGTACGAAGCGCACGCGAGGCGTTGGTCCACTCCTCGTCGGTGACCATCATGCGACTTGCCTCATCGGTGGTATTGATCTGAGTGGCATCCTTGCTCCCATTCTCGGCTATTTGTTGCACGCCGCTGTCGTTCTTAGAAGGGAAGAAAATGGACATAATTCCAGTCTCTTTGCCTCCAAAGGTATCTTCCTCTTCCCGGGTTTTCTGAGCATAGTGATAGTACTCCTCGAAGGTGACAGTAGGGTCATGCAGCCTGCGGTGCTGTGGACGGATCCCACTGCTCATGTCGTTCGCAGCGAGAATATCCATGTTCTCGTGCTCTTTCTCATGGAGACGAGGATCGCCGCCATCGAGGGCCAGGCTGCCAAGCTTGGACATGGTCGTGTCAACTACAAAAGACGAAGTTGAACGTGAGGGAGTGTATAAGGGAAGATGGGATGAAAAGAAAATGAATACACTAGCAGAGATCTGGGGAAATGTCCGCTAGTTATTTGGTCGCGAGTTTAGCTTGTCGACCGCGTGCCTCGGTGGGTCTCGAGCCACACCACAGCGGAGACTGGCCCTCTCCCACCAAAGGGGAGCAAAGATGACTCGATGGCACGCGGGCGCTACCGGAAGCAGGAACTGATAGCTCGGGGGTCGCCGCCATGGTGATTGGCAAAATCCCTCGCAATACGGTTCCATATGTCAGGTCTAGAGCCAACCTCTGCCTGTTGCTTTCGCCGCTAACCTCTCTATCGCCAGTGGCTTTGCGCCTCCCTGCGAGATCCTAGCCATGCTCCGAGCAGCTTTCCACATCTTAGGAAGGTCGATATGCTCGCAAAATTCCGTGAGCCCTGCATCAGAGTGGGTCAGGGGCCCAGAGCCAAATGATCCAAGCCTTCACCGTCGGCTTGGCTATCTACACCCGTCCTTCCATTGGATATCACGGTAGTGGGGACCAGCTAGGATGGATGCGGAGGAGGTTTCATTCGCCCGGCCTGCCAAACCCCACCGCCCCTTCAACCAATCACCACCGTGACGTATGAGGCCATGCGGAGCTAGTCTACCGGCCAAAGCTTATCGTCGCCCCTTGGAAGGTGGATCCCTCACGGAACGCGGTCCCTTGCAGAAGTTCGGTGCCAAGACCTCCTTTATCTTCTCGAATGTTACCCCATCGCCCGTCCAGCCGATTCAGCCGAGGCATGGTTCGAGATCATGATTCTAGCGCAATCGACAGTCCTCCTAGCGTCGGCGAGGAGAGGAAATGTGCACTAGCGGAGACATGATTCGTCTAGCTCGCATTCCCCTATTGTTACAGAAGTCACTTTCTATTTTGCATGATATTGCGTGACTGGATTGCACAGTGTCAAAAAGACCATCGGTCTTGGCCGTTCTGACAACAATTCTTCCACGATTAATAATCTTTCTTGCTAGTCCAGCTTCTCGAGACCCTCGGCTGTTCTCTTCCCCATTGGCCACTTGACAGTATTGTTCCCCGGTGCTGGCTCGATAGGTAGCCGAGGAACCAATCGACCTTTCTTGATCCCATTAACCTTGTGGACATAGAAATAAAACACTGTGGACATCATGGAGTATTTTTCGATTCGTGAGAAATTAGATTTGGTAAAAATCGGAAGAGGCCGTGATAAGTCAAATGTTCCCCACAGCACTATGTGCCGTAAACACTGCGGCCAGACGGGCATTGTCCGGAGAGCCGCTGTTTCTCCGGCTTACAGACGCCACATGAAGCCCCAAGTCCGAAAGGGACACGAATTTTCACTTTGACCGGCTGTTACATATAGGTTTCAGCGTTGCTCAAACGACCTTAGGGAATTTGAAACAAGAGACACAGAAACGGTTCGAAGAAAAGAATCAATCAAAAAAGAAGTCGAGCTGAAAATGCTCTATTTCGAATAGCAAAACATCGCATGCATTAAGGTTCTTTCTGCGCGTACCCAGTTCTTGAAGGGACAGCTGATGGAGATAGCCGCCAAATCAACAAAATTCCAATTGTGTGTGGGAGGTTTGCTGGGAACCAATGATGGGGCACCCCCACGAGTCAGTGGCAATGGGCTGATCCGAGACATCCGGTGGACAAGCTTTCCAAACCCGACCTGATATGTATAGGCATCACGTGCTGCACCGGGCCTGTTCCATGGATACGCGATGTACACAAAGTTCTATGGAGCTAGAATTAAGATAAGCCAATGTTGTGTGAGGGGAGAGTGTGTTTATGCCCGAATTCCTACATACTCTTTGCCATTAAAGCCACTCGTATCCAGATAAAGCTTTGGCGACTCGTGAAGCGGATCAAGCCGGCTGCCAACGGATGATTTGTCTGCTGGCTTACGCTCCGTAATAGAGCCAACCGATATCGCGATATCATATCCCGATGTCGCGGTATCCCGAGGTCCCGAGGTCCCGAGGCCCAACTGACGACCCCCAATCTTCCAAATACTAGCCAACCAACGACGACTGTTTTACAATCATTGATGTCAGATCTACTTCGTACATTACAAGGAATAAGCCACCTACCCCAAGATATGTACAGTGGAGTTTGATAAGCTTTCGACCACCTTTTCTCCACCACATAGTCTTCCAGTCTAGAACGAAGTTAGAAGGTCAAGAAACCGCCCTGAAAGTAAACTTAGATCTTTTTTTTCCCTAAGAAATCCATTTGGAATATGAACCAAGCTTTATTCACAAACTTAGAAGGCCATACATTGAGCGCGTTATGCAGGCATAAAGGGAGTTGTTAGTCCCAGAGAATATTATGTCATCGTGGCTGGTCGAACACTGACGGAACTCTATGACTTCTGTCGTCAAACTCAATTTTTGGTAACGAGGGAGATGACAGTCTATGTTGCTATCTCCCATTCTCATCAACATCGTCTACATCTTTCCCCCCAGGAGTGTAGATAAGGTTGGTCTAGCCACTAGTTAGAAAAACATCGGCGCTAGGATCGAGGCCAATGCGCTTTTATGCTTATCTGATGGCCAAGAAAAAAAAGCCACATTTTCAGAATTGGTGATAGTCAATTGATTAGTTGAACTCTGAATTTATTCTGTAGCTTTTGCATGTTATTTTAGACCTCCAATTTTGTTTTGACGGTTTCGCATTTGTAGTCTCAATTGGGATAGGCCGAGAGATATTATGACAGGCTCAACTGTTTGGAATCGGCATAGACGCCTGCCATTATATGTACAGCTCATGAATTGACAGCGGCAAAGGCTTCATCAATGAACTTGGCCGCCCTGTGGTAAGCCTCCTCCTTCCCTTTCGCTGGCTTCGGCGGAAATCCAGAATTCAAATCAGCAAGTCCGTGTCCCGCATCTTTCACAAGAATCAGTTCCGTCTTGACACCAAGCTTCTTGAGTTGCTCGTGATGGTGTACGCTCTCTTGATCTGGAACAACTTCATCCGAGGTACCATGCACAAAAATTGCGGGAGGGTAATCTGCCGATACAAAGAGCTGAAGAAAGGCGGGTTTTAAATCTTCTGGAATCGCCGCGGCTCGTTCCTCATAGGGCAGTTTGTTGAGCTCCGCGCCCAGTCCAGGTCTCCCAAGACAGCCGTCAAGGAAAGTCCCATCAAGCTCCCAGCGAACGGTCAAAGCTAATCGGTTGAAAATACCTTGAGCTGGCGCATCTTCACTCACAACGGATTTGTCAGCGAGCAGCTTCGGTACTTGTTCAAGATCCACGAGCTTGGCAATGGTGGTTGCGGGCCGGCCGACGGTCCAGTGATCCAACAGCCAGTCTCCAGAAGTGCCATAGGCAGTCATGAGCACGGCAGGTCTGGGATCGGCATACACGCATGCTGCACGGGCCGAGAAGGCCCCCGCCGAAAAGCCTGTCACAGCTATCCGATTTCCGTCAAGCGCAATAGACTCTGGCAGAGATTTCTGGAAACAATCCCCAGTTATGAACTTAAAAAGAGCCTTCGCATCGTCAATCTGGTCTAGCGCAGTAGTTGGATGACAAAGTCGGTAGTCGGCTGCGATAAAGACGTAGCCTTTCTCTTGGCAGTGATCTGCGCTGGCGTCAATCTTATCTGGTCTAGCACGAGGTAAAAGTCGAGCGCAGCGGACTTACCATATAACCAAGTGGGAAAACCAAAGCCCCGACGCCATCCAGCGGTCATTCCTCCTCCGTGGTAGTAGATTACAGCTGGCAGCCTTCCGCTGGCGGCGCGGGGCAAATAGTAGTCCAACTTGACATCATGGCCATCAATTGTGGAATAGACCAATGTTTGGCCCTGGGGAATACTTGACTGCATGACTATCTTGTCTTTGTAAATGTTCTTGCCGAGTTGAGGCGATTGATGGAAAATACTCAGGGGATGTAAGAAAGTGGGGTTCGCACAGCGGGTAGTCACTCCAGTACCACTCCGGATGAAGTTAATGCCGGGGTGTGGCTTGAGGATGATCTGGTGAAATTTACGGCCAGTTGCCTCATATTGTGATGCCCAGTGGAGTATTCTTGTACTCATTAGCTCTAGGCCATCGAAATTTCTTGCGCCTTTGGATCGGGCGATCGCTCAGTGCAGCCTTAGTCAATCAAATTTAGATTCTATGGAAAAGAACATACTATCTAAACTGATTACATCTTCTTCTTCACAATGAGCACACATCCATGTGTGGCGCCTTTCACGGTCTCCTTGCCTTTCTCCACGCCTGCTTCATGCAGCAGACGCTCGATCGCCCTGCGGAAAATCTTGAGAACGTCCCGTTCAGTGTCAATCAGTTCCGGATGAGCCTGGCGCCAGCGAACCACAGGGCTTCCAGTCGCAGTAATTTTCTCAAAAAAGTCCAGAGTCACTTCGGGATTAATCGTGTAGAAGTCGTTCTCGATCTCCCAGTCTTTTCGACTGGATGCGCTCTCGTCAAATACTGCGATGGGGGTCTCCAAGCTCCAAGGAAGCGGCAGGTCAACATAGCGGTTGCGAGTGAGTATATTTCCCGGAACAAAATAAGGCACTAGGTATTCCTCCTCGATGCGATCCATCTCATCCTGAATCGCAGCTGCGTTGGGAACAGACGGGTGGATGCGCGTCCGGCCGCTGGTCCACAGAGCAACGCTGCCGCCGGGTTTGAGCACCCGGGCAGCCGTTGACCAGAAATGAGGCATGTCGAACCAGTGTGCCGCATTCCCGGCAGTAATGAGGTCAACACTTGCATCCTGAATGGGTGGAGAGAGGTTTGTCCCAAGGTCTTCGGCCGTGGACAACTCAAAGCGAATAGGTTCGGATGTGGACGTGGTACCTCCTAAAGAGCGAGCGGTGCTGACCATCCCTTCGGAGGGATCCAGACCAATAGCCTGAGCGAAGTGTTTGCCGAGTGCGCGGGCTACGTTACCGGGGCCAGATCCAACATCAAGGAGGGTACCAAGCTGACCATTTGTGGAGGTGTGTTGGTCAAGAACAAACTGGTACAAAGCAGGGTGGTAGTCCGGGCGGGCGTCAGCGTATGCCTTTCCTTGCTCTTGGTTGTAAGAGCTAAATGTCTTTTCTGTCGTGGTGATGGATGATTTAGACATGGTAGCAGGATCACTTTACGTCTCAATGTGTGGTGAAGAAGTAGCGGTAGGCTGCCAAATTAAGGAACTCGAAAACAAATGGTTGTTGTCAAATAGAAGCCCGAAGTCCGGTTCTATTTTGGTACCTTTTAGCGTCGGCGGAGTCGAGATTAAGTCCGTGCCGTTGGAAAATGATTACTGTGTGAGGTCTCGGTATGTTCTTTCTGCTGTATGAGATATGGATCGAGCAAGAACAACTATCAATGAATTTGGGGCCTGATATGCATTTGCACAACACTGTCTTGTGTCGATTGAGTCATAGAGAGTCACCGGGCTACGCGAATGCGAACGCAATTCACGCAATTTCAGCCGCCCCACCCCCGCCCCAAAGAACAGGCCCGTTGAAACCTCGTGTTCGGCTTTCGCAGACCCCGGTTGCATACATCCCGAAATGGGGACTAAGGTGGGAGTTTACCCTCACGGCATCCCCTCTACGAGCCTCTGAACTTGTTGGCGTGATGCGAACTTCCGATATTTTGAAGTTGTTTTCACTCTCGCCCGCTTCCCATAGACCATCAACAGGGCTGGCAATACCGCAGTGATGAAAGCAATGGCCCCGATGAGTATGAAGGTGTTTTCAATGCCCATGCCAGCGATCCAGTCAGTGAAGGCGAACCGAATGATCATGGCGAAGCCATTGCGAACGAAGACAACGGCTATAAGCGCGTCGCCAAGGATCTGTAAGTTTTTAGCGATTCCGATCGATGCTGCTTTGAGATAATGTCTAGAAAAAGAGAAAGAGTTGTTTCTTACATCAGGGTAACTATCGGTCAAGTAGGTTAGGGCAACATCGGCTGTGACAATGAACCCAAACCCAAAGAGGCCGTTTCCAACTGCCAGTATTGCCCAGTGTAAGCCCTACAGGGAATGAGTTAGTAAATTCTCAGAACACATAGACAGTGGAAGCCCTACTCTTCCAAGGCCAATGCCAAATATCATCAAGCCGGCAGCATTGAAAACAGCAGCAGGAAACATCATCCACAGGCGCATTTCTGGCTCAAAGATCCCCTCATTCCGTCGGGCCCGCCAAACAATCAGCCAGTCATTGAGTGCTGGGGCCGTTAATGTGGCTATCACGGTGCCTGCAAATCCCCCAAGGTGAAATAAGCCGATCTGAGAGGGGTTGAAATTGTACGGTTTGACGATTAGAAAGTACGACCCGGCTGAGACGTTAGCCGAAAACCAGGCGAGAATAGATCCGTAGGTGATAGCAGCGAATGACACGGCAGGAAATGCAAATAAAACAATCAGGGGCTGGTAGAAATGCTGTAAGATTGGCACATCGGTCTTGGTGATGAAAGCTAAACGTTGACGAATAGACTTGCCACTACGAGGAGCATCAACAGATACGCGGGATGCATCATGGTGTGTCTCCCCAGTGGTAACGAACTTGTCCATGCTCTCCACCAGTTGGGTGTGCTTTGACGAAGCCGAGTGCCCGACACGTGTGGGGATGTACTTCGACTCTTCGAAGAAGCACAGCACCAAGAGAAGATTGACGCCCAGCAATATTGCGATCATCCACCACATCCATCTCCAGCCCAGAGAGACGATAATATAACCTGCAACGATAGGCCCACCCGTGGCACCAAGGCTTTGCATGAATATAAAAATTCCGTTCATACGAGCATGTTGATGGACGAAGAACAGATCGACGACAGTGATCATAACAACTGCCTCGCTGATAGAGCCTGCCAGACCGGACAATAGACTAATGGCAATTAATTCTCCTGCGTGGTGAAAGTTTGCCCACCACAGGGCACAGGCCAACTGGATGGTTGCGCTGACGAGATATAGAGGACGACGGCCATATTTGTGCACACAGGGAATCAGCACCAGACAACCAACCGCGAGGCCTGCATAGCTGCAGCCACTAGCTTGATTGAAGGTTGCATAGGTCAACCCCAATTCCTTTATGTATGCGCGGTAGGCGAGGGTATTGATGTCAATCAAGACAAACGTGAAGAGAACATATGAGCAAGTGAGTCCAAAATTCACCGCCTTTCTCAATGAAGACCAGTTCTGATCTTGGGGTCAGCAGCTAGATAATGGGATAGGTAGGTGTCGAAGGGTCTTACTAAAGGGTCGTCTGGGTCATCTGTGGGAGTTGGACTGAGAATGAACTCTGATTGAGGGGAATTTCCTACATTATAATGAGCATTTGGATCAAGGGAATGAGAATGGAATAGCTAACGATCTTCCAGCAAGATCGTTCCAGGAGGAAACTCATCCATAGCTGCATGGATGGGCATTATATCGCAAATTACCAGGTAAATTGAAGTTGTCTGAACATGCCCATGATGGCTGGAGATCGGAGCCTTTTATGGCGATTAATGAAGTATTATCAGGGGCATACCGCTGGTGCTATTTGCTTTTTCTCTGTTGTTGTTGATGTTGTTCTGTGGGGTACAAAGATAGGAGGTGGATCTTTGATACCATTCGGTACAGGAGGATTGTCAGTAATGCAGCAAATAACCGTTCGTTGTGGCACGGATAATTCGTAATTTTGGCCCATAGTGGGTCCACAGTTACATATCTATACAATCATCGGTACAGTACATACGACTCCGGGGTACAGTAGAACCTAGGGCGCCACTTTTAAATAGAATTTGGACGAATAATGGTAGGAGTAAGTTTAAGTTGTCACTAAGCTGGACGTCAAAGTGGGATACTCAACTCTGGATCATTCTCAATAAGACTATACAGGTATCGTGCTACACCTTGATCCCTGGCCATCCAGACACGAGAAAGGAACATGCGCAAGTTGGTGACAAAGGGGTAAAAGCTTGCTCCACGAATCTTACGCACCAGTAACAAAATCTTCTCTCTTCCTGCCTCGTCATGCACTTCCGCACCGGCAACCAGTAGAGCCAATGTTATGTTAGGCGGGTATCTACCGACCAAGTCCAGGCAATGCGTCATACATGCCACGAGCGACTTGGAGAGTGACTCAGCCTCACCATCCCGTTCTCCAAAGGGGTATCGCAGCCGATGCAATATGAGAAGTGCAGCGGTACGGTGAAGATTGGCTTGAGAGACAAGAAGAACCATTTCCCCGTCCGAAAAGCGCACTCTGACCAAGTCTGGGATATCAGGAGTCCATTCTTTTAGCTCAACCGAGAGCCTATCAAAAGTAGATGACAAGGGCGGATCACTTTTATCCCCCGTTCTGACTGCGACACCCAGAACACAGACCTGGTAAAGCAGGGGAAGCAGTGATCCACAGAGTCCTGCATGCTGGTTCACCACGAGAGGATCTGGGTTTCGAAGCTGAATCACGGGAATCCGAGCCCGAAATAGCGACTGAGTCGTGTCTAGAAAGACAAGACACACCAACTCTCTATTGTCCGACCCCTCAAGCTTCCCTGCATAGTAGAACGGCCGAATCAGGAACAATGTATGTCGGCAAATGGTGCTGGCTGAGACCCCAGATATCAAGCGATGAAAAGTCACCAGGCTAGTTCCCAGAGAGATGACACTGCCCGCATGATCTGGCTTGCTTATCGTTGCATTTCGAAGCGCCTGCAAGGCAGATGCACAGCTTGCCAAGTCTGCGTCGTAGCAAGGGGCCTGGTTGGCAATACTGCGGAGAAGCACACGGGCAACGGCGGCATACGGACTCAACAGGAGCGTCGGAGCTTCTTTTAGTCGATCTCGAATCATATAGCACAACTCTCTACCTAGTAAAGGACCAAATGAATAAAAGGTACACATCTGGATAGTTGTATCTTCCGATACTTCAGAGATGACCCCTTCACGGTATAATGCAGCTACGAGTGGTAGCTTTTGAAGGTCGGCAATTTTGTTTTCATCATTGACTGGGATTTGACGAGACAGCCCCGAGGTATGCGATGGCAATTCATATCGAAGTGTCAAGCTGTGGACTGGACCAGAGGTCAAAGGACACACAGTGAGGACCCTCGGCTTGCGGCCTCGTTTCGCGAGGGGTCGGAAATACGTGCACGGGTGGCTCAGGCGATAGCAGCGGTAGCAATATCCAGCAGTCCCCGGTAAGCAACGTGCCTTGACAGAGTGACAGCGGTCACAGGCCGGTGCCGATGGCATTGTCGAGAAAGAGCGTGCGCGGGTGTATTTACCGAGTGAGTTGAGGAGGGAGGTGGAGCCACGGAGAGTGACGGGGGCGACCGGGTCAGTGGCCGGGGTCAGGGGCTTTGCTGCATCCAGGCTAGCTCCCGATTGCAGGCCTGCATCGTACTTTGGACTATCGTGATATGTGATTTGTTCCAATGAGAAGCCACGAAGATGCCGTCTATGGCTGTCATCCCGGGAGCGATCTGCGACAGTCAGGGCGCAGAAGTACACGTGACCTTGCTCCGCGCAAGAAGAGCAACAAATAGGGTGCCAATGCGAGACGGCGAATCTACTAGCTTCAGATTTACCTAGTCCCATCCTGGAGTACCTTTTGTGATTCATCATTTGACTGACAGCCGACCTGGGCTGGGTCCCCGCTTGCCTCCTCACTTTTAAGCCGAGGCATGCTACCCCATTCGCCGGCTCGCCTAATCCGAGACCTGACCGGGCCGGACACGCCATACGGGGAAGTAATGACCAATAAGTACTACCTCTCTGGGTCATTGGAATCGCGGGGTAGCATGCACGTAGATGATACCGCTCGACCACATAGGCTAGTCTGCACGCCAATTCCTGCCCTTCTGCAAACATCATCACACCACTAGAAGACAGTTACTCGACTTCCAAGATGGGCTCCGTGAATAAAGGGCTACCCTGGCAAGAGAGAGTTGCAAACAAGCGACAAAATTGTGCTGACAAAATCCCGGCAGCATGGAGAATCCCAGGAAATTATCTGGACAATTTCCTGACACCGTTGTCGGATAATAAGAACAATCTTATCCAGGCTGAGGCGATTCAGAAATCAGGGATTTTGACGGACCAGGAGCTTCGAATCACGGAACAATATACTGTCCAGGAACTGATTTCTGCGCTAGCGAACGGCAGTTTGACCGCAACGGAAGTGACTGTGGCCTATTGCAAGCGCGCCGCTGTTGCTCAGCAGCTTGTGAGTATCGTTAAATTCTCCTTTGATCTTCTTTCAATCTCGAACCAAGACTGACATCTCGCTGAAGGTGTCATGTATTACCGAGACATTGTTCGCAGAGGCCCAGGAGCGAGCTCAGTATTTGGACAGCCTTCGAGAGCAAGGTCGGTTAGCGGGACCGCTCCATGGGCTCCCGGTCAGTATCAAGGATAATTTCCACGTCAAGGGAACCGAGGCAACAATCGGGATGGTCTCGTTTCTGGATGAAGTTTCACTGGACAACTCCCCTTTGGTTGATATGCTCCTTGAGTTGGGAGCAGTCATTTATGTCAAGACCAATGTGCCTCAGACAATGATGGTATGTTGATACCAGCGTCATTCCCCTTGGAGGTCTCACTCAAATTTGATTTGGTATAGACTGCCGACTCTCATAATAATGTTTTTGGGAGGACTTTGAACCCCTGGAACACCACATTGGGGCCGGGCGGATCGAGCGGAGGAGAAGGTGCCTTAATCGCTCTTCGAGGATCACCACTTGGTGTCGGAACCGACATTGGCGGTAAGAGTTATGAACCCCAGCACTATTATTAATACCGAGGGATTAATTTAAATTCAAGGCTCGGTCCGAATCCCTGCCCTGTGTTGCGGCACATATGGGTTCCGTCCAAGCGCTGGCAGAATACCAAACGGGGGAATGCGCGCGTGCACAACCAGTGGGATGAAGTTTATTCTATCTTGTGCCGGTCCACTTGCGCTGGACCTGAACGGCATTGAGACATTTTTCAAGTCCATTTTTGCCGCCCGGCCTGCCCTTTACGACTCCACTATTCTCGACATTCCATGGCGGCAGGTATCCACACGGCCCAGTTTAAGAATCGGCATCGTTCCCGAGAGCCCTACATTCCCCTTGCATCCGCCCGTCAAGAGAGTTTTGGCCGAGGCGGCCCGCTTGCTGGAGGCGGAGGGCCACCACATCATTCCCCTGGAGGTGCAGGAATGCCAGGTCATGGAGGCGAATGAAATCGCCTGGAACATCTTCAGCCTTGACCAAGCTGCCATGGGCTACATCCAATCAAGCGGGGAGCCCCCGGTCCCAGCTTTGGTTCATATTGGAACACTCATTGAGAAGCTAAAGGGGGCGTATCAATCGACTTTGCCCGACTTGAGTGGGCTTGATCGAATGGGCAAATTGGCCTTGTTGAACACACGCCGAGCGGAGCTGCGCGAATTGTACCGGAAGATGTGGCTGCGACATGATTTGGATATTTGTATCGCCCCCCGGCTCAGAACACGGCAGTGCAACATGACATGTTTGCGATAGCACCGTATACCACGTTTTTGAATTGCCTTGATGTATGTTGCAAGCTAGTCAAGTTCCAAGATACGATGCTAACTCCGCGAGTAGTATCCATCCTGTGTCATTCCTTTTGGAAGAGTGGGTGGGTCGGATGCCAAAGAAACTTTGGTGCTAAAGGAGAGTCAGGTTGCACCACCATGTAAGTGTGTCCTGGTTGAAAGGAAATATCCCGAAATTATGTTTGCTGAATCCTCAAACTTGACAGACAACTTCGACCAACTTGAAGGAGCGCCGTGCGCCATCCAAGTCTTTACCACTACCCTGCGGGATGAGGAATGTTTACAACTGACCAAACAAATCGACCAGTGCCTTAAACGCGCAGCTTAAGAAAGATCGACTCTTCTACTGACCACACCCAATTTTGCCGTTCCTCAACATTTAATGATTGTGACAATAAGGGAGCTTAGCTGGCATGAACTTCAATGTAAACGCATTGAGGTATTCTGATATTGGTTGTGTATTTTCACATGATCCTTAAATATCTCCCTTAGTCATCACTATTGGTTGAAAAGCCAGTTTCAGCAAGATAGTATCAATAAATCATACAAGGGTTTCTCAACCCCCACCCCCGAACAAAAGAATGACCGCATCACACTGGACTTTCAAGGCTTTTAACCAGTACTTTCTCAGCCTCTGGTAGGTTATGTGGCTGGCGCGGCGGGAGTTTCTTAGCCGTCGGAACGGCATCCAGGAGGCTGTTGGAGAGAGCAAAGATCTCATCAATCTCTTCGAGGCTGCGTCCAGAAGTTTCCGGGAAGAAATAGAATATTGCCGGTATCATCGCAGCATTGAAACCAGCAAAAATGAGAAAGTATCGCTGACCCATTGCGTTGAATGCAATTGGGGTGATATTGGCGACCAGGATGCTGATCGCCCACGATATGCTGATGCTAATGCTGGTGATGGTGGATCGCAGATGCATGGGTGAAATCTCAGACGCATAGAGATATGGTATCCCCCCAAAGCCAATGATATAGCTGAAATGGAATAGAAATATAAAGAAGACAGCGCCATGGGCTGCTACTAGATTTCCGGTCTGAGAGCCCAGGCTGGCTATCAGGGCTAAACATATGGCGTTTCCAGCCGCACTGCCCATCAGTAACTTTCGACGGCCTAGGCCTTCGATAGTAAGCACACAAACGACGCCACCGATAGGACCGACTAATTGATAAACCGCTGCCAGTAGCCGCGATGTCGATTCCCCCAGTTGTAGGTTATTCTCAAAAATCGCCGTGGCTAAAGGGTTTCGGTTAGCTGAATGAACTGAAGCTCCCATAAACATAACCCTCGAAGAATAAACATACTGTAGAATGTGGTCACAGTGGCTCCTGTTAGCTGGAGAAAAGTCATCGCCGCTATCGCGAGAAAAGCCCGATGGGAAGTTCGCTGTGGACCCATGTGGAAGAGCTGGGCCAGAGACTTCTGATCTCCAGCTAGAACGAGGGACGCTTGCATCTCCTCGATACGCGTTTCAATCTTCCCGTCGTCGATAGTCGTGTCTTCCAGGGCGGCCAAAGTTTCTTGTGCCTCCGAAATCCTCCCCTGTCGAATAAGCCAGCGAGGCGACTCGGGAAGGAAAACAATGAATCCGAAAACGGCCACGGATAATATGAGGGGAAATGCCGCGGGCAAGCGCCAGGCCATGCTCCCGCCCCTAAAAGAGAGCCCAAAATCCAAAAACAAAGCCAGGGCACATCCAAAGCCACTGAAGACGCCTTTCGTGGCAACGTGTGCACCGCGTTTGCTGGCCGGCGAGATTTCAGACAGCCACAGAGGAATGGTGGCCAAAAAGGCACCAGTGCCAATACCAATAACGAGACGGCTGGCAATTAGTTGAGCCAGGGAATAGGCGCTCGCGTTGAGAATCGCGCCGATCACTTGAACAATAGCTCCTGCCATAATGACCCGTCGTCGCCCCAGCATATCGCCCAGCCAGATGCAGACGAAGGTACCGATGAAGCCTCCAACCGTGTAGACCGCCACGACCGTGCCTTGAATAGCCGATGCATGGGTCCTGTCGGAAGCATCTGTGATGTCGATCTCGTGGAACTGCTTTTCGAAGCTTTCCAAGCTCAAGACGCCGCCGAGTGATGCGGCATTGTACCCGACCGACAAGATGCCAGGCATCAACACCCCGAGAATGGTCACGACATTGAGGCTATTGCCACGAAGGCCAAAAAAGCGTGTCATGGGCACACCGGCGGGTAGAATTGAGGATCTACGTCCCCACAAGATGAAGAGCAAGTGATCGACGCGAGTGAGCTAACTCCAATTGACACCGCAAGAACTCAGTGAGGGGGGAAACAGTATTGTTATATCTAAAATGAATCGCGATAAATATATTTCACTATAGGTGAAGCCCTTCCCAAATGTTTCGTAGTGGAACTCGGCATCCTATCGTTACCACCCTCCCATTCCATTCTTTGGATGCTGTGCATAAAATTCCCAGGTAGTGAAACCCAGGAATACGGGTGGACCCCCATTCGCCACAAGGGACGGGCCAGGTGATTCTAGGCCGCCTGCAAGGCTCGAGGTTCTTACGGCGAGGCCGACTGTGGAACGGAACTGTTCGCTCTCAAGTTCTCAAGAGGAACGTCTGATAACAAGGCGCAGTGTGGAGAGCCGAGCGGTTGGAACGCTAGCTGCAGCCTGCAAGGTCAAACCCCGAAGAATCAACCACTGCAAGGACAGTCGAGTCGACTGAAGGGAGAGAAGGCAGGAATGCCACCAATTCTTGGATTGTGATAGCGAACCCATTTTATCCACGCGATCAGACGATCTATTTGGAAGGGACCTCTTGCCTAGCCCAGCAGGTCGGGTTAGGACTGAAATTCTTGCAAAAAGGAAGTGTCATATGCAGCACACCATATAAACTGTACGGGGCATCTCCGTGCTACCTACATCTCTCTTGGCATCAACTCCGGGATCTGCCTATGACCATCCAGCTCTGTCGGGGCAGAGCCTTCCGACGTAAGACGCGATTGCGGCGAACGAACGAGACCTTCCTGGGTTGGAAACGATGTGACCATCATTGCTCGGCTCAGCCGGTTTGCTCTCCTCCTCTCCCCCAGGGCCCAGATTAGCGATCCGATCGCGATCACTCCTAACGGAACCCCTAGGCCAACCCCGATAGTCGTGTCGCGCGAATTGCTGTGTGAGGGAGTGGAGGTCGGGGAGGCTGACGAGTTCGATGTGTTGGATGATGTGTCTGCTTGTACAAGATTGGCGAGGGCAGCGCGCCCGGGGAGGATTTGGGCGTTGGCCAGCTGGAAGCTGTCCAGTCCATCTCGACAGACCATCTCACCTCCCTGCACGACGGGTGTTCCGCAGCAGTACGTCGAGGTGCCATTGGAGAAATTCACGTTGACTATTGCGGAGCCTTTGTCTTTGTTGACGGTCCCTGAGTTGAACTTGTGAGTGTTCTAGCCCTATACGAGGCCATACGAGGGATAACTGGCATGCGTGGCGAGGGGGTGACTGACGGCAATGGCCTGGGCACCCGGTTCCCCATTCCTGGGATGTACAAGAGCCACGAGCCAGAACAAAAGGCTGGGTCACATCGAGACAGTATCCATTCGAGAGGCAGATGTTGTTCACGCCGCAGCACGACGTGGTGTCTTTGGGCGTACAAGGCACGCTGCCAGTGGCCTCGGTGCCATCAGGATAATAACACGTCCGCGTGTCCGGCATGTCAGTGACAGTGAGGGAGGATCAGACAGACAGGAACAGAACTCATAATATTAATATTGACATGGCTGGGAGGGTGGCTGATCATTATGAGATGGATGCAGCTGAACAATTAGGGGCCTGTCATCCCTTGGCAGTGCGGCGCTGCCAAGGACAGAGTTGCCAAGATATTGTGAGACTCTGTACAGACGACTGGCAGAGTCTGGACTGGCTCACTGGCTCAGGAGAAACATGCTAACTGCGGATGGGGAAAAGGTAGTGTGTTCCCTGTGGGGGCGGAACCCTGGCCCAGCGGAGGAGAAAAGATGGATTGGGGGCTATGCCGCGCTGATCTGCACGTCCATGACGAGGAACAGGGGTTAAGGCCAGTTAGAACTCGACCACGAGTCTCGCGCTCCTTAGGCGTCCAGCAGCCCAGCAATACAGGATTTCAACCGAGTCTCGTTTCTATCTCGCTAGCTCCGAGGGATCACTGTGATTAGTCCGATCCGTCCATCCATGCAGCTTCACAAGTAGTTGACAGCAGCGCCGTGAATGGACCACCAAGAACGACAGAAGGTTGAGCGATGGTCAGGTTTGGACCGCAATTCGTTAGAGCAAGAAAATTTCTCCATTCTCAGAAGACGGGGTATAGGGGAGTATAGTATATCATGCACGGTTCGACAGTGCAAAGGGGTTGAAGGCTTAACGGTCGGCAATCGGGCTCCACGCCCCCGGGAACCGATCCGCGCTAACCCCAAGTCGTATTCGAGTCCCACATCAGCTTCGCGCCACTGAATATTAATCGAACTCGCGCGCAAATGACATCGACGGACCAGCACAAAGAGTGGCTCCCATTCACACAATCAATCGTTATATGATGAGCAGTGGAGATATATGCCAGACGACATCCATATCACGGTCTTTATTTACGAGGAATCGCCCGCCCTTGACGATGTCGAAGCTCATAGGGCAGCGGTACCGCCGAAATCCGACTATGTATACGCTCTGGACCATGCCGACCACTGTGGACTTGTTCAATCCTCCCCGGAGCTGACGGAGATATGCAAACCCCGACAACGCGCTATCAGATACTCGTTCGGTTTAAGTCCGGCCGTCTGCAAAGCTCCTCGGCAGCTGGTTAGCATCGGCTCAGTACAAATAGGCCGTGAGGTCTGGTGGAAAGACCGAGCAACCCCAGCACCATCATTTCAAACCGTTTTGGCACATATAAAACCTTATTATGTCGACTCCATCCAGACAGCATCTCGCCGCCGTGGTCCCCCACAAGGGAGGCCCGCTGGCAGTCGCAGAGCGCACAACCCCAACATGTGGCCCGAAGCAGCTGCTCATCGAGGTCCATGCCATTGCCTTCAACCCCGTCGACTACTTCCAGCGAGATATGGGATTCTTCATCGAACAATATCCCGCAGTGGTCGGGTCCGATGTTGCCGGGTTGGTTGTCCAGACAGGCAGTGACCTGAGTCCCGGCGCAGCAACAGTCGGCATGCGAGTTGCTGCCCTTGCCAGCTCGTTCTATCACAAAGGCAACCCGGACTACGGCGCGCTCCAGAAATATGTACTCGTGGGCGAGGAAACTGTTGCCGTCCTTCCGGATTCCTTTTCGTTTATCGAGGGCAGTGTTTTCCCCATGGCGGTTCTCACGACGTGGAATGGCTTGCTCTGGGCTGGGATTCCGCGAGTCGCGGTCGACCCTGAGGAAAAGCAAGGTCTGCTTGTCTGGGGAGCATCGAGCAGCATGGGAGCGCTTGCTGTACAGGCCGCTAAAATCATGGGTTATACGGTTTATGCCACGGCAAGCCCCCAGAACCACGAGTATTTGAAGCGTCTTGGCGCGGCGCGTGTCTTCGACTACAAGTCGGAGGGCATTTCATCCGACGTGATCAGTGCAGCGAAAGAGGACGGCATCGTGGTCCGGGTCGCGTACCATGCTAAAGGTTCGCAGACGCTGTCAGCTGAAGTTCTCGGCAAGCTGGCAGCTGGCCACACAGGCAGACTAGCGATTGCACCGGTGGTGGAGCGGGACCTGAAGGCTCCAGAGAATGTTGAGTTTTCATTTGTGAGCGCGCCGGAAGATCCCAAAGGGAGGGTGGAAATGCTTCAATGGATTTTCGGAAGCTGGTTGCAGGACAATCTTGCAGCTAAGCGGCTTGTTGCAAGCCCCCAGATCCAAGTCATCAAGGGGGGACTGGAGTCGGCTAACAAAGCCCTGGATGAATTGAAGGCGGGCGTGAGCTACAGGAAGCTTGTTATTGAGATTTGAGTTGGGAACTTAGCGAAGTTTCGCATCTAGAACATGATCGCTAGGAAATATGCTTGTCATTTCTCAAATTTTGCATTCAAGAAATCAGAAATCCGAGCTGACACTAATAATTAACATGTCACATGGTAGATACACAGGAGGCGGATGGTCAGTCCTAGCCTACAGAGAAAGGGGCTGAGAAATGGCTTAGGCCAGGAAAATGAGACAAGGTATCGATGGGACAAAAAAACTGCTCTTCCGTATGCGTGAGTATGTTCAATCCGTGAGGTATGCGTTAGTAGAAGTGTTGGGACAAAGAAAAAAGTACAGAACGGAAGACAAGGGCACGGGACATGCCATGGAGAAGTTTTCAAAAAGGCTTGATGCACAAGAACCTGGAAACAAGCCTTGCCAAGTAAAAAACAAACATATTCGAAAAGACCAGATATAGGTAAAAGACAATCATTGCTATACGGGGTATCCAATGGAAAAGACAGATAGTCGAGACATATGGAAAAAGAAAGGGGTGTTAGAAAGTGCAACTAGAGCTGACATGTGCCTGCACAAGCATATAGCCACTCTTACGTCACCTGAATCGGGACTCCATGGCGTTGCTCATTGCGCATTCGGCGCAGAATGTGCAACGTCATCAGGTGGCTGTATATCAATATCCCCTGGGGTTGTCTCGAGGCTCGTAGGTGAATCGACAGTGTCGCCACTGCCACTGCCCCATGAATCCTCGCGCATGACTTCCGCGGCATCGGGCAAACGAGGCCTCTTATGGCGGGAAGCCTTAGACTTAGAGTTGGTGCGAGGTATTGATGGTGATGCAGGACCCTGTTTTGACTGAGCTTCGCTGTGACTGCCCATCTGCATTGGACTTGCTGCGCCGTCGAAGTTGGGGGATGAGGATCGAGGCGAGTCCTGGAATCCACGCCATTTTCGCCAGCCATCGAAGTCGATGAGGGCTTGCATGCAGCCCCATTCGGTCACCTTTTGTGACAGCCACGGGAATCCTACAGGCTATTTGAGACAAAAATGGTCAGCATTGATTGAACTAGCCAGAAGTGGGTGGTAAGAGGGCTTGCTTACCTTGGTCAAAAAATCATTACAGCCTGCAGCCAGGGCCTCATGACGATCACTTTGCAAGCTGCTAGCTGTCAAGGCAACGATGATGACCGGACTCCGGAACAACGAGAGGTCGGTCAACGTATCATCCTCACTCACAGACCGCTGCAGGCCCGGTCTTTTCTCCAGTGGGGAGGCAGTAGTACTGGACGCACTGGAACGGCCAGAGGCTGTCTTGGAGAAAACGCCAATCCCGTTCAGTCGCTCAAGGCGGCGGATCTCCTTGGTAGCATCCAGTCCATTCATAACCGGCAGCTGAATATCCATCAGCACCAAGTGAAATCCACCTTGCCGCCACTTCCGTACTGCCTCTTCACCATTGGCGGCGCACTTCCAACGCACACTCAGTCGCTTCATAAACGCCTCCAGGAGCTTTTGATTGATAATATTATCCTCGACGATGAGAACGTTGATGGGAGGCACGGTGCCATCAATCAACCCACCGAATACTGCGCCAGGTGATGAAGTAACCTTTGACTTCCGAAGAGTCCGCGGAGATGCCACAGGTGCTGGAGGTGTGTGCGACTTTGCCTGGGGAGACTCGGGGCCCACGGCAGGCGGCGTTGGCTGTGCTGGAGCGGTAGGAGGAGGCTGGGAATGGGGAGATATGCCGGCTTCTATGCAACGTCAGTTCTGTTTCACCCCCTTTCAGATGTCCAGAGAATTAATCGACCTACCTGTTACCCCAGGGGGGTTGGCCAAGGATTACCGGTGAATTTGTTGTATGCCGTGTGAGGGGTGGCCGACGGTGATGTCGTGTCCCACGGCTGCCAGGCGACGGTAATGCTGGCGCGACGCCGGTTGTGAGGATGGAAATGGAGGGTGCATTCGCGGCGCCTGAACTCGATGGGTGGGCTGGGGGTGTAGGCCCCTTCGGGTTCACGGGCATGAGCGGGAAATAGTCACCGTGCTCTCCGGGTTCCGAATGATGGTGATGGTAGATTGAATGACGCGGCGATGGTTTGGGAGTCCGGCGAGTGGGCGCATCAATCAACAACGCCTCCTCTACCGTTTGACCTCCTGGATAGTATGTGTCGAGAACAGATGATAGGACCTCCTCCGGGCTTAAGAGGCGCTCTGGTGTTTGCTGCCGGTTTGAGCCTTCTCGGGCTGATATTCTGATGACAATGTCGGGGGAATCAAACGACCGTCCCAGAGAGTTGGCGTATTTCATAATCACCTGGTCGCGCAGTTCGTCCACCACTGCATCTTCCAAGCACGGCACCAAGGTGGCCGAGCCACCGGGCCTCTTGACCCAAATTCGGCGATGAACCATCTCGGCAGCAGCTTCCGGGACGCGTCTGCTGCCTTGGTCACCCGTAAATGAGAAGAGGCTCTGCTCCAACAACCCGCTGATCAAGTGCTGATGTGACGCGGGAAGAAGAGACTGTCGACGGATGGCAATACTGGGGCGCTTGGTTGACGAGGCAGGAAAGAAGGTTGACGAGGGTCTGCGATCGTCCGTGATCTTCTCAACAACAGTGTCCAGGATCGGGGTCAATTGATTGTCCACGGGAGTCGGTCCACGGACATTGACCAGCGCGGACTTGAAGGAGGTATCGTCGGAATGCTGTGGTGTTGGTAGGGGGCTTTCGAAGGGCGAAGGAGACTCTTCGGAGAGGGGTGTGTGCTGTGAAGAGAGATTTGGATCAGTCGGCGGCGGGGTACAGGCGCTGTGTTCTGACGCGTGGCGATGCTGGAGCTGGTCCTTTGGTCGAGGTGAACCAGTGGGTGGCTTAGGCTCGACTCGGGGCCCGGGCTTGTGTGTCTCTCCCTCGTGCGGATCGTGCTGATCGGGGCCAGGGCCAGGGCCGATCTCGTCGGAGGAGTGACCAGCTGCAGAGGAGACGACGCTGTATGGGGACTTGTCGCTCGCAGAGTCGAAGAGGTGCGGAGCGCAAGAGGTGCGAGAGGTTGAGTTTGGGTGGGCACGCGGGTCCGCCCCGTTGCCCGCTTTTGGAACGGCGGGCGTCGATGATCGTCGCAACAGCTTGGCCTTGAGCAGACGCGACAGACGTCTCTCTGGCATCGTGACTGCTGCCGGTGGGCTCAGAGAGCTCGAGGCATGGCCTTGGAGAAGGGAATGGGAGTGTTGGTGAACAAGACAAGGGGGCAGCGAGCTGTTTGTCCCGGATGGGCGTGGCTTTGGCCTAGCTTCCGTTGTGTACAACGGTGGACGCCCCGGATTCCAACGAGCCGGTCACGGCCAACAATGCTTGCTCTCTCCAGTCGGCAGGCGGATGGGCTTTGAGGGAGGAGGAGAGAATAAAGTAAAATGAGGGGGCGTCACACAGAGATAGTTTCTCAGCGCAGTGCTGATCTCCCGGCAGCTGGGCGACGAGCTCTGGGATCCCACGCTAAGGCCGAAACACCACTCTGCATTGACCAGCTTGGAGACGTCGCAAATGCTAGTGCCAAGGCCATTATGAGCTTTGCTTTTTTCCTGCATTCTTGGTTATTTTCCCTAATCCTTCGATAGGACCAAACTACCATGGACCACTCATTTTTTCTTTGTATTTCATAACCTAATTACCAAAACCAAATCACTAGAAAAATTTTTACTATTGGGAGATGATCGGAGGTGCAATTAAAAAGAAAGTAATTCCCTGGTGGCATTGATTCCCGCCCCACGAATGCCCCGTCCAGTAGCGGACAAACACATACAGCGCAACCCAGATAATTCCACGGCAACAGTGCTAGGATCTTGCCCCGGGCTGATCCACCCGAAGAGTGTAGCTTTCCACCGTGGGCAGGCTAACCGCTACAGTAGAATGGTGTTAAGCAATACCCGTGGGGAGTTTTTCTTAGAAAACAAATCGGAGGAATTGGTGACGTAGTTCTAGAAGAACAGGGAAATTGTACTGGAACAGACCATGTTTCTCCACAGCTACCTCGAGGTCGGTCGCACTGGTTGACAAGGAGGCATCGAGGCCAAACAGTATACTTTTCTCGGGGCAGCCATGTCGTTGTCAGGAATTGTGTCCTTCAGGGATATAATATTTTCCACGACAGGAGGTTTCAAGTGTTGGCTATGAGAATCATTGAAATCTTCTTTATTTCTGTCAGGCCTGCACTAGCAAAGACTGCCGCGTCCTCATCTTTCTCGCGCCTCGATATATGCCTTGGCCACCAGGCAATGAGCTCAGCGCGTGTCAAACATATTTTCCACGTTCTCTCCTCGCCTACTCCCCCACTATACTATACTGGGTATTTTATGCTGTAATTCCAGTTGCAACGTCACCAATTTCATGTTCTTGTTTCTCCATGTCATTGCCACGTTCAACAACGCCTGCTTCGAGGTCCGTTGCTGCCTGTGTATCATTCCTCTTGAGGCGAAGCAGGTCATCAATGCTCCTCCCAGTTGCCTTGGCCTCCTTGCGGAGTTTGCGATAACGAATACGCCAGATGATATGGCTGATATAGATGCCTGACTCAAGGACAATTCTATAAGTGGATAAGTTAGCATTGCGACTCACAACTCTACGGATGAAGGTCGCAACTCACACCAAAATATACATAATGCCACCAAGAATATCAAATGAACCCTGCGCAGCTGGGCACCTGTCAGCCGCGTCCACCTCTCTTCCTGAACGTGAAAATTCACAAGCCCCTTACCTAGTGCGAAAAGCGAAAATAGCCCGCCCAATGTGTCAATGGCCAGAAAATACCAGTCTGGTGCGTGTCAGCCCAAGCAGGGTAGCCCATACGTGGGTGCCAACTTACTGAATCCGATTACACGGCCATCCCTCTTCCACAACTCAAAATATGGCGGCAGTAGACCCGCACAAATAAGGAGGGCCCCAACGATCCCGACCACGAGATCCGGCCAGGTCACACCTTTACGGTACGGAATCTGCTCAGAGGGTATCAGCAGGCGCATGAAGTAACAACATCAAATGTGTCAATTACCCGCAACGTTAAAATGAGAAGAGCTTCTAAGCCACCGAACAGCACGACCATGCCCGAGCAAATCAAAGTTGCCTTCATGCGAGTATAGTTACTGTTGCAGCCAACCATCAGAACCAGAACCAGACTCTGGGAAGCGACTTGATCGAAACCACTTACTGATGATAATATAGAATCTGGCCCCAACCGACCAGAGAGAAAAACCCGAACATCTGCGGTTGGATTTGCAGTGGAATATTCACTTGCTGCGCCATAGTCAGCAGCGGCGAGGACACCTCCTTCAAACCCAGGAATCTTGATGCAATTCCACTCCGTCGGACATGCACTGACCTGCAAAATCAGATAAGCACCCATAGGAACGGAACCTGCGTAAGATCAGCACAATTGACTCGTGGGTGATACCAATTGTCCGACAGACATACAGCTCGCCCATAAAAACATCATAGCTGCTGGGAACCCATCTGTCTTCTTCCGTCGATAATTATACCAGATCTGAGGAATCAACTGAATGCACCACAGCACCGTGCCAATAGTACCGAGCACATTGGCCGCTACCGTAACGTTTCCATCGGACATGGTGATTGTCGCGATATCATCGACGAGATGGCGAGAGTATGACCGCTGAGTGCCGCAACAGACAGCTCCGGACGATGTTCGGGCTGGTCAGGAGATACTGATTCCCACAGCAGCAGCAATCCAGTGCAGCAAGTCCTATACAACTACCCAGGGCGATACACCAACAGTCCCCTCCCGTCTACACTAGTGACGCTGGAAGCTCGAACACGCAAGAACAATGCCAATAATACAGCAGTCCGAGTCCGGCAGCAGCACGAGCTCTTACGGTGATTCCAGTCAAACCACTTCTCAGAAGAACAGAAGACGTACTCAAACAAAAACTTGCGAGAGAAAAAAGAGAACAGCAGAAGACAGAAAATCAAATCCAATCTAGCGGTGATGCACGAGACCCAAGCGCCACCAGATACCAGATAGGTCAGCCACTGCCCGGACTCGCAAGCACCCTTCGCACCTACAGACCAAGCAAGCATCCCCAATGACCATCCCCGAACCAAGAAATCCCAGCCAAACCCCGAACTGACCAAGCAGAGAGCGCCCCAGCGCGCCGAGCCACCTCACTAACGCAGCACTCACCGCACAAGGGCTAATGAAATCACGGCGATCGCGATCCCACTCGAACCCATCCAGGCTTTCCCCGGCTGCGTGAAGAAGCCGACTAACACGAGATAGGTTGCTATCTGGAGAGGGGCTAAGGCTAAGGCTGGGGCAACGGGGGGGGAACGGGCTATCTGCTGCACAGCCGGGGAGTAAACCACTCGTGGACTTGGGACTATGTGAGCTGTATGCGCTGCAGGCCTGGAAGGGACAGCCGGTTCGGGCCTGTCGGGGATTTGGTTTCCCTGCTCGGTGCATTTTACGCCAATGGTGTTTGGCTCTACGTGGATGGGTGGGCCTAGGCTGGGGGTGGGGTGGGGGAGATTGGCTGGCTTGCGACCGTCCCCCGGATAGGTGTAGTGGGAGGCGTGGGCTAGTGGTGAAGACGCTGTAAGTTGATATGATACTTAGTGAAGATGTAATGCTTGAGTTCTGCGAGGCAGATGCATGGCTATGGGCGGTGATGGAAGGTCGGAGAATTGAGATGTGTTGCTGCAGAGAAGGGCATTGTTCGTGGACGCTGCCACCTGCCGTCGACCACGTGGCGAGGACCGTGGCCCTCGGGCTTTGGAAGGCCGGGTTCGCTACGTCGAATATGAAGCGGAGAAATGATGGGGAAGCGTCGATGCTCTAGCTCGAGATCCTTGCTGCGGGATCACAATGGATAATCTCATCGATGATTGCGAGGCGCTATTTATGTCTCTCGGGCTCCAAGACTATATTTAGTATAGGACCCTACGCCTACGCGGTCAATAGACCTCGCCCGCCTAGACCCAACATTGATGTCCGGGCATACTCATTGTACGTACAATTGGGAGGAATCGTGAACGGCAGTATCAGATTGCATTTAGGCCAGCATCCATAAGCTCTTGTACAACATTAGGTGAACTGTCCTCCACCTAGATGGTAGGGTACTTTGCAGATTCTACCACTTGCGACTTTGCATGCTAGAAAGGCAAGAGATTGACAGCCGGTTCCAGGGTGCACCAACACGGTGTAGGCCCGGTTTTCCACGCATAACTGACAAAGAGGGAGGGGGGAAAGGGGGGGGGAAGGAAAGAAACCAAAGCACCTGAACCATGACGCGCAGAGAGACAGGACAAAGCAAGTGCGGGAGAACCACCCCGCCCAAAAATAGCCAAATCCGGCAGTAGATGATACGTGCCAAGAGAGTAAAGCGAGAGAGAAAAAGAGAGGAAGCAAAGAGAGGCAGAAAAGAAGGAGGGCAAATTGGCATAGAAAGTAAGGAGATAGGAAAGGGAGGCCATCAAGACATCACGTTAGAGGAACCAAAAAATACACACACGTCGAGAGGAGATCCGAAGGGTATCAAAGAGGGGGTACAGATTTTGCGACACGACAGAAAAAAAAAATGACAGAGCTAGGATATCGAAAGCAAAACGAAACAAGGCATCACACAATACAGCGATCACAACAGGATCAGGTAGTTGGAGGGTGCGATGCCGGTCTCTCCGCTCGATTTCCGAGCCTGCCACCATCGGCCGCTTACATCGGATACTTCGAGGATCTCGTGCTTGCTGAAGCTGATTTCGTTGGCATCTTCGGGGTTCGCGTCGTACGAGTAGATGGCCTTCGCCCGGTAGGGGTACTCGGTCGGCGGGGGCACCTCGGTGCCTTCCTGAGGAGCGGCGCCCGGGGGGCGGGGGCCGGGCTGGCGCCTCCGAAGCGGGGCTGGGACGAGTTACGCTCGGCGCCAGGAGCACCGCCAGGGTAGCCAGACACGGGGGACGACGTTTCGAAGCCGTTCAGTTGGGCGGAGGTGTACATCTGGGGGGTGGTGCTGGTGGCCATGGTCTCCGGGCGGGCACCGAATGCGCTGGACATGGGGCGGCTGCCACGGTAAGAGCCGGGTTGCTCCTTGTTCAGGGCAAACGAGTCGATGAATCCGCGGTGCGAGGCCTGGGGGGTCGAGCCGAAGTAGAAGATCCAAACAATCTGCCAAGGAATTAGCAGATGCGGTCGTGATCAAGGAGTAGGGGCACTCACAATCACCATCGAGAGCAGTATGAAGCCAGCACCTGCAGCCTGCATGGCTCCCTGGTTACCGTAGACCGTATTGTTTGCGCTGAGCGAAGTCAAAACCAGGCCACAGGCAAGGTATCCCACAATCTAATAGATCAATCAGTATGGCGGATTCCAATCCAGTTCGTGCGCAGGGCTGAATCCATACCGCGACGCCATACACATTGCAGGTGTCGGTACCGAAAGTCACAATCAAGCCGACGATCAGGCAGAACATGTAGCAGGCCGCCCACCAGGAGTAGTTAGGATAGTCCGTCTGGAGGTCCGCAATGATGGAGGAGATAAAAGCGATCAGCCATGCGAGGATGGAGATGGACAGAGTCGCGAGCGCGAACGGGTCGCCGAGAATGTTGCTCGGGCGGAAATTGGCCATTGTGAGAGTCGATTCGAACGCGGGTTTGATCAATTGATGGGGCTAGGAGCACTGTCGCGATGAGTCGATAGGCAAGGAAGGGATGCGGAATCGATGAGGGACTCGATGGCGCTGAAAGGGGATATTCCCACAAGGAACACGACGAATCGAGGGCGATGTGGACGTATAGCGGTATATAGGATGTCTGTCGTCCAGGCCGGGAGGATATCCGAGTCGACCGTGTACCGGTGTGGTTCTGTTGTGGTTGCTCGGGAAGACTAGAAGGCGCCTTGTCAGAGTCCAGTCCAAGGCTGTCAGACGGTCGGGACGCTCGTGTGGGGTCCAACACAGCGACAAGGCGAATTCGAGAATCGAGAATTGTGAATTGTGAATGAAGATGGACGCGATATTGTGTGGAGGATGTGGACTTCCAGAAGACCCATGGAGCGCTAAGAAAACCAAAACAACAGGCGATGGTTTCGTACCTTTTTGAGACAGACGTGGGTTCCGAAGACCGCGGAGAAATAGTAGTTGGGAGTGAGGATGAGACACCAAGAAGGGCCCCTTGCTGGTAGAGAGAGAGGAAGAGAGAGGAAGAGAGAGGAAGACACACAGCACCAGGCTGAAGAAAGGAAGGTAGGGAAAGGCCGAAACGAGTGAATGGGGTGGAATAAGCGGAAGGAAGGGAAGGACTGAGGCTGTGAAGGATGGCAGGAAAGGCACGGGAAAAGGAGGGCCAGGCACGCCTGAGAAAGGTACGACCACAGGCCACAACCAGTCCACAACCAGTCAGGGCCGCTGGACTTGCAGGATGAAAAGTGGAGTCGGCCCCAAATCACACAGACACCCCTGGAATCGAGACCATAGTGGAATCTGGGAAATGAGCTGGCGGTGCGCTCCACTCTCTGTCCGTCTGATAGGTACGTGGGAGTCTGGTTGCTTCATTTCCGACTTCAGCAGCTCCGTAGTATTCTCATTCATAAGTATGTATAGGCGTATATTCGTGGGGTCTCTACCTGACTCCGAAATTCCCCTGACCGATCAACATCGGGGCCATATCTCTTAGTAACCGCCCGAGGCTCCGCTTTGTTGACGCGGACGCGGACGCGGGCCCGCCCAGCAGCGGACAAGACTTGGGTACCTGTTGGAACCGTGGATGGTGTCCCGTAGGTCCATAGAGGAGAAGGTTATGTACGATATCCAGAGGGGCGGGAATGGCGTGTATTGACCAACGCTTAAAAAAAAATCTGGACATCACCATGCCCACCTATCAATCAATCATTACCCACAGTCACCCACTCACGTTCTCTCTCCACACCCCACCCGGCAGTCTCTTCCCCGTGCTACTTTTATCGATTTGCTGTTCCGACCGTTCAGACTGCTCATCCCCCGAGCCTGTGTCCCTGCATGTATCCCATATCGCCCCCGCAACGCGAACGGTAATCGGCTTGCCTGGGTCGATCTTTCGATCGGCACGCCCGCGACAAATTCCCAGAGGATGCCTGCAACAGCACACGATATCCTCCGTACTAATAGACTTAACGAACACTATGAGACATCACCAATCCATAGGTCCGCCTTGGCATAATCTTTTCAGAACCCAGCTCCCTCCTGCCGCCCCTATCGGCCCCGCCCAAAGCCATCCCCTAAGGCGATGGCTCCTGGCTGAAGGTTCATGATTTGTGAGGCAAGAGATCTGGGGTAGATACATGTTGTCGTCGTATTCCGGCTGGCCTCGAGAGGGGTGAGGAATGGGGCTAGGAGGTCGGTGTCTCGCGCCGACGGCCATGGGTTCTTAGTCTTGGATCGCACGATCAGCCACAGATCCTCTCAGCTCGCATGACGATAGGAGATGCGGGACCTGGATCTGTGACCGCGGGCGCCTGACGGTGTCAGAATATCCTGGTAGCGGTAGGATACCTCGCTGATCCATGTGCTGCGTGAACACGCGATTGAGGTGATCTGGTATCTGGTAGTCGTATTGACAGTTCGCTCCATGATTCTTTTCTCCATTGGATCCATACTGTCCACTGTACTCAAACAACCCTGTCCGCAAAACCCAGCACCAAACGCCGATAAAATAAACCCGAGGATATCATAAAGCCAACAAAGACCAATCGACTCTCTGCCACTACCATTCCCCCTCAAGCTTCCAGATCAAATCTCATTCTCCATCCTCTCCCGAATAACCTCCCTCCTCCGAACCTCCCTCTCCACCCCCTCCAATCGCCCCTCCCACTCAGCCCAACACTCCCCACTCCCGACAAGTCCAACCTCATACCACCGCTGAAGCACGCGCGCCGTGCGCACTCGCAGCTCCGACACAGCCGCCGCCTGCTCGGCCTGCGTCTGCGCGAGCCGGTCCAGCTGTGGCTGCAGCGCGATCAGAGATGCGGAGGACGTCGCGTCGGGAACAGGCAGGTCGTTGAGGGATGTGAGGCGCGAGGCGGTTTCGGGGAAGGCGGTTGCGTAGGAGAGGACGATGGAGGCGAGGGTGCGGGGCGTGAGGCCTTCGGGAATATCGTGCGGCGTGGGCGGGTGGAAGAGGTCTGGAAAGCGGTCATCTGGGGGAAGGGAAAGAAGAGGGTTAGCATTGGGGTTGCGAGCAAGTTGGAGATATCCTTCGTTGAGGGCTTCTGGAGATGATGGGAAGCCGAGTAGGCAGAGGTGGTAACCCAGTAAACAATAGTCCACAATATCACGTACGCAGTTGGATCACATCCCGCACAGCGGGGACTGCCCTGCTCAGCTTTTCCATCTCCCGTTCCAGACGGGCGAGGCGACGTGATACTGTTTCGTCGAGGGATGCCGGTTTCTCAGGCGTTGATGGGGCTCCCGTCCAGTCCGTGCCGCCGGTCAGGAGGTAGGAGAGGCGGCGCAGACGCGCCTCGAGGAGCTCGAGGGTCGTACCGGCGACTGCTTCGCTTTCGAGAGACATTGTATGCGGCACGAAAGAGAGTCCAGAAATGTGGGAAAGGATCGGTCTGCTGTGGTTGTTGGCTGGAGGCGATAGCTTGGGGGCTGCAAACACGACAAATGTGGAGACTGCTCCTCATCAAGACGAGGATGAGGCGGAGTACCGACAAAGAAGCATTCCGGGGATCTGGTCAATTGATATTTCATTGCTCTTTAGCTTGGACACTGCGGTCTTGTGTTTCGCGTGCTATCGAGGTCTACATGTCATTCATTCATCACTCATACAAGCCCCAGGCCTCAAGATGCACGCGAATGCTCTACGTGGTCTGCCATCTCCGTGTCTTCCATGGTATTCCACTCCGTATCATCATCCAGGGCATTAGAGATCGCTGCGCCATTGGCCGCATTGCTCGTGCCTAGAAGAGTTGTCCCTTTCCGCTCTTGCATTTCCTGTTCGCAGGCACTGTCATTATCAAAATCCGAGACCTGGTAGTCAAAGACGTTTACCTGCTGGGCGGGTCGCGGTAGCGCCGGCTGCTGCTTGTTGGCATTATTTTGCTGGACTGAAACTTGGCCGTTCCCTTCTCCTGCGTGTGCTGCGCTTTGTTCGCACTCGGCCGCGAAGGCCTCGTTGTCCTTGTTCACAAAACCCTGGTCCTGTATAAGCTTCCCGACTCGCTAGCACTCCGGGAAATGAGTGATCATACCTGAAGTTGAGTAGGGGCAGGGTCCACTTTCGCATTTACGGCGGCGTCGCTGGCGTAAACAAGTAACACCGATCTCCACTCTTCGCGCGCAGCTCGAAGAACTTCGATCTCGCGCACCTTGCGGGCTGTGTAGCCAATGACATCGCCGTTTTGAGTAGCTGCAGAGTCGCCGTCTGCTTCTCTCTTTGCAGCCTGGCGGGTCTTTCCATCTTCTGTGGAATAGCTGATTCTCCACCATTGATCACCGTTACCCCGCTCGCCATCGATGTCCATTAGATCGTCGGAGTTGTCGTCATATTCGCCCCGTTTCAGAACATAAGTGATGTGCGGCTCGGTGCAAACGCCTCGCAAGGTGTACCTATGCAGAGGAGGCTCACCGGGAGCCGCAGGAGGCTCGGTGAGCGTCTTGCTGTAGCTGCGCAATGTTTCCATGGCGCTTTGCTTTCGGGTGTCCAGCTCTGTTGCCCAGCGATTAGCAGGTGTATTTGGAGGTCACTTCCAACGATGCGAACATACCTTTTAGTTTGGCTTCGATCCGGGCGGAAACCGCCATCAGCTCCTTCGCAATTCCATCGGCCTTATTGGTTGCCATTTCAGAGTTCGGTGAGTCAGCTCCCTCGACCGGTTTCTTCGACAGGGCCACTGTTGTTGCGGCAGCGGCTTTTTCAAGAAGGTCCTTAATTGTCATGTTGCCAGTTGCGTTCCGGGGGTGGTATAACGGTTCATGAGCGTGTCCAGTTCTTGAATCTCTTCCTGGACTCGGAGCCTCTTGGTCCGCAGCTCGCGCGCGAGCTCTCGGCAGCTGCTCAGGTAGCGATCCGGGTAGAAGACGGAGGGGGCCTTGACATTCACGGATTTTCCGTTGTTATAGGAATCAAGCTTCATGATGACCACCTCTCCGACATGCTCGAGCCAGACATCATCCAGTTCTTCGCCAGGCCTATCACTCCAAATCGCTGTGTCTAAGAGATCATAAAGAGTTTGTCCGTGTTCCTGTTCAACGACAGGCTCGAAGATGAAGAGTTCTTTAGAAATGGGATCGTCGCCTTCGTCAAAAGGCGATCGCTTGTAGGCGTGGGACATGAAAGCTGTTGTTAGGGGGTTGTCTGGGTCTGCCCGGACAGCCGCAGCCTGCCACGTCTCTAAAAACCTCGTGACGACTTCTTCCGAGTCGGAGGAAAATGAAGTAATATCCTTCAACTTTGCAAGCGCGTCGCTGCTGCCAAAGGCACGTTGTGTAGAGTCCAAGAACGCCATGAGTCGTTGTGTCTCATAAAGGACATCGTCCCAGTCGTTATCCCCATTCTGTTGGTCATGGACTGTCACAATCTTGGGGAGACTGATTGGCTGCCCATTCCACCATTGCGGCTCCTGTCCATAGTCATATAGCATTCTATTCCGCAACAAGAGAGCTTCACGCGCCAGAGGAATCTCGTGGAGGATGGTGAGGAATCCACCGAGGTACAGGTTATCGTTTGTAGGGCGGATGAATGCAGGCTCGCCATCAACTCTCCTGCGGTCTTCAGGGTCGGGGCTAATGACCACTTCCTGGGACGTGGCATTGAACAGAGTCATAGCCCAAGCTCCTTCATCGTAGTGATCGCGCGTCGCTTTTCCGAAGTGAGGTTCTTGATTGCCAGCTGTTGTCACCCCAGACTCCTGCTGTCCCATCCCTTGGTTCAAGGACATCGCGACAGCCTGTTGCAGTTCTTGTTCTTCGCGCTCAGCCAGACTCATTCCCTGTCCGGAAGGCGCTGGGCCTGTGTCTCACCACAAATCAGCACGTTCCCGCTGATGATTTTTGCACCGGTTGGTCCCTCACCTGCAGAACCCTGTGGAGCCGTTGCAGAAGTATCATCGAATCCAGCAGCTTGGCCCTGTTCATGCATGTTCACTCGGGATGGAGGGCGAGAGGGAGGGGCCGTTGCGGGCATTCGGGGTGCCGCGTCTTGTTGGCCATATCCGAAGGCTGGAGCGGGGTACATCAGCCACCGAAATGAATGAAATTAGATAGGAAAGCCATACAAGATACATTGCTCTCATTGTAGAAGCCGGTCGTCTAGTCCGTAAGGTCTGGTCAGCTTCCGATTCCAGAATCCAACCCGGGCGCGTGTGCTCAATTCACCTCGGTCTGGGGTCCCGACGGGTCCTCAAAATAGGCATTTATTGCCTTTTGCGAGTCTAAATTGTTGGCCTATCCCGTGGAAATATTAGTTTTGAACCGAAAGTGCTATGAGAGTGCAGTATCGACCTTGAGGAAGCTAATAGCTTGCTTGCGCGTGGTGCTGGTGAAGCTGACGAAGTTCGCGATGGCGTCCTCGGACGGTTCGGAGGCCATGATTGCGGCGCGAAGGCTTCCGGGCCAAAGGAACCAAGTTCAAGGGGCTTGATCAACGGTCAAACATGACAAGGAGGCGAGAGACCACGAAAGGTGGAGGATGGTCGCAGCGGAAGCTCTTCCCCACCACATGACGCCAAGCGCCGTTCCGCTTTCCGCTTCCCGCTTTCTAGCGGCACAACACACTCGGCCCAGCTTGTCTGCATCAGCAACCTCCTAGAACTGTTTTTCACTAGGCAATGTCCAACCTGAAAAACATTACAGATATAGCACTGTAATTTTTTTGGTTTATTGAGTCGTCTATTCTGGCCTATCTGTGCTCTCTACTCTACCGTTGTCCTTGATCCACTACATATACCGGCAATTGATTCTTTCGCCATGCTTGGAAACCCATTCTTTGACTCGCTGAATGCCAAATTATTCTGAAACATATTGGCATTGTCTTCGGTGGAGTAATTTATTCTTATCTCATTGCTCGGATCATAGCTGCTTTATCGGTACAAATGAAGAACGATCTATTAAAAAAATCGAGAAACAAAGCCCACTGGGATAATTGGAACATGGCCTTGTTCTGTTCTCTCTGGCACGCATATAAATCAGCTGGTTTCCCATCAGATCCTCTTCTCATCATGTACAATGCGCATTCTTGTAGCATCATCATTGTCGTCTTTTTTGTCTGCAAACCATCCATCAATACCTTGTCTCCCCAAAACATCTCTCCTTGCTCGTTATCATGTCCGGAAAGTCTGCCTCAGATACTGGCCCCGGAACCATAGGAGGCTCCGGAGAGCCTAAAGCAGATCCAACTCCAGCAAGCCTACAAGAAGCGAATGATACGGCCCTCAAGATTATCGCCGCTATGTATTGGGATCTCAACGCCATATGGCACCTGCAACGAATTGTCGCTGACCAACCATATGGTGACGACCTAGAACTTTACAATGAGCACTGCGAAGCTGCCCAAACCCTCTTAGACCTTGCGATGAGCTACCGGCATCGGTCAGTCTTTCAGTTACCAGAAACTTGTCCAAACTACCGTAGGTGTCGCTCTTTCCTTTTTGAGCATGGATGGCGATTATTTGCCATGTGTGCGCAAGCTGAAGCCTTCCGAGAAGCTTATTACCTGGAAGAGACTCAGGTTTGGGATGCGCTCAGAAAGTTGATCACTGCTAACCAGCGTAGCATCGAGGTTTTTGTTAAGTCCCGGAACATTGACTGGCGAGGCCCACTTCTTTCCTACACGCAATGGTATCTCCCGGGTCTTATGCAGTTCCTGGGACCAGATATTGACATAGGCAAGGAGCATCCTCACCACCTAGCGCAAATGGGTGGAGAACTTCTCAAGCGCCCCATACACAACGGCCATGCACAGACCAATATAAACACGCAGCTATATGATCCGACAAAATGGGTACCTGCCGTCAGGCGAGACCAAAGCCACCCGTTCTCTCGCCCAGAAAATGACGGCCCCTGCATAGACTGCATATGCAGAAAAAAATGTCCATGTCACGCCATGGGTGGGAGAGCCGATTGTCCGGACTGTACGTGCCCAAAGGTCTGCCAGTGTAAGTACCCTCACTGGCTTGAGTGCTTCGTTTGCGGCTCGAAGGAGATCTGTCAGTGTCGTATCAAGACCATGGCTGGTGATTTGGTTGAGTTGGTGGAGTACCCTTTCAAAGGAACCGGCGTCCGGGCCCTGGCCAACTTCAAAAAAGGGGCCAACTTGGGTGAGTACTTGGGTGAGGTTATTCCCCATGGGGGGGATTGTACCGATTCAGTCTATCCGCTGTGGCAGATAGGCTTCCACAGGAGAGCAGATGAAGACCATGCCGCAACAAACGTGCGGAAAAAGGGTGTAGCTCGAAAGGTATTAGATATTGGCACGATCACGTCTGCTTGCCTTGGAAGTTGGACCAGGTATATAAACCACCACTGCGAGTCAAACTGTGCCTTCGTGCCAATGGTGGTTGGTGACAAGGTCACGACTGCTGTCGTCGTACTTCGAGACATAGCGATCTTTGAGGAGATCACTGTCGATTACGGCGAAGAGTACTGGTGTGATAGGTATTGTCGGTGCGGAAGCGCAAAGTGTATTCGCCCTGCTCCCACCACCGCTCGGCCTGGTCAAGGCTGATGTGATGCAATCTAGATCCCAGAGTGATTGGTCTCCAAAGCAAAGTTTCGACTCTTGGTTTGAATCCTCGTCTAGAGTTTTCATTTTTCTCTGTTACCGGTCAATTCAAGTTTACTCTAATTTTCGCTCAGCTGATCAACTCCGTACCAACATTGGGTAGTAAGATGTAACTTTGCCAATACTTTTTTGATGAACAAGTAAGATATGCCTTTCATGTTGGGGCTCTTTCAATATACTTATAGTTACTATGTCAGCCCTTTAGTAAACGTGCCTAGTAAGAGCTAAATAGTATTTCGTGATGCTGATCTTTTCTTAACAATGGAGCGGTAAATTACCGCTAGCAACCTTATCAGATAGAACACACGTGAGACCACATTCCCTACATTTTTGTATGTAATTCTTAATTAATCATGAACTCGAGCTTGGGAACTGCCGAGTGACTTATCGGTCGTGCGGGCAGCAGCGCGCTTGCACGGGCCATGGTGACCCTCACAACAGCCTCACCAAAATTCTTCAATCAATCAATTGGTTCATCATTATTTTAATTCCGCTTGATCTTATTCATCTTGAATGCATACTAAGCTATACATATCTAGCTTGCCTCGATCATGCCATCGATTCTACAGGGAACAGCATGGACCAAGCCGCGAAACAAAGACTACATTTTCTAGCGAGGCTAAGACCATCCCCGAGAAAGTTTAAGCTCTGAAACGGGTCGGAACAAAGACCAAAAAGGTGTAGAAGGATTTCTATACATACCTTGAAATAGTCACTCTCGATATCGTCTTGACCAATACGCTCATAATAACCGCCAAGGCCGTGAGAGCAGATCAAACATTTAGCGGGTCACATTTAATTGAGGGGCGCAGTAAAATACATGCAAGGTGCATCTTGCGGTGTCCCTCAATTAAATGCGGCGTGCTGAATGATTTATCTGGGATAAGGTCTTAGCAATGGGTCCAGAAAATAGTTATTATGGGTGTTGATCAAGCCGATTTTGAGAATGACTGCACCAAGTTTCATCTCGTTAGTCATACGGCCTGTTGTTGACTTCGGCAACTTGAATGCCAAGTCGGTTTCATATGCCACAAATGACCAATAATGTGTACATGCATCGTCTATTCAAATAATTTGATTTCCTTCTTAATTCTTATTCTCAAGATCAATTCTTATTTATCTTTTTTTTGTTTTGTTTTCTTTTTCTTTCTTTCTTTCGTCCGAATGCTTTTCATATAGTTGTTTGGCGGCTCTCAAACAAGCTATGCAGAACCTCGGATCCGCCCGACCCCGCAAAGCGCGAGCAGTGCGGGGAAGCTTCCCCTTCCTCGCACTGAGACAACATTCGGTTCCCTCGACATAACTGAGCACTGAGGCTGAGGAAGGAACGGCCAGTACCTTCATTCTCTATCGAATACCTCAACGCGAGACATGAAGCTTCTGTAATCGCAAGTCGAGATTGAAATACCACCATGCGCCCTTGCGAAGGGATCGTCAAGGCCCTTTCCGCCCATAGCTACCTCCGGGCTGGGAGGAACCGCTTCCAGACTGTCCCCTTGAGAGGCTTGCTGACAGAGAGCTATGCTCGAGGGCCATCAACTGCAAGTCAATCCTCTCTTCAAGAATAGGAAACAAAGACCGGGCCTCAGCTAACTATCTTGTCGTGCAGCCGCCCTTGCTGGAGTCAACCGTCGGCGAACATTTTGCGAAGGTCGTGGCAGAACATGGAGATAGAACCGCGTCAGTTCTTTACGAATTTTTATTGAAGTTGTGGTACTAATTTCTTTCTAGTGTCGTCTCAAAACATCAAGGTGATCGAGTATCGTATGCCTCACTCGATGTTAGGAGCAACGCCTTTGCCCGTGGGTTACAGTCTATCGGGGTTAAAAAGGGAGATCGTGTCGGCGTCATGCTAGGGAACTCGATGGAATATGCGGTGGTGCGTGGGGTTTTTGTTTTTCAGTTCAAGAAAAACGTGCTGATTGATCTCAGGCAACCTATGCTCTTTTTAAAGTCGGAGCTATATTGGTAAGTTATATCACTAAACACGATGGGGTTGGCGTCAGCGTCTGAGAATTTCGCCGCCTACAGGTCCCGCTCAATCCCTCTTTCAATGCCGCACAGGTAATAGCTGCACTGGGCCACCTTGAATCTAGCCATCTGATCATCAGCACCGAATCCAACCTTCCTCGCAAGGACCCCCGCAGCAATGTCCCGCTCCTTGAACAGTTGGTCGGAGACCTCTGCTCGTCAAGACTGGAATCAGCATCGGTTCCCTCGCTGAAACGGATTATCCTTGTCGATAACTCTGCTGGCCGAGTGGATGCATCTACGTATAAGAGTCTAACGCCGTTTTCATCGATATTGTCCCAGTTATCGGCCGATGGTCTCCCATTGCCTCCACAAAGTCTCTCTCCGCATGATATTGTTAACATCCAATTCACTTCCGGGACTACGGCCATGCCAAAGGCAGCTTGTCTAAGCCATCGCTCCATTCTGAACAATGGATCACAGATTGGGGACCGCATGCTCCTGACAGCAAATGATATTGTCTGTTGCCCACCACCACTGTTTCATTGCTTCGGTTCGATTCTTGGATACATGGCAACTGCAACTCATGGCTCCACCATTGTCTTCCCATCTGAATCCTTCAATGCTTGTGCTGCGCTCAAGGCAGTGCAAGAAGAGAAATGTACCGCACTATACGGCGTTCCAACCATGTTTCTTGAGGAACTTGAGCTTGTGGAAAGTGGGGAAATCTCCAGCGATGGTTTTCAATATTTGCGAACGGGTATCGCAGCTGGCAGCAGTATCCCCGCGGAGCTGATGAAGAAGCTCCATAGGGTTCTGAATCTCACAGAGCTTACTATATGCTATGGAATGACTGAGACCAGCCCTGTCTCTGCGATGACAACTACTGATGATCCAATTGACAAGAGAATTAATACTGTCGGAAGACTTATGCCACATGTACGGGCTAAAGTCGTAGACCCGGGAGACAGAACCCGTATCCTTCCTGTGAATTCGCGCGGTGAGTTGGCAGTCAGCGGATATCTTCTCATGAAGGAGTATTGGGGTGATCCGCAGAAGACAGCCGAAGTGATAATCGAAGATGATGCTGGGAAGGCTTGGATGCACGTAAGTTCGGATTACAATCATTCACTACAGCAGAGGTCTAACACATATCCTTAGACTGGGGATGAAGCATTCATATCTCCGGACGGCTATGTAACTATCACTGGTCGTATTAAAGACCTGATCATTCGTGGCGGCGAGAATATCCATCCATTGGAAATCGAGAATTGTCTCTTAGCACACTCTGGTGTCTCTGATGCTTCTGTTGTCGGAGTTCCAGATGGGCGTTATGGCGAGGTCGTCGCTGCTTTTGTGGTCGCCCGGGAGCAGGGATCTGAGTGTATTACGACCGATGATATCCAGAAATGGGTCCGTGAAAAGCTCAGTAACCACCTTGGTAGGTGATGCATGTACGCCCTATGTAGGATTGGCTAACCTTCATGATAGCTCCCAAGTACGTTTTCTTCCTTAAAGCAACGAATGCTTTTCCAAAGACTGCAAGTGGGAAAATCCAGAAGTTCAAACTCAAGGAGCTCGCAATCAAACTTTTAGCAGAAAAGAAAGGAGTCGCTGCAGATAGCTAAAGCTTGGAGTTCTTGACAAAATACCGCTTGAACCAGAGGCTCGCGAGATCCTTTGACGCTGGTATATGTAGATACGGAAGAGTGACTTGATTTGAATGTATTGGCATGTTTCCCAATATCCTTCACGTAGGTACAAAGTATCAGGAATGGCGCGTGAAGGTTTTCACAAGACCAAAGTGGGATGCTGATCTTCAACTTTGAAATCGGTGTTTATCCACTCAAGTAGTTAGTTATGGGATGTTTTCGGATGTGGAATATCGAACGAGCAACCACCAGGTGAGGGTTTACTCTCTTGTCATCACAGCAAAGTCTTACGAGAGGAACTAATCGGCATGCTCCGAATCTCGCACTAGGATTTTGCCGTGACGATGAGAAGCCGAGCAACCACCTGAGAGCGAAGAGCTGGGGGAGATGGTGATGGGCTGTGGGAGATTCCCCGCAGGACACGATGATGCGTTCCGAAAGGCTTTGCAATGCGGTAGATCACCATCAGCATGACCCTGTAGCGTCCCTACAGACGGGGTTGGTTGGATCGGATGGAGTTGGGCAAGCACAATGCCCGGTTATTATGTCAGGGTCTGTCGGCAGGACCCAGCAGATTGGAGTCCTACCAGCATCTTCAGCTCCTAGAAATCCTGAACCCCCGTCTCGCCCTGAAGTTTGGCCTGAGCATCTTCACCCCGAGCCTCACCAACCACCCATTCAGGCTCCTCATCCTCGAAGTAGTTTTCTTGTTGTTCGGTCCAATCATCGTAATCGTCGTTTTCGTCGACGGTCTTGTAGTCAAAGTCTGGGTCATCACCTCGCATAAATCGCAATCCCATCTCCCACTGCCAGGCCTTCTCGCCCTCCTCTTTACTGGCTGGAATATCGTCACGGTCCTCGGCAAGAATTTCCCCATTAGGGCCACGTGTGTAGCTGAGCATGGCGTTGGGGTCTGGGTGTGCGAGAGCGTCTATCTTCGCCTCAGAGCGTAATAGATCGGCCTGCAAGACACCCGAGAACCCCTTTGCGCGCCCTTGGGTCTCCCTCTCCTGCGGTGTCTGGAATCGACGAATCAGGCGATCGTACAGTAACGGGTCTAGAAAGGCAATTCCAAATCGATTAGCTTGAAATCAATTCTCTGCTGTGATCTCTCCGCGCTGGGGCCCGTGTCGAACAGCCACGGAGACCAGGTTTTAAGTTGGCAGCAAGGAAAAAGCAAGCGGACCGGCTAGCTCGAGATCTTCCGCCGTGAAGTACTCTGGATGAAGGTCCAGGTACCGCTTCCGGCGGTTCTTGATATTGACTGGGGGATGCTGCACATCGCTGGAAGCATCTTGAATCGGTTGGAACTCCGTACTCATGGGGAAATGTGGCATCTTGGGGTTGTTTCAGAGTTGTGGGGATGAGGTGAGGTTGGGAACGCGGAAGTGGGCGGCAAAAGCATTGATTCTGCCACTCCGGAGCTCTTTTCTCTCCAGCAACTTGATATGCTGTCCAGCTGAGTCTGTAAGTCCATCTTTCGCTAAATCCAATTGAGCAAGTTGCCTCGGGGGCTTCTTGTCGACCTCTCAACTTCGAAACTTGATCGCGATTAGTGGCTAATATTCCCATTAGACACGCCTTTTGGGCTGATCTCTATTTGTTCAGACAGTAACCCCAAGAACTCCTGAAACCTTGGGAACCATGTCTGTCGAGGAATTTGTTCGGCGGGTCGACGTCAAACGTCTCGGCTCTGGAGTTGCCTTGTTATTTATTCTAGCACTCTACTCGCCTGTGATGGTGCTGGTGCTCTCCCCTGTCTACGGTTCCCTGCCATCTCATCTTTTCCACAGCTATGGTGTGGCCATTTCCGCTGGCGCTGGCTGGTTCTTGAAAGATCAGATCCAGAAGCGGATCGGTCGCCTCGCTGCCACTATTCTTCCTGTTCTGGCTTTCTGGACCCCTACCCTCCAGTACTTCCTCATGCAGCAGAGTTCCAAGCTCGGGAATCCAGCCGGCCCAGTCATCACTGAACTGTTTGGCTACTACCCGCTTGTTATGCTGACTGTCGCTGTTGCCGGCAAGCAGATTCAATACGCCTTGCATCTAGAGTCGCAGGGTGACCTGGCTGTCGAGCATGTCCCCCTAATAGGCTCGTATGTCGTCTATTCCTTTGGCGAGCACGTTGCCCGAGCAATTTTGTCTCATGCAATTGGATTCACCGTCGTTTTCTCTCGTGCAGGTCTGCAGTTTCTTATTGCAGTACTTTACTCTGCTGTTATCCCGTCCAAATTGCTGGTCTTCGCTATCCCGTCTCTGCTCTTCTCGTTGACGTCTGACGTCCATCTTGGCGGTATTGGGGGAGTGAACTCTGCCCTGCGGAGTGAAGGCTACACTCTGCTGGCGCGCCAGGAGTCTAACACTGGATATCTCTCGGTTCTCGAGAACCAGCAAGATGGCTTTCGGGTATTGCGATGTGACCACAGCCTCCTTGGTGGACAGTGGACCAAGGTAAACCCGGGCTACCGACCGGAGGTGGAGGACCCCATATACGCGGTCTTCGCCATGCTCGAGGCTGTTCGATTGGTTGAACCTGATAATGGTGGCTCGCGTGTGGATGCTGGCAGCAAAGCGCTGGTGATGTAAGTCTCAACCCTTAGCACAATTCTTTTTTTGGTAAAAGTAGACTGACAAATCATAGTGGCCTTGGAATCGGTACCACCCCAGCGGCCCTCATGAAACATGGTATCGAAACTACCATTGTTGAAATTGATCCTGTTGTCCACAAGTTTGCAACCCAATACTTCAACCTCCCTTCAAACCACGTCGCCGCCATCGAGGACGCAACCAAGTTCGTCAAGCGTGCGCAGAAGTCTTCATCTCCCCAGTATGACTACATCATTCATGATGTCTTCACTGGTGGTGCTGAACCCGCCGAGCTCTTTACTTTCGAGTTTTTGAGGGACCTCAGCTCCATGCTCAGAGATGATGGGGTTATTGCTATCGTAAGTCCTATACGGTATGCTTCTTGGCAACAATCCCAATTTCTGACCTATCTATACAGAACTACGCTGGAGACCTTACTCTCTACCCAACTGGTTTGATCGCTCGCACCATCCAGCGCGTCTTCCCCTCGTGCCGTATATTCCGTGAACACCAAGCAGGCCAGGACGAGGAGAATCCGAACTTCACCAATATGGTTTTCTTCTGCAAGAAGAGTTCTCGCACCCCTGTCCAGTTCCGTGATCCTGTCTCCTCGGATTTCCTACGCAGCAAGTCGCGTGAGAATTACCTTGTCCCGAAGCATGAGCTCGATCCGGCCATTTTTGCAACTATTCCCCACAAAGGACGTTCCATTCTCGTTGAAAAGGAAGTAAAACGTCTGCACAAGTTCCAGGACCGTGGAGCGCTGGAGCACTGGGAGATCATGAGGAAGGTTATTCCTGCTGCCGTGTGGGAGAACTGGTAATGACTGAAGGCCGATGTTGGGTTAAAAAGTAATGTTGACTTGTGCTATAATTATTCTCCATCTCTACCTCAATAAAGCAAGATACATCTACCCAAGAAGTCTATGCGGCCACACTATCCTCCGTAGACCTATCTATGGTACATGGGATCATAAGTTAACGCATGTCCATCGCGATACGATAGTTTGACCGAAACAGAGGCGGGCTGAGGGAGGGATTCGTTAGATCTAATTGTTTCCACCTCGATACTGGGTCCGCTTCGTACTATCGCTGTAGAGTTGTTGTCGAATGCCGAATTATATAGTCTGCATATGTCGCCTCTAGGAGAAAACTCGCCGATAGCCGTTAGCCTTAGTGCTGAAATTTGCAAGGACTGCTTTGACATAAGAAATAAGAAAAGTCCACAGTTAAAGTTGACGTAATGATTACACAAACTCTTTTCAGGGTGGATAGAGGTCTGCATCGGCTTTCCAATCTCACCAGAAGCGAGTAATAATGACATTGATCAACGGCACCTTTGTAGATGTTGACTAGACCCGGAGTAATGAGGAAAGTGTAGGTCAAAGAAATTTATATATTATGTGAACCCTTACCAGTCCTGAAGCCATACCCCTACGGTTCGGCACTGATGCTAAAGGGCTACCTACTTAAGCAATTTCTTCACCCTTCGTGATTGCGTTCGGCATATCATCGGCTCTTACCTAGGAAATGGCATTGCATGCCTAGCTGTCCCCCGTTCTCGAGAGAAAATCAGGATCGCCTAGGTAGTTCACCATTCCCCTTCAGAATTATGCAAAATCACCCAGAAACTCTCCGGACCAGGGTTCTTTCCAACTTCGGTAAGCGACGGCTGGTTTGGCATGGGCTTGCAAGTACAGAGGACACAACCCCAAAGAGATAGTCATTTCCTATCCCCCGCCCCCCGGCAGTACAAATAACTCGAGTTTGTACCATGATCGAAGAAGCAGGCTTTCGGAAGCTACTCTTGATCAGTTGACTTCTAATTCAGATGTCTGGCTTTTAATCACTGGAACAGCGATGATCATAACAATCATGGTGATTATACAGGACCCTATATCTAGTCTTTATGTCACTTGCTGGTGTATTGAGGTTAAGGAAACTATATGTCCGGTACACAGACAAAATGAGAAGGACAATTCATATTGGTATCATTATCTAACACCCCGCGAAGAGCTATAGGAATCACAATTGGAAAAAGGAAATTGTGCATAGACCACCGCCCTCCCCACTCCTCATCCTATATCAGAAATTAGGCCGTCAACAAGACCGATGATGTAACCTCGGCCTTCTGTAATATGTACGCTCACAGAACTAAAATACAGCCCAAGGAGGGAAGAGTAAGGGGCACATCAAGCGGACGGGCTTCCGCGGGGACTGCCGCCGGCGGGTTTCTTGACGAGACCAGCGAAGAAGTTTGCCAAGGCTTGATTGTGGGCCTTTTCGTCACCTGGATTCGTGGGGATGCCTTCTTTCTTGTGGGCCCGGTTGGCTTCGCGGTCCTATATACGGATAGGTTAACAACAAAGAGGGCGGGCGCGAGTTCAGTACAGGATGTGGGGCTTACTTTAAGCTTCTTCAGCATATCGTCCGCGTCCACTTGGATACCACCCATGTTGAATTGCACAGGGCCAATGTGCTCATTCACCTTGCCCTGATCATCGATGGGGGACATCTCCAGTTGTGGAGTAGGCTGACTGGCACGTTCCTTATCGTCCTCGGCCCGGAGTTGCTCCAGAAGCTCAACTTGCTTAGTGAGGAAGCCTTGCATATCGGAGGTCTCGACTTCAATCTTGCCTCCATTGGAAGTAGCGGGATGAGCAATACTTGTGTCGCGCTTGGGGTCGTAGATGGTCTGCTCAAACACTGTCACAGCACTGGTACCATCATCGGCATTCTCGGCCTGCCGGCCGGCATTTGCGGGCAGTTCGAGCGGTTCGGGGGCATCTTGGATCTCGATTGACCACGCAGTTGATACCCCTTCCATGTCAAATCCTTCACGAATGATGCGAATCTTGCCCCAAGAGTCCCAGTTGGCTGGCACGAGAATTTTGTCCCGGTCGATGACATTATGTTTTAAAGATTGTCGTTTCAAAAGAGAATGTATGCCAAGGGAGGAGTGGATCAGGCTCTGAAGAGAGTTGGCGAGGAAAGGGGTAGTATAGATGAGGGAAGCGCCATCTGTCTTTAGTTAGAGCCATCAGAACATTGAAGGGCAGAATGAGTGAGACGTACGCTTCAGCAGGATTGTTCGCAGGAACTGGAGGATGAAATCGAATTGTTCTTCGTGCCAACCATGGTCTTTCTCCAGCTTTTCGATCTTGTCCGCCTGGAAATATTGATTAGCGACAAGAATAGGCATTGGACTGGGGATTGCATACTCCTTGACAAACGACACACATCGGAATCCCCAAGCTTTCATCCCACTCGCCTGGGCCCAAAGGTATTGTGACTGGGCCTCCAGAGTTTGACATCCCGCCTGCTGCAGCAGAACTGGCATCCAGGCCTCGCTTGCGGTCCCGCCATTCCGCCATGGTTTCCTCCATCACAATTTTGGTATCATCGTCGAGCGACACGAGTACGGACCGGAGAAGGCGCACCCACTCTCGTAGGCGCCGTATCCAGGTCCAGGGGTCTGACCAGTCCATAAGAATGACAACGAGCGTTTCGGGCACCGACTGAGGGGTCAGGAGTGGTTTGATGAGGGGTGCAAATGATGGAGAGGGTTCGGACAGAAGGTAAGCGGACACGCGCGCCAGCGTATCTATATAATGTCAAAGTTAGTCTAGCAACATACAGTTTAGAATGGCACAGTCTCCGCACCTTCTTGATCGGTATCAAGTACGTCTCGATATGTGTATCCCAGGGCAAAATGATTAGCGATTGGAGGTGTCTTTCCCTTCCGCTTCTCGTTCACTAAGCTGGAATCCGCCGAGGTATCTGCACAGAGCGTCTCCAGGAACTCCCGCTGAGTTTCCGGTGTCCCCCCTAAGGTCCAGAAATCAGTATCATGCGGCCATAAGTAAAGCCGAACGAGAGCCGACAGAAACATCCACGAGAGCGAGGAATTGCCCACGAACCTAGGATCAAGAGGTTCTTTTCAGGCAAGCGCTTTCCATTAGCGGCACTGTCGAGCAGCGAGGACCAGATATTTTTCTTTGAACCATCCTTGCTAGTAGGCCGACTGTTCATACCGGCCGCTTTGGACCCGCGATTCGGACTGGACGACATCGTCTGGTCTAGACCAAGCATGCCTCAGAAGGCATGCACCATTCCAAGCACCTAAACAAGGCGTAGATGTGCCGAGGGGCGTGGCGCGTCGAAATGCTGGATCGGAAGTCGTCGCGGAGGGGAGGTGGAGGTCAAAGGGTCGCGCGGTCTCAGGGGAATCCGGAGAGAGCGGGCTGGGAGAGACTGGATTGTAGCTTGGCCGGGGCCGCGACAAACAACAAGCTTCTTCACGTGTCGAGGCAAAATTTCACGCGGGTGAAAGGCTTGCATCCAACGACGTCACGGAGGATGGAGCAGGGGGCTTGGGGTTGAGTAAACAATGGGCGATTCTACGGTTCCGCAGATGCTCCGGGTGGGGACCCTTTTCTTCCCAGCTTTCTTTCTTCAACCCGCAACCTGCACCTCTTCCGGCCACCATGAACGCCATTCGCCAAACTCAGGCACTCAATAAGCGTGAGCTCGAAAATGCGGTGTAAGTTGCAGCTCGTTATGAAGGCCTCGTCTTTTTTATGGCTCCCGAACTGACTCTCGCGCCCCGTCTAGGCCACCAGAGGCGTCATGGCATGCAGACTACCGCGACACCGCGTATATTTACATCGGCGGGCTTCCATTAGATCTCTCGGAGGGTGATATTGTCACTATTTTCTCGCAGTACGGAGAGCCAGTCCACATCAACCTCCTTCGCGATAAGGAAACAGGCAAGAGCCGCGGCTTTGCCTTTCTCAAATATGAAGACCAGCGCAGCACAGACCTTGCAGTCGATAACCTGGGCGGCGCAACAGTCCTAGGGCGCTTGCTCCGGGTGGATCATACTCGATATAAGCGACGTGATGATGAAGAAGAAGGAGACAATGTCGCGAGGTTGATGGGCGATGTGATTCTTGCCGGGAGCAAAAAGGAAGATGACGGTGATCGACACAGTCGCAGGAGAAGAACTAGTGATGTCGACAGAGAAGAGCGCCGGCCTATACTGAAAGAGGAGAAGGAGCTCCAGGAGCTGATCCAAAACCACGACGACGAAGATCCCATGAAGGAGTTCCTTATCGAGGAGAAGAAGGCGGATGTTGCACTTGCACTTGAAAAATACCAGATCAGCAAGAGGTCGTCCAGGCGGCGGGACAGCAGCAGAGAACGATCCAGTCGGCACCATCGCCGCCATCGCTCTCGTTCTTCAGAGCGCAGACACCGGGATGATCGGCCCACAGACAAAGAAAGGAAACCACGGCGCCGGTCTACGGATCGCGGGGATGTGTCCAAAAGAGACCTTTCAGCAGAACGGGGAAAGGAACGATCTCTACGAGATCGGTCGACAGAGCGGGGGGAGCGACCTAGGAGAAACCGGTCAACCGAGCGATCTCGCTCGCCGGAGTCCCGCAGACATCGAAGCGATCGCGACAGACACGATCGTCGCCGGTGGAAAGTCAACATAACGTGATTATGCTCGCCTATGTACTTGCCTTGGAACTCCATTCACCCCAATGCATGTTATATCTACAGCAAATGGTCTAGCTATCTCATTTCGGTGCCTCTGGTCGGTTCGGGTCAGACCGCATCTCATAAGGCCAGCGGAACTCGAGGCTTTCCGTGTTGGTCTCAGCTTTGCCGCACATCGTTAGGCAAATTGATCAAATAGTCAGTGAGATAAAATGACTGGTCGTGCTCAGCCCCCGAGATATCGTTTCCAGCCCTCTCGCATGCAATACCGCCTGCCATCGTCACCGTCCCGAAGAACAAACTTCTCCCAACGCCCGTCCTGGCCAGATCCAATTACCAAAAGGGTCTGATCATCCATCCAACCGATGACGCCTTTCGGAGGCCGACCCAGCGATGCACCTATGGGCGGCACATACGGTGTCCCAGGCATGGCCTCTTCGCCAATTTCAAAATGCGTGCTGGCAAAGGAGTAAACATCGGAAAAGACGCGCGGGAGCAAAGGAAGTCTGCCCAAAATACCCCACTTTTGCCTCGTTCCCTCCTCCGTTGCTGACGGAGACTGGCTGCGGTGGGCGATGTGGTGCGGGTGGGGTACATCGAAAATATGGAGTGTGGACTTGTCGGAAGTTACTGCGAGTAGGGTATTGGATGGAGAGAATGAAAGTGAGAATATCACCGCATGGTCAACGCCCCGGCGCAGCTCTGCCAGCTTCGTACAGTTTGCTGTAGAAAATACTCGAATCAATGTTCCCTGGGGAATATTAGTAGCCGTGGATAGTAAGCCAAAGTGATTCTTACAGCTTCGCTGGCCGTTGCGAGCACTTCTCCATCGGGGCTCAAGGCCATGGCGCGCAAGGGAGAGCTATGAGCCGGTATGATGCTAATGTTGCCTGTCTCCAGCTCTATGACCTGCACCTGTCCCGGGGACCGGCCAGGGAAGGCAAGCAGCTTCTGGCCCAGGCAAGCTAGTCCCAGCGGGTTATCCGATGTCTCGAATACTGATAGCTTCTGTGGGGGTGTCGAAAACGCAAATACATGGATACTGTTCAAAAGTGCTATCACAATTCTGGACTTGGAGAGGCGGACGCCGAGGACGGAGGTGCGGAATTCAAGGGTGATGGCGGCTTTCTGCTTTGCGTCGTCCCAGATAACGAGCTGAGGAAGAGATGTGTGAGTTTTTTCTGCCTTTGGGATTGAGGAGGTGTTTGAGCGTACTTTGTTCTGAGGGAATTTAGGGTTTCGTCCTCCGCCGACAATGGCCAGGTAATTGGATTGGCCGAGCATCTCGACGACACCGATGCCTGCATTGAAGTCTAGTATTACAGCATTCCCCGTCAGTGAAATATGATCTTCGAGTAATATAGGACATTCACGAAGCTCACCTCTAGAAACCTTGAGCTCACAAGGGTTGGCGTTGAACACTGGGCGATTTCCTTCTTAGCCTCGGCTCTCGTGTGTTGAGCTCTTCGACAGCTCAATCCACCTGCAGTATGGTGCTTACCACAAAATCCGGTGTTCAAGCCCACGGAGAAGCAGCTGCTATCATTGTTGAAGGCCGCCGACAGCGAATACGGCCCGACGGACTCATCAATAACTTGGCGGGTGTTCATGGTCGCGGACCATGACGTGGGTCACCAAGCTTGGACCGGGGACGATCCGGGGCAGGAATGTCGAGAAATAGCTGGATTGCTTGGTAATTGAGGGTTCTGGGCCAAGTACAGTCAGTAAGCACCATCGACGGCGAGTCGGGCGATGCAGTCGAGGTCGCGCAGATCAACCCGCAGCCATGGCGAGAAGGGTGGGATCGGCGATAAGAGAAATGCGGGCGCAGAAGCTCTGGGATCCACGGGTGCCTCAGGCTCATGTTACCTAATCCCTCCGGTGGCCAGCAGCGACCCACCATGCCTCGAACCCCTGAGTGCTGGACGAGGAGCCTCTCGGGGGTATGAGATGATATCAAAACCGTAGTATAGAGCCAAATGATCGGGCGAACCTTTCTATCTGTAGCTGACATCTATTCACAGCCATTGACCCCGTTGTGGAGTTTCTACCGTGGGCTGGTTGCCGGCCAAGCTGGAGAAGTGCAACGTCCCGTGATTGGCCCGCGACTAGGGAAAGGGGGAAACACGAACTGTCTTTCCTCCCCCCCTACTCTCCGTCCAGAACGAACCTCAGGAGAGTTTCACCCTCACCCTCTTCTTTGCTGATTCCTTGCTGCGACGGAATTCCCCTTCTTCTGCATCTTGTTCCTTTTCCTTTCCTTTCTAGCCCACCATGTCGTCGGCTCTCAACGCGGTATGTTTCCCCTTTTATTCCTCCCCCCAGCTCCTGCCCCATACTTCCCGAAAAAAAAAGTCACCTGAGCTAACTCAAGACCCCCGTGTGGGCAGATTAAGATTCGCCGCAAGAAGAATGTCAAGAAGGGAATTCAGTTCTGTCTGATGGTGTGCGGTGCCAGCGGAACTGGTACGCTCGATAATGCCCCCGTGGTCTGGCCGATTGCCAACTAATCATCTCCCGAATCAGGTCGCACAACCTTCGTGAACACTCTCTGCGGCAAGCAAGTGCTGGAGGGCAAGGAGTCCGATGATGCGGAACACGCCCACATCGAGGAGGGCGTCCGCATCAAGCCTGTCACTGTCGGTGAGTGGGACCTCTCCGCCGCGCAGACAGCGAGCGTGTATCAATGCTGACATTTTCAATCAAACAGAGCTGGAGCTTGATGAGGAAGGCACTCGCATCTCCCTGACTATCGTTGATACCCCCGGATTTGGTGACCAGATTGACAACGAGGCGAGGTATGTTTACCCTTACTAAACCGCACCCGCCCCCAGTCCTCGACAGAACCCCTCCCCCCGCTGACACCCCCTAACAGCTTCGGTGAGATCGTCGGCTACCTCGAACGCCAATACGATGACATTCTTGCGGAGGAGTCGCGCATTAAGCGTAACCCCCGATTCAGAGATAACCGTGTGCACGTTCTGCTGTACTTCATCACACCCACCGGTCATGGTCTCCGCGAACTCGACATCGAGCTGATGAAGCGCCTGTCCCCCCGTGTCAACGTCATCCCCGTCATCGGCAAGGCCGATTCCCTTACACCCGCAGAACTGGCCGAATCCAAGAAGTTGATCATGGAGGACATTGAACACTATCGCATTCCCGTCTACAACTTCCCCTACGATATTGAGGAGGATGACGAGGACACAGTTGAGGAGAATGCTGAGCTCCGTGGCTTGATGCCTTTTGCCATTGTTGGCTCGGAAGACTTCGTTGAGATCGATGACCGGAAAGTGCGCGCGCGACAGTACCCATGGGGTGTGGTCGAGGTTGAGAACCCGCGCCACTCCGATTTCCTGGCCATCCGTAGCGCCCTTCTTCACAGCCACTTGGCTGATCTGAAGGAGATCACTCACGACTTCCTCTACGAGAACTACCGTACCGAGAAGCTCAGCAAGAGCGTGGACGGCGCTACTTCGTATGTCTTTGCTATGGATAATCCGCTTGCTTCTATGACTGGGGATGCTAATCGATCAATCAGGGGCTATGATTCCTCCATGAACCCAGAGGACCTTGCTTCCCAGTCCGTCCGCCTCAAGGAGGAGCAGCTCCGCCGCGAGGAGGAGAAGTTGCGCGAGATTGAACTCAAGGTGTCGCGCGAGATCGCTGAGAAACGGCAGGAGCTGCTGGCCCGCGAGAGCCAGCTCAGAGAAATCGAGGCTCGTATGGCGCGCGAGGCAAGCCAGAGCAATGTCAGCGAAGCCGCCAACGGGGAGGCATAGATATACCCTATCGTCGACGCGGCTCATTCAGCGGGGCGCCGGTTCGCAATGTGATACCGTTTGTGCCAATTCATGGACTTCGTGGCACGAAGTTGGTTTCCGGTTATGGGGATAATATTGACTGTTTATTCACGTTAATAGCTTTTTTTCTTCTTTTCTTGCTTTTTTTACCCGGTGTCTCTGCGGAGATGGACAAGATTCCCAACATAGAATGCAACCCTCTGGTTATTCGACGACGGGCAACAATTTCCCCCTTCCTGGATCCGATTGGAGGAAAAGAGCACATGCTAACTGATTGGGACATCTTGCTGTCAATGCGTCACCCTCTCGACGGCCAACCTGCGGCTCATATACTGTTCCCCACCCTCTCGATGCTCTCATGTCTTCCCTTCCCGAGCTCGGGACAGAGACATAAGCACAGTCCTTTCTTGTTTCCTTTCCTGTTGTCTTTTAATTGACCACTTGCCCGGGGAGTTTCTATTTTTCTGCATATCCTGTTTCTTATTCCCCCTTCCACTCCCTCTTCCTTTAATCTCCCGGGTTTCCTCTCTTGTTTCCTCCCTGGCACCTTGTCCAAAGTCCGCAGCGCAGCAAGATTCCCTCTTCTCTTTTGTGTTTCGTGTTCGGTCATGTCTTGTCTCTATCCTTTTTTTCGCTGTCTTCCTAGCCCGATAGTAAATGAGGAAGAAAAAGTATCCTGGCCTCTATCCATCTGCACTATAGTATCTCATTTTTGGAATGCTCTGTCCACTTGGAGGACGGGAATACCATAGTCCGTAGGACTCGTACAGACACCGTGTCAAATAAGCATCAGAAAAGTAACGTGCTTCCCGCCGACATGAAACACCTACCTACACATGCGACATCATCAAAAGACAAACCAGCAGGTAGATGCAGATAGGCAGTCCTGGTAGAGGTGACAACAAATTATACCTATTAGAAGGACCTACCTACCCAAGACATACACTTACAAATGCTCAAATCTTTGTACTACCTTACCGACAGTTAACCTTGAAGAATTGAACACCGACGATCTCATCCATTTAAAAAGTATGAAGATACCTCGAACTCAACAGGATTGGGAAAAAAAGTAGGGGGTAAAAGCTAAAAAGATACAAAAGAACATGGTCATCACTTCGCAGGCCATGCGGAGGAACAAATAAACAAGGTGAAGAAAAGGTGAAGAAAAGGTGAAGAAAGAAAAAAAAAATAAAAAGGCAATAAAATTTTAAGAGAGGAAAAAAGGCAACTCAAAAAGATGCAACGACGAACGGCACGACGGGCAGAGTCAGTCAAGCAGGCACGCGAGCAGTGGTATTTGCGCTCCATTGTACACACAGACGGACAGAGAAACGAGATGCGATAAAGGAACTTGGGACTGAGTTCCTCTAGCGGAGGGGTGGAAGCAAAGAGAGGGTAGATGGAGGGGATGACTGGAGGTAATGGTGTGAGACGGACATGTTGGACGCCAAGGACGCCGGCATGGTGAGGAAAGGCTCCATGGAAAGGGCGCTAGGACAGGCAAGTTGAAGAGAACCTGAAGGCCTTGTAGGGCATTAAAGATGCTTTGTGTTCATGAATGCCTCCCTCATCTCTGTATACTGCTCTTAGAGCCAGCAACACGGGAAAAGTTCGATGGCACAAAGTCTGGAGCTAGAGCCGATGCAGAAAAAAGCGACAAGGGTCATGCGAAGATGATAATGCGCGTGGCAGAAGTTAAATCTGCTGTGGCTTGTTCCAGAAATCCAGGCTGGCGACCACGTCTTCGCCGCTCTCATCTTCATATGCATAGATGATCTCACGAGTGGAGGAGTGCAGCATGCGAATATTCTTCCCAGTCATGATGTGAATGAGCTCACTGGTCTCAACATGGCGGATCTCAATGAAGTTAGGCTCGAATGCCAAGATGTAAGGGTAAGAGAGTGCGAATGCGGTCGGGTTACCCTCCCATGAGATTCTCCAGTCTGGACGAGCTCGCCAGCCGTTGCGATTAACGAAGAAAGAAAAGTCGCTGTAGTTCAGGAGGAACTCTCCGTTCATACGCTCGATGTGAATAGGCTTGACGTTTTCCTTGCGGGCCACGAAATCGAGAGATGTATCGGCCTGATCCAGAAGAGACTGTGTCTCGGTTGTTTCAAGACTAACAACCTCGAAACCGCGCGCACAGCCGACACACAGGGTAGATCGGAGGAAATGAATCGAGGAAGACTCAGCAGGGATGTAGTATTCCTTGAATGGTTTCAGAGTATCCTGGCCACTCTGGAACATCTTGCTGACAGCGGACTTTTTCTTGCCCTTGGCCAGATTATCCATCGGCTCGTAAACCTTGATGGTACTTGACAACGCGGACGTCTTCACGGAGCATACCAAGTGTCGACCAAGACCAATGCCTGCCTTGAAGAAGTTTGCATGGCCCTGAATCTTCTTCGGGCGCTTAGCGATGACGTTCTGACCTTCCCCTATCTCGAGAGCTTCAAGAGGGTAGGACTGGAGAGTTTTGTTTGCCAAGACCAGAAGCAGTTGATACTCTTCTAATGTGTCGATTTGAGTGACCTGGCTAGCCTCCAGAACCTTCCTTGGCTTTGCTGACTTGTCCTTGGGCCAGCGTTCAGACAGGTAAATGCCGCTATCAGTTCCGTAGACCAACTTGCGTCCTCCATCTAAAAGTTTATCGAATCAGTGAGTGAAGATAGGAACAAGGTTTGTAACACGGCGTGGGATAGACATACCAACTGGAACACAGCAATTAACACGGTTAATAGCAGAGAAAAAGTTCTCCGACAAAACAGTCTTGTTGTAAAAGTTGCTGTTTCGTTCCCATAGCTTTCGTTGTTGTTCCTCCACCATTTCAATGAACTTCCGCCGCTGAGTAGGAGATGTTGCATAAAGAGTCTGCTCGTAGCCGCCTTTGCCAAGATGCCTGAATGTGATCGGCAGCTGTCCATCTTTGGCAGGCGGAGGGTTCGGAGCCACTTTGTTAGATAAGAGGCTGGATGAGGGTCGCTTGGAAATTCCTAAGCGGGGAATCACCTCATCCATCTGAGCAATAACCAAGAGCTCAAGGGGAATAGGCTTTTTGTACACACGGAATTCTTCTCTTTTGTTAACAACCTTAATGCGAACTAGGAGCACCGCATGATCAAAAAGATAGGCAGTCACTTCCGAGCTTTCTCCTGTGGTCTTCTTGAACCCCATCTTGGTGAGCATTTGACGATTCTCCTCAGTGAGCTTCAGGTCCACATAGTCGCCGGGGTTGAACTTTAATGAATTATTCAGCTGCACCAAGTTGAAGTGATTCTCTGCCTTTCCGCTCTCAGTATTGACGCGTGACAAGAAGCTCTTGATGAGCTTGACAGCCTTCGGAATTGCCTCCTTGTCAGGATTATCGTCTGCAGTGTTTTTCAAAACCGATTCCAGAAGCAGGGGGTATCGAGCAAGACGAGTGGTAGGCTTGGTGAGGTAACCGTTCAATTCAAGCTTGCGGGACTCCTTGAGACGTTCCGTATCCTCAACAAATTTGGCAAAGCCCGGATTCGACCCTTTCTCCTTCTCAAACTCGAACTTTCCATACAGCTGGTTCGCACCATATTTGATGAAAGGGTCGAATCGGGGTACGTGCTGAAGAAAGATGTCACCAACTGTTTTCACGACATGGCTTTCTTTCTGGCGAGCATTCAGAGCTTCACACAGGGCGCTGTTGACCTTCAACACCTCCAAGCAGTTGCCAAACACAGTCCGAATGAACTTCTCCCGCCGGTGCTCCGGGATTGGAGAATGAGTATTGGTACCGGCGGCGCGCAATGGTCTCATCCAGAAATCTCGCAGATATTCCAAATCCTTGACGAAATCACGCTCTGTATACATGATCTCAAAGATGACTTCCTGCCGCTTTTTCTCGTGGTCGTCAACGGCCTCAGAAACTTCCTTGGGAACCATATTGATCCACAGCTTTTGGTTGTCATTGTCATCGTCATCATCAATATGCAAGCTGCCCTTGGATCCCGAAGTTCTCAGTACCGGCTGAGGCTTCAAGTTCAATCGTGCCTGTTGCTCTAAGCGTCGCGGACAGGCAATGGAGTAGCAGAGGCTGTCCCGAGTGCAGGTAGGGGAGTAACATTCAGTCAGAAGGGTGAAGACCCCATTGACTTCTGTACCGACCGTTCTATCTTCGGTCAGAGTCTCCTTGAACTGATAGACCTCCCCAGGAGCGTCTCGGAGGCGATGGTCATATGTGACATCATGGAAAAACTTCTGAGCATCCAACGCACGACCCAGAAGAAGAGCAAGGTTGCGATCATTTGTCCGAATAATCGAAGCAATCAGATCCACGGCATCAGTGCCCGAGAAAGCATTCTGATACGACAGACCGTTTTTCTGCCGCTCACCAAGCGATATCTTCTCCCGAAACACATCGGCGACCAGCGATAGCAGAGCCGGGTAAACGACAGGAACCCGGCGGCGCGAATCCCTGGAAACGAGTGTGGTCTGGCCGTTGGAACTCTGTGTAGCTTGACTCTGCACGCTCATGGTTCGATCCGGGTTAATAGTCGATGCCATGGACATTGTGCGAGATCGGGTGGAAGCATCGCTGGGAGGGCGAGACTTGTTCACGTAGGCATCGGCCACATTCGTGGGCATTGAATCGAATCTTTGCGGTGACGTCGATTGCTCATGGCCAGATGGGGGCCTTCTAGCCGGGATGGACCTCCCACTGTTCATGATGTGAGCATGGTTGACATCCGTCGCATATGTGGTCATGGACATGGCTCGCTCGTTGTTATGTCGCTCGGGAACTGTCCGTCCGAGTTGAGTCATCGTTGCAGCACCGGGATGGTACGGCTGCTGGCGCGCGGCCGCAGAGGAGGTGTGATTGAAAGGAGTCGGCGGGGCAGGGGCCGGATGGGATGGTCCATTCAGTTTGGCCATCGACCGTGATCTCGTCGCATCGGAATTCAAGGCGGGAGGAGGCATTGGCCGGCCCAGGTCGCGGGGTTCCGGGTACTGGGGTGGCGGACCGGGTCTAGAATCCAAGCGTTGGGGTCGCGGATAGGCGAATCGTCCCCCCGCCCCTGGGTACTGTCGCGTGGGCGGGGGCTGCGAAGACATCGTCGCCGCCCCGGGTTTGTATGCTTGATACTGTCCAGGAGGGGGCGCTGGCGGATATCCATTTGGCGGCGCAGACGGTGGGGGTCCGTAACCATTCGCAACAGGTTGTCGTGTGGGCGGAGGCGGCGGTCTCTGAAATTGAGGGTGCGCCACGTGCGACGACATGGTGTGAGCGCGACCCTGTGAGAACTGTGGAGTCTGCGAATTCATGGTCTGGGAGCGTCCCGGGGGAGGTGCGCTTCCGAAGATGTCGTTGTACGCAGCATCTCGTTGCACGGCCGGGGCAGGGCCGTTGCCGTAAGGCCGGTAATTCCGGTTACGCTGGCCCCCCAAGTCTGCCATGTTCACACGGCCCGCGGTCAACGATAGAGGGGGTGGTCGTCAGGTAGAAGAAACGGTTCTATGCCGGAGGTCGGAAAGGACGAATAAAAGGGGGGAGGGGGTATCCGAGTCGATCGTAGAGAGCGTTTAGGGCGTCGCAAGAGTTCTGTTCAAGATGGTGGGCAACGGAAAGCAAAGGGAAGAAGGAAGTAGCAATTCCACGAGGAGCAATAGTCCAAGGGGAAGAAATAAGAATCGTCTCTGTGCAATGGTGCGTCCTCAATATGACATAGCTTCCCCTCCAGTTGACACCTGGGGGACGTTCGCCGGTTCAAAAGTCGTAACCGAAGAGCGCCAGGAGCCGTGAGCGCAACAAAGTCAAGGCTCCTTCCAAGTTCATACCCTCAGCATTCCTCCAGTGGGCGCCACCAAAAGAGGAGAGTGAAAGACGGGGAGGTGGAGGAGAACGTGATGGTGGTGGGTGGGTGGGGGGGTGGGTGGGTTAGGGAGCAGTGAATGTTGAAATGCCAGTGATAGCCTGGGGGACTAGGAGAGAGAGGAACGAGGATGAGGCGAGGGGACGGGCTGCCCGGTATGGTGGTAATTGGGTGACCAGAATGGGCAGATACCGCTACATCCTGCCGTGAAAGGCACAGCGCCGGCAGTACGGTACGGTCATGCTCCGAGGGGAAGCGCGGTAATGCGCTACGGCGGGCCAAGTGACCCTCCTGCAACACCCAAGGAGAAGCGCACCTGGCAGCAAACCATCTCCGCTAGCTGCTCGCTGTCTTCAGTGTCACCTCCTCGACAGCTCTCATCTCTCTCTGGAACTAGGTCTCAGATTTGCACGATCTCCATCATGGCGGACAGTGAGCTGGCGCCCAAGTTCGCCCCATTCTTCTCCTTCGTGAGTGGCCCGATGGAAGCTCCCGCTGGGAAACGTCCAAACTAACCAGTCTCTACAAATAGGCCGGCATTGCTGCTGCAGTGAGTCGATCGAAACCCTCAGACCGTTACAACCAGCATGCTAACTATTCTTCTCCTCGAAGATGATCTTCGGGGGTACGTGACTTGTGGACAGATGGTCTTGGTTGGTGGACACATAGCTTACAATTTCACAGCCGGAGGCGCAGCTTATGGCACAGCGAAGTCGGGTATCGGTATTGCGGGCGTGGGCACCTTCCGCCCAGACCTGATCATGAAGGTGAGAAGCAAAGAAAAGACTGGCGACCGGGGCTGCCAACAGCCATTTGTGGACATGGCAGACAGAGTAGCTAACCGGCTTGCTTCCACAGTCCCTCATCCCCGTCGTCATGTCCGGTATCATTGCGGTCTACGGTCTCGTCATCTCGGTGCTCATCGCAGGAGCTGTCAATCCAGCTCAGCAACAAAGTTTGTACACGTATGTCTGCGAAGCTGGAAGGAGCTCGTGTGCGCATGGCTGACATGTCGGTTAATAGAGGATTTATGCACCTTGCTGCCGGGTTGTCAGTTGGTCTCTCCGGTATCGCAGCCGGCTACACTATTGGAATTGTCGGTGATGCTGTAAGGATGTCGATTCTCCGTGTTTTATCGGTGATATGCAGCTCTAACTGCGGTCTTAGGGTGTCCGGGCTTACATGCAACAATCGCGGGTCTATGTCGGCATGATTCTGATTTTGATTTTCGGCGAAGTTCTGGGTCTCTATGGGTAAGTCTCCGAGATGAGGACCAGGGTGTTCTTAGATCCTTTGCTAACGCGACGACCAGCTTGATTGTCGGCTTGATTTTGAACTCGAAGTCTTGAAATCGCACTCGCTTTTGTTCTTTCCTTTATGCACTCGCTGTTCCGGCGCATATTCCCACATCATCTTGAGCCCAGATGCTTACCATTTGATCGCTGCGACCCGTTCGCGCAGAATGCCCAAGCGCTAGGCGTCTCTGGGGGTGGGAGATCCAGATCTGGGCCGGCTGTCATCTGGATCGCCTGGACTTTATCTCTGTTGTATTTTCGGGGTGTATTATAAGGGGCCTTGTTCGCATATAGATTCGGGTTGAATGAAACCAGCAACGGGGTCGAGCCCAGTGATGATTCCGATTTATCACCGTAGTTCCCTATCCGTCCAGCCCCGCCCCCATAAGATACGTCAGAGCTGGCAGAACTTCCCTTTGCAAGTCTCTGCCCCGCGCTTGCTCAGAAACCCCCCGTTTTTTCCCTGGGACTGCACCTGCAAATGTTTCTGCTTTGATCTGAAACCCCCGGAATCGAGCTGGGGTGCCGACGCGATTGGTGGCGCGCTAACCGGGTGGGCTCCTATACACCTTTTTTTCTGCTTCTCACCACAGCAAGAGACATGCTCTCTTGCCATTGAAATGGCGACCGGAACTGTCGAACATTCGACATCAGCTGAGGTGCAGGGCAGTCCTGTTCCTTCCAGGAACAAGGATATGCGCTCTCACGACATCCACGAGAAGGAGAAGCGCCTCGTCCAGTCCATCCGTCCGTCTCCGCAGCGATCTGCGAACCCATTCCTTATCAACGAGCGCCAGGACGAAAAACAACTAAGTATCTCCTCAAGGAGCTTGCTTTTGAATGACTTTGTGCTCATAAAGACTCTGGGAACTGGTGAGGATCCCCCTTCGCGCGCATGTCGTGCTCGCGCAACGCTTCGCTGTCTGACAGATTCTCTTTGTGATCCACAGGCACTTTCGCTCGAGTGTGGCTTGCACGGTTGAAGGCCCAGACGGACAAAAGCAAGGTGTATGCGCTGAAGATTTTGCGGAAGGCAGATGGTACGCAGGGGACTTTCGCCCCAGACCTGCATGGCGCCCTGAGCTAACCTTCGCCGTTTATCGATGATCAGTGATCAAGCTGAAGCAGGTCGAGCATGTACGCAATGAGCGCAAAACCCTCGCTGCGGTTATCGGACATCCTTTCATCACAACTCTCGTCGCGTCATTCTCAGACGAACAAAACCTCTATATGTTGGTATGGCTTGGCTCGATCTCCCTCGTGGGCTACTTGTCTCGGGTTCCTGCGGGACGCTAACCAGTCACAGTTGGACTTTTGCCCTGGAGGTGAGATCTTCACCTATCTCCGACGAGCACGACGCTTCAATGAAGAAACCTCGAGATTCTATGCGGCGGAGATCACGATGACAATTGAGTACCTACACGATGTTCAAGGAGTAGCCTATCGCGACCTCAAGCCGGAAAATATTCTTTTGGACGCCGACGGCCATATCAAGCTTGTCGACTTTGGTTTTGCCAAGCAGGTTGGCAATCGTGAGACCTACACGCTCTGCGGTACTCCTGAATATCTAGCTCCGGAGGTCATCCATAACAGCGGCCACAGTCTTGCTGTTGATTGGTGGGCTCTCGGCATTCTGATCTATGAATTCCTAGTCGGACAGCCTCCCTTCTGGGACCAAAATCCTATGCGCATCTATGAGCAGATTGTCGAAGGTCGACTGCGATTTCCACCCAACATGCCTGCAGCAGCACAGAACATCGTCTCGCTGCTCTGCAAAACCAATCCCTCGGAGCGTCTGGGCCATATCTCCGGCGGCTCAACTCGAGTCAAGTCCCACCCATTCTTCCAAGATGTGGCTTGGGATGACTTGTTTTACCGTCGCGTCAAGGGACCGATCATTCCCCGAGTACTACATCCGGCAGACACGGGTAACTTTGAGGAGTATCCAGACTCCGACAACCGCAACCAGAATATTTACACCGAGGACCTGAAAAAGAAATTCGAGCCTCTTTTCGCTGATTTCTGAGACGTTGGTGTTTGAAAGGTGCTCGAGTATTATTTGTTTCAACAACCCTCTTCCCCGATGCCGGTCTCGATGCGGGGATCACTGTTCATTTCCTGGCTTGTCACAGTCACTCCGCTCCGCCAGTAAAGGTTTCCTAGTCTCTCGATCTGTTTCTGTGCTTGATCCTTCTTTCTTCGATCGAGGCCACCACGAGAGAACTCTCTTGGTGTACCTTGCCACATATGGCCCGAGACCAACTCCCGTACGTCGACCCTACCAAACCTTCACCTAGCCCCTCCACTGGTATGGTACCATAGGGGCTATTCTCGTCACCAATGACTTTCCATTTTGTCCTATGTCGGGGGAATCCACTTCCTAAGGACGCCGGGTGGCTGTCTGATATCAGCGCTCTCTTCCCCCGATAATCCAAGATATAATCTGCCGCCCATCTCGATTGCAACTTATTTCATGTCCACTGCGCATTGGTGGACTCTGTACCCACCTAATGATTGTGATTTACATCCATTACTTCGTAATGCATCCACGTGGCAACTCATGTTCTTATTTGAGACCATCGGGACAGTTGTTCGTTATTGGACTGAACGTGTGATTATGCAAATTAGCTAGTACATACTTCTATCACAAATATAGTTTTTCCACGTCGTTGATTTACACCAGGTATTGCAGTCGCATTTTTAGCTGCTTCTTGTTGAGGATGCAGCTCTTGCCTGGATAGCTCTTGCTTATGTCTTAAATCCCCGAAATACTCACGGTACTTCCTCCGCCAAAATTGGGTATCAGCGGCGTCCTATTCCAACGCATCACACGTATTCATGTTCAGCCAGTTTCACAACGGGCTCCCTGAAACTTTGTCTATAGATTTTTTTGCCATTGAATAGAGCATTTACTAGTTCACAAGAGCCATGTTGGCCCTATCTATCATTTGTAGCGCTGCTATCAAAGTCTAACAATCTAGAATATAGTGATATGACAAGAAGAAAGATAAGAGAATCATATGTACTGTTGTTCATAAACATAAATCACAAGGAAACACCTTCCAGTCGCTGTAACTTAGCCTACAGATGTTTCAGCACTCAGAGCCTATGACATGCTCTTTTGCCAGGCAAATGGACTTGAAAAGCCCTAATCAGCAAATGCTGCAACTAAAAATATAGAAGGAGCCTAGGACTTAATGTGAATGGTGGAACCGCAAGACGGTGCCTATAGCAAGACAGATTAAGAACGGAGAGAAAGGCTCTAAACAAAGCATTTCAAGGTGGAGACTCAGTCTCCAATGTGCTTTTCGCGTATGAAAGATGAATAATGCCGATTGGTGCTTCAAAAAAGATGCGGTCCAATAATACAAGCGGTGTCTCGGAATCGTATAAAGGGTATCTCAAAGGCGAACCTTATTTCATAGAGAAGGGTCTGTCTTCCATGAGCCTAGTCACAAGAATCATCAGCGTCTGGTCGTAATATGAATTTCGAGAGTATTTGTACCATCAAAGTTATGCTTCACAAAAGCCATAGGGTGGTCAGTATCCATGGCACCCATTTGCCCAACGCCAGGGCTGAAGCTTGTGATCGGCAAAACGACCGCATCTCCCATCTTTCGGTGCGTGGTCTGACCACTGAAGTCCTCGTACGTCACGTTCTTCTCCCCGGGCAGAATACGGAAGTACTCCGGGTTGTTGAAATAGCGGAAGACGGCATCAGTCCAGGCGCCTGGGCCCGTAAATTCCATCACGGTCTTATCCATTTTGCCCACTTTGAGAATGCCAGCTCTCTTCATGCGAATAGCCTCTTCCGTGATGTATGCGACCATGTCGCGCAGAATCGGGTGGCCCGGTTTCGCGCCGATAGTCCACTGGCAAAATTGGATGCGACGCGAGTACCAATCGTGCCAGTCAGGGCGGTCCGGGTCGGCTTCAATGCCAACAATAAAGCCCACCTTCGATCGGTCCAGCTCATCGGGCAACCAGTATGGGGCTGGTTTGAGTGCAATGGTGTCAATATCACTGTAGATTCCGCCCCGCGCAAGCAGGACAAGGTACCGGAAGAAATCCGCCTTCATGACCGCGAGCGGCAAAGCATCATAGGCTTCAAAGACATCTGGCAGAGATCCATAAAGATACTGGATCAGATGCCTCTGCGTATCATCGCCAATTACTTCATGCGTAAACCCCGGGTGTAATTCCGTCCAGCTTGCCTCGGCAGCACGAAGGTTCTCATCAAACCATGCCGAGGACGGGGCGTATTTCCATGTTTGCCAGATGTATGCAGGGAATCGGCTTCGGAGATCGTAGGGAAATTGGTATCGGAGGCGATCGCGTAGTGGTGCAGTCCCGTAGGTACCGAGGGCTTGTTGTTGCCGAGTCTTTGTCTTCTTCTTAGGGCGTAACAGCGACTCCTGCTCCTCGTCGAATATCTCCTGAACGGGCTTGTAACCAGGGGCCCCGGGGACGTCGGCGGGTCGACTCGAGCGGATGAGGAAGATGAAGGCGACGAGGCAGATCGCGGCGAGTAAGAACTTGCGGAAAGTCGGCATGTTGGGCGGCGGGCGGCGGGCAGCGGCGCAATCGGGTGGAATGCCCCCCTGTCAAGGTTCTGCTGGCCACGCGCGCTGGTAAGACGAGGCGACCACACCTTCCAGTTGTGTGGCGGGCAATGCGCGAGCTCGGAGTCCGGGTCGGGAGATGCGGGAAGCGATCGGCTGGCCAGGCCAGAGTCGCGTATTGATTGTCGGAGAAAATTTAAGCTCAGGTCGATCAAGGAATTGACATTGCGATCTCACAGGGCTGTCGCATATACCCGATCCGTAATTCCACAATGCGACCTCGATGCCGGTCGGAGGTCGGAGGTACACCGTCGTGCCGCAAACAGAATAGGAGGCGTGCCGGCACAGGACAGAGCCTCGGGCCGGGTTTGGGTCCGAGAAGTGATGGACAAAGGAGAAAAATAGAAGCCAACCCACGCTGACTGGCAGCGATCGATCCGGGCCTGCCTGCAGTTTTATGGTGGAAAAGGGAGAGGATTGCGTATGCTGCGACAGTTGGGGCACATCTACACCCGTTTGGGTGGAGCCACTCACGTGGCCTGAGATGTGCTCGATAACCACTCCGTTCAGTTACATGCTTAGCAGATCGCTTTTCTTCGTTTCTCATTTTATGCATGACTGAAAGGAGTTAGACATGTGTCAGAAATGCCAATAGCTTTCCCACATTTTCCATACTCTTGTGACTCCTGCCGATCTGAGTCGCTTCGCGGACAGCTGCTTCGCCAGTGCTAATTAGCCCGCCCCTTGATTGGCAGTGATGGGCTCCAGGAGTTTCGAAACTGATCTCCCACCCCATAGACATCGTTCCAATAGAGGCTACTGTCATCTTCAAGCATCCATATTTCTATAACAGGTCAAAAAGTTGGGGCAGCCCCTTGCCTTTTAAGATAAATTGGGTTACTCTCTGGCCGATGCCTGCCCGCGCCATACCTATACAAGACTCGGCACAGCTCCAGGGCTTCACACGCTTGCCAGTGTGACAATGCGACCAACAGTGTCTGCAGTCACGAGGGTGGAAGCAACCAACCGCCTGGAGATGATGCAGATACCAAGCACACATCGACGATTAGATGACGTATCAGGGGCTTCCAGACAAGCTCTGGCGCCCAAGCAGCCAAGAGATTGCCAAGCCATCCAAGGTCGGCTTGCGCATAATGGTCCTGAGCATGTCCGCCCCGAACGCCCCCCGGCCAGGGACATGACCAACAGCAGGACATAATTCAAATTTGGCGAGAGTTATGGGGCAAGTGTTAATAAGTCCACCTAACAATATAATACCTAAAAATACAAGTACTCCTCAGTGTCTCCTACAAATCTGAAGGTGAAGAACTGTGGCAGATATATACGGCAGATATATACTTTCCCACACCTGGAAGGCCATGATTAGTCGACACAAAATATCTACAGGTTTAGATACGCCCCGAGGCATGTACCCCCTTTCAAATTATTTCACCCGGGGCTTGAATTCTTTGTACGAGTAGGCCATGTGGGTTGGCAGATATGAAATAGAGCTGCACGTAATGGATTGATTGCCGATCTCATCATCAACTCTAGCTGGAAGAAATTTGACAGAAGAAGCCTCCTTTCTCGCGCCGCTTCCGCCTCAGGTGGCTTCTTGTTCCCATGTGAGGCTTGCAAAAAGATTCGCAGTTTCGACAGATGCTTACCATAGTCTTCTAGTGACTGTTGAAGGATATTCAGATCCTCGGTGGAAGCCAATCCATTTCGCAGGCCGTAGGGCGTGCTCAATGAAACTCCAATCGAGCAATATTGATCCGCTAACGAGACTCAAATCTAAGGATTATGGCCAACGCCCAAGCAGGTTGATCTTGGTCATGTAGCTGACAACTCGCGCCACCAACACCTCTGAGAAAGCGACGTGCCAGGTGGGGGGAGTACAAGAAGATCATCCAGGCTATACATGACCAGGGTATATTGGGGGAAGGTATCCCAGCCAGCCTTCGAGCTAGGGGGTACGCTTCTTGGGAGTCTTGACCACATTGGTGGAGGATGAAGCCTTTGCAACAGGCTTGGCAACAACAAGGCCACTCTCCTCAGCAGCACGAACAAGAGGATGTCCAGGATTCTGATCTTTCAGGGGTTCCAGGATGAAATCAGGAAGAATTGCACCCATTCTGAAGGAACACTTTAAAGGCTAGGGCGGGGGCCAATCAGGGGTTTAGGAAGGCAGGAGTTCAGCTGAGGCTCTCTCTGTCTGGGCGCTGGTTCTGACATCGAATTGGTATGCTGGCACCCGTTCGCTGTCTTACTGGGTCATGTTATATCTCTGCTTCACACTAGAATGCAGCGTGTCTGGTAATGGGATTCACATACCAACGAGGTGAGTCATACGGTGAATACAGTGATAGGAATCAAAGCAATCGCAGTTCATTTTAGTTGTCGCTTCCACAGAATTTCGACCCATACAGTTTGTTGGGCATTCACCTCGATGCCTCCTATGGCTGAAACTGAGAAAAAAAATCTAAGATGAAGCCTTTGAATACCTGCCAGGTGAATCAGCTGATGTATTTGAGAAAAATCAAGCGGACCTACGGGCAGCATTTACGCACCTAGTAGAGCAACATATTCAACGTATTTTTTATGCTAGACTGAGGCTTAGAGCAATCCGACAAAGGTCGAGAGAACATAGTCTAACCCAAATAATCAGCGAAGGCCATCTTTCGACAGAAACCACCGCGGGTTTGCATTCAAAAAGAATACCACCGCCAAGATTGGAAGTGTATGTATTTGATAGCGAGAGACTATAATCGCCCAGGGGGTCAACAGTAACAACGAACTTGGACCAAATGATAGGCGATGTTATTATAGAAAGCCACTTTAATGGTAGAAAGGAAGAATTGGGGCTTCGCCGCTACGCTTACCGTTGCGGGACAAGTGTGATATCCAGCTTGGTTATCCATTCCTATGATGTTACTGCCTATGGCGTGCCATAGAAATCGAACCAAGAGTACCTACTTCACGGCGACTTGCTCTCGTCAATTTGATGCACCAGTATATAATAATATATGTACTGTTTACTCGGCATGTATAACTGTGGATATTCTGATACCGTGCTAGAACGGAGTCTATGGGCAGCACCTTACCAAAAGCAGAGCAACGTGGTCCACGTGGGTGCTCGAGTTCACGTGGGTTCACGAGTTGGCGTGGGTGGCTCGGGCACGTTTCACGCGAGCTTGGCGCGGATTTCTACCTCTTCTCCGTCCGTCCGTCGTTCCGAATTATGCGGAGTATCTTACTGCACTCGTCCCCAACCCATAAATCAGAAGCCCGAATGAGTAACTGGATTGAAGCAGAAACCCCGTACGATCAAATCGTGCTGCCTGGCCGATCCCAGTTGCCCAATCGTGGCCCCCGCCTGGCCGTGGAACCTTTGACCTCCCGCGCCACCGCAGCGAAGCCCGGGAGAATCGCCAGAAGCGTTCCCATGCAGCCGACGGGTATGCATACACAACTTGAGGCGTTTCCCCTTCTCTCGGAAGATTTGGTCTAGCTTGGCCCCCGGGAAAATCGCATCGCCCTCGGTGCCCGCACCAGACAAAATGCACTGCGCCCGTCCGTTAGGGGATCAACAGGAGAAACGGGTCCACCGCTAACCCTGAACCAGCAAGAGATGGGCAATAAGTTGACAGTACCACGCCGTTTATTGGCCAGTCCAGTTCCTTGCCGGCCGCTCTAAAAGCTTGGCCTGCGGGGGATTCGATTCTCCCTCCCCTGCTGGCCTCAGCCTCCTGGGGGATGAGGGGCCAACACACAGGGTCCACGGATCGCCCAATGCTGTGATGCATCGAGACTCTGTGGTGGAAATGCGGGCTTTCGCGATTTGGCAAGTCCACTTCTCGCGGTCAAAATCCCCTCCATGGAACTAAGGTTCATGGTCTCATTTTGGCCGCAGGTTGTGTGATTATGGGGGGCATGTGAACCCGAACGGAGAACGAAGGCCTCCGTCTGAGTCTGACCGGGCTGAATGGCTTATCGTCTGGAGCATGTCCATCCAAATTCTGCTTCTGTGACTAAGTCGCCGCAGCCAATCGGTCGCGTGTCGGCTCTTTAACCCCCGTTTCACATCTATTTTTTCCCGTCCACGCTACTCCGTACACAAGCCGCTCTCCGCAGCCCCGTAGACCCCGTATAAAGGCAAAGCCACCCGCTTCATGCTCTCGCCACTTTCTTCGTTCGGCCCTCAGGATCTACAACAGAGCAGCCCCAGGCGGAAGGGCTTGTGATGGACAGCCTTCCTAACACCTCGCGCACTATCCGTAATTGACTCGGTGCGCAGAGCCTTGTCCATTCCACAGCCTCACGCCAGATACCGGACGGCTTTTATTACTCGCGCCGCTGCCCTGCAGAAGCTGATCTCATCTGCGCCCCGAAAATACCGCCCACCCTTGCGACTGTGACTGCGCTGGAAGCATCTCTCGGCAACTCCTCAAAATGCTGGACTTCTTCGCACCCGGGCGTTCAAAGGACGCGACCGCAATGCCCACAACATCGGTTCAGTCTCTTTCTGGAAGTCAACTCTCTGGCATTGAGTCTCCATTGGAACAAAGGTCGTTGGAAAACGCCAAAGGTGGAGACTGGAAAGGGCTTTTCTCTCGACCTTTTACCCGGCGACAGATTGTAATCCTCAGCGCCGTGGGACTCTTGCTCTTGGCTCTTCTAGCCCTTGTCATTGCCCTGCCGGTCGTTTTGACAAGAGCCGGAAAAAACAAGGACGCCGGTGATACATACCATCTCTACCCGACCAAACATGAGGACCCCAGCTACCGTATTTTGGAGAACAAACCCGTCTATGCAATCCACAACTTCCCCGATCCAGGACTCCTCAACTACAATGGAACGTGGTATGCCTATGGAACGAACCCACACAAGCATGATCCGGAATCCATTCACATCCCCGTCGCGACGTCGACGAACTTCGTGAACTGGACTCTCCACGAGGGCTATGATGCGATGCCAACGCTCGGTAACTGGGAGGAGTCAGTCAATCATTGGGCGCCCGATGTGATTCAGCGGGTAAGTCTCGCATTCATTCGAAGCTGTAGAAACATATGAGGATTTTTGTTTCTAATATGCTATCTAGGATGACGGGAAGTTTGTTCTCTACTATTCCGGCCAAACAAATAACTTCAATAAACACCACTGTATCGGAGCGGCAGTCTCAACGGGCACAGATCCTCTGGGACCCTACATCCCTCTCAACGAGTCTCTAGCCTGTCCCCACAAGCACGGCGGGGCCATCGATCCCTCGCCATTCAGAGATGCAGATGGCAAGCTTTACGTGGTCTACAAGGGCGACGGAAACAGCGTTGGTCGCGGTGGCTTCTGCGGCAACAGCATTAAGCCGCTAGTCCCAGTCCCGCTTATCCTCCAAGAGCTGGAAAGCGACGGCATCACCAAGGTCGGCGAGCCCGAGATCATCCTAAACATCAATGACACCGATGGTCCGCTGATCGAAGCTCCCAACATCATCCGCAAGGACGACGGTACCTACTACCTCTTTTTCTCGTCACATTGCTTCACCTCGCTGGGTTATAATGTGAAGTATGCACATGCCAAGTCGGTCAAGGGCCCCTATACTCGCGTCAATCGCCCATTGCTGCAGACGAATGACTTTGGGCTCGAAGCACCTGGTGGCGCTACCTTGTCGCATGATGGAACCAAGATCGTCTTTCACGCAGACTGCGACGGATTCCGGTGTATGTATGCCGGCGGTGTCGACATTCGATCCACCAACGACACCATCGTCATGGCGACACTGGAAATTGATGGTTCTGGATCTTCGAACACCACGAATACTACTACTACCACCACCACTGCCGACAGCACCTAGTGGACTGGCCCAGCCCAGACCCGTTATTATGCAAGGGATTTGGCCAACCCGCCTTTTTCTTAATTTTCTTTTGGATTTGTCTATTGGCATTGCATTGCATCAAGCGTTCTGAGCCTTTTTGATTTCCTCGAACCAATGATACCCGCGTGATGGTTCATAGACACCGCATCTGTGATTCGGCAGGCGTTATCAGCATTATGTGAATAAAGTGAATTAATTTCATGACTTTTTATCTCCATTTTTAATTTCTGTTGTTGGAGGACTCGTACATCCTAGAAATAAAGCCCGCGGGAAGACCGTGGTGCCCCCACCAATCAACGCGTGGCCAGATGACGCCATGCGTATATTTATGCCTCAGGCACAAACATAGTTCTCCGCCTGCGTAATCGGGGAATATAACATGGCTATCTTCGACAGCTGACAATTGCAACTGCCTCTTGGTTCTCATACCACCATACTGCTTGTCGAAATGGGTTCGCTCCAGGGCGCAGCCCGTTCCGCCTCGCGCACGCTTCGAGCCACACGATGGCGACCCAGCGAGCCGGCATCTTTACTCCGCGGCCCAGGTCGGCCGTTGTCGGCGCATTCGAAAGCACTGCACACCGTGCCCCCACGAAAGTCCTCCGCCGCAACAGCGACAGTAAAGGACTCGACGAACCCGGCGTTATCATTCCCCTGCCTCGATGCCCAGGATGCCAAGTCGGCGCTGCTCTCTGCCCGGTCCCTGCAATCGGGGCCGGAGCCCTCGTACACGACCGGCCAACACGAGCAGTTCCACTGTGAAGACCCGCTACTCCTCGACTGGGGTGGTGTGCTGCCGGAGTTTGACATTGCATATGAAACCTGGGGTCAACTGAACAGCGACAAAAGCAATGCGATCCTCCTGCACACTGGATTGTCAGCTTCCAGCCACGCGCATAGCACCGCTTCGAATCCGAAGCCTGGTTGGTGGGAGAAGTTCATTGGCCCTGGTCTGCCGCTGGACACAGACAAGTATTTTGTGATTTGTACGAATGTGTTGGGTGGCTGCTACGGCAGCACGGGGCCGTCCTCGGTGGATCCGTCGGACGGGCAGCGGTATGCGACGCGCTTCCCGATCCTGACGCTGGACGACATGGTGCGCGCCCAGTTCCGCCTTCTGGATGGCCTTGGCATCCAGAAGCTGGCGGCGTCTGTCGGGTCCAGCATGGGAGGCATGCAGAGTTTGGCGGCAGGTGTGCTGTTCCCCGAGCGCGTGGGAAAGATCGTTAGCATCAGCGGCTGTGCTCGCAGCCACCCGTACAGTATTGCGATGCGGCACACGCAGCGCCAGGTGCTGATGATGGACCCGAAATGGGCGCGGGGCTTTTACTACGATGCCATCCCGCCGCATTCGGGCATGAAGCTGGCGCGGGAGATTGCTACTGTCACTTACCGCAGCGGGCCCGAGTGGGAGATGCGATTTGGTCGTCGCCGCGCTGATCCCAGCAGGCAGCCGGCGCTGTGTCCGGACTTCCTCATTGAAACATACCTTGACCACGCCGGCGAAAAGTTCTGTTTGGAGTATGATCCTAACAGCTTGCTGTATGTCTCCAAGGCTATGGATCTGTTCGATCTCGGCCATGACCACCAGACTCAGACACGTCGCCGGCGTGCCGAAGCCGAGTCTCGCATCGCCAGCGGTGACATCTCGTCCGACGTGTCCGACCCCGCCTGCAGCCTGACTCTGCCCGACAAGCCATACGAGGAACAGCCTCAGGCTACTGCATTGGTGCCTCCTCTCGACCAGTCGGTCACCTCTGCAGGGCCCGCGGGCCCCCCACTGGACCTAGTCGCCGGCCTTTCCCCTCTAAAGAACCACCCAGTTCTTGTGATGGGAGTCGCCAGCGACATCCTCTTCCCTGCCTGGCAGCAGCGCGAGATCGCCGAGACTCTCCGTGCCGGCGGCAACAAGACCGTTGAGCACATCGAGCTGGGTGAGGATCTATCAATGTTCGGTCACGATACTTTCCTGCTTGACCTGAAAAACATCGGGGGTGCTCTGGGCCGGTTCCTCAAGTGAACAGCGCAGGGCTTTCCCCTGTGTGTATTGAGTTGATTGTTTTATTGGCCATTGGCCATCTGTACATTTATTTCGCAGCGCGCGGCGGTCAAAATAATGCATTAGCAGGCGTTTTATATCTTGAAAGAAACACTACTCTTTTGCTCATAAATAATTATCTTCCCATGTCCTGGTCCTGGTCACTGTAGCTCTCCGGTAACGGGAATGGCAAAGGCGTACATAAGGTACTGTCGTGATGGCTCAGATGTTGGCGTGATCCTCAGCTGGCAGAAAGCTCTTGCGGCTTCGAAGACAAGAGTTTTAATATGAACAAGCACATTGCATAAAAATCAGATGGTCCCTCAGAAAAGCTCCCAATTGTGTATTCACCGGCAACCAGATCATGAGGTGTCTGATAGACACCCACCCGAGGGCGTCGGTTGCCTGCATAATTGGCTTTGGATTCATCACCGGGCGGAAAAGAAAAAAAAAGTCTGATAATCATAATCAAAAGAAAGAGGGAACCCGATTAAGGTGTTATATTTTGATTTGCCTGTTAATAAAGTATTGATCTCTAAACTCAATGAACAGCTAACACCCTCGGATTGAAAACTACCGTTTTGTGTCACTCGTCACGGGCATGCTCAACGCCGTTGCCTTGCGAGGTGTACAGACGGAGCATGGAATATACGCCTCGGAGTGTGCGACAGAATGTCTTCGTCATGGGGCGGGCTGTCAAGAACAAGGAGAGGTCCTAGATACGACAATGAGAGAAAGAAAACAGTCGACAGAAGCATTCATTCTGAGATATGTTAGTATGTACATTGGCCAGGTCCATGAGCAAGTCAAATTCGGATTTCGATATCAAAACAAAGTAACCGGGACGCGAGCAGATATAAAAGAACCATATTGAGTGTCGGTCTCTTGGATTTCTGTTCATTTTCTCAGTCACACACAGCTGGGCATATGTCCTCTTCCACAAGGAGGCAGCTGTGCCGCCGAGGGATGAAGTCCACAGCCCAATCCAGTGAACCGGACGTGTCGTGAGAAGCTCTTAACATGTGAGGGATATCGTCATCGAGATTGAGAACCAATTGATTCTCTCAAATCTGTCGAGGAATATTAGCTCCTATAACGACCCCAGGATTCAATTTGAGGCAAAATAACGTACCTGCTGCGTTAACAGCGCGAGATGCAAGTGGCAGATCGCGCGGCGACGTGTCGTCGGTTTTGGCGTTCGAGCGGCCGCGGCCTCTCACGTGATAGCGTCTTTCGTGGTTCCACTGATGAACGCATAGCTTGCAGCTGCGCATGCCTTATAAGAGGTCGCCAGCACCAACGGCGCTTGTGACGGTAAGTACTCTGAATTCCCCTGGCAATATGGCGCCCCCAGCTTCCAAATGGTGGCAAGCCCCCGAAGACGCCGACCTCGATTACGGATTCGAATCTGACGACATGGAAGTTAGATTCGCCAAACCTGCTCAGACTTCCCGCCGCCCTCGCTCCCGCGAAGAACTAGGAAAATTGGGCGCACAAGCTCAGGAACCGGATTCTAGTGAGAGAGGAGTATTTGGAAATATGTCGTCTTGGTTTCACCGACAGGCTGGGTCGCAGAATTCCCAACTTGCGACGACGGCGGTGCTCTCTGGTGCCGCTGTTGCGGGTGCGATTTTTGGGTACCAGGCTTATAGGAGGAAGGAGGCGGTACATGACTTGAAGGCGTCTATCCCGGGGCTTGATGAGGAGCATCACGCGGAGAAAGTGAGCTATTTCCTGGAGGAGTTAAAACTGCGAATCTCAATCGAGGACGTATTCGGCAGAAGGCTGATTAACTTACTGGGATACAGCTTACTCAATACGGTGTCGCGGACAATGGAACCCCTTTGAGCAAGGAGGATGAGCGCAGCGCTGCTTTGGCTCGCAGGGCGCAGCAGGGGGACTACGATGATGGTACGGAGCCGCAGCTTTCTATACTTGAATTTTGTGTGAAACCAGGCTAACGGGTCACCATTCGATTTACAGACCTGATCCTGGAACAGCTCGCCCGAAACCGTGTATTCCTCACAGACGAAGGTCTTGCGAAGCTGCGATCATCATTTATCGTCGTCGTCGGCTGCGGAGGTGTTGGATCGCATGCCGCTGCCTCATTGGCTCGCTCGGGTGTCTCCAAGATCCGCCTGATCGATTTCGACCAAGTCACCTTGTCCTCGCTCAACCGTCACGCCTTGGCCACACTAGCCGATGTTGGAACTCCGAAGGTACACTGTATCAGGAGGCGGTTGGAGCAGATTGCTCCCTGGGTGATGTTCGACTGCCGCAATGAGCTCTTTGGCAAGGATGCCGCAGATCGTCTTCTCGGCCCGTGGACCTTGACGCATGAAGGGGAAGGACGTCGGCCGGACTTCGTGCTGGACTGCATTGATAACATCACCTCCAAAGTAGACCTGCTGCATTACTGCCATAAGAACTCCCTGCCCGTGATCTCATCCATGGGCGCTGGTTGCAAGTCCGACCCGACTCGCGTCGTGGTTGGAGATATCTCTACCAGCACAGATGACCCCCTCTCCCGCAGCACACGGCGCAAGTTGAAGGCTATGGGAGTCAGCTCTGGCATCCCGACTGTGTTCTCGACTGAACGATCTTCGCCTGGCAAGGCCAGCCTGCTCCCGCTCCCAGACGATGAGTTTGCCAAGGGCCAGGTGGGCGAGCTCGGCGTCCTCCCCGACTTCCGCGTCCGCATTCTGCCTGTGTTGGGCACGATGCCCGCTGTCTTTGGCTACACCTTGGCCAACCACGTAATCTGCAGCGTGTCCGGTTATCCAATTGATTATAACACAGCTGGAAAGGGCCGTGAGAAGCTGTACGATGCTATCTTGGCCTTCCTCACGGGCTTCCTGGAGAAGCAAGTGCGCCAAGTCGCCGGCCAGGATGCTGTAGGCCTGCGCCTTCCGATAAACAAGGATGACATCCAATATATCGTGGAGGAGGTCTTTAGAGGCAAGAGCGTTGTTACCGGCCTGTCCACCCGGCTCGTGTTGATTCCCTGGGAGGTGCCATCTCGAGGATTCACGATGGACTTGACCTGGGAGCAGGACGGACAGAAACTTTACCCACTCGATCCGGCGGAATTGGTCTGTATGACTAAAGACGAGGCCACGCGCCACGAGCGTGAGGTGCTTCGTGGGGGCAAGAAAGTGGAGGAAGTATATGACGAGACCGTGCTGCAACGGGTGAGCCTGCGGAAAAAGGAAACCGAAGAATGGAAGAAAGAAACCGAAGAGTACTTCCGAGTGCAATAGCCGCCTTCTCCTGAGCGAAACAGCCAAACAGCATGAATGAAAAACATTTGCATGAGTAATTCAAGCACGAATACTCCATACACACTGTAGACTGTGTAGATGCTGTCGATCGCTGCCGGACCCGGGAAAACGACCAGGCGACAAAAATAGAGCGGATCGGCCGAGGATCCGCCCGATAACCAAAAGCCACTCCAGCCACCACCCCCGGGGCCCAAACCCCAAAGGAACCGAACGCCAGCGCTGCGAGGCCTAGCTCTGCCAAGCTCACCCAGTCGTGCAGAGCGGCCTTTGAGAATCCAACCCTCCTCCTATCTCCCTTGCTTCACATTACCCGCCCAGGACGACACCAAGGGCGAGGCCGCACTACCATGGCCTCTTACGACTCCGACCACGAACTCGACGACTCGTACTATCAGGCAACCCACCAACCACCCTCATCATCACGCTTTCCCCGCCTCTCCCGGCCCCTCATCGACTCTGCTCGCAACGGCTGGCAATCTAGTCCGGCATACCATTTCCTCTCCTCCTCGCCTGACAACACCAAAGACCCGGACTGGGTACAAATCGGCCGGTCCGTCATCTCCGCGCCGCGCTTCCGACGCTACGTGGTCATCTACCTCGTCCTATTCCTGCTGGGCTGGGCAGGGTGGGGATTCATTTTATACCCTCTTCTCGAAGAGCGCAGCACCTTGCTACGTTCGCTAGATCCGATGTCCAAGGCGGAAGCCGGTGGGTGGTTTGGCACCAACTCGCCTCCTCGGTTCGACGACTTGATTCAAATTCGTACCCTGGATCCATCGCTGGTGCCTGTGGCCCGTACTGAGGGAGAGTCGAGAGGGGCGAGGAGCGAGAAGCGGTTGGTCGTGGTGGGAGATGTGCATGGGTGCAAGAAAGAGTGTAGGTTCATTCCGGGGTTGCGGGGGATATTTCATTCCTGACTTTCATTCTCTAGTGGAGGAACTACTCAAGAAGATCGAATTCTCCACAACGGATGGTGATCATCTTATTCTTACAGGGGATATAATCAACAAAGGGCCCGACAGTGCCGGGATTGTGGACCTCGCTCGCGAGCTTGGTGCCTCGTGTGTACGCGGCAACCACGAGGACCGCATCCTGCTTCTCCGACATGAGATGGTAGCGATGAACACCCTTTCTACCGGTGACGAGAAGAGCGTCAAACTACACGAGCCCTCCGAGAAGGAAGCTAAAGAGCGTGCACTGGCCCGCTCTCTGAGCGACGAGCAAACGCAGTGGCTTAACTCGTGCCCGGTCATTTTGAATGTTGGCTTAATTCCGGGAATGGGCCAAGTAGTTGTTGTGCATGGAGGTCTGGTCCCGGGGGTGGAGCTTGAAAAGCAGGACCCGTCAACCGTGATGACCATGCGAACCATTGACATCGACACCCATGTACCCAGCGAGTCGAGCGAGGGTGTGAAGTGGGCTAAGGTAAACCGTTTTCTTTCTACTCCTGGCCCTGGTGGTTTCCTGAACCTCGTGAACTAAACGTTCGATAGTTGTTTGACAAACACCAGTCTATCCTCTACTCGAGCCTCAAATCTTCACACGCAGACCCTCGCTCTCAAACAATGACTGTTATCTACGGCCACGACGCTAAAACAGGCCTCAAGATCCGGACACATACGAAGGGTCTGGACACGGGATGTGTTAAAGGCGGTAAATTGACTGCCTTGGTCATTGAGGATGGCGGCAAGCAAAGCCTCGTGCAAGTGAACTGCCGCGACTACTCCGAGGACAAGAAAGACAAAAAGGATAAGCAGCACAAATAAATCCCCGTGAGCATTTTGGCTCATGGTTGGTTCATCGCGTTGCATTTGGCGGGTTGGCGTTAACTTTTGGGTGATTATATGGTCTGTATAATATCTGGATAAATCCTCTCGGGCACAGGTCCGCTGCATTCCGCGGCATGTCTTATATCCAATGTATTGGGGTTTAGCGTGGGTTCGGTTTCATCTTGGTCCGTGATATAATTGCTCAAGGCCGCTGCTTTCGAGTTCTATCGTCCTTCCATCTAAGAGCCTATCTATGAACAAACAAACTTCCAAGTTCCAATGCCTCCTGATGATGTTAACCCGCTAAGATGCGACATGCAGTATATGCCAGACGGAATCCGGAATCCGATCTAGTAAGAAACAGCCAAAGATTATCCCAGAACTGACAAGAATATAGAGATCTTCGAGCATCTACGTGGGATAGAAAAAGTTCCCATCGACAGCCCACGTCGAGGCAGCCGAGAAATCCTCATACCAGACCCCGCCCAACGCATTGAGATGGACATACCCAAGGCGGAAGTATTCGGGCTGGTTGTCGTGCTGGCGTGACCAGCTGAAATCCGGCAGAGAGCCGCCACCTTTCGGCTTGAACTCCTTGTATCGCAGCACGTCGTTGATGATCACGCCCATGCCATCGACATGCGAAGGTATTTCAGGGAACGAGAAAACAAGGTGGTTCTGGTCTTCTACGCGCGGTGGAGTGACTGGGGGTGGGGTGGTGCCCAAACGAGCTCCATCCAGGAGGGATGCAGGTGTTTGGAGAATAGAGTCGAAGCCCCAGCGGGCGATGCCGTTGATGAACAAGCCGACAAGGATGCCCTGGAATAAAAGGCTGGGTCGGGTTTGGAGCGTTGTGCCTGGGAGTAAGAGGAGTGCCAGGATATAGTGGTGGATGCGGAGGTTCATGTTTGGTACCAGAATGAGCGTGATGATGCCGGCTGACATGATGCCATAGAGACCCAACATGGGCAGCATACGGCCCTCCCGGCGGAAGGCGTATGCTTGGATGAAGATGACAATGATGAGAATGCTTATGATGATGATCAGGGCCGTGACGGCGCCCGGTTGCTGTTTGAGGTCGTGGGGTGTGAGACGGGAGATGGGGATGCGGTCGAAGGTATCGGTATTCAGGGCACCGACCCAGCAGCCACCCAGCCACAGGATGGTTTTGTCCGCGTGTGCCTCGAGGTTGCCGAGAGTCTTGCGCACGCAGAAGTAGTACAGCACAAAGCCGACGAAAGCGCCTGGGAGAAAACGACCCAGACCAACTTGCAACAGGCCATAGAAGCTCCCAGAACCAGGTGGGTCGGATGCCATGGCGACTTGGAACCAGACTATGAAGAAAGTGACGCTATAGAAGACTGGCGCCGAGGTCACTGTCATTGAAAGGACCGCTGTCACGCAGAGGGTGAACGCAAAGAGTGACCACCGGATGTCAAGGCACTCAACCAGCTTCGCGTCGCTCGGCCCCGATGAAGACGCCTGTCGGCTCAGAATGAATGACATCGGGAAATGGGGCTTGAAATTGATACTCTCAATGCCATTCTTGGTGTAGTTCTCGAAGTTGTTCCGCTCCCCACGTCGATGCAGGATGCCACAACCACCCTTTGCGTCGCTGATCATCCCTGCATGCAGCGCGGACGCACAAATGGATGAGTCGCCGCGGTAGATGCCACTGTTGAGGCCGTCCAGCCTGAAGGGTCTGCCTCCAATAACAAGAGGTCGATAATTATACTCCTCGTCGCCGATGGTGTACGGCTCTAGGAGTATCGCAGCAGCACAGCCTGCCGGACAGCTAAAAGCGAACGACTGTTCATCGAACGGAAGGCAAAGATCTCCATTGAGACCGCAATCCGTCGCATTGCTCCTATTATGCAATTAGATTGGTCCCACAATGTGAACTGAGTTGGTCAGTCCAAAGAAGCAGTCCAAACGTACCACAGGCGATGGTGACACGACAGCTTGACTGGTTGCCCATATCCCAAAACCTCCTGGCCGGCCACGGAGGCTTGCAGCGAAGCAAAAAACACCGCAATCCAAAAGATCAGCCCACCTAGAAGCAGAGCAATTTTCACTCGCCGCTGCGGAGCCCACCGCTCGACCAGGCGCGCCGGCGCAGACTGCCACCGCGGAAACCAGGGCTTGATGTGATAAACGTGGGGTGGCACCGGCCCGCGCAGCCACGCGCAGAAGCGCGCGAACGTGCAGCACAGCGGCGGGTCCTGCCTGGATTCGTCCCGCTCCTCGTAGTCGAAAAAGTCCGAGCCCGAGTCATCCAGATCGTGGAGCTCGTCTGGGTACCCGGCTGGTAGTAATGGTACACTGCCTAGCTCGAGATCGCCATAGTCGGCGCTGGTGCGGGCTCGCCTCGCGCGTCCAGAGAATTTGTCCTGGTAGCGCGGCGGGCTCAATTCCTCGAGGGAGTATGTAGGGCTCGCAGGTCCCTCGGGTGAATTGGGAGATTGGGCCCCATGTTCATCTGTCGGCCCCGGGAGTGAGTGCATATTTGCACATCAGGGAGCGGTGGAGGCTTGTCATTCCAGCAGTCGAGCCAGGGTGGACGGGTCGTGGGCCCGTTTCAGGCACCTTAGTCATCGTTGGAGATGATGTGATCGACGATGTGGATTGTTGCAACAAAGGAGGAGTAGAGAGCGACTTTCAACATTGAAGATGAAATATTGAGATAGGGTCGAGATCTGACAGGCTTAAAATAGGGTTGAGAAGCCACGAGTCAGCCACAAACTTCTGTTGTTGTCCCATGGAGACTAGGGGATGTTGGTTTATCCGGCAGCCTAGAGTTATTGCACGGTATATAGTGTACGGCTTCACTTCTCTTATACGGACAACAGCCTCACAAGAATTCTAAACAAGGATTTACTGCTAACGAGTGACTATCACTAAACACCAGACGCACCGAATAAGTCCACCACGGGTATCAACGTAAGTCGTAATTCGTTTGCCTCATTATCATGAGGAGAATGCGACAAGAAGCCAAAGAATAATATCATCAAACGATCGGAATTCACCAGATGAGTTTCAAAGCAACAGTAGAGGCACAGATCTTGAGGAAGAAGCGAGCCATCTCGCTCGCGACTGATGCGAGGCTTGATTGAGCAGTGCGCTCCTCGCTCTCACTGCTCGCCGAGTCCGCTTTAGGCAGCAGACCTAGACAGCACGACGACCCCAGCGGCGGTGGGTCCTGCTCAGAATAGGTCAGCATTGGTTACAATCAACAAATAACGGTAGAGGAGGGCTATAGATAGAATAGAGCAGTGCCCATCACTTACGTTGCGCCAGAGTCGCGAACACGGAAGGTAAACCAGAGACCCTGCGAGAGAAACGATGATTAGCATCTCGTCACAACCCCCGAAATGGGTCAGTACATACTACCAGAGCAGACACAAGCCAGACAATAGCAGAGAGGAAGCTGAACGCCTCAGCAGCCTTCCAGCGCGCACAAACTGAATCACCCCCAAAATGCCAGTACCAGATGCTGCCGCAAGGGAGATGGTGGATAGCGTCAACCAGAATACCGAAAGCAGCGAACCAGGCAAAGGAGATCAGGACATCGACTATACATTGCGTGAGTAAGCTTGAAGATTGTGTATCTGTGACGGTCGAAAGCACATACATGGCCACGAGAAGAAACCCGAAGAGAACGGGATGAGCCAAACTAAACCAAGGAGTATAGATATGCCAGCGATAACTTCGGTGTAGATCCAACGCGCTTGCGGCCAGACATCGCTTCCGTCGAGCGAAGCAAGGTAGTGTCCGATGATACCTGCGACGACCTAGTGGACAGTGTGAGAAGTCGGTCACTCATAGTATAGAGTCAGTAGCACCTACCGCAGCGAAGGCAATCTCCGCAATACGGAGTGGAATCGATAGGAAGCGCGAAACAACAGGCATGGTGAATGGGAGTCGAATCGGATAATCTGGACTGCTCAGTGGATATGCAAGAAGCTAATCGAAGTGCTATGGGGAACTAAGAGGAGAACAAGAGCAAGAGCAATCTGCGGGGGGCAATACGAGGTATATAATGCGTAATGTGGGAGTGTCGTACAGGCAGGCAGATTCCGCGCAACGAGGGCGCGCACCCGCCTCTTAAGCAAGGGCCCAAACAAAAAACTAAACTAGGTAGCGAAGCAGAGAGGCCCCAAAAAAGGGCAAGCTTCTACGTAGCAGAGAAGCACGGTCCAAAAGTAAGATCCACCGGCCAATGCAGAGTCAATCCGAGCAGCTTGATGTCGTCAGATCGCTCCTCGCGCAGTTGAGTATAGATTTCCCAGGGTTGTTCGTCATTCGACGCCATGCATCCTTTCTGTTATAGTGGCCCAATCCCCCCTGCACCCTCCCCTGCAACCCCGGGTTTGGGTTGACGGGGTCATCATCGCGGCCCTTGGGGAAGCTGGCTGTCCGACCGCCGCTGATGCTGGCTTTTGTGGCTGAACTCCAGCGCCGGATTGGAGCAAGGAGCTCTCATGGCACAATCCCTGTCAGGATCCTGGTCTTTAGAAGCCGGTGGTGGGCAGCTTCCACCCCGCGGGAGAGGCCGTATCCCTGTTTTTGGCGGACCACAAGCCTCAAATGATGCGCTGGCCAAGGGCTATTCGAAATTCCCAGCCAGGTTCATCTCACGAGCCAGGGCTCTTGTTCCCGTGAGCGTTGCCGATCGACCGACTATTGGGTGCTGGCCTTGTTCCTCGTTTAGTGGCAGTGCTCCACCTCAGGGCGATCATTGCAGCCTGAGCGCAACGCGTGCAGAATCGCATCGTCCCGTTGGCGGATGGCGGTGCTGCAGCGCCTTTTTGTCCGCACACGAGGTACCTGGTGTGGACGCACGAGAATGGTGTTTCGGAGTAGAGAGAAGACAAGAACCCAATGTCCCATCTGCCCGCCAGAGTAAGGACACGACACCCTTGCCTGGCTATTCCATTCCGCAAGGTATCATGCCACTCAGCCCTATGACGTGGGCCTCCCCAGTGGATTCGTTGATGCGGTGCACGATGATGCAAGACCGCCCCCAAAGTGTACTGGTGCAACTTGCTCCATAGACTTTTGAGGCATGGCACCGGATACTTCAGCAGGCCTCGTCCTACACAGCCGCTACACATGTAGCGCAAGCCATGGAAAGGGGCCACGATCGTCAGCACAGAAGCGATTGGTCGGCAGATCAGCCAGTCTCATCTAGCACATGTATCTTCGCTACTTTGGAGATCGATGAGTTTGTATCGGTCCCTGCTAATTAAGTGGGCTGAAGAGGTCTAGTCTAGCCTGGCCGGTCAAAAGAGCCACAGGCTTGGATCAACCTTGGCCGGAGAGTTTTCTTCCAGCCTAGCGCGCTTTCTCCAACGGACATACATCTTGAGTCCCTCGCTTTTCGCCTAAGCGGTTCCTAGGGCTGGAAAGATATAGAATGGAGGTAAAGGCATGAATTAAAAATTGCCCAGAATTCTGGGCGACATGCATAGATAACAATAATGGGAGAGAACAGCACCTTCCACCACTCCAGCACCACAGGGTATCATGGTATCTCCCCAAGACCAACGCACTAATGAACCAAAGAAAACATACACGAAAGTGACAAGCATGGAAAGCAAAAAGTCCACTCAATGCCCGAGTGCTCCCTACATGCAGTCTGCATTCTCATCTTAGACATGCTTCCTCTCGTCTTGCAGGAACCATGCCATCACGTTCTGAAACACCCCCTTGGCCCCAGTCTCGATGACATCGCCATGGCACGGAATCAGCCGATCAAAGTCCCACCGCATGATACGATTCACAGACTGGGTGAACGCCGGGCGATCGTGCTTGGATAGGACATACCACGCAAAGCGTCGCTGTCCAGTCGCAGGAGTACTACCAGTGGACAACAGTGGAAGCAGAATACGTGTGAAGAAGTTCAATGGGTTGCGGTCCGCGGTTTTGGAGTACTGTTCGTTGGAGGGCAGGTTGAAGAGCAGATCGGCCTCGATGACCGTGCGGGAAGGGCGATGCAAGAACACCAGCTCGCGCGATCCATGTCCGTGCACATATTCAGTGTCAAACTCAGCATCGAACTCCTCCGAGATCGACTGCGGCGCATCCTTCTTGAACACGTGCTCGAACGGGGCGTCTTCGTACTGCTTGTTTGCCTGTCGCTTTTCGAACAGGCCCTCCGGCGCGAGAATCTCCGCCTGAGGGAATTCTTTCTTCCACGTGGTAATGTGTAAGTGGTGTTCAAGATCGGGTGCTGCGATATACTTCACGTTCCCGCCGAGAGAGTCGACCTTTGCGCGCACCTCTGGGGTAAGGCTGACGGGTGAGAACACGGCGAGGGAACCAGTGGAGAGCTTGACTGTGACACGCAAGGAGGGGTTAGCTTCAAAACTTCTCTTCAAAGTCTCCTGGCGGCATTGCGTGGCTGCAAGGGCGGCGCAACTCACCTAGTGTTCCTCGACCACCGAAGCGCCAGATGCCAAACCGCGCGAATGGCAGGCTCATGGTGACGATATTGGGCGTGACATCGCGGATCACCATCGTCTCTGACGGATTGGAGGGGAAGAGTTGCGGCATGTTGAAGCCCCTGTCTTTCTGCTAGCCGACGTGAGCTTACTCCTGGCGTCGAATGTCGTATTTATGCGCAGCTGGAGGTTGTGGGACGCAATTGATGGACTGGGGGGCTAACAAACAGGCAAGCTGAGTTTTGCTGCTTTTAAATATGCACTAGGAACTTTCTAGGACTTGCGAGAGAAGGAGCGATCGGCTTTGCCGATAGTTAATTGACGCTTCCAGATTGATGACGTGATGATGTGCTGGCCGGGCGCAGCTTCCTTAATGGCCGCAGCCTCGGCCCTGCTCCACCGGCCCCTTTCCTAAGCAATGATAACCATAAAATCTAGAAAATCTCGGGGGCCCCCCCACACACTATGGCATGCAGCTGTTTGCATCATGCACAATACATAAGTATGCCATGCATAGTAATAGGTCCTTTTGATTCATAACACTATTATGGACTGGAAGGCAATTGCGAATATTGATCGTTATGCGAGCGCAAATACAAACACTGGAGTCGGGGTATCATCAAGTTCAGCAGAAACAATTATATCGCGTGGGCGCCTGACCGTGACTCCTAGCCATACCAGGTTTGGCCGCTCTCCTCTTGTGTTTCCTCGCGATGGGCGATGATGCTTTTCTTAATATCGAACACATTGACGAGGTCAGCCCAGGTCTCGAAGTCCAGGCTGAAGATGGCCTGGTGCTTCTGAATTTTATTTGCTTGAGCTATATGTGGCGCATACGGCTCCGTGGGGTCTAAGAATAATCAGCATAAGATGAAAATGACTCCTGAGAGTCACGAGGCCACTCACATAGGGTTGGAATTCCACGGCCATCCATAGAAATGCCGACAACGCCATCTCGAACCAGGAAGCTGATATAGAACAAGTTTTCGACACTTTGGCCGAATGAAAGAGGATTGATACAGAAGTGGAAAAAGGAAAGTTTACCATCCACATCAAGATGGTACTCATCCATCACCTCCTGGATTCTCTCCTCGCTAGGATCTGTTTCTGCGTTGAGGATCTCGTTGACTTTATCTTGATGGTCGTCCATGGTCTTGCGCAGCAAGCTGTTGATTTTGGAGCACATCAATGTAAGATTTGAATTCTCCTGCTGACCAAGATCTTCCTGTTGGAGTTCCTGTGGCTGAATAGCCTCTCTCGCATCGAAGCGCTCGCGTCCAGCTCGCTGGGTCAGCTGCCGCGTGCGTTTTTGCACGGACAACGGACCCAGTAAGAATCCTGACACGGTGGGTCGAGAGTTGTGAAGGAGACAAGCCGTGCGTCCGAGCCAGTCCCAGTTCATCGCGTCACCAGGATCTCCCTCGTCGCTTTCATTTGGGTCTCTTTGGCTTCGGCGGGGGCGTTGTAGCCGCTGCGTGCTACTATCGGCGAGGTCGGGCCCCCGGCGCATATACGAGATACATTTGGAAACGAACTCGTCCACATCGATACCGGCCGAGGAATCTCCAAGCGCGAGTTGTGCGGTTTTCTTGTGGGAGAGGTCTGCAGCGGTGACGAGGAGGCGCGAGTCGATGGTGGCATCGGAGGTTTGCTTGACTTTGGCGAAGAGTGTGTTGGCTCTTTCGACCGTTCTGTAGATGCCATCATTTCCAGACTGCATATACTCGGCGCGCGAGTCTTTTATGGGTGATAATAATTAGAATCACACATTTCGTAGAACTTAGGCACAATGGATTGCTTACCATGGAGATCAGTCGTGAGGTCTCTTAAGCTTTTTCGAAGACGTCTTCGTTCCACTTCAGGCTGGTCGGGGTCGTAGAATCGCCTGTCATTTCGTTGCGACGATTCTACATGCGACTGGATGTTTGACGCGCGACCAGTCAAGCGGCGACGCTTGGTAGATTGGCTGGAGCGCGCCATCTGAGCAGTTGATCGCTTGGTCACACTGTTTCGGCGATTTTCTTTATCTGAGGATGAGCTGGGGGATGAAGGAGGGTTGGAGCTGTGTGCATTCGGTTCGTCCAGCTGAGACTGAGCGATGCGTGCCATGCTAGGTCGGCGCTATTTAGCGCCAGGCACAAACGCAGGTTGCAAACAAAGAGAGAGAAAAAGCAGTGAAAGAGCGCAACCAAAGTTTGTGGCGCCAATTCTCCTTATACTCGAAAAGAGTCCCTGCGGACAACGTAACCAGTAAGACAGTGCAGGCTGTATTATAAAAGTTAATAGAGAGAGCTGAACCATCCGTCGCGTCGCCATCGCGTGTCTCACGTGATTGAGTTCCGCGGCGGGCCACTATCACATGATCCCTCTCCTCAGTTGGGCGCTGAGCACGTGATGATAGCCGACTCGGTCCCCGCAGGAGCTCCACGTCTGTCTCCGACTTGTGCTTCCCCGTGTTGTTGAGGGGACTTTGAGGATGGAGGCATTTACTTTTGCACTGTCCACCCAGGTGGAACTTCCTATTTGCATCAAGATGTAAGTGTCTACGAAGTTAGCTAAAGCCGTGCCGTGGTTAACAGTCCTACAGCGGCTCATTAGAAGGCAAGCAGAAGCAGGTCCCATTCTCGCGACTGGTCCGGAACCCGGAACTGCGATATCTCGGATCCTCCCAGAACCCTGCCTCCGATCTTTTTGTAACCGCTCAGCTATGGTCGGATTCGAAGCCTCTTGGTGTTCCTTTACAGACTGCCTATAAGGCATTCAAAAATAGTCGAGTATGGAATGAATGGCTGCAGATGCCCCTGTCCATCAAGGATGCCCCGCTGAAATCTCAACTGGCAATTACAGTCTGGGACTTATCCCCGCTGGCGGGTGATGGACCACAGGGCCACTATGTTCCGTTCGGCGGAACTACAATATCTTTGTTTGACAATGAAGGGAAACTAAGAATGGGACGACAGAAATGCAAGATCCATCGCCATAAAGCCGGTGATGGCTTCTCCTCTACATCAACCCCATCTATACCACCACCAAAGCGGCGGAAACAAAATGCGCGTGATATGATGGCTCCGTCATCGGCGGAGGCAGAGCTAGAGCGGATCGAGGTCCTGATCAAAAAGCACGAGATGGGTGACATCACCCGCATTGATTGGATGGACCAGATGGTGTTCCGTCAGCTGGAGAAGCTCAAGCTCCAGGCGGAAGAAGCCGCCCGCAAAAGAGCTATATCTCTCAAAGCCATTAAGCAGAACGCCGGCGATGCTGGACTTCATGAGGATGACAGTTCCGATGATGAGGAACTGGACGATGAAAACTTTGTCCTTCATGTGGATTTCCCACGCTTTGATCATCCCATAGTTTGGGCTGATCACCAGTACTCGCCCCCGCCCATCTCATCCCATGCCCAAAACGTGCCTAACCATCCGAATTCGACACTCAAACCCGTCCCGGAGGTTCGCTTCGGTCCCGGAATCGAAGGCGCAGATCGCGCCGGCGTTATCAGAATCTATGACCCAGAAGTGGGTCAGACTGGCAATCCGTGCGAAGACAAGCATCGGAGATTGATTCGCAGCCATCGAACTGGATTCATGGACAGAGACCTTAAACCCAACCCAAAGAACCGTGACGAACTCAATATTATCTTGTCATACGAGCCGACACAAGATCTCACAGCCGAAGAGAAGGACTTGGTTTGGAGATTTAGGTACTATCTGACCAGAGAGAAACGAGCATTGACCAAGTTCGTCAAATCGGTCAATTGGCGTGACGAGGGCGAGTCCCGGCAAGCCGTCGAAATTCTGCCCAAGTGGACTGAGATCGATGTTGATGATGCTTTAGAGCTTCTTGGGCCCACGTTTGACAATCCAGCAGTCCGCTCCTACGCCGTGGCAAGATTGCGTAAATCTGATGACGAGGAACTTCTTCTTTATCTCTTGCAATTGGTGCAGGCTTTGAAATACGAGGAGAGTTCGGATGGCGACGCAGACGAGGCCGCGCATGACTCTTCTCTGGCCAACTTCCTCATTTCACGGGCTGCCAAGAATTTCAAACTTGGAAACTCTCTGCATTGGTACCTTATGGTTGAATGCGACGATGCCGGCCCAGGCACCCCGTCAAATCAGCGCCGACTATTCGCGCGAGTCGAATACTATTTCATGGCAGAATTAGAAAAGATTAATGCCGAGCATCGAAAGATTCTCCTTCGCCAAGGTGAAATGATTGCTGTCCTCTCCAAGATTGCGAAGGACATTCGCTTCTCTCGGGAAACTAGGCCTGCAAAGATCGAGAAGCTGAAGAAGGCCCTACGCGATCCAAAGAACGACTTGATTCATATTGACCCGCCTCTCCCCCTGCCACTAGACCCGGATGTCTCAGTGGTTGGGTGTTACCCCGATGAATCCAACGTTTTTAAATCGACACTATCTCCGCTTAATATTACGTTTCAGACTTCCGACGGCCGACGATACCCCCTCCTGTTCAAAGTGGGTGATGATCTTCGCCAGGATCAGTTGGTCATCCAAATCATTATCCTAATGGATCGGCTCCTGCAAAAAGAGAACCTGGATTTGAAATTGACACCGTATCGGATTCTTGCGACTAGTTCCACGGCCGGTGCTGTTCAATTTATTCCATCTACTTCCCTCTCCGCGGCGTCTGCCAAGTACAGGTCCATCCTCACCTATTTGAAAGAGCACAATCCAGATGATAATGAGCCTCTCGGTGTTCGGAAAGAGGCGATGGACACTTACATCAAGTCCTGCGCCGGATACTGCGTGATCACGTATCTTCTTGGTGTTGGTGACCGACATTTGGAGAACCTGCTTTTGGCGCCGGATGGCCACTTCTTCCATGCCGACTTTGGCTTCATTCTTGGGCGCGATCCTAAACCTTTTGCTCCAATGATGAAACTTTGCAAAGAGATGGTTGAGGGTATGGGCGGCACTACATCGCCTCATTACCTGCAGTTCAAGCAATATTGTTACACTGCCTATACTACACTGCGAAAGTCTGCAAACCTGATTCTCAATCTCTTCAGTCTGATGGTTGATGCCAATATTCCGGACATCCGAGTCGAACCTGACAAGGCCGTCTTGAAAGTGAAAGAGCGTTTCCATCTTGAAATGACTGAAGAAGAGGCCATTCGACACTTCGAGCAACTTATCGGCGATAGCGTCAATGCAATCTTTGGCGTGGTTATTGATCGTCTGCATGAGTTTGTGCAAGGCTGGAGAGCATGAGATTCTGTCCTGAAGAAGCTCTCCGGGATAACAGGAAGGGTTGGACAGGCATACGGATTTCTATTCGAATTTTCGTTGGGAGTATTGGATCCGTGGGAGTTAGGAGATCGGGCTTAGAATTGCATTTGCATAGATTTGGCGCATTGAGATGGAATGTACAGGAACAGGATACCCAGAAATGCCGTCTGCAAACGTTTCAATTCCTCAAACTACATTAGACTTCTGCTTCTGATTGAATGGTCATGGTACAGTAAACACGATCACAGCGCAGGCTTTGTTTAATGCAACCGAATGTATTACTTCAGAAGGCGATAGAAACGTAACATGAAGAATGAGATCTATCTATCACGGCCTATCTCCTCGTCAGGAACCCCCGGTTCTCAAGTTCCACCCATTCGTGGTTCGCGTCATCTTCAGTTGTACCCCATATTCTCTGGTCAGCAAGGTCTGCTTGAGAACCGCTTTGCGCCGCACTAGTTTCAACTACAGAAGATCGGCCCCGGTCATCACCGTGGTAGCTGCGGTGAAAAATACCACCGACCGGAACGTGGTTTTCGGCATTTGAGTTAACCTGAGCAGAGTGGTTATCCTTTCCTTCGGCGTCTTCGTCATCCTCCGGCGTGCCTTCACGACAGGCCCAAGCGTCGACAAAGCGGAGGACTTCGCGTGGCCACCATTTCTTCATGATTAAAAGTCGGAAAGGCACGAGGGCAATAATTAGCACTGGGAATGCGGGGGCACCCCGTGTGAGGGTGACAATGAAGATCACCACCGTTGTAACGATTTGAAGGATTGTGTAGAGGTGGATTGGAAGATAAGATGGATTGCGCGGTGGCGTATCCTTTATGTTATGGGCTTCGGGATTTTTGTGCAATGACTGCGGTAATGGTGGCAGTTCAGAAGGTGGGGTGAGAAGGTAAAAGGTGCGATATAGTATAGGGCTAGAGGTGGCATTAGCTGGCGAATATCTCATTGATAATGATGGGTCGACCGCAACTTACTTGACAGATAGGCTCTGTTCACCCATAAAGAGGAACAGGCCGGCAAGGACGCTTGTGGGAGTCAAGCCAAGGACTTTCATGAGCGGCGGACTGATGAACAGCAGAATAGCGCCAGAGTGAAGAAACGCCGACCAGCGCTGCTCGTATACACGACGGACTTCACGAGTCTCTATCTTCTCTTCGCCATCCACTATCACACTCGTCTCTTCTATCTCCGTATGCATCAATGATTCCGAATGCAGGGGTGCCTGGGGAAGAAGCCCATTGGAGGGTGGGATACCCAGAATACCACACAGGGCTGTGGTTGTTCCTAGCAGAACGATGTCCCACGCAAATCCGCCCGGTTTACGAGTGCCATATCGGTCAATTGTACAAATGATCGAGCTGACCTCATGATCGAAGAAGAACAGCATTGTGATAATCAGGCCAGGAATCATGGCACCGAATATCCACTGAATGGGCAGTGTCCAAAATTCCACAAAGAAAATTTCCCGTTCCGGGGACGTTGGTCGAAAGGAGGTGCTCACGGCCAGAGTCATTTTGTCCAGATGGGCTAACTCACCCACATGAGGCAGACCGATGAAAATGATAATTGAGATGGCTGCAGCATATTCGGTCAGACCGAGACGGATATACCGGTGAAACAATGGTCGCCAGCTCTCAGCGGTGGAAAGGAAGATGGCAAGCAGCATTGTACCCACTGCGCCTATCACGGCGTAGAGAAAGGCTGCAAAGGACAGACTCTCATGGGCTCTCTCGAGCTCCTGAATGGCTTTGTGGAAATAAATGATACTGTTCAGAAGTGAAAAGATCTCAGTTGCAAACGTCGTCACATAGCGCATAGTCCAATCGTGCGCATTGATAATTGCCAAGAGATAGTGCATCCAGGCAGAATGGATCAAAGACCAAGCCATGAATGGAAGGAAAGGAATCTGGCAACCATGACAGTCAGACACCGTAAGAAGGCCAAGCCCGAAAATGACCGATGGCGTACCAGGAAAACATCCTCGCATAGCGAATAGATGTTCTCTGCCAAGACAGAGAATGGACCCGTTACGCCGAGAATGGTGAGGGGTTGGATCGAGAACCTGCTCAGACTAATGAGTCACTGCACGCTGAGAAAAATGGGTAGTTGAGCACAAACAGTGAGAAAATCATGCTGCAGAGTCCAGTACTGAACACAACCTCGATTGTGCCCCAGCTCTTGCCAGTCAGGACATACAAGTCGCTCGCGAATGTGATGCCGGGGAGAAGATTCGTGAAGAAAACGTAGACTGCGCTGGCAAAGATCAACTGATTGAATACAGCCCAGTCAGACACATATCGCCGGCGCAGATTGACGAGGTCCTGCTTGACAAGACGAAAGGGGCGTAGAGGACCACCGGTGGCCACTGTGCCCCGCAGCTTTTGAAAGGGCTTTGGCGTGTGCTTGGAAGGTGTAATAATTGAGTGAGCATCCGAGTCATGATGGTGGCCTTCCGAGTCAAAATCACCAGATTCATGTCTGTTCGTCTTTCTCCGACGACGTGGTCGCGACGTACGACGGATTGACGAGATGCGAGTGGATGGTGGGCGAAAGGCTGACATCAGAGACATTGTAACGCAGGCTGTATTGAATGTATGAAAAGCGTCAACAGATAAAGGTGTATGTTATTAGCTGTTCAGAGAACTAAAGAGAATCGAACTCCAGGAGAAAATAGAAATAAACATCGCGATGACCATCGAATTAGGGCCCAATAGATGTCCACGCCACGCGGCGTCATATTCTATACTCCCACCGCCCCCCCCGACCGCCTCCAATTCAACGGCAATTTTTCTGTCGAGCATCCCGACTGCGTCTCTCCGTTCTTGCGACTCGCTCGCTCAAGTCAAAAATGACTGGGTTTCTACTCAGCTGAGCATTACACTGCAATAATAATATGGCGCAGTTTGTGCCGCGCCAGGTGTTTCCCCACTATGGGGCCATTCCAAGGTCCTACTTCTTAGGTCACCACCGGGCTGGACTAAGCAAGATGAAGAACATGTTATCTTCGATCGACTATGTTGTCGAATGCCGGGATTACCGGGCACCTGTCACATCCATCAATCCTATGTTTGAGGAGGCGCTGGGCAAAAAAAGGCGACTCGTTGTTTATACCAAGCGAGACCTCGGCAGCATTCCCCAGTCGCCTGCGCGACAAGTCGTAAGTCGCGCGCGCAGTGAATTCTCGGATAATGAGGGATTTAAACTGACGTATTACTGTTCCAGATAGAAAGAAAAGTGCGAAGCTTCGACCCCACGAGCGCCGTTTTCTTCGTTAGCACTTCCACCCGTGCGGACGTCGCCCAGATTATCAAACACCTGCGAAATGATGCTGAAGCACCAGATAAACTGGTGGGATGCCGCGTCATGGTGGTCGGTATGCCTAATGTTGGAAAGTCGACACTTATCAACCACCTACGAAATCACGGCGTGGGCAAGGCAAAGGCTTTGAAGACTGGGGGTCAACCTGGTATTACACGAAAAATCGCGAGCCCCGTAAAGATCATCGAGCGGGAGAACGGATCCCATGTCTATGTGCTTGATACGCCGGGTGTTTTCATGCCCTACGTCGCGGATGCGGAGAACATGCTCAAGCTAGCACTATGTGGCTGTGTCAAGGACGCTGTCATATCACCCGTCACCCTGGTCGATTACTTGTTATATAAGGTCAACTTGCATGATACGCAGGCGTATAAGCGTTGGTCTGAGCCCACTAACGAGGTCATGCCATTACTTGAGAGCTTTGCGCAACAGACCGGGTTACTTGGAAAGGGTGGGGTACCCAATATAGATGGTGCAGCACTCCATTTCATACAGAAATGGCGGGCAGGAGAACTCGGTCGATTCATGCTCGATGATCTAGATGAGGAGCAACGACGTCGGGACGATCCTGAACAAACTGCACGACTGAGTATGTCTCAGGCGTTGAAAATCGAGAGGACGACTCGAAAGAACAAGTCGGATGTAAATAGCAACTCCTCTTTATAAAACTGTACATAATGACGGAGCATCTTTGGTGAATAATTGATGTATATCTTTTGAACGACGGAGTCGATATCTCACTGATGAAAAATTAGACAATGCTGAAAAGGTGAATATTTCGCAGAAGCATCCGTAACGCCGAAACAGAAATAAGAGAACAAATAATCCCTCCATACCAAATGCAGCAGAGCAAGATCAAGAAATCTTCTGCAGAAGCCGTTCCCGTCGCCGATTGACCAGTTCCTCTTGCACTTCTTCGAGCGAGGGAAGTCGCCATTCAACGCCATCACCGGCATCTCCCGGTAACGGGTCCCAGCCATCCTCGGCATCATCATCACCCTGAGAACGCAGGTGCTCAACGGCCTCCTTTTCCTTTTGCTTCTCATAAGCCAGTAGTGTACCATCCTCCTCATCCAGGCCGTATCCGAAGTAATTGGCGTTGACCTTCCTTGTTGCGATATCTCCACCTCTGCCAGTCCCGGACCCTTCTTCTTCCTCGGGCGGTCCTTTACCGCGCCGTGACGCTGCCTCAAACATCTCCTTAACACCAGGCAATTCCCTTGCCCGGCCAAAGTATCGATAGCCCTTTCCTCCGCCTGGAATTTCTCGCCCTTCGTCGTCGTAAACCCGGCCGGACCCACGCATGTAGTTTGGCCCGCCCAGGTTCCGAATTTGCATCTCCCAAGCCCACTTCTCGCGCATAAGCTTGTTGATTTCGTCATTGAGATCGCGGATCTGGTAGTCGCTGAGACTCTGCTCTTGAATGCGCGACACTTTGCGGGAAACTTCCTTGAGGACTTGGCCGCGCCAGCGCTCGCACGTCGGGATGGAGTCGACGCTTGTGATAGCCTTGGGCCGTCGTGCGCGCCCGAGGTCAATGATACCCATGTCCGCTGCCTGCTGCGCTCGGAAGCGGAACAGCATGGACTGGGCCTTTTCACTATTGCGAGCCTGTTCATGGCGGGGGGGTTGGGATTAGCAAACTCGTTCGCTCCAATTTAGAGATGAGGATTTCAGGGGCTCCAGCTCATCACAGTGAGGCTTACCATTTTGACGGATTGGCCGGGGCAGCGACCCAAGGAGTATTGTCAGGGTTCGGAGGAAGAGTCCGAAGAGGAAATCTGAAGCTTGACAGCTGTGGATGAGGTTCGGCGCCAAACTGCCGCCTGCCGCGCGGTTATCACGTGGACCACTCAAAACGGGCGAAAGAGCACGCCCGACGTGAGTGTTTGGAATGTACCTTTTTTTCATTTGGCTCTTTCTGGCTTAAATTTTACCTGCAAAATAAATATTATATTCGAAGTTTGATTCAGTGGCATTTAATGAAGCAAACAAAATGTTGTCCCGCAAGGCGATTGGGTATAACTACGCCGTCTAAAGTCAGGCTACATAAGCGCCCGATGGCCATATTACTTCTCATGACCCATATATACATTTCTATAAATGTACTGACATCGGAATTTCTCTGGAAATTTCAGTATGCACCTGGCTGTTGGACATCATAAAGATAATTTTCCGGGAATCCGTGCCAGATTGCTTGAGCACAGGCCGAATGAAACGGCCACACCTTAGTGGACAACATCCGATGGACTCTATGAATCATAGCATTCTGCATTCCTCGACTGAAAAGGGTTTGGTTGCGATATCTCAGAACTTTCTCCACCAGGAATCTTCCGACGTGAACATAACCATCTGGTACGACATTTTTTGTGGCCGGCGCACGCTCGTGTTGATGAAGTATATCCTTAAATGAGATTTGTAATTCAGACGAAGAAAGGTTTGTGGCATTCCTCCAAGCTTTCTGAGCTCTTAGAAGCGTGTTCCATCAATGATTAGCTTTCTCGCGTCGCCTAGGGTACAACTCTGTTCAGTTTCTGGGCTAGACATAGTCTGTGTCTCCATCTAATGTCGACTCGCATAATTTCATCCCGCTACAACGCCGGGTAGGACTGTCATGCTAGGCTTTTACGCACACATAATATCGCTGCCTGATTAAAAGTCCATTCTCTTCAAATTACTATCTTTTGTGGCTTCTGCATTGTGAAGTATTTGCTCATGTAACTCTCTGAGCTTGCGACGAGCGGAATGGCCCCAAGCTCCTTGGGCGCATTTCTCCTCTTATAGGTAGGATTTATGCTAGAGACTAAACAATCTGTACGAAGCAATGTGCTGAGTAGGAGTGCGGACTGCGATACACTCTTCACGGAGAGACTGGGTTAGGAGAGTAAAGGGGAGTAAATGATGTATCCATCTACGCGGCACCATTACGAGCGAAAGATCTTTCCTTTTTGGCATCCATATTCACCAACGCTGGCTTTACTACAGTATACCACAATGGCAACGTCAGTTTTGCACTCAATGGAGGCTCTGGCATGATGAGGTGCAATATAAGCACTCAGTGTCTGCGAACAAGGCCGAGATCACCATAACTCAGTCCCCGGAGGTCGCCGTAAGAGGGACTTCTTTACTAATTAGACACTATGTACCAGAATGAGTACTTTTGCAATAATATGTCAAGACAGAACAGGGCCAAATCCTAGACAAAATAACCACTAGACCAAAAATGAACTATAGGCAACATTCTTAGTCTATACCGTCATTGCTTTGACACAAGTATAACTCCCAACTGATTTCTCCATCGATGAACTTATATTGATTTGTCAATAATTAAAGACGGAAAACCCGAAACACCACAAGACGCCATGAAACCGACAATCTCATATAGAGAGCCAAGGCAACCAAATCAGCAAGACCTATTCATCTCCAATTATGGAGAGATAATGCAAATCCATCGCATTCAAAATTTTGTTGCAGCAATTATTCCAGTAAAGGTTAGGGTATGTCCAAAAGCAAACAGCATGCACGCACACAAATGCAACTTCACGTTAAAACAGTATCAAGAGAGCAGAGCATTCCATATCTACATAAAGGCAGCCGCCAGCAAGAGTGGTACTACCACAAGCAACGTGTGCTGGGGGGCCTTTAGCATGGCTGCGCCGGACCCGATGCCTGATGTTGTGTACATGTACTGGAAACTGATGTCGCTGGAGTTAAAGCAGTTGTCGGTGTTGACCTCGGCGATCTTGGAGTCTCCGTTCGCAGCGAAAATAATGTCGACGCACTGCAAAGGTATAGGGATTAGGCTCAGCAACAATATACTAGAATTTTGGGGTGGGAGGTGGTTGAGAGAGGCAGAAACATACGTTGTACAACGCCGCGCCGTGCTTTGCGATCTCCACGACCTGGATAGTGGCCAGGTCTCCGGGACTGACGCTAATGTTGGCGGGGAGAGGCACCTGGGGCAGGCAGAAGGTTCCTGGGTATGGGTTGTTCGAGGGACCGGTGATCTGGAAGGGCGACACCACTGGGTGGCTCATATTCTCGGGAACCTCACCGAATCCGAGGTTGACGTAGATCAGGGCTGTCTCGTGGCCCGGGAACCAGCCGGGCTGCATAGAGAGGGCACCACCGCCGACGGGCCAGTAGGTGCGGTTCGTCGATGTCGGCATGCCACCGCCTGAAGGAAGAGAGTCATTATGAGTCGCCGTGCGAGTCGTTATTGTGAGTTATGATTGCAGGGGAGCCTTACATGGGTAAATCCACTCCATGCCGTAGGGGTAAACGAGTGATCCGTTCTTCGAGTCGTAGGCGACACCTAGCCCATCCGCTGCTGCGATGGAGCCGTTGGTAAGTAGGTTATTCCCTCTGTAGCCGGGGTAGGTGATCACGGTGTGGGCGTGGGCGACACCCAGGCACAGCAGGACCATCCAAGCGGCCCATCGTGATAATGATTGTCGCAAGGCCATATCGAAATATCAAGGGCAACGAGCCGGACGGCACACAAGCGACACCTGAACTGGGGATAGCGAGACACAGCGGACAACCAATTTCGCGGTTTCGCTTGTCGTGACGCTCAGCGTCGCTCAGCTCTCATCCGAAATTGCAGCGCAAAGGGGCGAAGACAGGGGGGGGCGATGGACATGAAATACAAAGCAGCTGCAGGAGAAGCTCGACCCAGACACAAGCCACGGACAGCGATTGAGGGCTGCTCGGGCTCTTTTTGAGGGGTGCCGCCATTGCGGTGTGGCCGTGGTTGCCGCGGGCGAGTTAGGATCCAGGACCGGGGTGTGACTGCGACTGCAGCTTGTGTCGCCCCTGAGTGGTCGAGAGCAACTGTGCGGAGCAGGGATGCTGGGGATCATCACGCTCTTGCTGCAAGTGCCATCACCAGGTTCCGTGCGGTGATTGGTGGGGCGGCCATAGCTCGAAGCGCCGAGGGGCGACGCTAAATGCTCGGTCCTGAGGGGTTGGCGTCGGTGGTTGGCGCTTACACTCCGCGAGAGCTGTTGGTAAAGGTGGTGTGATGGGCAGGGGAGCGGTGCACTGGCCTGGTCTTCACTCTGCATGTTGCCGGAGGCGAGGAGGCGAACATGCTGGAAGACGTACCCGGGTGGAGGCCTTGAAGTACTGTGATAGGAAACTGATTGAATTTTGAGCAAGGCAAACAAGCCCTTTGTTTAGGAGGTGGAAATGAGATGAACTCTCGAGGCCTGATTTCTTCATGCGCCACAATACGCAGATACTGTAGTCACTATGCTTTTTTATCTGTAGGAACAGTAACTCAATATTCTCGGAATGTCCATCCCCGAACTGTTCAAAGTGGAGGCCGGCCGGAAGGCCCACTCGGATGATTTGCGTGGGATGCTTCACTCGACCGTGTGGTTTCTTCTAGATAGGATGTCCCATCCTAACATCAGCCTTGCACATATACCGTCCATACTATTCATCCCATCCAATGTTCCACAAGGCTCTATATATCTTCTCCAATGCACTTTCTCGCTCCCACCGCCACCGTAAACAAGACCTTTTCCACAGGCCCGTCCAAACAAAAGCTGACTAATCTATCGATGTGGAACCTCCGATAAGCCCCATCGGCCTCGACAAAAAAAAGAGACGACCCCACCAAGGCGAGGCTCATTTCCCCCAAAGACACCATTAGAACACCAAGTGCATCCGTGGACATACGTTAGCCTGCATCAACCATGCCACACACCTCCCGGAAAAAGCGCGCCCCGGCCCCGGCCCAGAAACGCCTCCAAGTCACCGACGACGACGGTTGGACGCACGTCACCTCCAGCACCAACGTGCGGCGCGTGATCCGCGGCACACGCAAGGGCAGCGAGCAGGTCTCCCAGCCCAGTGCGCAAGGTGACCAGGACTCCAACGCCGAGCGCGAGGCCGAGGGTGAGGCCGAGCTGGTGCTCGGCCCTGCGGAGGCCCCGGGGCGATTGACGCTGGCGGAGTTGCAGGCGCAGTACCGCGGGCATCGTGAGCGGTGGGAGGGCTCGAAGACGTGGGCGCAGTTGAAGGGGCAGCTGGTCGAGCAAATTGCGGACCGCGGGATTGGACCGGGAGCATCTCGACAGTCTGGAATGGATGAGGGACCGGTGCGCGGGCCCGTAGACGCGATCGTGTGCGTTGGACTCGGTAGTCCGAGCGGGTTCCTGCGTGGTGGGTGGGTGGATCGGCGGAGTGTGTCCATGTACCAGCTTGCGGCGCTGGAGTGTATCGCAGAGCGGCTATCTCGTTCGTGTTGCCCTTCCCCGTTCCTCCGTTTCTCTCCAACAACTAACCAAACCACATCTACAGGCCCGGACAACTCCCTCCCCCTTTCCTTCCCCATCTACGCCCAAGACCCCGTCTTCAACACCCTCGACACAGCCCTCCTCGCCTCCCTCGGCATAACAGTTGTCGCTCACCCAGCCGCCTTCTCCCTTATCACCCCTAGAACCCTCCTCTTCTGCCCCGGTGCCGAGCGCAAGCACCTCGAGCAGCTGCTGCCGTCGGATCCGTGCATGGTATTCGGCGGGCCGTTGGAGAATACCGAGTCGGAGGTCATCCAGGGCTTTGCGGGGCAGGTAGGGTCGTGTGCGCTGGTCCCGTTTGAGGCGAATGAGCATGCGTTCTGGCAGACCAGACTTTATTATCGGGCGAGGGTGGAGGTGAATGTTGGCGTTGAGGCTTGATAGACATAGAGAGATGAGCTGAGGGGGTGTGAGGTGCCGGGGTATATTGGGTTGCATTGCATTATATTGGTGTTGGGGTTTGGGAGCTTTCGATTTTGGGTGCTTTTGGAATTTGACAGAGTAAGTGATGATGTATATAGACTAGACTGAAATCCACTGGTCTTGGATTGAGAGTAGGTAGTACTCGCTGATATTCACTCACCACGCCACCAACAGTAAATAATATTAAAAAAACTACACACGAAATAACGATCACATCTCAAGCTAGATCGGAAGAAACTACGTATATAAATTCTTCACCCAATCCACAACCCCTGAAAGGCAAAAATGGTCAATAACAATGGCCATATGTACATCGAAATACCCATCTCGCAATCCGTGCAAAAGGAGAAACGAAACCTTCAACACATGGTCTCGACATCAATATTACATGCAAAACTCCATCCCGGAAGAAGTAAATGAAGGGGAGGGGGAAGGGAAAGTCAGGCGCAATGGTTGAAAGGCGTATCAAAACGCCGACAGAGATAAATATTGAAAATGCCACACAAAGCACTGAATATGCCGTGCGAAAAACCTTGGTGGCTTGGAAATATTGCAAATGATATTTTATGACAGTAGGGAGAGGGATAGGCGAATAAGTAGGTTGGAGAATAGTGAGAAGCGGGCGAGATGAGGCGAGGAGAGAAGAGGAGAGGGACGGATTGGGGGAAGGAGGAGGGTGTCATGATTGTATTGGGGAGGAAAGAAATATTGGTGTGAAGATGACGAGGTGAGAACAAGGTGAGGGTGTATATGCATGCCCATAGGTGGTGTGGCGTGGTGCGATTTTCATGATCATGATCCCGTTAAAAGAGGCTGGGCGTGGCCCTTACGACGCAGTCTTGCCATCGCAGGATGGGATCTTCAAGCCTGGCTTGATCTTGCGCGCGGAATCCATGAGCCCCCACTTGTCTTCCCAGTCTTTGCCGGGGGTGTTAAACTGAATTTTCCACGGCTCGTCGAAGGCCTCGAACCTACAGTAAGTCAGTATGAGGGCGAATAGGAAGGATTGGAGATTGCTATGGGGAAATGCCTACCAGAAGTAGTCGGTGCCGTTCTCCAGAGCCTGGCAGACCCAATCAGACATGAACTGGTTCATGTTGTCGATGCTCGCCACAGAGCCCGGTGTATCAGAGTCGCAAGTCGGGCTCTCGCCACAGTCCTTGCCGCCTGCGCTAGGCCATCCCACCTCGGAGATGACCTGCTTCTTGGTAGTCCCCTTGGTCAGGATGACGTCGTGTTGCTGCCAGAAGTCCCATGTCCAGGACGCGGCGACGCTGACGTTGACGCCGGCGAAGAAGGGGTGCACGTTGGACATGACCACGTCGACAGCGTCGACTAGCTCGGAGTTCCAGTTGTCGCCGAGGTCCGAAGTGGCCACCTCCATGTCATTGAAGTTACGCTTTTTTAGCTCGGCGGCGACGTTTGTGATGTAGGTGGTCAGGTTCTTCTCGGCGGACTGAACGGCGGTACCAGCGCGGTATAGAACCTCGTTGCCGACAATCACACCCTTGAAAATGGACGGGTCCTTGGTATCATCCAGGATTTTGTATAGCTGGTCAAGCTGGCGGTTGGTTGTTGTCTCGTTGGTATCGATCCACACGCCGAGCCAGACTTTCATGTCCGCCAGCTCGAGCTTGTCGATTGCGTGCAGGGTCATCTCGGTTTGATTGCAGTCCGTCCCGTACAGGCGGACGGTGTTGGTAAGCTGGGAGAGCACGGCCAAGTCGCGGGTGACGTTGTTCTGCGAGGGGGGGTACTTTAAGCACAGCGGGTACTGTACACCCCACGGCGTGTAGTCCATGCCGGGGAAGACCTTGTGCAGGTTAGGGTTGTTCATGAGCGCTTTGATCTCATCGGAGTTCTTGTCCAGGTCTCCATTCTTGGCCGTGTCGCCGGTCGCAGAATTGTCATTTGATGATGATGATGATGAACTGCTCTTGTGCTTCGTTCCCAGCGTTCCACCAAGAGCACCACCGATGATGGCGGCCAGAACGACCAGACCGAGAATAATGCCGGCGATCCATCCACGCTTCTTCCTTGCAGCCATATCGCCGCTCATCGCAGACTTCTCCTGCGCCGCAGAGCCTCCAGCCCCGGCTTCCAACCCGCCGGCACCGCCAGGTACAGGACCATACTGCGGATTGGCGTTGTTCTTCCGACCGAAGATCCCACCCAAAATACCACCAGCTGCGGCTCCACCGGCACCGCCAACCGCCGCCTGAGATGCCCGATTCCGCGAATGGGGAATGAACTCGTCGTCACCGTCGTCAGCAATATCGTCTGGATTGATATCGGCGGGCACACGTCCTGTGCTGAACTGTGACTGCCGCTGGTAAGGTCCATCACGGACAGTACCACCACCATATGGACCAGGGTACTGGTCCATCATGCTGTGCTGATTGGGGCCTACATCACTGAGATGTGTTGAGGATTGGCCGGGAGTCTGCAGGCCCGGCGAGGCCGCGGCCGCACCGAGTGCCATGTTGGAGCCATACGATTGCTCGGGGTGCAGCGATTCCGAGCTACTCAAGCCGGCCGCGCGGGGCACGTAGGGATTGTCCGAGCCGGTGGTGTGGTATCCGCGCTCCGCAGGGCCGGCGAAGTCGTCGTTGCGATCCATGCCGCGGACAGCGTCGACGCCGCTCAAGCGATCGTGACTATTCGCGACTCCGAGGGCAATCCCGCTGATGCCGCCGCCAACAGACGCTGGGCCGAGGTTGTCGACGCCTGGGGTGACGGAGGAATTGTTTCGCAGCGACTGGGAGTAGCGATGGGGTGGGGGAGCGGGAATACCGCTGTCGTCGCGATCCATTTGAGTCTGAATGAGGCCGATTGGCACCGGATGGAGGTCGGGTCAAGGGCTCGATGCGAGGGCGGCAAGGCTGAATGCCTGGGATACCTGAAAGGGATATTTGACGATCTCTAGCCCAGGGTGAGGAATCTGACGGAGGACAGGGGAAGGGGCAGAGTGGAAGAGAGGTGGAACGGAGGACAGAGGGCAAAAATGAGAGATCAAAAATTAAAATGCAGGCATCGCTGGCTGCGACGATCCACGGTTCCCGAGATTGAGGGGCGCGGGACGATGAGGGAGGGCCTAGAGATGAGCTGAGGCGCAGCCGTGTCAGCTCGATGGAATGAGACAAAAACGAGATCGAGGTGGTGCTTGTTTTGTGGCGTGTGGAGAAGAAGACGATGCTGAGGAAGAAGATGAAGACGCTGAAAGATCAAGAGAAGCGAGGTGGCCCAGCAAGGTTTTGAGGCTGCTGATTATGCTGATTGCGGTCAACACAAAGCGTGGCCGGGACAACCGTTTGGGGTTCTTGGTGGAGCCGCGAGTAGTGCAGTAGTTTGTTCCGGGGTCGATATGGGACTGTTTACTCCAGGCGCTGAGTATCTCATATAATATCACCATATCTACATCTCCATATACACTATATTTCAAATTGTGCCTGGACACCCCGTGGATGTTCGTCTCTAGTATTTTCCGATCATTCACAGCTACGGAGTTTGCCAGCTGAGTGTGCTGTTCCGCAAGGGTCCTGTCACTGTGGAGCGGCAAAAGTGGGTCAGGTCCGAGCCCTTGCGAGTCCTGCGAGTCCCTGGCCGTGCTATTTTTGGCCGAGAATGCGACCCTTGGGAACAGCCCGGATGGTTCGGGAGCAGACAAAACCAGACTCGCTAAGTACCAGATATTTACTCCGTGCGGCACTCATGAAATTAAGGAATAGGACAGAGTTCATCACAGCCGTACACCGTAATTCGTAAACCTCAACCAAGTCAATCATCCAATCATCCCATCATCAGTCAATTCCATCAATCCCTGCGCCGTTGCAAATCCATTCCCACGCTCCCTTGTTGTTCGGTGTTGGTAGATTCCTCGTACCTTGCGAAAAAAAAAAAAAAAAAAAAAACAAAATAAAACAATCCACCAACAAGCCATAGCCTTAGTCCATAGTCCATAATCGTCGGATCATCTGATCATCCATAATCAACACGGAAACGCTCACAAATATCCTCCCATCATAACCGCCTCACAGATGAATTCGTCCCCAAATTCCAATGACGTAGTTAACTCTCCACCTCCTCCGCACTCCGCCTCGACGCACTCGGCTGCTCGGTTTCCAACCGGCGCCCGCCGCGCTCCAAGAACCGGCGTTTCCCACGCCGAGTATCAAAATGCTCGGGGATATCAGCCGCATCCTGACCCGCAGCCAAAATGCTGCTGCGCATTTTGTTACGGTAGGCATCCACTGCCGACAAGTTAGCGGCTGTTCTGCGTCGGGAAGTGAGATTGGTTCAGCCGCGTCTGGGGCACGTGGGCGGCCAAGCGCCAAGCCTGCTGCATGGAAGATGACATGACATGACATGCCAGACAACCGAGCACTGAGACAGCAGCCAACACAAAAACAGAGACTGAGACAGAAGTGAAACCATCAAATAAAAAAGACGCAATACGGGGAAAAGCACACTTACGCGATCGCTGCAAAAATAGCATCCGTCCGGCGAACACTCTGCTCTGACTCCAACTCAATCTATAGCCGAGATCGTTAAGCAAAACCTCTTTCTGGTGCCGTCGGCGTGAGAGCCTGGGCACATCGACATCGCGCTCGCCATCCAGCGAGGGTGCAGCTACACTAGTCCGACCAACAGTCGAGTCCTCGTCGTCCTGCTCGTCGCCATGGAAGAAGCGCCTGCCAGGGATGAGGGCGCCCGGAGCATCTTTCATCTGCACGGGGAAGTAGGTGCGCGGGTACACGGCGTTTGTCATGCGGTAGGAGTCCGGGATCTCGTCCATGTTGACCTTGTCCAGCATGACCTTGACGCGCACGCGCGCGCCGCGCTGCGGGTCTTCGACTAGGATGAAGGTGCGCCGCTTCCCGTCGGGGAGTTGGCCGAAGAGGTCGTCATTGGTTGGGCTGATGTCAACATCGCCGACAGCGTCGGCGTGGGCTGCAGTAGCACCCATGCGGCTGGATGAGGCAGCGATTGTTGGGTGGCGCCCTAGCGCGGCCAGGCCGCTGTCGCGGAGCGGGGGTGGCATGGATGGGCCGGCGCTGGAGGATTTCGGGACGGGGGTTGCGTCGTGGAAGGCTTGGGCGCGTCGAAGATCGGCGCCGGCGTGGGGGGCGGGTGGTAGGCGGGCAGAGTCAATGGAGTGCTGGGCAGCGCTGGTGTAGTCTGTCGTGCCTATAGGCGGATGAAGCAGGGCGCAGAGAAATTAGCCTACGCTGTATTTTCATGATTGCGAGAGGGTCGAGCTCTTCGACTCCAAAAGAAAGAAACAAAAGGATGAAGAGGCGCGGCGGCATCAATGATAAGCAGAAAGGCACAGGGTATGAAATAAAGACCAAAAAAGGCAAAACAGAGCAAGAAGTGAAAAGTCAACAGAATCAGACCAAGTCCAGAACCAAGAACCAGATAGAGATACACCAGTGCAACATGTCTCGTACAGCAGCCATCAACATGTCAACGTACATTACACGCCACACACCCACCACACACACAGGTACTCCATCATATACACATACAGTCACCACAACAGACGAGAGAAAAAGAAAGACACAGGGCATTAAGCGCATATTCTAGTCCATCAAAATCCAAACGGGTAAAAGAAACAAGAATGTCCAAAAAAAAAAAAAAAAGATACAAGAGTCATTGGGAACACCCGCCGCGCAAGTTGCAAAGAGAGACCTCGACAACAGAACAAAAAGCATCATATCGGTGGAAACATACCGCTAACTTCCTCAATCTTAGGGCTACCATCCGGTTGAGCGTGATGATGATGCAACTGCGGCGGCCCCATCACCATAGGCCCAGGACCACCAATACTCTGCCGCGGGCCAGGGGCCTGCATTGACGGCGTGCTGGGCAGTCCCGGACCCATGGGACCTGGAGCTGGCATGTGTGGCGTGGGTGGGGCCATGGACTGCTTGCGATAGTTGACCTTGGCCTGGCGGCGGACTCTTCTGCTGCGAAGCCGCGGGTCCTGGTTGCTGTTGCGCCAGCTATCCACGGCGCGCTGGATAAGCCCGCGCTTCCCGCGCAGTGACGCGTTCAGCTCGGCGAGCGCCCAGCCGACGGTGTTGCACTCGGTCTCGTACACCAGCCGGTTGCCCCGGTACTGGTCCTTGTTGCAACAGGCGCGCGGGTACACGCAGTTCTCCGTCTTAAACTCCTGGCTGAGGCTCTCCACGTTGACGGACTCGACGTCGCAGCGGATGGTATACTCCATCTTGACGCGGTCTCGCGAGTACTCGAACGCAATCCACTGTACCCCGTTGCTGTCTTGCCGGACCACGAGCGGCGTGGTGGCAGGGATGGGGCCCGGCGCGGCACTCGAGCTCGTTCCTAGAGGAGATATTTGGTGAATGCTGCCTGCTTGGAGGCCGGTGTTGGAAGTAGATAGGGGGGCGCGTGGAGCATCGGTCGTTGCGCCAATGCGGGCTGGGAGTTGGAATCCATTTTCATGGCTGGGCTGCTGGACAGCGCGGCGTTGGGGTTGTGGGAGGATAGGTGCGGCGACATCTGCGCCGTCGTCGTCTGAGGGGGCATCATCATGGATTGCGAGGTGAGGGTGTGTGGTTGTGGGGAATGATGCGCCGCGTAAGGCGACGGTTGCACCGTGTTCATCGGCGAATATGGTGAATAACCATACATCTGGTGTGGCATCTGGGGCGACTGGGTGTAGATGTTGCGACTATGCTGATCATGCGGCTGCGAGGCTACAGATGCTGGCGAGTTGGATTGAGGGGTGTGGTAGATGGGGGGGTAAGCAGGCCTCTGCATTTGAGCGGCGGTTGCCATGAGGTCTGGTGGTCCTATCGCTCTTGCATTAGTCTGGGGAGGTACGTCAAAACTACATGGGTGATTGGTAAAACAAAAGATGCTCAATCGCGAGAACATCGAACAAGACACAGAGCGTGTAGTTGCGCCGGCATTGAAACAAGAAATGAGGCCTTGGCTTACCGCTAGAAGGATACTGTGCCGAAGCTGATGCTGTTGTATATGATGTCGGATGGGTGGTGTAGTAGGGTGGCTCTTGCGACGGTGGTCCGTACGCACTCTGGGACTGTAGGATGCCGTTTCCTAGCGAGTGATTTGGCGGGTATGTCGATGGTGGGAAAGAAGTAGTAGACGGAGTAGGCGAGATAGGGTCTTGTTTTCCCAGTGGTGCTAGACCTGGCCGCGGCTGGTGAAGAGATTGCGAGTGCTGTGAGCTCGAACGCCCTAAACTACCGTGTTGAAGCTGTGGCGGAAGCACATATCAGTTGGCTGGAGACTTTAGCCCAAGGCCGTGAGAAGTATCGAGCGTACAGGGTGGTACAACAACCTCAGAACGTGGGAGGGAAAAGGAAAAGGGGAGGAGGAAATTTGAGAACGCGGCCAGATCGAGTGACGACGTGACCCGGGGAATCTGAACTTCTCTCAGTGTGCCAGAGAGGCTCCTTAGCTTCTAGGAGGAGCGGCGAGAGGAAACGGGGGAGGGTTTGGCCCAGACAATGCCTCGAGCCGGGATGGGGGCTAGGTGCGTAACAAATTCGCAGGGTCACAGCCAGGATGCGCCAGCCAGGGCCAAATTGAAACCAGGAATCCGTGTAGCACTGAAAAGAGCGCTTCCCTGCGAATGGTTTCTCTTTTCTTCCGAAGGGACAAAGCACTCCAGCCTGGCGGTTTCGTCCATTTGCCAGCAATGCGCTTGGTACACGGGCTCGGAAACGCAGACTCTCATTGTGCTGGCGTCCTTTATATTCGGTTCCCTTTGGTTCTGGTGCTGCTTTGACTAGTGGAAAACACCACGCTTCGGGGATCGGACACTCTGGTGGGCTTCTGAGGGTGCATATAGATCTGGATCAGATCAACTGTGTGGGCAATGGCACACAGCACCTCGAGGCATTTTCAGCCTCATGGTGATAGAAGATCCCCATAGAGAAAAAGGACGATACCCGCGCCTTCACTGACTGAGCAGGGTGTCTCTGCTTCATTGCAGGCGTGCTTCTTGTCATCTTGCGCGAATGATGGAAGGTGCGCCCAAGCCAAAGCCGCGAGATCAACCCCGGTGGTGTAGTTGCGATATGTTTCGCGGGACGCTGTCCACCGCGCCACAAGCATCCTTCCATGAATATAAAGAAAAACAGCGAAAGAGAGATCCAAGAATGATCGGAATGATATTGTAGTAGGAAAAGTCATGCGAACTCGATCTATGAGGCGGGTGCTTGCATGGCGAAAAGGGAGAAAAAAAGAATGACGAGAATGGAACAAAATCACGCATTGAGGCAGAACGAAAAAAAGAGAGAGGGAATTGGCGGAATTGGTCGAGTACTCACGGAATCATCAACCGGCTCTTTCTTATATTTTGACGCCGCAGGTGGATCAAGGCCAGTCTGTACCATACCGGTCACAGGGAAGGCCTCTGTTGTGGTCTGGGATGGAATCTCCAGGTTCGATGCAGAAGGAGGACAAGGGCCAGCACTGGGATAAAATGGAATGGAAAGGACTTGGGACGCGATGCCGAGCAATTGACGCGCTGAAGAGGATGGGCAGCAAGCAGCACGCGCAGGTCAATACGTTTAGGTAGGGTAGGCCGGGTGTAGGAAGCGTAGGGTATAGGGAATGGGTCCAGTAGGTCCAGTAGGTCCAGGTAAGGTGTAAAGTGTAAACGTCGGGTCAGGTAGAGTCAGGTAGGATGGACGGTCCCGAGAGGAGCCTGAGACCAAGCCGAGCTGCGCGACACAACGGCTGGAGGCTGTGATAATCAGGGTGGACTGGGGGGGGGGGGGGGGGGGGGGGGGGGGTCTGGGATGGACGTGAGGACTGGGGGTTGGTTGCGACTGGGGTTCAGGGCATGGGGGGTCGATGCGTGTGAAGACAAGAGGGTCCAGGGTCAAGGTCGTTTATTTAGCTGCACCCGTGAGGCCCATGTTATATTCCCCGTCGAAATGAGTCGGGAGGTCGGCCGGTAGAACGGACAGCAAAGAAAGGAAAATAAAAATCATGATAAAGCAGACCGAGAAAAGAAATAATAAAGGATAATCGCATAATCCAGAGGAAGGAAAATAAAAAATGGCAAAACCCCCGATGGGGAATAGTGACTGACACCCGAAAACAGAGAAGAAAATTAAAATCGAATAAAAAAGGTGGTAAAGTCAAGTGGTGGAGGAACCGACCAGAACGACCAGAACGACGGGGACAAGATTGGAGAAGACCAACAAGGCTGGTATCAGGATGGGTTGGTCACTAGCGGGACAGTAGTGTAATATTGACCAGGATGGGTGCAGGACGCAGGGAGATGACCAGAGTGACTCGAGTGTCTGGTAATAAAATAAAAAAAAAAAAGGAAAAAAAAAGCCCTGAGCCTCTGGAGGGGGATGAAATGGAGTGTCAGTAATAATAGCAGCCTAGCCGAGATGGAGAACGATTTAAACGCCCTCAGCAGGGGATGTGCGCGGGAGGTATGGATTGTATGGATTGTATGGAGTGTATGTAACTAGGGTACGAGCTATGAGGGGGGATGATGTGCAGGATGCAGAACTGCCGGGTGTGGCAGTAAGAAGAAGAAAGTGGAAGAGAAAAAAGAAAGCCAAATGCAAAATCACCCAAGCGTGCAAGTCACTGCTTCTTTGGGACTGGTGAAGACTGGGGGAGGGCCCTGGGACGGAAGAGCTAGGGAACGAGGTCATCGGGGGTCATCGGTGATCATCGGTGGCCATCGGTTGGCCTCCTGGAGACTGGAGACTGGAGACTGAGGAGCACTCCGCCGTGACAGGGAGGCGGCCTCGAAAGCGGGTACCAGCCCTGGCTTTCTTTGTCTGAGAGCAGATCTATACTCGGTTGGTTCCAACGGCGGAAGAGCAACCAGACGTGACGGGGTGTACGAGCCACGAGCTAACTATAGCGCGCCCCTCATATAGAGCACAACTGGACGGAATTGAGCAGCAACCGTTCTTCGGAGCCGGTGGAGGGATGATGATACGTCGAGGAAAACACAGACAGAGCGCCCGCGTTGGCCCCGACGTTGGGACCGGGCCGTGATGGGATTGGTGCAGCCGGCGTCAAGGCTGACGCAGCGGGACCAGCTGGACCAGCTGGTCTCGCTGGACAAAGAAATCCCGCCCCCCCCCCCGACATTGAATTGGACTGGAAGATATTGAATTCCCCTGTGTCTGGTGGAGTGGTCTATAGTCCATACAGGCAAGCGCCAATGGATGAGGAAGAGAGCGAAAACAGATGCGAAAAATATGCCACAGCGGATCCAAAAGAAGGTTTCAACACCGGCCTCCATCCCAAGATGCCTCGAGGCCTCAACGCTCCGTCCGGGCCCGATTGTGCATAGACGGACGGAGAAGGGTGGGCATGGCAATCGTTTGTCTCCGGGACGTTAGCTAGCTCGGCTACATCCATGCTCCGTCATGTTAGAGAACTCGGGCACCGATCGAGCCAAGTATCAAAGGGTCTTAGACGGTGACCCACCCCGGTCATTACAGAGTCTAGAAGAGATCGGCGTGAAGATGAAAAGCCCGCGCATCTCAGATGGGATGGACAGAAGAGAGAGAGAAAGAAAAAACAAAAAGCAAATCACGACTCGAAAATGAAGGAACTGAATGTCTAAAGGGCTAGGGGGCTTACGGAAAACGGCTGACGTCGGGATCGTGCAATCGTGCAGAGACCAGTTTCAGGTACCAGTGGGGGGGCTTTGGGCTGAGCGATTTTCCTCCGGAGTATATCGAGGGAGGGGCGGAACCGAGAGCACTGGTGGACAACAACAGACTCTGCTGACTGGGTTACACGCGATCTTACACTCCACCGAGATGAGACCAGACCAGACGCCAATCACATCCCTTCAAGTGGGGATGCCTCCACCCTCAGCCCAGCCTTGTTTCCACGGCCCAACGGCTGCGCGCTCTCCATTCGGCCCCAATGAGATAACACGATCACGAGATAATGAGATCCAGATGCACGACTCTGGCCCCGTCTAAATAAACTCGAAACAACCTAACGGCGCCCATCACACTCTCGCTGCTCCGATCTGCGTTCGTGAGTGGCAGGAAGCAGCCGTGTAACCCTGTCGGAGCCTGTCCGGTCCTAGCCCCGTCGCCCTCTCGTTTCCAAGCCACCAACAGGCGCTGATCTCCGGATGAACCTGTTACCGCGAGCCCAGTCTCTCCAACGAGGCACCTGTTGCTTGCCGTCTCCGCACAGAGCCCTTGACCGCGGATGGGGACGGTACCTACAGATAGTCCCGGTAGTAGGAACCAACAATGCTGGGCCTCCACCAGCAAAGCCACCAGTCATCTCGAACACGATGGGGTGGAGCCCGGTCCTCCCTCCTCCTCCCTTCGCTGTTCTCTCATCTTCTCCCGTCCCTCTCACAAAAGCAAAAATGACCGGTCCGCAGACGCTGCTTGACTCAGTCGACAGTAGCCCGCGCCAATGGGCCAGCCGTTCGCTCCAGACAGGCCTCGATGCGGGCCTCCACCCGGGTTCGCCGCCCTCTTCGTCCTGGAGCAGGCTAGTGGGGCTTGTTAGTGAGTCTTGGCGCTTTGCAATCGACGGGCTGTTCGAGAAGTGCTGGGCGCCACCCGGACTCAATTGGCCTGGCAGCCACCGGGAAGACGAGGGGAGCAACGCCGAACGCCAGGCCAGCCATCCATTCACCCAACCAACCGAGTCCGTTCTGTTTCATTTCTCCGGCGTTAGGTACCGCAAGTGGCACCTCGACGCACAACACCTGAATATCCCTCACGTCTCCACGCTGCCACGGGCCTGGCTGCATCGCGGCCATGTGAATGACGCGAAAGGCTTATCCAGCCCCCGATCCAGTTCCAGTATGAGACCTACCTATGCACACCACCTCCCGGCCGCTCCTCCTCTCTCCTCCCCAGTCTTGCCCCCGACCATGCCGAGATCCCCCTACGTCGGGTGGAGCACCGCACTCATTCATCCGCGGCTAGACCACGCGGCCCATCCCCCAGCATAAGAGACCCCAGAATGATGTCAACACGTGCGAGGCCCAGTCCAAAGCAATGTCTAACATCTCCCCGATCTCCCCGTTGAGGGCAACCCTGATGGTCAGGCCCCTCAGCCTCGGTCAAAGACTGGAGAGACAGAAGGGGGGGGGCACCACCACATTGTAGCTGCCCAGGAACGGATAATCGACCCATGAGGCTCAAGGACTCAACCCGGCCGACCTAAAGGGCAATCCAGGTTGACGATGGCTGAGCGGGCGCAGCCGTGCAGAGAGTCAGAGGCCCTATTCCAGGGTCGGTACGGGACCAGAGCGCACGTATCGCGCCAACTCACCCTCCCATCCAAATCAGCGACTGGCATCTAGCTCCTCTTGTCCCTCGCCGGCCGAGGGAGGTGAGTTTGATCGAGTGCTTCCAGAACCAGGCTAGTCCGGGTTGGGGGGGGGGGGGGGGGGGGCGGTTGCCGTCGTAATCGCAGCCATTCAGGAAGAGTGAACATGGCGCGCACCCCTTCGCCAATGGCTATCTTGATCCTGGCACTACTGCAACTATGCTCCGTCCAGTCCGTATCTACCGGGCGGGGGCACTTCAAGCCAGTCATTCAAGGCTGAAGATTGGAGCTAATACTATCGGTTGCATATCCAGCGCCCCCCCTTTTTTCCCGTGATGATTACGCCGCTTCTATTTCAGCTTGAAAGTCCTTCCGGTTTCTGGTGTGGGGCCGGGGGCAGGCTATTCCAGACGGGGATGCCATTGGCGTCTCGCTGTGATCGATGCAGGGTGCTGTCCGTCGCGTTAAGCCGTACCCGCCTCAAGTCCCACTCCAGCGTGGATATGTCGGTGATTATTGTTTGTGAATAGAACTGGCTTTCGGAGTCAGTCATTTTCCTTTTTTTCTTCGTTGTTTTTCGACAACCATCGGTCTCGTGCTGGCGGATGCGATCGGCCATGTGTCGGGTGGAAGTAACTACTGCAACGAGTAAACGGTGGTCGCCTGGATATGTACAAAGTCCTTACGCTTCTTGTGTACGGGGCACACCATATGGAGTACATGTCCACGAACTCTGCGCAGTGCCTGCCATGAATAACCAGGACCCAGTGGCACGGCGTGTTATCGAAAATCCCACCAACGGCAGCGCAGACCGTCATTTAGCATGCCGCTGACAGCATGTCAAGTTGTACCGTTCCAGCAAGGTTTCACAGTCAGAACAGCAACTGGAACGGTGGCTGGAGCTAAGCGGGAAGATGGGGGGGAGACTTCTGGCGAACCACGGACCCATCGAGGGGGAAATCCTTCTCTTGGAGTTCTTGCTGGGCCAGTCGCGCACCCCTGGGCGGATCAACCGATCCCCCTCGATTTGGCTCTGCTAAGAGTGCCACTACCGCCCCGGATCCACTGGCCTCGGTTTTAGAGGGACCAGAACGCCCCCGAGCTGGCTGGACCGGTCTTAGCTTGGCCGGCCATGCAACAGGTGAACAGTTGAATTACCGCCCTTCCCCCTTTCTGGTTTTTCCTTTACATATGTGGTTATACAATAGGTACTCTCTGCCGAGGACAAAACCAGACCAGCACAAAAAAGTCAATTTCGAACTAAGAGGCCTATCTCCGAGGAGGCATCCCCGGTACCGCTCCTCACGGCCGGACCAACACCGCACGGAAAACCAAGAAATGGCGTGGCCTCAAACACCCTTTGTGTACGGCAGACTCGTTCGTGTCAATCGGCATACGTCATGCGCCGGACTAGCTGCCACCGGCGAGATGGCCTGTGCGCGGCGTGGTCGCACCGTTTCAATATGGAGTATGGAGAGCTGTCCAGCGCCTCCACCAGAAAGCTACTTACTCCGTCCGACCTCTCCTGCGGCGTGCTGCAGATCAAGAACGCAAAGGACCACGCGGGCTCTAGGTCGTTGCGACTATCACCATCGCCACGATCGCCATACCCACCCTCCCAAGCGCACGCAGCCACTGGGCGCGAGAGAGTCTGGCGCGAGTCTCGCAACCCGAATCCAATGCTAGCTGAGCTGCAGGCCAGACGCCCGCAGGCCTCCCAAACTCAACCACCTCAAAAGAGGGGCCGAGAAACCCGAAATGAATCCGCTAGAGGCCTGCACATCTGTGGTCCGGCGACGCCACGCCTGGCGCGATGATCCCGCTCCCTTCGAGGGGGTGCCGCCGGAGGAAGGCTCGAAAGAATCAAGCCCCAACACGCCTCGCAATTAATGTAGCGCGGCAGGGCACGTAGTCGGCATAGGGTCCATGGGTCCATGGGCCTATGGGCCATGGCGTAGTTTCGGGGCCGCCATCCTCCGTGTTTTTTCGGTGACCAAGGACAAAACTAGAACGAGACGCCTGTCCTCAACGCATTGAGGACCACCCGCGACTTCCGACTCTCAGGCCGCTCTGGACTGGACATGCTTCCGCTCTGGACGGAGGACTGGGTGAACTGCACATTCCGCCGCCTGCTCGGCCAGGCCAACATGGGGCCACGTTGAACCGGGCCACTGGGGAGAGGTCCCCTTGCTGCGCGCATATCGTCGGCGTGTGGGAGCTGTCCATGGCCCCTAGCCACTTGCCGACGGGTTCTTCCATCGTCCTCTTGGCCGCGCCATGCGGCTCCTGGATCTACGTGCTGTGCACGGCGGCGGTCGGTACATAGCACTGGACGTAGTGGATCTCCAGTCGATAATGCCCGCAAGATCAATGCTCCACCGCCTCCCACCGAACGGGGGAAACATCCTACCATCCTCGTTCACATCCACGGCACACACAAATCAACGGGGCAATCGGCCGTCGGCCAGGCATCGCGTTTCCCCCCCCCATCCAGCCCTCGTGCTTCACTTGCCCGGATACCCGACAATGCATGAGCCCCGCCGGTCGGCGGCGCCATCGGGTATCGGCCCCCTTGGCGTGACGACGATGGCTGGTCCGAGGGGGAGATTGGAGACTGCTCGAGCCACCACGTTCTAACCGCCCGACGATCGCGGCCCTTCGATAGTACACGGGCCTCAGTTCAGGTGGGTGGATAGCATGGAGTTATCAATAGGTGGGTAAAGGGCAATGTGCATTGAGGGCAGGAGAGGAGGGAGCGGAGTCTACGGCGTACACTACCTGCTTGCGCCCCACGTGTGATGCTCGTGGATTTCCCCCTCATAGTTCCATCGTGCTAGTCGACGCGAGAGTGCACTGGATGGATGAATGCCTCGCTAGCCGGTCTCGCGAATGGGGTGCACGGCCGCCGTGCAATGATATCAGACCGGAACCAGCCTGAACCAACATCGAGCAACAAGCCAGGCTCGTCATCTGTCCGTATTAATTTCCGCAGTTCTCCTCTGCTCTTCGCCCCCCTCCCCCGTTATCCACGCTACCGGCTAAGCACCGCGCGATTCGACTCGACTCCTGACGTCCGTCTCTTGCCAGTCTCTAGTCCAACGACATCGACATGCCCCTGAATTAAAGTTGTCGCACCCTGGTCCGCTCGAATGCGCGGAAACATCGTTGTCCCCTGTCTAGCCCGGGAAGGATCTGCCTCGGGAGGCGCCAACGGTTTTCGATAGTCTAGGTTTCTTGTGCTGGGGGATGCCGTGGCAACATCCACACCAAGCGTGGAAAAGCCCGGAAGGACTAGCCTAAGGGGAGTGGATGGGCAGTGGATGGGCAGTGGATCGTGGGCATAAGACCGCCGCAGGGGCGGGGGCCAGTGCGACCGGGCTAACCAGCTCCGGACGGGCCGAACTCTCTGAAAGGGCCCTCGACAGGATCCCTGGATCTAACCCCATTGGCACGCCACTGTGGATTCTCCGCACTCCGGATCGTTCTAGGACGCATCGAGGGCCCCGGTATGGAGTGCCCTCGGAGGCGCGGACTGCTCCGGGATGAGAATTGTGACTCTCCGTGCACGCTAACCAGTTACAGTAATCGGTCGATGTGGTTCTGCTTCTGCTTCTGCTGCTGCTTCTGCTTCTGCTTCTGGACAATAGTGACCGTGTTTCGTCCTGCAGCAAGCGGCCGTGCCCGACTGACCGCGAAATACGGCTCACCCCCTTTTCCTACATTGCGATGAGCCGTCTTGGGTTGCGTGTCGGGGGGATATGGCTCGTTTCTTGCTCTCTCTATCGTCCTCCAGCGGACAGGAAGGGACTAACCGCGCTAATGCCAGGCTACCAGCGGGAAACAAAGAGAGTGTCCCCTCCCGGCCCCGCCCTCCGCTCGGGGGAGGGGCCTAGGGGCCCCACGAGCGCTCGCTTCACGATGAAAGGAGCATGAGTCGTACCGCGACGCGATCGCCTTTAGCGTTCCCGATGTAGACTCTATCCGGATATGCCAGTCTCTCCACCGGGCATATCTCGTCCGCGATTTCGCGATGCGCGACAGGGTTCCCGCTAGGCCGCGCTGAGTCCAGCGGAAGTCTATTCGGCAGAAGGATCGGAGTGCTCCGGGAGAAGGAGCATCGACGAACGTGGCAGTTAGACTGTCAACTAAGACTGTCACTAACTCGCCCACCCTACCCACTCATCTCGGCGGTCACAACCGTGGCCCGCGAGGGCATGAGCAGCGCCAAGGTGCCCGGTCGGGAGACGCGGAGGATAACTCGTATCCGCGGTGGAAGGCCCGCTCTTTGCTGTCTCTCTGACCGCACTCTACACCGAATGTTGGATGCATCGACTCTCTTGTACACCGGTAGTTCTGCGCGCAAGGGAACAGGCTCGGTACAGGCTCTCTGGCGCAGCTTGTGACGCATCCATCCGCGGACCGGCGTTAACCTGCAGCAGTGCACACAGTAGCGTGTCGCGTGGCCGGAGCTCGACACTTGTTTCAGAAATCTCCAGACCGCACAGAGGGGAGAGGGGCCGTGGGAATCAGCCTTAGGTGCGCCGGGGCCAAGTATCGCAGCAGGTCGTGGATGGGCCAAGATGGGACCCAAGCCCACCCCGTTCCTCTCGTGAGCATTCTTAGCAGTTGGACTGGGGGGTCGTGCATGTACTCAGAATATGCTTCCGCTTCTGGTACCGGTCTTTGATCGAAATACTACAGTACTCCGCCCACCGTATATCTGGTGCATGGCGTGGAACCGCACAGAAGAAGCGGTTTGCCAGAGGCGTGAAAATACCACTACAGGTCGGCGTCGCACAAGCGGTGTTTTCCAGGACAGGTGGTCGTACGTGCTCTTCATACACACGCACACGAAGCATAGCAAGATGGACACCACAAAGTCAAAATATATAAGATTTTGGAGCCATCGCTCCATCGCTCCACCGCTCCAGTCGGCGCACTGTGCGGCGACCGTTGTCAGTCCACCCCCGACGGGTCGAGGGGCGAACGGAGAAGGAGAACGGAGAAAAGCAAGAATCAAAACGGCAGTCAGCGTCATCGACCTCAAAGAGGCGGACGCAGGGGGAAAGAGTGGGGGAGAGTGCCAGCGAACTACAGCATCCAGGTGCATCGTGTCGATCCCTCGACGACTTCGGGGCCGCCGTCAGGGTTGGACAAAGAACTTGCTTTCAGAAGTACCTGCCCATTCGAGATGACCGGGCGGGGGTTGGCCTGAACTAACGCGATTTACCGGGGCCAATTGGCGCGTTCTATACTACGCGCTCACTATCGAGGCCGTCATCGACGGAGGGGTGATGGTCCTCGAGGTCTCCCCCACCGCCATGGAAGCACTTCAGGCTGCAAGAATCAAGAATCCAGCACCGCCATGTGGATCTCAAACAAAGCCTCTGATCTTCTGGCCCTCTCGCCACGAGGCATGTGCACAACCGGCACCTCCAAATCGACGCCCACTCCGCGCGAAGCCCGAGCGCCCGAGCGCCGGTGCCACACACTCAATCGAGCCGGCCGTGCCCCGTTATCAATAGCAGTGAGCCGTCCATCGACCAGATCCGTTGCTCTTGCGCAACTTGTGGAGCCCAGGTACGAGGCCGGTCACGCCTGCTAGTGGACATGACTCGCGCGCGCGGTTGCGACCGGGGGCCCAAGTGGTCCTGTGGTGAGAGACTAAAGACGATCGGGTTAGAGTATCAGGAGATGCAGCAGAGTCACAAGCCAGACACGCCGCGCGAGCGAAACCTAGGCGGATCGCCCGTGGGCCAGGGTGATCGAGTCCAACCTGGAATAAGGACTGCGGCCGGACGAAGTAAGCTCACTAGGGTATAGTTACTATGTATCTACAACATTACTCCCTGCAGCCGAGTCAGCACTGTATAGAAGAAAATGCCGCAGAGAAACGAACAGCCAACCGCTTGCTCCGCCACCGGCGAGGATGGCCAGACTAGAAGGCTATACACCACTTTATATACTACACATACTACTATACGTGCGTGCATCACCGCAGCTGAAAGGGGCCACCGCTCGTCGATTCCCCTTTCCAGCCTGACGTATAATCTTTTCTCTCTCTGCCACTACACTGTACCTAGGGATCAAGATTGCCCTCCGGCCTGTGATTGCCTAACTTAAGTTAACTTAGCACTGTCGATGATTAATACCAAACAGTCTTGGGGTCCCAAGCAGCCGCGAGTGCTAAATTAGGGCTACGATGATAGCATACCTGCTGCGTCCCCGACGCGCACCTCGCATCGGGCCAATGTGCTCCGCATCGTATTCTACTGTGTAGATAGCAATCAAACGCTTCTACGCCAATAAAGGAACGAACCAGAGAGATGAGCGGCGCAGTCCGACCCCCAACCCCCGAGGCGGAACGGCGCGTCCGATAACCCTGGTAGATGCATAACCTCTAATCAACTGGCCACCCGGTGAAAAAGAAAAAACATACGTATAGACTTGTGACTTGGAGCTGGAGGATGGACGTACATAGATCTTATCATGCGGGGCGTTACGCGTGAGCACATCGAACAAGTGCTGGGGATTACCTTCTCCTGCTACTACGAAGTACCGATTATGGGAAGTATACTATCAGAGTAAGAGAATCATTCCCCGTCATCTCCATCCCCACTAACTACTGTGGCTAAGTAGTGATTGTTCCTCTTCCTCTTCCTCTTCCTCTCCAAAACGAACATAAGGCCAGCTCGTCTCCGCTAGAGACAACCATTCCGCTATCGTAAACTGAAGGGTACAGCACATCATTAACATGACGATCATTTACGACGATCAAAACGAGATCCAGACCCGATCCATCAACCCACTCACCCATTACCTAGCCAAACAACCCCCGCACCAGATAAAGTAGTGCCTGCCCCTAACGCTCAATCAAAGAGACCACTGGCGCCGGCCATCGCCGATAAACTACAACCTGTTTGCTCGACACATCCGTGGCGCCTGCCGGCGATCTAGAGCCTGCAGATGAGCTGCGCAATGTCTCGTTTCCAAGTCCCAAGTCCCAAGCCATTGTAGACTCCTCCCTTTCAGCGTCCCTGCCCTTTTTGCTTTTGCGCTTGGTTGCGGTCCATTCGGGCCCCCGCACCATTCTTCGCCCACTGCCTACTGCCTACTCCACCCCCAAGCTGTCCCTGTCCCTGTCCCAGTCTGCCCCTTTTCCGTGCATGGCTAGCTGGTGCAGCTGTGGCTGGATTGAGCGGTTATGCATGGCTGCGTGTGAGGACGACGGAGTGTTTTAAACGCCGGGGTAATTTCCCGTGTCAAAAAAAGGAAGTATGGAGGCATTGGCTATAGTATGGTCTTTTCTTGTTTTTGGGTGGCTGCGGCTTTTATTTTATTTTGTTTTATTTTAGTTTTCTCTTTTTCTCTTTTTCTCTTTTTGAGGGGGCGTATTTAAATTCCGTCTTTGCTTGTCTTTGGTTTTGGCTTGTTTGGGTTTGGGTTTGCGTTTTGTGGTGGTGGTGGATGATCGTTGGTTTCTTTTTACGGAGGCGTTGACAGACAATCTGCGGGATAGCTACTCGAAACGCTCATCCGGATGCAGTTACTACACCTGCAGAGGTGAGTCTGAGTCGGCACCGGCAGCGACATAGCCGCTGGTGCTGATGCTCATGCTGATGCTAAGGGTTGCACAAGAGCTGAAAGGGCAGCCGCTCGAACTGGGGGCACATGTCTTTCCGCCAGCCCCTCGTCATGGCAAGGTAGACTATAGAAGCACAAAAGGGAAAGAAACCGAGGCTATGTCTGAGGGTAGGCAAAAGAATGGATTGGCTCAGAATGCTTCCCCCTCCATCTCACACCGAGGGGCGGTGCCTCGAGCATGCGAATGCAGATACAGTTGCGCTGCGAGGGAGTCTATCATAATTCAAGTGATGTTGACGCAAGTAAGCGGTGTGGTGCAGCCTACAGAGGAAAGGCATGGCATGACATGGAAAAAACTGGGGTACAAGAGGATGCAGACATGAACTCAGCCGAATAACCCGCAGACTGGGGCTTCCTGCTCGGCTGCAGGGGCGGTGATGCCACAAGCCCGGCGGTTCAACATGGGGGCCAGAAGCCTCGTAACAGTGAATGCTCGGATCAAGCCCCTGGGCTATGGCGACGGGGAAAATAGGTGCATGGAGCGTGGCGCCGATTCCACCCACTCTTATCAGACGTGGAAGATCATGAAAATCTTACTGAGCGGGCTCCCTACGCCGGCGCAGCAGATGGGCTCATCATCTTTGGGCGCTCGGGTTGCGGCGGCGAGTGGCTCGCTGGACGGGACCGCATGGGCAGAGACGAATTTGGCTCTGGGACAGGCGGTGCTTCGATCTTCAGTTGCTCGTCAGAGCCCTCGTCCTCGTCGTCGCTGGAGGACTCCTCGCGCCGGCCATGGCGATGGTTCTCTTCTATACGGTGGCGCTTGTCACGCACATACTCCTCGCGACGGGCATCTAGGGGGGGAAGTTCAGTGAGTTGTCTGTGTCTGCCAAACCTGTCTTCGGAGCCTCAGATTGAAAGGACTGACCTCGAATTTCCTGCGTCTTCAGCGCATATGCCTGGATCTCCTCCTTCGTCAAAACCCGCAGCACAATCACAAACTCCGATCGCTCCTCATATCGCTCGTTGCCTGCCTCCAAAGCGGCGGGGTTGACCAACCGGCGGTCAATCTTGGTCCAGCGTGCGGTGGGTGGAATCCCGTTCTTGTTGGCATCCTTCAGCGGAGCCACGCCCTCCCTGATCGGATTTGGTTCCTCGGGGAAAGCCTTCTTGGGGGGTTTGAGGATGCCCTTCGGGGCAGGCTGCTCAGGCTCTTTGGTGACAGGCGGCTCAACAGCGATGGGCTTCCGCACATCATCTATGTGATCAGTGGCAGTGAGGCTTCGCGTTTCATTGGAGCGGCCATCCTCCGCCACGCGCTGTGAGCGAGAACGATGGTGCGACTGATCTCGAGGGCGACGTCCGGCAGAACGGTCATCAGCGCTACTGGTGTCGGTGCTACTGTGCCGGCTGCGATACGGTGCTGCCGAAGGCTCATGTCGGTACTTGTGGAGGTCTTCATCGTCTGTATAGACTTCAGTATCGCTGCCTGAGCGTCGACGCGATTGCCTTCGAGATCGGCTGTCGCGATGGTGAGCATCGCTGGGTCCCATATATAGCTGCTTGCTTCGCTCCGGGTTGGATGGCCCACTGTCCGCAAACTCCCTAGTGGAGGGCTGCGCGGAGTCGTAGTCGCGTTCGGCCTCGCGGCGTCGGTGACGTCGTCTGCCAGGTCGGTGGTCGTAGTCTGAAGCATCCGAGTAGCCGTTAGCCAGTGCAGCTGTGCCGAGTCCTGCAACAGCCAAAGCCCGGTCACTGCCTCCGTTGTGCGGGCGTGGAGATCGATCGTCCACATGTCGCCGGCCCTCCTCTGGACGGGACCTGTGGTGACGGTGCCTGCGGTGATGGCTGTCACTATATGAATCGTATCCATCGTCGGACTCGTGGGGCAACACCACCAGTGCACGATCGTGACCAACTGGTGCTCTCGTCCGGGACGTTTCCCGGTGCTCATCAAAGCCTCGAGCAGAACTTCGAGGCCGGCCTTCGCGGTCCATCCGTTCCAGACCCCGGGAGGTTGGCGGGGGCCCATGGTGCCGGTGATCCTTGCTGCGGATCAACCACTGTGGGTGATCTTCCGCAATGTTCATACTCATAGGACGGTCAATGGACGCTCGCCCCGGGGGATGGTGCCGCCGGAGAGGATATTCCCCGGACAAGTCCCTTCGAGCTTCTTCGCCGGGGCCAGTATAGGAGTAAGCATCATGATTGTCAATGTTGTAGCCCTTCTTGGGCCCATCATAGGGTGGATATCGCCGCCGGCCTGCCGGTTGCTGGACACGGTGCGCACCATGGTGAATCCCCGGCCGGTACCTCACACTGTCGTGCATTTCCAGGCGGCCGGTGTCACTTGCGTAGTCGGTGCTAACCACTCGGCGGTGCCCTCCGCCATGACGGGCGGAGGATGCGGGTATCACATAGCGCGAAGTGTCGGGGGTGAGAGGGCTTGGGGAACGGTGACCACGTCCTGAGTTGACCGTCGGGCGGAGGTGTGACGATGAAGATGACGGAACGGCTATGCGGGTATCATAGAGATCTGTTGCAGATGCAGTGTGGCTCCGGTGCCTGGTTTGAGGCTGGATAGCATACTCGGTCCGCTTCTTTGTTGACTGGCCAGGTTGGCGGTATTTCTGAGAAGACATCGGCTGAACATCGATTGTGGATCGGTGTCGAGGGTGGTGGCGGTAAGTGCCACCATGTCCCACATCCGATGGATAGTAGTAGTCCTCATAGTCGTGACGGCTTCGGGGCACCTCGTAGGGATCCAAAGAGGAACCCAGCTGGACCATGCCGGTCGATGCCCGTGGGCCAGCCACGTGGTGACGACCACCTCCAGGCGAGAGGCTGCGGAGGTGACTCGAGAAACCCATCGTGCTTGGAGAGTGGCACTAGGTGCAAACGCAGAGCTTTCGCGGCCGGCGCTAGGTTTGACTTTATTGAGGTCGAGGGTCGAATGCGGTTTGGCTGTACGGTCGGGGTTAGCAGGGGCAAACACTTCAACATCACAGATGGCGAGATGCAAGGGAGGGGAACCCACCGGACTCGTGGGCGGGAATAGGATTGTGGTTTTCGCTGCTCTTTTTGTTCTAGAAGTATATCCCTAGATTCCAGAAAACGGAAGGGAAAATAAAAGCAATAAGTCAATCGAGGCGGATGATAAACAAAATCACAGCCGGACTTGGCGAGGAGATTGGAGGGGCTGATTGATCAATTCGACACGGGCGGACCGACGACAGTGGGGATGCGGAACCCAACTGGATGCCCAAAGATGAGGCCGAAAAGTGCGTGAAACGAGGAAGAAGTGGAAAGGGGAGAGGAGGCCAGCCTTGAGAATGACGCAAAAGTGGGCTCGGCCCAGTGACTTGGATGACAAAGACCCCACCTCTCACTGCAGCCCCGTTGGACTACGCTGCCCTCATTGTCTTTCCATTGATTATGCAATTACTCAGTGAGTGGACCTGTGGACTTGTGGCCGACGCTACGGCTACTACTAGCTTGTTCCAGACGTGCCCAGGGAAATGTTATCCGGCACTGCGGCACTCTGGCACTCCGGCACCACGGTCGCGAGCATCCTGATCGGGCCGGCGGGAGATAGCCCCATGTCGTGCAGCATTGAAACATGCCAGCATCCTCGAAACCTCGACAGTCCTCGGAAAAGCCCATCGAAAGCCCATCGAAAGCCCGTCGAAAGCCCGAAGGCGGGCCAGCAGCGGCACGACCCGTGGGCAAGGAATGTTTGGAACATCTGGAGCCGCGTCTGAAACCGTGGGTCAACACATCGTGAATCGTGGGTGACCGATCCGATACTCGACAGCCTCTCCACTTGCCTGCTTCCTTCCACCAGTCGACTTACCGACATCCCACTAAGGCACTCCCCTCCTCCGCCATGCAAAGCGCCCATCTCCCGGCGGTCAAGTGCGGCTCTGAGGTGCTGCGATTGCTTAGGTGGGCTGAGTCGACTCCACTTGCCCCCCCGAGTTGCGCCCGGGTGCATTCCACTGGGCCACTCTCACCGGGCTGCGGGGCTGTGTCCATTCATTGGCACCATACATCTTCACGCCTGGGAAATCAGGATGGTTTGAGATCATGCCCCCTCCGATAATGAAACAGAACACACGGCCTGACTGCAACCTACCGCCCTCGTACGATGCGAGGCCGTTACCGTGTCTTGGTGGCAGTGGTCAAACAGACTAGCTGGTTGCGATAGCGGGGCAGCGATGGGGGTGACGGAAGTATATCGCGCAAGCCTCGGTTGTCACGCAGTCCTCCCAGCCCGCTAGATGAAAGCGCACCGTACAAAGCAACGCACTAGCCATGATACTAGTTGCCTCCCTTTGCGCCTGCACAGCCATCCAACTTAAGGCGATCGCTGACCTCGTCAACACCATCCTGGGACCGCCCCTCCACCCGGCCAATTGGCCAAATTCCACCAAATCGCAAAACAATGCCATGCCTCGCATTGTAAGGATCCCCGCTAACTGGACCCTTCCTGCAATGATCACAACGGCAACCTCCGTCATTCCAGCATTGGCCGCGGCCTGTCCTTGATTTCCCCGTCAACTCCATCCGAAACCTGCTTTCCGATGCTTTGATATTTCATTCCATACAATAGGCCTATCGACGTGGCACCGACCCTCTCAATACCAAATAGCCTTTGCCATCTCCGAGTATTCTCATGGAATTTCATACCATCTCCACTCCACACCCGGCCCGCCTTCCGACCTCTCCCTTCTCCCGATACTACCCCCAACTCCACTCACCGCGGATCATTATCCTTCTGGAAACAGGGCCACCGGCCGGATTTCCGGAATACAAGCCGTAGGGCTACCAGCTCTTATCTCACTCCACAAAGTGCCGAGAGGGAAACCGGAGAATGGAGGGAGAAAGGTGGGCTGGGCTCGCTCTTAGCCCCTCGCTCTTAACCCCCTCGCTCTTAGCCCCCGATCCCTCCCTATGCGCCCTCCCCGCCCCGGCGCACCGCGCCCAGCGAGCCTACCAGCACCCGCAAGAAACGCGCCGTGCCTCACTCCCAGCCACACAGCGTTTGATCCTTGTTTCAGCGGCCACAGGCCCACCGCCTGTGCGCCCCTGGCCCTCGCCCTAGGACCCGCGCGGGTGCTGATGCTGGTGCATATCGTGGCTGTCCTAGCTCGACCCAGGACTGCGCTGCCGGAGCGCCGCGTACGCGGGTGCTTGTCGCGCGCATTTTTCGAAGCTTCACTCCGTCCATCGGATACCCGTGACTGATTTACAGTGTCCTCGTGTTCTCGGAGCTCGCCGATATATCGACGCTCCGGCACCCAGGTTGGCTGGTGGTGCGCTGGACGGAATGACCTGGGTGCGGGTGTGGGCACGGGGGGTATGTACGCTGCGGATTTCTAGAGATTCTGCCTGGGAACTCGGGGACTCCGGCTGGATGGGCGGCTGTCGCTTCACTTGTGCTTAAGGGCGCCGGCTCCGGTCTACCAAGGTTGGGTTTTCTTAACCTCGCCCTCGCCCTGATGGAGTCGTGTCCTTGTCCTGCCCCGCTGGCAGCGTGTAGTATGGCTGTGGACACTTGTGGCAGATGGATATTGGTCTGCTCTGTGATGTGCGGTGAGGAGGGCAAGGGCGAGGGTTGGGAGAGTCTTTGCTTTAAAAGGCCGGTCTTTGAGGTGAGGTTTTCCGTCTTCCTCTTTGTTGTCAATTAACTTTGGCTTCAACTCCAGCTTTGAATCCCACTCGGAATCAGTTCAGCTGTTATACCACATCCCTTGATTTTTGTTTTTATTTTTTTTTTTACGTTGGGCGACTTCTACACTAGATTGACTATCACGAGTTAAATTGAGTTATACCGATCTGCAACCATCGCATTGAACGACAGCACAATGTCCTCGTATCAAGTCACCTTTGCCGAGCGATCGGGATTGACCTTGCCCCTTCGGCAAGACTTCTCGGTCTTGTCGATGCATCAGGTTGAGGTTGAGACCATCCGCGAGTTTGTCGATGCCGATATTCTATCCAGCCGGCCGGTTCAGCCACTCTACCGCGCAACACCGACAGGCTACGCCGGAAGTGGCGCGCCCATTCAGTCTGCCGATTGGTGGACCTGCTGTAATTGCAACTCACTTACCAACCCAGCCCTGGCACCAGATCGCTGCCCACTCTGCGCGCACTACAAGTGTGGCGAGTGCACTAAAACCGTCGTCTGATCTTGAACTGGACTTTTCTTTTTTCTTTCTTTACTTGGTCTCCCATCGTCCGACTGTCCGATTATCCGATTCGACGGGGTTATGAGAGGTGCATGGCGCTTGGGGATTAGTTTGGTAAAGGCATAGGTATGGCATAGGCATAGGTATGGGCATATAGCGTGGGCTTTGGGACTCTGGGACATCCGATGCTGTGACATCGTGACGAGCTTCGTTGGTTTGGACGGTGTCTGGGTGCTGGGTTAAATGATCGGTTTCAGGGAGTTGGGTCTACGCATTTCAGAGGGTTCTGTGCTTCTTATTTCCCATGTTGTTTTTCCTTGCATCCTTGTGATTTGTTATGTCATCGTCGATTTTTGTTGCTTTTAGATGGACGTGGAAGGACGACTGCACGAGGCTGCCCATCTCTTCTTCATTCGCCACCCCGATCTTAATGATGTCAATGGGGACATTGGTGATCAGAGGTAGCGGGACAGCCTCGCTGGGTTATCCTGGGCGCTTGCAGATAATAATATCTTCAAGGTGGGGGGGGAGGGTGGAGCTTCGTTCCCTAGCGTGAGGGCTAATAGCTAGGCGTTAAGAGTTGTCAGAATAGAGATTATGTCGTTGTTTCTATCATCATTCTGGCCGTGGTTTCTCACCCCAAGCTAAAAGTAGAAACGTCTACGCTCGGGTAAGGGTGTTCGGGCCACCTTGCGAACATTGTTACTTAAAGTACCTGATCGCGGTAGCCCCAATGGGGGCGGCCCCCATGGGCGATCACGGTACCTGGCACGATTCCCAGAGCAAGCACTCAGCCCTACCTGTGGGGCCAGAGAAGGAATCTGCGCGGGCGGCTCTGGAGTCGGCCTCCTTCCTAACCCTAGTAGGGGTGGTGCATTGCCACTTGGAGCAATAGTAAAAAAAAAAAAAAAAAAAAAAATCATTGGGGGTTACATTCCTACAAGCACAGGAAGGACCATGGGAGATGTGCAGGGTGTATTCTATTTCCCGATCCGAGACATCAATCATTTTCTACGTTTGCTGCGGCGGCTATGTTTTGCATGCGCAGAAGGGGGCCGAGACGCAGAGCCATCCTCTGTTTCTGTTCCTGGTGCGGGAGCCGGGGCCAACCCGGCCTCCTGCTTCAGCCGCGTTACCACAGGCCCCAGAGCAAAGGCGCTGGTAGGGCTGCTGTGGTCCGCACACGGGCTGTGTTTGAGTGGGAGGAGCCATTCGCTGATGCTGTAGCCCATGACTTGTTGCAGGTTCTTCAGGCCGCTGCCAAGACTGAAGGGGTTTTCCCCCGGGAGGGTGTGGAGGATGGCGAAGGTGTGGCGCTCGCCGGTAGATAGGTTGGCCGTTTGGGGCTGGGAGGGTGCTACAGGTTCCTGCAGTGGGTAGGTGACCATGCGGAAGGTGGGTGCCCAGGGGGAGTCGGGGGCCCAGAGTCGGTCCAGCATATGCTCTGGGACCCGGATGGCGAGGGTCCAAACGACGGAGCGGCGGTTGATATTTTCAATCGTGGTGAGGTTCAGCAGGGCCAGTTGGATGGAGCTGAGAGTCATTCCCCCAGTGAAGAACGCGAAAAGAGCGCTCCTAGTGATGTGTGTTAGATAGATACCTTGGTTGGCCCATCGTACGGAGCACTTACAGTCCAATACAAACAGCCCAGTGGGGATTAGCGCTTCCAGTCTGTTGAGGGGGTCAGCAATCGATCTGGCAGTCAACTGGGACGGACACTTACGTTCCGACGAAGCTCCGCCGTGAAATACGCAGAAACAATCAAAACGAATCCACAAAACATGGCTGTGTAGACGACAAACTGGATAAAGAACTTGAAGGAGGTCTCGGACACCACACCTCCGACCCTATACTTGGTTAGCAATGTAGACCCTGTCGGTTGACCAGCAGAAGCGCATACCAAGGGCAGAAATGGTCCATTTTGCGCACGCAGCGGTCCACCTCCCGACAATGGTGTGCTCGGTCAGTCTTGAACTGGCAACAGGATGAACAATACGGCGGCCGGCCATCCTCCTGGCAGACAAAGACATCCTTCGTATAGAAACACTCGAGACCCGCAGGATCAAGCGGAAACGCCTTCCCTCCCGCATGATTGTTTATCCCGCTCTCCAGATCCACCTTCCACGGGTCTTCCTTCTCCGCATCCCGGGCCTTTCGCGAGCTGGTCTTGCGACGGCGCTTTCCATGCCTGCGCGTGGGATCCTCCGATTCGACGTCGGCTCGAACCCGTTCTGCGCCGAGTGGTAGGTAGCCAGGATTGCATAAGACATCATAGAGGAGTCGAATGTAGGTGGAGACCACGGGTATTAAGAGGCAATAAAAAAGTGCAATGATTACGGCGCCAGCGCCGACTCGAGGGCGTCGATTATAGGATGGGAGAGGATGAAGAAGATAGTCAACTGGGGAGATGGAATGGTTAACAGTGGGGGATTCAAGAAGAGGGCCCAAGCCCTCGGGATCCAGACAAAAGAAGACTCACTGCATAACGTCTTGGTCACGGCGTAGCAAGCGTAGACCACGGCGCCGAGAAGCACGGGCGGAATGATCTTCGAGACCGCGAGGTTGACGCGCTTCTGCGCGGGGCTCGCCATGAAAATGAAATGATTCTGCCTCGCAGTCGTGCAGGTACATGAAGGCAGAAACAGTAACAATGACGGAGAAGACCAGGCAGCTCAATAGCGTGCGACCGGAATGATGATCCCCTCGAGGCAGGGCGGAGATGAGATGAGGTCAGGGCGCCAAGCCGGGCACAATTGCCCACGGCGCAGACCGCCCGACGTAATTACCGGGGGGGGGGTCACGGTCACGAGGGTGGAAAGCCGACCAGAGCGGGTGCCCTGCGGAGGAACGGCGGTGCGGCGGTGAACCAGGATAGTTGGGGGGATGATTCACTGTTTCCCTCTTCCACACTTCGTGCTGCTATCGGTGCGGTCGGGATTCCCCCCCGGACCGGACAATTACATCCAGCATTCATACGGGGAACAAACGGGCGGGGCAATCACGGACGGAATCAAGCCTTGTTGCCTGTGACCGGGAAGGAAATTGGGTTGTGAGCCGAAAGGTGCTTATTTGAGCAGGCCAGTTAACTAGACCATCCTGCACGGACAGTATAGGAAATATACGCGGCGCAGTACCAGAGGGATCGCGCAGTGACCGCGCCATCAGGTGGAATGAGGGTAATGATCTTAGACCAACGAGAGGGAATCAGAGTCACGAACCAAAAACTGCCTTGCAATGCACGTCGAGAGCTGAAAAAAGTAGACTGGTCGGAGTGAAGCTGGACGGTCAGAAGTCCAAACCCAAACCAAACGCCCTGGGTAACGGGGGTGGAATGTAGACACAGCCCGCGGACAACCCATTGCCCTGAACTCTCCGTTAGACCAACGAGAAGAATCGGATAGATCATCGCAGGGTTCGATGACTGCACACCTTAGGCAGCAGGGGCTTAGCGCACCACAGGTGACCGATGACTCCTCCGCTTCGAGTCACCGCCAGCCGCTGCCTATCGAGAGTGGATCGTCCAGCATGTTCAAGGCACCAGGCAAGGCATCACCGGGGTGAAGCGATGGGGGTGAAGGGGGTGAAGGGGTGAAGGGGGGAAAGGCGGACGGTGTCGATGGTGACCGTCTGTTCGGAATGCCCGAGAGGATATTCTATGCGCTTCTTACCTTCTCGATCACCCTTTCTCCCGGGTAAGACGCCCATGCGATACGGTGTGCCCCTTCACAGCCTTGCCCTGGCCTATGGAGCGACACCTGCCTGCGCTGCACTGTCAGGGCCCAGTGGGTCCCGCGGCGGCCACTGAGTCAACCCCCCGACTGGTCTTCTTCAGGTTCAGGCGCACGTTCCTGAGGCCGACAGGCGCGAGGCCTCGCTAGCCTACCTGGGCGTAGTCCTCGTCCACCCAGGCTGCGAGGCTCGACAAAGCCACTGGCCTCTGGGCCGGGACCCATCACCCCGGGTTGATGTGCCCACCCCCCCGGAACGGGATTGGATTCAGGGCGTTTTAGGGGGTTTTGTTTGGTCTTTTTGATTTTCTGGATTTTCTGGATTTTCTGGGTCGCAATGTCCCCAAACGTTCATGCTGGACCCGGGTGGAAAGGACCCTTACCCGATTGGGAAACCTGGTAGGAGCCTGGGCTGATAGCTACGAGGAATAGCCACAATGATGCCTGGACACTTCAGGTCTGGTCGGTACGTGCCTGTGGTCACTCTCTCCCGTTCCAGTTCCCAGCCTATATATCTCTCCAGAAAATCCTCCTCGGTCTCGTGCTCATTCATTCTGCAACCAACAATCCAACAACCCAACAATCCAAGAAGTCCTCCATAACTCAATCCATCCTGATCAGCCTTGCACCATCTGTCAAGCTTCCTCAACAGATCTTCACGCTTCCTGCTGTCAACTCTCCACCGCTACTGACGGCCGTTGTGTTTCAATATCCTACCCGCCTACCACGCCCTTCCAACATAACGATGGCAACTCTGTGGTACTGCTGCGGCTGTAACTTCGGCCCCTTCGACGCCGACCTCTATGTGTCCTGCATCAACTGTGGTAAACACGCCTGCGACTCGTGCAACCGGGTCAAAGTCACCATGAGCAACTACAACACCCACAACCAGGCGCTCTCGCCCTACCCCTCCGTCGTCGCCGCCGACACCGCGCGCACCCTCTCGCTAGAGACCAAGACTATGGCTGCCACCGGTCTCGGGGAGCTTCACAGCATTCGGTCCTTCCGCGGGCCAATGCCCTCGGTCCTCGCATCATCCTTCGGGGGTGCGGTGCAATACTACAGCGAGACATACATGTATATCTGCTGCAAGTGCCACGACGGGCCAAAGGTCTACAACGTTCAGCCCCAATGCGTGGTCTGCCACCATGAGGCCTGCGGCGAATGCCAGCAGGTCAAGTAAGACCCGCGCATGACCACGGTCTTTGCGGGCGAAGACCGAATTCCATGCCTCTCTCATGTCGACCACGGTAAGACCCGCATTCCCCTTTCCCTACTCACTCTGCTTCTGCTTGGGAATTGAGGAGCTAACGTGCCCAGTGATACCGACTACTGTGCTTTTTATTCTGTGACCCTTCTTTTTTTTCCCTCTGATTTTTGGTTGTCATCATCTTGATCTTATTTTTAGATGGGACGAGCTTGTCCATTGGTTCATGCAAGCGGGTTTCAGGGACTATCAGCATTGGGCCAGGTGTATTTCTTTATTTCCTTTTCGTTTCTGAACTTCCTCTGATGTGGCTTTCACGTTGATCTTTTTATGGGTTTGTTTTGATTTTTGGTTTTTCCTGACACAAGCATTGGCTTTTGCAACGATTAGACCAGTCTAGAGACGCAAGTGTATACATCTGCTGCTTATTTTAGTTTAGGGGCCGCATGAGTAAGCAGGGCGGGCTTCCCTGTCTGCCTTGCGCCAAGAACCATTGAGAGATTAAATCCAATTCGGTCCAGTCTCCATATATTCCTATGACCACAATATCTATGATTTCCTTCTCCAGCTTTCTCTTTCGGGTCCCCGGCCAACAGAGACCGGGGCCACTCGTGACTGCGCCATGCAGAATGGGAGTCATCGTCCAGAGTAGGCGTGTGAGTCAGCCGCAGGAACCGGGTTGCTCTCAATCGTCGAACCAGAGCGCATTCTCCGGCACCCTGCAACCTGCAACCTCCCTTGTTTCCTCAGCCGAGCCTCAACGCCCCGGCATGCATTTCGAACTCTTGGCTAATTCCCCGGGCGGTGGGTGGTCAATTAGCGTGACTTTGAGCCTCCGTGTCTGGAGGTCCAATGAGAGCCCGCCAACGATCGCGCGGTGCACCCGTGGGGCCTACAATTCGTGGGTCGTTCCGGGCGTCTGCACGCCAGCGCCCGGGAATAAACTAGAACCAGAGGCCCGAGTCCAGCGCTCCCCAATGGCAGTTGAGCCAGCTGCTCCCCGCAAGGCCGCAAGGCCCGACGACCGCTCTTTGGCCCTGCTTCTACGCTGCGCCAGCCCTACGAGCCTTGGAAAAGAAGCGGTGCGACGAGGGGAATCCCTCCCCCACTGAACCAGACATTGACTGCATTCCCTCCTCCACCCCTGCAGCCTACACGAAGTATACCAACCGTCCTCTATCCTCAACTATCCATGCATGTCCTCCCGACATTCATCATCATGATTACATCTTTGCGATCGCTATTATTCCCACTTTCCCTTCTCGCCCCCAACCCCCAAAAACTACCCAATCCCACTCCCGTGCGTTTCAGCCCCGCCAAGCGCATTCTCGACCTGATCATTCCAAGTTTATGAAAACCACTTCGTGTTCCAGCGGTGGAGACTCACTGCAGATTACCGCATGCCTGTGCCGGGCCAGTACCCGCGATAGAGGCTGTGCCAGGGGAATTTCTCCGGGTTGCGCCCCGACCGTGTCACGGACACCCAGCGGCGGCAGTCGTCCCTCCCACCTGTTGAGACAAGACCCCTCAACGTCTAGCGGGCTCCACCGCATTGCCTCAGGCTCCAGTGACGTCGGTGCTTTGACGAGCGACTAGTGTGTTCGTTCGGAGTCCTATTGCAGAGTAGTCAATTGACTAACCAACCAACTTAACTATTCCAAGAACTAACTACTTCGGAAATGGCAACGATCCCGGCGAACACGGCCCAAATGCCAAGCCAGCTCATCCCATTTCACCCGGGCCATGCTATCGGGCGCGACCACGCGACTTGCGTGATATGCGATATGCCATTAAGAAACGGGTTGGTTCTCGCTTGAGCGAACGCCTTCGTTCTCGTGCCGATGTGAGGCGTGTAGTTCGCGGTTCCCCGGTCCAATAACAGGCGACCCTGGCTCCGATCCCGATCGACCGTAATCAATTATACCCCCCGGGGCCTGTCGGATGTCATACGCTACCCTATGTTCGGGATCCGCAACTCTGCCTTGAGGATTTTGACTCATCGGCCATGGATTGCTTCTTCATGATTCCCCACAGTCTGAGATCGTGATAGGAACCTATAGATGGTGGGTTTGATTCGGAGTCTCGGAATCTGCTCTTTGCATCATCCGTACTAGAGAGGTCAACGAGGGCGTCCCATAGGGTTTTCTCACTTGGAATTTATTTTTCTTCATTTATTTGCAAATGTCACGCGAAAGGGCTCGTTAGCCATATCAAGTAGGAAACGATACACCGGCTGTGGAGTGGACAATGCAGTGTGCCCGACCTACTGGGCCCAAGATAGGGTACTGACTCCGAGATACCTGCCGCGAGAATATATCACGCCCTCTAAACTACGTGCATACTAGGCGCCCTGCGCGAGTATTCCAGAAAAGGCATACCGCGCCACCATTAGGAGCACATGGTCTCCCATCCCATGCCTACGAAACCACCACTATGCAGGATATTACATTTCTAAAACTGCATGTTCTCTGTGGTGTTGCACAAACTAGCAGTTGCTGCTCTGGCCCCCGCGCTGCCGCTTCCGGCCTCGACCCTCTACTTAAATTTAGTACGGATTACGATCAGCTGCAGCCAAAAAGATCACCGATGTCTCTAAGGTCGGTGACAGGGGCCTAAGTAGGCAAGACAGGGCTATTTTGGTCGCTGATCAGCCTATAGGCGAGGCTCTGGTCTCTATATTTGCTTATTTTTGGACTTTCGAGAGTACTCGTTCGCTTCCACATCCGTCCGGGCCGCTATGAAGAGGGAGCACATTGTAGGACCACCTATGACGCGACTCGAGTGAGGACTCTTGGAGTCTTGTCTGACTTCGGGCGAGTATTCTGTGTTTATTTTTGGTGTGCAGATAGTAATCGGGCATTCCGCATTGCCTGTCCCGGGCCAAGGAGTTCTTTTTTTGGAAGTATTTTGGGGCAATTCGAACGTTTCAGATGATATAATTAGCTGTCGGTGGGTGTGTTACACATGGTTCAAGGGAGTTCTGTTCGGCGTCGTAATCCCTTGAGTCAAAGTCTATGGTGAGAAAACTTGCCAAGAATGCAGGATGAACGTCGAATCAGATCTCGAAGGTGTTAATCACAATATAGTTCTAGTTTTGATGCAGGCGTCCCAAGAACCTGGGCTGTGATTGTGTTCCCTCGGCCTTCTCTTCTTGATGATTCGGCCTCGCGAATGGGCCTGAAGAGGGCGATCAATAAAAACCAGATTGGGATGAAAATAATGTTCATTGTTGCTATGAATATGTGCAGCAAGGAGATCGCCAGCCGGCGTGTCATAACCATACAACCTTCCCGTCCCAGAGAACATAGTGAAAACCCATATCCAAGCAAAGAGAAGCCCGAGGCCTGTTGCCCGGGTTCCCGAATCACTTAAGCTGAACAGCAAAGTTACGACCAGCAGCTGGAATTGTGCAGATATCCCCAATGCCATCTCGCCACGGACCGAGAATAGCCCATTGTGCGAAAGATCGACAAATACCAGGGACCGATCCAGGATTGCTTCAAGATTACCCCAATAGTCTGGGTTCCGGGCTGTGGGTTCAAATGCAAGAAGACGTCCTCGCTGGCTAATGATGTATGCACAAGGAACGGTAGGGGGAGAGGGAGTCAAGAAAATACCTCAGCATCCAGCTGGGGGAACGGCGAAGGGGGTATCACAAAGAAAAAGGGGTGGTGGGTGTTGGATGGAAAAAAGGTCGGTAGATACTCGCCGGCCGAGATGGCAGTGTGATATCATCAAAAGGTGAGGAGGAATGCCAGCTCACCTTGATAATGCCCGCTCATGTCTTGAGGGACAGAGAGTTGAGGAGTTGCGTGGGTTGCAAGATGTTACAGGGGCAAGACACGCGATGGGTCTTGGAGAAAGCGCCTACGGTATGCAGCTATCTCGGAAGCCACAGTGCTGAAATCTTTCACCTTATCACGTCGCATCTCGTTGATGATCTTTTTCAACCCGGTGATGTAGGTTTCTTTCTCTTCTTCGGTTTGTCCTTCCCGGGCGGCTCCCATTTGGATGAGAATCTTGTCGTCTGTCAAGGTTAATAGCACTGTGGTCAGCATGCGGACAGGGCAAGACGGAATGGTAGGAGATCAAGTTTGAGGTTGAGAGGGGGGAGCCTGAGAGAGCCATAGAAGTGAAAAAGGGTAAAAGACCAAAGCACCAATTAGGGGTAAAGTGGTGAGAGGGGATGTAAAGTAGAAAGGAAAACCATATCAGAGGTTGCACGGCTGTTAATTTGTCGACGCACCGCTTAAATTCATGTCCCGGAAATGTTGGAATTCACAGGACCGATCGTTGCACACACCACCCGCCAGTTCGTATGGGCAAAGATATTTCATTGAATTGATGTCATGGCTGTAAGTTAGCGAACGGTAGCCGTCCGAAACCTCTTCAGCATAGCCGGGGTGGTAGCGATAGGCATTGAAGTACCGCAAGGGGCTGACGTAGGGAGAGAAATTGCGTGCTGGGGTGTTGGAAGGAGATTTAGCCTGCAGGGGATCAGTGCTTGATCATCATGAGTTCCTCCAGGAAAGATGTTATTCATACACCGAGAATTTCTGTCTCCGAGCCCTGATAGATAGGTCGTGCCTCCAAGAACGACACCTGAGGAGTCTCCGTTAGTGGTTCACCAATTTGGGACATATCAAGCGAGGGCTCCGAATCTGCCGTGTCTTCTACAGGAGCAGGGGGGGGGAGGGCTGTAGGCAGAATGAGGCGAGTCAGCGCCAGTGTCAGGCTCTGGGGGTTCGTAGGCCTCGGAATTTGAGGAAGATTCAGCATCGGACAGATCACCCTCCTGACCATGACTGTCGCTGGGTTCATAGTCCTCGCCGTTGTCGACGACTGGAAGGGCTGGACGGTCTGGAAGGGGGTGATCTAGAGAGTCGGGCTGCATTTCCTCAGTGTCGGGCACTGGGGCCGAGTCTATATCGAGCTCTGCACCAGAGGCCTGGGGCTCTCCATCACTGGAAGAATTCCTGCCCGTACTGACGTGGTCAACTGACTCATCCATGACAGAACCGTTGGACTTGAGCTGGGATAGAGCTGGAGAGTCCTCAGGGCCATTGACTGCGTCAAGTTGCGCAGGCTCATGGACATAGAAATCAGATTCGGAATCTTGATTTACCGAAGTACCTTCCAGGACCTCTACGGCAGGGGCAGGGGCACCTGGAACTACGCTCTCCTCTGTGACTGCAGGGGGGCGAGTTTCCATTGAAGCTGGAAATAAAGGTTAGCTGTTTGACACATCGAAAACCGGGAAACACAGGACGTATTCTTCCAAGGCAATGCTTACCGTCTGTGAGAGCAAGGCGCTGCTTCTTCAGCTCTGCCTGCCGACGAAGTTCATCCAGATCTGCGATTGTCAACCCATTAATCTCGTAGCTGAGATTTTTGAGCTCTTCAACAAGCTGGAGTGGCCCTTCTTCCCCTTTGGTCATCTCGGACAACAGCTTATCAGCATCGTCCTTGCAGGCAGCAAGCCGGGCTTGAGACGACATTAATTCACCATCTAAAACAGGAGCACCGGACTCGATCTCCCGCATGCGCAAGATTTGACACCTGATGCTGTCCAGCTGCGCAATGGTCATCGAAGATAGTATTCTCACAGACGAGGGGCTGAAAAAATCAATTTCATTCGGACGAACAGCAAAGGGCATTCCGAGAGTGGGACTTAGGTCCCGCGTTGTTCTGGGAGCGGTGGAGGGAGGTGCGGATGAGTTCTGGGCAAGATCAGCATCCGCAGCAGTAGACTGTGCAGCCGAAGAAGAAGATCCAGAATCCTCCAAAGTGCGCGGAGATTGAGTTCGACTGCCGGCAAGCTTTGCTTTCCGTCGCTCTTCCATCTCAGCGATCTTTCGGTGTAGAGCCTGGATCTCTAGATTTTTCTGGCGCATTTGCTCTTGATCACCCGGACGCGATGGTGCCTGTGGAGTAGACGTGGAAGCTCTTGTAGTCGAAGGATATTTCTGAAAAGGGGGTCGAGGAATATCGAGAGTGGCAGTGGCAGTTGCGAATGCGGAATCCTGATCTAGACTAGAGTCCACATCCATATTCTCGCCTTCGTCATCACCGTAAAGAGATTCATCGTCACTGATATCGATGATGAGTTTATCCGAAGTAGGAGCAGCGTATGGAACTGATACATGGAAATGCTTCTTCTGGACGGTCCCTGGTTCATCGAAATCGGAGGCCCGGGGTCGTTTGCGCTGATTTGTTCTAGCTAGTGGCGTCGAGTCAACAGCAATTCCCACGGACGCGCTATCGAGAGAGTGTGATTCTGCCTCTGGTTTCGAATCGGCCATCAAAAGACCCGGAATGCCACTGAGTTCGGATGACTGCGGGACAGGAGGGCGGACAGGTAGTGGATGATGAACGGCTGGTACCGGGGTTCCTGGAAGAGTCGATGACTGCTCTTCCTGGGAGGCCTGATTGAGCTGTTGGGCCATTTGCTGGCTCTTCAGCAATGCTTGTTTCTTGAGCGCTTCGATCCGCTTCCTTGCCAATTCCGTTTGAGCTTTATTCTTCTCCTTGACCGCGACTCCATTCTCCTTAGCATTTCCCCTGGAAGGAGTGGTTGATGGGCTTGGTGTAACTGCAGTCGGTTGAGGCTCTTTTGACAATTCTTTGGGCCCCGAGGACTGAGCCTTTGCAGCTTTAGCAGCAAGCATTTTCGCAATGAGCTCCTTTCTCTCCATGGGCTTGCTTGAATTGGATTGGGCCGTTCCAGGAACGGACTGCTGCGTGGCATTGTTCTTTTCCAGTGCGGCAGGCTCCGCATGTCTTTTAGATGGGGTAGAGCGTTGAGACTTCGCAATTTCATCGGTCGAAGGTGCCACTACCGGTTCAGTGGGCTGGGGTGTCGCAACCCTGATGCCAACTTCTTCGTAAAGCTGCTTCAGAATCGCTGGATTGATGCCTTCCGCCACTAGCTCGTGAAATCGAATACTATGGGGCGCCAAACTGAGCAAAGCTCCTTGCGCTTGAACACGGAGCTGAGCTGCCGACCTGGCAGACTGTATATCTTGGGAGGTTGCTTCTGTAGCATCTCGCTTCTGCAGCTCTATTGCACGATTGACGACATCCGCATCCGCGGAAACAGACAAAGGTGGGTTGTAAGCTGTGCGAAAGTCAGTGAAAAACCGGTGACGATGGAACTCTGAGATGCTCATACGGGAACTGCTTCTGCTTGAAGTTGATGGCCGTGAAGATACAGTCTCACCTTCTTTCAGACTTGATCTTGGAGCAGCAGGTGCATGGCTAGGTGCAGCCATTGTACCCTTACTTGATTCGACGGATTGTCCACCATCGCCCTCACTAACTTCGCCCTCCTCGCGATTTGGGTCCGTCGGGCTCGAGACATCTCTCACCCGTGGTTGAGACTCCGATGGTCCACTCGCGACAGTTCCATAGGGATTGAATGACCCTGGCGGGATATTGGACCCTGGTGGGGCAGGTATGGCCGGGTACCCGAATGAGGACATGGGTATCGGGGGGAATGGGAATGGAAGTTGTGATGGTTCGAGCTGGTTCATGTAAGGAAAATGGGGAGGGAAGAAAAGCCCTTGGTCGCTAGAGCTGCCTGGAGCTGGGATGCGCGAGTTGGCATTCGCAGTCGCACTGGCCATGTTATACTCAAAGGCTTGCGAAGGATGGACGTGAGGTGGAGGAGCTGAAGCTTGGTATTCAGGATTCGGGGGGAAGTTGGGAGGAATCATTGCAGGATAAGGTGGCGGCCACTGTTGCACATATCTGGGTTGACCACTAAACGAAGTGGGCGGTTGATTCGACATGATGATAGGCGACGGTGTAAAGAAAACTCGCAGGGAAAATCGTCTATGAGATGAAAGTCTCTAGACAGAATGATCTAGGAAAGCAAGAGCGAGGTCAAAGTTCCCATTTCATAGTGGTTGAAGCTTGATGAATCGTGAGTCGTCTCGAGCTTTGGCGATGACCGAGGCGCGCAGGCGCAGTCTACTTTCAGCTCTCTGTGAAGCAAGCCGGTCGGATGACCGGCGAGGTTGAAGGGAGCGGCGACGAGTCGTATAACCCAGCGCGCAGGACGAGAGGGTCGAAAGCAGGGCGCTAAGTAGCGAGGACGTGCTGAATCAAGTCTTCTCCGGTCGAAGGGTCAGTTAAGCGCCCGCGAAAAAGTGACTTGACTCACGTGACAAGATACGCACGGACCAGAGATCGGCGGGAACCCGAGGAACGCAAGTGTAAACAAACAGCATCAGCTCTCCGCTTTACATCACACGTCGGTCCTCACGCCTCGTTCGCCATTGGGCTCTTTTCTCCGCGACTTCCTTATCCTCTAACACTTCCCTTCTCCTTCCTCCTCACATCACATTTTTGTTCTTGTCTTCGGATTTCCTTTTTTGGCTATGGGAAACAACTGCCACCTCGAATAATGTGCTATTGAATAACCCGCCGACATGCTCCCCTCCCAGCTCAACAGCTCGCCGAAGCGTGCCAACCCATTTGGGCGCTCTTCACCGTCGCCGGCGCCGCAGACACAGACGCGGCCTAAATCTGCCATCATAACTCCGTCGAATGGAATAGAGTCGGCGAGAGGGCATCTCCGAAACGCATCAGTCTCGCAGATTACTCCGAATCGGTCTCCAGCATCAAACCGTGAACGGTCAAACTCTGCACGCAAAGATGTATCCTCGGGAACATTTGCCCCAAGCTTTATCAAATCGGAAGAACTACGAAGGGGCGCGGATCAAATTCGGGGCCTGGAAGGTAATAATGACTTCTCGGGAAACAAATACGTGTGGCTGCGAGATACCGAAAAGGCATTTGTGCGCGGGCTAGTACTGGAAGAATTAGAGGGAGGTCAGCTGTTGGTACAAAGCGAAGATGGTGAGGTAAGAGTGGTCTGTCCTCTGGAAGACGGCTGAGCATGACTGACATCATGAACAGCAGCGGGAAGTGGATGCCGATCAGGTCGACAAGGTCAACCCGGCCAAGTTCGACAAGGCAGATGATATGGCGGAGCTGACCCATCTGAATGAGGCCTCCGTGGTCCATAATTTACACACTCGATATCAGTCGGACTTGATTTATGTCGGTGCCCTTTGTCGTTTGCAACTACCACCAGGACGCAATACTAATTTGAATGGGCGATAGACATATTCCGGACTGTTCTTGGTGACGATCAATCCCTATTGTCCGCTTCCAATTTACACGAATGAGTATGTGAAGATGTACAAAGGTCGTGGAAGGGAAGAAACTCGGCCGCATATTTTCGCGATGGCAGACGAGGCTTTCCGCAACCTTGTAGAGGAGGGAGAAAACCAGAGTATTCTCGTGACGTGAGTCCCCTAGTCGTCCCGTTCTTCTACAATCACATTGATTCGATCCGCCCTATCTAGCGGTGAATCCGGCGCTGGTAAAACTGAGAACACGAAGAAGGTTATTCAGTACCTGGCTGCCGTCGCGACTTCCGATACACCGTATGCTCGATCTGGGACAAAGCCGCTTTCCAACCTGTCCCAGCAAATTCTTCGCGCAAATCCCATCCTCGAAGCGTTTGGAAACGCCCAAACAGTCCGCAACAACAACTCCTCTCGTTTCGGCAAGTTCATCCGAATTGAATTCTCGCGGTCTGGTCAAATCTGTGGCGCATGGATTGACTGGTACCTGCTCGAGAAATCACGAGTGGTCAAGCCCAACTCCAATGAGCGGAATTACCATGTCTTCTATCAACTGCTGCAAGGCGCAGATCGGAAGACTCGCGAAAAGCTCTTGCTCCAAGACCTCCAAATCGAAGACTTCTCGTATACAAGGCATGGCAACGATTCGATTGTGGGAGTGTCGGATAGGGATGAGTGGAATTCGCTGATTGAGGCCTTCCATGTCATGAACTTCTCGGAGGAAGACCAGCTTTGCATTATGCGCACCATTGCTGCTGTGCTGCACCTGGGAAATGTTACTGTGGCCAAGGAAAGCGTACGTGCCGACCAAGCCACCCTAGCCCCCGATGGATACGCGAGCGTGGAGAAGGCTTGCCAGCTTTTGGGCATTCCCTCCCAATCTTTTGTGAAGGGCTTGCTGCATCCGAGAGTAAAGGCTGGTCGCGAGTGGGTGGAGAAAGTACAGACACCTGATCAAGTGCGGCTGGCCTTAGATGCATTATCTAAGGGTATCTACGAGCGTGGCTTTGGTGATCTGGTTACCCGTATCAACAATCAGCTTGGTCGTTCGATGGCCGACGATAATTACTTCATTGGTGTACTCGATATTGCTGGATTCGAAATTTTCGAGAACAACAGTTTCGAACAACTCTGTATCAACTACACCAACGAAAAGCTCCAGCAGTTTTTCAACCACCATATGTTTGTTCTCGAGCAAGAGGAATATGCCAGGGAGCAAATTGAGTGGCAGTTCATTGACTTTGGCAAGGACTTGCAGCCAACCATTGATTTGATCGAGTTGACCAATCCCATTGGTATCTTCTCCTGCCTTGATGAAGACTGTGTGATGCCCAAAGCTACGGACAAATCTTTCACCGAGAAACTCCACTCACTCTGGGATCGCAAGACTTCCAAGTATCGTGCTTCTCGTCTTAATCAGGGTTTTGTTCTCACTCACTATGCCGCCGAGGTGGAGTACGCCACTCACGACTGGTTGGAGAAGAACAAGGACCCCATGAATGACAACATCACTCGTCTTCTGGCAGCATCCGGTGAGAAGCACATCGCGGATCTATTCGCGGATTGCGCCGAGCCCGAAGAAGGTGGCGATTATCCTCGGAGTCGGGTGAAGAAGGGATTGTTCCGGACAGTGGCTCAAAGACACAAGGAACAACTTTCTAGTCTAATGATGCAGCTTCATTCCACTCACCCTCACTTCGTACGTTGCATATTGCCAAATCACAAGAAACGTCCGAAGATGTTGCATGCACCTCTGGTTCTGGATCAACTACGATGCAATGGTGTACTGGAAGGAATCCGCATTGCCAGGACTGGCTTCCCCAACCGGCTTTCCTTCGCTGAGTTCCGTCAACGATACGAGGTGCTCTGTCAGAATATGCCGAAGGGTTATCTGGAGGGACAGAGTGCAGCCCAGATCATGTTAGAGAAGCTCGGCATGGACAGGGCCTGGTACCGTGTTGGACGGACCAAGGTTTTCTTCCGGGCAGGAGTTCTGGCCGACCTAGAAGAAAAGCGAGACCAGCTTATCCGAACCATTATGACTCGCTTCCAGTCTGTCGCCCGAGGTTTCGTTCAGCGTCGCATTTCCAACAAGCGCCTCTACCGTGCTGAGGCCACCCGAATCATCCAACAGAACTTCCATGCCTACCTCGAGCTCAAGGGTAGCCCTTGGTGGCGTCTTTTCTCCAGAATGAAGCCTCTATTAGGAGATACACGAACCGCCAAGGAAGTGAAGAAAAGAGACGATAAGATCAAAGAGCTTGAGACCAAGATGAAGCAGGAACTTTCTGACCGGCAAAAGCTGGATGAGGAAAGACGACGAACCGAGCTTGAGATTCATAAGATCCAGCAGACATTGGAAAGCGAACGTGCCCTCGCTCTTGACAAAGAAGATATTTTCAGGCGCCTGCAAGATCGCGAAGGCGAACTCTCAGAGAAACTCTCAGAAGCCATTGCTGATCAAGAAAAGCTTGAGGAACAACTCGATGATCTGGTTGATGCAAAGAAAAAGACGGATGAGCAACTGCAGCTGCGAATCACCCAGCTGGAGCAGGCCGGTCTGATCATCCAAAAGCTGGAGTCCGAGAGGAATCATCTACAAGGCCGGTTGGAGGAGCTTGATGCTCGGCTTGCCGGGATGGAGGGTCAATTCTCTGGGAAAGAGGACCAGATCCAGGAACTTGGTCAAGAAATCAAGATGCTCCAAAGTCACCTCAGTTTGAAGGATCGTAAGCTCCAGGACCTGGAAGCGAAGCTACTGAAAACCGATCAGGATCTTGATGTCAAACTTGCCAACACTTCGAAGGAACTCGACAAATCAAAGAAACAACTGCGTGATGCATTGACTGAGAACCAATCCATCCGCCACCAGATTGCCGACCTCTCTTCAACCACCACTAGCTACGAGGACCTTCTCCGGCGCAAGGAGAGTGAAATGGCCGTTCTTCGCAACGACGCAAAGAAGCACGATGAAGATAAGCGAGGCATGGAAGCTGAGAGGAAGTCTCTTACCACTCGACATGACAACATGCAAAGCCGTCTTCGCGAAGTCCAAGCTGAGCGAGACGCCATGCGGTCTGAAAAGACCCAACTTGAGCGAGAAGCCGCAGATGTCAAGCGGCTGCTCGAAGAGAAGAGATCTGAGGATGCTGAAGCTGGTGAAAGCAGGAAGTTGCTGGAACAGCAAGTTAACGATCTCAAGGGCCAGCTTTTCCGGGCCGAAGCAGACCTAAGCCGGGAGCGCCAGTCCAGAGACGATGTTCAGATGCTTGCTGAGCATAATATTGCCGAGCTGACCGAGAAGTACAACTCGCTCAACGATTCCAAGATTGAGATCGAAAAGGAGATGTACATTCAGCAAGACAGCCTTCGTCGCGCCACTGAAACTCGAGTTGCCGCCGAGAACTCGCGGAAAGATCTGCAATCGGAATTGATCAAGCTTCGAGAACGATTTACCGCTGTCGAAAATGCTCGCTTGAATGCGGAGGCTGAAATCGAACGCAATATCAAGAACCAGTCCGAGGAACGCCTCATGAGCATGCGAAACGATCTTAAGGAGAAAATACAACTCCTCGAGGATCTTGAGGCAGAACGATATCAGCTTGCGGTCCGAGTGCAAGAATTGGAGCATGCCATTTCAGAATCCGACAACTTCCGTCTTCGTCATGACCAGCATAAAGAACGCCTTGAAAGGGAACTAGTAATCTTGAAGGGTCGACTGACAGCATCTGAGAACGATAATCGATCTCTCCTTACGAAGATCCAACAAAAGAATCTTGACATTGCTCGTTCGAACTCCAAGGCCAGCGATAATAATCGACTCCGGCTGACAAATCTCCAAAAGGAGAAGACTAAGCTCGAGGAGGAGAACAAGAGGCTTGAGAAACAGCTTGGAGATTCGCAGCTCGCCATCACGTCTCTTGAGAAGCAGAAGGAAAAGCTGTCTTTGAGCCTGGAGGATCTGAACCATGAGGTCAACCGGGAGCACAAGAACAGTCGCAATGCTGAGAAAGCTGCTTCCACAGCCAATCTTCAGCTCGCAGAAGTCAATCGGAACCTTGAAAATGAACGGCAGCTACGGGGTCAGGCCCAAGCAAACACGCGACAGCTACAGGGCACCCTGGACAGGTCAAATAAGGAAATTGAAGATCTGCATCGCCAATTGATTCTTTTGCACAGAGTCTTTGAGCCCGAGGCTTCCGAGCCCACCAAGTCTTGGGAGGCCGTCCAACCGCACTTGTCCAAGCAAGTTGACCTCGCGCAAGTACTTGACACTGTGCAACACAAGCTCCAGGTCACGGAGGAGAAATACATGCGGGCTGAAAGCCAGCTTTCAGAGATGCGTCGCCGCCATGCAGACGAGATTAAGGAATTAGATTCAAGATACTCGTCCTCGAAGCGCGCCTTGCTTGAAGAGATTGACCAGAATGAAGTGGCCAACAACCGGGCACCCACCCACTTTAGGAAGAATTCCGAGAATGCTCTGAAGAGAATATCCAACCCTTCGACGCCGAACAAACGATACAATAATGTGTACGAAGGTGCAAACGACTCGGCTCGGTCAGATAGAACGGTTGATACCGTGGGCTACCAGAGGCGGATGGACACAGCGGCCGAAATCGAGGAGCTCCAGAACAAGCTCCAAATGACTGAAATGCAGAACAAGCACCTTCAGAGCCAACTTCAGCAGTCCACTCCATCTCGGGATATCTGGCAGGACGAGAGCCCTTCGATCCGTCGCATGCAGCTCTTGGAGCGTGAAAATGGTCGTCTCCATGGCCAGCTTGATGATTCCGCTAAGAAGGTCTCGGCACTGGAGCGCAGTATCCGGTCTGGAGAGCTGTCGCTTCGCGATGTACAGGCCAAGTCTCATGAGGAGCTGTACGACCTGATCAACTCACAGGAGCAGTCCCGTCGGTCGTTACTCAAAGTCCACAATGATGCTCTGGCTGAGTTCAGCGATGCGAAGTCGCAATACGAAAAGCTAAAGCGCAACAAGGCATCCATTGAGGTCGAGCTCCGTGATGCCCGATCTGAAACCCAAGAGCTACAATCAGCTAGGGATCAAGACATGGCCAGCCGTAACCAACTTCTCCAGGAATTCTCCGACCTGCATATTCGTCTGGATGCTGAGACATCACGAAGTGCTGATCTTGAAGCGAGCCTGAGCTTGTTCAAGAGCCGCTCTAATGAGTATTTCCGCAAGCTCGAGCAAGCTGAGATCACCGTTCTCAAGGCATCGCGTGCTGAACAATTTGCCAAGGCTCGATGCCAGGAGGCTGAAGACACTAGTGCCCAAATCATGTCTGAGCGAAAGGAGATGGATGCCCTTGTGGAGGACTTGCAGCGCCAGAGTCAATCCTTGGAAGCCCGAATGGAAGACCAAGCTGCCGAGCTTCAGGGAGCTCTGCAAGCCAAGCAACGCCTTCAGAACGAGCTCGAAGACTACCGCAACCAGCGGGCTATTGACATCGAGGACAAAGAAACCTCCATGGAGCAGACCCGGCAAAAGTACCAGCGCGAGTTCTCGACCATTAATGGTGAGCTTGAGATGGAGCGTGAGCGGCTACTCAATGTTCGTGGAGAAAACTCCCGCCTCCGCGAAGAGCTTGAGGATCTTCGGAGCAAATGGGACAACGAAGTGCTCAACAGCTCCACTTGGGCCAAGGAGAAAGCCCGCTTGGAACTTGTCATGCAAGATATTACTAACTCTCGCGAGGAGGCTGCCAGTGCACACCACGAGGCTCAGAGCAAGGTTGTGTCGCTCCTCTCTCAGGTGCGGACTCTTCGCTCTTCTGTCGACGATGTCACGGCAGAGCGTGACCTGCTTTTGAAGGACAAGAAGATGCTTGAAGCTCGCCTGGCCGAAGCTGGTGAGCGTCTCGAGGATCTGGCGAAGGGTGAAAGTCCCTCTATGCGCGACGCCGCCAGCATGGATCGCGAGCTTCTCGAGCTCAAATCCAAACTTGCGCAACAGGAAGATGTCTCCTCCGCAGCTGTCGGCAAGATGCGTCGCGCCGATGCTCTCGCTACTGAAATGCAGAAGGAGCTTACTGCCGAGCGCGAAACCAATGAGCAGCTCTTCAAGGATAAGGCTGGACTTGAGAAGCAGCTGAAGGAGGTGCAGCTTCGCTGTGTCGACCTGGAGACCAAGGGTTACTCTTCTGGTAGCCAAGATGTGCGGTTCTTGCACAAGCGTATTAAGGAGGTAAGCTTTAGTCCTTATACAACTTCTGCGCTGTCTCCTTGCTAACCTACATGATAGCTTGAGACCCATCTCGAGAACCAGGAGAACAAGCAAACTGCTGAGCAGCGCTCTCTTCGCAATGTCGATCGTACCGTCAAGGATCTGCAATCTCAAATTGATCGACGGGACAAGATGAACACCCAGCTTACTGATGATGTCAACAAGGCTCGGGATAAGATCGAAAGGCTCCTCAAGAATATTGAGGAACTCCAGCAAGGCGACACCGAGATACAATTCCAGGCTCGCCGTGCAGAGCGTGAACTTCGCGAGGAGCGCGAGAAGGTACTGCACCTGGAACGTGAGTTGGAAAATTTCAGAGCGCTGCGGGTTGAGAGAACCAGCACCATTGGTCGTTCTTCCAAGGCTGTGCTCGGCGATGCGGGCAGTCGACGCGGCAGTGCTGCGTATGGATTTAATGAGACAACGCCCCAGCGGAAGCCCAGCAACACCAAGGGCTTCCTGTGAATAGGGTTGGAGAGATGATATGTAGTACGTTGACTCTGGAGTTTCTTTCATGGTGGTGATTTTCTTTTCTTTTTTCTATTGCTGTTGGCGTACATGTGCATTTTCGGAGAGGGACGCTTCGGTCTTTTTTTCTTGACCCGGATCGTCTTGTTCATAATGCTTGAATGACCGTATGTCCTATCCACGTTTGGAGGTGTATGTATTGGATGGCAGTCTGCTTTTCATTTCCTTTTGCGATCGAGTTGGGAGTAAATATGGTGGATGGGGGTAGGATAGGCTATCTACAAGTCAAGAATAATTCCAGATTGAATCAAACCTTTAGGTCATGTCTCCTCTCTCTGTAGATGGATAGGGACATTCATAAACAACCATCCGATATTACTAACAGCCCCGTATTTCAGGTAAACGCTCCAAAGAGTTTGCAACTTGTACTGGACGCGTTAAATGGTCTTCCGAAAGACTACCATATGCAAAGAGTACACAATCCGAACGTTCCCACGCCACAAGAAAGAACCATCCTTATCAGACATGACGCCATGTGTTGCTTCCCATGCGCCTCTCTGTGTAGGATCCCTCTGGCTCTCAGTCCAGAAGATCAACCTAACTGTGATAGGAACAAAAAACTTGAGTGGTTGATCAACAAACATTTACCGCAACCAGTAATGCCATCAACGCGAAGAGCCCTTTTGGGTCAATGTGAGTTTTACTTTTGGCTCAGTCATAAACGGCCGGGGTATACCTGTCGATTTGTGTGAGGCAATGCTCATTCCACTTGTCAGTAAAGTGTATCTAAGAAATGTTCAGAACACCCCACAAGGCTTTCCTATGTCTTTACATGTAAAGAAATTTTACTGATTAGAAATTGATCGGAAGGTCTCACAAGGCTCGCTCGCGAAGGTGGCCGGCTTGGCTCGATAATCATTTCCTAGTTAGTTAAATATGTTTACATGTAAAGAAACTTGTCAAATTGTCCTCACTTTTTGAAGAAACTCCACATACATTGTTTTCTGTTTGCAGCCCTTGGAAGAGGAGGGAGCTGGCCCAGTGGCAAGCAGCTCGATCACAACCGTTCCTAACCGACTTCGGCTCTTATTTAGATCAAGCCTACTTGACCGGATCAAAAATTAAGTCCACTTTCCTATCGTCAACGATTTTGGACGATTCTTTTCGAATATAACAAGCCCTCTGCAAATATATTTGGAAAAGGTTTTAGAGCATCTTCGATTACACTTGAGAAAACTCCCTACTAAAAGCATTACTGATCTGCAGTCTAAACGGCATCGAAATTCTCCGGAATATTATTGAAAGACCAGTTGATTCCTAATGTGACAGATTCAGAGATAGTCCACTATTGCTGTTTTGTCGTCGCTACTGCTGGCAATGGGCACTATAGACAGTATTTCAAGGAGAGTGAGTATATGAACCAACGCAAGAAAGACAGAATCTATTGATGATAAAATTGATTACAATAAAGCCATGGTGGGAAGCGATGCATTGAAGCGATCAGATTTTAAATAGTTTGAGCTGGTGTAGGAAAGAAAGTCCATGTTTATTAGCCAGTGCTTGTGTGCGTAGCACATATGGAGCATTTCTGAATATTTCCTGCATCCTAATCTCTTTATCTTTTCTTTCCATAGATTGCGTTATTAGCCAGTCCGCCAAACTAGATTTTGGGTACAAGAAGACGCGTCATTCCGGGCAGAATATAAACCCCACAAATGTCACATCGCATTTTTTGAGCACACCACCGCTGCTATTGCTCGGATGCCCCCTTTGTTGCCTTTGCAGAGACCTTAGGTTATATAATGTCGAACCTCGAATCCTTTTCACTGAAGTTATAGTCTTCTCTTCAGAACTCCAACTTGAATACCCATACCGAAACCCCAAGCCCCAGATTTGCCCATCAGCTCCGTTCTGACCAGCTGTCTATTCTATCTACGTCTTGTGTCATTGTGGTGTTCCGTCACAGTGGCATCGCCTTTTTACAATTCAACCAGTGCCAGTGCGTCTATCATGGAATCTGTTTCTCCTCCAGTCCCAGCCATGGAGGGCGACGGAGACAGTTCGTCTGTCAATCTGCAACCAGTTTACCCTTCCCGTTCTAACTCATGGTTACCATTCGATCCAACGTTTGCATGGTCCTACCCTTTAACTCAGTATGACCCGGGGCTCTTGCCCTGGGCTTCGAGTAGCTACTACCCGCTCCTTGGTCACGGACCCGCTTTTGCAAACTATTGGGGGACTCCATCATGGATCATGAACCCGGGCCAAGTTGGCCAACCGGTAACGACCCCGAGCCCTCCACTGGATGCCTTGCCCTCCACTACTATCCCGGTCAAAGGGCGGTCACCGAAGACGACAACTCCCAAAGATACAGCTGCTGAGCAGCAGGAATCTTGCAATGACCAACAGGTGGACACTCAAAAGTAAGTCGATCCCTACTACTACTTACCTCCATCTGGGCTCCTCTAACTACTAGGCTAGCCCAAGCCGACCAGTCAGCTTCAAGTGTAAATGGGAAGGGTGCAATGGTTCTTTCAGAGCCAAAAGCAGCCTCAAGAGGCACATCGAATCGACCCACATCTCCCCGAGCTCGCTCAAGTGCCCGGCACCGCGATGCACGAAGACTTTTGGGCGTAAAGACAAGTACAAGACCCATATCCGACTTGTTCACTGGGACATGGTAGACCTGATTGATAACCTTGACCGTTCGACTTCAGCTTGATGGTGTTTGTGGATCGGCTTCCATATTCTTTGTTTCCATTTCTTCATTTCCTGTTCTCTGTTCTCTTATTCATTCTTCTCTTTTTTCTTTCTGAATACCACGGCGATGGCGCTCGTGATTTTCTGGAAATCCAAAAACAGGTGTAGCTTTGTGCTTGTTTTCCATTTCGGTTTGGTTCGCCCTTGTGTATCAATAATATAGTGATATCACAGTAAACAAGGAATTCTATGTCAGCGCTCTATCTAGATTAGACGACCTGCAATCGCTTTCTGGATCCTCTAGATTTTCTCAATTCGTCTTGTTGATGCCTACGGCGGACGCGGAGGAGGCTGTATACTTCACGTTTGGGGATCATTGTTGATCCGCGGGGCGGCTCAAACTGCATTAACGCAAGCTGCCTGGGCCCCTCTTAACTACTTAATCACTCTTGTCTCCTGCAACTTTCTTCGTAGCTAGAAAACACACGCTCGCTACCTCAGTCGAGGGGACCAGATCACTATCACTAAGGAGGTAGTCAAGGCTACCGCTAGAAACTAGAGGAATGTTAAGGAGATGATAGCATAGCTTCTGGACTATCGGCAGAAGTAACTTCAGCACTAATTATAAATGATATAGTGTAGCTATCGTTTATAGCGATGACAAGGGTTTGGTAACTCTTTCTATAGAACAAAGTTGTCCTTTCTCTGTTCGGAATAATATCAATACTGCACAAAGTTACATAGCTTATAAAATTAAAGGCTTATTTTTTAAATTCAAATTGTATCTAACAAATAAAACTAGTAAATGTCCGTGGATTTAGCAAATCATAGCTACGACTCTTGCCGAGGTTCTACTGTAGACAAGAGACGGGCGCCTCGGTAGGAAATTCACCTCTTTTCTAACCTCCTAATATAGGTAACGAAGGTATCGATTGTTACTGTCCTGATAGACGATAGTGCTAGACGTCATGAATTGTCTTCGGACCAAGCAAAATCCAGTCGGCAGGCACGTTTAACGACGACAGACAGGTAGGTATATGACCCGTGCTAGGGCAATGACCGGGGAGCGGAAACTCAATTCAGCTTATCCTCGAGTTCCTAACTTATCTACGTACGGCGATCCGTGAGCTCCAGCGATACGCCCATGCATACATTCCTCTGTTTAGATTCATGTTCTCGATTGCTGTCTGTGCTCCGCCAGTCGGGTTCTTGGTGTGCGAGATGGATAGCGTCGTGCAAGCAGACCAACCCTTTGGACTTGAGGTCAACGGGGAGTCGAAGGCCGACACAGTCACTTTGCGTTTGAGAGTTGCTGGCGACACAGATACTGGTGATGAACGCGGTGACTTGATTGACACGATATCTCATCTTTCTGACGCTTCGATTTACGGGGAAGACATCGTCATCGATATTACAGGCAGGGGCATCCCAGCCGCAGGAGATAAAGCAGGAAAAATAGCATGAAGCATATTGGACCGAAAGCGAGAACTTAGTCCGCCGAGCGGTGTCCGAATTGCCAAGTCTTCCTGACTCGGGGGGTTCCAAAGAAAAAATAAAGGGTTATCTGGCCCGTGGACTACAAGTGCAAGGGCTCAACGCGTGTTCCGGTGACGTTCCCAAATATCAACCAATGGGAGCTCTTTATCAATCTCTACAAGATGCATATGTCATAATACCTGCTTCACATGTTATGGTTTCATAATGACCTAAATGTTCCTAGATCTAAAAGGGCTAATATCTAGCAAACGATAGGAAGGATCTTCAACTGACACTAAATTTGTCATTTAAATGAGTCCATCAACGATGAATGAACATAAAGTGGAATCTGCACTTCCAATGCAGAAGATCCCGATCAAGTTCTCCAATTTGAGCCTCAGCGTCGAAGGGGTGACGCCAGCCTCATTTTCTCAAATGCGAAGGCCATCCTTCGCCTGTACCAGTGTTACGGGCCGTGCCGCGCGAGATCTGGTATACATGGATACTCTCAAGCCCTTGGCAAGAGGGGGGAGGGGGGGAGGCGCTAAGCCTATCGTGCTGACCTCGACGGAAGGTTGAGGCTCTAGTAAATTAATGACTTGAATCACAGCCTCATGGCAAACAGCTCGAAAAAGAAAAAGAAAACGGCGTCTCCTTCGGCAACAGTACCCTATCGGATGACACAGAAGTGTGAAGCAGGTATACGTGGCATCCATTCAAGACCATCTACTACTACTAATTCGTACCAAGTTACTTGCATGATGCATAATGTACGATGCAGCACACGTGTCTAGACTGAATTCGCAGCCACCGAACGCCTGTGCCATCTTGCCCTTCATGCCATGGAATGATCTTCCGAAAATTTGCCGAACTCCTGGTCCGCGCGTGCCCGTCACTATATTCCAGCCATGTGATCGCGGAGTGCGCAAAGTCATGAATAAATAGCAGGTGATATCCATATTGAGAGAACCATAGCTCAGCAAGAGGGCTGCACCGTATAATGTCATTTGACAAATTGCTACACAATGAAAGACGCGCGGGTATTGGAGTTATCACGTTGCCTATCACAAAGCTTTATACTACATACACCACGATAATCACGCTTGGATCTACACCTGTACCAGAACAAATATCCGTTGAAACATCTGCTGCCGTTTCGACCATTGAGCCAGCGAGTGGATCAAGTCAACAGCAATCCCCTGCTATAATAGGAGCTGCAGTCGGTGTCGCAGTCGGTGTGGCACTCATTCTAGGCTGGTGTTTCCTTTGCAGGCAATGTGTCCGGGGGCCCCGAGGGAAAAGAGGCCTGGCTGGTAAGGCCGGTGATAATGGAGCCAAGGGAGACCGAGGACCCGAAGGGCCCAGGGGCCCTAGGGGGGATACAGGAGAACCGGGAAACCGTGGAGAACCGGGTATACAAGGGATTCAAGGCACCCCAGGCAATCAAGGATTACCGGGACGTGATGGGCGCGACGGCCTTGATGGTCAATCCGGACGTGATGGTCAACCCGGACGTGATGGTCAACCTGGACGCAACGGTCTTGATGGTCAGACTGGGCGTGGCGGTGTTAATGGTCAACCTGGACGCGACGGTGTTAATGGCCCAATGGGATACCCCGGTCCACCTGGCCCCGCTGGTGCCGCAGGGCCTGCTGGGCCTTTGGGCCCACCTGGGAGAGACGGTCTACCTGGGGAAGACGGCCTACCTGGGGAAGACGGCCTACCTGGGGAAGACGGCCTACCTGGGGAAGACGGCCTACCTGGGAGAATTGGCCGTGACGAAAGAAGAGGCACATCATGTTCGCGTGGGCGGGATCATCATTGTCATCGAGCAGCATCTTGTGCGCGAGGATCTTCCCATGGAGATCAATTTATTATGATCAGAAGGTAGAGTTTGACCGGAAGATGATATCTCTCTCAACTAGGTATTCTTCTTACAGGTTAGCGGCAAATAGGCATGAATTCATGCCCCTAAGTGTATAGCCGGGGCCGGCGATCCATAAGGGTGTACACGACGTCAGAGACTTTCCGGGTGGATCCTATAGGAAAGTACGAGAATTTCGTGCTGCCTGAAGCGCTCTGTTCAGTATTCATATCTGCCGGGCATGGACGAGGCTCTAAATCCGTTTTGAGGAACTTGTACATCCTATTTATATTTGCACGGATATATGCCGTCTAGTGCTAAATCACGATGGGAGACATATGGAAAGGCGAGGAGTGAGGATGTGAGGACAATGGAAGACGTGCAAGTCGCGCAGAAAAGCCGAGTCTGGATTTGGTTGCAGGCTGCCATTTCTGGTGTCGTTTGGTCGTTCGCGTCGAAGCGGGGAAAACAACGTATTAAAGTCCACGCGGACGCAGGATAGTGGGGCTGAGCAGGTAGTGGGCGGCTAGGCTCGGCGTCAATTTCACAGGTCCTCATTTCGATAATTCACAGTTTGAAATTTTGGAACTATTGATCCGCATGTAATTCAATGGGCCTTCAATGGGAGCATAACCAACTCGCTGCAGAAGTTGAATCCAATGCTCTTGGAGGTCAATCGAAAATGATATGCGATTCCTATAGACTCAAGCCTCTACTGATCCAGTCCTTTCGTTAGCTCAATGATGGTTTGCACCACCTCGTTCGGGCTTTCCTGAGGTACCCAGTGACCGACTCCATCGAGAAGGCGAAGAACTCGGAAGTCAGAGCACACTGCACCACTGCTCATCTTGTCCAGAGCCCCGGGCACTTGGTAAATCCCCCAGTCCTGCTTTCCAGAGACGAATGCGCAAGGACACTCGATCTTCTTGCCAGCGAAGGTGTCGTAGTCCCGTGTATACCGACTATTTGGAGCAGTGCGTACGCGATACCAATTCAGTCCCCCTTGGAAGCCGGTGCGGACATATTCGCCCGCATAAACATCAAGCTCATCGTCTGGAAGCCACGACTGCGAACTTTGCCCCTGTGATGGCTCATTCTTCATGTCTCTTGCCACGGCTTCTGGCATGGTAGCATCTAATGGCATGATATAGTACCCCGGCATCTGGACGATCTCGTCGGCAGTCCAGCCCTTCAGCGGACGCGGCTGGTTACCGGGCCAGGATCCGCTCTTAAGATGGAAATAGCCTCGCAGAAAATGGCGCATATCATCCAGGGCTAGCGAAGACATGTCGGGACCTGCCTGGGCAGTTGAGTAGTACCATTTGTAGTGCTTGCGGCCACGTTGGGCCAGAGCTTCATGAACTGCCGATGCAGTCGCAGATCCCTCAGCACCGCCGCCTCCGCCTGTTGCAGCAGCCGCACGCTGCTCTTCCGCAGTGCCTTCGTTGGCAGTGTTGAAGGGCAGTGTGGGACTTCCATTGAAGGGGTGGCTCATCAGCACCACGCTGTGGAAGAAATCGGGGCGCATCAAAGCGCACGTTGCGGCCGTCATGGCGCCACAGTCATGGCCTGCCACGCACTGCACAGATCGATACCCCAGAGCATGCACCAGAACCACGATATCGCGCACCAGCTCCGTCATGGAGAATGTCGCCAGATCGACATCCTCATACGCGCGCGTGTCCCAGCCGGTCGTCCGGCCGAACCCCCGCTGGTCTGGTGCGACCGCGTGGAAGCCCGCGGCTGCAAGCTGGGGTAGAACTCGGCGCCACGAGTAGGCGATCTCGGGAAAACCATGCAGGAGAATGATCAAAGGGCGATCGCGGTCGGGAGTGGCGCCGGACTCGAGAATATGGAAAGTGAGATCGCGCGTCTCGATCAAGCGACTGGAGACGCCCTCGCAGAGGGGCAGGGGCTGTAAGGGCACGGCATCCAGGGACATTGCAGTGAGTTCGGGCATAGGCCAATTTTGGAAATAGTTACCGGATTACTGGGGGCAGAAGAGTAATAACAGTACGGAGTAATAGTATTTATAGGGCACTGACTTCAGGGCTGGGGGGCCATTTCATGTCTAGTGAGTGCTGCTTCGGGGGAACCATTAGCCTGATTTTATAGTGAGCTTAGCTAGCTTGTTTAACGGGAGTGTACCAAGGCAAGTTGCTGATGCGGTACCTGAGGCACTTCAGTCATGACGCAAGTTTCACCTTGCCGAACCACTCCTACTCTCCGCACGTAACCTTCACTTTCACTTTCTTCACCCTTCACCAGGCCCTCCTCAATTTCTGTCCTCGAGCTTTAATTCTTTCGCCCCTTTGAACCCTTCCACCCTACTCCTCGCAAGCTCATCCTCTCTCCTTACACCTGCCTGCTCTTTCCGACCGTATGCGCCCAGTCCGGCCCTTTTTCTTTCGGTCCCGCTTGGTCCGCATCCTTTAATACCTGCTTCGCGCCGCATCATCCGAAAGCTTTCTATCGTCCAGGTGCTGCGCACGCTGCCTCCGAGTCTTCCGCTCCAATCTCGGACCCCGGCGCTGCTTTGCGCAGTGTCCGGCTACCCGATCTTCGTGCACCCTCGTCCACTCGGGAGCCTGAGCAATCATGTTCGGCCGTCGCAAAAGAAGCTCGTCCCATCATCAGGTACGCCCCCCGCCGTGAAACCAAGTCGTCCTCTCCGTGTTATACGTCCATCCTGCAACGCATGGATTGTCGCCGATGGGCATTGAAAATGCCGCCTGTACAATATGCTAACGATCCTACCCGCTACTCTCTAGCCATTATCTGCACCCGCGTCTCAGTCCGCGCAATCCGCCGCCAGTCATGCCTTCCTGAAATCCCAACCCTCCTCGAGTAGCCTTTCATCGGCTGCTGCTGCCGCTGCTCTGCGTACTCTCAGTCCCACCCCGACGTCCGTGGAAAATGTCCAGACGAAGCGGATGGCCAACCGACGGGCTTCAATGCAGTCGCCCACTAATCTGGCGGCCGGTCGTCGCTCCGCAAGTGTCAGCGGTCCTCTGCGCCGGACAAATAGCTCAAGCTCGATGACCGCAAGGACTTTTCGTGAGCCATCGCCCAATCGCCCATCCACCAGTTCCGGACCTGCGGATCAACGTGACGTGCCTGTCGATGTGCCCCCGTTGCCATCTCTGCCGACCAAATACGTACCCAAATACGTACCCAGAAATGGGCCAAATCGTCGTGCTGTCAGCATGGATCCGGCAATGCGATCTCCTCCGGCATCTCCGCGCGCCCGAGGTGCGAACGTGGATCGAGCTCAAGATGGTGTCCCGGCAATTTTGCCGTCGACGCACGGCCGAATCAACAGCTTGGGCACAGTTCCAGAAACGGACCGACCAAGCAGTCGGAACTCGATCAATTTCTCTTATCCAATGGGTGCACGAGCAATCTCGCCGACATCACCCCTGGAGAATCAGATGACGAGCTTGGACCCGGCTTCAGTTCGTGAGGTGCCATCGGAGGAGGAACCTAGCATGCGACAGCCTGGTTCCGAAAATTCAGGCAACACGGGAAGTAGGACACATGCAGTGGGGATGGAAGGAAGCCGTGCAAGCAAGCCCGCAGGTGCTTCGGTAAGCACGGCTGTCGCTGCAGCTCAAGCAGTGAGCGGGCAGAAGAGCAGCCCGAAGGCGGACCCTGGGACCCCGGCTCTTAGCTCGCAGGAGCGACGCATCGATCACACAGTTCCAGTGACGGACAGCGGTTCACAGGGCGACCCCCCGACCTCCCGACCTGTTCCTGAACGATGGCCCTCCACAGTGTTTGAGGAGAACGAGACGGAAGTTGAGGTGGACGCTGGTATCTCGGCCACTCGATGTATTGGGGACCGATTGGCAAACGCACCTCCGACTGTCAGTTATGTGGACGCGGTCTCGACACCGCAACCGTCCCCTCAGCCATCCCCGAAGGCCGGGAGAGAAACCACGCCGCAGCAAGAGGCCCATTTTCAGCAGTCCAGCAGCCCTGGCCGATCAGCCCGCTTCGCCAAATGGCTTTCCGTCAGTGCCTCTGGGGATCAAGTTCATCAGCCCCCTCCACGATCTGTCTCTCCGGTTAAGTCAGCGTTGAAAGCCCCTCGTGGAAGCTCGCTGTCTCCGGATCGAAAGGGCAGCACAATGGGTGGTCGAGTTTTCCAGCCACCTAGCGAGATATCGGATGGTACCTCGGTGGCTTCAGACGAAGGTTCTCGGATTGGTGTCAAGAAACGGCCAGTGAAAGTGAGCTTCGACGATGAGGCCGAAATTGTCGGCGTCGCAGCCAGCCCTCCCACCTCCCCCGAGGAGAATGTGCCCGAATCGCCACCTAACAAAGGCAAATCTCGCATGAGTTGGCTGGGTGTCGGCAAGAAGAGGGTATCGCCTTTGGATTTCGTGAGTGGTGATGATGACTTCGACAAAGTCATGAAGCCCAGGCCAGCGCTCCCATCATTTGGAAGCGTTCGAGGAATTCGAGATGGTGGAAACCCAGCACCGGCCATTCCAGATTTCAGCGATAATGACTCAACGAGTTCGTCCGACAACGACGTCGCAGCTCCGGGGCTGTCATTCTCAAATGACCATGCTCTTGGAGGCATACTCCCCAAGGCTCTGCAAAAAGAACCTGCGAAAACCCGCGGCAACACAGCTTTGGAGCAACTGTCTGTCAGCGGGGGCCCGCTTTCTTCGCAGCAGACGTCTGCACCAGAGCCCAAACTGGGTGGGGTCGCTATCGGAAGCCGTACTGATAAGTCGTCACTTTCTGGTCCGAATGCCGAATTACCTGTGCCTTCTATTGCCGTGGAGCCGGCTACCCCTCCAGTAGACAGTGGCCGGCCCATCCTTGAGCAACGGTCCAGCCTTGATTGCCATATTCCGGGCGGGTTTCCTGCCTCGAAATCAGACCGCAACCTCCAGGCCGCCGCTTCTGCGGCTTCCGCGGATACAGTTAAACCTCAACCTGTCGCGAGTGCTGTGCCGCAGCTGGATGATGTGGATACTGAAGGGGAGTCTGGGGACAGTGTCTACAGTGACGCTGCTGAGGACATCGATGGCGATGGCTTTGGTTCGATCAATGCAATTGTGGAGAGTCGAGCAGTTCCTCGCTCAACGGGGCCCATGGCTTCGTCAAGCGAAAGTCGTGATGCCACTCCAAGAGCGGTGGATCGAACTGCGGCTATTGAGAGTCAATCACAAGGCGTCACAGGGCAAGGCCGGGAAGACCCTCGCTCCATCACTCCTACCCAGGATTCTGTCAATCGCCAGATGAGCGAATCTCCAGTCTCTCCTTCAGGCCAGCGAGAATCCGACTCGACATATTCGCCATTACCGACCAAGTCAAACGCCCGGGCCCCGTCTTCCCAGAATGGTACCATCCAAACGGACAGCACAAAGCAAAGCCGGCCAATGTCTGTGGACGCGCGTGGGGGCTCTGGATTGCAAGATCCTAGTGTTATTTCGAACAAGGCTACCAAAGACAAGAACCGGCCTGTCTCTCTTGGGCCAGCCTTCCAGATGAAGAGAAACAACGGTGCATCGGCTGAATGGTCGAGTTCCCTCCGCCGCACTACGTCAAGTGGCAGCGACTCTTCGAGCAGCTTCAAGCGCGCCAGCCCTTCTGCCCGCAGTGAGGGCCCGTTATCCATGCGTCGGACGATGAGAGCCAGCTCTACACAACCTCGTGTGCACTCTCCCTCGGACCGTGCAAACTCTCCCGACGATCGTCGGCCACTTTCCTCTGGCTCGGGGGCCGGAACGATGCGAAGGACACTACGAAGCCCGGGTGCTGGAAACGAGCGGTATTCGTTCTTCTCCACCAACAACAAAGCACCTCGAGCACTCTTCACAAAGGCGCCTCCAAAATCTATGCGCGGAGCCTCGCGATTCGTCGATTCAGATGGAGAGGGCGACGGAGCACAGCCGCAGACCTTCCATAGCCGATTTGCAGACTCCAGTGACGAAGATGAACCCGGAAGCAACACGTTGCGACCTGTCCGCGGTATCCCACGCCGTCAAGGTGCCTACGACGGAGATTCGACGGACCTGGAAGATAGTTCTGAGGAAGAACGTCAGCTGCAGGCTGCTGCACTCGCCGCACATCAACCAGTTTCCACGCCGCCTGGTTCTCGTGGCAAACACGCCCCCAACATGTCTGGCTTCGCCGCTGTGGCCAAGCAGCGAGGAATGAGCCAACGAGAGCTGGAGGAGTTCCTTATGCAGCCCCCCGGAGGCCGGAAACCGTCTCTTCTCACTCGTCTGGGCCTCAAGAGGCCCAAGTTCTCTGACAATCGCATCCGCAAGGCAGACGTCGAAAGCCCCTCCCGAAGAGACACCCCGTTAGAGCGGTCGCGGCTGGAACGCGAACACCTGCGAGGCGAAAACTTTGTGAACGGTGATCGCGGTGTGGTGACAACAGTGACGGCCGGCGCACCTCAACCGGCCCCATCACGCAAGTTAAACAGGCGGCTCTCTAAGCGAAACACTATCAGTGCTGATCACTGGCCGCTCCGCCCCGAGCCCAGGGATAAAACGCCCGAACCAATCCCAGAGCACAGCCAGAGCCTCCCCTCGTCGCCGTTACAAGCAACCAAGCCCGCAGGACTGCCGGCTGCTGATGCCGAGCGCAACGGAAGCATCACGGTCAACGGAGGTGATGCGCCTGGGACCATCTCTACTATTAAGGAAGAGCCCGAGCCTCCTCAAGCGAGCCAGGCTGGGCCAGATGTCAACGACGCTGGTTCGGATGTCACGAGGACGACGGCCGAGGAGCAGGGTCTCTCGGCGCGCGATGTAGTGATTGCTGGCTCTGGGCGCAAGAAACGCTTCCCTCTCTTTCGGAAAGCCTTTGGTCTACGGAAATAAGACCAATTGCATGGTCTTTTTTTCTCCCTACCTTTACTTTTGTGATTTACTCTCTGTTTCACTTCTTGTGATGCATTATGGTTGAATTCGTTCACCGTACACGTTTAATGCCTCGCTTGCCGTTTTTCCTTCTCTGTCGATTTTGTCTCTTCTGGCAGAGATTCTTCCCGCTGGCCATGTCCTGGCTGGGGTGTGGATTTCGCCAAACCCGTTTTCCATCTTCCCAGTGGAAATCTAATCTTAATGGTTGATCTACGCATGTTACAGGTGTCTGTGTCTGTGTGTGTGTGTCTCTATCTATGGTGGCTTGTCTTGTCTCGTCCACGACTGATCACCGCTGTTTCTCTTTGTACACTCATTCTTTCCTTTCCGTCGTGGGGTTGATGGGGGCTTGGCTTGGACACATACATATTCATCCATGTGTTTTGAGGCGGCTCTCCACGCGCGTTGGCGTTGCCCTGATCCTTCATTTTCGTGCTGGGAAGGAGTTTCCTTCTATATACACTTGATACCCTGTCTCTCTTCTGACTGTAACCTTTCTATGATTTTGATTTTGATTCTCATTCTGGCTCTGATACCGTGTCTGATGTATCTCTCGTCGATGTCTCGTCGTGGTCGGGGGCGGATGCGCGTTATTGCAGCGCCGGCATTTTGTCCTTTATAGACATTGTTTCATAGATGTAGTTGGATCTGGGGCGGGCAATTGGAATATCTTCGCGCTGCGATCTGCTTCCGACTCTGTCCACACAGGGTACCGTACAGGCACAGCTTATATGTATCTGCTTGCTTGATTGGGCATGGGGGCATGGGTGGATGGCACCTATTGCGTATCCCAATGGCGCACGAACAAGCTACCATTGGAGCCCGCCGCGATCATTGTATGATTTAGATGCTGCGCTGGAGCCGAGCATCGTCATAAAGCCCCCCAGTCTCGCACTGCACTATCCTGCTAGCACATGGGAATTGGCGATTGCCACCAGCCCCAGCACCAGCGCCAACCACGCCAACCGCCGGCGCGCCCGTGCTCCCTTCTTTCCCCTCCGGGTGTAGGCGTGCTCGGTGATCCACCGGCGGAGTCGAGTGGAGCTCTCCAGCAACCCTGCAACCAGCTCCCAGCCACCAGCCATCCTCAGATCCTCAGCCCAGCTCGCCTGTTTGACCGACCTGGGAGAGGAGTTGGCCCCCCCGCCCGCGCCAAGTCTTAAACGCACCCAGCCTCGGTATTTACCAGTACTGCAGCGTATCGCCACCCATTGGAGCAGTCTAGACACCTGCAGGATGCCCGTCTCCGGGCAGCCGGGCGCCATTGGGTGCAACTAGGTTCTGGCGTTTGCCATTGGGTGCTATGGGTGCCATTGGGTGTCTGTGACCCTTTGGGTGCAATTGTACGGAGTACAATTGAGGGGGCCGGTTGGGCTGGCTGGGGGAAGACACGGGCCAGTGGAGGCGACGGGGGATCTGGATGCATCATGTTCAGGGTGGAGACGCCCAGCTCAGTGTCTCCATACCGTAAACGCGTACGGAGTACGGAGAACACAGGGTCTGGAGTGACTGAAGTGACTGGAGTGACTGGAGTGACTGGAGGACACGACTGTGCTGTGCTGTTCGGCGGGCTCCACTCGCGAGGCGTTATCAAGGTCCAGCTCATAAATACAGCACCCTACAGCTTCCTGACACGTACATTTGCACACGGGCAATATAAGCACTGCAGCTCGGCAACTCCTGCGGTGCGATTATTTATAATCGGCGCCAACTGCTGCCGCGAGCGATGCCATTGCGACTGTAAACCAGCAGCCATCCCTCCGTGTGGCCATGATGGCATCAAAACAAACCCCCAAAGCACCCAAAACGCGGTCGAACCGGACTAACCGGTGGAGCCGTCCCGATCGGCGCCCCGATGTCCGATTCGACCCGCGGCCGTGGCGTTGCCATGGCAATTAGTGGTGTCCGTGCTGTTTCCATGGGAGCTGCGACGGGGGGCTGGCCAGCCTCCATGTGAACAGTGGGAATCGGTGAAAGCGTGAGGGGCTATGTTTTCTTTTTGGGTATAGATACAGCAGGTATGGAGTACTGAGTATGTACTTTACTGTACTACAGTACAACTGCTCAGGATATGGCCAGCATGCCAGCGATCGTGCCCACATTGCCGCCTAGTGATCTGGGAGAGAACAGAGTGAACATCAAGATACAGTAGTTGCCCGCCAAAAACTGATCCAGTTAAGGGACCAATTCCTCACGCTGGTCAAGGTCAGCCCCAGAATGCCAAAATCACAGTCCTCAGGGAACCTCGGGTAGTTGATCCGCCTCGATCGGGCAAGGCGGCGGTAAACAAACAGCCAAACTTCCCCCAGGCGAGTTGAGGGAGATAAATAAACCCAACCTCCACTCGCCCCTCTCATCCCTCCTTCTTCCTTCCATTCCTCGAATCTCTCTTCCTCCATCTTCAGCACTTCCAATCTTCCATTCTTAACCCTTCCCCATCATTCTCCATCCCCCCCAGAAAGCTTAGATCAATCTCCCGATCTACCCTTTTCTTCCCACCTCTCTTCTCACCGAGAAAGACTTCCCACAGTCAAGTCTTTTCTTGTCTACCTTTCGAGTTGTTTTTAACAGTTCGAAAGGCATTCGAGAAAAGACGCCGCAAAGTCAGTCAATCTGGACTTTGACGCCCGCGTCCCCATCCCCTTCAGTGTCTTCCCGTCGTCGTACCGGAGTGACGCTGTCTCTGAAACTACTCACACGAGAGTAGAGGGAGAAGTTCAACTCGATCGCACTTCGCGCGTCGAACGGGAAGATACTCGAACCTCTGCCCCTCTCCCCGACCCTCGTGTCTACGGAAAGGAAGAAGTCGATTTCCGCATCCAGCAGGAAGATCGCACTGCTACTGCCAATTACGCGCCTCGTTACGAGTCTCGCAACTACGCTGCCGAGGTTGACCTAACCCGGGAACGGTACGTTTCTGTCATTGCTTCTGTTTCTGCTTTGTTTTGGTCCTTTTTCCAGACCGCGAATTGGGGAGAAACCCGCTGGGCTGCCATGGTGGAGCCACTATTTGACCCGGATGTCCCATCCCGGTTTAGAGTGGTTACGGATTTAGCCCCAGTCTAAATTACGTGTCACGAAATACCGACTCCACTTCCCCCAATGAGCGGTGACGGAGCTCCTGCTTTTGTTTATATGTTTACAACTTCCTTTTTTTAATCGGGCCTTGGGCTGACTCTTTTTCTCCCTTTCTTATAGCTACCCCAACTACCGCGAGTCCTCTGTCCGCTTCGAGGAACGCCCCCAAGTCTACGACCAGGCCGTCGAGAACCAGCTCGACATCACTGAGAGAGAGTACCGTCGCCGGACCTCTCCTGCCTACGAAGCCGACGTCTCTTACGACCGTCGCTACCAGCAGCCCACCGACTCCTACGAGTACCAGCCGGCCCAGTCCGTCGACGTCTCGTACGACCGTACCTACCAGCCTCAGCCCGCTTCCGCCTACCAAGGCCAAGAGTATTCCCGCCGCGAGGTCGAGCTCCAGCAGCCTTCTGCCTCCCGCTACTGCCCCCCTCAGACCGACATCAAGGTCGAGACCACCACTGTCCGTGATACCGTCCCCGCATCTCGCAAGATGGGCTACTACGACGACGAGGGTCACTACCACTCCTTCCGCCGCGGCGTTGAGCGTGCCGCCGACCGCGTCCTGCACCCCTTCTCCCACCATGAGCGTGAGGAGGTCGTTGTAGGCGACGAGCGCGGCCCCGCCCGCTTCAGCGATGGGGTCCGGGAGGAGGTCCGCATTGTGGAGCCCCGCAACCGTGGCTCCGTCGGCGAGACCGTCCCCATCCCCTGCCACTTCGTCCGCATTGGCGACATCCTCATCCTGCAGGGTCGCCCCTGCCAGGTCATCCGCATCTCGGTCTCCCCCCAGACCGGCCAGCACCGCTACCTCGGTGTCGACCTGTTCACCCGCCAGCTGCAGGAGGAGTCCAGCTTCGTCTCCAACCCCTCGCCCTCCGTGGTTGTCCAGACCATGCTCGGCCCCGTCTACAAGACCTACCGCATCCTGGACCTCCGTGATGACGGCAAGCTCGTCGCCATGACCGAGACCGGCGATGTCAAGCAGGGCCTGCCTGTCATCTCCCAGGGCCACCTGTTCAAGCGCATCCGTGATGCCTTCGCCGACGGCCGTGGCTCTGTCCGTGCCCTCGTCATCAACGACGGTGGCCGTGAGCTCGTCGTTGACTTCAAGGTCATCCACGGCTCCCGTCTGTAAATCGTTGCTTTTGGCTTGGGGTTAACTGTCTAGATCTTGGACTATGAGTATGACTGACTGTCTGCCCCTGGCCCTTCCCTCATCTTCCTATCTTTTTCCTTGTAATGTCTTGGGTAGAAGCTGGGGATATGGCTTGGTAGGGAATTGCAGTTGGGTCATGGCGTGATGAATTTCTATTTGTGTGTGACTTTTTTTTTGTTTACTTATTTCCTTTGTCTTACGATTTCGCTCCATATGACCTACGGTTGTGATTTATTTGCCCCCCTGCTCTGGTGAAAATGTGATAGGATTGTTCATCTACCTTTGTTTCTGTTTATCTCGGGCTGGTTGCATAGACCCTGTACTTAAAGCCATTGATCGTAAATGCCAATGAATCAGAGCTGTACTGCTGTCAGGTTGATCCCTACCCTTTGGTTGCTTGCTGTAGCTGTGAAGAAGGATGGGTCAGTGGTAGATAGGTTGGAGGGGAGGCTGGCTATGACATGGCCACCGCGGCAAGAGGCGTCTCGGCGCTCCAGTTCCGTCTGACCCCATTCATGTTTGTAGCTTTCGGTAATTGATTGCTCTAGAACTTACCGCTTCCGCTATCGCAACTTTGCTACATAGTCTGCTCTTCCAATTTCCCACTTCTACAGTATGTACGGAGTAGTTTGGTTGTTTTCGAGTTGTGCACATTACGTAAACTTCGACGTTCACATCCAGGGCGGTTTCACCTATCTTCGGGGACATCACCCAATCATGCCCAGGCAATTCTTATTTTCAGCACATTGTAGCAATGCCAACCTATCATTTGAGATTTACTCTGTTCAGTTAGGGTATCTATTGCACCCAATGGCATGCGGTTGGAGTCTGACGTGGCTCGGAATGCTGGGTAGTGCGGAGATATATATTTATTTGCTCGACACCTTGAATCAACCCACCCAACTCTTCCACCCAAGCTAGCACGGGCAAAACATCAATTCTGGCCGATAGGTACCTATCTACCTAAGCTTACCTAGTCCCACGGTAACCTAGAGTCTAAACCTCAATAAAAACTAGACAGTTCACAGAAGAGCAGTGATTGAATTTCATCTCAGTAAACAATCTTACAAGAGGCCATATATAAAAACCATGATTTTCCAGAACACCGCACCCAAGCACCCAACGTACACTGGAAGAGAATAAGACAGACAGACAGACAAGCCAGTTACCGGACCAGAAAGAAAAAACCTAATTCCACCACATCCATAAGCAAAGCATGCATAAGCATGGTTATCCAATTGGCCTCGAAACACTGGTAACGGTAAATATGAAAAAAATAAGAGTCAACGCAAAAGTAAGAAGGTGGAGTATGTATGGCCGGGGGCGGAATGGACGGAAAGAGGAAGAAGCAAAACACAAAACCGATTCACACCGGATTCACAATAACCATTTCCAATACCGGCCCAAATTGTGGCTCCCTGTCGTTCTCCAGTGTGATATCAACCTATGATTATGATTCGATTCATGACGCCGGTCCGGTATGAAGATGAAGGTCCGGTATGAAGGATATAAAATGACGCAGACGTAATCGCAGACAGACGCCAGCAAGGCAAAGTAACCAGCGGGGACGTGGTTCTAATGTACAACGCAAGATGGAGGCGAGGCGAGGCGAAGATGTGAGATGGGATGGGCGTGAGCGATGAGATGAGATGGAATAAAACAAGGGGGGAGGGGGGTATCGTATGAGATAGAAGCACGAGACGGACAGGACAGGACAGGGCAGGACAGGACAGGAGCCTGATAGGGACCACAAGCAGACATGTGCGGGAGGCAGCACAGCAGCCGAGCAGACCGCTACCGCTCCCCGAACTTGCCGTACTCCTGCTGCCACTTGAGCAGGTGGCGCGTGAGCACGTCCATCATCTCCATGCTGCTCAAGTCACTGAAATTTCTGTCATGCACCGACGGCGCATCGCCATCCCCGTCCGTCAACGCCGGAACGGACTCGCCACCATCACTGATCGTGGACGGCATCGCGCTGTCAATCTGGTCGACCATGCTCTTCAGCAGCAGGCCCTGAGCGCGGTCGCCGTTGCCTGTCGGCGTGGACGAGTTTTGGCTGGCAACCGCCATCTCAACCTGCATGCGCGAGATGAACTCTAGTATGGCGGCCACACGCCGCTTCATTTCATTCATCGTCGTGCGCTGGGGGTGCATGTGCCGCGGCTTGCTGGGCCGGCCGGTGTCCCCGCCATTGATGTGTGTGCCGTTGACCCCGACGTATCCGACTCGCGGCGAGTCGCCTCCGAGGTCGTGGGATTGGCCCCGGCGTGGGGACTCGGTGCCATTGCCGTTTACGTCTCGGTCTTTGGTATACTGATTGCGTCCGACTCGGCCACCGCGCCGAGCTGGGGGACGCCCGGATTTTCGTGTTGACGGGCGTGCAGGGGTCGGTTCTTGAGGAGTGGGGGTGTTTGGGCTCGCCTGAGTCGGTTCAGGCTCGGTTTGTAGTGGGGGTGGAGGTGGTGGAGGTGGCGGAGGTGGTGCGGCCTTGGTTGGGGATCCAAGCTCGTTCTCGGATTCTGGGGGTAAGGGGTGTGAGGAACGATGGGCACGTCTTCTGGCCGAGGGGCTTGGGTGGCACTCACCATCTCCTTTGCGCCGGTTGGGTCTATCTTTCCGGCGGGCGCCAGTCTCAGGGGCCTCGGGCTCGGGCTCCTCGGGTTCCTTGATAGGTTCCTTATCGCGTTGGCCTCGCGAGGCTGCCCTCTGTCTTCGAGTGCCGTTGGTCGCCGGTAGGTTGGACTCATCGTCGGACGGAGGCTGGGAGGGTGGGAGGCTCTGCTTCGAGGCAGCTGTGGGCGACGGAGAGGTGGTTCGCGGACGTTTGGAGCCTTGTCTGTTTCTGGAAGATTGTCAGTTGCTGGACTCGCGGTACAATTTGAGTTGGGTCTCAAGCGAAGACTCACGTCTCACTCTCGCTTCGACTCCGCTTAGTCCGTAGCGCGGCTGTGTCATCGGCAATGCTCTTGGTGTCTTCTTTGCTTTCTGCAATTGCTCTTCTGATCAGCTCTTCTTCGTCGTATGCGGCGTCCCGGCTGTTCATAGTTGATCGCCGCTTGGGGTTCGCACCCTCGCTGCCTCGCGACTTGGGATCCCTCGAGCGGCGGGAGGTGTCTCGTGAAGAGGCTCGGGAGGACGGTGCAGGCGATGATGCTGGCGCGACAGGAAGGTAGGTGGAGGAGCGCTGGCTGCGGGGTTGTTAGCGTGACTCCCTCGAGAATAACCCAATGAATAGAACAAAAGAGATCAGACAGAGGAAACAGGGGGAAATGGGGAAAGGAGGAGGGGGAAAAGTTAGCCAAACCCGCGTTCCTGCGTGCGAGCTCTCGTTGCAATGAAGTGAAGCGCCCGTCTCGAGTCGGCACAGGCTGTGCGAACCAGCAATGCCAGCATCGACAACAGCTCGACAAGCAACCATCAAGCGAAGAAAAAGTGACACAAGACGCAAAAAGTAATTTCAGAAGACTCTCTTCTCGTACTCACCCATTGGGTTCGCCCTGGATTCTGTGTAAATCTTTTCGACACTCCTCGCAGAAATATTCGTCTGGACTCATCTCCTCATCCATAATGCCCACACAGCCACCATGCTGCCACACCTTGCACAAATCGCATTGGATGAACATGCTCCCAATGTCGTCCGGCAGGATATCAGATGAATCCGTGGGTGGAAGGCCCGCCTCTGACTTGACGGCGGCGCGACCGAGGGCGGCGCGACGAGAAGGCGGCAAGCCAGGGTACTCCTGCTGCCCACAGAGACACCGGGTGATTTCCTCCTCCTCATCGTCGTCGGGATCTTCCTCGTCCTCCTCGCGGGGGGCTCCTCATCGTCGTCGCGGGCGCGCTGGCGCTGGCGCGTGTGTGGGAGGTCGGCTCTCGTGCCGTTTTCGGTATCTTCGATGGACTGGGAGCGAGGGCCAGACGAGCCTTGCGGAGAAGGGTTTTTATGGTTTAAGCGGGTGCTTCGCTCGCGGGTGAGGGAGTTGGAGGAGCTGGAGGAGTTGGTGTGTTGAAGGAGGGCAGGAGATGGCTGGGTGGTGCGAGCTCGCGAGGAGCGACGAGGCGTCATGGTGGCAGAACTGGTCCTTGGGAGGATCCGGCGGAGGTCAAGAAGAGGTGGTCTTCACAGGCAGGAGAGGGATTCGAGGAGTGGGCGAGGATGTGGGCTTGCTCAAGCACTGCCTCGAGCAGAACCAGTTGCGAGGAAGCTCTGGGCGCGCGATTGAGAGCTCCGGGGGGCAGGAGGAGAGCAGGGCAATGTGAGAATCGCAGTTGGATCTTAGCAGGGCGTCACAGGGCTCGAAGGAGAGCCCGATGACTACATAGTCTGACGAGGAGGGCGAGGTTGGCGGGGGTTGCAGAGGAGGGAAGAGAAGGAGAAAAGCGCCGGAACGGGACTCCAAAAGATCCAATCGCCCGTCCTTCCCCGCTCTCGACGCTCAACGCCTCTCGACGCGCTTCCTTTTTTACCGCCCCTTGTTCGTGTCGCAGGGCCAAATCTTTCTGCAAAGGTAATGATGGTTGATATTCTCTTATCTTCATTTCTATTGAGGTATCTATGACGTGTTCGGGCTTGTTGAAATTGACCATGGCGTTCCACGCAGGATGCCCTTCTTCCCGCCTCCCAGAACGCGCTAGGCCTGCACGCTCTTCCTCCACCCCTTCGAGCATCGGCACGGTGACCGTCGCCGTTTACTCCCATAATTGTGGTGGGGCCGGAATCCTCGTGTCATTTATGACCTGGATTACATTTTCCGAGAGGCAGGACTCGAACGTGGGCCGCGAGGAGGGAGGCTGAAAGCCTGTGGGTAGAAGGGGGATTCGCTCAGTGCTCATTTGACAGCAAGCTGGTGCGATTATAGGGCCTGCAAGATACTGCGCTTTCTGGAGGCTCAGTGGGTTTCCCCTGCACTGCAGGTTGGTTCTCCCTCGCAGTTGTTGCACTTGCCTCGAGGCTTGCTGGTCTTCACTTGGTCCTGTCGAGTGAGTCACTTTCCTCCCGGGCTGTCTGGAGATGCTGCAGCTCGATTTCCGGGAATTGGCCTCTCAGGATAAACCGCATATGATTTCCAGAACGGGATAACCGTGTGGCTGTCGAGTTTCTGTCTGGAGCTTCACGTGCGGCATCCGAGCCGTCTTACGCGAGGCACTCGAGGAGGTCGTTCGCGGCTGGGGATGCAGGTACACGGCGAACAGGCTCAGTCCCAGTCGAGATTGTCGTAGTCTGTAGCTAGTAGGTAACAAGAAGATCAAATTCTCCATAGGTAGGTTCCTGAGTGGTCTCCCCTCTTGGCTGCTGTCTCCTCCTGGCGTCCCCGCTGGCTTTCGGCTATTGCAGGATATGCAGCCATGCCGGTTGGGATCGATACCGACATCATCAAACTAAGCAGAGTCAGTCAGATGTGTCGGCCAGATATACACCGTCTGATCGTCAGCGCATCCACCGGATTCCGATACTTGGCAGTACCTGTGCATGGCCGGTGATTCGGCTGCGTAATGCAGTTCCCCCAAGTTTCCCAAGTTTCCCGCTTGAGTGCCCAGTCCGCCGAAAGGGGCTAGCGTCAGCGTTCCGAATTCCCGTGACTCGCTGGTCTTTCGCTTCACCAACTCAACCCCTCCGCATCGTCGTTCTACTTGCCTTCTGCGACTGGCTCTCTCGCTCTTTGCTGTGCGAGAGCCGTTGGCAGACTATCTTTCCTTTGGCCCTACCACAGCACCCCCATTGATCCCGAGTTTGACCCGTGCTGATTAATAGCACGTATTGTGGGTTGGCCCTATATCCTCAGTGATTGTGGAGGCCCGAGGTAGCTCGGTTGGAGAATAGCCCTGGCTGTTCAGACGATCCACCGCGCGTCTGGCTACATCTGGCCAAGTTTCAGTGCTTGGTACTACGAACGACGGCTGACCCCTTATCTCCCATCTGAAGTATAGTGGTTCCCCGAATCGGCATTGGCTTCCCCCGACATTTCAAGATCCGACCTTTTCGGCATCACTGGCTCGCCCCGGACAACAACGGTGGAGGGGGAACAAGGAACAAGAGGAAACGGGCTGGCAACCACTCATTCCACACGTATCGACGTGGATTGAGGGCGAGTGTTGAGAACTTGCATGATGACTGCGACTTTGAGTATGTCTGCTCGTGAACGGGCCCGTCCTCGGCGGGCCCTGGACTTTAACTTTCGCACGACGAGGCAAGAAGTCTGCTGGTTACTCGGTTACTGACGTGACGTGCACTTTGTGTAGACGGGACGTTCAACTCGGCCCCTGACACACCCTCCCCCGTCTATCCCGATCGTTTGATTCGGCCTCTTCCCCGACGCACCCTGCGCTCTCGACTGTCCATCGATGCCGCCGACACGATCCACTACCCGCCCACCCCCCGGCATCCCAGATCTTCTACGGTGTCGGAGACACCGAAGAGGTGGCCCCGCACGGGAAAGCTTATGCCCGGCAAAAAGCCTTAGAGCGACATGAGCTAACCCCGGAGGCTGACTCGCATGGTTTTGAAACAGCGGTAGAGCTCGAAAGCGGAGACGAAGACGGGCCCGTCGTGGTGCGGCGGAGTGCGGGATTTCGAGGTTCGATGTCTCCAACCTCCAGTCCTCAGCCCGCCTTGTCCAGCCAAGGTCAAGGCGAAGAGGGCCCTCAGAAATCCTCGGCTGGTCCCGACGGGTATGACGCGTTTGAGAACACAAATAATAAGAAGAAGCGGAAAATCCCCACCCCGGGGAATATGGGCGGCCATCACTCTGCGCTCTCCCCAGAGTTTGCGAGTATGGGGTTGGCCAATTCGACCCCGTCCCCGGCCGCGGCCAGTGACGGGATGTCAACAGGTACATATTATGGAAGTGGAAATCCTGCATCGCCTTTGGGCAGTGGGATCTCCGGTTCAGGCCGAGGTCGTTTGGGGCGGAGCTCAACTCGCAGCAACCCCGGGCGAAATCCCTTGTCCGCCAACGCGCAGAACGCGTGGATGAACACTCGAACCCCCAGTCGGCGGGATGGTCTGATGTCCTCTTCTGGACCCTCCGGTATGCTTTGCCTGCTGACGAGGCTTTCTTGTCTATTGAGGCATATCACAGTGTACTGACCCTGTCCCAGGCGAGCCGTCCGATCAAGGCATCATTTCGACTGCTATTGCTAACGCAGCCACCCGTTCGTCCCCCCCACGAGGCCCGAGCAATGTCAGCCTGCTCGACCAAGAGAATATCACCCCGACCAAGACGCAATTCACCTTTACTTGCGAGTCCGACTCATCCAAAGGGATGGCGCTGCAGCGGAATTCATATTCTGTGCCGTATCACTCCCCAACGTCCCCTCTCGCACCCACCACCCAGAACCCCCGAGGATTCTCCACCCAAGCCACGCAGACGAGTCCAAACATGGCTGCACCCATGAACCAGCACGTCCCACCGGGCACACAACCCCCACCTCCGCAAGGAGACCAAGGGTCCATGGGTCGCAAGAAGAAACGTTCCCCGGGTAGCATCTACGCCCTGGCCGCGCGACAACGCAAAATCCAGCAGCAGTATACCAACATCCACCACCCGCCTAGCCTGGAAGACATCTGGATCTGCGAGTTCTGCGAGTACGAGAGCATTTTCGGGCACCCGCCAGAGGCGCTGATCCGGCAGTACGAGATCAAAGACCGCAAGGAGCGCAAGCGACTGGCCGAGAAGAAACGCCTCCTCGAAAAGGCCAAGATGAAGGGCCGCAAGACCAAGAAGGGGACCAAGAACGCGAAGAATGCCTCACAGGGATACCAGCAAGGCTACGACCGTGCCTCGGTCGACCACTCCTCTGCCGCCGGGTCAGGCCTTCCGGATGACGAGTACATAGGCCACGAGTACGACGATGAGCCAGAGTCTATCCCGGGCCCGCATCCTGCGTCCCCGACTGAACTCAGACCCCCGCTGCCGCCGGCAAGCCATCCACCCCCGGCAGCTCCGACTGGCGGGACTGCCAAGGGTGCTGTAGACGCCGGGGCTAGTCCGCCCGCCTGACAATAGGCCCGGTGCGCGGTACGGCCTCTAGCTGGCTAGGCGGGGTGAGGTCGGTGTTTTGAGCATTGGACATATGCTTTGAGACTTCTTGTTCGTGCACGTCCCGATGGTCTCCGTCGAGCGTGGCTGGATCTTATGAGTTTTTGCATCACGGAAATTCCCCCCTCCAGTAAGCATTTTTGGGTTGGCGAGCGATAATTCACCGGGCGGGGTTTCTTTTTCATTTCCAGAAGGGTTGTTCTTTGTAATTTTAATGACAAAGCGCCGTGTCGGGCAATGTGCATAACTGAAATATCATTTGGGGTTATATCAGATCTTGCGTGTCATCTCTCAGTGTAGTCATTCACAGTCTCAGTCTCAGTCACAGTCTCAGTCTCTGTCACAGTCTCAGTCTCTGTCACAGTCTCAGTCACAGGCCAAGGCCATCACCATAGTATCATCGTACCTTGGGAGGTTATGCCTCCTCGCTGTCGTGGGAGGTGAAGCCGTTCTGGTCGTCGCTGTTCGTTCTGTTTCCTTGCTATTCTTAGCCCGTCCAGATCGCCCTGCAAACCCCAATTACGGCGCAGAAATGATGCAATCCAATCATCCAACTCTGTGTCCCGTATAATTAGCACGGAAACCCTGATTGGATCTCTGTTGGCGACGACCTCAACGCTGAAACCCAACCCTTCCTCTCGTTGGCGCGCGCGAAGTGAACCCTAGCGCCGATCCTTGACGGCCCTCCCCGATCCCCGCCGCGCGAAGCTCCCGTTTCAGGTTCGTCAGCTCCACTATGAACAAGATTAGCAATGTTTATTTCTGTCTAGTCCTACGGGAGCTCTGTCTCAGCTTGCTTTGAGAGCCTGCCATTCAGTGGAGGAGCGGGCCAGGACGACCAGCCGACAAGGTGGAGTCCGTGTGCGGGAGCCGCTTGGCTCTGCAATGGGGTGCAGGGGATCGTGGTTTCAGCAGAGACTGAGTGTGTCGAAAAATAGAAACATCGTTCTTTGTCAACCGCGGTTGACTTTGTTGCTGGCGCACCTCATAATGGCGTTGGGTGTGGACGCTCTATAAAGTGGTGATGAAGACCCCCCGCGGCATCAACATTGAAACCAGCAGCAGCAAGAACTTTCTTTTCGTTTTCATATCTCTGTCATTTGGGGGCTTTGGATCTCTCTCTTTCGTACTTCTTACTTGATATTTATTTCTTGGAGCTTGGCTGTTTGGTCTATCCTGGTTGATGACCGCTGCCTACCTATACCTACACCCTGCACCCGCTTCTCTGATTGTTCTTCGATCCTCTTATTTGGCCTCTAGGCTGCCACTGACTTCTCCAAAACGTGCTGCCTTCGATTACACCTTGATCTGGTGTTCATTGCATACCTAGCATATACATATAACCCACCGTCCTACGACACAACCAACCCTCGCGCTGTGCGCAATCTTTCCATCCGCACCGGGACATACTTATTCTCTCGAAACCCACCATCCATTTCATTTACATTTGCATTTGCATTTGCATTTTCTGACGAGCCAACTCCCACTTCATCCCCTAATCGACTAAACAATGTCCTTCCTCGCCGTTCCTCTCCTGAAATTCGGTTTCTCCCAAGCCAAGAAGCACCGGGCCAAAAAGCACGCCGAGCAATTCCAACAACCCGGACACCCCAACTACCACCCCGATCAGCCCTACCCAATGTCCCAATACCCCCCGGCGTCGGCCCCGGCGCCGACATCCAGTACCCACCAACGACCCCCGCCGAACCGACCCGCAAGGGCGCCAAGCTGTTCTCCATGTTCATATCACTCGTGCGATTCCTGCAGCTCGTCTTCGGTCTCACCGTGATAGGGCTGTACGGCAGAGACGTGCAACACGACCACTCAACCACGGACTCCTGGAACTCGAAATGGGTCTTCGCCCTCGTCACAGCCTTCCTAGCCACCAGCACGGCCGCCGTGCACATGGTCCTGCCGTTCTGCATGCGCCGCGTGAACTACCGGCCCGACGCGAAGCTGAAGCTGAAGCTGCCCCAGTTTGCGTGGGAGTTTGTCCTGTGTATCCTGTGGTTGACGCTGTTTGGCATCTTTGGCAAGATGTATATCGGCGTGTACCCGTCTGCTGCGAATGCGGAGGTTTCGGGGAAGCGCGATACCAGCTCGAGCTCGAGCTCTAGCTCTAGCTCTAGCTCGGACACTAGCTCGGGGCTGGGGGATGCGTCGAAGATTAACCGCATGCGCCATGCGGTCTGGATTGATCTGGTGAATCTGGTGATGTGGGTGGTTACTGCGTCATGGGTGTTGCTGCGCTGGCTGCAGAGTCGGCGTGCGGCTGCGGCTGCGGCGATGGCGGATGCGGAGAAGGGCGAGCAGATGGAGGGGGGTCCAATTTGAAGGTGTTTTCTTTTTAGCCCCCGGAGCTTATGGAGGTGTTAGATGTGGGGGAGGCGTGGGAAAAGAAGATCTATATGAGGGGCTGAGAGAGTTGCGGTGTTGGGAGTTCCTGCTGGCTGGTGATCTTCGGGCATGGCGTTCTTGTACTCAATTATTGCTTGAAGCATCCTTTATGAATGCACTTACCATGATTATCTTCTACGTGATTCCAGCGCGGCAGGTCCGACATCCCCCCAATGGCCTGTGGTTGCTTCCAGTCAATGTTCTCCAGGAGATTATGGTGCAAGGGTAGTACTCTTTACAGCAAATGTCTTGGGTATCTTGTAAATCTTACACTGATATGCTGTACAAGCAAAAACGCTACTGTAAATGGCTCACGTTGGAAGTACAGTCTTGAAAAAGTAGCATCAGCCAGCGATCACCCCCTTCTCGCTTCATCCAAGCTGCCCGCCATCAACAAATCTATGACCAACTGGGAGCCTAATGGAACTCCTCACACCAAGAATCGTGCCAAGTATCTGGCTCCGCCTCTACCACCGGCGAAGGCCCAGCCGAGGGCGTAGTCGATTTATGCTCCGCAATCGAATCCTCGACGGCTTTCGCAAAGCGTGCGCGGAATCCGCTCAGCACTACCGGCCGGTCCGACGGCTGCGGCTGCGCACACGAGTGTTCCTCGGCAACCGCCCACTCGTCGAGGACTGGCTGCGAGGCAATCCGGCGCCACATATGCTCAGATATGAAAGACGGGCGATGGCGGAGGGCGACCTGTTCCTGTAGCGGCTCGGGGCGGGTTAGGAGGTTGACGAGGTCAGTTATCATGCTTTCGGGCATGGGGATACACTTTGCGCCGGGGAATCCAGGTACATCGGTGCCTTCAATGTGTGCGGCGGTCTCAGAGGAACTGGGGTCCTGGGGTTCAGCATCCTGTGGGGCTGGGTATGGGTCTTGGGACCCGAGGCCGGGACTCACCGTCTCTATTTCTTGGGGGAGAACAGGGTCTTTCTTGTGGGACATGGCGAGGACGGCGGGGTCGGGGGCGGGGTCTTTCGACGAGGGCAAATTATTCGAGACGAGGCTTGTGTTGGCCGGTGCCACCGGGTTGCTGGGCTGGGCAATTGGCGTCAGTTCGAATTGGTCCAGGTCTGTCCACGGCGCTTCGACGTCTAGACTGCTTTGCACATTCTGTGGTGGCATCCGATTTAGACGGGCGAGGGCGCTGCCGTCTTCGTACATGGGGTCAAGCGTGCCTGCAGGATCTGGATGGGATTCTCGAGTATCTGACGGGTCCGATGTTTTCAGGACGGAGGACTGCGAGGACTTGCGGCGGTTGAAAACAGGTCGACGGCGGGATCCTCGGCTGGTCCGAGCAGCCGTGAGGTATGTCTTCTTGGACCCCGGTTTGCCGGCAGTGCTGTCCTTGCGCCCCAAGTCTGGCATATTAGGGGTGGGCGGGTTGGAGGGATTCCGGGTGATACTTCCGCCGCCGGGCGTCTCGAGGAGGAGACGGGTTGTTTTCTGGGGTTCGCTGTGCGCGTTGTTCGGTTTCTTGAGGATTGGGTGGAGAGGGGTTTTTAGGTCATTTGCCGGTTGAGACCTAGACTGCGAGTGTAGCACACCTCGCGGGGACGATGTCATCGTGGGGTGGGTCAATGGCGGAGCCGATTGGGTCTGTTTGAGGATGGATTGTTAATCCGGTGGCACGAATGAGGAACTGCGGGGAGGTAGCCATTAGATTCAGGGTGTCAAGGGTCACTGACCGGTTGCCAGTTGGTAAGCTTGCGAGCCCGCAGCGGTTCTGCAGGTGCCATGATGCGTGAGGCCAGGCGATCCAACCTCTGGACGGTGACCGTATTGGTGGCAACCTGATTGCCCCAGATCCGCCAGAAGAGGTATTCCAGTCTCTGATCGGCCTGGCTATGACTGGCTCGCCGGGATGCTTGAAAGACTGCATGGGAAGGTCAGCATAGATGTGCATGGTCGATATCAAAGGGGAAGATACCTCTCCAGAGCTTTTGGGTGACCACCGTGTCGAGCTTCTCGTGTCCTTGAATTCCACCGGGGGATATCTGGGACAACCTCACCAGCCCTTGGGGCACTCTCTGCTCCATGGGTTCTGGCGTACACAGCGTACGCGCAATTGTCAGGGATGGCGCGGGTGGAAGTTGTGCTCACTGTAGAAACGCGAGAGCGCGAGGGTCAATAAGGTCAGAATGAGTGGCAGGCCGACGCCATAATCGATAAGGACCAATGACCTCACCCTCAGCTCCCCCGGAAAACTGCCGATCCTGCCGGAGGTCGATCACCACCTGAATTGCGCCGTTGCAAGATGCGGATCAAGGGCGGTGCGGCTCTTAAAAGGACCCGTGGGGTGAGGTTCGTCCTAGTTATTTGCTATGTTGTCATAAAGTTGCTGGATTATATGCAAACACAGAGAGGCTGTAGATGTTGAGAAGGCTGGCAAGCAGATAGAGAGTGCACAGGAAGCCGTTGGACAGAGACCGGGTTTCAATGAAGCTGAACAAAGTTGCTTAGAGCTGGCTAGACCGGTTCTTGACTTCTTGGACCTGCGGGCCGAGCACTCAGGAGGGTGGAAAATCCGGAATCAAGATCATAGATTCTCGAATAATTCCCGCAAGGGTATCAGCATGGAAGATAATGGAAATAAAAGGTGGGACGGTATGGCGCATTCAGCATCTACACAAACGCGGGGCGCGTCGACGGAATCGCAAGTATGACATTGGGCCAGCGGTGAGCGACGAAGGATGCGGTAACTAGCCGCAGCTGGCGTGGATCGACTGGATAGCGTGACGAAATTTGCCAGCCGAATTGACTGGAGATGAACACAAACCAGCGTCAGGTTCCTGTCATTTGTCGTCCACTCGGGACAGTCGGGACGGCCCGGGATTGGCCTTGCTTGATTTGAGACCAACAAATAAATCAGCCGAGACCGCTTCATCATCGCATTCCGATTTGCCTACCCCTTGTTACTTGCTACTTGCTACTTGCTACCGCGGGATGAGGAAACCCACAGCTAGCCCTATCGGACGGCGGAGAAACTATTAAGAAGCTTAGTGTTACTGCCTACTAACAGGGCCCCTTTCCAACCTCGAGAGGATCTTGAGAGAGCATTTCTCAACGCAAAGGAATCAATGAGCGCAATGGATTTCCGGTGTGTCAGAAGATAAACAAGATAAAACAACAATTCCAGGGTGCAGGCATTCTACATCTTCTATCCCTTTCCATGCATGGATTTGACCCCTGAGACATCGTCTCGGCGGTTGGGAAGATAGCTGAGTTCCATGAGGCAGTTGTCTCATAAGGAATGTCAGGTTTCTGCAGGTGCAGGCTTGCCGCGGTCGCATTGGTCCAAGCTATCGGGAGGCTGCGCACCGCCCCTTGATATCCCCGCATGGGTCTTCACCGTCTCCACCGTCTCCACCGTCTCCACCGTCTGGTATGTCGAATATGCGGAGAAGGGTTGGACCTGTCTGGAACGGAGATGAAATATGTGTTTACGCGTCTCTGCAGCAAAATATCCACGAGGAAATTAATTCCGGGTCTCTTCTGGCAAGTCATGCAAGAGGCTGCGGTCGCTGAGTAGCCAACTTGCGTGGCATTAAGGGGCATGCCTAGCGCTGTATTTGCTATGAATCACATCGCGAGAAGATCGAAATGTTGATAATCTCTCATGATAGATCGCCCCGTGATATGCAAAATATGCAGGACAGAAGCCTCCAGACCCCATTTATCTCCCGATGATTTCGTAAATCGCTTTGACATAGGACTCGATCCGAGCATCCCCGGTGGGGCCCGCGTTCTCCATGCGAGACGGAACATAGCAGATGGTGATTCGGTTCTCCACATCCATAATCGCGATCGAACCGCCCCAGCCGCCCCAGTAGCAGCTGCCCTCGCGGATCCACGACATTCCACTTTCCACGCGAAGCCCAAACCCCATTCCAAATCTGACCTGTTTTCCCAACACAAGATCCGTTCCGCGGATCTGCTCGGTGACCGCTAGTCTGACCGTCTCCGGGCTGAGCAGCCGTTGCCCATCGACTACCCCACCCAACGATATCGTAGAGAGGATTCGCGCTATGCCCTTGGCAGTCCCAAAGCCATTCCCAGATGACATCTCTGCGTCCAGGAACGCAGGGCTCTCGGCCAACTCGGCGCGCATGAGAGGCGAAGTAAGTGCGCGCGCTCCCAGGCTGTTTGGGTCGAAATCTGCTGGGGGAACAAACGGTGGTGGGGAGATGATCTCTGCCACACGAGATCGGTCTTGCTCCCGCACGCCGAGCTGGAAGTCGGCATTGAGTGGCCGAGCCAGTTCTTCCGCAATGAACTCCTTGGCCCTCTTCCCGGTGATGCGTAACAGGAGCTCGCTGATTATGTGTCCCTGCGTAATAGCATGATAGCCGGTGGCAGTGCCGGGTGTCCACCAGAGTGCTTCCGCCGCGAGTCGCGCATTCGCCTGAGGAACATCGTACACCTCGTCGATGGTTATCGGTTTCTCCCACGCAGGCAGACCGGCAGAATGGGTCAAAACATGCCAGACTTGGACATTCTCCTTGCCGTTAGCCGCGAACTCGGGCCAGTATTGAGATACGCGAGCGGAGGGGTCAAGCAGGCCCCGATCGATTAACAGGAGGGCGGCCAAATTGGTGATGCATTTGGAGGTGGACCACACCACTGCGATTGTATCTGCTGTCCAGGGTTTGGAGCGTGCCCGGTCGGCATACCCGCCCCATACATCAATCACATCCCTGCCGTCGATGTTGACGAAGAGCGAGGCACCCAGCTCTTCCTCTGAAAGGATCTTTTGTTCAAGGAGACCCCGCACCTTGCTAAATGCGGGATCGCAGTGGCCATGTACTGCAGACATGTTGCGAGATATCGAAGGTAGACAGAGCCAACAAGCAAGCAACCGATCAGTGGGAGGCAACTTGGAGACAGGCGAGGGGGGGCCAAGAGATTTCAGTAAGGGAGGAGAACCACCCGCATTGCATGCATGCCTTGAACATGAGAGACTTTTTGCCACAACGTTAATGTGAGTTCTCTCTATGCTGAGTTTGGCTAATATTTTCCATCTTCAATATCATCCGGAATGACGCAATGAATGTACTGAATCCCTGGTCCCACCTCGTGTTGTGAGTCAGATCAGTACAAGAGACGGCGAATTGCCGAATACGAGGCTGTGATCATTCACGTGAATGAACCGTGATGCAGAACGTGGGCTTTTGGAACGCCGATAGAACCGAGCAAGAATTACTACAAAGCGATCCGACGGGCGGCAAATGCTTACGGACAAGCAATCGCACTTCTGGGTATTGTGGAAAGAATGAGACAATTTTGGTAAATAGATATAGACTAGCCATGCGACGCAATCGCTGATGCAGATATATCCAAATATGAACGGGGATCGTCGATCAGTATAAGTCACAGTGCAGTCTCGTTTTGATACTCCTTAAGCGCCTAGACTTGCTGATCAAGAACGGAGATTGAAAACTCCCTGAGGTGATCACCTGGTGCTAATCGGAGAGGGAGAGAAACTCGGGAATAGCAATCGTGACCCACGAGTTGCCTCCTCCCCATGGAGCCTCAGTGAAGATGTCTCTCTAAGGAAGTCCGTGATGAGAAAGGCCAGATTCCTATTGGTGCCTCCAGTGGTATCCGAAGAGAGAAATTGCCAAGAAGTAGAATGCCTAGGTAAATTTGCACGTCCCTAACTACAATAAAGAAATGATATTGACGAGCTTTGACCGTAGCAGCAAGATTGGAGAGCTCCAGGGACGAATTTGGCCAATGCTTTCGATAATTTGGCGTATAAAGAGAACTTGAGCCTCCGGTCAAAGTTCCAGTTGTAGATGCCGACGCAGCTTCTGTTTCTGGAAACAGGGGTTGCTGTCCATTCGAGGACATAGTCTCTGTTGATTCTGCATGAGGGTTACTCGTGCTCAAGTAGCTGCACCTCAACAACCTGGCCACTGTAGGAAACTCCATCAACGGTCCCACCACGAGTGGTAACATACAACTTCCCATTCCCCCCAATCTGCACCGAAGTAGGGCCAATGAGAGCAGTGCTGTTTCCTCCACCGGCAACAATGGTGCGTTGGCCACTCGACTGGATTCTCGCTATCGAATTTTCGGCCTGTGCAACGTACGCGATGCCCTTTGCATCCACCGCGAAATCATCCCAGTTGCCATCCGTTGTGCCCATATCCAGGTTAGCAATAACCTCAATTTTGCCAAACTTCGACCCATCGGCGCTAACTGGCATGCGTGAGAATGTTCCCCGCGCAGTGTTTGTGAAGTACACGTAGCCCCCAGCGACTTTCACTCCATTGATTCCAATTGGTATCGTTGCATTTGAGGGTGCGGCCAGAGAATCATTTTTGAAAGCTATTCTCGAGACCCCTGTCCTTGTATCCACGCGAAACAAGCATCCAAGTCGCGAGTCCGCGATGAGGACGATGTGTGGCTGTGTGGGCAACGCAGCCATGCCGTTGAGCATCACGGCACTGGGAATTTGGACTAGGGTCCGAATGGTAGGCTCTGCAGAGTTCCCGCTGAAATCGACCGTGTAGAGTGTCTCGTTGGTGTAACTGTAGTAGCCTCTGATCCCTCCTACGACGGCGAACTTGTCAGCGCCAATGGCTGTGATTCCACAGAGAGCAGTGGCTACAGGGAGGGCAGCCACTAGCTGGGCTTGTGGGGCGTGACGGGAAGGGTCGAGAGTATAGAGGCGGCCTTGGTCGAAGGTGGTGAGGAGGAGATGGCCATTAGGACGGAGAACGCTATTTTCGATGTCGACATAGCTGGAGAAATTGAATATCTGAGTGGTGAACTGTGCCAAAGCAGAGCTGGCCAGTACCGCCAGGGTCAAACAGGGGCGCATGGTCGGAACTGAACGTGACTCTGTGGTGAATTGACGAAGAGATAATTATTCCATCGTTTGTACAGTATTTCAAATTTCCTGGAAAACATCATACGACGTCTTGGTGAGACACTCCGTGATATAAGAGGAATAGTAGTCGGAGATAACGAGGGGATCGGCAGAAGGCCAAGAGAATAATCGCATTTACAGCAACAAAAGGGAAATCCATGCCGAGATCAATCGCGGAAAAGACTTCTTTTGAGGCCAGAAACGGCCGCCTTTCCGTAACTCTGGACGAGCTGCCGCTTGACCGCCTCTCCATTCCAGTCCCCCTCTATGTTACTACTCCTTTCTCCACCTTGGGTTGTCTTAGCTTCAAACGGGCAGCGGATCTTCCTCCCCACCTTTGCCTCGCTGGTATTCACTTCACCAAAGTCACGACAATGGCCTCAACCGAGAAACCCCAAATTCTTCTCCTCTCTCTCTCATACCGCGACTTCCTCGATGAGACCTACTCCGCGCTCTTCAACAGGCTCTTAAAAGTGGCCCAGATCAAGCGCGTAAAGACCGCATCCGCCGCGCTCCGGACCATCGCCGAGACCAGTTTCAAAGCAATCATCATAACAGACGAAGGCCTTACCGAATCCAACCAAGAGACCCGAGAAGTGCTCGCTAAAATCAAAGCCTACATTGAAAATGGCGGTCTTACCATTGTCGGTCTGCACTTCCCCAACTTCACGCCCATGCCCAAGTTAGGGCAGTTTTTCGAGACTTTTGGTCTTCCCTGGAAATATGGCGACTATCATCGCACAAACTTCCAACTTAATCCTTCGGGTCTCTTGCCTGAAGGCATTGAGCCATCTTCGATGCCTGAACCATATAGCATGAAGGTGCTGCATGTCAAGAACGCCAGACCTCAAGAAAAGCTCTTTGTTCCGATTGAGGGCGCGGTAACTCAAAGTCTTGTCTTTTCTCCACGGAACGTGGATCAGGCTCAAGCTGCTGTTGCAGTGGCAAGGCTCGGGGCGGGATATCTTTACTGTGGAGATGTTAACGGGGAGGATGGATCAAATCGGCTTATGTTGGCGCTTTGCGGGTTTTAGGGAGGGTACGGTCTCATGAAGATTATGATAGCTAGCGGGAGGAGTTGAACTGGATACACGTATGCTTCAGCTATCAGGGATTTCTGATAACAAGATGATCAGGTCTTGCGGTTTCGGTGTTGACATTATGCCTATCTGAATGAATATGGAAGGGACGCACGGCAACGGGGCCCTAGAAGACAGGAACCCACCGAAGGTTATCTATCTAAAAATCTTTTTGGTCTTTTAAGGCCTCCTCTCCCTTTTCCTTCATAATCCTGATAATTTCATCCAGGTTTGTCGGAGAGGTAATTTCAGAGACAGCGAGGTCAATGCAATACCAGGAGTAGAACTTTCCGCCGGCCTCAAACATGTAAGTAAGGCCTCTATAATGAAACATAATTGGACGGCCTATTCCAAGGTTCAACTCTGCACCCAGCCATTGGCCTACACTATCATCTGCTTCCCAGTCATCCTCGTACTCGAGGTCCTCGGGTTTTGTGCCCCACCCCCGGGGAGGGTCAGTCTAAGATCTACATTAGCTTTCTACGAAAGCTTTGACAGCGACAAGCTTACCATGATGGCCAATATGTTAGACTTGATTATAAAATGGAGTTTGGATATTGAAGTGGGTTGCGGTGAGTAAATGGGTAGGTACGTGGGTCGGAAATGCGCCTAAACGGTAAAGGCGGCGAATCAACTCCCAAGGTTCAAGCCCACTCCGCCGTTAGATAGGAATGCGATTAGTCAAGTCACCCAATAGGAACGCGGGGTGCTTCTAGACTCTCATAGGTTATGGACTTATGTTGACAATTCCTATACGCTATTGCATTTTGAGGGATTAGCCAGTCTGATTAATAGATCTAGATCACCCTCTTTTGTACCTCGGGTTTGCCAGCGATATTTGAAGCTTTGCACTGCAGTCATGCCAACAGTCTCCGGGGCGCAAACCAAAACGCAGATACACCCTCTGAGGGTGATGATGTAGACCTTGGGGATCGAAGGAATCTATGCATATCTCCCGAGATGACATGCCTGATGCAGACACCAAGAGCTGACGGACAGGAAGCACTCATTGAGAGAGAGCTACAGAAGGTGCGACGCAGCACCTTTTGGAGCACAAACCCACAACTCTCACCATGCACAACTTCATAGCGTGGAAGACGAATGCCCTTAGTGACGGTGTTCTTGACAGGGGCAGAGTAGTTTGTGGTGGTTCCCATGATCGAGGACACATAAACTGTGGGCGCAGTATTATGCTGCTCGAAGCGATGTTAGAGCTTCCTCGGGAAAGCGTCCAGACTTCCGCTGGTAATACTACCCAGGCCGGGCTGCTGGGTAGTCACGGGTCCGGCCGCCAGTGTATGGTGCGTCTCAAATAGGATTGAAATTGAACTTCGAATCTCTAGAGGATCTAGATTCGATCACGATTTGCAAGGTGTTTGGAAAATAGGAACACAGCGTACTTAACACGGAGCTAGCTAGTTACGACTAGAACGTATGCAGCATACAAAACGTATGCAGCATACAAAACGTATGCAGCGCACAACAGCTGCGGTACGTCGACACTGGTTGTTTTGGTACCTGGTACTTCGTCGACATCGCCGACTTTGTGATCTATGTAGCTGCCCTCCACAGAGTTGCACGGCCGTCCCAGGTTCCCCGCACTCCAGAAAACCTTCCAATAGGAATACATTGCAACCCAAATTTCGAGGAGATGATGATGTCAAACGAACTTTTTATGTCCCACAGGACCGAAACAAAGCGGATATTTTCTAATCCCACGGAATTAGATACTTGAACTCGACACTTTGTTATTGAGCAGTTCCAGTCGCCGCTCGGAGCATGTATCGGGCGTATTTCATACTCGATTAGCTCTCTCGATGGAGTGAAAACATGAAATCCACCTCTGCAGCGGTGATTAAATGGAATTCGTATCTTAGGACGAACAAGAACCCTTTTCAGTAGTCGTGACAAACATGAAAAATAAATAAAAGAAAAGCAGAAAGAAAAAGCAGAAACAGAAACCGCTCTATATTGCATCCGTGAAATGACCCAAAAGCAAACCCGTGGATTATGCAGTGAAAGGTATAGATAGATAGGTGCACTCTCAAGAAACCTCAGGCCTGGTAGGCCTCGCACACGTCTAGGTCAGAGTGTAGCCGCCGTCCACGCGCAGATCCGCACCCGTGATGTACTTGGAAGCGTCGCTGAGCAGGAAGGTCACAGCACCCATCAGGTCCTCGGGGGTGCCCATCTTGCCAACGGGGATGAGGGAGGTCCACTTGTCGCGGAGCTGGGGGTTCTCGTCGAGGATCTTGCGGGTACTGAGGGGGAGAGACATCAAACGTATTAATATATTTTCCAAGGCCACCCGACTCTCGATCAAGGGGAAAAACTCACAGAGCAGTCAGCATGTAGCCTGGGCTGATGCAGTTGACGCGGATATCGTGGCCGGCCCACTCGACGGCCAGCGATGCAGCGAGATGGCGCACTGCCGCCTTGGCCGCGTTGTACGGAGCCTGGGGCTGGGGCACATTGACGATGGAGCCGGACATGGAGCCGATCATGACAATGCTGCCGGGTGCATTGCGCTCCATCAGGTGCTTGGCCACACCCGTGGCGAACAAGTACGTGCCGTCTACGTTGACACCCCAGAGCTTCTGCATGCGGTCAAACGGATAGCTGATGGCGTCGAAGTTCTCGGTGAACCCGGCGGAGGTGACCAGGTTGTCGATCCGGTTGTGCTTGGCTAGGACTTCGGCAAGGGCCTCGTTGACGGAATCGGGGTTCGCAACGTCCGAGTAGTGTGCTGTCACGTTGGGCATACTGTGGGTGCCGATGCTGCATTAGCTACCTACAGCAGCAGTGCGCGAGCTGCCCGCTATACAGACAGCTGCAGAAAAAGACAATGGGTTCAATGGGATAACAAAACAGGGCCACGTACTCCTCTAGACCGGGGTTCTCCTTGCGGAACTGGTCAACAAGCTTTTCAGCCTGCTCTTCTGCCTCAGCCTCTGCAAGTGTCCATTAGCACCTGATTTGACTCTAGGCGGTGGGTATGTATCCATGCTGGAGCTAGATCTGGAGCTAGAGCTGGAGCTTGGAGCTTGGGACGTACTGTTTAGATCGACAATCGCCAGATCAGAGCCCGAGGCTACCAAGCCTTGCGCCATGACCAGACCCAAGCCACGCGCGCCACCAGTCACCATGCTGACCTTGTTCTCGAGGGAGAACTGAGCCAGGGTACGCTTGAAGTGCATACCGCCGCGGCCCTGGACGATAGGCTGGGCAGGCATCTCGCTGTCAGGCGGGTACTCGATCTGCACGCTCTCATCGGTGCGGGCGAATTGGCCCTCATGTTCACCAGAGGCGCCCTCGGGGGCCTTGGTGGTGGCGGCGAGAAGGGGGTCGTTTTTGGGGTCATTGTTCTTGTTGGCGCGGGCTGTGGTGCAGGAGAGCGGGCGGATGATTGTGGAGCGCGTCGCTGGGCGCGCGGTTGAGTTGAATGCCTTAATGGCGGAACGAGCGACCGTGCGGTTGAACATGGTCGCCAGGAAGAGCTTCGCGGAGCTCAAGCTGAAGGCGACAGGCGAGAGGATCGGGAGACTGAAGGGCGAGAGGAGCGAGGGGGAAGGAGAGACCGATTGGGAAACGTTTTGCGAGGGAGAAAGAAGAGGGTAGTTCAAGCTCTCTCAAGGAGGAAGTATGTTTACGCAAGAATTAGGATGGCGTGGAAGGGAGGCGAGAAAGAAGAAAAACAAGGAGCCCGAGGGGAGGGGAGCCGCTAGATAAGCAGCAAGTTGCCTTCAGAAAGGAGGTTTCTGAATATTATGACTGCATTTCTTGGGATTAGCTTGGCCTACCAGTCAACAGTCTCGAGCTTCTGGAACAGCAGCCTGCGACCAAGCCTGAAGGAGCTGGGGAATGCGACACTTGCGGTGTACGCCCTCCGAGTCGCCAATGATCGATGGACGTGGGGCCAGTGGATGGGCTCCTGGACGGACAATTGAGTTGGAGTTGATTTATCATTGGAGGATTGGACTAGCTATGTTTCCCCTCTGAGCTATGGCAAGGAGCATAAAGCTGGGAGCAGCAGTGATGTCAGGTGGACCTTTGCGGGCCCAAACGCCCAGGCCTCATCGATCTGCGGGGCTGGTCAATACAAACTGGACAGGTAGACAGCGGTACAGATGGCGGTCCGCAGCATTGGCTCATGATTTTACTAGACGTATTCCGTATTCTGATACTCCTGTATGTACAGTATTTTGACAGCTCATGCTGACAGGAACAGCCTGGATGTTTCGAATGTCCCTGTGCCCTCGGGATAGCTCTACCCCAGGGTATACTAGCCTTAAGTATACAAACTTACCCACTGAGAGAGACTCCTCCAGAGGTACGGTGCTTTCGCCCCTCCAGCTACAATTTTGGTTGCGATTGCTTTTTCTGCTTTGTTTTATCTTCCCTCGGCCAGATCTCTCAGTCTGCCGCAGCAGGCCGCAGTTGCCGCCGCCGCTGAGTCTGTTGTCACAGCGTTGTCATGCAGTTCGACGCACCTTGTTCGCCACACCGACCAGCACCAGTACGAAGTCATAGTTATCCAAAAGTCCCTGTTACAGAAACACTGCCTACGTAGGCAGGGTTTGCTTTTGTACCTGTACACACACCCGGCCGCGCGTGGCAATTCTACACAGCAGAATGACGATAGATGATGGATGGGCCCAGTGGAGCCCTGCGTTGGCGCCCCTCTCATCATCGGCTCCACTTCCCTCGACACTCCGCATTTTCTCAGCATAAGCTCGATGCGTATTTTCACCAGTCGTCAGCCATCATGGATCTATATTCGAGGAAAAGCCCCAGAGAAATCACGTAGCCCCCGCCAGCGCGCCTACGATGGCTGAAATGGTCCCAGACAAAGGCCCTACAATAAGGATGCTGCTGTCAATGATACGAGTCTCTGACGGCGGTCTCGAGGCCCCGGAGTCCCCTTGAGCGGGTTGAACTGAGCCTTTATACAAGCTTGCCACCGACTGGCCCTGCGTAGCGCGTCTATGCTACTCTCGCGGAAGGGCATTCTCATCGCGAGCCTTGAATTGGCCAACCGCCAGAAATTCCATGGATCTAATCGATCTAATCTTCATCACAAGAATCGCGACGCTGATTATCATAAAAATGCTCCTGTAAACTCCAGCCCAAATACAGACCCGAGGCAACGACTAGTAAGTGGTAAGTGGTAAGTGGTAAGTGGTAAGCGGTAACTCGATCACCGTCCCTCCGCGCCCTTCTCCCATCTTTTACGTCGCCAACTCCGATTCCTCGGCGAATTCGACCAGCGGTGTTCCGCTTTTGCATTGATCCTGCAAGGTACGTTAGTTAGATCTTCTGGAACCTCCGGAGCGGGCAATGGAGGGATCACGGCAGGATCACGAGACCTGGGCACATGAGCTGGCCGGTCTGGAACCGAACCGAGGAGCCAATTTCAAGGGGCGCCAAGGTTGTCCGAAGACGAGGAAAGGGAAAAGGAGACAATCCAAAAGTCAGGGGAGGAGACCGCGTGACTTACTCCTTGTTGATGGACGACGCGTGCGACCGTGCCCCGGTGGGGGCTACGGATCACCGTCTCCATCTTCATGCTCTCGATGACCACCAGCGGCTGGTCCTTGTCCACCACATCGCCTGCCTGCACCTCCACCCGGAGAACCTTGCAGGGCATCGGCGCCAGCACGCTATTCGCCACGTCCTTCATGCCCAGCGCCTTCTCCATCCACTTGGCCCGCGGCATGCCCAGTCGGTACTGCATGCCGCGCTGGAACGCGATAATCGTGTCTGTGTCCTCGTCCTGGACGACGGTGGTATCGAGCCGTGTGTGCGTGAAGAACGAGGTCACCACACGCGAGACGGGATCCATGCGGCTGGTCACTTGCGAGAAGACGCGCGAGCCGACCTCGACGTCGAATGTCTGGTCATTCGTCTGTTGCACGCGCACGGTGAAGCGGGGCCCCTCCGTGGTAGGGCCGGTTGAGGAGGTAAATGACAGCTGTCGCTGCTGGTAGCTGGGTGCGAATCCGACCGTCGTCCCTGCGAGGCCGGCCGAGGGCCTGGGCGCGGCGGAGTGCATGTCACGGTGCAGGCACGCCAAAGCGACCTGGGCGAGGACTTCATCGTCAATGGGTTTGGGCGCGAAGAGCTCCTCACGGTGCTTTTCGATGTAGCCGGTTTCGACGGCGCCGGCGATGAAATCCGGGCTGCGGCAGATAGTCTTGAGGAACTCGATGTTGGTGACTGGGCCGGCCACCTCGTACTGCTCCAGCGCGGCGCCGAGTTTGCGGATCGCTTCCTCGCGGGTCTCGCCGCGGACGATCAGCTTGGAGATCATCGGGTCGTAGTGGGCGGATACATCGTCGCCTTCCACAAACCCGGCGTCAATACGGACGTCCTCTGTGGTAGCGGGTGTTCGGACGTGGATCAACCGCCCCGAGTCAGGGATGAAACCTAGCTCGGGATTCTCAGCGTAGATACGCGCTTCGATGCCGTGTCCACTGCGCGCAATACGCTCTTCCACCTCCTCCTGGGTTAATGGTAGTGGGGCTCCTTCCGCCACCATGATCTGCCAGTGGACCAGATCCTGGCCGGTGACCATCTCCGTGACGGGGTGCTCGACTTGAAGGCGAGTATTCATCTCCATAAAGTAGAACTCGCCAGAGTCATTGTCGAATATGAATTCGACGGTGCCTGCGCCTTCATATCCGACCGCCAGCGCGGCGGATCGGGCTTTAGCCCACAGATCCTTCCTCGTAGCATCGGGCAGATGAGGCGCCGGAGACTCCTCCAGAATTTTCTGGTGTCTGCGTTGGATGCTGCAGTCACGTTCTCCCAGAGCAACCGAGTTGCCGTGCTTATCCGCAAAGACTTGAACCTCGATATGCCGGGGGGTTGTGATGTACTTCTCCACCAAGACATGATCATCTCCAAAGGAGTTCCTGGCCTCTGATTTCGCGGACTCAAGCTGGCCCTGAAACTCGGCTTTTGAGCTAGCAATTCGCATTCCTTTTCCACCGCCGCCTTTGATAGCCTTGATGAGAACTGGATATTCGATCTTGTCGGCTTCGGCCTCAAGGAACGCCGGGTCTTGGTTCTGGCCGTGGTAACCTGGGACGCAGGGAACACCTGCAGCCAACATAATTTCCTTAGATCGACTAACACCCTGTTAGCTACATCTTGGTGCTGTGCAGTTTTTGCAGGCTGTAGACATACCTCTTATCACCCATGTCCTCGATCGCCTTCCATGGTGGACCGATAAACACAATGCCGGCTTCGGTGCACTTTCGGGCAAAGGCAGAGTTCTCACTCAACTAGGTAGGCGAAGAATTGTTAGTGACTTTTCTTCTCCGAAATGAACCAGCGAAGAAGACATTCTGATGACCCCTGGACCAACCAGACATCCCAATCCACCAAAACAGGGGCTAACTCACAAATCCATAACCAGGATGTATCCCCCGGCACCCTTCCTTCTTCGCAATCTCAATAATGCGGTCGCCATCCAAGTAAGCTGAGACAGAGCCCAAATTAAACGCAAACGGCGTGCTCAGCGCATGTTGCGCGCGGCTATCAGGATCAGTGTAAAGAGTCGTCACGCGAATCCCATGCTCTGCAGCCGTCCGCCCGACACGCCTGACAAAACAATCAGCCCAAACCCCACACGAAACTAGACACACCTTCACAAATATAGTTTATACGTACAGTGCAATCTCCCCACGGTTAGCTATTAGAATTGAATCCAAGGTCTTGTTGCCCCGCGACGTGTCGGACACCGAGGACGCAGCTCTTGTGGTCCTACGGGCCGCCGTCGGTGCCAGGCGGGGAGTAATGCGGAGAAGGGATGAGAGCGTCATGGCTGGTGCTATGAGCAGCGAGAGGTTGTGTTTCGCTGCTAGGATGATATGCCGCTGTTTCTGGGACTCAGTCTAATTTCATGATCGAGATTAGAGAGAATGGGAGCAGGAAACTGGGGAAGAGAAGTGGTCTTGGGCTTTGCCGGAGCTCGTGAGGGCCCGCCTGGTTAAGCCGACGCAAAGCGAGACTGCGGGGAAGCCGAGGGTGACATAAGCATGTACCGCTTGCCCGTTTGGGAGAGAGGTGTTTGATGAAAGAACGGCAAATAAAGCATTGTCTAGATTTCAGGGACGAATTACGGGCTGATTTGACTATCGGTTAACACGAGAGTGAAGAAAACTTGAGATCCAAATGGAAAAATTCCAGCATGAAGACACCAACTAATTGTTGACGACTGCCTCTCCGTTTCTCCAGACCATTTTGACGTTGCGTATGGCCTCAATAGATTTCGCAGGATCCCCAGACACAAGCAAAAGATCCGCAAGCAGACCCTCTCTGATTCTCCCCCGATCTTGCAGTCTGAAGCGCTCTGCAATTTTGGAAGTCGCCGAGACGAGAGCCTCCAGAGGCGTAAAGCGACACCGATTGACGTACATCCATAGTTCATGGTGGACAGATGCCCCAGCTCGAGTACCGAGAAGATCAGTCGCGGTATCAGTTCCACTACATAGATTATTAGCATGCATCCCAAATCTTTCCCCGTATAGGTGGCTCTGACCAGAGAACGTCGATTCCGGCTTCTTTGAGCGTATACACCTGCTCATAGACCGACTTGATAGAAAATTTGTCCGACGTGATGTGAAGACATCCCAGCAAATGTTCTTTTTCAGCGCCATGTAGACTAGTTGCGAATTTATCCCGGGTTTCTTGCTCCTCCCCACTGCATGATGCATGGACTGCCAGAGTGGGGATGACGAAGGCGTTGTTCTTCTTGAAGGCCTCGACGATTTGCTCATTGATAGGATCAATAGATGCGTGGGTTAGACCGTCGACACCTGCACGGAGAACCTGAAGTGTGGAGTGGTTGGTCAACGCATGAGCCACTGCCAGCATGCCTTTGTCGTGAGAGGCATCGACAATGGCCTTTTGTAACTCCAGTGATGGTGTTGGGACCGGTTGTTCCGGGAAAGGCAGAGTCATGGTGTGACCATCCTCTTGCATAAGCTTGGTAAAACTGATAATAATACATTAGTCAAGATGTTAGCGACTTCTGATGAGAGCACCTCAACGTACGTAGCTCCAGCAGCCATGTTTTGAGCAATGTACTCTTCTACAGACTTGCTGTCTGTGAGATTGGGCCACTTGGAAATTCGATCTTCAACCTAAATCGTAGCAATCAGCCTCTATCTATTCTCCTTGTCCTTTCTGTGTGGATTACTCACATCCTTATCCGGCGAAACGAGTTTGATGATGGCAGATGGCCAGCCATTCTTGATTGTAGCGCCAAAACAACAGGACTTGACATCGGAAACATCGTTGCGCTGGCGTGTGATCGCATTGATCGCCTTGAACCACTCGCGCTCGTTGTGCATGTCCAGGACAGTTGTGACCCCATACTGAATGGCGGTTTCAAGGAGTTGAACATCCTGATAGACGTGGACATGCGCATCAATCAGTCCGGGTAGCAATGTATAGCCCGTGGCATCAACCACAGTGCAATCCGCCGGAGGCGACAAAGGCTCTCGAAGTGAGACTTGTGAGATGCACCCGGACTGAATTAGGACATAGCCGCACTCAGACACAACTGAGACACCATCGAAAATGCGTGCATTGGAAATAAGCGTCGCCGACATTATTGTACGAAAAAAGCGATGTTCAAGTGACTTGAGAGAACTGCAAAGAAGCAAGAAGCCTCAACGTGAGAATAATCATCAGCTCCCGGCTGACAAATAAATGGCCAGCTCATGAAACATGCAGGTTAGCCCCGCATCATGCATGGCATGGTCGCGGTTCCCAGGACAGAATAACAGATAAGCGAAGCGATGCCGGGGGGGGTCGATTGCCAAGTGCGGCGGTCCTCTTGGCTCAAGTAGATTATTAGATTTCCTAATGATAGCAGATAATTTTAATTATATTTTTCTTATCTTAGAAAGATGAAATATATATAAATTGATAAAAAATTAAAGATTAAAGTAAAGTTTTATAAACTTAATTTAAAATAAAGACTGATTTTCAAGGAATTAAGAAAAGATAGTAATATATAGGACTTTTATACTGAGTATCTTATAGGATAATCTAGCGAGAGGGATATTGGTGGTGTTTCCCGATAGAGTCGGTATATAATATACCAAGGTAGGTAGGTATACTATCTCTCTGGACGGGGTAGCCTGGAGGATACCTAGGTAGGTGGAAGAGGGGGGGTGATCGATGGGATTTCGCTAGGGAATCGGTGTGTCAGACGCTAAGCCACACGATCTCCTATAGATGGGAGTAGCTTCATGGGGGAGACACGTATTTCGTAAGAAGCGATGACAGTATTTGTATTCTTGAGGATCTGATGATGTCTGTGGACATAACAACGAAGGATGCTGATGGCATGGGTATTAAATGTCATGGCGCGATTCATGGGGAATTCAACAAATCTCTTACACGATTCCTTGGGTAGGGGATATCTCTACCTTTACAGCAGGGATTTTGGTGGCAAAACACCTCTTGAGTATACAAAGGAAGAGGCCAACCGCGAGCGTCACAGAGATCTTTTCGCGGGTCGTCGGTGGCAGAGAGGTCTTTGCAGAATTTGAGGGATGCAGGTGAAAATGAATGATTTGCCTCGTGAGTCCCAGAGTCAAGAGCCTGGAGAGTTCGAAGCAGGATTACCCCTTTTATCACGCCCAGAGATATATATATGGGGCGATTGAATAAAAATGAATAGGAAACAACCTTTGACATTAACAGAACAAATTGTAAGGAGCATTAAGCAAGTATAAAAGTCCCCACGATTCTCTCCCTCAATAATCGTCTTCATACCCAAAGTCAGCCCGCGTATCGTAGGCTGGGACATGGTAATTGCGTGATGAGGCGGTGGTATTCCAAGGAGCTTCATTGGCCGGGTTCACTGTATCCATCATGCGAGAGCTAAGTGCGGGTACCCTCTGAAGCAAATCATGGAATTGGCTTTGAAGACGTAATTTGTCTAAGCACCAAGCAGCATACTGGGCAAGCCATTCAATAAGCTTATCGTGGAGAGGCACTCTCGAGAAAGCCAACGAAAGACAATCAATGACCGCAAGCTGCTCATTTAGATTCCTTGGCTTCCCCATATTTTCCAAGGCCGCTGTGAACTTCTCGAATGCTAGTTCCTTGAGTCCTGAGACGAAATAAACGTCACTGAATATGTAAAGTCGTAGATGACATAATAGGGTATGTGCTTGCAAGGCCTTGTTCTCGTTGCCCGTTAGCTCCGGATTCGGCAACTCCGCTGAGTCCTTAAGCTGCTTCGGTTGAGGTACTTCGATAGGCGCGAGCATCATCTCCGTATAGTCACCCCTGTATGCCCATTCGATAAACTGTGCCACGGTGTCTTGACTTGTGTCCGTAAATGTATACCGCCCAGACTCGCGCTCTGAGAACCCGTGGGTGAGAGCTACCATCGGAGCTTTGCATTTCGATGCCAGAAGCTTTTGGTGAATCTTCAAAGTCTCGGAGTTTGTTGCAGTGCAAAGTTCAACCGTATCCGACGCCAAAAACCTAGCTTCGATTAGATATTGTGCTTTTGGATAGAAGAGAGTCATACTCGCGGAAAGTGAGGGTATTTTGAGACTCCATGAGAAAGGCCCGGTTGACGAAATCTTTTTGGATTGGAGATGGCATAGCCAAAGTGTAAGAGCCAAAGGGGTTGGGGAAAGATACATCAGCAAACTACCCCGCAAGCCTGCTTATGTTATCCATGCCAGAGGTAGAAACCCCGTGGGCAGACCCAAAGGCTTGTATATTGCTTACTACAAGAACAGTACAGGCACTGCAGACAGGGTCACTCGGGGAAACTCTCACACGTGTGTTATCCACATCAACAGGAACCAGAGTCCTGGCAACCGCACAATTCTCCATATGTGGCCATGATATCCAGGAATCGGCAGGATTGCTCCATCTTATATCATACCGCCTTCCATTAAGACCGAGAGTCCCAGAGTCTGGGAGTCTAGCCGGTATAAGAAACGGTTGCGCCAAGGTTGTGGCGCAAGAGACTCCCGACGGCTGGTCTACGCTCAAACTTTAAAGCAAATTGCGAATGCAATCAAAAAAGATGGACAAAATTGACAATCGTGATATTTTCACCGGAATGGAGGAAGTGGTGCAAGGAATGGTCTCTTGAAGGGCATATTGATCTTATGGACAAGCACGGTGTCACGGGGTCTATTCTGAGCATATCGCCTGGGACTCACCACAAAGTGGGCGACTCCAAACTCTCCAAGAGAGAAGCACAAGAGAAGCACCCGAGAGACCAAGGATGAAACTGCTGAGATCTGTCGGAAGTTCGCGGGCTGGTGTGGCTGGTTTGCTTCTCTTCACTACCCAGTGTGGAAAAGTCTGTCGGGCAACTTGATTATGCGGTAAAACAGGGCGCATTGGGATTTGCCGTTATGACCAGGATTTTTCGTTTTGACCAATGCTCGGGGCTACTACATGGGCGATCCACGTTTCCACTTAGTCCTCAGAAAGCTGAACGACCACAATAGGGTCAATTTCATGCACTCGACACAATATTGTCCCTCTCGACAACCTGGAAGCCGTGAGGTCTTCCCCACAATACCCGACACCCATGATGAATTATTTCTTCGACACGACTCGCTCTGTGGTCAATTGTCTGCTGGGGACAGTGACTCTCTTTGAGAACGTGACCGATTTGGGCTCCCACTGAGGTACCGCGTTGCCTCCCACTTGTAAAGTGGTTTGCTGCCTTCTCGACTAAGATGCTTCAGAGATGCAAACAGCGGACCAGGGAGCGTTACTTGAGAGTCAGGAAGGCAGATCGCTTAATTCACAGATGTTAATATCCCGCTATCACTGGCACCGTTGTTTAGGGCCTGAGCCATCTTATCAATGCTCAGCTTAAGGAGATGGCCGACGAGGCGCAGATCCAGAAGATCTTCTGGAAATTCGAACCACTTGGGCCATGATCTACTTCAACGATAGTTGAAATTGTCAAAGCACGTCTTCATGTCACAATGGCTGTCTTTATAGTCAAATTCTATGGGCATTATGCTCCAAAGAAACTAATTATGGGCAAGGTAACACGCGGCAACATGGATGAATAGCACTGATAACCATCCTTATACTGAAAAAGGATTCCTTCGCATCAAGCCTTTTCTATAGGGAGATCCGTCGTCTCCACATGCTTCTCGGCACGATCGAATGCTTCATCAGATGCGGTTTTAGACTCCACAGCATCTGCGTCTTCTCCGAGAAGTGCCAGTAGACCAATTTCTCGCTCAATGCGGCGCTTATGCTGCTCATCAGCAGCGGCGATACCGATCACACCAAACAGTTCGTCCATTTCTTCGAGAGTGCGGCCTTTGGTCTCGGGAACAAAGAACCAGACGTAGACAGCACCGATCAAGGTGATGACGCCGAAGAAAATGAAGGCGCCAAATTGCGTCTTAGAGATGAATGGCGAGGTGGCCATGCCGACAGCAAAGTTGTTAAGCTAGTCACAAAAATTAGCATCCTGAATGATTGCTGCAATTTCACGCAAAAGGTCTTACCCAGTTACTGCTGCCACCAAGAGCGACACCCTTCGCACGCATCGATAGTGGGAATACCTCCGACACGACGATCCAGGCCACTGGGCCCCAAGAGTAACCGAAGTTGATACAGTATATCCAAACAAAGACCACACCTGCCCACGCAGCAGACTTATGGGTGGCGAAGTCATCCTTGAAAGCTCCGATAATACCGGCGACAATGAAGTGGCAGGATGCCATGCCGATAGCACCGGCGATCAGAATACTCTTTCGTCCAAACTTGTCCACCCAAAGGACCGCGGGGATTGTGAAAACAAACTCCATAATACCTACAACGCCGGTCGCAAGAAGATCAATAGTGTTACCCGTCAGTCCAATTCCTTTAAAGATGAAGGGCCTGTAAAGTTATCAGTAAACATGTAGAGCGAGCCAGGATAATCTCAACTTACGCGTAGTAGTTGATGGCGTTGATTCCGTTCCACTGTTGGAAAACCATAATCAAGCACTAAGAAGCATTCATAGAATTAGCATGCATCATCTCACACCCAAGCGGCTTATTGGAGCACGTACAGCAACTGTTGAACGCTTGAACAGGGACGGGTTGGTGACAAGCGACTTATAGTCGTTGATGAGAATCATAAGTCGGCTCTTCCGAGAGCCATCCTGATATTGAGGGTACTTCCTTTCAGAAGTCTCTTTTTCGAAAAGATGCATCGCTTTGACCTCCAGAAACTCGATACGCACTCCCATATCGTCTGGCGACTTATTACGCAGCCAGGCTAAGACTTTCAAGCATTCCTCTTCGCGGCCCGTGTTCATTAAATGACGAGGAGATTGAGGCATAAAGACGGCCATTCCAATACCCAGAACAATGGCCGGAGCCAGCTGGATACAGACAGGAACCAGCCAAGCTGCTTTGGACTGGGTCTCGCCAGTACCGCCAATGAAGTTGCAGCCATAGCCAATCCAGAAACTGACCATGATACCAAAGGTGATAGCCAACTGTTGAACGGCGACCAGTGATCCACGGATCTCAGGAGGGGACTAAAGATCTGTCAGCTCATACCCGTGATTTGATACCAGGTGTCCCCCATATTGAAACGTACCAACTCCGCATTATACAAGGGCACGATCATACTCAAGCTGCCAACACCCAGACCGGTGACGAATCGACCACCAAGAACGTAGCTAACAGCTTTGGTATTTGCCTGGACTATCACACCCACACAGAAAACAGCGACCGCCAGGATTGTAGTTTGGCGGCGGCCAATTGCGTCGGCAAGCCACCCATTCAGCAAGGTGCCCACCCATGCTCCGAGCTCGAGAATTGCAGTTGTGATAGCCTGTTTAGCACCCGTCTCGGCAGCGTAACCTTGGATCTATGTGGCTGAATTAGCACTGCCAAGGATGGATTTGAATTTCGGGCGCCTCTCGTTCAGACTAACCTCCTTCTGGAATGAGTTCATTGTGAGAATTGACGAGAACATTCCTTGATTATCTTTTCCCTAGTCAGTGACATACAAAAAGTGGTTTCCCCAAGAATCTGGAACAGTAGCCAACTTACAGCCGTACACGAGACCTCCCAGAGATGCGAACAACGCGATCATAAAGGTTCTTCCATTGCTGACAAGCCCTTTGAAGCCAGGCTCGCCGGCGAACTGCCGACGCTTAGCAGACAATTCATGGGTGACGCCGCTAGGAGCCATGATGAGAAGTTGTCGTATGTCAGACCCCAACTGGCTGTCAGACTGATATTTCTCAAAAGTAGAAACCGACGCGCTACAGGCTTATAAGGGGGGGCATTATGGGCCTATTTGGGCCTCCGGGTAACACGCGATGGGCCGAGCAAAGCGGATAAGACATATCCCCCGTCTTTTGGGATCCTGGCTATTAACCGGACCACTCAGATCTGACCATCGCTTGAGTTGTGCCGGTGGACAACATGCGACGGTGGCATCACGCTTGAGCCATATTGGTCGCCTTGGAGGACGATCATCTGGCGATTGGTCGACAGGGGACTCGGCCCCCCAGTGGCTCCCGCGGGGAAGCTTAGATCCCGGGGTTATGCCGCCTTTTGCCTCAATTGCACCCCCCGATCGTCTCCCGGGTATTACCCCGGACCTAATTTTCTATTTTTTTGCCTGTACTCCGTACTCTCAAAGGATTCGGGAAATAACAGCGCAATAAGCCCTTGACAGTAGTATTTTTGGGCAGCCAAAAATGCGTGGACTACCACTGCATCAAAACAGGCTAAGACGCCTACCCGGGCCTAACACGTCACAAATGCGGGATGATTTCGGTCCACGTATTTAGCCTATTTAAACCCCAAACATACCATGTAATCTGGCAGCGGTAGGATAGTACGCGTGTTCACCATATGAGTGGAGAAAGAGCTTGCTCTTGCTGTTTATCCATAAGCTTGACCGAGTCTAAAGGCGAACAGTTATTTACGAAACAGAATATTTCATTAAATAGTGACCATCTTACCCACGCATGTGTCTTATTAAGTACATGCTATATATAGGAGCTTCTTGAGACATCTTGCTATCTGGGACCACCGCGCCGCACCTGATTATGCTCGCTCACTGTCATAGACTCACTGTCTGCTTCATAGCACTCATATCTCCGGAGATTCTGCAGTGGTTTCCCTTCCCAAAGGCCAAGCCGACTGATAGGGATAATAGCATTATCTGAAACCGGACCCACGTCACGAATCACGCCAGGAATCTCGTCAAGCTCCTTGATGTCCTTTATTTTGCGCGCAACAAACATTGGGAAGACCCCTTCCCCTAATGCAGCACCGAAGCGCAGCATGGCAAATGAGTCAAGTCGGTGCGTCCAGCGTGGGGTCAGACTCCCGTACCAAGAGAGTGCACATAGGAGGAAGAGATATGGACCCAGAAGTATGGTGACTACAATAAGGCCGGCCAGACTAATATTTGGAACTTCCGTTTCAGACCCAAAATCTTGATAAATTGCGTATGTGGGCTGCATGGATTCAACCCATTGCTTGTTGGAAAGAAACGCGGCTGTAGTGAAGATATTCGGCATATTCCATGCGGAATTGTACATGCCAGAGAGCCAATCGGACACCAGGGAGTGGGCATTGGTATAGCGGGAATAGTAAGAGCCGAGGTGGAGTGAAATGCATGTGTCTCGCGGAGTGTAGTGCGACTGCTCGGCGTAAAACAGGTTCATCAGAGGCGCAAGTTCAATACAGACGCTTTTACCGTTGTAATTGCTGTCATCCTGGTCAAGAGCGGAGTCGTGAAGGTTTGTTTGGATGACGTTGAATGAAGCAAAGAATGTGTCCAAAAAGGAACCTGGGCCAAATAGGGCAAGTGCCGATGTCAACAGGGGTCCCTTGTTGTCAATCCATAACGGCGTCCACGGAACAGTCTGAGATATGTAGTTGGTTGCGTTTCCGATGGCGGTATCTTCCCGACGCACTCGGTGGAGCCAATACGGATCTCGGTTGACCTGTCGCATGCAGTTTGTGCCACAACCAGGACTTGGATCGTTCTCGAGCAGCGCTCCCGGTGTTCCATTGTTCATGTAGTTGGGTAGCTCAAAGTAGCCAGCAGTCGTTCTCAGATTTATTTCATACAATGCGCCGTCGGCTGGCATGCCTTTTATTGGATAAGTCGGATCTTGGATAGATATGTTGAGATAGAGTGACTCGGAAAACTCTTGACGATTTCGGGTCTCTGACCAGGGCGAGCGGCTGGTGACATTGGGCATACAAGCGGTAAGTGCCCATACTTGCGGTGAATATCCGTTGACCGTCAGTGATGAGTAGTTAGCGAAAAATGCGTCAGAAGCTGTGTCACACTCGGACGGAAACTCGTCGACCTCAATAGAGCGAGACGAAGCAGTTGAGTTGATACGCATGGCAAATTGGCGGAGTACCCCTGTGTGGAAGCCGCTGGGGACTTGGGCATAGAATGGGTCGGTCATTGCCGAAAAGTTCTCAAAAGTTGAAAGCTGCGGTCCTTGCTGGCCTTGCCAAAGCTGTGGCTGCCATGTATGTGTGTCTGCACTGAGAAGAGCCCCGCGAGTCTTAACGACGTCGCTGCCACTGGTCGAGTCGTAGTAAGATGATGGACGAGAAAGGTCGCCCACCACGCCCATGTCATTGGCGGACACTGGAGTATGGATAGTTTTGGGGTTGACCATAATAGACTGTATTGGGTAGATGATGGCGCCAAGGAAGTGGAGCGTGATTGCCAGGAGTAAAAGATGACTGCCATGTTGTTTCCAAGCACCGCCACATACATCGAGGAGTAACGAGAAATCCAACCACCGACGGTCTGCTAGGGTCATGACTTGCCGCATAGTCAATCCCATACTATCCTTCTGCTGCTGCACAAAGATGACCGCGGCATGGGCACATACGGCCGATGTCCATGGTAGAATTATCACGCTGAGAATAGACTGAATGACTCTAGCTGAGCGGTAGAGACTCGCATCCAGGCCGTAGTCAAGATGCTTCGGATATTGGTGTAACTGACTCGTATTTGCTTCCCAGGAGCGGGTGCTGACAGGGCGGAACGACAGAATCACGAGAATCACCCAAGAATAGATTGCCAGGCCTGCAAAGAGAAGAGTGAGAAAGGTGATCAATCCCGAACGATGGAGCGTTGTGCTGTGACCACGCCCTATCGACTGGTTTCCCGGAGTGGCTCTTGAGTATGCTGGAAGTTCATATTGCTGATCATTCTCAAAAGCAGGTTCACGCGGCAGATGACGAGAAGCATGCCTCGGCGCCTCGTCCTGGCTGCTGTGTCCAGAGTCCGACTCCGTTGGGGGCCTTGAGAGACGCTGCAAATGGATCGCACTGTCGTTGTCCGCCATCAGTTGTGTGAAATCCGGGTTATGTCCACTTGTCTGAGTCGCAGAAATAAAATCAATGAAGAGGCGACCAGGCTCTTGTTTAAAAAGGGCCATTAAGAGCCGCGATGGGACGGTGCCCTTCGGGTAGTAGTCCTTGGGGCTGAAGGAAACCCCACACCGGCGGTAACGGGAGACCCCAGGAACCTAGCCAGTTACTGTGTCTCATGGGCGAGACTAATGAGGCGCTACCAAACCACTAGAAATTGCCAGCTTGGCGAGTGGCCTGTGCCAACGAACAACGCGGAAATTTGAGACTCGGCAATCCCCGAAAGTTTTAATAGACATCTCGATTGCCGGCTTGAGGTCAGATCAGTGCCTCTCAATAGCTCAAATGAATGTCGAAGAGTACTCGAGGCTAAATGGACAAGACTCTGTGTGAAGGAAGTAAAGGAAATCTCTATAAAATAGGGTCGGGATGCCCGGGGGGGGGGAAACGGGGGGGAGAAAGCACAGCCCGGCCAATTAAACCTCGGGGCCAAATCAGGGTCCGCCTTTTCAGGCTTGTCGAATTGCGGGGCCGGAGTTATGGACGTACCAATGCGACCCTGAGCGGGTATTGCAAAGTACTGAAGCTAGCGACTACTGCTGTCCGGAAGGGAGAGTATATAGAGGGACACACGTTTGTTTCTCGGCCCATACCCGAAATCACTCTAATCCGAATTGGGTTACTCTACAGTATAACAACGGGTGCTGAACGGTATCCTGTCTCAGACCGTACTGTATTTGATTTCAGCGTGCAATGAGTCATCACAAGGTCCTCGAGGGAAACCCGATCTCCCCTGGCGAAAGTAGCTGAATTGTGACTCACTTTGAAATTGTATATTTATTGAACAACTCAACTGGCGTCATCGCGATTGCCCCCTGTACTTCACATACTCGCAATCGATCCGGATGTCAATACAGACTTCTGTTTCAGTGGTGCCCGCAGCCCTTCGGCGCGGCGACACGATCGCCTTTGTCGCTCCCTCCGCACGTCTCAACCATATCTTCCCCCTACGCATTGTCCGAGCACGCGCCTTTCTCGAAGCACAAGGATTTCACGTACGCGAGATCTACTCACCCGAGCTTCCTACAACCTCGTTTCGTGCTGTTATCAAGACAAGAGTGGATGAACTACATGAGGCTTTTCAGGACGATGAAGTGCGCTGTATTATATGCTGTATTGGCGGGCTGACTGCCAATGAGATCCTGCCCCATCTTGACTACGAGTTGATTCGTGAGCATCCCAAGATTTTCATAGGTAGTTCGGACATTACATTGTTGCATCATGCGTTGCTTGCTGGTGCTGGGTTACGGACTTTCTATGGACCAAGTGCAATTGTGCAGTTGGGTGAATATCCTGCCCCGTTGGACTTTACTTGGGAACATTTTCTTCGTGTATTAGTTGCGGAAGAGGGTCAGAACAATACACTCAGACAAGAACTGGGGCCCATGCCTCGGGCGGCTCATTACACTGATGAGTTTATCGACTGGTTCGGTGAACCTGGCAACCTCCGCGCTCGTGAGACTAAACCAGCTCCTGGGTGGAAATGGCTTCGACTGGGTCGAGCACAGGGCCGTATCTTCGGCGGCTGTTTACCCAGCGCCTTGCAGCTATTCGGCACACCATGGCAAGTCTCATATAAAGGCCGGATTTTACTGCTCGAGCTCCCTGAAGGCTTGCAACCCGACAGTCCCTGGCCATTAGAACTGGTTCGCTGGAACCTGGCGGATTTAGGAACACGAGGTGTGTGGGACGACATTACGGGATTAATCCTGGGCAGACCGTATAGACACACAGAGGAGCAGGCGGCTGAGTGGGAGAAGACGGTGCTTGAAATCACCGAGGGCTATGATTTTCCTATTCTTGCTGGTGTGGATGTGGGGCACACCGATCCTATGTTGACGGTGCCGCTTGACGCATTGTGTCAGCTGGATAGTGAGAAGGATGAATGGTCTATTTTGGAGAGAGGGGTCGAAAACAAATAGACGCAGATTAGCATCTAGCATTAATTTATAAAGCCAGAGCCTTCTCACCAACATGTTTGAATCCAGAGCGGTCACCTTGCAGCGTCAAACCCTTCCCCATCTCTCCCAGGATTAGCTGAAAACGGAGAGCATGGCGCTTATAACACTAACCACTGTCCAGGTACGAACTGGTTTAGTTTCGGGTACCGACTGAGAACAATGCGTGTGTCCATGTCCAAGAGGGAAACTGTTTTCAACTCTCACTGTACAACCTGACTAGTACCCTGCCAAGCCATCGAGGCTTCAAAGAACTGGAAGATCGCCCTTAAAAACACGACATCCAGGACTAGGTTTACCGGGAAATATATAAGCACAAAATCACAAGCCAATCGACAAGGGCAATACTTGGTTCAGGCGAGACGTCCCCTAGATTCTGTTGCACACAGGTGCTCGTTCGAGTCGAACGAAGCACAGAACGATTTCCCCACCCCAAAGGGTCAGTGAAACCAACCATAGTGTTAAATCTTTGCGACTAGAGAGGGTTCTGGTAGATTAATTGTCTCTCATCTTGTGCTGTGACCCAAGAATAGGTACCAGTAACATTCGGATTTTAGGCCTGTTGTGGCGTGGCCATCTTTCAATAGACTCAGATGGACTCGGCCAGCGTTGTATCTGAGATTGTGAAAATAGGGTCTATTGTGATTCAGGAAAGCCCTGAAGAGCCGTCATAGACCCAAATTTCCTAGCTCATCTTTGTCTGCAAATTATTTTTTCCCACAGCTAGGACAGCCCCTTCCTTTGAAGAAACTAACCCACCTTGTCTAGTTGCAACACCAATTCATACAAGCTGTTTTTCGAACAAGGAGATTTTCCTAACTCTTAAAAGCATCACTAGACCATGTCACGCCTCGCAAGACCTTGTGAGTGAAAGGGCACCCTATAGAAAAAAGTGGAGCCGCGGCCCAGTGAAAAAATAGCCAAGGCTTACATTAGCAGGCTCACTCTCTAATGCAAAGATCAGCCGGATCTTCGTCACTCTCGTCACTGCCTCACCACTGCACCTTCGTTTCGCTAGTTGCATGATTATTGCATGTCGTATATACCCATGATTCATCTGACTTTCTTTTTGCACCTTTAATACCATCTTTGGTGCGCTTCATCCGGAATCGGCCTCCTTTCCCTTCCTGCCCGGCTCCAATCAGACATGTCTGACGACGAGGATTACTACGAATGGGAGGAGGAATATCTCCTTGAGGATCTTGTGCCGGACCTTGTGGTGAGTATCTGTCACTTGTGAACACATTATCTTGGTAGAAGCGGCCACGCTAATCAGATGGCTGGTATGCGCAGGACGAACTCGCCCAAACCTCATACTACGAAGCCGCCCTGTACGAGGACCCGGGGATTGACGTTGAGGAATATTTTAGCGACTGGGAATACTATTCAGATGACTACCATGATGACGACCCGACCGTGAAGCAACACCCGGTCGTCGCGAAAGCGGTTGGTGCCCCAGCGAAGACACGCCGAACACAACATGGCGCGCGAACGAACAACCGAGTCTCCCGACCGCAGTCCTCCCTGGTGCCCGATATCACGTCGTTTCAAGGGGTGATTTGGCGGACACCGAATATGGAGACGGACCAGGATATTGCGGTGCAGATTTACGAGCCAGGAAACGGGGATAAGGTGGCGCTACTGGAGAACTGGCGCGAGATTTTCAAGTCCGCGCAGCCCGCACTGGATAAGTCGCGGCTGCGCAAGCGACGGACAACGGACACGCCATCGGTAGAGCCAGACCTTGCGGATGACGAGTTCCCTTGTGAGGATGAAGAAGAGGACAGCTCCGACCAGATGTCCGACATCTTGTCTCTCGACCATACAACTGAGAATGGCGATGCAGGGGATGCCTCGAATACAACGCCGGAGTTGGTTCAATCCCCCGAAGAGGCGCCAACCCCGATGGAGACGGCGCCTCCGAAGAGAGGCCGCAAGCGAAAGGCTGAGGTTCCTCCCGAGGAGCCCAACAAGGATAACTCCCGTGGCGATTCAACTCGGACTCGGACGAAACGAGTCGCTTCGGCAAAGGGGGATGGGAAGTCGGCAAGGTCCGACATTTCGTCTGGTCCAGTGCGGAGGTCCGCAAGGCCGAAGAAGTAAGCTTGATTGCTGCTGGACGTGAGCTGAATTGGGTTCCCTGTATCTAAAATGTAAAAGCTCTCCTCATGACATATAATGAATTGAACGGAAGAGGAAATGCATCTACCCTCTACAAAAGCTGATGGAGACTTACGTAAATTGTTACATTTGACATTTATATGCGCCCATCATTTGCGCTGTAGAGATCTATTACGCATACTCCTTATTGAATGCACGGCCGATCACCATTCGTCGGATCTCACTCGTGCCTGCTCCAATCTCATACAGCTTCGCGTCTCGGAGCAGACGTCCAGCTGGAATCTCGTTGATGTATCCATTTCCACCCATCAGCTGGATCGCGTCCAGTGAGCACTCGGTGGCACGCTCAGCGGCATACAGGATTGCGCCAGCGCAGTCCTGAGTTCGGATGACCACCGGGTGAGGAGATACTGCGCCATTGTCAACCTCCCGCGCAGTAGCGTACGTGTATGCCCGCGAGACAGCCAGCTTCGTGTACATGTCCGCCAGCTTGCCCTGGATCAACTGATTGTGAGCAATGGGGATGCCGAACTGCTTTCGGACGTGGGTGTAGGGAAGAACCAGGTCAAGGGCGGCCTGCATGATGCTAGAGAAGGATGTCAGCGTTTAAACAGTCATATTCTGCGGATCCATGGCAGCATACCCAAGTGGCCCTGCACTCAAAACCAGCCTTTCCAAATCAAGGCCTTCCATTAGAACTTTGACACCCTTGTTCACTTCTCCCAGGAGGTTTGCTCGCGGAACAAACACATCCTCGAAGACAAGCTCGCCGGTGTTAGAGCCGCGCATTCCAAGTTTGTCCAACTTGCGCGCACATGAAAAGCCCTTGAAGTTCTTCTCAACCACGAAAGCGGTGATGCCCTTGGACCCCTTCTCAGCCTCGGTCTTGGCGTACACGACGATAAAATCCGCGTCAGGACCCTGTGCAAGCATGGTGTTAACACTGGAACTATAGCCTCAAGGCAACAATACCACTTGCATTGGTGATCCACATCTTGGTTCCATTGAGCAGCCAACCACCATCAACTTCCTTCGCGGTAGTCTTCATGCTGACCACATCGGAGCCTGCTGAGTGCTCCGACATAGCAAGAGCACCAATCTTATCACCAGAAAGCAAACCTGGTAAAAATCGTTCTTTCTGTTCGGCTGAGCCATTTAATGAAAGTTGGTTCACGCAGAGCTGCGAGTGGGCAGCGTAGGATAGGCCGATGCTTCCTGTAGAAACGTGACCAGGTTAGAAAATGACTTAGAAGAACGGCCTCAGACCAGATTGGAGGTGTTTCTACCAGATGCCCGGCTCAGTTCTTCCATCACAATACAGTGGGCCTGGTAGCCCATTCCCAATCCACCGTACTCCTCATTGGCGGTAACTCCAAGGAATCTGCAGTGTCGCAGGCTAATTAGTACTCTGGAAAGCTGACGGCAGAGCAAAGTTTAAGCGGAAGGGAGATTCTACCCAGCATCGCCCAACTTCTTCCACATGTCCGCCGGGAACTCATTCAGCTCGTCCGTGCGCTGGGCAACCTCGGCCGGGATCTCTCGTCCTAACTTCGTGTCAGTATTATTCAAGAAGAGAGAAAGACATGATTACGTGTAAAATCTTGGACTCGCTCTCGAAGTTCCAAAATATCGTCTTCAGTGGGGGGTTCAAAGCCCGCCGGGTGCTTCGTTGACAGGCCGCGCGCAAAACCTGGGGAGAATGCGGGGAAAACCGCGCTCCGCCGTAGCGAGCGCGCGGACGTGCGGAGGAGGGAGAAGGAGGCCATTGTAGGGTGTTGCTACAGGCGGCTAAAGTGTGGCAGGGGGAATTAGAGGGTCGTAAAAGGAAACTTGGGCGGCCGTGGAGGTTATTTAAAACATGCGGAGACGGAAGGCGGCATCCCTCGGCGCGGAGAGACCGCCCGCAGTGTGTCGCAGTATACAGCAGATAGTGAGTGGCATTGCATGTCCTCAATACTCTCATTTCTCCACGCATTTATCAAGTCCCGGGATGCGCAGTCTTTACTCCATATCCCACATGAGATTTATTCTACTGTCAACTTCTCATTGCAACTTCTTTTACTGATCCTCTTTCGCTGCAATCCAGCTCTATCCCATCTCCGCTGGAGGCGGTGCTGGCAGTCTCGGGTAGAAGCGGCAATCCGCGCATCTCCGCACGATCTGGGGAACTTGGAGCTTGGCTCTCCCCGCCTTCGAATCCCTGGCCGCAACACTCTATTCAAATACTGTTTTCCGGTCATGATATGAGCTTCTTGTCATTCAGACCTTCTAGCCCAATCTGTGTGATTAACCTCTCGACAACTGCCGGCTCCTCAACTCATGCTCCCCGCAATGCGCGCCCCCTCCTCGCTCGTCCTTAGGAGCTTGGGCTCGCGTACTGGACCACGCAACTGCCGTCCAGCACACTTCTCTGTGACAAAGGGTCTTGTTCGGATATCCTCAAGGACAGTCGCCAGCTATACTCACCCCCACCATGCCTCCGCTCTCTCCGTGCTTCCCACCGCAGTGGACACCTCATCGCCCGAGTACCGGGAGAACAGCCAGCAAATGCAGGAACTCCTAGACCGCATGAGTGGTCTCCATGCCAAGATCTCTCAAGGTGGCCCACAAAAGGCCCGCGATAAGCATGTCGCCCGTGGCAAGATGCTGCCTCGTGACCGAGTCTCAGCGCTGATCGACCCGGGCACTTCGTTTCTCGAACTGTCCCCGCTCGCGGGCCATGAGGTGTACGAAGGGGAGGACGTTCCAGCCGGCGGTATCATCACGGGCATTGGTACGGTTGAGGGTGTCAACTGCATGATCGTGGCAAATGACAGCACCGTCAAGGGCGGCACATACTACCCGATCACGGTCAAGAAGCATCTTCGCGCACAGGCAATCGCCCAAGAGAACCGACTGCCCTGTATCTACCTCGTCGACTCGGGCGGCGCCAACCTCCCCCATCAGGCCGATGTTTTCCCAGACCGCGACCACTTCGGCCGTATATTCTTCAACCAGGCGCGCATGAGTTCTCTTGGCATCCCGCAGTTGTCTGTTGTCATGGGGCCCTGCACTGCCGGCGGCGCCTATGTGCCTGCCATGAGCGATGAGACCATCATCGTCGAGAACCAGGGAACTATCTTTCTGGCTGGTCCGCCACTCGTCAAGGCCGCTACGGGTGAAATCGTTTCTGCTGAGGATCTGGGCGGAGGTGAATTGCACTCTACCATCTCCGGCGTGACAGATTACTTGGCCGTCGATGATGCCCACGCCCTCATTCTCGCCCGCCGCTCAGTCGCCAACTTGAACTACCCTCCTACCAATATTTCGCAACCTCTTGAAGATTCCGTAGTCAAAGAACCCCTCTACGACCCTGCAGAGTTGAATGGCATAGTTGGGACAAATCTCCGCCGCCAAATCCCTGCGCACGAGGTCATCGCACGTATCGTGGATGGCAGCGAATTCGCCGAGTTTAAGCGCGACTATGGCACCACGCTGGTAACAGGATTCGCCAAGATCCACGGCCACCGTGTTGGCATTGTCGCTAATAATGGTATTCTGTTCTCTGAGTCCTCGCTCAAGGGAGCGCACTTCATCCAGCTGTGCGCTCAGCGACGCATCCCTCTCGTCTTCCTGCAGAATATCTCAGGCTTCATGGTCGGCGCCGATGCCGAGAAGGGCGGTATTGCAAAGAATGGCGCGAAGCTGGTGACGGCTGTCGCGTGTGCCGACGTGCCAAAATTCACCGTGGTGTTTGGCTCGAGCGCTGGTGCTGGTAACTACGGCATGTGGTAAGTCTTTTCCTCCCTCCCTTGAACTTGTATTCTGAGCAGTGTCTGATACTGTTATTTATAGTGGTCGTGCCTACTCCCCTCGCTTGATGTTCATGTGGCCTAACTCCAAGATCGGCGTTATGGGCTCCGAGCAACTCTCCTCCGTAATGGAAGCCGTCGGAAAGACGACAGACCCAGCATTGAAGGCTCGTATTGACCACGAATCAGAGGCAATTTTCTCATCCGCTCGTCTTTGGGATGATGGTGTAATCCCGCCAGCGCAAACAAGAAAGATGCTTGGGCTGGGCTTGGCCGCCGCTCTTGGTGGCAAGGAGGAGCCAGATATACAGACCCGGTTTGGAATATTCCGGATGTAGACAGGGTCCAAAGAAACACATAGATAGAGAAAGAATATCTAGGAAATGTATTCAAACAAGCATGCCATATCGTTCACCCTTCAAGGGCTAGAAAGAGAAAAACAAAAAACAAAAAGGACCTTGCATCTGAGAGCTGAATGAAAGTACGCAAGAAAGGTGATAAAAAAGTTTGCGTTCGAAGACCAGAGCTTTTATTTCATCGAAGACGGCTTTTGGGGCCTGATATGAACCAAAACTTTAAGTATATAAGATGGGAGGAAATACAGCAGCGCTGAATTCCGTACACGAAGGAAAAAAATGAGAAGGGACAATGGTGTATGGGGAATGGACAGTGTTAGAGAATTTAGGATGGATGGTATAATGTGATGAGAGGCGGCGACGCGTCGTTCTATCAAGAGGCGCAGATGCATGGGAAGCGAAGAAAGTATATCATGAGACACGTCAAAGGTGCGTGGAGGCGGAGGCAGGCGTGACTTAGAATGGCTCGGAAAGAGAGCATACGAGCCCGAGACAAAGATCATAAAGAGGCGACGTTCATCGTTCAAAGGATGACACATGGAGAGCGTCGGCGGCCCTGTGTTCTATTGTCTTTCTTCCGGTCGGAGCGGTTCGGGCCCTCGCGCTTGCGGGAATTGTCGCTGTTACCGCTGGACCCTTGGAGGTCCTTGCGGATGATCTGGCGGCAGAGGTCGACGAAGACTTCGTTCACGTTCGCGCGGCGCCGGGCAGAGGTCTCGTAGTAAGGGGCATTGCCCCAGTTTTGAGACAGCCCAAAGGCGCGGGCACGAGGCACGGCACGGTCTTCCTCGAGGTCGGATTTGTTGCCGACGATTACGAGGGGAACTTTCTCGTCGTCTTTGATCCGGATGATTTGTTCCCGGAGTTCAGAGAGTTCGTTTAAGGAGGACATGCTGGTGATGGAGAAGACGAGGAGGAAGCCTTGGCCTTGCTTCATGTACAGTTCTCTGTGTGGTGGAAGATTGGTTAATGCTAGTTCGATGTTGGCGAGGTGTGAAGATTTACCTCATGGCCGCTAGTAGTCTGTTAGCAAAAGAAGCAAGCATGATGATCGACGAAACTCACTGAATTGTTCCGTTCCAGCGGTGTCAAGACTGCACGACATAAGATCAGCCTCCTCGTATTCCCGCGCCAAAACCTTCGCATTAGGGAAGAATCGAAGAACCTACATCTCGAGTATGCATTGTCTGCCCTATTAACATTGCGTTAACAACAAACCATTGCCCACAGGTGTGCAGTTCACTTACATCTACCTCGATCTGTTTACGGTATGAGTCCTCGATGGTCGGGTCGTAGCTTTCGATCCAGACATTCTGGACGAATTGAGCTGTGAATTGATCAGTGTCTGAATTGGGTCGCAAGATACCCTTCATCCGCAAAAGCGCAGCCGGGAACACCGAGGGATGGATACCAGTCAAACAACTCTTTCCGACTCCACCTGCTCCCAGCACAACAATATGATATTCACGTCTGGATCACATCACAGTTAGACTCTGGCTGGCCGAGAACAACGACGGGGCCCGAGCAGCCCCGACGATTCACGACTTACTGGGGCCGCATTGAGAAGATCCCAAGGTATTCTAAGTAGACGTATGTCGAAAGGGGGAGGGAGTGAGATCGGCGAGATGCGAAACGAATAGCAATGGCGGAGCTAGATCGTGGCGACGTGGAGTTCGTGGAGCGTGGGTTGACTGCGTCGGACGCTGTCGAGCACCGAAATTCGGAATGGCCGTTTCAATGAGCACTGAGTTGTCTTTTCGAGTTGTATATTCCCGTCCGCACCGTGTACCGCGGCGTTGTACCCCTCAATGGTTGCACGGTCGTCCAGCTCCCTTGGGGGCCGATAGAAGAGTAAGGAGAGCAAGGGCCGAGTCGGTTACATCGGTCTTCCAATGGACGTGCCCCCTTCGACGCACGGACGTCGCGATCGTTGCCGTCGATTTGAAGGTCCACCGGGGAGGGGAAAGTACCGGGGGGGGGATTGGGTGCGTATGGAGGTGGAAGAGGGATGGATTGAGGCCGAGGAGCGACGAACAGGGGAGAGTTTGGATGTGGTGGGTTGTGGTGTGTTGTGCGGGACCTTGCGAACTTTAGCCTGGGCGGACCCAAAGAATGGCGGTTTGGCGTGTTAGGATGTGTAGAGGAAATCAGGGGATGATAAGACGAAACAATCCGGAGCGGGATTCGGTTGTTTGCTTGCAGCGTCCACCGTGCAACTCGTTCCATCACATCATTACACCTGTCCCTGGCGGTGAGTCGAGACCTTTGCGTCGGCGACTCCACAATGCCTTTCAATTCCCGCCTCTCTGCTGTTTACCTTAAAACAATCCCCACTCGCAAGAACCGCTAGGAGTGAAGAATCACGACGTGACAGCTATGAAGACTACGGAGGACTATAGGCCAAGTTGACAGGTCGTGTGGTGTTCTTCAATGTCAATTCCAGGGCGGGATCCTGTCTCCGTTCTGATTGTGGGTTCCTGGGTTCCTCGCCCACAGGGGCATTAGGCTGTTCCCCGTTTCCGCCCGCGTCTGTGCGCACGAACAAAGATAATAGCCTATTATGCCACCCATGCGGCAATGTCATTGATGTCAAGAACGATCTCTGTAATCGGTCCAGTAAACAATCGATCCTAGGGAGAACTAAAGGGGCCAAGACTGAACTCAGGAGACGAGACTCTCAAACATGGCGTGAATGTCAATTCACGCGGTAAATTAACATATCTGCCCTGATATTCCATAGCGAGAGAAGGAATCTCAATGCCTGTGAGAATGAGCAAGGACAGATGAGGCATAGGTGACTGGAAATCCAGTTGAAGAAGCAGTTTGTGGACTACCAATACCCGAAAACCTCAAGGCTGTGTCTCAGGATACTCGCCAGCAATGGAAAGAAAGTGGCTTGTCCCCAATTCGGTATAATGAAACGGATGAGTCTGACATACACAGAAGGAAAAATGTTGGCTTATGTTGGCTTCGAGGGTTTTGATGTCTTTGATCTCCCTGAGTGCACGCATTTCGTATAAGCCCGCCTTGGATTTGACGTATTTGTGGAGGAATGGAGGCTTTATTGTTCAAGTTGTGTAGACGCGAAGCTTTGAAGCGTTTTATAGCCCAATTTTCATTCGCACGATTCATAATTACTTTTCGGGTCGAACGAATCGTTCTACTGGTCTGGAAGAGTGGTACCGAGAACCATCAGGCTGTTGTAGAGGCGACTTATCTTTGATCCGGAATAGCTCGCCCAGCAGTACTGTATGAAGTCTTGCCGGAACTGTCTTCACAAGGGCGCCGAGGAGGTTGCCCCACGTATAGTCTCTCTTGATATGGCCTTGGTATTGTTAGAGAGGACTGCATTAATAACGCGCTTGCACCTTCTCCAGAAGACTTACTAGCTGCGAGTTAACATACGCCGACCTTTGCCAAGCTTTTTCGCTAATCGTGGTAATAGCCCAAGAGCCCATCAAGATAATCAATACTAATAGCCATCATCTGGTCGGTTACTATATAACTAGGTAGCTTCACGGGTTAGCAATATTCGGTCGGCCTGATCGGTCCCGTTCGGGGCGGGTCGAACAGCCCGATATGTCATGAGCGGGAGCCGTGCGGGACGCACCGCGTAAGCTTAGACCTGGGGCACCTGAAAGGAACCAGCTTTTCACCAGACAACGTATTCATTTTTCACGAAGTGAGGGTTTGTATAGATATGAGCTGAGGTGCTATTGCTGCTTGCAGGTCGTAGTGTGCACAATAGATCGGGGCCCTTTTTTGTTGGTGACACTGCACTTTTGAAATGCATGAGGCACACGAGACACAGCACAAACAGCACATGCAGGCTTCTCACAGGCCAGTTCCACCCACCGAGTGCCTAGGCTCCATCGTCCTATAAACTTTGTGACCACAACTCACATGGCGCTCGCAGATGATCGTAGGCCGAATACGTCATGTAATCACGTGATGCCGCACGGGCGAGGCCAGTAACCGCCGGCTTGACCGGTTACATTCTCACCATCCCTCGTTCTCATAGCTATCCTCGCCGTCGTCACCTCGAAGATATCGTGAAAATTTAAGCCACACTCACAAAATGGCCTCATTCCAGGATCGTGCCCAGCACGCCGTTGCTCAGCTCGACAAGGAGGTGTGTTGCTCCTGCTGCGATTGTGTGTGTCTCGGTTGCGCTGGTGCCTCTAGCTTGAGCCCTCGCCCTATTTGTGCGCTGCGTTGTGTGCAAACTCACCCAGCGTGGGGTTGTGAGGGCGCCAGCAACTGTTTATCATGCTCTCACTGTAGCCCGCCTCAGCGATGAAGCTTCATTCACTAACTGGCATTGTGTGCGATAGCTCTCCAAGTACCCCGTCCTTAACAACCTTGAGCGACAGACCAACGTTCCCAAGGTCTATGTCATCCTTGGCCTGGTCGGAGTCTACTTCTTCCTTGTCTTCTTCAACATTGCTGGCGAATTCCTCGTCAACTTCGCCGGTTTCCTCCTCCCCGGCTACTATTCCCTCCAGGCACTCTTTACGGCGGGTAGTGCGGATGACACCCAGGTGAGTGTTGTTTGCTGTTGATCTCAGACCTCTGGCCCTACCTTTCACAAGATACATTGCTAACTCATGACCGATGCTAGTGGCTCACTGTAAGTTCCCATGACTGTGTTTCCTGCCACCACTTGCTGCTGTTGCTGGCACAAGACACCGCACGGAGCCGGGCTTATCAGCTGCCACGTGACGACCTCCCCTGCACAGAACCACATGCCTAACTAATATCGCAATAGTACTGGGTCGTCTTTGCTTTCCTGACCGTTGTCGAGAGCGCCATCAGCGCTGCTTACTGGTTCCGTATGTGCAATTGAGCTTTGCTCCCAGCGCAAGAGTACCTGCTGACCCAAACCAGCCTTCTACTACATCTTCAAGTTCGTCCTCATCCTCTGGATGGCCCTGCCCCAGACCAGGTAAGTAGCACCTCGAGAATCCAAGTCTGCGAAGAAAATATTGACTGAATCAAACACAGCGGTGCCCAAATTGTCTTCCACTCCTTCCTTCAGCCTGTGGCCGGCCGGTTCTTCGCCCAGGGCAGCACCTCCGCCAACCTCCGCGCTCAGGCTGATGCCGCTGCCAACAAGGCGCACTCCACCTGAACAGTTTTCCCATGATGGATCCTAGCAGAGAATCGCCCCGATAAATGCAGTGTCGCCGTAACAGTAGCTAGCTCAGATGCAGGTTACGGGGCCTATCGATTCTCCGGGCCCGAACGGGTACCATTAGTGAAATGCTTGAGCGGCTTGAAGTTCTCATTTCCATGAACGCAAATTGGAAGTACGATCGCGATAGAGTGAAGGTGATTGGAAGGGAAGAGAGTGGGTCGAGGCCGGGGTGGATCTGGGATCGTGGGAGGTGGTTGCTTGAGTTGTTTGTGATTATCTCGTCTCATATCTGGAATAGTAGGGCTGTGGTTGGTTGATTTCCGTAATGTGTTACATTGTTCGCCTTGTGTGGAAGGCGAGGCTCGCATTCGGCTTTCCGATGTTTTCATATATAACGACATTTGCCACATAAATTTGAGTATTGCGTGGTCTATCAACCTCGTGCATATGCATACGGTGATACATTGTTATATTTCCGGGCTAGCGGGCCAAGTTTCAGCCTGGTAGCTATCTTGTATCATCCGATAATATCAGGATATCGGCCACCAAACGAGAGGAACGCAAGTTGAAACGCCAGTCCGGACCCCTAGCACAGTATATCAGAACACCAAACTCCCGCCGAGTGTTCTAAAAGATAAGAAAGTATGGAATTCGTATAGCCCGCCGTAGGGTAGTTTATGAGTCAAGTCCACTGACCCAGTGCGTGAGTCACTGCCGGTCTAATAGAGCCCCATGCGGTTGCCCCAGCCATCGGTACGCGGATTGACCACAATCCGATATGGGAACGGGTTGGAGTCGCTGGTCGTAATGGGTGGTATATGGTCTTTGTCGCGGTTGACGACAGTCAGGATCTTCAATGCTGCTTTCTGAAGCATGTTTCCCATAGCCTTGCGGACTTTCGCTCGCTCTGTTTGGAGATGGTCAGACCGGTGGACATAAACATACCTCCCATCATAAAGGAGCAGTCAAGGATAACAAAGCACGCAATATATCGCGCCAAGTACGTACCGGACTCGGTGCGGGGTGTGGCAATGGTCACATCCAGCGTCCAAATCTCCCAGCATACCTCCTCCTCGCCCTTTCCAGCTAATCCGCCAAACCACAAGCCCGACCGACGCCGCTTCTTCTCATAGAACTCTACGGCGATCCGTCCACGCACTCCCCCACCGCCCCCACCTACCTTGCCATCCTGCGCCCCGGCGGCTGAGCTGAGGTGCTGACGGACCAAGGCGTTCACGCGGGACTCGATGAGGGTCTCCAGGTCTGCATCATTGATAGCGGGGAGGGTCAGGTCCAATACATCGAAGGTGACGGGCCGAATGGAGGGGAAGAAGCGGTGGAAGAAGATGAGGTTCAGGACGCCTGCGAGGGTGGCGAGTTAGCACTTAGTCACGGAATGACTCCCCGGCACTCGATCAGCGGCACAGATCGAATTGAAGCACAAAGCACACCTTTCAGCACATCGCGGACCGTGGTGGTGTCGGCGAAGATCTCCAGGAAGTACTCTGGAGGGGTTTTGCGGGGCTCCATCCCCGCCCGCAGAGGAAACGGCCCAGCGCGGTGGGCCGGGTGTTTCAGGAAGACCTGGGGGAAAGGGGGTTCACAGGAGCAGGGCAACTGATGGGCTGCTGGTTGGAGTGAGCGAGGTCATGGAGGGGTTGCAGGCGGGCAGCCAAGAGGGAGGGGATGATGGAACGATGCTCGATGTTCGGCGCGGTTGTTATCGGCGATCGGACGGGGCCGAATGACGCTTATCGGCTTATCATTGGCTGGGGCCGCGGAGGGATTTGATGGTCGCAGAGAGGAAGGCACGAGAAATATAGGACTATAGGACGGGGGAATCTGGAATATGACCGCGGGACCTTGACCGCTGTGACTGTTTTCGAGACGAAAGGAAGGGCAGCGGAGTGTGCCAAAGCGACTGGGTTGGTGCGGGATGGCCGGTTGCGCCGAATCCGGGGGGTCTGGATGACTACTGTAGTTGAATATGGTTACGTTAACGATGTAAGAGTTGGCTGTAGACAAGAATAGGACAATAAGCATTGTTGGTAGAGTCAGTAGGGACAGGAAGATCTGTCGATTGTGTCTGCCGCTCTGAAGGCCACTGCAAACCATTCTATCGCCGTTCAGCTGCATGTCATTTCCTGCAGTCCACCGTCCAGCTCAGCTAGCCGAGGCCGCAACTGGGGACGGTTCCCCGGCCACCGCGATCTGCGCCCGAGGCCTTCTCCCACCTCCATCCCCCATTCAGTGTGTATATCATGATCCCCGCTTTTTGACACCCTCGTCGTCCCGAACAAAGTCTCTCCAAATACCCTCATCATGATCGGTGCCGCTAGGCGCTGGTTCCGGCGCAATCGCAAAGGCCTTGCGATCGGGGCTGGTGTGCTGGGAGCTGGCTACCTGGCCGGGCAATATGTGCTGTCCAAGATCTCCGAGGCACGCGAGCGCATGAGCAGCGACCGAATAGCCCGCGAGAAGTATGTCCTCCCATCTGCTTTCCCTTCACAATGTAATTCTTCCTTGCCGTCCTATCCGTCGTCGGCTGGCACGCGAGCTTGTGATGACAGGCTCAACTCAAACAAAGCTCCGAGTCCGAGTGGCTAACAACGATGGCTCTAGTTTGCGGCGACGATTCGAGCAGAACCAGACCGATTGTACCTATACCGTCCTTGCATTGCTGCCCACTGCCACGGATAATATTATCGAAGCGCTCCCCGTCGAGGAGCTGACGAAGGAGCTCCAGAAGAAGCGGGCAGAGAGGCTGGCGCGGCTCAATGCCGGGGAGGCAGCGGGCTCGGACATGACTTCCGTATCACCTAGCGTCACCCAGGAGGATCGGAAGAGCCTGCCGAGCTTGCAGAGTGAAGACTATGTGCACGCGAGCCAGCTGGGGGAGTCTGTGAACCCGGAAGACCAGTCCCAGCCGAAACGGAACAAGACGCAGTTGTGGAACGAGGTTAAGATCACATGTATGCTTATCCACCGCCCGAGCTCCGGTGGTATACCTGTTAGGATGTGAGTGTCGACCGCTAACACCTCTTAGCCATCACCCGATCCTTTACCCTTATCTACACCCTCTCGCTGCTCACCATCTTCACCCGCATCCAACTCAACCTCCTCGGCCGTCGCAACTACCTTTCCAGCGTTATCTCTCTCGCTAAACCCCCAGCCGACTCGACAATCAGCTTGGAGGACCACGATGATGAGCTTACTCAGACCCTGGGGGATGACTTCGAGACCAACCGACGGTATCTGGCTTTTAGCTGGTGGCTGTTGCACCGTGGATGGAAGGAGTTGATTGCACGGGTTCAGCCTGCTGTGGAGGAGGTCTTTGGGCCTCTCAACCCGCGTGAAGACATCACTCTGTCCAAGCTGTCCGAGTTGACTCTTCAAATCCGCAGGAAGGTTGAAGGAAACACCGAAGAGGAGCGACGGTAAGACGATCTCACAGGTTCTAATAGCATCGCCTTCAGGTAGCTGACAATTCACCTTTATCAGGTCCAAGAAGTGGCTATCGTGCTTGCTACCCCCGACAGAGGAGGAGGAAGATGTTCTGCGCGAGTCGGGTGTGGAGGGAGTGGCGGATCCATCATCCTCGCAGACTGCCTCGAAGCTGCGCCATCTTCTTGACGAGACAGCTGATCTTATCGATTCTCCGTCCTTCTCCTTCATCCTCACCCTCCTCAACAATGAAGGCTTCTCGACGCTTGTCGACGCGAAATGCGCCAGCGAGGCCTTCAAGGCACCCGACTCGGCTCCTGTGACAGTGCCGCAGTCATTTGACTCTATGGCTACCGTTGTCCCTGCTTCATCCGAGCGCAAAAGCAAGCTTGCCAACCTTCTGGCTGTAATGGCTCGCCAGGCTCATGTGATTGGCAATGGCACTCATCCTCCCAACGAGTATCTGGTTGGCATGGATCAGAATGTGCGCGAGCTGGAGGCATTCTCGGCTGTGATTTACAGCTCAAACTTTGAACTTGAGCTCCTGGGTCGCAAAAAATCCACTGCCGCCGAGAACGAAGACTCGACAGAGTTCGAGTCCGGTTCGTCCTCATTCGCGGATGTGATGGTCGAGAAGGAGGCCACGGCAGAACCTGGCGAGGGCATCTCCCAGAGCTTTCCTGTCCTTGTCGATCTCGATGAACAGGAAGCTGGACCTGAAAATTCTGCCGGCGAAGAGCAGCTGACTCAACAATCACCCCCGGTGGCTACGGCAGACTCTGCTTTCGAGCGGGCCTGGGGCAAGGCCGTTGACGATGGAAAGCGCTCTTCAGAGACGGAGGACCAGGCCGCTGTTTAAAGCTCTCACGGGCAGTCTCTGTTACACTTCTTGCCAATACCCTTGTTCTGCATCTATGTTGTCTCGTCGCTGGGCGCTGCTATTGTCAGACTATGAGACAGGTGCTAATGATTATATGTCTATATCATATTGGTAGACCCAATTTTCCTCCCCTGTCACTATAAACAATTTGAGAATATCCAATCTATACAAAGTACTACTATACGTAAGTTTGAAGCATTGCTTTGTGCTGAACAGCCAGAAATGCTTTCACATTCATTGCACACGCCTGCCGTTCTTAATCGCCCTCTAGTCCACAAAATACTCTCCATCAATCTTCCCAGTCCTTCAATTACAAATCCAACTACTTTGCCAGCTGGGAGTTCTATACCCTGGTACAAGCACAAGGCACTGAATTCGTTGAGTATTCCTTCAAATTTAACACTTCATATTCCGGCGCAGCCGCTTCCTACTTTCTCGGATACAGCTTTGAAGTGAATTCTACGAATCATTGTCTAAAAGACGTCTCATCATCCTGGTTAAGATCTGGATCGACCGATTGGTGTATTTTTGAAGGTGCCGGCTTTCCTTTTCAAACGATTGGGACGGAGAAACCTTGACCAGCCCATGTGCAAGAGGTGGTATTTAAGTGATAACAGAGCCATATTACCAAGAGGTCATCCCTGAATAAGTCTAGTGGTAACAGGTAGTTTGTGAGCAGAATTTTAGCAGGATATCTCAATTGTAAATAATGACTGTAGGGGCTATTATTTTCCTGAGTCTGTGCGCTAACCGTGGATGGGTGAGACTTCGATGGTACGTTGTTCGGGAGGAGTCCCCGAGGATCTGAAAGAATTTGATATCGCTCTAATGGGATATTCGTTCTTTTGATGATAGGCGTTCTTTGCATCCGCGCGTTTCCGATCCGGCGGCATAACAGGGTCGGGGGGGACAACCGAGATAAACCTTCGTGCCCCGCCATTGAAGATAGCTCCGAATGAGGACGCCGAAATTGCTTGTGGCTAGGATGAGTGCTTGAGGGGCCAGCGTATTATGATCCTTGGGACGCCCGTATCCGTGTTGTTCCCTGGAGCAAATCGCACAATCCATATTTGGCTAAGTTACAGAGTAACGGCCCCTCTTTAGTTGTATTTGTCAGATCTCCCCGATAACATATCGAACCGCTCGCCGTAAATTGCGACAGGTCCCTATAAAATTCGGCAGAGCGCCTGCATCTCAAAGGCGACCTTTGTGTTCATATCTACGCTTAACGGTATATTGAACCAGATTTTACCCTTGGAACTGAAACAAATATTTGACCGCGTACTAGGCATTACCCTTCTCAGCAAAGTCCTTCACCTAAGGGGCCTACTTCTCCATCATCTCACTTTTGTCGTCCGAAATGCCAGCCGCTCCTATCGTGCTACCTCGTCCTGGAACGGCCAAGGTCCACGACCTACCGCGGCCCATCCAGGCACCATCTGAAGCAGATTTTGTCGCAACCTTCGGCCAACTGCTGCCACCAGCATCTTTTCTGCAGACATCATATGGCAGAGCCGCCTATTACGAGCTGCCAGTCTCGTCTCTAGCACCCACGGATACCCCAAGTCCGATCTCTCGTGTGGTTTTCGTGCACGGCGTCCAGACGTCCGCGATCGGCATACAGCCATTGGCAAGCGCGCTATCTTCGCGTTTTCCACATGCCCAATGTGTCCTTGTTGACCTGTGGGGCCATGGACTGACAGACACTCCGACTGTGCCTTACGAGCCGGCGCTCTTTCATTCGTTATTAGAGGCATTACTGGTACAGCTTGAGTGGAAAGACGCCCACTTTATTGGCTATTCCTTTGGCGGGTCGACGACAGCCACGTTCGCAGCTGCACACCCTGAACGGGTTGCATCTATGGTTCTGGTGGCACCCGCTGGTCTGGTTCGTTCGAGTCAATTTGACGACTTGCAAAATGAATACTTGCGTGGTGGCGAGGGGTTGGAGGAGCAGGCGCGAGCCTGGATCTTGGAGTACCTGGAAGGAGGTCAGTTGATTGTCCCTTCAGATTGGAAAGAAAGGGTTGGGCAAGGCAAAGTTGTTGCAGAAGCGGTTCGTGACTGGCAGATGAGGGAGCATGAAGGACACGCAGCGAGCGTCGTGGCTATCTTCAGGGATGGTGGAGTCCTAGATAAACATGGTGAGTTTGCCGAAGCAGCCAAAACGGGAATAAAAAATCTCAGTATCCTTGGAGAGCTCGACGGAGTATGCAGCGTCGAAGATCTGCACGGGGTTGGAATGCACAACGTTGTTGTCATTCCGCAGGTTGGACATGCAGTTGTGAGAGAAAGGGTGCCAGAGGTCGCTAGTCTGATCGGGGATTTCTGGGACAAGCTCGATTCTTAGATAGCCGCGATAGATACACCCCTCTCTTCAATTAGCAAACATAGACTGTGCTGGCAGTTGTTGTTCTTAGTCCTTCCTGCTCTTTGCACACGAAGGTCTGTATGTCTATATCGTTTGAGAATCAACAGGACAATGCATAGAGTATATTACACCACGTCAGTCGTGTACGTTTAATGGTCATGAAACGACATAAAGCATAAGAATTTTATAGTAAGCAAGGTTGTTAATTTCCGTTGGGCAGGGAAATGACGGTATGGACTCATAATGAAGTCCATGGAGCACTTCAGGTTTAGCGAGTATTTGGCCCTACTTTTGCGCGACAGATCCTTTGATATCTAGTTGGACTGAAATAATTATTATGCGGCAAGGTTGATGATTTGAGGCCCGGGCCGCAAACTCGAGATGAAGAACAGATAAGCGTGCTGCTATTCCCAAGCCAAGTTACGCCGTTGATGCTATGTTGCAGGAATAAGTTCATAGATAATAATATGGTATTTGAAGTCCTTGGGCATGATAGCCGTATGAAACATCAGGATCTTGTCAAATTTTGCCAGGCTCGTGGACCCTTTGTTCTCCCGTGCGAAGCTCTTCGCCGCCCCCCGCCAATCTCGGAAGCGCCCCCACAGGTTCTTCGGGCCAAGTCAAAAATAGATATCGTTCCTCATTCGCTGAGCAACACACCTGGTTGGATGGATTGCAAGGAGTACAGCATGCTGACACCAGGTGTGCATTGCCTCCCATTAGGCTATGTATGTAGCTAGGCTCCGCGCGTCACGGTTGGACCCTGGACTATCCAGGATGGCGAATCAGAGAACCTCACACCGGAGAAGAGGGTGGCCTAGTCCATTTGCTCGTTCATTGTCATCAAATAATTATTTCCTTTCATGACAATCTCGTTTCAGCCCCAGGATATTCCTTTCTCGCCAACACAGCCCCAAAAGATCGACAGTCCCTGCATAGAAAGGGGCGACCAAGCCTTAGGCCCCGGAGCCTGGGGCCGGACCCTGAAAAGCATCATTTAGTTGGAATGGCTAAAATCGGGGTCCATGGGATAAACCAGAGTTGAAGAACAACTATCGTACGTCTGATCTTCATTTTGCATGATCAGTAACCGGCCTTCCGAATTCGAGAGCGTCCGATGCCAATAAAATTGTTGTAGGTTAGATGGTCATCATCAGTCTTGGTCACAGTCTAACTTTAGCAGTTTATAATACAGTGACGAGGAGTCTGTGGAGCCGCAAAAATATCCTTAGATAGAAACAAGGCTCAGACCCCTGGGGCTGGGGCCAACAATGAACAGGATCTGGAGCATATAAGATGCTATGTATCAGACAGGCCCGCCTTTATTTTCTAGCAATCTACATCCTCAAAACACTCACAATGCTTGCTCTACTGACTTGCTCTTTTCTCACCATGGGGATAACGTTTGCTATGTCTGAATCCTGTGTAGGATGTACGCCCCTTCAGGTCACGATACCCGCGTCCACTCCTGCTGTCGCCGTTCCAGCCGACTTCTTCGGCTTCGGGTTTGAGTCTGGGCTTCTTCCACATTACGATAACGAGTTCTCAAACAATACTGTGAATTCTATTCAATCGCGCATGCTCAAGCCGATGGTCATTCGAGTGGGTGGTACAAGTGGCGATCATATTACTTTCAAGGAAGACCAAAAGGTGGCCTCTGATTGCCACTCAAAGAAGATCTGCAACAGCTTGGACACCTACACTGTAGGACCGGACTATTTCAATGCTTTGCGAAACTTTCAAGCTTCCCATTGGTCTATTCAGGCACCCATGGGGGATGAGATGAACATCGAGGACACCATGGATTTCCTGCAGCAGGCATGGGGTGCTGCAACAAATGAAGGAACAGATAGGGATCGGGTGGCTGCTATTGCACTGGGCAATGAACCAAACTGGTACAAGAAATATGGCATCGAAGGATATATCGAGCGGTCGCAAATGATTGAAAATCGAGTCACCGAGCGCTTTTCCTTGAAAGGCGAGGAAGCTCGAATTTTCCAGACAGGGGAGATAGCGGCTGAGGTGGCTAGCAAAAAGGATTCGCCTAGCAAGTTCACACTGTGAGTGCATCCCGGCTTATGCTAGTGTTTCGAATATGCTGACAACCCTCTGAAGTATGGATCTTCTCACCACTCTTTTTAAGGGGGAGCACAGTCAAGTCAAGTATGCCGCTGAGCATTACTATCAAGTGATCGGTCAAAAGGGCGGTCATAACTATACCACATCTGATCTGCAAGGTGAATTAGTCAAGGAGACTGGATTAAGATAACCATGCTGACTTGCGTTGCTGACTAGACACTCTTATGAATCACTTCGCCATCCGTGATAAACTTGCCTCCTACGTTAATGATGCCAACCCCCTGAGTATCAAGGACAAGTCTATCCCTCTAGTAATTTCTGAGGCAGGGTCCGCCATCGGACACACTGCACTTGACTTTGCAGGGGGTTTTGGTGCTGCCATTTGGGCAGTCGACTTTCATCTAGCCGCCATGTCCCATGGTATAAAGCGGGTTTGCAATACGCATGGACCAGACGCCATGCATGCTTGGTGGCTGCCTGACGATACAAGCAGGTACACGAATAGCCCAGCAGTTCAAGGGATTTTCCCAGCGGCTGCCTACATTGCCGACTTTGTTGGCAAGGATGGTAAACTCGGAAAGGTCCGAGAGATCGACCTTAATAATGAGTTTTTCAGTGGGTATGTCATGTATGATCTGGAGTCCAGCAAGCCGATACGTATTGCCTTGATCAACTTGCGCCAATTTGAGACAGGACCAGCGGTTCGTCCAAGGTTTGTCGCTACGGTCGATGTTGGCACAGGTGTGAAGTCAGCTGTTGTTCACCGCATGCAGTCCGAATATGGTGCATCTGCTCGTGGATTTGACATTGGTGGACCACAGGAGAATGTGACTTGGGATGGTGAACAATGGAGCTACAAGGTAGAAACCGACAAGGGTAAGGGCCATATGCTTCCTGGGTACAAGGAGGAGCGTCTGAGCGTCAACAACATCGGACAAATCGAAGTCAATGTCTGGGACACGGAAGCTGTGATCGTCTCTTTGCAATGACGTGGATGTGTTGTATTATATCTTAATATATATTGTTATCTCGACCTTCCTTCTTTTCCATTACATACGTGAATCAGCGTAGGCTTCTGATACCAGTAGCATGTCTTTTGGTCGCGATTCAGATACAAATGCATTGCGAGCAATGGATGATACCTTTTTGTCCTCTACATGCTGACCGCAATCTTTTTTGGTGCTTATTTCGTCACCTCGGTTTCATCAACGACCAAATCTGCCTTGCCGCTACCTTCACCACTGTTTTTAGGAAGGGATTGCTCCTCATCCCCAGTCGGGCTCCAAGTGGCGTCACTCTTGGCATTCTCAACGGGCGTATGGCTTTTGACGACAATCCACGTGGGCACCACAGCGAGACCTGGTTACGTATATTGAATTAATATTATCTTCCATCCCACCTAAATTTTTTTGTCACTTACCGAGGAGAATTGTGCTGACCGCCAGAGGAACGCGTCCACCATACCACTCCCGGGTGTTGAGGCCATACGAAACTGCTTGAGCAAAACTCTCTTGGCCGCGCAGAACACCGGACAGGCGTGCTTTATATCATTAGCAATGCAACCAAGCACTACGGATGGCCTGAAAACATACAAAGCTCGGAAATATTGTCAGTCATCGTCGAAAGCATATAATAGAGCCAATTTTGAAGTGTTTGCTGAGAGAATTCTGTAAAATGCTATTAGTAAAAATGCCAGCTTTCGCTGCAAAGAAATGAGGAATCATACGCCAAAGAACAACGACAAACATCCCCTTAACAAATCCTTTATCGGACCAGTCATATAATGGAGGATTTGCCGTATATTGCTCCTGAACTACCCAGCCATAGACCCAGGAAACAATATGGACAGCAATCACATAATAAAAGCTAGAACGAAAGCCGAATTAGCTCATGCGTTGAAAAGTCACGACAGCACGGGGACTTACCCGTAAGTAATGCGAAGCTTTACAGAAAGTCCTTTATAATCCAGGAACCGACTGATAAGCCAAGATGAGAAAAGGGCCGCGAGATACGCTAGAGACAGAAATTAGAAAGGTGCAACTTTCGTTGAACGACAAAACTTACCGACAAGACCAATTAGGGCTCGAGCGCGCACTCCGAAATAGTAGGTTTCAAAATCTAGACCGTCGGGTCAGACAATGGCACTGGTATGAAGAACCCTTTCGGCAGACTTACTGCCGGAATACTGATTGAAATAAGCTGCCCAAAACACGGGCAATAGTAAGAGAATCTGAAAATTAATCCAGATGAGTTTGATTTCCTCAGCAGGTAGACCAGAAGGAAACATACCTGTTTGCGAGCAGACACTCTCCAAAGCTCCGCAAATTCCGCCCGCCACGAGTCCAGTGCAACAACCTTGACTTTACTCCCGTCACCGCGCTGGACCTTCTCGGGGCGAGTCAGGAAGTATGCCAAAGGAACTGCTAGGCATTGCAACGCGACGAAAATGAGATAGGTCTCTGCGGGATTTATTAGACAGAGATCCACCATCTACCTATAAAATTGAACAACGTACCTGAACCGACCTTGCCCTTCTTCTTTGCAGCTGAAGAGCTTCGTTGGTGTCAGCTAGATTCCAGATTTCATATTTGACATCCAATAAAACTCACTGGTTCAATCCGAGAACAATAGCACTTCCAAGCAAAGGTCCACCTGTCCGAAACCAAAGCCAGATACTAGTAAAAATGAGCATTCTCTCAGTGCAAATTGCAAAATTAGCTCAGGTTGTTACTCACTTCATATACTGGCCTCTTTTCCCTGGTTCAGGGTACCCAAGTGCCACTGCGCCCTCAGAAGCCCAGAAGAGACCGGCCCTGCTTGCGTGAGTAACTTTCATCCATTGGTTGTATTATGAGTTTGGATCATTTCAACTCACGATAATCCACAAGCCACTGCTCCAACTAGCACAAACCATTCATTTCCCTATGGCCGTGCGTTAGTTATGGTCCATGGGCCTTGACAATGCGAAAACTAACATAGCGATTGTTCGTATATAATGCTGCTCTGTAAATGAAGCACGCTTGGTCAGATTGAGCCTTCTTATCCTAGTACACAGCCAACTTACGAGTATATCGGATAGCCAATAGCTCCCAAAAGCAAGGTCCAATTCATACCAATACGATTGGCAACCGGACCACCAAAGACACACAGAAATCCCACTGAAGGCACAGATTCAATCAGTAGACGTTTCAGATGCCAAATATGCTTGATGACATACTCAATCCAAAAACCAAAGCGTTGGCTGCATTGACCAAATATGGTGATTCCGCACCACCCGCTCCCAGAGAATTCATTGCATTCCATAGTCCTGGGGCTAGGAATCCGACACCTCCAATGACGAACGCATTGAAAAGCGTGCTTCGATGCCAAACGCGTTTTTCTGGCATCGTAGAAGCCTCCTCGGAGGATGCCGATGTGGGGATTGACTCGGTCATTCTGCTTTGTGTGGATATCTCAATTCCAGACTCAGTCCCTTGCAGCTCACAGAAACGAATACATCAACATAGAACAAAAGTCCCTGGTCGGACGGTTTTAATAGAACCGCCTTTTTAAGATTCTGCTGGTTTTTTACCATAAGACCATTCACGAGAACGATGGCGTGCTGAGGGACACAAGGGGAATGGTGTGCCGACGCATGTCACTATAGCATGTTAAGCTCCACCATTGGGCCCACGAGATAGAGCGCAGGCCAATGATATCTAGACCAAAACAGAAGCTAAATTATAGCTTTGCCTTGGCGCGTTTTTGGCATCGGTGCCTCATCGTCTCACTGCCGAGTCCAGATCGCGAGCAGGGGATTTTAGGTGGGGGCGTCGAAGAAAAAGTGGGGGCTTTGTAATTGGATCACCACAACGGAAAGTGAAAGTCGGGAGCTTCCGAGGGGCAGCCCGCAAACAACAATTGTGAACTTCTTAGGCCGTGAATGGCCGAAAGAAAGCGCATGATTGGCGATGTACCCGAAAATACCCCTAGTGTGCCATAGGTCACCCAAATGTCGCTAGACCCTACAGGTAACAATGTGATTACTGGGCTTGCTGGCGTGCTTGAAGCACTAGGCATCAAACCCTCGAGCTCGCGATGAATGAGTCATTGTATTCGTCCTATATGCCAATATGGCTATCTAGGAATGAGATTATCTTGTCGCGGCTTGTGCTGTGTGAGATCCTCATAATAATATGCTGATCAGGGCGCACCAGAAGCCCTCCACGGTGTATCTCAGACGCAAACCAGGGCTGATCCACAACATCAAAGTCTATACCGAGGCGCCACACATTTAGTTGGATGTTGATAGTTTGGAAGCGCGTCTGGACCTTCGAAGTACGCGGGTTCTCCCGGCTCTCTTGTTCGCCGAGAATTAAAGTGAAGGCGTTTGGATTGCATAAATCCAGTGTGCTCCACTGACAGCGGTTGACTTGAACTGCAGTGAGCTCTGTCACATACGAGACATCTATTGGCTTTTGGCGGAGTTTTGATGCCCCTTGTCGGTTGGAACCCGTAAACGAGATCCAGGCATGAGGCACCCGAGCTCCTCGGGAGAACTGGACGGTAATATGAGGCATGAGGAGGCGCTTTGACTGAGCCGTAAATATACCCAATGTGAAGTTCGAGCTAGCTCCCAAAGAATATGTCGTTATTAGCTTGGAAGTCTCCAAGGATCGGGGCCTCGCCCTCAGCTTACATTGTCGAAATGTTCTTTCTGTCCCTCTATCTCTTGATCAACTTTCTGTCGCTGCTTGGGATTCTTCAAGGCTTCTGTTAGGTTCTGGCGAGCTTGTGTGATATCTTCCACCCCTTCGGTGTTTAGACTCTGCACTAAAGCGAGGATTTGCTTTCCATTCTTGACGCTCTGTTTTGAGTAAACATCCGCAATACTTCGGCGTTCCGATGTGTAAGTTGAAAGAATTGACGGGCCCGCCGCGTTCTGGTGGACCAAGGCAACCTTGTAAGCCAGATTGTGGACATCTGCGAGGCCACAGTTCAGCCCAAGCCCACCAGTCGGAGGGAATGAATGAGCTGCATCTCCAGCGCTAGATCACAGAAACCGTTAGCGCTCGAGCGTAGGTATAAGGCGAAAGTACCATATGAACACACAGGAAGACATTTCCTTTCTGGAAGGTGGTTGCGATTTGTCGCCGGAATATCCATGGCCGAAAGCTCAAGATGTCGAATGGTACATCCTGACCAATGGCAGTGCGTATTATCGCCCGGCACATCTCCTCAGTCCACCACTCCAGAGGCCGCTTCGAGATATCCATCTGGCTGATATGCACTTGGGTACCACTCAGGTCATAGCCAATAATCACACCCACTGCAAGGGGATCCATAATCCAAAAGAGCATACCAACGCGCTCGCCAACCACTGGTCGCAGATTGGCGTTGAAGTGTATCGTCATCATGACTTGATTTGAGGCCTCGCCCTCCGAAGGAATATTCAAAATTTCGCGCACTTTACTCTTATGCCCATCGCAGGCTATAAGGTGCCGAGCGATAATGTCATGGAAGTTTCCACTCCGAGCTTCTTTGACGGTTGCGACGACCTCATTCTCACCCTGAATGGTCATTGGTCCAATAAGCCATGGTTATTTATGATGCAAAGTAACCATCTTGCCAAAGGAGAAGTAGGGGAATGTACCTGTCGCACGGCGTGAATACTGAATCCCTTTCTGAGGATCATGTTCGAATCTTGCTCCACAAGCTTTGTAAACTCCTCTTCAAGCACTGGTTGTGGGATATTGTGGATCATCGTCATATATTTATTAGTCTCCGTCAATCAAGCATTCAGGTGCCGAAGGGCGGGATACCTCTGGCGTATCATCCAATAGAGCTGGATCTATGCGCTCATAGGGGAGTCTTCCAACTACTTCACCGGACAGATTGGTCATGAAATTTGACCCAGTACCCATCAGCCCGGCTGGTGCCCAAGCTGTGAATTCGCTTCTCTCCAAGCCCATATTGTCGCAGGATCTCCAAAGATCGCGGGTTAATAACATGGGCTTTTGGTGCTCCCAGACGCTCCGTGTAGCGTTCTACAATTAAAGACCTAACTGCAAAATCCGGATCAGTTCGTAGTCATCCAGGCATTTGTTCGGTCGTGAAATGGGGATTGATCGAGATTGCTGCGGAAGCTAGATACCACCAAGCCGAGACAGCAGGAGCGCCTGCAAAAGGCCGACTGGGCCCCCACCCACAATGAGGACAGGTACAGATCCAGGGATAGCCCCATCTGTCGCCGACTGATTCACTGTGCCGGAGTCGCCCATTATCGTGGTCTTGCGGAACGAAGCTTGTACTGCTGCAACTAAACACGCGCCAGCGATCGTGGTCTCACCCGCACACCGAATCACCAGAAGTCAAGCGAATAGCAGAATGATTTGAAGGAGGTATGAGATGCTCTTATATACTGGCATGTGGAGATTAACGTGCGTGTTCGCTGCCGGGGTTGAGCGGGGTTTTAGGGAAGTTTATTGGAGCCAGTAGGAAGCGAGAAACCTGGTACATTTCACTACATTAGCTTGGCGTTCTGAGCAGCGACACGATTGACAGCGCAATTTAACAACCACCCATAACAACACTCACCTGGAAGCTGACCGTCGACACGTGGATACCATAGATGGGGAGAAGTGCAATTCGAAAGAGGCAAGTATTAGGCTCGCCGAAGAGTAGAGTGATTGCGACTCGGATTTTCTGGAAGTCAACAATGCGGGGGTGGTTCGGTTGGAACAACTTTCTGATTCCCAGGCACCGAAGACTCCTGGAAGGACGATTCGGAGCCGAACTCGATTGTCAAGTCCACTTCCACTTCAATCCAGATCGGATTGCATTAACAGATTCTATGACCTAGTGCTGGAGATGCAAATGTATCAGAGCCTGGATACTGCGCAGAGACTGCTTACAAGCCACTCGGCTGCCATTGTGTACTTTGAACTACAGTGGGAAGGGCACATTGACACAGTAGTAGTATTGCATATGAAAGATTGTCATTAGGTAGTGGTAATTATGTTGCCATCAAAAGCATTCCTCATATGAACGCAGGTAATATCGTTCATGCACATAATGGTCGAGCAAATGGATCCGGCATCCTTGTCTCGACGCACCGTGTCTATCCTCCCATATTTAATCTACAGAGCAAGGGCCAGACCCAGAACACCGGCAGCCCCAGCAAGGCTCAGAGCGATACCACCCGTGGCGGCGGGGGCACCAGCAGTGGAGGTAGAAGTTCCAGAGCCAGAAGCCGAGCTCGAGGTGGAGGCGCTGCCAGAAGCCGACGTGGTCTTGGTAGCGGTGGAGGTCAAGGTTAAGGGAGTAGAACTCGAGGTGCCACTGGTAGAGAGAGGAGTAGACGAGGCACCCGAGCTGCTAGCACCCGAGCTGGAGCCGGAGCTGGGGGTCACAGTGGGCAAGGTACCGAAGTAACTGGACAGCACCGAGACCTCGGCCTCGACCTCGGAGGTGGCCCACGACTTCACACTATCGGGGAGGCTGTTGTACCAGGCCGGGTAGGTGCTGTGGAGGAGGTCGTCGATCACCGATGACTGGAAGGCAGAGTTTGTCTCAATGGCCTCATACCAGGTGGTGGGAACGGCAGTCTCAATGACCGACAGGATACTGGGGGGGATCGACTCGGTCTCAAGAGGAAGGAGGATATCATCGTAGAAGTCGCCGCTGCTGGCATCGGTCTCAGAAGCCGGGGCAGTGAGGGCTGCAGTGGCGAACAGGAGAGTAGCAAGCGCCTTGTACTGCATGTTGAAGTTGTTTCTTAGAAGCTTTAAGAGATCTTTGGTAGGAGAAACGAGTAGGCCCAAAGAAAGAGTATGAGCAGGTGGGATTCTCAGAGGGAGATGAGTAGGACGGCCACGTACGGTGGCAAGAAGGCTTATATACGCCTCAAAGCCTTACCAGGAAGGCTGCCTAAATTTAGCGACTCACCCTGAGGCTCATCGCCTGTTGTTCCTTGCTCTCCCCAGGGTCGGGTGGATCCCCAAGCTCAGCCTGATGGGTTCTTCTCCTGCTCAGTCCGCTTGGCATCCTGCCATCCAATCGCCGCCCATCCGCCCCCACACGCTAGCGCTTGAAGAGGAAAAGCGACTTGAAGCCTGGCCATTCGTCATGGCGTGCTGAGCGCTTCTGCGCCCAACACGTCTGCTTGCTGGAAACGAGGCTGAGACCCTCCACCCCAAGACCCCCAGCGATCCAAAGGTTCCTGACAACGTGCTGAAAACACCTGGGGCTAGACTCAGAATCCTACCTCCTGCCTCTTTGTTCGGTGAAATCGGATACAGCTTTTGAGACAAATTCCGATCTCTGAAGACGGTCGACCGAAGGACGCGTCTTGTCTTTCGCCACTCTCTTGCCATCCTTCGATTTCATGGTCCCCGACCTGGCATTACGCACGCATGCACGTCGGGGCTCCCACGCCATTGGACTTCGAGCCTGCAGCTTACCCATGACATAACTCTCCGGGATGTCGATCTGAAGATGCCCCATCTTTTCCCTGCTGCCGTTGCCAACATGCCTTCCAAACTTCCTGGGGCGATGGCCCTGACGTCTTGTTTGGGCGGCTTGATTTGCTGGCATCTTCGTCTCTGCTTTTACAGACAAACAATACAACTGAGTTTGGTCAGATGGCTGGCAATGCTTGCGTCGCCCTGTCAGTGACTGGCCCAATAATAGCATGGTGGCTCCGCAGCCCGGCTCCAAGCTACCGCTGTGTTAAAACACTGCCCCGCGCGATTGTGTACTACCTCTCCGTACTTGATTTCCTATGCTACGTCTTGGCTTTCCATTGCCGTTTTGGTGCGCAGGCACTCGCGGCTTTTGCTCGCTGAGCAGACTGGAGCACGCCCCTGAGCGCTCTGATCTGATCAGTGAGCATTATGTAAGCTCGCTGAGCAAGTCTGATCCACTCACTGATGCGCCCAGATTTAGAGTCGTGAATGGCTAGTGAACATCAGCCTCGACAGCCGATGATGATAAGCCCAACACGAGCATAGTATTATTCCTGGAAATCGAGGAGAGAGAGACCGATAAAATGTCCCAATGATCAAACCTGAGCAAGGCACAGAACTTGCATTCAATTCCAACTTCTGCTCCGGGCTTACTATTTCTCAAGGAAACTCGCACCGTATCACACACAAATATGCCCACTGGGAATGATGATATTGACCCAGCCTGGCCGCCTGGCACTATTCGAATTGAGGGCGAGAGAGGAATCCTGTTGAGCTCTCACCTGCAGCAGGGCTTTTGACTGACAAGATGTCACGGCAGATATCTCTCCCTCAACCGAGGGAGCGGAGGTTATATTTGAACCAAAACCATCTAGTGATACAAATGATCCGTTGGTGAGTATAGCGGTTGGGTATTGCTTATCTATATCCACAAGGGCTGAGATTGTGTTCTGCTTAGAACTGGCCACATTGGAGGAAATATGTGAACTTCGGGTTCGCTGTGAGTCCTCCTCTTTAGTATGATCTTGCGATAGAACGCTGAATAGCTTAGAATTGATGTTGCAACTGTGACATGGAGCCCAGTGAATGCTGAACTGGGCTTCAGCTTCGCTTTGCTGAACGATAGTTACGCTGCCGGGTGTGGCGCTGTGCATCGGCGCTGTGATTTTGTTCCCTTCGCTCTCAAGTTCGGACGACGACCAATTTACATTCTCAGCACAGCCGTGTAGTGTGGCATTAGCATCTGGTCTTCCAGGATGCAAACTGTGGCAGATCTGATGCTGGTAAACATATTAAGCTGCATCGTCGGTGCCCTAGCGGAAATTCCGGTTCAAATGACCGTGGCGGATGTGTTCTTCGTGCACGAGAGTGGACTCATGAACACAATATACTACTAGGTCACGACAGTCGGAGTTACGCTGGCACCACTGGCTGGTGGATACATTACCCTTTCCAAGGTTGGTGTTGGGTGTGGTGGTGGATGGCCATTTTGTTTGGAGCTGGACTGGTCGCCTTTATCTTCCTCTACGAGGAGACCATGTTCTGTGTGCCATCTATCGAGGTGGTTCCTGTTACCGATAAGCTGACACCATAGACGACAGTCAGCAAACTGGATACAGAGGAGCTCAGATCAAAGGAAGGGCAAGATGAGCGGAAGAGACAGCGCCTACGAGTTGAACCTGTGCAAGTTGATTATTCGATTCCAAGGAAATCCTGCTGTAAGAAGTTGGCACACCGATTCTCCGATGTCTCTCAATCAGTTGGCGAAGCACAGCTATCAGCCGTTCTTAATCATGTTTAGCATTCCTGCGGTCTTCTTTATGGCCTTGGAATATGGCTTCATGACTGCCTGCACGACGGTGCCGGTGACCACACACTCCTCGGTCATGACCTTGCCCCCTTACAATTCCGGCTCAGCCCAAATTGGATTAATGGGACTTCCGCCATTCATTGGGACTAGCCTGGGGACTATCATATGTAGTCCATTGAGTGATTCGATTGCTCTTCAGCTTCCGAAGAGAAACGGTAGGGTTTTTGAGCCTGAGATGTGCCTCTGGCTCTGCTCAGTGTTCCTCCCTCTGGTTCCAGCAGGCCTATTCATGTTTGGAATTGGTTTATATAACGGTTCTCATTGGCTTCTGCCCGCGTTTGGACTTGGCATCAATGCTTTTGGTGTTGTCCCAGCGAGCAGTGCTGCGCTTATTTATCTCACCGATGCATATACAGATGTAAGCCGCAGTTGAGCATTTTATCAGGAGATCTAGCGAGTTCATCTCGATCATTAACAGTGTTCTGCAGATAATCGCGGACTCAGTCGTCGGGGTTACATTTATTCGCAATCTGATTTCTACAATCTTTGTTTTTGCCCTGTCAGCATGGGTTGCTCGTGTTGGGCTGACTTGGTTTTACGTGACCTTCGGCTTGATTGTCATGCTGATCATGCTTGGCAACATCATTTTCATTTACTTTGGCAAGGCCTTCAGAGTTCGTGTTGCCGGCAGGTATCGCTATTTCAGTGCGCAGAAATGGGGCGCAGATACGCTGAGAAACCAACACCTCGTTAATAGTAGCTGATGGTCGATTTAGCAATGAATGAATTAAAATGAATTAAAAATGAATACAGTCTATTACAAACCACAGTAGTGAGCAGAGCTAGTCATCTCATGGGAGTCGATCGTAGCCGAGCTGATATGGTGATGATGATGATGATACTCTATTAACCTGGTGCAGCCTAAGTAGTGCTATATAGCTATGCAGACACTTCCTCCGGCGGAGCAAGAGCATTCCGAACGCTAGCCCATATGCATGAAATAGAAGATATAAAATAAAAAGGCGGTTTGCCAGATTAAATCCCCCAAAACCTATATAATAGTAGTAACCAAACGCCTATTGTGTGTCCCGCGGCCCTTAGATCTCCCGTAGTCTGGCCGCCTATCTCTCCTATATCTCTCCCCCCTGCTATCCCACCCGGGCAATCTCATCCTCCTAATTCGTTCTCGATTAATCGAGGTTCAGTGTCGGTCTCTGATATTTTCTACTAGTTATCGATGTAGCGATATAGTCTCCCACGACCTCTCTATAGCTATAGGCCTTGGTTTTGTAGTTCCTTATACCTATTGTCTTCACCGCTTGTGCCCCTGCTACGTCATTCCGACGATTCGTTGTCTTCGCTTTCTGAGGGCTCCGGCTTAACGTGCCGGAACTATCCTAGAAGGCCTATTTGTACTATAAATTTAACCACGTAGCGGGTGGCCTGCGAGTCTGATATGATCGCATCGTAGTCGGTTATATTGAGATCCGTCCGTGTCCGGATCTTCTCCAACATAGTCTCTCTCCGATCAGCGTACAACGGGCACTGTAGCAAGATGTGTCTCGGCATTCGAGACCCTTCACCACAGTAGCACTCATATGATTCGACTGCGTTGACCTTGAACGAGAAATGGTTCAGTGCAATGCGCATGGAGCGCATTTGAACCACAATGGAGGCGCACGGCTTCGAGAGGGACTCGAACAGCTATAGCACCTTCTTCCTGTCAAAATATGTAAGATTGAACTCCCAAGAAGAACACTATCTGTGTATGCGCCAGATTACTCTTCAGCCTAAGAGCGCGCGCCAGGCTGAATCGGCCACGATGGCGCCAGCGTGGTGGTTGGTGGCCGTGGTTGGAAGCTCCAAGGGCAGATGGGGGCCGACCGAATTTCCACAGTATACGCGGCAGAGATTCATGCAACTGATATGGCCCTCACATTGGTACGGAATAGGTTGCTCGAGGGGTGCTGGGAGCAGAGAGTCTCGCCCGGTGGGATGGTGGTCTTTACTGATAGCCAGGCGGCGCTCCGAGCCCTCTACCACGCACCCATGCTTTCTGGCCAGATTTATCAGCAGGATGCCAGTGTATTGGCCGTTTGGTTGGTTCACAAAGGGGTCAAACCCGAGTTCAGATGGATACCTGCGCATGAGCAGGTGGATGACGTGGCTAAACGTGCCGCGCTGCGTTCGGACCTGGCGGGTGTGGATGACCGGCACACTATTAAACTCCTTGGTAAATTAAGGTTATGGATCTAAAACTCCTTGGTGGATTAAGGTTACGGAATTTGCCGGTCAAATGTCACATGGCGCCTATCGACCGCCGCACTTGTGGTCCATGAACTAGCTGGAACTCAACAACCTCCACACTTCTCTGCATCCCCCAACTATTCCTCTATCAAGCTTACAGTGTCTCTTACCTCACACGTTATCCAGCTTCATCAATACGTACCCCTCCCTCGCTTTCATCATGCCTACCTGGTTCCGGAAGGGCATCGAACGTGGCACTATCATCACCCTCGACCAGCCCGGTCGTTCGCGATGGCAGATCCTGGAGAAGCTAAATGAGAATGATTTTCAGCTCTGGGAAGCTGAATATAACCGGGGTGAGCGCTTTTCCCTCGGTGTCACTAAACTTCGGTGTCGCGACCTGAGGGACCACAAGGAGGCCTTTATGCGAATCTATCTCCAAGTCCCTTATCGTGGTACTGAGATGGATGATGCGGACACGAGAGCTAAACAGGCTACGACACTTCAACCTCGAGAGCTACTCGCCTATGAAGATCTTACTTGGCACGACCTAGGTTTTACTCCGAAGCTCTTGGGATCTAAAACCTCAACACAGGATAAGTGGGGGCCAGTCCCAGGAGGGTACGCGGTCTACCTGGTGTGGGAGAAGGTGCCAGGGGTACGTCTCGGTACCAAAGATGGGTCCAACGTGTTCTGGGCTTTGGATCATGCTGAAAGAGAAGAAATCCGGCTACAGTTTGTGAAGAACTTCCAGTAAGTTGCTATACTATCTCGCTGTCTATCTTTTGTAACTAACATCGATACTAGCGCACTGGAGGCAATTGGATATCAAAACGATACCCCTGCGCTTAGTAGCCTGGTCTGGGATAAGGATTCGAAAACCCTGTACGTCGAAGCGTATACTTATACCAACTGGTACTGACAATCCACAGTTACTTTATCGGATTTCGCCATCGCAACAAGGCCGCGGGCCCACCCCGAGGCATCGTTCCCGACGAGAAATGGATCGCATATTATGAGCTCGCCAAGCCGAACTCGGATGCATGGCTCAAAGAGGGATGGAACCAGGATACTACTGAATGGAAATGGTAGTCCGGGCAAGCGTCACAGAAGCGAGGCACCATCCATGATAAGAACATCCAGGCCATGGAGATTCTCCGGACCCTAGAAGGCTTGCCAGGACAGACAACGGTTGCCATTTGCTTGTTTGGTAGTCTTTATAACAGACTTGCCCTGGCCCTGATCAATATTTCTTTCATTCTCTTCCGGTTAGTCCGGAGATTGCCAATATCATGTTTCCTCAGAATTCCTGTTTCCTTTGCGTGCAGTCTGACCTAGCGCACATGGGGCTCTTCAACAATTTCATATCCCCATAATAACGCTCTTCAATCAAAATTCATAGACCCGATGTAGCTTTCTTAATAGAGGTGCTATGCGGGGGTTTACTATCTTGCTTAGCCAGCAGCAGACGCAGAGAGAAGACGGTGTAAACTCGATCACATCTCCCATAGAATGATCTCATCACGCTCCCAACGTCGCCAACCCCCAGTGGTCGTTGCAAACCCACAACAAATCATCATCAGAACCAGCGCAGACGACTAGTTCCTGCCGTTAGATACTGCAAACACCGCCGGATCGCCTTCCTTCCTACCTCCGATCGCTCTGGATCTCAATGCACCCATTCCCTAGAGTCGTCACCCTCGATCCACCGAGGCCCTGCATTACCAGGCTGTCTGTGCTACGCTGCATCACTGCCCGCTCCCACAGTCCCTGAATCATCAGGTCTCGTATTCTCGAGATGCCCCGCAACATTCCAACACCCTCAAACACTATACAAAACCTAGCGTCGGCTATGGCCGCTTGTTACCTTCTGCAACGCCTGCTGGCATGCGATGTTGGCTGCCTCATGTACGCGGCGTTTAACTGCCGCGGCCAGAATAGTGTTGTCTAAAATATACATGGATGCATGGACACCATCAGCCTGCCGCAAGCGCCTCTCTATAAAAAGTAGGTTTTGCCCGATAAAATGTGAGTGTATTGGGTGGATACTCATATTGCTCTATAACGAAGAGTGCCTTTCATTCTCTATTTGAATTTAAATTAGTGTGACAGACCTATCAAGCTGACCTCACCTCATTGGTTAAAGCGAATCTTAAATCCATTCACTGCTGGGAACATAATAAATATTCAGAAATGGCGATTCACTAGAGACAATATCTCAGTTGCTTCCTAATCTGGAAAGTACGTGTCCAGAAGACATAAGAGCTGCTCGTCTCACTTTGAATAATGCTGCTCGCATACCTTCTCTCCTCACACCTTCTCTCCTCACACCTTCTCTCCTCACACCTTCTCTCCACACACCTTCTCTCCACACACCTTTTCGTCACGAATATGGCGAACACAGCAACATTGATAGCACGGGAGGCTCTGAAAGAAGCCTTGCCCGATCTAAAGATCACCACCAAGAAAACCACCAGTTCGGCCCTTCATCCAATCGATTTTGTTGGAAACCTACAGCTGTGGCCTAACTTCAGGGCTGAGGTTCTCCAAACTTTCAATACACAGACCTGGAGCGCGACAATCATCAAAACCAAGGTCGCAGGGCCAGCTGCCCTTGGCTCGATCTCTGAAGAGCATATGGGTGTTTCTTGCGAGGCATCTCTGCAAGGAAGGCTAGGCGAACGCGTCGGTCAGGTTTTGAGCGCCGTGTTGAAAGCCCAGTGGTATGATCTTATGTTTTGCAGCTTTAGAGGCGCCGAGCTACCTTATGAGGGCTACCACAAAATCCCCGACTTCGCCGCTATAAACCAAGCTGGTACAGTGAAGATTGTTGGAGAGGCGAAAGTACCATGGGTGACAACGCATTCGCCCAGCCGTGCACTTGATATGTTTATGCGCGGTCGAGAAGAACAATTTCGCCACTTGCTAGGTAAGTTCATCCCTTAGAATATTCGTTTATATGCTAAACTATATATAGGCCAAATCTCTCTTTACATGCGCGAGACACAACTCAAGTATGGATTTCTTTCCTCGTACAATGAAACAATCGTGCTCCGAAAGACGGTTGTTGGCAGGCATTGGGTGCTGGAGTACTCCCCAGTAATCTACCACAGTGACGAAGGTAATACAATGAGAGGAACAGTGTCCACTCTCCAGAGTCTCTATCACATCGCACTTTTATGCCAAGGGGGTTGGGATTTCGGGTCAAATACAGGCACTCGGAACCAGAAGTGGACTACAAACCGGCAATGAGTGGCTCAAGAAGATGATGTCCGGAAAATGGGTCTTCTACTATGCGATTCAAATCATCTGTGATCTAAACAGCAATAATACTTTTCGTGGAGTTTCATATTTCTGAATTTCAGACATTTCGATTCCTTAGCCAGAAGGTCTCTCAGCGGGATGAGAACCGTTTATTTTTCGAATGTGCTCGAGATGCCGGCACGAAGTCGACGCTCCCAAAGCTCTATTTCTCTCTCTCATCCAAATATTCTCTATTCTTAGTTAACCAAACTTTGCTAACGGTGATAATGTTTACTTTGTCGTGGGCCATCTAAGTCAAAATAACACAAATGGAGTGTGTAACTGGTTACTAAATGTCTTCTCATGCCGGTAAGCCTTGTGGATAGCGACTTTTCTTGAAAGGGAAGTTTGAAGCAACAGCCAATGAAGTGCCAAAAGTGGAGTCAAGCTTATCATCCACAATATGCGGAAAAATGGCTCTATGATAACCAGGGAGGCCGGGGTAATAAGACTTACTAGACATATCAAATCCGTAGTTGGCCGTTGAACACGGTAGTTGTCATCTCGGCTCAACAGTTGTAGACACTTGCTACATACAATCAATCGCCATCTTTCAACAAGCATCGACACCAATAAATTACAGCGCCAGTCGGCCACAGGATCAGCTACTTCACACTCGGAGAGGATTTTCTGGAAGAACAGCAGTGATATGCCAGCAAAGGTAGAGAACTCAGGTTTGCAGATAAACAAATTAAATGAATAAAACAACCCAAATCCGCCACCTCCGCTGAAAGTCGAAATAGGCAGCCACGGGTATCTATCTCTGAGCAGTCGCTCTTTCGTCAATTCCCCCATGCTCGTTTATTTGAATGGCAGCGAAGTGCCCACTTTTCTCGCGGACTCAACGCAATGCGACCAATTGCGTCAGATTGCACCGCCAAGAAATATGCAACATCGGCTATCAGTTTCTGGCCAATCAACGTGAGGCACTTCAGCCAGCATGTGCCAAAGCGTAGGCCGGACTGCCGTCGATCTGATTCCTTGGCTTGTGACTCACGAGCTCGGTTATCATCTAGAATACTAGCATTTCTCCAGAACGTGAGTTCGCTTCGCCCAAAGCCACGCGCCCTCTCAGCTCTCCACTTCCGCAAAGGGAAACTCCTGGAGACTCGGGTCTTGAATCTGCTCCGATTAACCCATGTTTTCCATTAAATAGCTTCTCAAATCACCAAACTAACCGTTAATCTCGTCAAGTCTCTATCATGACGTCCGTCTTTCAAAATGGTCGCATCTTTGTGCCCTCGTCGTCCTCAGCTAATGGTGACAATGAGTTCGCCGAGGGAATGATCATCACCAAGGATCGCATTTCTTATATTGGCTCTCTCCACGATACCCAAATACCTGCAGATGCGAATGTCGTCGATCTACAGAATCGGGTCGTGCTTCCGGGCTTCATTGATGCCCATGTTCACATTTTGCACTATGGCCAGTCTCTGCAGAAAGTCAATCTCATTGAATGCACATCTCTCGGGCAGATTCGAGCAACAATAAAAGCCTACGCTGAGGCTAACCCGTCTGTCCCGCAGATCTTCTGTCGAGGATGGATCCAATCTTCCACCGAAGGAATTGCACTTGCAAATATGCTTGACGATCTCGATCCGCGACCGATTTTCATCGACTCGTTCGACTTGCATTCAATGTGGTGCAACACTGCTGCTCTTGATGCAATGAAGGCCCATACCGCCCCCGATCTACCCGGTGGCTGTATTCACCGCGATGAGAACGGAAAGGCTTCTGGGCTCTTGGATGAGTCGGCCTTGATGAATCTCGCTTGGCCATATGTGGAGAGCCTCTACTCAAAAGAGGACAAACTGCTTGCTCTAGACACGGCCGTCAGGTCCTACACCGCCGCTGGCTATACCGGTATCGTAGATATGGCTATGGATGAGGGCACCTGGGAGATTTTGAACGAGTATCGCCGCGATAAGCCAATCCCATTCCACATTGCGGCTTACTGGCTCGTGCCGTACGCAAATGATCAAAAAGCCAATTTCCGCTACGTTGACCGCGCGATCGAATTAAGACGCCAGTTCCAGGAGCCTGATTTCTGCATCGTAGGAATCAAGCTCATCTGTGATGGAGTTGTTGATGGATGCACTGCCGCTCTGCTCCAGCCGTACACTGGGAAGTCCGATCCGGTTGAACCAATCTGGCCGGAGAATCAGCTTCACGATGTTGTCCAGCGTGCCGATTCAGCTGAGCTACAGTGTGCGATCCATGCGATCGGTGACCGCGCCGTTCACCAAGTTATCAATGTCCTCTCACAAGTTGGAACTCCCGGTCGGAGGCACAGAATTGAGCATCTGGAATTGACGACTTCCGAGGACGCCAAACGGCTGGGTCAACTAGGAATTACCGCCTCGATCCAACCCGTTCACTCCGATCCAGCGCTGTTCAAAGCATGGCCCGGTCTTGTCGGCCCCGACCGCTGCAAGCGAGCCTTTGCATACAAGGAGTTCCTAGACGGGGGCGCTCCTCTTGCGATTGGAACTGATGCGCCAACTGCGCGTCACTTCCCATTTCCCAATCTCTACAATGCGAGTACCCGGCGGTCGGCACTCGAGCCTGAGACCACCGACACGCTCAACCCTCATTTCAGCCTCAGCCTGGTTGAAGCTGCGACTGCTGCAACTACTGGCGCAGCATATGCACGCTTTGCGGACTCCTGGACTGGAACTTTGAAGCAAGGGCTGAATGCCGATTTTTTGGTGGTCGACATGCAGTGGACACCAGAAACACTCCTTGAGGCAAAGGTGTGCCAGACCTGGTATCGAGGAACGAAAGTATATGACTCAAATTCAGCTACATAAGCCTGACTGGGAGGCCATTTGAGAAAGAGCTAAAATTTAATTGCATCATACCGATCTAAAAGAATCGGAAACCGGAGATGATTAGTGACATTAGTGAAATAAAATGAATGAAATGTCCACATTTAATGTTTCAACGTACTATCATCAACGATTCTGCGATATGCGACGCCCATTCGGGAAATGGCAAATAAGGTTAAGGGCTGAGTCGTCATTGTGACATCACCAGTAGACTCGCCGCAGTACATACTCAGCGCAATTATTCACATATTTCAGTATACAAGATTATTTCAAAGAATTTGCAAAATATTTCAAATGAAATTCATTCGATTCTCGATGGGACAAAGGACATCCCAGTTTAGGAAGAAAGTCTACTCCTCTGGCTTGCGAGGCTCGCACTGAGTAGCATGGTCGGTGTAGTTCACCCTAAAAAATGGATCTTTATCTTTTTTTGATCGGTCAGTCGGCTCAGAAAAATAGCGGAATAAATCTTTGGATCAAGAAGGGCGTCGGCCACATACTCTTAGTCGGATCGTTCGGTTCAGAAGTATGATCGATGAGTTTGTGGAGGTCTTCCAGGGCGTGTTCATGAGCAAGTTCAGCGCACATCGCTTGTGGGGAGCTATGAGTGTGGATATTAGAGTAACTCATATGAGGTTTGTGATTTTCATCAACGCACGGTGCGACATTCCTGTCAATAATCATGTTCAGATCATTGAGCTTGTGAGTCTGGCCACTTGACTGTTCATCATTTCCAAGCGAGCTTCGGCTCTGCATGGAGTTGGGAACCAGCGGATTGTTGTCGATAGTTGAGACCATATTTACTTTATGGTATCCAGCTTAAATTGCGGGATCGGGTTGGTGGGGGAAGGGGAGGCGGGGTGCGAAGAATCGAGATTATTGAAATATTCTGACAGGTAGTTCATAAAAATGAGTGGAAAATAGAGTGGAATGAAAGAAAGAGGGCTTCAGTCCCTCATTTTACGAAAGTGCGGGGAGATTCGCCGGCACTTCCAGACGTGGCAAATCTATGATCTAAAGACTATTTTTGTGCCACTTATCATAGATTAGTCACTATCTTTATTCTTCTTGCATAGAACTGCATAATCTATCCATCCCTGTCTGCTCTTTCCAGCGCTATATATTCACAATACGTTAGCATATGGTGATCAACAGGCATCAGAAAGCTTTTTCACGATGGCATCTTAATACTTTACTGAACTTAGCCAATCCGTCTTTTTGCATCTTTCTGAGGGTCTATAACTTGTCTCAACGGACATGTCAAAGGGTTATAGAGTACGTAAATAAAACAACTTAGAGACCTCTAGGTAGTGACCAGACACTTAGAGAGAAAGGATACTCTCAAACTGACTGTCGACGATGTTAGGCCTAATCTGATAGATGCAAGGCTTTTCTCCAGTGCACTCATTTGCAGCTCTTTCTATGTAAAGAAGTCAGAATAGAGGGGCACAAGATGAGAAATCCACCACCAAGAAACGAACCACACCTTACATACTTCTGCGAAAGTTGCTAAAATCTGGGTATACATCCGATTTTTTCGGGCCACTCGACCCACATGCAAGGAGGGTCTCGTATCAACTAGGTATTTCTCGTATTCCAGCTTCTCATTCTCGTCCGATGATTCAAAATCAGGAGACCTAAATAAATAAATCCAAATTTTATATTTGACACTCATCATTGAGTAAAGGTGGAAGGAAGCTTTAGTCACCAGAACCATTGTTCCAGGAGGCTGTTGGCAGCATGACCCGTTCATGAAACCTGAGGCTGAAGCCCTAAATCCCTTGCCAAGATCCAACGACTGATTAGGTTTCTTTTCACGAGTGCTACAGCAGTTACCTTAAGATCCGTCATCAATGATCACCAATGTAAATACGAGCCTTGGCAGCTAGCACACCTGGAATTATTATCTCAAATAGCAAAGGATTTACTATTAGGAGCCGATGCGGAGCATCCAAATTTAAGTTCCCGATATTTGACTAACCTTCTTTGAACTGGAATGTTACAGTGGCTTCGCTGGCTGATGATAATAGGCTGCCAAATACGGGATAAGTGCAGATCAGCTTCAAAATACTCCATTCAGGTGATTTCTATTAAGAGTAACCCAAATGCCAAGATTCAGCCAACGATGCCAAGGCCTCCTCTCCCGTACGCCTTGCAATGTGGACGCAAGCCACCCCAGTCCATAGTCAGGCACCAAAACAGTATAGACATTGGAATCAAGCCCCTGTTCTAATTCCCCGGTAACTTGACGTGAGTGACTAACATATGTGGCATGACTAACACTCCCCCGCAGCTCAACTCTTTCCGGGCAAAATATTGGAATTTTGCGATTCAAGAAGTGTTCTCCTAAAAACAAAACGACCACCTCGTTCCATTTTTTCTCGGCTCAGCTGGGCTCCACAGTCTATAGCCGTGTTTACAAAATAAGTGATTTTGCCATTCAAGTGGTATTTCCCTCGGAAATGGATACGAGATGTGGATTCTTCCTTGCATTTTTCGTTCTTGGAACATTGTATTAACTCTAGATTGGTTATTCTGAAGTTTCAAGGGGTCGTATCCAAGGCTGGCTGGCAAACTCTCGGCTTGCATTGGAATATAAAATTATACCCAAGCAGGTGGGGAATGTGACATAAATACCCCCTTCTTCCCACAGATCTGTGCTAAGTTCAACAACAGTCTTCCATCCCAATTCACAATCCAAATCCAGATCTACTTCTTTCAATAGAACGCACCTATCTCCATTCTCAAAATGAAGTACTTCACCGCCGTTGCTGTTGCCGTTCTTGGGTATGTGTCCAGCAGCTCCCCCACCTTGACATGACATACTAAATTGATTATTTTCAGTCTTGCTGCTCAGCGTTAGTCCCAATACTACGTCCGAAGTCTCACAAATCTAATAAACACAGAAACCATGGCCCTCGAATCTGCCGAGCCTGTGCAGCGAGCCGCTCCAGTTGAGAAGCGGGATGTTGGCTGCTATCAGCAGGGAACCTCCAGCAAGCCCGCCATGTGCTACACTCCTGGCTGTCCGTCCGGCACCCGCAGTGTCTTCTGGGACTTTGGTTGCCCTAGCAGCAGCTGGAAGTGCTGCATCTAGATGCCAACCCAGTCATCACAATCAGGCGGACCCTTCTTTGAATGGTCTTACCCGTGTGCCTGAATTTCCGCTAGTCTATTCAAGACGGATTTTGATGTTCTGTTTCATGTTGAGCTCATGCATGTGACTGTTGCAACCCACGTTCATTAAATTGTACTCAAATACTTGAATTCACTAAGCTTAGTCTTCCATCTTCAGCCAAGAGAATCCTAGACCGACCACTACTCAACATAGCTTAGGCAGGTGATCGAGGACCCTGAGTCTGCCTCACCCCGTTTCTCTAGGCGGCGAGTCTCCAGTCCTCTTTTCCCGCTACTAGAAAGAGTTGCAGGCGGACGCCCTTCGGCATTATGCTGCACTATTGACCCACTTGCATAACCATAAGAGAAAAGTGAAACTCTGATTATTGGGTGCCCTGTCGTCGAGGGGGACGTAATCAAGTTATCAGTCTGCATATTGACTATAGTAGTAAGCCTGGCATCAAATTCAGATATTAGGAGTTAAATACTGGGCACAAATACATGCGAGACTTCCGATGGTGAAATCGTCTCGCACTGCTTGTAAGCCACCGGATGGAAGTGGACCATGAAACGAGTAAAAATACCCGCTTGACTAGGACAAGGTAGGCCAGTAGCGCTGCAATCTGGACAATATCTACGTCCTCCGGGGTCTCGCGTGGAGTGAAAGTAGAAGAAGTTCATGAGCGAAGGTAAACAGCCGGAGGCTGAAGAATCTTCCCTACTTGAGCAGGTCGGAGAAGAAAGATGGCTAACAATATGCGTCATCATTGTGTAACCGCCCGTCGGTCCCTAACGTGGGTAATAAGAGGGTCTGTCACCGAAGTTCTGGCAGTCCCTAAACTCTACATTCCGCTTTTCTACGGTGGTAGATGCTTCTTTTATCTAGAAACAGTGAGAAAGCGATATCGTAACCTTTCCCTTTTTCAAGCACGATCAATGTAGCTAAAAAGGTTCTCTTTGTTTGAGATATATTTTTGCGTCCTTTGCAGGTTTCCGCTCAAGGCTAGGTACCTTATCACGAGCTCTATCTAACCAACACCATAGCCAATGAATTCAATAGTGCATTAGTTACTTAGTGTCTATTCTTTAAATGGAAACAACCATGATGTTAGTTATCTACCTCCATATATTCCATCTTCCGAAAAGGCCTACAGTAGCATGCTCGTTCATTAAGTTTTCGGCAGTACCTGGCAATTCCCAGCCAACACTACAGTGGCGGTGAAAATCGCATGAAAAAGGGTCACTGTGCCTAGAGGAATGGAACTGGATCTAGAAAAGTACCCTTTAGCCTGTCTGCCGGATTTAGACGAAGCGATTCATGACTTACAGGCAAATTGTTGAGGCTGCACCGTGCGCATGAAGCATTGAAGGGTGCTAGGTCTGCGATCCGAGAGTGCGAAATGCGGAGTAGCGGGGTGCAGCACGAAATATCTTTGCAAATCAATACTTCTAACAATAATGTAGATGATCGGCTAGTGACAGTCCAGTGACGAACCAGGTTTTGTAGCGATGAGCCTTTTTCCAGGGCCCATCCGCGCTAGTCCCAAAATGGTTATTATCTGGAGAGGCGCGGCGGGTGTGGATTCGAAAACCGAGGATCCAAGTTGGCCGATGGGGATCACGGTTGTTGCGAGGATATGAACGGGGAAAATTTTTTCAAGCCTCGTGCTTTTTATTTAAACTGGCTTTTCGCATGGTTTTGGCTGGCGAGGTGATATTCGGAACTGATATTCGTTCTTTTGGCGGATATCTATACACAGCCGAGAGATCATTGGCTCACACGAATGGAGCAGTGAGGTCATTTCCTGATTCTCCGAATCGGTAAACTGTGGCGGCCAAGGAAAGGTCTGGTTATCAGATTGTGAAGTGACTGCGACACTCTCCACGAGAAGAGATGGTATTCGCACGTGGCGATGTCGCTGGCCACGATGATCAAGCCATCGGTATGGATCGGTATCACTCTGCTCTGTCGACTGGAGGATCTCTAACTCTCGTCTTCTAGACCATAATGCCCCGGGAAGCAACATCGAGATAGTGTCCTGGAATGGACCGCGAGATCCCGCGAACCCATACAACTGGTCACTCCGTCAAAAATGGACGTTGACGCTTCTTGCTGCGTTCGCAACGTTCATTACCATGATGAATGGCACGATCATCACAGTGGCACATGATGCCATCAACGAGGAGTTCGGCATCTCTGACGCCCATTTCCCACACTCGTACTGGCCGGTGACATCCTGGGCTGTGGGCGGCGCCTGCTTTTCCCTCCTTATCTTGCCTCTCATGGAGGAGTTTGGTGTGAGATGGGTGTTTCTGTTCACATATGTGGGCTTCATCTGCTTTGTGATCCCTCAAGCACTCGCACAGAACTTTGCCACCTTGGTGGTGACTCGGTTCTTCGCCGGTGGCTGTGTCTCGATCCTAGCGAATACCGCTGCCACTGTGATCGGGAATGTCTGGGATACGGCCAAGGCACGAAATATTCCAGTGAGTCTGTACATCGTTACATACCTGGCGGGAGCTAGCATTGGCCCTGTCATCGGTGCACTCATCTTCCAATCTCTCTCCTGGAGATGGATCAGCTACCTTCAGCTGATTTGGCTCGGCGCCTTCTTCCCCTTGTATGTTTTCCTCTTCCAAGAGTGCCGTGGTATTGCTATTCTGGGGCAACGGGCGAAGGATCTGCGGAGGGAGGGCAAGCTGGCATATACACAGCATGAAATCGACAGCGAGGGGACGTCGATGTTAATGATCGTGGCTCGCAGCGCCACACGGCCACTCGTTCTGTTCTTCACCGAGTCAGTGGTCTTCGTCTCATTCATGTGGTCCGCCTTCACGGTGGGAACCTTGTATCTTTTCACCCAATCAGTCGAGCAAGTGTTCGTCGGCCTCTATGACTGGACTCCATCACAGGCCGGATATATCCAGGCCGCCATTGTCGTTGGCGAGATCTTGGGTTGGGTCGGAACCCTATTCTCGGGGAAGATCTACTTCGACTCAGCTGCTCGGAACACCGAGGTCCCTGGCACCCCCATTCCCGAGGCAAGACTGTACCTCGCTATCGTCGGTGGCGTGCTCGGGATTTCGGGCGGCATGTTCACCTATGCGTGGACCTCGTATTCGAATTTCCCATGGATCGCACCAGCGGTTGGTCTTGCGATGGTGGGGGCAGGCAGTGTGATCGTCGTGACCGGTATCTCTGACTATGTCGTTGATGCCTATGCCAAGTATGCGGCGAGCGCAATCGGCATCATCGTCACCGGAGAGAACACCTTCTCTGCATTTTTGCCACTGGCGGCGATGAGCATGTACTCCACACTTGGGTTTCAGTGGGCGAGTACTCTCCTTGCGTTTATCTCACTAGCCCTATCTGTTTTGCCCGTGCTCTTTGTCGTCTATGGAAGGCAGATTCGAGAACGGAGTCCGTTCATGAAAGAAGCAATGCTGGAAAAGAGGAGGAAAAGCATCGACTCCGCCGTCTAGTCTGTACGGAGTACCTATTGTTGCCTGCCCTGTACATAGACCGCAACCTGAAATGCTGAACAAACTACGATACGAGTGGAACGGCATCGGATCCGTTGAGTACTCAACGGATACTGGTCAGGTTTCTTGGGCGTCCGGTCCCACCTCCCGCTTCTTTTGCCCACATCTGAATCTAATAGATTGCAAACGCTTTCGATATGGAGTAGGACGAGCCGACGAGGGTTACCGAGCGTTGGAAGAGTGGGGCCTCCCCGAAAACCAGGTCGATTGAGGCTCCCCAAAAGAATTCGAGTTCGGTTGCGGGTGGATACTGGGGGCATGTTGTTGCATCAGAAGCCGTGTCTGAAAGTGAGCACCTGCAGAAGCAATACGCGGGCGAAACCTTGATGCATTCCACGAATGGAACATGACTCGTGCTTCAGTTCAGTACAATGCTATGGTCGGCATCGTTGACCTGAATCCGCAAAGAGGGGCAAGAAACCGGTGGAACACCCGATCATGATGATTATACTTTTCGCTAGGGAAGAAGCAGCATAAAAACAAGGACTAAGTCGGGGATTTTCCAGAATGTGGCATAGAACGGGCTCGCCTCCGCTAGCCCCAACTGGTGGGTCGACACTACTGAACATCACTAGTCCCTGCACTGCTCCGTCTACACGCTGCTGTCGCTGTTCGTGGCTGTAGAAACAAGAAATAACGTGAACGTTTGCGAGGTTGTTAACCGACGATAGTTGGAATGTACTACCCTGTTGTTGATCCAGCTAGGCGATCGTACCCTTTCCAACACGGAAAACCGTCGGCCTGCGAAACTTTGAAGTGCCGCGGCAGATCAAACTTCCGCCGTCCATGTGGTGGACGTGTAGTCAAAGATAATCCCGCAATTAGGGGGGTTTAATACAGTGCATATTGCAGTTTGACTGGCTAGGCTATGGCATGCCACGTAGTCAATTCAGGTTTTCCCTTGTGGTATGCTGCAGCATCGTGATGTTGCTCAGCTACGGGATTTGATACGGAGACATCCAGGCCCCACGGCCTCTGAGGCTACAGTAGAATGCTACGCCTTCTAGATCGTTTCAGGAGGGACGATCAAACCGACACGCCTCACCATGTGCCCTGTGCGGTCATCCACCCGAGTAATCCGGGCTCGTTCAGGGGGAAAGTCAGAACCCGCAGTTGAAACCTCGACAAGGGTCTCTCGTTGAGCCGGCCCGGGCTAACGCAACCCCTCTCCAAGCCCCCCCCCCCCCCCCCCCCCCCCCCCCTCTTTCTTGATTGGGCAGAGGCGTGCAATTAGCTAACTAGTCGGTGCTCCTGGAGAGCGAGGGTAAGACATTTCTTGGCTAGACGTCCCCTCGCCCTACCGAGGACAGAACCGCGAAGAGGCTGGTCGGACTTTGCCCGCATGTTCGAGGATGAAACCCGAGACATAATATACGACCGGCAACTTTAAACGAGTGTTTTACGGCATCAAGATCCGGTTTGTGCATGGTAGATCACCTCAGAGATACCAAGATCAGAGATACCAAGACCTCCGCAAGACCCAATGCCGGGGAGCGGTCGGTCGCAGGATTTCCCTTTGGAGGGCTCCTTTGGGACCACTTTGATATGGGTAATCCGGGCTTGCCCGCAAAAGTTTCCCCCGACAGCCTTGCCGGGCCGCGTGTGTTCGGGACTCTTGGCACGTATGACTACTCGATGCCAACTTGTGTCCATCCAAGGATGGGCGGGTGCCAAGCTTTTGATTTTGATTTGTTTTCAGCCTCCCAACCTCGGGCAGGTGGCCGGACCTGGACGGACTGGATGGTCTGGACGGTCGGCAGGTGGTCTGGAATTCGCTGAGCTTCAAATATGACATCAACGTGGATCAGGTACCCGTGGTAGGCCCATGGGTAGCCTGTGGCGAAATGGATATGAGCAGAGGATTCGACGAGTCAGAGGGGGGCTGGAAATTAGCACCGAAGCCCTACTGCATGCACTCCAGACGGTAGTGTCGCGGAGTCAGGTACAGTTCTCACCGGGTTTCTCGGGCCCATTGAGTATACGAGGCTTACGGGGGAACAAAGGCGTATAGTAGGTGGGCCATTGATGCCACGGGAGAGCCACAGGCAGGGGCGTAGACCAAAACCGGAACGGCGGAGGGAGGAGTCGGTGGACCATGCCATTTCATTTGATCAACGTCTTGACATTTGACATTCACGAGTCGGCCGACTCAATCCCCTGTGGACTCGTCCATTTTGATGTGTCATGCGCCGAGCCAGGACCACGATGCAGTCAGGCGAGCCAGAAAGCAATTAGCTCAAGCCACAGCCGTTTAGTCGTGGAGAGGTCGGAGAAATAGCAAAAATAGGGAGATAGGGAGATAGGGAGAGAGGAGGGAGAACAGGATAGCATGCCGGGAGTCTCAGCCGCTGAAGACTAGGAGCTCTTTAGCGTGGTGCGCACTCGAGGGAGGAGTGGGACGGGACAATCCGTTTCACTGGCTGCATGTAAGCGCCCACCGACTCTGAAACAACCCGAGGGCGGGTGCTTCAGGTCTCCAGTCAGGTCCCAGCGCCAGTTTGACCTGCGAGCGAGGCCTTGGCATGGACGGAGGGGGAAGCCACTGGTGGGCTCCGGTTGGCTCTGGCCAGCCTCGATTCCCTGTCGCGAAGGACCTCTCAGAGCAGAAGGTGATCCCTTCGGCTGGACAGGATACATGATGCACAGACGTGCTGCAGTCTAGTCACCCAGCGGGTGTGGGATGCATCGAATCACCGTTGAATCGTCGATCGGTCGAGTTGTGCAAGGAATAGTTAGTGGTCAGTGAACGGGGGAGCAGGAGAAGGAGGAGGAGGGGAACGCCAAAATAGCTTTGCATTGGTGCCTCTACTGGAAGGCCAAAGGCTTGACCGTCAATTAGCACTAACAGGCTGCGGTGTTGCCGGACGACAAATCACACTGGGGCCATCACAGCCGGGACGAGTGGGACTTGGGGCCATCTGTACCGGGGGAGCGTGTGACAGAACAGTACGGGGTAATTTTGGGTCTTTTTCGCCGTGGCTACCACAAGATCCGTACTATACAATATAGATTTCATGCATACCGGTCATAACATGTTTCCTCCCAAGGTCCTGGCGCTTCCCAGTCAGTACAGTACCAGTTCTTCATCCGATACTTTGCGCTCTCGCATTGTTCTGGTGGTACCTTCGATTATTATTAGTAGTCACTGACGTTGTGTATCTTCTTTCCCATCCCCCCTTCTTCTCCTCTGACGCCCCCATTCTCACTCCGACCTCCCTCATCATCACCTTCGTTTCTTTCCTTCCGCTGTGCGAGAAATTCCACAGAGGTCGTTACCGGCTGGTCCAGTTCAATCTCTGTCCTCTCTCTTTCCTGTTGTCTTTCTCTTTGTCGCCCTGACAATCCTCCCCTCCACCACCCAAAAGCAGAGGCTGGCTCCTCTAATCCCACCACCCCGACTCGGTATTCGCGTATGCTCGCTCATTGCCGTCGACCGTATTCACGCCATTCATATACATACATATAAATCGCCTGGGAATCGAATAAACAGCTGAAAGCGCCCCCGTTACCCAGTGATCGCTTCGCGACGTTGATCCCCATCGCGCTTTGTTGATCCGACCCGCCCGTCGAATCATTTCTAACGGTATGTTTGGAATCGGGACATGGGCGTCCCAGACAGAGCCCAGATGGTCGGCATCGCGGTCTAACCCCGTGCTGGCATCCCTCTTGTTTGCGACGACCTTAACTGGCAACTTCTTGATGGTCGCTGATCGGAGTTTGCAGAGCGCGTGGAACATGTATCCCCAACATGGTGCCCCTATGGCACCTCCCCAAAAGCCGGAGACATTCATGCTATCGAGCGAAGCGCAACAAAGCCTCCCGCATGATTCGCAAGTCGCCCTGCAGCAAGTGGATAACTGTACGTCGTGAATCGCGGTTTCGAATGCATGGCCAGTGGTGTTGACCAACATCCTTAGTGAAATACTTCCTCCTTTCTGCTCCTGTCGACTGGCAACCTGACCAGCTGATTCGCCGCTTCCTTCTGCCGACCGGCGACTACGTTTCTTGCGTTCTCTGGTTAGTGCGAAGCGCAGACGACACCGAGCCCAGCCAGACGCTGAGAACTGACGAACTTCTCTTTGTAGGAGCAACCTCTTCCATATCTCCGGTACCGACATCGTGCGATGCCTCGCCTTCCGATTCCAGGCCTTTGGCCGTCCCGTGAAGAACTCCAAGAAATTTGAGGAGGGGATTTTCTCCGATCTGCGAAATCTCAAGGCTGGCACCGATGCGACCCTGGAGGAACCCAAGAGTGCGTTCCTGGATTTCCTGTACAAGAACAACTGCATTCGCACCCAGAAGAAGCAAAAGGTCTTTTACTGGTACAGCGTGCCGCACGACCGGTTATTCCTGGATGCGCTCGAGCGAGACCTCAAACGCGAGAAGATGAACCAAGAGGCCACCACGGTCGCCGTCAGCGAGCCGGCCTTGTCTTTCGAATTCGACTCGTCCCAGTCCTTGTATGAGCAGTTGACCAAGGCACAACAAGCGAATTCCTCCTCGTTTGCTGCCCACGCCCACGCAAGTACGACATATGGCCCGCCCAGTTCCCCCGTGGTTCGGACCGTTGACGCAATGCCTCCTCCCCAGATGGCTCCCCCAGCGATCCCGCTCCTTCAGGACGACCATGGGAATCCGACGATGTACAGCGCTCCGCATATGCCCCTCTCGAACACTCTAGTCCAGAGCATCATTAAGCGCGACCAAGACTACGGGCCCATCCAGTATGACCGCAACGGAATGCCTCTCGCCCGCATTCACCAGCGCCATTCCTCCATGCCCACCTTCTACGAGTACTCACCCGCCCCGTCCTTCGTGTCCTCGCAGTATGAAGATTACAGCAACCGCGGTCTGTCTTTTGAGCCTGTGACCCCGCCGCAACATTCAGTCGGACTTGGTGCTGAGCCCGCATACATCGCTAACGAGGACACGGGTCTGTACACGGCGATTCCGGATCTCTCCAGCGCCGCACCGTATAACCCCATGATGCAGCTGCCGCCGTCGAACTTCGCCGGTGCTCACTACCCCAGTGCGTCTCGGTCCTACTCGTCCCATGGGTACTCGGTCATCGAGGGCTCTCCGACCTATAAGCAGCGGAGACGACGACCGTCCATCACCCCTGGGCCAGCCAACGGCACCCCTGGAGCGGTGAATGGTCCTGCTCAAACTGCCCCCTCTTCGTTACCCCCAGCCTACGCTGCCCATCGCCCAAGTGACCTTCGGCGCTCAGTGTCTAGCTCAGTGGCCCCGGTGGCAGAGGGCGAGGAGCACAGCCATGATCTATCTCGGACATACCCAAGCGCCATCCTTCCTCAAAAGGACCTGCTGCAGGAAATCCCACGTCATGGGACCCCACTTCAAAACTTGGAGGAGCCCGTTGATCACCTTCCAGTGCAAATGACCAACCCTCCAGACGATCTGGCAGCGCTCCCCACTAGTGCAGCTATTGAAACAACGGTCCAAAACACCACTAGTCGGTCGGACCGTGCGGGACCTGGCCCTGCACGTCGCGCCCGGAGTGCCACCATGATGGAGCTGGGACCGTACCCGCAGAAGTCACACTCATGCCCAATCCCATCCTGTGGTCGGCTCTTCAAGAGATTAGAGCATCTCAAGAGGTAAGCTTCAGTTCTATTTTTGCACACCCTGCCGTGCCTGGTGGGGCTGGCATCTGCACAATGACCCGGTGTGATGGTTTCGATAGCCGCCGACTGACCTGGGCGCTTAGGCACGTGCGCACCCACACCCAAGAACGACCATACCCCTGCCCATACTGCAGCAAAGCTTTCTCGCGTTCCGACAACCTTGCACAGTAAGCTTACCCTGCATGACTACCCTGATGACCTCATATGCTCATCTCGTTTCTAGGCACCGTCGTATCCACGAGGCCCAACACGATGGCCAAGGGCCTATGGCCAACGAGGATGACTTGGAGAATGATGGTAACGAGTTCGACTCCGCCGGTGAAGACTCGTCGCCGCCAGCGCACCCCGCCCCCCACAACATGGTTCAGATGCCCGCGATGACTTCAATGGCATCCTCCATGAGCATGCCATCCGCGATGCCAGCCATGGTCCATGCACCCCAGATGATCGCTCCCCAGCTTCTCCAGCAGCAGATGTAATTGCATTATGTTGGAGTATTCTTGGTGCGGCCTCCTCTTGGACCGCGGATGCATCTAGGCGTCCTGGCTCTGGTGTTTAATTCCTCATGTTATATCCTTCTCGCGCCGTGGCGGCCTTTCCACCAAGGATTTCTCACATTATCTCTTGTTTATTATCTTTGGGTTATGGCTTGCGATGCTGTCTTGCACACATCTCCATCGATCCACCCCGTCTGCATGGCATGCTTGTTCATTTTTTGTTATGTCCCTCTCTGTTATCTATCTATCCTGGGACTTACGGGTTGGCTGTGCTGTGCTTTGGTTACGGAAACTACTACTCTTATATTATAGCCTTGCGCCGCTTTATGTGCAACTCTTGCGGCACGGACATTGGAACCTGGCCTGGCGGGCACGGGCACGGGCAACGTGTGAGCGCACAACTTTTCTCAAGGGAAAATTCGGAGGATTTTGGAATTGTTTGGATATGGATCTTCTGGAATATTGGGTATCTTTTAGGAAGAGCGGGATTTTTTTTTGTCTGTTGTGTGTGATTGTAACTGTGATTCAGTGCCGTTTTCTTGCGGCTGGTTTATACTATAGACTTTAACGAATTGAGTTGAAAACAAAAATTAGCCGAAACATATTTCTGCCCTACCTTCGGGTTGCGATTATTAGTTATTAAGAGGCTACCCCTGTTATGCAATGTGGTTGTACAGTGGTGTTTCATCCCTGAATTTTCGACCACCTTTGCTCTGCGCCTAGTCTTCCGCTCTCAGAGGAAAGTTTATTGGTCAAGAAACCGCTATGAAAGTAAACCAAATCACTTTTCTTTATAAAATCCATTTGGAATATGAAGCACGCTTAATCTACAAACTTGGAAAGCCATATCTAGAGCGCGTGATGCAGGGTCATTAGTGGAGTTGTTTGACCGGCAGAATATTATGTCATCGTTGGGCGGTCGAAGACATGGAACACCACTGTAGTTGGAGACTCCACAGTATCGCGATAGGGCGCCCGCCCAAGACAAATACGGGGTCGTCACGTGCGCTGACGTCCTTCTAAAGCACGGTTGTTATTCACCACCAAGGGTAGATGATGAATTACATGCTCCTGGGCTTCACAGCTACTACCAACTGAACTTGTCACCTTGCACCCTTCAGGAGACCGGCGGATATCCCGGCATACCTCTACATCATACCAACCGACCGAACCCCCATCCCCACCCCGGCCCGCATGATCCGACGCCTCACTGGAATAGAGACATCTGATGACCTACGGACACCGACATAAGACAACCTCCTGAGCGTGTCGAACTCCTGCCTACCTGCCCTGCCAACCCGTGTACTATTCTCGCCCGCCTACAGCTTCTATGTTGTATCTTTACGCTTCTTGAACGTCCGTGGGCTATCGCTGTGGGTCATTCCTTATCGCACATCGCTGAACCTCTATGGGGGAGTCGACTGAGCAAATTGTCTAGAAGAGCTCGCCTTTCATGGAGTCGCGGCACATGGGGGAGGACTCGGGCGTCGAATTTGTTGGGAGATATGCAGATGTGAAAAATGTGGATGAGTCGTCGAAGAGCGGGTGGTATCTGTTTCTGTTGACTGTTTCGATTGGAGGGTGAGTTTGTTGTCGCTTATTCATGAGCTACCCATGAAGAGAAGGGGGAGGGGTTTCTCGACCTGATTTTTGGATGGATTCTGACCGACTCTGGTGATGGAAACAGGCTTCAGGTCGTGTGGTCTGTGGAGTTGTCTCATGGATCAGTGAGTTCTCATCTTATCTCTTGAGTGGTGGATCTATCGTGCTCTGAGACAATCATACAGCTCAGATAGCTGACTATATCCTTCTTCGCATATAGCCCTTTTTGCTTTCGCTCGGAATGAGCAAGGCTCTGCTGGCCTTTGTGTGGATAGCAGGACCCGTAACGGGCACCTTGGTACAGCCATATATTGGCATTCGAAGTGACAATTGCCGGCATCCATGGGGCAAGCGGAAACCTTTCATGGTGGGCGGTGCTGCGGCGCTAATCATATCCTTGACTGCCCTCTCCTGGGTACAGGAGATTATGGGTGGATTCCTATCGATATTCGGCGTTGATCGACAGTCCGGCGGGGCGAAGACGGTCAACATCATCGTTGCTACGATTCTTATGTACTGCCTTGACTTTGCAATCAATACTGGTGTGTGCCTTCTTTTGCATCATATATTTGAATCGACTAATGAGACAATTTACAGTCCAAGCTGCAATCAGGGCTTTCATTGTTGACAACTGTCCTGCCCATCAGCAGGAGATTGCTAATGCATGGGCCAGTCGGATGACAGGTGTTGGCAATATCTTTGGCTTTATCTTTGGGTATCTAGATCTGCCACAGATCCTGCCATTCCTGGGAAAGACACAGTTTCAAGTTCTCTGTGCACTGGCTTCGATTTCTTTGACTGTCACATTGCTAGTCAGTTGTCTCTACATCCAAGAACGCGACCCGAGACTTGAAGGGCCGCCACCTTCAGATGGACTGGGCCTCGCCTCTTTCTTCCGGCAGGTGTTCAAGTCTATTCGCAATTTACCCCCACAGATCGCGCGGGTCTGCGAAGTGCAGGTTGCTGCGTGGGCAGGCTGGTTTCCGTTCTTGTATTACGCGACTACCTATGTCGGTCAGCTTTATGTCAACCCGATATTCGCTGATCATCCCAACATGTCAGATGATCAGATTGACCGGACATGGGAAGACGCTACGCGAATTGGTACCTCGGCGCTTCTGATTTATGCCATCATTTCCTTCCTCGCGAATATTATCCTCCCGCTGTTTGTGGTTCCCACATATGGCCAGATCTCCGAGGCTACGGTGCAACACGAAGGGCATGACTACCCCCGAAATGAGGACGAAGAGGAAGCTACCGGTCGATCATCCTTCTCCGAGTTGCCCACAGGACATGCAGCCGAACCACTTCTTGAGGGAAGGGCCAGTAAAAGTGTGGATGAAAAACCGACTTGGCTTACCCACCTCCAAATCCCCGGATTGACACTCCGCCGGACATGGCTCCTCTCGCATCTGCTTTTTGCAGTTTGCATGTTCAGTACATTCTTCATCTCGTCTTACCCCGCTGGATCAGTGGTTATTGGTTTTGTCGGCATTTGCTGGGCTTTGACATTGTGGGCACCTTTTGCGCTGATCTCCGCCGAGGTTGCCCGGACCGATGCCACGCGGCGCCCAGGTCGTCTCGGAACAGGGGGGTCTGGTTCAGCCACGAACTCCAGCTCTTACGCACCTGTTTCTAGCGAGCATGATCATCATAATGACGGAGACTATGATGTTCGTGAACAGGATCTGGAGAATGATAGTCCCAAACCGTCCGCCATGAACGAGGAAGAGAACTTTGCACAAGCCGGCATCGTTCTGGGACTACACAACGTGGCTATTTCATTCCCACAGATATTCTCCAGCCTTATCTGCAGCGCCATCTTCAAAGCCGCCCAAAAGCCGCGCGGCGAGCCATGGGACGATAGCGTGGGGTGGGTGCTACGCTTTGGCGGGTGTGCTGCACTGGTCGCCGCATGGCTTACTAAGAGACTGGCCGAAGGCTCACGGTAACAGTTGAAACATTCCTGCGACCTCAGCTCCCCGATTCGGCTTCGGTCTGATCCAGATATCATCACAGGAAACCCAACTCCTATGATCAGAATCTGCAAGGGCATGCCAATGATGTAATACGGAGGGAAGTGGGTCAGCCCTGGGGCCATAGAGTGACCATTCAATGCTTGAATGTAGGGGGGCAGGGATATTGATATGATATGCTTTCATCTGGGCATCAGTGTTCACTTATGGACTTGTTAGCATTGACAGCGTTTCGAAAGAAGCCCGACCCCTATTTATGGGTGGAAAAACCACGCCGCTGTCCAACCACGCAGGCCGCTTCTTGGCAGTTGCGCAGCGGCGCTCGAAAGGAGACCCACGTGTCGCGTTTAGTGTAAAACGAGGACATTACAATACAATAACATTTATTACAGCCATTGGATGCAGATCTTCTCCACCTGATGTTTCGCCCTCGTAGTCTGTTCGTCTGTATGGTACTGCGTATACCATACCTCACCTCCGACCGATCTGTCCCTCCGCTTGGCGAATGCAACTTAACCTAGAACTCCACGCCTAGCCACCTTGAATCTTAGATTCCACTTGTACCTGATCACGACCTCCCTTGTTCGCTCCCATCCTGCTCATTCTTGGTCCGCGGATTATGCGCGCCTAGTCCTACTCTGTCAGACTCGCCGCACGGGAGTTCCTAACTGCCAAGTGTCATCCGCGACGGACCCTCGCAGGGTCGTGATTGAGTCGCGATGGCCACTCAACTGATGGGTGAAGCCCTCCACGCCGTGCTTCGTATGTAGGCCTATTAAGCTCTGTTCGTTTGATTTTATCACACTGGAAACTCAGCTAACTTTTGAACCTTATTGCAGGGCGGGCGGCGGAAGATACAGATCCCGATGGTACGCTTGCACAAGTTCCCGACCTCCCCCTCGATTGATGCCGATATGTCCCTATACGGAATACAGTGATCTGACTATGGGGTTCGGACTACAGATTCGCCCGAAGCGGGCTCGAAGGAGATTACAAGCTCATGGGCGCTGTTTATCATGATCATGCTGTTGATGTTCGCTCTGTTCACGAGCTACATCCTCCAGCAGAGGAAGATCCAAGCTGTCCACGAGACAGTGCTGTCGATTTTCGCCGGTACGTGGTCCTGGCAAACAACCGGAGGAGCCTCTGAATCTTGCGGTAGCAGGACCGCCAGAATTACGAATTGAGTCTTGCTGACAGGTAGACAGGGATGTTTGTCGGACTGGTCATCCGCGTATCGTCCAAGTCCAACCTCCAAGATAGCGTCGCGTTTGACTACCAATTCTTCTTCAACCTCCTCCTACCCCCCATCATCCTCGCTTCCGGCTACGAGCTCCACCAAGCGAACTTCTTTCGACATATCGGTACAATCCTCACCTTCGCGTTTGCCGGCACCTTTATCTCCGCTATCGTGCTCGGGCTAGTACTGTACCTCTGGACACGAATCCCGCTGGACGGGCTCAACATTTCCTTCGTCGAGGCGATCTCCGTCGGTGCAACGCTATCCGCTACAGATCCGGTTACCATCCTTGCCATCTTCAACCTCTACAAGGTCGAGCCAAAGCTTTACACGGTGATTTTTGGCGAGGCGCTCTTGAACGATGCCATCGCTATTGTCCTTTTCGAGACAGCGCAGAAATATGCGGATAGTGACGCCAGCTCGCTGACTTTCTTGAACCTGTTCGAGGCTGGTGGGCTGTTCTTGCTCGTTTTCTTTGGCAGCATGTTGGTCGGCATTGTGGTTGGGATCGCTACTGCGCTGGGACTCAAGTACACCCTAGTCCGACGCATGCCCAAGATTGAGAGCTGCCTGATTGTTCTCATTGCCTACGCCAGCTACTTCTTCTCCAATGGCGTGCATTTATCCGGTGCGTTTCCATGAAATACCCCGAGACGTCTCCTGGGAGCTAGACTGGGGCTTGAAGCTAATATCTCTTCCATTCAGGCATCGTGTCTCTTCTGTTCTGCGGAATCACTTTGAAGCATTACGCTTACTATAATATGTCGCGCCGGACCCAGTTGACCACGAAATACCTCTTCCAGGTGATGGCGCAGTTGTCGGAGAACTTCATTTTCATCTACCTTGGACTGGACCTGTTTGTTGAGTCCAACCTGCATTTCAACCCACTTTTTATTCTAGTGTCCGTTTTCGGCATCTGTCTTGCGCGCTACCTCGCCGTGTTTCCTCTTTCGAAGGCCATCAATTGGTTCATCCGTTACCGAGCTCGGCGTCGCGGCATGGAAGTCGCCGACGAGCTGCCTTTCGCCTATCAAGCGATGCTCTTCTGGGCCGGTCTACGTGGCGCTGTCGGCGTTGCGCTGGCCGCAGGTCTTTCTGGCGTTAATGCGCCCACTCTGCGAGCGACGGTCCTGGTTGTTGTTGTGTTGACCGTGATTATTTTCGGTGGCACGACGGCGCGCATGTTGGAGATTTTGGGTATCCGAACTGGAGTTGTCGAGGAGATTGACTCGGACGACGAGTTCGATATCGAGGTCACCCACGGTGGTACCTATTACAAACGCTCTGATACCGCTCTCGGCTACACCCCCCGCCGAACCGACTCCGCTATCCCCCTCGATGGAGTTGGTCAACCCACACGTGCTGGCCTCGGTGATCGAGCAGACAGCTACTCAACCGGCAACAACCGCCGCCCCAGCCCGCCCCACGGCCACACCCGAATGTACTCGGCGGCCTACAGCCCCAAGGACGCCCAATCGCGACGGGATCGCTCATCCGCCGCAACCCTTCTCAACGGCGGCCCTGCCCCAAGCAGCCGAAGCATCAGCAGCGGCGGCAGTGACGATGAATTCGGTCTCCCTCCCGCAGGCAAGAACCGCACCAACCAAGTCGCCCACCCAGACGAGTTCGACTTAGACCTAGACGCCCTCTCAGACGACGACCTTCCACCCGCCGCAGGCGGCGCATCGCGTCTCCGCCGCACATCCTCCCACCCTTCGCCTGGCACGCACACACCCTCGCCGAACGCCGCGTCAGCCAGCGTCTCCCCCGCCCGCCGAGAACAAGGCATGAGTGCGCGTGATGCTCTTCGAGACCTGTGGTCAGGCGGTCCGTCAGGCGACCATGCTGCATGGTTCCGGCAGCTCGATGAAGGCTATATTAAGCCGAAACTGCTGCTTGATCAGTCAAATCATAAGGGGCCCGGTGCGGTTTGACGATGGGATGTTCTTTTTTTCGGTTTGGATTGGTTTGGTCTGCTTAGATACCTTGGGAAAGGGTTGACGGACAGATGGACTGTCACCTCTCTTCCCGTTGCATTGGCTTTTTATGTGCCTACAATATGAATGTATATTTAGCCTGTCTTTTGTGCTCAAGGGTTTGCATCACAGTAAACAAGGACGTTTGGTCTTCTTTCGGAGGGCCTGGCCTGGATTTGCGTTAGCCCTGTTTGCTCGGGGTACATAGGTGCATTGTATTATGACTAGGCTGGCGTTTTGAGCAGTGGCTGGAGCATGTTACTGTGGCATCCCCGCGAGTCCTTTGGAGGTAGCGCTTCGTCGCCTGAGAGAACTTTTTTACAGAATTGCTAGAGAATTGGTAGGCATTGATCCAATTAGCCCTCGAAGGTAGAACCCTACTGGCTAACGCTTATCTTCTGAGCTCAACCCAACGATATAAGCCTATAATGTCGATAACGCCCGGTCTCTTTGTAGATCTTGAATCCCTGCGTGATCTACATACTCCTCTCTCAGAGTTCAGACTGCCTTTTCGCATTAGGCAGACGCTCAATGACATTTTTCCCATTGAACGAAACCCCGATTTCTCACTTCAAATGACGCTCTTTCCGGCCCTCGGTAACCGACCCCCATCACGCTCATACTCATGCTTGATCCACGAACCCAATGCTTGCGCGATATCCACCTTTTCCAGCAGTTGCGTGTAGCCTGCCTTCTGGTTCGCCACTTATTGCAGTGGCCAGACTCCATCCCGCGCCTCTGCGGCCGAATCTCGAAGCTGGGGCGTTTGGGCTTGCGGTGCTTTTTTTTCCGCGCGGCCATTGTGTTTAAGTGCTGCGATGAGTGAGGTGTTGATGGGGAATGCAACAGTTAAAAGGAGGGAGAATAGGGAGAAGCAAAAATAAGTCAAGGAAAGTGCCCTCTGGTTGACTATTCTGTAGATAGATATCTCATAATAGGCTTAGTATTAACCCACGATCCCCTTGGGTCGCCTTAGCCCTAAGGTATTACTGCCAGATCCTGTCCGCTTCGCAGCATCTGCACGCTCGCCTCCCTTGCTGAGTGGGCCATGCGAGACACTCACGTAAAGCCCCGACGCCCGGATATGCGGTATCAACCTGTATGCCAAGATCGGTTCTGGACGATAGAATCACTGATCCGGAAATTGTGGGCCCAGCATGTCAGGGACCACGAGCTGATCATGCGGTGGGCCGGTCTCATTGGACGTGGGGTATGTATAAGCCTGATCCTTGATGGGTGTTGCGTCTAATATTTGGTCGCGTGTGGCTTGTCGTTTCTTGTTGCTTGATGGTGGTCAATGCTACCGTGCGAGTGCCACCTGTTCACTCCTCTGATCGTACCACCGTAGGGGAGTTCGCGATAGCCGAATTCTGGAAGGAGATTGAATCTGCGCGGATTCCAAATTGAGAAGCCTGCGAGGCTTTTCGACATGATTTCCCGAGAAGACCACCAACGTTTCTTGGTCGACACGGTCATGAACAGCGGATCGTCTCCAGCCAAGGGAAGGGATTGACAGCCTTATGTTGCTTAAACGGGAAATATGGAAGTGACAAGTCGAGAATGGAAAAGAGACGTAAGGAGTCTAGGGTATCTTCGTGGTGAGACACAGCATAGTCCGAGGGCGAGAAAGCCCCTTACAGCTGCGTGGCTCCCAGGTTCTTGAGTGGTGGAATGGCTTCTTAAAGTGGTTGGAAATAACCGGATCATCATCGGTTTCATGGCCTGGGATGGGGTGTGGAGTTACAGTATATGTCATATAACAGTATCTGTTCGTACAGTAGCACACCCCTGCGCTAGAGAAGACCGTATGTGCTAGATTGAAAGTAGGCTCTCTATACTTGCTGTATCCCTTCTAAGTTATGGACTGGCCCATATGGATCATCATTACGAGCGTAACACGACTTGATAGCTCTTCAGCCTCTCATCCGCCTCCGATCGGTCTTATCTCAGTTCTATCTCAATTCTGAGTGGTTGTTCATTGGAAATACACTGATAGACGGTTTCATTCTGCACTATTTTCATTGCGGCCTGTTCGGAAAAGGACTAGTGTGAAATGGAGAATTATTGCTGCTTGTGTATTTATTCTGATCAGACTGGAAATTGTTTGGAAAGTAGCAAGCGAATATGAACGAAAGGGAAAGAATTGCGGGGTGGTAAATCGTGGAATGCGGCCAAAGTCCTCTTGTGGACGGACTCGATTCCCCCAAGGTGCGCGGTACCTGGGGGTAACTATCCAATCCTTGTGAAACTGTGAATAATTTGGATAAACTGGCTAAATTGGCTGATCTGCCACCTGCAAACTAGAAACTCACCCGATGGTGCTAGAAACCCCAATAATCAATTTTGGAGTAAAATGGATGGCCTGATCTCGGACATGTTCGCGAACCCGTGGCGGCCGAAGGGCGATGGTGACGTCCTCCACTCCTCATCCAATTCTACAATTCCTGCTACCAATGCACCGCTGCGGCCGAGACACGGCTATCCTGCAAGTTTCCTGGAATGACGAGTCAGACTCTGACGTATTATGTTCTGGTCATGATTCGGAGTCCGGGCTCTTGCTTCTGGAGAATCTCCTTGCTGAGGGGCGCGTGGTGATGTGCCAGGCGTCGGCCGAGATTGCTACCATTGCAAGCAGGGTGTGAGACTGTAGAGGCGATATCTGAATCTCATACTGTGCCTGGCGATATATCATGATATCCATCAATGTGTTACGCGATGATCTTCCGATACCCATCAGCTGCTGGTGGCTCTAAAACAAGCAGGGTCTTTCACGGAAGCGGAAGAGAAATATCGATTGCGAGAGGCTGCCCAGTGCTCAAGACCATCGGACAGGCCGGGTAGATGGTTGGACATGAAGTAGACAGGCTGGGACGATGCGATTCATCGCACGTTGAGTATACTCTCCGACGGGCCACATCCTACCGAGCCCGTTTGCCGGGCCGCTGTCATCATCGACCGCGTGTGGCACCACCAGTGACAGGGTCTTTGTATCTTATTTCAAATCCCTTCTTAAGTTAAAGAACCCTCTGCAATTCCTCCTCTGGTTCATTCTACATCCTCTTTCTCCACCTTCCACACTCCACACTCCACACCTCCTTTCTGGTACCTCCCACCACAGCAAGTACTGTCCATGTCCAACCTCATGACGTGCGACATACCTGAGAAGCAATGGGCGCAGGTCGTCGAGAGGAAGGGTGGCCCACCCGTCTACACACAAATTCCAGTTTCAAAGCCCGGCCCCGATGAAGTCCTAGTCAAGATCAAGTACACCGGCGTCTGCCACACCGACCTGCACGCCATGAAAGGCGACTGGCCGCTGCCCCTCAAGATGCCCCTCGTAGGCGGCCACGAAGGCGCCGGAATTGTCGTCGCCAAGGGCGAAATGGCGAAGGGAGTGGAGATCGGCGACCACGCGGGCATCAAGTGGCTGAACGGATCGTGCCTGGCTTGCGAGTTCTGCAAGACAGCGGACGAGTCGCTTTGCGCTGAGCAGCTGCTCTCAGGTTACAACGTCGATGGCACGTTTCAGCAGTATGCGATCGGCAAGGCCGCCCATGTTACGGTCTTGCCGAAGGATGTGCCTCTGGATGGGGTTGCGCCGATTCTCTGTGCTGGAATCACAGTCTACAAGGGTCTCAAGGAGTCTGGGGCTCGACCCGGCCAGACAGTTGCGATCGTTGGCGCTGGGGGGGCCTTGGTTCGCTGGCTCAGCAGTATGCGAAGGCGATGGGATTACGTGTGGTTGCGATTGATGGCGGCGATGAGAAGCGTGCGATGTGTGAGAAGCTTGGCTCCGAGGTGGGTTTCAGGTTTTATGCTCTTGGAAACCTCCGACTGACATCATGCTAGGCCTACATCGACTTCACCAGCTCCAAGGATCTCGTCGCTGACGTGAAGGCGGCCACACCAGGCGGTCTCGGCGCACACGCTGTGCTCCTCCTTGCCGTTTCTGAGAAGCCCTTCCAGCAAGCCGTTGAATACGCACGGCCCCGCGGTACAATTGTCGCCATTGGTATGCCTGCTAATGCATTTTTGAAGGCTCCCGTCTTCGAGACTGTTGTCAAGATGATCAGTATCAAGGGCAGCTATGTTGGCAACCGCCAGGACGGTGTTGAGGCCGTTGATTTCTACGCTCGCGGCTTGATCCACGCACCGTTCAAGACTGTTCCTCTGGAGGATCTTCCGAAAGTATTCGAGCTTATGGGTAAGCGATTAGATTCAAGATTCTTTTCTTAAAAAGTACTAATAGGTTGGGTACAGAACAAGGGAAGATTGCTGGACGCTATGTTCTCCAGATGCCGGAGTAAACGTAACATAAACTGTCCACTGCATAATCTACAGAACCCAATGAGCATTTATTGATCATTGATCTACGACAGGGGGCTCATACCAGATGAACACGAAGCGATGTGGCCTAGTAGAGAGAAATCTAATGAGAAAATGAATTATTTCTTCAACCCGAGTTCCCCGCAAAGAATATTCTAATTTGCTTTAAACCGATTCAGAAAATAGTTTCTAACAACAAATTATATCTGCAAATAAAATGGTTTACCAAAAGCTCTGGGCAATCATCAACTCTTCTCTGTGGCCGCTGCGGCAGCTTCAGCCTCAAGCTGTTTGCCCTCATCCTCTGGGCTAACAGTAGTCTGCGGACCCTTGAATGTCTTTCGGGCATGAAGATAGTAGTAGAGTATAGCCCCCAACCAGAGAGCTCCGTTGATGACTACGGTGTAATTCATGTTCTCGGCTGCGATAACAGTTAGTATATCTCCGTCTGTCCGTAGAGAGGCACTTACGCGATGGGTCTGGTCCTCCGGTAGGAACCATGCACAGCACGATGGCGAAGACCATATAGATGACCGCTATCCAGGCGATTGGCTTACTGAGATACTTTCCAGTGTAGAACTCGCCGGGCACGAATTTGTCTTCACCCCACAGGAGACGTGCGAGAATGGGTGTTAGCCATGCGAGGTCATTCCCGGCAACGGCGAGAGAGAATAACGCGTTCGCAGCGGCATTGTCAATCAGTGACAGGAGGCCAATTACTGCAGATGCAAAGATAACGCCACAGACCATGCGAACTGGTTGATAACGCGTCAGTCTGCCCTCGCTAACCTTCCGGAAAAAGCTTGAGAAGGGCAGCGCGCCGTCGCGAGAGAAAGCCCAGCTCTGGCGGGAGGCGGCGAGAACCTATAATCCATGAGATTAATTCATGTTTTATTTAATGTAGGCGTTGGGAGACTCACAATACTCAATCCCATAAAGAATTGAACGATCATGACCACAGCCATAAACCCGAGAGCCCCATTCTTGCCGAGAGCATCATAATAAATCTACCAGAAAATCTCATTAGCACCAAGCTGGGAAAGGAAGACATAATCTGGATCATACCTGGGCCATCGGTTGCCCGAACTTCGAGCTCAATATCGCCTCAATATCCTGGTTCATCCCAGCAGCAATGATAGCCATAGACAGGAATCCGAGAATGCCACACATTCCAGTTGAGGTAATAATTCCTAGCGGCACCGCGCGGGCAGCATGAGTCGCCTCCTCACTCATATGTACGCAGGAATCGAAAGCGCCAATCGTCCAGATAGGCGAGAGCCACGACAGCATGAACGCCCAGCCGCTGGGCCAGGTAGTCAGATTTTCGACATCGCCGAAAACGTAGGCGCCCGAATTGACAGGAGGGGCATTCTTCGATTTTCCCACAGGTAGGGCTATGGCTGTTGCTATCACGAGGCCGATGTTCAGGAAGATGCAAATAGTCTGGATCCGGGGCATGATCCTGCCACCGAATATGGCCATCAGACCATGGGCGACTACGGTCGCCACGTATGTGCCGTAGATAATCGGTCGTGTGGCAGTCCAGTTTCCGTCGCGTGCGATGGAGACCATGGACAGGAGCATGTTGGCGAATCCGTCTGGAAGAAAGAAACAAAACCGTCAATGAGATCCGTAGTGTTATAATGCACGATGAACCCACAATCAATAGAGCAGAGGCCACCGATAAGACCAATGGTATTGCTATACCCGACAACAAAGCTGAGCGGATTCTTCCACTTCTCGGCGGCGAAGTGGTGTGTCCAGAAGTACAGACCACCGGCCGTCGGCATGGCTGAAGCAATATCGGCCTATCAATGTGTATATCTGAATCAGTCGCTGCTCTTTATACCTAGCATTATCTGGGAGGCTATATTCAACTTACCATTGCCAGACTGACAATGAAAATGAAGCAACTCGCAACCAACCAACCTATAATGATGTCAATGACACTGCCATGTCCTTTCGTGGCCGAATTTATTGCATACCCTAATGACTTGTCAGCTAGGTGGCTCCCATGATCGAGTTCGGGTATTCATATTACCCAGACCATGCCCACTGGGCCTGCCGGCATCGAGAAGGACAGAGTCGATGCAATCGATGGCAGCAGACCCATAATACTGAAGGCAACAGCAAAAATCTGGACCGTGGAATAGTGACGCCGCAGCTCCTGCTTGTAACCCAGGGTTGCTATCTAGTTGTTAATACAAAAGTCTCCGTTCAGTTGGGGTCTCTCAATGTTCCCATGCATTCGGCGAGACCAGACGAGACAAGACGTACCCAGCAGCTCCATATCCCCCGCCTCTACGGGGGCTTCATGGTCAACAGATTGCGGCGCTTTCGCGTCGCGCGACAGCGAACGTTTCACAACGTCCGCCATGTCGAATGGCCCCGCGTCGGTGTACTGTCAAAAAGCTTGTCAAAATGATGGGGTCCAGATAAGATGAAAATATCGCATTCCAGGAGTGTAAAAATATTGATACAAATGGAATAGCGACCGAAAATACGGCGTCCGAAGAAGCAAAGGCTATAATACAAAATGTAAGGCGTCCAAGGGAAGAGTAAGACAATCGCATTCCGCGATGGGAATCTACCCCTTAAGAAACACGCGATGCCTCGCGACTATCTTTCCTGTGGAGCATAGACCTTCCGACAGCTCGCGCCAGCGGCCCGTCATCGCCTCCTCATTCCTACTCAAGCGACGAAACAATCTAGGCTATGGTTGGAACAGGTGAACAGATGGAAGCGGGGACGAGGACAACTTGGGTCTGAGTGGCGGGCGGGCTGGGTCGAAGCGAGACAATCTTGCCTGGAACAAGCATGGCGTCCTGGATGTCATGCCAGATTCCGCGATTACTGCCGATATGCCAGAGATAAGAGCGTTGCTTATCTTCTAGCTGGCGTGTCGGCGCCGAATGAGATAAGATAAGATGCGTTGAGCGTGGGTTTGGACTCAGCTGCTTATCTTGCAATTTGGCTGGTGCTTTAGTTCTTCCTATTATGACAAACAGGAAAAGTCTGGAAATGCTTGTCCCCTCTGATCCTGATGAGGCTGTCTTATCGCTTCCGCAGCTTACCCCGGAAACCCGGCGGCAGAGTGGGGGGGTCTCGGAGGGAGCCCACTATGGCCCACTCAAATTTATACTGTAGGCTCTCGGGTCTGACTGGTCCATAACACTTCTGAGCGGGCTTGTATTTGAACCAGACATTAAGTTATATTAGTTAATAGACTTAGTAATTGATTCCATGTATAAAACATGCCATCTTGGTTTCTTAGTTTCTCTTCTATTACCAGTGGGGGTTAATTCAGAACCCTAATAACAAAAGCCCAAATTCAAACCAATCTGAAGCATATCGGGAGGTATATTTCTGGATCCATAGATAGATCCTGGAAGTCCTGCATATACTCTCGTTCTCAACATTCGCCTACGTCTTTTTTGATATCCCCTTGGACACCCCTTTTTCTACATTTTTAGGATAGGAGCGAAAAAGATAGTTCATAGTCTCATTAAAATACAAGTCGAATTGTTATGTTACCCACTGGTATCAATGCTCCCGCACACTAAGAGCAAAATGAACAAAAGACTTCACTTCTCGATAGCTTGAATCAACTTCCCCAGACCGCTCTTAGTATGGGCCAGGACCAGGCTTGCCATCTCTTTGTGCATCACAGGCTTCTCCTCCTCCTCTTCACGGCCCTCATACGTGGGTTCGAGTTGCGATGAAAACCAGGTCGGGATCAAATTCCTCATGCCCAATTTTGTAATCGTATGACTGGTCTTGGGTAATAGTGAGCTTAGTCTCTATACCGCACAAGGAGCGAACAGATATAATTCCATGATCGAGACGAAGGGTGGACCTCATCCCGTTGCGAAGGGATTTGCCGAGGTTCTCAGCCTGGCGAGCGGGATTAGGAGAGGATGTGCTTGAGACCATAAGGCCTTCAAATGCACTCTCGAAGCTTGGGCGTTTAGGCTTTCGGTACTTTCGCGCGGCCATTGTGTTTGGGTGTTGCGATGATTGGGGTGTTGATGGTGTAACGGTGGAAAGGTGGGAGAATATGGAGAAACAAACATGAGTCGAGGGAAGTGCCCTCTGGTTGACTATTCCATAGACGGATGTCCCATAATAGGATTAGTACGATCCCATGGGTCGCCTCAGCCCCAAGGCATACCGAACAACTTCGATCCTTCAGTTCAGCAGCCCCGTGGTTTTGGTGTCGTCCGCTCGCGAATATGATTTGCCTGATCTCTCACTTTCTATACGAAGTCCACTTCTGTAAGAGGTAGCCGCGACGATAGACAGATAATGTCGCTAAGAACCAAGAATCTCAAGAAGGCTGTTACCCCTTTATCTCTACTAGTCTAAGTAATATTCCTTCAATCACTTCTTTAGTCTAAGTGATATCTCTTCAACTTACTTCACTAGGCTAAGTGACATCTTTTCAACTTATTTTACTAGTCCAAGTAGTATCTTTTAACTTACTTCACTAGTCTAAGTGATATCTCTTCAACTCACTTATCTCTCATTACTAATATCCCCTTAACTTAGCACTCTAAAAGGCTATCCACGATGGTGAAATCGAAAATCTGGCTGCTTGGACTTGGCTGACGATCCCTCCCCACCAGATGAGTTTTCGACAGATATGGTGTGCCATATCAATAGAAATTGGCATAAACAAAAATACCTCAACGAAGCTCGCAAGCGAGCTGTCAACAAGCCGATCATTCGGATGTTACCAAAGGCTGCCGGCTTAGAACAAGAGCTAGCAGAATCTGCTAGGGGATCTGAATCTGATAAATCTGTGCTGGGGCAGCAGAGGAGGTCGTAGATGCGTAGTGGAGTTTAAGATGGCATTCTACGATCTGTATGTAACCAAGCCTCGAGCGATTTTGTTAGCTGTCTTCCCACGATGCACCTTTCTTGCCGAGTGAAGCTTTTCAAAACATGGTTGTCTTTCAGGAGAAAATGTATAGCAATTTTGTTGTGCTTTGATGGTGATAATTGGTAGAGTGTTATATTGGGTACTAAGGATGCAATCCTCATAGAGAGCAAATTAAATTTCTCAGCTACTACGCACGTTATGTGAATCGGACCTGCTAATTGGCCCCTGGGTAGGGATCGTCAACTATATATATAATCGATCCGGGGTGTCAAGATGGGATATAGAAGGCTCCAATTCACCAGAATGCCCTCTTTCAGCGCGCCCAGGTGGTCGGGCCTGTGTAGAGGGGGATAGGCCGTAGTTTAGTCAGTCTCTCTCGCATACGAAGTGGCTCGGAGGAGCCCAGTCCAGCCATTCCAACCAGTCGCGCGGACGGATCGGCCTTGGCGGCCCGCAGTCGCAGTCGCAGCATGACCAGGGCGCGCGCGGGTTTGGTGGCGGCGCTAAATAACTCATAGTACCTTTCTCGATGAGCCCTGTGAACGGGACAGGAGTTGAGATGGTTCATCTGCTCATTGTATGGCCTGGCAAAGAACGGTGCAAGTGGTCCGGGCCTTTTGCGTGGGCGGATACCGCCAATCCGACGGGATCGGCCGCGATAAAATCTTCGGATGGACAGGCAGTCAGCCGGGGGGCCGGACCAAAAGGAAGAAACTGGGTAGACTGTAGGCAAGAGATCAGCTGGATGCAATAGAAACCCTCTTCGTAGAGACCAGCGCATTTCCACGGCTATTCGGTGATTCTGCGATTCTGGGAGCGATCGCGTCAAAAGCCCACGCTCTCTACGCCGGCTGTTTGTATGGATGCTCCAGCCTCGCACGGCGTAGGGAGACCAGGCGGCCACCACGAGCTCCTCGGAATCTTCTAGCGGGATTAGAAGTCGAGGGAAGTTGATTCCTCAAGACAAGGAGGGTATACAGACCGGGCGACCGAACCCTCGACGACCGAAGGCCATCCCGAGGGAACGAGGCATAAAACGACGAGGACGCCATCACGGCGTCGAAGGGAACTGCCAAATCCTAATCGACTGCCCCCCCCCTTTCCTTCGTTCTTCGTCACCTTCTACCTTTTCCCCTCCTCCGCCTCCGCTCTTTCATTCATCATCACTTCTTCCGCTTTCTCTTTTCCCACCCTTTGTCTCTCCCGGCCTCACCCATCACCGTCCGTCGCCCGGGTCACCTCCCTGCATCCTCGCCTAGCCCAGCCGCGCATTCTCTGCTTGGGTCTCCGCGGCCACAAAGATCCTCTCTCCTGCACCTTCCCACCACCAAACGAATCCATCATCCCACCGGTATCTTCATCCCTGTTTCTTTCTCTTTCGCCCTCTTCCCTCCCCCCTCTACGCCTCCTGTCTATCCTATCGCCAAAAACCCACGCTGACGTCGCGTCCTTAGGATCACCGAGATCCCCCTTGACACCTGTCCATGGGCAACCCCGTCTGACCTCGCTTCCGCCCAATTCATCCCGTTTCATCCCTCCCCCGAGCTACTAGCCTTTGTCGCGCTTGTCCAGCGCCGGGGACGCGGCCATCATGACAGGCGCTCCGCCATACAAAGCCCAGTCCCCGACTCCGCAGCATCGGCTCGCTGTCTACGACTCCCCGACCAAGAACCGCCCATTCTATCCCAGTAATGAGCAGCCACAGGGACAGCAGCAGCAACAGTACTCCCAGCATCCGCCCCAGACACCCCCGGCCTTCGGTCCACCCTCCGTCCCACGAAGCCCGCGCTTTTCGCACGCGTCTTCGCCGCTGCCCTCCTCCCTGCCACCACCCTTGAACGGTGCCGCACCGCCTCCCCACCCATCCCATCCGGAGTCTTCCTCGCAATACCCGGGGTCTTCGACCAGTGCGACTCCCGGGCTGCCACTGCCACGTCCATTCGCAAGCTCCGTGATGCCTGGCAACGGGACTTCGCCTTACGGCCCCTCGACACCGCATGGGCATCATTCGGGCCGACCGGATGCCGGCTCGCAGTCCCCTACTCGCGAATCCGAATCGCCGTATCGGATGAGAGGCAATGGGGCAGGATATGGACAGTCTGCGCCCAGGCCAGCATCCCCTCCCCGGGAATCGGTACGTCTAGCACGCATGGACCCATTCGCAAAACAATCCATCTGCTAACCATCTTTCTATCTTAGAAGCCCGCGCGTGCGGCCGATCCCATGTCCTTTGCAAGCATCCTGTCCGGGCCGACAGAGGAAGAGCCGGCAAGGAAATCAACCCCCCGCCCTCAGCTGCCACATCCACACCCCAGGGGCATTCGCAATCTGACAATCGCCATTCTGAGTCTGGCCCGGCCCCCGGCACCTTCTATCATAGGTCGGACAAAGGACCGGCAATGGAAAGACAACATGCCGAGCCTCCAAAGGGCATATTCAGCCCCAACGGGCTGTCCAAGGCAGGATCGGAGCTGTCAAGCCTTGCGCCACGCGCACCACAAAGGAAACCCTTCCCGCCAGGTGTTGATGCGGAGCAAGTGAACTGCGCCATGAAGGACATCGACAATGGCGAGAAGAGTGACGTCGAAGGTCCTGGCTTCGAAGAGGAGCTGGAAATCTATCGCGAGAAAGGCCAGAAGCGATTGATTGAGAGCAGCCGCGCAGAGCAAATCCGTCGCAAGGTAAGGAGGGTGTCGTATCCTCAATGATCATCTGACACCCCACTGACTTTTCTGCCTAGCGCCGTCGCAACCACATCTTAGTCGAGCTCGGTCGGTCCTTTGAGAAGCAGGCTATTTTGGGCACAGAACGGTTCCGTATCGATAACGAAGGCTCCGTCATTGCCGAAGTCCAGCAAAAAGAGATCCAGGACGAGAAGGAGCGAAAGAAGGACATGCAACGAAAGCGTCGCCGGGAGAATACGGTGCGTGTGGAGATGCAGAAGAAGCTGGAGGCCGAACGAAAGGCGGATAAGGCCCAGGACTCAGCAGAGAAGGCCAAGTTTCTGCGCGAGGCGGAACGGGCTCAGAAGAAAATTCGATCCACCAAGCGTGCCCTGGAGGGTGGAAGTGCCCAGGACGAGCTCGGCGAGGTCACTCCATTGGCGCCCAACCTCGAAGGCGGCACCACTAGCTCATTCCATATTGGCCGGGGATCGCCCTCGCGTCGCCGGTCTGGACGGGGCGGCCCTATTACACGGCCGAAAAAGTCCAAGGAGCAGAAGCAGGCTGAGAAGGATGCTGCCGAAAATGCCTACTTGGCCGGCCTGGACGACGACTCGATCTACCTTACCCCGCGCGATTCCAAGAAAGATGGCAGATCGAAGGAGGGCACCCCCATGCTGCATTTGCACTACGACAGCAAGGGTTACAACCAGATCTACGAACAAATTTGGCGTGATATTGCCCGCAAGGACATCCCCAAGGTCTACCGCATCAAGACCACGTCGCTTTCGACCCGTCAAGAGAATCTGCGCAAGACTGCCCAGCTGGCTAGCAAGCAGTCGCGGAAATGGCAGGAGCGGACTAATAAGAGCACCAAGGATACGCAGGCTCGTGCCAAGCGCACGATGCGTGAGATGATGTCCTTCTGGAAGCGCAACGAGCGTGAGGAGCGTGATCTGCGTCGTCTAGCAGAGAAGCAAGAGCTGGAGTCGGCTAAGAAGGCTGAGGCCGAACGCGAAGCCAACCGACAGAAGCGCAAGCTCAACTTCCTTATCTCTCAGACTGAGCTGTACTCCCACTTCATCGGTCGCAAGATCAAGACCGCCGAGGCCGAAGCCACCGGAGATGGAACTGTCGCCGGTAGTAATGAGACTGTTCGACCTGGCAAACCCCAAGCGCACACTGTTAATCTCCCCGACAGCGTCGCGAACTCCAATGCCAAGGTCACCAACTTCGAAGACTTGGACTTTGATGCCGAGGACGAAAGTGTGCTGCAACAGGCGGCCATGGCTAATGCTCAGAATGCTGTACAGCAAGCCCAGGATCGCGCCCGGGCGTTTAACAACGAAGGAGGCGATAACCAAATGGCTGCCTTCGATGAGGGTGAAATGAACTTCCAGAACCCGACCAGTCTTGGTGACATTGAGATCTCTCAGCCAACCATGTTGACCGCCAAACTCAAGGAGTACCAGCTGAAAGGTCTGAATTGGCTTGTCAACCTGTACGAACAGGGTATCAACGGTATCCTGGCCGACGAGATGGGACTTGGCAAGACCATCCAGTCTATTTCCGTCATGGCCTACCTTGCTGAGTTCCACAACATCTGGGGACCTTTCCTGGTTATCGCGCCCGCATCGACACTGCACAATTGGCAACAAGAAATTGCTAGGTTTGTTCCGAACATTAAGGTCTTGCCTTACTGGGGTAATGCCAAAGATCGTAAGATTCTTCGCAAGTTCTGGGATCGCAAGCATATCACCTATACCCGTGACTCGGAGTTCCATGTGCTGGTTACTTCTTACCAGCTCGTTGTTCTTGATGCCCAGTACTTCCAGAAAGTCAAATGGCAGTATATGATTCTGGACGAGGCTCAGGCCATCAAGTCCTCTCAAAGTTCGCGTTGGAAGAATCTGTTGGGTTTCTCCTGCCGTAACCGTCTCCTGTTGACCGGTACGCCTATTCAGAACAACATGCAAGAGCTTTGGGCCTTGTTGCATTTCATTATGCCTACATTGTTCGATTCCCATGACGAGTTCAGCGAATGGTTCTCTAAAGACATCGAGTCCCATGCCCAGAGTAACACGAAACTGAATGAGGATCAGCTCAAGCGTCTCCATATGATTTTGAAGCCCTTCATGCTTCGTCGTGTCAAGAAGCATGTGCAACAAGAACTTGGTGATAAGGTCGAGAAGGACATCTTCTGTGACCTCACCTATCGCCAGCGTGCTCTGTACGCCAACCTGCGGAATCGTGTCAGCATCATCGACCTCATTGAGAAGGCTGCTGTTGGCGATGATACCGATAGCACTACGCTGATGAACTTGGTCATGCAGTTCCGAAAGGTCTGCAATCATCCTGATCTGTTCGAGCGCGCCGAGACCAGATCCCCCTTCTCAGTCGGACATTTTGCCGAGTGCGCTTCCTTCATTCGCGAAGGATACTTCGTGGATGTCCGATATTCCACCAGAAACCGGATTGAGTACCCATTACCTCGGCTTCTTTGCAGTTCCGCTGCTCGCCTAGATGTACCGGGCCCCGAAAATGATCGTGCCGGGTTCCAAGGGAAATACCTGTCGAACCTGATGAACGTCTGGAACACGGAAAACATCCATCAGAGTGCGCGGGAGGATGGAGCATTCTCCTTCTTGCGATTTATCGATACATCTGCCGGAGAAGCTAGTGAATACTCCCGTCTTGGTGTTTTCGAGCGCGCGGTGCGCCTTCGTGATAAGCCAAACCGGCTTTCGCGTCTGAATGTCGTCTACGGTGATCAAGAGAATGAGTCACTGGAAAAGTCGGTGTGGGCCCAGTCCATGCTTAACATCGTGGACCGCAACAATCGGCAGGCCCTGAATGAGATCACGCCTGAGGGTCGGATGCGCAGCCTGATGAATGTGTCTAGGTCAGCATTTGACGACCAGGGCCTGAATCTCATCGAGCCATGTGCTTCTCCTGCCGCCTCGGCGCCGCCGATCACGGTCTCCTGCTCGGGTCAAGAGGCACATCGCGAAACCCAGAGAACCTTGTTCAGCCCCGTCGTCCGACAGGCATTGTTTGACACACGTACCAGACAGGTTGACGAACAGATCATAGCAAACAAGCTGGATCCCGCCCCCTACTCGAAGACACCGATGCTTCCGGAACCACTCTCGCGCAAGGCCCGCTACACCCACATCGAAGTTCCCAACATGCGGCGTTTCGTCACAGACTCGGGCAAGCTTGCAAAACTCGACGAGCTGCTGCGAGAGCTCAAAGCTGGTGGCCATCGTGTTCTCTTGTACTTCCAGATGACGCGCATGATCGACTTGATGGAGGAGTACCTGACCTACAGAAACTACAAGTACTGCCGACTGGACGGGAGCACAAAGCTGGAAGATCGTCGCGACACTGTGGCCGACTTCCAGACGAACAACGACTTATTCGTCTTTCTGCTGTCCACTCGTGCCGGTGGTCTTGGTATCAACCTCACAGCTGCCGACACGGTCATCTTCTACGATTCCGACTGGAACCCGACCATCGATTCCCAGGCCATGGACCGCGCACATCGTCTCGGTCAGACACGCCAGGTCACGGTCTACCGCCTCATCACCCGCGGTACGATCGAAGAGCGGATTCGCAAGCGCGCTCTGCAGAAGGAAGAGGTGCAGCGCGTCGTCATTTCCGGTGGTGCGGCCGGCGGCGTCGACTTCAACACCCGCGCCCGCGAGAATCGCACCAAGGATATTGCCATGTGGCTCGCAGACGACGATGAGGCGGAACTCATCGAACAGAAGGAGAAGGAGGCGCTTGAGCGCGGTGAAGCTTTCGGTGCTGCTAAGGGCGGGAAGAAGGCTACGCAGAAACGGAAGCGTGAGCTCACCATGGATGATATGTATCATGAAGGTAAAGCCCCCTGCCCATGTTTTACTAGGGTGTCCAGATGGTTGACTGACGATCTCTATTCTACAGGCGAGGGTAATTTCGACGACGCAAGCGCTAAGCCATCGGGCACTGCGACGCCCATGTCAGACAACCTCGACACACCACCCGCCGCGGCCGCGGCCGCCGTACCAGCGAAGCGCGGCCGAGGACGTGGCGGAAGCAAAGCAGGCACATCCAAACGAGCCAAAACCATGAAGGAACGACTCCGTCTAATCGACGGCGACGGCGGACTCACTTAATCTTATTGAATAACTTGTTTCAAATACTGCTATACTGCAAATGGGCGATGGCGTTACTGTGATTCTTCCATGGTGCTTCCGTGTTTTTTTGTTTTCTTGCTTCTTTTCGACAGGGGCTTCTTCTCTCTTCTGCTGTGTATTACCATGCAACCACTTGATCGACCCAATCCCTCATCCTCATCCTCATCTGCCTATGTTTCCCTTTTTCAGACCTGCTTGGGAAGAGACAAGTAACCCCTTGTTGTTTTGGTATCCGCTCTGATATGGGTTATTTTGGAAGTCGCTGTGCTATGCTATGCTGTGGATTGGATGGCGGGACAGACTTTATGCATTGAGGGAATGGCATCGATTGCAGGAAAGAAAAGATGAAGTGTGATAGATGTGAAAAACTTGATTTCTTTTTCTTTTGCATAATGTCCTTGTGGCCCTTGGTGGTTGGGGTTCCGGGTGTTATTTTGTTTCGTTCTTTAACTGCCACCCTGGAGGTACCGTTGGAACCAACCCATGGGTATCTTGCGTGCTGTGTCCTTTGCTTGTGTGAAGACCACGTTTGTATCGGGGCTGGCTGGTGGGCTGGTCTCGTTTTGTTCTACTCAATGTGCATGCTACCTATGGTTTGAGTTGGTGTCTGCTCCTTATGTAATCATCTTGATAGATCTGAGATGTATGGTATCTATATCGATGTGTCATGAAAATGTGTATGTGTTTAGTATTCATTGCCCTTGACTGAATTGATCTATACTGTGTCCATTTCGACTCGTTGTTTCAAGAACTGCCTCCCATATTCGGCCCCATACGAAATTCCCAGAATTGCCTCGGTACTACAGCGATAACGGACAGGGTATTGACACGAAGGAGTTTTGGGAAAGCAGCCTGCCTATTCACAAATTTTCAAACTACATCTAAAGTCAAAACTAAAGTCAAAATGGCTGATAGTATGTGTAAAAGACCGGCACCGTATTCTGTAGGCGGCGGGCCGAGATTTCCGAGTTCCGGCCGGGGTGCATGTGTCTAGGCCAGTATGGAGAGTGCAGACGCGTTCTTGAATCTTCCTCCCCGCATTTTTTTCTATCATGCAGTTGGCATGCGCGATTTCTCGCCACTCGCCTGCTGCGCAGTGCTAAAGTTTGAAACTGTTTCCTACTCACCACCTACTGCCCACGGCCTATACCGCGTCCTTCCTACACTCGACGCATTGTATGTTAGCTAATTTGCCGGCTACGATGCCTCACCGGGCCCAGCAATTATGGAGGCGGATAGGTGGTATACAAAATATTAGGTTGCTGTGGTTTAATTCCAGCTGTTTCAGTAGATTTTTATCCGGCAAAAAAGCCTTGGCAATAAGGGAAATAGTTTCAAACTTTTACACTCCCGCTGTACTCCGTATATTGTGGCAGAGTTCAGCCACCGGACCCAAGTCATTTATCATCTTCCGACTTTCCAGCCTGCCGATAATTATGATGACTAAGGCATCCAACTTGCCTGATCAGGCGAAATGTTCCGACCGCGGCCCGTGCCAGCAAATCAGAGGCTGTAGTTTGTCAGCCGTGGCAGCCGTGGCCGCTGAGTCAGAAGGCCCCGCTCCGACTGGTTTTCACTCTCCCCGGAAGTCTCATATAAGTCTATTCGTCTCTTCAATTTTTCTTCTCTCCCCTCACCACTGAACGCAATTGTTTGTTCTGGTATCAAATCGCATCACCATGGAAGCAATGCTCCAGCAATCCCGGGCCATGTGCCCCTTCCTCAAACGCACTGCGCCCACGACGCTTCGCACTCTCTCGACCGCGACTCGTCCCAGCACTGGCGGAGGTACCATGTCCAACCTCCAGGTCATCGCCCGCCGCTGCCCGGTCATGAGCAAGGCCCTCACCGTGCAGTCTGCCCGTATGAGTGGCACCAAGTGTTTCACCTCCTCTGCCGTCGGCATTGCGGCCGTCAAGCCTTTGTGTCCTCCCACTGGCAAGCGGGCGTTGCACACGACCGGGGGTCATCCCGCCAGTCTCGCCCCTGGCACCTACGAGAAGAGCGAGCAAGGTAACACAAGACCCGCAATTTGGAATAAACATAATTAAGCGTATACTTATCGGTTGTCAGTTCATCCCAACCTTGCCAACCCGCTCCGCTCGAACCCCGCCACCGGGGCCTCCCTCCGCAGCGCCCGCCCGGACGCCCCAATCAGCTCCCGCTTCGACTACAACGCATTCTATAATGGCGAGCTGGAGAAGAAGCACAAGGACAAGTCATACCGCTACTTCAATAACATCAACCGTCTTGCCAAGGAGTTCCCCCGTGCCCACACTGCCTCTATCGAGGAGCGTGTGACCGTCTGGTGCTCCAATGACTACCTGGGCATGGGCCGCAACCCGCAGGTCCTGGAGTCGATGCACCGCACTTTAGACACCTATGGTGCTGGTGCCGGTGGTACGCGCAATATCTCCGGTCACAACAAGCACGCTGTCGCGCTAGAGGACACTTTGGCCAAGCTGCACGGAAAGGAGTCTGCGCTGGTTTTCAGCTCGTGCTTCGTGGCCAACGACGCGACGCTGGCGACCCTTGGCAGCAAGATGCCTGACTGCGTGATTCTGTCCGACAGTCTCAACCACGCGTCCATGATTCAGGGCATTCGCCACTCCGGTGCGAAGAAGATGGTCTTCAAGCACAACGACATGCAAGACCTGGAAGCCAAGCTCGCATCCCTTCCTCTTAATACTCCCAAGATTATTGCATTTGAGTCCGTCTATAGCATGTGCGGATCTATTGCGCCTATTGAGGCGATCTGTGATCTCGCCGACAAATATGGTGCCATTACTTTCTTAGACGAAGTCCACGCCGTGGGAATGTATGGTCCCCACGGTGCTGGTGTCGCCGAGCATCTCGACTATGATGCCTACGCCTCGCAGGACACGGCCAACCCCCAGAGCATTAAGGGCACGGTCATGGACCGCATTGATATCATCACCGGTACCCTGGGCAAGGCGTACGGCTGTGTTGGTGGCTACATCGCCGCCTCCGCCAGCCTGGTGGACACTATCCGCTCGCTGGCTCCAGGATTCATCTTCACCACTTCGCTGCCGCCCGCGACAATGGCCGGTGCCGATGCCGCCATCCAGTACCAGGCCCAGCAGCCCCGCGACCGAGTCCTCCAGCAGCTGCACACCCGCGCAGTCAAGTCGGCCCTGAAGGAGCTGGACATCCCTGTCATCCCGAACCCCTCGCACATTGTCCCTCTCTTGGTCGGCGATGCCGAGCTGGCTAAGCGCGCTTCGGACAAGCTCCTCGAGGAGCACGGCATCTACGTGCAGGCCATCAACTACCCCACCGTTCCCCGCGGCGAGGAGCGTCTGCGCATCACCCCCACTCCAGGCCACGTCAAGCCGCTGCGCGACCACCTCGTGCAGGCCGTACAGGCAGTCTGGAATGACCTGGGCATCAAGCGCACCAGCGACTGGCAGAGCATCGGCGGATTCGTCGGTGTCGGCGTTGAAGGCGCCGAGGAAGCGAATCAGCCCATCTGGGAGAATTCCCAGCTTGGAGTGGACGCTTTCGAACCCCTTGAGTCCTCTATCGCCCGCGAACTCAGCGCCGAGGCTGCCGAAAGTGCAGCTCTCCCCGCGATGAAGACTGCTACTCCTCTGGGCAGTGCGCACTCCGCGATCGCCTCCACTCCCGTTGGCGTGGTCGCGTAAAGGCCATCATCCTTTCTCGGGTCCTTCTCGGGTTTCGGGGCGATCTACTTGGTGTAGCCGCCTGTCCACTCCTTTGATAATAACACATAACATAACTCACGGAAGATGAGCATTGCATCTACCACCATTTTGGGTTCTTTATTTTTTTTTATCCTTCCTTGATTACCTGTGCTCAGTCCATGGTCTTTGCCCTCTTCTAATTGACCTCTTCTACTTGGTTCGTTTGGTTTGATACAGCATTGTCATCTGAGTCTTGCATATTGAAGAGCTGGTGATGTGTATCCCATATACTCGTTGTGTGAGGGATGTGGCATATTGCATGTTCGCAGACTCGAATGTCATAATTGGGACGGTGATAGAAACAAGCAATATGAACTGGCTTTCTTGGAGGGAATATCTTCATTCTGATTGTAAAAATGTAGTTTCACTGGTGCGTGTCTCTCTTGCTTCGGTTACATAAGTTGACGCTAGGAGAGTTAACTAAGTTACCGTGTGTGCCCGCTAGGCAGCGCCTTCGTATCAGCTGCATAGTATTGGACGCCCTGTGGGCGAGTCCCACTTTATAATGCGACGGCTTGAGTAGATAAATGAGTCACGAGCAGCCGTCTCGGCTTAAGAACAGTAAACAATCCTCCTTCTCCATACTTCACAAACCTTATCGCACCATGACTAGCCTGGCCTCTTTCGAGCTTCCCAAGGTGGGTGCAATGTAACCTGGCGACTTTACTACCTTTCGCGCTGACATGACAACCAGTGGATCGACCTGAACAAGAACAATGCGTCTCTGGTATTGGCTGGAAGCGCCACCCCAGCCTTGTCAATCCAGGATTTGATTGATCTCTCCTCTGACAGGCAAACAACTTCATCCAATCTGTCATTCGGTTCTTTAAAACTGTCTCTTGGATCGCCCCGCGGTGGTGAACCACTTCGGAAGCAGATCGCTGAACTATATAACGAGCTTATTACGGCAGACCACATTTTCCCAGCCCATGGAACAAGCGGTGCTAATTCCCTGGTATTCCAGAGCTTGCTGAGTCCCGGAGACCATGTTATCGCCATGTACCCTTCGTATACTCAGCTTATATCGCTCCCAAAATCCTCGGGTGTGGACGTCTCATACTGGACGCTTGATCTTCAAAACCGAGCACAAGCGAACATCCAGCAGCTGAAAGATTTGATCAGACCGACCACCAAAATGATTGTCCTCAACAATCCCAACAACCCCCTTGGAACTATCCTGGCCCGCGAAATGCAGACTGAAATCGTGGCGCTCGCTCGTTCGCACGGTTTAACCATCCTCGTGGACGAGATTTTCCGGCCCCTTTTCCACGACGGAACCGAAGCACCACCGTCGTTCGTCGAGCTGTCTAGTGACTATGAAAATATCATTGTAACCAGCTCTATGAGCAAAGCTTGGGGTCTGTCTGGTACTCGTATTGGATGGCTAGCTACGCGGAATGCCGCAGTTCTGACCAAGTGCTTTGACCGAGGACTCTACACCACCATGGCGCTCAGTAGCATCGATGAGGGCATTGCGGCAGAGGCTTTGAGTGAACGTTGCCGCCCCCAGATACTGGCTAAGCATTCAGAGCTGGTGCGGAAGAATCTCGTTTTGCTGGACAACTTTATCAGCCAGCATCAGGACGTGTGCTCGTGGACTAGGCCGAATGCGGGTGGGACAGCCTTCGTGCATTTTGCCTCTGGTGGTGTGCCAGTCGACGATGTGGACTTCTGTCGAAAGTTGAAGGAGAAGGCGGGCGTTTTGCTCGCTCCGGGGAGCCTTTGCTTTGCACTGGGTGGTGACCGTGACTTCCGCGGGTTCGTCCGGCTGCATCTCACTGTGCAGCCCGAAATTATGGAGTCGGCCTTGGTAGCCATAGACAACTTTTTAGGTGATTACCTGAAAGGTCAGTTCAGTTGAGAAATTGGGGTGATGCAATTCTGTGCTTTATCTAGCCAAAGATGGAGAACTATAGCAACCGAGGTTGCTGTCCTTTCAATATGGACATTCGACACACCGAATGAGGACGGCGTCCCTGATATCATTTGGCATTTTTCGTTAGCTGCAAAACACGGCTTTGAACAGCATGCTGAGTGTCTTCCTTGTATGCAACAGTATCATTTACCTAAGTCACACTTAAGCCAGCATTACTTTTGTGACCGCACAGCGCTTACCCACAAAGAGCTAGGTAGTGGTGATCTATTTTGCAACCTATTCTATGATATCAAATTTGCTCATCCTGCCAAAATCAGGCTAGTGTGGTCGGAATCCTAATTTGCCTACACGGTGGAGTAGTGTGCCGCAATTTTTGACGATCAAGACACCCAACTCCACTCACTGGCTCACAGACTTGACTCGCTCTCGGGGTACAAACTTGGGTCCCTGCACTAAGGCTCTCCCACGCTATTTTTCATTCCTATTGATGGTTATTGATCACTATTTTCCTACAGTGCTGTCCTTCGGCTCCCCTATCGAAGACGATCCATCGGTTATAGAGTATACTACAATCTGAAGTCGCCTCACTATAGAGCGTGCCCAGTTCTACTCCACATGATTCTCCATTTGTACACGTGAAAATCCAGTTCAATGGCATGATTTGATAGGACGCGGAGGACCGACATGGTTCCTGGCAACGTTCATTGGTGTTGGATTAAGCGCAGCGCAGTCTATGACAACATCACGCAGCGGGCACCTTCAAGCCACTTTCTGGATCCACCCCCTTATCGACACAAGCACTTATTGGCACAGCTTTACTCCTCACGTACACACATGCTCCTCCCCATGGCTTGACGTAGCTCGGGCGGAAATGACGTAAAGGTCGGGTTGCCGAGCATCTGCCATGAGACGGAATTGCCCCAACAGGATTTCCCGCTCTGCTAAGTCATTTTCCATCTCGAGGTCGACCATTCACGCTAGAATATTGTTGTATTTCAGTGGAGACAGTTTCTGTTCGATCGATACGGATCTCGCAACAGTCAAATCGAGGAGTTGCGTGTCACTACGGCCGATGTCCGACTATGATGTTGCTGGTACGATATCCTGTTCCGGACTCAATTGGGGCTTGGGCCATTTTCCGCCCCTCCTCCATAGCTCTCTCTGTAGTCCTGTAGTGGTGACATATAAATCGCTACTATGTCGCCCTAGCCATGGTACAATTCACCTGCAAGGGACTTGGAAGTCCACGTTACACCCCATACCCACTTACCCTCCGCTTTCGATATACCGACCGAGACTATAAAATATACCTCGCCCGAAAAACCCTCGATCAGCATACCACAATCCACAGTGCCATATGGCTTTCCCCAGTAATCCTTCACTTTCCGAGAAGCAGGAGGAGGACCAAAAGGCCGAGGATCATGCTGTCAAGCAACAGCAGGACAAATCCGAGCGCGGCAACGACATCCACGCCGAACACGCCTCGGAAACCGGGAGTACTACCCACAGTGATGGCCCCAGAATCGAAAAGGCAGGCAAGCGCGAACTCACCGAAGATGACTGCTACGATAAGCTAGGCTTCTGCTTCCCCACGTGGAAGAAATGGACGATTCTGTCTGTGATCTTCGTGGTCCAGATGTCTATGAACTTCAACACCGGTGTCTACGCCAACGCAGTGACCGGTCTGACTGAGGAATTCCACATCAGTGAACAAGCCGCACGAGTTGGACAGTGTGTGTTCCTGGTTGCATATGCTTTCGGCTGCGAGCTGTGGGCGCCCTGGTCCGAGGAGTTCGGCCGCTGGCCTATCATGCAGCTGTCACTGTTTTTTGTGAATATCTGGCAAATCCCCTGTGCCCTCGCTCCCAACTTTGGCACTATCGTAGTGTGCCGTATTCTTAGTGGCCTGAGCTCTGCTGGTGGCTCTGTTACTCTGGGTATGACTGCTGATATGTGGGAGGCTGATGACCAGGGCTTCGCGGTGGCATACGTTGTGCTCTCGTCTGTTGGTGGTTCAACTGTTGGGCCAGTCTTTGGTGGAATGATTGGCCAGTGGCTTGATTGGCATTGGATCTTTTGGATGCAATTGATCGTTGGCGGGGCCACGCAGGCTTTGCACTTCTTCCTGGTACCCGAAACACGCGCTACGATTCTCATTGACCGCGAAGCGAAACGTCGTCGCAAGAACGGCGACGAGGTCTACGGTCCGGACGAGCTAAAGACCCCCCGTCTAGACTTCAAGGACGTGCTGCGCCTCTGGCGCCGCCCTTTCGAGATGTTCCTCCGCGAGCCGATCGTCCTGTTCCTGTCTCTTCTATCTGGTTTCTCCGACGCGCTGATCTTCGTGTTCACAGAATCGTTCACGCTGGTCTTCAAGCAGTGGAACATGAGCACTCTCGCTATTGGCCTAACTTTCTGCTCGATCCTGATCGGTTATCTGATCGCATACTTTATTTTCTTGCCTGACATCTGGCGCCAAATAAAGCTACGCAAAAAGGAAGGAGCCGGGAGTCGATTCGCAGAACGCCGATTGCTTCTACTCCTATTTATCGCACCATTAGAACCCATTGGTCTCCTCGGCTTCGCATGGACGTCAATGGGCCCGCCTATTCCCTGGATCGCACCTTGCATCTTCGCTTGTCTTATTGCGATGGCCAACTACGCTATCTACATGGCCACCATTGATTATATGGTTGCTGCGTATGGGCCGTACTCTGCCTCCGCAACGGGAGGTAACGGTTTCTCCCGAGACTTCCTGGCCGGTATCGCGACTATGTACTCGACGCCAATGTACCAAAATATGGGAGGAAAGTATCACCTCCAGTGGGCCAGTACCCTGCTTGGCTGTGTTGGCTTCCTCGTCCTGATCCCGATCTACGTCTTCTACTGGAAGGGACCCGAGATTCGAGCGAAGAGCAAGTTCGCACAAGAGCTCGAGGCAGACCGTCAGAAGCGTCATGGTCGCCGAGCAAGTCAGATGTATGCCGATGAAGATCCGTATGCGTAGATTGTTGTTATATACATATACCAATGAATTGATGATGCCTTCGCATTATTAAATCTTAGGACAACTCCGCATCGTGGGCAATAACAATATGCCTGTTTCTTTTTCTCGGGTTTCCATATTAATATCCAGACATCTCTCATGTCTCCCTGAGAACGCTCCAAATAACTCCTGGGGTCTCTAGACACTAGTTCATGAGGTGATGGGTGGGCATGACTTGGAGAAGCAAAGCAGACGCTTCATCGGCCCGTTTGTGGTAATATCCTTGGTCAATGCAAAGTAGAGACCAGACATTTCCACTCGAAAGGTCATACACTAAGTATAATTGGAATAGCCCATGCCCTTGAAGTTGCCTACACTCACTCTGATCCATCCACAAATCAGTTATTATCAGCGACATACGGAGGTGACCGGCCACACGACGATGACTAGGGTAGGAATCTATGATTTGCAGTATGCAACACGTTTCATTCATATGGAAACATTTTGAAGTAGAATACAGAAAAATAATAGAAACGCTGGATATATCAGACAAATGGCGTGAGAATTTTTACCATCGAGCAAGTCGAGGCTAACCGCTGCAACGAACAAACCAAACACTCCAAGGCAAGACATCTATTTCCGGCCTCCACGGCTGACCTTGGGAAACTCAACCGGAACACGCAGACGAGCAACCCGGCGAGCAGCCGCCTCCGCACGACCACCCTTGATGTTCCACTTGCTGAACTCCGACTCGCGAGGCTTGTCAATACGACAGCCCAGCTCGCGGAAGTACTGCTGAATGGTATTGGAATCAAGACGCAAGTCGTCGCGCAGATCAGAGGGGTCAGTAGCCAGCTCGTTAGGCGAGTTACCACCAAGAGAGCTGGATCCACCATCTTTAGCAGGCTGCGGGGGAATGTGCAGGGTGAGGGCGCAGATGGTGGTGTGGAGAAGGGTCAGGTCGTGCTTGGAGAGGAAACCGCCCTGGGGGGCAAAGCGGCGGCGCACGGCATCAACCACAGCGTCGGGCAGGAGCTCGGAGATAGACTCTTCCTCCTCCTTGCCGGCCTTTGAGGCACCAGATGTGCTAGAGAGAATCTTGCGGAGATCCTCGCGCGGCGGGAGCTTCTTGCTGCCGGGGCCAGAGCCCTTGTCGCGGCCCATGCTTTTCAGAGAACGAGTGAACTCAAGCAGCAACTGGACAAACCGAAGAACCTGGATATGTGTGGGGTTGCCAGACTGTGCAACAGCGACAACACGGTTGGAGACATATCGAGAGCCTGTGACAACTCCGAGGCCAGCCTCCACTTGCTGCGTCCATTCGTCGATGCCGGTCAACTGGCGGAGAGTAGGATGACCACCAGGAACCAGCGTCTCGAGCGAGTAGACATCCGAAGGGTGAGCGGCCGTGAGATCTGGCGTTGGCAAAGGCTTGGCCGCTTGCACCTCGGCTTGCACGTTGGTGGCCTTGGCCAGACCGGAAGCCACATCCGCGGGGAGTGAGGAAATGAGGGCGGCGCCGGCTTGGGTAACGGAGCCAGCAGGGGCGTTTGAAAGTTGAGCATTCTCGGCCATCGACTGAACTGCCTTGCGGGATTGCTTGGTACCGAATGTGTTGGTGAGGTTGGTGCGTTGGGCGCGCATGGTGTTCTATAGCAGTGTTAGTATATACTATCCCAGCGCTCCCCATGTCGGATCGAAGCGGACATACCATTTCTTCCTCGGACTCTTCCTCTTCCTCCTCAGGCTTCCTGCTGCGTACAGCGCCACGGACAGTTACTCGTCGTGCCTCGATGAATTGCCATGTCTTGTGCTCCGGGTCCACGACAGCGATGTAGTGCTTCAGCTGAGAGTCCGCATCTTCACCGGTGCCCTCACGACCAACAAAATCCATCTTCTGGTGTTCAGACGACTGCAGTAGCATCTCGGCGGAGACAATGCCAGGGTTCCGAGTAGCTGTCCGTCCGCTATTCTCACGGGTTTTGATGTATGGGTTGAAGCGGAGGCCGTTCGAGGTCAGGACGCCAGGAGTGGTGGCTGTCGCACGCAATACACATTAGCAAAAGCTGGAAAGAAGACGGCAAATGTACTTGGACCTACCAATTACTGGCGCCAGCTCGCTCTTCTCCTCGACAACACTCGCTGCCAGCGGCGGGAGGGCCTCTAGAGCAGGCTTCTTGCTCGGTCGCTCATGCCGGTCAGAAGCGCGCTTGCGCTTCTTCTCAATTTTATCTGACGGCATGATCCCTGGCAATAATATCACGGCAGAAACCACAAGAAAATCACCGTCGTGCAGCTTAAATGCTCAACCGTTATATCTCGGTGAAATAAATGTCGAAGTCGGTGGCAGAAAAATTTCCTTGCGCTTGCAACATAGAAGGCGGTGAGCCTATATCCGCACAAACCAAATTTGACCTCAGAGAGTGTACTGCTCAAGCTACGACGGAGGCACCCAAAGCTACAGATCTCTCTACAATGGCGAAAAAGGATTTAAGATAGGAAGTGCAGGTACTCGTCAAGTCATCGATTTATCGGCAAGCATAGCTATCGAAACGAAGGACGTCCGAGCTTGATCCAGTATTTTTTTCAACTCTCGGTAATAACTCTCCATAGCTCCTAGTCCATATTACTAGCTTATGAACTGTAATTGGAAACAAATGAGCAGATTTTTGACCAGAACCCCAATGCCGAGCTCAGCAGACTAGTATCACATAATATCCAGTCCTCCAACCCTCGACTAAACACAGGAGCCTCCCCGAGTTGTAATATCAAGTGGTAAGCCACTCAAAACCATGCCCGGCATCAAATCGACCGACGTTCAATGAATCCGAAAGAGTTGGAAAGGTAGGGAGAACGGAAGATTGTTTGAACTGCGGATTCCATCGGGCGAAATGTGATCTCTTCATAATGAGAGGACGGAAATCGTATCCGGGCAGGCAGCTCGTTAATTGAAAGGCGTGTAACGATAAGAAACGAGAGTGTCGTAACTTCGATTCATCAATTGTCGTGTTCAGCGTTCAAACATGAGCCTCGACATGAGGAGCTGAGATGGAGGGGGCGAGTAGTTTATTTCCTGGCGAGCTTGTTAGCCTCAAAAATTCGAGCTCCAACACGCAATCCCACTGGACGAAGCTCCATAGGGGCCCCAGTGGCGATGTGGGGGAAACTCACGATCTGGCGCGCATCTTTCTGCGCTTGCGCTTGAGACGACGGACGCGCTTCTTTCTCCACTTAGCTCTCATCTTCGTAGGTCTGTGATCATGTTAGTGACTGCTTCACCGAAGGTGAGGATATTTTTGGGGGAGAGCGACTCACGGTGCTGCGAGGATGAGGAGAGATGGTTGAAGGAAAGACAAATGTGAGGTGACCCGCACAACGCATTTGTGTAGTGGGCAGCTGACTCAGCTAAGCGAGCCGCTAGCCGAAAAAGGAACGATCCAGCAATTGTCCACGTGACCCGTTACATCACACAGTGCGAATCAACGGGAGGTATTCACTGCTAAACCCTGGGAAGTGGAAATAAAGTGGAAATAGGGTTTCGCGCGCATCAATCATGGACTGTCATGGAACTAGCAAGAAGGCCACGCCCGATATTTTCTCTCTCAGATTCATCAGAATAATAGAAGGTGACTGAAATACAATCATGTATTAGGGAGTAGTTTCATATGTTTTAAATAATGTATGTTCAAAGCATCCTTCTGGAAGGCTTCGTAGCTCATATATCATTAGATAGAGGCGATGCCCCCAGTCATGCCATGGAAACGGCTAAGAGTCGCGGCAACCGTGGGAAAGTTGTGAACCAACCCGTGTCTAGTACTGGTACCGGTAGCTCGGCGACAGATCACCGAGGTACTCCTCTTCCTCCGAGGACACAGTGGTCGACTCAATCGCCGCTTGTGCGCGCTTCCGGTTCTCATGTACCAGTGCGAGCGCATAAGCAACGCAAGCCAGGATTGACAGACAGCAAAAAGAGATGCAAATGCTATAACCCGGTCTGTAATATGGTGCATCCTTCGCCACGAAGGAGTAAGTAGCAATGATACCGCCAATATTTCCGAAGCCGATCTGCCAAGCGGAGCCCACACTACGCCGGTGGTGACCACCCAAGTTCATTGCAAACCAACAGACAATGACGGGCATAGCGCTATAGGCACCGCTGGTGACCAGAAAAAGTGCGCCATACTGGGCTGCGCGGTTCTCTTTGCCGTGAATGCTGAAGAGCATAGCAAACCCGGCAATCGCGCAACAGATCGGTATCACAGTGAAGGCAAACCGATATCTCAAACGATCAGAGCACCATGCGATGACTAAGGAGAATCCAAATGCTGCTGCCCAAGGAGGAATGGAGTACAACTGGGTTTTGACCGCTGGAATTCATCTAGGGTCAGGAACAACAACTTTGTGACGTGCAGATAAGGACGAGTATGCACTTACAGGAATATCCATAGCTTTGAATGATCGAAGGTGCAAAGTACGCATAGCCTAAGCCAATGGCGTTAGTAATGACTCCATCACCGGCAAGTCAGAGAGGACACGAACCGTATGCGGGGACGATAAGACCGAAGTACATGAAGCCACCAATAATGACCTTGTCTACATCCCAAACGTGAGTATGTCGCACCGCACCACACGGTTCAAGTTCGACCTACAATCCTTGAGAACAGCCCAGACCTCACGCCAGCCCATCTTGATATGGTGGGCCGACTTGCCGACATCCTTCGCTAGCTTCGCGCGAACAAAGTCGCGCTCTTCCTCAGTCAACCACTTGACCTCCTCGGGGAAATCAGGCAACAGGAAGAACCAGACAATTGAGAACACGCAAGTGATCAAACCCTCGATGATGAACACCCAGCGCCAGCCTCGATAGCCGCGGACACCGTCCATCTGTCCCAATCCGTATGCCAATAGTCCACCGAAAGCACCGGCAAGGGTGGTGGAGCTGAAAAAGAAGCTGAAACGTTTCTGGGCTTCGCTTCGCTTGTACCACATGCCCATCAGGTAGAAGCCTGCCCATCGGTATCAGTACCTCTGCTCAACGTGCCTGTTTTCAAGCATTGCAATGACTCACATCCTGGAAACATGCCAGTCTCAAAGACTCCCAAAAAGAATCGAGTGGCCATCAGGCCGCCCCAGCTCGAGACCAAGCCCTGGCAAATCGTCACAAGACCAAAGCCAAACATGCAAAGCGACACTAGATCAAAGTACGGTTAATCATGTATTCATCATGCGCGCCAAATGCGCCTGGACCAAACAACATACACCAAACATGCGGCTTGAGTTTCTTGAGCAAAATGTTGGACGGAATCTCAAGAAGGATGTAGGGCACGAAGAAAATTGTCAATGCGGTGTTGTATTTCGTGCCTTGCGTGAGATCTAGCTCAGACTTGAGTCCGAGAATGGCGGCATTGCCGATGTTGACGCTATGCGACGACTCGGGGTCAGCGCGCTCTTCGCAAAAAAGGTGAATGAAGGGCGCCCGTACCGGTCCAAAAAGGCAAGCAAATATAGCACACATAAGCATGGCAGGATGTGCCAATCAATCTTGGCCATCAGTCGGCGCTCAGTGGTCTTCGTGAGCGGCGGAAGGTCCTGACCATCCTCCGAAGGGGGATCGGATATTTGCGCAGGGCCAAGTGGACTGGCGCCCGGCTTCACCGAACTCAAGTCTGTGGCAAAAGGCAGAGCTGTTAGCGGAGATCTCCGCACAGTCAAGAGCACCAGCGCATGTAGCAAAATCGACATGCGCAGAAGCTCTATGCGATCGGAGGGACCTTACCTGGCAAACCCATGTTTGGATGCGATCGTCAACTCGCAGGGGCGCAGCTGAGGAAGGGGGGAGTTTGGTAAAGGAGAAAAAGCGATTGAGGTGAATATGAGAAAGAGCAATGGATTACGCGGACCTTCGGACCTTTCAGGTGCAGATCAACCCCGATCGCAGGGATGTGTTGCAACGCTACTATCCGAGGTTCTGGGCCACACAACTTATGCACGCGGTCAGCGCGAAGACCGGATAGAACACCGAGTTGATCTGGGCTGGGGAAAGAAAGACAAAGAGAAAAAAAAAAACAGCAAGCGAAGAGCAGAAGGCGCGCGAAATAGTTAAAGGAAGGCTTTGAGTCAACCGAGGCCAGTAGCCCCATAACGACCTCGCTGCTACTCTGCGGTAGATCCACTCGTCATAACTAGGGCCCGATCTCGGCCTGTAGCTGAAGGCGATCGTCCAGGCGCCCCAGTCACCATGTCAGTGCCACCGCTCCTCGGCAGCGATCGTGAGTGGTTTTGCATGCATTCGCTGATGTGTCCCCCAATTATTTGCTTCTCTATGCATTTCAGGACGCCTGAAGACGGGTGCGCCCCCAATGCGAACGTGGGAGTTTCACGGGTGCCGCTCTCGGTTCCCCGCAATCCCCTGGCTCCGCTGAACCAAAACCAGGACGCGGGCTGAATGGCTCATTACGAACCCTCGGCCCGGCGCTCAAGCCTGCCAAGGGATAGGCGAGCTGCATACTTGGGCCTCCTACCTAGCGAACTTTGAAAAACTCTTCGCTAGCTAAGCTTTTTGTCTCCGTGCTCTTCACAGAAATCTGGCCTCCTTCGATCATAGCGGAGATCTCCGATCAGTGGACATTGCTTGGGTCTACCTTCGCGGAACCATCTTCAATAGGCCCACTACCATACTCCTCTTTCACGAAGCTAAAACTCGCTTGATCAGCCCGTAAATTATTATCATTCTCATCGGCTAACTAGTTCAAGCGACGAAGATTGTACTGTCAGCTGAGCACAACCCACTGCCTAGTGATTACTTTCCCCACATAAATCGAGTTTAGCCCCATCAAGCTGAATATACATTCACATACCAAGATAGGCTGGATAGGCTGGATGATAGTAGAGATACAAGCAACTCTACGCAGGCACCTTAACAAAGTTCTAGCGCTAAATTAGACAATCTAACCGCATCCCCCCGGTGCATGTTCGTGGCCTGTTGTCGTCCATGAATTTGATCAGCCAAGATTAAAGGGTGACAACTACGATTTTCTATCTTTCGAAAGAAAGGCCCGACTATAAACTTCATGGAAAGAAGTGAGACTCTTGGGCGATGAGAGGAGCTGCGGTGAAAGCCAGGGCCGATTCCTGGGATTTACCTCCCCCTATCATGCCTCTCACTCGTTTCTCCATTCTCATCCCGCCATGGATCGCCTCCCTTTTGCGCCGGGCCACTTGGTGGAACCTTATCAGCACGTGATCTCCAAAAATTGATCGCAGAAGGCATCAAGCGGCAACTTTCCAATCGCAACACCTCGTTCGAAGACCACAAAGTTAGAATGCATATCGACTGCGGGGCACTTTCAGGCTTCACCCAGACAAGATATGTGATTCATCTGTCCACCGGGAAGCGACTGGTCTTGTTTCGCTTGCCCTCCATTGATCCGTCCAGTTCAAAACCCAACGAAACACAGGGATGGTCATACTACGCAATGGAGGCTGAGTGCCCCCATGCCGGGGGTCCGATGGCCGACTCACAGGTCGATATTGAAGACTCAGCGTACGTCGTGTCCTGCCCATGGCATGCCTACGACTTTAACGTCGAGACTGGAGAGTCAAGTGTGGGCATCAAAGCCTGCACGTTCCCTGTTGATGTGCGCGATGGATCCGTCACGATAGATTTCCCGACTGAGGACGGTTGTCAGATCGCATTGGGCAAGGTTGAAGCAGTGAGCGAAAAAGTCAAGCTGAAGCATGCGCGACCATCCGACAAGCCAGCACCTAAACAGGAAGATCCTGGCATGGCACATTATCTTGATGACGACGCAACGCTCTGTGACTGGGCTGTTCATATCTTGCGCACTCCTAATCCGGAGCACAAGATTGAACTGACTATTCACTTGTTCCACGTTTTTACTTCGAGAGAAGGCACATCCTCGCCCATGGACATTGGAAGGGGTACGATTACTGCTCCGGATCAACCCCCGCGCGAGAAAATGGTCGAAGTGAAACCAGGAGCGATGCCGAAGAGTGGGAAAGGAGGCTCTTTGAGAAGCCGGGTTGCTATGCTTCATGCGTTGGCCAATATTGAACTTTGGGCTATCGATCTAGCAATCGACATCTGCGTTCGATTTTCAACATTCAAGACGGCCGAAGAGAACCCCCAGGAGCTACCCCGGGCGTATTTCCATGACTGGCTGAAGGTTGCAAGCGATGAAGCGAAACATTTCTCTCTCCTGCGTACCAGACTTGAGGAGATGGGCTCGCATTTTGGCGCGCTACCAGTACACCACGGTCTGTGGCAGTCTGCAACGGAAACAGCACACGACCTCCGATCTAGAATAAGTATCATCGCTTTAGTTCACGAAGCTCGAGGTCTTGATGTCAACCCCTTGACAATTCAAAAATTCCGCGTTGCCAAAGACAGCGAGAGTGTCGAGGCCTTGGAAGTTATTCACAACGATGAAATTACGCATGTCACCACCGGCCATCGGTGGTTGACTTGGATTTGTGCCCAAGAAGGCACAGACCCGGTACGAGTCTTCCGCGATAACGTTTCGAAACACTTCCGAGGCAGCATTCAGGGACCATTCAACGAGGAAGCTCGCTTGCAGGCAGGCATGGATCGTCGTTACTATGGAACTACTCCAACTTCGGTTGCAGCCGCATAATGATTCCCACTCCTTTGATGATGTATGAAAAGCATTAGAGATCTCAAATTCTTGAATTATGTTATTAAGCGAGCCAGTACTTGATATCCTGTATCCAAGCCATTAGAAGGGCGAGTCTATCCGATGTAGACAGGCTTCAGCTGAGCCTTGCTGCAGCTTGAAGGGATAGTAGCCTCATAATAGCGGTACAGGTAGAACAACTGGGGCGCGTTGTGGAACCATTCACAAACTGAGGGGTAGCGTGCATGTTAGATTTAGTGATGATTTCTTTCCTACGATAATCAGATCGCCCTGGACTCACCGAGCCAACCGCCGAAACCGTCATTTGCGGACCACACAAATTCGCCATTATCAATCGAGAATCCCTCCGAACCATCACCGGCGTTAATCTCAATCGGTTCCCATGCTATTCAACAGCATTAGTCAGCCCGTCTTCTGATATTTAAACAGTGGTGCGAGTTTCGCGATAATTGACAGTCCATCGGTATACACTAACAGGCATAGTTTGTGTCACCGATAGCCACAAGACCCCAAGGGAAATCAGTCTTCAGGTCAGCCAAAGCCCGGGTGCCGTTGAGGTAGATCGGGCTAGCTTTGGAACCATCCTTGTCCAGCACAGCGTCATTGAACCCAGCACCGGTGTGATAGGCATAGACGAAAAGATCATTGTGGTCGGCGTTGCTGGCGCCAGTGGTCTTCAGATGAAATTCCGTAGGGGCTCTTGCGACGGCGTTGGCCGTGACGGTGGCGGCCAACATAGGGAGGAGGGCCAGGAATTTCATGATGTTTGCTTGAGGGGTTTAGTGATGACGAGATGTTTGCGTGGGTGGAAGCGGGTAGCGTCTCAGCTTTATAAGATCGCTCGGCGACCGGGAACTTCTATATAAATCTCAGACATGCAACGCAGGGTGTGATCGGATAGATTTTGCGATCACAGGAAGACTTCCAATTCGTTAGTAGAAACTATTTGCAAAATAGTTTCGGGCAGCTTCGTGTATACGGCAGGTGTACTGCGAAGCAAAACTCAACGAAAGGCCTAAAACCAGAGCCCGATTCTAAGACATAGGCGACAGAAGCAATGTTTTTCGCACCACGAGCTAAAATCTATGGGAATAAGCAGAGTGCCCACTCCAATAGTGTGCCTAGGTGACGCCGATCTCCCCGCATCGAGTATGGCGGTGCTGGAGCTACGGAAGGTCGGAGGCGGGTTGAACTGAATGAACTGAGGGGATGTGAGACACTTTTTGTGTAAAAGCCCAATTGTGCACTGCAATTATGCCTGTGATCTTGTTTCTATGCCTCTCAAATGACCTATTTCTGTACCCACCTCGGGCAACGGTCCCCACAATGCGTTTCCCAATCCAAAACAAGCGGTGAGACCATGATGATGTCAGACAGACCAAGCTTTTGAAGCGGAATGTGTATCATTTATTAGCTCTCGTTGAATGAATTGGCTATGTGGACGGCATGGCCGAAGTCCATGTAAAGCAATATATAACATTCTTATAGAGCATCGCAAAACTCGGTTTTCTATATGTCTTGACTCTCGGGTGTTTAACAAAACCCAAATCATGCACCATAGTCTGAAGACTGCTGTTTATTGTGTGTCCGAGACACTGCTGACAGGCTCATCCCCTATACATCGCTCTTCATCCTTGTTCTCTTGTGCAGGTTGTTCCTCCTTCTTAGTCGGGGCAAATTTGCTTCGCATCCTGATTTGCTTCCCATACTTATAAAAAAGAAACGGAATGATGGCAAGCAGGGTAGCGAGGCCGGCGATCAAACTACCCCCTCCTCCCACGCCCATAGCCGCGAACATTTGGGAGGTGAAAAGCGGCGCTGCAGCTCCACAGGCAGAACGAGCGATAGTATTTGCAGCAATAGCAGACGCGGCATACATCAGGTAAACATCCACCAGATAGTTCAGATACCCGACAAAGATGAGCAACATGGCACTCGAAAGAAAAGCACCAGCTAGGGTTGGAACAATCCAATGGACGGTGCTATATCCGGGTCAGCTTTCATGACTAGAGCTGATCTTGAGGGTTTGGGAACTCACTTAAACTCAGCCGACCATGCAAACCAAAACATGGCTACAGCAAAGACGATACCTCCACCCATCGCTAGCGGCAAGCGGTCCTCTGGTGTAGCATCCTCCATCCTTATTTCGCCCCTGTCGATCTTTCTCTGGCGGATTCGGGTGTCGACCGCAACGATAACACCACCAAGTAGAGCGCCCACCACAGTGCCAAGCAACGGCAACTCGCCAACCCCAGAATTCCAACCCCGTTTTTCTTGAAAAACGATGGGGTATAGGGTGAAGAGCATATAGAGCAGAGTATAAACAAAGGCCAAATAGATTGCGCAGAGTAAGGAGATAGGATCAAACAGAATGTTCCACGGCCGAGTAAGCGCAACCTTGTAAACCCCCGCAAGCGTTCGATCGCTTTCCTCAATCGCTGCCTTCACGTTTTCATAACCAGGTATCTTTGCTTTGCGTATCCGTTGTGCCTTGTTGTACAGGATTATCGGGGCGTATGTCTCGGGTATTGTCAACATTATAAAAGCTGACGCTCCCGCGAGCCAAAGAAGCACGTAAAAGCTCCATTGCCAATCTTTTTTCAGCTCGAGGAAGCCCGCAACGACAGGTCCGAGTGCTGGCCCAATCCAGACCATTGCTGAGAAGCCGGCCATGGCGTTTGCGCGTTCAAGAGGATTCCATACATCAGCCAGGACGCCAGGACAGTTGCTCAATGGGGCGGACACAAAAGTTCCCGTCAAAAATCTCCCCACTAATAAGCTTCCAAAGTTCGGCGCAAAGGCACAAAGAAAGTTGAAGGCAAAGTAAAGCGAGAATGTGATATAAAATATCACTCGACGGCCATAAAACTCACTTAGCGGGGCAAATATCAAGGGCCCAGCACAATACCCCAGCAGAAACAGGGTTATGGTCAACCCCGCGACCAGGTTGGATACACCGAAGTGCTTTGAAATCGACGGGAAGCATCCGCTTGGCGAGCTCGAAGCAAAGGTGGCATTCACGACCAAAAGCACTGCCGCCATGGTCACACCGGTTCGGCGGCGCATCGACCAATTCCGAGGGTTTTCAATGTCACCTGGGCCGAAGTCAACGTATCCATCTTCATTGAGAAAGGGCGGGGTCTCGTCTTTGAGGTCACTCGTTCGGTATGGTTTGTTTACCGCGCGGGAGAAGATCCGCGAAATGACTGTCATCACGAAGAATTGGGGAGAATGAAGAACTTCATAATCGCCGTTGCTGGGACATGACCAACCTGCAGTAGGAGAATTAATAAATCTCCCATGTATGCAAAGCTCGGGGCTCCGCCCTGATTGAGGGACTATGGGACTAAAACCGGGGTTTATCTCCGCACTTGTGCCGAGTCCCGAGATGAGATCATCTGAGCATTAGCCGGTGGCGGTGACCTGAAAGAACAGGGAAAGAGACCGTGACGGCCCCAATATTACAAGGCAAAACTTCAGTAGTTTTGAGCGCAGATGGCTAAGGAGATAATGTTCGCCTGTTTAAGGATCACACCTATGAGCTGTAGTGAAGGAATGGGATATTACCGATGGGCATTTGCAAGAATGGCGATGTTCGTGTCGAGCGACTGAGTACTTATGACTCAGGCTATCTAGACATCCTTGTCGTAATAATCGTTAATACAGAAGGTTCCACAGTAAACGTAGAAGTGTGATTCGTTCGCCTATCGTTTCCTCTAACGAGTCTCCTGGTATTATCTGCTTCACCAAATCATAGCACAGTTGACGTCGCGTGAAAAATATGCTACATTTCGCTTCCTCGTCCTGCACTTAGTCCGTGCTCGCTTTTTCTAGTTCTTGCATCCCCGATAATCCGCTTTCTACACATATAAACTTCGAACGTAGAAAACGAAGATCGGGCTACTTGCCCAGGTCCATCATACCAGATCTTGGGGTATAGATGCGGTAGGTCCCCACTGACACAAAGTCGATTTACTGTTGAACATGTTAAGCCAGACAGGCCCTAGACGCTATATCTCATATTAAGCCCAAGCCCTTTGACATGCTTACTAAAGGTCTCTAAAAGGGTGAAAATGGGTTGCTGGATGAGTTTGATCTACCTACTTACTAAATGACGGTTTACTCAGTTCTCGTTTAGGATATAGACACCCACCCTCTCGTACACTTACTCTCAACTCCCGCATGTAAATTTACACATAGACAGGATCCTTGTTGTGGAAGTCTCCAAGATCCACTGCTCGAAAATAATCGATAAATCAGCTATATTAGTCGACGGGGCTTTCGGACCACCTTTCAAGAAGGCACTGCACCTCTCCACATCCATTACGCCGATCGCTCTATAGCGTCGTTTTCAACATAAAGCTGACCTTTACTAATAGTTCTCTTTCCCTACGTCCACATGCAATTTTTAGGTTGATCTTACCACTGCCAGAATTCAGGTATAGTCAGACTATACGGAGTATATGCAGAGATATATATCGTCATTAAGCTCCCGCCACCCACACCTAGCATTTGTTCTATACTGGCTTCCGAAGGGATCTCTCATAAGGTTTGAATTGATTCTTTACCCATCCCGCATTGTCTTCTAAATTATCCGTAATGTCTTATGTATTCATTCTGTCAATGATTGTAGGTCTACGAAGAGCCTCGTGGATCAGGCCACTTGAGCATCGAAGCGGAAGAGAAAAATGCCGATCGGTAAGCTGATTGCTGAATCGGGGTTAGTAAATAGGCCCTTGCTCCCAGACTGTGTATTTTTAGGCCGGGTATTAAGACAGGGATATGCAGGCGCAAATGCATTGCTCACAGCAGACGGGCCAATTATTATCTAGAACTAGGTAGTGACAGTGGTGACGGTCTGCCAGTTGTACTAATTGGGAAACAGCTTCTTCTATATTTAATTTTTGATACGCAAAGTTGTCGTCTTAGCTCTTGTCTGTCGTGGAGGCTTTGGCTTTCTGTATCGTGGGAGTCTAGGGATGTTCAGGGGGCGTGATATTTACCGCGTCGAGCATTAGCTTCCATTCCGACCGTGGAGTAGCCCGCAAACCCCTGAATGCAGCCGGTTCACCCGGACATTCACTGTCAAACATAAACAAAATCCTAGCTATCTTTGATTCTCAAATTTCATCTAGGCTTTTTAGATCAGGAATAATAATATCCAAGAAACCTAAATGTATGTACATTTGTTGAAAACCCCACAGCTCCTCGAGGTTCGCTCGTATTTTGTTTTGGTGTCAGTCCATTTGGACCCACATTGAGCACGGGAAAACTCTTCCCCCCCCCGGCCCCTGACCAAGCGTGGAGGTGATGGAGGATACGACTCGGGAGTTGAATTGCTCAGCCCATATTCTATTTTAACTCCATCCGATTTACTCCGTACATTAACCCTCGAGAATTTCGATGATTTTGATGGACTAGGGTGTTTCCGAGACTCCCGCTCATCATCGTGAGTGTTTGCCGCCGTGCAGTTGCCATTCGAATAATGCTAAGAACGCCTGTTCCCAGTCGCCTAGCATGGATCCTACCACGTACGTGGATCCTCAGCTTACTCTAGCGGATCTACTGGTGCTCAAAACTCTTGTTGATAATCCAGATCCGAATGGTGAGTGTCTTGAAGACGCCAGTTGACAACGCACTAAAAGTAAACAAGGTGAAAAAAAAGCAACATCATTACATCAAAAACCCAGCGATGAAGATGTCATCCAAAAGCTTCATGATATGAACGATGCATCGCATCCTGATTTCGACCCTACAATCTTCCAGTTTTGGGATACTCCAGTGCTCCGGGCTAAGCTGCCTGCAGCGCTTCAGCGCTATGTGCTGCAGCCCTATCAAAACTGGGCCCAAGGAGTTGTGCGTTTCCAGACAGACGTTGTCATGCTGACGCATCTCCTGTTATATTTCTCAACGATTGTTCCCAGTGCCGTCTTCCTCTACTACCGCTTTTCCTGGGTGCATGGCGTTTTGCACTGGGTCATGCAATTATGGTACTGTGGAGCATTCACTCTGATGAAACATCAACATATTCACCAGAACGGTGTTCTGGCTCCCCGCTACTGGATTTTTGATACCCTCTTCCCATATCTGCTTGACCCGATGCTTGGGCACACCTGGAACTCATATTACTACCACCATATCAAGCATCATCATGTCGAAGGCAATGGCGAGCATGATCTGAGCACGACCATGTTCTACGATCGGGACAGTGGTCTTGACTTCGCATGCTACGTTGGGCGGTTTTTCTTCTTTATCTGGATGGAACTTCCGCTCTACTTTTGGAGAAAGGGCCAGGTCCAATCTGCTTGCCGGGCTGCATTCTGGGAACTCAGCACTTATGCGACCATCTACCTTCTCTACAACTACGTCAATGCCCGTGCGACCGTCTTCGTGCTCATTTTACCCCTCACAGTGATGCGCTGTGGACTGATGGTGGGCAACTGGGGCCAGCACGCGTTCGTGGACCCTATCGATCCCGACTCGGATTATCGCTCGAGCATCACCCTGATTGATGTTCCGGTAAGTTTTTTGGATGTCATTTTCACATAGACCAGCGTTGACATGAATTTCAGAGCAATCGCTTCTCCTTCAACGATGGGTACCACACTTCTCACCACTTGAATCCCCGTCGCCACTGGAGAGACCACCCCGTGGCATTTGTCAAGGGCAAAGACCGCTACGCAGAGGAACGGGCGTTGGTCTTCCGAAACATCGACTACATCTTCATTACGGTGCACTTGTTACGCAAAGACTATATGCACCTGGCGAAGTGCCTTATCCCGATGGGTGACCAGGTTAACATGACTTTGGAGCAACGAGCAGACATGCTACGCAGCCGGACACGAAGATTTCCGCGTCCCAATGCGAAGAAACATCGTTGAGGACAGTCGGGTCCGGAAACTACCCCAGTCAAGGACCATTCAACGGTGGTCCCTTTCCTTCCTCAGCCAGCTTTTTTGATAGATTGTAATCAACAAACTTCATGACCCCATTAGACGTGCCTGTTCAAGACGCTGAATATTAAAACACCCCGAAAACTCCCATTTCCTGCCTGCCAAGAGTGGAACCCTCAGGGCAGGTACTTTACTGGCGGGACGCAGTTCTGGCGGCTTGCCTGGGAATGCTGCATTTCTTTCACATTATGTAAAGCGGAGAAATCGGTTCTAGACCTCGACGCATCGTGGGAATTTTCACCGAGGTGATTCCCGAATTCTTGAGGTGGCTCTTCAAAGCAATTTCATCATGCGCTGGATTTGAACCAACCCTGGTATAATAGCCCTGCCGTATTGAGCCTAGAAGTCCCGCTCTCTGGATCCATTTTGTTTTTCTGTTCAGCTGCTGTTGCTTTTTCGATTCAATGCATCGTGTTTTGTCCGGTGATGAATCCAAAATGATTGGCGATAGCTCGCGAGGCGAGGGATTTCCATCAGATGATAGATAAATGTGCATGTGCATCACAAGGAAATCGTGGGTCCTGCCTTGGACCCCTCGCAGCTTTTCAACTCACCCTTGCCTTGGGCGCTTAGACCGCGTGGGCCGAGCCAAGATTTCGCTCGGCCAGGAATTTTGGTGATTGGATGTCCGTCACCTGATTTGGATTGCGGTCGTAGGATGCGGGGAAAGATGTAACATTTGTTTTCTTTGGTGTGGTGCAGAAGGCGATCAGATCACAGGGGTAAACCGGGACAATCCACAATAATGTCGCCCATATAAAGACTGCAACCCCCCAACGTCGAGCCCTTTCAAGGGAGTCTTTCGCTTCTGCGACTTCACCATCTCCTGGAGGCTGGGCTGGAATAGTAAGGAGCAGGCTACCTTGAAGTCCACCATGCGTCTCGGGCTTTCATTATCACTGGCCGCTCTGGCAGCAGGCTATGTTGTCAATGAAGATAGAACCTGCACATTATACCCGGAATCGCTGCAGAATGATGGCCAGCCCGTCGATGATGCACCTTCAATTCAAAAAGCCTTCGAGCTTTGCGGTACCGATGGCAAGGTTGTTTTCGCCGCCAACCATACATTCAATGTCAACTCGGTTATGAACACGACAAACTTATTGAATTGCGACGTGTCGCTACGGGGTGAACTCCGCTTCTCGACGGACATTCCATACTGGCTTTCTCACTCTTACTCCGTGGTCTTCCAAAATCAGTCTACCGCTTGGTTATTTGGTGGCACTAATGTTACTTTCCGTGGCGAAGAGGGCGGCTGGTACAATGGCCAAGGTCAGGCTTGGTATACTCAAAACCGCAACCAAAGCAATCAGCCTGGTCGACCTATTAGTATCACCTTCTACAATTCGACGAACCTACTAGTGGATGGATTGACCATTATCCAACCGCAATTCTGGGCCACATTTGTCTGGCAGAGCAAAAATGTCTCCATTACAAACTTCTTCGTCAATGCCACTAGCAATGATGAATGGGGCACTGTGAACACCGACGGTTACGATTCTTGGAACAGTGACACACTGCTGGTGGAAAATGCAGTCGTCACCACTAGTGATGACTGCATTGCAGTGAAAGGAAACACCACGAATCTTCTGGTTAGAAACGTTACCTGCCACTGGGGCTTCGGGATGGCGATAGGGTCTGTTGGGCAATACCCTACAATGCCGGACTATGTGGAGAACGTTACCTTCGAGGATGTCAAATGTTATAATTGCATGGAAGCAGCTTTCATCAAAACTTGGCAGGGAGTCCCTGAGGACGATAGCTCAAACGGCGATGGCGGAGGAGGGGGCAGGGGGCTGATCAAAAATGTCGTCTTCCGCAATTTTGAATTGACTAATGTTGCCTTGCCTATTCAGATATCTCAGTGCATCTATACGGAGAATGGGCAGAACTGCAACACGTCGAAGATGGCAATCGAGGACATCACATGGTCTAACATCAAGGGCACCTCACGATATAACATCGTCGCCTCTCTTTATTGCTCGGACGTGCACCCTTGTCCAGGCATTAAATTTGAAGACGTCGAAATTCAATCGGTTAACCACACATTGGGATTACCACTCTCTGACACGACATTACAAAATGAGGTGTACCAGTGTACGAACCTTGTTGATGGTTCGGGCATTCCCTGCAATCGCGCTGCGCCGAGCAATTATGGCCAAGTAGTTACTTCAAACGTGAAAGATGATGCAAGTAGCACGGAATCTTCGAGAGACCCAATTGTGGAGGCCAAGAAAAAGGAGCAGGAGAAACTTGCGTACATGCATTGACTTTAACCCCGAAGACTCTCGGGGAGATCCGATTTTATTGCATAACTGTTGCGATGGCCACCGGAATACACATGTTCTATAGGACTTATCCATAGCTGTTGCGCATCTAAGTTTAAACCTTTCTCCGAAGAAACATCGGGCTGCGCGACGGTCACCGCCAATGTGTGGACATTCCCCCGCAGGGAAAGGAAACTGGCGATAAAATTCCAACATAGGCCGGGAGAAGTGCATGGCTGTTCCCTATCAACTTTCTTTGAAAACAGTAACTAAGGTAACTCTTGTTCAGAAACTGCAAAAGAAATGGAAGCTCCTTCAATGCCAGGAAACATCTTCCCTTTCTTGGAAGTATTTTTCTGAGAGCACAAGAAATCGTGGGTCGACTGGAAAGACGCTGGATAACGATCTAACTTTCTCCTACCGTGAATAAGGTGCTACGGAACCCTGCGAGTTTGGAAATATCGTTCAAGCCACATTTGACCTGACACAACAAACTCGTGTGGGTTACGATGTCGAACGTCGACAAGTTTTTGTTGACAGTACAAAGTCCGGTCAAGTTGGATTCGACGAGACATCTGCAAGTGTTTACCATGCGCCACTGTCACCTAAATTAGATGGACACCTGCGTGTGCGGGTGTTGATGGATTGGTCCAGTGTCGAAGTATTTGGTGGAGATGGAGAGACAGCCTTGACTGCCCAGATTTTCCCAAGTCTCCGTGCGACCTACTCTCAGCTCTTCTCGACAGGTGGAAGCACCAAGGACATCTAACTCCATCTTCAGAATTTTTCCAGCCTCTATCTATAAATAAGCGTGTTTAAACAAACAAGAACTTTATCTCATCAAATGCCTACTCGAAGAACGCGAATCTCAATGCATTCTCATCTAAAAAACCATATTCTTCTCAAATAAATCCATTATCGCCATAGCTCTGGTAGACACTTCCTTGCACTCATCAGTGACCTCCGAATCCTGGGATACTTCTCCAAACCGGCGTTTCCAGAACTGCCATCGTTCAAGAGAAAGGCCAGCGGTGCCATTATAAAGACATCCAGCATCCCAAGCCGCTCGATCAGGCCACGTCTCGTATGTCACATCATAGAGAGCTGGCTCTAGAATGAGGTTGAATATGCTTTGCCCATTCCATAGAATCCATTGGGCTGCGCCCAGAATCCACGCGCTGCGAACTGCTTTCTCTTCATCGCTCCTTTCGTCTTCAAACGCAGCACGCATTGCCCACACGGCATAAGTAGGGTCAGTGGGAAAAATTCGATGCTCATATAAGTGAGCCAAAAACGAATTGTAGTTGACGTATCTCTCGGGTTTTCCGCCGTCAGGGCCTATAGTGATGATCAGCTTGCTTGAAACACTAAGATCGCCTTTGATAAATTACCAGCACAAAAGTCTTTCATGGAATATTTGAGGAGATCAAATCGCCAAATCCTGCCGTTCTGCACAGGTCGCACATTCTGTCAGCGACAGTCGAAGCGTGGATCCGAGATAATTACCTCTGCACTAAGGAACGTGAAGTGACTTGAAAGACCAAGAGCTTCCAGCAACTGAGCCAATCTTGAGTGAGACGAGGTTTTGAAGGAGGACATTTCGGCAAGCTCAAAGCAGTCTTCGCCAAATCTCCAGATCTCTTCGGAATCGGGGGCATCGGTGGGCAAGAGCTTCAAGAGAGACTCTACAGCCAGGTCGAGGGGTAGCGGGCTTTTGGGCTCCAAGAAGTCCCTCAATACTCCAAATACTTTCTCCTGCGTGCATTCTGGATCCGACGGCGGTTGTTTGTTGGATCGATCCTTTCCATGGGATGTTCGACATAGCTGAGAAAGATGAAGCCCCATTATGTATGTTTCGCAAAAATCCAAATAGTAGTACCTGGGTAACCTCCGCAGACATCGAAAACCGGATGAGAGAAGGAAAGAGTTAAAATGTGTCACACAAAGTCGCTTTTTAAAGTCCCCGCTTCTCCTGTACCTGATATAGAAATTGGAAGACCGCCGTTAAGCGCTGGTTAAGCGCCTTTTTATGAAAATCATCACGGGCGCTAGGTCTGTCGATTGGCTGAACCATTAAATTCTTAGCGCCCGTTTCAAAAATCTTAATTGGTGAAATTAAGGGATTTTTCATTTCCTTTCGCCATAGCTACGGGTTTGTTCTTATTTGGAGTGTCATATTCAGAGGGACTAGGTTAATGGTGACAAATGGGCGTGCAGCTCCCCCCATCACTGATCAATGAAATCTTGCCTTATCAGCCAACTGGATTCAAATTGAGAAATCAAATACCCTAGTTCAGACGATCGATCTTATCCCTAATTGTGAAACACTAGTTGAATGGTTAGAGACATTTAGTGCCGATATTCAAGCGCTCAGCTATGGGTAGAGCAAAAAGAAGAAATTATCACGGCTTGGCACAGTAGAATAGTTAGGACTGCCGTCACCTCCAAGCAAAAGATGGCAAGGCTTTAGCATTCTCTGGGGAAAAAATTATGCTCTCTCGGAGACTGGCTCCAACCGTTTAATATATTTCAACTGGTTCATAACTGCAGAGCCACTACTCAGGCTTTTATGACCTTTGCGGCTGAGGCTGCCTGGGATTGCCAATTAGTGTGGTGTACAGAGTGACTCACGGGACGGCAGGACAATCTAGCGCCCATAAAAAAAACACGACACCCCTTCACACGCCCCTCGACTAAAAGCGAATTACGCTTGTTTCCACCCCTCAAGCATGTCTTCGTCAATTGATCTGAGTGTTCCGACGGCTTTGATGCTTATTGACAACCAGTCAGCCTTCACTGACCCGTCACACTGGGGCGCCTCACGCTCCAACCCACTCTATGAAGTCAATCTTCAGTCGTTACTCTCCGCTTTCCGAGCGGCACGAGCCTCATCCTCGACTCTACTTGAAGTGGTACACATTTTCCACTCCTCTGACTCGCCTGCATCCCCTCTTCACCCGTCCCATCCAGACGGCGGTATTCGACCGCTAGACTTTGCTACCCCGGCATCGGATGACTCGGAACCCATTTTCTGGAAGAATGTCAACTCTTCGTTCATTGGGACCAACCTAGAGTCGCATTTACGACAGAAAGGAATCCGACAGATTATTGTTGCAGGTCTGACAACCGATCACTGCGTCTCAACAACGGTCCGCATGGCGGCAAACCTAGGTGTTGTCGATCGCTCTTTGGATGATGGTCCTCTCCTATTTAGACCTGATGGCTCTCGTGAGAACGAGATTCGCGTGGAAAGGGGGCGCATTATTCTAGTGTCGGATGCAACTGCAACATTTAGCAAGGCTGGGTTTGATGCAGAGACCATTCACAAAGTCTCAGTTGCCAGCCTTGACGGCGAGTTTGCCGATGTGTTTGGAACTGAGGAGGTTGTGAAGGCCCTCAGGAAGGTCGAAAACCCTGACATAGCTTGAATTACTATTTATCTTGGAAGTAAATACGGCTTTGTAATAAGAAAATCATGGAACGTGAATCAAAACAAGAGATTTGCGAAAATTGTGTCAGACTTCAAGTCCAAAGGTTCTTTTCTTGAGACATACTGGGAAAGCGTTACGAAGTTCATACTATCTATGGCGTGGCCAACAGAACAGCATCTTCTCTGCTCTTGCATGAATTCATGCATCCAGCTTACAAGAGCGATCAGCTCAGCAACTGATAGATAATGCTCATCCCCATCAGCGTGACTTTGCATCCAAATTGGACAGTGGCATTGGCGAGCATTGGATACCTCCGACGCACGAAAGGCACTGAAATCAAGATCTTTGCGTCCTAAAGAACTGAATATTCCCTGTCCTGGCGACTTTGGTCTATAACATATTGACCCCTATTGATCCTATAAACCCAAGAAATGAAGAAACACGACTAGTCTTTGTCGCTTTTGCGGCAGGAATGTTCACTTGTTGCATTATATTAAAAGGCAATAGACAGGTACATATGCAGTGACAGGTTTGGATAAGTTCCTTCCCTCTTGAGTTGGCGCAGTTTAATGAATTGATCCTCCTCAGTGAGGGCAGCAAATAAGGATAAAAAATCTCGAAGTATAGCGCCTGAGCTGATGTCAAGATGGTGCAGCTCGGCTCCTATCGATGAAATCACTTCTTCCCTAATTGTATTGCCTTTCATGTCTTACGCTGGCTTCGCTAGGCGGAGATGAAGCCAAGAGTTCACTTCGATGAGCGGACTTTTGTAGGCTCTGATCTGATCCGTTAGGTAACTGCTAGGGCCGAGATAATGCTCGAAAATTGGTTCAATAGACCTAGGAGAGTAAGCGCTTGAACGGTCCATTATTTCTTGAAAGGTCTACTTATTAACGTACTGCCCGTGGCTCTAGACGCAACAGAGAAAGGATGGATGGAAAGCTCTACAACGTCTCCACCATAGTGCATAATCAAATGAAGGTAAAGTTACACGAAACTAATTACTTCAAGGGTCTCTAACACAAAGGAGAAAAAGAATACAGACGCGGCTTAATGACATGGACCGCAGATGGCCAGTGGGATAAATGGCGAATATACCTCCGAACCCCCAGTCTTCCCAACAGAGAACCGGGACACCAAGACAGCATGGATATGAAAAGTCAAAAGCATAGCTTCAGACAAGTACTTAGATAAGGTCACGCTTGACGAACTCGGCAAGCAGGGTCTTGCCCAGGGAGGCAGGGCTGCGCTCGACGATGACACCAGCATCCTGCAGAGCAGCGATCTTGGAGTCGGCACCACCCTTGCCACCGCTGACGATGGCACCGGCGTGACCCATGCGACGGCCGGGAGGAGCACTGATACCGGCAATGAAGGAAACAGCGGGCTTGTTGTGGATGTTGTTGGCCTTGAAGAACTCGGCAGCTTCCTCCTCAGCAGAACCACCGATCTCACCGATCATGATGATACCATCAGTCTCGGGGTCCTCGAGGAAGATCTTCAGGCAGTCGATGAAGTTGGTGCCGGAGAAGGGGTCACCACCGATACCGATAACGAGCGACTGGCCAAGGCCGGCCTGGGTGGTCTGGTTGACGGCCTCGTAGGTCAGGGTACCGGAACGGGAGACAATACCGACACGACCGCGCTTGTGGATGAAACCAGGCATGATGCCGATCTTGCATTGACCCTAAAAGGCAAAATGAATAAGAATATGCCGTTACATAGCTGGTAGGGGGTCGATACTTACGGGAGCGATGATACCGGGACAGTTCGGGCCGACCAGACGGGTCTTGTTCTGGGTCTTGAGGATGTCGGTGATGCGGACCATGTCTGAGAGGGTTTATTAGCTCGGCAAGTCTCGGACGCGGTGGGATAAATTCGTACCGTGCTGGGGAATGCCCTCGGTGATGCTGTAGTGCGAACAAGCCAGTTAGGGGACCAAAAATAAAAAGGCCGTAGGGAGCTTTTAGGGAGCTCGGATGTCGGGACTCACCAAACAGCCAGGGGAACCTCAGCAGCGATGGCCTCCTCAATACCGGCAGCAGCCAGAGGGGGACTGTCTTGGTTAGCTTCGTTCTGCGATCATTTCGGGCTGCACATCGGTATCATACGGGACAAAGATGGCGGAAGCGGTAGCGCCGGTCTGCTTCACAGCCTCCTCAACGTTGGCAAAGACGGGGAGGTCGAGGTGAGTGGTGCCAGCCTTCTTGGGGTTGGTACCACCAACGACATTGGTGCCTGTGCTATGTGAGTTCGAGTGGTCCTTTTCGCGATCGCGGCGAGAGGATAAATACCGTAGGCGATGGCCTGCTCGGCATGGAAACTGTCCAGGAAACAACACGTCAGAGCCCAGCGCATGGAATCGGGTATCAGTCAGGGCCTCGACACTCACGTTCCCTGCTTTCCGGTGAAGCCCTGGAAGAGCACCTTAGTGTCCTTGTTGATCCGCAGGTTATTCACGGTGTCGGCATAGGCTGAGGTGGCCTTAAGGTAGCTCCGGCGCTGCTGACCAGCGACATTGCGGACGGCCGAAAAGGTGTTACGGCTGAAGGCCTGCATGACTGCAAGAGGGTAATTGAAGGATAGAGAGGAGAGGAGAGGGTGGAATAAGGAGGTTGAATCGGGGAAGAGTTGAAGCGAGGAATCGGGATGCGCGCCCGGGAGTTTTCGTTCGGGACGAACCTTTACTTAAGCGGACCCGATTTATGTTCGGGCCACTGCCTCGGCCATCATCGTTTTTTTCTATCTAATCGCCTCACACCCCCACCACCACTGGACCACCAGTGTCTATTTCGATCGCTTCTGGAGATTTTGTGCTCTTTGTGTACTTTGTGTCTCGTCGCCGCTGCGCGGTGAGAGTTGCACCATGGCCACCATGACCGTGACGGCGCCTGTCTCCAAGAAGACAGCTAAAAAGAATAACAAGCTGATCCCGGAGAACGAGCGGTTCATGCGAGCATGCTCTGACATTGCGAACACACTCATTCAGGAGTATGAGTCCCAAAAAGATCTCTCGCAGCCACGGAAAGATATCAACCTCAACAAGCTGCGGGGCACAATCGCAAAGAAACACTCCCTGGCCACCCAGCCACCACTGACGGCGATCATTGCGGCCGTGCCAGAACACTATAAGAAATACATCTTGCCAAAGCTTATTGCGAAGCCGATCCGTAAGTCCACCTGCTCCGGAACCGGCTGGACCCTCAGCTAATCTGTCGCACAGGAACTTCCTCTGGTATCGCTGTTGTAGCCGTCATGTGCAAGCCTCACCGATGCCCCCATATCGCATATACCGGCAACATCTGTGTCTATTGCCCCGGGGGCCCCGACTCTGACTTCGAGTACTCTACGCAATCATATACCGGATACGAGCCGACCTCGATGCGCGCGATCCGTGCTCGCTACGATCCGTTTGAGCAGGCGAGAGGACGTGTGGACCAGATCAGAAGTCTGGGCCACAGTGTGGATAAGGTGGAGTACATCATCATGGGTGGAACATTCATGTCATTGCCGGAGGATTATCGGGATACTTTCATATCTCAGCTTCACAATGCTCTCAGTGGATACCAGACAGACAACGTGGACGAGGCCGTGCAAGCTGGAGAAATGAGTAACATCAAGTGTGTCGGTATTACGATTGAGACCCGTCCAGATTACTGTCTGGATACTCATCTGAGCAGTATGCTACGTTATGGTTGCACCCGACTGGAGATTGGTGTCCAGAGCCTGTACGAGGATGTTGCGCGCGATACAAACCGTGGCCACACCGTCGCGGCAGTGGCTGAAACCTTCAAGCTCGCCAAGGATGCTGGATTCAAGGTGGTCAGCCACATGATGCCCGATTTGCCAAATGTCGGAATGGAGCGCGACCTGTTCCAGTTCCAGGAATATTTCGAGAACCCTGATTTCCGCACAGACGGCCTCAAGATCTACCCTACTCTTGTCATCCGCGGTACCGGTCTCTACGAGCTGTGGCGAACGGGGCGGTACAAGAACTATACTCCCAACGCCCTGATTGATCTGGTGGCTCGCATCCTTGCGTTGATTCCCCCATGGACTCGTATTTACCGTGTTCAGCGTGATATTCCGATGCCCCTGGTCACTTCCGGTGTCGAGAACGGCAACTTGCGCGAACTGGCTCTGGCCCGAATGAAGGACTTTGGAACAACCTGCCGTGATGTTCGTACCCGTGAAGTGGGCATCAACGAGGTCAAGAACAAGATCCGCCCGTCGCAGGTTGAGCTCATCCGTCGCGACTACACTGCCAACGGCGGCTGGGAGACATTCTTGTCCTACGAGGATCCTAAGCAGGATATTCTCATCGGCTTGCTTCGTCTGCGCAAGTGCAGCGACACTCACACTTTCCGCCCCGAGTTCATTGGTCAGCAGACTAGTATCGTCCGCGAGCTGCACGTCTATGGCTCTGCTGTGCCTCTTCACGGGCGCGACGCGCGCAAGTTCCAGCACCGAGGTTTCGGAACTTTGCTGATGGAAGAGGCCGAGCGTATCGCCCGTGAGGAGCACGGAAGCCGTAAGATCAGTGTCATTTCGGGTGTTGGTGTGCGTAGCTACTACGCACGTCTAGGCTACACCTTGGACGGACCTTACATGTCTAAGATGCTGGAACCATACGAGGATGATGAATGATCCGAAATACTTAGTGACGGGTAGTGAGCATCAGTTGATTCTGCATATACCAGGCGTTCGGGGAGCACGCTCCAAAAGTGGTTTCTTGTGATATAATGATGAACAATGATGAAATATTTATACTTGATTGGGACATGTAGTGAAATATTCCTGTTAGGATAAAAAGGAAAAGAACTGGCAAGAAATCCGAGCGACTATGTACATATCGCGGAGAAAGGCTGTCTGTGTAAGTGTACTCGATCAAGGGAAAGGCCGGGAAACCTGCCCAGCAAATGCCCGCCTTGGAAAGAGGCCGACTGTAGACTTGTCATTGCATGTCGACACGCTCATATACCCTCATGAGCGGAGGGCACCGAGCAGTCGATAGCTCCTAATTATCGAAACCGCTGGTCCGTTTCAGATCTTCCCCGCCCTCTCGGACCTTGCCACCATGTTCCCTCAAGACAGACCGAAATATATCAAAACCCAATGATTGCAAATCGACAGAAGGACCGCTCAGACACCGAATGGTAGATTGTGTTATTGTAGAAGTTGGTTTTTTTCCCCTTGGTTTTAGCGAAGTGATATGGCACCGCCCCTGCTGTCTCGCATGTGGAGGTAGGCCTGGAAGCCACAAAAAACGAAGAAGCCCTGTTGTTTGTGGATGAGCATGTTAGCAAATATTGTCTCTTGTGGTATCGAGGTAGTTGCAAATTCAAACTCTGGGTGACGTACAGCATAGACAATTACAGCGACATAAATGGAGGCAGCAACTGCAGGACCATCTTCGGGCTCACCTTCCGAGCCGGTAAAAGAGTGATTATTACTCTATATTGAAGGCAGAAATATCAGTATACTATCCCGACGAATCCGAGTGGTTGTAGATGACTGGGCGCGGAACACGCCGAGCATGGACGGGGCTATAGAGAACATACGCCGTATAGGGAACCGAGGACAGAGAGGATGACGATGGCGAAAAGTGAGATAACAACACTAACAGCAGAAGAGATTGTTAGATGCTGGGAGGGCTCATGGCCAAAGCCCTCTCTGGAATGGGGGGGGCCTACCAGGACCAGGCGTTTAACGCCGACACGACGGGCTTCATCTTGACGTCGGCACAGGAGAGGTTATTCAAAAGAAGACGTTAAGGGCTAGCGCCGAATAGATGGGTCGTGCAAGCCTGATTGAGAAGTACTGGGTCGCAAAGGAAGGTCCAGGGCGATCAGTAACGGTGATGGAGGAGTACGTGAGTGAAGGTACGGAGGTTGGCGGGCGGAGCTTGGCCGTGGCCTAATCCGCTTTCGGACAGGCGCAAAGCAGCCTCGACTCGGCTGGGCCTGGAGCTATTTTATTTACTGCCGAACACACTCCTCGAGCAATAAATGTTCATTTAATTCACGTCGTAAATGACGCACGTATTGGGTCTTTTGGTATTCATAATCCCCTTGGTGGGGAGGTCTATTTTGGTTTAGTCCTATTGTCAATGGGTCTTATTCCACTCAACACACTCGTCAAACGTCACTCCGGAGCCGCCAAAGATATCCAGGGCGCTGCCAATAGTCAAGTCCACTTTGCCCTTGCTACTAATATGGACCTTCTCCAGGTCCTGTAGGCTGCGGGCACCCCCGGCATAGGTGATGGGAATGGTACACCAGGCGGCCAGTTTGGATACCAACTCCTCGTCGACGCCCTGCTGCAGACCCTCTACATCGGCAGCATGGATCAAGAATTCAGAACAGTAGGGTTCCAATAGTGCAATTGATTCTATTCAGTGTTAGTTGGGGTCCGTCAAGAGTCCACTATGGCCTGTACTGGTTGTCATACCCTGGTTGATTTCCATCTCTGTGATGGTCTGCCAGCGGTCCATCGCCACGAACCAAGTATTATCCTTTCTCCGGCAGCTCAAATCCAAGACCAGCTTCGACTTATCACCGCCAAGAGCGGCAAGCACTGACTCGAGTCGCTCCATCGAGAACTTGCCCGAGGGGAAGAGGAATGAAGTAATGATCACCTATTGTCCCACATTCCATTGGAATTGATTAGCGTCATCACTGGAAATCATGACGAACAGCATCTAAGGCACAATTCCAAAAGAATTCCCAAAAACAAATCCGTAGGCATCCTAGCCAACAGCAAGGCTAACGCAGGAAATGAAACCATCGGGCGCAATGCGATACGGGGGGAGAGGCTCACCTTCTCGGCGCCCTGATTAATCCAGTATTGCGCATTCTTGTCGGTAATTCCTCCAGCCACTTGCAACCCATTGGGCCATGTCCGAACTGCATCCTGTGCTGCCTCATCATTTCCCGGTCCAAGTTTCACCACATGTCCACCGCGGAGGTTGTGCTTCCGGTACAGATCGGCAAAGTAGCTAGCGGGGAGTTTGGAGACGTAGTTGGTCTTCAGGTCTTCGGCAACATTGCTGAGAGTGCCACCCACAATCTGCTTGACCTGCCCCGAGTGGAGGTCAATGCAGGGTCGAAACTTGGTCATTTTCCCTGCGAGTTGCAAGTTTCCAGTTGCAAGACTGAGGCCCGCCAAAGTTCCTCCGCTGTGGCTCCGATATCGAGGGGCTTATCTTTATCGCACGTGATGTGGAGCTTGGTCCAAAAAAAAAACTTTGGGGAGCGTCGGCGTTTTGACACCACCATTCAAGCGGTTTAAATCTCTCAATTCACATACATCATGGTCGGCAAAAGGAAGAGAGAGACCTCTGTTGTCCCTCGCTCTACCAAAATGAAAGACGCAAGCCCCCCACCAGCCGACAACGCGCAGGAGATTTTTCGCAAATATTTCGAAGCGCAATTCGAACCTATCGAAAACGGAGTATCTCAGCGTGCTTTAGAGGAAACGGACTCTAGAGATGAGGAGACCGGAGATAATGATGACGACAACTCAGAGCAGCTGGGATCTGATGAGGAAGGACTCTCTGGAGAAAGTGACGAAGATAACGTGGTGGAAGTTGTTGAACACGAGGATGTCAGTCTTGGAGCGAACGACTTGATGGACAAGAAAGCACGCAAGGCTTTCATGGTAGGTATCTATATATCCATTCTACTCAGACCTTAAGCTGATAACGGACGCAACAGAGCGCCAAACCTCCACCCTCTGCAAATGAGAAGACGAAGGCAACCACAAAGTCGAAGAAGAAGGATGACTCGGACGACGATACCCATGACGCCGTAAATCTGAAGAACGACCTTGACCTGCAGCGACTGCTTCGAGAGTCGCACCTCCTCGACTCGGCCTCAGAGCTCGCACCGACCGGCAAGAACCGATTGAAGGCTTTGGATCTACGCATGCAATCCCTCGGAGCCAAGGAATCTCTCTACAAACAGAAGAATATGCCCGACGCCTTCCGACAAGGCATCAAAGCCAAAGCTGCCTCGAGAGATGAGAAACGACGTCGGGAGGCCAAAGAGAATGGCATTATCCTTGAGAAGCCAGTCAAGGTCGCTAAATCGGACAATAAACGAAGGGAGCGTGGTGTTGGAGGATCTTCCATTGGCAAGTTCTCTGGAGGTACATTGAATCTGAGCAAAGAAGATCTGCAATCCATGCAAAGCTCTAGGGGCCGCGGTAGCCGCGGTGGCCGCGGTGGACGTGGTGGGCGTGGTGGCCGCGGTGGGCGCGGTGGTCGTGGTGGCCGTGGTGGGCGTGGGGGGGATACGACCCGAGCCCGCCATTGAGATCATTGTCTCGCGCCAATAAGTGCCTGACTCCCCATCCACCTTTCACTCAAACCAAGGTATCCACGACCAAGAAATTGTCGTCTTGGCAGATACTATCATTGTGAACTCAAAAACTTGCGACTTGATACCCTACCCGACCGCTACTCCAAGATCATGAGCCACCACCTCGATTTCCATCCACCTATTATCCTCACTAGCCTCATCACCAAACACAAGTCCTAGGATGCCCCTGCATCCACTTCTTGAAGTTTCGCATCATTGCGTTGAAGGCCTCATTGTTGATTGACCGTGGTACAAGTCCGCCCAGCGCGCACCTGCTCCCAGCCGTCGCCGCCCCCGTTCTTCAGGTTCAGATCAACGTTTTCAAAGGCTTGAGCGATATGTTCATTCATTTCTCGATGGAAAACTCCGGCCTTGGGATCACAACCACCTGTTATAGGGATAGTCAGCGCTGTGGCCTATAAAGAATAATCGGAAGATGGGCAAGCACGTCTTGGCCCGCGCATTCGATGCGACCACCAGTGCGGGCGGCTTGGCTGTACCAGGAGTCTTTTTGTTTCTTCTAGCCGACGCCTTCATAGTTCTAGTATTTCGAATAGCACGTTTTGTTGGAAACGGCACGCTAGTGCGATTTGTGGGCTATGTATGAGAGCTGTTTTTGTCAACCACGTCCCGTCACAGAACAGTCGGGCCTTCATAGGTTTAGGATCGAAAATCACGGTGTATTTCCATATATTCACATCCTTCAACCGGTGTGGATTTGTCCTTTGTGGCCAGTACTGTACAACGCGAATGGAAGTGGAATACGCCGTATACATTCAGGAGAGGTTGAGTTTGATGTATGACGGTATTACCCGTGTTGGTGGCGGTCCCTAAAAAAGGCTTGTTGATAGTAAATTATGTTCAGGGACTAAGTTTTTCAAAGTCAAATTGCTGAGCCTTGGCCAATCTTGTATCTTCCATATCGAAATATAGACAGGTACTGTATGTATCTCCCAAGCCCGTACCTTCTCATGGACAGATCAAAAATGAGAACCTTCTGTATGTTGACACGGCAAGTAGCGACCCAAGAAGGGAACCATATGCATCAATGAGGGATAATGATAGGGTAAGCCTGACATAAAAATCTTTACCGTTTCTAAATGGCCCACCGAAGAAATCCGGTTTCGTCATCCCAATCCGGTTTGTTTCTCGCTCGGTTGCCTCCTGATCATTTTTGTGTGTATGGACAATGCTACAGTAGCTTCGGGGATTTCTTCGGAACACTTGGCTACCGGAAAATACCGAGCTCACCTTTTCTTCAATCGAAGGTATTCGTAAATTGCTCGCTGATGCATCATCTCGGCCACGACCTTGGCGTCAAAATTGCAGGTTTCGTCGCGCATTAGCGTGCTGCTCAGTTCTGCATTAGGGGCAGCTATCTAGATAAAAATCACCTTGGAGAGGTAAGTTAATTAGCTGGCTGAAATTCGCAAACGAATGAGCAGACACCAAGGAGCAGACATCAGCTCCGCTTCCTTCCGTCGCGCCTTGGACCCGATGCGATCGTCGTGCGGAAGGTTGAGCGCGAGGGCTTGGCAGCCTGGCCATGCAAGAATCGTACTCACACAGTCAAGGGCGATTTTTACCCACCTTCTCACCCCATGCATAAGGCCGTCGTCTATCCCATGTCAACCGTTCAAGTTTTACTATATAGTTCTTGGGCCATATCCATTTCCATATATGCTGATTTATATCAGCACATACGACCATAGGGTGTGGAGAACAGGGCTTCCCGTCCGCTCAGCCGTACTTAAGCCACACGCCGGCCAGTTAGTAGTATGGTGGGTGACCACATGCGAATCCTGGCTGTTGTATGTATTTTTTGGTTTTTGCATTTTAATCCTCTGGGTAAGTCTTATTCACTGACGCTGACTATGAATATTATTGTTATTTATCCGGACTGTATCTCTCGTTTTTATTATTATTGTATATATATCAGCGCTAAGGCTAAGAATACCTACTTATAATAAGACTATAGCTAAGATCCAGGTATGAATCCCTGCAACCCTATACTCTATCTCTTTGCAATAATCATAAAACTTCCTAGGTTTGTACCTAGTACATACGACCATAGGGTGTGGAAAACAGGGCTTCCCGTCCGCTCAGCCGTACTTAAGCCACACGCCGGTCAGTTAGTAGTATGGTGGGTGACCACATGCGAATCCTGACTGTTGTATGTTCTTTATTGCTTTTTATTCTTTTTATTGCCTTTTATCCGTGGCCTACCGACCCACCCCGACTTCACGTGGGCCGGTAGGCCACGGTTATTCCTGTGTATTCAAGACGTTGACGATCTCGGAAGTTTTGGACCATCTCATTGGAAATTGCTTATCGACAGTGACACAATCGTACATTTTACCCTCGGGTTTCCACGGCGGAAGACAATCAGGGGATTATTAGGAATTCTATCAGGCAAACAGACAAATTTTCTTCGTGCAATGGCACCTCTAAGGGACTCCGCGCTGTCCCGTAGGAAAACATTCATGGAATCACACAATCACCCCCGGTCTACTCGTGAGCTTCATCGAAAGGGCGATCAGGGTCGTTCCACGAGCCTTGTAGGGTGCTGGCCAAAGACCCTCCCTCTTCTATGTTTCATAGGCGGAACCGGTCATGAGGATATGAGGTCCACTTTTGGGCGGATAAATCCGCTCTTGAATTGCCGAGAGAGCTTCTGATAGCCCTAAATTTCGGGTCTGATTTCAACCAAGTAATGAGTAATGACGTGATGAGCATTGCTCATTACGCTTTGCCCAAATTGCGATTTTGCTAGGCGTCATGGAATTGAGAAAAGTATGGAGTGGTACTGGACTGAGGAAGTCCTCCATGTGGTGAGGGATGCTGGGGATGACGGGTGCAATCACCCGCATCCTGGTCTCTTCCCCTGAGCTCTGAACATTTATTTTACTCCTAAGCGCAAGAGAAGGACCCTGCAAGTGCCTAAGGGGCTGACTAGTGTATGTCAGAAGTCGACCATCGTAGTGGGTTTCGGACCAAGGGGGCTGTGCTAGATCCGCAGATGAACATGGTCAAAGCGTTTTATTGAAGGCCTCGGCCATACATTCCGTAGGTTCTAGGCAGAATCATTCTGTGAGGAGATAGGTCAATATTAATTGAAGGATGAAGAAGCCTTCTGACTCTAGACTCTGAACTGTTTGCCAGCTTTTGCAGAGGTGTGTGGTAACGTGTCAACGCGTGCTCCCTCTTTAAGTACATAGTTCTCTATAATGAGTCTTGATTGCTTCCAAGTAACCAATATGCCCTCGGGAAGAAAGTGGGGCCTACCAAGGGAGTTTTTGAGCGGGTGTGCTATGGATCTAGTATGTAGAAGGGGGTGCGGTCATGCATTTACTGTCGTCTCACAGCAGTATAAAATGAGTTTGGCTTTCAAATTCGACATGTTCCGGTGCACACATCCGGCATCGATTAACACCAGGATCCAAGGAGAGCTTTCGTTGTCGCTGATCAATAAGAATAGAAGGAGATATTCCAGACAGAAAAGGCAAGTTCCACACGACTACACTACTGCAAGAAATGAAACAGGATGTGCAAAACTTCCTGCACGATCAGAAGTAGCTGGGTAGGCTCCGTATAGACAACATGGGTGAAGTGTCAGTATGTGGTTGGCTGGCCATTTGTATGATCAAGCTCGCGACCGTAGATCACGGAGACCGGAGCAACAGGTGGAATCTTTTGGGGAAAAAACAGCACGGGGCTGTCGGCTTTTCGAGCATCTCAGAAGTCAGTATTTACCGCGTTCGTTTTCATTTTCTTGTCAATCTGCCGGCTAAACGGAAATCCAAGCGCTCTCTTCTCTCCATTTTCATGGTGTAACCATCCTGCAAGCCGTACGTCCGAAAAACCAGGCCTGACAGGGATCCTGGTTGGATATATCGGGTACCATTCAAGCTAAGGATATTGATAGACCAATAGTGTGCCGGTGGCATCATTGATAATGCATGAGGGGGTTGCAATCGGCTACCCGAGTCGGGATCCTCTCGACGGACGGTTCGAGAACCAAGACTTGGGCACGTGAAAAGCCTGGGTGAAAGTATTGGTAACCTATTGGTTCGGACTGAAAAGTTAGGAGTCTGAAAGACTCCATAGACGAACTAGAAGCCGAGAGAAGGGTCCTAACAGCCTTATACAAACAAGGTTATGCCCGAGGTGAAAACACTCCGACGAAATGCGTGGCATGAACAAATCATTTCGGCCGACGTTCCTCGGTATACGATCGGAAGGCAAGACCAGCTCTTGGCTGCTCCGCTGTGGCATCCGGGCAATTTTGTGTATCCTTTCAGAGCGCCTGATGGGTCAATGGCCCGGAGGGACAGGTTGATAGACTTTAGGCACCATTCAGTAGCGAACACACTACCACAGTCGAGACCCCTTTGGACAGCAACTTCCCTGTCGGGCACCGCACCAAGGGGTGGAGGAAAGATGAATCTGGTGGGGCTGATCGACGGGTGACGATTGGCACCATGCGACCTAGAGGCCGTTCTACTGTCGATCATACCCCCTTAGCGCGAACCTAGTCCTGGGGAGGTCGAAAGGTGCATTCCGGACCCCTCGTGCTCCACCCATGATGTCTGGATTTAATGAAATGCAGATGCATCGTCCGCGTTAGCGGGCGGATACGGCCTCGCACGCTTATCTGGCTGTGGATGCATCATCATTGGACTAGTCCCTGGACCCTGGGTACCTCAGCCCCTTTCATGGCCCCGACTCGACCGCTATCAGTGCCCAAGCAGCAAGGGCGGAAATTTATCTTCTATACGTACAAAAACAACCAATTAAACCATTATAGGGGTATAGGAGATATTCTACATACGTAATCCGCTGACGTATGAATCAAATACTTCTCTTCCTTCCCCCTGAAACATGGCCCTAGTCGGGGGAAGATTCTTGGCATTTGCTTGACGGAATGCAAGTCCTGTCCGATACTGGCTCTTCCACCACGTGCAGGAAATCTGGTTTTGCCAAGGATATGATATGCTATCGTTATTGGCTTTCCACCTCTCGCCCGGTCTTATCAGGAAGGTGCAAGTCCTGCACAATATCGGGGCAAATAGAGCCTAGAAGGGGTCGAGGTGAAAATATTCATTGTCAGAGAATAACCCTCATTCGTAAATGTTTTATCGAACGTGCTATGCAGATCTCTTCGTAGTCGATACGTAGGACACGCGTGGGTTGACCTTGGAAAGAATTCCCAACCGGCAATGGCATTTCAGCCGCGAAGCTTAACAAGTCGAGGCCGGGGAGAGTTTCGGGGGGCCGTGCTTGACAGGCCCATCAGGTAAGATATCTATTCATATAAAGTGAAAGGAGATGGTGCGGACGTGAGCTATTGAGGCTTAGAGGTGTAGAAACTAGCAACCAATACTTGAGAATCCTCTAGATAACACCTTGGAAACCCACACGCATCTGAGTTTAGAATCCGACCTATTGATCAGCAGCTATCTGTCATACGCTAACTGGCTTCCGGCTTACCCTTTCTGTACACTCCTTGCCACACTACCAAGGGGTTGGAGGAGATGGTCTCCTGGGGCAGAACCCACAGTGGAGCACATGGTCTTGACTCTCCTCAGATACGTGGGCCCGGCTGACATTTGCAGACGTTCTACCGGGCATCTCGGGCTGACGTCGGAGTACAAAAAGGCGATGACATTCCAACCTTGGGACCTGGAAGTAATCTTGGCGCTAACAAGGCAACCCTTCCTTTTTTTTCCTGTCGATACTGACTGTCATTCTTCTGAGTCATGCTCCCCAAGGCTTGAGTTATCTATTACTTCTCTACTTCTTCATGATGCCCTCCACCAAGTTTTCAGGCATTTGTAAAGAGCCTTGTGTCACAGAAAGCTCTGTCAACTCCAGCCCTATTCTTTCGTCTCAGGATGAGAGGCAGCTTGCGACATCATCTTCAGATTCTATCAAACTCGAGTGCCAAATTTCTTCGTCGCCACCATACCATGTCTTCTCTCGATCTCGCAAACTGCAGATGGTCTGCATTGTTTCTCTCGCTGCCATCTTCTCCCCCCTATCATCCAATATCTACTTTCCTGCCCTTGGGCTTATATCAAAGGTTGGTTTTTCCATTATCCAGAAAATGATGTTATTCGGACCGAATCATAACTTCATTGGTTAGCAATTAAATGTCTCCATGTTTTTGACTACTTTGACGGTCACCGTTTATATGATTGTTCAAGGAATCGCACCTAGCTTCTGGGGCTCCTTCTCCGATGTCGTCGGCCGGCGTGTGATCTTCGTCGGAACTTTCGCTGTCTACATTATTTCGAATATCGCGCTCGGGGTTTCAACCAACTATGGAGAGCTTATGGCCTTTCGTGCCTTGCAAGCCGCCGGCAGTGCTGCCACTATCTCAATTGGTACCTCCCCTCGTCCCCTCTAATTGGGTATCATGGCTAACCAATGCAGGCGCTGGTGTAATTGGAGATATTACTACATCAGCCGAGAGAGGAAGTCTGGTCGGAATCTTTGGTGGAGGTAAGTCGCTGTCGAATATCAACTAGACGTGGATGCACAATTCTAATCTCTCTCAAGTTCGTATGCTTGGTCAGGGTATTGGTCCCGTATTCGGCGGCATTCTGTCTGAGTACTTGGGTTTTAGATCCATCTTTTGGTTCCTTACCATTCTATCGGGACTCAGTCTACTCTCCATTCTCTTCTTCCTCCCCGAGACCCTCCGTTCCGTGGCCGGAAATGGCACAGTCCCTCTCCGCGGTGTCTACAAACCTTGGATCTATTGTATCACTGGTCAGGAGCATGCCAAGGAGGACGCCGTACCATCTACAGAAAAAAAGAGAATTACCATCAAAACGGTGTTTGCTCCCCTTGGCTTTTTGGGAGAGAAGGATGTCTTTATCACGTTGCTCTTCGGTGCGATGGTGTACACAGTCTGGTCAATGGTTACCTCGTCGACATCAGACCTTTTCGAGTCCACCTATGGTCTAAATACTTTGGAGGTTGGTCTGACCTTCTTGGGTAATGGTGAGTATATTATGTTTATATCAATTGAAAATAAATCTAACAGTTTCCTAGGCTTTGGCTGCATGTCTGGATCATACACTATCGGCTACCTGATGGACTTCAATCACAAGAGAACCGAGCACGAATACTGCATAAAACACAACTTCCCTCTCGAAACCCGCATCACAACCAAGACCCATCCTGATTTCCCCATTGAATACGCACGCATGCGCAACACTTGGTGGATCACAGCTCTCTTTATCGCGTGCACCGCTGTGTACGGAGTCTCTCTTCGGACACATATTGCTGTTCCAGTCATTCTTCAATACATCATCGCTTACTGTGCCACCGCCATCTTCACTATCAACAGCGCCCTTGTCATTGATCTCTACCCAGGAGCTAGTGCTAGTGCGACTGCGGTCAACAACCTGATGCGATGCTTGATCGGTGCGGCCGGTGTCGCTGCCGCCCAGCCCATGATCGACACCCTTACAGCTAAATGGACCTTCCTACTGCTCGCTGGTATCATACTTTCCATGGCTCCTTTGCTAATGATCGAGATGCGATGGGGCGCTGGATGGCGACTCGAGCGCACAGAACGCCTGAAAAGAAAAAACGAACTTGCCTAACACTCGAATCGATAAAATGGTGGTATGCCAATCCAAAAGTGACTTGGTTTCAATAGATGATTTCTGGCGGGGTTCTTCCTCTTCAACAGGGGGGAGGTGTTATGCAAAGACGTACAGCTAGACTGGGCACGCGGCCCTTCACGACATAATGACCTGAACTTCAGCGTGTCTTCGCCGTACATATTTTGATTTATGTTTCTTTGTTGCTTATATTTCTTGATTCATTTTATCTTGGTTTCTATTTTTTGACTTTCAGCTGCATGTTGTATATAGATTATCTGCTTTCATTAGCAGTTCTGATATTTTTGGTTTCAGGTAACGCCATGAAATAAAATTTTAAGCAAATCGCTTGACTCTCCTGAAAACTCATCGGATTGTAGCTAACTCCACGTCTTCCTATGGCATCAGAGTGCACCACTCATTGGGGTATCCGTGGAACCTGCTCGAGTCCGATTTTTCGGTGCCTTGTGACTATCATATTATGGGGGAAATATATGTTGGAATTTCAACCATTAAGGGTACATTTGTACACTTGATCAGCTATTTTCCTGCCGTGTCGAGTTTTTTGCCCTTCCAGGCCTATTCAAGAAAGCAGTGTTCTATAGGCATTTGACTTTTAAGCGCTTTCATTTTTGAGTGAATCTTCGACTGAAATTTGGTCGATGAACCAAGGATCATGACGATTGTTACCTGAGCTTGCGGTACCGGCTCCTGTACAGCCAGTCGGTAATACCTGTAGTAATTGTGGGTCTCAGGTCCAACAGTCGGGCGTCGGGACGAAAAACTCAATTAAAATATAGAATTGTCATGACCTGATTGACCGTGGAAATGCATGATTATTACTACCTAATAGGTTATATTGCCAAAGTTTTGGACTATCTCTCAACATCAAGCAAGCTGGCGCATAGGAAGCGCGTCGGGCTCATAACCCGAAGGTACCTGGATCGAAACCAGGGTTTGCTATCTTTTTTTCACTTTTTTGGAATGGGGGAGAATCAAAGCTAAATTAGCACGAAACATGTTCTGCTTGCTCCTACTGTTTTTACTGCACCTTTTTTATCTCATAGGATTAATTTGGTAGTATTATGTGTACCATTTTGAGTATTGGCAAACGGGCCGCGGTTAATTCACTCAAACATGGTGGCTCCGCATATCCGCATATATATACATATTTAGGTAGCGATTTCCACGGGAATTTGCATTGTGGGATTCATCCAACAACGGACATGGGCTGCCATGGCGTGCTGGATTATCGTGAAGTCCACGCCCTCAGATGCCTCTCGTAGGTCTCCGAGCGATGTAGCCGTAGATATTAGATTACCAAAATAGGGCAATGAAATTACTGGCCCTGATTTGGCCTAGGTTGTCACCTCGAAGAAGAGCTATTGAGCGAGAACAGTAAGGCCAAGAAAACTGGCCCCTAGATATTTTCGGGCGGCAACCAAGCCTACGTGTTCGCACAGTTTCGTGTCATAGGGCGAGTCGCCGCCTCGAGGAACAAGGCTGCCTCGACGAGTGGATTGCACTCTGGATTCTTGCGCGCTAAGTCCAACATCGATCAGCCGGCTCGTGAAATTTTCGGACCAGCCCCCTCCCTAATCCTCAGCAGTCGTGTTAGAATTTCCTATTCCCTGTACAGAGTAGGGTTTCGTTTTAGCCCGAGGCTCACTAGGCAGACCGTCTAAATGAATAGGGGCCGCTCGCTCGTGTTTGACTGGATCGCTAGGGCCATTTTCAGCATTGAGGTTCGGCTAGGGGCCGAAGAATACGTTTGGTCGCAATACATTTAGAGAACATCCTCCTCGCCCACTGGTACTCAACTCATTTTCCGTGCCTATCGATGCGACACATCTATCATGGAACACAACAAAGACTTAAATCCAGTGGCAAACCCACTGACTAGTACCACCGAACCAGCTCCCTGTGCCACCAGTGCGACACCAATGCCGGACGCCCCTGCGACCACCGCGACCGCCATCACATCCCCACCAGCAGACAAGGAGGGACCAGCAATAACCGCCGAATCCCAACCTCCGCGATACGAAGAGTGTGTTCCCCGACGTAACAAGGATGATATTTGCTGACTGATTTCCACAGACAGGATAAAGAAGTGATGCCAGCACCAGCACCAGCACCAGCGGTCGCTTCCATTACCACAAGTTCTGCCCCAATTGAAAAGACAGCCTGGGAATCTGCCATACAGGCTCAACCTGCTCCACCCGGACAAGGTCTGGTCGTCCAGAAAGCTGTCAATGTAAATCAACTTGGCGAAGAGCCACGCTTGGTCAACTGTCCCTTCTGTAACCGCGAGGGCGATACCAGAGTCAACAAGGAAAGCATGGGTGCCACAGGGTAAGATTAAGACCCAGATATTTGTCCCCTGCGATTTCCCGTATTGATACTGATACCCCACAGAATGGCAGCGGTCTGCTGTTGTCTCTTCGGTGGCATTATCTGTGCTTTCCTCCCGTACTGCATGGAAATGTGCCATGACAGCCACCACTTCTGTACAAACTGCGGACAGAAGGTAGCCGCTATTCGGCCACACGATGGTCAAGTGCAGGTATTTTCGCCCCATTCTCCCGTGGTCACAGCTCCCGGGCACGTTCAGCCACCACAAGCAGTGGCGATGAGCCACCGCACCAGCGGCAAGATCTAAATATTTGTTGTCTTACCTGGGTTGTCCTGTTCAACCCTGGTCCCCTGTCCTAGCGGCCCATCAGTAACAATATTCATTTGGAGTTTTTGAAGACCCATGAGCCCCACTTGAGGCTCAACTGGATCTTAATTCCCAGATTCTGCCAACGGGCTGGACGCCATGCACTACTAATGGTGCAGTCAATGAATTGATGTACATATTGCTAGTCTTTGAAGCACGAGGCAGAATCCGAAACATTATAATGTTCTAATATTGATTTGAACAAAATAGCCCGCGTTTAAATTAAACACTTGTGTATTGCTTAGATAAGCACATTCCCGTGGAGAGGATGACTTGGTCCATAATTGTATTGACTGGAACCAAGATGCATGAACCTTCGGAATGAAGTCATAACAGCCCGGGTGGTCTAGTGGTATGATTCGCGCTTAGGGTTAAACCCAAGCATTTCTGCGCGAGGTCCCGCGTTCGATCCGCGGCTCGGGCCGTTAATTCTTTTTCTTTTTATGTTTCCCTCTTGTTTTGAGACCTCGATCATGATCTCCGAAAAGGTAGAGGTTATAGTAGCAAATCTGTTGTACATCCATCATCCATCAGTTCTGACGAGATTCATGTGGTTTTCAAATAGTATGATCGATCACCTGGTTCCTTATGCGGGTCCAATATGTCAAAACATAGACACTAGATCCGCCATGGCTCTATCTCCCAACATGCTGGAAGCCCACAGAGCCTTTGCTACGGAGTACTAATGAATGGCTGTTATATATAAACCTCAGTCCAGTAGTATTACACCCGCCCATAGAGCTGGTATTACATCGCCACTAATTCTCAGCGTGCTCGACAAGATCGAAACTACCACCAAGGAAAGTCTAGATAAACAACTCTTTTTTTGGCTCTAAATCGGGGACTCTATCTATGTAAGTAGCCTTGGGATAGAAGACACAACAAATGCAATGTAAGATTAAATGACAAAAAACCAAACGGCCCGAGCCGCGGATCGAACGCGGGACCTCGCGCAGAAATGCTTGGGTTTAACCCTAAGCGCGAATCATACCACTAGACCACCCGGGCGCTTGTTATAGCATGGTCCTGCTAAGCGAAATGATTTTGATTTGCCAAGAAAAAACATATTGGTAAATAAGAAAGGTCCGAGCAAGGTTTAGGCGCGAGCCAGGATCAAGGCGGGGCCTCCCGTAGTAATGCTTAGGTGTAGCCCTAAGCGCGAATCATACTAACAATAAAAAATAGGCAGCTATCGTATTGGAATTACCAAAAGGAATAATCACAATTCCTCGTGAAAAACAGATGAACAGAGTTAGGATCAAAAAGATACAAAACGAAACGGCCCGAGCCGCGGATCGAACGCGGGACCTCGCGCAGAAATGCTTGGGTTTAACCCTAAGCGCGAATCATACCACTAGACCACCCGGGCTGTTGTTATGAACGTGTCGATGAAAAGATGAACCATAAGCCGCATGCTGAAACTGCTCTTGCTTTATGTCAGCTTCTGCGGTGACAAACAACAAGGAAAGTAATTCTAACGGTAGGAGAGCCATAGACCGTAAATATATTGACCAGGGGAAAGGAAGAAGCAGTAACGTGCCATCTTTAGGCTAAGAACTGAATCACCACCTAATGCGTTAGTAAATCTGTCACCCCTGTTGCCTTTGTGGATTGTATTGATGAGTTCACCTTGGCCGGATAGTTACAATTGATACGCTTGGCTAACGACGCCACCGAGAATAAACTTTAGTAGTTTTTGGCTATATTGCGGCTACTGATGTATCAAGTAAATACTTGGCAGGGTGGAAGGCCTCTCGATTAGGTAAAAATTCGATAGCGAAAGGATAGAGAAATGCAATTGACTCAGCCTAGTATCCGTTCATCCAAGAAACTGAATCTTGACAGATTCAGGATGAATGGAAGTCGGGTGACTAGTCTTCAATAGGGGATGAATACTATATATCATGTAATTATTCTTCTGATCATGAGGTTGCCTCCGCACACAGGGCAAAGAAAGTAATCCTTCATAACAGCCTAATGTAGGGCTGCTGAGTGGTAACGAGACTACCATTTCAAAACATTGTTGATCATGATACCTCTAGTAAGAGTGTCTTCGAGATGGAGGGGGACTCCTGCTCGATCTAGTTACTAAGTCGATATATAGAAGAAATGGTGACTAATGTACTGGGCGACAATGAAAACAAGGGCGATAATGGATGATAAGGAGGGTGGGAAGCAATATATGCTCCCGCAGGAGCGATATCATATGCTCCTAGGGGTCAAAAAGGTATACTGTTAAGGTACCCATCTACTTGCAGGGTAGAGGTCTTATTGATCAGGTAAGGCGGAACAGTATAGTCATTTTAAAACAAGACCGATACTTAAGGAATCAGAAACAGACAGGAGGATATGTAAACATTTTATATAGGGGCATCCTGTATGTATACCTAAGCGAAAGGGTGTGGACAGGATATCGCCAGGTATTATATTCTAACTCACGATACCTCTCCTAAGCGGGGTTTATAGAGGGGTATTCTGAGTTAATTCCTAGGTAGAAGGGCACCTATGGATGGGGTGTCGTTAGCTGCTTGCGGATCTCCATCACCTGTAACTCGAGCTGTTCAGCTTCCTTTCATCTCCTTGATTCAGGTATGTCGATGCAAGATTCGCCATGATGCTCAGAGGGTCGGGATGCTCTGGCCCAAGCAACTGCTTGTAGGTCTGTAAAACAGGATAACGAACTGTATTTTTGGACACACACACTCGTTTCTGGATGTCTTTTGACAAGGTTGGCGCCCAAAATTTGACATTGTTGTCTGATAAGAATTCCTCAGAGCCAAAGCTAAAGATACCTATCTAGTCTTTGCTAAATGGGTAGTCATCTTCGCTGAGTCTGTATAGATTAGCGATACGAGGGTAGATATCGCCGGTGGATATATTTGTCACCCCAGACGCCACCCAGGTCAGGACGTTCTAATTAGCGCTAGTTACACCAGACCACAGGATGAACGTTGTGTCATTCAGTGTCCTTGAGGCCGAAGACTTGCCATTATTCGGCAGGGTAGCGTCGCTAATTTATGCAAACTAAACTTTTACCTCGTGCTTAGCTTTAGTACTATTCTAGGTTGCTGTCAGTCACTATCGAAGAATTTTTCGACTGCGACTTTGGTGTTGACGAAATTGGCGGTCAGATTATGGTTTACTAAATTCCCAAGTCAGCCAATTTTCAATTTCCGCGAACATTGCAATTGTCAATCGACTTACGTATGAACTAATCTCTTTCCGGAAGTGGTGTAATGCTGTAGGCTAGCTGGTAGTATATAGTGTTATTCACACCATTATTGGTGATGCCACTGCCGCCGGAGCCGGTCGATCTTCCGCTTCAATTACTCTCAGTTTTCCGCTGAATAGAGGAGCCTATCCATTCTTTGATCTGTACGCATCAATCCCGAACCATGCTTCTAGACTGCCACCGATTGGAATGGCGAAGAGACCGGCACAGATAATTAATTTGAGTGACAACGTCACCCGATAAATAGAAGTTAATAGAATATAAGGGCCTAGGTTAGGTGAAAGAGAAGATTAGAGAATCCCGTCCGCTCGAAGGCAATTTAAAACAGGTACTTGAGCGGGTACTTGAGCGGGTACTTGAGCGGCATCTAGTGCTTATGGATGCCGGTCTCTGGCAAACGGCGAGCGAATGGGACTAGATTAGCAGGGGTTGGATTTTGAAACTTGACCAGCAAAATCTTCAAAAGAGCTGCAAATTTGGACTTGTCCAGCACTACGGAAGTCAGGGAAGACCAGTCGCACCAAGATTTCTCCGAGTGCGATCAGTACATTCTCTTGGCGCTGCAGCGACACCGGGCAGGCCAACCCGCACGTACAGAATGCAGTGTAATTAGTACGTATCACATTTAGCCTGTGACAAGCCAGTTCTAGCGTCAGTGATGGCCCCGCCACTACTGTAAGCGATCTCCACCCGCAGGTACAGGGTGCACCATCGGGCAGGTCTGTGTCCCCGGGGGGGTTTCTTCAGGCTACATTAGCTCAGACACACAATCAGGGGTTTCCAGGGGTTTCATGGCGTTCGGGGTGATGGTATCGGGTGCTCAGGATCAGGCTCAGGAGTGACCGGTGTTAAGTCAACGTCAGTGAGGGGATGATCAGGTTACTAAAAAGATAGTTAATTATCCTGTGAAGCAGGCATAATATAGGCGGTGTGGGAGAGTGGGAGGTCGAAACTTTTTGTTTTGACGATAAGTTCACAAAAACCGGTTCACCTTGACGGTCCACTTTGCAGAATTTTTTGGTTCGAGGGGCGCCTTACTACAGTACAACCTTGGAACGCAGTACATATATTGTGTAGGATTCACCATACTAGCCTACTACGATTTATATGTACACTCTTATTATTGTCCCACTCCGTCTTTGTCCAGAAATTATCGCTCTCAATCAACCAATATGAATGTTTCGAAATGGAAACCCTCCCTGCATCATATTGCATTTGACTCGCAAAATGGGGAACAGCTGCCGGCCACCCCGGTGCTCAGTATTCTCCAGTTTAAGTTCGGATCGGCAGTCAACCTAGATGACCCATCACAGCCTGTCTCTGTTCTGTGGCGAGTCTCTGTGGAGTTTATATCGACAATCTCAGGCTTCCAAGGACTCTACTGGGCGCCGGTGGATCAAAATACAATCATCATCTTGATCCAGTGGGATAGTGGTTTCTCCTGGAGGCGGTTCCAATGTTCTATGGGCTTCAGCATGCTACTGGGCTACCTAGAACAAGTTTATAACCGCTGCGTGATGCTTGCTCTTCCCGCTCATCTCACCGAAGCTTGTTTCCGCCTAGAGTTGGTATCCTATGACTTCCCAGCTCGGTCATATACCTCACAAAATACCTCTGGTGAGCACCAAGACAATTTTAAAGACCGATGGGAGATTTTATTCAAATCCCATGTGAACGATGGCTTGGTATATGCCTGCGGTGGCTGGATACAGGATGACTGTCGATTTACGTATCCGTGCTTCGGTCCCGGAGGTCAGATAGAGGAAGGTTTCCAAGCTGAGAACCAGTACTTTGCCGGCCTCGTTTTCTGGAACACCGACATTGAATTAAATATCTCATCGGAAACTGCGGACCAAGTTACAGTTCTGTCTAAAGAAGCAGATGTCGTGGCTTCTTCTTTCACAGAAAGAATACGCTACAAGGGATTGGATGTTTCTGCATCCCATGGAAAAGTGTCCGATCTCATCTCAACGCAATCGAATTCGGAGCATCCACTCTTTAACGTTCCAGTAATTCGCCGATGCGATTTAGGGGACTTGGATCGTCTTCAGGGTAAAGACAAGGTGCATTTGGCAGCGTTGAAAGCGACACTAACCGACGGGGGTAAACGTAAAGTTCCTAGTCCTGCTGGTAATTGGTTCTCCATGGGGTCCATCAATCAGCATCATATGCCTACACTGCCTGATTATACACCGAGATCTACAATGGAAATGATTTCATTCTGTGTTTGGCAAAAATGTGACTACTTCATGAGTGCATTCGCAGACCTCCGAGCTGCCATGTGGAAGCTAGGAGACTGTCCTCCGGTCCACTGGGGCACTGATTATAAGGATTCTACTAGAGTCTTTTTACTACTCGGTATGTATCGTGTGTTCAAGCTTGAAAATTTTACTCACGGTTGACAGAATTCGACGACATAAAATCTGCACCTGTCCAGACTCAAGCGCAATTCCACCAGCTTATTGGAGAGTTCGAAATTGCATGCAAAGACATGATTCAAAACCTAACATACACTCAGATTCCTGGACCCCAGAAGCTGGGATCTTTCTCTGACCTAGAGATTATGACTTTCCATGTCCCAGATCACGAAAGTGATATACGCTCATTTGAATGGGCTTATCATAATCTTATGCAGTATGGCCATTTTTGATTGTTTTCTCTACATGCCTCATAAAATGATCCACCGCTAATGACCATATCCACCAGAACAACGTATGTTCACAATGATCCCGGACTTCCAATCAGCCACGCTAGGGCCTCTCCGGTACACAGCCATGGTATTTTCTATACCCCTGGAGACAGAAGGAACGAGAAAAGTCACCAACTAGCCAAGTTCACATCAGTCTGGTCCTGGAGCACGTATCAACCTGGTCAAGCGAGAACAACGTGGTACGCTGAATTTGCCGAGCGTGCTCAAAATGAGTATGAATGTCTTGGGCATATCGTTGACTGGCTTCGGATCCACTCCAAAAGTTCCGAAAGCCTGTTCCTTGTCCTTGAGCGAGATGACAAGGTGATTGAGCTGCTACAGAACGATTCTCGTTCTAAAAAATATCCACCACAGCCCGGGCCAGGTTTTGGTGGCGCACTACCTATACAGACAATAGATTAATTGATTATACTGGATATCCTTGCCGAAAACTCTACGGGGCACTGCTCGAGATAAGACTCTATTTTTCTTCTGATAAGGCAATGGAGAATCTCAGCTTCGGGCTGAACCAGACACTTGTGATAGTTACTCAGGATAAAACTATACTTTAGGAAGTTGTAATGATGTTGTGAATTTCCAACGGTCGCAAATCTTATGTTGAAACTATAGGAAATGTACACTGATATCCAAATCAATCCGTTGGAGTAACCGAAAAGTTCTTAACCTTCAACTAGCAATAAGCTTAGCCTCAAAACTGTATCTGCGGTGGAAATTAACGGACGCTACTCCTTCCAGATGTATCCCATGTCATGTTGATATCGTGGTAGCCCCTGACTATCTTGAGCGGCAACTCAAAGTATATTGGAGACACCGGTGGACCAGTCGTTTTTTTGAAAGGCGAGGGCTTTATTTGTTAGTGGAGAAGCTATGAAAATGGAAGAATCAGCTTACCGGTAACATAATAGGTCCATGAATCTATAGAGTCAGATGTTTGTTAGCGTCCACTTTCAGTGGAGGAGGTACAGGTAAAGTTCATATAAAGTATATCGTACCAGCGTTCTTGATAGCCTCGTCTGCATTGCTTTGTGCGAGATGAGAAATGCAGTCCCAGCCATATGCTGATCCTGTCTTTCCAGGTACAGTGCAGGCCTTGTCATCTACGAAAGATCGATGTCAGTCCTATTCGTTCCATTTTTATTTTGGAGAATCAGCATATATGATACGTACCCAAGTATTCTTCATTTTCGCCGATAATCATTCGAGCATGGCTAAGCTCATGGAGCAAAGCGGAAGTGTAGGTACTTCCTTGGAACTCGTCCAAATTTACCTGGCCCGATGCATACTGTGTGTTGGCCTTGTCCGACAAGGTCACTCCCTGTAGATATCTATTGTTCCAAGTGGTCACCCATGATTGGCACAGTGTTCAAACACTTGTGATCACGGTCGGGCTCTGAGCATTGTTCACCACACTAGGGTCAACCCAACCATAATATGAGGGAACATCTCTACAAACTCCCCCCGATGACCTGTAATCTTTGATCATCTGGTTAGTGGAGGTTGTTCGACCATCCCAGTAGACAAAAGGCGTGGCTGGAACGTATCACAACGTTAGCAAAACGGGCGACCTCAGAAGTCTGACAAAAAGAAAATATGTATCCTTACTGCTGACGCTTCCATCGGGTGCCACCGTCTTAAGCCAATCATCACTGCAGTAGACTTCAAACTGTCCATTGTTCCAAAAAGTGTCCAAGCCGTTTGAGAATTTGGTAGCAAAATCTAACAACGTAGGTTAAAATCACTGGTCGTGAAGTCCCTGGTAATGTTCCTTGAATCAAGAGCCTACCTAGTATAAACTTAACTCGAGCAAGGCCAGGAGCGTTCCTGGCATCACCTGCACTAAACCACACAAAACCAAAGATAGACTCGAAGGTCCTGGCAGTGGACCGAAGTAAAGCTACCTCGTTGCGGATATCGAGATTAGCTCCGTTATTTAGGTTTTCTAACCAGTTATAGAAATCAGTGGTTCGAAGAATCACAACGTTGAGCTTGAAAAACAGTCAGTATTTATGTTACATATGTGCCCCCAAGAACCAAAAGCTTACCATCGCTTTTGCCTCGACGACTGCAGCATTGATACCGTTCAGATTGTCTGGAGTGCAGTGTTGAGTATATGTCGTGCTCCTTTTGTTCCAAGTTTTTTCGTTGGTGTCCATTGGAGCAGCAGTCGCCAAGTCAAAGCAGGCGACTGCTGCTCCTAGAAAGGAGAACAAAGTTTGGAGCCTCATCTTATGGAGGAGAAAGACCTGGGTTTGCAGACAAAGAAAATTCCGCTGTTCACAGTACGAAGGTCCTGAGAATCTATAAATGATTAAAAGAGAAACCGCCCTGATTTTGTCTCCTAATTGAAATAATTAGCTCAAAATGAGTCGGCTGTTGTCTTGCGTGTTTTTTCGTTTCATCCTTTTCGCTTTTATTTACATCCTTTCCATTTGGGGGAATAATCTTGCATTACAACGCTATAAATCTCAGTCATCTCCCGTATACGACTCCAGCCGGGTTTAGTTCTTCTCTAGAGTCTAGCTTGAACTAGAATGAACCATCTGAAAGCCCAAACAAGGCTTTTCATGACAAATTCAGAGAATTCGGTCCACTTAAGTAGAACTATGCAGCTAGGTTAAGGTATGGATGCAGTTACATGCGCCATGCGAAGAATCGATTACAACTAGACTATACCTATTCCATGTGGGTATAACTTGGTATTAAGTGGAAACCCACTTATCACTCCATAGCGCTAAGAGAGGTCCCACCAGTAGAAGAGACTTCGCTTCCAAGGTTGTTGTGAACCTTTCGGATGCCTAAGTAAAACCTTCAGGGGCTTAATAAAAAGCGAATGAGTTATGAAATGGTAATACCGGTGTGGAATCTGTCCTTTTTAGGAACAATTTATGAGCTTACGACTCAACGTATAGATGACAATCTTTCCCGTCGGAAACTCCGACAGAAAAGCTAGCTCAAAAACAGTCCATATAACTATAATATGCTCGATTATTTGTATGCTCGATTGTTTGGTTTCCTAGGGCCGATGTAGATATCTAATTCCTTGATTAACATGCAGCAGAGGTTTTTGGAAGCCAAAAATGCTCAGCTAGGCGTGGTATGAGATGCATGGTAGCGGAGGGGTCAAAATGCTCATTTCAGCCTACATGATCAAGGATTTTATTTAGTTGTGAAATTCTTTTTTTTTATTAAAAAAAAAATAAAAAATTAGGCCCTCTCAAACACAGAACAGGTCGAGAAAGATAGAAAGACCAGAGGGTCCAAGCTATTGGGAAACCAGAAAGTTCCTGAAAGGCATCTACAGCCTGACGAACTCCTGAAATATCCATATTAATAGGGCTACAAGCGTCGAAATCCAGGATCCACAAGCTGACAATCCGTTTCTTGAAAGTGGGACCGGTGTTTGTTATGCGTTCATAGGTGCTAGAACCAGGCACAAGGCGTTCCGCATCTCTGAGAGGTAGCATGCGGCGCACAGATTGTTGATCAAGAGGAGTACTTCCCAGTACGAACTCAATATCTAGAGCATCAATCTTGGTATGCCAGTGTAAGGCTGCAAGGGTATCTGCCATGCTCAGTGCGTACTCTTCGGCATCTAGGTCGATCTCCTGGAGCTGGTCAAGATGGAACTTGTAGTTCCTGAGCGAGAAGAACATGCTTCCTCCTGGCCGCGACGATCCGAAGCGCTTCCGTCCCAAGAGAATTCGGACGAGGCAGTCCTTATTTGCAGGTTCGGTCTTTGCTGTAGAAACGTTGACCGGGTTGCAGAACACATCGATTATGGCATGCCTAATTTGTTCAGGTAAGGGGAAGATATGCTCCATGCACATGACCTCTCTTGCCCGTCGTGGGAATGTGGATTTATCTGGAAATAGATCCAGGTTCTCTTCCCAGAAGACTGAGCTTTTGTTCGCAAACCATGCTACCCGAGGCACCTCAGCTAAGCCCGCGACGTCGCCCAGAGTATCGAAGCTTTGCTGGATGCGGAGATGCATGATGTAGTTGTTCCACAATTTGGCGGTGTTGTCAAGAAGGAGGACTTTGAACGCCCATGGGGTTCCTGGTTGCTCGAATACTCTGCCTATGGAGCCCACTCCAATCTCTCTGAACTCGGTCCTAGTGCCAATAGCTGCTTGCTGTCTTCTAGCAAAAGATGAAGCGGTAGATATGGCGGATCTGGTCGTAAGCAGTCGATGAAGAACCTCTTGCGGGGTTCTAGCTTCTTGTTCCAGCTTCACCTCCAGCTGGAGGCTTCTCTCCATGGCAATGGCTAGGGAGCCTGTCCATGAGTCCTCAGACTTGTCGGATTTCCGAGCTTCTCGACGAGCAGACATGTGGGCTCTATATCAAAGGTACTCAGTTTCAACACAGCTTCAAGCAGGGATGGATTGAGAAGGCTCACCTAAGATCAGGTAATGGAAGTTTTGGAGGTGTTCAAAATAAAAGACGGGAGGTTGAACACGGTCGTGGTGTCAGAAATGGGATATGTAGACACCCCTGAAGTGATTGTGGATTTGGGCGAAGTGAGACGAGTTTCGCGTCTCAGGTCCCCTACATTAAGGAACTACCCATCAAAAAATTTCCGACTCGTAAGGTCAAATTTGGTAATCAAAAGTTAAAGCTTGAACTCATGTGTCCATTAATAAAAATTTGAATTCATACACGCTCGCTTGCCCTCCTTTTCCTTCCTCATTTCCCCCTCCTGTTCTACTAAATCAATGAAGCGCCGTGACAAAACGCGTCGTCGGTCTGCTTCTTGCGGCTCGCAAAACGCAAAACAAGCATCACTGGTTTTAATATAGTGTCCTTGAAACGCAGTCCAGACCAAAGGGTCTTTTCCTGGTCGAGGGTAGTAAGGATCATTGCCCCAAAAGGCTGCAACTGCTTGCTCCACTCCTTTAAAATCTAAAGCCATTCTCCTGCATAAATCAAAGTCTAGAACCCATACTGAGTGGTCCCCAAAGGTATAAGACTGTATTTGAGATGATGCATCATCTTCCTCATTAGGAGGTGCGAGAACAAACTCGATATCATTTCCATCAATTTCGCCAACCCAATGCATTATAGCGAGCGTTTCGCCCATAATACTGGCGTACTGCTGGATGACGTTTGGTGAAATACCGAGTGATTCCATTTGATCAATATGAAGTGGATAATTGCGTAGGGAAAATGCTGTGAATTGGGACGTAGAATAAGGCTTTTGTGTTCGTCGTCGGCCTAGGTATGGCCTTATCAAGCAGTCTTTATTAACCTCGCAAGCGAGGATTTGCTGAGCAATCTCTGACGGACAGTAATTGTTGACGAGGAGTTGCCTGATAGTCTCAGAAAAAGGCGGAATACGCTGGGACTGGATCATATTGCATGGTGTATACCCTGGTGGAAATTTTCGCTGGTTTGCTAACCACCATTGCTGCTCAGTTGCCCTGATAAAATTATAACAAGCTGGTATTTGAATTTGAGGGCGAGTTCGAAGCAATTGGTTTGCGTTGGTAAACGTTTGAAAGCTTTGGAGTAATCGATGGTGCATTTCGAAGTCATTTTTCAGAGAGCGGCCGGGCCCACCATCCTCTCTTTTGAATGCATAGCCCTTCTCGGAAGCAGCCCAGACCGTGCCGCAAGACCCATTTCCAATAATATGTAGGGGATGTTCTTTGATGAGACTCCCAGACATAGTTCTTGCAGCTTCGCAGTTTTCAGGCGAGGCATGTGGTGAAGCGGCAGGGAGATGTAGTATAGAGGTATCCGTCGCCTGGATATCTTTGACGAGACTGCTAGCCATCGTGTTTGCAGCCTGGTTCGCTCAGATGAGATATGTGGTGAAATAATAAAGCAAGAGTCCATGACGCCCGAGTGTGACATTGGTAATAGCGCTCGCCTAGATAGGACTAGTTTGTGACGGTCACCTGATATGGAAGGAGATGGCATGGAAGGCTCCGGCGTGTGGTAGTCAAAGAGAGCTCATCTCTCTTCCTCTTCCTCTTCCTCTTCCTTTCCTTTCTCGGATTCAATATTTTCATTGAATGGACTCTTCTTCCCGATGATTTGCCAAGTGTAACATAGTTGTTATACGGTTCCTGTGGGACCGTCCCGTGACCAGAGTTACGCACAACAATGGAGTATGTCTCCGCACCTTAATGCATTATGGGGTCGCGTTACCTTTCTAACCCATCTAACGATATGATGTCAAAATAACAAATGGCCGTATAGGCTTCTTATGTAGCCTAAGGAGTATTTTAGTCTAGCGTAATTATGCCCCAAATTTATGCGACATATGACTATAATCACCCTAATATCTATCACATCGTATTAGATGTGCTTCAATAATTATATTTCAAACACATACGACCATAGGGTGTGGAGAACAGGGCTTCCCGTCCGCTCAGCCGTACTTAAGCCACACGCCGGTCAGTTAGTAGTATGGTGGGTGACCACATGCGAATCCTGACTGTTGTATGTTTTTGCTTACCCGTTTTTTGTTATTTGTTGGGGGATATTTGCCCTTGCCACTTTGCTCTTCACCCCTTCTAGGGCTTCGCCTAAACGCCCAAAGCCCCTCTATTCTTCACCCAAACGCTCTAATACCCCTAAAGCGCTAATATAGCTAATAATGATGATAATGATAATGATAACTCTATCAAGCTAATGCAACCTCGCTAGTGCGTAGTGGCTATGTAATAGTAAGGACCAAGCCCTACACAGTATAGTCTAGTCCCTAGTCTAGTCTGGTCCCTTGTGGTCCTTACCAAGGTCTAGTTAAAACCATATGGCAGAATTGACATATATCCTCTGCAAGCTGGAAACTAAGCTTCACTTCTATCCTCCCTATCTCACTATCAGCCTAGCTCAGCCTTTTGGTCCTTCTCTAGGTGGAGACTGTCTCGCTCCTTTTCATTGGAGAATACAACATATTCATTTTGAAGTAATTAACTTAGAAGACTGGTCCAGACCTGCGTTTACTGACTGGCCAGTCATAGACTAAAGTTGGGGCATGAGCTCCATTGTCAATTGTGTTCATGAATGACCCAGACCCTGTCTCTACCTTAGCTATCACCTGCAAAATACTTCCATATCGCCCCTAACACTCCTACCACGCGGTGTTTCTCACAGAAGGTAGCTTCGATTATGAAACTCATTCGCGAATACCCGCCTGGAGCTAGCCAAACACGCTAAGATCCGTGACACCGTTCGCGACGTAGTTATAGCATGAACCCGAACAGCCGTAGAAGCCGGCCGTAGTAAGGTGCAGGCGCTCTACCCCATTGTCATTAAATAACAGGAGGTGGCGAGATTGACCCGTGTACTGGTTCACGTTGACCGTAGTCCACGTGTTTGCGTTATCTTTAGATACGAAAAGATCGGTATCTGAGTTGGTTGACAAGATCACTGCGCCCGCTGTGGTCGAGCCATACCAAACGCTGTAGGGCGAGCCACCGGGCTTGTGACCGGAAGTCGTGGTCAGAGCTTTATCAGGGGCATTGAGAAATTGGGTCGGATCGGAGGCAAGTCGATAGTAGGCGGGACACCCGCCTGAGGGAGCATTGCAGTACTCGTAGGATAACATGTACTGTCCGGTGGTCGGGATGTAAGTAACAACGGCCATGCCAGGACGTGCGTTGACAGCGGAGTAAGCAACCACGTCCGCCGAGGCAGACCAGGTAAGCAAGTCCTTGGTGCTTGTAAGTGAGAGTTTTTGTGAGTGCGCCGAGTCGCGCTGGTCACTGAAGTATACAATCAAGCTGCCATTGTACTCCAGGAAGAAAGGTTCCCAAATAGCCTTATCTCCCGTCGCCACAGTCTCGGGTCCGGCACCATACGCGACGTGACTAGCGAACTTCCACGACTTGCCCATGTCGCTGGAAGTATAAAGATCGATGTAGACCCCGCCGCTAAGGCTCAATGGTGTCGAAACTCCGGCGATTACCAAGGTTCCAGCAGGGTACTGTCCGATAGGGTTTTTCAAGATGTACATGTCCGGTTCTGAGCTAAGTTAGTAAGAGAATGATATAGCAGACTTGAGTCTGACTTACGGAAGCGCATGCCCCATTTATTTTGCGTGTCGGCGACTTGGGATAAGTTGGACCAGCTCACGCCACCATCGACCGATCGAAGGATTTTGAAGGTGTCAAGATTTGTAGAGTTCTCGCCGTAGGGATAATCCTCCCATGTCAGGAGCAGACTGCCGTCTTGGACCTGAATGGCGCGGGAGTAGGCCACTCGCCACAGAGGCGCTTGGCTAAGGGGATAGTACACCGGATTGTGGGTGAAGGTGGAATAGGCCGCAGGCGTTGCACGCTGCTCAATCGCAGGCGTTGCTCGACACAACGCACTTACAGCGAGCGCCGACAAGAGCGTGAGGTATGCAAACATTGTTCCGAATCAGATCGAATAAGATGAAGTGGAAGTCTGACTGTGGTTATCGTTCAATTCCTGGACGATGTGACGGCTTTTATAGACACGACTTATACATCACCATCTCGATGGACAACTTAAAGATGCTCCATATTTTCCCCGTGGGGTAAATGCAAAGCTAGGATCCACCATAAGCACACTAGCATGGAGTCACGACACCCCAAGCGGAGAATCGGGCTCTTTCCGGTCCGTGTTATTGGGCGCTCGCGGAACATCGGGCTGTTTCCGTTCAGTCTGGGCGCTCGCGGAATGTCGGGCGACGCTCATAATATGGCCGAACAACACTGTCGCCGTCAGTGAAGAAATGCTGAGCCCATTCTTCTCTCATTTAATTTCGTCCCTAGCTATTCTTAGACCCAACACATCACGATGCCTAAGGAATTGGTGGCCAAGGTCGCCATAGAGAACCCCCCTGACCATACTGTGACCGAGACTTTCGATTTCGACGATGCCTTACGGATGGTTCAAAGTGGGCAGACGCTCGAGCGAGTGACGCATGCTCTGCTGGCTTTATGACTTGAGCAGAATGGCTGTCCTTGCTCGACGGAGGTGAGCTCTTTTGGAAAGGCCTTCGTGGAATCATGTTCGACCGTTAAAACCGTGAAGCTTTCGTTATGAAAGCCTCGGGAATACGCTTCATCGATGGTCCTTGCGGCATCGTGATGCACTCCTCTACCTGTTTTCCAGTGTCAATGGCCAGGGATGCGAGCTGGGACGTAACGCTCGAACAACGCATTGGCGACGCTATCGGCCTAGAAGGACGTGCCCAAGGGGCCAATTTCTTAGCCGGGATCTGTATCAATCTTCCTCGGCATCCCGCCTGGGGCTGCATACAGGAGACCTACGGCGAATATCCCATACTCCTGGGCGAATTCGGTCTCGCACTGCATCGCGGCGTCTGACAACATCTCATGACTTGCGTCAAGCACTTCGCGTTGAACTCCATGGAGAATGCTCGCTTCAACGTAGATGTGCAGATCGATGATACAGCCTTGCACGAAGTCCACCTCCCCCACGTTCGTCAGCTGGTTGAAGGTGGAGTCTCATCTGTCATGTCATCTTACAATTCCATTCGCGGTGGATTTGCAGGACAAAATCACGAGCTCTTGAACGACATTCTTCGGCAAGAGTGGGGATTTGGCAGATTTGTGCTGTCCTATTTCATCTTCGGCTTGCGAGACGCAGTCAAGTCCATCAAGAACGGACTGGACGTTGAAGCATCCTTCCAGCAACAACGCGCCTTATATGTGTCTGAGGCACAGAAGCGTGGCGATCTGGCCTGGTCTGAAATCAATCGCTCCTGCGCACGCATCCTTTGCTGCAAATAGAGCATGCTGTGCGCACTGGACGAACGGCTCCCGACTCTTCTATCGTCTTATATGAGCAGCACAATTGACCCGCGAAGACGCAGCCTGAGGAATGGTCCTACTCAGAATGATGCCGTCTCGGATTGCCCTCTACTTCCGTTGGATCCTGCCAAACTTCACACGTTGGCAATCGTCGGCCGATTCGCCAATAGGGCAAACACCTGGGATAGGGGTCTTCACCCGTATTCGCCCCGAAGGTGGTCACGATATATGAGGGCCTCAGAGCGGCTCTTACGGATGCAAAGACCATGCTGCAAGGCACAGGCAATGTTGAAGAGGCCCAGAGAGTTGCGGCAGTGACAGATGTCGTCCTCTGCGTGGTAGGCTATGACGAGATGGACGAAGGTGAGTACGTTGTCCTTTCCTTCGCATACCAAAAGAAGCTACTCGACCTCCTCCGACCCTGGACTGTGTCGAAGCAGAAGTCCGCGCTACCATCGAGGGCCAAAAGAGTACCGGCTTTGGTTCCGGTTCTACGGACAGTGACGGGCTAGTTCCGGGGGCCGGAAGCGATCGCAGGTCCCTTAGACTATGAGATGGCGACGTGGACATCATCAGAGCCTTGACCGCTGTGTCATCCCTTGTCATCGTCAGCGTTGTGTCAGCTGGTGCAGTCATCATGGATAACCGGCTTGACCGAGTCCCGGCACTGCTCATGGCCTGGTATAGCGGCGGAGAAGGAGCTCACGCGCTAGCAGATGTCCTTCTAGGCAAGGGTGATGCTAGCGGGCCAATGCCTTATTGAATCCCCCAAAGCGAGGAGCACCTCCCATACTTTGACATTGACGCCTCGAAGATCACATACGATGGTTGGTTTTGACAGAGGCTCCTTGACAGGCTCGGTGGCGTCGCACAGTTTCCTCTTGACTACGGTCTTTCTTACACGACATTTGCCATAGACGGAGTGACCATTGATGCAAGCCCTCTCGATTGGGGTCTGGGCCGTTTCATTGTCAGAACTACGGTCGTGAAGACTGGATCGCACCCTGGCAGGCATGTCATCTAAGTCTATGACACACCCCGGGTCCCTCATTTTCCTACGAGTGTCCTATTAGGGTTTCGGAGCCTCGCCGTAGATCCAAACCAGTCGACACTAGTCAACGTGAAATGCTCGACAAGGCCATTGAATACAGAAGCGGGAATAAATTCATGCTAGTAGAACAGATGGTTGGCATTGGAGTCGCAACATATGCTGGAGACAGAGCTTGTTTGCGAGCCTGTATTTCGCTACACTAACAAGAGTGGGGTTTTGCAACGGATGTAGACTCCGTGATATCGCTATCGCATAAGTTCAAGCAAGACTGATTTCAAAAAGACAACGGTCTCATCCTCGGGAGTCTCAATCCAACAATCAAGCATTGCGATTGTATCTGACACTAGCACTTGCCACCCCGTCGGCAGGAGATCAGAGAACTTGCCCGGACGACTGCCAAGAGGATGCATGCACTGCGTGTCGACGAGCACTGCATCAGCCAAGTGCCATGGTAACGATAATAGAACCCAGAGCGGTTAAATTGAGAGCCGATCGTAGTGAAAGCGCACGCCCCTGGCAGCCAGTTTGGATGCACGAGCGGTTCTGTGCGCTCCGAATAGCAACTGGGTCTCCAGAAATGGCCATGTGAGCACCTCGTGGCTGTAAGTCAGTTGACCTTGCAGGACAAAGTGAAGCACGTCTACTGTGCTGCTCTGTAGTCCGGCGGCGAGCCTGATTGCATCCGGTAACGATGCCTGCCAGGAAGCCAAAGATGTCTCGAGATCAACTATCCGCTCCGCCAGAGGTTCCAAAGCACTTGGTTGTTGCCTCACGAACTCTGGCAGTGTTTTCCGTGCCGTCATTTCGGAGCGCCAGAGTGAAATTTCCGCGAGATAGAACTACCACGCTCGGAGCTGCTCTTGATCAAACACTTGTAGTGGTAGAGTCGGAAACAAGATGGGTTGGTCAATTCCTGCCGAAATAAACGCTCAGACTTCCAATACGACCAATAGATGCTCTCTTTAGCCTGCTTCTCAACCTGCGCGGGATCTCGGGGCCTACGGCGGTGCGCCGGAGCTGTCGACCTCTGGCAAGTAGCTAGACCCTGAAGGAAATGGCGCCAAGCGTCGAACGTTCGCATCCACACCATCATGAACAAGCCACTGTAGAAGTGGCATCTGGCCTGTGTCAGATAGTCGCTGCGCCACAGGGTGTACTTGCGCTTCTCCGCGGCATCGAACAAGGCCTGTGCATTTGCCTATCGTTGCTCATCTCGACCGCCGGTGGGACCGGTCATCGAGAGCTCGCCAAATTCATACGAGCAGGCCCCATTGGCGAGCACGAGCAGGAGAAGACAGGAAGCCGCGTCCCAGCCAATGCCATTGAGCAGAAAATTCGTCAGGTGAACCCGGATTTCCTGTTCGTCTAGCACCGGGTTCAAGGCGTGGACGTTGCGAAGAAAAGCATCCAAATAGCCGGTAAAAAGGCTAAGATCAAGGCCTTGATCCAATCCAGCCGCCTGTACTCTGCCGAACGACGTTGGATCGCCCCTCTGTTCCTCCTTGCCTGCTGCGAGACATTGCGGGGGTTCATGCGGCTGCCAAATGTTCCAGTCAGGCACCTGACTGATATCGCCGCGCTGCAGATGACGGTCCAAGCGCAAGAGGAGCGGGGCCTGCAGGGACGGAGTATGTGGGGGAACCTTGGGCAACTAGCGTGGAGTTTGGGGAGTGGGAGCGCGGTCTTTGCAAATGGTCAGACAGCGATTCCACCTCGCTTTGGAGTTCCTCTAACTTGGCCAGAATGGTCAGGCTGGCCGGATCGAAGCCTACCGTGGCCGAAGCACGCTCAGACAAGCCCGTTTCTCCGATTCGCCGGAGCAAGGCTTTTCATTGTCACATTCCGCTCGCCGGGCACGGCATATCTGCATGTATGCGGTGAGAAACAGGGCGTGTAAATTAGGGTTTTCACATGGGCATCACTGACCTGACAGGCAGAGGATGTCATCGTCCGAACATACGCCGTCCCCACTCAACTCACCGTCCTCGATGGCTTCGTGCCTGAGCGTCTTCGGGCACAATGTGGGGTATGGGGTAAACGAACGGCCAAGGAGATGCGGGGAAAGGGGGCGCGGAATCAAGGGCGACTTTCGACGGTTGAAGTCGTAAGATGTGGGGCCGCATAATGCTCCGACTCGTTATGTCCTAGTATGAAGTGGAGCCGCGGAAAGTCGGGGGCCTTTGGGCAATGAACAACCCTCGCATCGCCTTAGTATGGCTATTGTATGTTTTTATTTATTCGCGCTAGCCACAATTCTTTCTACTTTTAAGAAGACTACAGTAAACCCTCAATATAATGAATCATTTTTTACACGCATCTAACTCGTTATAACCAGGAATTCGGTAAAGCCAGGTTCGTTATATCGAGGGTTTACTGTATAGCTAAGATTAAGGTATGAACCCCTGCAACACTGCATTAGCGGATTCCGACTTCCATGGCCACCGTCGGGCTGTCTAGATGAACAGATACCTTTATATCCTAGCCCTCGCAATAATCATCAAATGTCTTAGGTCAATATCTACCACATACGACCATAGGGTGTGGAGAACAGGGCTTCCCGTCCGCTCAGCCGTACTTAAGCCACACGCCGGTCAGTTAGTAGTATGGTGGGTGACCACATGCGAATCCTGACTGTTGTATGTTTTTGCTTTCGTAACTCTCACCAGCCCATACTTCAGTCACTTTACCTTTCTTTTTACCCCGAGGCCCTCCATGGACTATTCTGCACATACATCATCTGCACCGCTCACGGCGACATAACTCCTTGGTTAGACCTTTGCTCTCGCCTGCCTATTTTCCCCCAAGAACAGAATTGACAATTATTAGTGTGCGCAGAGATGGCGTCTCATATGGTACATAGCAATTCGCTGGTGTCGAAATAAGTATAGCCCTGTGATATCAAAAGTGGCCCATTTATCTCCCTCGAACTCTCTCTCGCTAACCACCCCCACCCCCTCCCTTCTTGCTAGCACAATTCAGTTTATTCTTGTTATAGTACGGTCTACTGCAGTAGTAGAAGGTCAAAAGACTAAAAAGTTCAAGCCTAAGCTAGCCAGGTTTCTCGAGGTGCCCAGCGGACACTTTCAAATAGCTGACCCCCAATGTATCAGCACAGCCGCTTGCATGTTACTCTGCATTTCTCTTAGGAATATATCATAGGTCTGCCAGGGGTCCTCGGGATAAACGACTTTAGTCATCTTGCTGATATCTTTTTTAGTCACCTGATCGACCGAATTCGCCTCTATCTGTTAGGGATATTGTCGCATTCGACGGATCAAGTTTACCTGAAAAAGGCATGCTTGACGGACAAGATCGGGTTAAAATACGAGACAAACCACGGTTACATCCAACGAGCCGCCCAGACAAACAGTGTACTCTACGAGCTGGTCAATATTTTTAGACCTCCACTAAGCAGGATCGTCATATACTGGGAGATTATGCGCATAATCAAGTCCTAGGGATGCCTAGTGGCTGAATCTCGGCTTATTTGAGTCTTATCAAATCACTTCGTATAAAGTTCTTGAAGTGGCTATTTACCTGGAGGGCTTCCTCGAAGTCACGCATGAGTGTAGTTGCTCAATCTGCCAGTATCTGATCTTACTGGAGTGAGGATATCTACGGGTCAGAAATACAGAGAGCCCCAAGTCAATGAGACATCTCTATTTGAGGCTCCATCTTAAGTGGAGGTAGGATATAGAAGTGGCCAGAGCAATGGAAAGGTAGAGAAAATCGCACGGTATTAGATGAATGTCCAACGCCACAAAGGGAAATCGAGGACAGATAGTAATAACTAAGGAATCAGTGAGACTAGATACTATGATCTGTTATACCTAGTCTACCGAAAGTGGAATGTTGATCAAATGGGTGGTGCTTTGGAAGTATATGGTAACTTGGCAACAAAGGTGCAAAAGATAGGTGGAGTGCTTGATCTATATTATTTCTAGGCCCCACGTTCCAGGTCAGACTCTCATTTGGCTATTTGCTCTGAACCTCCAGTTATGTGGTCCTAGATTGACAATCAATCTAGAACCTTATCGGCTCGAGGTTATAGAAGACTGCTCGGTCCCTGTATCTCTATGTAGATTGATTCCCCTTGGTGTAGTCCTCTAGTATATGATTTTAGAAATATATTTATCGTACCTGGTATAGCTAGACCGTCAAACATGATATTGGCTGTTATGGCTTGGTATCTTGGCTTAGAACTGAATATATTGAGACAAAATCCTACATTCCAATATATATTTACCCTGGGGAGGCCACATAGAGGTAGGTATAGGGCAAAGCCTCACGTTTGTCCTAACCTTAGTGTGTGATGTACGCTATCTAAATGGTAGTCAGTGCGTAATTCATAACAGCAGAATTATCATGTCATATATGGAAATTGATTTCATAGCAACAGCCCGGGTGGTCTAGTGGTATGATTCGCGCTTAGGGTTACACCCAAGCATAACTGCGCGAGGTCCCGCGTTCGATCCGCGGCTCGGGCCGTTTCTTTCAATTCTTTTTTTTTCCCCTCCACGTCCACATTGATAAGATAGTACGGCTCTCTCTCGTTAGAAGCAAAGCCGTGGAAAACATTCCCACTATTGATTTATCCTGTATGTACTTCAAAAAGGTTGAAAATTTCCGGTGTTTTCGATCTCTTGCTGCTCAAGTTTGCTGATCTGCTGTTCCTCAGTGCCGTTGCGTGAGTCAAACCTAGTTGTACTAAGTAACATGATTAATATTGAACAACAGAATGCCAATTCTCCGAACGCTCTCAATAACCATATTGATCCGACATCCTGACCATGTAACCTGGCTTTCTCGTCAGTGCTTGCTTGGACCGGAGCCAAGAGGCCCTTTGGGAGGGAAGAAGCAACCGTAACTCGGGTCACAGATACTAGGGATGTGGATTCGTGGGTAGCTTTGACAAAAACTACTATGCCATGACTCCTGGCAGAACATAATTCTCACACCACAACTCTATTCTTAGTTTGAATTATGCTGCTGTGCCGGTTTTGACATACAACTAGCAACTAACTAATCGTGATGAATGACTAACCCATGCCTAGCTGTTATCAGCCTCTCCATTTCTGTCAAAGTAGTCTCCCGTAAAACTAGACACACTCGGCCTTCAAGCTATACAGGGTGACATCAGCCTCAAAGCACTGCTTCTCGCTGTCTACGCTGACTGTCTCGTACAGGGTCGAGTCGTCGCACCCGGAAGCAGTGTAGATATCCAGCACAGCCGAGGTACCATCAGCACAGGAACCCGACTCAATATAGGCGCTGAAAGAATTGATGGGAAAGTTTTCAATATTGACGCAAGATACAGCATATACACTGGCAGCGTCATAGCCGGTGGAGGAGCAGTCCGTGGAGTAATAGCCGGCATAACCCACGGTGGGGTTGGCAACTGCAACGACTGCGAAGGCAGCGAAGAAGGCAACGGTCTGATTTATTGGGCTAGGTTAGACATCAATCGGTGAAGAACAGAAGATAACCGTTCCTCAATTCATACCTTGGCCATCATCTTGACTGATGTGAGATTGGAATTGAATCGATGTTCTTCGAGAAAACTGACGACCCTTTTTGTGGTGGTGTTTTTTCCTTGAGCTGTCTGTCCTTTTATCAGAATCTGGGGCATAGAAGCCTCCTTATATACCTGTTCTAAGCATAGTGCCTTTCGGTATCAGAGTAGCGGATGATTCTACTATTCTATCAGGCTTGACCCCGCCCGGTAGGCATTGTACACTCCTAGCTGGGATGGAGAACGTTTATGCTCGGAGTGAGTTAGTTCAATCAGCCCTTACGTATGCTTGAGGCTTTGATCCTTCCATTTTGGGATCATGAAAATGCCTATCTCGGCGAGTCTCCGTCTCTACTAGCCTGACATAATTAGGAGTGCTCCATCCCGAAATTAGCCGGTAAATAAGCTTACAGAGGGGGGCGAAAATGGAGATGAACAATTGCCTCATGCACCCCACGGTATCAGGTTCCCACACAGATGATCTGCAACAAGAGCTGAGGGTTGGATGGATAGGTTACGAGACGGGAAGGGTGCGTGTATACTCCAGCACAGAAAACATCCTTTCGTAGACTCCTTACTAGGGAGCCTTGACGATCCTCATCGGGCCATTCTCATCGAGCCCTGAGACTCAAATAGTGGATATGCAGACTGATGCTGTCAGATGCTCGGCTAGATCTCTATTCCTGATGAAGTTGGTGGGTCATTCGCAGGCGAGTAGGATCGAGCCGGGTGTGAGAAAGCTAGGTAGGTAAGATGCCATTGAGGGAAATGGGCATCAAATAAAATTTTGCACAATGCGGGCTGATTCTACTTTCATAATGAAATGTCCAGTGATTAGACGGTGAGCATGCTGCTCCATGAGCTAATTTCTCTGGCCATCTGCTGCTCTGCCAAGAGGTCAGCCCCCGCCACATCACCAATGGCTGCTGCATTGCTCGGCTGAACTTGCCAGATGAAGGACGCCCCTTTTCCAACTACATATCGCTTATGGATAAGCCTGCGAGCTGAAAGCTTAGTACAATGAGCCTGGGAAGTTTTTGAAAAGCCAGAGCACACAGTGGGAGCATGGACTGGGTCCTCAAAGTGCAGAGGGTGCAAATTTCGGTGAGCTTGACTCTGACGATTGTCACAACATTGTGGGCAGCTAGGAGCTCCGCTGATCAGAAACCATCGTCTACGTACTCAAAAGCTCAACTCTCAGTGATCCATTCATTTACTTTATTCGTGGCAGCGGTTGGCTAACTTAAAAGTTGTTGCCTCAGGCATAAGGCGCCAAGTCTCGGACCTCCTCCAGACGACAGAGCACTGATCTCCTGCAACCAATCCGGGGATAATTCTCTTCCAAAGCCAACCCCAAGAACTTCACTAGCGCGAAGAAATGGAACAGGGTGCCCCCTGAAGCCAGAGCCATGGAGTCTGCACGAAATCTCTACAAGAATGATGTCGACTTTGCAGCTCTCGCCTTACAGTCGCGCGATTTTGCAAAACAGTACGTGCATCTCAGCACTCGGCATAAAAGGGAAGCTGATTCTGACCAATATGCAGCTTGCGGTTCAATGGACAGTTGGACTTTCAAGATGAAGCAGCCGTCAGGTGAGTCTGGGCTTGGGTTTATCATAGCTGAGATCGCCTCGAGCTGACGAGTACAAGACAGCTGACCATCAGCTTGTTGTGGCATGACTTCGGTCTCAAAGTCGAACTCCCCAATGATCGGCTGTGTCCACCGGTCAGTACAGATTCAAATATTCTTCAGATCATCAGCCATCGACTAACAAATATTGCAGGTGCCTAACAGGTATGTGAAACGGCTCACCAGCAGGCCGTTGAATATTCTTATGTCTAACAAAACAGGTTGAACTACATCCTTTGGGTACAAGACCTCCTTGATTCGACGGCAGGAACAATACATGAGACCTATGATCCGGACCGAGAAGTTCTTGGACTTGACATGTATGGTTCCATCTTAAGCTAAAAAGTACAATACTTACAGACTACCAATACATAGTGGAACAGGATGCTGCAGCATATACCCCTTGCTAGGCTGCAAAACTCGCCCTCGATGGAAGTTTATTGCCACTGGTATGTCCGTGTCTCACGAAATTTTCCGTCGCATTCAATCTGATGATGTTAGATATTGATGAGCAGAACGCGCGCACCGCCCAGCAAAACGTGGCATTGAACGCACTCGAGCCACGAATTCGAATCGTGAAAACCGATCCGAAAGACGCTCTTTTCCCCGTCAAAATCTTCAATCAGAAGAAGTAAGGGACTTGCATCTTATACTGTAGGATTTGATGCTAACAATCAGTAATCTAGCCTCGATTTCACAATGTGCAACCCTCCGTTCTACGCATCACAAGCAGAGATGTTAAGTTCCGCCGAAACCAAGTCACATGTTCCCTTCTCAGCGTGTACTGGTGCCGCAGTGGAAATGGTTTCGCCTGGCGGCGAAGTCGAGTTTGTGACTCGCATGATTGACGAGAGCCTGCACCTGCGAGACCAGATCCAGTGGTATACCTCCATGCTGGGCAAATTGAGCAGCGTGACCACGCTCGTTGAGCTCCTCGTAAAGCATAATAACCACAACTACGCCGTGACCGAGTTTGTGCAGGGCAGCAGAACAAAGCGGTGGGCAGTTGCGTGGTCGTGGGGAGACCGGCGGCCTTCGATGGTAAGATACCTCTCTTGTAGTGTTGGTGGCCATCTGTGCTAATAGGGAACAGTCCGTTGCCCGGAGCATTCCTGGCTTTCCGAAGCATTTGCTCCCTTTCCCCGCTGATTTCAGCTTCGCGCTTTCACCGGAAACATCCATCGATACTGCTATAAGTACATTGAACGCCGAACTCAGTTCACTTCCCTGGTACTGGGCCTGGGACAAAAGTGTCAGTGCCGGTGTGGGATTCGCGACTGAGAATGTGTGGTCCAGGCAGGCTCGAAGAAAGATGAAGATTACGGAACAAGCAGGCTCTGGAAAGTTAGATGCTATGCCAGAGGATGTTGCACTAGGTGTTCGGATCCAGCTGAAGCTGCAACGGGCGAAGCATTCAGAAGAAAACGAAGTGCAAGTAGTGATCCGCTGGATCCAAGGAACGGATAGCGTGTTGTTCGAGAGCTTTTGCGGGATGGCGAAGCGGAAGATGGAGGGTAAATGAGACGCAGGAGCTATACTGGTCCTAATAGCCGCGTAGCTAGCTACTGGCATGCCCTTATTCAATTGACGCTACAGATAGCACATCATCCTAAAGAATCTTGTGGACATAAATTCAATTCTCGTGAAGGATATCTTTTCGGCAGGTATATCCTAGTTGCCGGTAACTTCACTCTGCAGCTCTTTCAGTCGATCCCAGCCTTCAGAATCCTCCCAGAAGTCCTTGCCCTTGCCCATGACGCCACGCACAGCACTCCGGGCCTTGAACCGCCAGTCACGCATGACCATCGCCGACTCTGCACCATCCTTGACCTTCTGATCTTCATGATCCATGGGCCCGTACCGCGCATATCCGTCGCGAACAAGCTTCTCCGTAGCGCGCACGACGGCGGCCCACGGCTTCTCATCGCCCATCTGGAAAGCACCCTGTGCAGAGGCAGCGACGGTGGCCCGCCATGCCTTCTCGTGAGCGTCGAGCGCACGACTGGGGCGGTTGCGGAACATTTCGACGCGGGAGACAAGAACCCACAGGGCAGAAGAGTGGGTGATAAGAGGGACGATATTATTGTCCACAAGGGAAATAATCTGACCGGGAATAGTGCCGGTGCGGACGACAGGGCCATCGCCAGATTCAATGAGGAGGGATTCGTATTCGAAAGCTGTGACGAGGAAGTCGATGAGCATGCTCAGAATCGGAAGGTCAATGCATTTCTCGCCCTTCTTCTCACCGAGAAGCTCGATAACCCGCTTTTGGGCGGTGATCACATCACGGAAAGGAGTTGCCGGAGGGGGGATTGTGGCAGCTACTGTGAGCACATTGTCCCAAATGCGGGCATCGCTGTGCTTGAGTTGAGCGGCGCGCAGCAGGGCAGTCAGGGCCTCGCGTGTACGCTTGTGTGGGTCAACCTCCTTGACTTTTTGTTCGCCTGTGCTTTCATCAACCTCCACGTCGGGGGTCGGTTCTGGGGCTGGTGCGCGCAACATGGCGACGGCAAGGTTACTCCATGCCTCGGCATCGGTATCATCTAGTTGCACAGTGCGGGTGAAAGAATCGGCAGCATCTTCGTATCGCTGAAGCTCGAGTTGCACACATCCCAACGCAAACCAGGAACTCTGGTTAAGACGGTTGATGTGCAAACCCTGGCGGTAGGCAGCCTCGGCCTTTTCCAGCTCTGGTGGCGTGAGGGCCAAATAATGCCGGGCGAGGGACCGCTGTGCTCGGGCGTATCGCCGTCCGGAGATATCCCAGGCACGCTCGTACAGCTTCTCGTCCTTTTCAATGTCTCCAAGAATGCAGAATAGCCTGGGTGCATCCGCTGGTAGTGTTGATCGCTCCGGGCCTTCGAACTGCTCGTTCTCATCGTCTTCGTTCGGGCCCTTGGCTTCATAAAGCTGGCGGCGTACCATAGTTCTAGCTTTGGCCTCCTGTTCCGTTGCAGCGTAGCAAAGTGCAGCCTCAGCCCACATCTGAAGCCTCTCATAGATTTCAAGGGCAGTCCGAAGACCACCCAGCTCAACCCAACGTTTGGCTAGTTCGGCTTCAAGATTCCATCGGGTCGAGAAGTTCATAAGCCAAATGTATTCCATTCGATCAGCGGCAGGAGCCGATTCAGACTTCTCCGGCCGCGGAAGGAAGGTGGTGGGGTCAGAAGACGGCTGCTGGGCGGCGGAGTCGTCTGTTGCGGTATCCGCGATGACTTGATCAACAAGTGCCTGCATCTGCAGAACAGACCTCTCGACTGTACGCGAGCGGAAGCCCTCCACGCGACTACGAACCAACAGGGCCTCTGTGTAGATCTGCCAATTCGAGCTCCCCCCTTCTAAAACTCGAGTGGCGTAAGGTTGTGTTTCCTCGCGCGTCAGACCGTTCTCGGGGGCGGTGTTGGTGATAGCGGACGCCATAGCCAGCAGGATGGCCGAGTCCACAGGGTCAAGAATTGGTTGCTCATTCGGATCAACAGACTGTAGGGCCGGAGAGAGCTCATCTGAGACAGTCGTCAATTTCTTATCGGCAAAGGAAATGGCTTCGAGGAGGGTATCATCATTCAAATCCAGGTTTTTAGGACCAGAAGGCTCCCCTGACTTGGCTGCTGAATTTATATCGGCACTCTTTGCCACAACCACAAGCTGACTGATGTCGCGGTCCTGGAACTTTGTCCGCTTTCCCAGCTTTCCAGTCAAGGCGAACTCGAAGTTCCGGACCTGGGAAGCCTGATCTAGATCCGCCCGTGCTTTCCCATCAAATCCATGATGGGTGTTTATGATAGCCCGCTCCAGCAAGAACCGACCCTTCTCTTCAGTATCAAGCTCTACCTTAGCCAATTCCTCCAGGCCATGATAAATCTCATCCTGCAAAGTGCTCGTAACCTCGGAGAGCATCTTCTGGTGAAGGAAGTTGACGCGCACGCGCGCAGTCTTCGCCAACACTGATCCTTCATTGTTTGCATTGACCAGCAAAGCCTTGGCGACTGAGAAGAGCTCCGAGTTGGGCGTGAGCTTATAAGCTGCTTCTCCATCCACGGAAAGATCACGGATTATCTTGGCCCGCACGGCTCGAAGGGTGGCGGTATCGCTGCGCAGAGAGGAGGGGAGGACCGCTTCAGCCGAGTTAAAATCTAGTGGCGGACCGGTGACGTTTGACTGCAGGAAACTGAAAAGGGCCGCAAGACCAATATGCAGGAGCTGAGATTGTGTCTGCTCGGACGTTAACCCCTCGCGCGGGGCCTCGAGGACGGCGCGGGCCTGGTCAGCAACGAAAGAGGTGTAGGAGACCTCGGCACTGGCGAGCTTCGCGACGACTTCGCTGTCAGATGCATCGTGGCCAAGAACTTTCCGTGCTAGAGGCAGCTCGAGAATCGGGACAATGTGGTCGGAGGTCAGGCGAACGGGGTCATATCGGTCCCTAAGGGGGGCATCAGAGATGCCGTTCAGCGTGGCAGGGTAGGCAGGTTCGGCCATGGCGATTGATCGTGTCAAGTCTCTCGTTCCAAATGGCCGAACTCCGGTTTGACGCACGAATCCTCAAACGTTGAAAGTGCGAAACCCCGCGGTCTTTTTCGATTTTTCGGCTTATCGATAGTGTGCGGATACAAGAGTGTGCGTGGTGATACGTTTCCCTACCAAAAGTAAAAGTGATCCGCGCTGTATTGCCACGCCCACATCAACACCCCTCCTTTTTGGGTTGTGCTTGCATGATACATGAAACAATCTCATAGATGATCTACACTGCCTCAACTAATCAAATATGTTCACATGCGTTCACTGTGATGCCTTAGCGTGATCCTTCAGAATATGATTCAACCCTTGACGCTGCAAACACTCCTCAAAATGGAAGCTCCTTGCGAGCTCCTCCAGTTCCTTCTCATCCATTCCCTGGAACAACGCGGCGAACTCATCCACAAAAGACGCAGCCAGGAATGTATTAAAAACATTACGAATAACGTGCATCTCCGTATTCCAGGGCGTGGGGTAGGTTGACTTGGCCGCCGGACTGACACGATCGATCCAGTCCACCAGCGGCCGCAGTGCAGCCTCCGGTTCCGGTGCTGGACGCTGACCCCACTTGTCCAGCCAAAACATGCGTTTCTTCTCAAGGAACGGCTGAATGGTTCTGTTCCATTTACTATCAGGGTTGGTGTAGAGCATACCCTGTAGGCCGATGTCCTTGTATAGCCAGATGGACCAGTTGATGTTGTACTTATCGTAGATCCGCAGTTGCTCTCCTAGCAGGTTGTACCGGGATTGGTTGATTGCTTCTGCATCAGCATCAAGGACTGGGTCGGCGTAGACAGGTCCGAATTCGCCGTTCCAGACTGGGGTGCCTTGCTCAAGCATGAACTGCGTTTTGCGGAGGTACTGCCGTTCGAGAGTTTGCTTCTGCTCCGGCGTACCTATGTATCGATCGCCAGTGGGGAATCCCATGGTCTAAGAAATACGAATTAATAACGTTGGTTCCAGAGCTGACTAGTGAAAACAGTGAGACCTACGGAGTAATCATGTATGGCATAGACACAATTGGGTAGCACCTTGTCAAACCCTTTCCACTCCATGGCAAAGGTATTCCCATCCAGCCACAGAATGTGATCAGGGTCGACGGCGCGAATTTGCTTTTCTATTCGTTCATAGAAAGCAGGGAGTCGTACATGCTCCGGATCACAGGGCTCATTGAGAGGATTGTAACCAGCGACGTAGGGGTTCTCCTTGTACCGAGCGGCAATCTGCTGCCACAGCCACACCGTTCGATCCTGGTGGTCTGCGTAGTCCCAGAACGCGGCATAACTGGTCGGGTTGTCCGAGTGCCAGTCTGGATTCTGGCCACCCGGCACAGTATGCATGTCCAGGATGGTGTAGATGCCGTGTGCAGCGCACTGTTTAGTACTTCCAATCAGTCCTAGCCGAATAGAATACCAATCAGGGACGGGAAGAGACCGACAATATTAATCACCCGATCTAGATGCTTGAATCCAGACGGTTTTATCACACGGGGCGCCATGTCATCCTCCAGATGACGATAATTGAACGGGATCCGGAGACAATTGAGGCCCAAACTGGCGAAGAATCTGGCGTCGGAATCGGTGAAGAAGTTTTCTAGCCATTTGTCGAAAAAGAAGTCGTATTTCTCTGGACCTAAGACCTTGCGCATGGCAGCACGGTGCTGCGATTCATGGCCGGGAAAGCCGGTGATGAAGTTCTCCATACTAGCATCGCTCAGCATCATATTCCGTCAAGGAGCGAGAGTAGAGGTCGCCATACTTCATCCATCCTCCGATCGCTGCCCCCCGCAGGACCACTTGCTGCCCATTGGCATCGACGATAATGTTGTCTTTCACACGAAGGATTCCGGTGGCCATGGTCGTGAGGTTTGTTGATCCGATCGAGATTCGAGAAGGGTTCCAGGATCAGCACAGACGATGGTCATTTCGAGCAAGCCAACGGCCCTTTTATAAGGAATTATCCGTCTGTTTGGACGGCGATTTACCCGTGATCAATCCTCCGGACCCTCAAAGTCAAAGGGAGCACAAACGCGGGGGACTGGGGGTAATAGTCAGCTGGGCGTGTCGGCAAAGGAACTAATTGGCCTGGCCAAGTCCAATCAATCATCGCACCGGCTAATTTGACTAGCGCATTTAGGCTGTACCGCTATGCTAGCCAAACACAACGAACCGCAAGGTTGCACAAGAATGGATGATCATTATGTATTGAATCGTAGATACAAGACATGCGAAATCGACATGAGAGCAGGCCAACCGGGTATTCGAATCATACAAGAATGCAACAAACGCCATTTCACAAAGCCGCCCGAACGCTTCAGAGGATAAATATGACAATTAGGTAGCTACCAGTCCTGTCCGCGATCCCGCATGAGGATCTCGATAGCTTCGTCCTCGGGAACAGGATTATCGTTCAACTCTTTGACACACTGGGTCAAGCCTTCTGCTGCCTCGTCCACTTGCTCGGCAGTCCAGCCTGTGCATGCCATCACCATGCGTCGGTAGTTCTGCCCTAAGATGGCATTTTTGGCCTTCAGGGTGTCAACCTCGGCGGTGATGCCGCTGTTCAGCTCTTGATAGCATCGGAGGCGATGGTCGAGTATATCTGGTGCCGAGAGAGAGGCCAGAAAAGCAACCTGTGGGCCAGAGAATCCGGTGGACGGGTCGAAGGTATCTCCGAATAAGGCTTCAAAAGCGACAAAATCAACACCGGAGCCTTTGTCTGCGTCACCGACAACGGCAACCCGGGAGATGTCAAACCCTGGTGTACCCTTCAATGTGCCTAACAGGCTTTCGGAAGACCGTTCCAGGTTTTTGATGCGCCGGTCAATTTCCACTCGCTCCGAAGACTTGAGCTTCAAATTATCCAGCTGCTTTTGTTCAATCTGGCGGGCCTTAGCAGCCTCGCGGATTTTAGAGTGCCAATGGTCGAACTTTTCCTGCTTCTGGGTCAAGCTGGACGCCAGGTCTCGGTCAATGCCGCCGAGAGCCTCTTCAACCATGGTGCTGATTTGAGACATCGCCGCTAAGGCGAGAGTTAGTATACAACGATAGAAAGTTATTCGGGAGGAGGAAACCTTACCATCAAGGATTTCCTTCTTGGACTTTGCTAGCTGGTCAATGAAGGTATCACTTCGGCCGCCGGCTTGCTGTACCTGAGAATTTCCATCCACCATATCGACACCAACACCGTAATCAGCAGGTCGAAGACCCGTGTGGTTGGGGATGTGAGGATCGGCACCGACTTCCAGAAGCTGAGGGACAAGCACCGACCTCGCACGCCCAGCCAGATTCAAAGCAGTATCACCTTGTTCGTCGCGCAGGTTGACGATCTCAGAGATGAACCGGCCAAGAGAGATGACGCCGCTGTCTTGTGAACCATTCTGCATGTGATCGCCATTGGCACTGGAGGTGATACCGCCATGTCGGACGATGAATTCCAACAGAGATTCAAGATAGTGTTTCGCGGAGACATGTCCGCCACCACCAGTGGCTGCCATAACAGCAATGTGATGCAGAATGGTTCGTCCACTGTAGTCAACCATGTCGATGGTCGGTGCAAGCACCTGAAGCAAACGAGGGAAGCTTCGGTAGTCAAGATTGTTGCGCGTCCCCACTGACTTTTGCAGCGCAGTCTCGCCAGCAGCATTGACTCGGGTGATGCTTGCTCCCTTCGCTACTAGCGCATGGACCAGCGGCATACGAGCAAGCATTGCGGCCCAATGAAGGGCATTGTTCCGGTACTCATCGAGAGGGAGCTCGAGGTCTTCACCAGTCAACTGCATAAGAGCGGGATGATTGGTGAAATCCTTGATGCGCTTGTCAAGAAACAGTGTCATGATCAGCTTCTGCTTCTGGAAGCCTTCTGGGTCCGAAGCAGGAGGCACGGCCTCAACACCACGCTTGTGAGCATCATCCATAGGCGGCGGCGGAAGATCAAGATCTTGATAGAAAGAGTCATTGGGCTCGGTAGGAGTGGGTTCGTGCATGGAGAGATTGGATGGTTCTCTGTGCAAGCCGATCGGTGGAGCATGGTGTGATGAAGAGCGAACACGCTTGCGTGGAGGTTCCGCGAAATCCTCGTGGTCGTCGTGTGCTTGAAAGCGATTCTGAAGGCTACCGAACCCGCTGTCGGAGACGTTGTACATACTCTGCTGGCTGCTCAATGCCATCTGAGACTCTTGGCTGCTCATCTGCTGCGATGGCTTGCGAATCACACTTGGTCGTCGGCTGTTTCCACTCGGAGAGTCAAAACGGGCTTTGCTGATCGCATTGACGGCTGTTGCTGCAGTCCGGGAGATATTCTGGAAGAACGTTCCCTGTTGTGGCTGGGACATGCTGCGGTTCTCTGCACCGCTGTAAAGACGCTTGCGCTGCGCTGCCATGGCCTGCTCCTTCGTAGGGGTATCAAGGGTGTTTTGGGAACCACCGGAGCCGTCGGGGCTCATATCGTACTCCAGCAATGGTCGTAGCATTTCCTCGACATGGTACTCGCGACAGAGCTCAACACCACGCTGGTAATTGACCCAGGTACCTTGGTACTTTCCATAGCCACCTTGAACCTTTTCGTGCTCACCGGCGGCAATTTCCTTCTCCAATGTCTTGGTGCGTCGAGCCTTGACGACACCAGCCACTTTCAGAATTTGAGTTGCATTTAACCAGGAATCAGAGCGACGTTTCATGATTGCGACCCCATTGACCTCCATCTCGTAAACAGAGACATTGGAGTAAACCGCCTATATGGATATTATGTCAGTGTTCAGGACTAGCGGCGTTAGCAGTGACAGAACGAACACGATAGATCTGCGGCTTGTAGTCCTCCTGGTAGGACATCATAGACCCATAATCATTCCCACCATCATAGTTGCCATTGAAGCTGCCACGAGAGGCGCCGTTGGAGACACCAAACGAGGACATTTGCGACCCTTTGGGCGGCGGAGGAGTCGCGCGAGGGGTGGAGGACAGGGATTGCGAATTGTTGAGAATGTTGTAGACTAAACCGTTGGCCGACCCTGTGCTATTCTGCGAATAGGACATGCTGCTGAATGTTTCCAGCACGATCAGCAGCGAGCAAGCCAAAAAGGTGACCACGGTAGGATATATTGGAGGTGGAGATACCGGATGGCGGGAAGACGCGAGCAAAAGGAGGCGCGTGGCTACCACCCTTCACCAGGGAAAGCGGCAACAGGCGACAGCGAGAACCATAAAAGAAGGCTCAGAACTAATCCGGAGCGAGCAAGAATGTGTCAAATTGGAGATCGAGACCGAGATCCGAGGCGCAATGCAAGGCAGGGCAAGTCGCGGGGTTGGGGGAAGAGCAAAAAGAGTCGCGTCCGTCCCGTGACACGCTTCGCCGCCAAGGTTTTCGCGTTTCGCCGTTTTGGGTTGTCCACTCTCCATGGCATCTACACCATTATCCCGCCCCCTGCACGCCCCAGACTCCATACCATGGATGTCTTTACTGCGTGCCACTCTGCGCGAGTGCAGTTACCTCCCTGACCCCATTGCTCGGGGCTACATGCGTGAATATGTGGTGAACCGCTACCGCCGATCTCGACAATCACATCGATCTGATCCCGAGCTGGCTCGGACGGCCAGGCATGGCCTATCTCTGCTTCAGAGAGCCAATGAAGGCTACCAGCGCCCACTTGAGAGAGTCCTTCTTATGTCATATGGTCGTATAGGGAAACGCCGGCATGAACTCCTGGCCCAGCTGATGAAGCCTCAAGTCCCAAGCGACACTGATGCCCTCAAAGAACTGGTTGCAAAGCCTATCGCTTTCGAAGATGGCTGGGAACCCCCAGAAATTGTGATGAGTCTTGCCAAATCCCAGATGCACAATGGTATCTTGTCCACGTCGCGTGTTCGACCTGCACTGAAGAACCTTCAACCACCTATCCCCGAGACGAACAGTTGGGGCAGACCCGTGTCTCGAGTTCGCCGAGTCAATATCCGGAAAAACTGGTACGGCAGCACATTGGAAACTCTACTGCCACCACTACCGGATGCAGAACTTCGAGTTTTGGATGGGTTGATTGAAGGAACTGTGGCCTGGGCTCCACGACCGCGAAAGCCGGCCACACTTACAGCGCCCCATGAAGATAATCATGGTGACGAATCCATCCTCAAATTCCTGACAGAGGGGCCTCAGAAAGGCCATACGTTTCGAGATTTTGCCAATGGTCGGCCGCACGAGATCACAGATCGGTTCATGCGCCGTCAATGGAGACGCATTTCGTGCCTTGTGCCCCGGATGCACTACAGCGTTAAGGCGAATAAGTGGTTCTTCATTTGGGATACTCCGAAGGTGATGCCTGAGCTGGCCTTTGAGGTGGACACCGAGGCAAACCCAGATCAGATTTTTGGGGGGTCAGTCCAAGGCCGAGACCAAAATCAAGCCCGAGGCCCCGTTTAAGACTCCCTCGAGGACTCAACGGCGGACCTTGAAAGGCTAGCGCTGTGCCATCGTCACAAGTCATCCGGACGCCTTGAACGTCTTCCTGTACTTATATTCAATATACCCCCAAGACATCTCAATACATATCTCAATCCCCGAATTGTGAACTGTCTCGTGCTCCCCCTCCCATCTGCTATCTCTTTATATGAATGGATCACTACAGATGAATTCCAGGTAGGATGAACTTGTCATATTGGAAAACGTAAACACATCAAAGCAAGAGTGCATCGACCAGCATATGCAAGCATTGATGCACTCCGAAACAGGGTATAAGAATAGCGCACGTCACCGTCACCGGGCCCAGCCGAATGCGGCGGCATAATCATAATTCCATCTCAATAAGCTAGTGGTAAGCTACTGCAGCAGCCAATCCCCGCCCACTAAAATTGAATCGTGAGGCCCTTATCCTCACCCTCATCATCAAGTCAAGCAATCTACCGTCACGCGCAGCGGAGGATCTGCCCGCAGCGTATGCAACTCGTCTCGACATCGCACCGCCTAGTTACTTGAAGAACTAGACGAGCTCGAGCTCGAGCTGGAACTAGAGCCGTGACGCTTGTGGTGCTTTTTCTTTTCCTTCTTATGCTTCTTCTCTTTCTTGTGCTTCTTGCTATTTCCGAGGGTTGGTCAGTGGCGAGGTCCGGACAGGCAAGAATCACAAAGCCAAGGGCGATTGCCAACTTACACCTCATGAGTAGCCATATTCATCCCAACAGCACCTAGAACCGCACCACCCGCGGTTCCCAAGAATCCGCCGCCCATCTTGTGGCCAGCAAACCCACCGGCTGCACCGCCGAGGATCGTGGATCCGAGACCCCTCTCGCCCTCCGGGCCGCCAGGGCCAGGAGCATATCCCTGCTGGGGCGGGGGAGCACCGCTACCGTAGTATGAAGCGTTTGCGCCACCCTGCTGGTACTGCTGCGGCTGCGGGGGGTAGGGTGAGTGGCCGCGATCCTGGGGAGGCACCTGCTGGTGTCCGTATCCAGGGCCGGGGTACTGGCCCTGCTGGTGCTGTTCATAGGGCGGGGGCGCGTAGCCCTGCGGGCCGTACGGAGCGGGAGGCTGGCCGCCATACTGCGGCTGACCGTACGAGTGCTGCTGCTGCTGCTGACAGAACAGATCCAATGTCAGCGTGAGATCTTCGGCTCAGCCACGCCGCGGCGCATTGTCCTGCCAACTTGCGCTGCACATTTTCACAGCGGACAGAGTGCAGTCTTTCTCGGGAGCCAGCTCACCTCGGGAGGGTAATAGCCCTGCTGGGGTGGAGGAGCGCCGTGCTGTCCATGCGGCGGGTAGTAACCTTGGCCCTGCTGTTGCTGACCCGAGTAATCACCACCGTACTGGTTGGGCGGGCCACCGTAATGTGACATGATGGAAGTAGGCGTGAAGATTGATGGAAAACGGGAAGGCGAGGAAATGCGAGATGGACTGAAGGGTAAGAGTGTGTGAGGAGCGAAAGTAAGCCCCGCGACAGCCCGGGAATGAGCAGCGCAATTTAATATTACAGTGGCAGGAGGCAAGCGGGGCTGAGGAGTTGATGCACCGCCTCAGATCCAGTCAGAGGCCTTGGGATCGACAGCACAGCCTCCTCTCCAGCCTCCTCCGACTCAGAAATCGCACAGCTGTGGCTTTTGAGCCACAGCACTGGGGTTTCTAGTTTGCGTATGCTTGACGCTTTTCTAAATATAGGGGTGTCACTAGAGAAGCATAGGAGCTCAATCAGAGGGTCAAGGTTAGCGTAGCGGGTGCCCCGCACCGGACACATGGTCCTTCCCCACGGGAACGTGCAGGAACGCGGTGCAGGCCGGGACCACGCCTGCAAGTGAGCCTGAAGAGATGCCTCCTTCTAGAGACATTCGTTCGTGGCCGAGGAAAAGGCACTTGTAATCTCATCATCCACCTCGTCTATCCTCGCTGCCAGGTTTTTTGCGGTGCCCCCACTATTTACATTGTCTCTCCAATGAGCCCCGCGACAGGACAACCCCACAAACGAACAAAATATCCGGTTCGTTGGGTCGATTGCGATATGTTCCGTGTCCAAATCGCAAATCCCTCCCTGTTTGGCCCCGTGCGAAGTTTACGGCATCGGGCGACTGCTCAGCAGTCGCGATGACGGCATTGATTGGCGGTCAGACAACAGAAAGCACTCTCAATACAAGCTCAAAGTGCGCCCTTCTATGGACTCAAGAGCCACAATGTCTAAGTTGCTCCCTACGATCATAGTACTGCTTCGACGAACTCGACGACATCAACAGCAGGCCATCCTGCGGCCACGGCCGGTGGCCCCAATACAATAGATAGGGCGTAACTTCTATCCGGCCAAGACAATACACCAGCTCCAGACTCATCTACAACTCTATGTAAGCTCACCATGGCAAGAATATCCAAAACGGATCACGGCTTCCCCTCCTGCTTCACCGACACGGCATAATCACAACCACAATGAACAGCCTCCCAGGCTACAAACTCACAACAGAGTCTTCGGCAGATGTCTGGGGCATCACCGTGCGGCGTGTTTGGTGAAGCAGGTTTGAGGGGAAGTGAAATGGGGATGGTGATGGTGATGGTGATGGTGATGGTAATGCAGGTGTGGGAGGTTGACCAGGCAGCGCCATGACCGGAAGTGCGGTTGCTTTCGTGGAAGGCATATGAGGCGATCTTCTTATATTCATATTACGAGACCCTATCCTGGGCCAGTGGCCTGATCCAACGCCAAACCAGGACTCCACCAATCCTAGGTGGGCTATACTGTCGTGAAAATGAAAAAAAGCTGGAACCTATATGATCCCCTGTTGCCCTGGTTCGCGTGCTGGGGAATTGGTGGCGGCCGGTCGGCCCTTTTCAACGGTGAGTTGGATGGAGTACCCCGGCTGATACCCCGAAACATCCCATTGCGTAGCGCTGTGGAAAGTCAAATAGACGGCCCCGGAATACTGCCCTCGATCGTAGTGGGAGGGCCCAACCTCTCGGCCATCACCACGACAAAATCCCGGAGCCAAAGCTTCGCGAGTTGTGGATACAATCAACCCCTGCGAAACAGATGCGGCGAAATGCTCCTATAGCATCGAGAGGGTTTGAAGGGCTGTCTGGCGGGGGTGGGGAGAAGCTTTGATGCCAATGTCAGGGCGTTCGGGCACCTGCAGCCAAGAAAGTCAAGCCTTGAACGTCGGATCTTGTCGGGGGAGATGTAACAGGCGCTGGAAACCTATGCACAATGGGTGCGGCAATTGGGGGGGGGGCTGTTTATCGCAACTACGTGCTAGGGAGTCCTCCCATTGACCAAGAAAACGCGTCGAGGGAATGTGGTGAAGGGCCTTCATCTCTGGAGTCGCTGCGAGTGGGCTATGTTCGAGCCTCTCGAAGCCTCTGTGATCTTGTCGAGGGGCATTATTCTCGAGTCTCGCTATTGCCTCGGATATCAATGCCCTTGGTCCGGTCGGCCAACGTCCGAAAGTGTGTTCAAGCCACCGAACACCACCGTTCCAACTTCGCGTCGCCCCTATGCCGCCAAGCTTCCCCCCGGTCGAGTCGTGGAAGAAAGGCTATTTGCTGGGGCCACCAGCCAGACAGAGCCGCGAGGCCGGCAATTTCTGGTCGGCGACCTGCGGCCATACGCTGGACTTCGCCCTGGACCCTAAATAACCCCACCTCCCACGACCAGCTGGGCCCAACCAGTCCAATTCCCATTCCTAAGCGTATAAGTGTACTCGCCTGCAGTGTGGACACCTATTTGCCCAAGAACTAGCTGAACCGGCAACTCCAGTGCCCTGTCAGCCCTAGGCCGATGTTCACCGATGGGCCGATAATGGCAAGTCCGTCGGCACCGGGCTGCGTTTGAAAAGACCCGCTGGGCGTGTGGTGCGTAGTCTGCAGACAGAGTGGGACGCGGGGGGGGAGGCGGGGCCGAGAGTGTGTTTTCATGCAGCTCCACACCAGGTCTGAGCAGATCCATGTCGGAGAAATTCTGACGCGGACGAAGTCGGGATAGAATGTATTCCTGCGACATGATCCTTCTGGCATCAGGGCCCGTATCGAGCAGGCAGCCACCGGGCGACCTCGGAGCAGGGGCCCCTGATGTGACGTCGGCCACGGGATTCAAGGCTGGCGAAGCTCTGCCCAGAGGTGTAGTGCGGAGAGGCTGGCCTTGGCCTGGCCTTGGCTGGAACTAGAACGATGCTCGGAGGAATCTCGGCATATACAGAAGCACACCTGATTGCCAGGCAATCTGGCACCTGTCGGTATCGAGAGCCAATCTGCATTGAGCGACGACATTGTTGGGGGCGGGAACTTTCGTGGGGTATGCACGATATCGGACACCTCGACAAAGCCGCTGTCGCTATTCGTCCCGGGAGTCCTCTGCTGGGTCTCAGTGGGCCGAGACCCTGTCCGAGAACCTCTCGGACAGGCCAGCAGTGCCGGCAAGAGGGCAGACGGAGTCGGGGACGAGGGTGTACGAAGTTAGTGGACCAACATCGCAACTTCCCCGGGCTGGGGGCCCGCCCTTCCCCAGAGTAAAGATCGGCGGGCAACTATGGGAGCTGCGTCGCCATTCGCGCCCGTCCCCGACTTGAAGGCTCGAGTGGAGGAAGCGTGACAACTAGCATCGGCTCTCATCCCCTGTTTTATTTGGAGCGGGGTTGCTTCGTCGGTCCCACCGACCATGGCTGTCTCGCGTGGTATTTGTTTCCCGTTGTGTTGACAATCCTGACAATCCTTCGGAGCACACGAGGGCAGCGTGGTATTTAGAGTCGCATTGGGCCCACCACAACTTTCCCGAGCTCCTCCCTGTGCTGCGCTTCCCTCTACCAACAGGAACAATCTGACTTGCACAAGGGTCTCTTCTGTCCATCGGCTTCCCACCAGCCAGCCCCCTTTCCTGTGATTCTCGGCACCCGACACGTCTCGCTCCCTCTCGGCTCCTGAATCTTCTCGCCGAGAGCCCGGCAGCGACGCAGCCATGGCGGACGTACAGGACAAGCATACGCCTGCCCCGGCCGTGTCCTCCCCCGATATCGAGGAGCATATGAGTATCGGGCGGTACGTTGCCACGCGCATCCCGACGTTGGTGCCGCCGATGAACCCGGCGCCCAACCCCTTCAAAGCGCTGACGCTGCTAAACCGCCAGCAGTGGCTGTTCTTCGCGGTATGTATCGTTCAGGTCAATGATGACGCGGAATAACGACGCTAAGCCATTCTATATAGGTCGCCTTCGCCGGCTGGACCTGGGACGCCTTCGACTTTTTCACCGTCTCGCTGACCACTAGCCAGCTGGCCAAGGCCTTCGACAAGTCGGTCACGGATATCACCTGGGGCATCACGCTGGTGCTGATGCTGCGCTCCGTCGGCGCCATCACCTTCGGTATTGCCTCGGATCGCTGGGGTCGTAAGTGGCCCTTCATCGTCAACCAGATGATGTTCATCGTGCTCGAGCTGGGCGCCGGTTTTTGCCAGAACTACAAGCAGTTTCTAGCCTGCCGGGCGCTGTTCGGCATTGCTATGGGCGGTCTCTATGGGAACGCTGCAGCGACCGCGCTCGAGGACTGCCCGTCCGAGGCGCGTGGTATAGTTTCCGGCTTGCTACAGCAGGGTTATGCGTTTGGCTATCTACTAGCCACCGCATTCGCGCGTGGCCTGGTCGATACCACGCCCCATGGCTGGCGCCCATTGTTCTGGTTTGCGGCCTGCCCGCCCGTGCTGATCATTCTGTTCCGGCTGTGCCTGCCGGAGACGGAGACGTTCCGCCGTCGCCAGGAGGCGCGAGCGGAGGTTCGCGGTGGCGTAGCGGCGTCGTTCATGGCGGAGGGTAAGGTTGCGCTGAAGCGGCACTGGATGCTGCTTCTCTACCTGGTCCTGCTGATGGCCGGATTCAACTTTATGGTATGTGATTCGGACGTCGGCACACCCATCCCTCCATATGGGGTGGTGTTTTTTGGGGGTGTTTTTTTTCTAACAAGCGACCCTCTATCTAGTCCCACGGCTCGCAGGATCTCTACCCGACGATGCTACAGAACCAATTCAACTTCTCCAAGAACGCCGTCACCGTTACTCAAGTCGTCGCGAACCTGGGCGCCATCACCGGCGGCACGCTCTGCGGTTGGGCCAGCCAAATCTTTGGCCGGCGCTTCTCCATCATCGTCATCAGCATCGTCGGCGGCGCCCTGCTATACCCCTATACCTTTGTGACCAGCGACAAAGTCATCGCCGCCGCCTTCTTCGAGCAGTTCATGGTGCAGGGCGCCTGGGGCGTGATCCCCATCCACCTGATGGAGCTCTCGCCCGGGCCCATCCGCACCTTCGCTGTCGGCACAGCGTACCAGCTGGGTAACCTGGTGTCTTCGGCTAGCTCGACGATCGAGTCGACTATCGGCGAGCGCTTCCCACTCCCGCCTACTAAGGCGGTGGCCCACCGCTACGAGTACGGCAAGGTCATTTGCATCTTCATGGGCTGCGTCTTTGCGTATGTGATCTTGGTTACGCTGGCTGGGCCGGAGCGTCTGGGACGGAACTTTGATGCTGAGCATGATGCGGATCTGGCGGTTGTCGCGGCGCACCGGGGTATTGATCGCGCTGATGGTTACGAGAGTGATCCTGAGAAAGCGACGGCCACACGCCACGAGTGAGATAGTGAAGGACCCCTCGGGTGTGCTGCCTGCCCACGTCGGATCGTGCTTGCTAAAACGGTGAAGTTGAGGCGTGAAATGATCCATTTCCCATCCCCCAAGTGAAGGGATGGGCCGATACCTTGATATGAGATAGGATGAGGACAATATGAGAATGAGATACGTTGGCCATGATGTAGCCTGCAGCTAGCTTTCTTGATTAATAGTATTACTTGCTGCACTTGTCTCCCCACAGTTCTGTCAATTGTCGATGTCAATGGATATCTATAATCATTGTCAAGGTAATGGTTCTAGAGGTGATTTACGTACGATCAACAAGGCAGTTAGCCAGCATGCCAATCCCGACCTACTGAGATCACAATGACCTAGTTAGTGGGAGGACAACCCCGATCAGATCTGCTTTATATGTTGCGCGCATCCCGGCGCGATCGCCGCTTGAACGGTGGAGCCGGTTTTCTCTAGATAGTCGCCACAAGAAAAAGAAGGGGCAGGAGCACAAGGACAGGAGAAAGGGAGCACACGTACTGTATACGGACGAAAGCCACCACAATGCAGAGTACCTTTTCACTACAGGGTATATAGTGCACGAGGCGTGGACGGAGCAATGTGTTTGGGGAGTCGAACTTGGACTGGTTGGTAAGGAGAGTGAGGTGTCTACCAAGTCTATCACGCAAAGGCGAAGTCACGCCATCCCGCCTGGTGATAAGCGCCGCCACGATCGTGCCTCCGTAAGAGCTGAGGAGAGGCTCACGTCTAGTCCTGCTTCTGGGCTGAGACGACTGAGTCTACTGAGATTGCCGAGGATGCTGGGATGAGGTCCTTCATGGCTGGGAATACATGGTTGCCTGCGGCAGCTCCCGCGTCTTCATTGCGCCACTGTCCTGTGGTCCGAGATACGAGAGAGTTGGGGGCGACACCTCCTAGCCAAGCACCTCGAGCATAGGATGACCATGCATACTGTGGTGTTGAGGTCGGTCTAATAGAGATGGTAGTTATTGCCGGCCGGGCGCCCTCTCCTACGGCGAAAGGCTCGGGAGTCTCGATTGGGTCACTCTCGAGCCGCGCGCCAAGCCTGCGAATGCCAATTCCGTCCAAGAGTCAAGCAAAAGAACCGAGTAGTGGTCATCAACTCGAAAGCCACCTTCCTCATAGTGCTAGTTGTGCGTACACGACCAGAAGTATTAATCGTTTCGATCCTTTTTCAGGTCCTACCGTCGACCGACTAACTATACCCTGTAGTATGCACATAGTCCCCAAGTTATGAGTCTGTAGTCTCCGTAGTGCTCCCCCTTCTCCACAAGGGCCAGGCCAGGCCAGGGACTTCGGGGACTTTTTTTTTTCGCAGGCCCGCTGGTTGGCGGGCACACCCAAGCCCACTCGCCTCGCTCCGCCAAACCTCCTGGCTCTTCCTGCTCTGCCCTGTCTCGGTCTCTTCTTCCACCCTCGCATTCCAACCCCCCCCTCCTCTCTTCCCTCCCTCTCCCCTCCCCTCCTCTCCACCCCCTTCCTCCCTTTCGTTTACCATTGGGTCCTGCGAGGCCGAGGAGACCTCCCCCCCCCCCCCCCCCCCCCCGGTGCCAAGATCCCTCGATTCCCTCTTCCCGTCTGTCCTGCTATTGCCGGTGCTGGATGAGTCCCGACTCCGCCTCCTCCAATGCACAGACGCTCGTCTGGCTCCCCGGTCGCGGACGACACTGACGATTCCCCGACACGCTCCCCAGACGATCATGGGAATGGTCACGGCCCCGGCAATGCCGTCGAGCCCCCCAACGACAAATCGCGGTCGCAGATAGCCCGCCACGGCACCAGCTTTGACCTCCGCCGCGATAACGGTAGCTCCACGCCGCGTTCGCGGAATTCGAGCCTGTGGCGCACCCCGTCTGCCCATCCTTCCAACGACACTAAACCCATGCCTCTGGGCTCTCCGCGGCTTCCCATGGAGGCCCCCTCCCCCGATGGCCGCCGCGCGCGCCAATCGAGCCTGCGCAGTCCTTGGTCCTGCTCGATTCTGACTGCGTTGACCACCTTCTTCGCCGTCGCGTTCGTGATCTCCATCGTGCATTCTTTTGCCAGTCGCCAGGTTGGTGGAGATGGTTGTGGGGTGCCCATGATGAGCCCGACCTTCATGCGGATGCTGGAGTTTGATACGGAGCACACGCGGTTTGCGAGCAAATACAACCTCTTTTTGTACCGGGAGGAAGGCGTCGATCCATACACGCGGGATAATATCGGGGTAAGCATGATCCGGTGACGCGGGTGTAAAGGGAGGTAACAGCTGCTGACGATGGTTTCTTGGGTGTTTTCAGTTGAACGGCGTTCCGGTTCTTTTTCTCCCAGGCAATGCTGGCAGTTACCGGCAGGTCCGGTCGCTGGCGGCAGAGGCCTCGCGGCATTACTACGATGTGGTTCGACACGACGAGGAGCGGCACGCTGCCGGCACGCGCAGTTTGGATTTTTTCATGGTGGATTTCAACGAGGATATGGCGGCCTTCCACGGACAGACATTGCTCGATCAGGCGGAGTACGTGAACGAGGCGATCTCCTACATCCTATCGCTCTATCACGATTCTCGACGAACCCGTCGTGACCCTGGCCTACCCGATCCCAGCGCGGTGGTTCTGATCGGTCACTCCATGGGTGGTATTGTGGCCCGCACCGCCCTGACCATGGCGAACTACCAGGCGAACTCAGTCAATACGATCATTACCATGTCGGCGCCGCACGCGAAGCCGCCTGTTTCCTTCGATTCGGACATCGTCCATACCTACAAGCAGATCAACGACTACTGGCGCGAGGCGTACTCGCAGACCTGGGCGAACAACAACCCGCTGTGGCATGTCACGCTGATTTCCATTGCGGGAGGTGCGCGCGATACCGTGGTGCCATCTGATTATACCAGCATATCGTCCCTCGTCCCCGAAACCCACGGGTTCACTGTGTTCACCTCGTCCATTCCAAATGTGTGGATCGGCATGGATCACCTGTCTATCACATGGTGCGACCAGTTCCGGAAGGCAATCATAAAGTCGCTCTTCGATATCATTGACGCCCGGCGCCCGTCTCAGACAAAGCCGAGAGCAGATCGTATGCGGGCTTTAAAGCGGTGGTATCTGACGGGGCTGGAGTCGGTTGCCGAGCGGACGCTTTCGCAGAAGGAGCCCAATACTCTCTTGACGCTCGAAGATAATGCAAACACCATTCTCGCTCAGGGCCAGCGGCTAGTTCTTCGCGAGTTGGGTCACCAACATGGTCCCGATGTGCGCCTTCTGCCTATTCCGCCGCAGGGTGTCTCGGGGAAGAAGTTCACTTTGCTTACCGATCAGGCTCTCGATAAGCAGGGCAACGTGGAGGTGCTGTTCTGCAGCGTGTTCCCGCTGAATAATGGCCGTTCCGCCATCTTTTCGATGAACCTGGATTTCTCCGGTGGTACTGTGGGCTCGACCCGGTTGGCTTGCAAGAGTGCAGCAGAGGATGTCATCCACCTACCCTCTTCGACGCGGACGTCACAGAATGCCTACGACCGTGTTCCGCCGTTCTCATACCTCCAGTATGATCTGGAGAATCTTGCGGAGCATCAATTTGTGGCGGTTGTGGACAAGGCCAACGTACCGACTCCGGGTTTCTTGGTGGCCGAGTTCTCCGACAGCTCCGATGCCGTGATTCGTGCCAAGGTTGGCCTGGGCACTCTGCTGAGTGCGGGCCTCAAGATGCGGTTACCTGCCCATCGGCCCATGCTTACTGAAGTGAAGATTCCGGCGTTGCACTCCAGTCTCCTAGACTATAAGCTCAAAATTACGCGGCATCCGCAGCAGGAGGAGCTTTTTGCTCCGCTCCTGCGCCAATCCATTCCGGATCCGCACGAGTCCAAGTTCTTCGTGAATGTCAACGACATCCATGTGAGCCTGCATGGTGTCGCGCCGTACATGCCGTCCCCGATTCGCGACTCGGCTGCTTCCAGTGGTGTATCATTCCACCTCTGGACGGATCCAAGTCCTGGTGAGACAGTGGATATTTCGCTGCAGGTTGATATCGCCAGCAGCCTCGGTGAACTGGTGATGAGGTACCGTACTGTTTTCGCCGCGTTCCCGCTACTTGTTGTGGCTCTTGTTCTGCGCAAGCAGTTCCAGGTCTACGACGAGACAGGATACTTCATCCCCTTCACCGATGGTCTCGACCGCGCCCTGCGGTCCTCTCTTCCGCTCTTGCTGGTGGCCATGTCGCTTCTGGCGTCTTCCCTGGCCACCGCCAAGGCTTTGCCCCAGTCCGATGACCCCTTCCACTGGAGGACCAACTCGACCGAAACACCACTGGACTTCACGAAGAACGATCTTCTCCTCGGCTCCCAAGATGCTTTCTTCTGGTTCCTCGTCCCGATCTTTGGTCTGATCAGCGTCGGCGCTTGCGTTCTGGTTAACTATGTAGCTCTCTTCCTCGTCAAAATCTTCTCCCTGGTCTACGGCGCCGTGAACAGCAAGTCGGGCTACATCCGCCGCGACGACAGAGGCAATATGCCCATATTCAGCGCTCCCACCCCGCGCCGCCGCGTCATCCACACCGCGATCCTGCTCCTTCTCGTCTCAACGATCATCCCCTACCAGTTTGCGTACATGGTAGCCTGCATCGTGCAACTCGCGACCACCGTGCGCTCTCAATGGCACGCGAAGGAAACAGTATGTCCTAATCTCATCCTATTCTGACCCTCCCCCCGCGCTAACCACCCCGCAGAGATCTACCTCCCACCTAAACTTCAGCAACTACGCCCACTCCATCCTAATCCTGATGCTCTGGATTCTGCCAATAAACGTGCTCGTCCTGCTCGTCTGGGCACACAACCTCGTTGTACATTGGTTCATGCCCTTCTCCTCGCACCACAACGTCCTCTCCATCATGCCCTTCCTCCTACTTGTCGAGACCATGACCTCCGGCGCTATGATACCCCGCATCACCACCCGCTTCCGCCACGTCACCGCCACGCTCTTCTTCGCCATCGCGATGTACTCCGCCGTCTACGGTGTCACCTACGCCTACCTGCTGCACCACCTGGCCAATCTACTAGCAGCGTGGTTCGTCGGCATTTACCTGGTCGGCAATGGGTTCTCGCCACGCAGGCTGTGGCGCATTATTGATGGCGAGGAGTCGCCGAGTGAGTCGGGTGGGAGGCATGTTAAGAAGAAGCCATAAGATGAAAGATATTGTTGAGAAGTCATTATGGTTTCTTTCCAAACCCTCTCCTTTTCTCTTTTTCTGGACCCTTTCGTTCGTGTCGGTCTGATTGTGACTCTGACTTACTGCTATGGTGTCGCGCATTGGAATGGAGTTTGAGCGTTTTTTTCTCTTGTTTTTTCTTCTCTCCTCTGCTTTTGCCTTGATTGTACAGAACTGATCGACCCCTCCTGCAAGACTTATCCCGTCACCTAATATCTCGACGATAGGTATTCATCACGAATACGATATTTCGTGCGAGATTGTGCGATTTATACCTACCCTTTTGACTTGACTTGACTACTATGCTCCACCACAGGCACCGACGGAGGTCTGGTGTATATAGCTCGAGCGATGGTGTCCTTACTCCCTACGCCGCCTTTAATCCCTTTTTATTACTGTCTCCCTGTTCCATGCAATCTGGACATAGCTTTTACTCTTTTTGGCTTTAGGCTAGGGCTGGTGCTGGTGCTGGTGCTCTGCTATTTATTTGACTTGGATGAATCTGGACCTGGACTTGGACCTGCGTTTGGAATGCGGTACTGATAGACCCGATTTTCTGAATACCTACTAATTGTCTACCTTTCGCCTGCCCTGAATGGAGTTGTCTGTGTATATTTTCTGGAAATTTTCCACGCCAATGAGGCGCTGTGTGGAGCAGGTGGATGTTCAAAGGGAAGAGGCATTTAATGCATGGACGGCTACCTCCTTGTCTAGAAATCACTTGTGCCCGGCCCAGTCTCCGGAAATAAGGACGCTAGTGGATTCTGTTTCCGCTTAGAATTGTTTCTACACAAGTTGTCTTTTCATCAGCCCAACTCCCACACAGTAGACCATTGTTCACTTTATCTCGCAATCGACTGCTGGGTTACAATCAGCGGAGGTCTTTTAGGCGCTGAGCATCTAGGGTTAGATGTTCAGTGCTTCAGTCCATGTCTGATCTTGAGGGCCTAGGTCGTGGCGTAGAAGAAGACTTTGGCGACAGAAGGAGCAACGCGAGTATCTGTCTGGCTGAGGCTGACACGTCCTCAGGTCACCACGAAAACTAGGTTGCGCGTCTCGACATATGAAGTGCAATCTCATCACCCACCGAGGACCAAGCACAGGCCGAACTCAGGGACCTGAGACCGACATATGATAGGCTATCACCGCTCGATGGTAACATACATTCATTGTAGTAGGCAGTTTTGAGATTTGGATAGCTTTGGAGGGCTTGACTAGGGGTATGATGGAGAATTCTGAAAGAGCTACATTGATAAAAGGAAGAGAAATTAGCAGAGATGCCCCTCCATATAAGTAGTCACTAGTTAATGTGGCAAACAGTGACTGCACACTACAGACTGTATCAAATTTCAGTCACCTCATTAAGCAGACTTTTAGGTAGATTTTACTTTTCCCCTCTTTAAATTGCACTTTCTTCACACATGCTACCTCCCACGAACAAGACTCTCTGTACTGCTAGTATGCTGCTCCTGGCGAAGGGACTGGTCATAAGTAACTTCCATCTCCGTGGTCATGGTGATGGTGCTCTTGGAATTTATTTCGGTGGGCCCGTAGCCGAGACCACTATCGCCGGCCTGGACGAGAGTGACGTTTTGATTGTGCGTGCACGGGCTGAAATGCGGCATCTCCTCGAGGTTGTAGCTCAAGCCAGACCGCCTGCTGCGGCTGGTGGAGCCGTTGGCGTACTGGCCGTTGCGGGTGTACCGGTTACTACGAGTGGAGCCCCCGAAGAGTTTCGGGACGAGCCGCGCAATGAGCGGCTTGAACGAGGGAGCACACGCAGCGACAAACGACAGGCCGACTTCAATGGTCGACACGCAGAAGAGAACCGAATGGGTGTAATTCTCCGGTATATGACGGTCGTAGTGGTCCAGAAGAATGACGCGAATAATGCCCGCCGCAACGGTTCTTCCTTTTATTAGTATGGAAATTGTTCGAGAAAGAAGGCAGCTCACTGGGCTACTCACAACAGACCGAAAGACAGAATACCAATCAGCATCAGCTTCTGGCGCCAATGCATCTGGAGGTGATATACGATCCACGTAGGCAACCCCAGGGCGAGGACATCGGTGAAGATGGAGACCGAGGCGGTACCAGTAACGAAATTGGCGAAGTCAAGGCACTTTGCGTGGGGATACGCGGCCGCGTTCCAATTAGCGGCGATGGGCACACACCGGAAAACAGTGATGAAGAAGGTGGCCACAGCGGCGATGCCATTGAATATCAGCAAACCCTTTATGGCCTGGCGCACCAACTTCTTCTGACCGGTCAGACGTAACAGGAAGAGCAGGATGGAGGTCTTAACAAGGGCTAGGATAGGATTGTAGATGAGTTCAGTCTGGCTCGTTAGCAGGGGCAGCCTTCTCCTTTGATCAGGGACGTCTCTGTTTTACGTACTGCATAGGCATATTTGTTCCCCAGAATGGCGGGATAGCCGGGAGGGATATCGGAAACATTGTAACCGATGTAGGTGTAAATAATCACTAGGGGACCGTTAACCTCATGTAATCCATACTACCACCCGTGAAAGTGTTCTCGTTCTGCGGATCCTAATCCTACCTTTATACGACGTAAATGTTTCGGCCCAGTACATGATCTGCCGATCTGTCAATCCCCCGAGACTTGTGGGCCTGAGTGGATCAGGGACTCACGATTGCGAAGCAAATAACCCAGTCATCTATTCTCAGTTAGAACCATCGCACGAATGAGCAAAGAAGAACGGCCATGCATGCTGGACTGACCTGCGCCAAACGACGTTGTCAGCGCGCGGCTGTAAACCCGCAGAGCGACAGCCGCAGTTGCGAGGGAGGAGGAAAAGCAAAGATGAGGCCAATGGCCTGCGGCTGTAGGTTGTCACTTGAACTCATAGCTCTCTTTGAATATCCCTCTACTATGCAGACATGGCGGTACTTCCCACTGCGTGAGTGACCACCTGTGTCGGTGACAGGGGAAGATTCGACTCAGCGCGACAGGATTGTGGCGATAACCGTCAGCCCCCTGCTGCATGGGTGGCAGCTGAAATTCTGCCTGCATTGGACGGCTCTCTTATTCTTCCCTGTAGTGGCTTGCGGCTGCTCCTGCGATCCTGCGATCCTTAATTGGAGCCGGGAGTATGGCTCCGGATAGTCGTATCCATAATTGGGCGTCTTCCCCGCGCTACACCTCCTTCTAGAATGATTTCGGTTCGAAATAGCTAAAGGGCTTAGTTGCGAATTCGCCCCGGTTAGCGAACAGAAATTAAGTTCAACCATCGATTTAGGGGGTGGGGCCAATTTGGGGGCCAATATCGGGACTCGTTCAAATTGAGTTAGCAGGATGCGGAGGGCTGATTTTTTTGATGGACGGGGCGCATACATGCCTGGGCACCTTAGTGCGTCTATACGGCAAAAGAAACAGCCCAAAGAAAATTTTGGAAACAGCGCAGACCTTATCAATGCGTTTTTGTAGAGGCTCGGAGCCAGATGGGCCATGGCAAATGCCATGCAAAAAACTTGAAACCGCCCGCGCCGTAGTTAATTAACTAACTCGTCAACCAGCTCAGCCTGCACGCTAGTCATGTACAAGGCACAGGTCTATACCATCCTCGGCTAGAGCTCCACTAGACACTGACTGATAAAATTAAGGACCTGAATAAATTACAATGCAACACCATGGACTCAGTAGTCACCAACAGCAAAAGCCTGACATCTTGGTTGTCAGGAATTTCTCTGTCCTAAGCTTTGCCTGCCAACATCTCATTGTAATACAGACAAGCCATTTCACATGGAGTCCTTTCCAAACATTGATATATGTGCCCACAGCCCGATTCAAGACACGGCTTGGGCGTCGAATTAGCCCACCAATCAGCGTTCACAGTCAAATCATTCTCCATACGGTGTCAGCGCTCCTTTTAGACTAGGCAAATGTCACCGCAAGTTTGGCCGCTTCGGTCGATTCTTAGGGCTCCGGTTCGGCTGCCGCGTGGCTAGACAAATGCCGCTAATAGATTAAATAGATTTAAGTAGCACTCCTAGTAGCTTTGCCTTTACTGCTCACCACTCCTTGTTCGTCTCTCTCCCCTTTTTTCGTGAATATCTACCGGCATGAAGGGTGTCAGGGAACTGGCTCTGGTGGCCAGTGCGTCGCTTGCCCAGGCGCTGTCGACCGCGTCGCTCTCCGCAGCAGCGACCACTGTGGCGGCCACGGCTGGTTCGGCACCCTTGTTGTTCTCCTATGAGACGAAGCAATTGACCGATAGCGTGCTCGCCGATGTGTCGGCGAGCCTGCAGAACAGCACCATTGCTAGCATGTTCGACTTCGCAAACAACTCCACGGCCAAGCGGAGTGTCCGCCACAGCTGCAAGCCGATGCCTGGCGATTTGCTGTGGCCCGTGGACCTCATTTGGAACATCTTTGATCGCTTGCTCGGCGGCAGTCTGATCAAGACGATCCCCCTGGCGTCAGTCTGTTATCCTGACTGGCCAGAGTACGATGCCACCATGTGCGCGACCATTACCGCCGACTGGCTTAGCTCGGACCTGCATATGGCTGATCCAACTTCTATCATGCTGCCGCTATATGAGGGTCGCACTTGCCTACCCTCTCCGTATAACTATACCGCCAGTTGCACACAGGGTGCCTATCCGGCGTACGCAGTCAACGTTTCCAGCGTGGCGCAGATCCAGTTGGCGGTCAACTTCGCCCGCAACTTGAACCTGCGCCTGGTAGTCAAGAATACCGGCCATGACTTCAATGGTAAAGCCTCCGGCAAGGGTGCCCTCACCATCTGGACCCACTATCTCAAGGAGAAGACCTATTACCCGAGCTTTAAAGCAGCCAATGGCTATGTCGGTCCGGCCATCAAATTCGGCTCGGGTATCCAAGTCTTTGAGGCCTATGAATTTGCTAAGAGCGTCGGCCATTCAGTTGTAGGTGGCGAAGCTGTCACTGTTGGCCTGGGTGGTGGCTACACGGCCGGTGGTGGCCACTCCCCATTATCCAGTATGTACGGTCTGGCCGCCGATCAGGTTCTGGCCATGCAAGGTAAGATTCTCCCCAGAATACCCATATCGAATGCCTGCAGAACCTCCTTACTAACTCCGCTCAGTTGTTCTTGCGGATGGCCGCTTTATTACCGCGAGTACCACTGAGAATCCCGAGGTTTTCTGGATGCTCCGTGGCGGTGGTGGTAGCACCATTGGCGTCGTAACCTCTTTGACAGTTAAGGCTCTTCCTAAGCTGGAGACCACCACTGTGACATTCAACTTCACGGTCAACGACACGCCAAGTCCGGACGCGTTCTGGGCGGCCGTTGGCGCGTATCTCAACGAATTCGAGGCCTATGTCGATGCTGGCACCTATGGTTACTTCTACATCGGCGCCTCCGCATATGAGATTGGTACGACCTATGCTGGGGACACTGACTACTATTTCCGTATGGAATCTTTTGTCGCGCCCAACATGAGCGTTACCGAGACCAAAGCCCTCCTGGCTCCCTGGTTCAATACTCTCGACAGCCTGAATGTCTCCTACACCCCGTGGTACAACCACGCGGACAACTTGTGCGTTTGCATTCTCCTCTTTACTTCCTGAAAACATGGTGGTCATATCCAGCTAATTGGCTCTTTCAGCTACGATGCTTGGGTTGAGGCTTTCCCTCAAGAATACGTCGGAACCGATGTTGTCAAGACTGCTTCCCGCCTGCTTCCCCGAAGCGTCTTCCAGAGCGATGATCTTCGCAATCAGACCTGGGCTGCCTACAGGGACGCTGTCAATCAGGTATGTGATATATACAACGCATACACACTCTCTGGTACCATTTCGGCTGGAGTCTCATACAGTATAGGGTCTCTTCGTCGTCGGCTTTCATATCAGCGGTACCGGTATTGCCGTTGAACCCCCCACGGACAACGCCGTGCTCCCCGCCTGGCGTGACACTCTATCACACGTTATCGTGGGTTCCGAGTGGAACTTTACCTCCTCCTGGGATGTGATTGAGACCTCGTCGCTCTTCGTGACCGAGTGGATGGACGTGCTACGTGAGATTGCCCCGGATTCGGGCGCTTACATGAGTGAGGCCGATCTCATCGAACCGAACCTCCAGGACGCCTTCTACGGCTCCAATTACCCGCGTCTCTACTCGCTCAAGCAAAAGTATGACCCTAGTGGTTTGTTCTTCGCCCTGACCGCGGTCGGTGCAGAGGACTGGGAGGTTCGGACCGTCGACCCGCTGCCCTACTCGTGGAACAACAACGGGCGGCTCTGCCCGAAGTCTTCTTGACCAACTCCCACTAACTGACTTGTACCTATTTGGTTCTTTAATATAGATGTACAGTAACCCGGTAGACAGCCGAGTTATGTGAACCACCTAGACTAGATAAATGGCTGTCTATAGTTAATATCATTAGATATCTGGTAGAATTGATCTTACTGCGATGATACTACGCGGGATGCTAAAAGTCGGAACGCACCACGCTAAGCGGATGCAAAGCAGTAATGAGAATCCGGAAGATTCTGCACGGTTCTGACCATCTTCGGCATTTAACTCTCCTGGGTTACTTGGATATCAAGACGAGGTTCTGATAGTAAATAGTAGGATAGTACGTTAAAGTAGGTCCCTATAGACTTGAAAAGGGGACTTTTTTGGAACCAACTGCTCCGGTCCAAGTCTTCTCAAATTGGGAAGAGAGATGTTGCCGCTAACTTGAAGAATCTAATGTGTTTGAGACAGGTAATTCTCTCTTAGGCCATTCCATCGTTCTCTTGCCTTTGATCAGAACAATCCTTAGGAAGACGCACGAACTTCTCGCTTCTTGGGTCCTACTGCTGCACTCATTATCCACTAAATATCACGTCCTCACCAGATTGCAGGACCCTCCTGGACCATAAGAACTTCTGGGATACCATCTGCTCATTCCTCCTCTTTCTCCCCCGCTCACTGCTTGTCCCGCTTCTGCTTCAGAGATCGTTCCCTGCGGCGACCTCCTCGTTCCGTCCCTGATTTTTCTTGTCCGTGTGCCTTTCTCGGTCTGTCTAGCTCCCTCCATATTCCATCTCGCTGGGCTCCCCTTCCTCGTCTTGTTGAGCACACCCATCCCGCATGAACCGAATTGCTCGGCGGAAAACGAAGCTCCCCTGGATAGAGAGTCTCAATATCACCGTGCAATCAAGCAACGCGCTGAATTGACATACTTTTGGCGGGAAAGGCCTGTTTGTGGGAAATACCACTGATATGATTCTCTGGCCATGCTCGAGTTTGGACTGTCAAATGACTGGATGAGCTGAGACTGCTGTATGCGTCCCAGCTTCCGGAGGATGTCAATTGTTTTGGCTGGTACTTTCGAAGAAGTGAAGTGAAGTTATCCATCTATTCATCTCTATGGGCGTCATTGACCTTTGAAATCTGCTTAGCGGCATCTCTCCCGCGGCCGACGAGTTACATGTTGCTTCTGGCGGTGTGGGAAGCACCCAAACCTGCTTGGAGGTCCCGAGACAATGTAAACAAAACGAAAAATCGTTCACATCGAGCAGAAACTCACTACCACGACATATTACTTGCTGCTTCCGTCTGACAATTGGCGCTGTCACCTACAGAGCTTGCCCTTCCGTGTGGAAGCTTCTGCCCAATCCAGCTAGCCCTAGAAGGAAAGTCGATCTAGCCGGAGATTACTGCAGTCCCATGCGTGCAAGGTTACTCGAAGACAGTCCAGTCCAAACCCACAGGGATAATAGATGACCTGTGATCGGGGAAACGACCCAAACTCGACAGGCCGCGCCCAGATCGGTGTAACGGTCCAGATCTCAGGCACCGTACCACCCTCCCGAACTCTCGCGAAGCCAGCCAGCCCAGTGATAGGCTGCCAGTCCAGGGTTCTCCTGTTCTCGACAATCTACGTGTCCCGGTCGAGGGTGATAGGTCGCCCCAATCCAGGACGCTGTTGGGCTATGTATCAGGGCGCGGGCCTGAGCGCCGGGGCAGGAAAGGGGCCACGCATTAAAAATAACGACCTGAAAAGGGGGCTGAGAGTTGAGGTTGAGAAACAGGGGGCTTTTCTTTCATGCCAGTGGGCAGGGGCGGAAACAACAAAATAAGTACACAAAACAAAGCACATTGCCCGGGGCTGATATGCCTAGGAGGACGATTGATGTTTTGTTGTTCTGGCATTCGCTGGGCAGGGATTCCCGGCCTACAAGTCGCCAAGTTCTGCACATACAGGTTACGACCTACGTGGATCTTTACCCCGGATTCGCTGCTGCAGGATGCAGAGAAAATAATAGAGAAAAAGTAGGTGGGTACTTCGGGCCGGCCGCAGGGCAATTTTTCCCCAGAAGTGGGCGAGACGATGAAAGGGGGGCGATAAGGCCAGCCCCATAGAATAGACGACTGGGGCGCATTGGGATGCCGGCCATGCGGATCCACCCCCAGACTCCCAAATTCAACTACACGGCAGAATTCCAGGACAACAGCGCTGTTGTCGATAACATCGATAGCAGCAAGAAAAAGGAGTCCCCTGCATGATGACCTCGTCGCGCCGTCAACTGCCAAAACTCTGCTCCCCTGGGTGGCGGGCGAGCCCGGGCAACGCCACAGCAAAAGCAAAATTCGACAAATCAGACACAAATCTCGTTCTTGCCCTCGCTTCCAGAAGACCAAAGGACCAAACAATCGCCGGGAGAATGCCGGGGCAATCGGAAACTCGAGGCTACCGCGCCATGTGAATCGATCACGGAGCGCCCGATGCCTAGATAGCATGGGATTGGACGGAGCAAAGGACATCCAAATGAGGCCGCGCAAAGTTCGGGACGGGGAGAAATTTTGCAACCCAGAAAATCAGAAATTATGTTTCCCATCAAGGCCGGCTCCAAACAGAAACAGCAAGGGCCGAATCTTGGGGGCGAGTTGAGTTCGCAGAATTTGACTTCCAGACCCACTGGCACTATCCCTCGACCCGATCACTTTTCGCCACCGGGTACTTTCGCGGGGGATAAGGGATAACAATGTGATAATGGATAATGGACGAGTACTTCTCAGTCTAGGCGGGAATTCTCCGGCTTTGGACCGGAGTATGTCGGTCTGGCGAACGACAAAGAGCGTTTCCACGGTCCATAGTTTCCATGACATCAAATCATCAAGATTGAATTTTTGGATGCAACCGGCCAGCCCGCGATAACCGATAAGCAGGGGGGAAGCGGTGAGCCTGCAAAGGCGGTGTTGTGCAGGATAGTGTCTATACTGTACACGTCAGTATACTTCGCGCACGCCGAGAATGTCCCTGGATGCCGGCTAGTGATTGCTAGCCCTTCTAGTGAAATGCCTAGGCTGGTATCAAGTTGGATCGCAGCCAAGATCCATCAACCCCTGAACACATTTTTCATCCGAAATGTTTACCGGAGCTGTCGATCGAAGCCTGCAGATCCCGTTGCCCAACTTGTTGAATTCATATACTGTTTTAATATTATTTTAAAATAGCGCCCTGATTATTTGATTATGCCGCGCAGTAATATCCTGTACTCCGTATATGTCCTGCGCTGACCCCGACAACCCGTATTACGATGGCTTACAGCCAGCCCTGCCGAGAGCTGCACGGGTCGCAGCGGCTGCGCCCTCCACCTGCGTTCACAGGTCATCATTTCGATTACGGATAAAAACGGAAGTCAGCCTTCCCTCTGGAACATGGAGATGGTTCTGGGCAACACTAAAAATATTTTCGGCTTGGGGGTCTTGGGTTCTCGAAACTCTCGATCTCGGGAAGCTTGATTGGATATGTCAACGGCCGGCAGAGGGCTGCGCCACCCGGTCATCATAGTGGCGACTGGCACGCTTCACGGGCCTACCATTCTGTTCGGAGTACGGAAATGGGAACGAGCGATGGCAGCAGAAATCTATTGCTCCGTCCGGAGTACTGTATCTGCCGTTTCATCCCCCGGATTGTCTCCCTAGAGGAGTCTAGGCTGATACTGCATGTGCTGCGGACTGCACCGCGGGGGACCTCAAGCCTTCTGATAACCGCCCTGAAAAAAAAATTGATTGATCTTCGATAGTCACTGTGGTAACAGCTGGCCAAAAGGGGGGGAAATGTTGAGTAGTAGACATCATATTGAAAGGACGATGTCATTCCCAAAGGCATCTATGAGTTGAATTGACTCCAGTAGGCAACACCCCTCCTTTTGTTCGCCGTCCCAGGCTTTCGAATTTGTCGGGTGCCACACCAACAATCATCATTTAATTTTGATTTATTTTATTTTATTTTCTTTCCAAGCAACAAAGCAACTGGCCAATGACTTGGCGGGGATTCGGGAGACTGCCCAATAGCCACCAATCAGAGCAGGCAGTTTGATGGGCAGGCTCCATTACTAAACTGTACTAAGCCGCTTCCGGACTTAGTGCAGCACCGCGGCCGCAACAGAAAAAAAATTTCTGCGCAAGGTTGGGCGGCGAGGGGCCACACACCGATAAATATCTCGCCCCCCTTCGAGCACCCCTCCTCTCTCTCCCTACTCATCCTTCCTCCCCCATCTTTTCTTGACGAGGTCTGGTCCTCTCTTTTTTGTTGTTTTTCGTTTCTGCATAGACAGAAATAGACCGCTCTATCACTTCAGAGCGTTGCTGCGTCCTGGACAGCCGACGCAGTTTGGGCCACTCCAGCTCATCATCGAGATACCCCTCATAGAAAAAACTCTTTCTTTACTCTAATACGTTTCCTTCCCCCACCAACCGCCAAAATTTCCTCCAAAATGCCTGCCGTCGACGTTTCCTCCGTCCCTGCCGTCTCCGGCAAGGAGATCGCCAAGTCGATCGCCGTCCTCGAGGATCTCATCAAGAACCTCAACGTTTCCACCTCCGCCGATGAGGTCAACGCCGCTGCTGGCAACCTCGCCACTCTCTTCAGCGGTCCCATCGCTGAGCAGGCCCTTCCCCTGAAGGCCGTCGAGACCTTCAAGAAGCAGCTCTCCAACAAGAAGGATGCGCTGGCCCGCGAGCGTGCCTGCGAGGGCATTCGCGCCATCGCCTCCCACTCCACCATCGCTCCCGGTGTTGAGCCCCACCTCGTGTCGCTCCTTGGCCCCGTTCTGAATGCTGTCGGTGACAAGATGGTCCCCGTCAAGGAGGCCGCTCAGTCCGCCGCCGCTGCCATCGTTCAGGCTGTCTCCGGCAACGCCGTCAAGGCCGTTGTCACCCCCATTCTCGATTCCCTCCAGAACGCCCAGAAGTGGGCCGAGAAGATGGCCGCTCTCCAGTGCCTGGATGCCCTTGTCGAGTCCGCCCCCGCCCAACTATCCTTCCAGGTCCCCCGCCTGATCCCCGTCGTCTCCGAGGCCATGTGGGATACCAAGGCTGAGATCAAGAAGGCCGCCTACGCCACCATGGAGAGGGTCTGCGGTCTGATCGTCAACAAGGATATTGAGCGCTTCATTCCCGAGCTCATCAAGTGTATCTCCAAGCCTGAGAACGTCCCCGAGACCGTTCACTTGCTCGGTGCCACCACCTTCGTGTCCGACGTGACCAGCCCCACCCTGGCCATCATGGTCCCCCTGCTGGACCGTGGTCTGGTTGAGCGCGAGACTGCCATCAAGCGTAAGTCCGCCGTCATTGTCGACAACATGTGTAAGCTTGTCGAGGATCCTCAGCTCGTCGCTCCTTTCCTGCCTAAGATGTTGCCCGCTCTGAACAAGAACTTCGACACCCTGGCCGACCCCGAGGCCCGTGAGAAGACCAAGCAGGCTCTGGACACCCTCCAGCGTGTCGGTGCTGTCGTGGATGGCAAGATCCCCGAGGTCTCCACCGCTGGTGACATCGAGACTGTCGCCGGTATCCTCAAGGATATCCTCAAGGAGAAGAAGCTCGAGGCCTGCATCCCCTCCTCCGAGGCCGCCATCAACTACATTGCTGCCATCGCTGGTCAACTCGTTGACGAGAAGGACACCGACAACACCACCTGGATCCAGAACCTCGTTCCTTACATCGTTGCCATTGTCGGTGAGGAGGCCGCCAAGCCCATTGCCGAGACTCTCCGCAAGCGTGCCTCCCCCGATGCCGCCGCTGCCGATGAGGTCCCCTCCGATGAGGAGGAGGGTGTCGATCTGTGCAACTGCACCTTCTCCCTGGCCTACGGTGCCAAGATTCTGCTGAACCAGACCCACCTGCGCCTCAAGCGTGGCCAGCGTTACGGTCTCCTGGGCCCCAACGGTTCCGGCAAGACCACCCTCATGCGTGCTATCAACAACGAGCAGCTCGAGGGTTTCCCCAAGAAGGATGAGGTCAAGACCGTCTACGTCGAGCACGATCTCGACGCTGCCGATACCGAGCTGACTGTCATTGGCTGGACCGTCAAGAAGCTGAACGAGGTCGGCCTCAAGCCCGTCGACTCTGAGGTCCGTGAGAAGCTTGTCAACGAGTTCGGTTTCCTCGAGAGTCAGCTCGATGGCTCCATCGGTGCCCTGTCCGGTGGTTGGAAGATGAAGCTTGCTCTGTGCCGTGCTGTGTTCGAGAACCCCGATATCCTGCTTCTCGACGAGCCTACCAACCACTTGGACGTCAAGAACGTTCAGTGGCTCGAGGACTACCTCAAGTCTTCCCCTTGCACCTCCATCATGGTTTCCCACGACAGTGGCTTCCTTGACCGTGTCATCCAGCACGTTGTCCACTACGAGCGCTTCAAGCTGAAGCGTTACCGTGGTACCCTGTCCGAGTTCGTCAAGAAGGTTCCCTCTGCTCGCTCCTACTACGAGCTCGGTGCCTCCGAGATGGAGTTCAAGTTCCCCGAGCCCGGTTTCCTTGAGGGTGTCAAGACCAAGTCCAAGGCCATCATCCGTGTCAACAACATGTCCTTCCAGTACCCCAACACTCCTCAGCCCCAGATTCGCGACATTACTTTCCAGGTTTCGCTTGGCTCCCGTATCGCCGTTATCGGTCCCAACGGTGCCGGCAAGTCTACTCTCGTTAACGTCCTGACTGGTGAGCTCATCCCCACCGGTGGTGATGTCTACCAGCACGAGAACATCCGTATCGCCTACATCAAGCAGCACGCGTTCGCCCATATCGATCACCACCTGGACTCCACTCCCTCCGAGTACATCCAGTGGCGCTTCCAGACCGGTGAGGACCGTGAGACCATGGACCGTGCCAACAAGATCGTCACCGAGGAGGACGAGAAGGCCATGGACAAGATCTACAAGGTCGAGGGTACTCTCCGTCGCGTCGTCGGCATCCACTCTCGCCGCAAGTTCAAGAACACCTACGAGTACGAGATCTCTTGGGCTCTTGGTGACAACGTCGGCATGAAGTCGGAGAAGTGGGTCCCCATGATGTCCAACGAGAACACCTGGTTGCCCCGTTCCGAGATCATCGTCTCCCACTCCAAGCAGGTCGCCGAGGTTGATCAGAAGGAGGCCCTCGCCTCCGGTCAGTTCCGCCCTCTGGTCCGCAAGGAGATCGAGCAGCACTGCGCCAACTTCGGCCTCGACGCCGAGCTGGTTTCCCACTCCCGCATGCGCGGTCTGTCCGGTGGTCAGCGTGTCAAGGTCGTCCTTGCCGCCTGCTCATGGCAGCGCCCCCACGTCATCGTCCTTGACGAGCCTACCAACTACCTGGACCGTGACTCCCTCGGTGCCCTGTCCAAGGCCATCAAGTCCTTCGAGGGTGGTGTTATCATCATTACTCACTCTCGTGAGTTCACTGAGCACCTCACTGAGGAGGTGTGGGCCGTCAACCACGGTGTCATGACCCCCTCCGGCCACAACTGGGTTCAGGGCCAGGGCTCCGGTCCCCGTCTTGACCAGAAGGGTGACGATGAGGAGGACAAGTTCGATGCCATGGGTAACAAGATCGTTGTCGAGAAGAAGAAGAAGCTTACTGGTGAGTCTTGCCTGCAAACGCCCCTACTGTATGATCTTGAACCCGATTAACTAACTCTTTTTTTCTCTACAGGCTCCGAGCTCCGCAAGAAGAAGAAGGAGCGTGCTGCCCGCCGCAAGCGTGGTGAGGAGGTCTTCTCTGATGAGGATGATATTTAAATCCGTTGACCCAAAGTGCCTTTTTATGGAGTTGATGATTATGAATTTCTTAGTGTAGTTTTTTGCTGAGGACAAAATACATTCAAAGCTGTTCAGACCAAACTGTTGTTTCTCTCACTTGTAAATGAATTGTCGAAAATATGTCGTAGATTCCCAGTGTGCTTGCGCTGTTGCAAAGATATGTCGGTTTTTGCCAGGTGTTTCCTGCATCTCCGTCCATCTGAGAAAGACCGTGCGGATGTGTTGTGTGTTCCGTCTGGTGTGGTCATATCGCAAGGACCTTCTGGTTCGTGAGTCCCTATTTTAGTACAGTACCCTCGTTCGACTTACTTTTTCACCCTCATCTCCTTACTCCGAGGCTTTATACCGGCATAGTCTTTTTTTAACGGAACTGGTGTCTATACAGACGCGGCTGGAGGAGATTGAGCGGGAGTTGTGTTTGCTGGGGTCTAGAGCCAGCCTCGTGATACTGGGGTGTTAAGCTTATGCCCATAGGCTTCTGAGGTGAGAAGTGAGCTTGTCATAATTTGCAGCATGCCATGCGTGGGGAGCCATTCGTGCCATCTATACACACTCTCTTTGCACCGCGACCGGCCGCTCGCGCGAAATAGCCACTATGCCACCACCAACAGCTAGAAGCGCAGCACAACAAGAGATACGCTTACCCTCAGAAAGAGGGGTTCAAGGGCGGATATGTGCTTTACGGTCTTTTTTCTGTGTATAGCCTATTCGCGGTGTTTTCAATGCGTTAGTAAGAGCTCTTTCAGGTCAGGATGTCGTCAAATCTAAGGTCGCACTAGCCTATAATTATTTTCCAACCAGTCTACCAGAAGCACCTTCTCGGAAAATATAGTTCAAGTGACATGGCATGGTTATTTGCGGTACGAATATGCTTGGTGTAAGCCTTTGGCCTAGGTCTCTGAGACACCCACTATCCCCCCAGCTTCTTCTGCGTCTTCTCATTTGCATGACAAGCCCTGCAGGTAAGCATTATCAGATCGTCCTAGCGCAAGGCTCGGTATTTTAAGAAAAGGGTGCCGATGAGTTTTCTGTCTCGGCTATGGTTTGTGCTGGCCGAGGGTTCACCAAAACGATGGCAATTTATTACCGGCATCTCGAGCTGTGGTGTCACGCCATATTTCGCAGATATACAGACCATTCCAGCGCTCGGGGACAGATGGTAATTCTAGTTCGGTTTGTTGCTTCTCATCTCAACCGACGCGATCATGATTTCTTTTTTGCTGTGCTCCAGCTGCTTCGCTGGCCTGTCCCCCTCATGGCAGGCTTCTTGACCCGACAATCCGGAACCGGCTTCGCTGGCCTGCAAAACTTTTCCTCGGTGACTGCCTTTCTCGGCGCAGATTGTCTGGCAAAGTCGATATATCGATTATCGCAATCGCTGTAGATGTGGACGTGGAGGGCGTGACTGGAAATGAAGGGGACGAGGGGTGTTCCATAACGTCGGGTCTGTTTAGCGCTGACACGGTTCCTCAGCGCACGAGAAGGTGGCTATTGCCGACCACAACTATGACGACCGCTGGTGATAATGGCCAATGGGGGGCTGTCTAAGTGCTGCGGGTCGGGATTTATTGCATCTCGTTTCCGTATTGGCATGCAGCTAAGGCGTCTCGTGGGAATTGTGGTGGTTTAGTCTTCCCTGTTGAGCGCCGTTCCGGCACGTCCGCTCCTCACCCTCGCAGAAGCCGAATGATTCCTGAGGAATTCCCTGCGGTGTAGAGATCGGTTTGTCCAGGGAAGCTGGTAGTATACTGTAAAATCTCATTGGGCAGCTTCCAGATATGTGCAGACCTTCATGTAAATTACGAGGACAATCGGCACTGTCTGATTCTCCCCTCCATAGTGGAGATCAGAAAAGCGGCACGGTGCAGTCCCTCACCGCAAGGAAGATTTAAGAATCCTAGCTGCAAGCCATTGTGTACGAAATGCAAAGCGTTGTGCGTTTGGCAATCCGCCTTGACTCGTCACAATCACAAAGACCCACATTCAGGCTTCCCGGAGTATAACTTCGACATCCCCCCAACACCCCCCTCTCTCGATCTCTTTCCTGTATCGATCTACTTCCTTTGGCCTACCTTCACAGTCCGAACTGAAGTTTTCATCATGGATCATGCTACCAATGCCCAGACTAACCGGCCAGAAGTTGCCAATCCAGAGTCTACAAATCCGGAGCCTGTCCATTCAGACCCCGAGAATGATGTATCTCCGCGACCAATCGGTGCTACAACGCAGACGTTAGAAGCCGCTGAGGCGCCGCAGAACACGATGGCTCCAATCCCTGTTGAAGATTTCAGTGTATGTCAGTGACCAGCATACTCTCATTCACCGTCTGATTCTTTGGGTAGAGTGATGGCAGCGAATTTGAATCTGATGTCTCCGATCTCACCTCTTTGTCCTCGAGTGTTTTGGAGTACGAATATGAGAATGGCCGGCGATACCACAGTAACCGACACGTAAGTTTTTCGAGCCCTGTGGTCACCTACTGAGCGTGAAAGTGCTAACAATTTCCAAGACCCAATACATGTGCGATCTAATTCCCATTCAAATGCAACAACAAGGATAGGCGCATAGCTAATAGGTCATAGTATGCCAAACGACGAAGAGGAACAAGACCGCTTGGATTTGGTATGGCCCTTGTTCTTCCTGACTGCCTCGGTCGCGATTCTAAACATCTTTTAGGCACACCACATGTCAGGACAATGAGACCCTCCTAGCGGTTACTTCACTGATAGAATTCTTCAGTTGGCTTTTGTTACTAAAGGGAGAGCTTTTCAAAGCGCCCGTCAAGAACCCGCAAAAAATCCTGGACCTAGGTACCGGCACAGGAATATGGGCGATCGAATGTGCAGAGTAAGCATGTCCCCTCATTGAAAGGTGCGATTGGGGCCATTTCTGATACCCGACAAGACAATTCCCCCAAGCGCACATTATTGGAAATGACATAAGCGCTATCCAACCAAGCTGGGTTTGCCCAAACCTGGAATTCATCGTGGAAGATTATGAAGCCGAATGGCTTTACAAAGCCGAAAGCTTCGACTTTATTCATGCGCGACTTTTATCAGGGTACAGGACCTATTCCAATCGTATTTTTGAGCCCATACTCATTCGCGTGCAGATGTGTCGCAGACTGGCACCAGCTCTTCCGGCGTTGCTACGACGCTCTCAAGCCGGGTACCTACTTTGAAGTCCAAGAAAGCGCCGTCTGGGCATATAGCGATGACGGCACTTGTCCAGATGATTCTCCTCTCATCCAGTACTTGTCAGCGATTGTATCGGCCTCGAGAGCGATCAGGAAGCCGTACGACGTCCATACCTATCTAAAAGACTGGCTCATAGAGGCCGGGTTCGAGGACGTCACACAGCTTACTTACTTCCTGCCATACTCCCCATGGCCGAAAGATCCTCATCTCAAAGAACTCGGAAAGTATCAGAACGTGATGGTTCAGCAGGCTGTCGAGGCTTATGGACTCAGGTTGTGTACCCAGGTTTTGGGCTGGGGTGTGGATGTATCGAAGATCTTCCAAGCTCAAGTGAACAGGCAGCTTCGGGACAAGAGCATGCATGCCTATGTAAAAGAGTAAGTGGATATTCGATTGTGGTTCTAAAAACGGTATACTAACTTGTTCTCAGGATTGTGGTGTACGGAAGGAAGCCTTTCAGATAAGAGGCGTGTGATATATTCAACTATTGTCATTGGCAACTAATTATTCCAAACACGATGTCCTGTTTAACACAGTTGACAAAAAATACAAGCGGGCTTTCCTTGCTAAAACAGAAGCTCTAGCACTTCGATTCATTCAACCAACATCTGTGCTTTCTATGAAGGACGTATAGGAGACAGTTGTATTCAACAATGTCCTTGAATATTCGAGTGACATGATAATTTCTTATAAATTGCTTCATTTATCCTCTATCCTAGATGATTGCATATTATCCATAGTGTATCAGCTAGTGACGTAAGAGACGCGCTAGGAAGGACATGCCTATGTATTCTCTCTCATATCGGGGTGGAAGAATACGGGGCAGATATTCTCAGGCATCGGTTTCAGTTGCCCAAGCGCCTGAATATATTCCCAGTGTTCCGGATACCAGCCCGCATATTCCCAGTCCAGGATAGCTGTGACCCGGCCTCCTTCAACAAGAATATTCCGCGGGGCGAAATCAGCATGAGTAAAACAAATCTCATGGTTATCCGTAAGCGCAAACTTGGCATAATGTCGCAGTAAATCTGGTGCTGATTTGACAATATCTCCCAGGATAAACTCGTTGAACTGCTGCTCCGACTCGAATGGACCGCCTTCAATGGATGCAATCTGTCCAATTATAGCCTTGCCACGATCAATAGCCCCGATATAATCACCCTTCAAGTCACGAAGTTGATTCATGTAGGAATGAAGCTCGTCGGCAATGGAGAGCTTCTGCGTGGAGTCCAAAGTATCCCATGCTTCATCGAGTCGCTTGCCAGGCATGTAGACCATCACAATAGCCACGACTTGGCCATCTTCCCAGCGGATATCATGAACTTTGGGTACAGGGATCGTTGTGTTTGCTGCAATGAAACGAAGTGTTTGCGCTTCGTGGGAGCGGAGACCGCCCGATTTCACGACGAGATTGCTGCCGACTCGGACAATCGTGCGACCGCACAACGAATGAAGTGTCGTTCACTCTTGATCCTTCGTTGTGTTCATGTTTAAAGGCAGATTATCGTGTCTTCCGTTGCGTATCGGCAATACTGCACAGTGAGCTGATTTGTGCAGGGTAAAAAAGTAGAAGTTAAAACCAGAGAATTTCGCTCAGAGGGCGATCAAGGCAGAACGTCGATGAAAGTCATGGGGCGTGCTAACCACATCCGACGACACCCTCTTCTCACTCAGGTATATTGAGTCGATTCCCCTAAGCAGGGACGGAGGATGACTGAACAGCGCTGGGCGGGTGCGGAATAGTGGTGGTACAGGGCGGGGGCGGGGAAGCGGTGGCCGTCCGAAGTTACGGGTGGAGAGGCGGCCGTTAGTGGGGCCGGAACATTCTAGTTGTAGTTTATTTAGGTCCTTATTTTAAAGTCACTGTAAACTCTAGCGGCGCTCTAGCCGAGGCTGGTAAAGACCTGTTCACTGTACATGATTAGCGTGCAGGCTGAGCTAGGTGACGAGAACAACATCGGCTTATCACTATATGAGATCTGAGCATCAATCCCTTGGTCTTGAATCTGGTGACTTAGAGCGTTCAGTTTTTGCTAGTCAGCATCCTCGGCCTGCCGATTCCGGACATCAAATCCATACGTGCACAAAACTTAGGAAACTGCGTCTTTACCGAAATATGCATGAAAAATAAATGGTATCTTGATTCCCCCGGTGTTAAAACCATCAATGTGTTCTTACACAACCATGACCTAATGGGACTGAGAGAGCGTTCAAGCAAAGGCGAAATTACCGTCCTCACTATGGCATGGTCAATAGATTTCAAACATAAAGCCTTCTCTCTTGGGCCTAAAATAGCTCGCCTTCCATTATTACCGGCGCACAAAACACTTGCTGTCTCGCTATCACTGCCTCGTAGGTAACGACAGTGAGCCGTAGGTAACGACTCGTAGATAACCAGACTGAGTCGTAGGTAACGACTTGTAGGTAACCACACAGAGTCGTAGGTAACGACTCGTAGATAACCACACTGAGTCGTAAGTAACGACTTGTAGGTAACCACACTGTGTCGTAGGTAACGACTCGTAGGTAACGACGTCGAACTGCACCTGGCACCAGACTTCGTCCTCCAACTCAGATATTAAAGCTCATACCTCAGTTATCCGGTGAGATGCGAATGCACCCCAGACACTGCTGGTCAATTTCATCCATTGAATCAAACCCACCTACATGTAGGTCCTCTCACTCATCCGCTCGTTCATCGCTAATCAACTTTGAGACTCAGCCTCTGCCAAAGCCTTCGAATATGGCTACTTCGTCTGGCAGAAAGGGATTCTGCAAGAATCTAGAGTGCCTCCACGCCAATGGCATCCACCACATCGAAAAGTGCCTCGCACCGAAGTGTCGAGTTGAGTGGAAGCGATGCACAGCTCCTGTTTCGTGCAACGGTCTGTATTACAGAATCTGCAAAGAGTGCCCCGATCATCCTGGGGGTATTCCGCCGCATTGGGTTGGATACAGCAATATTCAAATCGCCTCGCGACAGGGTGACTCCGGGGGTGGCTAATGAGGTGGAAAAAGGGAACGGCTTGCTTTGAGAGATGGATCAGGACGAGGGAATGGAAGCACCTACAGAATACATACTTTTAGGCAGTCAGGGATTTGCACAACGATAGTCATTTCGTCAAAGCTGCTTGTCTTTTTTTTTTTTTTTCTTTTGCTTAGAGTCACTCCAGGCCGAACATGCTGTTTTCAGCCAATTGTATCTAGCCAAGCCTCAAGTCGATCCTTATTTTTGAGCACAGGTTCTTCAGAATCTGGGGGATCAGCCTCTCCATACCCCACGTGGTCATCGAGCTGGTCCCACGATTGTTGAAGCAAATCGTCGCGGAATATCTTCTCAGGAGGTATGCCTTCTCCACCGATGACGAACCATCTAAAAATCTCAAGCGAAGCTTCCTCAGAAGCCTCTCGATCGGGATCAAGTTCCTTCCTCTCGAATGAATGACTGATAACCTTGCTGTCTGGAATGATGGAAAGCTCTGTCAAAAGCGATGGATATCTTTCCGAGAACCCAAAATCTTGTACAGTCTCTCCATTCTCTAATTCCCAGTTGAAGTGGTCGTAACGGTACGCGTGCCGAGCGCAATTGGAATGTGACATGACGCGAAGCGCGCAATTCGTTGTCGAACACGCCCCGCAAGGTTCCCAGGGTGTCGTGGGTTGATATTCGTAGCCCAAGTCGTCGTCTGCGTCGGTCGGAGTGAGGGGTAGTAAGCGCCACACGTCAGGTCTTGAAATGTATTCAGGGTCGCCCCAGGTATACGGACCTGAACCTGCATCATCCATAAAGTGTTGAGGGGCGCCAGTCCAAGGAAAGGCATTTGAGTCAAGAGGTGGCCTGCCTCTCCTTACCCATTTAAGAATTTCAGGGCCTATGCCGCTCATCGCTGCTCCAATCCAAAGCGCACCCACACTTGGCCGGCGAATGGCACCGATCAAAGCAAGAAGTTCTTGACCCTTGCCTTCTGCAACATCACATAAGACCTCTTCAAGAACCGGATGTAGCCATTGAGAAACCATATTACAAGGAATGTCCGGTTGCCAGAATGATCCACACAGCGTCGATATCATCACGTCCGGAGTGCAACTTAGAGTCATGTAGTAAGGTAGCTCCTTTTTCAATTCCGTCCACATCGGTGAAGCACCCAGGGTAGTGGTTGGAGTTTGACCTCCGTGTGCTCTTGGTAGCGGCAGTTTGACATCCGTGCCAAAGTATGTATGCATTGTGAAGGACATAGCTGTCGTAAGAGCAATAGGAAATTGACTTCCGAGGTTATGTAAACTCGCAAACTCAAGAAGAGCATCGAAGGCGTCATCCGAGGATAAAGGCGTTTGCACAAGAGGTAGCGAGTCCCTTAGTAGCGAGTTTCTTCGTCGTTTGATGATGAAAGGAGTTTCACACGTGCGAGATACTGACCAAGGTGCGATGTATTTCCCCTTCACGATGGCTTGCCATCCTTCGCGTTTTGCGAGTATCGCAGACCACCAGCGAGCAGTTCGTTCATCCACTTCCCCCACGTCGATGAAATGAACCTCCTCTGATGGATTGTAGGGACCTTCACCCAAGATATCGGCACGAGAATCTGTGTAACGCATAACGGCACTACCTCCTTGCTTTGCAACCAGCTCTGCAGAGAGTATGTAACACCAACCAATCGCAAGAATTCCTAGGTAATTGGGACCTGTGGCCTTCTCCGTTGTCGTACCGATCCAATAGCTGAAGATGTTCCCACAAAAACTGTATGGGGTGGGACGACCGGTGCCGATTTGCACCCAGGTATGTCTCGTCGTTTCTTTCTTTACTTCCGCATCGCAGCCTGAGTCTCCCAGTAATCTCCACGTGGAGGAGGCGAGTGAGCAAAGCGGGAAAGTTGGAGCAATGCCCAAAGGGAACATTTGTGATTTCAGCGGGCCTTGAAATCTTGGGATTTTGTGAAGGGTGTGTCGGGGATTTGTAAATTCTGGAGCCAAGCCATGATCCAGATAGGCATGAGCGAGTGATGCGGTGTGATACCAGTATGCCCGACTCTTTTCCAGTGCGATATCCTCTTGCTCTTTGGAAGGCTGAAGAACATCGTTGTCTCTAACGATCTGTGCTGCCAACTTAGCATGAACTGTCTCGGGAAAGGACGGGGATGACTAACTGAGGAAATGTTTGGGGGAACCACAGAACATCTCTGCAGTTCCATTGTTGGGGATGGTGCCAGGCACACTTCCAACGGGGCAAGTGGCCTGGAATCTGAAGATATTTCAAAGTTGAGTGATGAAAATGGAGCAGGTTGCAAGAGCGTGGTTTCTCCAGGTGAGAGACAAACGGAGGTTTTATGTTTGGGTAATGAGGCTCATGTGGCTCGGGCTCAGAAAAGACAGCCACACAGCCACACAATAATGTTGGACAGGAAGTTGACGAATGCTCTCGCTGCTACGTCCTCATCACGTTAATTCGGCACGCGTGACGCATGACAGACGATGGACTTGAAGATCACATGAGGGAGGCGTGACTGATGGAAGCAAGTGATCTGACTAACCTGATTGGGCCTGTCTGCATGGGAGCTCTACATAATAGCGGATTCCCCCCGCCATAGTTTCTTCCTTCTTCACTTTAGTTGCTTCGTTGAATGCACCTGGTCTTTCCAGCCGGCCTCCTTCGTAACGGCATACAGCATGATCACTTCAATCAACTTCTCTTCGAATACTATTCATGCTCTTTAGCCTCCAGGGCGCTTAAGCATCACCCACCGTTGGGATCACTCCGCATTAGAGGCCGTCGAGACTGAGTTTGAACTAAACGATGATGCGCGATCGCTTCTCGCCAAGCTCGCCAGGCAACACGAAACACTGATCGCAGGAGAACCAAGTTTCCAGCTACCTCGCGCAATGACGTATTGGACCTGACGAGATAGCGAACTCTTGAAGCTTCAACAAGTTCAAAGTTGCGGAGATAGGGGACAAAGACTGCAGGCTTTGGTTGAGACGAAGGTAGCTCAGGCATTAGGCGTTCATGTCCTCTCTTTCTTTTCGTTTCTTTCCAAGACAGAAGAAGATAGTCTACGTAGTCCTCAATGAATTAAATACAATATCTATTCTCGCTTATCATTTCCCAGCCCTATAGCTTTCTAGGGCGAGCGTATACTTACTTCCGCTAGTAGCGTTCAATAACTACAATACCTAGTAGTGTTTTCAGCTTAAAGCTTAGAGGGAGCCATCCAAGGCTATAGGAATATTCTAGTCTAGCTCGAATTTCCTCGCAAAGGAGAGGATTGGTCCAATACTATGTAGATGGCGGACGAAACATCTTATATACGCTCGAACGGGCTAGGCAAGAAGGGGGGAAGCCTAGATTTAGATGCAGAGGGGAGCCATTTTCGGCATCGTTTTAGTCGGGAGTGAAAATGGGGGGAACAATTTGTTAAGGTCGAGCGGCAACATGAGGACCAGAGGACGATAACTAACAGTGCTCTCCGTAGTTGGGTGCAGAATAGTGGTGGGACAGGGTGGGGCGTGGGGAAGCGGTGGCTCGCCGTTTAAAGTTACAGGTGGAAAGGCAGCCGTTTCTGGCGCCAGAGCTGTCATTCTCGGCATCGATTTCATAGGTCCTCAGATTCTACTGTAGGTTATGTTGTATTGTTACAATCCGGTTGATAGCGATACGCTCCATATCAGCCAGGCCGATCAGCGCTCCAAAGGCCCAACCTTAACATTAGTCCTCGTTCGCAGCTCGTCAAGTTCATTCATGGCCTTCTCTTTGCGTTCAGCCTTCCGCTGCTGAACTCCAATGCTCTTAAATCGCTTCTTTCCCCCGAACTTCAATTTTGTGATCATATCAGCCGCCTGTCCCCGAGTCAAGTCCTGGGCTGTTAATTTGCCCTGGCGGATGCGAGCTTTGTTGAGCAATTGAAGTTGTCCGGATGTGGCCGGACTCTGCCTCCAGGGTTTCCAGGATGCGATGTACCGCTCGTCAAACTTGCTGCTTGCGTAGGTGTCTGCGGCACGGACGGCGGTTTCCAGGTCTGGCCCTGAGGCTACTCGCCGTGGACGGGTGAATTGTGGTACTTCGGTTGTTGGATTGGTGAACTTCATGACATGATAGACGTTGTATAGATCGCCCTCTTTCTCCAGTGTCAACCATCCCGATGATTCTGACAGCAGGTGCTTGTCATCCCCAACTCGGACCCAAGAGTTTGGACTGAGAGACCGGATGTGTCTCTCGGATCGAGTGTCATCCAATAGGTCGTAGATGCTGTCGTATCTGGTGAAGTGGATATTTACATCACCCTCTGGGACCGCTCCAGGATCTACAGGCATCTGTGAGGGAGAGTCTTCTTGACGTCCTTCCCGTATGTCGTCCACGGTTGTCTTGTTCAAAATTTCGTCCGGGTGAAGCCCGAACAGTGTTGGTGTCGACAGAACACCCGTTGCTAGCGATGCTACCATGTCAATGATATGACAGTCCTTTTTTCCCGGAAATAGACGCAGTCCGCGGCCAATCATTTGGATGAGCAAATTCCTAGACCTGGTCGGACGCGCCAAAAGTACGCAATCAATGTTGGGAATATCCGTGCCCTCCGTAAACAGACCACAGTTCAGCAGAACTGGGAATTCTTGGTTCTTGAACGCGTCTAGTTGCTCTGAGCGTACATTCTTATGGGTGGTGGCAGTGATGTAGCGAGCATCAACACCGTGCTCACGAAATGTCGCCGTCAGCTGTTTGGCATGTTCAACGTCGACGCAGAAAACCAGTGTAGATTTCCGGTCTTGCGCATTCGCCATCCATGCACGCACTGTGATGTTGTTGGTAGTCGCGGTATTAACGGCCTCTGAAAGCGAACCCAGGGCAAAATCGCCGAACTTGTCCTTGTTGACATTCGACAAATTTGCCTCGGATCTCACAGTCGTAAATACCGCATTGGCCAGCCATTTTTCGCCAATCATATCCACATAATCTTTGTGATAGACAATATGATCGATTGCAGCGCCCAGTTTCAGCCCGTCGAACCGTGCAAAGGTAGCCGAGACACCGACCAGGACTGGCGCATTTGAAGACGGCTCATTCAGACCAAAATGCCCCAGGGCTTCGCGGTATGACCGTGCAACGATGTGATGTGCTTCGTCCACAAGAATTAACTTGAAGAGGCTGGGGTCGAACTTGTGAATGCGGCCTCGAGCAAGTGTCTGCACCGATGCGATGATAATGTCTCCGAGGCCTGTCGCGACATTGTTGCCCATCTCAATCTCCACAATCTTATCCGGGTATGCAAGGCGGCAATGTTTCGCTGCTTGCTCGACGAGTTCGCGTCGGTGAACAATAATCATAGTCTTCGTGGCTTTCGCATCGCGTGGTTGTACTCGGCTGATAAGCTGTGTGAAGATGACCTGTAGAGATCAGCGTAGAACTTGGGCATGGTGGCATTGAACCCTACTGTCTTGCCAGCGCCAGTCGCTAACGAGATTCCAAGGCGCCGGTGGCCCTCGTCAAGGTAGTTGAGCACCGACTGAATACATTCTTCCTGGTAATCGCGGAGCACGATACTAGAGGAGCCGGGCAGGGGAGGCACGGTCGAGTGATAACGAACATTGTGAGCGAAATGTGACACTAACGACCTCGTTGGCGGTCTTCTCCAGGAGCGCGAAAAAGCCAGCAGCCCAAATCTGCGAATGAACTCCATGCTCGTTGACGAGAGAGCAGCACGGCGGACCTGAAGAACTGTCTCAAACAGTGCAAACATTCTTATCGGTGCGATAACGTCAGTTGCTGTTCCGGCGGACCGTCCGTTGGCCAACTTTTTTTGTGTCTGTTTGCCTTCCTGCAGCAACCACTCTAGTTCACAAGTGCAGCTGTGATGTTTTCGCCTTCGATCTCTCCGGATGTGCTGGCAGTCTGCAAGCCTGCACGATGAGCAGTTCCGAGTCTTCTGCGCCCGACGATAATTCCGACTCCGACCCCGAGTTTATTGTCGATGAACAGCCAGATCGCGTGCATGGGCGACGCTCTTCTTCGCGCGCAGAGGCGTTAACGATCTCGTCAGATGAAGAGATCAAATATGGTATCTTGTCAGATTCGGACTCAGACGCCTCGCATAACCAGTTTGAAACGCTTCATGATCGCATCAAGCATGTACCTCCAAACGTCCTCGACGCCTACACTTCGCTCGTGACAGAAATCGAACAAGACATCACATTTTCAGCTATCAAAGAGAGCGATGAGATTCATAATGTTCATCAAAACGGGGCGGTGGTCTGGACTGCCTCGGAGAAAGAAATTCTATACAATGTCCTCGACAGAAAGGGCAAGAATGGCATAAAAGAGATTTCGACTGCAATTGGAACCAAGTCGGAACTCGAAGTGATGGATCATCTCCGGCTCCTCCACCGCGGTGTAGAGAGCCAGAATCTTCTAGAGCGTCACGTCAGGACTATTGTCATGGGCGATGTGCCCGCAGCCGCTGAGATAAGCAAGGAGTGCTGCGCCGAGTTGGACGAATATGCCGGTGTCCTGAGGGCAAAGGAGGAACTTGCTGCTGCACCTGTTGCCCGAATGCGATATGGCGATAATTGGATTGTCACCGGCGCCCAGGCTCAACAACTGCTAGAGGCTGAGATGGATGTCCCCATGCGGGGCAGCATCCACCTTGCTGCCAACCTGTTCAATGTCCCAACATGGATTGAGCTTGAGCAGCGGTTTTTTATGAACTTTGGTGGTTCACAAGAAGCAGATAACTGGGTGAATATCGTCCAGTCCAAAGACGAGTCGCCTTCCATCAGTGGCGACGCGCTCATGGACTTTTACGCTCTGACCGTCAGCATCACACGTCGCCTAATTCAATCAGCTCAGTTTATCGCAATGGCTAGGCTACGTAGCATGCGTCGAAATGGCCGTGAAAGGTCCAATGCGGTCCGCAGGAAAGATGTCAAGGCCGCCATCAATGTGCTGAATATGAAACCCAATCGATCCGATTTCCTGCTCAGACTTGCTCGTCGGAATGATCTTGTTATCGAAGACAGACGCAAAAGAAAGGGCTGGAAAACCCGAACTTTCGATCATGATGAAGCGGAGAGGATCCTCAACGGGGAGGACGATTACTTCCAGCGCGTCAACAACACCGCTCTCCCTAATAGAGTGGGTGACGCTGAGGACAACGATGACGATGAGGATGAATCTGATGGGGAAGAGTCCCGCCAACATTCGAGGATGACATCTCAGCAATCATCTGAACTTTCGTCCCCGTTTGTATCATCAGACGAAGAGGTTCCCTTTGACTCGGAAGAAGAGCACGCCAACACCCTGGACCAAGACTATAGTCGTCGTGAAGAACTCAATCTTTGGCAGCTGCTAGAAAAGCCCGCGCCGCCTACCCTCGAAGCTACGGTGGCAGCGGAAGAAAACGACATAAACGCTTCACGCAAACCCACTGCTGAACGAAAGCTTCCGGAGGATATGGCCGAGTGGCGCGACCGCATCCTGTACCGCAGCGAGTGGGAAGAATACGGGTATGACGTCGGAGAGCTAGAAAATGCTCTGGTTGGGAACCGGCGAAAAAGACGCCGCATTGAGGAAGAAGCCCCAATGCCGCTGTCTGCTTCAGTGGTCAACAGCGAAGATGATGCGGAAGCTGACGTGGCAGATGTTGCGGCAGATGAAGCGGAGGAAGAGTCACCGCCACAGCTTGGTGCAGAGAAAAACACGCGTGTTGAACCTCCGAAGTACGGCACAGCAGGCTGGGATGCGTTCTTGCAGTCATTCCTGACGCAAACATCTCAATACACGCAAGGAACACCAAGTACCACGACGAATCAGCCACAATAGAGCCGGTTCGCGCTTTGTACGACTTGATGTTAAAAGATAGTCTCTATAGATACCATTGCAAAATTCAACGCAGTGCATCCAAAGGAAAAATGTTTCCCATCACGGAGATATAATTAGAAGAAAAAAATGGGTAACCACGTTCAAGAAAAAGTTGTAAATGGAAGACAGAATTCCAGCCCCCGGTTTCCATCTCCTGTAAACCAAACAAGACCATCAAATCAGGTCTTGCTCCAGGGGGCGAAATCGAAATCGAGATCGACTCAAACTCCCTGCGGATAATAAGATACTGCGCCTTTTCCTAACCAGACAGATAAATGAGTTCAAAAAGCATATTCATAACACCACCAGAAATCGGTAGTCCCATTCCCCGTCGCCACCCCGTCTTTCCTCCTCCCCACATCCATGGGATATCATACATGAATCGAGGAAGGCTCAGCTCACAGTTCGAGCGACTTGAAGTCGGCACCGGCCTCGGCACTCAAGGGCTGAGCACCCGGTTGAGCCTCGCCAGCGGGGAGCTGAAAGCCGTAGCTGTTGCCAATACCAGCCGTGGCCGCACTCGCGAGCATGGCGTTGGTTTGCTCGTTGGGCCCCTGCTCGCTGACAGCCTTAAGGGCCTCCTGGGCTTCCGCGACGCGCTTCTTGAACGCCATCCGGTCCAGGAAGAGCTGTCGGCGTGCCTGCTCGAGTTCCCGACGCTCGGCCTCAATGATCTCCTCCATCTCGTTGAACTGCTGTAGCTTGATCTCAAACTTCTGCAGGGTCACGTTCACGGCGGCGCCAACCAGCCGGGTCATTTCACGCTCTTCATGGGAAGCGAGAGCTCCAGCGCGAGCTGCTGAGGCCGCCAGAGCAACGGTAGAAAGCGACTCCTTGGGCTTCTCGGTCTGCGACTCGGCCTCGCGGATGGAATCCACATCCATGGAGTCCTCGGCTTTGACAGACTCCTTACCCTTGCTATCCCCCCTTCTCCAGCTGGCTGCGCAGCTCTTTCCTGATTTCGTCGACGGAGCGGCCGGCAGCGGCAGCTGCCACTGCGGGCTCGGCCATCTGGGCAAGGAAAGCGACCACGGACAGAACAGGATTCTCTGACTGGCTGATGGGATCACGTGCGGCGCCGGAGCGCAGTTCAGGGATATCATCGACGTACTTGTCCTCAATCTCCAAGGACAAGAACTTCATCACACATTCTTCGCGCGACCGTGTGCCCACATGGTTCGAGATCTGCTCCCAGTTATCATCGAAGTTCTCCAAGCCCTCCAGCAGCAGAACAAGCTCTGAATCGGACCATGGGGCGTCTTTGTCAGGCACATGAGAGTGACTCTTGTCTTCGAGCTTAACGAAGTCCGAAGCATTGTGGCTAGAAGGCATGCGGCCCTGGAGGAAGCAGTTAGGACACAAGTCATATTTTGTGTCGGGAGTGTTGGCATTGGCCGATGTCGGGGCGGATTTGGCGTAGTGGAAACGAAGTCGTGTGCAGTCGATACCGCAAGAGAAGCAGTGAGACTTCTTCTTGGGCTCTGACGGCTCCATGCCGTTTGCTGCTTCGCCATTGGTCTGCTTCTCCTTATCCTCGGCCGGGGTAACATCCTTGCCCTTCTCATCGTAAATGTTGCGGCGCAGTTCGAGGTTGAGATCGCCCTTCGCGGGGGTAGCAGAAGCAGCGCGCTCGGTGGAAGGAAGTGCCTTGCCAGAGGTAACGGTGGGGTTTGGCCCAGGCTGGAAAGGCTGCAGGCCTCGTGGGGTATCGGCGACAACTCGGAAGTGGCCAGTGAATGGGGGGCCAATGTTAGACGGCCGTGATTGAGGGTCAACCTATACAGGGTTAATTCGTTTTCGCAAGGACGAAGGAGCGTTATCCAAAACTCACCTGGTAGTTGATCAAGCCCCATTGCTCAAGGAAAGAATGAATACGCATGATAGCACAGACATCGCCCGCAAGGTTCCGGCGGCAAGCGGTAACGGTCAGGTACTCAATGGGGTTCAAACGGTAGGTGTTGATCATGAAATCTCGGTAGTCCTTGTAGGTGGCCGGGGTCTTGCTTCGGTTGCGACCGTTGAAGAACTCTGCAAGCGCCTTCTTCTCGATGGGGTTGACAGTGTTCATATCGAACCAGGTTGCGTAGCTAGGAAGAATGATTGCGTGCGTTTGAGTAACGAGCTGATCGCGTGCTTTACCTTCCAAAGCCGACTTGCTGGGCGCCGGCTGATCCTCCCCGACAGCATCCTCAAGGCCCTCAGTGGCCGTCTCTGGAGGCTGCGACTCTCCTGCCGCATCCTCTAGTCCCTCAGTGTCAGGCTTGGCGTCGGTCTCGGTGCCACCCATCTCCTCATCCTCCGGCTCGGCATCACCGTTTTGCGGCTTAGGGGAGGCAGGGGCGTCGAGAGGGTTGTCTAATCCAGCGGGGTTCTCGACCTTCTTCTCGGGCGACTCCTGGCGCGATTGCGCCTCTGTTCATCTGGTCAGCATGGGTGGGACGAGACATAACGACGAGGGTGGTTGTTGGTGAGGACATACCTGAAGCACTGCCAGCGTTGGCTGCATCCGTAGCACTGTCTGCACCAGTCACGGGCTGAACATTGTCAGGCGCCGCGGTCGGGTTGACAGAAGTCTCATCCATGATGGGTCAACCGAAGGAAAGCTGCTGTCGCGGGCGGCAGAAGATTGACTCCTTGCCCTGTCGTTCGCTGTTCTGCTTTGCACAGCGCAATTGATTACGCGTTGCAGGAACAAGATAACAGGTGAGAAAGGCTGGGAAGATGATATATGGCCCACTCCGATGGGAAATCAGGCGAGGGGGGATGATTGGACCGGGTGCTCGATCAATGGGGGAGAGGTGGATGTCGCGACACGGAAAACTCGCGGTCGCTGCGCCAAGACTTCAATATCCACTAGTCCAAAAACAGCCTAGTGTGCTGTCTCTGGTCGCAGGTTCAAACTGCACTTACTGCACTTACTGCACTTGTACTTCATACCGTCTCTTGCATTGTTCCTTCGTGATTTGCTTATTCGGAGTATATCGTTATGGTCTATTTTTCAGCAGACGACCCTACTGAATTCTAATGAAAGACAGTTTACAGGATCCTATAGGAGACAATCTTCTGGTACGTCCGGATTGCACGTTGTTCTAAATTCATCTCTATGTCTTAAATACATGTACATAATAACACCAGGCTTTTCATAACCAACCCACGGTCTTAATCAAATCATCTAGTGCGCCGCCATCGCCTCATCCCGAGCATGCAAGGCCTTCGCAATAGCGGGACGGGCCTTCTGGCGGTTTAACCAAGCATCAACATTGGGAAACTCCGTAGCCAGTTCGATGTCAAACATGGGAGTGATTAGGAACCACGGGATGAAAGCAAGATCAGCATAGCTGAACTGGCCACCAACGAGGTACTCCTTGTCCGCAAGGAACCGGTCCAGCACGCTCGAGACACGGCGAATCTCCTTCACGTAGCGCTCCTTCGCACTCTCGACCTTCTCCGAGTGGTAGCGGGTAAACCAAACCGCCTGGCCGAAGTAGGGACCCTGGCCAGACACCTGGAAGTGCAGCCATTGCTTAGCAAGGAAGTAGTCCTTGGAGCCTGCATTGAAGCTGATGGTGTGCTGCTTGTCGTAGGTCTCGACCAGGTACTCGACGATGGCACCGGACTCCCAGAGGGTGATGCCAGTATTTGGGTCTTCGATGGCTGGAACACGGCCATTTGGGTTGATAGACTCGAAGGGCTCTTTCTTCATGTCGGCAAAGTCGACGATAGTGTGGATGTAGGGGATGTTGAGTTCCTCGAAGACCATAATGACCTTCCAGGGATTGGGGCCGGGGCCGTGGCCATAGAGCTTGATGGGCTGGAGCGACATTTTTTCTTCGATATTGAGGCTTTAATCGGGGATGGTAAGGAGCAGGGATTGTAGCGGAGAGGGTTGATGGGAAAATATATAATTTGTCGAATAATATAATGATCGCGGGAATAGCCGTTTTACTAAATCATCATGCCGGCAACTTCGGCTCCTCAGTCCCTCCCACACTTCCAATCCCCGATGCCCCACTTTGTTCCAAATCATTGCCGCGTCACTGACAAATCAATCTAACGGCAGGAGAGTTGTCGGAGCATTGTGGAATCCTGAAGAACGCTGCATTGCTCCGCCATTGGCTCAACCGAAGGTTGTCCACGAGGAGAGATTAGTAATTAGGTCCATTTCTCCAGCTAACGTTAGTTAACTACCCCTTAGTTAACTAGGTAGTTGGGTACCTGACTGTCCGAAGTGTTCAACAGGTCATGGTTCCTACACCCCGAAAGGTTTCCCTGAAGGAGTGTCTGGAATTGGATAAGCAAAGGCCGGAGGACGATGTTCTTGATTAGCGAGGTTGAGGCCAGGATAATATAGTGTTGGGGTGCTGCCCGTCATTGTGCGACGGCTCACTTATTGTTACCTATTCCAGTGGAAGTCACAGCGCAAAGACAGATGAAGGCGGACAAGAAAGCACCGGGATGCAATTCTGAAGTGGTCTTTTGGCTGATGACTCAATTGACTGAACATCCATGGATCATGAATCATCACAGAACTTCCTGCGTCTTTCTTTTCAAACAGGGTCTCAGATAGCGACGCCCTTGCCAGCGCACTTGGCGTCATTGGCCCCACCTTTTTCGGTATAGCATGAATATAGACGTGTAGTGGAAATAGACAGCTTCCAAGACCGAAGGGCGCAGTTTAGTGGTTTTCGATGATGGTGCGGTATCTGAATGAATTGGAACGTCGCAACCTCTAGCTGGAAGAGTCAGAATTCGTAGATCCTTGCCATGCTGGGTACAGAGACGACGGAAGGAAGCTTATGAAAGAACCATGCTCCATTAACCTGCTATCCCTGCCCAATTGAGTCAACCGTGACGCTTTCCTGCGGCTGCGGCTCTCATGCGAGAGGGGCCGCATTGTGCCAGGTCTAATACTAGTCCACAGCCAACAGGTAATTGGGTGGGAGCTACCCTATCCTCGATGAGAACGGGATCCTCCAAGTATGAAAGAAAAGAGTTGAGCCGCGATTAACTGGGGTCAACAAGGCTGGGCTGACTGAGCAGGGATGACGCTATCTCTGATTGGTGAAGCAGTACGCGCCGACCATGACTAACTAAGAAGCGATAGGCGGCGTGGTGGTGATGAGTGGCCTGGCCATGACCAGATGCATCAGGGACTCACAGAACCACAGATGCCAAGAACATATTCCAAAAAATAGAGAGAAATGAACAAAAACAGCTTTCGGACAAATATGAAAGATTTAATTTTCTCTGCGCCTCAATTAGGCCGCATTGCTAGCAGACCACTCTGAGGGCCCTCGGAGTAACCCTCGGAGTAAAAACTTGGCCGTCGGACTAGCAAGACAGAGGCGCGGACTAAAGTCACCAGGCAACATCAAGTCATCACACCACTTTCTAGTTCAAAGGGATCAAGAATACCGAGACACGAGAATACGGAAGAGTGAAACCTCATTGATTGGATTTCATTACAAAGCAGATGTACACACCCTTCAGGAAACTTTTTTCCCGGGATTCGGCCCAATTTCTTGGTATACGTGATCCCGCGTTGACTCACAAGCCACTTCGTACAGCACTGCCATCGCTTAGTCCCACCTGCCGACCTGGGCATGGGAACTTCGTATGCTTGGTAATTAGCGTCATGGTCGATCAAACACGATCCTCTAGTCGCATAGATTGCTTGGAGTGTTTGAGAGTTTTTCCTAGTTTGCACACCGAACACATCTCGCGAGACGCTACTCCATACGAGGCAGAAGATTGCCGCTGAGAGGCGCACTGCATACTTACACTAGTCTCTTCGGGGAAAATTCCAATTTTACTCCATATCAAAATCCCCAGCTTTGCGAAAATTTTGAGGCGGCGGGAGGTGGGGCCCGCCGGATCAGTATGCTGGTCATAAGGACGGTCTTGGATCAGTTCAACATCTAAATCGACAGTGACTAAGACTCGTTATTTTGCCAAGAAGTACTCATTTCGGCGTGTTGGGCGTTCTAGCCGTCATGGCAGCAAGGTCTAGGGCCTCAGGCCATGAGTCAGGGCCAAGATGTAGAGGATCCGCCACGCAAGCAGACAAGAAGGAGGGATGATCATCCACGCCCTGTCGTGATGTGCTATCCCGTATCTGGAGAAGAGTACGGGGCAGAGACGGTCGAGATCCGAGTGTTGCGGACTGGGGGAACTCCGAATCAAGAGGCCGCTAGGCTATGGTCCCGCGGCCTAGAAAACCTTCTAGGGCTTAGGCTGCAATGGATATTGTCAGCATTGTGACTTTCTGACTCGTGGGGCGTATCGTACACGCCCTTTGGATGGTGCTTGACATGTGGTGCCGTGCATTGGTCATCTGCGATCCACCGCGAGGGTTTGCATCGGCTGGCTAGCCTCTTTTCGACTCCGATATCTACTCCGAGCGCTCTACTCGGGCCCCGCTGAGGCTTGCTGGCTCTGACGTCTTTGTTCGCAATAGGCCCATCGCTGTAGTTTATTCCCATGTCAACTCGGTTTTCAAGGCTGAGTGGTGGGGGCGTGACTGGGGGAATTCTTCCGCATTTTATTATTTTTCTTGGTATGGGAGTGAGGACGGAGTGCCACCATGTACTTGGCTGACTGGGCATGTACGTATATAAGACCCCCAGAGACCCCAAGAGAAAAACCACTCTCCATTCCATCACATTCAATCAAATCAGATCTATATTGCCAAGGAAATTCAATACACTATCTTGAACGACCAAAAGACAAACCACTCTAAGTCGTTCCATTCAAACATCTATCCCAAGACGACCCACCACCTCGCTTGACCAAATCAACGACAAGCCAACCACCATAAAAGCCTACCCTCAGACCTCAAGCATCCACCCTTCGCCCAAAATGCCCAGCTTCACCTCCTCGAAAAGCTCCTCCAAAACTATGTCCTCCGACGCGGCCTCCACATATTCCACGGCTTCCACTGCAACGACTCTGAAGGGCACCGAGTCCCCCAACAAGAAGTGGTTCTCTCTGAGCTCCAATAAGTCTGAGCCCAAGTACGTTAAGAAGTCCGACGCTGTCCACGCCAAACAGGCTATCCACAACGAAGCTCTTGCCAGTTACTTCAGCATGCGCTGAGCTGGAGTTTGGATGATCTTTCGCAAACCGCTCGTCGTATTTGACTTTGCGCCTGTTGCGGCTTATCTTTTCTTGTTTGGACTTGCTTGATATCACCGTCCTTTCGAAGAAGCCGCTCATGCGACGACGGAACGACCCTGGATACCAATACCTTTTTCTAATACTTGCACCGACTGTTTGATTTCCTTTCTGGATTGGAGCCACGTTAAGCTTTTGTTACGATGGTTCCGTAGCTTTTCCTAATCATGCCTGGAGTTAATTGATTTGTGGCCTAGAATTTTTTTGGGTTCCATTTCGCCAAATGATACCGCGTGTATTCTGCTTTTGACAATGAATCTGGATTGAACGTTGATAATAGAATGATGGATGTTCTTCGTAGCAGCATAATGTATGTACACTTGGATATTAAACCGAAGCTAGAGCCCGGTCGTAGAATGGGAAGGGTATGCTGAATGTGGGACCACAAAATGCGACCAAGAAAAACGCTTAAAATATGCAGGGAACTATAGGCCCGCCATTAACTCTCCCAAGGAGATTGGCTTGCGAACCGCATTCGAGAAACCTTCATGGAAAGTAACCCATACTTTTCGGCCAGCCTTTGAACTCTCATCCGATGGGTTACTATCCTCAGTATCATTCGTCTCTCGAACGGGCTCTTGGATCACTCGTCCAAAGAAGTCTCGCTTGGCGCCGTCTCTTACGGCGTTCTGAGCAGCATCGCCCTGCACGTGCGCGGATTTACCAAGCAGAGACTTGCCGCTGGCAGCGCTCATGGCATCAGATTGTTTGCGCATGGTCAACTTGCGGTACTCCTGGTCCAAGACTTGGCGGACTGCATAACGCACTGGCGCAGTGCCAGATGCCGAAGAGCTGCCGGTTATTTTCGAGAATGTCACGAGCGAATCGATGGATCTGGTGTGGGCCGTCAGTTTCTCATCGGTCAAACACGCAAACATTTGGGTCTCACTTACGGCTCCATCCTGTAGGCCCATCCACCGTGGCTCCCGCCTTCATGCTCTACTCGAACTTTCTCAAACGTCACTCCCATGCCAGACATGACACGTACGGCAGACTGGACGAGAGTACGCTCGCTTTCCTTGCGGACGCTGGCCGTACTTCTCTGCTCGCCGCCACCACGAACAATGACGGGTTTGACGTCCGGTGATAGCATGCGGACCAAGTGCGGGATGAGGTCAGTGACAACACTGTCAGTTGATCGGAACATGCGAGTCATAGGTGCCGATAAGGACGAGTGGAATCCGTTCAGAATAGAGCGGTTTTCCTTCTGTGCCTCGTATGCAAGGAAATCTGCCCTAGGACCCAAGAACGGATGCTCTTCCTCGATTTTTTCGTCCTTGTCGCGATCATTCGCCTCCATCCTCCCAGCAGCCGAAGCAAAGAGATGGTGGAATGCAAGCGTGGACTGGCTCAGATATGGGCCCAATTCCCACTCCTGAGATGAATGCACTCGCGAGGAGATCGAGTCGTGGAAGTGAAGCCAGTCGTATGCGGCAGTGGGTTTCGAGAGGAAGTTGTCGTCTTGGTACTGCTGAATGGGGTATGAAGCAAAGCAGTCCGTCACACACCGATCATGTTCGCCGCTAGCATCAACCATCTCCCGCAATCGGTTGATAGCGTGTCGTTTGCGCAGATCTGCCACTCCCACTGGGACCCGGCTGTTGGGGCCGTCATATTTGCCCTGGAAAGTAAGGCCAGTCGGAGCGTCGGTGAAACCAGCCGCTTCAGTAAAGACACGATTCACAATCTCACGAACGCCTCCGCGGCTCATCTCCTTGAAGAATGAGCCGCCTTCTGTAGAAGCACTGAGCACTCGCGACTCCAGCCAGTTTCGAGTCAATCTCAACGGTGACGAGCACTCGTTCCGAAGCTTATGTGCCACCCACTCGGCGGCAACAAGCACACTTCGGATATCACCCTCGGCAGACCCATTGTGCTTAGAGCCACGTTTTCTTCTACTTTCCAATCCCCAAGCTGCTTCGCATAGCCTTCGCGCTCCATCGCCATCGCATGGGATTCCTTCGCGGCTGAAAATGTTCTTCACCCGTTGAACAACATTCTCCAACGGTGCTTGCCGAACGTGGATCATCTCAGCGAGCGAAGAGGCCCGCAGAGGGCGAAGACTGGGGTGATATAGATCGTTGCAAACCAGAATCAACGGCCGCAAGAAGCGGAAGGTATCCCCTTTGCGATTCTTGGCCGGTTTGCCGCCATTTTCAGCGGAGTATCGCGCATTTCGTTGGTCGAGTAGAACTAAATCAACCAGAGCTTTCATGAAGCCACCTTCGCCACCGCTGCCTGCACCGCCAACAACACCGTCGACCTCGTCGACCACAACACAAACTGGCTTGGCTGCCCGACGGACCTTGTTCTCGCCAACTTCAACGTTGGCGCCCTTGATGTTCTCTGTCCCAAGCGCGTCGCGAATGCGGCCCTTGACCACATCTTTGCTACGCTCATCACTGGCGTTGATCTCCAGAACTTCGTAGCCAGCCTGTTTTGCACATACATGGGCCAGGGTAGTCTTTCCGAGTCCAGGAGGGCCGCTCAGCAGAAGGACCTTACGGTGCATGCGCTCCTCATCCTCCTTCTCTTGGCCGATCTTATTGAGTCGGGAAGACTTGGCCAGGCCGGGAAACACAATTGGTTCCCACCCCTTCAACCAGCGAAGCACCGCACGGTGTGTACGCTCATCGCCAATCAGATCGGTGAACTTGCGAGCACGGTACTTCTCCGTCCACATCATGGAATCGGCCTTTCTCTGCTTTGCATCCGCCTCGGTCCTTTCAACGGACTCCTGCACCGGAGCTCGGGGTGCTGCCTGGGCGGCTTTTGCTTCTTTTGCGGCCTCGTCTAGAAGCTTGTGAATCTCAATTCCGTAGTAACTCCTCTGTGCTCGACCTGGATCTGTCTCAGACCGACCCGCAATCATGCGTTCAAAGGATATAGGTGCCTGGGCCTTGCGCAGGGTGACGTGATGTGTTTTGCCATTGCAAGTTTTGATCTGGATCTTCGTCGAAGAAGTGGGCACGGGGCGAGAGGCGATTTCGGCTTGTATTCTCGAAATTCTTGGTGTCTCATCATTCGGTTGAACTGAATATGCAGATGTCTGTGGTTCTTCCAGGATGCCGGGGAGGTCTGTCGTTTCTTGTAATTCAAACTGGCTCTTAAGCTGCGCGTCTCTCAGCTCGGAAATTTCATCATCATCATCGTCATCATCGTCCACGAATCCTCCCAGAAACTTCGGTCGCTTGGGTTCGGCGGGCGGCGAGTTCTCTTCACGATCGGTAGCTTTTCGTTTTTGTGCATTGCCATCCGAATTTCCAAGTACAGCTGGCCCCGAAGGAGTAATAAACGGCATGTTGAGGGTAGGCGGCGAGGACGGAAGGAAAGAAAGATTTTGGGCTCGCGTCGGCGCGGTTCGTCGTGGTGTCTTGATGGAGTCTTTTGTCGGGGTATCTGTATTACCGTCAGTGTCGGCACTTAATGGTCACGCGCCTGTAACTCTAACCTGGTCTTATATCGTCGTCACTGCGAAAGACATCGGACAAATTCCAGGCTCGGTGTTGGATCACAACTTTATTGCGAGTTTGCTCGAGGCGATGGAGGTGGATTGCCTCGAGATCGTCGTCGAAGGATTCGGAGGGAAGGCTAGTCGCGTTGGTAGGGTCTTCGGAATGGAGGTGAAGGGCTGGATCAAACGAAGAGAGGAAATTGGGTGATGAGGGAATCATGCAAGCGTCTTGTTGAAGAAGTGGTCGACTGTTCCACTATCGGAGGGGAGGTTCTTGATAGTGAGACGCGCCGACGCGTGCTGGTATAACGCGCTAGTCCCATTTTGGCAATGTACTTTCCCAAAGTGCCTTCCCTCAACTGGCAATACGAAACGGAAGACGCGCCGCACGCTGCAGCCCTGGAAAGATAATAAAGATAACCGCCCGCTCCTAGAATCTGGAACAGACATCCCTCGATGCTTACTTAGTGTGACTTTGTAGGGATTGTGATGACAATGTCGCCCATAGTTTTCGTCCATGTGGCTGTGTAAGCTACCCGAGCGGTCGGAGTTAACGAGATGCTGACAGGGAGTGGAACAGCACCTACTTAGCAGAGGATACCACGATCCTATCACTTGTTGAATAGCTTCAGACGGCCAGAGAAACAGGTTTCTATTAAGCTGATCACTTCTTGACTTTATCTCTTTCACTTTGCCGAAGATGCCAACCGCACAGAGCAACGTGTGAGCAATGTAAGCCAAAGTTTTCGCTTTCAGCGTTGAAACATGTTCCAGAGCACAAGTTGAAGTTTTTGTTCTCTTTATTCTCTTTATTGCGTGGCTGAGGAAGGCAGCAGGATTTTCTTTGTTCTTGGCCCTGCAGGTGGCTGACCAGTTGTGTTCGTTCATGTACATCATATCGCCGTCTCTGGTCAATAGGATTTGGCATTGGGTATATCCGGATATTCTATGTATATGGCAGCAAGTCTGGTACGAGGGCCTGTCGAGAGGGTGACAACTCCTAGAGTAATGGAGAAACAGGTTAGGCAGCCAGCTTCTCAAACAAATATCCATCTTCTAAGGTGGAGATACATACGCTCTCTTAGTCTTGGCCGAAAAATGCATGCAACGGTACGTAGGAACTTGGCATAGGGGCAGTGCCTTGATCAAAACTATATAGGTTTCCGTGATTTGGTGTACTTTGGATCAATCGGCTAAGAATGCGAGGCCTATTACTCGAAAGACGGAAAATGTTGTACCGGACGCCCAACCGATACAGCTTCGTGCCTCTCATAACTCTCATCATATCTATAGCATTGGCATTTGCTTTCAAGCGTAAGTACTATATGTTCTTTTATATTCGGCTGGTACTGACCTACGTCTGATCTTTCAAGAGAAGCAAAATACATTCCGTCTTGTGAATCCTCTCATCGCATATTCATCAGTAAATGAATCAGCGTTAAAGCCCCTATTGGGCAGACGACAACTGAATTGGGATGGATTAGGAAACCGTAATTTGTCTGCAAATCTCGACAACACCCAGAGATGCCCTAGTACTAGACGTACTGCACACATTGGAATCGTGACTGACTGCACTTACACGGCAACTTTCAACTCCACAGAAGCCGCTCGTCGCCACATTGAAGATATTGTCCATACAACCTCCGTCGTCTTCGAAACGACATTCAATATCTCCCTTGAGATTCGAAACCTTACTATCAGTGACCCCGAATGCCCGGCCAGTTCCTCTACCGCCACAGCCTGGAATTCCCCCTGCTCTTCGGGAGACATGAACTGGCGTCTTGAGAGATTCTCCTCTTGGAGAAGCCGTATTGATGACAACAATGCTTACTGGACATTGCTGACGGGCTGTTCATCATCTTCTGGAGAGGTTGGCGTATCTTGGATCGGTGCACTATGCAATTCTGGCAATTCTGGGTTTAGCTCCGTCTCTTCCGGGGTTGGCACCAACGTTGTTGCTCGCACGGATGCTGAGTGGCAAGTCTTTGCGTGAGTAGTCTCTCCTCCATCCATCATATTCTGCGGGATCTTTGCTCAAATAGGTAACACAGGCATGAGTCGGCGCACACGTTTGGGGCAGTCCATGATTGCACTTCGAATACATGTGTAACAACAGCATCCCAATGCTGTCCGCTGTCCACCGACACCTGTGATGCCACTGGGCAATACATCATGGACCCAGCGTCTAGGATGGGCATAACGCGATTCTCACCCTGTACAGTTGGAACGATTTGCTCCCATCTAAACTCTGAGCGCGTCGACTCTACCTGCTTGGAGTCTGCCACAGGGAATGACACTGACGCCAACGGCCAGTGTGGGAACGGTGTCATCGATCCTGGAGAAGCCTGTGACTGTGGAAATAATGCCTGTGATGAGCGAGATACTGGGTGCTGTGATTCTATGACATGCCAGTGGAGGGGAGGGGACGCATGCTATCGGGTCCGCGCTAACCCTGGGCAGGGAAGCGGCAGTAATGAAGGGACGGAGACTCAAGGTGCCTCTGGGTGGGTCTATGATCATAGGCCGCTCGTGATTGGTGTCGCTGCTGGTGTTGGGGGAGCTTTGTTGCTGTTGCTGCTGGCATGTACCATTCGCGCTTGTAGAAAAAGCAAGAGGTAGATGTTTCTTGTACAGGGTCCCAGTTCTTCCTCGTGAGTTTGAGTGATGGTACAGTACACTTTGGTGTGAGAATTTCGTCCGTCGTGGACCCATACGGTAGAAAAAGTTGGGACAACTCGCTGGCAGATGGGGTCTCGGAGTTAAGCTTTACGAGCCGATCGAATTGCATCGTTTTCCCCCAGATTGCAGTGACTCTAAAGCCCAAACAAACCCTAATTTTAGATGGTCGGTCAATCGACTTTCAACCGGCTACCGAGGAAGTGGGTGCTGTCAGCCTGCCGGATTTAGGCGGTGATTAAAAAGAGACCCACTGTAAAGTCATACGTAAAGTCCGAGCACATCTTCTGTTGGAAGGTACTTAAAGCTATTTAACAGCACTCGCTAGACCATAATACTTTTCACGAAAGGACCGATTTCAAAGCTACAAATCACTCGCATCGCAAAAATGGTCAAGCAGCTTCCCTTCAGCAACATTCAGGTTCCTTCGCCGGGTTTCGGTGCGATGGGCTTGAGCTTCGGGCTAGGTAGTAATCTGAGCCTCGAGGAGGCGGAGCCAGTCTTGCTGAAGGCAATTGAACTCGGTTGCACGTTCTGGGACACTGCTGTGAGTTGCGATCGAACTAATATCCTATGATGCGGCGGACTCTGACATTAGGTGAGCACGAAGGTCATCTACCAAGCTGGTGTGAACGAAAAGCTCCTCGGAGACTTTATTCGAAAGCACAACGTTCGTGACAAAATTTTCATTGCCTCCAAATGTGGTATCATCGCCTTTGGGGGAGAACGGAAAGTGACAAATAGTGCATCGCACATTCATGAATATATCGATGGAACTATCGAGCGGCTCGGTTTCGCTCCTGACTTGTATTACCTTCACCGGATCGATCCCAATACACCCCTTGAAGAGAGTATCCCTGCGCTAGACAGCATCCGCAAGGCGGGCAAGTCCAAGTACATCGGTCTTTCAGAGTGCTCGGCTGCGACGTTGCGCAAAGCTAATTCCAGTATGCTTTATTCTCTGGTCCACATCGAAAACATTATCGCTGACGTTCTTTAGTTGCCAAGATCGATGCCATCCAAGCAGAGTACTCAGCTTTCGAGACAGTACACGAGACAGATGGCTTGATCGAGACAGCCAAGGAGTTGGGTATCGCCTATGTCGCCTATAGTCCTCTAGGACACGGCTGGCTGGTCGATAACTTTGACTATAAGTCACCTGATGACTTCGCTCCGGATGATTTCCGTCGCCAGTGTAAGTGTAGCACCTACCGCGCTTGCAATAGTGAAACAACATCCTTGCTAAACATCTGCCTCTTGCACAGCCCCCAAGTTCCAAGGTGAGAACTTCTACAAGAATAAGGCAATCGTCGAAGAGATAAAAAAGCTCGCAGCTCGCAAGGGTTGCACTATCAGCCAAATCGCGCTCGCTTGGGTCGCCGCCCAAGGAATGATTGCTATTCCCGGAACAACCAAGGCAAAGCGTTTGGAGGAGAACTGGGCATCCCGAGATATTGTTTTGACTGAGGAAGAGAAGCAAGAGTTCCGCAGGGTCATTGAAGCCGCCAAGCCTTATGGCAACCGGTATTCTCCTGCGCATGCGGCCATGGTTGGGCACTAGACTAGCATCTGGCAATTTGTCGTTCAAGAACTTGGTGGAGTAGGAGATTTGGTCGTTGGTGGAGGAGGTGGATGCAGAACTTGCGTGTTCTAAAAAGGGTTAGTTTTGATTTGCCTTGCATCCATGAGAGTATTTTGCCAGTATAGGGGAGGTGGTCATAGAATATGTTACATTGCAGTGATTCAGCTAGGATTCAAAATTCCACCATCCTAGTCCTCGAATCAATAGTATACAGTACTGACACAAAATGGGAGCGTTTACATGACTCCAGTTCACAGTGGGAGACGAGCTCAGATACTCGGGTGCTTACGCGATGCGTAAGATGGTGGTGGAGGAGAAGAAGAGTATGCACGATAAATAATAGCGGCCTCTACCCTCATGTTTCCTACGTACCGGATCTTCTCCCAGATGATTCATGCAACGGAAGTGCTTTGCTGTAATCATATCCTTCGAATCTTCTCGTACTCAGGCAAAGCCCATTTGACCATCCATTCACATTCGAGAATTTGCTTCGCAGTAGAGCGATTCTCAGGCCTGAATTTGAGCATCGACTTCAGCATCTTGAAGATAGCATTCCTCTCGGCCGGTTCAATGAGTGGCATCCCTTTCCTCTGTCGAGGCTGCTGCATATCTTGTTCGAATCTGTCCTCCCACGACCGGTAAGGGTCCCGATTGGTCGGCTTCCCATCTTCCGTGAATCTACTATGTCTCCCCTCCCACTTGTACCACCATTCCGGGGGCAGCATACCAAGTGCATCGACTTGCTCGCAAGTGATGCTATCTTCGGTCGCAAATATGCCCTCAAACAGTGAGCTCTGACCTATCATATTCCATAAAGAGCATCCGAGTGACCAGATGTCTGATGGGAAGGACAGAGGCTTATGTGGTTCAAACCGAACCTCTGGTGGTCGGCCCACAAGCGGAGTATGGGACTCAAATCTCTGTTGCTTGGTAGGGGAGAATGCCTCACCGAAATCGCTGAGCAGGATTTTGGCTTCCGGGAGTTTGATCTTGTCACTTGCTTCACCAAGCCAGATTGGTAAAACGGCGTGTGATGGGATATTCGGTGGGAGGAGTGTCCCATCGAAACGTCTGATTGCTTCAAGTTCCGGTTCTCCGTACTTTTTGTATAATGCCTCTTCAGAAAGTTGGCTTAGGTCAAATGGCAACTGGAGGAGAACATTTCCATAGTGAAGATCTCCGTGAACGAATCCCTGGGAATGGACGTACTCAACTGCAAGGACCAGCTGTGCCGCCAACGCCCGAGCAATTTCCAATTGGAACAGGCGGTTGTATGAGGCATCCATAGCCCCAGAGAGACTCATTCTTGCCGGGATTGTCACGTAACAAGGGTGCGTACCATTCGGTCCTTGGATATTAAATCTATCTAGTACCAACGGTACTATTGTCTTTCCTAAGCTAGTGCTTGAGCTTTGTTGCGAGTTGGAAAGTTCCGAAAGGACGCTAAATTCAAGCGGGTTCGAATCCGCGGTACACACTTTGATGGCGACGTATTTGCCATGCCTTTGATCTCGGGCCAACCAAATCGTCGAGTACGTGCCATGGCCAAGCTTTTGAACAATTTGATAGCGCTTGTGAATATGATCACCGATTGTTATGGGATGATAGCCTCCCACGCGATAGCTTCAAGTTTTTCTACTCCTTCCATGGGCTCATAAAGGTGACGTGAGGAATCATCACCCTTGGGAGAGCGAGACATGAGAGTAGTAGTGCAGAGAAGGCCCCGAATTTGATTGTGGCAATGCTGAGTTTGTCGGGCTTTGCTGGAAGTGTAATGAAGATGAGAAAGCAATAAACGCGTCTGGAAATGCCGAAATGGGGGTGAGATTAAATTTCCCATAGTATAGCTAGCTCTTAAGCTGGATTTCACTCATGTGAAAATAATCATTACAAGATTAGGACACATGCTTGTCTTAGCAGCTCCTCGGCGCGTAGATAATAGTTTCATGTTCGAGGTTGCCCGAGAACACGCGCCAAAGGTCTACCGGAATAACCCTCTTCCAGGAGATAATTGGAAGGTATCCACTTATTTTTATTGGGTGTCAAGTAAAACGATACCATCCCATAGTAGTGAAAAGCTAGGATCTGGGTGTGAGAACTCTAGGATGTATTTTCCAATGAATAGTTTGATCGTAAGTCTATGCATGATAGAGAGCCAGTTTCATTGGATCCATCTAGAGAGTTACCCCGATTTTGTTCGACTTGGTAATTTGTGCAGCTCATATATTCTTCTCCATTCAGACAGCCAGCGTTGGTGCTTCACGATAGATTTTCCTCCTTGTTCTCGGTCAGTTATCAGCGTTCATGGAGAGAGATTGACTCGCTATGGTTTGGTGCATTGATCATTTAACGGACTCCACCACACGTTGGACCTGGATCTCCAATGATATCATACAGATCATGCCGAAGGCCGCGCTTATTGACGAAAGCTCACATCCACAGCTTGGCTTCGCACTATGCTACTGGTCTCCAAGTATGTGCTTCTCTTCAATATGTTGCTTCAAATTTCCGCTTTTGAGCTATTGATATAAGCGGCCTTCCTCGGTGAGATCCCTGTTCCACAAGCAAAAGGGGAAGTAGCTAGGCCGGATCACTGTGTGGCAGTATACAATCATTTCTAGTGTTGTGTATTCTGTAACTAGATATGAGAAGAGTAGTGGTCTCGCTATTGACTTGCTTGTAACTGCTTTATGCACTTGTAACAAAATCTTAATTGTGACTCCGAGACTTGGAGATCTAGGGCAATCTTCGCGTCAGATATAGTTGTGGGTGTGAGCGCTTCTATTAGACTTTTTATACTAAAAGAGTTAGAATCTATCTTATCATTATGCTTAGGGTAACTAACTAACTATTTGATTTCTTCGAGGTAGTCCTTTGTAGGATAGAGACCTTGAACGGGGCTTTCTTGTGGAAGATAAGCTACGTCGAAATCGCATTTATAGTGAGTTTTTAGGTCGTTCGCGAAAATAAGTATTTCGTCCTATGTACAGTGGCACTTCAAATTCCTGAAATCCCGGATATTCTTTCAATTATGCGGAGGAGTCTTTTTGAATCCGCTCTGTGAGCTTAGGGACCGCGGTGAAGAGATCATCCACAAGTCCGACATCTGCAATCTGGAAAATCGGAGCCTCCGGATCCTTGTTGATAGCAGCAATAACCTTGCTATCCTTCATACCAGCCAAGTGCTGGATGGCACCGGAGATACCAGCGCACAGATAGAGCTGAGGAGCGACGTTCTTGCCGGTCTGACCGACCTGCAGACTGTTATCAGCGAAGCCGGAGTCCACAGCAGCCCGGGAGGCACCAATAGCGGCGCCGAGGGAGTCAGCCAGAGGCTGCATGATGCGATCAAACTCCTCCTTCGACTTCAGGCCACGGCCACCGGACACGACGCGGGTGGCAGTCGCGAGCTCGGGGCGCTCGGACTTGGTCAGCTCCTCGGACACCCACTCGGTCTGGGCGGGGGCGTTGGAGTCAACGCCATCGACGATCTCGGCGGAGCCACCCTCGGTCTCGACGCCCTGGAAGGCGGTGCCTCGCACGGTGATAACCTTGATGTTGTCGGTCGACTGGACGGTCAGGATGGCATTGCCGGCGTAGATGGGGCGCACGAAGGCTAGAGTGGGCGGTTAGCTCAGTCGGTCACATGCCAATTTTAGACTTCGCTCGAGATTTGCACGTACTGTCCTCGCTCTCGATGCCGGTGATGTCGGAGACCTGCTGCACATCCAGGAGAGCAGCAACGCGGGGCAGGAGGCTCTTGCCGAAGGCCGAGTGGCCGGCCACGATGTGGGTAAATTCGCCCTTCTTGATGTTCTCGACGAGGAGAGGGGCGTAGTTCTCGGGAAGACCCTGAAAAGATAAAAATCCAAAGATCAGTCACATACTCAGGTAACTGAGAGTGTTTCGAGTCGCAGTTATACCTTCTCGTAAGCATCGTTCTCGACAGCAATAACCTTCTCAAGGCCCTTAATCTTCGCGGCCTCAGCAGCCGAGGTACCCTTGACACCGGTACCAGCCAGGAAAGCCGTTACAGAGCCACCGAGCTTCTGTGCAGCCGCAATGGCGGAGAGAGACGAGGTCTGCAGCTTGCCATCGCGCTGCTCGAGAACGGCGAGGGTCGAGAGGAGACGGGCGAGCGCCGAGGAAGTGGGCGGCGCAAGAGTGCGGGCGGAGTAAATCTGCGAGCGGGCTGCCCGCAGGACGGAGTTTCGCGCGATTGGGATCATGGCGACGCTTATGATGAGGGCGGACGGGGTGTTGCTTCTTCCACGAGGAACTGGAGGAGGGTTCGGGGTTGAAGCGCGGCGACGAGCGGTGATCTGAAGATGTGGTTATCGTCGGGATGCCAAGGCCCGCCCACCCGAGGTCGGACTCGGCTAATGCAGGCATCATGTACGGACAGGCTGATCCTTTGCAAGCCGGCTTATGACGCGATGAAAGGGCGGTGTTTCTTGCTCTATATTAGGTCCTGTCTGTGAATGTGTTCTATTCAGGTGGGTGGACTGTTGTTACGTAGATAATATAATTGACTGAAAGAAAGATCCATATTTTGTACGCCGAGAGACCCTTTACATGATGCAGAACATTAATGAGGCAAAAGAGCTGGAACCCGATTATGAGGTCGACTTTCTCTTCTTCTTGCCCGCCTTCGGGGCTTCGGTCTGCACAGTCTCGCCGTCCTCGAGAGCCTTAGCCTTCTGCTTCTGGAGCTTCTCTTTCCTGGCCGTCGCAGACTCAGCGTCGTCCTCGTCGTCGGCAGACTTGGTCTTCTTGGGCTTCTTGCCTTCCAGCAGTTTCTCGTCACCAAGAGACTTGCGCTTCTTGCTGGCCTTGGCGCCATCCTCGATAGCTGCAGTCTCCTCCACCACGTCACCGTCTTCCACCCACAGCTCATTGGCCAGCCAAATCGGGAGAGCCATAGTGTTCGCGCCCTTGACGTGGATCGCCTTGATGTTCCTCCAGCCCTTGTTCACAAACTTCTCCGCCATACCGTTGACGACGGCCGCGATGTTCTCGGACAATTGCTCGGCAGTGAACTTAGACGAGCCGACACGGATAGCGGAGGAGGTAGAGGGCGCAAGCTGGACGGCAGCGGAGTGCAGTGTGCGCTCGATCTCCTTGGCACAGATGAGAGGCGCCGCGAAGGATGCGCTCTTCTCATCCTTGGAGGGCTTCTGCTTGGGGTCCTTCTTGACGCGCTTGCCATCCACCTTTTCAATTTCTGCAATGCGAATGGGGATCGGGCGCTTGCTCGACTTGTAGAAGATCTTTCCGAGGGTTGGGATCAGGCGGGTAATGATCCGGTCATCAGCCAGGAAGACATCGTGCTCGGAGAACAATTGGCGCCGGCTCTCGAAACTCTGGTAGCGAGCCTTCAGCTTGGTGAAGCCAATGACCTTCTCAATGCGCGAGGAAAGTTCTTGGGGGAAAGCTGGATCCGCGACGACATCCTTGAAACCGCGTTGCGGGTCGGCGGTGATGACACAGATGCTGAGCGAGGGCGACGTGTTGAGGGAGTGCGGGATAGTGATCTTGCCGGGCTTCAGGCGGTTCTTGTCCACGACGTGCTTCTTGGTGGTAAGGAGGAGCCATACTGCCTCATTGTTGACAGGAGTGTCCTCATCGTCTGAGTCGTTGTCGCCGATCAGGGTCTTCTTGGTCGCCGACTTTTCCTTCTCCTCCTGGTTCGACTTGATATGGCGCAGCAGTGCGGAGGAAGCTTTGACAACCTGCGCAAAAATAAATTAGTGAGCGCGCTAATTTTTTTCTTCGTCCGGTGAACAATTGTTGCTTACCTGGGAATTGTCCAGCTGGTATGGGGTGCCAGAGGCCACCTTCGATGTAAGGGCAGTAGAGGATACCATCTTGGCGGGTTGCGGTCTCAAACTCGACTCCAATTTTTCCGCGATGATATTGAGACTCAAAAAAAAAATTCTCGGAAGGCGGTGGCAGTTTGTCCGGGCTTGGCCGTCCAGACCCCATATTGTTGGTGCCTGAGGCATTAAATTGGCATCGTCCTAAATTATGTAGTGGCTCGACATGAACTGCGGCAGTATGTTATTTTGTGCTCTGTTTGGTGATGGTGTTCGTACCTATTGGTGAATCTATCTCATTGGCAGGGTTGGAATTCGGGGAGCGCCCGGGCACAGTCGAGCCTCGATATCCTCCTCCCCATGGATTGAACGGCGATTTCCATCAAATGCCTTTGTAGCTGGCTTGACATGGCTATATTTGGTGCGATTGAACGATGTATTGCGAGTGTTGCCTTTCGGGTTTGTAGAATACTTCAAATATCCGGGCAGTCATTATTTAGGTAGCCGTGGTATATTAAACAGCAGATATATATATCTGCGTAACCGCATGAGCGTCCCTCTCGGGTTTCTACATATTTTGAAAATCCTAGAATGTTTTCGCTAGGACCAACGACCTTTTAGTGCAAAAACAATGAGATATAGTATTTCAACTCCATAACTTCCAAATTCCACCCAGTGCGACTCGTGGTTTCGTACTGCAGTATGAAAAGCTACTCATCCTCAAGCGCGAAGTTCGCGATAACACCCGCCCCACCTACACTTGCATGTCACAACAGGAGGCGTTTCAGATATATTACAGCTAGCACAAGCTCAATGCTACCGTCTGGGAATGTCTCAGACCCTTTAAAATAGCTGCCTCCCCGAGTCAAACATTTCTAAATTGAACTCTTCAGCGCACGAGGTGGCCAAATGGGTTGCACCGCGGCTGAGCGTAACTACTATTAATAGTAGATGGCATCATCGGAGCGCCCGCTGGCTTAGCCATCCTTCGCCATCCTTAGTCCTAGCGGACAGCAATGATCCAGCAAGCCATGGAAGGAGCCCATGGAAGGAGCCCATGGAAGGAGCCCGTGAAAGATACAGTATCGGTGCGAGACAGTGAGCGCATGGAGCAAGGAAAGCACGTTTGTCTTTTAAGGCTCCACACTGCAATGGAAATCGTCTGCAAGGTACACGGCGGTCGCAAGTTTAGTCGCGGTTGCCAACGCGTCACCGGAATCAAGAGCAAAAAAGAAAGGAGACTACCGAGATCGTGAGATGTCCCCGTTTCACTAGATACAGTACATGTCAACCAAGGGCTGGCTGGGGCCCGAATTCCGATCGGCGTGCGACTCACCCGTTTGAGAGTGAATATGGTCAGATAAGCACCCTATGGTTGTGGAGATGTTCAGCTATCTGGCAAGCGAAAGCAAACGGTGAGTGCGCCAACCATCGCTAGTATAGCGTGCCACGCAAGCGTGATGTCTCCATAGGCTCAGATAGGACCCCTGAGGAGTTCGGACGGCGGCTGGTTCAAGGGGTGAATGGAGTCGGGCCACGGTTCATGTATAGCATGGAGCGTGGTATGGAGTATATGCTGTAGTGGAGGATATGTAGCTCGGGTCGAGAAACTGTCAACATGGAGAGATCTGGAATAGTCGATCTCTCAGGACCAATGACTGCACGTCCAGGAACTATGTAACTAATACAGTAGGCACAACATGGTGCTGAGGATGAGATCCAATATCGGCTGCTTGTATTACGATTGTCTTACGTGATGGTATGCCCGACATACTGTAGTGTACTCTCCGGAGCACATGCTGTAGCTGCAACCCAAGCACCATGTAATTGATCCTCTCCAACCACCAGAGCGAAATACATCGCCCCCAGGAACTTGCAACTGAAGTTGCAGTGCAGATAATCAGCAGGAGGGGAGGAGGGGGGGGGGGGGGACAGCGCAGCTACCTAATCTGACGTACGCAGGAAGCCACTGAGAAGCCAAATCGGACCAAACGGAGGGTTAGTTTTCCGAACGGCACGTTACGACGGAATACACCTTAAAGTACAAGCGCTTCTTAGCTGTCATTCACACGGGCCGAGAGACCCTCCTCCGTTCTCTGTACACCGTTCAAGGCTATGACGCGGACAATTAAGATTGCAGCGGATCGGCGAGGCCAGCGCTCATCGCCATTGGCAAGGCGTCAACGATTGAATTTGCACCGCGTAAGTGCCGATTGTGGCTGAGGAGACGATTACCAGTGGTGGGGTGGTCTGATAGGCATGCAGATGCAGGTTCGTTGCATTCAAGGGAGACGCTGGCCGGGCAAGGAGTCTGGAGAAAGCGCGGGCAGATTTAATTAGACAGTCGTTCGAAGTCGTCATCCTGTGGACCGCTAGTTGAGCATGGAGACCAGAGCAGCACGTCAGCCCAAATCGAGTGCAGCGCAATATCTGAGTCTCCCTCCGGGATTGGCCAGGTAACACGGAGCGGTTAATCCAAGGACAGAAGCTATGTGGTCAGTGCCCAGGAACTGCCTGTTGGAGACTTGTAACTGAAAACTGGACAAGTGGAATAATACGAGCTTTGGCTTGATCATGGTGTTCAGGAAGGGTTGGCAGGCTACTGGACACGCTCCTGCGATCTCTCGGGCATCTGCTTGCATTTTCGTCCCCTTCGGCAGACCGCCGGTCGGGACCAACTTGCCCCCGGGGGGGGGAAGGGAGGAGATCACAGCGATCATCATGCAGAAGTGAGTCTCCGCCTGGCCAGCACCCCTGGCGTACGATCATCACGAGTGTAGGATTAACCTTGCGGAGCATTAAGGGGTGGAACTCCGCAACGGGTCGCCCCCTGGCACGGCTCCCGCGCGGTCTGGGAAGACACTATAGGGAAGAGAATAACCGTTCACGAGAGCCAGTCTGGAGTCGCCAGAGTTCATCGGTTTAGGTTCAATAGGCTACGGCCTTTGGAATAGGGCTTGGCAATTTCCCAGGTGCAGGTAACCAGAGCGAAGAACCAAGAACCAAGACCAAATGCCCCCGTAGCGGAAAATACCAGGTGGTACCCATGGATACGCCAGGCATTCGGCTGGACCGCGGGCATCTGATTGGTGTGCCTGGCACGGAATGGACACCCCCGTCCCCTGGCAGCCGTGCGGCTGGCCTTGCTGATTGGACCCCCTGGCGCAGGGTAATTTCCTTTGGGCGCCAAGCTCTCAGGAACAAAAAAGATGTGTAAACAGAGCAAGAAAAGCCCAATCCAAGGACCCACGGCGATCGAGAAAGTGGGTGAGGGCGACGAGTCCAGGCTTGGAGAGGCGAGAGATGAAATGGAGAGGAGAAGGCCAGGCTCCACCAGGTGGCGTGAGACAGTCATCGTAACTGACAGACGAGCGTACTCCGTACTTGCTGCTGCCTCTGACAGTGTGACCCCCCCTTTTTGCCCGCGTCCTGAGCGGTGGGGCGTCGTTGATGGCAGCCGCGCGGTATTGACCATACACCATACACCCGTACAGCCCACGCCCGAGCGGAGCCCCCTCCTTTCGCCCTCACCCCTGGGGTTTTACTCTCCTTCTCTCCCCTTCCCCAGCCTCAGTCTCCTCGAGTTTTCCCATCCGACCAGAGGGATTCGTTCTCTCTACCACGTTCATTTAGGAAAATCCTGTCATTCTCTCGACCTCCCCACGATTCGATCTCTACCCCCTTTGTGTACAGCCCTTTACGAACGCGCGCGACTGGCTTGCCGTTGATGTATGTGAGACGTTCTTGACTCGTCTGGACACAACTGCGTGCGGATGGTCGTGATTCATGGCGATGAGCAGTCGGGCTATCTGTTCATCGGCTGTCAGCGACTCGAGCAGACTTAATGCGCCATGCGACAGTGCGATGGAAACTCCTGTGACCTCGTCTGGCGCCGGCCATCGCATGAATCACGGAGAATCCCCACCGCAACCAGACTCATATCCCCTATCGATCAACATGGAGAAAAGAACAAGATGGAACTGACAGAATCTCTTTGACACAGATTCGAAAATTTGAATTCCTGAAACGCAATGAAGTTCACCAACTCTGTTGCCGTGACTCTCGCCACGGCGGGCTCCCTGGTGGCCGCCCACGGCCACGGCCACGCTCACTTCCACAAGCGTGCCGTTGAGACCGAGACCGAGACCGCTGTTGCGGCTGGTCCCACCGTCTACGACTTCGTTGTGCTGGACCCCACGAAGAGTGGTGCCCCCGAGGTCATCAGTGAGAACGATGCTTGCGCCGGTCTCGCTGCCCACGAACTCGAGTGGCTCGGCTCCGCCATCCCTAACGCTTGCCCAACCAGCACCAGCACTCCCGTGAGCACCTCGACTTCCACTCCGGTCCCGATCTCCACCGTTGTTGCTCAGGTGCTCCTCGAGACCTCCGCTGCCATCACCCCCAGCTCCACTAGCACTAGCACTGTGATCCCCACCAGCAGCTCCAGCAGCTCCTCCACCCACGCCGCTGCCTCCAGCTCCCCCAGCTCGAGCGGCACCGGTGTCACTTCTGAGTTCCCCGATGGAGAGATTGACTGCGGTACCTTCCCCTCCGAGTACGGCGCCGTTGCCCTCGACTATCTCGGCCTAGGCGGTTACTCTGGTATCCAGTACGTCACAATTGTCGACGCGGTGGTCAGCGAGATCGTCACCGCCATCACCGGTGACTCCTGCACCAGCGGCGCTATGTGCTCGTACGCCTGCCCTGCCGGTTACCAGAAGTCGCAGTGGCCCGTGACCCAGGGTGCCACTGGCCAGTCCGTCGGTGGTCTGGAGTGCAAGAACGGCAAGCTGTACCTGACCAACTCTGCATACAAGACTCTCTGCATTGAGGGCACTGGTGGTGTCAACGTCCGCAACGAGCTGGGTGACCACGTCGCTGTCTGCCGTACCGACTACCCCGGTACCGAGTCCGAGACCATCCCGCTGTCCGCCTCCGCCGGTGAGACCCACCCCCTGACTTGCCCCAACGGCAACACCTACTTCAAGTGGGAGGGCAAGACCACCTCCGCTCAGTACTATGTCAACAACAAGGGCGTCTCCATCGAGAAGGGCTGCCAGTGGGGTGACGGCTCTGAGAGCATCGGCAACTGGGCCCCCATGAACCTGGGTGTTGGCTACTCCGCCGGCTCCACCTGGTTGTCCATGTTCAAGAACGAGCCCACCACCGATGCCAACCTGGACTTCAAGATCAAGCTGGTCGGCGACGACCTGAGCGACAACTGCCGCTACGACGGCAACGGCAACTTCTACAACAACGCTGGTCTGATCTCTGGAAGCAACGGCTGCACTGTAAGTTTCCTTCACCTCCCCATTCCAACCCATTCCACCAGCCTGTAACGCTTTTCTAACCACACTCCCCTTCGCAGGCTGCCTCCTCCTCCGGCAACGCCTACTTCGTCTTCTACGAATAAGCGGCTCCCAACCCACTGGGTTCCGGTTTCGGTTCCCGACCCAAGAAAATACAAAGCCCCACGGTCATGCATGATCCTTAGTTTTCATTTTTCTTCTTTCTCGATCTACCATCTGAACCGCGTTAGCAGTGGATCGAGAGAAGGAGGATTGGGGTGGTGGTAACCCCCACCCTCTTTCCCCTTTCACTCTCCGCCGCTGGCGCTTCTGTCTATATCACGGTTTGTTACTTGAGGGGTTGCTTTCTTCTGTGTATCTTAAACTTTTTTTTTTTTATCATGTGCTCGATCGGGGCCTTGGGGGGGAAATTCAATCTTTGTTACTATTTTTTTCTCTCTGAATTTAGCGGAGCGTCGTCGGGTATATATGTATGTACCTGCGGACGCTCTTGGTTTAGACTTATCTCAGTACCTCAAGTGCAACCAATTTTCATCTTACCTCTGCCTTCCTGGATGGATTAGAAATATTTTTTGTTTTTATCCCTTGCGCACGCGACCTCTGGTCAGCTTCTCGCATGCTTCTCGTCGTCATAGCTGACTACCTTGCCCAGAATCCTCGCTGACTCCAATAGACATGCCAGTGGTCTTTAGCTTTGAGGACTTGGTGCTGTCCATTGAGTTCATGGAAAATTCCTCCATTGTGAGTGTCATGCTGGCAGATCGGGAGCGGGGAGATTCAGGACTGACAGGCCCTGATTGACTTCGAGACATGCGACGGAATTCTACGTACGAACGAAGAAAAGATGCCGCCTGTTGCTTTGAGAATATCGGTACGGTTACCGAGAAGTGAGGAAGCGGTCCCTGTAACGGATCCCATCCCCGATTCTGTATGACGACTAGGTAAACTTCGTACTTTGTTATTTGCAGATTGCTAATCAAGTTGGACGCCGCGAGTGTGAATGCGAGTAAGACTAGGAAGTATACTAACGACTGAAGCTCGGTCATCTTCAAGCGATGATGTTGGACCACCATCTCCGCTGTAACCTTTGACGAGTATACGCGGGCCTGGAAGACTGTTTGAATCGCCATGCGGCGGGCTCGGAAGTAATGAGATGGCATCGCATGTTCTCTATTGATAAGCTGCGATGGAAAGAGGTAATGGCCGCGGAACCTCCCGATTCGTGGCCCATTCACTCCGCGACACCTCGGGCGGCTGCCTGGGAATCAGGATGGAGGCAGAATTGAATGGTGTCTGCCAAGTCCTGCGCATTTCAAGATCGATAGCGAATGGGCTTTGGTCCAAGCCCACCGGACGCTGTCAAGTCCCCAAAAGAGCTGGCTGAGACGCAGCTCAGTACAAGGCCATGATAGGGGACCGGGAACAGGAAAATGTACTCCCTAAAGAAAGGCACAGTGACAGTGGGTCTTCCCAAACGCAAGCCACATGCTGTAGTTCCCGCACATCTGTGATGACAGCGGCGATCTTTTGGAATAACCCATTCGTGCGGGCAATCTTCAAGATAGAAAACCTGGTCGTCTGATAGAGCATGCCCGAGTTTACTCAAGCCGCGGGAATCTACCGCGCGAATGCGTAATGCTTTGATAGCTCGAAGAATTATTTCTATTAGAGATTCCGGGTCACCGATGATAATGCTACCGAACTCAAAATGTACTTGTCGGCCACCCTTTCGCAGGAACACGTCGAGTTCGGGCGGTGGTGTGTAATCTGGAATAGAGCGAAAGAAGAATCCAGACATCGATGTCCAGATCGGTGAACTTGTAGAAGATCTAAGCTTCGATAAGGGCCGATTGGTATATAGTACAATGTGACTAAGAGGCAAAAGGTCAGGTACTCGTGCATCTCCATGGAAGGTAACACGGATTCCCCTGACCTCGTCTGGAATGTGATATAATGCTTCCCTGGTCACGAAGGTACCCACACACCTCATGCTACTATATATGCGGTATGACATCAATCCTTTGGCAAAGCAGATGCTTCGGTAGAATACAAGTTACCCTGCTTCTCTATGTACAGTGTCATTTCATATCTGAAATATCATATACGTACGAGTGCAAAGTGCTTTCAGGCATATTAGCTAGTGTAATACTAGGCTGGTTAATATGGGCAAATATGACAGCTTTCAACGTTGAAAGATTTCATGTTTTGTGAATTTCTTTTGGCCAAGCAGAGCATATGCTTGCCAATCAACCTGATCCCTGCTCTGCTCGCTGCTCTGTTTGAGCTAGGCGCCGGGCGAGGTTATAAGCGCTCAAGTCTCTTTCGACCCCGCTTCTCTACCACTTGTACGGCGTACGCTTGACGTGGTACGCGGTCGAGTCTTTTGGATTTATACAATGTCCGAAAAAAGGGATCGGTCCTGAAGGCAGAACTTGGGCTTAGTTCAGTCGAAACGAGACGACTCGATTCCGTCTCGAAGTACTTTCGCCCCTGTTAATTCTGCGGAACGTTCCGAATCATTGGAAAGGGTCCCTGGATGAACCCCAAAAGCATTAGTCAACAACAGTGCAGCTATTACCGGACCAGGTGAAGGATGAGAAACTAAGATGAGACGACGTGGTTGACCAGGGCAGCCCATGCAGTAGCTCAAGGCGGCGGGTGAGTCCGGGCTACACTCTGGGAGCCGCTTATTACCCAGTAACCTTCCTCCGCTTCCTAGCTGTCATATTTGACAAAAATATTTAGAAGGCAGCTAGTGTAAACACTTTTAAAAATATCGTATCCTAACACAAAGTTCCCTGTAGCCTGCTTGCCAGTTTCATAGACTGGCTTTAGGTGGGCTACTTGATCAGTTTTTCAAATCCAATCAGGCTGATTCTGTAAGCTAAGGGAAACATGTATCTATATCGATCGGGTTCCAGGGCTAGAAAAGCATACTCAAAGATGATTTGCGGCTAATTTTGATGAAGACATTAGCTAACTAGGCCTCGGCCTCGGATGGAGCAGACATCCCACTTCGGTTGTGACAGGAGGGGCTGGTTTGTCAGTACAGTAACGGGAACTACGCGCCTCGGTGAAAACCCGCGAAGTAGAAAATTTCGAGGCACCCCGCGTCTTAATCGTTTTCTGATGACCAGCCTTAATGTGATAATCTTTGTACCCTTCTGGGTAATAAGTTAAAAGGTAGAAACTTGGAATCATTCTAATCTCTATTTGTAGCCGTACTTGTGTGTGAAGGTCACTTGTAGGTCGCAAGCTCTACTCTCATATACCTGAACACATACTCATGGGAGGCGCCCAATTCCATAGCGACTGCAATTTCGAGGTCATAACAATGTCATTGAAGACACCCAGTGCATACCTGGAGGAGTCTGTCATACTGCATACTCCGACTCGCGTGCCTGTCACGATCCACTCTTAGCCCACACGTGATTTCAGACGCGACCGCGCTTTGTCAGAAGTCGAGTGTATAGAGCTGTCGATGGCTCCCAGACTAGAGAAAACACTACAATTCACGCGCCCGGTGATTTTATTTTACGATTTGACACAGTATCTTTTGGAAAAGGGCTGGGAAAGGGTGAATTGGGAGCGTGAAAGGGCAGTGGAGCCCGTGAACCCTCATCGGCGCCTATCGAACGCGTCTCGGGCTGGAAGCGTGCATTTCCGCGCAGGGCGAACGAGACGCTCCGCCCCAGGGCATTCCACCACCACACACCTCTTTACCTTTTTCTCCCGAGCTTTTCCTCCCTTCCCCTCGTCCAATCCTCCTCCTCTCTACCCACTCTTTTCCTGTAGAGAGCCCAAGTCCTCTTCTACACGTCTCTGTTTGTCTTTTCTTTACAAACATCCTTTCGTCCCATAGGATACGCGGTGACGCGAGTCCCTCGAGCCCGACTCGGTTCTCGCTCACAACTTCAAAGGAAAGATAATTCGTGTGGATTTGGCTTTGGCTCCTCTAGGGCATCATGGATTCCTCACCAACTAGGGCCTTCCTGGCTCCTGCCGCTGGCATGAAGCGTCCGGCGTCTCTGCTGCCTGCCTTCGAGCCCTTGAGCTCGTCCCCCTCTCTTCCTAGGCCCCAGAAGCGTGTCGCACGCGAACCCGCCGTCTCAACCTATCCTACCCCCGTGCCAACCTCCTCGACACATATTATGTCGTCTTCGCCGCCCGGAATTGCTGCCGCCGCTCGATCTGCAGCGCGTCGTACCTTCTCTGCCGCGTCGGAACGAACTCCCTTGTCCGCGGTCCCTACAATCATGTTGCCCGAAAATGGCGAGTCTATGCTCATGGGTCGGTCCAGTGCTTCATGCCACCACCAGTTAGCTGCTAGCCGAATGATTTCTCGTATTCATGTCAAGGCCACCTACAAGCCGGCGCCAAACCCCTTCGATCGGGACAGGGTTGAGATTATGTGCATGGGTTGGAATGGAATCAAGATTCACTGCCAGGGAAAGAAGTATGATTTGGCTAAGGGAAAGACATTTACATCGGATATCAAGGATGCGGACATCATGATTGACGTGCACGAGGCACGCGTCTTGGTGCAATGGCCCCGGAACGAAAATGATAGAAAGGATTGCCCGTCTACGGACTCGGAACAAACTTGGGATGAAGGCACACCGACCCAGAAGAAACTCCGCCGGGTACTACAGGACAGCCCTTTTGTTGAAAACGAGCGTCTGGTTTCTCCACTCTCGCCATCGCCTGCCGTGCAACGTGCTGTTCCGCCTTCGTCGCCCCTCTTCACTCCCTCTCGTGCCCGTGGCGCGGTCGTTGTATACGAAGACGAGCCCTCCCCCTTGAAGCGTCACAACACCGTTGGCGGCATTACTTCCCACAGTGCTCGCCGTGCCAGTGAAATGCTGCAGATCTCGCAGTCTATTGATATCAGGAGGCCCGAGGAGGAGTCTGATAACGACGAGGAAAACGACCCTATTGTCCACTCCTTTGGTCCCTTTGGTGAAAACCTGCTTCCCCGCATGGCCTCCTTCCATGCTGGTGATTCTCCCATCCGTTCTGCGCGTTCGCCTCGCAGCTTGCTGCCGGCGCAGCCGCTCCAGCCCATCAAGTCTCCCAAGCAGCCATTGAACTCCCACGAGCAAAAGGAGCAAAGCGAGACCACTGAGAAAACCCAGGAGGAGGACGAGAGCTTTGAAAGAGTTCGTAACCATACCGTGAACCAGCTGGCCTTCTCTCGCCTGTCATCGACTCCATTCTCCACCATTTTGAACAACCTTCCCCCTTCGTACTGGAAGTCCAACGCATCCAACACTTCTGGCCCGTCTCGCTCGAACATTCGCAGCATCCTCGAAAACACCAAGTGCATCGGCAAGGTCGCGCGTGAAGGCAAAGATGCCGCTGGCCAGCCCCTCGAAAGCGAGTACTACTATATCCCCGACTTCGATGAGGACATGGGACGCCGCGAGACAGTGGTGAACAACCTCAGGAAGCCCGGACTCCGCAACTGCCGCAAGCAGCACAAGGTTTGTCTCTCCATATGGCCTTTTTCCAATTCATTTTGAGCATCATAGCTAACGTTGCACAGCAATACTTCTGGAAGAAGCCGAAATAAATCGAACCTCTCGCGGATCCATTTTCTCGCCCTTCCTCGAATTGGATCGGCTTTCTCAGTACATATTTGCAGTGTTCTTGGCCACCTTGACATCTGTGCTCGGTGGCCCGCATAGCGTGGCGTGTGGCATACCCTGAATTTTCACCCTGTTTTAGTTCCTTTAAGTTTAGTCCTTTATCTCTCGTTCCAGCATGGTGGCGTACGATGTGTGGCGCTTTCGCAGCGCGTTGTGCATCGGCTCCAATTGCGTCCCTCGTGGGACGTCTGCAGTGTTTACTCTGATGCGTGATGGTTTCCTGGACTCGACGGCCTCTATGTTCTGCTTTGTTTGCCTTGTCCTCTAACCTGCCCCACTCGAATTCTTGGTTTTTGTTCAACCACCCTGGGTGCTCGGTCCACTTCGAGCTCAGCTTTGCCTGTGGTATCTTGTTTCCAATAAGACGGACTCTCAGATCATGTATCCTAGCCCTGCTTTTTTGTCTTTGCCTGTTCCCCTCGGCCTTAGATGCCGTCACGACTTGTACGTTAGCTTGTCAATTCTTCTATTAAAAAAGTTGTTAGTTAATCTTTAGTGCTCTTTTTAGCCACACTGCGGTAGTTAATCTGGTATGCTCATTACGCGTCCTATTAGTAGTGTGGTCCATTATCAACCGAGACATACTTCTGTAGCTCCCTGCTGCACAATACTTTCACACTCCCCGGCAGGATTCGAAGTGCCACGGACCCCTTGGCCTGTAGCGGTAATGCGAGACTGCCCTTTTGCACCCACATCTGCTGTTTTACGTATGTATGTTCCTGGAGACCATCCGTGCCGAGAAATGACTTTCGAACTAGTTAGGTACTCAGCCCGGTAACTGATCGATCTGCATTTTCGCCACCTGCACGTCACACAAACGTTTCTTGATGAGGCATGCCGATTTATCAGTAGCCTAGTATAGTAGTAGCCTCCTAGCTGGCATACTCGGTGTATTTCCCGTGTAAGCATAATAGAGGAGACGATGGTACCTCGTGTGTCTCGTTCCTAGCTGACAGGGCTATATTATCGCAACATGCTTCTCTGTCTCATGGAGAGTCTGTCAGTTAGAATGTAAATAGGCTGTCGTGATTGTATCGAAAGATAATATACTACCGAGATACTATAGATCCCGCAATGAACGTCTCCCGAAAACCGTCAGCATCGTCACCAGCGTCGCCACCGGAGTAGGGTGATTGCCTCTTAAGTATCAACCCCGCATCCAGAACCACCAACTCTTCGATTCCTGTGAAAAAGAATCCCTCCACCCAGCTGGCAATCTACACTGATTGAACCCGACCCGGAAGGTTCTCCAAAGTTCTTCAGCTCTCAGTCGAAACCAAATCAATATGCAATCCACCAGTCACCACGGTCTCATCCCAGACCGGTCCAAAGAACCTATGGAATCTGCCACCCAAACCCTCTCCTCCAGTGATCCCCAGGAGCTGCCGGATCCCAACCCAGAGGCAGAGTCCAATCAGTCTTGGAAACCCAGATTCGACCGTCGTCAAAGCTGGAGCAACGAAGACCACAAGCACCAGCTGCAGGAACGACTGCTGGATGTCGAGCAAGGCCGAGCGACCGGGTTTACAGAGACGGGCCCAGAGCACTGAACCCACGAAAGCAACTAAACGAGCCGCCTGCATCTGTGTTTCTGCCCGGTCTCCGTTCCGCAGGCGATCACACCGGCTTGCTTAGCGGGGTTCAGCTCAGCGGGCGGCTCGGGGGCTTCTAAAAAGAGTGGGGGTTTGCGTCAGGCATTGTGCGGTGATGTGCCTTCAAAATGCTGTGTTCACATATTCCGTTGTTGTATGAATCAGACTATGTTGGGAAGATCCCATGCATCATAGCAATAGACAAAGCAATCTGGTCGGCAGCCAGAGAGGTAGAAGGCAAGTTGACCATAGAAAAGTGCTGGCGAACCAAACCGGCCATCTCCAAGCCAACCTCCGCACCGCCTTGCAAATCAGCCCGCCTTCCCTCCGCCATCCACACGACCGCACGACCGCACGACTGCGGCCTCCCACTACAAGCTCGAAGCACCCGCCGCATTGATTCTTCTCCGCTTCTCCAATGTGGCATTCAAGTCACTTCTGCGATTTCCTTTCAGATGTTCTGAGAGGACGCCACGACTGAATTAGCTCCGACCACACACGCGGCCATGGATCGCCAGAAGAAAAGTATGCGCCAGCTGGATCATGACCACGTCTCGCGGATCACTCAACTGACCTCGTTCTTACTGCAGGGGAGCTTCGCGATCTGAATGAGAGGGTCTGGGAAGGCGAAACTGGTGACTACTCCCCCCTCTTCTCCTCCTTCTTCCCGAAACGCTGTTCCGTTGATTGGGCGGCTTTGATCCTGACCGTCTGGCCGCCTGGCTACACACAGATGTATTCCCTGTCAGCAAATCCCTTGACTCGGCCCTGAAGAAGAACACGGCCTTCATCAAACGCCTCCGGACGGGCATCAGCGCTTCCGCCCTTTCTACCTTCCTCGCTGACATTCGCACCCTCTCGCTCCACAAATACCTGTCTGAGATCATTTCCGCCTGCTATGAGGGTCTGTGCAAGCTCAAATCTCCGGGGGAGATTGCTGCTGGCGTGGAGATCATTTGCGCTTTGCACCAGCGATTTGGGCCTGCGGAGTTCACCCAGCAGATCGGATGGCTCCTGGGACGCGGTATGAGCTCTATGGATAAGGCCTCACTCAAGGCCCTCCCCCAGGAGATGCGCGAGAGGGAGGAAAAGGAACGTCTGTCACGGCACCGGGTCCTTCTTCGTGTCGTCACAGAGCTGTGGCTTATCGGTGTTCTCAGAACCTTGGATGATACCGAGCGGCCGGAGGATGCACGGAAAGATGCCGCCCCGGGCAAGCTTCCAGACCAGGTACCGATGAGAGCTACGAGATCCACCGCTGCACTGAAGGAACTGGAGAAACAGGCCGAACCTTTCCCTCTGGAAGTATTAAAGGATCTACTGGGATACGACCGGGACCATACAAACTTGCCGCTTGCAGTCCTGTTCGTCAAGAGCTTTAGCTGGGATATCCTTGGCACGAAGCTTGTGGAGGAGGGACGGAAGACGGTGGAAGTGGATGGCGCGACGTCGAAATCCACCGCGGAGCAAGACAATCCGGATGGCAGCACAGAATCTGCCGCGGAGGCAGACCCGCCATTGGTCCCAGAGAAGACGCAGCAGCGATTCAGAAACATTCTCACTCGCTACCTGGATGACGTCAAGGCCCATGTGGTTCGTGATCAGAAGGCGCTGACATCGCAGAGCCGCCGAAATGCTGAGGCTTACGTCAAGAGTGGTGAAATCTTCGAGGACCGGCAATCGAACTTCGAGAAGCAGTCGAAGTCCCTGGAGAAGCTCGTGGCCAATACTCAGGTCTTGTGTGAGGCTCTGGGTGCTGAGATGCCCGACTTGGTCGAGAAGGAGACCACAGACGCTGGAGCTGGTGGCGGCATTGGCCTGGTGAAAACCACCGATTATCTCCGTGGCCAAGGTGACGGTGCCGGCATCTGGGAAGACGAGGAGGAAAGACGTTTCTACGAGAACTTGGTCGATTTGAAGGGCAAAGTTCCCGCCGTGCTTCTCGAAGATGGCAAGAAAAAGAAGGGCGAAGGTGAGGAGCCTGTCAAAAAGAAGACAGAAGGGGACGAGTCTCCCGCAGAGAAGGTTGAATCTTCGGAGGAAAGAGCCGCAGCAGATGCGGATGACCAGTCGACGGCAATCGCTAGCAAGACTGTCGGTGCCCAGGTGGATGCTCTGCTCGGCAAGCTTCCCGAGCTTCAGACTAAAGACCAGGTCGACCAGTTTGCTTTGGACTTCTGCTTCGTCAACTCGAAGGCTTCTCGAAACAGGCTGGTAAAGGCTGTCTCTGATATCCCGAAGGGCCGGGTGGACCTTCTCCCATTGTACTCGCGCTTGGTGGCTACTCTTGGACAATACTTGCCGGACATTCCCCAAGGTCTGACAAGCTATCTCGATGAAGAGTTCCGAAGTTTGCAGCGGCGAAAGTCGAAGGAATTCCTCGGCCAGGTGCGTATGAGCAATGTGCGCTACCTGGCTGAATTGACCAAATTTGGCGTGGTTCCCGAGCACATCATCTTTCACTGTTTCAAAGTCTCCCTGGATGACTTCTCGCGCATGAATATCGAGATCATTGGTAACCTCCTTGAAAACTGTGGTCGCTACTTGCTTCGCAACCCCGAAACATCACCCCGAATGGCGTCTTTCTTGGAGACCCTAAGCCGGAAGAAGACTGTACAGCACTTGGCTCAACAAGAACGGATGGTCATTGAAAATGCCATCTACTATGTTGATCCGCCCCCACGACCGGCTATTCAGCAGAAGGAGCGTACTCCGATGGAGCAGTACATCCGCCGGTTGCTTTATCTGGACATGAATAAACGGAACTACACTAAGGTTCTGAAGACCATCCGCAAGCTCCACTGGGAGGAACCAGAAGTTATCGATATCCTGGAGCGTGTTTTCAGCAAACCAGTCAAAGTCAAGTACGGTAGCATCCATCTCCTGGCAATACTTGTCAGCGCGCTGTACCGCTACCATCAGGACTTTGTAATTGGCATCGTCGACAACGTTCTCGAGCAGATCACTCTTGGCCTGGAACAGAATGATTTCAAGTTCAACCAGAAGCGCATCGCTGAAGTCAAGTACCTGGGCGAGCTTTACAACTACAAGATGATTGATTCCCCCGTCATTTTTGACACGCTGTACCGCATCATCACGTTTGGTCACGAAGGCGGTACCCCCGTCCCTGGGAAGATCAGTGCGCTGGACACCCCAGATGACTTTTTCCGACTTCGTTTGGCGTGCACCCTGCTCGAAACCTGCGGCCACTGCTTCGATCGCGGTTCGGCGAAGAAGAAGCTCGATTTCTTCCTTACTTTCTTCCAGTACTATCTGTTCACGAAGGACCCGCTGCCCATGGATGTCGATTTCCTGGTCCAGGACACTTTCTCCAGCCTCCGGCCCCAGTGGAAGCTGGCGACCGATCCTGAAGAGGCTACCCGCATGTTCAGCGAGGCGGTTGCCCAGAATTACAACGTGCCGGACTCCGAGAGACCCGCCGAGCTTGACGAGGAGGATGCGGAGAGTAGTTCGTCCGACGAGGAACTAGAGGAGGATGCCATTCCTGAGATTGAAGATGAGCAGGAGTCCAGCGACGAAGCAGAGGTACATGCTATTCTTTTCTGTTATAACCGCGAAAGCACTTTCTAATTTGCAAACAGGCATCCGGTCCGAACCTGGAGGCGAACGACGAAAGCGACTCCGAAGACGAGCATATCGTTGTCACGCGGCAGGAGGAGGAGCGCGACCCGGAGGCTGAGGCCGACTTTGACCGGGAATTCGAAAAGATGATGGCCGAAAGCATGGACTCGAGACGGTTTGAGCGCAAGGGAGTCTTTGACATCCCCTTGCCTATGAAACGGCCTCCACGCGAGAACGCTCCGACCGAGTCTTCAACTGAACCGGCTACACCGGAACCAATGCCTGCTCGGACTATGGCTTTCTCGCTTATGACGAAGAAGGGCAACAAGCAACAGGTCAGACTCATGGTTCACTATCCTCAGCCTGCTAGGATGCTAATTTGGTATAGACTCGCACCATCGATCTTCCATCCGATTCCAGCTTTGCTGTTGCTATGCGCAGTCAGCAACAAGCCGATCGGGAAGAGCAGCAGCGTATTAAGAGCCTGGTTCTGAACTACGAGGCCGCGAACGAACCCGAGACTGCCGAGAGTAAGACCTAAAAGAGGAACTATGGATTCCCCGAACTGTGCTAACTGATACGCCTAATCTAGCTTTTGAGAAGCGCATCCCTCCTAATCAGCGAGTGGACAAGTCCGGCGCGAATCGTTCTGCATTCCGGTCCCGCAAACTCCAGCTCAGTGATGTGAACTGGTAATGAGACTCACAGAGATAGATTGCTCATAACCGGCGGTCTTCATCTAGCTACGGAACACTAGCACAGCCAAAGCAAGGAGCCTTGCCTGCCTACTTGTTCGAGTTCAGCCTCTCGAACCCGTGGCCGGCATCTTCTCTATGAAGTCACGACTTCCCCAGGCGCAGGCCATTCCTGCCGGCCATTCCTCAATAGAGCCTCCAAAGCGCTGCAGAATTCTTGACGTGATAGTCACCAAAGGAACGTGCTATCAATGTTATGCTGAATGGGATGGCCGCGTATCTAAAAACCCGATACACGATGGCCCTTCGCCGCTCCTTTCGTACGCACACCCTTTTCAAAGCCAGCTCCACGTGATATGGTGTATGCCTTCCCATCTGGGGACTGGCTGACTGACGAGGGGTGTTGAGCGGACGGAGGCGAACGTGGAGACGTGAGGAAAGAATGATGATACTGTACGAAGCCTGTGTTTTTCTGTTTGACGGCTTCTTCCTCTTGTGCCATGGTAGAACAACATGCGTATACTCTACCCCGCCCTTACATTCATTCTTACAAGCAAAATATCATGATTCATATAACATTGACATACAGCCAGCTTTGGTGCCATATAGTACTAGGGCAATACCAGCGCGTCAGGCAGTTCGTTCAAAGGGATCAAATTTGGCGGGCTTAAATTACCTGGGCCTTGACTAGTGAAACGTCACTGTAGACCTCTTCCGTCTAGGCCTCGTCTTACCTTCCTTGCACTTCTAGCATTTTATAGAGATCAATCTAGACGTCACAAAAGATGGGTCTTTCGGCTAGATTGCTGAGTGGTCCTCAAAGAATGCCCATTACATGCAGCCATGATAATACACCGTTTTGTACCTCCAACTTCGACTCACAACAGTGCTTCACCTCCCCGCCGGCGGTATGTTCAGAGGCGAACTGTAGATCTAGATCTCGACCATCCCACCCGCGTCTAAACCATAGGAGACTTCACAGACCGTCCCGCCCCGCCCCGTTCCGACTCAAGCCTATACTCCGTCGTGACATGGATGGCCAGACTTTCCGGTGCCTGTCCGTTCTCGCGAGGCGCCGGGCTCGTCGCGCTCTCCAAGATATACTCCTCGCTATCCCCGGATGAAAGACGGCTCCCCTTCTCCGTGCGCAAAACACTATCCATCTCATAGTGGCGCCCGTGACTCATGCTGCGCCGCGAAGAAATAAACGTCTTCGTCTTCCCTGACGTCTTGGACCCGAAATGGTTGTACCCATCGCCGTTGTGGTAGGGGACCTTGGAGTCCTTGCGGTTCGTCGAGCCCAGCCAGCGCGTGTTGCGGAAGAGCGGCTTGATGCCCGGTAGGGAGACGACGATGGCAGCGACGAAGCATTCGCGGTCGGCCCAGCCGAGGGCGATGGGGAGGTTGGTGATGTCGCCGAGAGAATAGTAGCAGCGTAAGACGGTGCAGATCATGATGAAGAAGCCGGAGGAGAACATGACGGCTAGGATCAGTTTGCGTTGGAGGGGGACTTGGAGTTTGGTGAGGATGGGAATTGGGATGAGCATGATGCAGATGTCAGTGCTGAAGTGTGGTTTGATGTTAGTCTTCTGATTAGGGAGGGATGAATGTATGGACTTGGTTGAGGCGTACATGACGTTCAGCACGGCGATCACGACGTAGAGTGGCTGTCTGAGGGTGCAGTGGTCTGTTTTTTTTTCCTCCAATAAGTGAATGTCTCTTTTCTTGTGTTGCGCGCCGGAGCCACACAGAGTAGTACTCACCTCCGGGGTAGGGCTTGATCTGCCAATTGTGGTATAAGGGCGTGCACAGGCAGACGTGGGTCAAGATGCAGGCAAGCCAGGTCACTACGCATAATACGGCGGTTCCTGCGACCAGATGAGTGTGCCAGGTTCCCTGTCTGTAGAAGTAGAAATAGAGAGCCAGTCAGAATAGAGGCGCGATATCGACGGGGCAACGACGTACGTGAGCTTCCAGAACAAACACAGTAGAACACCCTTCTGACACCAGATATAGGTCATATACCAGATCCAGTTCGAAAAGGCCAACTTCGAGCCCAGAATCATATCGGGCACTTTGCTGTCCGGGACGAGCATGGCGGACTGCTCGGTCAGACCGATGTTGGTCCCATACGACCCTGCATCATGGTTAGCCACTCAAAACACACACTTTCATATTTGTCTGATTCAATTTACCCAGGAAATAGATGATGGTCGTCATCATAGTCCAAAAGACCTATAAATTCGAAACCCGTCAGTGACCACGCGAAGAAATCAATTTTGTCGAGTCAGCGAGCCATACCATGGCCGCAACAGCAAAAGCGTCATCCAGACGCAGTCCCCGAATCCCGCCCAAGGACAGCCGCGCATAAAGCCGCACCAGCAGGAAGGCCATTCCAATGCCATACTCGGCGAATGACTCGGCCGTCAAATTCTCCGCCATGATGGATGTTGCTTGGAAGAAACGTGTTCCATCCACCCACCAAAGCGAGGCTCAATCAGAAAGTGCCCAGCGTTTCCGGGCTCAACCGGTGACGAGATGAATGGCGTAGGGTCGTGAGGCCACGCCAAGGGATTTTATCTGGATATAGCACGCTGGAACGGGACTGAAAAACAAATGGTTCAAATGAAGTCTCGACATCAAGAACCTCCGTATGCAAGATGAACCTTAATTTCTATCCTTCTACGGTATGGCCCCCCTGTTTCCTCCTTCCCGCCCCAAAGCACAAGAAGCATCCATCGACTAGTACCCTAGTCCCTATTTTCATGACATGCTTGGAATCCTTTTTCTTCCCTTTTTTATTTTTTTTTTTTTAATTTTAACTTTTATCTTAATTATTTTTGATACAGTGGAACAATGGGAGGGGGTTGTCAATGGCGGTTGCCGCTGGCCTAACTCTGTCAACTTCCGCAGCAAATCAAGCTCGTGAATGTTGACCACTGCCAGCGTAACGGTCTGATACTACGTGCTTCAAAATGAGTCTAGGGAGCTCTCACAGGGCTTAGGGAGATAGCGGCATTGTTCATAGGTTGTGATTTCCTACATGGTGGGTTCCATCGACATCTGGGAGGCAGGAGTGGCGCGTTCCTAGGTCAAATCTCTGAAGGGGAGGCGCAACCAACTAGTGACAATTTCTCTCGGTATAGAAAGCATGAATATGGAGCATAATGGACCCCCGTAACAAGAAGGATCAAGGGCGATGGGGCACTCTTTCCTACTCGGGAGTCAAATGGAATTATTCTTTCCCGGTGGAGCTGTCAGGCAACTCAAAATCGGCGCTTAGCTTGATCGAGGACACATAGATAGTCTCGCAGTACTGTATTGCTCAGTATTGCTTAGTATTGTCCAATCTGGTCCAGTCCTAGGCTGGTAATTGGCAATGCTGATCCGATTGTCTCATTTCTTTAGAGGAAGCTTAGCCGGTGGACACCTTCCAGGACGTTGCGGTACGATGCACAGCATCGAGGATGAGCTATGGATCTTTGACATTTGACTAGTATGACTCCGCCATGGAGAAAATTTACCCTGCTAGCTGGGCTTTGCTGCCGAGGCTGACGCCAAACGCCACAATGGATATAAAACCTCGCGCTCACAGGCACTATGCATCCCGTCATTACGGTTGACACCCAGCCAGGCGCCTATCATTTCCGACCATGACGACCAAAGTCGCTTTGATCACTGGTGGAGGTGTGTTCTCAAAAGTTGAGCCTGAGAAGAAGGATTCACCTGAGCATGGACGCTAACCATCCTGCCCTGCCCAGCCAGTGGAATGGGCCTGGCGGTAGCAACGGTCCTTGCCGCCCGCCCCGACTGGGAAGTTCATATCCTCGACATCAACACCGAGCGCGGCGAGCAGACCGCGCAGTCGTTGCCACGCACGACGTTTCACCGTGCGGACGTCACCCAATACAGCTCCTTGAGTGAGGGTTTCCAGAAATCGTTCCAGGCGAACCACAGCCTCGATTTCGTATTCGCCAATGCCGGCATTATCGAGCGATTCAATTTCTACGCGGCCCACCCCGGGGCATCATCCGGTGGGGCGTCCCCGCCGCCAGAGCCGGACCTGCTGTCGATCGATGCCGATTTGAAAGGGGTCATTCTGACAACTTATCTGGCGCAGCATTACTTCCGTGCCTCACCGCATCAGGGGGTGGGCGCTAGCATTATCATGACCGCTAGTTGCGGCGGGCTGTATCCGTCGTTCTATTCGCCGCTGTACTCGGCAGCCAAATGTGCGTCTTTCCGGTCTCAGCCTGTCTCAGGGCAAGACCACCCTCAGCGATGAGGCGATGAAGGACTGATATGCTAATATGCTAACGTCCCTAACAGTCGGTGTCGTGGGGTTTATGCGCTCAGTCGCCCAGCACTTCCATGCGGGCGGCGTCCGCGTCAATGCCATCTGCCCCGGCATCGTGCGCACCAATCTCGTCGACCAGACCGGGTGGGCCTCTTTCCCGCAGCATCGGTTTACAGCGATGGACTCCATCGTCCGGGTCGTGCTCCAGCTCGTGGACGGGGGCGACCCGGCAGGCGAGGGGTTGGCCGATACCTCGGGCACTCAAGTACCGGCGTCGAAGCTTTCTGGGCTCGCGGTGGAGATCTCAGATAGCGGCGTGTACTTCCGAGATCAGCATGAGTTCTGCGATGAGGGAATGCGCGAGGTGATGTCGGCGACAGTTTTGGAAAACCAGGTCGGCGCAATCTTGAAGGGGTGAGGGAGGCCGTTTAGGGTTTGTTGGCTCGCTTCCTTTTGGGCCCGCGTCAGAACAAAGTGGGGCCGGACCGATAGGTCGGGTCACGTCTGGAGGAGTGATTGGATATGAGGAAATTGGGGGGAGTTGCCAATAGTTGGTCTTTTCGGGACGGACGCTGTACTGCAGAAAGCTAGTGTGATGCAGGCGAGATAAATTGCAAAAACAGGCAGCTTATCGAGGGCCGTGGGCTGCGGCAGTTGCGCACGATACTCTCTGTACGCACGTCCGATTCGTTGGAGTATTCCGAACCAGACTACCGAATCATCTCCACAGAACCGATGGGCGATTCTGCGAGGATCCTCCGAAAAGCTTAAACCAGGCTCCAAAGTCTAATCCCATACAGAGACTGAGACTGGCAGACTGATCGGCAGCGAGCTAGCAGGGATTTTATCCGACTAGGGTTTAGTGGCCACCGTCAGTGGCGGCGGGCCGTCCAGCCGCCCCGCCGTTTTGATGAATGGACCCGGTTGTTCTGCGACACGGGACATAGCATCCTCACCAGCGCAGTCGGGTGATGCAGTGGAGCCGTTCAGGATGGAGCCAAGAGCTAGTAAATCTGCGAATGGAGACTGTCCGAGGCCGAGAGGGGGGTATGCCCAATTTCACAGGATTTCATCCTTCTAGCAGGACTAGCAGCTACGGCGTACGGAAAGGGGGGTCGCAGAACGGACACTTCAAATATAAGATATGAGGATTTCCTGACAGGCAGGGATGCATTCCATCCGGGACCTTGAAGATTCTGCGATCGGCGGTGCCAACGCCTCGTGGTGGAGCACGGGGCAGGGCCAGCGATGCGCCAGTCTGGCAGCACAGAGGCCAATGCCACCAATGGATTCGTGCACGTTTTATAGAATGGCCTCGGGCAGCTGCGAATCCTCGCCGTGCATCATTCGGAAAAGGGGCTCCCAAACGGTGACCGCCCGCTTGGTGATATGCCCATTGCCGTATTCGGGCATCTGGTAGTAGACCAGCTTGTTGGCCGAGCACTCCAAACACTCGCCGGCCATGCCAGTGGTATCTTCAAGGAAGGTCTGGTATGCCTGGAGGATGGTTTCGACCGGGGTGAGGCTAGAGGAAGAGTGTGAATCAGTGCTTGCTGGAGGGCCAACTGTGCGCGGTACTCACCATTCAGGAGTGACCGCCGCGATCATCTCCGGAGGCACAATGGGTGTCGGTACAATGCCCGGCATCACGACATTAATCAGGATGTTCTCCTTCTGCTTGAGCAGCGGTGCGATGCCTCGCACAAACTGATTGACCGCCGCCTTGGTGCCGCAGTAGACGGGGTATGACTCGTGGGGGAACACACCACCAATGCTGCCGGTGACCACAATGCGCCCTCCGGGCTGGGGGTTGTGCCGCATGAAATGCGTTGCTAATTGAGTACCGTACACGACGCCCTTGTAGTTGATATCCACGACGTTCAGTTCGGGGGCGGGTGGGATCTCCTCCACGCCCTTGTTCTGCTTCTTCCAGTCATAGAGGTAGATCGACGACGTGTCGACAATGCCGGCGTTGGCGCACAGCGCATCAATGCGTCCCCAGAGCTTGCGCACCTCGCGGAATACATTGGCATACTCGTCGTAGTTGGATATATCGGCCGGGAAGAAGCGGGCGTTGTTCGCAGGAAGGCTGTTTAAGAGAGTCTCGCCCGCTTCGCGACGGCGGCCGACACAAGCGACTTTCCATCCTCGCGTGCAGAGATCTTGCGCCAGATCAACGCCCATGCCAGACTGCAGTTGTTCCTAGTCAGTGACTGCGGGACGAGGCTGTTCATTTCAGGGAACTGACGGTGGCTCCGACGACAATGGCGACGCGATCTTCTACATACGATTCCATCTTGACGTAGAGTATAAGTAAATTGATCTCTGTATGGTCAGTCGTTCAGTCTCAAACCAGGCAGTTTTAAGGTAGAACCCGTGGGACATTGGCATGCATCTCGACCCCCCTACGGAGGACGGAGTTAGGGCAAGGACGTCCGACGGAACGAGGAGCTCTCGGCTGCCAATTTCCCGGCAACCTGCCTTCCTTCTACATCACTCAAGCCCTAGCGCAGAGTCAATATCATGAGTCATGGGCGAATCCAATTCACACGAACCAATCGCGCACCAGCCGTCCTAGCCGGCCAGTCTGACTAGCTCAGGCAATGGGCTGAATCTGTCAGCAAGCACGGATCCAATAATTGTGGAGACACAAACTCGACCACGAGGGGGGGCCGTTCCGTGCCATAGGAAGGAATGCGTGGCGCCCACACCAATTCCACGCCAATTCCACGCCAATTCCACGCCAATTCCACGCCCACGCCACACTCAACACCGAGCAACCGAACTATATCGTATAGCCCTAGTCTCCAAGCCTCAACTGTCCTCGTTGGCCAGAAGCCAGGTGGTAGCGTGCTCGGGACCTGCCATGTGCGCGTATTGGGGAGAACTCGACTAGTGGCTATCCACTCCACCTCCCTAATGCAGGGAAGCTTCATGGACTGCAGCTAGCTGCACGGAAAGACTTTAGAAGGCGAGTTTGCCCGTTCTTTTTTTCTTTTGTTTCTGACCTTGGATCCTTCCGTTGCTCTCTGCGCTCTTGCTTGGTTTGACGTACGTGTCTTATCCGGCGCATCATGGTCGTCGACGCAGAGAAAAATCCGGTGCAGGACACCGCTGGTCTCCCTCCTTCTGAGCTGGGCTCACCGTCTTCGACGGTCGATGAGGTGGCTGAGCCGCCCGTGGTGACTTTGAAAACATGGATTGTTTCCGGTGTAAGTCATGGTGTGGTGCTGTCTCAGGGAGTATGCACTGATCGCGCGTATAGATTCTTTCGTGTGGCTATGGTCTTTCATTCTGGCCGATTCCGGTCGTGGCAGCCATCGGCGGTTCGATCTCGGCGGATATGGGTGATCCCACCGGCTACATCTGGTTTATTCCGGTACGAAGCTTCCAGCTAATGCTCCGCGGCGATCACTGATGGGATGTGATACAGGCATGGACGATCTCCATCACTTGCGCCTTTCTAATCTTGTATGTTGTCCCGACCATGTCGCGTTCCCCGTCTCCATTCGCTTACACCCTTTCCAGTGGCCCGAACACCGATCTTCTGGGTCGACGTTGGTTCCTGGTGCTTGGCAACTTGATCTGCTTTGTTGGCCACATCCTTGTGGCTTCAGCCAAAAACACAAACCAGGTCATTGCGGGTCTAGCGGTGTCTGGGTTTGGTGGAGCCAACTGCCAGGTATGGAATGAGATGCACCGCGTGCGACGAGCTGGGCTGACCATCAACGATTATCACTTATCTAGATGGCCGCATTTGCGCTACCAGAGCTTCTACCCAACAAATGGCGACACATTGGCGTGGTGATTGCTGACCTTACAGTCTACATTGCCGTTATCGTCGCGCCCGTCACCGCACGCTATGGCTACCAGTTTGGTACCTGGAAATGGAACTTCTGGGGCGTGGCGATCTTCCAGGGCCTGTCCTTCCTAGGTCTCCTGCTCCTCTACCACCCCCCAAGCACCCGTATGTGACGAATTCTCCAGAGCCATGAAGGGAAAATCTAATCGTGATACTAGACTGGGAGTTTCATACCTGGAGGCGTTCAAGTCCATCGACTACTTCGGTGGGTCTTTCATGTCTCTACTGTGCCCGAACTGTGCTAATGTACTACCATAGGTTCTTTCCTCTTCATCGCCGGTGCCGTCCCCTTCTTGATGGGTATCGTCTGGGCCGGTGTCTACGACTCCAATGACGTACACGTTGTGGCCCCCCTGGTGGTCGGCGCCGTGATCCTCATCATTTTTGCCCTGTGGGAAACCTACGGCAATCTGAAGTTCCCCTTGACGCCAAGCTATGTCTTCTCCAGCTCCTATGGCCGTGACTTCACGGCGCCCGTTATCGCATTGGCCGTCGTCAACATGTTCTATTACTCATCCAGTATCCTGTGGCCGCAGATGATCACCATGTTCTACACGAACGGCGGCACGGACTGGAAGTACGCGATCATCTTGTCGCTGCCACAGGGTTTTGCCATTATGCTCGGTGCACTCCTGCTCACGCTCTTTGGTAGCAAGCTTCGACACTGGCAGTGGCAGTTGACCGGGTCGGTGTTTGTCATGGTCCTCTTTGGCAGTCTGCTCGGCCTTGTGACGCCGACCAACAAGGGGATGATGACCGCGTTCGTGTTCCTCTCCCAGGCTGGATTTGGATGGGCGCTGTATTTGAGTATTGCCATCACACAGATGGGCGTCGATCATAAGAACCTGGGTGTCAGTGGTGGTATCTCGGGCTGCATTCGGTTTGCGGCTGGTGCAAGTATGAATCTCTTTCGCCATTCATTTCTATGTTTTGTGTTGCTGACAAAGTCGTCCATAGTCGCAACCTCTGTCTACGAAACTGCGTACAGCAAAAGCCTGACCAAGTACATGATCAAGTACATCCCCAGTGCGGCGATTGCCGCAGGACTACCTGAATCTAAAGTCACGGATTTGATGACGGCTGTGTCGGAGGGTGCCTCTGCCTTGAAGGCATACAGCCCCACGGTTGCCGCTGCGGCCGAGGCAGCTTTGAGTCAGGCATACTGCAAAGCCATGTTGTGAGTCTCGGAGTGTCTGGGATTGAGGCCCTGTTCTGAAGCACATGTTGACCTTCCATTTATAGTGTGGTAGCTATGGTGTCCATGGCCTTCGGTATTGTGGGTCTGATAGCTTGTCTGTGCTGCAAGGATGTAGACTCGAAAATGACCAACAAGGTAAGCCTCGGTTGTCTCCTTTCCCGTGTTTGTTCTCATCGTACTGATCATGTATCACTTTAGATCGAAGTCTACCTCGAGAACACCAACCTCTCCGACCGAAACAAGTTCCACTAAACGGTTCTTGCTACACGGCATGGTAAAAGTGTGTCAATTATGCCCAGCCCGAGCATAGACTTTACCATACGCGAGCGGGAGCTCTGGTTGGACTGACTCATATTAAGGGAGAAGGATTGTTCGGGGCAGTTGCAGATTCTAACCTAGGGGCTTGATATCGTTCAAACCGGTAGAACTGTTTTAATTTATGCGTAGGCACTGATACGCATCCACCTAGTATATAATATCTCCTTCTCGCAATAGTTCCAGAGAACGGCCCGGATGACACAGTACTGAGATACGAATACCAAAGAAATGTTATATAGGAAGCAATTCATAATGCAACACGTCTATTCTATCTCCCCTTCTTTGAGTGTTCAAATCAGACCGGAGAACAGGGCATACCAATACACTAAGTTACACAGAGACAAAGATGACCAACAACATCGGAGCGCAGAACGGGGAATGAGATATGCTGGGAAGCTCACAGAGAGGAGAAAAATGCGCCGCGGAGTCTCCGATCAGGGCAGAGAAGGCGAGAAAAGCGTTTTATATAATACACACCCCAATCAAAGACCCCGGCGGGCATTGCAGAGAAGAGTCAAGGGGCGTCAAATGATATGCATGGGTCTGGCGTGAGATCATTTAGCCTCCTTGGGCGGCTGCTCGGCCTCAAAATGGGCCTTGGGCACCAGGCTGTCGCCTTCAGCGAGCTCGTCCTTCTGGTCTTGACGCGGAGCGAGCTCGCCTTCAGCGTTGGTGGCGGGGGCAGGAGCATCACCCTCAGCCTCGTCATCTTCCAACTCGGCACCGTACACGTCAGGGTGTTGCCGGAAGCAGTCTTGCATACCCCTAGAAAATTGTCAGTATGGACGCCAGGACCGCACAAGTTACCCTCCAATTGTACGTACTTGAACTTCTCAATGCATTCGATGCCCTTAGGCTCCTCGTTCGAGTACACGAAGCAGGAGAACGCTGCCCTGAATTCCTCTCCACAAGGGCCGTGGGCCATGCCACCCAGGCAAGGGCAGTCCCAGTTGATCTCGCCAGTCTCCGGGTTGAACGCAGCTGACTCAGGGGGCTCCTCGGAATCAATTCCCACTTGGGGGTTCACCTCCACAGCAGCGGCATCGGGGGCGGGCGCATTGGGGGCAGGCGCATCGGACTTGGGCTGAGGCCGGGCGGCGACGTTCTCTTCACGGATCTTGGGGGTGATAGAGTCGAGGGTGGGGAGGGAGGAGTTGTCGGAGGTTTCTTTCCTCGATTGGCCGAGGAGGGAGACTAGATGTAGACGATAAGTTTAGCACAGTTCCGATATCCCAACTAGCCATTGGCCTCAATAATGCGACGGGTCCAAGTTTTTGCATCTCGGGTGCGAAGGAACGACCAAAAGCAAGGCCGGATGACATACAGGATGGCTCCTGAGCGAAAGTACTGCTCGTGTTGTAGTAGTAGATAGCACCACCCGCCAGTCCTAACCGGACAGCGGTGCTTTTCCAGCTTCTCGATTTTGAGGTCGGACCAGCGGTGCTTATCAATCGAGTGCTTGCCGGGCTACGGGCCGCGACAACAGGCGCGCGGGCAAGCGCTCGTGCGGCGGGGCGAAACATGATGAATAGAAGAAAAGAGAAAAAGTCAAATTGAGACCAAGACCGAGACCGAGACCGCGAAGGAGCTCGGGGCGCGAGGGGAAGCTGGGGAGGGAGAAGCCGAAGCCGCGGACGGAGAAGTTGGTGGAAGAGAAGTGGATTTTGGCCTGAGGTTGGATTCCGGCCAGTCACGTTGCGCGGAGCCGAGTTGCACGCGACGCAACACTTCGGCGGGTGCGCTTAGCCCTGCTTTCAAGCAATCACCCGAGCCGCAGAGATCCTAGCTACTTTTGTTCATTCTCATCAGAACCATGGAGTGGGATCCGAGTCACTTCTTTCGACCTGGAGGGAGCCGTTCGCCCTATGCTCTGTTGGTGCTGAATCAGCCAATCAATGAGAAGGCGTTTGGGGTACTAAGTGCGTACGGTGAGTTCTCACTTGATAAGACTGAAAAGGCCTGTCGGGTTGATCACAGAAAGCTCTGTTTAGACGTGAACTGGGGCAGTACTAATATGCTAATTGGTACCCAGCTTCTTACATCATTTGTGCCGATGGTGGGGCTAATCGCTTGTACGACATGGTGAAAAATCATGGGAACGAATCCATCGAAGTAAGATACGCCCACTAGGTCGAGTGTGGACAATCTTTGACTACATCATTGATTTGCATGCTCGGTCCAAAATCATCCCAGACATAGCACCATAGTGATAGCTCTTGTTGCAAGAGATGACGTACATCCCGGGATATATAAACTGACCTGCACACTAGCTTCCCGACAGGATTGTGGGTGACCTCGATTCTCTGCGTCCATCAGTACGACAACACTATGAAAAACTGGGCGTGCCCGTCGTGAAAGATCCAGATCAATATTCAACAGATTTTACAAAGTGTCTCAAATACCTCAATGGACACGCAGCAGAGATCATCGCCTCCCCACGACATCAACGAAGGATATCTTCTACCGCGAGCCAAGAAGGCGCAGCTAAGAGCATGCTCCCGTCTCAGTCGGCACTCGAGATTGTGATTCTCGGTGGCCTTGGCGGTCGCGTTGATCAGGCCTTTTCACAAATCCACCATCTATACATGATGACACAGACACAGCGGGAATTACGCGAAGCACAGCAGACCCGCCCTCGAGATGATACACAGAATGGAAAGCCCGCCGCAGGTGGGAACCTTTATCTCGTCTCGGAAGAAAGCATCACTTTCATCCTGCAAGAGGGAAAGAACATCATCCACACGCCAGCAACCAATCGCCCTGATACCGACCCAGCAGCGGACCAAGACTCAATCTCCAAGGAGAATGACCCGCCTGTGAAAAGAAAGCGGGAGCAGGAACCTGGCGCAGAGCCGGAGTACTTCTTCGAAGAGAATATCGGCATCATCCCCCTCTCAGCTCCCGCCTCAATCACCACCAAGGGCTTCGAATGGGACGTGGAGAACTGGCACACTGAGATTGGTGGCCAAATATCAACCAGTAACCACATCCGCGCCGACAAAGTGGAGGTCTCGACTTCTGTCCCCGTGTTGTTTACTGTGGAATTGGCGGAACGGCTGAAGAGGGTCTAATACTTCTTTTTGACCCTCACACGAGACAAGATTTAAGTCTTGAAGATTACTATACTGTCAATAGAATGGATACCGCCGTATAGAGTCAAAGCCATGAACCATACAAACCTCGTTGAATGAGAATGGCCCCAAAGGCCCAATGGAAAAAGGGGTAAAAGGGTGTCAAAAAGACGAACCACCTAAATCAAGCCAAGAAGCAGAATAAGAACCCAAAACCCAAGCGCCTCCTCAGGCTGAAACTAGAGACCAAGAACTTAGAAAATAATTGGGAGGGGAAATGAAAAAGCCAATTTCGCATATCGCATCGTCGCATATCCCAGACAAAACCACTAGAACTCAACCCGTAAACCCGCGAACCGTAAAACAAAACAGTAAAACAAAACACAGCATTGCGTAGCACACAACATGAGAGTAACAATCCATGGCACGCCTCAAATACTCAGAGGATATCAACCAAGGGGAAAGAGAGTGGAAATACTAGCTCCAGCCAATGTACTAGAGAAGCACCACCAGAAGGGGAAGGGGGAGGGGGGGGGGGAGGAGACAAAAATCGCGCAAAACAGGAGATTCGCATCATTCAGCACTACCACGTTAAAACCGTCCTTCATCCTCGTCTGCAATTACCAAAACCAGACGACCTGTACAGCCCAAGGCAGACGCAGGAAAGTCCGACTTGACCTACGAGCGGCGCAGAATGGCCTCATATAAAGTGCCGACCACGCCGATGGCAGCACCAGTCCACATGCCATAGTAGTTGCCGGGGATAGACCAGTTGACCTTTTCAACAGCAAGGTTGCTGTATAGACCCCAGAAGCAGAAGTGCTTGACATACACCTTCCACACCAGCAGCGCCTTGACAATGTTGAAAGTGAGCGGGTCAAACTGGGCACGGGCAGATGCAGCCGAACGACCACGGCGCACACCCCCAGAAGCGGCCTGCCAGCTCAGGTTGATAAAGTAGGCGGCGACCAAAGGGAGCAGCAAGTTAGTGAGAAGCCAGAGGGTGAACGGCGCCCAGAACGAGAGCGTGACCAGCTGGAACAAATCGGGGATCTTGATTCGGATGTTGGGGGTGTGCAGGGTTGGATTGGCGTCCAGATTACCCAGGAAGCGGTTGGGGACGAGCTCGGTCAGAAGGTTGAAAACCTCAACAGCGACGACGATAGCCTCGATAGCGAAGAGGCTGCTCAGGTTGGCGCGCAGCGCGTGCGTGCGCTCCAAAACGCCCGATGAGGTCCAAGCCTGCTCGATGCCTTCGCGCACCCGCGTGGTTTGCCGGTCAATCGAGTCTGCCACCTGGGCCGGGGAGGGAGGCACGTCGAGGGCAGCGCGGACGCGGCTCGTAGTTAAGCGCACCGCACTGCTCGGCGTCTTGGCTGGGCGCATTGCGGCGTCATCGGACGAACTGTCGCAAACGGTCAGCACTGCAAACCAGTCGCGACCATGATGTCGCGTGCGACGCGCTCTGGTCGCGTGCGATGATGGCACTTACGTAGCTTCCTCCAGCTTCTGCTTGTTGGACTTACGGCCGGGCGTCTTCTTCTCGACTGCGGGGGAGCCTTCAGCCTTGGCTTCGCGCTTCACCGGCGACCCTCCCCGCGGGGGTGCCGACAGGCGCTTGTAGTAGTCGGCGAGCTTTTTCTCGCCCGCGAAGATAGAGCGGTTGATACCACTGAGGTGCTTGTCGAGCGCGGCGGCGAGGTCATTCTTGTTGTAGTCGGAGAAGCTGCGATGAGGTGGAAATGACGGTCAGTCGGGGATGCTGCGATGCGACAGCGCGCGAGGTTTGTGCGCGTGACAGCGTGTAAACATACTCTTGAAGATCGGTCAATTCAGCGAACTCAACCAGCTCGGGCTTGCGCAGCTTGTTTAGATAGGGAAGGCCGCTTGACATGATGGGTGGTTGGATGGATACAGATCCGGGTCAGAGCGGGCGCAGGTTCAGATGAGACAGAGGGGAGTTGATCCGACAAATTTGACCATCAAATCACGAATGGGAAGAGACTTGGATTGGACTTAGGGCAAATTGTAACAAGGTAACAAATTGTAACGGTTTTTCTGGAGGAAAATGGGGTAGAGGGCGGATGCAAGGGAGGAGGGGAATTGATTTGGGCCTGGAATTGTTTACACCCGCGGGTCCCAAAACAAAACACGCTAGCGCGTCTGCCCTTTGTTCGCTCGAAGCCTGGATTCCGGGCTTGCGCGGGCGTGGGGCTTGGGGCTCCTCGTAAGAGCTTGTTTTCTTAATAATCTGATATTGGTAGTTATACATAGTGGAGTAAAATAGAAAGGTATTATCACAGACGTATGGCTATAGTACAAATGAGGCCCTTAGGCCAGTCTAGTTAGGTTCATCTATCGCAAAGGGAGATGGGTACGGCAGTATACAGGGACAAAGGCCGTCCAAGGGAGGGAGAGAGATACACGAAATAAAGGGAAGAATACCACAAAACGCCACCCCTATGAAGAAGGACCCCGTCCTAAAATGCATGCAGGTAAGTCAAACATCACAACGGTTGCGTCTCGTCCAGACGGCTCTGGTAAGCATCAAGTTGCTTGAGGAGGTACTGGTACAATACCAGCATGGTTCCGCTCTGGATGCTGGTCCACACGCCGCGCGGGCCAACACCGCGGAACCACCCTGCAAGCCCCTCGGTGCGGTAGATCATCCTCAGTCCGGTAAACACGGACGATGTGTCTAAGCGTGGAGCCCCGGGGGGAGAAACCGACGTGGAGGGCGATGAAGTGGAAATCGGTCGCGAGTGCGCCCGCGACGATGACGCATGGGACTGGGACGCCCCCGGCGCATGGGGTCGCGGGCTTTCCTTCGGGACGTGATCGCCCGCGTGCTTTGCGCCAGACGACCCGGTGGGGTTCTGCTGAGTTTGGATGCGCGTTTTGACCACGTCCAATGGGCAGGTTATCACGCCCGCCATGCCGCCCGCAGTGGCCGCCGTCAGGATCTCCAGGCTCAGCCCGATGTCCCGATGCCCAACCCATTGCTTCGCCATATTCTGCTCTTGCTCGTAGAAAGCAAATTGCAGCGCAGAGAACGGCAGATCACGATATATAGTGGCTTTGTAGCCGTGGTACAGCGCTGAGAAGCCCTCTTGGCGGATGATGATTCGGAAGGCATCGGTCATGCCGCGGTAGTTGTAGCCCGAGTTGAAATATGGGTTATTGTATCGGCCTTGCAATTGCAGCCGGGTCTTCAGTACCTCGGAAGGTACATAAACGATTGAGGCCGCCAGATCCGCAAAGAAACCGCCTGACAGATATGCGATGTTCTTGTTGATGCCCGCATCGATCATCGCCCGCTTGGTGAACTCGTAAACACCGAAGAAGACCACCGTGCCGGGGAAAGAGCCTAGCGCCGCTGGTGTCACTCCACTATATAAACCACGGAAGAATCCTTCTTGTCTGTAGATAGTCGCATACGACGAGGTCATCGAGGTGTATTTGGGTGGGAAAGTCGGGTCGCCCTGTTGCCGAGTTTTGACTGTATCCAATGAGTGCATCAACATATCACCACATATTCCTCCCATTCCGCCCGCTAGCATTGCCTGTAGGGTAGTGTCTGGTTAGCATCCGTAGATATATCATTGCAGCCTATGCGCCACCCGGAACGGAATCGTACATGATGATACGGCGGACGCGGCTCTTCCTCTTCCAACATATCTTCGCCCCGGACATGTCGGGTAGCACCGACAGTGCCTATCTCATGTTGTATCAGATTTGGCGGGTTTTGTGTCGTCGCAGTTGGGTCTGAGGTCGCTGTTGTGGAGAACAGGCCGAACACTCGCGAAGTCAGGCTCATGGCAATATGAGCCGACAATGGACTCCCGAATGCGGTCGGGGCCGGGGGATATGGGGGATGCCGATGGGTGAAAAAGAGAGAAGCGATCCCCCGGTGGATCAGGTATAGAGAGTGACAGAAAAGGGTGTTGAGTAGTGGAGATGTCTCCGTTGGCGACCCTCGGCTCCCATTCAAAATTCTGGTCGGCGGTGTTTTTCTTTTCTCCGCCCTCGCCGCCTCAGGCAGAAACCGCGTCATTGCCATTGGCTTGTTCTGCCGGAATTGACCGCCAGTCGCAACTCCATGTCGCCGTTATGATGCCTCAGGCAGAATATCATTTCAGATGGCAACTATGTAACTAATGAATTGGGCAATTGGGCCCAGCTGGGCGGGAAGTAACTACGTTAGTCGCTGATAGGTTTAATAAGTACGTAACTACCTACAGTGGACAGAAATACGTTAATTTTATGCGATCAATAGGTATAGAGGATATTAGACAGATTATTAGAAGATTCGCGCACCTAGGTAAGCTAGGCTGTGCACAGATTAGACAAAGCGGACACTTACTAGGGGGTATAACGGGCCAATGCCCGTGTATGACCCTACTGTATGTACTCGGCCGAATGTTTACCTTTACATTCCCCTTCCGGAACAGCCCTTTTCCCTTCCTTTTCCCCAAGATTATTGTAAATAGTTCGCGGCCTAGTTAGATTAAATCAAATCGGATACAACCCTGTATATATAATAATTTCCCGATACACTATTGTTAAAGGCTCCCTAAAGCTCCCGAAAGCTTCATGTAGGAACAACAATGTCTCTAGAAGTCTCTCCCGCTAGGCCCAACATCTTCGACTATTACCTCATAAAAGAAAAAATACCTAGCTTGGCTTTCAAGTAACGCAATCTACTGGGGCCGTCAAGCCAAGAGAAGTTCGCATTCAATAATAATAATAATAAAACCACTCATCTCTCTACTATCAATAATTCGGAGTCGCACAGTACTCTAGTTATGTAAATAACGCATTTCTCATCCCTGCGAGCTCGAACATTAGGACCGCACGGCAAATAATGGCCGAGGCCATAAATCTTGCGATAATCTGTGTGCTATCAATCCATCCTAGGGAATAAATTTAGGTCTTTTGTCGCTTAAATGTAGCATAAAAAGCTTACCTATAAATACCAGAGACGAAAATGCAATTGTGCCATAAAGAAGATGTACTACCGTTGCGATCGAGGTTAACCACGAGACGAAAATAAAGGCTATATTCTCCTGTTTCCAGTTTAAGGCAAGTTTTTCGTGCGTGATGCATGGTTTGAACTCGTGCTGTATCCACTCAGTGACCCGGGCTTTGATACTTCGAGTTGTTCCCGCGCCTCTTATTGTTTCTGCTCGTAGAGCAAGAGAAAGCATGCCCATAAGATGGAGGCATATCGTAACAAATACCCAGACAATTGGATACCATGTTGTGCTACAGCTGATATTGGTGATTGTCCAGAGTCCTGTATAATAGCTGGCAGTAGTCACATTCACTATGGCAGCAATGACGATGAGGTACTCGGTAAGTATGAGAATCGCAGCTCGGAAGTTGGACAGGGCTGAAAGGTGGTTTAAAAGCAAACGGCCCTCTCGTTCCTTCAAGTCTGCCACTGGATTCGGATAGACAAATGTCGGAAGAGGGTTCACAGCGGGTGACCCCAAAGCTATCATGACAGCAAGTAACGGCCTCCGTCTCGAGAGGAGTGCTACCTCAGCTGTAGAGGAGCCCAGAAAGGTGAGAATTGTTGGCATAAGACCTAGTGCCACTGATGCGCTTGCCATGTTTCCTTTGACAGCTTCGCTTGTATTTGCCAATATACAGCTGAGTAAGTCTATGCAAGTCGTACTGTAAAGTGAAGTTGCCGCTTGTTGCGAAGCATACAAAGTTGCGCATTGATCATTTCGAATATTTATAAAATAATCGTTATAAATAGGGAAAAAGTGGTGAAAGCGTGTATTTGTAGCTGCCGCCGGAGTAGGTGCCGCGATGAATGCCACGAATCCGAGGAGAAAGTAACGTGTGGCCATAATCAAGGTAGCGTGTCTTGGCCTTGAAGCAAAGTTTGAAACCCATTACTGAATCATGGAGAGAGGAAGGAGTTCAAGCATGACAGAGATCTTCGCGTTATAATCGGGAGAAAGAGTTTGCGCCGAGCTACGCGCCAGCCGAGCCGGACCCATTACTAAAATAAAGATCGCAATCCACTAATCTACTTTAGGTACTATATCTACTGTATATAAGCGAGGGCTGAGTCGGCTCGATAAGGGGGCTGAGTCGGCGGCCAATACAACTATCTTGAGTAGCTAGTTAAGGAAGAGGAAAAGATGAGGGATTCTGAGGTGATGCCAAGAATGATGCTGCATGTGAAGTGTGATGTGATAATTTAGCTGCCTATAGGATTGTCCGTAGTCCTCGGTGCAGAGTGCACTCTAGGTTGTCATTTGATGCCACCAAAGCTATAGGTTAGGCAGAATCATAGTGATTGTGCGCTTGCTGCAGCTAGCAGCCTCACGTCTGATATACTGTAGGTGGTGAGATCACCACTGTCGAACAACTCAGCGCTCACAGGAAACCACACGTGTCCTGGACATAATCCATTGGATGTGATGGCACCACGCTAGTTCTCTTCTCTCGGGCTTGGAAGCACCAATTACCTCGGAGGCGGTGACAAGATGCAAAATCATGGGAATGTGATAGGGCAGCAACCAGGATTGTCAGGAGTGTCACAGTCCGTATCAGCCTAATTAGGGTTGAGGGCCAGATGCTTCTGCGAATACCGAGAACCGCCTTAGAAGTGAGAACCCGCTCATACCACTCAGGATGAGAAAGGGAAGCAGAGTCACGCAGCAAATAGTCAAGTCACTGCGCGCAAGGCGGCTCTCCACCTGTTGTTTGTGGAAACCCACTACAGGTTTTCAGACCCTTTTACCAAATACTTGTACTGGATTGACTCGACAGAACGCAGTCCTTTCTTACGTGACCCCTTGTTTCCCGTCACGCGATCGCTGACCCTAAGTCCTCATCGCACAGTAGATGCGCCATCTCCCCGGCTTCTCAATTCCACCGCACCATTGCACTTATCATGAGACTTAGCGGCGCTGGCGAATACATTGGGAGGGTCCTTGGTGACATGGAGAAGTTGGATGTCAGAGAAGATAGATCGACACCATTGGGATATCTTGCAGACTTACGACTTGGCGGGTGATTAGACACGGTAGCTGCGTGTTAACGTCCATTGTTAATTGGTACGATGATAAGTTAATGACATGTTGAAGAATTTAAGCACTTCATATCCATAGATATTGTCGAAATTCAAAATATAATGCGGTTTACAATAATACCCGTAAAGAAATCCATTCCAGTTAGCTAGGAAGGTTAGTTCCGAACTTTGCAGTAGTAGCTACACTATATCTCCTCTACAGCTAGACTAGCGTGCCGAAATATCTATCTCCCTCGCACTGCCAACGTTAACACACTATTCGAGGAAGTTGTTGATGTGACGCATGACAGAGATGGACATAAATCACCCGAGGGAGGCGTGACTGAAGAAAGCAACTGACCTGACTAACCTAATTTGGCCCGTTTGTTCGAGAGCTCTCTACATAATAGCGGATTTCCCCCCAATAGTTTTTTCCTTCTTCACTTTAGTTGTTCCGTTGAATGCACCTAGTTCTTCTAGCCTCGATATGCGAGGGGCCAATATTGGGATGTCTGTATATTTCGATCCGGAACAGCTAAGGCTGGATGGGGGGCTGATTTTTACTGGTGAGACATGGTCGGTTGTTCCTAGATAGTTTGGCCCACCGTGGCACGTTGCATGAATAGAGCTTTTCCTTATTTTCTCAACGGTTTCGGTTACGAGAATTTGCGGATCCATCGGTGCACGAAAGATCAAGGATGTGCTGGATAAAGTAAAACCCGGACTGAGTCGATTCGCAGATAATTAACTCACAGAGAAAAATTTGTGAAAGATTACGCATGTAGTAGCAATTAAGAATGTACATGCCAGGTCTTCGATCTGAACCGGACGGTGCATTCTATCCATGCTCCTCACCAGTCTATCTCTCCAAAAAACAAATGCCAACTCACCTTACGCAGGGCCCAAAATGCGAGTACGCAAGGCAAGACGTACCCGGAGCCAAGCGGGCTAGCGCCGCCGGGTCCTGCCATAAACCGAAGTGCCCTCCCCAGGCCAGGCTCGGTCCTGCCGATCCAAAGATCGCCTGTCTCACGGTAATCCCACGCCCCGCAAGATACAAATCCGAATCAAAAACCTAGCCATGTCCAGAATGTGACCGGTTGGAATAGACTAGCCATGTCCAGAATGTGACCGGTTGGAATAGAAAGGTTGTCTAGACTGCTATATAAAGCCGGCGGGATTATTAAAGTGATACCATAAAGATTTGGGATGTTTGGGACGTACTGGGACAACCATAATGGCTGATCCAACTCCCAATCCGACGACAAGACGCGCCAAGGTCATTTGAGGGATGGAGAAGGAGGTGGCTTGAATAATGGGTCGGAGGATGAATAGAATGCAGCCACTGTAGATCCCCAGCTTTCGCCCGTATCGATCTGCACACAGTCCAGCCACCACGGTAACCACGAAAGCATCTGATCAATGTGATCAGACTCAAAGGACAAGAAACTGAAGATAGATGAGGGACTGCGCACTTATCAAGACTGGGAGGTCTGGTACCAGTGAGACTGCAGTTGGCCGAGGCTAAATGATACCAACCATTGACAAGATCATTTATAAGCGGGGTGCTTATTGCATTAGCCAGAGGGAAGCCCGCTAGCCTCTGTTCCAGCAATGACGCTGTGCAGGGTAAGCCATGCTGCCGCCTGAGATCCACTCGCGAACCATTCTATGGCACCCAGGTTACGAGGGAGGCGATCAGATCGCGAGCACGCACCTCGTTTTGTAGCGAACATCGCTTCTGATTTCAAGATCTTTGGTCATTGGAAGTGCCCTTCCAATCAATATATTACGGAAGTAAAAGGCTGCCGCCACGCGATCGCCAGCAGGCCGGTCAACCCCAGGTTTTGTACCCCGCACTCCCCGTGTGGAGATGCCCGGCGACGCCTGCCTTCATTTCCTTCTTTACCGCGCCCTCTCCCATTTGCTTCCCACTTCTCATCGGACTCGCACTATACAAGTCTGCCACCACTATGCGGCGGAATAAGGCAGTTCCCTGGTGAGTGCTCCACACCTTCAACGCTGCACGCCAATCCCTAACAAAGTAATTGTAAAGCCAGGGATGCCGCAGTGAGTATTGCGCCCATGGAAGATAGTAAAGAGTGGGCTTGCATTGACTGATCATATTGTGCCAGACCGACATGTAAAGTGTGAGTGCATATTCAAATACATACTGGGGCGGGAAAAAGCTCACAACCTGCGCCAGGCGATGGGCAAAAGCCGACATGCAACCGCTGCAGGCGGACCGGGTCATCTTGCGTATGGCACGCAATGCCCTCGGGCTTCCGCCATGGCTCCAGTGCGAGTGCCCGATATAAATTTGCAGGTGATCAGCCCTGGCTGCCCATTGGTCAAGGTACGTGGGATCCTCACCTTGTCAAGCCCACCATCTCGCCTTCCTGTTCGCAAGTATAGAGAGATGATTGGTTCATTGCAGTGTAGCCGGGCGATGCTACTATGAGTCGCGGTTGCTGACCCACGATCGCAGTGGATTACAAGTACGTCGATGAGACAGCCGACATAGCCCGATACTATACCCTGGACGAGGGTTGCAATGCATCACCGTCGCCGCCCTTGGCTGCCACCAGGCGCAGGAGTGAGGCCTCAGTCGACCAGCGGGCCCTCGCTGAGACGTCAATTCTCAGTGATACATTCGGGTCTCATTCCTCCGAGTATTATCTGCCGCCGAATCGGCCTGATAGTAGCCATCTGGCTGGCTACTCGCCATATTCCTTGCAGCTGTCGCCGAGACATCATTCTTCGGTGTCATCGGCTTCCCCACACTTTTCACGTAGCAGCCAGGCCTCGCCTGAAACGAGGGACTTTAATTCACAAATCTATAATGAGTTTGACAATGGGCTTCCTAATCTTGATGAACATGAAGCTTGTTTGATGCGGTATTTTGTTGTTCAGCTTGCGCCTTGGGTGTGTATCGCTTGAGGTTTTTCCATATCTCCGTGTCTTCTATACTAACACGCTTCACCAGTTCGATCTATGCGATGGACAGAGGCATTTTGCCTGCACGGTACCCCTACGAGCTCGGACATGTCCGCCTTTACTGAATGCCATCTATACCGCCTCCGCTAGGCACCTGAGTCGCGTCAAGAAGTACTACAAGGGCAACCAAGTCCACTACGGAGGCAAGGCCCTTCCCAACCTCACCCCCGAAACCGCCATTCACTACCACAACCAATGTATTGCACATTTTGTGTCACTGTCAGATCACTCCCGCGAGGCTCAGGATGAAAACCTGCTCGCTGCAGCCGTGATCCTCCGCTTCTACGAAGAAGTAGACAGTCAGTCAAGCAACCACCTCCTTGTTCCCTTCTCCAACTGACTCTTTCACCCAAGTGCCTTCTATGGGCGAAGACTCCGAAAGCGCTCTCCGCGGCATCCAAGTATTCCTTGATGCCCAAGCCATCTCCGCCGTCGCCGGCTGCGGCCTCCGCCACGCAGCCTACTGGATCGCCCTCCGCCAAGAGATCATCACAGCCTTCAGCAAACAACGCACCTTCCGCCTCCCCCTCGGCCCGTGTGAACCCTACCGCACCTTTGAGCCCGCCGACGATTACGTCTGGGCTGATCGGCTAGTAATCCATTGCGCTGATGTGCTGCAGTACTGCTTCGGCTCGGAGGAAGAGAACCTCCCGCGCGACACATACCATGCCGCGTCGAGCAAGAGTGTGCTGCACCCGCTGGGCGCGGAGATGCGCATTGCGCGGTACGACGAACTGGTCGCGTTCGAGACGCTTTGGGCTGAGTTAGGCCCGCCCAGTTTCAACCCCATCTATGCGCGCGCGCCGGACCGCGCGCGCGGCGAGGTCTTCCCCGAGCTGTGGTACCTGAACAACTGCCACGTCGCCGGGCTGCAATTCCTAGAGCTGGCGCGCATCTTGCTCGCAGTGTACAATCCGAAACTGCCTCGGCTGGGTCCCGGCCAGCGCACGGCAATGCGGTCGGTGGACCGAGAAGTGCGGGCGATTGTATTGCGGCTGTGCGGGACGGCGCTGTCGAACCAGCATAGTCCGCCGGGGCTGGTGAATGCGTTTATGGCGATTGGGATGTGCGGCGATCGGTTTACGGATCGCTTGGAGCAGGAGGCACTTTTGGGGGTGCTGGTTAAATTGGAGGATGAGCATGCGTATCCCACGGCGAGTACGCAGGAATTGCTGAAGGGGGCGTGGGGGTGGGACGGGTATAGTGCGTTGGAGTAGAGGAAGCTATGGACATCGTGTAACCGTGATCTATCGATGCTTAGTGCACTCATTCTTGCATCGTCAGCTTCATACGACACCCCACTTATCCCATTATACTCTGCGACACGAGACTCGTGTCTGCATGTACTTTGCCTGCGACGCAATGCGGAGACATCCACTCCCACTGCCAGTTCACAGCGCCTGGCAGAGGGCTTATCCCACGATTGCAGGCAGCACCGCGATAGGGCCAGTGAAACAATCTCCAAGCTCCGCATCTTCGCCAAAACTTGAGATTCGAGAGTCCGCAGCAGCCAACTCCAGTGCTCGCCCTCGGACGAAGCAGCACCGAGTGCGGGGAAGTGGAGTCTTCCACGAAGGGCAATCGTCGCCGGCAGCCTACTCGAAGCAGGTAAACCCTCACGAACTATGCCAGATCAGCTTCAGCGCGCTGCAACAATTCGCTGTGGGCAGCAACAGCTGTCCACGCCGGCAGCAGCCAACAGCTATATAATGGCAATACCCTTCGCCATGACCATCGAAGCATCACGCTCTCTCATCTTTCGCCGCCCTCCCTCCCATCCACCAAATCAAGCCCCAGAATGTCCCAGAAGCTTCAAGTAGCAGTTGCCGGCATTGGCCGTATGGGTGAGAATCCCCCCTTCAACAGAAAGAGAAAGAGGAATTGAAGAATTGAAGAATTGACTCCCTCCGTCGCTGATTGCTAATACCCGGGCACAGGCATGCGCCATGCCCGCCACTTCGCAACGCTCACTCCGCGCGCCGAGCTGATTGCTGTCTGCTCGCCCGTACAGTCCGAGCTGGACGCCGCAAAGGCCGAGTTTGGCGTCCGCACGTACAAAGACTACGAGACCATGTTGCGCGAGGAGGAGACCTTGCAAGCCGTCGTCGTGGCCAGCGCCACCACCGTGCACGCCGAGCAGGCTATCAAAGCCATTGAGCGCGGCCTGCATGTCCTCTGCGAGAAGCCCATCTCGACCAGCCCTGAAATCGTAAGCGTGCCTTTCTATCTCTTTCTCTCTCCCAGCACTAGCTCCATGCACCCTACCCTGCCCTATCATACCACACCACACTCCCTCACAGAAACCACAACCCCCAAATCCTGACCCTTACCTCAGTCCCAATCCGTCGTCGACGCCTACAAAACCTCTATAAAAGCCCACCCCTCGCAAAAAGTGATCTGCGGCTTCAGCCGGCGCTTCGACGCCTCGTACCGCGACGCACACGCGCGCATGGCCGCAGGCTCCATCGGCACACCATCCGTCTTCCGATCGCAGACATGCGACAAGCTCGACCCCAGCGGGTTCTTTGTGGCGTACGCGGAGTTCTCGGGTGGGATTTTCGTCGACTGCAGTATCCACGACATCGATCTTGCGCTGTGGTTCTTCGGCGAGGAGAGTAGGGTTAAAAGCGTGGCTGCGGTGGGGATTACGGCCGTGCAGCCGGATTTGAGGAAGCATAATGATCGGGATAATGCATTGGGGATTATTGAGTTCTATGTGAGTGGTGCTATCTGTACTCCTAATCTTGTATGACTGTCACCATCCGAACTAACTACTATAACTATAACTATAACAGGGCGGCAAAATCGCCCAACTCTACTGCTCCCGCATGATGGCCGCCGGCCAAGAAGACTGCACCGAGATCTTTGGCACCAATGGCAAAATCGCCATCAACACCCAGCCGCTGCTGAACCTGGTTAACCTGTACGAGTCGACGGGCATCCGGCGCGAGATCCCCGCCGACTACTACGGGCGGTTCCGGGAGGCGTTCATCACGGAGGCGAACGAGTTTACGGCGTCGTGTCTGGATGACACTAAGCCGCCTTTGCGGCTAGAGGCGGCTGTCAAGGCTGTCACTATTGGGTGTGCGTTGCAGGAGTCGCTGATTACGGGACAGAAGATTGAGTTCGAGGAGGATGGGAAGAGGGTGGAGGCTGCGCGGTTGTGAAGTTGAGGGTTCCCCGCTGGGGTTAGCATCTGCAATGGATGCGGCATAGATAATTCAGAGGAAAAAAGGATGCATAGACTTATAACACAAGTAGGGACGTTTGCTTTTCTTGGTGTAATAGTCTGGGATCGGGGTATCCGATCAACCCATCTTCTCACAAGTACGGAAAGACGCAAACATACCTATACTTAGGGTTCTACAGCAGACCAAGCTACAACCGGTTTACTCCAACACAAAAGCTGAAACTAGGAAATGCCGAAGCGCTGCAATTGACTAACACGGACAGACGGCCAACAGTACCAAATGTCCCCAGGGCACAAGGCGGGGAAAAGAGGAGAAAAGGAAAATTAACGGGCAAAAAATGAGCGGGTAATAGGGCACACAGAAAGCGGGCAGGAACAAGATATGGCGTAGCAAAAAGTACATCACAAGAAGGGTAATAAAAAGGCGATTCGATTCCCCAGGTGTCGACCCCCGCGGATCGTATTATTCAAAACCATTCTTTTTGCGATGCGTGGGCCCATCCAGTGGAAGATAAGGGGGTGAAAAGAGACAAGCAGCGGCAGAGGTGCGTTAGGGGACGCGGGGCGCGTAAGAGAGTGTGGAGATGACAAGCAAGGAAATAAGAGGTGAAAAGAGAGCGAGAGAGCGGGACTGCATGACTGAATAGCGACTTCAGCAGCGGCCGTCAACGGCACGGAGAGGACGCGGAGCGGACTTAGCGGAGCGAGAAGCCCTTGCGCTTGCCCTTTTCTTCGATGGGGCGTCCAGTCTCCAGGCGGGATTTCTTTTCCTCTAGTTCCTGCCGCTGCCGGTCTAACTGGTCCTTCATCTCGCGGTGTCGCGCATAGAGTTCGTCTTCGCTCTGCTTGAGCTTGCTTTCTTTCTCGGAAACCTTTTGCTGGAAGACCATCTTCATCTCGGCCTCCATCTTGGACAGTTTCTGTTCGTGCAGGGCACGCTCCTCCTCCTGCTTGACGGCCGGGTTGACCTCCTTGAACACGCTCGGGTCCTGGGCGACACCCATCTGGGTGAGCTTGTCCGAGCGGTAGTTCTCGTACAGGAAGTTGTTGGTGTGCTCCTTGAGCTCCTCCATGTGGGTGCGGATCAGCATCTGGCGCAGCTTGACGAAGTCGCAGTGCTCCTCGTTGTCGACCTCGATGACACCCCAGGGGTAGCTACGGCCACGGACACGACGGCCATCAGCGGCGCTGACCTCCGAGTTGGCACCGACCACGGCGAAGGGCACCTTGGACATGATCTCCTGGTTCTCAGCAATGGTCTCCTCATCGTCGAGCTCGTAGCGGGGACCCTCGAAGATTTGAATAGAGTGGTGCTGGATATCGGCAAGGATCTAGACGGGTGGGGTAGAAAAGAGGTTAGTCTCCGGGTTACCAATTGACTCAATGGGAATAAATCGTGGAAAATGGAGAGAAATGCATACTCTCTGCTTGAACAGAGCAACCTCCTCGTCGGTCAGGGTATCGGCCTTGGCGATGACCGGGATCAGGTTGACCTTGGTGTGCAGGCGGCGCATAACCTCGATATCCAGGGGCTTCAGGGAGTGGCCGGTAGGCTGGATGAAGTAAACGCAGGCGTGGATGCGGTTGTCGACAATGTTGCTGCGGTTGACCTTGTTCTCGGCCTCCAGGTAAGTATCGAAGCGCTGCTCGATGTTCTCGACAATAGGGCGCCACGAGTCGTCGTTGTTGACGAAGTCACCGAATCCAGGAGTATCAATGACGCTCAGGCGGAGGCGGACACCGTTCTCCTCAATATCGGCGCTGGTCGACTGGATCGACACGGTCTTGGGGATAATGTCGGCATTGGGGCCGGTGCGCTCCTTCGGGGGGTAGAGAGAGGTGTTGAACAGGGTGTTAACGAGGGTCGACTTTCCGAGGCCAGATTCACCTGCAGGATAGTATGAGATTTGCACGGACAAGCCACTGGGGCAGGTATGGAGGTTATATATATGTACGTACCGACAACCATGACATTGAAGTTGAATCCCTTACGGACACTCTTGCGGTGCCACTGGTTGGGCAGGTTGGCGAAACCGACGTAGCCGGTGAGCTTGCGGCGGACAACGTTCTTCATGTCGGTGGCAGCCTGGGCAGCGGCCTTCGGGTCCCGCGAGCTGACAGTCTGGGCATTGCCGGAGCCCATGGGGTTGCTGCGCTCCACGAAAGGCGACTCCTTGCCGCCGCTGGGCGCGGGGGAGTCGCGGGACGCGACGGGGGAACCGTTCGCAATGGGCGAAGCTAGAGAATCCATCAGTGTTCCCATTCTGATGATTGCGGTCGATCCTTTCTGGATGCTGGAGATCGCGGAATCGGTTCGAGGGGAGGGGGTTTGGAAGCTTACACATGGCGAAAGTTTGTTTGGCGAAGAACGTTAAGGGATAGGGAGACGACGCGAAAAGATTCCCTGAAATCGAATCATATCATCAGTTACAGGTCGCACGAGTGGGGTCTCGTCATGATCGAGACAAGCAAAAAAAAAAAATTATTCGGGGAGGGGGTTCAGGCGAAGATCCAGAATGCTGGGGATTCATACCGGGAGAAACTTGCGTGGTCGAAAAAAAGGGGGAGGGGGGAGGGAGGAGAGCGAAGGTGAGTTGCAAAGCGAACGACAAAAAGCAGCTCCAGCAGTGCAGCTCGAAGCGCAACAAAGGAGAATTGAAAGAGAGGAGGAGGATGGGGGAGGAGGAAGGAAGCACTGCCAGTCTCGGAAAGAAAGGGGGGCGTGAGGTTGGCCGTGTTGGCTAGTCCGGTCCAGTGATTTGTCCAGTGATCAGCTACGTCTGGTGTGGGTGTGATCGACCGAACAGCCTCGATGCATCATCTCCCCCAATTGACAAGTAATTACAGCCTTCACCACGTAACTACGGCTGTGCGAGTCACCGCACATTCCGCGGGTTTTTTATTGCATGGTGCTTGCCCTCGGCAGGTCTACTACTGGCCGTGGGTCGGGGAATGCGGGCGTCGCGAGGGGAGTATACGGCCAGTTGTCATGTTCGAGAGCGCTCGACCATTGAGCCCAGTAATTGGACACATAGAGCTCTCAATTGCACATGTTTATCTTCTATCCCAATTTACGGGTGGTTGTACCCGCATGGGTACGTACCACATCTCGACCCAAGAACTGCTGGGTCTCCTGGAATTACTTGGGATCAGGGGTTACGGGGTTGCTCACGTGAGGCCCACCCGGAGTGGGTCCGCCTTAACGTGTTTATTGGCGAAGTACGGAGTACAGGAGAACAGCAGATCTCAGACAGCCACTGGGACTAGAGTAACGGAGTACTCAGGGTCATCGATTTGAGAAGTTCATATGCTAACGCCAGACGACACAAAGTCCAGTCCCCAAGCAGGATAAAACAGAGAGATCGAGAAAGGCTAGCTGTGATCATCTATTATCCGGTTTTGTTCTTCTTCTTCGGTCGGGACTCGTCATCGTTGTCCGAACCGGCATCCGCGTCGTCGCCTGCATCTGCATCGCCCATCTCCTCGTCACTGTCACCGCTACTCTCGTGCGCCGAGTCATACTCCTCGGCCACGTCCGAGTCAGAGGAGGCGTTGAAGTCCTCGTCGACCGACTCTTCGTCCTCATCCGCGGAGCCGCGGTCGGCCCGTACACCCTCGTCGTCGCTCGACTCCATCAGATCCTCGTTATCAAGAGCCGCCTTCAGAAGAGTCGAAGTATCGTCGGACATCTCATTCTTAATGCGAATACCCTTGGCCTTGAAGAAGTCTTCCAGCGGTTGTTGCTCCTCCCTGTGGAGATTTTGTCAGAATACCAGACAGGGCGAATGAAAATTAAGAGTCTCCACTTACCGGTTGATGTTGCTGAACTGGTGCTCGCCGAGACCACCCTTCAGACTGACAGTAATATCGAACGTCCGGCTGGCCGAGACAGCGCCGCCGACACGGGACATGGTAACCACCGCAACATTGTCGAGTTGAATGTAGGTGGCAGGCTTAGGGACGAAGATAAGGCTCTTGTCCAGGAAGTAGAGAAGACCCTCGTTGGCCTTGATGGAGCACTTCACGCCGTGGTGACCATGGTGGCTGACAAAGTCCTTGGACGGCATGATGACCTTCTTACCAGACAGCCCACGGAAGATCTTAGTCACAACCTGGTGGATGGGCTCTTCATAGTGTGATTGCAGCTTGTCCTTGTACTGGTTTTGCAAAAGCTCCCTAGAATTGTGTCAGCGAATGAAATAAAACGCGGTCCAAGTTCTAGGGCAACGCTTACTCTGTCATGTTCAGCTCCAGGCTGATCTCCTCATCCAACTTCAACTGCATAACCAGGAACGGATATCTAGTCTGACCCTGTCGCAAAGGGGGGTCGAGACCGAGAACAATGAGGGTGTGGGTATCGTCATTCTTTGGAAGCAGGAAGAACTTTTTAATGGCAGAGTACTGAATTTTGTAGTCGTATGTTTTGCCACGGAGACGGAAGGACGACTCGTACATATCGATATCGAAACGACCTCTGAAAGAATAGTGAGTAGCAGATTCCATACACGCAGCAAAACCAAAGAGTAGAAGACAAACCTCGGGGTAAGGTGGAGAACGTCCAAGAAGGTAGCGAACGTATCGCCAGCCACATCTCCAATCTCCGCCTTGTCCATCAGGGTCTCGTAGAAAAGGTTCGCCGCATTCTGCTCCTCCACCTCTTCTTCGTTCTCTTCCTCCTCGCCCTCTGCACCTTCCGCCTTCTCCTTCTTCACGGCCGTGCCAGGAATGTAAAAGCGCATCTCCACCAGCTCGTCGGGGCCCGCAGCCGCCTTTCGGCCGCGATTCTGTGTGCTCCCAGCCGGCTGTCCGTTCGCGCCGTTCGCATCAGTTGCGGCAAGCGCAAACTCCACAGCCACTTCATTCTTGCCCGCCAAGTTGGTGTTTGAGATCTCGGAGTAGGGTACTTCGAAAGCGGGTCGGTTTTGGACACTGAAGGACAGCTCGGCCTTGGTGAACTCTGCCTTGCCCCAGTTCCAGCCACGCAGGGCGTGTTCGCGGTTCTCGACATTGATGCCATACCAAATTTTGAAGGCTTTGCTCAGTCGCTCAAAGTCCTAATGTGACAGAGTCCATTAGTTCTCGTTCGCCCATCGTAGAGGGCGCTCTCTCGCGCGATCGACATACCTCTTGATCAAAACCATCCAGCTGAATCACTCCGGAAGTTCGTGACAGGATCTTCAGTTCGAATCCTTTCGCGGCGCGACTCCATTGGGCGTTGCCAATGTTACTGCTGTCGAGTGTGAAGGTGTCGCCGCCACCGGAGGGGCGCCAGCCCAGGCCGCTCTCCGCTAGCTTGCATTTCCCCGGCTGCTTCGAGAGGTCCAGGTAGACGTTGTCGAAGCTCTCCCTAAGGACTTGGTCAGCGGTGATTTGAGGTGTCGGGCTTGACGGGACGAGCTTACATGATGGAGAAGCTCTAGGGTGTAATGCGTCTGTAGCTGTGAATTGAAAGAATAATTAATTGCGGAATTGCAGGAATATGATGAATATGACGTGGAAGTGAAGCGGGGAATGGATGGCAACGGCAGGGAGGCGGGTTTGGATAGCTCTCAGATTTCTCGGGAGTCGCGTTCGGCGCGCCGCAGGGGATGCCACTTCCGCCCAGTTGGGTTTAGTTTGGTGCCTGATAAAATGGGCAGCAAACAGTCACCAGATATTTGGCAAGTGAAGGAAGGTGATTTGGTCGTCTCGTCTGAAAGATTTTTTAAACATATTTGACGACTAGTTTGAACTCCTATTAATCAAGCGGATTACTTCATTTATGATTACAAAATACTCAAGTGGGATATTGTTAGTCAATGTATCATTTAAGATGGTAGACAATGATATATTTTGAACAACCAAGCTACCAGGAAATACAGTACAGTCTGTGCACTCCCCTTACACCCAGCGTCCTACAGTATGTTCAACATCTTCAGATAGAAGTCCCCCCCTCCCACTCTAGTTTATGATTAAGTAGAGAATAAAGATGACACCACCGGTAACTACTCATTAACCAAGACGCTTTATTTTATTTCTATTTTTGTTGATATATTCCCGACCAAACGATCGAAGTGTGAACTGCTGGTAGGGACGTCACGGCAGGCTGCAGAAAGCATCTGAAACATCATGATGGAAATTCTCCCTTGACCGGTCCATCCGTATGCTTGGGTGGCCTAATTAAGGTAATGAGACTCGGTAAATTGGACTGTGCAGATGAGATGAACTTCAAGTCGGCGCCATGGTGAGACGTGCTATGTTTATCGGGTTGTTTTAGGTCTCTTAAGGGCCGCCCGTATGTCCTGGGTGCTAGTGTTAGGTGTGTTGTATACTCCGTACTTGCGGCACATTGACTCCAGCCAAGGTCATAAGCCGACGAGGTATACCGTACGGAATACATATCAATAGTGCTGTCTGTAATTGCCCCCAACAGACTGCGTGTGCCATGCGTCAACCGATGGAATCGCCGTGGGCCTGGAGTTCTATATTTAAGCGACATTGGTCGTGGGGCTGGATCTTGCTCTGCGACACTTCGTTACGGCCGGCCCACTTGGTATTGGAGCTAGACGGGCTATGAAGGACTTCCTAATTTCGAGCATCAAAGATGAAAGTAGGACATTATGATGAAGAGGTAGGAGTAAGATCACCATCGAAATATTAAATATCCGTTGTCTTTAATGGCTCTATTTTCTGTACATACACCGTACGGAGTATACCGCTTACAGAAGGGATGCCAGCCTAAAGTCGAGTGCAAGGAGGTTCGGTAACTTTGGATGTAGATCCTCATTCAATTGGGAAATCAGCCGTTATCTCGACGTAAATCGAGATAGCTATCCTTTCTCCCCAGTGACTATGGACACGAACGGTATAGAAGGTTCATATTAGACGGCATTATTCGCGCGACACGAGACCATATTGTCTGGCAATTGATCGATCGCAATCCTCCAGCATTGCAGCAGCGTGGCCCGCCACCAGCATGACCCGCGATAGCATTACCCACGGGTCGGGGACCCGCAGCTGGGACGGAAGGGCGGCGATATGCGATGGTGATTGGTGGATAAGGTGGAACCTCCCTGTCGCGTAGGTTGGAAAGCGTGGCTTGGGTCGGGCCCGGCGTATCTGAGAGTGATTGGACTGTTACGAGGGCGTATTTGCGGTGTTTGGGCGTTGGCGGTTTCCTGCTTGCCCCCTTCTCCCTCTCCAATCTCGATTCAACCTTCAATCCCATCACCTCCAGTCATTCGTTGATTCTGTATTCATGCAGCGAGAGGCTTCGGTCTCGACATGCAGCTGACGTTCTTTTGCATTCCTTAGATTCTTCTTTTTTTCCATGCCACATTCCTTCTTACGTTCCTTTCGTTCGCGTTAAGAGGCCTGCGGCCTCCTGAATTCTTAACGACACTCCCTTTGTCGTCAACCCACTGTCGCTTCAACTTTCACTACCCCCTCCCCCGACTGAAGGTACGATACCACTGTTGCTTGTCGTCGCTCCCCGACTCAATGAGGGTTTCTTCATTGTACGGGCCCGCGGCGGCCGGCTTGTCGACTTTGTTTGCGCTCCTGCCCACCGCACACGCCTTGACCTTCGATGCCGTCTCGATCCCCGAAATTGACCTGTCCTCGTTGGGCCGGGTCACCATCACTGGCGACTTCGACGGCGTGTCGCTTTACGAATATAAGGGCCAGTCTGAAATCACCCAGCGCCGAGGCTCGTCCATTCTCACCCCGCTACCTAATGGCATCCTCACGAACCTCTCCTCCGCCGACGCGCAGATCCGAGACATGTGCTCCTTCACGAAGAAAGACGGTACATTCGCAGGGATATTTGTGGCAGGTAACTTCACCGGCCTGGGTGGAGTCGAATCTCGCGGCGCTGCTCTTTTCAACCCTAATACTAGCGATGTGACTGCTTTGCCTGGCCTGACGGGGTCGGTGTCGGCCGTGCTCTGTGACCAGGATACCAACCGCGTCTATGTTGGCGGAGACTTCTCGTATAAAAACACTTCGAACGCCGTCGCATGGTCTCCCGACGACGGCTGGTCCGATCTTTCTTTCGACGGTCTCAATGGCCCTGTGAACTCCATCATCAAGGGTGATGACGGCCATATCATCTTCGGAGGATCCTTTGATGGCCTTGGCAACATGACCAGCTCGTCTAATAACAAGCAGATCCTCAATCTGCAGAACGCCACCATCACGTCCGACGCCCAAACTTCTCTCAGTGGCTATGTCGATCCCCGCAATGTTATTTGCTCGACCAGCGGTGAAGCGGGCGAGGGAAAGACTTGGCTGCTTCACGACTATGCCCCTGGATACTGGCGGGCCTACTTTGGATTCACCTTCAACCCGACAAAGATTCGTCTCTACAACACCCACTTTGATGGACGTGGTACCAAGAGCTTCCTGTTCCGGGCGCTTCCCGACAACGGCATCATGAACATGACTTACACGGACGACTCCGGAAAAAAAATTAACTGCGATTCGTCCTGCCCGCTTTCTGATAGTACCAGCGAAAAGTACCGTGATTTCACGTTGGTGAACCCCGTTGGCATGCAGGGATTCCAGATTGAGGTTCTGGATTGGTACGGCCAAGGTGCAGGATTAAACGGGATTGAAGTATTCCAGGACCAGATCCTGTCTTACGCTGTTGACGCGTTTAACGAGCCCAGCTGCGCGGGTATCGAGTATCCCTCCAAGTCGACTCGCACTGGCTCTTGGACAGTCGCAGATGCTGGTTATCTGTCTGCGTCGGTGACGGACTCGGATGACACGAGCGCTTCTGTCGTCTTCTATCCCGATATCAAGGAATCTGGCAATTACACCATTCTTGTCTATACCCCTGGATGTATTCAAGACAACAGCTGCGATTCCCGTGGTATGGTCAATGTCACAGCCACCGTCGTGACTGGCACCGATGCTTCTCAGCCGTCCCCAACAACTATTTCTCAGACCAACGACGACGACAAGTACGACTTTTTGTATTCTGGCTACGTCGATGGCAGCAGTGATTCTTTCCGACCCAGCGTCACGCTTCGGCCTATCGCTGGGCAGGGAGATCTCACTGTTGTTGCATCTATGGTCCGCTTTGAGCTGCTATCCAACACCACCAGCGGTGGCCTGAATGGTCTTTACGACTATGACCCCACTTCCAAGACCGATACATCCGACCTTGATAGTTCAATTATCAACAAGGCCGGCACCTCGCTTGACAATGGTGCCATAATCATGAGTTTGGCTGAGAATGATGGTGTTATCTATGTGGCGGGCAACTTCTCCACCAAGAAGATTAACAATGTCATGTCTATTACCGATGGCAATGCTACCACAATGCAGAGTGGCGGCTTGAACTCAGAGGTGCTAGCTATGACTACCCTCGATGACGTTCTGTATGTTGGAGGCCAGTTCACCGATACTTCCGATGGCGGTGCCGACGGCCTTTACCATGTCGCTTCCTACTCCTTTTCTTCCAAGAAGTGGTCGGCCCTGGGTGATGGTTTGAATGGTCGGGTCGACGCTGTCTACCCGATCAAGCTGAACATATCGACAGCCATCAACGAGACCACTATTGCTGTCAGCGGTGACTTCAGTCAGATTCGCGCTACCAGCGACCACCCGGCTGTGTTTGTCTCTGGGTTTGCCATCTGGGTCCCTTCCAAGACGGCCTGGCTGCAGAACCTCAATGTTACTCAAATGGAGTTTGCCGGCCGGCTGACCGCAGTGACCTCTGTGAACGATACCTCCATCCTTGCAGGCAGCCTTGCTACGAATGGAATTACTGCTTCCGGCGCCGTGTCGTTGCAGAACTCCGACGACCTGAATCTGGTACCCTTGTCAATGAACACGAATCACACTCAATCCAGTACGGGCATCATCACTGGAGTCTTCGACACCGAGTCTGATCGCAACTTGACTATTGTCGGTGGCCAGTTCACTGCTCTGAGCAGCAACGGGTCAACCATCCAGAATGTGGCTTTCTTGAATGGCACCAAAGAGAACATTTTCGGTCTGCCGCAAGGTCTGGATAGTAACTCTACAGTCTACTCGATGCTTGTACATAACAACACTTTGTTTGTTGGTGGCAGCATCACTGGAACTATTGCTGGTTCCGGCGTCGCTGGTATGGTGACTTATGACTTGTCCAACAACGTGTTTGAGCAGAGCCAACCCTGGGCGCTCAATGGCAACAATGCCACAGTCAAATCCATTGCCCTTCGACCTGGCTCCTCCGAGGTCTATGTCGGCGGCAACTTTGACTATGCTGGCGCGCTCCCTTGCACTACTGTCTGTGCTTGGGATACTTCTTCCGTCAACGGATGGAGCTGGCCTGGTGCATCCATCGGCGGTACTGTGCTTTACCTCTCCTGGGCGAGCTCGAACATTTTGTATGCTGTGGGTGATATTGAAATTGGAGGCAATAAAACTGTCGTCGCCACTTTTAACCAGAAGACTTCGGTTTGGACGGCCTTGACCGGCGCGTCAACCTCTGACATTCCGGGGAATGTGACAGCATTTGCTCCTGCTAGCGATGATATTTCCAATTTCTGGCTTGGTGGCACTTCGGCCAACGGCTCGGCCTTCCTCTTGAACTACGACGGATCGAAGTTCCAATCTACGGGCTCTTTGTTCTCTAAGGGTACGACCATTCGTGGTATGGAGATTCTCCCCATCAACCAGGATCATTCATCAGTCTCTCTGTTGAAGAATGACCAGACCCTGTTGATCTTGGGTGAACTCGTCATCCCGGATTTCGGCAACGCCTCTGCGGCTCTCTATAACGGCACCGCAGTGACACCCTTCATCCTATCGTCGAAGTCCAACGGCGAGACTGGCAGCATGTCCCAGCTGTTCATGGAGAACAAGAACCCGTACACGCATCAATGTGAGTAGCCCTGACGTTTCTTCCTCTAACCCGATCATCACTGACTCTACCACAGCATCCCATCATTCCAATGGCATTGTCGTCCTAGTATCCTTCTGCTGCGCTTTGGGCTCCGTCTTCCTGATTGTTGCCGCTGGAATTATCGCGAACAAGATCCAGCGCCGCCGCCAGGGCTACAGTGCCGCACCCCAGACGTTCGGAACAGACCGACCAACCGACATGCAGCGCCTGCCGCCAGAGTACCTTTTCAACTCCCTGCGACAGCCCAACCCCGGCGCTCCAGTAATTTAATGAATGCACCTCCAACCCCTTCTCGCCTGCATAAAATTCTCTTCTCCGCCCTCTTACCTCCAAGAACGGCGTTTTTGTTTTGGTCATCTTTTTTCTTCTTGCGAAAGCAATGCCTGCTTATACCCTCTTGCAACCCTCCCTCACTTAATGTTTGAATCTTTTTTATTTTGCTAGCGCATGCCGTGTGTTTGTTCTCGCGCTGGTCTGTTTCTTCGCGACTACTCTTTGTGTGTGTGGCGGATTGTGACCTCGCCTCGTCTGCGGTCTTGTCGGTTGACCTGGTCCCGCTCGACGTGATCTATCTCCCCAGGTCCCCCTTGTGCATATGCCGCTATACATGTGTACATGTGACACCTGTATTGTAACTTAGTGAATACGTCCTGGGGACGTGGATAATACAACGATTTACCTTATTAGTCGGGATATGTGCTTCTATCTTAGTAATGTCCAATTTAGGCCAAGCATTTGGTCTGATTCCGTGGGAACCAAAAATAGATTAATCGAATTGTAAGCCGGCCTCTGTCAGCACGCGCCGGATTTACCGTGGTTCCCACCGGAGACACTGCCGTACCTGAACGCCTCTCCTACGCCGTAGCAGGAAGAACACCTAAGATTGCTCCTAACGAGAGTCTTCTCTACCGCGGCCAGGTTTAGGGCCGTGAGGTCGAGTATCTCATTCCGCCAGGGACACCTATGGGCATATCCAACGCCATCAATCACCACAATGGAAATGTACTCCCCGACCCGAACGGCTTTAAGCCTGAACGACTGCTTGATATCGAAGAGAGCCAAAGAGACCAAATGGAGGATAGTCTGACTTCGTTTTCGAAGGGCAGTCGACAGTGCCACTGATCCAGCGATTGTGACTTCGGAGACTGTCATACTTCTGCAATGGTGTACAATCTGTTCTTGAAATAAAATTATGCATCTGAGACAAGGATTATGGAGGGGCACGAAGTGGGATTTATTGCGATCAAGCAGCTCCTAAAACAGTATGTGCCCCCGCTCAACATTGTTGGCAGCCCCACCAATTGACAGGAGGAGTGACAGAACTGGATCATTCATACCGAGCTGCTCTTCTTGGTGGTGGCTTGGAAGATGGCCATTGCCAAGATCGCCACAGGGTGAAGAAGGAAGCAGGAAGGATAGCTAAGGGAGGAGCTGAATCTTCCACTCGATTTAGCAGCTTTAGAGATATCACAATTAACCAAACTTCACCCACATCGATGAGTCACTGGAGAATGTGGAATACGGGCGCTATACTTGTGATTGGTCTTGGCGTTCTGCGCGGATCCCTCGGCGACAGCGCAACTGGGCCTCCCACGCTGGAAGTCATTTTGCACCTCACCTCACCTTAAATCCGGACCTCAAATCGCACCAAAAATGACAGGAACCCAAGGGGAGAAGGATGAGGTCCGCGATGAGGTTGCGCAGCAGCTCGCACAAACCTCTTTCGCGTGCACCTCTCTCAGCCGTTTATCCGGCGGCACCGCGAATTTCGTCTATCGCGGAACTCCTCTCTCGGGACGTCCAGATTCTATCATCATCAAACATACCAAGGACTATTTGTCGTCCAATGCAAGTTTCAAGCTTGCTACTGAGAGATGTGTGAGTTGCAGCCAGCAAGATCAATGTTGGAAATACTAATTCCTAGCCAGCAATTCGAAGGAGCCATATTGGAGGCACTCGACGGTCTTCAGTCGTATGACTCTCCAGAGAACATCATGGTCAAAACTCCTAGGCTCTTCCACTTTGACCGAGAGACAAACACTCAAATCCTGGAGGATCTTCCACATTCAATCGAATTGAAAACCTACCTTATCTCGGATGTCTCTCGTGGCATGTCAAAGACTTCGGCACGAGCCCTTGGGCACAGCATCGGGTCCTGGCTGCGAGCCTTCCACGACTGGGCTGCCAAGCCAGAACAGCAAGCGATTAAAGAGGTTCTCAGCAAGAACAAAACTTTGAAAGACCTCAAGTTCTACATTAATTACACCCTGCTGTTGGAGACGATTGGTAACTTCCCGGGAGTATTAGAAGATAGTCGCGATATTTTCGGAAAAGTTCGCGATTTTGCGGCAAATGAGCTAGAGAAGACCGACCATGATGCCGAATATAATGTTATTCACGGGGATTTCTGGACTGGGAAGTACGTTGACCCGGCATCTTTTCCATTTTGACTCTAGAAGTTTCGTCAGTTCTAACTACTCTAAGTGTTCTTATTCCTAACGTTCCGCTAACCAGCGACTCAAAAACAACGCTGTTTGTTATTGACTGGGAAATGGCCCAAATTGGGAGCCGAGCGTTGGATTTGGGCCAGATGATCGCCGAGACATACGAAACGAAGCTCTTCAAAGACGTCGAATGTGGTGTGTGGGCAATAGAGGGTTTCTTGGAGGGATACGGGCCTCTGAGCGACAAGATGGCATTCCGGACAGCAATCCATGTTGGCGCTCACCTAATCTGCTTGGGGAGTCGAGTGCCGGGATGGGGTAGCCAGGAGCAAGTTGAAGAGGTTGTGAAGGTTGGGAGAGATCTTGTTGTGCAAGCATGGAAAGAAAACAAGGCATGGTTTGATGGGCACACCCTCAGATGTCTGTTTCAATGGTGAATTCGCATTATCGGATAACCAAGTTATACTTTACGCCATCAAACTCGTTGCCGTTGGATAATTCATAGAAAAGCAAGACACAGTACATATCGGACAACCTTGTGTTCAAACAGATCCCGCATGCCAGCCTCGTCGCTCCGTGCTTTGTCTGGAGGTATATGGTAAGCCTTCAGCAACATATGCCTGTGTCAGGTAGTTCTAACTTCGAAGACTTGCACTGAGCCCTGTTGGCACCCAACATATTGCTTTGGTGCGCCTTATGTCTGCAACGAATCGGTCGGAAATACTGCCACTGCGGGAGCACTCGCACATACGGCATTGCTGAAGGATTCGCAGGTTGCGAACATAAACAGTATGCCCATTTAGATTTTATCTCTACACGGCTGTTGCTCTGAGCTAGAACAATTGTTGCTGTCATGGTCAGAGATTGACCATACATTTGACAAAGAAGCTCGACGGACTGCAATCAGAGAACGTCCCTGCTCCAATTATTCCCCGGTGTCGAGTATAACTTTACACTGCGGGGAAACATAAACAACCCTTATGAAGACATGAGATTAATTATGATACTCATAAAGTCTCATGCTAGGTCATCTCAGTGCTTCTCTCTGGGTCTGAAAGTCAACGCTACCCCGTAATATCCTGTCTCGAGCAGCATGAATTAACAATTAGTTAACAATTATACTGCCGGATACCCGGTTGATTTCACTCGTTTGTCGCTGGTCTGGAGGTCATAAGGTTCTTGATTTCCACTCTTCTTGCCTTTCCCCGCTTCGTTAGGTAAATTGCTAATCTGTACTAGCCCTGACTAAATATTGGTTGTGGATATCCCTAGTGTCGCAGATTAATATCTCAAGGGAGGGAAGCCTGAATGAACGCACTCATAGACTGTATGTTTATGAGGGGTGGTAATTAGGCCATACTATTTACACGACATAATTATATGACATGTTTATTCTAATGGTTGCTCTGGGTCTACCAAAGACCTATGATTTCGCCGGGAAGGTGCGAATTGTCACTGGTTGCTAGCTTACGTTTGAATGGTAGATTCAAGGGGAGCTTGTTCAATGGCGCGATCATCCAGATGATTCATGCCGACCGAACAGCTTTAGAGGCGGACACGTTGGAAGAACAAAACACGACGATTCCCAACTCATATGCAACTCAGTGGAGATAGAAAGTAGAATGTCAGTGACTTGTAGCTGTTTGAAGAAGAAAGGAGTCAACAAGTGTAGGGGCAAGCTCCCGACCGAGTGGAGCAAGGCAGACGGAGAAATCAGTGGGGCCAATCCTCCATTCTCCCCCAGGTCACCTGCCCTCCCCGCAAGTCTCCAGGTTACTTCTTTTCCGCCCGGGGTCTTCCCCCAACGATGTAGCGCCTGCGCCTTCGCCCGGCATGCGCTCCCGAACTGGCTGGTAAGTCCTTGCATGCGCCCAAGAGGAAGTCAATACCGCTAACGCCTGTCTGATCCTTGCCCAGCTTGACATGTCGGACTCGCAAGCTCAAATGTACAGGGCCCCAGGCCGTTCCACCCCTGCGGCGAGCTGTCTTGGCTAACATGACTCGCCAGGTGACGAACAAAAACCGGTCTGCACGCAATGTCGCAAAGGTGGTCGAGAATGTCGGCCCAGCGAGGGCATCGTTTTTCGCCATCAGCAGAACGCGTCGATGAATAATAGCCAACAGCAGGCACCAGAAGGGCGTGGAGATTTGAAAGGGTTCTACTCGTATAAGAACACGTTCGACAAGGATAGTGTCTGGCTAGATATCCCGAAACACGGTACGTTTTGTCTGCACTGAACCTACGACCCCCGGAAGCCTATGGGCTGATGATTTGGCAGTCATCTTCGTCGACAATTCCGACCCGTACGCCGACGACCTTGAAATCGCAGAGTCGAGCGCTGTCGCACTGGCCCAGGCCCAGAATCAGAGATGGGGTAGTGACTGCAGGGCCAGCGATGCAGATTCGCACGGCCTCGAAGCCTTGTCCGCCGTTGCGAGCCACGATCGCTTCCCATACTCCCCCATGACCCACTCCGTCTCCGACAGCGTCTCGTATCCCTCTCCGCACCGGTCGCGAAGCAGTGCGATGCCTCCTCCCACCTCACCATCGATGTCCATATCTGCCAGCAGCAATAACACAAACATCAACTTCCTCCTGAACCCGTCGCATTCCCTGTCCCCGCCCGTCGACCCTTCCATGACACCCGACCAGAGGCGTGCCTCCCTTCCATCGCGACCAGCTGCATTATCGAGATCAGCAACTGAGCAAAGAGTGGATAGCCCTGCCGAGACAGATTTCGAGGTTGCTTTCCTGTTGCGACATTATACCGAAGGCCCAGGCTTATGGTATGTATTCGCGAAACTTGATTCCTTGCTGGATCCCCAAATAACACTTTCCCCCATCCAGGATGGATCTGTTTGACTTGGGCATATATTTTGCCTCGTATGTCCCAGTACGAGCGAGGTCTAACCCCCTTCTCAAATACGCTGCTTGCGCATATGCTGCAAAGCAACTAGGCTGTGTCAAGGGTGCTAAGGCGAAGATGGGCGGAGTCTGCTCACGGCAGGCTGTTATGGAAGTGTGGCCTGATAAAGACACCGATTTCCTTTGGCACGGGGCTAAATATTATGAAAAGGCCATCCAACTGCTAATGAAAGAGTTGCAACCGGACGCAGAAGGCCCGCCTCCGCTCAGCACACCGGAAGCTTTTGGACAGTGGCAGGCAAACGAGCTCTGTGACGATGCAGAGAACCCCCGGAAGCGTCGGCGGCGTGTCTCTAATAGTAGGCTTTCGCGGGGTGTTCATTCGGATGAAGTCCTGGCGGCGACGGCTATACTGTCAGTGTATGAATTCCTCGACGCAACGGGCCCTGCGTGGAATCGTCATTTGAGCGGCGTGAAGTCTCTTCTCGATGTGGCCGAGGTGGGCATCATGCCATTGGAGCATCGGTCGTCGGATGGAAACAGCCCGTATCAATACAAGAAGTCCAGCTTGTCCAAGGCGCGCAAGGCAACGTTTTGGAACTTCGCGCGCCAGGACTATCTTGCCGCCTGTAAGTCACTCCACGGAGAATTTTCATAAACATGTCACTGACAACCACTCAGTCATCAATGAATGCCACACAAGGTTGAACACAGACGACATCGTGCTGTGGACCGAAGCCGGTTTGCAGCTCGACCACATGGGATTCGTGCAACCCAGCAACACGGGCAATGCAGGATATCCCGAAGGCAACGACGTAATGAAAGAAGACCAGATTTGCAACGCGCTTGTCTGGATCCTCTCGAAGATCGTCAATCACATAAGCTCAGGCGACAACCTCAGTCTGAACGACACCCGGTCCGTCGACAGCGAGCCCCTCGGCGTCTCCCAGCAGTTCCTCCTAGAACGATGGTACAGACTGGAAGCCGAGCTGGACGCATGGTACAACGGTCTGCCAGGCACATTCAAGCCCTGTGCGCGGATCGAGCCGTCTCGCATCGCACACTACCGCCCCGCTGACGAAGCCAAGGACCTCACCACGCTGCAGGAAATCTGGCACAGTATCCCAATGTGCGCTTCCAGCATGCAGCACTACCACATGGCGCGCATCCTGCTCCTAATCAACAAGCCGCACGAATCGACCAGCCGCCGGAGCACAATCACGCTGCGACTTCAATCGTATCGCTCCATCGAGGCTGAGATCGGGTTCCACAGCCGCGAGATCCTGGGCATCGGGCTGGCGCGGCCGGACGGCGGCGTGAGGATCAATTCATTGCAGCCGCTGTTCGTGGCGGGCCAGTGCTTGACGGATGCGCGGGAGCGTCGCACCGCCATTCGGCTGTTACGGGCTATCGAGGCGGATCTGGGCTGGGCGACTGAGTACCGTGTGCAGCAGTTGTTGAAAGAATGGGGGTGGGATGAGGCCTTTCTGCACCGGACAGCGGACACGTGAGAGGGCCCTGTGTTGATTTTCAGACCAAGACAATGTTGAAGCTCTCCTTCGAATGAGGGTACGGTCATAGGGTGGCAGCAGGACATATCCCCAAGGCTCAATTCGATTCGATCCGATTCGGTCAGTCGCGAGCAGACGGTATGGCGACATCCTCGCAGCCGATGGCCTTGGATGCCTGTCGATTGGAACACTTGCGAGTCGCGACAATCCTGCAGGATAATCTGAGCTGTTTAAAGAGAAGACAAGAACGGCTCAGAATCCATCTTGAACTCTCCAGCGAGCGAGGAAGAATCCCGCCAACCCCGCAATAGCCTCCCTAATCCATAGCCGGCGTCATAACTGACATGTTCTCTCGATATGCTCTTATTGAGTTCATTGGGGGCTGGTTTGTATTTCGGGCGTGGCATTACAATAATAGTATTGCACTTAATAGAAGCAGACGCAGAAGCGGGAGCAGAAGCGGGAGCGGGGGTGAGGAGAAAGAGCAAGCGAAAGAGAATAGGAACAAGAACGAGAACAGGCCAAAGTTCGGGCTCAACTTTGAAATAATTAGATACCGAAAGCGAGAATTTCCTGCAGACAAAGCGTGCTCGGTTTAGTTTCCTCTGGTAGGTGGTTGTTGCATCACTTCCGAGCCGTCGGCCCGTGAAACCAGTTTAACTACTGGCCGTAACTAGTTATGTACATGCCCTAGTGAACCAGGTTAGTCTGGCGAGTGGGGCTTTCCAGTTTGAGCTGCTGTCGCTGTGACGAAAGCGCTCAGACTAAGTTGGACGTTCATAGTACGGCTCACGAGGTGAATAGGCGTCTCGGACGGTTGATTTCCAGTGGCTTACTGATACTGTAACTATGGGAACCGATACCGCCATATCTAGAGTACCCATTGTTAGCTAAATCATACCCAAAGAAGCCTTTTGTGATGGAGAATGGGAGCTACTAGCAGGCGCACGATTGGATATTCTAAGACCAGGGGCTGAGGTCGCTATCATCAAGGCCGGCCAATTCATAGCAGGTCGTTGTGATTACTACTGACTGCGGCTATCGGTAGTGCAAAGGCACTTGATGGAAGGGTGAACTGCGCAGCGGTGAGGTGAGGTGAGAAATAGATCAGATGAACAACAGGCCCTCCATCAACGGGCCTGGGGACTTAGTGCAGTGGTATGCTTAGATGCATCGTCAAACACTCTCCGGAACATCAACCAAGAGAGTCCTAATAGGTAGCCTGTGTGATCCACTCCACAAAGTCGTCTTCAAGCATGCATGTATAGTTCTACCTAATCGGGCCGGCTTCCATTAATACCCCCCCTTCTCTGTGGCCTGTTCACTTTTCTTAGTCTACTCTACTTGTTTCTATTTCCTTAGCAATGGGTTATCCATTGTGCTTGGCGGTGTTTAGTGGTGTAGTTATCTATTACTTTTACTAGTTAGATACTGCGAGTCTTTATAGGGGAAATATTCACAGTCAAGTCTCTTGAAGGATAAAGGTTAGTGGAATATGTCGAGCTGAAATAGGGCAAATAACAACTAGGCCAAAAATGCATTATCGGGTACATTCTTAGTCTATACGAGCAGTTCCCAGTTCGACAGAATACATACCCGACTATAGGTATCAATTTTGGCAATACCCCAAATAGCAAGGTGAGCAGCTAAATATGACAGGAGACACGCTACCCACACACCTAAATCGGTGCATTAAACATGTGCGATGTGTGGTCACTCCGTGATGCAAATTTATCCGCAAAATCCGATCTACAACTCCACACATCATATGTATGCTAGGTAATAAACCAACATACGGAGTAACCACACTATTGGTACTGTAAAAACACCATTTCTTTTCGCACCACATGTACTCGATGTTTCCCCCTCCCAATCCGTTCAGGCAACAAACCCGCGGGGTGGACTCGCCAACTCTTCCCTCATCCTCACCGCCGCACCCACGTCCCCACTGATAGGCGGCCGCCCCCCCCAAGGCAGCGGAAGGTATCCCGAAACGGCTCAGTCTTCGCGTTCTCTGCTCGCCTTAGCTGGGCAAGCCAAGGACCCACGAAGCAGCCGGGGTTACCCCAGGCTGTTCTCGATGAGGAGTCCTCAGGCACGGAAGATACTCGCTTATACCTTATAGGATATTTCATCGCTAAGGTTTAGACAGATAGGAGGGAAATTCCTAACAAAGTGTAGGAGGATAGTTAGTGTCTTAGCGTGTCTGATCTTGGATCAATCGATAGGACTGGCTGATGCAGCGTCCACTCCTCTCCTAACTAATTTATAAGACAAATTTGGTTAGCTCGGAATATCTAGGCCGTGACCCGCCAATACTAGCCATGCAGGCATAGAGACCCTCTCAGTAGGTCTCCTCGAAAGCTTATCCGTTCATTCACCTTACTTGGGTTTCTCAGTACTAGTACATACAAATATCCTACAATTCGATAATATTTTTAGATGCTCATTTAGTACATACCGCGGAGTATGTGCTAGAATTTTCATTGATACTAGTCAAAATGGGTATAAGGGTCTAGAACTATAAGACTGGACGATTGGATTGTTCCATAGACACAAGAAAACATTTGGATTTGGCGATTTAGGGTACAGCTAATAGGAAGAGTAAGATGACATGACAAAGCAAAGAAACCAAGTGACATGATGGGAACCACTTAGATTGCGACTGATGGATTCCTTGAGTTGTGTAAGAGGGCAAGCCCCCCGAAGCATGGCAACTAATATAGGTGATAAATATGAATCTCCCTGTTCTAGCGTAGAAATAGATCATTTCAAGCTATATAAAAAGGCAGTTGTGGGCCAGGTTGTCCTCTCGAGGACATACCGACGCACCACGTTCAACCGTGCGCGGTCATCACGAGCTATATCGACTGTCTGCACAGTTCCTTTGAGTCAAATGATAAGAGAGCTGTGGGCTGTAGATGTAGATGTAACGTATACTCATACTGAGCAAAGTTATACCTGCTATATTTATCAGGGATTCCAATTTGTGTTGGATGAGTGGCCAACGGCCATGAAGCGGTTGCGTTAGTCATGGTTACATTAGTAGTGGTAGTGGCTGCGATGGTAGAAGTGGAGCTAGATATATTCCCAGAACCCCGTGTGCAGTCCGACGAGATAGCCGAGTTCCGAGCGTGGAATCTGGCTTCCGTGGTGCCGGATTTTGCTTCAAAATTTACGCAAATATCGGTTGGTATACCAAAGAATGAACTGAGTGGCAGGAGGGGCGATCAAATATTACCCGACGCAACGTAGTAGGCATTGCATATCGCCGACATTTCCGTCTGTATCATCGCACCAGGAGTGTCGGCTGCCTGTATCGAGGAACCGGGAACCGGTGATGGTAGTGGTAGCATTGCTTCTGGGCTTGCCTACGCCCACCCTGAACACGGTCGCCGACCAGGCGGATGTGCTAGATGCAGGCTGCAGCGAGCAGGCCGGTGTGGGCGAGGGTGCAGGTGCTGATATGTCGACACGCGCGCGGAGCGCAACACTGCTGCACCTGGATTGGCCGTTGAATTTCTGGGCGCAGCGTGCTTGTGCCGCTAGCAAGGGATTTTATGTTTGGGAGGACAGCGCAGTTTAGCAGGGACTCAACGAGGTGATGACCATGCCCGGTGGGAGTGTCTGACGGGTCTTCGAGCACTGCGCGGGATGGCTGGCTGGAGCGGGTGGTGTTGGTGACCAGTGTGATGAGCACAACGCGGGGGAACGATTAATATGCCCCGAAAGTATTTTGCTGGATAATCGATGATAAGATTGACGAGCTGCGCGTGTCTGCATCACATCTGATTTGCGCAAGTCACGGATTCCCCGATCTGGTACTGTGGTTTATACTATAAATAGCGTGTATAGGCTGAGCAGCCCACAAGCCCGGGATCGGACGGGGTTGATAGGACAGTTATACGGAGCACATCCCAGGGCGCACAGCCCTGCGAGCCGGGATGCCCTTCGTTGAGAAAAGCAGTCCAGAACATCCAGACTCGACTGATCAGGTGCCATCCATGCTTTGGCCCTGCCACAACGTCAGAAAAGGTCCGCTTTCGCAGTCATTGGCTGTGTGCGCAACGAATGCCGAGGGCGATCACAGTAAGAGCCGAACTGGCGGTGGTGATTGGGCCGTTTGGCGCGAGGCGCACCGGGTAGCATGCCGGGCACTGGCCACTCTGCAGCTGCACAGCAGTGATGGATTTCGAAGGAGTCGTGAAAGTTGCTGATGTGGGCTGATTCATGGATCGAGGGGGTGAGGTCTGGCCGCCAGTCGATCGAACTAGAGGGCGGCGCTGGGGTGGCGGCAGTCGAGGAGTTGAGGGTTGACGAGGGTATCGGCCGGGTTGTGATTGCACGGGATGAGGATGGTACCGTCACGTTCCTGATGGTACTGTACGTATATTAATATCATAACATGAGTACATCCTGTTGTTCGGCAGTTGAGTGACCATGATGATCATGATAATTCCGATCATCCCACCATCGCCATAGACGTTCTATCGGCCCTTAGGCTCAACAAAGACTTCGGAAGTAACCGCAACTCTTGTTCCTCCTGTTCGACAAAGGTAGTCCCCAAAAGGGATCTAAATCTCCGAACCCCTTAGAGTAGCTAACGGCAGGGCCTGCTGCTAAGTATTTAGCGTGCCTCGTCACCCTGGCCTCCTCCTTTCCTCTTTTCACCTTAACGAGGCTGAAAGTGGGGCCTGAGGAGCGACGAAAAGACACCAAGTTCGCTCTAGACTTGTGAGGACGGGACCCGCACCAGAGCCAGGGGGGTGGGTCGAGCAGAGACAGCAGGGATGAACATTAGCATTGCCACCGTTGCGGTTGACTATGGCTATTGTTGACTAGTTTAACTGGTCGTGGCCAGGGGGTCGTTGCTTTTTTTTCTTCTCTCGTAGCTGGTTCCCCCGGTCGCAATGCGCGTCATTGACGGTCATACAGTCTCTCACTTGCGGTCCGGAGCAACTACGGAGCATATCCAACTGCGATACAACTGTTATACGCCTTCTCTGTGGGGTTCCTCCTTCCCGGGGGCGACTTTGGTTCTCCTGAAGGAGTATACTGGATAGATACGGGACATCCTTTACCCCCTCAGAACGTGGCCTAAACGTGGTTCCACGATCCGCGGGCCCATTGCGCTTGGCAGCCTTCCAGAACTATTTGCGACCGTGAGACGCTGCCGTGAAAGTTAGTCCGCTACCAGTTTCTCTGGTTCACAAGAATGGGGACCACGGCAAGTGATCCCAGTGCAGCGCTGAGCCTTACTGGATGAGGGCCGTGGCATGGAGATCACTGCCCGGTGGAGTTCGCTTCCAGAGGTTCAACCCTAAATCCTGTCCATCCTCACGAGCTAGTCGTAGAATACAGTAGTCAGATACAGTTTGTACAGTACGATCATTGGCAGCCTAACAGTACCAAGTACCATACCTGTATGCCTCCTGTGAAGTGCAGTACCACGGCCAGGCCCAAAGCCAACGTGACTTCGCCTCTCGTTAGCTACCGTTGCAGGCCCCAAGTTACTAGTTCACTAGTTCACTAGTTCACTCACCACTTACACCCACCCGCCTGGTTGAGCCGGGCTGACCCCGGAACTAAAGCCTGACCCGCCAAGCACCGTCGGAATTGAGTTCATGGAGGGGACCGTGTGTAACTTCACCTGCCAATCGCCTCTGCGCCGCCGCGACCATCCCGTCTGCTCGTGGAAGCTGAGAACGGGCCCTGCCCCTGTACTCTGTACTGGGCCCTGCCTGGTCCCCGTCCACCCCAACGGAGTTACGGTACATGATTCTGTCCTCCACCCGGCGCTTCTGCAGTGGGATTCGCCTCTATACCCGACCCACCCCTGCTGCTTTGGACTACTGCTCTTCACCCCCAAGTATGGTACGCTAAATACTAAATCCAAGTCCCATCTCCGTATTGGATCCACCCCTCTCTCCACCAGTGACTCCTCCCCCCTCCTCTTGGATCGAGTCTGGTGCTACTCCGTATGTATACCGGGGTGGTGCCCACTCTAGCGTGATTCTTTTCCTCTTCCCTCTTCGATTTCGATATCCCAGATCCCCCTCGACATTCCTTTGCAGCGCGACAGTGCGCGGTCTCGTCGCGCTGGCGCGTTAGATACCCGCAACCTGGGGATATGCCGGTTTGGCTTGACTACTAGCCATCATGGTGACTGCGAATGGATACTGTCCTAGCCCGTTCCTCCAGGAGTCTCTCTTTCCGGAGAAAGGTGGATGTATGTTTCTTCCTGCAACAAACCACGTTGAGACGGTTCGTTGACGAGTGCTATAGTTATTGATGGACGATTTTGCGAGACCATCCCCGGCCTCGGTCCCAATGGGACCGCGGTGTCATGCTGCTTGCCTTGCCCGCTCTCCGACTGGCGATACGCGGATAGTCAGTGACTTCCCATGTGGACGGGGAGTATCAAGGCTAACCTTTTTCTAGATACCGCGAAGCGAGTCGACGTCGCTAGCTGGATCAGTGTCGCCATTCTCCCTCTCTGCGTCTTCCTTCTCGTCTCGTACGCCGTTCTCCCCGTCAAATGGACCAACCGCCACTACTTGAGTATCTGCTTTACGCTGGGTATCTGCTGCATGGAGGCAAGTTCGCCATCGAGCCAGGGAGAGGGGAAGCAAGCAGGAAGAAGCATCACTAACTGGATTCCCCATAGATTGCGTTCATTATCCCCCTTGGAACCAACCCCGCGCAATGCCATAACGCCATTACGCCTAATGATATGTACTCTAACCTCTCCTGCGCCTTCTCGGGCGCCTTCCTGCTCTTTGGCGGATGGCTCGTGGTCATGTGGAGTTTCATCCGCACCATCGCCTTCCACCTGCAAGTGTGCTGGGAGTTCGTGCTCGGCCCCAAGTTCATGTGGGGGGCATTCCTCGCCGGCTTCGGGATCCCCGCCGTCGCCATGACCGTCATGCTCATCCTCACCGGCGTGTCGTTCCGCTTTGGCGAGATCTGCCACATCAACATCAAGTACGGCGCCCAGGACTACTGGTACCCGCTCATTTCATTCGCGGCCGCTGCGCTCGTTCTGCAGCTGGCCACGATGGCCTACTGCATGCATATCTACCTGCGCTCGCTGTTCGACAAATCCGCCTCGACCACCGACAACAGCTCCGGCCTGCCCAGCTACACGAGCAGCGTGCGCACCGTCACCGCACGCCAGGCTTACCGCCGTGTGCGCCGCGTCATACAGCTTCAATGGCGCGGTGCCGCCCTCGTCCTGATCATCCTCGGCAACGTCATCTTCTTCGCTGTCGTCTTCATCGACCTCGATCGCAACGTCAAGCCGACACCAACCAACATCGCCAAGGCCTCGCAATGGATCATGTGCCTCGCCACGGGCGGTGGCAAGGAGGCCTGCGAGCGATATGCCTCCGGTCTTGGCCCCAACGAACCCACCCTCCTGGCAGTAGTCTACCTACTCTCCCTCGTGGGCTTCTGGAACTTCATCCTCTTCGCACGGCCATCCATGTTTGTCGGCTGGCTGGATCTCTGTCGGCGCGGGTTTTCCGCGCACCGGGAATTCGTCTCCGTCGATGCCCACCGCCACCCCGATAACAAGGGCTTCGAGATGCTCACAGCCTCCAAGACCCCCGAGCCCTACCAATACAACATGCGCTCGCCCAGCCCCAGTGCAATGATGCGCTCGCCCAGCCCTCGCGAAGCGATGCGCTCACCCAGTCCCGCGCACACCCTGGGCGGCCGTCGCAGTCCGATGGATGCGACGAGCCCGACCTTCGATCGCAGCGTGCACTTTGGCCACCAAGAGGCGCGGTATACGAGGCCGTCGATGAGCTTTAGTGGGCCGCGGCCGCCGAGCTCGTCTGCGAACGGGCGCGACTGGGATCCTTCAGCCACCTTTGCTCCTGGCCATGCACGATGACTACTCGGTGGGATCCCAGGAGCTAGCTAGGCTGTGGCGAGCGACGAGTGGGCGATGGTCGAGCGTTACGAGTTTTGATCCGGGCTTAAAAGGGCTAGAGGCCGGATCGCGTTTGAAAGGAGTCCCTACGGATGTACCTGACGGCGTATCGGCGTATCGGTGGATGAATGGATGGGAGGAAAACCAGGGAGCTGCGGCTGCCGCCTCCGCTTCTACTGCTGCTATGGCGGTTGTGTTGCTACGTGCTTTCTGCCCGGGGTTTGGTGTTAGAAAAATGTTCCATGGCGTCCAGGGACGGAAGACGGTTGTTTCTTTCCGACTCGCTAGGGCTTGGTCTTTTTTTGCCTTTCCTTTTCTTCTGTCGCTGCTTACTTCCTCGCTCGCTCCCTTGGCAGCGGCTCACAAGATCTTGCTTATAATGTCTGTCTTTTTTTTTGTTTTGCGTTCTTTGCACATGTTACAACCAGTGTATCATTACCATGCATCATCTACAATGCATAATCTGAAGAGAGTTTGAGACAAAAGAAAGGGTCATCCGTTGAGCCCCTCCGCTGCGTATACTCCCCCTGTAACCGGTATAGTACTGTAGTCTGTGCTTCGTACTTCAATCCTACGTTACCCCGTACAGAGTACAGAGAACGGAGAACGGAGTACCGTGGTTTGTACCGTAGTCTGTCCCCACCAGCCAGTCCAGTCCCCTCTCGATCTACCGTTCTCATCTTCCCATTTTCAATCCAACTGGCCCTGTCCCACCCTGACGCCAGGCGATGACGATCGCCGCGAGGGACACGAGGAAACGGCATGTCGTCCCGCAGGGTGGATTCTGCAATTCGCCCAGACCAACTTCCTACACACGCTCGGCTACTGTAGTCCAGGCAAAGAAGAGCGCCCATGATACGGCCCAATAATCCCGAATCCCCACGGCCAAGCCTTGTTACCGAGTTACCACTTGTTCGGGGCTTCTAGGAGGTAATCGTATTGTCCCACCTATTATCTTATTGTCTTCCTTTCTTCCTCCCCGGCCTGCACTGAGTCCTGTTCCCCGTGCACCCCCCAGCCACCAAACTAGCGCAACGCGTCCTGCAAGATAAAACATCTAGAACCCTTCCCAGGCCGACCCCCGCCGCCCCACCCGCACAGCCGACAGGCTCACTCGTGCTGAAACGCATGGGTGGCCAACCCGAGCGGGTTAGTGCGCCGTTCCTGCATAGGGCCTGGCGTAACAGTCAGGCTGCGGCACCGGCAGGACCTCCACGGAGTGCTGGAGGACCGGGGACGGACTATTCGTGTTTCGCGTACACGGTGCGCTAGCTAGGGTCTGTATTAGCGTGCTCCCTCCTCCTCCTCCTCCTCCCCCATCCCCCCTGGATATCAGAGATTTCGCCTGTTGGGCATTGGGCATGGGTGGATCCGGAGTTTGCTGGGCCGGGGCTCTAGAACTAGCACGCGGCTGTGCGCGTGGCAATGGAAGCTATGCTAGCGTGGTTGTGGGAGCAGGGAAGGGTTCTGGCTGTCTCGGGTCGGGAATTGGGAAATTAAATTTGGGAGATGAACAGTTCCTCGGTGTGGAATTTGGGCTTAGGGTGTTTCGAGTATGGCTGGTGCGCTCGGTAGTTAAGACATTGCGTTTTGAGGTTATACCCTGCAGGTACGGTGAGACAGTGTGGAGGACTCCTGACAGTTGGGGTCCATGGCGGGGCGATTCGAGCCAAACCTACGGAGCACGCGCATCTTGAATCAAAAATGAAGGAATGATATTATTGATAGTATTGAAGTTTATGATATTACGTCGGTTCCAGCCAACAACCGCCATGAACCGGTTCGAACCAGCCCATCAACAACTCCACAGGAACCCTTTGACGAAGACCATGGCTTTTCCTCGTCCATGATCCAGGCCCATGGCCCATTTTCCGGCCCATTTTCCGGTCCATTGCCCGGCCCACTCTCCGGATTATTCCCCGAATGGCCCCATGGGGGAAAACGATCCCAGCCCCCAAACCCCAGGCTTGTGGCCAGAGAATGCCCGTTCCCGCCTTTTTGTTTTCCGACTAGGATGTCGCCGATTCCATTCTCAACCCGAGTCAAGATACCTCGTCGCCGGTCCCACGCACAAGCTTTCTCCACACATAGTTCCACTCCGCTACACTACCCGGAGTACTCTGTACTATGGAGCAGAAATGCCAGGCACATCATGACCTGCACATATACTTGCCATGGCCCAACTGGGTTCACGTTGGCATCGCCCTGGCAGGTTGGCATGTGCTTTCCGCGGATCAGCGATCGCATCGGATCGGCCGGCTTTGCGGTCCGTCCAGTCTAGACTAGACTACCCCATAACACCGTAGACGAGGGATATACTATAGATCTCTCCGTAGTCACCCCAGAATGGGCTGTGCGATGTGACTGAATCAATAGTCGCGTCCGATGCAGCAGGGATCGGGGGAACTAGCGCGCACAGGAGCTAGCGAACCTAATCCTCGTGACGCCGAGGCTCGGCAGTGGTAAGGTTGGGAACATGTGCCTTCGGTGGGGATGGATCGGTTTGATTTGCTAGATCGGCATTGTACAGGATGGGGTAGACTCCGTAGGGCATGCTTGTTTTTTGTTTTTGTAATCTCTGTTGATCCTTTAGGTTCGGACTATGTATCGGGTCCGATATTTTGTGTGGGGTATGTATTTTGCGGGGGTTGATTGTTTTTGTTTTTCAACCTTTTTTCGACAGTGTACCACGTACAGTACTGTCTTTGGAGGGATGAAGGGTAGCGAGAGGCATAAACTATCGGATAGCACTCATAATGAGACCGATGCCCGGGTGGCATCGATAGCTGAGGTATGAGTAGCGCCTCGGAAAGAGAAGATCGGACTGGTTAGTATCGGCTGATGAGCACCACAGGGTCTGGCCATGGACAAAGCCAGAGCCTAGGAATTGAGCCGTGAGAGCTGGAGGACAAACGAATTGAAAATAAACAAAATGAATATAAGTGAGCACAATCTACATTGCCGGGGTTTAGTGCCAGTGGGTCGAGCTAGGATCTCGAAAGTGCCATTGGTATCCACGAGAGAGCGCTGACTGAGAGAGGTGGACGGTTACTTTGATTGGGTTGGTCCTCGACGAAATTGAGTTCGGGGTGCTTTCTGATTCTTTGGCATTGATTAAATATGGCGCATATTCGTTGTTGATGGATTATGTATGTTGATTGTATAGATTGATACACTAAAGCTTTCCATTTCTATCGTGGCGAAGATTTATAGCGCGTCTCCTGCCCCGTGCTATCGTGCTATACTTGGAGGGCATTTAGCCGCACTTTATCTCTAGACGCATCAACCACCATGCTGATCTCCGGCCGGACCCTTTGCTCCAAAATTATATCCTCTGCCGGGTGCAAGGGCTCAGTCGCCTATGGTATAACTCCTGGGCCGAAGCCCTTACCATTGTTTCGTGCATAGGTGCCGACTGAGCTATTGATTTCGAGAGTCACGAAAAATAGCCGCAATGTTGGCAAGCAGGCGATGACGCTGCTAGAACTCTCATGAACACACCAGATGCGGGCTTCGGCAGGTCCAGAATATATATATATATATATATATATATATATATATATATATATATATATATTTTTTTGGCTCGCCGGGGCACAACCCCTATATCTCAGACGGGGAAGTGACAAAATACCCAGCAGAAATACGGCAATTACTGACAGCTGATGCGTCATTGTGGCATGCAATCCCCACATAACATGCACTGTGAGGGCCAGAATAGCGATATCCGTTCGGATGGTCCGCACCCCCGATGAACAAGCCGTTGAGGTTGATCAAGTGCCCGGCACAGTTGGATTCCAAAACTTCTTGATCAGCGTATATTGAAACAGACTCACGCAGATATCGAGATGACCCATCCGGTGACAATGCTGCCCAAAATGATCGCGGCAATTCGAAAGCCTCCCGTGGGGAAGATGCTTGCGTACACAAGCAGGATCGAGGGTTTGATGATGCCCACTGCGGTGTAGTACATGTATTGTGTGGCGGATCAGTCAATGATTACGAATTGGGGAGTCTGTGCTGTCGCGCCTTGAGGAGGATCTCGAGGTTTCCTGTGACCAGAGCGGCGGCTTGTCGGGCCATGCTGTAGTGAATCACTATGTAGTGTCAGTCCTGGACCGCGACAATTACCATCGACGTGCCTTACCAGTCAAGACGCAAACAGATACAACTGCCGTCAAGCGAGGCGCCGGTCAGATCAGGCTCTTTCATGCTCTTAAGAAAGAGAGACTCACCAACGATACCAGAATTGCAGTCATCCATCCCAGGTTGCAGCGAGGTCTGTCTTCCATCATGCTGGAAACCGCAGAGCCACAAAGACCACCCGCGAGCACCGTCGCCTGAAAAGTCCCAGTCTGGTACTCATCCTAGCGACTCCCATTGTTTGCGGGCGCCGTGCTAGTTCTTGTTTTGACCGAGCCACGCAAGACACCACAGTTGCCGAAACTTCAGGGAAAGAAGGTACGCAGAAATTCGATATTCCAGTTTACGTCTTTTCTCATTGCGAGCCTCCAGCGCTGATCCACGTGGCATTTTGCTTGTTCGCTGCTTCATACTTGCTTGTTCGGTGCGGCGATGGCTTGCACCGATCGCAGTCTCTACTCCGTACTCTGGATGTTATCCATGCGCTTTCTGGGGGAGGGCAACACGCGGATCGATGGCCGTTTCAGCGAGGGTGGAATGGTATTTATGGGACGACCTTTCGGCAATTATCCTACTGCGCCTTCCTACTGAGCGTCTAAACATTCGCGAAATAGTGTGCTGGTCCTCAATGCGCCTGTGGTATTGGCTGCCCCTCTGACTGCTGGCTTATCTGCGCATTTGCCTACTACCACAAACACCTCCGACGCCCACGACTAGTGACTGATTGTGGAATACGGAATACAATGGCTGTGACATGAGCCCATATATATGTCCTTGTGCCTGGTACAGTGGCCGTTCATTAGTATTTGGAACACAGTACTTCCGCCCACTAGCAGAAATACAAGTAGGGCATGTAGCATGTTCCAAAAACTAATGAACGCTGACTGTACATGACACACGCCTGACACGTTCGATGACATCCGCGCCTTGCTGAGCAACAGTCGGAGGATGGTCAGACTGGTCGGGTGATTATGGTGGTGTGGTGGGCAGCGTTCGTGATGCCCATGCTGGGTGGAAAGTGGCTTCCTTGGATGCTTCTCCGGGTACGTATCCTATACACCATACCTCTGCATCACTGTTCCAATCTCTCTCCTTTCTTACCTGTAACCCGTATGGACGGTAGTTAGAACCTCGGCTAACAATCAATTCCAGGATTCCGACCATGGCTACTGCTAATCCTCGCAGCAGGAAACCGCTTCTACCCCGGCATGACCCTCGAGGCGCAAGCAGCCGTCATCTCCCAGCTGAAGCCACACACTAAGAACTCCTTCCTCGAGCCCGCTATCTTCGAGCCCTGGCACGAGATGCTATCTAGGTACCTCTTCTGTGAATAGGTCCAGGGCCTGCCGCTGGCTTTCCAAGAGGGGGCTTGACGAGGCAGTGGGGAACCCGGTGAGATTCCACGCTGATGTCTCGCGCTCAGAATCCCTGAGTAAGCCGGGGGACATGACTGATGGACTTGAGCTTGCTTTAAACGTAGGGCAGGAGCAAAGTGGGAACACAGTCGAGCGATTTAAATCGCCATGGATTGGTTAGACGAGCTATGATTGCAGAATGGCGAGATTGGTTACATTGAGCTTGGTTGATGGGCTATTTACAGAGAACAATGATCTCATATAACTCGTCGCTCTCTTTAAAATTTGAGATAGAATTGGGTTGCAACTCCGGCTAACGACCACTGTACAGACTCGTGGCATATCACTCATCTTCTCTGATATTCCATCTACAAAATATTTCATAATTGATATGTTTTTAGCTTTCAGAATATGTTCTGCAGGGGATCTAAACAGAGTGGGGGAAAGGAAACACTACAAAAAGGGTAGGACAATGACGGTCTAAGCCCAGACTCTGTCTATCCACAAAAGGTACGGAGTAGACAACAAGGCAATGCCAATTCTACTCACAAGGTCCGAAAGCCAAATCAAGGTTGCTTATACAGTTGTATGGTAAAATATTTCCAAGTTGTTACCTCATATTATGGGAAGGCCAAGGCATTATGAAGAGAATAGATTCCCCATTATAACACTCTATTGCCCGCCGAAATTGATTGATCTAGATGTACAAAGCTTAAAACGCTAAGAAAAGTATTTCAATCTAATCTCACCAAGGCACTGCAGATATTAGTCATCATCTTGGTCTTGGGTTCTCTCGCGAATCAATCTAACCAGGGACCGGATTCGAAAAGACAGATTTGCTTTAGTCCGCAGCTTTGGATGCGGGTAGCTGCATATATTGCAAGGTATCTCAAACGCAATAAAAACGCACGCCGAATACCTCATGCTTTGCTTGTGGGGAGAAGAAATTATGTTTCCGATAAGCTCCAGAACTAGCGGTCAGATCTAATCTAATTTATTAGTCGAGCCGTGGCCCCTCAACTTGAGGTGGGAAGCCCGAGGAGATCCGATTCTAGAGGCGACCATTTGCGTGGCGGGAATTGAAAGAGGAAACTAAGAAAACTGCTGGGCTCCGACTTTGGGGGCGAGGTGCCTATCTGTGGCTAAGTAGTAGGGCAAGCTCTGGTCCTCAGAGCTCTACAGTGGAGATAAGCCACACCCTAGACCCCATGGCCAGATTCAACCCTCTTATGAGAGGCCAGAATAGATCATTTATCAGGTTGGCTCTGTCTATTTCTGAACTCTAAACGACTATAGTCTGTGCATCATGCGAATGACCGACGTCACCGCGGCAGAAGGCGGAGTGGGCCTTTAGCTCCCGAGCTGGAAAGCACAGGTAACACACAACTCCATCCCCGCTCCCCAGCCTCCTTCACGACCTCTTTTTTCACCTCTTTCTCTCTCCTCCTTGCTCTCTTCTCTGCTTGTGCTTGTGGCTGAAAGCAGATATTGATACACTCCAAATTCCTCCCTCTTCACTTTCTCCCTCCTACCCCCTATCCACTCCCCAACTCGGCAACCGAGTCCCACTATCCTCAATGGCGCCGCCTCCTCCCGCGACCTTGCCTCTGGTTGAGAGGCTGAAGGCCCTGGCCCAGACCCTTCAGTATGTTGTCCTTGCTGCTTCTGTGCCACATGGAAAGCTCCATCCAATGTATGAGACAGCTGTGCTAACCCGAGATATCGCTACAGGTTTGCTTGGTTCGTTGGGTACGTCAAACTCACGGGAACCACCGATGAACGCTCTTTCTGGACCTCGAGATCACTGACTTGCAATCTAGCCACCTGACACTGCTCCTCTCTGTCTGCCGCTATACCCTGTCTTTCATCCTCTTCAACTACTACTCCTCCTCGGCACGGATCGCGTATCGCCTGGCGTTCATCTCTGCGGCCGTGACCTATGGAATTGTCGTGTACAAGGGTCACTTCGCCCGGGGTGTCTCTGGAAGTGTGCCTCAGATTGTGACCAAGCTCATTTCTGATGAGAATGTGCAGTACCTGGGTGAGTTTGCCTGGCGATAAGCAATTCGGCAGTTTGCGCATGCGAAGGACATTAGCTCACTGAACACACAGGAATGGCTCTGGTCTGGCTTTACTCCCGACAACTCATTTTGGCCCTCCTCCCCTTCAGCGTGTACTCGGTCTTCCACGTTGCCACCTACAGCCGTATGTACCTGATCCCGACCCTGCAGCCCTCATCCCCCGGTGCTGCTGGCGGGGCCTCGCCCACCTCCCCCTCCGGCTCGAAGCCTGCTGGCAAGCAGAACCCCCTCTCCGAGACCATTGGCCGCTTCATCAAGCAGTACTATGATGCCAGCATGGGTGTTGTCGCTTCTCTTGAGATCCTGCTCCTCCTTCGCCTCGTCCTCTCCGCCATCACCTTCTCCAAGGGCAGCTGGGTTCTGCTGGTTGTCTACCTGGCTTTCTTCCGCGCCCGCTACGCCCAGAGCTCTTTCGTCCAGCAGGCTGTCCGCCAGCTGACCGCCCGTGCCGACGCCTCTCTCTCGCACCAGAGCACTCCCCCTCAGGTTCGTCAGGGCTGGGAGGCTTTCAAGGGCGTCGTGCGCCAGGGCTACGAGGCGACTGACATCGGCCGCTACATCTCTGGCCCTGCTGCTGCCAATAAGAAGCCCCAGTAAATGATTTGGTCCCCAGCCGGTCGACGATTTCCAGCAATTGAGCTTTAAAGCGCTTTATTGGATCTGGAGACCCGGCGTCTGGATTGATTCGTCCTGCCAGGGACAGTATCAGTACGACTAAATGAAGCGAGGTGATGAAAGTTTTATACTCCCCATCGAGGCATCCAATCGTTTGTTGATGTGGGGGCAGGAGTGTGGTGTGGGGGACGAGACTGTGGAGGGTATCTGTAGAAAAACGGCGGACGCGGAGGAATTCCGTCATGATGATGCTATACGCAACGCAATGCCCATGTCCTCTTTCTGTTTTTCTTTCTTCCTTTTTTCTTGTTTGCTTTGGTCCTAGAAATTCGCGATTGCATTGTTTCTGTATCTTTTGTTCCTGCCAACATACCTGGTTTTGGAGATTTTCGTTTTGGGGAATCTGCACTCGTGATCGCTGTCCCTCGCCGCTTTCTCGTATGTAATATCAGGGCCTGTGAATTACTAGACACGGTTAGTTTTACCGTTTCTAGATTAGCGCCCCAAGACACTGTCACATAGCCCTCCTTCACATCGCCCCGACATACTATAAAAGACATAATATTGCCCTTTCGACCTCTTTTCTTCTTCTCACCTCCCTTTAACTCCTCTATATAGGGTATCCAAGTAATATTATATAGTCCCTGGTATTATATAATTGAACTAGCAACCCTCAAAAGGACTTTCTACCAAAAAGAATATTTCTGCCAAAATATGCCAACCTTACTGCATATTCTATGTACTACCAAATATACCCAAATACAACTACTACAGACACTATATGGTACCCATGTTCTGGTAATATATGACCTCGCAGCAAGTAAGGGAACTAGCCAGCTATATGGTGTATAGTAGTCACTTTCGCACCTAGCTGGAGCCTACATATTTACATCATCTTTGATATTTGAAAAAGTGACCCGCTTTCAAACCTCGGAATGCTTTGATTGGATGAAGAAAAGAGATGTAGTTATAAAATGAAGCAGTGATTCATGATTGAAAGAAGGACACAGCCATATCTAATGGAGCCTGGGTAGTGAGTAACCTTTCTTGCGAGACTGTTTGAACAGCAAAAGCGCATTTGTGCGGTGGTCATTCGCCCTTGGAATGAGAAGCATATGAACTGTGTTGATCTAGTCTACTGGGTCTATGCGAATAAATACAGGAGCCGAGTCCTAACTAAGCGATGGGTGCGTGCAGAATCAGGCCGTGAATCCCACAGAACTGGCGAAGCTGAAATATACTGTAACCGTGCAGGGCAACTCCACTGTACTCGACAATATTTAATCTTCCTCGCCTCCCATAGCAAACATACGACTTAGTGCAGTATAACAATCGTCCCTTTCCTTGGTTAGCGGAATCGCGGTTCTGAACGTCCCATTCCCACGCTCTTTGATCGCCATAGGCCACTGCCCGCAGAAAACCCACTCTAGACTGGGTATTGTAGCCGCGTACTTCTCCGCCTGCCACAGCATGCCATTGCGGTGGGCGCGCTCCCATTCTTGATGAGGAATATCGTCATTTTCGACGTCGGCCACTTCATCCAACTCCGGCCTAGCGTGTGGATCAAACCATTCGGCATCTGGGAGGACCAGGTCCGAGTAGTACCCCTCCACGTCCGTTGTTAAATGGGTCCGGTATGTATCCCGGCATATTGCCAGCTTCTTGAGCTTCGTTAATCCCTTCAAGTTCGCTCGCAGCATTTCATGATCAACTAGCCACTGGCACCGCCATCCGATGTCCTCTCCGGCAGTAAGACACAGCTGCTCGAGCGACACGATTGTGCCGATAGCCGCGATGGACTCCTCCGCAACGGTCGCAATATGTGGTCGCGTGTTTTGTTCAAAGCCGGGACCGCTCCACGACAGAGAGAGAGAGAGGAGATTTGAGAAATTCCCCGCGGACAAAAGTGGAATGATTTGCGAATCTAGCACCGTGGGAAGGGACTGCTCTATACAAAGCTTCGGAAGATTTATGTGCTTTTCGAGGAAGCTGACGAGCGCATCGGCAGTCTTGAGATTAATGAGCGGCGGGATCACCAATATCTGAAGATCGTGCAATGGCTCGCAGTTGACGAGAACGTTCTTATCGGTATCACAGTCATAAAGTGACGGCAAGGTTAGTTGCCTGAGAGGTGCGGAAAGAAATGATGATAAGGCGGGCGGAGCAAGTTTGAGCCAGCCGAGCTTCAGCTGCCGGAGACGGGGAAAGGATATAGGTTCATCGCCGAGTGAGATGGTCTCTCTTCTGCTAGTGACCTCCATGGTGTCCAAGAACAGCGACTCAAGCGTAGGAGCACACCGCAGGAGTAGGCTTTTGAAGAAGGGGGAGATTTCTCTAGGGATGGAAAGTGCCGTATGTTCATTCTCGACATCGTCTTCATCTCGCCAAGTTAGGTGGGTGTCGATATAAAGGGAATGTAATTGCATGGCTGCGGGTGTCAAGGGAGGTTCCATGAGATAAGGTTCCTCAATAGGGACCCGGGACAGCTTGAGATGTTTGATAGACGAGTGGGCGATGACTTTGAGGAAGTGGGCGTCGACAGAAATCTGATCGTGCCATGCAATGGTCTCGAGGTGAGGCATGGCAGCGGAGATAGCCATCAGTAGAGTGGAGCGGTAGGTGAGGTATTTCTCGGTGGCCTCTTCGCGAAGTTCATTGACTCGCTCTCGGGTGTACGAATCGCGTGTGTCTCCAAAGAAGGACTCGTAAAGTTCCCGGTGGACAGATGCAACCCAGTGTCGATGAGACTTCACGGTGATTCTGCGAATGCAAGCTCCAATGGTAGGCTGAGACACAGCGCTGACTCTGGTGGCAGCTTCTTCCAGGAGAGCTCGCAGAAGACCAAAGGATTGAGGGCTATAGTCGAAGCAGATGTCGACAAATTGGCACGAGCGGGCCACCTGCCTGCAGTCGCTGTTCACCAAGGCTAGCGCAGCCAGAGTCGGCTGGTCATCGGCTATAAAATCTACTATATTGGCCAGAATTTCGGCGGGAATAGTCAGGAGCCGGCTACCTGAGATGCGCGGCTGACCCTCCATGACAGAATCGAGTAACAGAGGCCGCTTTGTATCCCTCTCTGCGCCGAACTCATCTTTACCCGGCAGCCCAAGCGTGCCCATCATGAGTGATGTGAGATCGTCCATGATGCTTGCAGGGTTAGATATCTCGTGGGAGGCTAGGAATCGGAAAGAGGCTGATTGTCACGGTGGACTTCTTGAAAACGGAATGCACCTCAGGACGACAGCAGGCGGTGGATGACCAACCACCTTTTGGGTTCGGCTGGCTCGGAATCGACCTCAAGGGCTTCTCAGAGATTTCCGTGTGACAAAGAAGCCGTTTGGCTTAGGGGCGAGAGGTCAGGATCCTCAGACCATGGGAAAGAGAAAGACAGAGAGAGCTAAATCAAGAGACGGATTGGTGTGTTATAGGATGATGAAGCTATTTACATGGGTCATGCTACCAAATCCAGTGGTGTCGGCGGTGGGCCACAGCGCTGACACCTGACGCATCAGGCCGTAAAAACCTTGCTCTCTGAATCGGAAAGGACTCAGCCAATGGAATAGATAAAACTCCCCGGACAAGGCAATCCAAGGCGTGCTGGTCTTGACCATAAAGCTGAAAGAGTTGTTGGGGTGGCTGAGCAGCAAGTCGACAGCGTGGCGGCTAAGCAGATGATCTCTGATATTTTAGCATATTCTTAAAAGCCATTTGATTAGCCACAGTGGCCCAAGCCCGGAAGTATGAAAGCCCCCGTTTTTGCAACCACCAGAAGGGCCTCAATGCACAGATGGACCACAAGCCAACCAAACCACAGACCAGTACCTCGTAAAAAGCAAGCGAAGTATTGGGGCTAACGCGGAAGGGATGGGCCGAGTCTTTGCTTCATGAAAAATCAAATAGACCTTGCTCAGTTTGTGTCCTTTAGTAGGCACTATGGTGTCTTGCAAACAGTGTTCGTTATCGTTAAGGCCTTCCTCTTGGGAGGGAGCCTCGTCCTGGGTTGGAACCTGTAGTTCCCCTGGTGGATCTTCCAAGGCAGTGGAAGATCATTTGTTAACAGGCTTCTCAACCGCATCTCCGTCACCCGCACGGCATTTCCCAACTGTCGATGCGCCAGTAGACTACTGTGACTACTATAACCTGTATAGTGCTTCGGATTTGAACCCTCTACCTCCCAGGGAGCTTGGCGTTGGGGGGCGGAAGTCTATTCGTGCTATGCGGGTCAATGAAACCCTGAGTCGTTAGTTCTTCAAGTATCCCACCAGGCTTCTATAGCTATCGTCTAATACAAAAATTATCGAACAAGTTTGTCTGCAATATGGCCGACTTTAACTTCTATAATCTGCGGATGCAAAACGCGACTCATGGGGACTGCTTGCAAGCAATCCGAGGCCAGAAGATTCCCAAGGCCCTCGGTGCCAAGGTCACCCAAAGATGCGTGATGCGTGGCATAAGATATCATCCTGGCTTCGGCGTTGAGCTCTATGGCCTTCTTCCAGAATTTACTCGCGCACTCAATACCCGAAGCATCATGAGCAACCAGATCCGGGACATAAATAATGACCGTCCCGAAACATTCCCTACAATATCTGGCATCCGCAAACCGCGTCAGAGGATTCATGTTGGGAATTGGTGCGATGCTATCCCTACATATAATACTTGGTCGGTCACGCATGCGCTGTGACAGGCTATGTGGGCCTATTTCACGAGCTTGATCTGCTCCGCGAATGCCATATCGCTGAGGAGGCACGCGAGAACCACCATAAGGCAATCTACGATGCTATTTTGAGAGCCGAAGTCAAGTATCATGCCATGGACGATTATACTCGAGAGATCTTCGATCCTATACCTGGAAACCTTAACGGCAATACAATTATACCGTTATATCACGATATTCGATTTGCGATAGGCTACTCCCCCACGCTCTACACTGGTATTCACTGGGCAATGTTCCCCGTGAGCTTTGAACTTACTGAGGATGGAAGAATGGTGAGCAGAGTAATCACAAAGAACCCAAAGAGTGGCCCTTTGTTATCAAGACCCCAGACACGGAGATTCTCCCATTGCGGTACAATCCACTGCTAAAAGATCTTCTTATCCTCACTGCAGCCTTCTAAGGTGACATTGATCGATACGTGCGCCTACGAACGCCCAGTCGTTGTACAAACCGAGCGAAGCTGTATGATTCGTGGCATCTACAATAACGCTATCTTTGCCAAATGGTGCTCGCTTCAAACGGATAAGCACTTGCAGGATGCTCCCATCAAAGCAGCTATCAACGCTCGCTTTATCATGAACGGCGACTTGTCACGAATAACCGCGGATACTCCGGATGCAGAGATACCCTATAACATATCGTGCCCGACCATCCCTCTGCCATGTGTACTCGAAGAGCTCTTCCGGCGTCAACCCAAGATGAAGAACGCTATCGCAAGAGCATCTATCCTCGCCGACTATGAGAGTGTATATGATCTTGTGGATGCAAACCCAGACACCATTCTTATGCGAGATGCTTGCGACTCCACCAATCCACATTACCTGCAAGATCTTGAAGCCAAGGTTCTCAACGTGGATGCAAAGACTTGAATCTGAAATCCATGTACAACCAAGAGCCTCGCAGGAGAGAAATGTCTGAAAAGCCAGAAATATTCTCGGGACATGCGTTGCAGATCAAGCCCGCAAGAAGAATGGGATGGAATATCGTATAACGGGTATTTGGCAAATTTCGGTCATCTCAGTTTGAGTCTAAGTGTTCCAGAATCTCTCAAGGCAGAGAGATACCCGAGATTAACGGGTTACGCTTGGACGAGCACTATGCGTCATGTGCGTCCTAACTCGCGAAGCCTTGCTCTATATACGTCTCTCAAGTGCGAGCTCGATGTTCTGTTTCTTGTAACGTAAATACTCCATGGGACACGACCGAGGGGATGAAATCCAATCCTTGACATCTTCTTTGTGCAATTTCATGGCAGTTACTCCTGGTTCGTAGGGGTTTTTGCTACTCAAGGGTTTGCGAAATCTTAAACAAAGACAAGAGTCAAAGAAAACCTAACGTTCCAACCAGTGTATTTGATTGTGCTTGGTACTCAGATGAAGGAGTAGAGAAGGAGACGTTGTGTATGAGAGGGGTTAACCTGTGAGAGTACCAAGAACCAAGGATCGCGTCGTGCGCGTTATCTTCTTCGTCAGAGCCTTAACCTATACCGATTTACGAGGCGGGAAAGAGGGGAAGAGAGGATACAGTATTCTTGTTCGTCGCTTGTAATGCGATGTTGAAATGCGTTGGGCTTCTCCGATTTTAAGAGATAGTGGCTTGAGAAGGCGGAAGACAACAACTAGATGGTAGGGGAGACAACCTTCGAAGCTGAAGAAAGCGTGTTCGACTTTCTGGGTCTTGAAAGAGTTCCTGGGCTACTATATAGGAAGAAGGAGATTGACCAGAGAACGCCGAAGCATTACATTTTAAAATCAATTTTCGAAAAGGCATCATGACCAGGGAAATGAGGCCGAGCTGCTATGATACATTTGGACTCCTTCTGCTCGAAGCAAAGTGGGAAAAAAAAAAAACTAAAGCACAAAGATTGTCACGAGCCCATTTCACCAAGCATCCACATCAAAGTTCTCCTCCCCAAAGTACGAGACCACGACTGTGCGGTCCGAGAACTTACGGCCAGCAAGCGCCTTCAGGGCGGTGGAGGCAGATTGCTCGGTGTCGAACTTCACGTAGATCTTGCCAACGCCAGCGGTCTGGCGGGTGCCGCTGGAGGGACGAGGGATCTTTAGGCTCAAGACCTTGCCGTACTTGGAGCATTCTTCCTGGACGTCCTCGAGAATCTCCTCATAGTCGTCGTTGTCGACAAGCTCGTCCACAGTAACCATGTTCAGAAGCTGCAGCACACGACCAGTCTCCATATCTTGGGAGGTGGTCTTGGCGAACATAGACATGGCATTGACACCCATGTCGAGGCCAGCAGCCTGGGTAGTGCCGATACTGGCGCGTGTGACCTTTAGGTGACGGTCACCAAGCTCCATGCCGTTGAGACCTTCGACGGCAATGGTGGTGCCCGAAGGTTCAGCGTACTCACAGAAGGCAATGCCCTGTGATGCGTTAGACATTATGCTAATAGACACTTAGAAGAAAAGAGATACTTACCCGTGACTCTTCCGTCGAGGCATCCTTAACCAGGACAAACGACTTGAGCTCACCGAAGGACTTGAGCAGCATTGTAACCGGCTCCTCGGGAATGTATGCGGGGATGTTGGAGACGCAGATCTTGTTGGGTGAATCCGGCACCTCGTTCAGAAGCACGCCTTCCTGGTATTCCTGGTCTGCACTTCCATTCGGAACAATGTAATCCTTTGGCCGGCGAACCTCCAACCCCTTCTCGCTACCCTCCACCATAGAAATACCATCAAAGGCCAAAGCAACCGTTGCGTCGTTAGGCGACTTGAATTCCAAAAGAGCGAATGACTCGTCGTCAGCGACCTGGGCGGAGATGCAAGGATCAACGCTGTGAATGACATTCAAGCCGTTCAGCTGTAGGTTGAAGAAAGACATGATGCTGTCTCCATTCGTGCCCGGAGGGATGTTGTAGACAAACAGTCGCTTGGCTTGGCGGGAGTTGGAGGGCTTGAGAGCCGTGTTCTCAGCAGAACCACCGGCAGGCGGGTTCATGAAAGCCTGCAGACGGCTAGGATCCATCGGCTGCTGTCGAGGAGCTCCGGGGAGAGGGAACATCCCCGAGAGCTTGGCTTGCTCGGCAGTGACATTCTCGTACCCTGGGGGCTTGATATCCCATTGTGTCAGGCGGCGCTTGCGCTCCAAGACCGACGGCACGTCCGTCAAGTCTGGAGTAGGCTCTTTCCTTCGTGGGGGGAAGCACTTCGCTTAGGAGCACGGTCTCCTCTTCTGTCGCCACCACCACGATCCTGCTCACGGTCCCGGCGTTCATCAGGTCCACCGGGTCCACCACGTCCACCGCGTCGGGGTCGTTCGTCAAAGAGGTCCCTTCGAGGTCTGTCATCGAAATCGCGTCGTCGACGATCGCCCCTATCTGCTCCGCGATCTCCACGGTCAGCACGGTCGCCACGGTCGCCACGGTCCCATTCACGGTCGTCTCGACGGCTGGAGTAGCGGTCCTCACGCTCACGGGCGCGGTAGTCGCGGCTTGACGAGTAGGAATTGGCCTCCTGTTCACGTCGCCCACCCCGAGCGCCGAAATGAGGCGAGCGAGATCGCCGCCTCTCTGCTCCCCTCTCCGCCCGATCCCCTCTGTCACCCCGGTCTCGATCGCGCCGCTCGTCGCGCTGAATTAGGTTAGTCGCAGCCAGACAATGGCAAAACTGTTACTTACGAAGTGATCGCGGGTGCGTCCAGAGTCTGAGAAGATTAGCAAGATTCAAGAGAGACGACCAAGGTTACTTACCTCTGGAGGAATAGGTGTCACCGTTCATGTTGAGCTTGGGGAGTGACGAAGCTCTTGCTGGTACCTCAGCGAAGGGGAAAACTGCAAGCTGCTGCTCGGGGGCGGGAGTCCCCTGACCGCCTGCTTCTTCTGCTGCTTGTGGCAGAAAAGCCTCTTATCAGCGTATCTCTTTCCGATAGACGTTCGATCACAAGCTTCTCTTCTCCTGCAGGTCAGCAATTATGACGGGTGCCTTTTCAGAATGGCGCAAGCTGCCTATAGGCTTGAGTGAATTATGTATCAATACAACTCTGCGCTGTGGCCAATCATTCCGGTAAGTCCTTTGTGAAATCATCTGTATGTCTGGTCTGACCCCTTGTAGATGGCAGAACATCCCCGATAGTGAAGAATGGCGCTGTGTGCTTTATGGCAATCTTCTATCTCTGAAACAAGACTCGTCCCATCTTTACTATCGTGACTACCGTTCACCAACTTCAACTTCGCTTCCAACCCCTCCGGCCTCCGAGACTCCCTCCCGTGCGCAATCAGACACAGAAACCGGTGACAACAAGGCGCAAATACACAGTGGTCATGACGACCATGTCCTCCGCATCATAAAACATTATCTCAATCTGTCATCCAATTTGTCCGACCTCTACGCTCAATGGTCTTCTCAAGATCCCAATTTCAAGAAGAAAGCTGCCCAATTCACGGGAATCCGGATATTGCGCCAAGATGCCTGGGAGGCCCTAGTGTCATTTATCTGCAGCAGTAACAACAATATTTCCCGTATTTCGCAAATGGTGGAAAAATTGTGTCTCAATTATGGTCCATTTGTTGCCAAGATCGGCGACCGCTCATACCATGATTTCCCTACGCCCGAGGCTTTGGCCGGTAAAGATGTGGAGAGCAACCTTCGCACTCTGGGCTTTGGGTATCGAGCGAGATATATCCACCGGACCGCTGTCATAGTGTCCCAAGAACGTGAGAAGGGATGGCTAGACGGTCTTTGCAACCCTGAATCACCAGCATTTGGCGGTGAAGCAAAAGGTGGAGATGAGATGGAACCCGAAGGGCGGCAGGGCTACCGTGATGCCCATGAGAATCTGCTTGAGCTGCAAGGCGTCGGGCCTAAAGTGGCCGACTGTGTGTGCTTGATGGGCCTGGGATGGGGGGAATCTGTTCCCGTTGACACCCATGGTAAGTACTCAAAGGACACTTCAATTGCATGCAGGTCTAACGTCCAGCAGTATGGCAAATTGCGCAACGAGACTATCGTTTCTGTAAAGGTTCTCATAAATCGCTGACCAAAGCGACCTACGATGCCGTTGGCAACCACTTCCGCAAGCTTTGGGGCCACGAAGCAGGCTGGGCCCATAGCGTGCTCTTTACGGCAGACCTGCGATCCTTTGCCGATCGACTTGCACAAACAAAGAAAGTCGCTGTGTCAGTGAAGGAGGAGGAGTCAGAGGTCAAGATCAAGACCGAAGTGACAGCTGCTGTGGCATTGACGGCGCCTAAAGAAGAGGCTGTCGCCTTCAACGTCGAGGACTCGGAGACCAAGCCTACGACGAAAGGAAGCAGAGTCAATAAACGAAAGAAGTCAGCAGACGGCATCTTGCATGCTTCTCAGACGACAGAGACCAGAAGAGTGTCCAAGCGACTACGTCGATAAGATACAACTTGAACTTTGCAGTGCACCATCCGTGGCCTGGACGCAAATCATGTACATTACAACAGCGTATAGATACGAAGCTACATAAAATACAGAAACTGTCAACGGAAGCAGCAAAAAAAGACGATTCGTTCATTGAATGCTATGCTAGGGATGTCGAAAGTCGCAATATACTGGTGAAAGCTAAGAGCACAGTCAGCATGACAGTCTCCTCATATGAATGACAAGCGTATAAAAGGTCATTGACATGATCAGAAGTCCAGTTAGATCATCGAAGACGCATCCGGAGACACGCTTCTGACATAAGAGGTACCAGAAAAATAGTAAAAAAATGTGTTTTCATCATTAAGGGGTGGTGGTGGCAGGCGAAGGGAAAAAAAAAGTAACACTGACCTTATGAAAGGGCGATCGGGAGAGAGTGTCTCGATTGGCGTGAATATAGAACGAAGTGACTCCTCACCCTCAAGTGACAGTCCAAACATCATTAATCCAGACAAGAGTCTAGGATGAAAAGCAACATTCGTGTCTATGTGTTTACCAGAGAGAGGAACGCGGAAGGCGGAACCTTTTTGAGGTTGGAAATTTCCTGCGGGAAATAAGCGAAACAAGGCACGTGACCCACACACAGCCCATCTTCATCTTCAACCATCCAACTCCACTGTCAATCTTCTCATCCACCTCGACAACCTCCGACCAGCTTTCCGTCGCCGGACCAACTTCAGCAACAATGGGTCGCCTTCACTCCAAGGGCAAGGGCATTTCGTCCTCCGCCATCCCCTACTCCCGCGCCGCCCCTGCGTGGCTCAAGACCACCCCCGACCAGGTTGTCGACCACATCTGCAAGCTGGCCAAGAAGGGTGCCACCCCCTCCCAGATCGGTGTTGTCCTCCGTGACTCCCACGGTATTGCCCAGGTCAAGATTGTGACCGGTATGGAATCCCTGTTTTGTCGCGAAAGCGATTTGTTAGACCGAGAAGAAAGTCGGGTGCTAATATTTCTGTGTGAATAGGAAACAAGATCCTCCGTATCCTCAAGTCCAGCGGTACGACTCCAATCGCCATCCCCCCATCGCTTCTATCGGATGAAGAACGAGCGCGATTGCATGAGAATATTTGACACCGCATCTTTCGGGATTCCGGAACGTAAAATTTTCGCACCGCAGTCGTCTCGAATCTTCCTCTCCGACCCATAAAAAACTCCTGGTTGCAGAAATGCACCAGCAGCTAAGCCTCTGCTTGGTCCTAGAACAAGACTGACAGAGAGATTTTGGAATACAGGCCTCGCCCCCGAGCTCCCCGAGGACCTTTACTTCCTGATCAAGAAGGTAGGCATATACTCATGCTCCTCTTCATCCTTTTCCCCCTCATTCTCACGACAGACCTGGCTAACCTGCAATGTCATTAGGCCGTCGCTGTCCGCAAGCACCTCGAGCGCAACCGCAAGGACAAGGACTCCAAGTTCCGCCTGATTCTGATCGAGTCCCGCATCCACCGTCTGTCCCGCTACTACAAGACCGTCGGTGTCCTCCCCCCACCTGGCGCTACGAGAGCGCCACCGCCTCCACCCTTGTCGCATAAGCGAAGGCGTGGTTGTTTGTGGTTATTGGAGATGGGATTGTGACGGAAAGCTGTTTCTGGCATATTATGTCGAGGCGGCTTCTCTTCCATATGTGCTAGATCCGCCCATTCAAAAAAAGAACTATTACGAGTTATACCCATGTCTTTTTTATTCCCAATTTGCGCCTGGCAAGTGCCCGTAGTGTTTTCGTGGATATTACTCCATACAGTAGTGTAAACAAATTGGAGATAGGTAGATCATTTGGTATTGCATATTTAATTATGGGTATAGTGCTCGTTTACTTCGTTGATCCGGAAGATCACCATCATGTACAGACACATTCATATTCGAGCGTCACATCACTCAGTCCTCACCTCCCGTGCGACTGCATTGCACAACTCGACCTGGACGCCGGCTCCAAGAAGGATATGAATCCACAGTCGTTGCGTATCACTCAAGCGATCGTTCTCCGACTTGACCTCTGCGAACATAACGGTCCGCTTTTCGGCATTCCATAGAAAGAGATCAGGAATTCCGCCACCGCGCTGCTGGTACTCTTGTGCCATGACCTTGCAGATGGTCGCCAGTGCTTCTCCCCGGAAGCATTGCACGATTTCAACAAGATCGTCTAACTCAAAGGACCAGTCAATGCCGATGGCACAGGGTTGGGCAGCCGATTCGCGTTCATGGATCTCGCGAATGATGCGCTCAGCGTCACCGTTGGTAATTTCCACAAGCCGGTGGTTGATTTCCGAGGCGCGCGAGGGGTAGAACACGTCTGTGTGAAGGTCTAGGGGACAGGTCTGGAACGCGGTCTGGAAGACGTTTGGGACATAAGTGAACAGGATATCGTAGAAGAGGAAGCCGAACTGTGCGAAGCGACGGTGAGCGTAGGTTCCTGCCTCGTCCATGGACGAACTTGTAAGCAAGTACTCACCAATGTTCGAACAATGCCTCCCTCCGAATGAAATCCCTTCCACCCATGATCCCGATACCAACTCAAACACATACTCTCCACCCGGCACTCCCCGCCCTCCCTTTCATCAATCCAGACCGTAGCCCTCCCCTTCTTCGGCTCCTCATCGATCTCGATGCGTATTCCCTCAACAGTCCGCTCAGCGGGTTTGCTCAGCATTATATGTCCAAAATCATGCTGCTCTCTCTTAACCACTCTAAGTGCCTTCTCAAGCTTGGTGATTCGTTTCTGGAGATCATAATGATATATCAGATGGCAAAGAGGGTCCTCGAGCCCTTCCTCGCATGTCCGCAGCGCAACTCGTTTCCAGAACTTGCGTTGCTTTTCTTCATTGCGGCCCTCGGTGGCCGTGAGTGCCCACATGTAGTGTTCCTCTAGCAAGGCTCTGCGCTGGTACCAGGCACCACGGCGGGCGGCATGGAAGAGGCGCTGAGCGAGAAGTTCGGTGAGCACTTCATGTTCGCGCTTGTGCTCTTTGAAGCGGCCAAGTGGCTGAAGGCTTTTATGAAGGATTCTCGTATACACCCAGGCAGGAGAGAAACGGCGCAGATATGCGCCCTCGCCACTTTCGTAGATCGAGTCTTCTTTCCGTTGCTCTTCTTTGACGAGCTCTTGCCACCGAGGGTGGAACTTGTCAGCCAGGTCTATGATCTGCTGCAATGACTCTGTGGTTGGGGGACCGTTAAATTCCAAGATTCTGTCGATGTCAAACTGCGTCCGGATGGCGGACTCAAATTCCAAAAGTGTTGTCCTGGAGGAGAAAATGGAATTTGATCGGCAGACGATGTACTCTGGAAAGTTTCTCCGCGAGATCTTGGCGAGAATGATGGTCGTCAATGACTTCTCTGTCCACTCTGTCGACCGATAAAAGACCAAATGCACACGCTCAAACAGACCGCGGGGCCCAGGCGTGAGTCGAATGCACTCGCCCGTGTAATCCAAAATTTTCTGCAGAAAGTGGCCATCTCTATTACCGTGTTGGTTCATGTATGGATCATCCTTGAACCCGAGACCGGATTGGGTCTGACTGGTCTCGCACAGAGCCGTCAGCAGCTCTTTCTTGTTCTTTCCCTGGGCCCTGGCTTCCTTGGCAAACCCCTTCAGTTCGTCGAGTAACAGGAGAGACGATGCTTCTTCTAGAGTGGTAATTGCTTGTGTTCCATCGGCGAACCTAAAGGTATTCCCGTCTATATCTTTGTCCTCATTTTTGGGCAAGATACGATCCCGCTGGAGATCTGTGGCTACCGCAGACAAATCGGAGATATCCGAATAATAACCCAATCGATTGATACGATGCCATGCGGAGGTTTTGCGCAGGAAGAGTCGTACATATCTAAAGCACAGTCAATGGGTGGACACGTTGAACGTTGACATCAGTTCAGAAGGGTATAAGATCATACAGGTATTGCGATTCGTAGGATAGGCCCTTCCACTCATTAAACACCTCCATTTCTGACTCATTGAACAAATGGGACTCTTCATCCAGCACTGTTTCCAGTGCCAGATTGAATGCATCCACATAAATTGAGCTCTTTCCCTTCTGCCACACGCCATCTCGCAACCGCACATGCAGTCCGGGTTGAGACTCATCGTCCTTCTCGGATTGAAGACCCTCGTACTCCTCGATTGCGTGCTCATCGTCCTGAAATACAGGAAGTGAAGTCTCCAATTCTGTCTGACTGCTTGGGATATAGTCGTTTGGCTCGTCGGCCACGGAGGCATCTGCCACGCCTGTGGAGAGACTCGGGCTCGGCGGCCGCTTCTCGCTCGGCGGGCTCTCGAGATCAGCGGCCTTTCCAGATGTCCTCCTGCGCTTGACGGAGCGCTGGGTCTCCCAATAGTGCAGCAGAGACATACTGTGGCAAGGCCATGGGGGATACCAGACAGAATACGTCCACCAAGGATATCAGAGCGCAGCCACCGGCGCGTCGAGCATCTCGCGGGAGAACACGAGATCACGTGTGCAATGTTCCCCGAGTAAGTGATAGTTTGCTATGTTTGCACCACATGTGACTGGCGCAAGAGCCGCAAGAGCCGCAAGAGCCAGGCTGCGATGAAGGGGGTCTGCCGAGCGACAGGAGAGAAATGGTACCGATTGTATAGTCCCTCTCAGCCTACTACTTGGACGTCTCTTTCCGCCATGGCTGACGCACCGGTAAGACCCGCCCCTTCGACCACCTCCCTCGCTGCGGGAAGGCAGCTTCTGGAAGCTCCACAGCTCCGCACTGCGCAACTTGGATCCAGAGAACTCAACCCAACCGTTGCACCTCCCCGGAACTCACTGATCACACCTGCATGCGGAACATTCTCCTGACCTGCTCTGTGCCTCCAAGCAGCCTCCTTCCGCGCCCTCTGCCGATCCACCTTTACCTGCGCCTGTCCCTTCAGCTCCCGCAGCTCCTCCGCCCTCAGACTCCGCCGCACCTCTACCGAAGCAAAGTACAGGCACTACAATGAGCGACATTAACGGCAGCTCGAATACACCAACCGCAGACCTGTCCAGTGCCTCTGCAACACAAGTTCGCCCTGGCGGTGCCCCGGCGCGGGTATATCTGAACGATAAGATCGTGCCGCACCTGCTGGAAGGGATGAAGTCTATTGCGCGGGACCAGTGAGTCGTGCCATGGTGATGAATGATAAGCCAGAGCTTCTAACATCCCTAATCCTAGGCCTGCAAACCCGCTCCGGGCACTGGGTGAATTCCTGATCCAGAAGAGCAATGAGGTGGAGGTTGATGCGAAGAGAGAGTCGGAATGAAGATTGTCGGTGGGTCAGAGCGATTTGTTTCTTTCGGCGTTTGTAGGCGCTCCGAGGGTTCGAGTAAGGGTTGAGGAAATGGTTGGAGTAATCCTAGTCTCCAAAAAGGAAGACCACCGCCGCGTGCTTCGGGGCCTTTCGGAAGATAGAGGGAGCTTCGAGCTACACAGTGCTTGTGATACCCCCAATTCAAAATTCAAAATTGCCTTTTGCGTCTATATGTGCCTCTACCTATGGACAAGGTGACTCTTTGGGAGAGTTGTATACGATAGGTATGATTCATACTCGGTAAGTATCGCGCAAGAACGGAGTGCATTTATGAGAAGTCACAGCAGGCCAAAAATGCCGATGTTCTGAATTGTTCAATATACTTTTGTGAAGGGTGGTCAAAATAAACCAGAGCCCGGCTAATAGATACCTCAATAAATGATGCCCGAGTATCAATTTCAGACCTAATCTGACAGGGTCGCGGTTCCTAAGGAAAGTAAGTAGAGCCCTGTGTTGGGTACTAGACCAGCTAGTCCAACCAGTGGATAGATGGAATGATGCATGCCGGACAGCTCCAAGACAGAAAGGAACCAATCGAAACAAGCTCCAGAGGCGGGGGTAATTGTTATATTGCCTAGGTCAGCGTTTGAAAACATCTTACCTTTTGAGCGTTCCGAAGCAGGGGAGCGCTCCGCAAGATTACCGGATATTAGATCGTCTGTAGCAATTATATTGGCGATACTACAAGTGCGAGACGACGGCCTTGACGAACAGAAAATGGGCGAGAACGGGGTGATGGATGAATGATGATGATGATAAGGCGACATTATAGAAACTTGTCGAATACAGACCGAGCCGTTACTGAAGAGCTGGAGAGTGTGTGGTGTGCATAAGGCGAACAGTTTGACCGAAGGTGCTGACCCCAATAGACAACCGAATTACAGCGATAATTGTTTTCTTCCTTGCCGCTAGAGTTTCCCGAGTTGCGTCGCGAACAGAAAAAAGGAGACATATCATCTTTGCGACCGAGAGATGACGACATGATTGTGATTGACCGGTGAATAGTTGCCGAGTCGGTCGCAGCAGGGCCGATAGAGCTCCGATTATCGTTTGAGACGTGACGTGAAAAAAAAAGCAAAAAAAGACACAAAAGATAACGACGCCCGTGGCCCGTCGCTCAGATCCCACATTAAAACAATTTCAGAATGGAAGAAGGAAAAACAGGGGCATAGGGAGGGGAGGGAAGGATGAGAGAGAAGGGGCAAGGGAACATTCAGCCATCAGCAGAAAGAGATATCAATGAACTGAAATCTCCTCTTTTGGTTCGAGCGCGAGGGAATACATTACCTGCTGCCGTAACGCTCCTCGCCACCACGGCCCTCGTAGGAGCGACCACCACCGGAGTATGGCTCACGAGGCTCGCGAGGGGGAGCAGCCTCGTAGCTGGGAGGGTTGGCATCACGGTCGTAGTAGCTGCGGCCTTCATCACCACCAGCACTGGCACCAGCACTGGCAGCACCACCGGCGCCACTACCACCACCACCACCACCACCACCACTGCGGCGGTCCTCACCACCACGACGATCATCGCGGCTGTAACGGTCAGCATAGCGGTCGGGGCCACCAGCGCCGCCGCCGCCACGGTAACCATGGTCGTCACGAGAATCACGACGGTAGTCACGGCCACCACCATAGTCGCGACGGTAGCCACCGTCACCACGGCCATAGTCGCGTCCACCATAGTCGCGGCGCTCGTTATAGGAGTCGTAGCGACCGGAGCCGGAGCCGGAGCGGTAGTAGTCGTCGTCGCGGCGACGCCAGCCGCCGCCACCACCACCACCACCACCACCAGGGCCACGGCGATCATCATAGCGGTCTCCGCGACGGGGCGGGCCACGGCCATCCTCTGCAAAGAAGAAAAATTAGCTTTCATCGGAGGGAAAAACGCCAGGGGGAAAAAGAAGAAAAAATGAGGGGAAAAAAAAAAGCTTACCACGCTTGGGGGGACCGAAGTATTTGCCGGGAGTAGGGGTACGGGGGCGGCTGCGGCGCGCCTTCTCGATGCTGAGGGTGCGGCCCTCGATGACTTCACCTTGGAGGCCCTCCTTGGCAGCGTCGGCCTGGTCGGCAGTGCTCATGTTGACAAAACCGAAGCCACGCGACTCCTTGGAATGGGGATCAAGCATGATGGAGCAGTTCTCCACATCGCCGTACTTCTCGAACAGACGCGAAATATCGGACTCGGTCAGACGCGGGTGGATGCCGGTGACGAACAGGTTGGAGCCGCTGTTCTGGGCGCCCTCCTCATCTTCTTCTTCCACCAAATGGGCCTTGCGCAGCGGGCCAGGTCGGCTGAAAGCGAGTTAGTTGGAGTCGGAGGTGTGGAGTCGTTGCACATTATTACCTGTCCTCAGCGCGGCCGTTGGGGGAACGGCTGCGAGCGCGGTCGCCACGGGGCTCATCGCGAGGAGAGGCGCTGCGGTCGCGCTCGTACCGGGGCTCGTCTACACGGCAAATTAATCACCTGGTCAAAAGGTGGACGCGTAGTGGAGATGAAATCACTTACCAGGGTAACGGCCGTTGTCGTTGTCGTAATCAGCCATGATGGTCAGAGGCAAATGGATGGATGGAGAAGGGAAGAGGAAGGAAGAGAAATCAAAACTGATAAGAGAGGAGCGGGCGCTAAGCTCCGGAAAGGAACAACACACCCGAGTGCAGCTTCAAGGCAACCACGAGGGCAAAGGACAAGAAACAAGAACAGAAAAGGACCCGACGATCGAAGAGATGATGATTTACTCGAGAGTGAAAGACGAAAAGCGAAAGGGAAGAGGAAGGGCGTGGAATGAAAAGTTGGGGCCAGGGGGAGGTGGACAGCAACGCAAGGTGCCAAGACTGCGCTGCGTATATCCGGCAACGTGACTTCGTACTTTGGGAACATGTAGGCAAACTACGCTTCTTTTATACCTTTCGGAACAAATGTCACATGCATTGAAGTAAACCAAGGTACGAGGGGATGCTTCCTGTCGCATATTAAACTACCCTGCCAGCAACCCAAAATGAAAGAGAAAATTACCAATCTCCGAAACTCCTGCCTGCGCCTAGTGCTTGCTCATAAACATCCATGGGTTACTTGAAGCGCCCGCGACGTGTCCGCCGGACATCCTTCTGTGCTCTGCTTGCGTTTGCTGGTGCATTCCTTGCAGTCGGGTCCAATTCATCATCGACCAGATCCTTCAGTTCGTCCTCGTCCAATTCACTCAGCTCCTCGCTCATCCCACGCATAACATCTCGTCCTGTCCAGCGCTCCTCGTGAATAGTTGTGCCGATGGGGTCAAAGGGCTGCATGTACCATTGAATGCCGCCCTGTGCCAACGGCAGCTGCTGGTCCTCTTCGGTCAACACTGGGGTCGGGTGGCGGTGATAGGTTACATTGATATTAGGCTTGCTTTCATTGGCAGGAGCGGCCTCTTCGCCAGTAGCCTCGAGAGTAAGTTCCTCACCGGCGTTAGTGTCGTCGGCCGGCTGAGAGCCCGCCGGTGCCTCTGTGGTTTCCCCTGAAGATTCAACACCTTCCATGGGCTCGGATCTGGTATCAGGCTCGCCAACTTCAAGCTCGGTCTCCCCTTCGAATTCAATAGAATCTCGACGGGACATCACGCTGTGGTCGAGGATCACGTCAAGCTCCTTAAGCTCTTTCTCGAATGGTTTGCGGTTCAACTCGCTCTCCTTCCGAATCGCATCCTCCAAAGCTGGCTGGATAGCCTTGATGATTCTCTTGGCCAGCTTTCGCTTCTCACGCTGCTCCAAAGTGAGCTCGGGAGCACGTCCACTAATCTGCTCTTGCAGCGCCGCAGTATCCCCAGCAGGAGCGACGCCAATCTCCGAAGTGAATAGGCTTGCCAAATCGGCAGAGAATGACGCAACTGATGGATAGAACCGTTCTTCAAGCCGCTTCCGGATTGAGAGCATGCCAGCAGTAAATGTACCCTTACTGTCCAGACTGTACTCGAGTTAGCGGATTCCAAAAGAATAGACCAGTATCAGAGATATGACTTACACTTGCGCTTTCTCAAAGATGGGCCAGAGTAATGGGAAAATAGGGAAATAGACAATGTCAACGATGCTGCGAAGCGTCTCCGCATCCTTGAGCTTTTCCTTTTCGCGCTTCTTCACTTCATCGCACAGCATCCTCAGTCGGTCAAGGTCCTTGAAGAGCCGTTCGCCGAATTCAATGCGGCGCTGGAGGCGCTTGTGACCAGTCACACCCATTGCCACGTAGTCTCTGCGTGTCATCTCCATGGAGGAGAAGGTCTCAAGCTGCAATTGCAGCCGCTTCAAGAGTGCAGCACCTCGTCTCGCCTCTCGCTTCAGGGTCCAGTACTTGCACGCCTCCTCGGCATACTGCTTGCGGCCGCGGACGGTGAACCTTCCAAGAGCTGCAACAACAGAGTTCAAAACAACCTGAGGGATAACGGGGGCACCAGAAGGCAGTTTCCAGATGGTCTTCGGACCACGTTTCCGTTTGTTTCCGCCGACTGTCAGTGTGATGCGAGGGGTGAGGGTCCGCTCTTCTTCACCATCTTCAGCGTGTGAGGGTCCCAATGACAACGCCGCAGCCTGGCTATCACCCCACCGTCTACCTTGCATGGTGTTCCGATAGTATTCAATTGCATCGGCAGTGGCAGCATCAGTGCCGTGCTCCAATCGCCAATCTGGAGGCACATGCTTATCACAAAAGGCCTTTAGGAGATGTGAGTCCATAAGCCCATGGCCAATTTTCATCTTGAGATACAGCTGAGCCCGGCGGGCGCATGACACATGGAATGCAACAAAGCAATTCTTGTTGCTGCATTGGATCGAGGCACCCATCCTTTGCTTGCAGATATAGCAGAGCAACTTCCAGCGGCTCCGTGGCACTTTCTCAACATCGGTGACCGGCTCCATCAAAGACGGGTTCCCGATAGACACCTCCGGGATCCAAATGGAGCAAAGGAGATGAGCCCATTTAGACGACGTGGTCTGCTTGAAAGCGCCCTCGGTGTTCGGACAAAAGATGCAGTTGGTGGTTCCCCTGCCCAGAAGCTGACACTTGCGGCATAGCCACTGACCCTCCGGAATGAAGGGAACGCCATAGCACTCTTGGTGAACGGCCAAGTCACAGCCATCACAGAAGACGATCGCATTGGAGTTTTCGCAGTCGCCATCATCGCAGATAGCACATTTACTGTCCTGCTCTTCGCCAGGCCCGGCAGTTTCACCATTTACCGCAGCGGCAGAGCTGGAGCGTGGGCGATGGGTCTGCGGCGGCTTAGGATTTGGCTTCGGAATCCGCTTCTCCAGTGCATGCCACTCCTTCTCGATCTTGGTCATGGTGATCTCAAATATGGCAGGCTTGATGGGCTCCAGCTGATCATCTCTGCGCTTGGAATTCAAGTCATCCAGCCATTTCTCGTCCTGCTCATCCATGTCATACTCCACTCGCCCGGTAATTGCATTGACATCGCCATCTGTCACGGCGGGCTGAATGATATCCATGTCGTCTTCTTGCGCGCCCTCGGTCATGCGGATGAAACGCCTATCATGACGAAGAAACAAGTCACTCTCCTGATATCCTACGTTGGCCATCGTTCGATCCACGTAGTTCTGCTGGCCAACGCCCTTCTTTTCATAAAAGGTGAATGGATCCTTCAATCGGAAGGACGGTTTCGGCAGCGTCAACCTCTCACGAGGGTTTGGACCCGGAGGAGGTATCACCTTCGGTCCTTGTTGTGCAAGCAAAGCATTGAGAATGGCCTCGGGGCGGCGCGGCGGGCGCCCAGGTTTGCGCTTGAAAGGTATCGGAGACGCCATATCGGCAGAATAGAGAACGGGTGTACCAGAATTTTCCTGGACACTGGCGCCCGAAATCGATTCTAGGCTCAAGGTATTGGCAGCGGGATCAACCGTGTCTACCTCATCAGAAGTGAACACAGCAAGCTTGCCATCGATGTCTAGATCGGGGTGGAACTCCTCCCAACCCCGCTCCTCTCGCGGCTTGTATCCATCGCCTTGTTGCAGAGCCAGCACAGCGGCTGTGGATGAAGTGAAGCGGCCCCGATTCTCTCTCTTGTCTCGCCTCGGGCGCGTCACGGAGGGTGGTGTAGTTGGTACGGGAGGCGGTGGTGGAGGGGCGAGGGTTGGCTGCTCGATCGGCCGGCCTCGCGCGCTTGTGGAATGGTGCCGTGGTGTGCTGGATTTCTTCTTTGGCGTCGTCTCCTGCTGCGCGATGTCGACCTCGATAAACCTTCCACCACCTCCTGGTCCCCCGGGGACGTACTTGCGCTTCTTTAACGGAGGGCCCTCTTGGGAGTCCACGGCGCTGCGCGACGATTTCAAAGATGATTTCAACTGAGATCTTGACGGTCGCCCTGGTATAGAGTGCCTGGACAGAGGCGCCATCATTCCCATCAAGTTTGGGAAGCTCTGGATACTGATCGATTGGGGATTAGCAATCGACACTCAGGTTGCGCGTTCAGGGGTGGTAAGGCGCCTGGGAACCGCTCAAAAATACTGGAAGGTAAAGGACAACCAGGCGACCAGTAATAGACAACGCAGAAGAGAAGAACAAATGGGCGCCTGGTCCAGTGAGGGTGGTGGTTTCTTGAGGCGGTTCAAGTGTTTTGTTATCTGGTCAAGGCGGAGACACCCATTGGAAGCCTCAGGTGTCAATCCAACCTCTCGGCGTTCTCAGCTGTTCGGGCGTGCACAGCTTCCCCGCAAGCTCCCTGATGCTCCTTGGACCTCCCTTTGATCGTGTCCCTGAGCCTTAGCCCCTTACAGCTATTCACTACCACAATGAGCGGCTCGGGAGAAGATAGGTATGCCTCTGCAATCCAACCTCCTATCTTACACCTCTTCGATCTAATTAAGCATGCCCGTTCGTTCCAGATGGCGCGGGCCTAGTCGCCAATCCTCGCAACGCCATTCCGGCAATGGGAACCGTGATAAGACAGGTGGACAGGGGGGCCCTCGCGGCGGAAGTTCATCCTGGGGGTCTACTAGTCCAGCGCAAGACCAGCATGTGCCCGTTCGGGGATTCAATGCCGCGGAGGCCAAGACTGTTCTGAAAAAGAGTAAGCCTAGCCGGGATTGAAGAGAAGGTGATGGAAGCTGACCAAGACTTCGGTGCTGTTACAGGTCCTAATGGTATGCCTCTCACTCCGGCTCATTCTCGTCGCATGTTGTTATGCAATGATCTAATTCCATTGCCACAGAACCCAAAGCACCCTTCTACAAGCCAACCGGCAAGGACGCGAACAACCAGCGATCGGGTGGCCCGTGGGGCTCAAAGTGTACGTCCTGAGTGGTCTCTCAAGCACTGTCTCTGTTACATCCCAGACACTAATAAGTGCAGCAAACACAATGGCGAGTGGAAAGGACTTCTTTATTGAGCTCCGAAAGCAGGTCGCCTCTCTTCAGCGTGGCGGTCCTCCGGTGGGCGGCTAATCACGATGGCCATGGGTGGATTTCTTTTCTTTATCAAAAAATCTTCATTGCACAGTGTCCTAGTCATGGATTTGGCTCTTCGTCACGGTTTAGAACGGCGCATCATCGATACCCTACTCTGGAGGCTTCATGGATATGATGGGAGGGCCTATATGGAAGGATAGCTCGCAGCCCTCGGGCTGTTAACAAACATTGCATCGGCGTCTGTTTTTATGTATTCGGGACTAGATATCTTTATGTGTCATGTACCGTAGTGTATACTACAGTCTGTTTGGAAAGTCTGGCATTAGATTAGAACCCCCTACCTCTATAGCGAAGAAATTATGAATCAATTCAATATAGAGTTGAATGGCTTGGCTCAATAAACAACAAGGGTATCGCTAATATACATGTTCTTAGTATACACAGTTCACAGGGCCGATCCACCTTGAATCCACCCACTAGGGCCCAGGACTCCGCGATCTTCGGCCTGCGGGTCGAGAGTCCACCTGCGAAGAGCACGACAGCTCAGATTCGTCCGCCACCCGGCCTCAAACATCTCAATGCCAGCCCATCCTATCATAGCCGCGTTATCGGTACACAGATATGGAGGCGGTGCGAGAACCTTGATGTGTTCAAATCCACGAACGTCCAGGAACGATCGCAGAACATGCATGAGGAATTTGTTGGCTGCAACACCACCGCTCACAACCAGGGTCTTGATCTCTTCTTCATCGCGGTGTCTGAGACGGAGAGACTCGAGTGCGATGATAGTTCGCGATGACAGATGCTCGAAGCAGACGCGCATCGCTTCTCTGCCTAGATCGACCCTCTCTTCGTCAGATAAACAGCCGTCCTTGTCTTTAACGATCTTGTTGACCATGCTCGCGACAGAAGAGAAGCTGAGCTGTAGTGCCCTGGTGTTGGCGAATGGTGTGGTCACGCTCCATCCCCACTGGCTTTTGCGCTTGACCACCTCCTCTCCGCGGGTCATCGGCGGTCGATAATCAGCAAAATCGGCCCGGCCGTTGGGAAAGACGAATTGCTCCAAAGCCTTCCCGTACATGGTAGTTTTGGCCTCCTGTAGCAGAGACGGAGGCAGGATCTCCCGAGCTGCCTTATCCAATGTTTCGCCCATGGCAATATCGTCGCTGGATGCCATGATGCTGTGGTCTGTGAGAGATTTCGAATGGACGATGATCGAATGACCGCCGGAGACAAGGAGGGATAGAAACGGGAATTGCGGCGATGTAGCATTCGGTGAAGCTGAGCCATCGTTGTTCTCCAAACATGACACCAGTCGAGGAGTCAACAAGTGCGCCTGCATGTGATGAACTCCCACCATTGGAATCTGCCAAGCAACCGAGAGAGCTTTCCCAGTGTCCAGCCCAACTGACAGGTTGGAGCGCATGCCGGGGCCTCTAGTAGCGGAAATGAAGTCAGGCCGTTGGCGGATTGACCCATCCGCAAGTTCGATTGATTTAGCTCCATGATTGCTCCAGGCTGGTAGACTCTGGAGAGCTTTATTGACAAGATCGGCAAGATTTTCTTGATGGGATTCGAGGGCAAGAATCGGGTGGATGCCGCGGTGGGCTCGAGAGTCGGCAGTGATATTTTCAAGGAAGTGGATTTTGGCTTGGTCTCCTACTGAGTTATCGCCTTTCTTCTCAACGATCGCGACTGATGTGTCGTCGCTATTGCAGATAATGGGAGTTAGCACATTCGTGGAAGCACGAGCTGGGGATTGGTTCAGTACCTACCATGATGTCTCAATCGCAAGGGTGAGCAGGCCGCGTCTGTATCGCACGAACCTGTGCGATGCAATCGTTGCAGACTTGCGCAAAGTCGCAGCGGGTGCCCTTGACAAGAACATTGGTGAGCGTTAACACGATCATCGACGGACGCGCCGGCAGAAAAGATCGGAGACGCTCGGGCCCATTAAGCCCTGAAAGACTGCCCTAAACTCTACACTAAAACAGCAGTGTCTTCGAGGGCTGCAAAGAAGTTAATGTGCCAGTTATCACTAAAAGGACCGGACGACCTGCGGAAATGATCTGGTGGTCTTAATACACAAACACAAAAAGGAAGAGAAGAAACATTCATACCCGCCTATTAGGAAGGACACCACACCATCCCAATGGCCAGGGACTTCCGAATCATATCTCAAGCTAACTGAAGGTTTTGATCAGTTCGCCTTTCGCGGCCCCGTCCGCTACCGCGGAAATGAATTAGTGCTCTCTAGTTCTGTATTGTTTTATTAAATTCTTTTTTGGACGACATGCAGTTGCATATTAATGCCATAAATAGAGCTGAACGGAGAATTACAACCCAATCCTACTGTTCAACTTAGCCCTTTTCTGTTGGCTAGCTACCCTCTTCACTTCTTTACCGACCCTCGACTCCTCGAGCGTTCCCAAATTTTGCTGTGTATCCAAGCTCTGTAAAACCATGTCCATCATCCCGCCCCTCATCAACAGACTCTCATACAACATGCTCACCCAGCTTCCAATGGACTTCTTGCCCTCCGTGGGAAGACCCTTCTGGGCGTTGTACAAGGGATCGTCTTTAATACCACAATGCAGGGGTATACCTAGCTCCAAGCGCACCCAGTTATAGAGTTGTGCGGTTGTCTCGCCCAGCTGCGAGGCAACTTCCGTGGGAGAAATTGTCGCGCTGGGGTAGAAGATGTCTTTGGCAGTATTGGAAATGACGCCTTCAAAATGCATCTTAAAGGTGACGAGTGCCGAGACTGAGCACTCTTGTTTGTCCGTAGACAGAAAGTCGGTGACTGGCGACATGACGGCCTCAACCACGTGCGAGATACGCTCCTTCCATGTATTGGAGTTCCACTGATACCACGTCGTCTCGACCACGGGAAATAGCGAGGTCGCTAGTTTTGTGATCTGCGAAGCTTCCAGTCCGAGCCCATGCAAGGCACCATATTCCGTGGTGTCTTCCACCTTGTTGCGGAGCACCGAAAGGAATCGAATGTGGTTTGCACGCAATTCGACAGCCTGACACGAGACATAGAGATGACAGGCACTCATGTGTGCCAGCAGGTCCACGGCCTCCATAGTGCGCCGGGCTGATATCAAAGCTAGGGAGTTGATGCCCTGATTATGCATCTCGGCCGACATAACATGGGCGGAAACGGGATGTGCTAGAGCCGCTAGCTCAGACATGTAGGCCGACATGTTGATATCGATGCCCTTCATGGTGTAATTCTCTTGTGCACTGGCATTTAGGTTGGCCTCAATTCCGTTGTTGGTGGCAGGGTTGATTATCTCGGTAACTTGGGACCACAGCATGCGCCCAATCATCTGGATAGCCAGACGCGCTTTGTCCATGGCCGACGTGACGACAGCTGCTTGGAAATTTCCACCCGAGTACACTTCTCCACTAGAGATGCCATCTCGCTTGCTAGTGTCCACTAGAGGATTATCGGATGTGGAATTGAGCTCCACCTCTATCTGTCGTTGCGCGAGTAGAAGGTCCTCGAGGTACGGACCAATCCATTGGGGAGCTGTTCTCGTTGAGTAGCGATCTTGCCAGAGTCCATCGCCGGTCCTTTTCCTGGAATCTAAGCCAACAACAAACTTCGAGCCCTTCAGGAAGCGCCGAATATTGCTCGCCACTTCAATCTGCCCAGGATGAGGCCGAGTGGCGTGAATAAAGGGCTGAGCCCACTCGACATTTCCGCCCAGAGACTCGGCCGCAAAAGCTGTCAATATTTGAGATAACAGCGCAAGCTGCTGTGTATCATACAACACCAGACTGGCCACTGCTACAGACGGAGCAGTACCATTTATTAGGCCAAGCGCCTCTTTTGGTCCGAGCCCGGACGGCGAGAGCCCGCTTACCACTAACGCCTCTGAGGAAGTCATGACCTTGACGTTTGTGCCCTTGCCTACCTGGACATAGACATCTGGATTGCCGGTTATTGCTCCAGCAATATACGCCATGGGCATAAGGTCTCCAGAGGCAGAAATTGTCCCCCTCAGCGGAACTATAGGGGTAATGTCGTTATACAGCAGGTCAATCAGGCTCTTGATCACTGTCCTGCGGATGGCACTATGACCCCTGAGGTTCTGGTTGGCTCGAGCGACGATGGCGCCTCGAACCCAGGCAGGAGGCATGATGTGGGATGGCTCCCGCTCCCAGTTGCTTGCCGGATCCTTGTCGGCGGCGGTGATAATTCCACTCTGGATAAACTGAAGCAAATGGGTTTGTAGGTCAATGTGCTCGTTGGTCCTAGTGTCGGCACTTCCGCCGAAGCCGGTGTTGACCCCGTAGACAACCAAATTATGTGCGAGATAATCAGCCAAGGTATTAACGGAGAGATCAAGCTGCTTGAGGAGCTGTTCGTCCTGGCTGGTAGTGGGCTTGACTCCATGCCGGGCAACGGCGACGATGGAGGCAATATCGAGGCTGCTGCCGTCGAGGACAATTCTTTGCTCCTTTTTCACCAAACCCTGCAGGAGCCTCCAAATCTGCAGCGTGGCGTTCATGTGAGCCGATTGCTTGGGACTTGTCATGATGGATTAAGAGGGATTCGATCTGCTTGTGCGTCAGCTGAACTGACTTCTTCGACTGCCGTGCTCAAAAGCGGAAATGGATTTCGAGCGAGTTTAAAAGCACAACAAAAAGCAACAGCGCGCTATGAGATAAATAGAGGGAACGAAGGTCGGCCTGTTTGCCGTTCCCGTCGTATGTATTTGTGGATCCATGCAGCCCCAGGTGTTTGTGTAAACCAAGAGAGCTCCACACGAGCCAAGACGTGCCAATGACAGCACTATTAGGTTCGGCCATTCTCTATAATGAAAATTTGCCCAAATGGAGTGAAAATGATGCTAAGTGGAAACCGGCGATTCTAGCAAGTCATAGTGCAGTTCTTGACCTTCAGCCCACCTCTCCTTTTCGAGACACCAGAGTTCCCGCTAGCTTTACGCAATTTTGTGTCCAGATATTCTGAGCTTAGGACCCCATGTTTTGCCACCTCGTCTTTCAAATCTTGGTTGAAACTTGATTAGGGACGCCTAAACATTGCCCGATATCGGGATCCCTTGATAAATGATCACCAGGCTGAAGGTGGAGGTTAAAACCTGAGGGCCGCCCCACCCGCTCAGAGGTCAGTCGCGAGAGGGAGAAGGCAGGGCTAGCGCCCCCTTGCAGGATGAGATAGATCTAACGACAGATCTAACGAACCTGATCTACAGCCCACCCCGTGCGCCTGAACTATTGAATTTAAAGTAGCCTCCAATCATATGCAGAAGCCAAGCCCAGCGATAGGTCATTTTTCGACGATCCCTGCCTCTCGGGAAGAATGGTGGTAACCATAAGACGGAAATCATATCCTTGGAATATCCTTGGAATACCCTGATGCGAGAGTCCGTAATAGATGGGAGTTTGTGAAAGGGGCCGCTTACAGTAGATTCTCCACGGCGTGGGTTGTCTATGCCCTGCCAGGCCTGGTATTAGCCAAAGAAGGGAAGCCATAAATGGTTCTGAACTAGATTGCAAGACATAGGCGATTTCCCTGGCGATTAACTAAGGAATGAGACTATAAACTGGACAAATCTTTCAGGTTGATCTTCGGGTGAAAAATACCCACAATTTTCGCGTACATCCAGTTCTGACCCCGGGATTGCCCTATGAAGCTTCTGTGCCCAATCAACAGTCTGCCACTTATCATTCGCCACCCATATTGGCTTCACAGGGAAGTTTCCAAGCTCATGAAGTTGATTCGCAACTGCCATAGTATGCTGGTGATTGTAATGTCGCACCTGGTGCTGAAAGAACCTTCCTTGGTCCACGGGGCCGGATATTACTCTAGGAAGGTGTTCATGCTTGGGTCCGCGAATTCTTGCTTGTCAAGCCCTGCCGATAGCGATCACTCTTTGAAATGCGAGCGATGGTTGCATCGCTTGCCTTGGCGAGTTGTTCCAATCCCTTTTCCATTTGCCCTCTTGTTCTCCTTGAGGGGTAGCTGTCGAAGCTCACCACGTCGATCAATGTCAATGAGCGTAGTCGGTGAGAGTAGATGACCCCGAACCGCTGTGCAATGCCACCCCCAATATCATGGGCGACTAGGTGAAAAGACTCAAGACCCCAGTGCGAGAGAAGTCCTTTGGATAATAGGGACTTTAGCCGATATAGATGTGTCGACCGATGGGTCCCACGGCCGCCCTGATAGCCCGTAACCGAGAAGGTCAAAAGAGTAGACCCTAAACCTTGCCTCTGCGAGAGGTAACAAAACGTTGCGCCAGATAGCAGATGATGAGGCAGTGCCATATAGAAGAACTATAGGCTGTCCAGAACCATAAACACCATATACAATACGGTGTCCTTTGATCACCACATTCTCCGTGACAACCCGCATCTCTCGTAACTGTCTTGTATCTCCGACATGTTTGTTATCTTGAGTCTAGGACGACGCATAGTTTTTTTTATATTTGCCATCCTCTACCTGGTATACACCATTATCTACTACACGGATTCGCATGTGGAACTATTCGGTTACTGGACACTGCTTCAAAACATTTATACGGTGCACCCTGCGCTCGAATACGTTTACATATGGCTCTTATTATTCTACGGTTACTTCTGGTTTATTCTCGCTGCGATTGCCCTCTTCCTGGGCAAGTTCGTAGAACCTGAACCTACAACAGATGAAACATCCAGTGGGGATAGCGAGAATATTTCGGTTCCATGCGGTGCGCTGGGGGTTGAGCTTGTGGTCCTCTCATATTCGACACTGCAGGTTCCATTGCATGTGTGGTCCATCTTTTCCCTCAGATCAGCCAATGAGCCATCACTGATGGGTGGCATTCCAGAGCAACTTTGGGGTTTTGGACAGATTGTTGTCATGTTATTGCTTGGATCCAACATATTGGCGTTCATAGTGGAGGTGAGTACTACAAGATACACCAAATACTAGGATGTTATGCTAAACAAGACCATATAGAGTCAAATAGAGAGACCTCTTCAACCGAGGCTGATACATCTTCTAATCGCCATCGGGAATATCCTAATACTTGTGCGGCCGAAGCTGGACAGAGTCCTTCCACAATACGCAGAGGTTCTGGAACTACAGGCCTGACGACGGGCGCAGAATCCGGCGATGAATATAGAGGTGGCGTTATAGGAAGTGATACCGCAGTGATAGATAGGGGTAAATCGACTAGAGGCGTGCCAGTGGATAATGACTCGAGTCAAAGTGACGTGATAATCTGGTTCGATGCAGCTGAAGATTTAGGTACTGTTCCCGGAGAAGCTGCACCCGTTGTCCCAGAATGAGCACATCTGGGCCGAGCCACATTGCAGCAGGGCGAATATGATCATCAGTACCAGGGGCTGAGTGAAGGCCCCGAAGCCTAGGATGGAGGCCTGTGAATCGGTCCACTCCTGTTCAACGACAATGTTTTGATATCCACTTTTACGTTCCTGTGTGGCTTATACATGCCGCCTATCTTGGTCTGCCATGACTATTATGCAATCATCGGGATGAGCCATTTGCGCGGCTTTGATCAAGTCAAAAAGCAGGCCTTGCAAAGGCTTACGCACCTAGGTTAACGACGGAACGAAGCTAATGCGACTGCATAGTTTCAAATGGTAAGCCTGACTGGTATCTCTTCTTTCCACTAACAGCGTTCATTACTGTACCACTGGAACGGTTACGATCAAATTAGTGAAGCATACGGGCGGCTTTCGAATGGCAATACACGCCGAGAATATATGTCTATGCCACGAGAGAGCGTGAGGAGGTAACGACTGAATTGAGTTGAACTATTTGCTTATGCTAAATTTAGATCGTAAATCGGAGGCCCATCAACGTCGTGAATATAATCGTCGGTTCAACACACCGAGACACAGTCCTCTTCGTGGCCCTGGAATGGACCGATGCTGTGTTTACAGCAAGCTTGAGTCAACTCATACCTGTCTGAGCAGCTTGGGCTGTCGTGGGGCGGATACAGAAACATGGGACCGGTATTCGCCGAGCTGGCTCGAGGCTTGCAGCGCGCGAGCCTTGGTACGCCATCCTGGGTGATCGAGTCTTTGTTCTTGGTTGTCCAGCTTGAGGGGGATTGTCAACCTCATGAGTCATGAACAACTGTTGATCGCAATGTATTGAAAGTCCTTGTTCTTGAAGAGAAGGAAGCTTCTGGTCATGTCTGACAAGCTCACGAGGCAGTTCACTGGCGAACAGCCCATCGTCGCTCCTCCCGAGACATCTTGGTGTGCTTGCCGTAGTACTCGTCAGTGTTTTCAATTGGGGTCACACAGTGGACAGTGGGTGTGCCATTGAATTGAATCCGTTTGCTTGTGGAGCTTGCTTGCGCCGACGAGTGCTTCTTGAGGATGCTCTTAGACGAGCACGAGTTGACATAAGAGTAACTCGGCACTTGCAAAGAAGAAAAGCGCTTGGTTGCTGGACTTGCTGGCGAGATGGGAGTCCGCGGAGCAACTGGTGACCTGAGCGACAGGGACGGTCGCGGAGCGCTCTGGGTAGCAGAGATGCTCAGGGACAGCTTGGGCTTGGCGGCAGAGCGAATCATTTTGACAAGAATGAATGATCACAGAGAATGAAGATATTATAATATAGAAGACTGTGTAGGATTTTTATCTCAGGATGACTTTGATCAACAAAGGCAAACTAGGAGGCAGTATGATGAGAGAAAGGCGATTATGGACGTAGTAGACTTGAGAATATACAATCTGAGGGGGAAACAGGTTCGTTTGGACCAGCCAAGACGAAGCGCGGACGAAAATAGAAATAGAAGAAAATAGAAAATCTCAAACAACGATGCAGAAACGACGAAGAATTGGCCTGGGGGCGTGGGTGTGGGCGGCTATATACTGCGTTGCGGGCGGGGGAGAAGCAGTCGCAGCCAACCATCGCCCGGTTCCTACGCGCCCACCCCATGCAGCACAAGGCACAATCACCGTCCCCATCACGCATTAGTCCCAACCTTGCAAGGCGGGCTGGTGGTCTCCAGCCAATCAGCACACCTGGTCTTCGCAAGATTATGCTTGTCTCGAGCCCAAGAAGATGTGATAGACCGTGATGGCCAGGCGACACTGCAGACAGACGCACATACTCCTCGAGGGTCTCTCCTCAGGCTCCAACGGTGGCTGGAGAGGAGTGCCTGCCCACCATTCCCGGGCGGGAACCAAACGCATGGATCATTTCAAAATACTGCGCTCGGTCGAGAATGCCGAAGAGACGGCTGGGAGCCACCTGCAATACTGTGACTATCCCCGCGTTGTCACCAACACTAGCAATGGTCGAGGTTTGAGTGGATGTCTGAGCAAACCTTCTATCGCTTGGCATGGTATCACTATGTCTGGACCGGGCGAGAAGGTCTGAGTAAAGGCCATATACATACAGTATGGTCTGTCTCTAGATGCAGCTAATGCCATCTTCCACATTATGCTGCTGGTTTCTGCGAGCCAAGTCGAACTCACCCTCCGGACTCTTTTTTGTCTTCATGGAGATAGTGCTCTATTTGAGAACCGATTGTTCATATCTACAGGTCGTTTTTCAAAATCCTGGCAAGCATCCAACTAAAATATTGATCGTCCGCGACACCATATTTTTAGCTCCTTGTACATTGGCATCTGGCTTAAGCATGCTAGCACTTCCCCTCACACATGGTCTGTACGGAACGGGTTTAGGACCGATCCTGCAATTTGATAGACGAAAAAGAAAGGCATGGAGGCATTCAAATGTTGACCAAGATGAGGGGAGAAAAAAGAAGAAGAAGAAATGAATTTGAGAACCTGCAAAAGTAGCCACAGTAGACCATCGCAGACGGGGAAGCCTACGGCTAGGCTAGCCAGAAAGGCTGGCCAACTATGATACAAGTAAAACCCCACATGTGGAAGCACTACAAGCTAATACAGAAAGTACCTTACATAAAGGCGAGAAAGGCGGATTCGCCATGCTATCTCAAGTGGAGAAAGAAAGTGGTTCATGTTCAGTAGCTTGGGATTTACGGGAGTGGAAAACATTGATGCTATCTTGTCGTCACCAGTTTCAATCTGAATGGCCGTATCAGTTGGTCCAATACGACGGGTACTTCTATCTTCCGCACTATCTTCCGCTCTCAGACTCATCTTCCAATCTTGATTGGAGTGTCTGGATTGGTGGGCGCTGAGACCTCATCCCTGACTGATCAAGTGGACTGCAATAATCTAATTTGGTGATCGAATAGTGAAATCTACGTCTCCAGCAGCCAACCCCCAGTCACTGCTCTTGGATAGCTTGAAGATGACATGTATGGATTTGTTCGAGTGTCCAGTATGTAGATGGTACTTGCGAAGGGGGGCTTGCGTGGGCACGGGATCTACGTGGATCGGAGGCAGCCTCTCCCGAGACAGCCGGGGGTCTTAAGGCGCTTTCAGCTCTATTCCGGCCGAAAAGAGCTCCCCTCTGCTGCTTTATGGTCTGCGTTTTACCATCCGAGCTGCATTTAGCGTTTCCAATCTGCAATCCGAGATCCGGTCATCAAAGAGTTGGACATATTTCACATAGTGGGCACCGTGTGCCATGGGGATCCTGAAAGACATCCTTGAGCCTGGGGGTGAGTGAACGTCGGCAGATCCCGATGAATGAAGCAGTTTAAATTCGTCATTGTTGTCGGTAATTGCAGTATGTGGGTACAGCGATCACGGCTATATTCACTCTCGGGGCATGGATCGACCGGCACGAGCGTCTGCGCGATGACGTCGAGAATGATAGCCGTATGCCATTGTTGAAGGAGGACGACTGTGAGCAAGAGCAAGATCCAAATGAGGAATCCGAAGAGAATGAAGCAACCAATGCACCCAAATGCAGACCTCGACCTTGGCTTCATTCCCGAGTGCTGGCGCGGTATCCATTCGTTCTGGAGATAGGGTACTGATTGCTGATCTACTGGGTGTGCAGCTCCTTTGCTGTTTTTCACAAACAACCTACCAGGAGTTGACCTGATCTGGATATATCAAGGTGCCCGCGCCGTCTCGGCAGGACCCATCGCTGACAATGAAGCTATCTTCCAGAAAGCCGAGCACCATGCAGTTCAGATTCTATCACTGGAACATCACGTCCATGTTTGATATTGAACTCTCCACCCAGCAATTCATTCTCACCAACGCCCCATGGCTAAATCATGTTCTCGCCAGCATCTACTATTCACATATCGTCGTCGGGGTGGGATTTTTCATTTACTGCTACACCTGCCTCCCACACAACCGGTATCAGGCTATTAGACGCACACTGGCCCTGATGAACGTTCTCGCCTTCGTGGCACTGTCTATCTGGCGATGCAAGCCGCCACGCCTGCTACCCGAAGACTTCGGCTTCGTCGATGTGCTCCATCGGGGTAACTCAGGCTCAGCCTGGATGCGGAACAAGTTCCAGCTGACGATTGCGGCGATGCCGTCCTTACACTTTGGGAACTCGGTGTTGATCGCGTTTTGCTTGGTCGCGTATAGCCCTTACTCGATCCTTCGAGTAATCGCTCCGTTGTGGCCGGTGGTGACGGGGTGGACTGTGGTTGCCACTGCGAATCATTTCATTCTCGACATGGTGGTTGGTGTCGCGGTGATTGTCAGTGCGTATCGTTTCAATGGAGCGATGCTAGTGCTGTTGCCTCTCGAGAGGGTGCTGTGTCGGTTGATACGTTTGGAGAAGCCTCGGTATGCGTAGAACGGGGTGAGGGGTGGTAATTATGAGGAATATAGCAAGTATACCGAGGGCCTGGATACTTCGGTATCCAGGGTATCACTGAGAGGTCGGTGGTCGTCTTGGTTGGTATATATTCCATTTTGCGTCGGACCGGGCTACAATTAACCGCCATAGTTCAACCATGCATACTGATGCCATGGACAGCTTTGTGAGGACTGGAGGTGGCCGTGGCTGGTGTGCAATATGGATCCGCAATAGGCAGGTTCAAGCGTCAATGCGAGACGGAGACACCTAAACACAAGCAGAGCGGAAATCTTTTGCTGGGAACAGGGACATTGGGGAGGCGGAGCATTGGACAAATGAGAATGAAAACCGGTCAAACTATACACCAAATTCCTACCCCATAGTCCCCCATGAAACCCCCATATACCCCTACAGCGAGAGTCTCGACCAGCTCCGTTATTCCCCATTGCGGCCACGGTGAGGAGAGCTGCGGGGAGAGCAGGCCCCGGCAAGGCGGAGTTAAGCCGGGTTTGGTCCGGGCTGAGGAGTGGAAAAGTGACCAATGGCTCCTTACGTCTCCAACTCTTGGGCGGCGAAAACCCGCCCAGAACCCCCAAGACCCGCTTGTTGCTCCGCACCGATCACGGCGGCACCCGATTTGCTTTATTTGCCCAGCATCCACGACGGGACATGTGAACTGCCTCCGGTTTCACCCCTTTCGGATCGCGGATGGCAGGGAGGCCGGTCACCTGAACATGACTGGCACTAGCTTGGACTATGTCCTCCCTTCTTGGGGTCTTTTTGCGGCCCCCGACTCAGATTTCGCATTCAATCGCTGACTGCAAATTCATCGCTTTTTCAGGTTCTCACCCAGCGGCCCCGGTATGGCCGTCATTGGCTGGCGTCTGTTGCAACACCCGTGGCTCGTGGTGGCACAGAAGGGCAAACTCGGAACAGCCCACCACCGTAACGTTGCTTGATCCCGATGCTCGATATTGCACATAGAGCCAGGATAGAGGGAGATGTAGCCCAAGTCGTCACGAGAGGACGCAGTCACAGAATGTGGAGTATCGGGTTATAGAATGATTCGGCCCCAAGCCCAATCGCGTCGGGTAAATCGCCTCTTCCGAGACTCTCAGGCCAGAGGCGGTGAAAAACTCATACTCGCGTGGCCAACAATGTAATCAGGTACCTGATACTCAACGCTGATTTGAGCAGGGAAGAATACCACATTTTAGATCTTAGAGAAAAGAGAGTTAAATAAAAAAGACCAAAAAGTTTATTCCGTACACAGGAGGCATCTGCTCGGTCCACAGTGCTGCTCTATTATTATCGCGAAGTCAGCGGCGGGCTCATCATTCCTTTTTGACTCAAACCTGTCCCTGTCTCCACTCTCGATCCTCGTCTTCCCCCCCCCCTCCCCCCGTTGTTGTGCGGTGGATTTTTGCTTTCGGGTTGTTGCCTGTCACTCCTGTCAAGCCCTGGTCTTACAGTCCTGTTCTGTGGCACAATGGCGAGCATCAAGGAAACCGTCAAGGAAACGCTGGTCGGCAGCACGGAGGCGCCGCAGCTGTCGCACCAGGCCCGCATCAACTTCGTGCGCCATGCACAGAAGGATGAAAATGGCGAGCTTTTCATGAACGAGGATGACTTTATCAGTGCGGTTGCTCCTAAGCAGGAGGACTATGTGAGTCCCGTCCATTCCCTCTCCGTCCCTCGCATCGAATTCTGCGGCGTCCGTGGGATGAAAACGAACAACCTGGCTGATTGAGTGCCCTCACTCTCTCCAATTCAGCACAAAATCAAGCGCGAGCAATATGGCATCCTCTTCCAAGTGGCCGACCGACGGAGAACCGGCAAGCTCACCCTGTCCGACTGGGCCACCTTCGAGAACCTCCTGGCGAAGCCCGATGCGGAGTACGAGATCGCGTTCCGCCTGTTCGACCGCGATGGCACCGGAACCGTCAAGTTCGACACCGTCCAGAGCCTGTACAACCTGAACAAGAGCGCCGACAGTATCCCCTTCGACTGGAACTCCGAATGGGCCTCGCTGTACACCGGCCGCACCAAGTCGCGTCACGACATGACCTACCCGCAATTCTCCCAGATGCTGCGCGGCTTACAGGGCGAGCGCATCCGCCAGGCCTTCCACATCTTCGACAAGGATGGTGATGGCTACATCGAGCCCGAGGACTTCCAGCGCATCATCTTGGAGACCTCCAAGCACAAGCTCTCGGACCACCTGCTCGAGAACCTGCCCACCCTGTGCAACATTTCGGCCAGCAACAAGATCTCCTACGCCACTGTCCGCGCCTTCCAGAACATCATGCGCGAGATGGACATCATCGACTTGATCGTGCGCGAAGCCACCCGCAAGAGCAGCGACGGCAAGATCACTCGCTCCGACTTCCTGAATGAGGCCGCCCGCGTCACTCGCTTTTCCCTGTTCACGCCTATGGAGGCCGATATTTTGTTCCATTTCGCGGGTCTGGATGCTCCCTCGGGCCGCCTCGCCCAGAAAGACTTTGCCAAGGTCATTGACGCTTCATGGCGTATCCCCGTCGCCGTTGCGGGCCAGGCTGCTCACGAGGCGGTCACCCGGGCCGAGTCGTTCCTGCAGGGCCTGTTGGAGTCGGCGCACCACTTTGCGCTGGGCAGTCTGGCGGGTGCTTTCGGTGCCTTCATGGTGTACCCGATTGATTTGGTCAAGACTCGCATGCAGAACCAGCGGTCCACTCGGCCTGGTGAGAGACTGTACAACAACTCACTCGACTGCGCGAGAAAGGTCATCCGGAACGAAGGTTTCACTGGCCTGTACTCTGGTGTCATCCCGCAGTTGATTGGTGTGGCCCCCGAGAAGGCGATCAAGCTTACTGTCAACGATCTGGTTCGTAGCACCTTTACCGACAAGGACACTGGCAAGATCCGCTATTCTCATGAGATTCTGGCCGGTGGTACTGCTGGAGCTTGTCAAGTGGTAAGTTGGGCACCAACCTTGATCAAATAGTGGTGTTTTGTTATGCTAATAATCCTTTATTTTAGGTCTTCACCAACCCTCTGGAGATCGTCAAGATTCGTCTGCAGGTTCAGGGTGAGATTGCCAAGAATGTCGAGGGTGCCCCTCGCCGCTCTGCTCTCTGGATCGTGAAGAACTTGGGTCTCATGGGCCTGTACAAGGGCGCCACCGCCTGTCTGCTGCGCGACGGTAAGATCCATTTTCCTTAGCTCTTATGATGGAGAGTTATCTGACCAGCATCCAGTTCCCTTCTCGGCCATCTATTTCCCCACATACGCTCATTTGAAGAGCGACCTATTCGGCGAAACCGCCACCAACAAACTGGGCGTCCTCCAGCTGCTGACAGCCGGTGCCATCGCCGGTATGCCAGCCGCCTACCTGACCACGCCCTGCGATGTGATCAAGACCCGCCTGCAAGTTGAGGCCCGCAAGGGCGACACAAAATACACCGGCCTGCGCCACTGTGCCACAACAGTGTGGAAGGAGGAGGGTATGAAGGCCTTCTTCAAGGGCGGCCCAGCCCGCATTCTGCGTTCCTCGCCGCAGTTCGGCTTCACCCTAGCCGCCTATGAGGTCCTGCAGAAGATGCTTCCCTTGCCCGGTTCAGAGGAGGAGGTCTCACCCAGCGGCCAGGTTGAGCCTGGCGTGGGCCTCCAGGGCGCCAAGGCTCCCATGCCCTATCTCCGGTCCAGGAACGCGCTGAAGCTCATCTTGGATTTAGACCAGAACATCGGCCGAGTGCAGGTCCCTCGGCCCGAGCACTGGCCCAGGTTCCTCCAGGGTTCTAAGCAGTGATTACCTCTCTTTGGTTGAATAGCGCTATGAGTTTCTTTTTTGGGTCGCGTGCCGTTTTGCCCTTTGTCGCGTGTTGCCTCCATCCATTTAGCATCAGACCTTCTTTTTGATTTTCCACTTGTTCTTCGTTTTCATTTGGCCCCGTTTATCGCGGATCCCCATGTTTCTCACGGTTCGCTGTTTTCCCTTTTTCTTTGGAATCTGTTGTGCAAAAAATTGGGGCGCGGGTTGCGCTGGCTTGAAAGAACCAGTGCCCCCCTCCCCCCCCTATTGCATGATTCATCTCTCGTTCTCAGCACACGGCTGGGGTGCATTGTACCAACAAGGGTAGATTTGGGAAGGAGGGACGCAGGGGCTATATATAGAATGGTTCTCGCTTGAGTTGGGGTCTCGGCAAGCTCGTTATGTGCCCCGGTTGGGGTGGTCCGTCGCTCTTTTCGACTTGGATTGTCGCGTGTGGCACTTGGTCTGCTGTTGTTGAGGCGTCTCGAGTTCTGTATAGTACTAGATCTAGAGCAGATAGAATTTGATTTCCTGTTCAAAGACTACGTGACTGGTCCCCGTTATTGTGTAGGTGTGCAAAGGTATGGTGGGGTGTGTCTGTGACAAATATATACAAGTACATGAAATGGGAAGTGTCGGCAATACGACAGTAGCCCATAAATAGGTATCAGAACCTGGCACATCAGGTTGGACTCTCTGTGTGCAGATATAGGGCAGCACTCTCCGAAAGGTACTTGGAGAGAAAGTACTTGGAGTGGTACTGCGATGAGTTTTCGTATATAGGACTCTGCCAAGGATATGTTGCAATCCGTGCAAGTCTAGAAATCTTCGATCTTTTTGCCCATTAGGCATAGAAAGGTATCCTCCTTCTCAGAAGAAATTCATCTTCCGTGTCGGCTGCGTCTTTTTCTTACCGTCGCCGTCTGCACCCGCCGTGTCAGGAACAGCCGACTCCTTCTTTTCCGGCTCCCGCGCAGACTGCTTTGATTCTTTCTCAGCTTTTTGCTTAGAGTGCCACTGTGCATCCTCTTGCTCGATCTGTCGTAGAACTATAAAGAAAATAAGACGTCAGAACACCGGCAGACCACACACCTCTCGCAGCAATAGAAGCGTACCATCTTCCCACTCCAGCTCCTGCGCCTCATCCCCAGTTCCCAAAATCTTCTCTACATCAACCTTTTCCCCTTTCTGAACGCGCTCAATGACCTCCTTCAACAGCTCGATCTTCGCATCTGCAGACCGGCTGTATGAAGCATAACCGTTCTTCAGTGTAAGCAACCGGATCGCCTGCGAGCCGATCAGGGTGAACATGACGATGTAGAAAGTTGCCGGATTCCATTCTTTCGTTTCGCCTGTCTTGCGCGACCTGCGAGTCCGAATGAACCGCGGCACCATCGCCGTCCATACTGAGCTATCTGCAATCTTCGGGAGTCGCTCGGAGGTAGCGTAAGACCGGGAGGTAGGCGCGCAGCACCGACTGGCGGCTGTAGAGGTAGACGGTCGGGAGAGGAATTTGCGTGTGAGGCCGGCGGGCCTTAATCGGAGTGGCATAGCCATTGCTGTAGATCTGAGGTTGCTGCAGCCGTCGTTTGAAGACACTCGGCGGCAAAAGTGAAGTCCTTCCTGCCTGAGGCTGTAAGGCGTATATACCTAATAGGGTATAGTGCAGGTTGTTGCCGCGACAACACGCCCGTTTGGCGTTCCGCGGGTCTGGCCCGTGATATCAGCTGTAAAGCTTCGATTCGAAGCCCGATCAATGACCGCAGTCCTGCTGCTCGGCTCACACCTGCGCCATGGCGGTTACCATCCTCCCCCCGAGCTCGATCACCGAGTCCGTCAAGCAAGCCATCCGGTCTACGTCAACATGCTCCGATGCCACCGTGTTGTCCCTCCAAACACTCCTCCGCGGATCCTCAAAAGCGCCCGAGAAGCCTGCCAGGCGGAATACGAAGTCAACCAAGGCAGAAGCTACCACTACGAGCCGAGCGAATATCTCTAGAACAGCTAAGACACGAGCAGCAAACGACGCTGCGCTGCACCTCGTCGACCAGGATAGTCCCCTTTTGTCGCCTCAGGAAAAGCTCGTGCTTGCTACGGAAGTCTTCAATGCCACTTTAAAGACCCTGACGGATGCGTCGAAGGTATCAGCTACGAAGCGACAGACATCTAGCGCCGACGATGTCTCAACCAAGTCTGGGCGGACAAATGGGGCCGGTGTTGACAAGGGTGTCTATTCGGCGGCTGAATGCGCGAGACTAGCTCTGGCGACACTACGAGCACTCAAAAGCGATCAAACGTCGACCGAACTCCCGAATATGCAGCTTGAGCAGGGCGCCTGTGTGTTGGCAGGGAAATTGATCTCATTGGGATTGAACGAAATGGCGTCTAAAGAACTCCGGTCTTTGAAGAGGAGGGTACAGCAGCATCTAGATGCAAAAAAGGCTGGAAGAAAGCCTGCGCTGACAAAGGACATTGTGGATGAAGACTCAGGCAAGGAACGGATGTCCGACCTCCTCACGTTTTCGAACATCGCCAATGCGCAATCACTGTACGGCTTGCTGGTTCCCTACCACTCGAACGCGATGCGGCTTCTTGCCGCTGAAAAGAAAGCATCGACTACGGAAAGGCTTCTCCCATTTCTGCAACCGGCTGATCCGAGCAGTCCTGCCCATGTTATCGGCGCCGCTGTAAAAGCCGGTATACTGGCCGGCGATAAAGCCGCCCTCCAGCTGCAGCTCCTTTCTAACACGGTGCTATCTCTGTGCCCCAGCAAGTCTTCCTCGGCAGACGGGTCAATAAACAAAGACACACTGAAACCAATCACAGCCTTGAACCTGCAGCTACTGTCTCTCGAAATTCGCTGCATGGGGTGGAAGACGTCCGGCCATGTCTGCGATGAAAGTAAAGAAATGTTTGACCCGCTGCTGCGTTATCTCGGCAGCTTCTCTCATCGGAGTCAAGGCATTGAGAAGGCTGAATTTGCGGGGATATACAAAGCAATTACCCGGGTGCAATCTTCTATGGCAGAAATCAAGAAGAAGCCCCAGGACTCCAAGGATATGAACTCGGCTGCCAAGATAATGACCATTCTTGGGCAGCTTGCTTTGGATGCTGGGTGCTTTGATGAGTCGTTGAAGCTGTTTGACAAAGCCATTGCGCCACTTTCGAACTCGCAGAGTCTTGCTTTGGTCACAGTCCGGTGCAAGATTGGGTCGGTCTACTTCCAAGGACTGAAAGGCTCGACTAAGTTTCTTGATGGAGCTTTGAAGGCCACTGCAGAGGCAAGTGCTGCTTTGGGATTGCAGCTTCGAGGCAGTGCGAATGATCTGGACGAGCTGCTGGTTGAGTCTGCAAGGCTGAAGAAGCTTGCCCTTGCTTGGTTTGGTGAGGCGATCACCAAAGCATATGATAGCGACAACCAGAAGAACGAGATGGCTTCTCAAATCCGAGAATACCTCCAAGCCTTCTTGAGGTTCCTGCGGCGTTATGTCGGGCGGCCCCCATCAGAGGAGAGTGATGACAAGGAAGTGGAGATGTTCAAGACTCGCATCGCCATGTCTCAAAGCATCATTCTTGCCGGAGTTGATTCGGCTGTGGCGGTTGGCAGACTCTCTATTATGTCTCAGAGGCCACCCTGGGAGGATATGCTCCCCATTCTGACTGATTGTCACCGCCTGCTCACGAGCATCGAAGCTACAGACGGATCTCGCTCAGACGCATCTCTGGCTGATAGCATTGGTGCCGCACTTGTGAAGCTCTCCAATCTCTTCTGGTCTAGGTATATCAAGGAAAAAGAGGCCGGGCAGGGCTACCGCGAGCTTCTGCCGCTTCTGAAGCAGTCAACCCAAATACTTTCCGGTTGCTCATCCGGCCATCGGACTACAGCTTTTGCCGCCCTCAAGTTCGAGAGAACCGCCCATTTATATTTGGATGGCAACATGTACAACGACTCCGAAAAGGCCTTTCGGCATTCTATTTCGGAGTATATCGATGCCGGTACTCTCGAGCAAATCGCCATGAGCAGCGCAGGGGCTAGCCCCCACATGGTCAATCAGGATCCAAAAAGCCCTGGCTTTATGCTCGGTCGCGTCCTTTCTGCGTTTTTGAAACTCAAGTTGCGGAAGAAGGGGTCCAAGTCTTTCTCCGTCTATGATGATGAGGAACTAGCGCCTGAGCGAAGAGGCATACTCCTTGAGTGGCAGGTGGGTGTTCTCTGTGATCTACATGGCTACAGCTCGAACGAGGATGATTTTCAATCGACGCTCAGCCCTGTTGTATCCCTTACTCTCGACATCTACTCCCCCGAACGCCACCCCATCCGCCACGGCCGAGTCATCCTTCTGGCTCTTCGGTTTTTGCTCGAGCAACCAAATGCCCTGCATTCTGATCTGACTAACAGGCTCATGGAAGAGGGGGTGGAAGCTCTGAAATGTGACAAAGGGGTCGGTCAAGACACAGACTTAGCTCCCTTCGCAACACACATTATCAACTCTCTGCGCGTGATTATTGGCTTCCACCAAGGTAAAATAGACGCAGGGGAACTGGATGACACACTTTCCTCTTGGTCCTCCATGGTTCACCAGTGCTCTGACTCAAAGTCGCTGCTTATTTGCGTCAATGATGTCGATTACTGGGTTCTTCAGCTCAAGGCTTTGGTCGACTACACTGAGATCCACGGCCTTTGGAAAGCTCAGCTCTCCACCCTTGAGCTGATTCTGCGGGCAGCGGAACTCCAGCAATCCGGTGATCTTTCGGATGCAATTGTCATTCTTGCCCGTCTGGTTTTGCAACACTGCCAACTCGGACATTGTCAGAAGGCCGGAGACTTGCTCTCGCGTGGTGAGCAGTATCTTGCTTTACACAAGGTTTCCTTGCTTGCGACTATTTCGTACAAGATTGCGCTTGTTGAATATCTGCTTGAGACTGGCGAGACCGAAAAAGCAGCAGGGACTCTTTCCGCAGCCAAGGCGCTCTACGAAAAAGGTCAGAAATCGGAAGAGCTCGGCAACTTAAACGTATTATCGAAGATCTCATGGGAGAGACTGATTGCAGATGCTGCATTTGTCCAGTCCCGGCTGTCCACTGCCCAGGGATCGATGACGCATGCTTTGTACTTTGCCAAGTTGTCCGTGAGGCTCAACTGCCGGATCTGGGCCAAAGTGGAAAAGCTGGCTCAAAAGAAACAAGACAAGTCTCTTGCTGTGAGTGGAAGTTCTGATGTCGAAGCTGTCGCCGAAGGCGTGGCCAAGCTTGATCTCTCTCAAAATGGCTCCTCTCCCGACGTATCAGCCAGCTATGTCCAAGGAGCTCCATTTTGGCCACATCTTGGATCGCACCACACCTGCTTGTTGAATCTTGCCACTTTGTCCGCCCACCATGGCCTGTTTCAAGATGCCATCTATTACGGAGAACAGGCACTGAAAATTGACCGGACACTAGATGCAAATGTGCGTCTAGTTGCTGCCCAAACTCAACTTGGTTGTTACTGGATTCTCGGTGGCCACGTTAGCGAGGGACAAGATCTTCTTGCCGCGGCTTCTGAATCATCCAAGCAGATTCAAACGGGCACCGGGGCCATTTCTCTGCACATGGCTCTCGCCTCTCTTTACCGGGTGCAGGGCCAGCACGACCAGGCACTTCGCCAGCTTCGCGAAGCCGGAAAGGCCATCGAAATCGTCACTTCTTCTGATACAGCCAGCATTTCGGAAGGTCCAAATGTTGCAGCCCTTGAGGAAAAAATGGCGAAATTGCAAGTACGTAGCAGCAGGCGAACACCATCAACGACTTCCGCTGTTGCTCCTGTACGCCGTACTCGTGCGACTAGCTCAGTCACACCGTCTCGAACTTCGAAAAAGGCCTCTGCTTGCAAGACCCCGTTACCCGAAGTCCAATCCAACTCCCTCCTCCGACTCAAAGGCGATGTACTTCGACAGCAAGCAGATTGCTTGCGTGCACTCCGTGATTTCGACCGCTCTGCACAAACTCTTATCGAAGCCCGACAATGCGCTATTGCTCGCGAGAGCAAGGTCTCAATCGAGATTGGAGAAAGCGAACATCTGCTCGCCGATGCCATCCGCCATTTCGCTAGCCACGCCGTGTATTGTGTGCTTCCCGAATCCACCATCTCACTACCATCACTCACGTCCCCTGTGAAGGGGGCGGAAGAGCCAACTCCACAGCCCGCAAAGCCTAGAGTAGCAAAGAGGGGCCGGGCTCCAGCCAAGAGCACTCGGGCGAAGGCACAGAAGGCTAGCGAAGACTTTTCTATCATGCTATCCAAGGCAAGCGACTGTCTTACCGGTGTCTTTGCCGATGCCACTGTCCTTGGCTCAACTCTTGAGAGCCACGCGGCGTCTCGACTTATGAGTCGCATTTCTATGCTCTCGCATGCTACTACCCCGGGAGGCCCTGCTACCTGGGCGCAATCACCTGCGAACATGAATGGTGAGTCATGGCAAGAGTTATTTGAACATATTGGGTATCTAACGACTTCATTCTAGAAATCGGACGTGTTGCTGCATTTGCTCGGGAGCGCATGGCTATTAACTTTGATCGGCAACTAGCTGACTTTGCTGATCCGTTGTACTGGCCCACACCATCACCCTCGACCATTGAATTAAGCGAAGAAATTTGTACAAACTTCAGCGAGAACTATATCGACATCCTGCCTGAAGACTGGAACGTTCTTTCCTTGTCATTGAGCGCAGACCGCACCGAGTTCGTTGTCTCACGGTTACAGAAGGGCCGCTCTCCATTCCTTCTTCGGCTTCCATTGCGAAGGGGAAACTCGGATGACGATGGAGAGGAGCAATTTACATTCGAGGACGGCAAAGAGGAAATGCAGGAGCTCATCAAATTGGCAAATCAGAGTGCGCACGCTGCGAAGGCCCAAACTGATAAGCAGTCGAAGAAGGAATGGTGGAAGAACCGCGAAGCCCTTGATCGCCAAATGGAAAGTCTCCTCCAGAATATCGAGAATGTCTGGTTTGGAGGTTTCCGGGGGGTTTTCTCGCCGCTCCCTCGGGATGGCACTGCGTTGGCTCGATTTGCGACTGCATTACAAGGCATTCTTGACAAACATCTACCCTCCCGGCAGAAGGGAGGCCAAGGCCAGGCATCCTCGCCTCGTCTCACCCTCCACCAGAACGTCGTGGAACTGTTCATTGGGCTCCGTGACCTCGAGCAGCAAGAAGAGCCTGAAGATATCCTGATGGATCTGCTCTACTTCGTCGTGGACATTCTGCAATTCCAGGGCGAACGCAATGCTTATGATGAAATTGACTTCGACATGATGGTTGTTGATACCCTGGATGCGTTGCGTGGCTATCACGAAGCTGCGCGAGAAGAACTTGCTACTCGCTCTCCAAGTCATACGGTGCTGGTGCTCGACAAAGCCCTGCATCTGTTCCCGTGGGAGTCTCTTCCCTGCCTCCAAGGGTTCCCTGTTTGCCGCGTCCCCTCCCTTGAGTGTCTCCGCCAGCGAGTTCTCCAATTCCGCGACTCCCAGTCCGGCGTAGTAGTGGACCGGTCTTCAGGCTCATACCTTCTCAACCCTACCGGCGATTTGCGCACGACACAAGTGACCTTTGAAGGGGACCTTTCGAAACTGGACTATTGGACGGGAATCGTCAACCGCGAGCCGTCAGAAGACGAGTTCCGCGCCTCGTTAGAGAGCAAAGATCTGTTTCTATACTTCGGCCACGGCAGCGGCGCTCAGTACATTCGCGGCCGCACCGTCAAGCGGCTGACGAAATGTGCTGTCGCTTTCCTGTTGGGTTGCAGCAGTGGCACCCTGACTGAGGCTGGTGAATACGAGCCCTACGGCACGCCAATGAATTATCTCCAGGCAGGCAGCCCGGCGCTTGTCGCCACGCTGTGGGACGTCACCGATAGAGATATTGACCGGTTTGCGACGTCCACGTTTGATACATGGGGTCTGCTGGAGAAGAAGGGAAGGTCTCGTGCGGGCGATGCCGGTCTGGACACAGCGGTCGCTGGGGCGCGGGGTTCGTGTGTGTTGAAGTATTTGAATGGAGCTGCGCCCGTGATTTATGGTGTTCCGGTGTTTTTGGGCTGATGGGTTGGTTTCCGTGTGCCCCTTTGTTTGTTTACCGTGTATACCCTATTATCATTCGATCATTTGTTTAGTTCATAGATATGCTGTTTCTACAGTGTGGGCGATCTGGCCTCCAGCTGTTCATTTTCAACCTTGTTTACATCAATCCCCAATACCGGCCTCTGGTCAGTCGATGCTCTTGTGTCTGCCCCAGCAATTATATCTGGCTGTGCACCTGCGCCTATCTTAAGTGGCTTGTCAGCTCTCTGCCCCCGAAGTATGCGGCAAGTATAGCGCAGCCCCGCTAAAAGCGGCAATCCAATCCGGCCCGAGTGAGGTGGAGCTTTCCCCTCATGCGGGACAAAAAACCCCGCGGCGTTTAAAAACGTCCTCCTATTTATATTCCTTCCCAGCTCCGACTCCCCCTTGCAAGGCAATCCATCCATCCAACATGTCTTGTGTCACGGAAAAGGCCCGCATCGCCTCGTTCGGCGGCAAGCTGCTCAAGCTCAGCCACAATGCCTCCACCACCCGCTGCGAGATGTCCTTCAACCTGTATCTGCCGCCCGGCGCCACAGACGGCGCCGCCGGCACGGTCCCTGTGCTGATCTACCTGTCCGGCCTGACCTGCACGGCCGACAACTGCTCGGAGAAGGGCTTCTTCCAGCACGGCGCCAGCAAGAAGGGCATTGCCGTGCTCTACCCTGATACAAGCCCCCGTATGTCGCGAACCGCCCCTGGCAGAATTTGACAGGATCGGACTTTATTTAACTCGTGCTTGAAAGGCGGCCTTAACATCGAGGGCGAGAACGATTCTTGGGACTTCGGCTCCGGCGCGGGCTTCTACGTCGACGCTACCAAGGCCCCTTACAGCGAGGGCTACAAAATGTACAGCTACGTCACCGAGGAGCTGCCCCAGACAGTCTTCCAGGCATTCCCGCAGCTGGATTCGAGCCGGGTCAGCATCACCGGCCACAGCATGGGCGGCCACGGTGCTCTTACTCTGGTAAGTCTTCTATTTCCTCGAAAGCCAGGCCTATTGGGCGTCTTTTGGTCCCACTCCCCGCAGATCTATAACTTTTGCATCCAGTTCCTCCGTAACACCGGCAAGTACAAGTCCGTCTCGGCCTTCGCCCCCATCGCCAACCCGATCAACTGCCCGTGGGGCCAGAAGGCTTTCAAGGGGTACTTCGGCGAGGACCAGCAGGAGAAGTGGAAGGAGCACGACGCTACCGAGCTGCTGAAGAAGTGGAGCGGCCCCGAGCTCGATATCCTGATCGACGTGGTACGCGCAGCATCTTGCCTTTCCCCGCTGAATTTCCCTTTCCGTGTTTCCCTTGTCTCTCGCGCTGCCCATGATACCCCTTCTTACTCGCCTTTCTCTAGGGCACCGGCGACAACTTCTACAAGCAGGGCCAGCTCCTGCCGGAGAACTTCCAAGCTGCCGCCGACGCCGGCGGCCACAAGGGCGTGAAGATCCGCTACCAGCCTGATTACGACCACTCGTACTACACGATGGCGACCTTTGCGGACGACCACATCGAGCACGCAGCCAAGTATTTGAAATAGTGTGTGAGCTCCCTCTGTTTCCTTGAGTCTTGAGTCTTGAGTCCTTGATGAGTGTGTGCTTGTCTGCGGTTGGAGACAAAAACGGGATACCAAATCCGCGCTTGACCGTGAACTTAAACTTGACCTTCACCTTCACTTTGACTGGCCCTGTGGAACGGATTCTGATTCGTGGTGATTCTGCGTAAAGTGAGCGCCAACATACCGTGAAATCCGTGATCTGATGATGATACTGATACGAAAATCTTGGGGAGATGGAAGATGCTGGGGAGATTGTCGGGTTATTTGTCTTTCTCTTCGGAAGTAGCAATGAATGAATTGATGTCTAATGTCTATTTTGTTTTGCACGCGTATCGAAGGGCTAGCCTTGCTTGATATCTAAATCGGTCTTTGCTAGGTTCTGTAGAGCAATCCGTTCATTCATGATCTACCTAGTCCAGCCCGCCCGACCAACCAACCAGCCAACCACCCACCCACCTATATCAAAGCCTGACACGAGAGTATCTTTCATGTCTGCTATACTCCACTGAATTCGGAAAGGGGCCAATAGAGGAAATGAAGCGCCCACGATGCGATGCAAATGCGCCATAGGAAGTGAAAGTGAAACGCAGGCAGACAGGCTATGTACTCAAGATATTGTAAAGGGCACACTTTTCGGATGACTTCTTGAAATTTGTTTTATTCCAATCCATTTTGTTTTTTGGTGTTGTTCTCTTTTTGTTGTTGCGCGACATGTCAGGCAGAGATGGTATGGTATCCTTGAGAAGAGGGCACAGATGAAAATATAGATGGCACAAGTGAGTTTTTTCCATGGCCTAGCCTGCGACAGATGAACTTCATCATACCATGTCACAGGACAGGTCTGGACGGCGTGAAGACCGACACCACCTTCGTTTCTAGGTCTCGTCAAAAACAGAAATATGATATGGCATGGGGGAATCTAAAAAGCAGGAGAGAAGGAAAAGGAAAATGGTCGTCGATGAGGAGGGGGATATAGGGGGTAGGTGTCTTGCTTATGCGCTCAATCGTTGGATGAATGACTGGAAAGGGAACCAGAGGTCAGCATAAAGTTGGTTTCCTTCATGTACCAGTACCAAAGGGAGATCGGTCTTACCGGGAAGAATTGCCGGAACCCCTTCATGTCCAGCTGGCTCAGCGCCCTCAAAAACTCTTCAATCAGGTCACTGCCCATGCCCATGCCAGGAAGTTCCCGCGTCCGCAGGTATTCCGTGTATTCCACGCCCGTCTTGAGGTAGATTGTGCGCTGCAGGGCTCCTGCCTCGGCGAGGACTTGCTTGGCAAGCGCGTCTTTAGAGTTGAAGGATGGGGTGGTGGGGAGAGCCCAGCACAAGGGCGAGAACCGGCTGATCATGAATCCACCAAAGCCAGGAAGGGCCGTTTGGGTGGTTGTGGCGCCGTTGGCAGCACCGGGGGCCATGTCGGGTCCACCCCAGGAGCTGCCCATCCTGGAAAGCACAGAGAAGGCCATCTTGGCGGTCGTGAAGTCGTCGACATCCTTGGCAAAGTGCTCGATGGTAGTGATGACGGTTTCGAAGAGGGGTTGGTTTCCTATCCATGTATTAGCCTTGCAGTATGGTCAAGGTGGCGGAACAGAAACTTACTCTCGCTGATGATCACCGCACCCAGGTCATTGTTCAGCACAGCCAGCAAGAAGTTAAGGTATTCACGCTTGAGTTCAGCAAGTTGGATCTCGTCATCGGTGCCTGTAGTAGGATCCGCAATGCTGGAAAAGACACGCTGCAGGAAGGGGGTCAAAAGAGTATCGAGAATGCTGTAGATCTCGCCCTTGAATCCGAAGATCACCTGGTCCAAAAGGCGAAGGAAAAGCGCCATCTCATCGCGCGACGATGTCTGGGTCAAGAGTCCATCAATCCAGCGAGGCAGCTGGGGTAGAATACGAGCACCCAGAACGCCGATGAGGCGCGAGAAGGCAAAACGAGCGGCAGTCCGGATGTTGAACGACGCCTTGAGAGACTCGAGAGCGACTAAAGTCGCTTCTGCCACCTGACAGAAAGTCTCCGAGACCTCTGGTGCTGGCATGTGGGCGGGGGGGTTGGTAACAGGAGTAAGGGTTCCCAGAGCCATGATATCGTGGTGGATTTGCAGCAAAGCCCGTTCGTCGTTGCCCTTGGCAGCTTCAAGATTGCGTTCCATGTCGGCGAAGATTGGGTTCAGCACCGACTGAATGTAGAGGACCTGCTTGTCCGCAGGCACTGAGGGGGTCGAGCAGATAACACCGACGGTCTCGAAGAGATACAGCTGGCTGTTGAAAACGGCATCTGCGGAGCCCTCGTGGTCCTCAGAGGACATCTCATCGCCATCTTCGCCTTCGGAGGGTACCTCGGCGTGGATGACCAAAAGGTCACCCAAAGCCTCGACAACGGTTTGAGCCACATTGCCAATGAGACCGCGTAGCTGCTTCACTAAGCGCTGGAACAGGTACCACGAACGGGTCTTCACTTTGCGGTTTGTGTGGTGAACAAGCTGGAGGAAGCTCTCCAGAACACCAGGGATAAGGTGCGAGTGGTGTTGGAAGAACGTACTGTAGCGAACGCAAATCTCCATATACTGAAGTTGTGTGGCGGGGTGGGTGAAAGACCGGATGTCAGATTCAACCATCCCAAGCATCATCTCAATGAGACGTACTGCAGCAGGGCCAGTGGGTGCGCCCTTCGAGTATAAACCACCGGCTTTGACAGCCAGATCACCGAAAAGGAACATCTCATGCAGAGCCAGATCCAGGTCACGCCAATCAATCTGACCTCCAGAGGCACGCTGATTCTCGAATGTTGTTCCTACGACTTCCGAAATGGCATCGATATATAGCTGCTCATCTGCAGACGCAATGATCTGCTGCAGTACACCCAGCCGCTTGCGCAGCTCCTGGAACTCCGCCTCATCGGTCTGCTCATCCTCGTCTCCCCAGTTCGAAGTCTCGTCATACCGCATCTTCGCAACAATCGCCTTCAAAATCGGGAGGAGAATAGCCTTGTTCCGTGCTTGGAAAGAAGGATCTGCCTTGGACACTTTCCGAATGTAGGCGAGCATGTCGTTGACGCAGGGAATCACGGTGGAGCAGACTTCGTCATACTCGTCCGAGAAAAACCGCAGGACGTGAGGCAGGAAAACCTGGAGGAGATCATTCGCCTTGTCTTTCACGGGACCGGCGTCGGTCTCCAGTACCCGCACAATATCCATTACTGTAATATTCACAAGCTTGGCGACAGTCTCAGCCAGATCGGTATCGTACTTGAAGGTGAATCGGTTTTCTCGCAGGGGGGCTGTTCGAGAGCTGGGTGATGATTGAGTCAAGGTTCAGGAAAAGAATCATTTCAATCTTGTCCGCAGGCTTCATCTTCTTGCCGATGATCTCGGTGAAAACATCCACAGCCGCATCCCGAACCCGCTGCTCTCCCTCGCGCAATTCCTGCTTCTCTGCCCGGCCCAGCTGCTGGAACAGCAGATCCAGCATGGTCTGGTTCACCACCAACCCAATGTCGATCCAGCTGACCCAGCTGCCAACGGCTTTCAGGCACATCTCCACCACGGTGTCATCGGCGTCTCGCCATGCTGACAAAATCTCCTGCCACGAGCTGGCAATCTTCTGCATGTCCCGTTCCCGTATCAGATCCTTCAGACTATTCGCCTTGTCCTGCTCTCCGCGCGATCGTGAAACCAAGACATCACCAATCTCCTCGTGGATCGAGTTCACCACGCGCAGGTAAAACACAATTCCGAACGGGTTGTCACGGGTCGAGCTGGCGGAAGATTTGTAGGTGAGGCCGAGGAGATCGTCGAAACAGGTCTCCCAGCCATTAGCGTAGAGAGCCGAGAACAGAAAGGTGACGGTCTGCGCGATCTTGTTCTGGATATAAGGTGCGTCGGGCGCGGCGGTCCCATCCGGACCATACACCGTCCGGAGGTAAGTCAGCAATCCATCACGCACGACCGCTAGCGAGGCCAAATCAATCATACCCGCCTGGGCGGCACTATTGACGATCTCCAAGCTCGCATGTCGCACGATCTCGGGCTGTGGGGGGGACTTGGTGAAGAGGTTAAGGCAGACGGGCCATCCCGAGGGATCGGAGCGGAGTTGGCTGAGGTATTCGAAGGCTTGCGACTTCAGGGCTTGGTCGGAGGACGGATTCCAGGCGATCTCAATGGCATTTGCTACCTGGAGAGCAGACATTGTCAGTTTTCCGTTGGGAGGGAGGGAGAACGAAAGACCTCGGAGGGGAGGGGCGGGATGCGGTGACGGTGACAGTGGGGGGAGGGGTCATGAATAAAGAATTTTGGGCAGGTCGGGAAAGAGGCCAGGAGCAGGCTGCGCACTTACCTGTTCTTCCATCTTCGACCAGCCGGGCTCCCTTTGAGCGTGGGGGGGGGGGAGGGGGGGAATCACGAAACGAGGGAGAGATGTGTGTTAGGTTTAAAATTGTTTTCGGTGGAGGAAGAGCCTATCCAGCCTATCCATGGTATCGTAATCAGATTTCCGTGCCTGGCTCCGCCTTCGCTTGCCCCCGTCAGGGTAGATACTCGGGGATGAGGTAATTAAACTAGAGAGAGTAAATCGGGATGAGATGAGAGAAGGTTGGCTCAGATCATATGTTTGTCGGAGGTTTGGGGTATCCTAATAGGGCAAGGGACAGCGTGATTTTCCCCGATCGGTACCCAACCGCAGCGTCATCCACAACACTTCCCGAGTATCGACGACTACTCAAGGAACGAGATCCCACTTCTAATGGAAATATTCTGCACCATTTTTATTTTATTTTCGCTGGCTAACATGGAGCATGTCTCTGGACCGGCTCATACATTAAAGCACTAAAAAACTCAATAATGGTCATACAAATTTCTTATAGAGGGTTTCGATGTGCTGAAGAGCTCCCTGGAGGGAGGGACCCACTTGTCGCGGAGGCTGTAAGCGGGTTATCAAATCAACAAGTCGGCTCCGAACACACAGTTTTCTCGGTTGTTACTCTAGTCCAAGGGGTGAAGGCTTTCGTGTACGACCGATTCATTGAGGCTAGGCTATTCACAGCCCCCTCAATTATGCCATACACGATCATAAGATACATCTCCTTTCAATTAATAACCCCAAGAAAAAGGAAAAGAAAGAAGAGACAAAGAAATGAACAAAAAAAGAGAACCAGATGATTGATTTAGCTATCCCATGATATGAGCAGGATTCGACTATGCCTCCCAAAAGAGCAGATGGGAAAGTCCACCACCAGTGAGTCGAACAACTCCAAGCACCTGCGTGCCTCCCGCAAAACACAATGACTATATAGATGAACGCTTCCCACATCTTACCTAGCATCTAGTACTCAAGACGCCAGTTTGGTCTGTCGGAGGTGTCTTGTCCGAATGCCGACAAGAGTCATCGTTATGGCCGCAAGAGCTTCGGGGAGAAACATGAGAATAACGCGTACAGAAATTGACCCATAGATCGGACTCAGATCCCTCCGCTGAGTGCAGACCGAGACCATACCGTAAATGACACGTACCCCGACGAATAAGAGCGCAACAAACGCTCCCTGGAGAAGCTATAGAGATAGGTTGATGAGTTAGCGCCCATTGGAATAAGCGAAACCGGACCAAAAGCGAGTTGAATGAGGAGTTCCTACAGCAGTGCCACCATGATATCCAGGCGCGCCCTTCATCCCCTTACCGGAGAGTAAAGAGAACAGTGACCAGAACACCTGGAATGCCCACGCCACGGCTATTAAAACCGTTCCTGCCTTCCATTGTGTCAAACTGTCTGGTTTCGGGTGCCCTTCAAAAATATTCAAGGAGCCTGTAATCGAGAGGGCCAGCGCAATAGCCATGAGGCTCGTAGTCCCCGTGACAACAGACCAACCGAGAATACGACCATGGAATGGATTGCGATACACTCGCCTGTGCCCATTAGCAAGTGACATGTGAAAGGCTAGAAATCATGGACTTAGGGCCTACCCTTCGTGAACTAATCCATCCAGGCCCAGAATTAAAGGTGTGACCCCAACGCTTTGAATAATGTTGGCTGGCAGGCCTTGAGGATCGTGAATGCCGAGTATCCCGCCGATGATGCGTGCAAGGCAGAAGGCGCTGAGATAGTACCAGGGCAGAAAGCCGGACCAGCGGTGGGCGAGGAAGACGTAAGTGACGAGGGGGGCCAGAAGGAGGTAGACCACCAGATCGGGAGGGAAGATTCCATTCATGATGGGGGAGTGGGATGTTGTGAATGAGATAGCACTGGCTGAAGTAAACACAATGAGAGGGGGCGAGTTTGACGCAAGGTTGAGGGCCTAACGTCCTCTACTTCAGGGAATTGGAGGCCATTATATCCTCTTCGTGATTTCCATATTTGCAGGGCGTCTGGGGTCCCCTTATACCCCATTTGGGCATACTACTCGGTTGTCATGGATCATCCTGTCGATCTACGCCACGAGCTGCCAAAGACAGTTAGCCAACCAGAAATTCAAATCAATAGAGGGCTGAGTTGGGGGCGGGAAAGGCTGAGCCTAAAAGGAGACTAAGGCGGTTAGCTCAGGCAGGCGCGTCGGAGAAAGAAAGGCACGCAGACCAACCAGCGCAAGCTTCATATTCTCACAAGCCTGTCCAGATCTGACCAGTGCGTCAGCAACCAACTTGGCCCCTATTTTGCTAGGTAAGATTTAAATGCAAGCCGGCCCACTACTTGGCGTATTCCACGGACCAAGCTTTCTCGACCGATCTGATTACCCTTCTCGGCATCGCTGTTTCAACCCCCAGTGTGATGGTATACAGAGGGAAGCCCAGTCCGGGATGTGTGCTATGTCGGGCTCGGAGGCTACTGGTACGTGTGGGGGCGAACCCGCTAGCATCAACCTACTGACTCTTTCGGCGCAGTGTGATCGCCATCGTCCATCGTGCTCCCAGTGCCTCCGAGTGGGTCGTGAATGCTCTGGTTACCAAGACTTGCAGGCGCTTCGCATCCACGACCAGAGCCAGGAAGTTGCAACAAAAGCGAAGGCGAAGGCCCAACCAAGTGCAACACGAAAATCTACGAAGACGAAACACGCACTTGCAGAGCAATCAGTGGTATTGTCATTGCCTCCTAGCATCCCCGCTTCAACGGATGAGCGGGCGACATCTTTCATGTACATGTTTTACGTTGGCACTGGCCAGAGCCCCGGTCTGCTTTCCTATTTGCCTGAGTTGCTGGGTAAGGAACCCCTCCCCTGCACTGCAAGCCACGATGAAAGCCGTAGGATTGGCGAGCATGTCGAGGATTCATTCATTAGCGGGGTTGAGACTCCCAGCTGTACGAGAGTACAGCTCGGCGTTGTTAGCGACCAACCGGGCACTGCAAAGCCCGACACTGGCCAAATCAGACTCGACTTTGGCGGCGGTGGTATTGCTTAGCATGTATGAGGTATGAGATCTGCTATGGCCAATAACCGTCTCGAGCTAATTGGCAAAAAAGATGATAACATGCGATGGGTCTAGAAGCGAGAACTTCATGTCCGGTTGGTCGAAACACGTCCAAGGGGCGACAAGACTTCTCGAGCTACGAGGGGAGGAACAATTGATATCCCCAACTGTACTGGAGCTGTTCACGCTGATACGCATGCAGATCGTACGTGAATAGCTGACGATGAAAATCCTTACATCCGTATTCCATTCTAACAGGAACCGTCCAGGCAATCAGCAACATATTCTACCGACGACACAGCTCACCCGTGATAGCAACATTATCTAAATTAGCGAAAGCTCACCGTGACAGCAACGCCCAGGCGATAGAAGACTTCTACAACATTCTAGTCCAAGTCGGCGACCTCTCCATCGAGATGGATGAGATATCCACAAAGCGCGATTCCGCCGAGGACCCGGCGCTCATCATAGGCAAAGCGCTCCATATAGATGCCGACCTAGTATCATGGGCACTATCCATAAACCCTGCCTGGCGGTACAAAACCGTCACCACACCCAGTGCCAATACCCGTGACCATACATACTCCGTCTACCACGGCTCCAGATACCACGTATACCCCAAAGTCGGCTGCGCTACAATGTGGAACAATTACCACCAAGCGCGCATCGTCGTGCACGGGATCGTCCGGTCGAGTTGCACGCGTCTGCTGGCGCTGGATAGCGCGCACGAGTGCCAGACGACAATGCTCCAGTCTGCCGTGATCAGCAAGCAAATGGTGGACGACATCTGTGCGAGCGTGCCGTACTATTTTGCTGCGGGCGAGGTAGGTGTTGGCGGCTTGATCCGGCTCTCGTGGCCGTTGTTTATTGCGGCGGATTGTTCGGCCGCGACGCCAGCCATGAAATGGTGGATTTTGCAGACACTTGATTTGATTGGGAATACTACTGGTGCTCAGCAGGCGCTTACAATGTCGCAGCTTGTGAAGGAGGGGCACTCGATAAGATTTATTCCTGGTAACGTAGATAGATAGGGGTGTGATATTCCTTCTGGAGCGTGCTGCTTGGTTTATTTGAGCACGGCAATGGGAGGCAGGGTGTGAACTATTTTCGCATTTCTTCTTCGCTACCTGTATATGGTCTTTCGTTGCGAGGTAAATTGTCAAACAACACGCTTCTAGCCACAGCATCTCAGACCCTGGCATATAAACTTCAGTATAAGGCGTAGTGGGGGAAACATAAATAATCTGATCCTCGTATATTTGCTCTAGACTTGCTCATCCTAACGCCAATTTCACTGGGCGGGCTTGTCCCATCTCATGTTGGTGCGGCGCCCGGGGCTGGTTCGTATATCCATCTGCGATGGGGCACGGTGCCCGCTCATCCTGACTACGGGATTGACCACGGCTCGATTTGCTTTTATTCTTAAGCAGGAAATGAAGTAAAAGGTACATAGTGATGCTTCTTGTACGCGTGAGGCGTCGGTAGATAGGGTAGGTGGTATAGAACTGGCTGGGCTGAATATTCGAGAAGCTGGATATATAAGGGTGGAACTTGAAAAGTGAAGGCCGCCGTGCCTAAGCAGATTGATGAATGAGGGCGTGGAGAGGGAAGGACTGATTCTTAGGAGAAAAATGAAAGTTGGCAGGTAACTTGGAGCCTTTTTATCGTCCACGGCATAGGTCTTGACTAAATTCAAAATAAGCGGGCAAATTCCTAGCCCTTCCCCCCTTCTAGCTTACTTCGCCTTTGGTTATCAAACTCAGAGCTTAGTGTGCGCACCGAGCTGATATCTACAAATATAAGCAGTAAGGCCGCGCCACTGGCACGGCTGTCTGCCCTAATGCGAATACCCAGACACCCAAGGTCTAACCCCGAGAAAGTGATCTTTCAGCGGTATTTTTTGCGGTAAGGGGAAGGGACGAACCTAAAACTATATATAAGAAATCTAATCATCGCTCATATTGCGCCTCCTCTTACGCGACAGCGTAGAGTCTCACCTAAACATCGGTTAGTTTATATAGTAATATATCTGTATATAGCTATATTGTTCTTTAAAGTCGGAGCTCGCAAAGTACGTAATGCACTAGATATATTAGGATATTAAGGAATTTTATGAGATCAAACCGTAATTCCTCCAAATCAGATACCAAAAGCTCATGGACTAATACAAGGTGATAGAAATAAAGATCTGATAGATCGTTGTTTAGCAAATAGGACCTTATGTGATGTAAACATAACGGCACATGAAGTTGTGGGCAACAGTGCAGTATAGAAGGCAAGAAGAACACAAAACTTCATTCAAAATGTTGGAGGTTGCCTCAGAAATTGCAGCATACTGTATACAGGCCGTTTAACCAGGTGTCAGAAAACATGAAAAGTACCTGATCTCGTTCGAATACGTTTCATGTTTCACTTGATTTTCGCGTGATCACTTTTTGAACTGGTGAGAGACGGACACATCTTGCAAATGTAACAGCTCTAGACAGATAGCCAGATAGTTCCTTACCACTATACTCGCTGTCTTCCAAAATTCAAGTAAAAGCTCATTATCCACCCAAGAAGCCATCAAACTCATCATCGCTATCCGCAAGACTGTCACTAGCACAACACAACAAGCCCACTATGTTGTGTTCTGTATTTTATTTTCTCCCGAAGAGATAAGACATAACTTCATGCCATGGATCCCAAGCAGCCCAACAGGTGCTAGGAAGAAATAAACCATCTCCATCGAAGATAGCCTTCTAAGGGTTAGTCCTCACCATGACACCGATCCGTCCGTCTCGACTCGGGTTAAATGAATCCCATGATAATCTAGCAGCCGTCCGAGGAGAAAGAGTTCCTGTCAATTTCAGTTTTCAACCAACTTGGCGATGCCTAGTGCGAGGAATCCGCACCCACGATGGCTTCGCGCAGGAGCTATACGGGCAGCTTCCAGAATTCACCCGTGCTTTGAATGCGCGCGCAATCATGAGTAATCGAGTCCCAGACATGAACTCACCGGAGGATTTTCCCTACTGTTTCTGGCATCCAGATATCCCAGCTGAATAGACTCTCCGCGATCTACTGGAGCGATACCCTGGAACCGACCTATTGCGATACTAGATTGGCCGTGCGTGCGCTACAGGAGGCTACACCTCACTTTACCTAGAGCTAGACTTGTTGCCGGAGGTGGCTATTGTAGAGGAAGCGCGCGATAATCTGGCCTCTGGGAAAGCGATCTACGAGAGTATTATCACCAGCCCGACTCGGTGGAACTGTATGGATGACTATAATCACTGTCTATACGTACCCCTACGTCTGGGAGCCTATTTCAACGGCGACATATGTGTGCGGTCTATGCTCGATTAAACCTTACCGGTGGGGGATACGGACTGTTTTATTCTGTCGCGCCTTGTGTTTGATATTACCGAGGACTGGTGCCTCGATGCTGAGGGTACATTGCCCGGGGCGCGGGTGGTTGATCCCAAAGCTGTCTAGTTATTATGCGAACTACTATCCGCCGATCTTCCCACCGTTGATAAAAACCTATTGATCCTGATGGTAGCGTGGTTAGGTAATATTGACCGCTACGTGCGGCTGCGCCGACTAACTATGATTGACGGCGAGATGCCGTACGTTATTAGGGGAATTTACTATTACCCTTTCTTCGCTAAATAGTGGTTAATGTAGGAAAATGTCTCGTAGTATATTCGAAAGGCTATCTATACTAGATTAATTATAAATAACGACTTATCCTAGTTAAGTGAAAGCACGCTAGATTCCGATTTACCGATTCTTATATGGTACCTAAATCCTGCAAGAGAGTACACCTATACTAAGTTAGCACGGCGCCGACTATCGATGACGCCCTAGATTGTACGCGCCTATATTAATACTAACTATCAAGACTTATTCAACACTCTAAATATAACCCCGGATATATTCCTTTAGAAAAATACCGAGAAAGTCTCGAATACCTATTATCTCGAATAGATTAAATAGAAAGTAATAGAGCTGGGACTTGATCGATTCGAGCTTTCTGTATTTGATTCGTCGACTAAGTGCCCTAAGTATATAGTACCTGATTGGCTATTTAGACCTAACGTAACAGAGATATAGCCGATAGCTATACTAGCCTAGGAGATGAGTGCTATCGGGTATTACGATCTCAGCCTTACACGTGAGATAACTATCGACTAGGTTAGATTCGACGAGGAAGGCTATGCTTTAGCTTCTATAGTAGGGAGGATCTTACTAAATGCGTACCTAGCGGATCCGTTGATACGACCGTCTGCCCCCTTTAATAGGTTGGATCTTGGCGAGGTTTACAGAGACCTGCCATATGTGGAATCGGAGGAAGACCGTAAGATGGTGGGCTTGTGGCCGAATCTACGGAGACCTCGGGGCGGATACCGCAGAAGGGGCCGTGGAAGGGGATGTGGAAGGAGGGGTTAGGTCTGTTCCATTCTGTATAAATATGGGGGCATAATACCGCCCAAAAATGCACCATGGGCAACATTCTTAGTCTATACGGTCATACTCCAAAGCCGTAGTGGAAGGAGCACCAGACATCATCCATAGCTTCTATATGGACCATGGCACTGATTACTTCAATTGCATTGTGGCAGAATCGAAAGCATGGTGCGGCCCATGCCATGTCCAATTTGGTTCAACGGATGCACGATGTCGGTACTGTACACCATACGAAGATGAGGTTGGGCTTTTGACCGTTTCGGAGCCCAGTCCACCGGACATCTCATTGCGTGCAAGCAGCGAGGCCGTCCCATTTAGGCAGACCACTTCTATTTCGATTTGCAATCGAAACGCAGAACCTTCTGCTCAAACTCCTTAAAAATACTTTGAGTATAGTGCGATAAGGTTATATGTCTAAAGGGAAACATACTGGAGCTTCCAAAACTAGGACAAGGAAAATCAGTTCTACGTGGATGCGCTGACAGAGACCGGTATACCCCGTGGGCGGATGTATATTGGCAGATATGATCACCAAATCGATAAAGAAGGCTGCCATGATTACCTGCGTTGTTACCAATACGGATAGGAAATCGATGTACCTACGATTAGCAGCGGGTACTCCGTCGATGATGTGGTTGATCCTAAGGACATTATCTCCGAGTATTTGAGTAAAACAGGAGACTTACGTAATGGCCTTGAAATTGCTATCGTTTCGTAACTTGTGAGTTCAAGCCAAAGCTGGACCAGCGAGGATATGATCGATGCTGTCTTAGTGCCTATCCTGATGATTCATTAGGCCGTCGCGTCGATGCAGGAAGTTGTTGATACTGCGGAAGAAATTGACAGGGAAAACCGCAAGCGTCAGATTCTGCTCTTCCTATCCGCATTCCTTTTTCTCATTCCCATCGGCGGCGAGGTCATCGGTGCCATTAGCGGGTTGGCCAGTATCGGGCGCTTCATTGCCTTGGCTGGTGAAGCCACTATGGTGGGTTTGGGTATTTATTCTGTCGTTGATGATCCCTCTTCCGCACCTTTCCTTATCTTTGGTTATATCCTGAGCGCAGGTGCACTTACGGATGCCGTCAAAGTCAGCAAGGCTGCTAGGGCGAGACGCGCAATGGGCGAATCTGATTTGGCGAAGCTTGGCGACGAGTTTGGGAAGGGGATGACCAAGATCGACAATGTTATGAGGGCCTGCAGGCCGTGAATTGTCAAGGCAAGGCTAGAGTCAACAGAAACCTGGCTGTTGTCCTTGGAATGAATTCTGTTCGGAGAATATCCCGGGTTGAAAGCTTCAAAGAGTTCTACCATCGGGTTCCCATGTTGTGAAACCAAGTAGCCCCAATTAGATCAATTTACCCTTGGTTTCTAACCGCCCAATTCTTGCTTTTTTTTCTCATTTGCGGGGCCAAACTCTACTTACGCAACGTAAAGCTTCTCAAGCGACCAATTAGTTACCCCTACGTGGGACCTCACCTAGCCAATGCCTACAACAGATGCACTAGTCTATCAGTTGATCAGGTAAATGAAGGCTATGTGAGCAAGTCCGACTGAATATATGAGAGGTCGAGTAAATACCTACAAGCAGCACCTATACCTGTTCCAGCCGACCTACTTTCCATGCACATGGTCATTCCCTTTCGCCAGCCGCACCTGCTCCAACACCCTGTTTTCCATCGCCTCGAAGCCCTCAACGGCCTTTCCATAAAGCTCAAAAACATCCTCCTGATACCCATCTGCAATCTTCTCGACAAAGTCCTCCTCTCGCCAGCGCTGACCCACGAGGTGCTCAAACGTCTGACCCTCCGCGCGCTCAATACCCCACACAGCCTTATACGCCGCGCCCAGAGCGCACGCATTGTCGCCGATATCCAGCTTGAACACACCCTCGGCGCCACCGAGGATCTCGCCCGCAATCTTGGCAATCGCTTTATTCTTCGAGCCGCCGCCGACGAGGTACACGCGGCGCGGCTGCGCGGGAAGGCCGTTTCCGGGGCTCTGGGTGAGACCGCGGGAGCGCAGGCGCAGGGAGAGCATCTGACTCTCGATGATGGCGCGGGCTTCGTCTTGCGGTGTGGTCCAACCGGTAGTTGTCTCAGTGAGGTCGCCCGTGGCGGGGTCGTATGTGAAGTGCCACTGGCCGGCGGGCAGGTTCGGCACAATCTCAGGTCGCGGGAAGAAGAGGCCTAGTTTCATGGGGTCACTTGGGCTCTGCTGGCCCATTGGGGGTGTGGTCAGTGCTATCTCGTCGAAGTTGGCCCAGGGTTGGGCGGGTGTGTCTTTCAGGGTCTCGTTGATCGCATCGCGCACGTGCTCGCGGGCTAGACCGCCGTTCTTGTAGCATAGCATGAACATGTACAGGCCGGCGGTGGTCGGGTGGTTGAAGAAGTGTGTGGCCGGGTCCGGTCTGTAGCTGGAGGTGGACATGAGGAAGGTCGTGGACGTACCCAGGGACACCATGGCATCCGATGGGCGCAACGGCAACGCGAGAATGGTCGCCGGGTTGTCGCCGGTAGCCGGGATAACTGTGCAGTCCGCGCTGAAGCCGTAGCGCTCCCTGTAGTACTGATGGACCGATCCCAGGTGCAGTCCGCCATCTTCATATACCTGGCCCAGCTTCTTCTTGAGGTCCTCGACGCCAAAATTGCCGGAGCAGAGCTGGAGGATTTTCTCATCATAGGTGCCTTGCTTGATGTTCCACAGGTTCATCCCGCACACGTCCGAGATATCGAAAGGTGCAACGTGGCCGAGGAAAAGCGAGGCGATGAATGATGAGACCAGTGAGATCCTCGCCGTCTTCTGATACACCTCCGGGTGTTTCCTCGTGAACCGGAGGATTTGGGGACCTGTAAACCTCTGGTGCGGGTGTCAGCACAATCGGCATAAGTACGGCATCGATTGCTTCCCAAGCTTCTTACGTGGTGGGCTTTGCTTCCTGTCGCTTGGGCAAGCTGCTCCGGGCTGCCAAGAATCTCGTCAAACTCGTCGCATTCCTTCTGGGTGCTCGAATCCTGCCAATTGGGGCTGTAGGGGTGCGAGAATGCGCCGGGCAATTGCTCCTCCAGCGACCTCTTCGGATCGAGCTTGTGGAGTAGCTCTGCCGCATCATAGCTCCAGTATACACTGCCATGCTGCTGGCCAGCGCCGCTGATACCTTTCACGCGGCTGAAGTCCAGGCCTTGCTTGTGCAGGCTGCCTAGCACTGTGTCCAGGGCTTGCAGCCACAGTGCGACCGGGGCAAAGACTTCGTGCTCGGCTTCATTGGTCAGGACGCCCTTCTTGATCGGGAAGCCGGTGGAGTCGGCATCGAAGTCGAACTTGGCGATGTACTCGACCTTCAGCTCGGAGTTGACAACCAACCCCTTAAGCTGCTGGGTCGACAGGTCGAACCCGATGTAGAGGGGGGAATGCGACGCCATGGGGAGAGTTGAAACAAAGATTCCTCAAGCCTCGCCGTGCAGCGTAGCCCCAATATAAATCGTCTCCAATAATCTCAATCACTCAGTCTCCGCTAAGCAGGTTAGCAGGTATTATGGCTCGGATAAGGGGCGGGGAAGGGAGAAGGATTCCAGAATTTATCCCGCCTCGGAAGAAATGGAGGGGGATGGCGGCGGGCAAAGCCAGGGCAGATTCTGGGGGAAGGTGAGCCCGCAATGATGTAAACGGCCCCCGCGGTCCCACTTGCCCTGCCCAGAGACAGTTGGGAAGTTGGGGAGGTTGGGCGGAATGGTTCGCTTGTGCACACCGGGCAAGACAGAAAAAGACAGATGGGTCAGGTGGGATCTCTGCTGGATCTGTATGAGTAATTAGGGCCGCAATTAGCTTTCGAGGATTTTCCATGCGTTAGTGGCTCGTCTAGAACGCTCGAACTTTCATCTCGCGCCCGGGTAAATAGGAGTTGGCCTGCTAAATTCCTCGGTAGAATTCGCATGGCCCCACTGCAGTTGGCCAGCGCATGGACTCCGCGGTTGATTCCGTAGGTATGCGCCGGTATTCATTGTGATAGTCCGGCCTTCTTTATCCAGAATAGTCAGCGAGGGCGAGGTGTGGCAATCAGGAAGAATGGGGAAACACAGTAGTTCTCTAAAAGCCATCTAGTTCCTTAAAAACTCAAGATGCCCGTATACTCCTGTGACCGTGACCACTCCGTACTGGATGCAGTTACAGTCGATCATGTTACTTCTTTCTACCTTTACTGGCTCTAACACTCCAGCACTGCGAGGTTCAAGTGGGGTATAGCGGGAGGGTAAAGATCCTACACAGCCCTACGAGGGGACAGATACCTAGATGGCTCCCTAGCTACCCTAATTCCCCTGATAAACGAATCGATGGATCTAATTGAAAAATGGAATCAGACAAGCCTGGCACTTTGGGTTCTGGTGAAGATTTCTATATCCAAGCTTCTCTATACACAATACACATTCCTCTTGCCGAAGTTGCCCTTGGGGGAGGCGGCGGAGGGAAAGGGGGGTATCATAGGCAGCACCAACAACTGCCAATCGAGGGCACCCAAACAAATCAACTTTCTCTCTCTTTTCACATGTCACTCCCCAGGACTACTGCCTCTTCCGGGAGATATGATCATCATGGCTGTGACTGTGGTTGTGAGCGTTGCCGTTGGTTTCAGGCTCCGGGTTCGCCCCGGTGTCCTGCGCAATAAACTCCTCCGAGAAAGTGAGTTCTTCCTGCTCGACCGGGATGAAGCGGACCTTAACCCGCTTCACACCGCGAACCTTCTCGCCAACCGTTTGGCGGACCGCCTCCTCCACCATACGGGACCGGGTGATGGCCCAAGCTCCCGGTACAGCCAGCTCAATGTCCATCAGGTAGTTCTGCCCAGACTTCATGCCCTGGACATCGCGGACAACAACCTGCTCACCGTCCTCAAGGGACTTTAGGGCCTTGGCGGCGGCGCTCTGAACTGAAGTTTTGATCTCATCGTCCACCGTGGTATCCGCCAGCTCGAGGAGCGAGGTGATGGTGTTGCCCCAGCCGGCCTTGATGACCATCAGGGAGATAAGGAGTCCACCAACCGGATCCAGCCAGGTGGCATCTTGGAAGACATAGCTTCCACCAATGGTGACCAGAGCCACGATGCTCGTCAGAGAATCAATACGGTGGTGGATAGCGTTGGACGCGAGTACGGACGACTTGCGTTCCTCGGCCACTTTCATTGCTATTAGACTGTTAGTAAATTTGAAGCTTGGAATTGGCGTTTGAGACGGAAGCTGATGCGTGGCTCGGAGGGAAGAAGGAGTTGTGGGAAACTCACTCGCACGATAAAGCCACTCCTTGATCACGATAGAACCCGCCGCCAGCCAGGCTGCGTGGATGCTAGGACCCAGCACCTCGATACCATGGCTATGCGAATGGCCGTGCCCGTGTCCTAGAATACCGGTGTGTGCCAGCCATTCGGCCACATCGGGGTAGCACTGGGCCAGCAGGACCTGTGTCGCATTGAGGCCCATGAAGACTCCGCCGCAGAGCAGCAGCCCGCTCACGCCCAGCGCGCCAATGCTTTCTACCTTGCCGTATCCGTTCGGGAAGCGCTCACTGGGCGGCTTAAGCGACCAGGCGACGGTGCCCAGGGTCAAGAAATCGGAGACCAGGTCGGTGAGCGCGTGGTAGGCGTCGGCGATAAGCGCCTGCGAGTGGAAGACGTAACCGCCGATGAATTTGCCAATTGCCATGGCAAGGTTGGCGACGAGGCCAATTCGTGTGATACGAACGCCAGCGTCGTGCTTGTTGGTCGAGGTCAGGTATACATTGTCGTGGTGGTGGTGGTGATGGCCGTGGCCGTGGCTGTGGCCCCTGGCTTGTGTCATGGGGAGCGGTGTTACAGAAGCGCGGAGGGAACGTGGTCGGACATGGGAGAGCAAGGCGACAGGGCAGGCTTTTAATAAGGGAGCGGAGGAGGCCAGGACGCGCCGTTGAGCAGATCCGGGGAGAAGGGGGAGACGGCGACTGGAGAAGCTGAGAGGGGAGTGGATGGAGAGACGAAGCCTGCACCGCAGGGGCTGCGTCAGCGGCATCACGGCCGGTGTGAACTAAGTTCGAGGCACGCGAGCACGGGCGAGGGCTAGAGTGGACAGGGTGTTCTCTTTGGTCAGTGTGCCCATGGCTCGAGAACCTTGAAGGAATGACAATACCCCGGGGGAGGTGGGAGAGAAACTACCCTACCCTAAGCAACTAAGCAATGGCGGACATTCGATTCCCGCTCATGTAATCCGGCAGATGCGGATTCCAGATGCGCTGATGTCCTCTACCAATCCACATGGGGTCATTATTCACGGATGACTATTGCCAGCGGCCCCTATGGATACGACGTACCCATCTAGTGTATCCGTGCGTGAATTATATTGCTTTTGTTTTGAAGCCTTGGACTTTTTTTTTGATCAACTCCTTACGCATCAGGGCCCTCCTGCAGGAAATCAATGGCTGACTCGCCCGTGGCCCGCCGGAACAAGCCCCCGCCAAGACCAGCCCGTACGCAATCCGTCCCTCCAAACGGGCTCAACCAGCCCAAAGGACCCAAAAGGCCCGCAGCTTCCGCCCGTTCTTTACCCCGCCAAGCCTCAAATCCACCTCCGATGATGCGTCTTCAATGACGACGACCCCTGCGATTCGGATCCCCTTCACCGGGCCATTACCACCAGCTATCATCGTCCCACCGTCCGCCAGGGCCATTGCGGGGGCGATCGACGCTGTGAGCGCCTTCCTCACCGCGCCACCCTCCCTCCATCTCCGGGGCGTCGATGTGGGCAGGCATTCCCAGACAGTCCTCCTGACCGGCGCAGGGATATCTGTCGCATCAGGCCTGTCGGACTATCGCGGGGAACAGGGCACCTACCGACGAAACAAGTCCTACCGGCCAATCTATTTCCACGAATTCGCGACGCGCCATGAATCGCGCAAGCGATACTGGGCACGCAGCTTTGTGGGTTGGCCGGGGCTCGTGAGAGCAAAGCCCAATTCCACTCACTGGGCCATTCGAGATTTAGGTGCGAAGGGCTATATCAGCTCCGTCGTGACGCAGAATGTCGACTCGTTCCACTCCCTAGCCCATCCCGACCTTTCTACGTTGGAACTACATGGATATCTGCGATCCGTGGTCTGTACCAGCTGTCGCAATCAGTCCCCACGAGAAAAGTTTCAGCAATCGCTGGAGACGCTCAATCCGGCATGGGCAGAGTTTCTGGCCCGCATGGTGGAGGCCGGCGCACTCGATACCGATAACCCGGACGAACAACGAAGGAAGGGATTGAAGCTGAACCCGGACGGCGATGTCGACCTGCCGAAGGCTCCATATTCGACCTTCCGATATCCGTCCTGCTCAACCTGCTTGGAGAAGCCCCCACCTTGAAAGACGGCACAAAGGCCCGGGTAGAGGTCGAGAGCGACGGCGCATGGCTGCCGACATCCACCGCCGGTATTTTGAAACCGGCGGTGACCATGTTTGGCGAGAACATCGATCCGACAGTGAAGGCAGCGGCGGAAGAGGCGATCGACGACGCTGGGCGTTTGCTGGTGCTGGGCAGCAGTCTCGCCACTTACTCTGCCTGGCGCCTAGTTGAACGGGCGCACAAGCGAGGCATGCCCATCGGCATCATCAACGTCGGGGGTGTGCGAAGTGAGGCCATGCTCTTTGGCCAGTTGGGCTCGGACCCAGACCCAAGCGCCCATGTTCGCTGCAGCCATCCCGCCCAGTCGATCCTCCCGACCGTGGCCGCGGACCTGCCCATTCATCGTCTTTGACAGATGTATAATCAGATAGACTCAATAGCATTGTAAATCCTACCAAATACCAAGCGATCTCATTGGAGCACGGACCGTAACAACAGAAGGGACAAGCGCCCGTAGATGGGGGAAAAGGGAGAAGTACATAAGCGCCGGATGACTGCGACTCGGCCCACTTCCACGCGCGGGGCACCCTCCTTCATCAGCATGGAGCATTTCAGGGATTCTGCGACCCTCCCTTTTAAGTCTGCTTCAACGCTGGTCTCCCCCGGCTCCTTTCTCTTCCATCCTTCCGCGAAACCCTCGGGGACTCCCGCTTTCCAACCACCCCAGCGACGCACAATGGACAAATCTCAGCAGCCTAGTTCCTTCCAGCAGCTGGAAAAGGTATGCCTGCCGCTAGACCCCTCGTCTGCCCTCTCAAGATACTGATAGGCTTCTGCTTGCAGCTCGGAGAAGGCACCTATGCCACTGTACGTTCCGGCTTCCCCGAGACCCTTCCTCTCCCCGAGTGCCGCGACTCCTTCCCACGGCCGCTTTACGCCCACTATTCGCTCGCTCTTCGCTGATACATGATGACTACAGGTCTTTAAAGGGCGCAATCGCCAGACGGGCGAGATGGTCGCGCTGAAGGAAATCCACCTTGACTCTGAAGAAGGCACCCCGTCCACTGCCATCCGCGAGATCTCGCTGATGAAGGAGCTCAAGCACGAGAGTATCGTCTCGCTCTACGATGTCATCCACACCGAGAACAAGCTCATGCTGGTCTTCGAGTTCATGGACCGCGACCTGAAGCGATATATGGACACCCGCGGCGACCGTGGTCAGCTGGACCCCATCACGATCAAGTCGTTCATGCACCAGCTGATGAAAGGCATCGCCTTCTGCCACGACAACCGGGTGCTGCACCGCGACCTCAAGCCGCAGAACCTGCTGATCAACAAGAAGGGCCAGTTGAAGCTGGGCGACTTTGGTCTGGCCCGCGCCTTCGGTATCCCCGTCAACACCTTCTCCAACGAGGTCGTCACGCTTTGGTACCGCGCTCCGGATGTCCTCCTCGGCAGCCGCACCTATAACACCAGCATCGACATCTGGTCTGCCGGGTGCATCATGGCTGAGATGTATACCGGCCGTCCGCTGTTCCCCGGCACCACCAACGAGGACCAGCTACTGAAGATCTTCCGGCTGATGGGAACCCCCTCGGAGCGCTCGTGGCCCGGGATCTCGCAGCTGCCCGAGTATAAGCCCACCTTCCATGTGTACGCGACTCAGGATCTGGGCGTGCTCTTGCCGCAGATTGACCATCTCGGCCTGGATCTCCTGAACCGGATGCTCCAGCTGCGCCCGGAGATGCGGATCAGCGCCACTGATGCCCTGCAGCACCCCTGGTTCCACGATCTCCCCCAGCTTCAGGCCCAATTGCAGCAGCAACAGCAGCAGCAGATGGCGGGCGCGTATGGAGGCATGGTCCCGCCTCAACCGGCATACTAGCACGTTCCTAGGTGCCCACAATCAAGACTGCGCGTAACGAGATGACGAGCTCGACTTAGACAATCGGAAACGGGACGGATCCGGCGTTATACCCGATGATGGGGGTTTCTTTAGTTCGCTTTTTTCTTCTTGTGTTCTATGCTTCTGCTTTGCATGTTGCTGTTTCATTTCTCTCTTCTTGCTGTTCATGCCGGCTTTTCACCTATTGAGGTTATTATATGGAAGACCACAGAGTGTGTAGTCTGTGTACATTTAGTTGCATAGGCTCACTGCGCATCATACGTTGCGTCGACAGCAGCTGTTTTTAAAAGCTTACCCACGGAGCCATGTTCATCTTCCTCAAATAGCTACTCTTGGGAGACCTATCTATGATCGCTATATGCGACATTCAAAAGTAGGTAAGAGCGAATAGGTGTAAGCAGCAGTATACCACGACCGGGCCACGTTTGTCTTGTACCCCCTCGAGTGTAGTCTCTCGGGGAGCTGTGCCGGTGTCAAATCGGAGCCAAGCTGCTAACTCCAACTAGCACATCACATACAACGGACTTTACATCTGTGCAACCAGACTAGGCGCGAAATACCTCATTGTTCGCTCGGTGAGAATTGCGGGCCCGGTGCCGTTCTGAGAAGGAATCTTGAGCCACGCGGGGTGCGGGTTGATGTTTCGTTGATATTTTGCGTTTCAGAAGCACTCTAGTCCTCTTCCGGATTTATGGGGTTGTCTTCTCCTTCTGCTCGTCCACGGCATTACCAGCCGACCGGCATTTCAATTTTAACGGCCTTTGCCATGATTGGCTCCTGCATTGGCTCCTGCGGTCCTGCAAGATACGGCGGTACCTCCGCCACCATGGCACAGCGCCGATGGATGTACACCGATCCGTCCACTCATCCATCTGAGACCCAACAAGGATAGTCAATCACTGTTACACTGAACCGCTCCCATCGACCCTGTGCTCCACGTCCAGGATGATCTCCACCATTCCAACACATCGAACACATCGAACACCCTTCTCCTCATTCTGCATCGGGCCCTTCACCCACGACAGCAACACCGGGGTCTCCGCAGCTTCCGGATCATTGCGGGGCGCCGGACGATCGCCGGCCAGCTATTGGCTTCAGCCAATCTATGCCCACGACGCGCGCCTGCCATGCCCATGTGGACAGTCCTCGCGTGCCCCTCTCAGAAGAACCGGGGGCGGCGTTTGTCTGCAGAGCAGTCGGCTTCTCCTTTGTCCTCGTGTCGCTAATGAGCTATCCATCCCGACTGGTACCTTCTCTGCCAGGGAGCCGTGGTTGACACGGCATTATGCAAAATTGGGCCGGTCCCGGGAGGCCATGGCATTGTTACTTGCTTATTGGTTGTTCTGTGGACGGAAGCTCGGAATATCAACGGGGCCCACTACCCCGGGGCCTCCGAGCGAAGTGTGGCGGGGATCCCATCATTAGCGGGAATACATCGTGATCGTCTTTGCTTCTACTGCTTTATGGATCCTCTTCATCTCACTATTCCCCTTTCGCCAACGCTAGCGCGGCTAGACCTTGCTGGTGCTCGCCTCAACTAACTCATAGTACTGGGATGACATGACACAATGGTGCCCTCGGAGCGACAGTTATCTGCGATCTCGATCACAGAGCGCATCTGCTCGGCGGTCTCGCTGGCCAGCACATCCGTTATCGTTGTTACTTTTATCAGCTCGCCTTCATTCCGGAAGCCGATCAATCGCTTGGTCTTTTATGCTTCCTGGGGCAATATCATGGCGAATATAGCCACGCTGATCTCGCAGTCGGGCATCCATGCTGGTGTAGGCAGTCCGCTGTGCCAGTTCCAGGCTTTTTTAATTCAATGGTGAGGGGTTTTGCGCTGTCTTTACCTTCTCTCCGGGCCCTTTCGCATCTAATTCGATCGTGCCATGCATAGGTTTATGCCTGCGGATGCACTGTGGACGTTTGCGATGGCTTGCAACGTCTACCTGACCTTCTTCCACCAATATAACTCCGAGCAACTGCGCCAGCTGGAATGGAAGTACGTGGTCTGTTGCTACGGTCTACCATTCTTCCCGGCCTTCTTATACTTTTTCATCCACACACAAACGCGCGGCCGAGTGTACGGCTCGGCTATTGTAAGACTACCTGCAAAACATCCATCCATGTATGCATCCCCGCTCCCTAACATTGCTCACAGCTATGGTGCTGGATCGCCCTCCCATGGGACTACCTCCGGATCGCCATTTTCTACGGCCCCGTGTGGTTCGTCATCTCCCTCACCTTCGCTATCTACCTGCGCGCCGGCACGGTGATATACCAGAAACGGCGGCAGCTGCGGGCCCTCCAGGACATCGACTCTCTCGACACAGTGACCCAACCGGACGCTCCGCTTGTCAGGCTCGCCTCTATCCAGGTGACCAGTGAAATCGCTTGTTCCACGTCGACCACGTTCGCCCCGTACTCGGTTACCATCGAGGGCGGCACGATGGATCCGATCAGTAGGTGTCAGAACTCGGAAGAACTATTCGCGCCCGTGCAGGGGTCCAGCCCGTGGCCAAGTCCGCCTCCGCTTCGCTCCAAGCTGTTAGTGAAAACGTCGCGGTCTGAGGAGATAGACGCGTACTCTCAGCGTCGTGCAACAGCTACAGAAAATACCTCCGCTGCGTGGGCATACACGAAATACGCGATGCTGTTTTTTATAGCGCTGCTCGTGACATGGGTATGATTGTACTCTCCATTCCCGCTCCATATTGTTACCGCAGTGCCCTTTTCGGGCAACGCCTGACTATGTGTAGGTCCCTTCCACGGTGAATCGAGTCTATGCTCTCGCATACCCCGAGAAATTTTCTTTCGGACTGAACTACGCATCATCTTTTGTGCTTCCTTTGCAAGGGTTTTGGAATAGTTTGATCTATGTTTCGGTTTCATGGCCGGTGTTTAGAACTCTTTGGAGGAACCTGCGGCTGCGTATGCATAGCCTACCAATCTGTGAAGTATTATGATTTGTTACTTATATTTAGAAGAGTTACGTGAGTTTGATTATATTACGAATGAGTTGTACTGTTGTGAGAGACAAAGAGAGAGTTCATATACGGTGTAGTTATAGTCCAGCCGTTGGAAAAAGTGGGTCCATACCAAACTGTATCACGTGTCTGGCGCGTCGCGGTGCCTTCGAGGTATCCCCAAAGCTCGAGATCCCAAGTGCCAGCACCCAAAACCAGCACCCTTCCCAGCCAAGATCAGCAGAACTCAACCCGTCGACCCTGCACGGTCCAGTCCAACCACAGCTATCCCGCACACACCATGGCAGGGCCCAATTCACACCCGCCCCAACACCAACCCGCACCCACAGCCTCGCACTCACAAACACCCGGTCTACGCGCCTCGCGCCTGCACCAAGTCTTCGATCAAGCACTGGCGCGCACGCTGCGTGCAAACTCATATTCCAACTTCGCTGGTTGTTTCCCCACTCCGGCGCGGCATGTCCCTGCTAGTCTGGAGAGTGTGTGGAGGCAGTTGAACGCGAAGCTGGAGGAGAGCGCTAAGGCGGAGTTCGAGGAGATTATTGAGGAGCGGCAGGCTGTGAGGCACTTGAATGAGTTGGATCGGTTGGTTGAGGAAGCGAAGGCGAGGAGGGAGAGTGGGAGTGCCGCCGAGAATGGAAACGGGCAGCAGCAGCAGCAGCAGCTTGGCAATGCGTATGTTTCTGCTTGTAGTTCGTGTTTTGGCATCACTATTTGCGCTTTTTGATTTGCTTACAAGCTATGCTTTGCGTCTTTTATGTTTGCATGACTAATTTCGGTCATTCTGCAGCCCGCACACCCTCGGCGCGGAAGAACTCTACACGGCGCACCTGACGCCGTACCTGCAGGAAGCACAGTCGACGCTGAATAGCAGGCTCGAGGAGACACATGCGCAGAATGCGAAGTTGGCGCAAACGGTGCAGGCGCAGAGGCTGGAAATTGAGACCCTCTTGGCGCACCTTGAGTCCGTTGTCACAGATATCGAGGGCGCTGCTACGGCGGCTACGGAGTTCAGCAAGGAGCACCATATTCGCCAAGACGCGGTCCAAATGGATGAGGAAGTCAATGCTCGGCCGGGGATATAAGGGGTTGTCATTCCTTTCTTCCGTCTTTGCGTTCTACTGCTAGACCGTTCATGAGATCAGGGCGCTCATCTCTGTGCCTTCTACCATTCCGTCCTCCACCATGTCTTGAGCCACCGCGATCACCTGCTCGAGCGAGGTCGCCTTGATCTGATCCAGCTTGGTCTTCTGGCCCTCCACCGCAGCGGCAATGGCCTCTTTGATCGACCCGTCGCGCGCAGCCTCCGCCTCTCCGTCCCGGCGAGCCAGGGCCGCTGCGCCGCGGTAGTACGTTTGTGCGTTACGCAGGAGCATGGGGCCATGCTCCTGAGCCACGGCATGGTTCCAGGGCGCACGGCCCAGTCGCCATCGCTGCATCTCCGCATCTCCGCGTGCGAGGTGGATCTTAGGCAAGTTGTCGGCGCTCGGCAGCTTCGACGCGGCGGCTAATGCGTCCAACGCGCTCGACAGCGATTGCCATCGCACAGCGCAACAGAGCTTGAAGGTTTCGGGGTCCTCGGCCGGAGGCACGTCTGCAAGGGCCCCGTTCAGCGAGGTCAGTGCCTCGGCTTTGCTGCACAGTCCTTCTGGGTCACTCGACACATCCAGCTCGGGCCCGAACGCCCGTCCGACCTCCTGCTGGTAGGTCTGCACGTCCGTGTGGCCACCCCGGTACAGGACATCGTGCAGCGCACAGATGAACTTGGCCTGCGCGAGGCCCGCCTCATACTGCCGGTCGGATCCTTCGACATACGCTGGGAGCCGGGTTTCGATCAGCTCCGCAGAGTACTCTTGCACCCAGCCCACGCCGCCGGCGCCGGGGTTGAACGTCAGTATATTGCACAGCGCAGTCAGCGTATCCAGCTGCGCCACCACTGAGTCGACCAGCGTGTTCTTCGTGACCGGCTCAATGATCGCAGCCCACTGCTCCTGCGCCTCCTCGCCGGACCCGCTCTCGGCTGGCTGCAGCGGTGGCTGCGGCTCGGCTGGCTGGGCCGGCTCGGGAGCCGGAGCTTCCATCTCCCCCGACTCCATCTGCATAATCTGCTCCTCCATCTCGGTATACTTCATCTCCTGCAGCGCTAAACATCGCTGGAACAGCTCGACCGCCTCCTGCAGGTACGTGCTGGCCTGCACTAGCTGCTCCCCATCGGGGTGCTTGGAGTCCGTCATCACTTCGGCTAGACTGTTCAGCACCTGGCCGCTGTTGAACAGCGCGTCGGCATTGTCCTGCTCCAGGTGAAGCGCGTCCCGGTGCGACTGCAGCGCCACCTGCAGGAGCTCGGCCTGCGGCGCGGACAGTTGCGCCGCTAGCTTGGGGTGCTGTGTGATTTCGTATTGGACCCGGGCTCTGGTTGGGGGGGGAAGGGAAGCCGGATGTTAGCTGATGTCCATGTCACATAGATCACCCTGGACCAGGGATAGAACCACAATATAATGCTTGTATGATGCGTGAGAGAGAATGTGCCAGCAATGCCACACTCCATCTTCCAGCCTCCATCCTCGACCGGGGGGTGAACTATTGCAGTTGAATTCGGGAATGACGTACTTGTTGTAGGCTAGGTCAAACGCACCCGGGTGCTTCTGCAGCCCTTCGTCGTAGTTGGCAATGGCCTTCATAAAGAAGCGCATGGACTTGGCGGCGTCGCCGGCTCGCCATTTCTCCCCGGCCTCTTCTAACTCGACGCCCACTGTTTCAGTGGTTAGCTAAGTAAACTATCTACAGCCCTGTTTCCTCAGACGTCCGTGCTTTTCCTTCCTCATGGGGCAATTTGCCTACCTGCGAGATAGTCATCGGCCGTCACGGGCAGCTGTTGGCGTCAGTAGCTATTCGCACGTACTTTGCGGATACCATCCTCAGTATGGATGGATGAGGGGTGGTGGGGTCGATGCTAATGCTACCAGAATGCGGCAGTCGGCTTACCTGCTTCGCAGCGCTCTTCTTCTTGGACTTGGATTCCTTAAGGAAGGTCTTGGGTCTCGGCATTGTGTGGCGTGCCCTGCGGTGTCCAGAGTATAGAGGTATGGCGGGGCAAATCACAATAACACGGCGATCAGTTCAGACCGTCGCGGTGTTCCAGGCGAGCTCGTCTGTAGCCTGTGAGTCTGTTGTCCGTAGCCTTAGTCTGTGACCTCAGTCCGTAGATAGTTAGGTCGGTGCCCGCGCTGGGACAAAGGGGCCGAGTCTGATTGTGGCCGGGCAGCGAATAGGAAAGGTTCGTCAGGTTGTGCAGCTCCACGGATGATGACAGCTTTTTTATCCGCTGCCAAGACTCTGGAGCTCCCGGTTAGTTACTGGCTTAGAGTTACGGGCAAGGGCTTACCCCTATACCAGGGGTCCTCTAACTATAGCTACCGAGTAGGTCAAGTTGAGTCTACCAAAGTCTCTCTCTCTTTCTCTCTCTCTCTGTACGGATTCTAATCTCTACCTCGTGGTGGCGCCTTCCTCTCGGAGGCTGATTTAACTGATTCTCCGCCCCGTGGTAAATACACTGCGACTACGGAAAACTACAGTATACACGGTACCTTTAACGTGGCGCTACCAGTAGTGAGCCCTCAGACCTCTCCTGGAGACTGAATCCACTCCACATTCCACCCAGTGGGAATTTACTCATCTCCATCCTGGCCGATCCGCAGCACGTGGCAAAGTTCCACCGGGGCAGCCCGTAATCCTCGTGAATAATGTTAAAGTTCATCCTGTTCGTCGTTCTGACGGAAATTAGCCTGTGGCACAAGATGTGTAGAAAGTAGTAGAAACTTCAGAGCGTGGAGATCCCTGCGAGGTTATTCTGGCCCCTGTCATCATCCTCATCTCCGTACGAAGACGTCCGTCCAGACCGACTCTCTTGACTATCCTGCCTACCACCAGCTGCCCCGGCAAGCGATCATCTCCATTTGGGTAGTTCCTTCAGCAGATCCCTCGGCATCTGCTCTCCGGCCTCCTTCCTCTCTTCATCTGACCTCCTTTCCCATTCCCCCCGCTGGACCCACTCGCGCCGTTTCGGCCCTGTTAGTCGCCTGAGTCTCATCCAGAACCCCAGTCGCCCGGGGCTGCACGTCGTGTTTCAGTCCCGCTCTTCGTGTGCTCTTCTTCGCCTTTTCCTTTCCTCTTTCGCCCTCCTACTAGACCCTTACCCGCAGATTCGCTACCCGCCTTGTAGGTGATGATCCCCTGCCCAAGAATGCGGCTTGGCTCAGCCTGGAGACGATCCCTGCTAATTTGCTCATTCTGCTAGCAGGGAGAAAATTCCTTATCTACTTGGCTCAACGACAGCGCTTCAAAACGTCGCCGTTTCCCCTCCTGCAGATATGGCCCGCCATCCGTCTCTCGACTCTGAGCGGCCCATCATGTCCCATTCGGTACGCCTACCCCCTTACCCCTCTCTTTCCCTCCCCCCCCCTTGTTCCCTTCGCTCTGCTCGACAGGATCAATGCTGACCAGATGTGCCTAGAATCGAAACTCCAAGCGCTTCTCAACTATCAGCGGCAGCCCGTCGTTCGCCAACTCCGACCGCACCATCGGCAGCCTGCCCAGCGGAGACCCCAGAGTCGCCGACATCACCCACCTCGGCGATGGCCTCGAGCGCCTGGAGAACAAGCCCCTGCAGGCGCAGCGTTTTGTACCCACTGCAGAGAAGACCGATAACCTGAACAAGCTGGCTCTGGGTGCCAAGGTGGAGCGCGCGCTGGGACGAAGAATGACCAGCCAGGATGCGGTGATGCGCAAGCCGGTGCTGAGCGAGAAAGCCGCGGCTGCCACGACCACGTCCTAGCCGACTAAGCTGGAAGATCTCAAAGTCCCTGCGCAGCCCGTTAGTCCTTATACATACGTGGCGGCGGACGTTGTCATTTATCTAATCTTGCTTTTTTGTTTTTTTTGTTTTTTTTCCTCCCCAGCGAACCTCCCCAGCGAAGAAACTCTACGATCGCTTTCCTTTGTTTGACCATCGAACCCTCTCACGTCCTATGCCATTCATACATCATACCCCATCCTTCATTGAGTTCTTCCTGTGGCGTTTTGAACCTGCTATGATATTTGCATGACCCGTCCCGTTTCTTGTCTAATATATCTTGCCTGGCCTTGATTGGTTGTCTTGGATTTTAGGTTCCTTTTCTCGATCTCCTCTATATATCATATCTGGGAATATACTATGAACGCTACCTCGTATTAGATTGGGCTGTCGCAAGGAAATTCTCGTGTCTGGTGTACCTAGAGATGGGTGGTGGTAAACACCATTCAGCGCGCCGACTAAGCGATCCCCAAGCAAGATAAACTTGTTTTCCCCTCTTTGACGTGAAGGGGATTCTCCATCTCGTCATGAATCCTCGTCTCCCATCTTTGACGAAACACACAAGTTCTCATACCTTTCTTTGTCATCTCGCCATCGTGACCTCACATCGACATCGACCGTTCTGTCATCCCATTTCTGCCGGGCGGTGAGCCCGGTGCCAAGCCCACGCGAAACCCGCACGGAGTCTTCGCAGTCGAAAGAAGTCGCTTTTTCCTCGAAGGCGAATTTCCCCAACAGCTTCGTTTCTGTCTCTGCTTCCCTCCTCCTCCACCCCTCCCATCCCGGCTTATAGTCGACCGCTATCCTCAGCATCCTCCAGCCTTGCGCTCAGCTGCTATCCCTCCTCTTCCGCCGTGGTCCATCCCGCACAAGAGTCATTTTTCCCTGCCCTCTCACACGTCAACCTATACTTCCCGCCACCCTCTCCGCAGCTTCAAAGAGTGTCCTTGTTTTTTTTCCTTCTCCCTGCCCTCTTCCTTTCTTCCCTTCCTTTTGTACCTCTCAATTGATTGCATTGGTGCCTGGTCGATTTCGCATTGTAAGTGCGCCACTCCACTCCACCTCTCCCCATCGGGTTCCGGAACCGTAATGGACAAGCGACGAGAGAGAGAGATTGATACCAAGACTAACTAGACCTCCAGTGAAGCGAGCGGGAAAGACCCAGATCCATCTAGATCTTTTTATTATTCGCAGCTTTATCTCCTTGTTAGAAGCTCATCCAGCTAGCTCTTCTTAGCTGTCTATCGACCGTCCCCACCATCGCACGGCCACTCTAATTTTGATCCCATCCCGTCTTCCTTCCTCTCGGGCTCGAATATCACAACCCCTTCCATCCAAAATGGCCGACATGACCCAGGTTCCCATCAACGGCAACTATGCCGCCCAGCATGGCTTCCCCGACTCCTTCAACCCCGCCCACGCTGCCATGAACACCGCCGCCAATTTCCAGCCCGCCCAGTCCTCCACTCCTACCACCGCCACTCCCACCGAACAGCAGAAGAATGAGATCACCAAGGACGAGGTGGGCTGGTTCTTTGTCGAGCAGTACTACACCACTATGAGCCGCAACCCAGACAAGCTGCACCTCTTCTACTCCAAGCGCTCCCAGCTGGTTTTCGGCACCGAGGCCGAATCCGTGCCTGTCGCTATCGGTACCAAGGTGAGTTGATTTTCGGCCCAACATCTATACCCTATGAGGGGCGGGGGGTGTTTTCAATGTGCATCATTCTAACGACATTTTCTGCTCCTGCTCAGGCCATCAACGACAAGATCAAGGCCCTTGACTTCCAGGACTGCAAGGTCCGCGTCCTGAACGTTGACTCCCAGGCTTCCTTCGACAACATCCTGGTCTCTGTCATCGGTGAGATCTCCAATAAGTCGGAGCCCTCGCGCAAGTTCATCCAGACCTTTGTCCTGGCTGAGCAGCCCAACGGCTACTACGTTCTCAACGACATTTTCCGCTACCTGGTGGAAGAGGCCGAGGCCGAGGCCGAGACTGTGTCTGAGGACGCTGCTGCCCCCGCTATCGCCGAGGTCCCCGAGGTCGTTGAGACCGCCCCTGCGGCCGAGGAGGCTCAGGTCACCGACGAGGCCGCCGCCACCAAGGTTGGTGAGAAGCTGGAGAAGGAGGCCAATGGCGAGACCGAGCAGCCTGAGGAGGTCGCGCCCCAAACCAACGGTACTCCTGCCCAGGAGGAGGTTGAGGCCCCCGCTCCCGTTGTGAAATCTGAGGATCTGAAGGACGAGGAGCCCCTGACCCCCGAGCCCTCTCCCGCTCCCGCCCCCGAGCAGAAGGAGGTCCCCGCCGAGAAGGAGGCTGCCCCGGCCGCTCCCGTCCCCGCGGTCCCCAAGACCTGGGCCAGCATCGCCTCCAAGGTCACTGCTGCTAAGGCTGCTGCTGCTGCTGCCGCCGCCGCCGCTGCCGCGCCTGCAGCCCCTGCTCCTACTCCGGCTGCTGCTCCTGCTCCTGCTGCTGCGGCTGCTGCCCCCAAGGCCAACGCTCCCGCCGCCACTGGCTCGGCTTCAACCGCCCCTCGGGCTGCTGCCACTCCTACTCCCGCTGCTGAGAAGGACGCTACCGCCACCGATAGTGCTGGCTGGCAAACCGCCGGTGCTGACCACAAGAAGACCCAGTCTCGCGCCGGTGAGGAGCAGGTCGTCCTAGGCTATATGAAGAATGTCACCGACAAGGTCGATGCTGGTCTCTTGAAGCAGACCCTGAGCCGCTTCGGCAAGCTGAAGTACTTCGACGTCAACCGCCCCAAGGTTCGTATCCTACCCCCCTTCACCCCTTTGGCACATGTCATATCTCCCCCGTACCAATCGCTAACGCCATCCTTCAGAACTCCGCCTTTGTCGAGTTCGCTGAGCCCTCCGCCTACGCCGCTGCCGTCGCTGCCAACCCCCACCAGATCGGCACCGAGCAGATTGTTCTCGAGGAGCGTCGCCCCCGCACCAACGCCTTCGGCAACGGCTTCCAGGCTGGTCGTGGCGGTGGCCGCGGTGGTCGTGGTGACCGTGGCGGCAGCCAGGGTCGTGGTGGCTTCCAGCGTGATGGCCGTGGCGGCTTCGCGCCTCGCGGTCGTGGCGGCAATGCGGCTGCCAAGGCCCGCAACGGCGCCCCGGCTGCTTAAGCGTTTTTCACTGCCTACGAAACAACTAGCTTCCGGTAGAGGTTGAGTTTGAGTTCGCGCTCGAGCTTGAGCTTGAGCTTTGTGCTCTTCTGCTCGCGGTGCGGGGTTTCTCCCGCGCGCCTCGACCCAATCTCGATCCCTCTCTCTACGTACACTTTTGACGGCTGCATCTTCCGGAAATCTGTATTACTCCCGATTTTGATTTCTTTTCTCCCGTCTTCCCCTTTTGGTGCTCTCCTCTTTTCCTTTTCCTAATGACATGTGTTATGTGACTTCCCCCTACCCCCCTATTTTTTCCTGTCTCCTGTCACAGTGCATATTAGCGGTTGGGTCCGGGTTGGCTGGAAAAGTTGTGTCTTCTTTCCTTCCCTCTCTGGGCACTTTGTTATCTTGATCCTTGTTTTTTGCCCTTGTGTCGTTTCTCTCCTCAACCCTATTCTTTTCTCCTTTACTTCGTGTGGTTTGGTTTGGCTTGGCTGTTCGTGTCCTTCGGTTCCACCATTCTCTGCCCTATATTTCTCTCCTCCTATCTTCATCTTCTCTCTTGTTCTTTTTTTTTGCCACGAGCCTCCGTTCCGCCACGACGAGTCTATATCGCATCTTTTATCTAGCATAGCAAGCTCAGGGTTTTGCGGTGTCGCACCATCCGGTCTCTTGTCTCTTGGTTTCTATGTCTTCGTTTCCGTCTTCTCCTTGTTCTCCTTTGCCGTGTGGATGGGACTGGGGGGCTCGGGGTCTTGTAAATGGTATGGTAGATAGGTGGGGGTTGAGAGATACAGTGGAAGGTTGGGGCGGGGCTGGGCTGGTCTGACCTGCCCTGGTCCGGTTCTGCGTTACTACCAGCAATATCAGATGTACCTTCACTACCCCTGGACCCAGCTGTGCTGTGCGTCCTCGTACTACATTACCGAGTCCGTGTATACTCGTCGACGGGGGACTAGAGTTAACACCTGCTAGCAACAGCCGGCGAAGGTTCTAGACTTCTGGCTGCCTGGGGAATCAGGCATCCAGCATCCAGCAGAGCTCCCGCGACGAGAGAAAGCAGCCCGACAGGGCGTTCCCCGGAGCTGCTAGGCAGAAGACCAGGGGGGAAAAAGCAATGACCAGAATCTGCTAGAAAGCCAGCCCAGCGTGGAGCCGCTCACTAGCTTGCCGTGCGTTGCTGGGGGCCAAGTTGCCTGACCGACCAGCGGTGGAAGACGCTGGATCACCGTAGAACCACCGCTGAATCCACCAGAATTTTTTGGGGAACACAAAAAGCTCCTTCTTTTATCTCCCTTCGCTGCTCTGGTTCTCTCCGGCAGTTCTTCTCTTTTCTTCTCTACATCCTTCCTGTACGTGTCTCCCCCCCCCCCCTCTACAGCACTTCCTCTCTTCCCATCACCATCCGCACCGCTTGTTCCACTCCCACCTCTGCCCCCTCTTGCCCTTTCCCCACCTCTTCTTCTAGTCGATCTGCAAAACCATCCACCCGGTCCGAAAATCTGGAAATCTGAGAATCCTCTGAACTTCCTTTCCACGCACTCTCTCTCACACACTCTCACATTCACCCTTCCTCGATCTCCGTTGATCCTCTCTCCATCTTCAACATCTTCAATTCGCAATCTCTAACCGTTCACCCCCGGCCACAGAATCACTACCGCCATCATGCCCGAGACTTTCGAGTTCCAGGCTGAGATCTCTCAGCTGCTCTCGCTGATCATTAACACTGTCTACTCCAACAAGGAGATCTTCCTGCGTGAGCTGATTTCCAACGCCTCCGATGCGCTGGACAAGATCCGCTATGAGTCCCTCTCGGACCCCTCCAAGCTGGACTCCCACAAGGACCTCCGCATCGACATCATCCCCGACAAGGAGAACAAGACCCTGACCATCCGGGATACCGGTATTGGTATGACCAAGGCTGTAAGTCACCGCAAAACCCCTTCCCCCAAGCACCAATCATCCCAGCTTCACTGTTCACCACACGAGAGAAAGGCCCCCAAGGCTAATTTTTTCCCCTTCCATAGGACCTCATCAACAACCTGGGTACCATTGCCCGCTCCGGCACCAAGCAGTTCATGGAGGCCCTGTCCGCCGGTGCGGACATCTCCATGATCGGTCAGTTCGGTGTTGGTTTCTACTCTGCCTACCTGGTTGCCGACAAGGTCACCGTCGTCTCCAAGCACAACGATGACGAGCAGTACATCTGGGAGTCCGCCGCCGGCGGTACCTTCACCCTCACCCAGGATACCGAGGGCGAGCAGCTCGGCCGTGGTTCCAAGATCGTCCTCCACCTGAAGGATGAGCAGATGGACTACCTCAACGAGGCCCGCATCAAGGAGGTTGTCCGCAAGCACTCCGAGTTCATCTCCTACCCCATCTACCTTCACGTCCTGAAGGAGACCGAGAAGGAGGTCCCCGATGAGGATGCTGAGGAGGAGGAGGGTGACGAGAAGAAGCCCAAGGTCGAGGAGGTCGATGAGGAGGAGGAGAAGAAGGAGAAGAAGACCAAGACCATCAAGGAATCCAAGATCGAGGAGGAGGAGCTCAACAAGACCAAGCCCATCTGGACCCGCAACCCCACCGACATCACCCAGGAGGAGTACGCCTCCTTCTACAAGTCGCTCTCCAACGACTGGGAGGACCACCTGGCCGTCAAGCACTTCTCCGTCGAGGGTCAGCTCGAGTTCCGCGCCATCCTCTTCGTTCCCAAGCGCGCTCCCTTCGACCTGTTCGAGACCAAGAAGACCAAGAACAACATCAAGCTCTACGTGCGCCGTGTCTTCATCACCGACGACGCTACCGACCTCATCCCCGAGTGGCTCAGCTTCGTGAAGGGTGTCGTCGACTCCGAGGACCTGCCCCTCAACCTGTCTCGTGAGACCCTCCAGCAGAACAAGATCATGAAGGTCATCAAGAAGAACATTGTCAAGAAGACCCTCGAGCTCTTCCAGGAGATCGCCGAGGACCGCGAGCAGTTCGACAAGTTCTACTCCGCCTTCAGCAAGAACATCAAGCTCGGTATCCACGAGGACGCCCAGAACCGCCCCGCTCTGGCCAAGCTCCTGCGCTACCAGTCTACCAAGTCTGGTGACGAGCAGACCTCCCTCACCGACTACGTGACTCGCATGCCCGAGCACCAGAAGAACATCTACTACATCACCGGCGAGTCCATCAAGGCCGTCTCCCAGTCTCCCTTCCTGGACACCCTCAAGCAGAAGAACTTCGAGGTTCTCTTCCTGGTCGACCCCATCGACGAGTACGCCTTCACCCAGCTGAAGGAGTTCGACGGCAAGAAGCTGGTCGACATCACCAAGGACTTCGAGCTTGAGGAGACCGAGGAGGAGAAGGCCGAGCGCGAGAAGGAGGAGAAGGAGTACGAGGAGCTGGCCAAGGCCCTCAAGAACATCCTCGGCGACAAGGTCGAGAAGGTCGTCGTCTCCCACAAGCTGATGGGCGCCCCCTGCGCCATCCGTACCGGCCAGTTCGGCTGGTCCGCCAACATGGAGCGCATCATGAAGGCCCAGGCCCTCCGTGACACCTCCATGTCCTCCTACATGTCCTCCAAGAAGACCTTCGAGATCTCCCCCAAGTCTTCCATTGTCAAGGAGCTCAAGAAGAAGGTCGAGGCCGACGGCGAGAACGACCGTACCGTCAAGTCCATCACCCAGCTGCTCTTCGAGACCTCGCTGCTGGTCTCTGGCTTCACCATTGACGAGCCTGCCAGCTTCGCTGAGCGCATCCACAAGCTGGTCTCTCTCGGTCTGAACATCGATGAGGATGCTGAGACTGCTGATGAGAAGGCCACCGAGGCTGCCGCCCCGGCTGAGGCGACTGGCGAGTCTGCCATGGAGGAGGTCGACTAGATGCAATCTCCAATCCGGTTTTGAAATCGATTAGCTTAGGATATGTTCCTCGTCTTCCTTCTTTTTCAAAACATGTTTTTTTTTGCTGGCTTGTTTAACAAAGTTCTTACGGGAAATGGGAAACGGGATTATGACCCTTGATGTTTTTTTATCGCTGTCTTTTTTCAACTTTTCAATCAAGATGACCTACACTTTCTACTTGACTTACATCTTGTGGCTTTCTACTTTTGGCATGGCTCTATGACCGTGTGCTCACATAGATTTAGTTTTCGTTCTTGATTGGGCGTTGGCTTTGAATGTAGACGTGTCCGTCGCTTGAAGTTAGGATGAGATTTGAATGCCATTGCTCTGTTCTATGCTTGAATTTACCATTGATAGAAGCACCGCTTCTCCACATCATGTAGCCGAGATCTGTGTACAATTTTGGCGTTGGGATGAGAACGCGAAGCCCTCAGTGAGTACCTTCTAATATCCTTATACGATAGCAAATCTACACTCTTCCCGATAATCCGACGCCAATCATGGTTTTAGATCACTGCTTCGTTGTTTCTTCCCCGTTAGCAATCTTCAAGCTAGATAGAGAAGGAGACTAGAGGCCTATCTACAGTAGCTTTTTGGTTGTAACTGCTGTTCCCGATCTGTATCCACAATAACACACACCTTTGTATTTCATACCCTGCGCCAGTGCCCTCCCCCAAAGGAGTGGGCCACCCATCATGAAAGACCCCCGACGAGATCCACAAATCGTACGGTCGGCTTCACCTCGGGACCATTCTCGGCGATTTGCCTGCTCCACCTCGGCCTCACCGAGATACTTGCGGGCCCAGGGGACGAGCGCGGGCGTGCTGTGTAGGCGATAAAGCTCTGCCCTCGCATACCCCGCGGAGGGGCAACCTACCCGCCTGCAGCTACACACCGACCCCCCCTCCCAACCAACCTAGCCTAACAAAGCTCAACTCTCAGATCACAAATCTAGGCACAAGATCACAATTCAAAATGGTCTACACAATCGTCGTTCGTACGTGACTCTGGCCCGTGACGCTTCCCTCACCCTCACCCTCACTTTATTTCCACTATCTTGGGAACCTGTCCACTAACCACCACACAACCCCCTTAGACCTTCGCGCAAAGCCAGACGAAGAGTCGATCTCCAAGCTGCACGCAAAGCTCCTCGAGGCCTCGGTCGTTTACTCCCAAGACAAAGAGACCTTGTCCTGGTTCGTGATGCAGTCCGTCCACGACAGGCAGGACTTCACCATTGTCGAGCGCTACCTGCACGAGTCCTCGCAGCAGTACCACCTGAACAACCCCTACTGGAAGACCTTTGATCCCTATGTGATCCCGCTGCTGGAGAAGGAAATGGATTTGCGCCGCTTTGAGGAATTGGATCCTGCTGAGACGAATTGACGGTGTATATATAAAAGCGGGCTGGATATCCAAGACAGCGGTCAAGATGCTGGCTATGATATCATGATATAGATATATTGCCGATGAAAGACTTATGCGATGTTTTTGAAGTTTGATTTATATTCTGGTGGCTATGCGGTCTAGCCCTATCATTCCCTCCTCTGGGAGAGCAGAGAGAAGTGCAATCAAACGCCCAAACACCCAAACGCCCAAACACTAGAAACACCAGCACCAACACCAGCAGCGAATACCAGGGGATAAGGAACTGCGGAGATGACCACCAGAAAGAATACGCTCCAGCCCGCCAGCACGCTTTTCTTCCATCAATCTTCATCCTCAAATCAGGGTCGGTGCGGGAGACTCATTTCCCTCATGCCCATCCATGGCGTTGGAACGCCATCCCGGAAAAGAGAGGAGGAAGTCACCGCTCCACACCCCCGTACAAGTAGTCTAGATGCAGATCCGGCAGACTCCGCGTCGGTAGTCCCCACGACCTCGCTAACCACAGCGCCAGCCCGCCCACCACCCCGACACTCCCGACAATCTGGACAATAACCCAGCCACGCCGCCCGATATCGTCGATCCACCCAACCACGCCGAGCGGATCATGCGCACTCAGACCAGCAACGCGGTACTTCTTCCCGTTATCACTGCAAGCCCGCACGGCATTCGGCCCGCTGCCACTCTTCTCGGTGCTCGGAATGTGAAGCCCGCAGAACCCGGGCGTCTGCGAGATGGGCACCAGTGAGCCGTCGATGACGCACTCGCTAAGTCGCTCCGTCAGCCAGACGGCGCGGTCTCCGCGCGCCATCGCCGCGTACCGCTCCCGTTCATTTTGCAGGCTGCGTTGCAGGTCCGTCGCCCACTGCGCGAGTCGCACCTGCGCCATGTGCTCTTCGTGCCGTGTGTAGTCTGTGAGTCGCGCCATTGCATACGTGGATGGTGACTCGCCGAGAGAGGAGATAGACGAGTTCATGGACATCCCGGAGGCAGCGCGCCATCCCACGCCGGCTGGGGTAGCACCGGACAGTGCGTTGGGAAGCGGGCCAGGCGATGGCGGTACGGCGGGGAAGTCGCCGCGCCGTTGAGCGAGCTTCTTAGCGGCTGAGTGGCGCAGCCAGGCGAGATTATCCCGATCAAATAGTTTCAGTACCAAGGTGTCCAGTTCGGATGGGACGAGAGGCTGTTCGTAGTCTGGGCTCATGAGGGTGCTGGCGTCCATTACTTCCAGGTCGGTGGTTTTCTTGGAGGACACTGCGTAGGGTGGTTGCGGGTCCCGGTCGTCTAGGTCTCCGGTGAGCGAGTCGCCGAACATGAAAGGCTTGATTCCGGCATCTCGGGCCTTCTGGTGGAATTGTTCTTTGATAGTGACAATCTGCTCGGTGGAGAGTGTGTCTGCCTTGGCCACAACTGGAATAACATTGCTTAGCTCGCAGAGCTTGCGGATGCACTCCACGTCCATCGACAGCGTGTCTGTTGTCGTTAGCGGCTGAACCCTGTAGTGGACAAGGATCCACTTACCAAGGGATATCAAATACAAAACTGCATCTACCTGGGATCCACCATTACCAGCAAGCAAATTTTGAAAATCCACGCCCGAACCAGCAACCGCAGCAGTCGCACGATGCAACTGCTGCCGCATGTACTGCACAACGGAATCAGTCTGCCCCGCACGACTCAGCGAAGTAGCAGGTGTATCCACGAAACACAAGTTCCGCTCCAGCACGATCTCGCCAATGCTCTTCCGGCGTCGGAACACACGCGAATCTTCCAGGTCCGACCACCACGAAGGGTACGGCTTGGTGCTAGCGTAGATCTCGGTGATAGCGGTGGGCATCCCGAGAGTGGGGTTGTACCGGGAGTGGGGTCGCGAGGACCGGCGCCGCTCTAGTGCGGTCACTGAGGGCGAGTCCAGGGAATCAACATGCACGATGTCTTCACACGTCTGGACGAGGGATTTAATGCACGATGTTTTGCCAGAGCCTGGGGGTTGGTTTCTATGTCAGCGGACAGACATCTCCGAGGCATAAATACTTGCGCAATGAGCAACGTACCTGGTGCTCCGGCTACGAGGACTTTGAATCTACCCATGGCCTTGCCCCGCTCTGTAAATGGTCGTCGACTAGGCATCCTGATGCTCGGCATGATAAACTGTGACGCCCCTGCGAGCCCCAGACGCGGTGAGGCCCGCAGTCTCTCATCCTCGTCGCCTGACCCGATCGTTTGGCTATTGGTTTCATCTGTGATCGAGATATCATCCAGTGGTCGGAGAGACTGGTTGGAAATGGATTTCGGGCTACTCGGCAGCGAAGATGGTTCTTCGGGGTGGAGCGGGGTCAGCGGGCGAGAAGCCGCATCAAGGGGAGGCGGCCGCAGGGATGAATCTCGAGTATCATCAGACTGAGGAGGCTTTATTGTGGACCGACGTCGTGAACACTGTGCGTCTTCCATATCATCAGACTCCTGCGATAAGCTTCGTGTATGTTGGCTATCTGCAAAAAATCCACGTGGCGAGCGAGCGGTAAGTTCTGAGCGGGACAGAGTGTCCGCTAGACTATGCACGCCGTACATGCTTTCTTTGGCGTCTTCAGATGCATCTGGGGAGGGGCTGCGCTCTGTATCGGAGGCATGCGGACTGCGGGATAGGAAGAAGGTTGCAGGGGCGGCGGTGCGGGGATCTAGCGAAGGGGGGAGCACGAAGGGTCCGCGCAGGGTTTGCGGGAGAATGCTGGCAAGTCGGGAACCGGTCGCATGGTCGAGACATTTGAGGGGTTGCAGAGGGTAGGTTGATCAATAACTCCGGGCTATCGCGGGGTGTCATTCATGTTGCGTATGTAAGCTATCACATCACGGGGTACGGAACTAAGCTTGGTCAGTGACCATGGTTCGATAGACATCCTACTGCCTCTGGCAAAGATACGGAGGCTTGGTTTACAGACTACGGACTAACCAGGCAATATTACCCGTATTGGACGTCCCATATACAATGAATTAGTTAGACGTCCTTGAATCAAGTAAATAGCGATAGCTTTCGTCTGCAGATCCACTGTAGTCGTGTATACAAGCACCCCTCCTTGGGCGGGGGTGGTGGAGTACGCATTTTTCATGATGCTTGATTGACAAAAGGCTACTGGTTGACAGTTGACGCGCTCCACATGTATTGGGATTGGTTTGGTTTTGACTCTCAGTTGGGTTCCATGCCGGCTTACTATGCTTGGAAGTGATCCTATCCTTCCGGACTAGTGTAATAGTGAGATTATTCTACTTTGCGAGATAACAACATATTGAAGTACATATCTACCTCATTTATTCAAAAACCTCGCAATTTACCACAAGCAAGGCAAGATGGCCGAGTTGGTCTATGGCGCACGGTTCAGGTTTACCTGATCCAAACTTCCGTGTCTCGAAAGGGGCGTGGGTTCGAATCCCACTCTTGTCATCGCAATATATTTTTTTCCCTTACTTTTTGCTGTCTAGACACATCATGCCTTGTTTCTTTCAAATGAGGGCTTGGTTGCATTTAGCTTTAGGTTAAATTTTTGATCTTTGCGAACTTCGAGTCGGTATCATCTTGTACTTTTTCTAGGTTTTGCTCTTCGTACGGTGCATCTTGTGGTGATGTAGATATCTTTAATACCTCTGGCTAAGGGCAGGATCTTGCGGTCTGCTTCCTCTGGACTTTTACTGATAACTGTCGTTCAGGTGTATTCTGAGGGGGGAGGGGGGTCTTTCACCTTTGAGATCCTGCTGGGTTTACATTCATTCTCAAAATCGGCTTAGCCAATGGACACATGATATTGATACTACATAATTGGTGTTTCCAGGGTTTGTGTAAAGGGAAACTAAAGCAAGCTACGCGCTTGCCACATCCGATTGATATATTGTCGACACGTGTAGTATTGGCTCTAGGGTATTCTACAGGGGAAGGTGCGTAATAGGCTTTATACATGGTGAGGCTCGACTCCTACTCTTCTGCTCTCCCCTTTAACTACTCTTGCTCTGTCTGTTATATCACATCCTCTGTGGGATCTCTACTCAACTCCATACAAAAAGGCTTTCACCATATCACCTCGAGATGCCGAGTCTAGAAGTGATCAGCGGTATCTCTACAATCAGTTCCCTCCTATATGCCTCATTATCATCTATATCCTCCAGAGACGCGAGAACGACCTAGAACCGGCAAAGACTCTACACCCTTCTATGTCTGCGAGGCTTTAGGGAAGTTCCTTGATGCCTGTGATGAAGAGGCTCGAAGATCGAGAGGAATATTCGAGATTGTTTTACCTGGCAAGGTAAGAATTACGTTGGAGGAACGATACGCAGAAGTCATTCGAAGACTTGGAAAATGAAATAAAGTCGAAAAGCTCATAACTACACTTACCCAAGACGTCCAACTTATCGTCAACAGCCACGTGGTTAATTTGCTACGCCGGAGGGGAATGCCGAGCTCAAAAGCTCCCTCGAGATGATGGATTCTGCTAGTAGCGCGAGCGCTCAGCTCTGGCATTCCCCGCTCTTTGTGCTTAAGGATGATATGCAACGGCTCGAAGATGTATGTGAAAGATCACTCTTGTTTCCAGCTCGTAGAAGTCACCTAGCAGATCATCCAGGAACTCGGAGGTAGCCGCACGATTTACAGAGATTCGGTATGGTTTTCTATGGGATTCCGCGGAAGTTCGAATTTACGTACTTATGTATTAAGCATATCCCGCGCATTTTTACCCAACATCTCGATCTAACGCGGCTCACTCGAAAATCCATCTACACTAGGACCCTGGAAGTGAGTCCCGGCGGTGTATTAGAGAAGTTGATTTCGAAAATCACTTACACCTGCGACCATTTCGGCTGCCGCCCGCGCAACATATATCTCGATCCAACCCCGTCCGCCTGCACCTGCACAAAACCCATTGGCTACTGCTGACATAGCCCGTATTTCTCAGGCTAGGTAAAAACCACACTCTCCTCTAATTTGATTCCTCAAACCACAGCTTCCGTTCAATGTAACTGGCGGAGCTAGGTACTAACTGATTCCACGTCACCTTTCAGCTCTACCAGAGGGTCAAATAAGCTTTCAACTGTATCCATCTCAACCGATGGTAAGATGGCCGAGTTGGTCTAAGGCGTCAGGTTAAGGTCAACCTTAGCATAAAATCCTGATCTCGTTTACGGGGCGTGAGTTCGAATCTCACTCTTATCATACTTCCATATTTTTTTTTGTGTACCCGCAAACACTTCGCTCCCGCAGTCTGGCCCGACCACCTACTTACAGCCTAACAGAACGCAACACACACACCTACTAATTGACCAAATATGGACACAACATCAGCTTGTAGTATATTATCCTTAAGCTCTTACTACCAATCAACTACTTATATCCAAGTCCGCTGAACTGACGATGAAACCCAGCAAAACTCTCCTTTATTCATCGGCCACAGAAATAGACGAAAATCCCACCTAGATAATATTACTGCCAATATTATTATTTTAACAATGATTTTAAAAAAAATCACTAACAGTGGAAACAAGCTGTTCATGTATGTATGACTGAGAGAGAAGTAGCACCACTGACTGATGACTATTGGCTTTACAGATGGAAATAATGTCTCGAAAAAAAAAGCAGCGACTGTGATTTGAACACAGGACCTAGGACAGACAACTTAAATCACAAGGTGATCGAACTGCAAATCCTCGCGCTAAACCCCTGCGCCACCGCTGCTTTCAGATATTAAAAACTTGGTGCTAGTAGAATATACCCCATCTCTACAGATCACAAGCGCGGAGCAATAAATGGCTACTTAAGAGTCCAAGGTCACCATTACCCACCCCAATGCCTTGTTTACATAGCTTCATTGGATTAGAAGCAAACCAACACATTGTAAATGTCTAGTGTAGGAGGTGACCGTCGTACTAGAGACAATACCTGGATACTCGCCGTAAGCGCCAAAACTATAGCGACCAAAAAGTCTAGGATAGGTTTAGCCATGACGCATGAGAAGTCGATGGACCTAGAGACAACCTGAGGGAGGCGTGACTGAAGGAAGCAACTGACCTAACTAACCTGATTGGGCCCGTTTGCATGGGAGCTCTCTACATAATAGCGGATTATCCCCCATAATTCCTTCCTTCTTCGCTTTAGTTGTTTCGTTGAATGCACCTTGTTCTTCCGGCCGGCTCCGTAGTAACATTTAGCAACAACAATACTAGCGACCTTGACTAACCCAGAACGAAGTGGTGGAGGCTTGAAAGATCACAAGAGAAAATCCAGAGGTGAGTAACAATATCTAGATATGGAAATAATATGGACACATCACGATTGGTGGAGGCCCTTGAACCCGATCGATGCTTGAGGCTTTTCTGACACAGTTTCCTGTATTTGCGTCAGGCTGAGTCTCCTTTGTATCAATTATTTAAGCATGGAAGTGATATAGCAATGCTCAACTGGTCTAGTCAGACAGACAACGCATCTGTACCAATAATTGCTTGTAGATAGGGTCAGTAATAGGGTAGCTGTCGAGTGCTGATTGATTCAAAGTATTCTCATCCCGCCTTGTATGGTCCTACCCTGTTCATCTTATATTTGCTTAAGTAATAAAACCTTAACTTGAATTTCCAGCATGAAGAAGCAGCGGTGGCGCAGGGGTTTAGCGCGAGGATTTGCAGTTCCGATCACCTTGTGATTTAAGTTGTCTGTCCTAGGTCCTGTGTTCAAATCACAGTCGCTGCTTCGATTCTTTTTTTTTTTCCCCCTTCTTCTGTTTTGACGGGTTCAAGAACAGGGCTCTTGGCGGGTTGGGCCAATGAGAGTGAGTGGCCCAAAGCGGGAAGAGGGCAACATCAAGGTGATGGAGAGAGAAGGTAGAGATAGGGAGAGAAAGGTTCATTCATTAGTGGAGCGCCAACAAGGCAAGGAGCGATCCCGTTCTTTTCCTCTTTCTTTTCCCATTCTATTTTCTCCTTTCTTGGCTTGACCAGTGGCGGAGATGTTTTCTTCTTCATCATATGGTGCGCTTATGCCCGGTGATCTAATTATCCGAGAATGAACTAATATCCGCGCTTGATTAAGATCATGATAGATGTCGCATTTGTGATGTGTCGCATATTCACATAAACTACGATGCTACGCCATATTTTGAGTGAGGCCCAGGGGGAGCATTATTTCGTTATGAATAAGCTGGAATACTCGAACAGTAGTTGAATATCCGTGCTAGGCGCTGCTGATTGTTTTCAACATACCCTCACAAAATACGCGTAGGATTAGAAGAAGTATCCGGCTTATTGACGATGTACTAAATAAGTAGGTGGCTTAATCTTTTGCATATGCTTGTACTATGCTTTTCCGGGATAAGGCTGTGTTTCTTCTGCATAATGGCACAGAGTCCTTCCGATTATCGTGCTATCGGATTCATGCCCGATTCAAAGCGATTCAGGGCCACGCATACTCCGGCCCCTCGCTTCCTCAGCTGTTAGCGTTCATAGGTTCATGGTCGTTTCGTAAGTGACTACCTGGAGGCAAGCTAATCTACCTCGACAGGACTTCATAGGTCTGTCCGGTCCTCGTTGCTTTACGGACTACAAAACACAAACACGAACAAGTCAAATCAATCAACAAAGCCTCAGCTCAATATATTACAATGAAGAACGGTCCCTAGCCTCACCCCAGACTAGACGCAGACCCAATGCAGACGCCTATGTACAGATCACGACCAAACGCAAGGACAGGCAAGACAAGGCCAGGCAAGAAAAGGCCAGGCAAGAAAAGGACAGGCAGCCGGGCAAATGACAAGGTGATAAGAATGAAAATAGAAGATGGATTGGATGCCACTGACCACCAGTCACCAGCCACAATGTGGAAAGGAAGGGACAATGTAACTGGTGGATAGCAATATAGTTGATGTGGTGCGGGTGCACTACTCTACAGCTTGGCCCGCGGCGCAGATTCCGCTTCCAGCGCCTGTGCGTACAGCTGGTCTAGGAGCGCGCGGTAGACCTTCACGACGGGGGGTCGCTTGAGCTTGAGACTAGAAAGAAAACAAGGTCGTTAGTAAGAGTAAAAAAGGTATGAAATAACCGAGGGGAAACGTAAATGTGAAGATTCAACTTACGTCGGGGTTAACAAGTTATTCTCGACCGTGAACGGCTCCAACTTCAGCGAGCAGTTGCGCACACGCTCGTATCCCGCCAGACGATGCTTCTTCGCGACGCGGTCAAGATCACGCAGCACAGCCTGCCGGACCTTCTCATCCGACAGCGCACCCTTGATCGCGGCCAAGTCTGTCGATGCAATTGTCCGGCCAAGCACCTTGCTCGCAAAGGGCGCGAACAAGTCGGGCGCCACGCCGAAGATGGCTACCAGGAACGTCTGCATGCTATCGCCGTGCACGTAAGCCTGGCCGAGGTAGCCCAGCTCAGTCAAGATCACACCTTCCAGCCGCTCGGGCGAGATGTACTCGCCCTGCGCGAGCTTGAGAACGTTCTTGCGCCGGTCGATGATGATGAAGCGGCCTTTCTCGTCGATTTGGCAGACATCGCCGGTGCGGAACCAGCCGTCCTCTGTTATGGCTTTGGCGGTTTCTTCTGGGTTTTTGAAGTACTCGTTGAACATGTTGTTGCCGCGCAGGAGAAGCTCGCCCCGTGGGTAGGGCTTGTCGTCAACGGAGTACTCCATGTCGGGCAGGGAAGCGAGGCAGGCCTCCACGCAGGGCGCGAGCTGGCCGCAGTTGCCTGTGGTCAGATCGTAAGTTGACTGCGCTGTACCGCAGGCGTACGACTCGGTCAGGCCGTAGCCCTGGACGACGTCGGTGCCCGTGGCGATCCGCAGGAAGCCGTGCAGAGTTGGATCCAGGGGAGCCGAGCCGGAGACCATGTACCGGGCGCGCTCTAAGCCAAGCGCGGCCGCCACCTTCTTGGCCCAGATACGGTCGTAGATGGCGTGCTTGATGGTGGCCTGGGAGGGGTCTGGGTTGTTCAGGTTGGCCGTTTTAGCGGCAACGATGTGTCGTGACAGGGCGCCCTTGAAACCGGGGGCCTCCACGGTGGCTGCCCGCACGGCAGTGCCGAAGCGACTGTACAGACGGGGCACGGACATGAAGCCAGTCGGCTTCAGCAGCTTCAGATCATCGACCAGCTCCACGATGTTGCCGTGGAAATAGCCAATCCGAGCGCCACCCCAGAAGGCAGTATGCTCGGCGAGGCGGGCGTAGATGTGGGCCAAAGGAAGATAGGAGCAGGTAGTGTCGCCCCGAGCCTGACCAACGGTGGCTAGACCGGCAGAGGTGGCAGCCACAGCGTTCTTGTGGGACAGAACGACACCCTTAGGAGGGCCGGTGGTGCCGGAGGTGTAGTTGATAGTGACAATGTCCGAAGGCGAAGGGGGGTTGTATCCGCGCTTCGAAGCCTCTCCCAGAGCCTCGACCTGATCAAGAGTATAGAGCGCGACGTCCTGGCCGGCAGCGATCGACTCCAGCAGAGCACGCTTGGAGTGACCTTCCTGCTCACCAGCCTCGAGGGGATCCAGGCTGACAATCATCTTCAAATTGGGTAGGGTATGCTTGAGCTTCAGGAGAGTAGGGATGTGGGGGAGGGAGGTCACGACGCAGTTCAGCTCCGCATGGTTAATAATATATTCGGTGGCGTCCGGGGCAAGAACATCATAAATGGAGACAGAGTAGAGACCCTGGGACATGCAAGCCAAATCTAACAAGCAGCCATACTGTTAGCTTCTGCATGAACCTCTAAATGTGAGATCCCATCTAGACACTTACCGGTGATCTGCCACTCCGGGCGGTTCTGACACCAGAGACCGATGCCGTACTGGCCGGGGCGGTGGCATTCATGCTTGTGGTGAAGCTCCACCAGACCAGCACCAAAAGCGGCGCGGCGCTTTTGGACCGTCTCATATGTCATCCACTGATAAGCATCGAAGGCCTTGGTAGCCGGGTTGAAGGGGCGCCAGCCGAGGCAGTGGTTCTTGGGTTGGCGGTTGGCCGTGGACTCGAACATGTCATGCGCGGTCAGGACCTAGGATTGTGAATTCGCTTCGCATTAGCAACCTCATTCCACTCTCATTCCCATTCTCGCCCACACAAGATCTCCTCCTACTTACCTCGGGATCCAGTGTGGTCAGCAGCTCCTTCTGTGCATTCCATGCCCGGTATACGCGGCTGCGGCCTGGCTGCTCGGTGCCGGGGATGGCCACGGAGTAAGGCGTGCCCTTTGGGGGCGCCTGCTTCAGCTCCTCCGCCTTAGCGAGGTGAGCGGGTTGTGAGGAAAACATGGCGTCTATCTGTACAGTTGGAACGTTAGCACATGTGAGTTCGGATGACGTCGCCAATCTGCGGTCGCGATGTGACACATACCAAGTGGATTTCACAGAGTCAATGAAGCAAGATGCAAAGGAACGAAGAAGAGGAGCCCTCCCAAAGCGAATGAGTCCTGGAGAGTAGCGAAGGGAAGAAAGTGTGGGGTGAGAAAAGAAGGGGGTCTGGAGTACGGAGGAGGGAAGGGAAAATCCGGAGTGGACGACCATTTTCGGTCAAACCTCCATCACCCACGAGGGTAGGAGTGGATCAGTTGGGAAACTACCTCGGCTCGGCTGGCGGTACTTGCGGTGCGGTGGGGACCCCGTAGTTAAGTCAAGTACTGCCGCTAGTGGGGGGGCGCAAACCCCGGAAGCGCGGAGAGGGAAGGTTCATGCCGATGTCATCCGCCCTCGCCCGTTTCACATGGTAATCTTGCGCGTGCACAGAGACTTTTGATGCCAGCGCGGAGGTGTGATCACTATCTTGCCGGGAATCATATAATAATGCATATAAACCATCGTTCTGTCTAGGTAGTTAGATGATGAGTAGAGGTACTGTACACAGCACATAAAACCAACGCCATGCCTAATGCCAATATGCCACGAAATCAAAGGGGAAAATAATCAACAGAGAAAGCGGTGAAAACCCACGAGCCCAACCCAAAGCTACCAGAAATATATGAATCAACCAGTAAACCAGCGCCATGCCTTGCCGTACCACGTCGTCGGCTCGGTCGTTTCCCAATTATCGCTCTCGGGCGACGTTCGGCCCGTGTCCAGGTCGGCCTCGATTGGCTTGACAAATGCGGGGCGGAAGATGATCTTATGGCCGGCGTACAGCACCACGAACAGGATCAGGCTCAGGTAGTTGATGAAGAAATTCTTCTTATTGAAGCCGCCGATGAACGCCGTAAAGCCCTGCGTGAGGATAATCAGGCAGTTGAAAAACAGCCCGTACCACGAGAGCCACGGCTGCCAGATCGCCTTGTATGGCAGCACGTCGCGCGAGATGTTGCGCGCCTTGAGCGCCCGCTGGAAGGCCAGGTGGCACGCGTTCAGCGAAGACCAGGTGATGAAGCCGGCCACGCCGGAGATCTGGAGCAACCAGGTGAACACGGTCGAGCCGGAGCTCGACACGTTCAGGAAACCGAGCAGGCCGAACAGCGCGGTAAAGCCGACCGCGTAGTACGGCACACCGCCCTTCGTGGTGCGCTTGAAGAAGCGCGGCGCGAAGCCTTCCTGCGCCAGACCGACGATAATACGACTGCCACTGTAGACGTTTGAGTTGGCGGCCGAGAGCACCACGGTGAGAAGGACTGCGTTGATGATATCCGGCAGGGCGTTCACGCCCGCGCGGCGGGCTGCAATCACGAAGGGCGAGGAATTACCGTTACTAGCGCTCGCACCGCTCCCCGACAGCAGCGTTGGGTCGTTGGAAGGCACCACGATGCCGATGAAGAAGACGGTCAGGATAAAGAAGAAGACAATACGGAAGAAGGTCTTGCGGATGGCCGCGGGGACGGTCTTGCGCGGGTTCTCGGTCTCACCGGCGGCGATACCAACCAGCTCCGTACCTTGGTAGGAGAAGCCGGCCTGAATCAGACATGACCAGAAACCGACAAACTTCGCAAGCGAATCGTCGCCATTAACCAGATAAGGCACGAAGGGGCCCGGGTGCTTCCAGTACCGGAAGCCGATGTACCCTTCCTGGCCCACGCCGGCGTTCATGCAGATGGCGAAGATCATGAAGCCGATGACGGCGAGAACCTTGATACTAGAGAACCAGAACTCCATTTCACCATAGAAGCCGACAGGCATCATGTTAAAGGCGATGATCATCACCCAGAAAATGCCAATGAAGATCGCAATCGAGATACTCGCGTCCCAGAACTGGATGATCAGACCGGAGGCCGTGAGCTCGAGCGCAAAGGTCGACGCCCATGAGAACCAATAGATCCAGCCCATTGAGAATCCCAGGCTGGGGTCGATCAGACGGGCCGCATACGAGGTGAACGATCCGGGGATCGGGATGTAGGTTGCGATCTCGCCCAGCGCCGTCATGACCGAGTAGACGATGGTGCCGACGAAGATATAGGCGATGAGCGCACCGACGGGCCCTGCATGGGCGAGGGCGGTGCCGCTACCAATGAATAGACCGGTGCCGATGGTACCACCTGAGCGACAATTGCAGGTAAGAACGGGAAAACTCTGCGGGGGAGCTCTGGAGAAGCCGAAGCGTGACACAACTCACCAATGGCGATCATCTGCAAGTGCCTGCTCTTCAGCTTGCGCTTCAGATCCGGTAGCGGGTTGGACTCGCGGCCCGCGCCATGCTTCTCGTAGTCGACATCGTAGTTGTTGACCACGTATTCGGGCTGGACCTGCATGATGGGGCCCTCAGCCTCCATCTTTCCCTTCCCAGACCAAGCGTCCGAGGCCATCACTAATTGAGGATAGCAGAGTCAAGAGGCGAAGATGGGGGAGAGGAGATAGAGGGGGAAAGGCGATATGAGAGAAAGAAGAGAGCGAAAACGAACAGACAAGAGACAGATGCACAGCGGATCTCCACCCTCGAAAGAGCTACGGCTGCCTCCGATGGCTTTTTTTTTTCTACGGGTGGAGCAACACTTGACGCTGTCAAACCCTATGCTCCGTTCAGATCGGCGGAGAGCAATGTGTTAGGTAAAAGAAACGAAGGGAAGAGGAGAGGAGCAAGAGGCACGATCTTGGGAAAATAAGCCCTCCACCAGCAGGGCTATGAACTGTCCGGACTCAATGCTCTATTTTTTCCTTCTTTGCTTCTCAGCAGATTTTTCCTGCTCAGCGGGTGAAAAGTTCGATGCTACCGGGCTTCATCGGCTTTTCCCTGCCCTGTGGGCCGTACCGCTCCAACCAAAACTTTCTCTTTGGTGGCGACCACGGGAGAAGCTTCTGCAGGCCATTACTCGAGAGTATGACTGTTGACGATGACTACTAACTATCGATCTTCCCTATCGCCTATCACTCGAGATTGCAGGCCCCGTCGTGGCCATTGCGGGCGTGGGGTCAGACTCGAAGGATGAATAAGCTAATGCTCGCACGGTGTGACTCTGCACGGAAGGAGCGCCACCCGCTGAACGGCGCTTTAAAATAATTTAGCGGCCGCTAGCCCTCAAGTCCTGATCAAACAGAAGGGAATTGCGGCTGGATGGGTTGCATATTCACCAATCGCCATCTATCTGTTGCTTATCATCTGTGAACCACACGACTACACCACCTACGCATGACCCACTTCAAACTTTAGACATACTACGCACTTGACGAAACCGTCTGCAAGCGTGTCGTCCGGCCGTTTCCGTTCGGATGTATCGTTACATAAGCACATAGTGTACAGACCCGATTGATAACAGAGCCGATAAGAACTCGGCCCATCCCAACTAATGTGGCTGACTACAGGTCGGCTCAGGCCATTTTCGGCTCGGCTAAGCCCATAACGTGATGATAAGACCGATAAGCAAAAGCATCCCCTCAATCCATTTTTATTTTTATTACCTAGACAGGCTTAGTGTAGCAGATATCCCTCGTTCGCACGATGTTTTCGAAATATTCAAACTATTTACTGTAGTTGCTTATAATGCGTAAGGGTGTGTGGGAGGGTAATTTTGGAAAGAGGGTCGGCTCAGGTCATGTGGGGACGGAAAAACTTATGGATGAGCGCCGATAAAAATTGGGCTGAGCCGACCTGTAATCTCATCATGCCATTATATAACTACTAATAGTCATAACTAACTAACTTACTCTGACCTCCATCATTTCATCAGCCCTTCCATGTTTCAGGCTTTTCTCTTAATTCACCTAATCCCATGACTCCACTTCTTCTTACATAATGCAAAATTGTGGCCCGGGCTGCTTAGACCTAGTCCTTCATGTTGTCTCCCTGGTGAGGGGATGGGATGACGATGTTACGGCAACTATCACCAGCATAGGAACTAAGGGGAAGACATATTGTGAATGTGAGATTGGACTGCTCAAGGCCCTCGCAGAGGCTTTGGTTTGTCTACTTTGCTCGCCTTGAACATCGTCAAACGGATATAATCATTCGCAGTGACGACCAGAACCAGGGCCTTCCGCCCAGCACAAAAGTATTATCGATACAGAGTACATCAAAACCAACAGAATAAACCAGCGCATTGCTCAAACACGTGGCCATAGCCATTGTCACATTGTAGCTCATGCCATCAGAAAAGGAAACGCAAGGGGGTATCATGGGAACAAGCACGCTGCGCTGCATGATGGGCAGCCCCCTGACCAAACAGCCATCCCCAAAATGAAATCATGAAAGAATGAAAGAATCAAGTTCCTTGCCACGCCCGCTCAACACCCGAGACATCTGGCGACCCCCTTATACGCCTAGATGCGCATTATGCTGCGTTTTCTGCGCACTCTCTCCACTGCGATGGTGGTGCATCAAGTCCATGATGGCGAAGTAGGTCGTCACCGCGAACAGAACCCTATAGTCCCAAGAAAACATGTCAGCTCAACTTCAACCTCGACCTCGCATCCGATCGTACAACGCGAACCCATATTGATCCTGCTCCACCAAACAAAACGATCCTGATGTCACGTACCACTCAAACGAGCCAAAGACCGTCACGGCCTGCAGTGCCCGGCACGCGCTCCAGGTACAATACGCCGGGGAGGGCAGCTCGGCGCCGATTGCGATGAAGCCTGCAAACCAGAAGATCATCGTAATCACCTCCACGGCGGGTATCACGAATCGGTGCGCCAGCCGCGGGAAGTAGATCGGTGCTGCGAGAAGGTAAGGTGTTGCGACGAAGGTTGTCCAGCAGCCCAAGAAGAGGAGGAAGTCGACCGTGCTGGAGAAGCTCCACCAGTAGTTGAAGGTGCTGATGACTAGAGGCGGGTTAGTATGTACCCCTTTGTATTCCGGGGATTGGGTGTTTGAGGTTCGGGCCTCATACCATAGGCGGTCAAAGCGACCACAATCAAGCCGAAGAGAATCTGCGCGATGCGCACGGCGTAGATCCAGGGCATAGCCATCGTAGGTGGTAGATAAGTGGTAGGTGAGTGGTCGGTGGGAGGGGAGGCTCGATTTGGGTCAGCTTAGGGGGGCTGTTCAACACTACTTGCGTGAGTCGCTGGAAGATAGCAGGGCAAAAATGGAAGACGTTGCGGGTGAAACACAAAGGATGTGCAGAACAAGGTATATAACGCAATCAAAAATTGGCCAGCCACCGGCGTCGCGCCGGCGTCATCGGTGACATCTTGGCATGCCTGTCAGGTGCTCCGCGGGCTGAAAGGGGACTGGTAGGGCTGACATGGGGTTGGACAGGGTCTCTTTACCGTTCTAGGATAAATCTGCAGTGCAAGCTGATTGGTTTGGATTCGATCGGCGTGGGGAAGCAACCAAGTCAAGATTTTTCTTCAGGTCCTTGGAAGAAGATGGTGAGGTGCAGGTACAATAGGAAGTACCAACGGAGAGCTTATAAAAAGAAAAGGAACACCCCCAGAATCACACTCCCTGAGCAGATCTATTTTTGACTTTCCCTGCTGCCTATACTTGTGGTACATCTTTACCTTACCGATGCCTCGCCCAACAACTCGTCATGACCAGAGCTTGGCGACGCTGCCTAAACTCCAGCAAGGGAAAAGCCGGTTAGGCGCTCGCCGATCGCGAGGTCTTTCAGCGTCGCCAGTGGCCAAGGATCAGAGCACATCACAAGAGCCAGCGTGTGGATTTGATTATCGCCATTTAGTGAATAGTTGAAAGGACACTAGACCAGATCTCTCCCGGATCGGCCCCTGACTGAATATTGAGAGGTGGTTGTTTTCCATTGTTTACCGGTTCGGTGGGGTAAAGTTAAAAGTTACAAAAGTTACAAAGTTGGTGCCTTAAGTCGGAGGCGACGAATGCAAATTTATTGATGACGCTGTGGCTGAGCCGATAGATTGACCCCCTCTAAAATGTACCCTCCTCCAGAATCTATATGATGTCCATTGTGCAAGGCCCTTGAAGGATGATGCCGGAGAGTCTCTAGGAACATATACGGTATTCGATTTCCCTCACTGAATCCAAACCGATACTTTGACGCCAAAGAACAATGGTAACATTGACGACCATCTTCATACGGCTCTGAGACCGATTGCACCGTAGCCACGCGCTCCATCTCCAAAGCGGGCATTTCTGCAGAGGAACCCTGCTTGGCAGTCGGGACTTTCTGCTTTCTTTCGTGGATGGTATTCTCTACCAACTTCTGCATATGCTGCTTCGAGTCTGCGGCGTACGTGCAGTTCGTCCGAACAGCAGCGCCATACTTGTAGAAGTAAAAAAAGGGAGTGGGGAGAGACCTGGTACAAATAATGGAATTATACTGCAATCTCTTAATATGCGAGGGGATGCGACTGCACTGCTTAGCGGGAAGCCTGTATCATCATTGATCAGGATAAAAATGTGACATAATTACGTGAAAATGCTTGAAGCGAGCGGGAAAAGACTTACAGCACCGTCTTGGCTGGCTCGTCTTCACAAGCAATCCCTCTGACATTGATATACTCCCCCCCCCCTTCCCGCCATCGTTGATGTATGCGACATCTAGACACCTGCTCCGCTCGTCGTGAAGAATATTTTTGATGCCCCGCGGAACAGAAGAGGTCAACAAGAGGGAGTTTCAGGTTCGCGGCTGCGACGGAGGGCCTCGAGAATCTGCAGCTAGACTTCATTTCTTCCCCGCCTTAATGATGTTCCTGCATCTCCGGCGCGCACGATGCTGTCCCGTCTAGCCCACATGTTTCCGATCTACGCTCCTCGACCAGGAAAGATTAAAAGTACCACTAGTATTGAAAGGCGAGGCCGAATGATGATTCCGCATACCCAGTCGTTAGATCGGGCGGTGTGTCTATAGACGACATGCATATGACCTGTGAGACCAACCTGCGGGGTCTGGCAGCAACGCAGCAGCAACAGCACGACAGCAACCACTGAAGAGGGACGGACAAAAAAGGAAAGTGGAGCATCATCCGGGAGAACAAAAGAGACCAAATGAGGCATGAGACTGGCCGGTTCAGGACCAGTCCCGGCAAACACACTGAATGAACCGCAATCACGCCATCGAGTCCCCCGCCGTCGTCGTTCCTTCCCCTCTAAACACCTTTCCCTTTTATTCAGACTACTCTCCCCTATTCTCTCCCCTGGATTGTAACACCTTGAAGACTAACTGCGCTGGCTGCTCTCGCCGTTGAAATATTTTGCCGCAGCACCCCAGTTTTTCGAAGCTCCGAACATCGGTTCCCCGCATCTCCACTATGGCCGAGCAACAGAATCTCCACTTTGAGACCCTCCAGCTTCACGCGGGGTGAGAGGACCCTGTTTCTTTTTTCTCTAAGTTGAACCAAACTCAGGACATCGAATTGACAAGATACCCCCCGCAGCCACGAGCCCGACTCCGCCACCAATTCCCGCGCCGTCCCCATCTACGCGACGACTTCGTACACCTTCAATGACTCCGCCCATGGTGCGAGGCTCTTCGGCCTCAAGGAGTTCGGCAACATCTATAGCCGCATCATGAACCCCACCGTCGACGTTTTCGAGAAGCGTATTGCCGCCTTGGAAGGCGGCGTCGCCGCTGTGGCCGCCGCCTCCGGCCAGGCCGCCCAGTTCATGGCCATTTCTGCGCTTGCGCATGCGGGCGACAACATCGTTTCCACGAGCAACTTGTACGGCGGTACTTACAACCAGTTCAAGGTGCTGTTCCCGCGCCTTGGCATCAATACGAAGTTTGTTAATGGCGACGACCCGGCTGATATCGCCGCTGCTATTGATGATCGCACTAAGGCTGTTTATGTCGAGACTATCGGTAACCCCCGCTATAACGTGCCGGACTTCGAAGCCATTGCAAAGGTTGCGCACGAGAAGGGTGTGCCACTGGTGGTTGGTCACTCCTCTTCTATTGGTGGCTGGCTTGGGCTGTGCTATTCTGTTATGCCACCTGAGCCGGGCTGGCAGGCATGTTCACTGCTAACTGACCTCTCTCGATTAGGTCGACAACACCTTCGGTGCGGGCGGCTACTTCGCCCGCCCCATCGACCATGGCGCCGACATCGTCGTCCATAGCGCCACGAAGTGGATCGGCGGCCACGGGACCACCATTGGCGGCGTGGTAATCGACAGCGGCAAGTTCGACTGGGGCAAACACAGCGCCCGCTTCCCCCAATTCGTCGAGCCCTCCGAGGGCTACCACGGCCTGAAGTTCTGGGAGACCTTCGGCTCAATCGCCTACGCGATCCGCGTGCGGGTCGAGATTCTACGGGACCTGGGTGCCGCGTTGAATCCGTTCGCGGCGCAGCAGTTGATTCTGGGCTTGGAGACGCTGAGTCTGCGCTGCGAGCGCCATGCCACGAATGCCCTTGCGCTGGCGAAGTGGTTGCAGACGAATGAACATGTTTCGTGGGTTTCGTATCCCGGTCTGGAGGATCATCCGTCGCATGCGACTGCGAAGAAGTATCTGACCCGTGGCTTTGGTGGTGTTTTGTCGGTTGGGATTAAGGGTGGTGCGGCGGCTGGGAGCCAGGTGGTTGATGGATTTAAGCTGATTTCGAACCTAGCCAAGTATGTTTTCATTAATAGGGCACCTTTGGAATGCTTTTTACTGATGCTTCTCTCGCAGCGTCGGCGACTCCAAGACTTTGGCTATCCACCCCTGGTCCACCACCCATGAGCAGCTCACGGAGCAGGAGCGTGCCGACTCCGGCGTCACTGAGGATGGCATTCGCATCTCAGTTGGCACTGAGCACATCGACGATATTATTGCCGACTTTGAGCAGTCATTCCGCGCGTCGAAGGCTGCTGTGCCGGACCGCACTGCTTAGGGGGGGGGAATGTTCCCTTTGGGATTATGGAGTACGGATTACGTTGGAGCGTATTTGTACAGAGAGTTGGCTAGGCTTAGATCTAGTATTTTATTGATGTGGGATTACCAGAAGGAAGTCGCCCGGGTGGCTCAGACTGCAGGAAACCTAACCTATTTAACCCATTATAACGGCATGACGGGACTACGATAGCAATTGATTACGATTACACCCCGATCTAGAGAACTGACAGTGACTGTATCAGGAGCTACAAGAACAATCTGGTGCAGTGGCCCGTGGGGGCAAATTTTTTATTTGATCGTCTATCCCCGAGAGGAGCAAGCGAGTAAGAGGCAAGATACAAGTTAGAGCGATGTAAGACACACAGCAACCAAGATCAATAGGCAAAGAGACTAATAGGCAACCGAGCCAGGAAAGAAATGGGAAACAATCTGAGGAAGACAAGACAAATAAGGAAACAAGGCATGATGGGGCCGTGCAGGATGCATCAGTTGGGAAGAACGACAGCAAAATTTCCTTAACCTTCAACAGGCTCGATATCGAAGCGAAGTTGCAGAGTTCTGATGGCGGCGTTGCTGCTGTAGGTAACGATGCCCGCGATACGCGCTGTACCACGGTCGAACGCACCGAGAACAAGAGCCCCGACAAACCTTCCAATCCGAGTGCCCATGAGTTCTTCGAATTCTCGTGTGCCAGGAACCCAGAGTTGTGGCACCATCGGGGGCCAAGTCTCGTAAGGAAACAGTACCTGTGTGACATAAGTTAGAGTCTGTGGGTTCACAACATGGTCAATGAAAACAAACCGCAAGTTTTGAAGGCTATGGTGCACGGTGAACAAAGTCAGAGTCACATCAGAGGCGTGTGGATTCTGTGCCAAGTCAGACGCTGGCATTCGAGTGATGAGGCGGACGGCGATAATGTTCGGCGAGGTGAATCCAGCCCATTGAGCCCTGTCAAACTGCACTCTCCATTGGGTGTAGTCTCCTACGACTCGGGGCAGTTCGGCTTGCGATGGAAGGAGCCAGTTCCGTTCAAGAACGTCCAGAGGCCCGTCCGGCTGGGTCTCGTAGATTCGCGAAGCAATTAAGCAGACCCGATTGAAAGTCAACTCGCTTCTAAGAACGGGACAGCATGCCTCAATAGGGGAATCGATCCATCGCATAACCTGAGCTCCCCGGGTCCGCAACCAAGAACGATGCATTGGACGGTCTTCTACTAGACGTCGGCCCAAGCTAGTCGAGGAACTAGTTGACGACGGAAGATAAAGTTGACTTAACACATCGGCTTGGGTCAAAGGATCAGCCTGGATCGATGGGAGACTAGCCTGAAATGAAGAATCATCCCGGGTTGAAGAATTAGCCCGCGTCCACGAAGGGCTGGCTTGAGATGAGGGACCAGGAGGAGGTTGAAGGGGAGTCAGTGGGACAGCACGTGCACCCTGTGCACCACCATGCCCGCCGTCATCAGAGTCTGATGAACTGCCGTAGACGCAGGTCAAGCAGTTGCAACGGAAAGGCATGAGGGAAAATGTAAAAAGAAAGATACGGATAGTGAAAACTGACCTGGAGCAGAGACTTGATGAGAAGATATCGTAATCTGTTTAACGGAGTTGTAGCTTGTATCAGGATTGAGAAGCTTTGGGCAGAGGATCGCCAGATCCAAACCGACCGGGAGGGGGGAGGCTCGTTTTATAGCTCCTCTTGGGGTGGAAATAGCCTGCTAACAGGAGCTTGAAAGACAAAGAAGCTCTCCGAGACAAAGAATTATACTCCAATCACACGACCCACTCGTGGCATGAACAAAGAAGAAAAGTAACGGGCCGGTCTAGCAAACAAAGAAACGTAGTTCAGCTATGAACAAAGGCGTCTGTGTTGAATGCATTCCAGGCAACGGTTGAGATTGGCTGGTGATTAGGCGGAGGGGAACATCATTGGTCGGTTCGGTATCGCCAGTATGATGGTAAAAGTCCTGGTCAGTTATGGTGTGTGGAAAGCAGACACGGATCATTTACCAGGTCATTTTGCGTTGCGTCCGTGGCCTTCGAATGGAAACATTTTCGATGTGCTCTGCGCTCCGTACATTTGTTATTATGCGACTCACAGGGTTTAAGCTCTATCTCTCTTACCTACTCCAAAGGCCCCCCTGTTCTATTATATATTACATAGCTTTCTCGTAGCTGCTACGCGCACCGTGTGCGTCTTAACGGCATAACATAAAACACGTGGAAGATCAAGTTGAGATGAATTGTTCTATCTTAGTTGTAGATCACCATCTTCTCCACTCAATGGATTATTAGGTTTGCAAGACTTGGGTTACCAAATAAATGATAGACACGTCTGCACGGTTGTGTGTAATAAACAGCATGGGAATGCTGGGAATGCTGGGAACGCTCACAGAGAATTGTATGCGCAATAGTCAAGGTTGTCGGGATGATTGCCTGCCCATGTTGGGAAGGGAACTGCCTTTCCAGAAGCACCAAAGACAGCAAAAGTGGCCAAGAACACCATGACTTGAGTGCCACCGTCAAGTGCAGCGGAGATGAGGTAGTTCCACTTGAGGAACCATTCCGGTCGGTAGCGTCGCAGATAGAATTGACCGAAGGCGCCGAGGATGAAGTAGCTGGTGACAGACGCATTGAGACCCACGAAAAGATATCCCATGTACCACAGCATGATGGCCGAGTTCAAGTACGCCCAAATTCGCTGCTGGGGGAAAAGACGGTGCATGATGTAGAATGGCACTGGAGCAAGGAAGCCGACCAGGAATGCAATCGTGACCCATTGGTAGCGAGCGCCAATGGAGAACATCTTGGGAGCAACGGACCACGCGATGGCGAGAGTGTTGAACTGCTGAATTTGGGCACCAGACCAGACGTTGCTACCTTCCGCAGACTTAAGAATGGGGGCTTGGTTTTGAACGATGCTAAAGACTGTTTAGACCAAGTAACAAAGTTGGTAGACCGTGGGGTTGGGGACTTACCTTATCATCATGACATAGTTAAGAAGGGCACCCATGATGCAGCCAATAATTTGGGTGACAAACGTAGCCTTGGGAGACAACTTGTTCTGCTGAGCTAGCTTGAGATCGCGGAGAAGCAGCCATCCTTGATTGAGGCCATTGTAAGTGTAGGTAGTGAAGTACATGTTGGCTGAAATTTTGTCAGTTGAAATGAATAGGGATATGTGTTTCAAACGGATGGGATGCATACCCAAGGGACGTCCGGGCATCATGTAGCCGGCAAGCATTTGGAAGACTGGCTGCAAGTTGAATCCAAAGCCCGTGATGGCATACTGCGCTCCGAAGAAGACCATGAAAATGAGCAGGAAGATGGTCGCGAGGATGAAGCCCCACCATGGAAGGGTAGACTTCATGACGTATAAGGATACAATACCAGCGATCCAACTCGCGGCGAAGACGCAGAAGTACCAACTGTTTGGGACTTCCTCATAATCAAGCATCAACTTATAATGGGGGTCAATGGTAGGGTCCTCAAGGATCTGTTTCTTCTCCTCTTCAGTTCGAACACCGGTGTGTTGCCAGAACTTGAACGACGAAGGGTCAAGAAGACTCTTCAAGCTCTTCATGGTCACCCAAGCCCATCCAAGGCTCACTTCGGGGTAATTCCAGAGTAACATGTGAACAATGGTGGCGGTGAGACCAGCGCTGGATGTGATGAGATAGTTCACGTATGTCGCAGTGAGGTAAGGGGCGCCAGCCTGATCCACCAGAGTGCCGTTGACAGTAAAGTCGGGATTCAAGACGGCAGTCTCGTTATATTGGACGTAATTGGTCGTGTTTGAGCTTGGGTCGTAGAGAAGTTGAGACATGAAAGGGAAATCCCGAGCTCTCCAGATATTGGTGTAGTAAAGGCCCATGGAGATGACAATACCTACGAGGTAGCCAATGAAGCTGTTGGTCAAGGTCTGAAGAGGCATCCAAAGTGGTGACCCGAAGCCGGCGATGTAATTCCAGTCAAAGCAGACTGACAGGAATCCCATGCCTTCATTACCTTGAGAGCCACCAAACAGGTTGGTGAAGACAGGGTTGCTCTGGTCGGCCAGGCAGAAAATCGAAACCGCAGACAAAATCGGGAAAATGTACTGATCAATGTTAAAACCCCATGATGAAGACAGATGATGCGCTTGAGCGAACGAACCTCGGGGAACCATTCCCAGCAAAAGATTGCCACAAACACAATCCAAAAGATCTTGAATCTCTGCTTGGTCTCCGCTTTGGGCTTGTGCAAAGTTTCCATGACAGTTGTGATAGGCAGGTTGACGGGATACAACATCTTTGTGGGATACACCAAGACCTTTCGGTACATGCCTGCAACACCGTACCCGATGAGCTGCGAGGAAAGGGTAATGAAGATGCCCGCCACCTCGTTCGGATATCCTCCATACCAAAGCTTTTGCACAGCCAACGCCTCTGTCGACAAGGCGGAGACCGCTGCAGCGGATGCCATGAGGACTGCTGCGGTGTGCTCCTTTCGGTTCCATGGGAAGGGGTTAAGGAAGCGGCCGATGGCCCCCTTTCTGGGAATAAATGTCGCCATGGCAGAACCAAGGGTTTGCGCAAGGACGGTCAAGAACATGACGGAGACGTAAACGACCTGAGGCTTGAAGTACATGATTTCTTGGAGGACGGCTCCGAACGCGGATAATCCGATACCTTCATTCGAGGTTAGCAGATATCGCCTGGGGTCAGACCCAGTATGGATTCCGTTTCTTTCATGTACTCACCCACAAAAAACATTCGAAACGTCCATGGGCTGAGGGTTGGGTCGTCGTCAACATGAATGACATGAGTGACAATCGCCTCCGCCGTCTGCAGGGGACCCTCGTTCTCCTTGGAGAGCGATTCGGCATCGTAAGCCGGAAGGGGGACTTCCTTAATGGAGGCTCCCTTGGCATCAATGGAATCTCCCTTGCCAGAAATATCCTCAGAACTCCCCTTCTCGCCGGCCATCTTGGGAGCTGGTCCGAGCTCAAACGGGTCACCCGTCTTTTCTGGCATCGCCGCCATGTTGATGAGTGAACAAAACTAGTGGTTATTAAACAACTAGAATTGAGGAATGTTCAAGCCGGAGCAAGTGTTGGGTAGTGGTTTCTCATATACCATTGTCCAAGCAAGTCAATTGATAGCACGCTCGTTCTAGCCCATCGTGGTGTGTGGGCGTGTGCACTATGGTCTCATTAGCTGGCGACCGATAATGATCACTTGTCCCAAAGAGGAAGGTCGTAATCCGGTCCGCCGGTCTGGGGCCGATAAATACCGCAGTTTCTGTAGCTTCACCAGTGCTTAGTGTGACGCCACATCTCCGTGCCGCATCGCCTAGGGGATCACAACATTGGTCAAGAGATCGCAACAGGGCTTATCATTGCATAAATCCAACCAGATGCGCATTGATCTCGGGGGGCTATCTGATGTGAACCCCAGAGAAGAAGCCCGATTCGTGTGATACAGATGGATCTTATCGGGTAGACTGAACCCCATAACACTTTGCAAGATTAGCTGTGTTTGTCGGGGACTATTACTCCGTACACGCACGCTTACTCGCACTCCGATAAGTACTCCGTACACGGACCACCGTCGGAGTGGCGTCGCTTTCCTGCAGTCTGCAATTTAAGCTAAGACAAGCTTTGCCAAGCGTTTCCGCTGGCCGCGACGATCCGTGGCAAAACGGTACTGATAAGCGACCCCTTGACCCCTTGACCCCCTGACCCCCATCGTCAGGTAGGCTGAAGCCTGAGCGCCTTGGTTTTCTCCCCGGTGGCTTCTGAATGCTACCTCTCAATCAGCCCAATTTGCATTTCATTGGCCAATGCTAAACAAAGATACACTGGATGCACAGCTGACCTCATTCAGCTTCTACCCACGTCGAATCCTGGATTCACGCAAAGCTCAACCAACCATACCATTTTTGTTCGAGGATGATTGGAGGGCTGCGGCCCTTCATTCCCCAGTCACTACTTCTAGGTTGTCGGCAAATACTCCAGAAAGGTGAAACGGAGCACGTGGGAGTAACGCCACAAAAACGCCTGGGGGAGGGGATCCATCTTCGATATGCGGTTGTAAGGAGCATGTCCGGAGATGAAATCCTATCTGCCCGCCACCCGACATTCCTAACCGAGGCCTGTCGTCAAATATTGCGTGTATCCACTACTAAGTTGGAACACTAGTACGTTTGTAATTTCCATACAACCCTACTACCCCTGAATCTTCTTCCCTCTACGGAGTACAACACACTCACATAACCAATAATGAGTAGTACTACTACCAGACCATTTATCCTTTCCCCAAAGAACCAGACTAAATAGCGATCTTCGTGGGTATTTAAAAGTTCTTCTGTTGACTGTATCTTTGCTCGAGCTTATAAGTGAGGCTGTGATCCTAATACAGTACCTGTCCTGTAAAGATTAAAAATACCTGTATAACAATATACCCCACTGTGGGTATTTATAAAAGTAAGATAAAACCTATAAGTATATACTAAGGTTATCACTAATTGCTATGGATAAGAGACATCTTATAAGATACTAATCACTCGTAAGCTTAGTACTAAGCATTAGAAATCTTTTCTGTTCAAGATCTTGGTCTTTAGGAGACGGAACTAACCCGGGAAGCCTCGATCAATAAAGAAGATATATGCTGAATGTCTTGCCTAGTATTTTATAATACTAGACTCTTAAGGATTGGAAAAATATTATATAGAGTCATAAACCCTCTATTGTTCTACCTTACAGGCGCGGTTGATATCGAACCTAGTGTATAAACGAACAGGCTTTTGTCAAAGCTGTTACATAATGCGTGTCTCCCCTGCATGAGGCTATTCCACCTTGGGAAGGTAGCGTGGCCTGCCTTTGGTATGCCGATTCCCCAGCGGTACTCCCCCGATGTCCCCCTCCCCCGCCCGGGCATTCTTCCAGGATACCCCGCTCCGGAGAGGTAGTGTCCATTGGGATGGAAATATGTCGATCATATGGTGACATCCCGTCGATTTACCTCTCTCGCTGAAGCATCCCGCAGGATGCCCTAGTATAAAAGGTACCATCTCTCCCTGTCTCTTCCTGTTTTCTTATAACTGGAATACATCGGGTTAATCTTTATCGCAATCTGAGTAGAACTCGCTGAATAGAGGCTTTCACGAGGTCAAGCTCGAGGAATTGATTAGTATCGCTGTTCACAAGTTATCCTCTTACGGGAACTACTACCTTTTCGCTGAGGAAGACGATATTTAACGGCCCGAGATAGTAGTTCAAGAGGATAAAGCAATAGACGACGCGTAATGGCGTACCGAAGTCTCGGAAACCTGAGACATATATTACGTGGCACCAAGCCTGGCAGGAGCCTACCCCACGAGTATACAGTGGTGTTTCATAAGTTTTCGACCACCTTTGCTCTACCGCCTAGTCTTCCGCTCTCAGAGAAACTTTATGAGTCAAGAAACCGATACGAAAGAAAGATAGGATCATTCATCTTAATAAAAGTCATTTGAAATATGGACCAAGCTAAATTTACAAAATTAGAAAGCCATTATTGAGGGCGTGATGCACGAGTAAGCGGAGATGTTTTGACTGGCAGAATATTGCTATTGTTGGGTGGTCGAAGACTTATGGAACACCACTGTACATCATAGTAGATTAAGCGTATTCCTAGGTATATTTAGGAGAATTTCAGATTGACAGGAGGAAATGACTACAAAGACGGTAGGGGAAATACGCATGTCTATAATTACTTAGTAGTAAAATCTATAGTTTATAGCCTGTGCGTGGCGCACGACTTCTGAAAAGCACCTCCGTACTCAGTAAATAGATCAGAGAGCTTATATAATGCTTACTGATCAGACCAGGGCGCTCACATGCGTGCTCAGGTCTCTACCCAGTGAGCAGAACAGGCGAGGGTTTGAGCACTAAAACAGAAATGGAAAGCCAAGCCGTGGCATAGGCAATCAAGTACATCGGAGTCCTCCTAGTTCTCGTGAAGAAATGAAAGCCCCAAGGGGGTTAAAATTCATGATACATAATTCTGGATCGCCGCCTAACCCAGCCAGGCACTGCTTTACTCCATAACTACACCTAGGCAATCGCAATAAGATATGCAAAGGGTACTAGGACATCGCGTAACAGAGGGGTGGAAATTAAGTCAGACGAACAGACAGACACAGCAAGGAAATTCACAAACAGGGTCAACCGGTCAAAAGGGATAAGAAAGGAAAAGAGCGGGAAAGAAGATTGAAGTCCAGAAGGGAAAAATTGAAATACAAAGACAGAAGAACCCCTAGGTCCCCCCGTCCAGCACAGGCAATTAACTACTGAGGACTATGAAACTGAAGGACTCCATAAAAGGTAAATAGTAGAGGGTAGAAGGACAAAGCGAGTAGGATAATGCCCTAACCCAACCCCAACCCCAACCCCATCAAACGCCGACTGGCCACCCTTTCGTAAGCCCGTTCGTCCCGTCCTGTCCCGTCCCGTCGAGGGACGCCGATATCCGAGGGGGCCAGATGCAACAGTAGAAGGAAGACATGGTGATAGAATGGTAGCATGGTGAGCCGAGCCGGACACGAGCCGGACACGACGATTGCAGGTCACAGACAAAGACCATGGAAATGAGATTGAAAATGAAAATCAAGTTGCCGAATCTCTTTTAGTTGCCCTGTCCCGGGGGCGGGGGCTGCGACGAAGGCGGCTGTGTGTTGCCCATCATGAAGCCCGGCGGGAGGAAGGGCATACCTGGGAAATTGAAGCCGTAGGCTGGCACAGCGGGAGGAACGCCTGGGTTCGGCATTGCGGGCATATCGTGCGAGTCCTGGCCCGATACGCCGCCGGAGGAATGGCCACCGAAGCCGTCCCGGTCTGGCCGGCCACGTCCTCCACCACCACCACCACCACCGCCGCCGCCGCCTCCAAATCGCGGCGGTGCAGGCTCGGGACCCTGGCCACGAGACGAGATGGGCCCACGCTTGCCGCCGGTGTCGGTGGCGATGCGTCGGCTGATGGCCTTGGACGAGACGCCGGCGCCGATTTCAATATCGGGCTCTTCGACGACCATGCCCGATTCAATGGGACGGCCGCCCGTGCCGCCGTACTCGGCTGTGAGCATCCACTTGCGGTCTGCCTCGGTCAGCCGCTCAATCGGGATCACGCTGATGCCGGTTTGGTAGTCGCTGCAGTCGCGCGGGCCGAAGCCAACACCCCACCGGGTGCGCAGCTGCATTTCGGCCTGCCGGTAGGACTCCATGCCGTCTCGCGCGGCGATGGCGTCCTGCCGGCTGATCATCTTGATGAAGGCGTGGCGCTTGTCGATATTGACGATGCAGGTTTGGACGAGGCCGAAGCGGTTGAAGAGGGCGCGCAGGTGTGCCTCGGAGGAGGTCACGCCGCCCACGAACAGGGTGCGGCTGAGCACTTTGATGTTGTCTTGTCCGATGGAATAGTCCCACTCAATAAGCTTGGGACCGGGAGGCGGGAGGTTCGGGTCCTTGCTGCGCGGCGGGGAGGGAGATCGGCGGCGCCGGGCGCCTGCGGGGCTGCGTTGGCGATATTCGGTAGCGCCTCGGCGGCCACCACGAGCATCCCGGTCGCCGCGACGACCGGGGGATTCCCCGTGGTATTCGCCGTAGACGGGGCTCTCGCGACGACGAGGAGGGGAGGCAGTGCGGCGGCGGTCCCAGCCCGGAGAGCGAGAGCGACGTCGGTAGCCACCAGGAGAGCGAGGGTAGTCGCGATCACGGTCATCACGGTTCTGCGTGTCTGGCTGGGCCCAGCCACCACCCGCCGCCGGTCCGGGCATCGCCGGGAATCCGGGAAGCTGAGCGGCGGGATTGGTGCCCATGGTGTTCGACATGTTCAGGAGTTGAAGTGCGGTCGCCCATTGGTCCTGCGGGATCCCCTGCGACGACAGGTATTGCAGCAGCGAGAGCTGTTGCGAGAGGGCGTTGCCATCAGGCATGGCCGGAGCGGCGGCGGCCTGCGCCATCATGGCGGCCAATGGGTTCTGCGCCGAGGTCATGGAGTTGGGAGTGTGGCTCTGGCTGTGGGGTTGCGGAGGCATGGCTGGGTTTGGGGCCAGGCCCAGAGCCGCGAAGGGGTTGACCATTCCGGCGGCGGCATATGGGTTCGTACCAGGGGTCATGGAGGATGGGTCGGCAGACGAGACTGGCGGAATGGCACCGGTCAGGGCAGCAAGCGGGTTGATGGGAGCTGCCGGGGCAGAGGCCGCGGGTGCCGCAGTGTTCTGCTTGGCCATATCCGCCAGGGCTTTCAAGATACTGGAGGTATCTGGGGCAGCCGCAGATCCGTTGGCCGGAGGTTGCTGTGGGAGCAGCGACGACGGGGCAGCTCCTCCAAGCAGGTTGTATCCGGGGGCCGGCGAGCCCTCGGGGGTGGTAGATTCCACATCTATACCAAGGACGTCAGAAACCAACCGGTTCTGGAGATAAGAGGACCCAGTGAGAGATAAACCGGGGGGGGGGGGGGGGGGAAGGGAAGGGAAGGGAAGGGAGAATAAAGATTGGAGGACTTACTCTGCGGGGCGTTCAGCTTCTCGCGGAACGAGGCGAGCATGGAGGGGGGAAAGGTACCTCCACGCTCCCAGATGTCGATCAGCTTCTTGATTTTCTCCTACAATGCAGGTATAAGCAACAGAAATTCCGAGGTTGGCCAAGACCCGCGGCCCCCAAACTGCCCCGCTTTAAGGCTGGCGGGACATGCATGTCTAGTGCGTACAGTACAAGTACAGGGCCCGGTGAGGGTCGGCATATCAAGTGCGTATAGTGCGTATAGTGCGTACCTTTTGATCATTAGGGGCGTTGTTTATGATATCAGTCATCAACACGGGCAGCAGCTCAGTCACTCGATTGACGCCTGCGGCCAAGGTCCCATCGGGAGCGGCGCTGCCAGACGGCTGGCCGGCCTTGCGTGCAGCTTCTACCCATTGGCGGGTTACAGAGTCTACGACATAGAGGACGCCCAACTTGTGGGTGCCCGGTGTCTTCTTGAAGTGCGTGTAGATCTTTTGGATCAGGACCGATTCATTCTGGGGGGACTGGGGTTAGCGGGATCAAGATCAAAGGTCGTCTCGAGTGCCCTCAAAGTCGCCTCGAGGCTCAGGCGGGGGTCTCTTACCTGGACGTTGGCGGTACACAGGGCCGTGATCCCTTGGATCTTGGTGCCCGATACGCCGGGCGGCTTGAGCGCCAGCATGGAGTGGAGATAGCTCTCCAGCTCTGCTACAGCTGACGACATGATCATGGAACGCGGGAGTCCGGTCGTGTAGTTGGTGTCTCGACTGGTTTGATGCGATCCCGAGGCTCTAATGCAGTGTAGTGGTGCGACCTGAAAGTTCCCCCAGGGACGGTACTGGTTGGCTACTTCGAAGAGCAGGGTCAAAGAGAAGGAAGATTTGTGAAGCTTCGTAAGGAAATTAAGCGCGCCTCGGACACCACCCAAATATCTTATAAGCGGACCTCTGGTTCTGTCTGCCCTCTTGTTCACACTACAGCACGAGCGTATTCACTGTCGGACCAGAGAAACTGCCGCCTACAGCTGAAATACAGCCTAAAGCGAGGGGAAGAGACCGTCCAGGCCTAGCGAGTACGAGTGTACGAGAGGTAAAGAGACCAGCGAGTACTGTGAGAAATCCTTAGGCGGGCCCACAACGATGACAGAATTACAGAGTACAGGCAATCTGTGGATGTCGGAGGTCAGGCGTTGGACCGATCGAGATGCCTGGAGTAATCGACGTGATGGAAAAAGAGAGGGTGTCGAAAAGGAGGAGGAAGGAGATGAAGAGGGAAGAAAGGGAGGACCAGCGGACAGACTTTTGCAGCGTGGTCGCTAGCTCCGTTTGGGCATAGTCACGTGCATCACCCTGATTACGTGTCGATGTCGTGAGATCATGTGATCTCGATGCTGGACTGCGGAATGGGTGTCTCTCCCCTCCCGAAGCGGACCTCCACCACGATGACTACGCGGTTCTCCGTACTCCAGAGCGGATGCCCGGTTCCCCCGGCTACGAGGGGGGAGAATGGGGCAATTGGGATTTTGCTGGGGAGGCTACGGAGTCTGAACGAGGCAGCGGTGGATGCTGCTGCTCCTCACGTCTCAGTCCACCCTGGACCGTTGACTTCCAGGTGGAGGACAGTGAGTATCCCCGGCAGGAGGTGGGCCGGAGACACTTTCAATCATGGGCGACCGCGGCTCGGTAGTGAGTGTCTCCTTCAATCTCGTGAGAGAGGTACACTGGGGTCTTGTCCAGCCTGGTCTGTCAGGCAAAGTCTGTGTCTGGGTCCATTCTGCCCTTATGTACCGCCGGTAAAGCTCCCGTTTCCGGTGAACCATTTCAGAAAGTGTCCGGCTAGAGACGGGGAGAGACCAACAAGCGCTCGCTCAGCGAGTCCTGCGAATGGTGTCAGGCGCACGATAAAGTCGCCGGTCGAAAGGGCGCCAACGAAGAGGTACTGTAGGTACTCCGTACGTCCCGGAAGTCCTCCATATACTGTAGTCCTGCAAATTGGTACATCATGGGTATAAGATACGGTATGTACGGTACCAGCAGGGCTAAGATAACTCCCCGTGGATGCCGAGGATGCTTCGGAGATGCGGATGGCTGATGGCTGCACGGGACAAAGATGGCGACTTGCCGACGTCACTGCCAGCCGCTCTCCATCTCTCCATCAGGCATAGCGGGTGTTATAAATTTACATACGGTACCCGACCCCGGTTCGTCTCCCCGTACTGTGAACATATATAGAGAGGCCCGATATCAGATAGATGCAAGTCATGGGGAAATCGGCTGAAGAGGCATCAGGTAGTCGAATATAGGGATGGAATCCTACCGGAATATGGTATACAACATGTACTGTAAGCTATTACAATATATTGAGATATCTGAGATGAATATGTATATGATTGAAAACAAAATGCAAAATCACGAGCATGGTCCACCTGTACATGTACATACTGGACTCCTTCATCACGCCAATGCAGACAGCTGGTTAGCGGAAAGCCCCCGGGCGGCCCAGATGGTGTGTTGTGTACGGTAGATCTACCGCCGGCAGCCCGACTGGCCGTATGCGGCCGTACCGTTGGGGGGCAGGGAAATTACCAGAGCTGGTCATTCCCGCCTCAGAAGGAACGGGCTCCCGACCGTGACCGTACCGGTGGTATTACCAGCAAAAATCCGAGCAAAATCCAGGGAGCTCCCGGATAATTTCTTCTTATTCCCTTCCTTCCCCCGTGTTCCATCTTCTCCTCCTCCCACCTCTCCTCTTTCCTCACCCCATATCCTTTTTTGGACTTTTGGATATTCACATTCCGTCATGGCTGCCTCCCTTCGGATCGGTACTTCCGCTCTGCGGTCTTCTATCGCAAAGCCCGTCCAGGCTACTGCTCTGAACGGCGCCCGCTACTACTCCTCCGCGAAGGCTAAGGTATGTCGCGTTATGATGGGTTCAACCCAGCCTCGAGAAGCTCAATTCACATGCTGACACCCTCGCAACAGTCCCTCAAGGAGACCTTTGCCGAGGGCCTGCCCGCTGAGATCGAGAAGGTCAAGAAGCTCCGCAAGTATGTCGACCGCGTTTTCCTCCCCCCCCTTTGTCTTCATCCTGCCCAAGACCAGTATTCTGACGCTACAATTGCAGGGAGTTCGGCAGCAAGGTCATCGGTGAGGTCACCCTCGACCAGGCCTACGGTGGTGCCCGTGGCATCAAGTCCCTCGTCTGGGAGGTCAGTTTCCTCGTCCACCTTCCAAGCGATCCTCTTGGCGCGCGCACAGCAATGATTTGAAGCTGACATTCTTTTTCCGCTAGGGCTCCGTCCTCGACTCTGAGGAGGGTATCCGTTTCCGTGGCCACACCGTAAGCTTATCCTCTGTTTGGTTGGGAGGAACAATCTCCCAATTGCGTCACAAAAGCTAGATGCGCGGGCTCACACCACCTTCTATAGATTCCCGACCTCCAGAAGCTCCTGCCCAAGGCTCCCGGTGGCGAGGAACCCCTCCCTGAGGGTCTCTTCTGGCTCCTGCTCACCGGCGAGATCCCTTCCGAGCAGCAGGTCCGTGACCTGTCTGCTGAGTGGGCTGCCCGCTCTGATGTCCCCGCGTTTGTCGAGGAGCTCATCGACCGTTGCCCCAGCACTCTCCACCCCATGGCCCAGTTCTCCCTGGCTGTGACTGCTCTGGAGCACGAGTCCTCCTTCGCCAAGGCCTACGCCAAGGGCATCAACAAGAAGGAGTACTGGACCTACACCTTCGAGGACTCGATGGACCTGATCGCCAAGCTGCCCACCATCGCCTCCAAGATCTACCGCAACGTCTTCAAGGACGGCAAGGTCGCCCCCATCCAGAAGGACAAGGACTACTCCTTCAACCTGGCCAACCAGCTCGGCTTCGGCGGCAACAAGGACTTTGTTGAGCTGATGCGTCTGTACCTGACCATCCACTCCGACCACGAGGGTGGCAATGTCTCCGCTCACACCACCCACCTGGTCGGCAGTGCTCTGAGCTCCCCTATGCTCTCCCTGTCCGCCGGTCTCCAGGGTCTGGCCGGTCCCCTGCACGGTCTTGCCAACCAGGAGGTGCTGAACTGGCTTACCGAGATGAAGCAGGCCATCGGCAACGATCTCAGTGACCAGTCCATCAAGGACTACCTGTGGTCTACCCTGAACGCCGGCCGTGTCGTGCCCGGCTACGGCCACGCCGTCCTGCGCAAGACCGACCCCCGCTACATGTCCCAGCGCGAGTTCGCTCTCCGCAAGCTGCCCGATGACCCCATGTTCAAGCTGGTCAGCCAGGTCTACAAGATCGCCCCCGGCGTCCTGACCGAGCACGGCAAGACCAAGAACCCCTACCCCAACGTCGATGCCCACTCCGGTGTCCTCCTCCAGTACTATGGCCTGACCGAGGCCAACTACTACACCGTCCTGTTCGGTGTGTCCCGTGCTCTGGGTGTCCTCCCCCAGCTGATCATCGACCGTGCCCTTGGCATGCCCATTGAGCGCCCCAAGTCCTTCAGCACGGAGGCTTACGCCAAGCTGGTTGGTGCCAAGCTGTAAAGGAAGCAGCGATAATTTGATGTGGGGATCTTTCCGGGATTTGAGTTAGACCTTTTGTATTATTTTTTTCTCTAACTCCTGTGATTGTTTTTTCATGTATGTTGTATGATAGGACTTGGTCGGTTCGAGCGGGCCTTGGAACAGCACTTCCTCCACCAAAAATAAACATGGAATTTGGTCACGCAACTTACGGTGTCGTCGTTATTATTGTTTTCTTTCGAGTATGCGTGAAACCAAACCAGGGGTGGTTGGGTGTAATGGCAAGGTATTTGGAACAGTTGAGGCGTCGATCATGCAGGAGGGTGGAGGCTCCATGGGACCAGGATCGAATGTACTGGGTAGAGATCATAAGTATCACGGCAATAGAGGTACTAGTGTTGCAAGGCCTCCAACCAGAATCAGAGACATGGTAGAAATAAAGCGATACTGAAAGAGATAGCCCCAAAACCCACCGCTTTGGTCTGACGGCTACCCAGGTAGAATCGAGCACACGTGAATTGTTGGGGAATGCGGTTCGTCGATTTTATTGGGAGCTTCTCAACCGTCCTCACCGACCCACCCGATCCGAGAAAACCAATGCGTAGGATCTAGATCACAACAAAAACGTTAGTGAGTGGGTTGGCTGGTGCTTTATAAGAAGCTCTTCGGAGAAGTGGTGTCTGCGAGCAGGAAACCGGAAAAGTAGTTGAAGAATCGGAGGAGGTCAGAGTAAAGCCAATCGCCGATGAACGGACATTCTTAAGCATATTCCGCATCGGGGCGAGGCTAGGCTCAAGGGAAAGTCACGGTTCAGCCGATCATAGGGTGCGGCGGTATAGGAGGTACCCTATACCCGACGGTCTGGGCGAAGACCGCGCGAATAATAGGTACTGGTGACTGCCCCGTAGGCTAACTCCGGTCGAGGACGTTGTTAGTACCCGAACGTACTTGGTACACTTCAGCACCCCCCAGCTAACCCGCTAACCCTCCTGACGGCGGAACTGCTGACTCTCCTATAAGACAATTGGCCATTTCGCCTTCCTCCTCTCACTCTTCTCCATTAACACTCCTCTTCTGCCCCTCCCGCTTCTCTTCTCGCGCCGAAGCCCCCTACATCCCTTGGTCAGGGCCCCTTTCAGCACATCCTCCCTCAACGATGTCTACCGCTACCCCCGACAAGGCCGCCGCGCCCGTGCTCGAGAAGAAGCCCGTCAAGTTCAGCAACCTGCTGCTCGGCGCTGGTTTAAACATGTTCGAGGTCACCACACTGGGTCAGGTACATACCTCCAACCCTAGGTTTATGGTCCTTGGACTCGACTCCGCCGTCAAAACAAGACCATCACCACCCGTTCCGCCCGCTAATCACTCTTTTCTTTCTTCTAGCCGCTGGAAGTGATCAAGACAACCATGGCCGCGAACCGGGGCGACAGCTTCGCCGGTGCTATGGGTCGGATTTGGGGCCGTGGCGGGATCCTCGGTTGTACGTGACACCTTTTCCCCAGACACTCTCCTCAAGTTCCTCCGATGGGGAAACGCAACCTTCCCAAGAGGGAGACGCACCCAATCATGGGCGCGCGCCATCACGATCACATAGGCTAACGTTGCGGACTACTAGACTACCAGGGACTCATTCCGTGGGCCTGGATTGAGGCCTCCACAAAAGGTGCCGTGCTCCTCTTCGTCGCCTCGGAAGCCGAGTACCATGCCCGCAGTTTCGGCGCGAACGATTTCATCGGTGGTATTAGCGGTGGTATGGCCGGTGGTATCGCCCAGGCCTACGCCACCATGGGCTTCTGCACCTGCATGAAGACCGTCGAGATCACCAAGCACAAGATGGCCGCTGCCGGCGTCAAGCCCCCCAGCACCTTCGCCACCTTCATGGACATCTACCGTAAGGAGGGTATCCGGGGTATTAACCGCGGTGTGAACGCTGTCGCCATTCGTCAGACTACCAACTGGGGCTCCCGCTTCGGTCTGTCCCGTCTGGCGGAGTCGGCGATCCGCAAGGTCACCCATAAGGAGGAGGGCCAGAAGTTGTCCGCTTGGGAGAAGGTGCTTGCTTCCGGTCTCGGTGGTGGTCTGTCCGCTTGGAACCAGCCCATTGAGGTTATTCGCGTCGAGATGCAGAGCAAGACCGAGGACCCCAACCGCCCAAAGAACCTGACTGTTGGCAAGACTTTCAAGTACATCTACGAATCTAACGGCCTGAAGGGTCTTTACCGCGGTGTCGCGCCCCGTATTGGCCTGGGTGTCTGGCAGACTGTCTGCATGGTGGCTCTTGGTGACATGTACGTTCCTTGTTTTGATCTCGTTTCTCTCCTCCTTTACCTGTGATATCTCGGGCTAACGACTGCTTACTCAAATAGGGCCAAAGAAGCTGTTGAGAAGCTGACTGGCGACACTGTCACCGCGAAGCACTAGAGAAGGTTTGAGATACCCTTCCAATGTGCAGCGGTTCGTCGGAGAGAAGGCATGGGGCCTCCATCGTTCATACACGTTCATAATTCCGTCTGCCGTTTCATCCACACTTCCAGGACCAGGGACAGACCCGATCGATACCCACTGAATAAATCCCTTTGCGATTGTGCTTGTGCCTTGTGATACTCAACGAGAACGAAAATGCCTGTCGAATCCGTGTCTCACCCTCGCTGGATACTGGTTTCCATCTGCTGTAGTTTCCTCTGCATTTTACATCTGTTACTTCTGTATTGTTTCTGTTTCTGTTTCTGTTTCCTTTTCTTTTTCCTATGTCCTACAGGAGGATAGACTTAGAGGATTTTACCTAGTTACACTGGCCGGGCACTGAACAATCCAGCTCCATCCCAGAACCTCCTTCCATTCTGCTTCCATATCCTCATATTTTCCTGCAGCATACTATCATCATCCTCCCCTCCGAATTCAGGGACCAACAGCAACTCAATTGCCGTCAAGCCCCACCTAAGAAAGCAGGTCCCTCCTACGGAATCCTTCCGTGAATTCTTGTCGACCCTTTGCAGGACATTATGCCGAACGCACATCGCCAATTGCCTAGCCCAATGCGCGAATCATCCGATGTCGGGCCACATTGCGGCTATCGGCCCTTTCATGATGGCCCGCGCGTCTAGCGTCACTGTCACAGTGCAAAATTTAGAATCGAAAAATCGAATGATGTTCGCAGTTCGGGGTATACGTACAAGGTGTGGGTTGGGGGTTTATTTCATTTACTTTCCTTTGCTCGGCTTGCTCCTTTCATCCGTGCACCGGTGGTATCGTAATCGGGATCTTCCCGACTGCGGCGGTGTTTGCAAGCCTGCTGCTCCGAGAACCTGAGCCTTTGACCTCGGCTCAAGCTGCCGAGCGACCCGCCGGTGCATGCCTGTGTGCTTGTGTGCCTGCGTGCTTATAGTGAGTGCGCTTCCGCTGGTTCTGTCGCGCTCAGGGGTAATCTGCTCACATTCCAGGCGATTTTCGGCTTCATTGGGCATACAATTGCTCGCAAAGTCAGGCATCTTCTCGCTCGGTCATCATTGTTGGGTTGGTGCAATATGTCAAGGGCAGTGAGGACATTGGGGTATTGTATCGTCTATTCGCCACGATTATATTCTGCCTAGGTTAACTAATTATTCTGTAATCGCGTGTTTTCGCTTTGTCCGTGTCGCTTGGGATCAACTCCAGGTGTCGGTGTCATTTATTGGGATAGGGCTGGTCTTAATTTGGTGCTTGGTATGTAGGTTATCACATATCAGGAGGCATTGCCTAGCGTGATAACTGCCATGGGAAGTTGTAGTGTCTGGGCTTAGCAGTAATCGGTGCTTCTTTTGCTTTTTGAATAAGGCGATGCCCCTCCTGCTGCTGCTGGTACTGCGCCCTCGATGATGAAGGACAAGGCTAGGGTCCGATGGCATATGATGAGATGGTGGATACTCGGACGTGTAAAAAGAGAGAATCAGTTCGATTCAAAGGCAAGGGAAGTAGTAGGATGTTCGTCAGGGATAGTATCTCCAGTGCAAATTTCCGGACAAACGATCTTGCCTACTCCATTTGCACATTGTCCGTCCAAGTCAATTCGATAAAAGGCGAGACCTACGTCTTCCAAAAGGAGGCTTGGAAAATCTACAAAAATTCTAGTCGAAGGAGGTGGAATCTTGACATTGATCAAAATGGGGAAACATGACTGGTGCGGAGCAAGATCCGACTGTTGTTGGAAGCTTGCAGATTCCATTTTGCTGCGACTTGTTCGCCGTTGCAGTTGCACGCAGTTCCGAAGTCAATATCTTGCTGCGTAGTAGTGTCTCTGCCATACACAAGATTCGTCAGGAATTGTTCCTACTGTATAAAAGACGATATATACAGCAACAAAGACACGCCGATGAAGCGACGACACTAACACGAGCGAAACCAACTCGCTTCTCAGCCCTATACCTCCACGGCGTGGACGAAGCTGCCCCGTTCAGATGACACGAGACTACAGAGGCGAAATACGGGGCAGGTCGAGACAAAAATTGAATAAGGTACAATTGTTTGTATTACAGTCAACTACACCCTTAACAACAAAGGAGATATCGGTAAAGAATCTAGGCACAGGTGATCACATCAAGTCCAAACGAGGAAACACGCTTTTCCCTCGGTCTAGCGTTGTATGGTATACAAGGAGGTTTAAACGGTCAGGCCGAGGTCCTCAGCATAGGGAAGCTGGAAGACGTCACCGACGCTGACGAGAGTGGCCTTGCTGGTGAGGAAGGACTTGGCAACCTGCAGGGGCACACAACGGTTAGTACTGGATGTAGAAACATGACAGGGAGGAGACAGGGGAAAAACATACCTCCTTAACCTGCTGCTCAGAGACGTTTTCGATAGCCTTGGCAATCTCGCCAATCTGGTAGGGCTTGGTACCGTGGATCAGGCCGGAGCCAGTGGCCACGAGGCCGGTATCGAGAGTCTGGACGGACTCCAGAGCGCGGAACTTGGCCAGGGCAGTGGCCTTCTTGATGTCCTCGCTGGAGACCTCGCCAGCGGCGGCCTTCTTGAGCGCGTCCACGACACTCTTGCTGGCGGCGCCAACCTGACTGGCCTGGCCGGAGAGGGTGACGGTGAACAGACCGGCATCAGAGTAGGCGAGGTTCTGGGTCGAGACGTTGAGCTGGTTGAGGCCCTTGGTGGCCTGCGACAGGAGCGAGAAACCGGGAGTCCACTTGATGGTCGACTCGCCGCCCAGCAGGGCAGCGAGGACGGAAGCTTCGGCCTTGTAGCCGGCGGTGCCGAAGGCGCTGGAACCGGGGAAGGCGATCACGACCGCGTTGCCGGCCTTGGAGGCGATGCGCTGCTCACCACCGAAGTACTTGCTAGCCACGCTGGGCTGCACCTTGTACTGGCTGGCAGTGGTGCCGGTGGGAAGGTCCTTGAAGAACTGGCCCACCCACTTGGAGACCTCAGCGGAGTTGGGGCCGGTGGCAACGAGAGCGACGTTGGACTTGGCGTAGGCATCCTGAGCGAACTGGGCCAGAGCATCGGCCGAGATATACTTCTCGTACGGGGAGGAAGGGGAGGGGGTGATGGGTGAGCCCAGGCCGCGGTGGAAAGCAACGCCGTGGGCGGCGTCGAGAGCGACATTCTCGGCGTTGGAGAAGACGGCCTCCTGCTTGTACTTGAGGAGCTGGCTGACGACCTCGTTCAATTCGTGATCTGATATCCCAATGGGAAAAACTTCGTGTTAGCAAAACCCGGGATTCTCTGTCTGCCATTGTGCCCTGTTTCTAGACTCCCCTTTTCCGGCCTTTGTCAATGGGGCAGGGAAGGAAGAATCCAAACTCACCAGCAAACTTGGTTTGGCTGGCAACCTCGGCCAACAGCTCTGTGAAGTATGGGAGGTCGTTCGAGAGGAACTTGGCACGGAGAACGACGTTTTCGCGCGAGTGTGTCGACGAGATCTCACCGCCCAGCAGCTCGACCTCACGAGTGATCCGCAGTGCCGACCGCTTGAGGGTAGTCTGTGCAATGGCTCTAGTTTAGCAATGGGGAAGCCAGCGGGAGATGGCCAATGGGATGGAGGCCGAATCGAAACCATGCTGACGAACCTTGAAGGCGAACTTCTCGAGGGCATCGGAGAAGCCAGGGAAGGGCTGGTAACGGGATCCAGCCTTGGCCACCAGCGCCAGAGTGCCGGTGGCACCGGCGACTTCACGGTTGGCGACCTTCACGCCCGCGGCCTCGGTGACATCGTACTGGAAGGTCGGGTTGGCAGCAGAGGCCATGGCCCGACGGCCGGCGGAGAGCGCACGCGGCGCATTTCGGCTGAGGGAAGACCGCGACAGCATTGTGCGCCGGGAACAATTGGAGGGGGAGATAAAAGAAGCAGGAACCCAACAGGGTTTGTGAAGGGGGGAGGGCAATTGAGGGGAGGAGGCGGATGGAGGAGAGGGAAGCAATCGGGTTACGAAAAGCTTCAAGATGGTCGGGGCGGGTTGATTACTCTGCCGCTGATTGGCTGAGGTGACGAGTCGGACGGAACCGGAATATCTTTTCTGCCCAGCTTGTATAAGGCGCTTCTTGGATGATTTGAAATCATTATAGTATTGGAATGTATGGTCTATCATGTAATTGATCCTTGTTCTTATTTCACACCTCCTTTTTGCCCTGCTTCTCAATTGTGGTTGCGTCTGCTGTTGACTGAACCGCCACTAGCCTCACCCGACCTGCTCTCCAATCAGCTGATCCATATCACGTGATTGATAAGCAAAAAGTTGTTCGCCGACTTGCTTCGACAGCAGCACAACGTCCCACCTTCCCCCCCATGAATCTCTCGCAGTGACCTCAATTGCCCCTCGTGAGGTTCGGAGGCTGGCACTTCTCCATATGCGCCATGATGATTTCGCAGGTTCGCGACTTACCCCGCTCAGCCCCTCTCATGATCAGCACTGACGCATAAGCTACGCAGTACGCCGCGGAGCTCTGCGCGCTCCTCATCGAGGATCAATTTGGGGACCTTTTTGCGGTGAGTCATTTCCGAGTTTGTAGAAGCATATCCTTTGGTGATGGGGCGCAGTCGAGGTGACGTGTATTGGCAACACATCGTGGAGATCCAGAACTGACGAGAGATCCAACGTTTCACAGCGCATCTTCACTACCCTGCAACGCTATGAGCGGCTGCCACTGCCGCGTCTCAAATTCTACTCCCGTTTAACTGATCGCCAGCTGCATCATGGGCTTGCCGCCATGATTCAACACCATCTGATCTATCACTTTACTTCCCTCGAAGACGGCAACACCTATTACACCGCAAACCCGCAAGCTGCGTATTATCTTGTGCGCTCGGGCAAGATTATTCAACTGGTTGAGAGCCGACTCGGAGAATATGCGGCACGAGTCATGGAAATGATCCTCTACCTCGGGCACGCACCAATCAAACACCTCGAAAGCCTTCCCGAGCTACGACAGTTGAAGCCCGCAGTTCCAAATGGCGTTCACAAAGACGAAGAGCAAGAGCTTCAAGAGACTGAGAACGACATGGAACTCGAAGACGACACTAACGGAGCAAACGGAGCAAACGGAGACCATGTTGAAGAGGAGGAGCAAAAACCGGCACCTCTGAATTCTACCCTGAAAGCTCTTGCATCGCACGGTTATATCTTGCGCGTCAAAGATGCGCACTTCCAGAGCCCTGAAGACAACTACATCGAGGCGCATAAGGCCGCCGCAAACCGCTCTGACATCAAAATGCTCAAGGGAAAGAGGCAGCAGGAAGCATTGCTGCTGAAGACCGAGGAGATACTTGCGCAACGCACAGACGGTGACCTCTCTGAGGGGCTGATGGTCAATGGCCTGCCTCGCGGTGTGAAGAGGAAGTTTGTCAACGGCATCTCCGATTCAGCGAGCAAGAGGCTCCAGACGGGCCACAACGGCGTGAACGGTGACCATGTAGACGAAGACGGAGAAGAGAACGATTGGTCCGAGGATGAAGATGGGTTTGATAATATTCCCATGGAGGTATGCATCTTCCCGCTTTCCATTGCCATACTATGGGTTATCTCTCGCAGCCAAACCCGACTGACTCCCCATAGTCCGGACTGGTCGTTCGTGTAAATTATGAAAAACTAGACGTGGCCCTACGAAACGCCCGCTTTGTCGAAATGGCAGAGCAAGACGCACCCCCCACCACCGCAAAGGTCTATGAGGGCCTCCTCCGCCGCATTGAATATATCACCAAACGCTGCCGCGACACAGACGAGATTCCCCGTGAGGGAGAAGAAGGCGAGCAGTTCTCCGTTCCCATCGAGACTTACAAGATCGTCGACGCCGTCGATTCACACCTGGACTTATCAAGCTCCATCGGGCCTCTGAATCCCGCAACGGAAGCACTCAACCGCCGCGGCAAGCGGCCGCTCGAGAATGGAGTCAACGGTGACCACCATGATGAGGAGGAGGAGGAGCAGGAGGAGGCGAAGGGTGATGATGACGACAATGGCGTCAGCCGCGCCTTCGAGATCAACCAGCATCTCAAGCTCCTCGAGCAGGCCCCGCACAACCTCGCATCCCACGTGAACCTCTCCGAGGGCATCAAGTGGCGCGTCGGCTTCCGCGGGCTGGCGCGCAAACTGCGTCATCTGGAGCTGGAGCGGCTGGTAGAGATGCGCTACGGCGACGTCGCCCTGCGCGTCCTCCGCGTGCTCCACGCCAAGGGCAAACTCGACGAGAAGCGTTTGCAGGAGATCAGCCTGCTGCCGTTCAAAGATCTGCGGCAGACCCTCGCCAGCATGCAGTCTGGCGGGTTCGTCGATCTGCAGGAAGTCCCCAAAGACGCGCAGCGCCAGCCATCCAAGACGATCTTCCTTTGGTACTTCGACCCTGACCGCGTCTGCAGCAGTGTGCTGGAGGATACGTACAAGGCGATGTCGCGCACTCTGCAGCGCATCAAGTTCGAGCGCACTCTGCGGAGGGACTTCCTGGATAAGACTGAACGCAGTGATGTCAAGGGGAATGAAGAGCGGTGGCTGAGCGAGGGGGAACTAGAGCAGCTGCAGCGGTGGAGAGATATGGAAGCTGTATTACTGGGAGTCGTCTCGCGCTTGGATGATATGGTGGCTGTGTTGCGGGATTACTGAGGCGGGCTTTATGTGTAGTGGGATTTTTTGCATCTGTACAGGTTCATGAGCGATGAGATTCATTGGGGGGGCATCTGGATATTTTGCTTTACTGGCAACTTCGTGTATGGCTACGGCTTAAGGGTGCTGTTACCATATCAAGCTACCTATGTATGCACTTGATGCTTACTACAGCGCTCCTAGAGTAGTGATCCATGTCAACCACTGACTAACTAATGGGTGCCAGGTAGACCTGGCCTGCGTTGTTAGAATTTCCCCTTAAACGGCAGTCGCAGACCAAGTTAATGTCCGCAACCCGCTCCGATCGATCTCGCCAAAAACTACCAGAGATGACTTTCCCTTAACAAAGGTTGGAGAAATACAGAAACGGCTGCTTAGATGTGAACCTTGTGCCATCACTCATCATGATCTTGATTTGGGTAATGTCATGCTCCAAAATGGCGGCCTGGTTGGAATCTTTGATTAAGAATTCGCTGCCTATCACCCTGGATGGTATATATATGAATATGAAGGGCCGCGATCCTCTAGGTATAGTCGCGATGAAGGAAATCAGACTAGTGATCTCGTACGCTGACGCTCATGCGGTCATATCTACCACGCCAAACCCCTCCTACGTCGTTAAGGAAATTTCCTTTGGTCGCTAGTTGATTAAGGCTTTCAGACATCTCTAACGCGAATATATCCGCCCTAGTGCATCAGCGCTAAATGACAACCCAGATGATTTCTCACTTGACAAACAACCCTTAGTAATTCCATTCTCGCGGGCAGCGACAGCCATCCCCTCCTCCGCCAACTAGGGCTATACAAGAATCACCAATGCCCCCTAATGGGCCGGTGAGAAGGCGGTCATTCACCTCTGCTACAATGCGATGAAATACCGATGCGGTACCAGGACGATGTGTTCCATTCATCATGACTATCGTCCTGTGTCGAACTCCACGCCCGCATTCTTCTCCAGCCGTCTCTCTGTGCACATGAAGCGGTTAGGATCTATTCCTATCTTATCCCAGGAACTCTGTCCTTTGTGGCTGAGGGCTTGGTTTATCGGTATTTCCAGGCCAGATACCCGGAGGCAACAATTAGTGATCATTTGTTTCCGCTTCTATTTTCTCTCTCTTCTGATAGCGGTCATACGGCTCGGCTACCATACTTTGATGAACCACACCAACCAGATGTCCCCGTATGGCTAAGATCTGATTTAGTCGGAGTCATTACTTTGATTCTGGGTTGCTTCGCGTCTGAAATCGACATGGTTTCTTACTGCGAGCCAACTTTAACTTGAGTGTATAGGACTATGATACGTATATAGTGGGAGTACGCGGCACACTTAGGCTTCACCCTTCTCCTATGTAGATGCTTCCATTCAGTCTTGCAGCAAGATGAGTTTTGGTGAAAACCAAAGTTCCAAGGGCCACCCTGGCGTAAGTTGCGTGCTTGAATCTTTGTGCCTCTTTTTATTCATTGGATCAGCGTCTTCGTTTCTTTGCAACTGACTAAACAGTCCATAATGCCGTATTACCTTGCTGAGGGGCTCCTCTTTATACTGGGGGCTTTCTTCATGCGCTCAGTACTGAATAGACGAGATCAGGAATGCTAAGAAAAGAGCGGATGAATAGGTGTAGCTGAAAGTTCCAGAGTCCTTGAGCCCTGGCAAATCTGGTATCTTTGGACCTACTTTCCCATCCGGTTTTCCAGACCTTAAGTGGTACTGGACGCCGTGGTTTATCTCTTGGGCTTTTATTTCCATTTGGTTTCCACTACCACTATCGCGCTTGTAGCCTTCTGTGAGCCTGTGATGGCCACGACGGCCATGGCGTGCAGGTGGTTGACAACCCGTTTGACCTTCAGAATGATTAACCGCGGCTAATAGTATCCTATATAGTTTTGGTAAAATGCGTCATCCGTGGCCCGTTTCGGCCGTCCTTTTGCCGTCATCTTGTTGAATGTAGTATATTCGATCTAATATACATCCTATGATATACATCCGAGGATGCGGAAGACAGCCACGTGCCTTTCACATTGAATCTAACAACTCACAAAACACAGGAGGAAAATTGAGTGCGTATATCACAGCTCAGGTCTATCTGAATACATCACCAAGCAGGATTAGAAGGGCGAGCAATAGAAAAGAGAAAAGTTACAAAACCAAAAGCAACCAGCCGCCCCGGGGAAAATAACGAGGAAAAACCAAAAGAATTCAACACCCACGCTTATCAGACCGCCCAAGCCGCCCAAAACAGAAGAAAATTGATCGTTACACATCTGTGAATATTGGTTCCAACCCCCAACTCATCCCCTTTCCTCAAAGCACATAACTGGAACAAGTTTATGTGGAAAAGGAGCAGGAGAAAAAAACACCAGAAAAAGTGAGATTCCCAAGTCTCCCTAGATCATGTCGTTTGGTGTACAATTTGACCTTGGCAATGGTCATGAGGGACTCGTGCCTTTGGAGTTTGAACCGGTACCGATTGTAATGGCGTTCTCGGCCCCCGCGGCGGCCGGGGCGTCTCCTGTCGGTGTATTGTCCTGGCTGGTGCCAGCGAGTTTGGCTTCGGCAGCGGTCAACTTCGATGCGGTGTCGTCCAAGGTCTTCTTCAGGGCCTTGATGTAGTCAATGGCCATCTCCACGGCGCTAGCCTTGCTGATGGCCTGGTTGGCGGACTTCTCTCTGTCCTTGTCGCCCGGCTTGACTCCCGCGGTGGCCGCCTCCTTGGCTTGCCGGAGTTGAACGAACTCGGGTGGGATTAATGACTCGATTTCCTTCAGGGCGCTGTTGATTCGGTTCCTGCGGCCCTGTTCAGCGAGCTTGTGGTTGGTCCGTTTGGAGCTCAGATTCTCGGCGAGCGTCTCCGGATAGGAGACGCCAGAAGGGAGGGTGCCATCCAAAATGTGTTGGTAATTGGATTTGGAGGCCAAGTAGAGGGCGTCCTGTGACAAATCTATCGAAGACGTTAACAATCTCGATGGGTCCGGGCGACAAAAAAACCTCGCGGGGGATTTGAGGGGGGAAAATTGGATCACGACTTACTGTCACCACCTCGCATCAGAGGTTGAATACTCGGGCTGATCTTCGGCCGCAACTGCGGGCTGGCATGTGTGGAGCTAATACTGGGCCGCTTCCGACTCGATATTGACGACCGGGATGGATCGGATCTCTTCGGTATCGGCCCACTGGGTGAGGGCATGGCAATGGTGCGCGGGCTCAGCGCGGCTGACCCGGGTGTGCGTTCCGCCGCAGGGGTCAATCGGGGTTCTAGCGACGCGGTCTCATGGGCCACGATGACCGGGCTGGCCGTACTGCGCATACTGGTATCAATGCGACTGATCCTCGAACGCGGCTGCAGGGACGGCGCCGCCGCCTCCGGGAGAGAGATATCTTCCATGACATCGTCCGAGAACTCCAACTGTGCCTGGCCCATCAAGTGATCCGAGAGCTCCTGTGCATGTTGCGATCGCTGGATCCGCATCAGTGTCGCGGGGGTGGCCGCCGTGCCAGGCGATTGCTGCTGCGGAGTGATGGCGGGGGACCGCCGGGGCAGAGGAACCGCCGGCGGGGGCATCAGCGAGTCGGGCAATGGTTCGGGGAGACCGAGTCCTGGCCCGACCCCTCATTGCTGCTCTCCTGAAGAGACCGCACGTCGTTGTTTGGCGGCTTGTTCAACTCCTGGTTCATCCGGTTGTAGAACTCTTCCGTATTGGGGGCCATGGGCTTGCCCCGGGTGCGCTGCGACTGCGTCGTCTGCGCCCGTATGTGAGGCGACTGGCGGGTTTTGCTAGTCCGCCCTGACAGCCGCGACGAAGCGACCGACGTTCGCCGGCGATTTTTGCGGATGATGCTGGGGGAGGGGGAGCCGAGCTGCCGGGGAGCGGATTCACCTCGGCGCTGGTGGGGATAAAGCCCACGTCCGATACCTGGCGAGCATGGAATTGGTAGGCACTGTTGGAGGTGTGGGCGTTTTGCGCTTCCAGCGCCGGCGATGTGAGAGGGGTGAAGTATTCGCCGGGGATCGTGTATTCGGGGAGTCGGAATTGGCTCTCCAGTGGCGTCATGGCGGGGGACACGAGGGGAGTGTACAATGCCTGATCGCCCAAAGTTAGGGGACTTCCACCACTGTCGCACCAGGCTTGGTGGGGGAGAGGGAGGGAGTGGTTATCCGGGCAACCCACCTGTTCTTCGTTGATGCGCGAGTAGCGATCGTACATCTCCGAGTGGTCATCCACGCGCTGCGGGTACCGGGCCGCATTGCCGTGCAACTCCATGCTATTCGGGGTGGGGGGGGATCATGGGCTGGCCCTGCGACATGTAGTGTTGGCCTGAGGAGGCCTGCTGCTGCGAGGAGTCCTGGGCGCAGAAGCCGGGCGTCATGGTGGGCGTGGAGTATCGGAGGGAGCCATGGCCGTTGAAGTCCATTGCCAGGCCCTCCATCGGGCTGGCGTACTGAGAATGCGACCGCGGATCGGAGGCCATGGCAGAGTCGGGAGCCGTGGTGGTGGGAGGCATCAGCGAATGTTGCTGGTCCTGCAGCTGGGCATGGGCTGGTCCGTGCCCCTCAAGGTCGGCAAAATGCATATTGAACTCGAGGAAGTTGGAGAATTCGTCGTCGCCGGGGGCCGTGATGAGCGAATTCTCCTGGATCTGCTCCGGCCAGGTCATGGCCGGTTGGTGCTCCATGGCGACGCGGGAGAGACCTAGTCGGTCCTTTTGGAATTCACCCAGGAGGAGAGAGGGAAGATGGAGGGTTTTTTGTGGTCGTCGGCCAAGTGGGACGGGGGAGGGGGTTGGTTAATTGGTTGATTGATTGGTTGGTTGGTTGGTCAGATTTGAGTGGAGCGGGTGGTTTAGTGCAGGAACAGGCGGCTCTCTCGGTGCCCGCTCTCCTCTCTCTTGTCCGCGTCTCTCGCTCTCTCGCGGGCTGCATGCCAGGACCGAATCAACCGAGCGTCAGGGGGCGGAGTGGTGAGAAAAGAGAGAGAGAGAGAGAGAGGGTGGAGATGGAGACTGGGGATGGCATCGGAAGGCAGCGAAGAGTGGGTGAGGGTGGAGTAGTCGCAAGGCCGGGCGAAGGCGGTTTGGCTCCAGAGAGAGTGGCTGTTGCAATCGCCGTGGTAGTTCGGGGCCACTGGCCACTCCGGAGGGGATACTTAGGAATACCTCGGGAGACGCAGAAAGCCGGTTACCCTGCCGAGTCCGTACGTGGTTCGCCTGGCTGTCGGCTGGCCGCTGGATGGCCCCAAGTTGCGTGAAGTACTGGGCGGTACCGCCCGGCCTCCATTCATTTTTCAGGCGCTAGAGGCGCCTGGTGGTGCAGCCCCATGAAGGTCTGACTAGTCAGCTCGTCAGCTAGTGAGCTAGTGGCGCTCCGCAAAACCGCCCTACGAAAGATGAAGAAGCTGCCCCGTTGACCGTCGCCGCTACTCTCGTAACGGGCCCAGTCCTACTCCCCGCGGCGTGCAACATCGGACAGAATTGAACCCACTCCGTCACAGTGGAGCCTTTCAAGCCGACAGCCGGGGGACGGAGGCCTTTTGCCCGCGATCGGCCTCCATCCGGGCCGGATTCTATACTGCCCGCCTACGTAATGCGAATGGCCACACCCCCCTAAACTGCACCTGTGGCAGCCTCAGGCCATAATCAGGCCACAAGGCCATCACACCCTGGCAGCTCGTCGCGGAGTAATCGACCTCCGGCCTGGATTGATACACTTCATCCTGGTAGGGCCCTCTCCACCGGCATCAACACCAGCTGAGCGACCCTGCCTCCGATTTCCTCCCCCTCTCCCCCTCTTCCTCCCCACTCCAAGGGCATCTCCACTATGCCATTCCTCCTGGCCCTCCTCTGGCTCTGCCAGCTGGCCACCGCCTCCTCCCCACCATCTCCATCCCTCCCTCCACCCTCCTTCCCAACCCTCATGTGCTCCCCGCAACCACGCATGCAACTCTCACCACCCTCCCCTCATCCGGCACCGACCACGTGCTGACCACTTCGCTCACCCGCGCCGGGACCCTGATCTTCCACAGCCTTCCTGCCGGCCACCCGGAATCCTACCTGCTCGATATCCGCGCCGGCGAGTACGTGTTTGCCCCCTACCGCGTCGATGTCGCCGCCGACGGGTCCGTCCTCGGCATCTGGGAGACTTTCCGCGGCAATCCCTGGGATAATCGCGGCGCGGAGAAATATGTCGTCGATGTCGCCGGCAAGAAGCGCGCGGATGTTGTGGTGGAGGCCAGGGCCCTCGGCCGCAAGGGTTTCTATGAGGAACGCGCCAAGTGTGAGTGTCTCCTTCCGGGGAATTCGGGGGTTTCGTTGCGAATGGGATAATTTACTGATTGGTGATGCTAGTCTCGCTGATGAGCCTCGCCAAGAACCCCATGATCCTCCTGGCCATTGCGGCCCTCGGCCTCACGCTGGGCATGCCCAAGCTCATGGAAAGCAGTACGTGCCTCGATCCCCGGCCCTCGCCACCCCTTCTTTAACCAATGCCCCTACCCACCTCTGGTCTTGCTCATGGGGATAATCGCCCTAACTGACGTGCTCGCAGTGGATCCCGAAATGCGCGCAGAATTCGAGCAGCACTCCCGGTCTTCCCCCCTCACCGGTGCCACCAACAGCGCCATGACCGGCGGTGGATTCGACCTGGCCGGATGGATGGCTGGCACCGCGCCCAGCCCCATGGCCAATGCGGAGGGGGCTCGCGAAGGCGCCACTGGCCGGGAGGCTGCTGCTGGCTCGGCGCGGAAACGTGGCTAATCATTGATGTAACTTGGTGATCAGCTTTGCAGGCCCACCCATCTACATATATGCCAGAAGTGGGGTCTGATGGGCCCATAGAAGATAATTGGACCGTGTAACTTGAAGAAGAATTGGCCCGGAATCCATACTATATGCCTCCCCTTTCCGCGCGCCGGAGAACAAACAAGGAGAAGAAACAGAAGAAGAACGAAGAAGAAAGCCTTCTTAAGTATCGGGGAAAAGTCCGTATCCATGATGCCAGAATTGGGCGTCGGAGAGCAACAAATCAAAAACAAAGAGAACCATCTGGCAGCGACATGCAATTTAGAAATCGCCCCCGCCAAAGTCACCACCACCACCATCACCACCCCAATCCCCTCCCCCATTATCATTGTAATCATTATGATCCCCCATATCCTCCACCGCATCCGCGATTAACAACCCACCCAGCAATCCACCCCCAACACCCAGCGCCGCCGCCCCCGCAGTCCCCATGCCCCCGCTCTTCCGCGGCGGCACCTGCTGCTGCGGATAATACCCTCCACCCTGGGGATACCCTCCATACCCGCCTCCTCCATACCCCTGCGGAGGATACCCATATCCAGGCTGCGGACCCGCGTGCGCGGGATATCCGCCGTAGTATCCTCCACCGGGCGGTCCCTGCTGGGCATACGAGGCGTACTGCTGCTGGGGCGGCCGGGAACTCCCGGAGCTCTTGCCCATCAGCTTGCTCAGGAACCCGCCCTTGCTGCGCTTTTGCTCGGGCATAGGGCTTTGCGATTGCGGCTGCGGGCTCTGCGACGGTCCTGCGCCGTAAGCGGGCGCGCCTTGCGCTGGGTTGCCGTAGTAGTCGGTGGCGGCGCCGCGGTCGCTAGCCCCGCGGCTGCCCGCGCGCGAGTCTTCCTCGGCTTGCAGTTTTGCGGCGAGCCGGGCATCGTCATCGAGGTGGTTGGCGTTCGGGTTCGGACTGCCATGGACGCTGTTTGTGGGGTTGTAGGGGTTGTTGGAGGCCATTGGCTGCTTTTTGTCGTCTGGGAAGGATTCCCCGGAAACTGCACTGGGCGGAGGGCCGTCAGGCCGGGTGCCGGGTGGCGGTGCCTCGGGACGTTCCCATTGTGATTTACCCGTGGCGATGTTGATGTAGAACCTGGAGATAGGAGGCTGGTTAGCTGGTTTGGGGGGTATGTGAGGGGTCTGGAGGGGTGTGGTTCACGGACCATGTCTGGTATCGGTCGTCATACTGGGCTTTCCACCCCTCCGGCACAGTCGGCGGGGGAGGACCCGGAGGCGGCGCAAAGGAGGACATGTGTTTGGTGTGAAGAGAGTCCGCAGAGGGAATCGAGAGATCTGTGATTAGGGGGTGCGAGAATATCCGTTCAGATGGAAAGTGGGCTTGCGTTTGATGAGGGGGAGAGGGGAGAGGGAAAGAAAGCCGGGCGATGGGACTATATACTTGCCATCCGCGTAAGCGGGGCCCGAGGAGGATGTCGGTGCCGACGCAGGCAACGCCATTTGCGCTGCGCCACTGTGGCAGTGCGATGTCATCGTTCAGTGTCCCGTGGAATGCGGTTTCGCTTTTTGGAATTGTGGTCATTTTGGATACGATCGTGAAAATGCTGCCTACCTAAGCTGATGCATCCTTCTACAATCGAAATCGTCTAGTACCCTTCCTAGTCTGCTTGATGTCCAGGTATTACCCGTGTTTCGGTAAGTGGTACATGCCAGTATATACGTGGATACCAATCGTCCACTCCACGAGGCGAGGTACCACTAGAGCAAGATAATAACAGGGGCGATGATATGGATATCTACATAAGAACTTACTTTCAATAAGGCTAGACTGCAGCAAGGGTGGTACAGATCTCACCCAGGATAATATAAACTTTCAACTCTGGCCACAGGGGTCTCTTAGTCACCAGCAAAAAATCAGACATCATCTACAAAGAAAAAAGTTGCACCATGGTGACAGTGGTATGGTATGGTGAAAAGGGTATTATTTCATAGTTCATGTACAAAGTACACCCGCTAAATCGACCCAGGAGCCCCCATAAGACAATAAACTCCACGCTCCAATGCCATGAAAACAAGGAGGGTACACAGGGAAAGAGACACTCGGAAGTGTATACTAGCCCTCAGAAGACCTCATCGTGGCTAAGGTTGGCGTCAACCTGTCTGCTATCGGGCCACCAATAGTCCTCGTCCTCATCCTCTGATTCTTCTTTCAAGCCCTTCAGTGTAGCGAGAAGCGGAGGGCCCTGTTGGTGCGGCGCCGGGCTCGAGGAAGCTGGCTGTGATTCACGATCAGAGTCCACCGTCAAATCGATGATTGCATTCTCAACTCGTGTGATCACGTGTGATTTGTTCTTCTTCTTTTTCTTCTTCTTCTTCTCCCGATCCTTTAGGTCCATTGATTTGACTTTCCTTTTTGGATTGTCTGTTTTCTTCTGAGCCGGACTGAACGACGGGCCTTGGTCACTGTCTAGGATAATGGGATCGTTGTCTTCACCACCATCGGAATTGCTAGTCCGGTCATCACGCCTCCGCTTCCGGTCGTTCTCACTCGACTGAGGAGCGGCCCCAGATTGGGTATGGCGGGCGTGGCGGGCACGCGCGAGATTGAGATGGCACTGAAGCTCCTGGCGTGAATCTTGATCTAGCTCGTGCCGATCTTCCAGTGAGGGGCCATCAAACTGGCGAAGCTGATATTGGCTCAGCAAGGGGACGTGCTGAACTTGTGTAGCGTCTTTAGGCAGACCACGGGCCCAGGGCGCATAAGGGCCTTTGTAACAAGGCCCCTGAACCGGTCCAAATATGGGATGTAAAGTGAGCTGCCCAGTGGATAGAAGCTCGTTGGCAAGAGGCACGGCCGGCTCTTCGGCAGACGACGGCTCGGGGGCAGGCCTGAAGTCGAGCGGTTCAGGATCCGAAGATTGTTCACAGGACAGCACATGAATTCCTCCTGCGAAGTCGCCAAGAAGGAGCTGGGACTTATCCTGCGAAAACGCGCCGCTCATGATACCCTCATCCAGGCACGTGATGTTCGCCACCAGTGCATCTTCTGTGGACCGACGGATATCCCATTGCTTAAGACACCCATCAGAGCCACCGGTGTAGAATTGGTCGATGGTTGTGCCCCAGAGAGCCACTCGGACGCCGAAGTCGGTAGCCTCTCGGGAGTAGTCAGGATTGAGAGGATTCACTGACGTGCCATGTCGAAGCCTATGGACAGCTCTTGCGGGATTACGGTTATCCCAAACATAGGTACTGCCATCTGTACAGCTTGCTGTGATATAGGTCGTGTCCATCGGACAGAATGTGACATCGTTCATATCCAAAGCGGAACAGGCGAATTGACTAGTGACTTTGAATTTATCATCGGACAAGATATCGTAAATTTGAACCACGGACCGGGTGCGCAGAGGAAGCCCCATGGACTGGCTGTAGGTACTCGCGGTCGCGAACCTTCGCATAGAAGGATGCCACTTGAGGTCGAAGATATTTTGCGAGTCGGGCCGAACTTTCCGTCTCTCAATAGAGGATTCGGTTACCCTCCACATGCTGAGCTGGCCGCATAGCGAAACCTTGAATTCATCACCGCCGCGTTCTCCCATACCTCCGGCCAAGTAGTGCTCTGTCGCTGCATTCGGTCCCCACGCTAGGACCGTCGGTTCAAGCACGATATTAGCTTTCTGGCGAGGGTCACGGTAAATTTTTAGCGACTCAGGTTCCTGGCCATCCTTATCCGGATTCCTCCATAAGCTGAATGCCTGCTCCGTCCCGGTTGCTAGGAGGTTAGGCATTAAGTTTGAAACAGCCATCACTCGAACTTTAGAGTCATGCTTAAGCGTTCTAACGCAAAAAGGGGTAGTATCAGTGTCCCAAATCTTCACCGTATGATCGTAGCTTGATGTATAGAGCCGCTGGCCAACCCATTGGATAGCAGAGAGAGTTGCGAAAAGACGCTCATCTGCTATGTTAGATTTCCGAGGGATATTATGGTCAGGCAGCTCATGCAGGGTATTCTGTAAAAGATCACCGAACACCAGGTTGTTTTTGCGATTGTACTCATCAGGCTGGGTGGTGGCGCCTGCTGCAAACTTGGTGCCGTCGGGTGACCACGCGAGAGCGCTCACATCGTTCGAAGCACCCTTCCACCACTTCGATAGCTTGAGGTTTGAGCTCACTGTCGCACGAATATCGTCGTGGCTAGACCGCGCACCTCGTAGTGCTCGAGTCCATAGCAGCTTTGAAATGTTTGTGTTATGCCAAGGCCCACGCTCAGTCTGACTCGCAACAGAAAATTCATGCAACGTAGCTCGTTGCGGAGCATCGGACGCAGGAGACGATGTCTCTCTTTCAGAGTGGTTTGGAGTGTCGTTTGATTCTTTGTCGAGTCCAAATAAGGCCTTGAGCTCATATGTCACGGGTGCCTTTCTAGACCGACCAGATCGACGCACGTTCGTGACGGTGGTTGTGGGTGTGCTTGGGGTCGGTGATCTTGAAGATCTCGAAGGGCTAGACGATGTTCTGTACACAGATGAAGACATGCGTGGATTCGAGTTTCGAGGTTGTAGTGGAGTTGAGGGCTTCAATCCTTGCTTTGGCACTCGGTTTGATTCCTGAGTCGCTGGCTGTGGTCTCCCGGCCTGACTCTTGTTTGCATTTGAGAGCGTGACACTTCTTCGCAGATTTTCTTGTCGAACGGGTTTCGGAACAGCAGTTTCAGCACGTTTGGCGAGAGGGACAGCAGTAATGTTCCGAAGAGGGGCTTGAGAAACTTCAGCGGTGATAACCTGCGGGGGGTTTCCGGAGAAGGCGTGTCGTTCATGAGAGGAGGGTATTGAACGGGAGAAGAAATAGGAGTAGGAGTAGAGGAGGGAAAAGTGAGGTTATTTGATGAGTCGGCGAGAGGATCAACGTTGGGAAAACAGTTGGCTGTTGCGGAAGACTTTCCTATCGCTTCACTCGGTTGAACCCACTCGACCTCACCTTGTTGAAATGTAGTATGCCCATGAGTGACAAAATAGTTTGGCTGCTCCGGCTCCTGTGATGGTTGGGAGCGACCCTGGGTAAATTGCCGGTATAACCGCTCAACCACAGTTTCGAGTTCGCGCTCCGTGGAAAAGTCCAAGGTAAACGCAGGAGCAGTGCTCCTGGGCGTGCCGCGCGTAAAGTAAAGAGAAAAATTTGACATTATGGCTGTTGATTTTCCGCCTGGCAAGACGATGGCGCTGAGCTGGTATGGGGAACTAGAATGCGAGGAAGCGTTTTGCCCTACAACGGGCAGAAAACTGAAAGGAGGACGCGCTCAGCTTGGCGTATTGATTTAAGATGAGAAGAACATTTCGCCCGCGATATCGTTCCAATGGATATGTGTCGTCTCCAGTGGATCGATAAATTGGCTCTGACCGTGGGGCACCCAGCCCTCTTTGGGAAAGCTGGGGTCAGGCCGCAATTCACCTCTCGACGAAGCTGCCAAGTCTACAACTGGACGAAAAGATTCGCAGTGTCTTCTTTTCCGAGGCGAACGAGTGATATTGTTGGAAAGAGCGCGACTTAAGTTCAGCCCCAGAAAGAGGAGCAGAAGCGTTACCGGCGGGTGCAGGCGATTGAGACTGATAAGAAGTGAAGGAAGTCTGTGTTTCCAAAGCTGTTAGCAGAGGCTCTAACTATTGACTTTCAAGCTTCTCAGTACATACATCGGGATCCCACCTCAGAACCTCAGACACTGCCTTGTCCGGACGAGCAGGGCCCGAAAGAGAGCACTTGGAGAACAAAGAACGAGGGGATCGCGAAAACGCGCTACGCGATGACCCCAACTGTGGGCGGTGAGGATCGCCAGCGGCTACATCGGTGTTGGACGGTGCGTTTCATCCCCGCTATAAAAAATATAGTAGACATACAGGTCCATTATGATGACACAAATCAAGAAGCAAATGTAATTACATGAAGGGGGCAAGGTCAGACTATTTAAACAAAAATCCAGCATCTCACAATTGTGCCTAGAAAGAAGAAGAAAAGAAGGAAAGGTGTTGTATATGTACAGGAACCGTCGAAAGCACCCGACAAAAGAGATGCTAGAGCTCACCATCAGCGCAAAAATGGAAAACCCATTCCATCTTTGCTCCTCTCTGTCTAGTGTTGTCGCTGTAGGATGACTGTGATCTTCGTTTACAGTTTACCTTCGGGGGAGATCTTCACGCCTCCCTCGAGCGGCAACCGAGGCCGGCATCAGCATCAGCATCAGCATTGGCATCTACTTGCGAATAGAGCGGCCCTTGCGCACAGATATCATCGCATCATACAGCACATCCTTAAAGGCGAAGAGGAAGGCGGCGGTAATGGCACTCTGGGTCACCTTGGGACCGATACCTGAGAGAAAGAAAGAAGCGGGCATTAGCATTGACTCTGTTCTGTTTGTCAGCCTGGGAAAAATGGACTCACCCTTGTATAGTCCGGTGTATCCCTCCTCCCGAATGATCTTCTTGAGGCTTCCATTCAGGCTCTCCTTGGGGCCGTCCTTGCTAGCCACGTGCATGCGGCTCTTGACGGTGATATAGGGGTATGTGATGCTGGTGGCCAGGATCTTGCCCAGCGCACCCAGATAGAACGCATCCTTGGGCGTCATCCGCCGACGGCGCTCCACCATGTTCTTCAGCTGCTCGAAGATGGTGTACTGCAGGATCGGGTTGATCACAAGGATCAACGCCGGGAGAACCCCCGCGAACAGGGCCTTGGGGCCCTCCTGCCGCAGCAGATCCATCAGCGTGCTGAAAGTCGAGGCCTTAGCCTTCTTGGGCGCGCCGGGGAGGCTCTGCTCTTCGGACTCGGACTTGCGTGCCGTCATGCGCGTGTTGATGACCCAGATCGGGTTGGTGAGCATGACGGTGGCACTGCCCGCGATTGCGCCCGCAATCATGGACTCGACCGTCGTGAGCTTCTTCGAGGCCCGGCCGGCCTGGACCGCTGCCTTCTCGAACGCGGCACGCGTGAACTCATACCAGTAGTAGTAGACAAAATTGGTGACACTGATTCCGAACAGGGCGGACTCCAGGCCTGAATAGAGCCCGGAAATGCCCTCTCGTTGAACGATGCGTCGGACCGCATCGAGAGTTGTGGAGTGTGCGCGCTTGGACTCGACTTGGGCTCTCGTGGATAGGGTGATCAGAGGGTATCTAGCAAGTGCGGATCTTAGCAAAGGGGTGTGATGACCCACGGGGAAGCGCGGGGTACAAGTCGTACGTCAGAACCATCGACAGGATTCCGCCTCCCGCACCTGCCAGCGCGTGGGCAATGTTGTCACTCTGCTGCACAGCCGCAGAGGGCGCTGGCTTCGGTTGTTCACGCTGGGGTTGAGACATGGCGATCGTGAGTGATAGGGATGCGGAAGGGCCGGGTAGTTTAGGTCGCAGAGTCAGGATGGAGGAAGGGCGAGCGAGAGAGAATAGAATAGGTAAATCCCGAGGACCAAAAAGGAGCGATTTGTTTTGAAGAAAAAGGTAGCAGGAGGAGGGATCGATAATGACTCGGCTTGGGCGGAGGGAAGAGGGTTCATGACGTTTTGCCGAGTGCTTGTGCCTCGGCTCGTCCGAACCGCCCGGAGAGGACGGACTGCGGATGTAGTGGATGAGCGACTCCCTGTTTCCACATGGGGCATAGCCAAACCGGCGGGCCCGCCGAGAAACTCGGGGGTTGTTGGCCGCTAGGAAATTATTTTCTTCAGGTCATTGCGGAGAGCAGGTGCGCCGGCGCTTTGGCATGTGATTGTACAATCCTCGCAACGGGCCTCCATCAGGAGGGTCGGTCCTTGCGAGGGGGTTTCCCTCGGGAAATGCCATCACCACAGATCCTAGTTCTACGTAGATCGAAAGAGGAGGTTGTGAGACACGGGATATCCTAGGGTTTGATCATACAAGGAGGCCCCAGAAAAGAGAAAAATGAAACCGTAAGGTTCTCGCCATTAATCCATTCAAAAGAGATGAATCCAACCTACAAGAAAAAACAAGAGAGAATGAAGGGCCCAGAAAGATGCGGCCAGGAAACAGAGGAAATAAGGGAAAAAAAGAACACCAACGGTCATCACAAAGCAAACGCAGAACGACAGAACACAGGGCCGTCTAAAGCACAGGGAAGAAAAGGGGGGGTGGAGGGGGGAGGGGGACCACGCCCGGTGGCACTCGCAAAAACGAATGGGCAAGCCACCAGGCACCCCCCGGCGACATTTCTCGGCCATTTGGGTCTGATAGCTCGCTTCAATCAATGGTCGAGGGGTAAAAGTGACATGCCTGGCCGATGAGATTACCACGCTGCTGGGAAACCCTCATCCTTGATGTAATATTGCGCAAAGGAAAGCACCGCATTGCACACAGGTCGTCTAGCAACAGCCGCCCGCGGATCCGGACTGGACGCCCTGGCCCTGGCCAACCTGGACGGTGGGCTTGTTGTTGACGGTGGCCGTTCCCATGCGCTCCTTGATCTGTCGTGCCATCGTCAAGAATGCCTGCTCGACGTTCGACGCGTTCTTCGCGGAGGTCTCGAGGAAGGGAATCCCAAGGCTGTCGGCGAACTCCTATGGAAAGAAAAGAAAAGGAAAGCGTCAGTAAGGCTTGAGACAAAGCATCCCCCGAGTGGCGCCAGTCCTCAGCATCAATGACTAGGCCTCGAGAGCATATTGGGATCCACTAGGAGGAGTGCTTACTTTCGCCACGGTGTACTCCACGACCTTCTTGTCTTCCATGTCGCTCTTGTTGCCGACGAGCAGCTTGTTGACACCCTCGGTGGCGTATCGGTCAATCTCCTGGAGCCACTGCTTGACGTTGTTGAAGGAGTCCATATCGGTCACATCGTACACTACGCAGATGCCGTGAGCACCACGGTAGTAGGACGAGGTGATGGTGCGGAATCGTTCCTGGCCCGCAGTGTCCCACTGGAAAGGTGGTCGGTCAGTCTCGCTCCATCCATGCCACACTCAGAAACAAAAGGAGGAAACCGTACGATTTGAAGTTTCACAGTCTTGCCATCGAGCTCGATAGTCCGGATTTTCTGTTCCCCAGGTCAGCATCAACCGGTCCGGTCACCAGAGCACAGCCCCGCCGAAAGTGATAGTCCACATACGAAGTCAACACCGATAGTCGAGATGTAGCTTTCGGTGTAGGTGTCGTCGGCGAAACGGAGCAGCAAGCAAGACTTTCCAACACCGGAGTCTCCGATGAGGAGGAGCTTGAAGAGATAATCGTATCTATTTCGGTTAGGTTCTGCAGATCGGCGAAAGGGTGCTGTGGTCGCGAAGGAGCGACCATTCCCGCGGGGATACTCTAGACAATAAGCTACATCAGTCACGTCCACTTGAACAGGGCGCCCGGTGATGGTCCGAGGCGACTCGGCGCCAACGGGGAAATGGGAACGCAGCAGAAGATCCCAAAACAAACGGAGCGGAGGCTTACCACTCGGGGTTCATGGTGAGCTGACGGTGAATGAAAGGAGGAAGAATGCAAGCGGAACAGGGCGAACACAGACGAGAGGAGAGAGAGAGAGGGAGAGATGGAACTGAGGACGGTGTTCGGAGTCGGTGTTGGTGGTGGAGGGGACTGGATGATGGCCTGAAATGATAGGAGGTGCAGGAGGCCAGACGCACCTGATGCGCAGCTTTGTTTCAGCCGTCACCGCCACCACCTTGTGGAGAAGTGCATGACTGCCTCCCTACTACGGTGTATAGGATTTATCGCTTCACTGCTCTCTCCTGGATTGGAATTTCCATTTGACTCATCTCCTCTCTTGGGTTGTGTTAGCTTTCAGGACCCTTCTCGCATAGTCATGCATATAATTAATCCTAATCTCATCATATTATCATTTTTTGCGGTCGGCTCGTGCTCACCGTCGTGCCTCCCCAAGGATCCCGTGCTCGTCTCTCAGCCTCGTGGGAGCCTCAGTTGCGCCTGGCAGGTGACCGCCGCACGTTGAGAATAGACCAGCCTCTCAGAAGGATGTCAAAGTGTGGACCGCTATTCTCATTTTCTACCTACCAACTACGACTATGATATCATCCCCACCCACTGATTCTCCGTGACACGGGAAAATGAGAACCAGCTCGGCGAGTAGTCTCGCCTTTTGCAGTCATTCATCCCTCACGCATAGCCGTGGGCCCGTAGCCACTCCAGAGCCAGCGCCTCATCCCGCTCCTTGTAGGATGCGTTCGTGTTGATGTTGTCCGACACAATGATGAGTGCGCGATCGTAGGCCCCCGTGTCCTTGCTCTTGAAGAAGTCGGTAATATCCTCGCCAATCTTGTGATCCGCAAACTTTTGCAGTCCCATGCGAACAAACCGCTCGAATACCACGTTGTTGGAGGACAACCGAGCCGAGACCGACGCCCAGTTCGTCTTGATGTACTCCCACAACAGATGGCGTACCTTGGAGTTGGCCGCCAGGGCCGCCGCTCCGCTGTGGATATCCTGGATGGCCACCTTATCCGAGAAGACGAAGTCCAAGTAATCCTTGACCAGGGCTGGGTCTCGAGTGCGTCCCATGGCAGCCAGGCAGATCTCCTTGCCGTCCACGGAATCCGTCCGCAGGTACTCTTGCTTAACGGCATCGTACTCCTCGCGGCCGCCCTCCGACACATTAAGACTGAAGATCGCCGATCGGAGGTTGCTGTGAATAGCGTTTTGATCTTTACCGGTTGCCCAAAGATCGAATCGGCGCTTGGCCTCGGCGACGGTACTAACAGATAGTTGTTAGCAGATAAGACCCGTGGATAATGATTGTCTTGTGCGGCGAAAAAAAGAGCTAAACCCCCTTACCTTTCGTGGCCAGAGTTACCTGCCATGCCAATCAAGAGCTTACGGAGCTGACCGATGAGATAGTCTTCATTGGGCTGGAACTCCCAGCCAATGCGTTCAGCAGCGGGGCCAGCCAGGCTCCGAGTAAACTTCTTCAGTCCTTCAGCAACCTGCTCATTCTGCGAGAAAACAGACCGGAGGTTTCCGAGCGTCGAAGACAACTGGGACCAAACACTGCAAAACAGAAGTTAGTGATGGGCGGGGGGGAATGGCTATAGTGATTACGAGTGGGCTTCTCACAGCTGGTTTTGCTCTTCCTTGAAACCTTCTAGGAGGGCCAGCAGGGCGGGCGTAGTGCCTTCTCCAGAGACCGCAAGAGCAGCTGCATCACCCAACAAGCCAATCTTGTCCTCAGTGCTCAGGAGGTTAAGCGACTGGCCCAGCTTCGCCAAGCGTGCCGGGGGGTAGTTGGTCCGGTAGAACCCAGCCAGGTCCTTGTTGATCTTGTAGAAGCCGTCGGTGCCAATCTCTCCAATGGTGTCAGACTTCTCAGTGAGAGCCCGAGTATCCACGGTAGCCAAATTCGGGTCAGCCTTGATGCCAAGGGGAATCCACCAGGTGGTCTCATCCTCCTCCGGCTTGGCATCTCCGGTGGACAAGAATCGGCTTTGGCGAACGCTAATCTGACCAGGCTCCTCTGCCACAGTAACCACTGGGAAGCCGATCTTACGGATCCAGGGGTCCTTTTGGTATTTAGCGTCGGAGTTAATGGCATAGGAGAAGCTCAGATATCCTTGTTTAGACTCACCATGAAACCGTGCACATCCTGCCCAGAAGCCTTGCTCAGGGCCGCCCACAGGTCATTAGTAGTTGCGTTGCCTGGAGGGGGAAGAAGAAGAAGCATATAAGTCAGTCGCAAGCCTGCCACATCCCCAGAATATCTTTCGGTTGCTTACCATATGCATGAGACTTAAGGTAGTCAGCCACTCCCCGAAGGAACGTCTCTTGGCCAAGGTGGGCGCTCAGCATGCGAATGACCGAGCTTCCCTTCAGGTAGCTGATATGATCGAAGATCTGGTCCACCTCAAGAGCGTTCCGGACAGGCACCTCGATGGGGTGAGAAGCTCGGAGCGAATCGAGATGGAAAGCTTGTTGCACACCCTCAGCCTATGACAATGTCAATCGTGATCTTCGAGAACGGAATGGTTACCTCGGTTACTGCGTACGACAAACTGAGACCAGACGTTCCAGTCTGCCAAATAGTGTTAATAGCTGCAACACACAAATTGCCATAGAAGTCGAGAGGTTCGCTCACCAGGATAGAAGTGATCAACAGCCAGCCAGCCGACCCAGGTCGCGAAGCCCTCGTTCAGCCAAAGCTCATTCCACCAGTCCATGGTGACGAGGTTGCCAAACCACTGGTGGGCCAACTCTATGTTAGGAGATTAGACAAATACTCAATACAGGAGCAAAATGCTGCGCGGGAAAGGAAGTCTCACCGTGCGCAACCACATAGGCAATACGGTTCTTGTACCGGTTGTCCGATTTGCCCTCATCGAAAAGGACTGCGGTCGTCCGATATGTCACCAGACCCCAGTTCTCCATAGCTCCCATCGCCTGAGTAAGGGGCCGCCGTTAGCCATTGGCCCATCCATGGTCGACTTGGGAAAGTTTTCGACACTTACAAACTCGTGCACCGCCAGAAGATCGGCCTTGGGCAGCGGATACTCAATTTCAAAGATCTCCGAGAAATAATCAACGGTCCGGTGGGCACATTCAAGTGCAAAGCGGGCCTGGTCCTTGAGTCCACGAGTGGTATAGACACGCACGGGAATGCTCTTCCCTTGGTACTTGCGCTCAGTCATGGCCTCGACATATTCGAAGTCACCGACGGCCCAAGCAAGCAGCTGTGGAAGCATGCGTCATGTCAGCAAAAGCGGATTGCAGGGTGATAGGTGGTTGGGGGGTTGGTGTACTCACGTAAGTGCTCATAACCGGAGTCTTCTCAAAGGTGACAAACTTCAGTCCAGAGTTGCTTCCATCTCTCTCGGATTGAACTGGCATGTTGCTGAGCGCGGTCTGACCCTTGGGGATCTCAATCTCGAAGTCGAATGTGGCCTTCAAGTTCGGCTCGTCGAAGCAAGGGAAAGCCCTGCGCGCATCGCAGGACTCAAATTGAGTGCTGAGCATGTAGTAAACGTCACCCTCCTTGGGCGTATCGGCAGCCGGCTCCCCCACAGGCTTATACTTGGAGCGATAGAAGCCCGCCATAGCATTGTTCATGGTTCCGGTGAAGTGGATGGACAGCACGATATCCGACGGGGTAAGCTCCTGCTCGAACTTCAGAGCCACACGCTCTGAAGTCTTATCGTAGGTGATTTCGGTTGCCTTGGCCAATGAAGCTCCTGCGAAAACGTCGTCCGTCAGGTCTTGATCGCCGTTTACCAGATGGTCCATCGTCAGGTAGGAGGCACCTACCGTCTTTGCCCAGCACCTCGGCACTCTGCACGTCGATCTCCTTCGAGTTCAGAACAATTTCCTTTGTAGCACGAGTGACTTTGGCGTCGACCGTCACCACGCCCTTGTAGCCCCACGAACCACTAAACTGCAAGTCGAAGAGGGAGACATGGTAGTTGACGGGTTTGGCCCTATAGAGACCGATTAGCACATGCTCAATCATGACAGATATTGGACTGGATGGGAAGAGAAGTGGGCTGTTTTGTCTTCCTCCCCGCAGCCGGCATCACTCACACGTCAGGCAGGGTCTCTCTGTCGGCGGACGCCATCATGCGAGCTTCAGCAGAACAGGATCTAGCGGGCGTTAAACCAAGATGCAGTCCAGGCGCAGGGATCGGGGACCGAGTGCGCAGACGAGGGAGTTGAGGGGAAGAGATTGAGGAGAAGAGGGACGTAGCGGACGACGTGGGAAAGAAAGAGAGGGGGGAGGGGCAGAGGGCGACTCGATGACGGGCGTGGATTGCGACGCCAGCGCGTTTTGACGCCGCAATGGATCTTCTCCCCCACATCGGGGCTCTGGCGACACCGCGGCTACCGTCGGGCCCGTTTGACTGGGATTGGTCGGGAATGATTTTTTTTGTCTGCAGCTTCTGGAGTGGACGCGCAGGACGTGAAAAGGGTGCTCCAGCCGGAGCACCGTCGGAGCTTGGACCCGCCCCTGCGGCTAAGTGCTCAGTAGTTCCGAGTTCCGCGCTTTTGAGCCCGCAATCTTCTTTCCCTCCACCCTTTCAGCTCCACCCTCTCGGAACCGACACCATGGCCGACTCGGATGAGGAGTACGTGGGAGATGTCACCGACGATGAGGATGATTTCCAGGTGGCCCAGAGCGACCGAGCGCAGCCGCGCAAAAGAAAGCAACGTGGAGGCGCGGAATGGGAGCTGTCTCGCACCTGGGAAACTCTGGTGGAAGGCGCCGATGGAACGATCAGCTCGACCGTTGAAGGGCTTCTGGAGGCGAACAAGCGCAAGAGGTGAGTCGGCCAGCAAGGGCCCGCGTTGACTGTCCCCCAGACGCTGACCGTTCCTTTCTGGCGGACAGGCTGCTGAAAGACACCACGCCTCTGCAACGCGGCATCATACGACATCTCATCCTCATCCTCGATCTTTCAGAGGCCATGTCCGAGAAAGATCTCCGACCAACGCGATTCCTGTTAACCCTTCGATATGCCCAGGAATTTGTGCGAGAGTTCTTTGAGCAAAATCCCATCTCGCAACTCGGTGTCTTGGGCCTCCGCGACGGCCTGGCACTTCGAGTGAGCGACATCAGCGGCAACCCAACGGAACACCTGACAGCTATTCAGGCACTCAGAACTCAAGACCCGAAAGGACTGCCGAGTCTCCAGAACGGCCTGGAAATGGCACGGGGTGCTCTCTTGTTCGTCTTCCATAGCATGCGCTTCCTGTTTTGTTGGAGAATTTGTGGCGAGGCTAACCTTTGCGCATAGTCACACACCTAGCCATGGCACTAGGGAAGTACTCGTCGTCTTCGGCTCCCTTCTTTCGTCCGACCCCGGCGATATCCACCAAACAATCAACACCTTAGTCGCCGATAAAGTTCGGGTCCGGATCGTCGGTCTCGCTGCTCAAGTCGCAATCTGTCAAGAGCTGTGCAGCAAAACGAACCGAGGCGATGAAACTGCATACGGGGTTGCGCTCAATGAGCAGCATTTCCGGGAGCTCTTGATGGACGTGACGACACCGCTAGCGACCCAAAAACAATCCGCAAGCTCGCTCCTGATGATGGGCTTTCCCTCGCGCACCGTGGAGCCCTGTCCCTCACTTTGTGCATGCCACTCCAGGCCCTCTCGAGGTGGATACATGTGTTCGCGTTGCGGAAGCAAAGTGTGTAGTCTGCCTGCCGAGTGTCCGTCCTGCGGCCTGACCTTGATCCTCTCCACCCACCTGGCACGTTCCTACCACCACTTGTTCCCGTTGAGGAATTGGGTGGAGGTGCCGTGGCGCCGGGCCTCGAGCTCGGCTTGCTTTGCTTGTGGCCTGCCCTTCCCAGCTGTACCACCGGAGGCTCAGTGGTCGGCAATTGAGAGCCACACGAAGGGCATGAGTGTAAGCAGTCGTTACGAATGCCCGGCGTGTGAGAACCACTTCTGCATCGACTGTGATCTTTTCGCCCATGAGGTCGTTCACAATTGCCCCGGGTGCCAGAGTAAAAGTGCTCCGGTCGTGTCCGAGCGGATGGACACGACGGCTTAGCGTGGTTGGATTTTCATGATTGCATCGCATCGATCGGCGTCGAAGGGATTTCAGAACATTAAGGGACTCATGGAAGGGGAGTTTTGTGTACAATATATACCAATCTAGCTGCCTAACCGCCTAGCTACAATTACGATTACATGCCTACCTACCGGAAGGTGGGTCATTGGAAATGCATGATCCTCTTAAGAGTCCTGATTGAGCCTCGTAGCTGGTTCTCTTGTTTTGCCCCACGGCCCGCCTCCGCCTCCGCCTCCGCATCTTGGAGGTGCTGCGCATGTTCGCCGCATTCAACCCCTCACGCTGCTGGCAGATACGGCCTCCTCCCTCAGCATGGCCCACTCATCCCCATCTCCCAGCTCCTTCGAGCAGCTACAGTCATACCCCTTCCATACCGACTCGGAGTTCGCAAATGGTCTCGCCATCATTTTGGGCCACCCCGCCACGCCAGCCTCGGAGGTGGAGATGAGTCGGGACGACGATCTTGTCTTGCAGGCCAAATGCTTTTTCTTCTCGCGGTATTGCACCTGGACCCGTCCTTTGCCAAGGTCAACAGACTGACCTCATTTCTGCGCGTAGAAAGGCAAATCTCACGCCACCTATCGACTTCACAGCCTACAAAGCTTGGTTAACATCACGGGGGGCCGGAGAAGCCTCGCGGTCAAGTCCTGCGGCAGCTGCATCAGCACCACCGAACGAATCCTCGACGGGGACTGATGTCGCTGCCCCCGAAACCTCTGCACTCCCGGAGCCTGCCTATCCATCCTCATTTGCACATATTGTGGAGCTTATCACAACGGGACAACCGATTCCAGGCATACAAGAGATTCCGGATACGGTCTTGGAAGGGCATGATATGTCGAGCGAGAAACCACGTCGACGAAAGCCTTGGGAGAGGGACAGTGATGATGCGGTACCTGTCCAGGGTGAAAGTGCCAGCAACACTGCTGCTTGATCAGAGTTGCCATACAAAGCTAATCATGGTTTTCTGGAGCGCTACAGAAGGCCTGTGGGACGGAGATGTGGATGAAGGATTATATGGGACTGGAATAATAACAATACCTGTCCCCTATAGTTGAAATCACAAAATGGTGGCCAGTCTGAGTGGCCGAATAACATGAATAGAGAACAGTCGGTAAAGGTAGAAGGTTAGCAAAAGCCGACAGGAGAGGAAAAGAGCGATAGAATCATATCGTGCAGCGCATCATAATCACGTAGGCGATTCAGAGAACGAACAAAGAAAAAGGAAAAAAAGACAGAACCAAAACCAAAGCTCCGGCCTAATTGCCCCTGAATAACTTCTCCAGACTTAAGTGAGATGTGAGCCCCCATGACAGGCAGGTCGATGCTTCCGAGTTTTTGTTCTGCAAGCCACGCTCATCCTTGGACGCAAAACGGAGCCGGAGGGGATGAAACATGGGATCATGACAAGCCAAATGGGTATATTAGCAAGCAGGATGGATTGTCGAGATTGAGCCACACAGATCAACAAGGGAATCATGCATTACAAACCACCTTAGTAGTGTCTGACTGCCAGTCAACCCCAGTTGCACCGAGGCTTGGAAGCGAATGCGAAAGTAATTCATACAAGATATATAATTTGTGGGATATCAGTGTTATTGTCGATTTTTTTTTTGAGGTTTTGGTGTGTTCTGTGATGATTGCTGGTTCAACCTCCTCTCTCTCTTCTTGGACACGGTCGCCGAATGAATAAATCGCGCAAGTCGGTGGTTGACGTGCGAGATTCGATGGATCAAATCAATGGAATGGGCCAGAACTCCATTGGTTTCCACGAGTGAAACGGCCACCATTGGATGCACCGGAGGGAAATCTGTCTTCATTGAAATGGTTGAAGCGACCAACTTGCATTCCGGTGCCAGGGCCAGGGCGTGTGGCATGGGATGGATTGCAACAAAGCATTGCGACACGGGAGCCAAACTTGGAGCCCCGCAGCGAAACCATGTGCTTACTGTCCACGGTCAAACAGTTAGAATCAAGCCAACGAGTTGGAAACGTTATTTGGATAAGCACTTACCGGATATGACTGGCAACAAGCTCACGCTGGTGAGGTGCGGCATTCACGAGGACCCATTGAATTAGATAATTGCCATACTGATCTCCCGCAACTGGAAAGTCCTTGAGTATCGCAAGCATATTAAAAGGGTGCAATGCATTTCACTTACTGTCAATCAATGGCATTCGGGGTCGATCTGCACGACCTGTGCATACTCGAGAGAGATAGCGGTCCAAAAATTCGGTGCCTCCGATTTTCAAACATTTCTCGACAATCTTCGACGCGAACTGATCCATGCTGTAATCCACAGCATAATGGAGGACATGTTCAATCGCACGGCTTTTGTCGTGAGGAGCTCCATGTTCGCAGATGTGCTGGATGCACCAATTACCAAATTGGCCGTGAGCAAGAACATCGACCTTCCCCAAGACTTCTTCGATCGCCGGGCGCTTGTATAACCGTCAGCATCTGTCTTCTGCATGATGCGAGGCACTCTGATAGAAAGGGGAAGATTAAGGAGGAAAGGTCTGGGATATGTGGATGTGCCTGCGGCGAATCTACATCAAGGGGGGAGTCTTACCTTCTCTTCCTCGACACAGTTTTCGAAAATGTTTTGCACAACCAGGCTCCCCGTTTCTCCCAAGGCAACTTCATGCCACATCCCATCTAGCGCCTCATTCACCTTCGCCATGATCTGTGGAGGTTCGCCACTCCATCGAAGTTCAAAGAGTTTCTGCCAAACATGGCAGGAATACCGATGAATCACCGTCTCCGGGATCCTACGAAGGAGTTCGTGAACCATGACAGCTTTATGCTCTTCTGGAACACAATCAAACGCCTTTTGAATGACGTGACAACCGAAGGGATCCATACTCAGGCTGAGGGTATTGCCCCGAATCGCATGGGCGATGGCGACGATTTGCTCGGGTGTTCCATGCTCGAAGCAACGTTGGACAAGAAAGTTCCCAAAGCGATTTATCATGAGCGGGTATGCCTGGCTGACAATTGCCTGGATGATGTCAAACTTCTGCTCCGAGGTGCCGACTTTGAGCTTCTGCTGAAGGAAAATAGACGCTTGTTGATCATTGTTGCACACGATTTTGTCTACAATATATTTCCAGTCACAGGAAACATTTTTATCAAGGAGACGTCTATAGTTGAGCGGCTCAAGGGGTGAAAGGTAGGTTTGCATGGAGCTTCCACCATTCTGAAAGAACTGTTAGTGCATGCCCCATAACATTCATTGCGACTGCGAACTTTACCGGAGAACTTGCCCAAGGGGGTACATTAGAGTTAGCAGTGGTAAACTCAGACGCTGTAGGGGAGAGTGTTGTTGCACCGGGCCGGGCATGGTAAGGTACTGGATACATTCCAAATGGTTGAAAGGCGCTGGATGATCTGGTTGGCGACACAGGGGATTTGGGAGCTGGATCACTAGGAGGTCCCGAATTCAAACTGCTCCAGGTGGTGCTCTGAGCCGAGAAAATAGGCCCACCACGGCCTCCCTGTGTGAGAGAACGGCGGGGTCCGGGGTTTGGGGCTTGGAAAGAACGAGATTGTTCACCTGGTGGTCGCTGATAAAAACCGTATCCACTGTTCGAGGGACCCGACAGTATTCTGTGAGGCGGAAAGGCTCCTGGGGGAGCAAAAGCAGCCGGGCACACAGGTGAAGTACCCCAAAAGCGACCTGAGTCTTGAGCCACCGGGTGAGCTCCCTGAAGGAGCTCCCCGTAAATTTTGTCAAAGGCAGGATCTTGAGTGCTTATACCAAAAGATGGCTGGCCATTTTGGCTCCAAAGCCCACGAGCACGACTGTAAGCACCAGAAGACAACGCATCAGAGACATCGGACCGCGAGTCCTCCTGTGAATTCCATGTGTCTTGAAACTGGCCGAACGAGGGGTTGGAAGCATTGAAAGCGTTTTGCAAGCTATTGATGGTCTGTTCAGTGATCTCACGACTTCCAGTCTCAGCCTCAGATGGAGGGCCTAAAGCCTGATCCAGAGTGTGCTTGATCACGCGGTTTTGGGCAAGCTCTTGCTCTTGTAGAGCAATTTTGGAATTGGCTGCAAGTAGTTCCTGCTTAAGTCGAATAAGCTCCACCATCTTGTTATCCTGTGAATAGCCATTGGAAATTCCAGCTGTATCTGCGGCTGGAAATGTGTCGTTCGACGAGGTCATTCGGGATGAGCGAGAGGGGTGATCAGAATCTGCGCGGAATCCCGATGGTGCTTTGGGAGAAAGATTTGCCAGGATCTTCTCCAATTGCGAAGTTTGTCCAACCGCAGATTCGACTTTCACATGCCCCAACTTTGGCTTCTAGGATTGTCAGACTGCGAGCCCTCTTCACTTTGTGAACATGGAATGAGACTCACCTTGTTGGACGGGACTTCAACATCCCCGCCCGACGGGTTTTGCGTGTTTCCATACTGCGACACTTCATCAGGATCTGAGTGGCTGTGCCGGCTACTCGAGTGCTGGTATCCCTAAGTGTCAGGCAGATTGAGCGCCCAGTGCGTGTCACAACCTGGAATTGGAAGGCTCACTGAAGCATGACGTCCGAACGAAAGGTCTCGTACGTCGACCCCGCCATCATGAGCCAAAAACCTCCCTTCTTTGTTCATTCGAGCAAGCATGGAGGGCCCAGCTAGGGTAGCCATTATGCTGATCACCGCGGCGGTGGAGGGAATTAGATATAGATCAAGCCGTGGCCCACGCTCGCACCCAATCGGGTTTACATGAAATCGATTAGTGTGGAGATTCGTCTGAGATGACAGTAAACATAGGATAGATGAAGTGGTCAAGAAGAGACACAAGGTGGGATAAGTGAGAAGGTGAGCAGGTGAGCAGGTGACAAGGTGAGAAGGAGGGGAGGGAGGGAAGGCCTAGTTAGGGCAGGAAGGCGCGCCATTGTGAACTTCCATCTTCCACTGCTCCCCACCCACCACAGAAACACACGACAACACACATCCGTCCCAGAAGGCAGCAGGGCAGGAAACCATAACACACCAGGCCTCTTCCTTGCATTCTTTCATCTTGTCATCCACGCCTGCCTATCTACCTGTCTCCACATCGTGCCTACTGCACAAGATCCTCAGATGGGATCAGAGTGGTATGAGCCCGGTGATATCTGCCAGGACCAATCCAAATGCCCGGCGGCATAAACTCCAGCTACGCCTTCCCAGCGAGAGCGAGCGTTCAGGACCACATACTCGGGCTGTCCTGACCCAGTGACAGTCGGGGCAAGACGAGCGGCCTGCAGCAGACCAACCGAATCGGTGCCCCAAATTACCAACTCCAATTTTTCGTCCTCGCAGGGTCGAAGAAAGACTGCGCCCAAACCTGGTTCATCATACACATATTCATGCCTCAAGGTCGGCAGCGTGGACAAGGGGTTGGTTGTTGACATGACAAGACGGCCTTTGTCAATGCGAATCGGATATTTCTCTAGCAGTGCCGTGGGAAGATCCTGACCTACAGCAAGCGTGATGATGTTTCCAGATTGATGCTGCGAGCTGTTGCTCGAACAGTACCTGAGGATCTGAGCATCGGCTGCAAAATACTGAAAGAGATTGCGACTGATTTGAAGAGCAATGTATTCCACTCCTGGTGAACACACTTGGATCGTGAATGTTCCTTGAGTGCGAAGAATGGCATCGAGTGCACCAAGCTGACGGCCATATCGTTGATGAACAGTCTTCCAGTGCGGGTTATGAGAGACGTTCCATTTCCCGTCGGCACCTCTCAAGTACCAAGTTTGCGTTATTTGGGCGAGATTCACATCAAAAGTTCCTGTCGTATCATCAAGTACAATGGCCGCAGGCAACTCAATCCGAGACGAGGTTGCCGACATGTGGAAGCGACGAATATTGCTAGTGTTGATGTGCCAAGTCCTGTTGTCCGAAAAGCGAGTGACGCGCAACTTACCGTTTACATCAGGTGATTGGAGCTGGTCGACCTGGATTCCAGCCTTAGACCCCAAGTTTCCAGAAGCTGGGACTGTGACGGTGAACGTTTGTGGAATTTCTGCCGCCTTTCTGAACTGGCTGACCATGGCCTGGTAGAACCCTTTTAGATAATCCGTCGTCATCACGCCTTCAAACCAGTGACCCTTGCCTGGTAGTTCTTCATACTTGGATGGCCACTGCGCCTGACCTAGGAGCTCGTGCATCAATCGTGCGTGATATGCTGGCACATTATCATCTTCTGCACCGTGCTGTTGTGCCACTGGAATACCAGCCAGATTCCCTACTAACAATTCGTGTTTATAGGCAGACCTTGATCTTGCGAGGACGGAGGAAAGTGAGGGCTCCAAGACCTGCCACATCGTATAAGGTACATAATCTGGACACCTTGGAGTCAGGCATTATGGAAGAGGAAGGAATCATCATGGACCATACTTTCAATCGATGTGTACCCGGAGACAGGTGCTACAGCGGAGACATTGTCCGGGAAATGCGTTGCATAGTACCATGCGCCCTGGCCTGCTCGATATCAGCGATCGAAATGACAATGGGTACACATGTTGGAAATCAAACATACCCCCATTGGAGTGACCGGCCACGACAAGCTCCTCTCGAGCAGCACCAGGACCGGCCCATCTGACAGCTGTGGCCCAGTCTGCAATGGCGGAAACTGCAGCCTGAATGTCAGCAACGCCCCAAAGGTCTAGTTAAATTCATCATATTAGTCACTGAGATCACTTCTGGGCACAGAAAAGGGCCCCTGGGTACGAACTTACGCCAGTCATCTCCGCTCCATGAAGTGACGCCGCTCGGAAACAACATCCAAGAACACGTCCCGTATGCTTCATCTAGCATGCCCCGCGCCTGAGAGCTATCCGCAGCCAGCCCAGCCCCGTGGAGAACAAGAATCACCGGAACGGCTAGCGAGACATTACAAGACTCGACAGGCGGAGGCCGCAGAATGGCATAAGAAACAATGCCTGCCGGATGCAGGTAAGTGATCCTGATTGAATCTGACAGAGCTCTTTCTTCGAGGTCGATGTCGAAGTATAGGGCCCGAGAAATCTGGTCAGCAGTTTGACATATTACCTCCACAGAGAAGTGTTGCTCCTCAAGCGTCGAGAGAGAGATAGTGAAAATTAGAGGTCGAGTCTGATGTCCAGATATTTGCAGGGGTTCCCTCATTGACACGTGATGCAACGTCTAGACCATGAGACGCCATCAGCGGAAAGCCTGGAATTGGGGAACATTAGGTGATAAAATGACCTTGAATGCGCGGATAGAGGTGATCATCACATCTGCTCCGTCATTGTTCTGCACATTGATCGAGCTCCAGGGACTCCCGAGCCTCCCACCAGTCAACTCAGAGACTAACAGACTGCCTTGATCCAGAGTGATGGGCTCCGTTTCCCGCAGCTCGGCATCGATGGTTACTTCAATAGCATTGTCCACTCCACCAAGAGCACGTACATCCCGAGTGAGCCGGAGCTCGAGCACATGAGGACCGGGAGACAACTGGAGTAGGCTGGGGGCCCGGTGATAATGATACAAGTCCCCGCCAAAATATGGCTTGCCATCCACCAAGAATTCCAGCAGGCCGCCCCCGGAGAGGGCTATTGTCTGCGGCTGAGATCCTTTGATCTCCAAAGTTCCGCGAGCCCATGCCTGGTACTGTAGGGCTGGCCAGCCATAGACCGATTGCAAGAACTCCCAATTGGTGGCCGGGAAACTCACAGTTAGGGCAGCCTTGACCTGCCCGCGGGAGGATCTTGAGATAGTTGCATACGTGGTGCCCCATTGGACCGACCCATTCATTGTGAGAGCACTGTTGAAGGTTGCATTGGAAACATGCGGTAGACCGTGGAACCCACCGTGATACTCCAGGGGGTCTGCTCCCCAGATGGCTTCTGTATCAGACACGGTCGTTAATTCTACTAAACATAATCTACCTATGCGTCTCGGTCCACTGACCTCTTGTACCGAGCCTGAATGGCCCTAGAATGTCCCATTTTTCAGAGAGCATGATGTCTGGCAATCCTGATCTTAGTGGACTTTGGTGCAGAGCACAGTCTGGCGGAAGCTTCAAGCTAACCGCTTGATGAGCGCATGCGACAGGTGAGAGCCATGACAGCAGGACCAGTCCCACGGCAGCAGGCGAAAGATAGTAATGCATATCATCCACAGGGCGTCTTCGGGTCGTATGATGCCATGCTCTCAAGGATAATACTCTGTAGGAGATGAGGATACTACATGGCTATCGGCCCGTCCCACGCTAGTCAATTGCGGGATGCCAGTGGAGCTGCACGCGGCGTTGGGCCTTGGCCAGTACGGTATTGTACGGGTGCTTCTGTCATGGTGGAAGACACGTGATCTACGTGTATTTGAATCTCCAATGATAAGGTGAAAGTGGACGAATCTAGAGAACAAAGTGAACATGGTTTCGATATGACATTTCACTTTAAGATACTAGGAGGGGCGAACATTTTGAGCACCCTTTCAGGGCCAAAATTCCCGATCCGGGAACAATGGGATATACGCCCGCCCCATTGCTCAACGGAGGGCTCCGAGGTATCGCCCGGGTATTGTGTACGGTCACGGTTGGCGATGGTCGCACCCTGTCGGCCTGGATTCCATGGACACTGCAATGGGGCCAGTTAACCTTCAACCTTCCCCCAGCAATCGTGCCTGGCCCCCTTTTCAATTTTGCTGCCACCGGTATCTGGGGAGCCCGACAGTCTGCTTTGCGCCGAAGGGCTCGCTGTTTCGCCTCCTGCAGCGTGTCTCCTTTGTTCTCAACCCTCATTCGCCCGGAGAGATTCGTCATCGTCAACCATCCTCCCTGCGCGCTCTTCCGACGTCTTGTGTAGGCGACTCGACATAACTCCTCAATCTGCAGTCTGTTCTATACCTGGGTAAGCGGATTGATTCATTTGGACGCGCCGGAGAGCGAAATGCAGAGAAATGAGGGGAAGTGAAGAAGTTAACGCTTGGCCCGAAAAGAACAGCCTATACGAGGCCGCGTCGACAATGGCCACAACCACAGTGACCGGCCATGGGCGGCGGTCCTCCATGCGACAACCCGAAGTGCAAGTACCAAACAAACCCTCAACATCCCAGCCAACAAGCAGCCCCATCGACAAGTTCCCTCCCTACGAAGATTCCCTGGATGCCGCCGTGGGGGGGTCCCACCGTCCACACCGAAGCCCCTCGGTGAAATATGCTCCAGGTGAATTGTGGGAGCCACGAAAGTCAGCACTTTACTCGCGAGAACACCCAAGTGGATCATTGAGGAACCCCAAACATCGACCGCGGAAGAGCATCAGTGAGGCCATCACCACCATTCGAACCCGCAACGGCAGCGTGAGTGCCAACGCGCAGGAGCTAGCGGAAGCACTTCGAGCACCGGTATCATATCGATTGATTGTACGTTGACGAGGCCGGGGGTAACCCTCCCTCCCGCCACACTTCCCCCTCCTTGGGCCTTCTGTTGCCCCGCCCCGAGAATAATGGCTAATGTGCGACGAGTAGGGCCTCTGTATGATCTGGTACCTGACCTCTGCGCTCACGAATACTTCCTCGAAGTCCATCTTAAACGCACTTCCGATGCCTATCACCCTGACAATCGTTCAATTTGCCTTTGTTTCGTTCTGGTGTCTGCTCCTAGTGTATCTGTCTACAGTGATTCCATGGCTACGGCGTAGCGTGCCGGTGCTCAAGCATGGTATTCGTTACCCATCTCGCGAGGTCATCTCCACTGCGTTGCCTCTGGCCGTCTTTCAGTTGGCCGGTCACATCCTGAGCTCCATGGCTACATCTCAAATCCCGGTGTCTCTGGTCCATACCATCAAGGGCCTTTCACCTCTGTTCACTGTTCTGGCGTACCGAGTGCTATTTCGCATTCGGTACGCAAGGGCAACCTACCTCTCCTTGGTTCCTCTCACCGTCGGTGTCATGCTTGCATGCTCCACCGGAGTCTCCACAAACTTCTATGGGATTCTCTGCGCGCTCTTGGCGGCGCTGGTGTTTGTATCTCAGAACATCTTCTCTAAGAAGCTCTTTAACGAGGTGGAGCGTGTCGAGGCCGAAGCGGCCAATCCAGCGCGGCGGAAGTTGGATAAGCTCAACCTGCTCTGCTATTGCTCTGGGCTGGCCTTCTTCCTCACTTTGCCCATCTGGTTTGTCAGTGAAGGATACCCTCTGGTGTCCGACTTCATCCATGACGGTGTGATCTCTCTTTCAGGCAAACAGGGGTCGCTGGACCATGGTGCCTTGCTGGTCGAGTTCGTCTTCAATGGCGTTTCGCACTTTGCGCAGAATATTCTGGCATTTGTGCTCCTGTCTATGGTGTCGCCTGTGTCCTATTCGGTAGCCTCCCTGGTAAAGCGAGTCTTCGTGATTATCGCTGCGATTGTGTGGTTTGGCAGCTCCACCACTCCCATTCAGGCAGTTGGCATTGGCCTCACCTTCGTGGGCCTCTACCTCTACGATCGCAACAACCACGACGATGTGGCTGACCAACGAGCGAATGCGGATCACTTCCGTGCTCCGGAGGCCATTCTGCCGTTGAATGTCCGACACTCAAGCAAGCCGTGGGATTCAAATGGCTACGCCTTCCCCGGTGCGAGATCGCTCGAGACCTCCACAGGCAACAACTCTCACGCGACCAACTCCTCCAAAAAGCAGGACGATGGCCCCGGGCGCGTGCGGCCTCGAGGAGCGAGTGTTAATCGGAATTGGCTGCCCGGGACGAAACAAGAGTCAACATGGCAGCCTGCTGATTCTTCAGCAGCCACATAACCCTGTCCACTTTTTCGTTTCTCTCTCTCTCTCTCTCTCTCTCTCTCTCTCCCTTTCCCCCTGCCTTCGCCAGCTTCCGTTTTGTATTCTTCCTCCCATGATGGGGTCCAGGGGACAATGGTGTACTATATCATGGCGTTTATGGTATTTTCTCTATGGGTGGAAAGATGATTATTGTTCGTGAATCTTTTCCCCATTTCGGCGCCAGCATAGACAGGGAGTGAGAATTGAGTATGTAGGATGTATATGATTTCAATCTACCTACGAAGCTAGCAAAAAGAGAATAACAGAACCCAGCCGACGCCGGGTGTGCATGTGCATGTTCTCTCATCCTCGTTAGGTATCCTCTACCACATCGAATCGTTAGGGGTCCAGTCGGTATGTAGCTACCGTCGGTAAAGAACAAAGTCATCATCGGGGAATAACCCTTGACTGCTCCAGTACGGTGCAAGTCTGCTCTTGGACAATGTTGCAGAGGAAACTGGGACTGAGCGCCCGGCCTCCTACAATAAATCATGCCCAGAATGAGATGATTTCCAGCAAAACAGGGGCGGCCGCGGGAAGTTTTTATTGGGGGAAAACCGGAGGTGCGGTTTATCCGCGTAACCGAGCCAATTGCTGCCTGCGCATTTGGGATTTGCGAGGTCCTACCTTAGTCAGCACCATGATGGTCAGCAGGCATTATGTAACCCAGCAGATTCCGAACTCTGAACGTCAAGCTCCTTCCTCACACCCCCTCGTCCACCCCATCTCAATTCCCCCTCCCTCCCCCTCTCCTTCATCGTCTCTCTCGCAATCATGCGGCCGCAGCTGTTCCGTGCGGCCGCCCGGTCTCTCCGGGTGCCCAGGGCCCGTGCCTTCGCGACGACAGCCCCTCGCGCGGCCGAGGTGGAACTCACCATTGGTACGTCTCTGTCCTTCCATACATGTATACTGATTTTGCATACTGACCATACCGCGTAGATGGCAAGAAGGTCTCCGTTGAAGGTAGTGTTCGCGCATTTCCCATCCATTGGACAGCAGCTCACAATCCCTCGAAGCCGGCTCGGCTCTCATCCAGGCTTGCGAGAAAGCAGGTGCAACAATCCCCAGGTATGATCGCTCTTTGGACGACCATGTTGTTTGCTCGCCGTGGCTGACATCGCCTCTAGATACTGCTACCACGAGTACGTGTTTACTCCTTGGACTGATTCTTCCGGCAATGGTTCATGCTAACTCCAGCCATGAAGAAAACTATTGATTGCAGGAAATTGTATGTCTTCGTGGTCCATTCACTACAGCTCTGTCTGATTATCATGTTAATTGGGGAACTTCTTTAGGCCGTATGTGTCTCGTCGAAGTCGAGCGTGCCCCCAAGCCCGTTGCGTCGTGCGCCTGGCCCGTCCAGCCCGGAATGGTGGTCAAGACAAATTCGCCGCTAGTTCACAAAGCGAGAGAGGGCGTGATGGAGTTCCTTCTGGCTAACCACCCCCTGGACTGCCCTGTCTGTGACCAGGGAGGAGAGTGTGACCTCCAAGACCAGTCCATGCGTTACGGCGCCGACCGCGGTCGGTTCCACGAGACCGGTGGTAAGCGTGCGGTGGAGGACAAGAACATCGGCCCTCTTGTGAAGACCTCGATGAACCGCTGCATTCACTGCACCCGCTGTGTTCGATTCATGAACGACGTGGCGGGCGCCCCCGAGTTGGGGACCACCGGCCGCGGTAACGAGATGCAGATCGGAACCTATCTGGAGCGCAACCTCGACTCGGAAATGTCCGGCAATGTCATCGATCTCTGCCCTGTCGGTGCCTTGACCTCCAAGCCCTACGCTTTCCGGGCCCGTCCCTGGGAGCTCAAGCACACCGAATCCATTGATGTACACGACGCCCTCGGTTCCAACATCCGAATCGATAGCCGTGGTATGGAAGTGATGCGGGTTATCCCGAGACTGAATGACGATATCAACGAGGAATGGATTAACGACAAGTCGCGGTTTGCCTGCGATGGATTGAAGACCCAGCGGCTCACCACCCCCTGATTCGCCGCGAGGGCAAGTTTGTTCCCGCCACCTGGGAACAGGCTCTGGTGGAAATCTCATCCGCTCAACAGAAGCTGCAGCTGCAACCGAACGAGTTCAAGGCAGTTGCTGGTCACCTGGTGGATGCCGAGTCTCTTGTCGCCATGAAGGACATGGCTAACAAGCTGGGCTCCGACAACCTTGCACTTGATCAACCCGGCGGTAGCGCTCCCATTGCTCACGGTATTGATGTTCGCTCCAACTACCTCTTCAACTCCAAGATTTACGGCATTGAGGAGGCGGACGCCATTCTTCTAGTTGCTACGAACCCCCGCCACGAAGCTTCTGTTCTGAACGCCCGCATTCGCAAGCAGTATCTGCGGTCCGATCTGGAGATCGGTCTCGTTGGCGAGGAGTTCGAGAGCACCTTCGACTATGAAAACCTGGGTGCCGATGTCTCTGCTCTGAAGACTGCTCTGGCGGGAGAATTCGGTAAGAAGCTGGCTAGTGCTCAGCGGCCCATGATCGTTGTGGGTAGCGCTGCGGCCGAGCACCCCGATTCCAAGGCCATCTTCGAGGCTGTTGGCAGCTTTGTTGAGAAGCATGCGAGCAACTTCACCACCCCTGAGTGGCAAGGTTACAACGTTCTGCAGCGAGCTGCTTCTCGGGCCGGTGCCTACGAAGTGGGCTTCACCGCCCCATCCCCCGAGGTTGCGCAGACCACTCCTAAGATGGTCTGGCTCCTTGGCGCGGATGAGGTCTCGCCGAGCGAGATCCCCAAGGATGCGTTTGTCATCTACCAGGGTCACCACGGTGATCGGGGTGCCCAGCTCGCAGATGTCGTTCTTCCCGGTGCTGCCTATACCGAGAAGTCCGCCACGTATATCAACACCGAGGGACGTGTGCAGGTCACTCGTGCTGCGACATCGCTGCCCGGTGCTGCCCGTGATGACTGGAAGATCATCCGTGCTACCAGCGAGTTCCTTGGCGTACCTCTTCCCTATGATGACATCGAGGCCCTCCGTGACCGCATGGAGGAAATCAGCCCCGTGATGCGCCGCTACGATGTCGTGGAGCCCACCTCCGTCAGCGCACTGAGCAAGGTCCAGCTGGTGGATCAGAACAAGGGAGCTTCGGCCACCGGAGCTCCTTTCCAGAAGGTCATCCAGGACTTCTTCTTCACAGACTCGATTTCCAGAAGGTGCGTCCCTCCTCTCATTTGTTGCCCTTCTGCTTCCCCACATCCCCCACCCCCTCTCCCCCCATATGCATCATACTGATACTGGTCCAGCTCCCCCACCATGGCCCGCTGCTCGGTTGCCAAGGCCACCGGCAACCCCGAGACCAACTTCATGGCCGCCGGAGAGATGTCTCCCCAGGCCCTGTACGGCTGAACGCTATCAGGGCGTCTGACTTACCGCATGAGCCGCCGATTGAATTCTGTGTTTTCTATAATGGTTGCAGGCGTTGTCATTTTTTTGTATCACATTAAACTTCCCTTTGATGTATCGTTTCCTTTCCACCTTCTGTTTTCTCCATCATCTTGAACGCCGCTTCGTCCGGGTTCCGTGGTTGACCTCTACTGCCCACTCTCCGGTACCACCTGGGATTCATCGGTTGGGGCGGACTTGTACATAAAAAGACTGAGACCCTTCCAACATTTCAGTTCCCTTTCGGAGATGATGTCACGGTTTGTAAACGCATGCATCTGATTCAGTTATCCTCTTCTCGGTGATAGTCTACGGTTGACCACCAAGAAGGGTAGCTTCCGCGAAGCATTCTTTGTTAAGCATGTTTCTTGTACTTTCGGGGCGTATATGGAGGGGGTTCTCAGTAGATAGCCAACATTTCCGCGTCCATATCGGATGACTTGCTGGCTGACACGACCAATCATGTTCGCCCCTGTACCATCCAGTCCCTATAGCTCGTCGTCGTCCGTTTCACCCGCCGTCTCTTCCGCCACTGCACTGGGCTCTGGTTGCCGCTCCGTTTGGGCCTGGGTCGTGGGTCCTCGTCGCGTGAAGGGCAACTCCCTTCGCGGGGGAGCCGGCTCCTTAGACGGACGAACCGATCGTTCTGAGGCCCTGGCCCGTCCTCGTTCAGACGCAGATTGCTGTGAAGGAACTGGAGCTTCAGACTCGTCGTCCGTGGTCGTATGGTCGTCTCCTTCCTCCAGAGGCTGCGGTGTGGCTCTTCCCTCATCGTCTGTGTCTTGCCCGTCCCCTGATCCCTCATCTGCACCGTTGCGATCAATGTCCATACGTTCCAAGCCGTCGTCTGAGTCGTCTTGGTCATCCAGCGTATCCGGTGCACGCCGCTTTGTGGACTGATGAGTGCCGGATGCTTCAACGGTGGTTGCTTGTATCGCAGCGACTAAACCATAAGAACCAGTCAGCTATTTACTCAGACCGTGTGGGCTGCTCAAACAAGATGGTCGACCCTACCTATCGTGGGGTCTGCTTTTGCAGACGCCAGCAATCGCTGCTGGTTGCGGATCTTGAGCTTTTTCTCGTTCAGGAGCCGAGCAAAGTTAGCCACCATCTGGTTCTCATGCTGACTTTTGGCGTGCATGAGCTCCGCCAGTTGTTGAGTCAGTTTGGATATCGTATCTTCGGCGAAGCGATGTTGATCCGTCAAGCTTGTCACTTGACTTTGCAAGGTGTCAGCTCTGGCGGCCGCGACGCCGGCCCACTCAAACAGCGCAACCTCTTGCTCGTCATCCTGCTGGAGAACTAAAGATCCGAGCCTTTGCTGGAATCCTGTTAGACGAGAATGTGGATACGATGCTACCCTAGAAAGGCCAAGACGGGGATTCTCCTACCGTGATATCCTGCACCCTCTTCCGAATGGTGATGACAATTCCCTGATTATCGTCTCCCGAGCCCGAAAGGCTAGCGGAGGCTTCGACACCAGATGAGCAGGACCGGCCCTCAGCAGAGACCGGCTGTCCGAGGACATGGGAGATGATGTGGACCCATTCGTCGTCGGACCCTTGATAGTTCTTGACACGAAGATCCTGTAGACGAGATTGCGTAACTATTCCAGTGTGTTAGTCGGCATACCCTCCGAGGACTCATCCACAACGCTGACCCGAGGCTGTATAAGGGCTCTCCCCCTCCGTTGCGGTGAGCGACACATCAAGAGGCGCTGGTCCAGCCTGGGAGACATGAACGAGTACGAACGAACCCGGCTCGTCCGACCGGGGAATCCTTAGTATTTGCGGAGCGGTCATAGTATGACAGAATGAAATGATTGCGGGCGGGCTCGTCGCTCATCGCCTGTGTCGGGTTCTGCGATTTTGGCCAGTGCTGAAGCTCGCGAGGCGGAGGGCAGAGGGCGGAGGTAGACCGCGACGGATGACGTCTCGTAGGCGCGTCGTACTTCGTACGGAGGCAGCAACGCGGGCGTTTGGAGATCCACACCGAGCTAGCGAGCTAACGTGGTAGCTAACGTGGTGCGTAGGACTGTGCCATTGAGTGGACCCCACTGCGCTTCGAGTCTTCAAGGGAACTACGGAGTATCCGGACTTATCGTTGCTATGACTATGCCCGAGACTAGAGATAGAGACCACACCCACGCGGAGCACGCGGCCACAAACTGAACAAACATGCAGTCCGACCCACCGTGCGCTCCGTGACCGACTGAAAGTGGCTGTAGTGCTACGCCCACTAGTTCAGTTCGGGGCGTCCAGCCAGTTCAGACCCCCGGCACGTTCCCTCCCTCCACGAGGAATCCAAACCTCCCCCCTCAAATTCCAGCCACCACGACGACTATCCACCCACCCTCCCCTCAACACCAACACGAACGCGAAGGAATAAGCAACTCCCGACAACATCCCCAACTCCCCAGGACTGCTCACCTCCTTACGCCCGTCTCTCTCGGAGCTGTGGACTGGTCGTCGTGTCCGCACCACAGAAACCCGCCCCCTCTCGAACGCGACAGCGTCCACGCCTACTCTTACCCACCAGCCCCATTTCTCACTACAGGATCCTGCCAACGACAAGCCGAGAAGCTCGCGACCACCGATACTGCTTCGCTCACCGCGGAATGATGTCCATCGTCCCCCTGGCTCACCCAGTATCAATGTCAGTGTCGTGACGGTTGGAGTTCACTTCCAGATCCAGCGACATTGCTGCACTCGGCACGGCAGGAATCATCGCCCTTGTCTCCCGAGTGCCTCCTAGATACGTGTCGGCCCCGTCATGGAGTCACCGGCCGCCCCTGCACGACCGCATGGGGACGAAATGATCGAATGCTGGGATGATGATGATGACTTGCAATTCAACGATGGTATTCAATTCCGTGCCGCCTCTAGCACTGGATCTGTCACCAATTCCTCGTTCCGCCCCTCTGGACACCGCGACTCCATTTCATCTCGCCGATCCGCACGCTCCGAGCTTGATTCGAATGCTGGAGATGAAGATTGGCAAGTCCACCTCCACGATAACGACGATTTCTCTAAGGAGGAAGCTCTTGCCTCCGCCAAACACGCCGGCATTCCTATCCCCTCGGATATTCCTAGCTCGGCCCTCATCGGGGGGGCAATCAAACGCCTGTCGGCTCGGAAACAAAAGCGAACGTTTGTGGATGATTGGTCGGACGACGTGGAGCTTCCCGACCCGGATGCGATTCTAGAACTGAAAACTCCCCAAGATATATCTTTCCCAGAGTCGTTACGACAAATCAGCTCCGCAGCTACGAGTCCCGTGAAATCGACAGCCTCGCCCTCCTGGAATGATGATATTTCGACTCGCTTGCAGGCAGCGTTTGCCCCTCTAGATCGGTTCCAGGATCAGAGTAGTGGCCCTGTGCACCAGGACGTCCCTACAATCAAAGCTCCTACGCCTCGCTCTCCTCAAAAGAACGCGCCGGGCGCCGCTGGGCGTAGCCGTGCAGCGGAGCGTGAGGCGGACGGTTTTGATGAAGATCTTGAGCTGCCTCCAGCCCATCAGCCCCTGCAGTTAGCTCACCGAAAGGACTCTACCGAGGTTTCAAGCCCTATTATGGATGACTTTGACCTAGAGTGGTCGGAAGGTAGCATTGGCGTCCGAGTCGGTGGGACGGCACGGGATAGCCGTTCGGTCCCCAGCTCCTCTATATCAATCGCAAGCCCGAGCGTATCAAGCTGCCTCACCGCCGAAAGTGAAGAGGATGGCCTCGATGGTGTCTTGTTCCCGGAGGGGCCTTTGGATTTTACTGCATCCCTTAAGAGAAGACAAGAGGCCCAGGCGACAGAACGCCCAGTCGAGGCGCCAGGCCCTCAAAAGGCACCGATTTCACCGGATGCAGATGATTTCTTCTCGGGCATCGAGGTCGACCATGGAAGAGCTTTTGTCTCGGGGAAATTGGCCTTCAATCCCAACGTCAAGTGCAAGACAGAATGGCCAACTAGCCCCACCCGTCGGCCGGCCACCACTCTGACATTCACCAATTCCACTGGGGGGTCCCCACGCACTCGCATTCCCCGCCTATCTGGCCATGAACGGACCCATTCGACTCATCTAGAGACCGTCTCGGAGAGCGGTGCACCGCTCTCCAAGTTCCGCCGATCGCAGTCTCGACTTGGACATTCATCCCAATCGTCCGTTTCGAGTCTGCCGGCCATTGGCACGCATTCGACCTCACCACCTACTCCCGTCACCACCGTGCGACAGCTTCTGGGGCCCGGGTCTTCTACAGAAACCCCGGCGGTCAACGAAAACAAGGCCCCCCAGAGACACCTCCGAACTAAAAGATCCTTGCCGTCCATCCGAGGGGGCACGTCGGCAACGTCAACGCGGGCCTCGCAACGGTCACCATCTCATCCGGATGGATCTATTCGCCCCTCCTTGAACCGACCGAAGACTCCCATTGAACGGATGGCCGCCCTTGACGGGCGGGCCTCGGTTCGCAGAGTTCAGGCACCATTTCTCTCCGCCGGCGCCTCAGAAAGGAAAGCCCATCATCCCAGTGTCAAGAGCTACCGTCCCTCTCGGCGCACCAGCTCGGATAGCTCTGGCGATCTCCTCAGTCCACCGGGCACCTTCTCCCGTCTGTCCCGCTCTACTCGCCCCGAGTCTCTCCGGCTGAGTTTGGATGACTCGAGGACAGAAACCGCCGGGTCGACAGCCAAGCGGACTCTCACAAAGCCAACCCGGCGACGCAATTTTGGGGATGGCACCGAGCTGGAATCTTTTGACGATCTGCCTACATCAGTGTCTACTGAAAGCAAATTCACGAAGAATCCTGCCGGGCGAGGCGCCCCTCGATCCGTGCGCGCTCGGCTCAGCCAGAGCCGTATCACTCCCCCGGTTGAATCTCCCACCCAATCCACGCCACCATCGGTCTCCAAGCCGCTAAACTCCACACCGAGGTTCGCTCGCGATACCAATGCATCCCGGAATGCCAGAGAGCAGCGAATTGCCTCGATGAACTCCCGCAACCGGGACACGACCCCTCTCTCCGCCGCCAATTCGAATTGGAAACCCCATCCTGTGATATCTCGCCTATCACCCAGTGCGGCTCCTGTACGAAGCCGCAAGTCCAAACCCGCGGTCAAGACCTCGTCCAAACCTCACTTGATCAAACCTCTGGGGTCTGGCGTGCAGGATGCCAAATGTAAGAGCCCGTCATCTCTTTTCTTTTATTTCCCCCCCCCCCCCCCCTTTTTCAATCTCGGCTTGGAATTAACTTTTGTATCTAGCCGTGAGGGGTATGCGGTATAACCCGTCGACTTTCCGATGGGAAGGAAATGAGAACCTGGTGCAGGATTTCGAGGTTGCCACTGCTCCCAAATCCCCGAAACCGGCACCCGCTCTGATCACGAACGTGGGCCCCCGGCACAACGTCCAAGCGGTTGGGGGAATGGTTTTTGACCCACAGCGAATGTGTTGGCTCAAGGCCTCGGCTCTCGAGTCTGGAGCCTACGGCGGTGTGGCCCCGGACGATGACGATGTCTTTGCCGGGTTGGATGACTTGGAGGAGAACAAAACTGCTGGGCCCACGGGTCGAGACTCGGGGGCTGTCGATGAATTCCACTCTCACACGCCCGGTGGAGAAGATGCGAGTGCGGGAGAGTCTTCCGACGAGTGTCCCATCACCGAGGAATTTGATGTCGGTCCAGAGTTCATTCGACGACAGCGAGCGGAGGAAGACAAGTGGAGGCGGAAGGTGGACAAATGGGTTGGCCCTACACGCAACGATCGGGAATATCCCTGGCGATGGGCCATCCGCGATCTGGTGGCTGAAGATACCGGGCATTTTACCGGATAGGTGGAGGAGAAGAGATCTGACAAAGGGGCCTAAGACAGTTGGATGATCTCGATGTGACCATCATCAACCTCCCGATCTATCGATGCCCGCCGTGCAAGACTGAACCTCGCCCTGGCGACGGCGAGGATAGGAGAGGGCGCTCCTGAGGTTGGGCATGGATATGCATGAACTTATGACACGAAGACAGGTGTTGTCTTCATTGGCCGTGATGAAACTGGCCAAACGACTTTTACGGCTGCAGCAGTGGTGGCTCTTGTACTTCTTGTGTGGTCGACGTGTTGACTTGTGATCCTGTAACTATACTATTCGCATCCCCATATATCTATATTTCGCCGAGTACATACCTACATACCCACCAACCCGCCTTTGCACCTAGTGAGAAGCCTCTCGCCCCGGGAATCCGACCATCTCGGCTTTCCGTGGACGTGGCTTTCGTACTTTCTCTGCCCTGCCTGCCCTACCTGCCCTACCTGCCCTACCTGCCCTGCCTGTCCTGCCTGTCCTGCCTGTCCTGCCTGTCCTGCCTGTCCTGCCTGTCCTGCCTGTCCTGCCTGTCCTGCCTGTCCTGCCTGTCCTGTCGGTACGGTCGTCTCTTCTCTTGCTTGCCGGGCCAATTCTCCGTACGGCCTGCTCTCTGCACCTCGTCGACAGGGAATATCCATGCGCGGCCCTGACGCTCTCGGGGGAAATCTACCATCACCACCCCGTCGCTCCGGCCACTCCTCGGCGCCCCCCAACCACCATCGCAACCTCCTCATCTCCTCCAACACCAGCCATGGGTCATCCCACCGAGGCAGATCCTAAACACCCCGGGCTCCGCGCTTCCCCAGGGGGAGCTCATCCTTTTTCTGGGGATATGGGCGGCTCGCGATCAGGGTCGGGTAGCAGCAGAGTGACACCGGGTGATAGATTGTCTAACGCGCGGTTGCTTCGAGCATCCCCCTTTTTGGTTCACGACTGGACCGGGCGCTGTCAATGCTGCGAGGGTCCGGTGCCAAGGCCTTCGAACACGGTGTCTCACCTGTCGCGGACTAGCCAAACGCATGCAATCCTGCCATCCCGCATCCTGCATTGATTGCCCGCCAACGAGACCCAATCCACTGTGCCCTGGCATCGGCGCCACGTCAAGGTCACGCCTCGCTGCCACGGATCTCCCTGACAGCTCACGATCTGGAAAGGCGAAGAGGAGGCTGTGGGACAGCAGGGCCGACCAGGATGCGCTTACTTGCTCCCCTCCTCTCCACCTCATCGGCCCACTCATGCCCATCTGCAACCCGCGCTGGGCTCTAGAGGGGCCCCAGGGCACTGGGAACTCCCCAATCCATGTTCCTTACGGCCACGGCTACGTGCATGTTTGGACTTTTGCCGGAGCAATCTCCAGCCCGACTTTGTTTGACGGAGGCAAACCTGCAGAAACAAAGCCCGGCACGAAAAAAAAATGTCGCCGACTCGTCTCCTCGCCTTCTTTGTTCCTCCTTCCCCGGGGTCCAGTTGTCCCGCCGCAAATCGCAAGTCGCAAGTCACCAGTCGCCAGTCGGGGAGGGTTTGCTCCTCCCCCCGGTGCTTGTCGGTGACATTCTGGCGGCCGATCCTCAAGCGCCCCTCCCCATAGGTGGCCTCGAATAGCCCAACATGGCTCTCCATGAGGCAAATGGTGGCGCCGGGCATCGAGGCAGGAATCCGTATCACCATTGCTTGTGTGTGCTGTCGTATCCCTTCCATTGCCTCGGCGGGTCGGAAAGATCTCGACCACGAACCCTAGTCCTTTCGCTTTGTTTTACTTTTCAATTTTTTTTCTTCTTCGTTTTAAGCTAGGGTGGGAAATCCCGTCCCATGCCACTCTCTTCCCTGCACGCTTGGGTCATACCCTTTCTGCCTGTACCTGACAGAGCTCTGCTCGACCTGCTTGGCTCCCTCCTTTGTTTTTTCTGTGGAATATTGTGCTGTTGGGTTTCCAGGGATTAACTCTGTGGCTCCTGTCCACTCTGTTTCGACCTGGTCTCGTGCACGTCTTGGGCATCTGTCATGCCCTGCAAGATTCACCTGCGGGCTTACGGCTTCTTTTTAATGCCATTGCCGCCCCCTTTGATGTCGTCCATGGCTTTGTTTTTTCCTCCTAGTCTTTCTTGAAGAGTGTCTTCAAACCCCCTCGAGTCACCTACATCCACTACGGTTATGTTGTTGGGGCTTGGAGCTTTCTTGCTGTACTTTGTCCATCCTCATTTGTCCTCAACCTATTCTGTTACTTTTATTTGCCACCGGGCCCTGGCCTACTACCTGGACGTGAGAAGCGGAATCCCGACTGCAGGGGGCGTCAGGCACGATGAGCAGCTTCTCCAGGCGCCATGAAGGGAATGACAGTTATCTTATGAACCAATCGATGGCAGGTTCCGGTACGTACAGTCACCCAGAGAGCCATGAATTTGGCGCGGCGGGTGCTGGCTCGTACCACTTTCCCCAACAGTCCTTCAATCCATACGGAAATCAATTTGGCCCGTATGGGCAGCAGTCGACCCTGTCTCCAGGCATGCAGCATCTACCGTATGCTCCAGATCATACCATTCCTTCAATGTCCACGCCTGAAGATATGAGACTTCACCATCCACCCCCGCAGTATATGGCTCCATCTCGTTATCTACACTCGCCGAGGTATCTGCCACTACGCGACGCTCTTAGTGAAACGGATATTGAAAGTCAAGAATCCCGGAACGAGGGGACCATGTTATCAGAGGCCGTGGTACCAGCCCTAGATGGATTTCCAGATGTGAAAGAATTCGACCAACTTATGCAAAGGTGCGTGGACCCCTCGAACGATTATGTGTACTCCTTGTTCTATTATCCTTGGGGCTGACGTGACATCATTGATCAGCTACGTGGACGACTTGTCGGTGAAGAAGCAGGATAAGGCATTGATTCACGCCAAAAGAGCGCGGAATATTCGGACGGTGTTAATTGACCCAAAAGACACTGCGGTCGAATCTGCCCAATTCCGGTCAGTCTCTCTTCGAAAGTTCACTGATCAACCGTGCTGAAAAAGGTCAGATTCTGGGTTAAGAAGATGTTCAAGCTTCAGGCCGTCGGCATCGGAACGGCAAATGTAAGCCTTTCCTCAGTCTGGTGATATGCACATCTGACGAGGATATGTCAGTGCCGGAAGATGATCTGTCACGAGGGAAAGCCAGTGGCAATCCGCGAGAAGCTGTTCAAAATCCTCACCAAGGCACATCAGCAATGCCAGCATGGAGGCCGCGACAAGACCTCTGCGCAAGTCCGCCGCATTTATTCATGGTGGGTACAGTCCATGTATCATTTGGCACCGTCATTGGAGAGCCTGGCCGCTAACCACCCTATTCTTTTCCCTGCCAGGGTTCCGAAGGAATTGATCTCTCGTTTCGTCAAGATCTGCCCAACCTGTCAGGTTCGGCGTGGAGGATCGCGACTGACGCCGCCGAATTCCCGCCGAGGCTCTCCTCGGCTCGAGATGCTGCCTCGATCACCCAAGCTCCCATCACCTCCAATCTCCCGGCGCGAATCAACATTTGGAGCACAGATCGCCCCCGACCGGGCACAGTCAGACTACTTTGGCCAATTTCATGGTCACAGCGGATGGATTGACAGCCATCAGAATTTGCAGGGTCGGCCTACCTTGAATTCGGGGGTCAGGTCCTTCCCCGGGCCAATGAGTAATCTCTCACACTCAATCGCCGGGACAATGGACCCTTTCTCGGCCGACCTGTCAGTGCCACCATCTCAGTTAAGCTACACGACGGGGTATGTCCCGACTCATGGAACTCCGACCCAACGGGATTTCTAGTCATCTATTTGGGGTTTTAGTACTATAGCGCTAGCTGGCTGGTTGGATCCGGCTCCGGCTCCGGCTTCGGTTCGATCTGATCATGGTAGATCTACGTGCTTCAATTCAGTCTCTAAAAGGGATTTCATTCGACGAGGTGGTACTGGGCGGCTGAGTCAACAGTCTGAAATTGCTCTCTAGGGAGGAAAGGGACCAGAAAAACAAAAAAGGTGTGATGGAGAGAGAGCTGGACTGAAACTGATACGAAGTAGACTTGGCTAAGATACCGGAAGTTCTTTGAATTGTCTTGACGATAAAATAAAAATAAAATGAGACCAGATCGCATCGCATCGAATCGCATCATACATGAGTAGGGTTCACACCTATGCCTCCAAAGGGAACAGATAGCGTAAATAAGCTCAGCTCCAGATAGAGGCCAAGAAAACCGACAGCTGGCGGCACCGCGTCCGAAGGCAATTGATCAGGATTAATGGGTGAATGCGGGATGAGGGATGCGGTGGGTTATGTGGCTAGGTGGGACTCAAAAGGTCAATGGCCTTAGATCGCTCCGCCTATCTACCAGATTTTTAGCCAAATCCTCAATAATTTGACATCTGAACATACACTCACTGGCCCAAGGAAAGCAAGGACCAAAAGCACCCAGAAGACTCAAGAGGAATCGACAACTGTTGACCTGAGCCTCGGTCAACAGATCGGCTTCGATATTACCTATATGAGGGCTTATGTGGGGCAGGCAGGTAGGGCAGAATCCCAGCATTTTCCGGTTACCATCCACCCTCTGATGATACACTGAGATAGTGGTACCATACTAACTTTCAATAGGTTGACGGAAAGGTCAAGATGTGAATGTTTCACGATATCATCTGCTTATAGGTGAGCACACTGTGCCGTATAGAATTTGACGACTGATTGATCAGACACATTCCCCGTGAGCCTGTCGTCAAAAAGCCAGAACAAACGAAAAGAAATTATGTGGAATAACTAGGACCTATCTATTTCTATTATTTTGACAGACCGATTAGGAGAAACCCTCCACAATAAGGCTCGGTCCCGCCGATTTGGCTTTGGTGGACATCATTCTGTGAACGATGGGAACGGAGCCGCCCACGAGACGTGGTCACATTCCCCGGGGGATGGGGTGGGAATGCAGGCACGACTGGGACGGACTCCAGGTGGCTCCGAGTAGTAACGTGAACGCATCATCAATTCATGGACTGGCTCCGATCGGGTTGTCGGGAGCCGTGCTGAACAGAGCTAAGACATGATCATATCGAGTGCATTATCTGGAGTGACTCTCAAGCTGCATCCAGGAAGGTCTAGGAATAACCGATTCACGAGATGTAGCCAACGACATATACCCTATAGGCAATTTTGAGCCCAAGTCTCACGCCCTCCTCACAGGCCCGTGGCGTTTACTTTAGACGGGAAGCGAGAACTTCTTGCCTTTCAGAACCCTAGGTTAAGTCAGTAACCGTGGTTTCAGGGCCAACGTAGAGGATCCGAGCTGCTTACTTGTTGTAGTAGATATAGAAGAAGTCCGAGTAGAGGAGAGTCTGAATGATGCCTGCCACGATGGGGACCGGCTGGAAAGATCGCTGGAAGGAGGCCTCGGTAAAGTATCGATAGATCCAATTCGGGATATAGAGAGCCCGATAGAGGCCGAGGGCAAACAGGTAATGGGTCGTGATGGTCTCTGCCTCTCCGGTTCGTTGCAACATAAACAGTTGGGGCAGAATCGCAACCGACTCCAACCAAATCGAGAACGTCCAGAGAATCTAGATAGGGTTAGTCTCAAGTCCTTGCACCGTCGCCTCCCGCAAGTGGTTTGACAAAAGATATGTTGGGGCATCGGCACGGACCTCCGAGAGTCGATAATCGTGTGGGAAAAGCAATGCCAGAATCACGCTGATTCCAAGCAGGTACTGGACCTTGAAAGTATCGATATTGGGATCATGAGTGGGTTTGTAATCGTTGAGCATGAGATGAATGATATAGGCGGAGGAGCCGATGAAAAGCAGCTTGAACGTGGTCAGGTATACCGAGTCGGTCAAGGTCCAGAACAGATCTAGAGAGAGAGGATGTATCCACGCGTCAGACGTAATCAGGCAAAGAACAGACGAAAAAGACACATGCGCACTGACCTAGATAGCGTGTGACAAAGACCAGGAGATAAAGGGCTTGCGACTTGAAGGACAACCCGGAACAACTCTGCGATGACGTTAGCGATGAGTGAGCATGTGCAGAACCGAGAGGGCATACGCTGGATGACTTCATCTTCTGGAGAAGGATGAAGATCGAGGCCAGATGGGAGAAATCGGCTGCCGGGGATCAGTATATCTCCATCATCGCGGTGGTCGCCCTAGGCCGGTTGCTTGGCTCACCTAGTAGCCGGAAGAGATTCATGGTGAAGGATGTGGGAGTTGTAGCGACAAAAAGACCGTAGAGGCGGTCGAGTGGATCGCTAGATACTGTAGAAGGCAGGCGGAAAGCTGGAAGGCTGGTGGGATGTAAAAGAGGGAGGGTCTTCGAGGATGGCGGAGCGGAGTTGTTGACACGAAAGCAGATGGCAGGGGGATGAAGTGCGCCGATCAGGTACGCGCGCCGGTGCCAAGACTTTCGGGCGGGACCAGAGTGTCTATAGTTCGTCGACAGCACGACCCTGGTCTCATTCTTGACACGTAACAGTCGTATCGCCTGCCACTAAATCAACTAGATGGTGAACCTGATGGATCGCAATAATTTGATGCTCAAGAGCGGCCTTGCTTGGTCTTCAAATGTCGGGGAAAAACAGCCTGTCTTTGCACGATCCTCTTCATCTGCCCTGGGTCTTGTCTTGACTCATTCAGATTAAGCGCAAAAGACCATCGCAATGCCTAAGGTCATCCAGGAGTATCCTGTTGTCGATTGGTTGTGTGTGATTGATTATTATACATATTCATGGCATGCGTTGACCGTGATTTTTCCACCTGCCTTTCCAAGGCAACAAACCCCGTCATGATGAAACGCCTTCAAAGAAGAACAAGAAGCAGCGCGAGAAAGAAGAAAGTAGCACGAAGGAGGAGAGGCCATATCTCATATGTACTGCCCCGTTAAAATAGAATACCGCCCCCAATGCTCTCATCCGCCATGCGCTGTAGATGGCCCTCCGCCAACTCACTCTTGAGAGCACAAATCGAGCTCTCCCGATCCAGCCGATCCCAGTCGCGAAGTCCCGCTCGCTTGGCACTTTGCGTCTCTGCAACTTGCTCAAATATCTTCTCCCGATCGGATTCCAGCTGAAAAAGACGCTTTTCCGTCGCCGCATCCAGCGTCGACGGGAAAGACCTACCTCCCGGGACGACAGAACTTAACCCAGCCAGATGATTCGGAGGCTTCGATCCGGGAGACAAGGTGGCAGACGTGGAGCTATGCTGTCGAGCACCCGGATGCCGATAGTGGCCTCCTGCCGATACAGGAGGGGTGAACGAAGCTCGGGGCCCAGACGGCGTACCATGCGCTGAGGGTATCGACGGTCCACGGCGCGCCATAGGAGCCCCGGTCCATGGACCTTCCCGCGACCCAGGTCCACGACGAGGGCGGGTGGGTGCAGATAACAATGAAAGGTTGTGAGAGCTACGATTTTGTCCAGAGACCACCTTGGGTCCCTGAGAGGGCCCGGAGGGCGGAGATTGACGGATCCCAACGTTCCTTGGCTGGGTAGGAATGCTCCCAATTGGTCGAGCACCACTGATCTGGACTTGCTCTGCAATTGGTTTTTCCGGAGAAGGCCCGTGATCCTCCTGCGATCTCCCAACATCAATAATCTCCGATTCATGATGAGAATCTCGGTATGGAGAGCGCCCCCGTGGGCCTGTGGGCGCGCGAAGAGAGGGTGATTGGCGCAAGGGTGATCGGCTGCGATTTCGGACAGAGGCGACGCCACCCCGGTCGGGGTACAATGAGGGAGATGAGCGCCTAGACGAAGCACTAGGTTCAGGGGGAACGACATGTGTTGGCGAAACAGGTCTTGATCGCGACAATGGCCACTCTCTCCTGTCGGTGTTTCGTTCTCGGTGAGAGGCATAGGCGGGACTCTGCGGGCGGAACACTGGTGTCGGCTGGGCTCCCGGCGACACAGCTCGTACAGATCTGCTGTTGTCGGTTATGGTAGGGGCGGTGTGTCCGATCGTTCGGGGATCTTGACTACCCGGAGTTGGATCCCGGGGCCGTCTTGGGCCCCGGGACATATCACGCGGCCTACCCTCAGTGTATGGAGACCGAGACCGCCAGGAGGGAGGAGGTGACCGGATTCGATCGTCTCTTCGAGGCGAGAATCGTCGTGGGGGAGACCGTCGCCTGTCGTAGGAGCCCGGTCCATACGCTCTACCCTGGAAGGGAGGGGTTCGAGAGCGGCGTCGATAATCGGGAGGTGAGCGACTGCGCGGTCGTCCATACCCTCGATTAGAGGGCACCCAGGTGTCCGCACGCGGACGCGAGCGATTTCGTGGTGGCGAGCGGCGGCGGCTTTCGTATCCTCGAGAGGGCGATCGGCCAGGTCGTTCGGCTGGTCGATAACTTTCTCCCCCGCGCCGTTCTTCAAATCTGTAAAACTGGTAGTAAAAAGGCACTGTGATCGTGGAATGAATTGAGTACCAACCTTCTGCGATCCCAATCCATCGTAAGGCCACTGATCGGGGAAGGATTCCTTGAAAGCGAAGACGAAGAGCCCGGAAAAGGACTGGTCGCGGGAGATGGAGGCGTTGGAAGGACCGGGCGGAGGCTAAACCCTTTTGGGACGACGCCAGCGGAGGGTCAATTAAGAGGTCGATAGAATGAATGAATGGATGTGCCACGGAGGCTCATTTAGATTCTTGAGTGTAAGAAAGTCTACAACAGGCATTTTGTAGACGGATGCGAATTTTTATAACCCCCACCCCAAAAAAGTACTTGCCGTGTTAAACAGTTGTAGTTGCGTATACTCCGTACAGGCAAGAAGTGGGCATGGAGGGCATCCAGAATGAATTATTGGACTCGTAGAAATACAGAAAGGGCCAAAAGATGACAGGCCGCCTCAACGTTTGCCTCGCCGGTCTTCTTGATTGCGTAATCGCTTTCGACTTTCCTGCGCAATCATGTCGCTGAGATCCTCCTGGAATCCCCATTGAGGCTGGTTTTGTTGCTGTCGCTGGGTCTCGTAAAGATTCTGGAGACTTTCCTTGCTGAGTCCATCCTCGGACTGGATTGCGTCCAGGTCAACCGATACCTCCACATCGCCAGGCTTCTTTCGCTTCCGGGTTTGGTCCTCAGCGCCTAGAACGGGAGGAGCAGCGGAGGAGGAGGTGAGATCATACGCTCGGTCTCCGCCAAAGAACCCTTGGACGCTGGTTTGCTTCTCAGGGATCACCTGGTACGCACTGCGAGGATGGATAGACTCCTCGGTCTCGGTCCCACGGTGATGTTTGCGGACATCAAATTCCCCAGACACACTCTCTGTCGTTCCGAACTCAGATGGTATGGCGGAAGCCATACCACTGGGGGTGTCTAAGCCACTAGGGGAGTGAGTGCCCGATTCCATATCTTCTTCATCAGATTCTTCCTCTTCTTCTCCCTCGTCGTCTTCCCCATCACTCTCCTCTTCCTCCTCAGATGCCTGTAACTCCCCCCAGAGGTCTTTCTCCACAGGCTCCCCGTGCTGGGCATTTTGCTGGGGTTGCAGCACCCCAAAGATATCACCCCCGTAAAGTGGCCGGTTATGTTCGTCCACGGGTGGTTTTCCATAGCCTCCAGGATGGTAGCCCCACATCGCGCCTGGGGGTGGAGGCGCATTCAGGCCCGGAATCTTGAGGGCAGGATAAGACGGAGGGGGGCCGTACCGCTGCTGGTTAATGAGCCACGGGGGAGGTGCCCCTGGTGGCATGCTGAGAGCCTCTTTCAGTTCGTCGCTTAGATCGCCAGGGCGCAGATGCTTCAAATTGGTCTCATATTCTTTCCCTTCATAGTAGATCTCGCCATACCGGGTCAATTCAGGCTTGGTTTGGAAGCGGAAGAAGGCCTCATAGAGTTTCTGGTAGTCGATGTCCAACCGACCCATCTTAGGCTGGACTCTCTCCCGCTGCTTCTGCTTTAGAGTGGACTGCTCCTGCTTCTCCAGTGCCGCATCACGCATTTCGGCGATGCCCGTTTCCTGAATGAACTTGGGAAGCGCAAAGGGTGCTTTTTCGACACCTCGTTTCGACGACAAATACTCGCGCTTCAGGGACCAGTGCGAAGGTACGGGTACCACATTTCGATGTGCTTTGATGTGAATCAAAAGTCGCGGGTCAGAGGCTGACGTGTCTGTCCACTCCACGATCTCGGGTTTGCGAACCAGAGCTTTCAGCTCGGCCACAGACAATTTGTTCAGCTCCTTTCGCTTCTTCTTGGAGATTTTCGGCTCGAGCTCTTGCTCCTCGTCTGGAATCTCGTCTTCGTCATCAAAGTATATCTCCGGCTTCTCGCCCTCTTTCGTAGTGGCATTTTCCCCCGACGCTTCGTCAAACTTGCTGGCGAGGTCCTTGTACATCTCCCATAGTGGGTCATCTTCCGGAACGACGGGACCAGTTGCGGACTTTGATGAGTCCTGGGGCACCGGGACAGAAGGGAGCGCCTGTGCGTCAGTCTCTTGGACTTTCTCGTCGGGCGCATCGGTCGTCTGGAAAATGTGAGCTCCTGTCTCGGTTGGGTGAGGGAATAGGCTCACCTCGACCTTCAGCGCCTTCTTGCGTGCCCTCCGGAGCTGATTTTTGCTAGGCTTCATGGTGGATGCCATTGCAATCCCTTGCAACCTTCGATTCAGTGCTGTGCTCTGGTGCCGTGGATGACGGTGCAGATAATGCAGAGGTCGCTCAACGGTGTTGGGTTGGAGAAGTTGCGGCAGGGGATCAAAAACGCCAAGCTATTTCCCATGGTGGGCATAGTGATTGGTCCTTGAGACCTACCGCCTGCGCGCCTTGTCAGCCATGATCCGCGCGGCAGTCGAAGTACTTAGAAGAGTCACAATAAGAAACCAGTAATTCGTAAATAGTAATTACCCAGGACAGTCCCGTTAGCACTCCTTATGGAAAGTCTATCAGGTGTTTTGTGAAGTGAGCTTGCTCAAATATTGGTGATTAATGAACAACGACAGAAGTTACCTACAACAGTCTTTCTTGGTCGCTGAATGGGACTATCGCATCCTGTCTTGAAAAGAATTGAAAAAAAAAATCCTGGAACCGCGGGACATTCGCACTGATACATTCAACACCAAAAGAGAGGTTTATGCTAAGTAGGTAGGTAGATCTATAGTACACTTTGGGGTGCGGTGGGAAATGGTTGTCATCAAGTCACAAGAAGCCGCCCCCGTCTCTATCATTGGTAATAATGATAGCTGGTCACCACTGCGCCCAGCGCTTACCGAAGGCACGTGCGTTCCTCTGTGATAGGCATGTTGCAAGATGTTTAATGATAGATTGAACAAGGCGCATCGCATCTATTTCTTCTTCTTTGAAGACCTCGATTCTGGCAAAAAAAACGATACGGTCAGCGAAACTTTGCAATTTCCCCAGGAGACTGGTTGCCTTACCCGCTGCGGTCCTCTTCTTCTTAGGTCGACCCTTTCCTCGAAGTTTGGCGCTGCACAAATTAAATCAGTATGAAGTGGAGAGAAGCAAATGTAGGAGGACACGGACATTTGGATGGCTTCCTCTCGGTCATCCTCGGCTTCATCAAACGTCGTTAAGCCAAGGGGCTTGTAGGTGTTCTGGAGATCTCGGAACGAGACGGTCTTCTTCGGATACCATGCTGAGAGTGCTGGCCCGCGTAGCCGTTGACGCAGAATCTTATTGCCTAGTCGGAGTCGTTGCGGGTTGAAATTGAGGGAGAAGATGCGACATTGGGTCTGGTTCAAAGTTCAGCAAAGGACCCCGTCTGGGCGAGGTGGAGGAGAGGAAGGGGGGCGGATCTGAAATACCTTGACCAGGTCTATGATCCGGGACTGTGACATCGCCACGACTCAGTCACGTCCCTGCGTGGCCGACTGAGAGGATAAGGGTTTGTAGACTGCAGAAGAAGCGCCAAGTTGCGGCCATCCGCGCGAAACCCCGGTATGGGTCACGTGCACCGTGGGTTTTCTCGCGGACCCACTTGATCCTTCTGCGCCGCAGTGGCAGCTTCGCAGCTCGCAGTCGGGACAAAGCACGCCCGAGACAACAATGGGATCCAAGAGGTCAGCCACGGCCCCTATTGGGGAATCTATTCCTAACCAGCCTATGAAGCGAGCCAAGGTGAATATGTCTCTTATGACCAATTACTGTCGTGAGGACTTTCTGCGAGCTCTCCTGCGAGTCCCATGGTTTGCCCAATTACTGCGAAAACTTGACTAACGCGGTTTTCAATGAAGATCCGCCGTCACCAGTCGCCTCAGCAGCCGCATGATTTGGCTATCTCGGGGGATCAGGCGACGCTGAGAAAGTCCGACACCAGTTGTCGTCTTTCATCGTTGAAACATCTAGTTCGTGAAGCCATGACCGATCCCGAGCTCACTGGGGTCGATTCAGAGGTCATGAAGTCTCTTTCGATGCTGGACAGCGCCTTTCAACGCCTACAAAAGCCATCACGTTCTCCTCCAAGCCCCGCTCGGTCCTTCTCGGCCCAGGAAACTAGTCATTTCTCGCTTGGATCAAAAGAAAACGAATCCAACGTGCCCACCTTGCCTCATATTCTAGACGACCAATTAGAGAAGGCAGTCTTCACACACTCAGCGTGCAATAACCATAATAACTCGAACTATGACCGACTGGAAATCTTGGGGGATGCCTACATCGAACTAATGGCAACGAAGTTAGTCTGGGAGAAATTCCCGGATATACCTTCAGGTCGAATATCTCAGATTCGTGAGCTTCTGGTGAAAAACGAAACTCTCGCAGCATTTGCAGAGATATATGGCTTTGATCGCAGGGCGTCGGTACCAGTGAATTACTCGGACCAACCAAAACGATGGATCAAAACCAAGGGCGATATCTTTGAGGCCTATGTAGCTGCAATCATACTTTCACATCCCGCGGGTGGGTATCGGCTTGCAGAACAATGGTTGACCAAGTTATGGCTACCAAAGCTTGACAGCTTGGGACATCAAAAAGCCAGTTTGCGCTCAAAGGAGGCCCTGGCTCAGCAGATCATGGGGAAAGGTATCAAGCTGGAGTACCTGGAGGAGCGACAGTCGATTCAAAAAAAGGGCAGTGGCACTCAGACCTTTTTCATTGGTGTGTATCTTACGGGTTGGGGATGGAACAAGAGGCATCTAGGCTCTGGGCAAGGTCCAAGTAAAGTAGCGGCGGGTGACGAAGCGGCAAGAAATGCCCTGTTGAACACGCCTTTGATTTCAGAAATCACTGCTAAAAAACAGATAGTAGTGTCAGGGGATTCTAATTGATGGTGCTCAGCTGCTTCTTCTAGGAGCTAATCTGATTCCGGGGGCTCTGCTTGAATCTTGACCTAATAGCATAATAAGATAAATAGACATAGACCTTGGCAAGCACTGGGTCTAGTCCCAAGATTTGGGACTACCTAAGGACTAGACTACCTAGTCTTTGATCTTTTTTCAAAGTAGTTAAAACCACACCAGAATCCCCTATAGTTCTTTGTAGTCCCCTATATAGTCCCCTATAGTTTTATAGTCATACTAAGATCTTGGTAATTTAAAACTAAAGTCCTTCTTACCTTGTCTATACTCCCCCTCATGTTCTCGAGGTCAATTAAGGATATCGCTCTCTAAGACCATTGCCAACATACCAACACACCACAAGCAAGATAATTCAAGGTTTAGTTCCTCTTCTTTTATCTCCCTTTTCTTACCGCGACCTATGAAGATTAGCAAGAGACCTGTGTTTTGACTGCCCTTAATTCTGGCGCGCTTTAATTTCTGCTTCATGTCACAAGGGGACTCCTGGTTTCTTTCTTGATTGCAGGACATTAAGAAATATCGGGCATGGGTTTGAAAGCTGAATTTCGAATCAAATTATGAGTATCGATGTACTAGCGGAGGAAACCCTCGATAAGTCTCAAGCTGAACCCTCCGAGAAGCCAGAACCTCCAAGCTCGCATCCCTTCTTCTTCAACTTAGAACGTAGCTATTACAACAACTATCCCGACTTTTTCATAAAAATCGTCTTCACATCCCATGCTTTCCATTCCGATCCACCACATCATAGTAGTTTGTCTATCTGGGACTCAGTCGCTGTCCCGTGGTAGACGTCCGATCTGCACTACACAGGATGATTCCAACTCGGTTGAGAAGTGGGCATCGACGCCGTGGCAATCAAAAAGCCCCTACTAGGTAGAAGCGCCACGCCGTCCACATACACTGACGGCCCTGTCTAATAACGCGTAGCATCAGTACAAACTGGCAATCAATTCCATCCCGAACCGCCGGATTCGTCTTTGACTCCTCCCTCCCTCGTTCCTATCCTACTGCTTGAACTTTACTGGTTTAACCAAGTGCTTGTTCTTTGCTCATCCTCTTTGTAACCAGACCGTCCCCCCTTTTTATGCCCCCTTGCATCAATGAGCACCCTACATACCTTTTACCGCCATGAAGTATTAAGGTTAGTGGGGCCGGGCTTAGTGCAACCCCCCGCATTTCCCCAGGAGGGGTATGAGGTCACGAGTCACGCGCGAAGGCACTTCCCTGACAATCCGGGACCAGCTCACTCTCCAATCTCATCACTCCCTTCTACACTATCCTCTTCAGATTACACAACCTCACTCAATCCAAGTAGTAAGTACAACCTCGCTCACATCGATATATGCTAATAGTACAGTGACTCGTTCTCACAAGCTGAATGATCGCGACCACCCTACTGATGGCATGACTGGAGCTCGTGACAACCTGCCACGCTATTTTGCCAAGTCAGGCCCAACTGATGCGGATCCCCGCAAGACAAAGAAAGATGGCGGTGGCAAAGGGAATTGGTGAGCATTGTACCTAGACATAGAGACCCGTAATGCTGCTGGACTCTGACCACCTCTAGGGGTCGCTCCGGGGATGAAGCACAGGATTACGAGTATACCTTGGCCAATGCCCGACGTCGTTCCAACAGTAGCACGCAAGGCCTGGCGGACTTTAGGACTAAGTTTGAAACCGTCGAGCCCGAACCGGTCTTCGAAGAGCAATTCCACGAGCCGTCCGACGTGAATGTGGCAGATGGAAGCACTGTGACTAAAGTGGAGAGCAGCATCAGCAGCAATGATAGTGAACCCGATCAGGGAGGAATGAAGTAAGAGTATTGAATATTGGACATGAATCGGGCGCTGCCATTATCCAGCTTCGATCACGCTATCGCCGTTGAGAAATGTGAGAATTGACAGGGTTGTGAAAATCACGGGGAAAAATTCACATATGTCCTGTAGGATTGTATACGGGAGAGCTAGATCTGATATCAACCCGAATCATTCCTACATTCCTACTCTCGCCTGCAATTAGAATCGGATACAGAGCGAACCGGTCTCCACTATCGCCAATCTACTTGTCCTCTGTTTTATAATATGAGCAACGTGTTCAAGGACCATGGCGAAGGCTCCCAAGATATTCAATTGAGAATTACACGCACGATGTAAAAAATTATCACGGAGAACCGTGGATAATGAGATTTCATAAGAAGAAAGACAAACTCCAACTCCCAGACCTATTACAAGCCGTTCATCGCTGCAGACGACCAGGGAAACCCCCTGCAGGAGCACATCCTAGATCACTCAAACCCACACCAATCGCGCCTTAGACTCAGCAGAGGGGGAATCTTCAGCCGTCACATCCCTGCATGCAGGGATCACACTTGAGGATGACTTGGACTCGGCGGAAGCTAGGAGGTTTTGAAACCAAAAGTCGAGTTTGCCAGCTTCAATATACTTGCGTAGCAGATCGTCTTCCCGCTTCAGGTCGGCCACCACCCGACCCCTTTGCTCGGGGCGAAAGCGCGACACAAGGATGTCGGGTTCAGAATCAGCCATCAGCGCCTCTGTAGGAGCGAGAGGCACAAGAAGAGCCCGGAGACTGGGTCTGGCATGTTCTGAGGGTAACGTTAGAGCAACGGTCAATCTAGTATCCTCAGAATAACTCACCTGTGAAGCAAAGAGACAATGTATGGTACAGAGCAGTGTCATGAGCTGCGTCGTCCGATGTCCCATTAGAACCCTCAGCAGCTCTTCCCCGAGCTTCCCAGTCGTCCTTGATCATGCACCGTCTCCAGATCAACTTTCGCAATGCGGAGAGATACGAGGGATCCTGCTGGGCATAGCGGCTGTGATCAATTACCCGAAAGGCCTGATAGAACTCCCGCCCGCGAAGATCACCGTCGCTGTCTTCAGGGTGGCGGAGAGGACCCATCAATGTGAGCAGATCAACCAAGCCATCGGCACCAACAACACGTCTGTTGAACAGCGTGAAAAGAGCATCATCCAAAATCTTGTGGAGGGCAGGGCGATCCGCCGCAAGGTGTCTTCCAAAATAGTCTAGCGCCAGATCTGCTGCGGCCCTCCGGTCGATCGCATCCTCACAAAAGGATTTGATGTAGGTGTGAAGAGTGTCCTGAACCTCGTCAATCTCGTTATAGTCATCGAGACGACTGATATCCTCCTGTAAGACAGACATATGAGTTGTCGGCGATACTTTTTCGCTTGAAGCTAGCTTGCTGAGCTTCGCCAACGACACTTGCACTCGATGATTCCACAGCTCCTCTTCACCGTTAAGTGCCAGACTTTCCAGACAGACAGCGGCTGTATCATAATCACCCTCACCCGTCACATCGTTAATCCAACTCAATTTGGCATATGTAGGCGTTTTCCGAAGGAATCGAGTGACAGATGGTTGATACTTTCGCATGGAAAGCAAAGCGCCGGGGTGGCCCATTGAAATCTGCCGTGAAAAGTATGCATCCGCCCAGGGTTCGCCGAATTTGTCAAAATAGTGAGAAACTCTGCGCGCGACATCCGCTTCGCTTGCCGCCATAGCAGGAGCGTCTCCCGGAGCATCTTGGGATGCCTGGTTTTTCACTTGATCCTGCAGTTCAATAATGAGCTCAACCAGAGCTCCCATGTCCCGGAATCGCTCGGCTAGGCTAAGCGCATCTCGAAGATGCCCGATGCCCGCGAGCTTGAAGAGTTGCCATTTCCGCTCCTTGATGTGAGCCTGTTCAATTGAGACACTTTCGTCAGCTAGCTTGGGATCTCCTTGCGCACTAAGCCAGCGTGTTCGCTCAAGATGCATCTGGCCGAGGACCTGGAGATGGCGAGCGCTGTTTTCGGCAATCTTCTTCAAGACCTGACTATCAGGTGCCTCCGCACTCGAGGTCTTCTGCTGGATCCAAGCCCGACAGCTGTCCAACTCCCAGTCAAGAAGATGTCCCGCTTCAGTGTATCCTACTGCCCTGGAGGTCCAGAACTCGGGAAGGTTTTCATACCCATCAGCGAGAACGCCACCGTCCACGAAGTCACTGCCCAGTCCGTATAACGATGCGTGCTCGTCACGGTACCGGTAAGCTGTTTCGATGATAGCAAGGAAAAGCTCACTTGCCTCAAGAATCTGTTCGGACAGCTTCCGTGCCTGCTTGGAAGAATTACCCCTACGGGGTTTGATGGCATTCTTGATCCAGGGAATCACATGTTCCATGTGATGTGTGTCTCTTAAGAACCACAAACGCACGGGATCGTCTTCCCCGTATGACGGCCCAGGGCGTGTCTTGAACTTGTCGTTCATAGACTCAATGACATGGCCAAGAAAGGCGCTATCGCCTTTGCCTCTACGTGTCTCTTCCAGCTTCCACATGGCTCTTTGTGCAGCAAGCTTTTCTGCTCCCCATAGCAGTTCCCATCTTGCCGGACGGCTCAATGGATTGCCTTTGCGTAGGAGTAATGCCGCAAGATCGCCGAGCGCTTTTGCCCTGAGCCGGAGGTTCTGGTCTATGGAGATGGCAGAGTTAGGAACAAACCGTGATTCCGACCGAAGAAGCTCCTTGCAAATTTCCAGAGATGCTTTCTCAATCTCGGTTGCGGGGAAGTCGAGGCCAGTCTCTCCAAGGAGGTTCAATGGATTCTGAGCCATGGTTCCGAAGAATATCGCCTGCTCAAGCTTGTATTTTGCTGTGATCTGACCTTCATCCATATCGTTTGCGGTTGGAGATTGAGGGACCACATTCACTCGGATGACACCAAAATTCCGAATCATCATCACGCATGCTATACCGCTTTCATCCTCCTCCAACCGTTCCTCAAAGCCATACCCCAGGATTTCATAGTCATTGCCTGATCGTAGATGAATGGTGTCCTGAAAAGGCAGAGGGGGTCTGTGCGACTCCAGAAGCAGTTGGGAGGTTGGCGTTTCTTCGACGCTCGCTAGAGACAGGATAACGAGGGATTGCTCAATAAGGATGAATGCAGTCCTCTCCGTATTTGAAACTAGAATTTTGGGCTTGAAGTCGTTCCGCATAGCGGGGATGCCATGGAGGTCCACTGCATGGGTAGACAAGGTACGGGTACCGCTTCCCGACAAAAGTAGCTGAACGATGAACAATGTTCTGGACTCTAGCAACTGGGGAGTACTGACAACCAGGAAGAGTCGCCAGGACTCCTCGGATCCCTGAGAGTCATTTTCATCTGGAGACTGCTGGTTGGAGAATGCGAAGTCCATGATTTTAAGCTCAGGCTCCCCGGCTGGCCCAACGGTATACCGAGAAATCGATGCTGCGACGTTCTCTCTGATGTCGTATTTTTTCTTCAGTGCGTTTCCGTGGTTCCAATGAGTATCCCAGATTTCCACTAGACCAGTGGAAGTGGCAACTATCACATCTCGTTGGCCTCGCTGACGTGACCCGCCTGCCCGTACTGCAGTGACCTCTTTCCTCCAGGAGCCGCCACCTAAAACGTTCTTAATTCCACCTAGGAACCCACCTGTCCCACCAGTAATCGAGCTTCTGAGGAAATTGACCAGAATCGAGGGCTTTCCTTGGGGGTCTCTGAGAGTGACATGTGCAACTCTTCCAGACGAGAAGGTGACGATGATCCCTGACGGCTCACAGTTCAGGACCTCCGTAGCGTATTCACCGGAGAGCAGGCCTGGCGTGAATCCTTGAAGTCCATTCTGTTTCTGCCGAGACAGACCCAGTGACGCAGCGCTCGAAATTGTTTCCCAGTATATAATTCTGCCTGTGGATGGGATGATGACGAGGAGGCCAGGATGTTCCCCCGTGACAGCGGACAGCAAAACACCGAGAGGCAACGCACCATTTGTGTCCCTGCATGCTTCAGGAATCGATACTGTGAACGTTTCTGAGGCCGATGGAGTCGAAGTAGCCACAGAATAGGGCCAGATGATTGCATGTGAAGGCGTCAAGGCGAGGGCGTGGCGGTGGTTGGGTGCGAAAACACATCTCAGTGGGTCTGTATTATAGTGGGTTAATAATGCCATGGTCAGAAATCAAAAAGCTCGAACAGGCGTAAATTACCTGAGAGTGAGCCTCGAATTTGATCTGGCAATGCTGGAAGCTGCTGCACAGTGTAGTAATCTGTGCTTGACTGTTTTCAGTAGTATTATTAGCAGAGGTAATTTTGCGCTTCAATGCAGCCGCGATAGCGGGACGGCAGAATCAGAAGATCAGTTTCACTAACCAACACAACCGTTCCTTCAAGGTCATTATTAGGCCCTTCAGCCTGTTTTGCGTTCCGGATTGGAAGATGCGACTCAGCACCAATATGATCGGTGACCACTTCGTAATCAGAGATCGGGACAGACACAAATGGTTCCGCTATCTCTCGCTGGTCATGGTCCAACCCTGTGGATGGGGAGTCGCCGGCTTGTCGCAGCACTGAACGCTGTCTTTTCGCCTTCGGTGGCTTGACGGAGTCATCGGAGCTGGTTCTCTGGCGTCTCCGAGGGTTGCGCGATGCAGCAGCAGCTTTGGGGACGAACATTTTCTTGAGGTTGAAAACAAGAAACAGTCAATCTTTTGAGCTGGGCAAGGCCAAAAGAGAGGTCAAGGGTGGAATGCACCCACGCGATGCGCAGTTGTGGTGGACGAGTCGAGCAATTCAACCTGGAAGGGCAGTAAATAACAAAGGTGTTTGGCTGGAAGGCGGTGAGGTGAGCTGAGGGACGAAACAAAGTTGCTTACCACTTTTGGCTGGAGCCATGTAAGGACCTACAGTGTACGGAGAAAGACTCTGAAGTAGTTAGAGGTTAGCTACATCAATGTGGATTACAACCTGGCTGGACTAATGAAGTCTAATGGGCTCTCACTAGCCTGCCCCTAACTACTGACCTATCTAATGGGCATGATCTCGGGCTTGAGTCCCTCCCGTTAACTCCTGCCATTAGTCCCTCATTTCACCCTATGTCTTCAGTCGTATTATCAAACTTCTGAAACGTCAAATTGACCACCTACCGGAAACTCGAAAGGGAAAGGACATAATGTGTCAAAAGCATCTGATGTATTGGACTCAGATGATTGAAGAGTCCGCTGAAACCGTTCGGCGACGCGACAGATTGCGCCGATACTCGGATACTCACGTGACTCGGCCCCACGCGGAGGCGGCGCTGCACGTCAACAGCTTCAGCGTCGGGCTGCTGGCGATGTCCGGTTCGATGGGTGGTGTTGTCCACAAACGCTGCAGTCTTCAAAATGCTCGTATGATACGCTGAATAGACTATGAAGAAGGCCAGAGGTGCCGTGTCTGCATTCGAAAATGCTCTGCGCCGTGACTTCAAGACGCCCGCTGTTGGTACCTGGCAGATGCCCAGTGGCCACTATGATGCCGAGAACCACCCCCTTGGCCTCTTTTGCTCAAAGAAATCTGCTGCACACGGCCCTCTTTTTTCCAGGTTTGTCACCTTTTCTCCACAGTCCTTAAAGCACGAACATGGAATGACGGTGCTTCATAGGACATGGCGTCCAGCGGGTCGGCATGGCGAACACCTGGATGGACCATTTTCCTCGAACAACGACCCGCCTACTGGATGAGATGGATTCGATTCTTGGATTCAAACTCTCGCGTGTCATTATTGATGGGCCCAACTCGAGACTGAACCAGACCGAGAATGCGCAGCCCGCGGTCATGGCGATGTCTGTTCTCATACTACGCGTTCTCGAAGAGGAAATCGGATTTGATACCAAAGCCCGTGTCGATGTCACCCTAGGGCACAGCCTGGGAGAGTTCTCTGCATTGGTCGCGGCAGGTTATCTCCAATTCGCTGATGCACTCAGATTGGTCCGTCGCCGGGCCGAAGTGATGGCTCGATGCACTCGACATATTGTAGAGCAGTCGGGCGAAAGCTACGGCATGGTGGCCCTTGTCTGCGAGCCCGATCATCTTGAGGATCTGCTGAGAACAGTCTACGATTTTCTGGGGCTGGGGACCTCCCCGTTCGACGACACAGGCTATGCAATGCCACCGATTCAACAGGTCATGGTGGCGAATATCAACTCATCTAATCAGATAGTTCTGAGTGGCAGTATTGAAAGGATCAAAGCCCTTTTGGTCCAGCTTCGTCAGTTTGGCGGGCACGATCCCCGTGCTGTAAGACTGAAAAGTGACAGTCCGTTCCACAGTCCTGTGATGTCCCCGGCGGCGGAATATATGAGAACCGCCCTCGAAGGTGTTGACATCACATTTCCTGCCATGGCCCCCTGCATTTCCAATGTCTCGGCCCTTCCCTTCCAGTCGAAAGAGGATCTCAAGGATCTGCTGTCTAGGCAATGTACGGATACCGTCCGATGGTGGGATAGCATCCGCTATCTCCATCAGGAACGAGGAGTAAGCCGCTGGATCGGAATTGGACCGGGTAAAGTGGGCCGGAATTTGGTTGGAAAGGAGGTTGGTAGAGTGAGCACCAAGGGAGGTGGCGTGTGGGCGGTTTGCGACCCCCGTGAAATGGAGGACATGATGGCCGCTCTAGAGGAGACCGACTCTGAAGCTCGAAGCTAAAGGCTCCGGCTAGTATACTGTCAGGAAAGACGTGCACTCTATCCCTAGGTCATTCCGCGGCCTCGGTTTGAAGGGAATCATGCCCACATATTCGTTTGTCTAGTCCTCTTGTAACTATGGAAAAGAGAGCAATCTCGAAGGAGGAATCATGATGACATTGTAATTCAAGGAATCGATTTCTACAACGTGGTTCCCGGAGTCCATGATTCACCGATACGTTCAACATCTGCTATGAACTTCGGATTCGAGATTGGTTGGCAAGCGGAGGCTGCGCCTGCACTCGCTCCAGGTGTGGGCACATGGTCGTCAGGGGAATAGAAAGGATTTTGCAGCAGTTGGATGTACGCGCTCTGTAATGCCCGGAATGCCTAGGCTTGGTGGTTAGCGAGTGGTGTTGTGAGCGAGGGACGAAGCTTCAATATACAGGCTTTAGGTCAGAATCTCTCAGGCCGCTGACTGCAGGTCCTGCTGGCTTGCTAGCAGAGGTGGCTTCCTGGCCAAAGAGATCCACGATGATCAAAAGCTTGACCCCGGTTGTCGTGAGCCAGCCGTAGGCGGCCAGCCTTTCGTCAATCGCATGCAGCAGCCCGAGGTCTTGGTCGACGGAGGTTTGCTTGCGCCGAATCTCGAAAATGTCAAGACATGAGTTCAGCAAGAAGGAGAATTCGATTCTCGCATCTGTGTATGGAGGGAACAGAGAGATGTGGAGAGGATTATCCTAGAGTCCTGTTAGCAACGAGGAGACGGCAGTTCCCAAGTAGATTCGTCCCCGTTCAGCTCCCATCTAACGTACTGTTTTCCCAATGACTCCAATGCAGGCGATCCTGGGACCAGCCATGGTGTAGAGCAAAGAAGATGTACACTCAAGAGGGGACTCTTCCTGATACTTCAATTTGCCGGCTTGTAGTCTTGATTCGTGTCTGTCACCCGTTGGGAACTCCCTGTTGAAAAGCTGCCTACAAAGATGCCTTCTCCGAGTGTCTCAGCGCCGAGATGCTAGTAGAGAGAGAGGATGATCATCCCATTCTCCTCGGGGTCGGTGAGTAAGTGAGTAGGAGAATCAAACCACGGACTTTCTTGGGCGGTTGTTGACTGCACCTCATCACCTCGGTGAGCACTATGTGGCTACGGGGTCTCTGCGTATAGCTTGCCTGACCGCCCGGGCTAGGTGAAAGGCCTGGAATTATTTTATTCCGAGGTGTGAGGAGATCCATGTGATCCTGACTGATTAGCTAATATGCAACTAACTGATAACTAGTTATATGTTAAGTTAACCAACTATCCCTAACTTGGTTAGTGCATTAACACATGTGCATGCCCCAGGCAGCACAGCATCCGTCTGCGCCAACCAATAGTTGAGGCGCCAATTCTTGTTACTAGAGAGTCACCGCCTTTACCGTACTGAAATACCGTGGGCGTAAAATACCCCCTATTGACCAATCATCGGTGACATTATTCTTAGGTAACCCAGCACAAACTGTCCCATACGTCCTCATGCTTACACGTCCCTTCCCGCCAAAAGTCCTCCCCTACATGAGCAGCCCGCCACCGTCAAGTTCGGGTTCACACTTGTTCTCTCTCAACGTCAATCATGTTGCCCATGGCGAGACCCGCCGTCTCCGGTGCGCTGTGTGGTAAGTATTATTGTGTGTCATATGCGGCAGCTTTCTAACCGCCTCGGCAGTGCGCCCTCGACTGGCATCATGCCTTCCTCGTGCCAACCCTATCGCTGCTCTGTCGACCTCCTCCGTGAAATCCGCGACAGCGCTCGAGCGTCAATCATCTACGGGCCAGTCGCTCACTGCGTCTGGCAAGGTCCGGAAGGAGGTGCCTCTGCCCAGTCAAGAGAAGAAGGAGGGTGCGATGCAATATGTCTTGTTTGTGCCTCTGCCCTATCGCGACCCTCGCCACAGTCTCCCTGCTAACCTCACTGCAGGACCACCCTTGATCAGGTTACCAATTGGGCCCGCCAGAGCTCCCTGTGGCCGATGACCTTCGGTCTCGCCTGCTGTGCCGTCGAAATGATGCATCTTTCCACCCCTCGCTACGATCAGGATCGTCTGGGAATCATCTTCCGAGCCTCCCCTCGCCAGTCTGATGTGATGATTGTGGCCGGCACATTGACCAATAAGATGGCTCCTGCTCTCCGCCAGGTCTATGACCAAATGCCCGACCCTCGGTGGGTCATCAGTATGGGCAGCTGCGCCAACGGTGGTGGCTACTACCACTACAGTTACTCGGTTGTTCGGGGATGCGATCGGATTGTGCCGGTGGATGTGTATGTTCCGGGCTGTAAGTGTTTTCCGACGATCGGACGATTTCTAGCTTGGTTTCGGCGATGCTAATTAACTCACAGGCCCCCCTACATCGGAGGCTTTGATGTATGGCATCTTCCAGTTGCAGAAGAAGATGAGACACACCAGAATCACCCGTATGTGGTACCGGCGCTAAGTATCTGTGGATATGCAATATCGTTTTATGCTTGTACCCCTCATGGACGGTGGACTCAAAATATTCCAGCCATCGTGCGGTCCTTTGCGCCTTTCCTACTTCTACTTTGTATATCATCAATATTCGGCCCTGGTTGTGACCAAATATTTTTTTCCCCTTAAGCTCGATCACACTGTTCATCCCCTGCCCAATTATCGGCGTAAACCTCCATTCTCTGCCTCGGGCAACTAGGTCACTTAATTCATTGAAGGCACCCCTGGGCTTCGTGTGCAGTAATAATGCGGTGCCTCTAGGCTATGTTGACCGTGTCAAAGTCGAGGAGATTCGGTTTCCTTGTTTGGCTAGTCGTCTTACTCTACTCTACACGAGACTTGGAGCCATGAGATTATGAAGAGGATGTCCGAAAAAGCCCGTAAACACGAAATCCACCTGAGATATGCTTGGGAAGAGCCTAGGATAACTATCACGGAATGCGTACCCACGGACCCTAACAAGGCCTCGCCTCAGCCATTCACCATGACACCGCCATTTGGATGGAGACATTGTCCCGAAATATAACTGCTGTCCTGGCTGGCAAGGAAGACAAAGCACGTTGCCACCTCACTGGGCTGTCCAGGCCGACCAATCGGTACCGCATGGAATTGCTCCATTGCAGCGGTCTGCATCGTCGATGGGATCAGAGGTGTCCAGACTGGTCTCGTTAGTGATCACTTCAGTGTATTGGGGTCATGCCAAGACAGACTGGGACCGGGACAAACGCAATTGACGCGAATGCCATTTTTGATCTGCTGATTTGAGAGGGCTCGCGTGAATGCCACAATGGCTCCCTTGGTCGACGTATAGTCGAGCAAATCTCCACGGCCGATGTATGGGTTGACAGATGCGCAGTTGATGATCGTTGATCCTTGTTGCATGTGCGGCAGGGAATATTTCGAAAGGTAGAAGAATGGATGGATATTCGTGTCAAAGGTTCGCAACCATTGTTCCCTGCGCCGCAGGAGGTCAGTAGGGCTCCTCGAACGGAAGCACCGCTAAGAGAGACAGCCGTTGAACCTACTCATCCAGTTCGCTGATGTCATTCAGCATGTGTTGAAAGGCCGCATTGTTGACCAGGATATCAATGCCTCCCAGCGTCTTCACAGCGGTCTCGATCACCTTCTTGCAATTCTCTCGCTTGCGCAGGTCGACTGCCAGACAGTGACACTGGGATCCGCACTCCTCAACCTTCTTTTTGGTTTCCTTGGCGTCCGTCTCCTCCTCCGGCAAATGGACAATCAAGCTCGACGCTCCCTCCATCGCGAAGAGAACGGCCGTGGCCCGTCCAATGCCGGAGTCGCCCCCTGTGATGATGGCCCTCTTACCGGCAAGTTTGCCAGCTGCTTTGTAAAGCTGATACCCGCCATCCTCGGTGGAGATCTGGTCAATGACTGGCTTGGGGTCCGCCATGTCCGCTTCCAGGCCCGGCTTGGTCAGGTGTTGGATCGGGATTTTGTGGCCTGGGATTCTCGCTGCTCAGCGGTCAAATTTCCCTACGCACGGATCGTTCTCGCATACCTGGCTGGAACTGGGATTTGGAACCGGAGGCGGCTCTTTCGACAGACTGGCCGGCGGGCAACATTTTGGTAGGGGAAGACTGAACGGACTCGGGGAAACAGGCAAGTTGAAGGTCAAAAACCAATGATCTTCAGATCGATGAGAACAGTGTGGTGCCATCACGCCTTCAGTATGTTGAGAAGGCTGCTATTTAAGCAACACGGGGCCAAGTCTTCGTCACCATGACAGCTGAAACGTGCCAGTGTTTGTATTCGCCTGTGGGATGGAAGTATCCCGGGAAGCCAGAGCCACCGACATATCCAACCGCTCGGAGCTGACGGTTTCCCGAACGCCTGTTGATTGATTGATTGACTGGCAACCTAGATTTCTAGAATCATCGACACGACGTGGCCTGTAAATTGGCTTGGTGCGGCTTTCTAACCCGGGAAGTTACCTATGACCACAGCTCTACTCCGTGGCAGGGCATCATGAGTATGGCGGATAATGATGATGGTCTGTCGTCATGGACATCCTGTGAGATGCAAGTGAGTATAATCGGTGGCGGGGAGATGGGAAAGTGACATTGCAAGGAGAAAGGAGTGAGGATCGAGGGCCAAATAATAGGATGAACCGTAAAACTTAAGCATATGGACGGTGGACAGGAACATTGGCCGATCTCACATGATTGTAGTTACTGAGTCCGCACTGAACACTTCCAAGAGTGTTGAATCAGGTGCACCGAATGCGATAACTCACGATGGAGGAATCACCGCCAACAATAGAATTACCAGTCATGCATTGCAAGGCCAGTCTCTGTCCTTTATTCTCTCTAAAGGTATACTGAGGGATCCTCGACTTGCGCATACTTTGATTCACTCTTATCTTATCGTCGACCACTCTCATTGGCTGTCGGCCCGTGCGCCGCGCAACAATTTTTCTTCCCGGCAGCCTTTCGTCCTGCAACTCTCCATCGCGCTCCCCACTCGAGCCCTTCTTTATTTTCTCCTGTCCTCTCGAAACTTTCAAGATGGCAAAAGGGCAGACGGGGTCTTCCCCCCCCTCGGCGGAGTCTACCCTTCCTACGATGCTGTTGAAACCCTGGGCGTTCCTTCGTCCGACGAATAATCTACACGCCCAGATCGCGGATTCTGCAAAGCAAATCCTTGATCCACTGGCCACCTCCGTCGTCAACGATCAAGCCCTACGCCGTCAAATCAACAAAAAGCGCAAGAGGGTGGATGCTGAATTGGATGGCGCGCCGCCCCTACAAATGAAGAACCTCTATGTCGACGGCTTTACCTCTAATCAAATATGGGAACAAGCCACGAGGATTCTTGAGTCCGCTGGAAGGGAGGTGGAGCGGGATATTACGTTACTTGCCCGCAATAGCGACTATCCATCCTCGGCCGATGAGGACAACTTCGATTCCTTGGATGTCTCCGATCCCGAGGGTTCGGGATCTGACAGTGATGACGCCGACAGCATGTCGGATGATTTCTCGGACAATACAAGCCTCGAAGAAAATGAAGGAGGGATGGATGGCGAGTCTGATAATTTGGACGACGAAGTGTCGGAAGATGCTCGTGCAATGGACGAAGCTATGAGCGACGATGAAGGCTCGGTCGACCGTGCGGAGGAAGATACCGGCACCTACGTCGAAGATCGCTTCGGGCTTAACGACGGATTCTTCTCCATTGATGATTTCAACAAGCAAACCGAGCTCTGGGAGCGGCAAGACGCCAAGGGAACTGCCAACGATGCCGACGACAGCAGTGACGAGGAAGTTGACTGGCATGCTAATCCCATTGAGACTGGCGATAATGTGCTTCGTTCCAAAGCCGCAGCTTCGAGGACCGATGACACGAATGATAGTAGTGACGAGGATGGACCGACCTTTGGCAATGCGGATCTTCACGGCGACTCCGACTCCGATGAAGATGCCTTTGATACCGGCGATGCTGATATGGGTGGGTTTGGGAACGCAAACGACATCAAATACGCTGATTTCTTTGCCCCGCCGCCGCGCAAAGCCTCATCCAAGAAAGCACGTGCATTGCCAAAGACCCAGCCAGCCGCCGAAGACCTCACGGAAGGTGACGTTTCACGCGCCATGGCCGATGTCCGGCGTGATCTGTTTGACGAGGAATCTGAGGCTGAGGGTGAGGAAGATGAGCAGCTGGATGAGGCGGACGACTCCCACGTTCCACGATCGACGCATGAGAAACAACGCGCGCGGATTGCGGATGAAATCCGTCGTCTGGAAGCGGCCAATGTGGCGAAGAAAGAATGGATGCTCGTCGGTGAAGCCAGGGCGGTGGAACGGCCTGTGAATTCCCTCATCGAGGAGGACCTCGACTTTGAACGTGTGGGCAAGCCAGTTCCCGTGGTGACGAACGAGACCACCGAGGATATCGAAGAGCTCGTCAAGCGTCGCATCCTTGCCAAGGAGTTCGATGAAGTGGTTCGCCGTCGGCCAGGCGCCTCCGACGCCCAGCCCCGACGTGGGCGATTCGAACTGGAGGACACCAAGCCTCAGCAAAGTCTCGCGGAAATGTACGAAGCCGATCATCTACGAGCAACCGATTCGAACTATGTCGACCCGAAGAACCAGAAGTTAATGCGCGAACGTGCCGAGGTGACCGACCTCTGGAAGGCAGTGAGCTCCACGTTGGATCTCCTCTGCAACTGGAACTACAAGCCGCAGGCACCTCAGGCGAGCATTAACGTTGTCAACGATGCACCAACTATCATGATGGAGGACGCACGGCCAACCGCTGGTAGCGCTGTGGCAGGGCCGTCGGCCCTGGCGCCCCAGGAAATCTACACACCCGGTAATGACGGCCGAGTCGCTGGCGAAATGGTGCTCAAGACTGGCGCGACGATCTCCAAGGACGAGATGAGCCGGGAAGAGAAGGCCCGAATGCGGAGGCAGAAGAAGAGCCAGCGGAGGGAGGACGGGCCGACTCGGCCGTCGGGCAAAGCGGGCGAGAAGCAGGAGATTGTGAGTGCCCTGAAGAAGGGCGGTGTCAAGGTCATCAACAAGGAGGGCCAAGTCACGGATATGAGTGGAGCAAAGGTGGGCGCGGCTACCAAAAGCAGCGCGGATACCCTCAAGCTATAAGTCGCCAAGTCGATAGGCCTATCAGTTTGATGGCTGCCATGCAGCCCATGTGAATCAATTTGGATTTTCTTAATATTTGGAGACTAAATTTTTATGGGTACATGCACTGTGTGTTTCTCTGCTTCGGCAACTGCTGGTCGTGCAGGGTTGGGGGGTATCTGTGAGTTCGGGGTGGGTTTGAGACGGATCGTATAGAGGAAGAGGGATTCCCGGCGATAGGTTTCGGCATCGGGATCATCACGAATCTCCTGCACGTCGAAAGCTTTCTTGGCCATTTTCATGAACCGTAGGTCTGCTCGTCGACGTCGCTTGTAGCAGAAGTAGCACACCGAATTGGGGCCCAGGAGATCGTGCAGGGTGGCGATGAGGAGGGGGAATGCGGGTTCAAAATAGACGCAGTCGGCAGCGAGAATGATGTCTGGCTTCGGGGGAATATGGGCCGGTAGAGGCTCCCCCCAGTTCAAAATGGACGACACCACAGTCGAACCAAGGTGATTGAGGTGGATGTTGTCTTCCATCAGAGCGAACATAGGCAGTTGGTCCGTAATGTGGAGGGGGACCCCAACTTCACATCCGCGCGCTACAGCCAGCCCGACAAGGCCTCCTCCGGCGCCCAACTCCACGCTACGCGGTGCATTAGTGGTCAATTCTCAGGCGGCGTAGGGTGCAAAGGTGGGGGTTGGATAGGAACGACACGGCTTCCCCTAACACTTGGGGAATACCGACACTGATTTCCCGGACATGTCTCTCGAATGTTGTGAGAGGAGATATTTAGCCAGGACCATGCCTGCCGGCCATAGCTGACCACCGCAGCCATTCTTCAGATCCTCCTTCAGCAACAAAGGCTCTGGGAGGAGCCCGTCAAACGTCGTGGCCGTGGTCCCCGCGGTTTTGTGGATCCGCGGAGGAGCCAACGAGTCGCTCACCTTGAACGGCGCATCGGGATCCGATTCAGGGCTCACCGATCTTTCCATGGGCATACGTGTGCCGCAGGGGCGCACCGAGTAAAAGCCGGGAAGAATGACGCGAGGTGGAGGGAGGGAAGAGAATCGAGGGACAATACGAAGAAAGCCGAAAATGCCGTGTGCGCAAATCTCGTGCGGGTCTCGCGCCAGATCGGATCACATGACACGCCGTTCTCACGAGCGCAAGGATTCCCCCAAACCTGGTGGGATTGATTCTCCGCCAGGGCGGATTGGCTGAGGGAGACGGACTGGGGAATAGCAAGAAGCAGGAAGCAGAGGAGATGGGGTACCTGAATCTGGACGAGGACCTGATCGACTGGGGCCCCCCCCGCCGCTTCGAACAGGCCCCGTGGGGACAGCAGGATTTGAACTCATAAGCGCGTCAGAGCCCAGGCAGGGGTGACGGATGGGATGTGAAAGCTAGTCGGCTACTCTCTCAGCGACCACAGCGATAGGACCGCGGCAGAAGGTACGAAAGAAGCGTGCGCCCGTGCGCACTGCCTAATTGCAGATCGGCAATCCTGCCCTCGCGCTCCACATGGCGGCCCAGGTCCTTGGACATGGCTTCGACATGGACATGACTCGGGGACAGGTCGAGGTCGACTCCGGCAAGAGAGGGGCATCCACTCCTCCAACCACGGGGATCATGCCGAGAGAGCAAGGAAGTCACTCCCCGTCCGTTTCCAAAAGACCCTGCGACCTGACGTCATGCGCTCTCCGCAATCCTCTGAATCATGACGACGTCACCGACTGCCGTGCGGCCATAACCCTGGTTATCGACCAACTGCAGGCCTTCTTAAAGCTCGTCCTTGCTTGCTGGATTTCGGAGCTTCTCACACCCTGCGCTTGTACTGTTCTCCATCTTTGACCCGTGAATTCAAACCACCCATCATGACGACCCTGCACTGTAAGTGTCAGCCCTCCGCCGACCACCTCCAGCTCCTCCTGAGCTAACCATGAAACTCCCTGGTGTCTAGATCTCCCTCCGGTGAAGCCATCCGCGATTGCGATGGGCACCTTCTTCACCCATACAGCCTCGCTGGGCATCCTCGCCCCGGTCTTCGGCGACACCTACCACCGTGCGCAGTCAGCGAACTCGAAGGAAGAGTTCATCAAGTCCAAGGAAGCGGCGGGGGCTGCGGCCGCGTGGGGAAGCTCCCTGGTGGGAAGCGCCGTGCAGACCTACGGCGTGGCTGCATTGATCAACGCGACGGGCACCTTGAGCTACAAGGGAGCTGCGTATCTCGGCACCTTGATCTTCTTCGCGAGCTCGGCACCGAGTGTAGGTTTTCTTTCCCGGAGATCAGCCTTCTGCGGTGTACCGTTGGCTAACATTTTGTCACAACCATAGGTCGTCAGCCAAATCTTCGCCGAGAAGCGGCCCCTGGATACCGTTGCCGTGGGTGCCGTCACTCGGGTGTTCGAGACAGTTGGACTCAGCTTGTTCCTGACCTGGTGGGGAACTCGCACTAACCCCTTTGATTAAAACCCTGGCGTTCGACATGGTCGATGATCGATGACCGATGACCGATGGTCAATGAGAACCAGGAAATTCCTCGGTTCCGTTGTCATGGGAGTAGACTCCAAATGAGATCTGAGAGGAGGCGACGCCTGTATATCTAGTTCTAGCTTGTTTCCTTATTCAAACCAGTCGATGTAAATGCACAAACAATTTGACGGTTTCTTGGTAATCATCTGTACATTTGAGGGGATGGAACTTTTTGGACACGTGCTTGAGCGAAGACCCAGCGGTCGTAGCCTCGAGATCCTTCGGCTGGCCCTGACAAACTCGTTCGACCTGGCGATGGCCGCTTTGCACATGTCGTCCCATTGTTGCCCGGCAAGAAGAACGAATGGAAAAGTACGCATACCAGCAGATAACCGGGTAGGACATCAGAAAAATGTGCACTTGAGCAAAGGTGGTCGATGCTCGGGAGTTCGTGTCGTGATGGGAGAGCCGGCACGCCACACACACGCCTCACCCACTTGAGTCTGCGAACCCCGCCGAGGAGGATCTACCCTGGGGGCTGTGAAACTGATCAACATACGAGCTATCCAAGTACGGGCATTAGTCTATCACCTCTGGGAAACCTGGCTGCTAGATCCTGATGCTTCCTTACAGGGCCATGTTGCGTGCTCAGCTCGATATTGGGGCGTGCCGTGTGAATGGCTGACCCCGGGCAGCCGTATGTGTGCGAAGAGGTTCGGAAAGCTCGGTTGCCGGCTGTCATTAGACAGGGTTCTACATGTAGGCTTTCATCCTGTTGAGCATTTGGGGGTGGCCATAGGTCTCCGAGAACAGGTCCTAGTCAGAGATTACCCAACCGATGATTAGAATGCTGGTAAGATGAAGCGTAGGAAAAGCACAAAGCACACAAAGAAACGAGAAATAGATTGGTAAGAAGCTATTGTGCTCCTGGGCAGGCGCAATGGTAATCTTCTAGGAAGGTAAAATGAACACCTAATCAAACAAATGTGCGGCAAGGATACCTAGATGAGAGGGGTTAGTGTTGGGCAAGAGATCCGGGGCGGGATGGGGGGAATTGGCTAGGGATCACATACACATCGGGGTAGCCCTGCCCTCGGCCGATCTCGTACTTGGATTGCGAGGATTGAGCAACTGTGTTGATGTTGGCAGGCGTGGGAGGCAGGCCGTTTGCTCCCAATACACCCTGGATGCTCTTCTTGTCCTTCTCAAAGAGCGCGGCCAGGCCGCGTTCTTGGCCCTGCTCCTGGACCTCCACCAGCTGCTTCTCACCCGCAGCGCCAATCTGCAGGATGTCATCCTTGGGGGCTGCCTGGCTCCCGACGGTGAGCAGGCTGACCGCATCCGCCTGACTGACGGTGCTCAGTTTTGGGTAGCTTCTCCGGGTGTCCCGCTTCCAATACGGGTTGTCGGCAATGTCACCCGCAGGGACGGTGACAGGGTCATCATAGGACAGAGGAGGCAGAGAACCGGGAGTAGGAAGACGAAACTGCGAGTTTAGAGGAATACCGGTCGAGCGATTGGGGTCGACGGCGAGAAGGCTGCGCAGGCGCTCCCAGACTCCAGTGGAGCGGACTGTGTATTTCTGTTGCGCACTTAGAGTTGGCTGTTGATCATTCCAACCTGGTCTCCTTATCGACTGGCACGTACCTGGGAGATTGAGACCACATGGGATGCCGACTGGGCGGCTTTCAGGATATCGCGAGCCATTGCTGAAGACTCTGACCTATACCTCCTGGTCAGCTTCCCATCAAAAGATTCGCCCCAAGGGAGGGCCGGAGAAAGATTTTCGAGGGAGTTGGGCCTCCGACTAACCTCCTGAAGTCCTTGAGATTCGTCAAACGTTGGCGGGCTTAGAAGTTATAATGCGGCACGGCACGTCAGGGTAACTTCGGAGGTGCGAGCGCCAAGAAAAAGGAATATCAATTTTCCGTGGTCTTCCGCCCAAGCGGCGGCGGTTTAAGGTATTTCACCAGCAGGCGGCGCACCCCAAAACACTATCGTACTGTAAATGCGTTATTTTACAACTCGATATTTCAACAAAGATAGCCTAGTGGAAGTTCTCATCAGACCCTAGTACTATGTAGATGATATATAACTTGTCCATAAGGTTCAGGGAAAGATTGTAGTGTTTCCTGGTTTAGATATCTCTATTGATCAGCTTGTCGAGCAGGATTCACCTCGTAAAGCAACAAAATATGTCCTGGGATTACATTTACATCATTTGACATTAAACAGTATACATATCAACAGCCGTAAACCAACAATTATATCAAACTTGCTCAGGGTGGTTGAGAGATCGACTTCAAAAAGAGCGCATTTACTACGGTGTACCAGGGTGCGCCGCCTGCTTGTACGGTACAGACTACTGTACAGTATGCGCCATCCCCTAGTGAAGTACGTTACGATACCAATGGTTGGGCTGGGGTTTCAGGCATCAATATCAGCACTGCATGCCTGAGACACCACCACCACCACCACCACCACTACTACTATTGGCCTCAGTATCCATCGATGGAGACACAGACACTCAGGAATGTGGAGAGCATTCCTGCTGGGGGTGTATGTGTGCGTGCGTGCGTGTGTTGCAGATGGCGCACAAATGTGACCACCATAATAAACCATCACCACTGGTTGCGAGATTGGGACGGGAGGTGGGGACAGGACGCCCGAGGCTTGTAGTTACAGTAACCAACTAGTTTCCACCAGGCTCACAACGCGTAACTACTTGGACTCACTACTGTCTGCGTCCTGGGATTTCTCCTTGATCAATCCCTGCGCCACAAGCTTCTGGACCGCGTCCGCAGTTGCATCCGGACCACCAGCCTCTCGAAGCAACACCGTGCCCTTCTTGTCTACGGCGAATACGCCGCGGATGGTTCCCTTGGGGACCTTTTTGAGTCCAATAGCACCAATCAGAGTTGCACTGGGGTTGCAAAGAAGGGGGTAGGACAGTTTCTGTTTCATCTTGAAGGTAGTGTTGGCCTTGGTCGAATCGGCCGACAGACCAAAGATGGACAGTCCCGTTGATGTCAAATGCGTGTAGTTGTCGCGGAACAAGCAGACTTGTTTGGTGCCTGCCACATGGTCAGACTGGGGGCCTCAGTCTAGAGGTGGAGAGGGGAACGTACAGCCAGGGGTTGAGGCCTTAGGGTAGGTGAATAGAACCACGCCAGATGTGCTCTCCTCGACCAGCTTTTTCAGAGTCGTCTTCGTGCCATCATTGGTCTCAATTTCACCACCGAAGTCCTCGAGATCGATGGTCTCGCCCACCTGAGGCACTGCCGGCGCCGGAGCTGCCTCCACGGTTTCGGTAGCTTTGGATTTGGGGGCCGGCTTTCTCTTCTTCTCGGCCACAGGGGGCGGGGCGGGAGCTTTGCGCTTGCGAAGTTCAACCATTGCGATTGATGAAAACGAACTCTCAGCAGAGATATATATTGTAGGCCGAGGGGGAGTTGGGTTGGCTCTCGGGATAGTCGTCGTCAGAGGGATAGGAGAGAGGTGATTCTGGGCAGGAGTACTTCGTGGGAGGTACCATGTACGAGCTAGAAAGAATGCCCCGGTACTTGGCCCGTTCGCGAAATGGTCCAGTCAGCTGGGAGGAACAACCTTACATAAGGACGGAGTGGAGACCGAACGACGGCGCTTAAGGTTTAGTCTCCTGGGGATGCACATGTGCATGCCTTACCTAAGCACATCACTTGGGAACCCGGGAACGCCCATGAATGCACCCGTCCGAAAAGACCCGAGCGGCTGCCCTGACCCGCGAAATGAGAAAAACTCGATCTGACAGTTCCCTCACGATCGCCACTCCATAACCCACCTTCCCCATCTTTTATCTTGGGCATTTAGCCTGACTCATCCTGTGGTTTCGAGCCTCTTCTGTTTGCTGCATTCGCCACTCTTCGATCCTTCTTCGCCCTCTGGTCTCTCCTCTCTCCCCCTCGTCCTTCTCTTGCCATCGACCCTCTCGCGACGCATCCGTTGAGTGCGCACCACCACCACCATGAAGGTCTTTTCGTCCACGTGCAACTTCGACTACTCCTGGGATGAGGTCTCTACAGCCAACTGGAGGAAATACTGCCCATGGAATGACAAGGCCACCCATGTCGTTGGCGTAGATACCCTCTCTCGCACCATCGATCCTGAAACCGGCATTGTGAGCGTGACTCTCTTCGGGTGTTGGATGGACTCCGAGCTGACTTCCCTTCCCCATTTTAGCTGCGAACCGAACGTCTCATCACTTGCAACCAGTCGGTACCTCAGTGGGTCTCTTCGCTCTTTGGCGGCAACGCCGTCTCCCACGTCTACGAGATCTCCTACGTCGACCCGGCGGCCAAGAAGGTCACCATGTGCTCCACCAATCTGACCTGGTCCAACGTCCTCAACGTCCGTGAGACCGTGGTGTATCAGCCATCGTCTCTCGCGCCGACCACCTCGACGGAATTCACTCAGGAAGCCAAAATCACAGCCCTGTGTGGTGGCTGGCAGAAGATCAAGAACAAGGTGGAGGAGGCAAGCGTGGAGAGATTCCGCGAGAATGCCAAGCGTGGCCGTGAAGGATTCGAAACGGTTCTTGAAATGAGCCGTCGCGTATTCGGCGAACAACGCGACCTCGAGAATCAACGCCTACAGTCCTGATTGCGCCCTGCTCTTCAATTCGTCGATTTTCCGACGCATCACCTCTCCTTTACGTTCTTTGCCTCGAGCGATTGCATACTTCGGCGTCTTTTTTCCACCTTTTTCTTTTCCTTCTCGCATTACAAAGCCCGCGGCGCGATTTGGAGTTTCCTTTGATCATCTGTTTTATATCCCCCAATCGCGAAATCCGGGAACTCTCTGCGAGATGGCCAGGGGAAAAAAGTGTCTCGTGACTTGTTTACAGCGTGCTGCTCTTTATGATTCTACCACCAGCGATATCCGCCTACTACGGCATAGATGCATAGATGAATTCGAACATAGATCTTTACTCTCTTCACATGATCACAGTCTCTCCCCCTCTTGTCTTGCCAGTAGTCAGTAAAGCGAAAACCCGAGCAGAAAATAATCACGAACTCCCAGAACACCTTCCATAGGTCGTGAACAGACAGCTGAAGAAGCAGAAGTAGAAGGAGAAGGGAGATGACCTTAACCCAGCAGTCCACCTAAAACCACTCGACTGACACCGGCAACCTCAGTCTTGACACCATGCCGGCTCGCGTCTTCAAACTCTCGGACGGCACCAGCAACCATAATCTTTCGTAATTTCGCATCCGCTTTGGAAAACGTCTCGCCCAATGCCACCGTGCAAACGGAGGGCGACGATACCAAACTTGTGATGCGACTATAGCAGTCAATCAAGACATCACAAAGGGTAGCAAAAGTCTCAAAAAAATCGGGCTCAAAGGGTAGTGACGGCGTTAGGAGATACGTATATTCTTCGCCAGGGAGCAGGTCGGACGACTCGGTGTGTGGGAATGAGATGACTGAAGCCGCGGCGGTAGAATGCGACGTGATACTTCCGGCGGCGCTCTTGAGATCGGAAGGGTCACTGGTCTGCATGGGCAGTCCGATTTCAGTTGCCGAGCTGGCTCGCCGGGTCTTAGTACCGGCATGTGCCGCTCGTTTGAACATTTGTGGTATGCGTGCTCTCGCAAGACTGGATGAAGAACTGCCATCGGGCGGATGCACCTGCTGAAAGGCTTCGAATTCGAGGAGAAGAGCGTTCAGGGCGCGGAGGTACTCGAACGGCGTGGAATTGACATCAAGGATCGGAGGGAGGGAAAGGCCCAGGATGAGATAGTTCACGGCTCGACGAGAAAGCTTTCGAGCCTCGAAATATGGCAGGCGACTGATATCCGCTCGAGAGAAATGCACGGTATTGAACCAGTAGACCCGGCCCTCAAGACTGTATATGCGCCAATCCGCGTCAGACGGCGATCTCAAATAAGTATGGCATCTGGCGGAAGAGAATCACTCACGCTTTCCGTAAATAGTCTAATGTCGAGATTCGTTTCGCAGCCATGTCATGGATCTGTTGGTAGATGGCACTGGCACTCTGCGGCCCAAACGGACCCCCGCCGCTGCTCACCGGGGGGACTGCGCCGTGAACAGTATCATAGCCACCGGTGGATTTGGCCGTGTCTCTTCGAGTCAAGCTCGGCCCAAACGAGGATGAGATCATGGTAGTCGGCGGAGACGCCTGGTTTAGCAGGAATATAGAGCGATATGACGTTTAGCGATGGACAGGGGGCGGGGGAAAACCCCCAGTCAGTCGGGACGGCAGGACGTGACAGGCGGTAAGGAATCGCCTAGAGTCGACAAGGACGCTAGGTAGAGCAAGAGAGAGAGAGGGAAGGGGGAGGAAGACGTAGAAGTCGGAGAAAACTTGGAAGGATTGTGGTGAAGGAAGCAGGACTTCAGCAGCGGGAGCTCTTTGGCAGTGGACGTGGTTCCTGACTTGCCCCACAGCCCCTCCGATCCCTTCGGCCCACGCAAATCGACTGGCCTTCTGTCCCTCCCTGTTCTCCGCTGCCCCTCCGTCCCTTTCTCCCCTCCGCGAGCTGTCCTCAATTGACCGCTCACCGTCTCACAAATGGGCACTACACCTCTCGACGAGCAAGTCCCTCTGCCTGGGCAGTGGCCGGTGGATCCTCAGGAGGATATCCCGGTCTCCGAGGACCGAATCTGGGTCGACGGATGCTTCGACTTCAGCCACCACGGTAAGCGCCAATTGTCATCCTAGGCTTGCACCCAAGATACTAAGATGGAGAATATTTGTAATAGGCCATGCGGGTGCCATGCTCCAGGCTCGTCGCCTGGGCAAAGCTCTGTTCGTGGGAATTCATTCTGACCAGGCAATCCTGGAAAACAAGGGTCCAACGGTGATGTCGCTAGATGAGCGGTGAGCACCATGTCCTCTCTTGATGTTCCAAGTATAGCCACTGACATCCATTGCTTCTTGTCCCTAGAGTCGCGGCCGTCGAAGCCTGTCGATGGGCTACTCAAAGTGTTCCCCATGCCCCATACGTGACCTATTTGCCGTGGGTCTCTCATTACGGCTGCCAGTACGTGGTACACGGCGACGACATCACCTCCGACAGCGATGGGAATGACTGCTACCGATTTGTCAAAGCCGCAGGTCGCTTCAAGGTGGTTAAACGAACTCCTGGAATTTCCACCACCGATCTTGTCGGGCGGATGCTTCTTTGCACCAAGAACCACTTTGTTAAATCCGTCCGAGATACCCTCGCGGGAGAGGAGGGATCGGGCAGCCCCGAGGAGCGCAAGATATTCGCCGACGATCTTTTGCAGCGGATCCGAGACTATGCGACTGACGAAAGCGGCCTCCAGCCGGGACCCCAAGTGTGGACGTGGGCGGGCTCTGGAAGAGCGAAGATTGATAATGAGGCAGGGGAAGCTGGATCTTTCGCGAGTCTGGTCGATGGCAAGGGCCCTAAGCCCGGTCAGCGGATTGTCTATGTGGATGGGGGTTTCGACCTTTTCTCGTCCGGCCACATTGAGTTCCTCCGAAAGGTGATGGAGCTTGAAGAGGCTGAAGGCCGTCAGCGAGGCTGGTATGAGCCGGAACAGCAGGAGAAGCGAGTCCGGGAATACAATGAAGACTATGCCCCGGCATATATCGTTGCTGGCATCCATGATGACGGCGTGATCAATCACTGGAAGGGGTTGAACTATCCAATCATGAACATCTTTGAGCGTGGTCTTTGCGTTCTTCAGTGCCGCGTAACTTTCCCCCCTCCGGCCCGCATTCTAATTACCGCGACAATCTTACTGACGTTTCTTAGTTTATTCATGCCGTGGTCTTCTCGGCACCCTTCACCCCCAGTCAGCCTTACTTGGAGGCCCTGCCGCTGGGTAAGCCAGATGTCGTCTACCATGGTCCGACTACCTTTATCCCTTTGACGTATGACCCCTACACCGACCCGAAGAAAATGGGAATCTTCCAAGAGGTCGACCAACATGCCTTCCAGCATGTCAACGCGGGCGAGATTGTCGGCCGTATCCTGAAGAGCCGGGAAGCATACGAAGCTCGGCAACGAGCGAAGTTGGCGAAGGGCGTGGCCGAGGATCTGGTGAAATCCAGAGAGCAGGCGTCGTCCGCCTAATGCAACCTCTCTCTAGTGCATTCTGGAAGGAAGCACCGACTGGTTGTGTAATGGACCTAAATGGGCGCCCCGGAGGGTGGCGGAAAGGGTTGGGAAGAACCACTCAAATAAACTAACTGTACCTGTGCCGAGCATCATCGGGTGGGCTTTCAGTGGATAGCTAGAACCGATCTTGTGCATACTGTGTTGCGAAGAGACATTAACTTGAACCACAGAGAGAGGGACGAACGTATAGAGTCGAGTCTGCACAGAAATATACATTTTTTATACCCCGAGCGGGAGGTGTTTATTCCTAGGCTGTCGAGATGGCCCATCGTAAATTCCCAAGAGAAATTGACACGTAACTGCGGAAGGACGGTGCTGTTGGCCGTAAGAGCAGGAGCAGGTATATGAGTGCTATATTAGGTAGAGTCCAATAATTTTACACAGCGATACAAATCACAGATTCATGAGGTGGAGGCCCATCCGATCGTCTCCAACCGAGGTTATGCCGCCATTTTATTGATCCGCCGCCACCAGAACCCCCTTACCCTCGAGCATCTTGGCAAGCTCTCCGCTCTGGTGCATAGACATCAAAATATCGCATCCTCCGACAAACTCCTTGTCGAGGTACAACTGAGGGATGGTGGGCCAGTCTGAGTACTCCTTCACACCTATATAACCAAGGGGAAAAAACCCTTCATTTAGTGGGGCTGGCAGGCGCAAGACATGGCGAGGAGATCACTCACCTTGACGCAACTCAGGATCCTCAAGCACATTAAAAGCCACAAACTTCTTGGGGTCCACGCCCTGCAAGCCCAAAATCTGAATGCTCGCACGAGAGAAGCCGCACTGGGGGGTTTCGGGAGTGCCCTTCATGAACAGGACGACGGGGGCGGACGCAACCGCCTTGTCAATGGCCGCGCGGGTCTCGGAGGACAAGAGACGCGCATGGAAGACCGAGGGCAGCGCAAAGGCTGGGGAACGGATAGGCCGAGACGAGGGCCGTGAGATTGGGCGAAAGGCCTGCTAGAGGTGAGTGTGAGCTATGCCCGCTTGACCGGTGGATTGCGAGCAAGGGGGAGTGGGCGCACCGAGAAAGCCGTGCGGGAGAACATAATGACGCGCGGGTGAGAATGGTGCTGGACGAAGCGGAGGAGGAGAGCGTGTTGAACCAACAGGGCAGATTATGCGGGCGATTACCGCGGAGCGTTTATAAGCGGTTAGTACGGAGTATTATTTAAGCAGTCGTTGGCTCCCGCGCGGTTCCAATTACGTCGATGCGCCCCCACATTGAAGGATTCCAGTATTGGAGATGATTGCCGTATTGAAGATCCGACGGAAAGGAAGCGGGAAATTGGTTGAGTTGGTCAATCAATTCGTATTCATACATTTCCCGATTCTCTATTATGTTGACTCGGACTCGGAAATCTTTTTACTATCGTACAGTCCCAGATATTGCGTGGCATACTCTCCAGCAAGACCCAGGCTGATGCCGCCGCCCGTTAGGAGGCAGCCATTCTTGAACCACCACCAGCAGTTGCGAACGTTCTTGAGCTGAACCTTCCAGATCATCAATCCCAGGGAAAGGATGGCACTGCCGCAGCTACCAGCGAAGAAGACCGGTCCACAGCCCACCGCGAGTCCCGCCGCACCCAGAAGGGTGACTTGAGTGACGGCCAGACCAGTGAGAACAGCCTTGGTGTTGTGTTCATGACGCAGAGCAATCGACTTGATCCCCGCAGCCACATCATCCTTGATATCCATGTGCGCATAGATCATATCGTACAGAACCGTCCATGCGATGCAGCTGGAATACAATGCCCCTGCCGCCATGAGGGCATCCTGATTGGCCAGCAAATCGACACCCAGAGCCGGGAATCCCATGATAGCCCCCCAGGAGAAGGCAAGACCCAGGACCGCCTGAGGGTAGTGGGTGACGCGTTTGGCCAGGGGATAGGCCACCACGATCGGCAGACTGGGGATGCCGTACCAGAGACATTGGGCAGGGAATTGGAGAAGCACGCCGAGCCCAGCCAGGAGTTGGCTACCGGTGAACAGCACGGCATTCCGTGGCGAAAGCACTCCTCGGGCAATAGGCCGGAACTTGGTGCGTTCCACATGAGGGTCCAGGTTTCGGTCCCACAGATCGTTGATGGCGCACCCGGCACCTCGCATGATCAGGGCGCCCGAGAAGAAGAGTCCGATTGTGCCCAGAACCTGCAGCGGTGCCACATCAACGGCCATCGGGGCAGCGAGAAGCGTGGAGAAAAGGGTGGGAAAGAAGAGATAGTAAGTGCCCGTGGGCTTGTCCAACCGGACCAACTCGGCGTACGGTATCCATGACCGGGGCAGGGAGGCAATCAGACCCGTCTGAGGGGGAATATAATGAGTGGCGGGGTTCACTTCTTTCGGTTCAGTCTCAATTGGCTGGGCTGTCGCGGCGAAGCGAACCTGCAAGCTATGCCGCGGGACGGATGGTGATGTCGCATTTATAGAGCGTAAAGGAGAGGAAGGGACCGGGTGTGCGGAGGCCAATTGTCCAGCGAGAGGTGTCGAGAGACGTCCATGGTATCGGCTACCGATGGGTACCCTTGTGTGACGGCAGCATGGAAGCAATTGCGCGCGGCGCAATAGACGGGAGCTCGAGGTCGACAGCGGCATGGCGGCCTCGGTAGGGAGAGCCCCGGAAAGGGAAAGGAGAGGGTTCGGTAGACGACGGGGATTATTGGCAGAGCGTGATCAGTGCATGTTCGCGCTGGGATTCCGGACGAGGGCAGGGCAGTCGCAGGTCGCTCGGTCACTCGAATCGCCAGATAACGGGGACGAGAGTTGGTGATATCGTCATGCGGGTTTGCGAGAAAAACTGCCCGCGATGGGTCTAAACCCGTTTGGGGGCGCGGACAGCGCCCCACTGATCGGCTATGGCTTTGACGGGCTTGAAGACATGCCGACCTGGCCGCGCTTCGACTTCTCGTCAACGGAGAACTGAAGCGACCGGCTCGGCCGGGCTTATGTCGCGAATATCACACCGCCTACTCTCGACTCTCCTATCCACTCGCTGGTCTGCTGTCCTGTCCCTTCACGAGGGACGTGCCTGAGGCGACGCGACGCGCGAGGAATCCCCGCGGAAGGCAGGAGCTTCCTCCAGCTTTACGCCCATCTTCCAACTCGATCGCATGCTGTGCACCATCTGCCTCTGGTCTCATTGGCAATTTCCTGTGTCGCACAAAGGTGAGCTGAACTCTCATCCTCCCCCCACCCTTCCTCCCTGCCCTGTTGCTCCCTCATCCAACCCCATCGCGCCGTTCATGCATGAAGTGTTAACACGTCTGTCTAGCAGTATCCGCAAATCCTCTGGCCATGCACCCTCTCGATTCAGGCGACGCCGATCCCATTGCCTTTCTGTATCGGTCAACTCTAACGTGATTGATACCTCCAAACCCCAGCTTCGTGGCGCCGCCATGATTCAGCGTTCGCGCGCGGTTTTCGAGCCGTTTGATCCACGTCTGGACATTGAGGAGGAGGTCAGGACAACACCGAGTTTCCAGTTTGTCAGGCGAATCCCCTGCGACTGGATTGATCAATTTCCTCGGGAGGATCTCGAACTTTTCATCCTCACCAATGTCGTGAAGCTTGGGCTCCCACTCGTGATTACGGGATTCGACAAGCGGTTGGACAGAAATCTTTTCTCGGAGAAATGGCTACGCCGGCATTATTCCAGTCATAGTAAGTGCTTTAATAGTGCCCAGACCATCCGATAGTGACTTCATGGTCTCTTTTGGAGTGTACTCTAACTGTGAGGTTCTTTGCAAAAGAATATGATGCCAGGGACCTGGGAAAGGGATCCAATTTGCCTTTAACGCTTGGCCACTACCTCCAAAGCATGTCGACCTTAACTGAAATTATTAAGCCTGAGAACTATGCCCGTCGAGACATTCAACGACTCTACCTGAAAGATATCGACTGCCCGGAGGAGTGGCAGCAGGCTTTGGAGCAGTTGATCCCATCCACCTTTTTCTATCTCAACCAATCTCCCACTCCCAAGGGACTGAAAGTACCGTCCTCTCAGTCCCTTGAATACCCCAAGACGCCACAGGGGGAACCGGTCGCGCGGGCTGGGGACTTGATGAGCAGTCTCCCGGATGCCATGCGCGCACAGAATCTCATGTGCTACATTGGGCACGAAGGCACCTACACCCCAGCACATCAAGAAATGTGTGCCAGCCTAGGGCAAAACCTGATGGTAGAGGCCTCGGATGGATCTTATGAAAACGGCAAGGCAACTCGGACGGGCTCCTCCATCTGGCTCATGACCGGGACCAGAGATCGCCATGTCGTGGCGGAATACTGGAACTCGATGCTTGGTCACAACATTGATCTGGAAGACCATTTTGCTCATTTGAGCTCGTGGAAGAGCGCGCCATTCACGACCTATGTGGTCGAGCAGAAACCAGGGGACCTCATTCTTGTCCCCCCTCTTGCCGCTCACCAGGTCTGGAACCGGGGGACGAGGACCATGAAGGTGGCTTGGAACCGGACCACCGTCGAGACTCTGGAAATGGCTTTCGATTCGGCGCTAGCGCACGCGCGTATGGTTTGTCGCGATGAGCAATACAAAAACAAGGCCATCGTCTTCTACACCCTCGAACGCTATTCAGATTTGCTGCGATGGGCCCCCACGACTGATCATCCCGAAGTGAACATGCTCCAAGATAACTTCCTTCGGTTGTTCAACATGTATACCGACATCCTGTTATCGGAAACCTTTTCGAAGCACCCACCGCTCGCCAAGGATATTGAGTATGAAAAGTTCGAGAGCAACATCACTTGCTCTTACTGTCGGTGCAACATTTTCAACCGGTTCTTGACCTGTCCTTGGTGTGTGGGTGAGGAAAATGATACCTACGATATCTGCATGGACTGTTATGTCCTGGGCCGAAGTTGCCAATGTCTCTCGAAACTCAAATGGGTCGAGCAGTTTCCGTGGAAAGACCTTGCCGATCGACATGAAAGCTGGCGTCGGCAGATCATTGCGTTCAAGCCGGACGATCAGGCACATAAATCCAAATTTCCAACCTTGCTGGTCGCCCGAGGCCAGCTGGGTCGAAAGTCCATGGCCGATATCTGCCAGATGCAAATGGCCTTGCGACCATGGGTCGACTGCAAGAAACCGAAAGATACCAAGCCAGCGATCCCGAGTGATCTCGAGACCGATCCGGACTCGGACAGGGATTCACACGCCCGAAAAAGAAGGAGAACTAGCCGGGCCCAATCCCAGTCCGAGAAACTCGGGCGTTGCCATATGTGCAAAAATTCGGAATCTCTGTGGAAGCTTGCTTCGTGTGAAACGTGCAACCTCCAATATTGTTATGGGAGTTTGTTTCGAGCCTTCGATATGCTCCCGCTCGACGCCATGTGCCGGTCACACTGGCTGTGTCCGAGATGCCGCCGAATTTGCAACTGCGCGAGCTGTCGAAAGGATCCGACCATGAATCCTCACGTACCCTTTGACATCTTGCTCGGCCACGACACTCGAAAGATTGCTGATCCTCGCAGCGTCGAGACCCTCGTCAACCTGCGGGTATCGAATGTTGCGTTACTGAAAACATTCGGTGACGACAATGTGCAACGTTTGGACCGCTTGCGGCACGACAAGGAAGAGCAACGCCAGCAGCAACTATTGAATCATGATATTCAAGTAGGCCTAGATTCGCCGAACTCGGATGCTTTGAATGGCCCCGAACCGATGATGTATGGAAATCAGCTGCCGGGCATACCCATCGATCCTGCTCTAGAGCTTGATGGATCTTTCATGAGCCTGGATCGAGACACGAGTGAAAGGTGAGAAGAAGAAACTGTTCATGTGTCTACTAGCGAGAGTTTGGGAGACCTTGCAAATGTCCTCCTGTTGATTTCCCTTCTGAACGATCATTCTACCCTGTTGTAGGTTCCGACTGCCATGCTTCCGTTACATGTATTCAGGGAATGCTACACATTCATGACCATCTTAAGAAATCCAACCAATGACCATTCATCAGTCACCGTAATCGAAGGGTTTCAAGTCCTATGCACCCTTGTACTCATACTGCAGATCTTTGAGGGCCGAGAGGTCCACCGAAAGCATTGTGTCTCGGGCGAGCAAGATAGCTGCGAACATAGCTGTTGAGAAAACAGTCAGAAGTACTGTCTTGAAACATACGGGTCAGGCTTGCGGAACCCCACAAACATACCTCCTGGGATCAAATATAATACAGGCCGGGTGGTATAGGTTGAGTTCGACCCCGAGAGTAAGTAAGCCGCAGTGAGCAACAAGCAAACAGCCCCATTTGCAGGAAGAAGAGCCCCGCGCAACCTAGCCAGGCGCTCATCTTCGGCCGTAACGGGTTTTTTCCCCTTGCGATCCGGCTTCAGGGGAGAGTGCCGCATGGTATAGGCCGTGCCTAGTAGTGACAGAATCCCCAGCAGCGACAAGAGCTGTTCGGTCCAACTCAGCGCAGACAGGATCCCGGGAAAGAATGCAGTTGCAGAGATCAGGGGGATACCCGTGAAGACCAACTTAAATCGCCGAGTATTAGCTGCTGCAGAAAAGTTGGAATAGATGGGCGGCGGGTAAGTATGTATTTACATTGTACTGGGCGTTGCGCGCATCATTCTGGCGCTGCAACTGCTGAATCACTTGCTCCTGTTCCTGCTCATCGAGCTCCTCATGTCCATCATCAGAATCCTCTGGGTATCGAATCACTTTGCGCAGTCGTACTGCCGCCATAGTAAAGGTGGATGAGTGAAGAACCTCCTCGTGAGCGTGTGACGTCGAGGTGTGTGTTTGTCTTGTTTGGTGCCTTTTTTGTCTGCCTCGCCGAAATCCACCGTCGTTCCACCCTCACCTCCCACCAGCATCTCTCCGTCCCCAGCCCGCAATGCTTCTCTCTCGGGCAGTTCCTAGGCGCACCGGCCTCGTCCGGCTGCCGGGCGTACGCCAGATCACACCTCGCCGCACGATGATTCCGGCCCCCGGCCCGAACACGGGGCCACTGACGGAGCGCCGAGCAGACCGCGAGCTGCCCAATATCACCACCAGCCGAGGGTGGCTGAAGACCCTCCCAATCTTCGTGGTGGTGGTTGGAGCTGCCATGCTGGGCATTTTCAACTACCAAAAGTCGTCGTCGAGTGTGGTCAGTAGCACACTGTACGCACTGCGCACGTCACCGCGGGCCCGTGAAATCTTGGGCGACGAGATCTACTTTGCGCAGCAGATCCCGTGGATCAGTGGCGAGATGAACCAGCTGCATGGGCGTATTAATATCTCGTTCTGGGTGAAAGGCACCAAGGCCCAGGGCAAGATGCGCTTTCGGAGTATCCGACCGAGTCGGACGAGTTACGTGAGTTTGGCCCCCGAGAGGAAATCGTTTGCTGCATTATCATGCCGATGATGCACGCAGTCCACTTTTGATATGGCTTGGCTAACTATTTGCAATTACGATTCTCCAGTTCCGCACTGAAGAATGGAGCCTGGAGACTGAGGATGGAACAGTAGTGCAGCTGCTGGATAGCGACATTGATCCTTTTCGGCAAGAGTAATCTGGTAGCAGGATCGAAAGGCCGGAAGGTGACGTCTGTACAAATAGAACTCCTTGTGCATGGGATATGGCGTTTGCGGGAAATCATTTACGGGGTACTTCTTGCAAGCAAAGGCAAAAACCGAGTTGAGCGGGAATCGGGGGGTGGGTGTGGTTTAAAGACCCTGCAGGAGCAGGGAGAGAGCAGGGGGTTCGAAGAAGAAAAGGATATCATTTGATGTATCATATACAAACGCCGCTCAAGTGAACAATTCTGCGCGAATGGTGTAGTAGTACAGGCGTCCCCCCAAACCCACTAAACTGGTTTCTCTCGTCAATCACGCCGCAGCCGCAGCGACGGGCTCGGCCGAGGCAATTTCTGGCCACGGCTTCTTGATCGCATCCTGGATCCGCACAACGCAGCCCTTCGGACCACTGATGGCACCTGTCAAAGGTCACAGATGAGATTAGCGACGAGGCCCAGTATGGGATGAGAAGACAGAATAGCAAAAGAAATGACTTACCGCTCACAACCACAAGTCCGGCGTCGGTATCCACCTTGAGGATCTTCAGGTTCTGGACCGTATTCTGCGTATTGCCCATATTTCCAGCCATTTTCTTGCCCGGGTACACACGAGAACCACCACCCTGACTGGGGCCTGCGGAACCCATCGAACGGTGCGTCAAACTCACACCGTGACTGCGGTCCTGTCCATGGAAGCCGTGGCGTTTCATAACACCCGCGAAGCCCTTGCCCTTTGTGTTCGACCGAGTATCGACATACTGACCCTCCTGGAACCAGTTGGCGTGAATGCTCTGGCCAACGGGGAGAAGGCCCGACTCATCCTTGACGCGGAACTCGAAGACGTGGCGCTTAGGCGAGATACCGTTGGCGGAGAAATGGCCGAGCAGGGAGTTGGGCATGTTGCTGGGGTGCTTCCAGCCGGCGCCGACCTGGACAGCAAAGTAGCCGTGCTGTTCGCGGGTCTTGTGGGAGACGACTTCAACGCGGTCGAGCTGCAGGACGGTGCAGGGAATGCGCTTGCCGGTCTCAGCGTCGAAGATGGCAGTCATGCCCTTCTTGATACCGATGGCACCAGTTCGGAGGGGCAGTGAGTTGGCCTTGCGGCGGAGAGCCGCGGTCGATGTGGACTCGAGGACGGGCAGGCCGGGGTTATTGTTGAAGCGGCTGGGCTTGGGCGGGTTGAGGGACCGGATGCCAAATGTCCGCACAGGGACACGAGGCACGGTCAATTGGATGTCCCGCAGGGACAGGGAAAGCTGGAGCAGCTTCCCGGGGAGTCGTGGCGGCATGATTAGGGGTTTGGATGTTGAACAGGTGATGCGCGAACTCTTGAAAGTTTTCCCAGATTGGCCGCCCGCTGAGTCAGCATCACCGGCTTCCACCGTTGTTAGTTATGCGATTGATCTTGGACAAGGCAGAGATGGCCATGCCCCTCTTTGCCTCCTTGTTGTTTTCTAAATAGTGTCAGGTTTCAACACAGAAAATAAGGTTGAAACGAAAGATTCTATAGGAAGATAGAGATGATTCTTCTTACCGAAGATCCTTAACTAACAAAGTACAGTACAGCCTCGTCGGAACACGGCTAACATTGATCCAAGCATAAAGAGTACAGCAGATCAAGGCGCTTTTGAAGATCTTTGAAGATCAATCGATAAGCCGTATTGATACAGGAAACTATACACGCTTCATTGAGCTCCCATGTCCCAGTGGCCGAGCGAACGACCGGCCCAGAGGCCCAACTATGCATGGAGTATACAAAACCCAGATGGCAAACCATAGCTGCAGAACCAAAGACGCATCAACACCGAATTGGGAGGAGAAATATCGCTTAAAGAACGGGGATCTCAGCATTCCGAATCCCCCCCGAATCCCTTCCGCCCCGAGAGCCATAAGCACATAAGCACCTCAGCCCATGAATGCGTACGCCCGATCAGCCCGTCACCATGCCGTCGATCGGAAGCGCGGCGCCCGAAAACGCCGGACAGGGCCGCCCGCCAAAGTAAGAATCCTCCCGACGAAACTATACACTCCCTCCCTCCACAACCCACGCACGTAATCCCCCGACATCCAACGGCACCCATCGGCCACCCATCGGCCACCCACCGAAACACACCATGCCCCTTCGGCCTTCACTTTTCTCGCGCTGGCTCGTGCAGCCGGCAGAGCTCCTGCAACAAAGCACGCTCCGCCAGGCCCGAGCCTCGCTGACGCAGACACTCCGGCCCAGTGAACAATTAGCAACAAGAACAATCCGGCGCCCATTCGCCTCTGCAGCAAGCCGCACCACCCGCACACGACCGGCTCTGCGCGCAGTGCAACTCCCCCGACGCACAGGACGCCGCTACAACTCCTCCACCTCCAACTCGACGCAGGCCCCGAAAGAAGGCAATTCGCTCTCCCAGCGGCTGCGTACACTATCCCGTGAATACGGCTGGGCCGCCCTAGGTGTCTACCTGGGCCTCTCGGCGCTTGACTTCCCGTTCTGCTTTGTCGCGGTGCGGCTGCTTGGGGTGGAGCGGATCGGGCACTGGGAGCATGTGGTGGTGCAGTATGTGAAGGACACGTTCCACACCATATGGCCGCAGAAGGAGGATAGTCCGGGTGAGGGCGATGAGGAGGATGGCGCGCTTGTGCGGGCGGAGGAGGCGAACCAGGAGGAAGCTAGTATGTCTCCCCCCTTCTTTCTGTTTCTCCCTATATTGTTGTGTTTCAATGTCTAACGTGTTTTTGGCTCTTATGTAGGCTTATGGACCCAGCTAGTGCTGGCGTATGCGATCCACAAGAGCTTCATTTTCATCCGAGTCCCGCTGACGGCGGCTGTGACCCCTAAGGTGGTGAAGATGCTGCGGCGCTGGGGCTGGGACATCGGCAAGCGGAAGCCGAAGAGCACCTGAGCCCTCCCCTGGAGCAAGAGAAGGGGGGCAGTGAGACCACGACTCCAAATACGAATAGCTAATAGACGGATGGGACGGGAGTGTATGATTTATACAGTATAGCATAGCAGGCCGCCGCCCGCACGGGCGTGTTTGGGGTCACATTGTACATTAGCCATTTTAGATCTAAACCGGCGCACAGCTTGTGCGATCCCCACTCAATCATCATCCTCAATCTACACGATATGATACACACCAGACTGCAGGCGATCCGAGTCGAGCCAACCGGGCGTAAAAAGCCATCAGACATCTATCCCAGCGCCAACAGAGACAAGAGAAGGCGAAAAGGAAATCACAAGAGCAAAAGATCACGGATTGGGATTTGCAACTCGCTGGGGAAAAATGACTCGCCCTTTTGGAAATGGGGAAGAAAACAAAGCAAAGAGGTGGAACAAGCACTGGACTGGACTGGACAGGCCATTAAAAAAAAAGGAAAAAATCGTGAACATAATTCGACAGCATAAAGCTACTAGAAACTCGTGGTCTTCGTCTCAGGGTAATAATAAGATGCAACGTATTGGAGAGGGGTGAATAGGTTCGGTGAAGGAGTCTCGGATGAGAGTAGATGCAATGCAGGAGGCGATCACATGTCGATCATGTCGTTGAATCGCAGGACGCCGTTGGCTTTCATCACGCCGTTCACGCCGTTGGGCATCCGGTACGCCCACTCGGCCACCCCCATAGCACTAGCAGGAGAGTGGAAGGCATCGCCGCGGTCGGGCTGGCCGGTCTCGTCGCAGGTGTCGGCCACCAATACGAGGCCGAGTTCTTTGATAGTCTCCACGAGCGCGGGGACGACGTTCTAGAAAAGCGCAAATCAATTTAGCAAAGGGAGACTGGCATGCTTGGGAAACAGGTAACGTACCAGGAGACTAGACCGGCAGATCAGACCCATGAAGTTGTTACTCTGAGCGATACGGGCAGATTCCTTAATCGACATCGAGGCGCGTCCGCTACTGTTCACCACAGGGAGTGAATCCACGTTGCCGGCGAGGTCCCGAATTTGACCAAGGTCATTGCAAAGAAGGACCGGGTCTAGATAGACAGAGACAAGGTTAGCGGGGATAAAACAAATCGATCGGTGTAGGAAGTAGAACAAGCCGAACTTACAGTTAGGCTGCTTCCAGTTGAGCGCAGTGCAGATGTTAGCATTGTAAGAGGTGAAGACGACGGAGCGCATAAAGTCGGGGTTCTCTTCGCGGGCCACACGGGCGTGATCGAAGACATCGGTCAGGATGGCGTCGGCAAAGCTGTTGACATCGGGCAGGGAGGTCATATCGAGGGCTTTTTCTTCGGCACCCGACGGGTAGAGAATAGAGAGATTGATATTCAGACCAATTGGGAGCTGTCGTAGGACCTCCCGCAGGGACATGAAAGACGCAGCCAGAAGCCGGTGAGTCTGCGGCATGTCGTGAACCGCTTGGGTCCCCAGGAATCGCAAGATTTCTTGTTGGTTGACACCCCGCTCGGCACCGATAGTCTGGAACTGCGTATATGACAATTGGGACACGGGGATGTCAATTCCGTGGTGATTGATCATAAACTGGGGGTAAAGGACGGGGACGCGGTCGCGGGTCAACTGCACGAAGAGCTGCACATAATCTCCCGACAGACTGGAGCCGGTGACCAGGCCATTATGGTCGGAGTCGACGGCACTTGTTGCCTTCCAGTAGGTTGCGAAATGGGTGATCTCCAAGGGGTCGCCGTGGTACGGCTTGATGACCTGGAAATTGAAACGTAGCTGACCAATGGCTCGAAGGCGAGGGTCAAACAGAGGCAAGCAACACGAGCCCGTGCTGGAATTCTCGGCTCGGAACACCACCGGCAAAGCCACACTCTTCGCGATCACTTTGGATCCAAATGTCGGGAAGATCTCAAAGTCCACAGCGAACGTTTCCAGATTGTCCACATGGAAGGATATTGTCCGAGAATCGTCTTGAACGGGGAGAACGATGGTGCGAGGGATGAGATCGGAGAGCTTAGACGAAAGGGTCAGCCGGGCCGCCGGATGACGGCCAGCTTGATCGAAGGCGATGGAGGCAGAGTTCCCTTGGTCGAAGAGGAGTTGCACAAAGACCTTCTTGTCCAGGAAGTTATGGCCGTAGCGCCGTAAGGGGATGATGGGTGGGGGCAGCTCCAGGTCCGGAATACCATCGGCAATGTCCATATCTGCGGAGCTGTCACGCCGGAAGGCTCCTGAATCCCCCAACATGCCAGGCTCCTGGGACTGGAGGCCATTCAGAACGTCTAGCGGCCGCTGGAATGAGCGGCCGTGCGAGGACTGGGCCCAAAGAAGGAGCATGCACTCCAGATGTCCTTCCCACGCGGCATAATACATGGCAGCCAGGCCCTTCTCGTCAACAACCTTCGCGTCCACGCCCAGCTCCAGAAGGGTCCGAAGACATGGTACGCAGCCTTCGCTCGCAGCATGAAAGAGTGGTGTCCATTGATACAACTTGTCTTGTTGATCGAGGTCGGCGCCGTGCTGCTTTAGCAGTAATAGAAGCTCTGGGGACTGGGAGGCCCGAGCCACCATATGCTGGGGGTAGAGGCCCTCCGCGTCAGGGAGTAACTGGGCGTTGCGTTCGAGGAGCATCTTCACAATCGGGAGCGAGCCATGTTGGCAAGCCAGGTTCAATGGGATGTGATCCGAGTCGGACGTGGGGTCGATGCGGGCGTTGCTATAAAGTACCTGCTCGGCACACGCGAGTTGACCTTTGACAATGCTGTGGATTAAGGGAGTGAAGTTATCGTGATCCATCACGTCCACCGTTTGCGGGCCCGCCGCCAGCAGCTCCCGCGCCATTTCCACCCGGCCGTGCATACACGCGTAGTGAAGGGGAATGCGTCCATAGACATCAGATCGGGAAAAATCCACTGCAGCTGCAAGACCAGCCTTGAAGACAAAGTCTCGGCCAGAGATGGCGGCCTCGTGGAGGCAGTTCCGTTCGTTGATGTCATCCTCAGCGTGGATGTCGACCAGACCGCTTTCCAGTAGAAGAGCAAGGACCTCGTCGGAGAACCCATTGATCGCGTTCAAGAAAGTTCGTGTGGCTCGATCGCGAGCATCTGCGACGGAGTGCATTTTCGTCACCCATTCGCGCAGGGTCTGAAGATTACCGGTGGAGGCAGACTGCAGGACTTGCAGATCCAGCTCCTCTTCCTCCGTGCCAAAGGGGCCCGCCGCCCGCTCGGACGGCCGCGAAGTATCAAACTGCAGGTTCTCTCCCTCGGCCCATGCCTCCAACTCTAACCGAGCCGTGGTGGCGCGGTCTGACAGATCACGCAGCACCTCGCGGTTGAAACAAGGCTGCACTTCCACGGCACGGTGCAGATAGAGCTCCTTCATGCGGGACTTGGACGTCTTATCCCATTTTTTCAAAATCTTGGACACGGCCGTCTCGTTAATCTCAACAAATTGCTGCAGTTTGTTGAGGTCGCCATCGAATTGCTGAAACCCTTCGAAGAGGGCCACGAAGTTCGACGGGGCCTTGGAATTGGAGTTGGTTCGCGACTGCACTACACGCTTTTTGTCGACCAACGTCTTCAGCCGCAGCGAGAACTACATGGGCAAGCGTAAGTGTGAGTAGGGTGTTTTGTCTCAGAGGGGTATATTCGGGGGGGGGATGGATTGAATACCTCTGATTCCTTCTGGAGGTAAAACGCATTGACTTTCTCAATTTCCCGCTCCTATTCGCCGCACATGTTAAAAGGACTCCGTGTTGGTGCATGGAGGGGGGCAAGCCCCGGGGAGCTTGGGAGCGTACTTACCAAGCGGAAGAAGAACACCTCCTTGTTCGCGCGGAGGGCAGCCTGGGGATCCAGGGTGCCATCTTGGGCGATCTCCTCAGCGGTTCTCTGTGCGGGGATAGTGGGAGTGGCGCTGAGTTGCTTGATGAGCTGCAGGCGAGACTGGTTAGCTCGCGAATTCCGCCCGGAAACTGCAGGATGACCGCGGAGGGGAGAGCACACCTTCTTCAGCGCCTTGTAGTTGACGAAGCTCGCCGCATATTCGGGGAGATCAAGTTGCCGGCGCTGAATCTGTTTACCGAACTTCCTGCGGGGAGAATCAGCAAACAGCTTGGGCCAGAGGGTTTGCGCTGCAAGGGGCCGACAGCCACGTACATCTTCGCACGCACGCGCTCTCAGTATGAGAGCGTCTGCTCGGTCCCGGGATCGTGGATGAATTGGGAGTCTCGCGTCTGTTAGGACTAGCACGGAAGGAGCCGGGATGCACGAGGCGAGGAGGGGTAGGGGAAGAAGAAGGAAGGACGGCGGACGGAGGAGGGCGGAGGGAAGGGGAGTCCAGGGCAGTGCCGCGAACCTCCAGTTGAGGGAGAGGGGCCAGCAGCAGGAAGAGGTGGGGAATGATGATAGTGGGACAGGCGCAGTGTCACCGGTGTATGACAGGATGAGGATGTGCAGCAGAGGATCCTCCTGTTGGCGGGTTTGTCAGACTCCAACAAGCGCGTGGTTGAAGCGGGACGGCCGGGGGGCGTGTTAAGAGGTTTGAAGAGGGACAGCTTCGAGGCCAGCACTGCCAGCTATGGAGGGGGAAAGTACCGTGACGTCGTCGCAGGAAGTATCTCGTCAGCCACAAGGCACCAGGGACGTCCAGCTGCCCGGGTTACTGCTTCACTGCTTCACTTGTGCACTTGTTCACCTGTTCACCTGTTCACCTGCTCACGATTAGTCCTTAGCCAATCGAGCGAAAATTGGACGAGGTTCAACTTAAGGCGGAAGTGGGGGGCGCTGCGCGCCAATCACTGCGAACAGCCCGCGCACGTTTCTGGCTGCGCTGGGCCCGTTCTCGCCGACTGAACTGCAGGGCCGACGGGGCGGTTAGTAAAAGCGTAGTCCAGCCCGTCTGTCTACCGGGGCAAAGGCGACCTCTCGACCTCACTAACGAGCTTGCTTTCTCCCCACTGGCCTCCCCACTGGCCAATAGCGCCCCCGATGACGCTGACGGGTGCCAGCAGGCCGATCGAGCATACTTAAACCCCCGCCTCGGTTGATTCGTGTCTTCACTAGCTCCCATCGAGAGCTACAAAAGAACCTGCCCAGTGCTCTCGAGGTCCCCCTCCATGATGCTCCATTCGACTCCCATTGGACTCCATGGTCTCCACAGCTTAAACAGCCTAAATTCCGGAATAGGGCTGCCGAAGAAAAAGCACCGGGTGGAATAAGATGCTTAGTCTTTTGGCTCCATCCCCATCGACACGGAATGGCCCGGTAGACATAGGGAGTTACTACAATGATGTACTGTGATTCCACATTCCAATTGAACAAATTATCAATAGACCAGGATGCTCTACTTCATTGGCTCCAGATCACCTGTACACCAAAAGGTGAAATGAGATGGGGAAAGAAAGCAGAGGGAGAGAAAAAAGAAAGAGGCAAGCTTGGTCAGACACCTCCAGACCGGAAACGCAATCCGATCCATGGCGCTGTGCGTGAATGTACATGATGCGGTGGCAGGAGGACCAATACAAAGAAAAGAAGAGATAGATGGCGGGACCAGATGCGAGGATATATCAACACAGATCAACAGGAACGAAACGAAATGAAACGAAGAAAAAAGAGAAATGAAAATGGAAATGAAAATGGAAATCCAGGGAAGATGGGAGCCCAGACAGACCATTCAATTATGAGGGGAAAAATAAAAGAAAAGCGATGGGGGAGGAAAAAGGTTGGGAGGACAAACAGAGATACGGGATCAATAAACACATGGCGAAGCGAATGTCCATCACGCCGGGACTCAAGAGAGAGACAAGAGGGGGCACCGGGCCAAAGACAAAAAAGTTACAGGGGGCCCACAAAAGGAGTGACATCGGCGGTGGTTCATGGAAAGAGAGAGTGTGTGCAAGAACGGGGGGAAATATGCCGAACTTTTTCGAAAGGCTAAAGAGAACGCGGGAATCAAATCATGGGTGAACTGGCGGGGTATACAGAGAGGACAGGAGCCTAGAAATTCTAGAAATTCTGGGCAATACCCGCGTTGCCCGACCGCGGGTAGACACCCGGGTTCTCGATGCGCGTGTTGCGGCGCGCCTGGACATCCCGGATGACGGGCTGGTAGTCATCACCCCCGTACGCGCCGTTGGCGTTCACATCGCCGTAGTACGGATTATCCCCGTAGTATCCAGCGGACGGGTGGCCCCCGGACATATGACTCTCCTCCGAGGCCTCGGAGTGGTTGGCGGCAGAGTAGGCGGAGGAAGCGTTGGAGGGACCGCGGTGGATATCGCCATTACGGTTGTTCGCTGCGACGGGGGCGGCGCCGAGAACGCCAATGGGCTCCACCTCACCCGAGTCCGGACGAGTGCCATCGGAATACTGCACGGTCCCTTCGCTGGGGGTCGCGCCGTGATGGTAAGCACCGCTGCCTTCAGACATGGCCATGCCCATGCCGCTCGACAGGTTGGTCGAGGCTTTGCGGCCGGCGGAGGTCGTACCCCAGCCACGGTATCCGGACGAGGTGTCATCCTTGGGGGCGACTGTGCTAGCGGCCATCATGCCAGGCAGAGTGGGATCATTGTTCGGGTTGAAGCCGTATTCCTCGACCTCCTTTCGACGCTCTTCCTCGGCCGCCTTGTTGGCCTTGCGCTTGCGCCAGAACCAGAGCGCGACCAATATGATGAGAGCGACGGACACGACGGGCACAACGACGGCAATGGCAATCTTACCGCCAGAGGAGAGACCAGAGCTTGCGGCAGCGGTCGAGGTCGACAGGGAAGCGGCGTCGGTACCCGTCGATGAGGAGGTCGTTGAAGTTCCGATGCTCGTGGCCACGGTGCCGGTTTCCGTCTGTGTCACCACTATGATCGTGTTTCCCTGCGAGGAGGTCGTTGTCTCAACAGTAGCCGAAGCGATAGTCGAGGTAGACGTGGTGGACGCAACAGTCGAAGACGAAGTGGAAGTAGCCGTTGTCGAAGTAGTCGTCGTTGTCGGCTGCGCCGAGGTGGTTGTGGACGACGTGGTCGAGGTGGACGTCGAGGTGGACGAGCTACTCGTCGTGCTGGTGGTGTGTTCACTGGTGGTGGTCGTCGACGGGGCAGCCGAGGAAGAGGCCGCTTCAGTCGCCGTCGAATCCGCCTTGGTGGTCGTGTCGACCTTGGTCGAGCCCGCTAGAGTCGACATGATGGATAGTTTAAGATCAACACGCGCAATGGCAATGCGGGTTCAGCGCAGGGCCGTGGGTGGGCGAGGGTGCGATTCTCGAGCACGGATGATCGAGAAGCGGCACGGATGGCGTGGTCACACCAGGAGCGCCAAGATTGGCAGTTCGGATGGGAATATCAAAATGGTAGGAGCGGGCCGTAATTAGGTACGACGATTCGACCGAAGCAACGAGTGATGATGATGCAGAATCCGACGCGTAATGAGAGAAGACGTTGAATGGAGTTGAAGCTTCAGGGGGTGGTTGAACGGGGTGTGTCCAAAATACCGGGAGGAAAAGAAGGAGAAAACAAGAAGAAGAGGGGAGAAGAGAAGAAGTGAAACCCCGGAAAAGGTGAGTCCAGTCGCCGAATCTAGTCGGGAGCCATGGGAGGGTGGGAGGAGTGGGAGGAGGAGAGTGTGTGTGGCAGCGAAGTGAAGAGGAGATCGAGTGGAAACGGTGGAGTGAAGGAGGACTTGGCTGGGTCCATTTGGTTTAGGCTTGGTTTTTGGCCGGTTTCGCGGGTTTCTTACGCAGGCCGTGCGGGCGGTGCAGAGCCGTTTGGCAGTAGCGGAGGGGATCCGCATTCCTAGCGGTACTGTATGGTTACTCTGGCCGGTATGAGTAGTGTGGTATTAAAATAGATTCACTGGGTGCAGCAGTCCACAGGCTCGTCGGATTTGTTCATACGTGACTATGTTCATCGGTGATGCCCACCTGCTTGCAGAGACAATCGACGAAAGCAGCATCCAAACTAGCTCATTGTTTATCCCCTCCCCTCGATCCGGGCCATGCGACTCGGGGTCAGCCCTTGCGGCTCCCATGCGACCGAGTGGACCACAACAAAGATTTTTCGGGAGAACAAAAAACAAAAGGAAAAATGGCCAAAAAAACCCACGGATCAGTAAGGCCAGTCCCATGGAAAATCCCCACTGGGAGACCAAGCACCACGCGATCGCACCATTGACCACTGATGATCCTGATCGGATCAATTGATCTCATCGTCCATATGTACAGTAGCGCTCACGGTGTCCGACCGGCCGTAACCCTCTCGTTCTTGTGGTGTTCCCAGTACGACCATGCATACGTGTAGCTACTGTAGAGGACCTCTGGTGAGTCGATAAATTACCTACTGTACCTCCATACTGATACTGATAATTACATGGTTTCCGGGTCGAATCCCCACGTCATGATGCACGGCGTACTCACTTGCCACCGATACGAGCAACGCGGCACGAATCAACGGCCGCTTAACGGTTTTCTCAGCGTGGGCCTCAATACCCCGTACACAATACCACCCTGCCCGTGACCTACAGTACCACTCTTCCAGAATCACCATCATACGTACAGTAGTTTGATTAAATTCCCGAAGCGGATCATATTCCACATCCTCGATATAACCGCTCTTGAATCATCCTGCCATTCCCTTCCCAAGACTTCGTTCGGACGATCGGATACCGCAAGGCGGAAAAAGGGGGAGAGGTGGGTAACGAACCATCTGGCAGTCGCCAGCTGAACCCGCTCAACCATCTTACGGAGCTCAAGCCCCCGGTCTAGTCGCTGCCGGTGGAGTCCTGAGGCCGTTGTCCACCTCGAGCGTGTAACTCTCGGCCTTGCTCTCCTCCTCGGTCAGTCTAGGCCTCCAGTCCGGGCGAAGAAAGCCTTCTAGCCCGGGTGGTGACGACAAAAGGACGACTCATCTACGTGTAATCAAGACCCAGAGCCGATGAGCACTCGAATAAAGTGGAGGCAGAAAGCAAGAAAGCACTCAAATGGCAGCCGGGAAATCGTTTGCGGGGACCTCCCGGCCGAAACAATGCAATGTCAATGTCAATATCAGTGTCAATGGCATATGTACAGCCCGGCACCCAAGCACCACAGAAATGAAACAAAAAAGGAGAAATTTCGAGAATGCATGGGGGAACAAAGACGGCACCCAACCATAATCTATTTACGCCGGAACACAGCAGGTTTCCAAGAGGGTAGGAGAGAGTGTGAGGGGGGAAAAGGAAAAAGAACAAGAACAAGAAAAAGTCCACAAGATGAACCCCAAAAAAAGATCCGGATGGAAATCAAAACCCAAGGCCATCCTCAAGTATGGGCAAGGGCACGCAGCGCGCAGTTACCATGAAAAACGCAAGGTCGTCATAGGTTTGTTCGAAGGGGCACCAAAACAGCAGAGTCGTTATAGGGGGGAGGAGGGGGACGGAACGGAGGTGTGTTTTATTATCTCTTGCCCATGTCCCAGTCGGGGCGCAGGCTGGTCAACAGGTCGTCCTTGGTCCCCACCATGTCCGTCGGCAACCGGCTGACGCGGTAGTTTCCCATGCGAATGTTGTTCATGTGGGTGTTGGAGATGCCCGTGCGGTTGCTACGGATGCTGCCTGCGTCGCTGCCTCCGTCACTGTTTTTGAACCGGGGCGGGGGGCAAAGTCGAGACTCGTGTACGTGCCGGATTTCCGCAGGGCGTGACTTAACCAAGGAATCAAGTTAGCAACAGATCAGACCAGAGAATCTCCAGCAGAGTGAACTTACGCGCTGGGGATCACAGCCAGCTCGTCGAACGCCGAAGCAAGCGGAGTATGGGCGCGGATGGCCGGGCTGTACGGCCGCGAGCCACCGGTGGGGGTCTCGGGGCGGCCTTCCCGCCGATCCCGGACGTTCGTGCCAGGAGCAAAGTCCGCCGCCATCAGGAAGGAGTCATCTTTCAACATGGCAGGAGTCGGGAGCATTTGAAGAGGTGCCGGTGGAGGCATGGGCTTCCGGGGGCCGCGAGGACCGGGCAGTCGCCCCGAGGCCGAGGAGAAGGCACGCGGGCCGGGACCACCAACACCATTGAACCCGGCAGAGTTGGTGGCCATATGGCGGGCAGCACCTTGGAATCGAGGAGGCGCCCGAGGAGGGGGAGTCATGGCGCGACGACCAATGGGCTCGGCGAAGGGAGGAGCAGGAGGAGCGGCCGCATCGTAGTAATCGCCGGTGGTCGGGTCATACACGTAGCCGCCGTCGTAGAATTCGGAGCCATTGTCTTCGTAGTAGGTCGTCTCCCGCTTACTGTCGTCGAAGTACTCCTTATAAAAGGAACGAATCCGGTTGGCGCGCTGCTCGGGGTTGTCGGCCGGGTCCTCTGGGGGCAAGGGACGCACACCGAGAGTCAGCCGACGGGTGTCACGACGGTTGTTGCTATCAAAGGCCAGATCCAGGTGGTTTTGCGAAGGCTCCTCCGGAAGCTCCGGCAGCTTATTGTCATGATGGGGTTGGTGCTCTTCCGCGCCGTGAACATTCACCGCAGGGATCATGAGGTCCGACTTGCGGTCATCACCATAGTCGCTACTGGTGATATCGCTGGAGGGTAAAGAGATTCGAGGCAGCTGCATGGGGGTCGAAGTCTGGGGATGTTGTTCAAACTCCTGGTAAGATGGCGAATGGTGGGGAAGGGGGAAGTTGAGGCGCTCCTCCTGAGAAGAGGTGTTCGCATGGCTCATGGGGGGTTCGATTTCAAAGTGCAGCTCCGACATTGCATTGTTTGGATGGAACTGAGGCCCAGGGGGTGAGGCCGCCCGAGCAAGGCTCTCGCTGTGATCGGTGGTGGCGCTGCCAATCGCCATCGCATGTTCATTGTGCTCTGACGGGGCGGCAGTCAACCCTGGCGCGGGGCCAAGATGGTCTTGCTGATGAGCCGGCAGAGGACGCTGCGGCATCCCCTCGCCAGGAGGGTTATTGTAACGGGGAGGGGATGAGCGGGACATCCGCTGGGCATTGCGCAAAAGTCCCGAATTGGGCTCCTCTGCACCGCCATATCCATGGCGGGTTGAACCTCTCAGGCTTGATCCATCATCACCACGGTTTCTCGGGAACGATCGAAGCGAGCCATTATCTTGGCTTCCAAAGACTGCTGGGCGGTACTTGTCATCATCGATGGAACGAGACAGTGAGTGCAGAGATTCTCGGGAGCCATGGAGACCAGGGGGCATCAAATACGGGCTGACGTCGAGAGAGAGACCCTTGGCATGGCTGGGCTCCATCATCTGCGGCTGCAGCCCATTGGGGAGCTTCCTTCCTTTTCCCGAGGGAGGTCCTACCATATCCATACCGAAATCCAAAGATTTGTGTTTGTCGTTTGCATCCTCCCGCATCAGCTTCTTCACATGTCTCCGGTGAAGGAAGATCAGGACCACAATGGCACAGAGGATGGGAACACTGCTCAACTATTAGATTTGGCGGGTTTTTTGGGAGGGGTTTCCCCACGTCTCGACTCCGAATCAAGACAGATATCAACAAACATACCCTGCGCCCAGTACGACGGGCAACACCGTTGTTGTCAGATTGCTTGTGGGCTTTGTGCATCCACTCGAGCCACAATCTGATGTTCCGGTAGTTTCTGATGAGGCCGGTGCTCTTGCAATCAATGAGGGGAAGCCAGCACCCGGAGCGGTGGCGATGGAGGGCACGAGAAAAGGGAGCCGGTCAGACGGGATGACCTCCCGTCGAACCACAGAGTGCCTCATCACTCGATCCACATCGGCATGCAGATGGTGAGGCATGGTTGAGGAGGCCCGTCCGAAGAGGAGGGGGAGGTGGATATTAGTTTGTCGATCACAGGGACCTGATGCTGCCAGGCGAACCAGTCGACAGGCGAAGAAATCAGGCGAGAGCCGCAGAGATTATACGCTTGAAGTCATTGAAGTTTCACAGCCACATCGACGGAGAAAGGCGAGAGCGACGAAAAAAAGAGTGAACGGGGAGGGACACGAGAGGCCCGAGAGGTGTAAAGGAGTGTGGTGGCCAGCAGCCTGGAAAGGGAGTGAACGAGGGTCGGGATAAAGTCGAAAGAGTGTCGAGTAGAAAGCAGAAAGCAGCAGACGAGCAGACGAGAGAAAAGAGGAGAAGGGGGCCAGTTCTGGGCTGGTCTTAGCGCACAACACTTAGATTACATACGGGCTGTGACACTCTCGTCATAGTGCTGCTAGTGCTCCTTTCAGCGTGGGTTGGAGGGGGAAACAGCCTTGTATGGTACCGTATACGCAGTACTGTGTATTCTCTCGAATCTCCGCAATGGGACCCCTGAAGCTCTTCAATCAGCACGCTGCTCTCCTCGCTTTCGCTTGTCGATTTCATGACGACCACGACCAGCTCTGCTCCGCTACCTCATGTCTCTCCCACTAGGGACGCTTCCTACCCCTCCGCTTGCCTCCCTGTTTCTCTTTGTTGCGTGACTCCGTCGGACTGCACCAAGCAAGGCACGTTTGAGACCTTCCCCTGATGGGGCCCAGGTTTAGCGTCAGGAACCCACCCGCCGTGGGGCCAATCAGCGGCCGTGTGCCCCTGAACCGGAGATGACCACCTTGCGCCCAGAAACGGTGGATATACGTACGGAGTGGGACTACACGGTAAATGGAGGGCCTCCATCCCGCTGGTAGGTAAGGGCTACCTGCAACGGCTGGAAGCCGAGTACGGAGATGGGCTGCCATCCTTTTGCCGGCCCGGGCTGGCCCTCACCGGTCGCAACCAGTCGCAACCAGTCGCAACCCCCCGATCGTCGCGAGCTATCAGGCAGTCCCTCTGTCTGCGGCTCTCCGACTGGCACACGCTGCTGTCATCTCCCTGTCACAGACAACTTTGGAATGCGGGCGATCGGGTCCCTTAACCTGAGACGCTGGCGGCTCCCCCGCTCCTTTCATTGGAATGTTGCCCACCGTTCTTCCGGGGTGGCGTTCCCGCGAGCCCTTGGCCGGGCTCATCCACTCGGCGGATAACCGTCGGGCACTGGACATGGGCAAGAATGAACCTTAGTAGAACCCATCCTGAATGTGTTGGTGGGACCAACTGACCAGTTCATCCTTGTTTCTCCAGACTGCTCCGCACATACAACCGAGTCGTCTGCTCTCTCGGGCCTCGACTCCAGCGCACCTTGGGCCAAATGCTGAGCAAAATCCAGAAACCTATCCCGATCGATGGCCGTGCCGACGGGGACTGGGCCAAAGCCTCTCCTTGGAGTATTTTCGGTCAGACCTCTTTCCATAGTGTATATATTGTAATCTATGTCCTACTCAACGGGCGGGCAGCCTGTTGTTTGCCCTCTTGTCCGGCTGAAGATTCTGTGGCTGGAGGGGTTTAGGTGCATCCGTGTGGGCTCGGTGTGGCTCACTGTGGCTCACTGTGGCTCAAAAGGCACCTCGCCATACACTCTTATTTAGACACGAGGTATACCCCCTGCACGGTCCCTCTGGCTGAACCCCTCATCGATCGGGCTTGGTGCTTTTCCTGCACACCCGTTGCTCTTCACGGCCCTAGCAAGGCGGCAGTTGAGAGCCAAGCACTGTCGGGTTATCCGGGAATTTCGTTTAATGGGGCTAGGCAGACCGTCTGTCTATGCGAGGCCACTATCTGCTTGGGACGTTTGTCGGATGACAAGGTGCATTATTGGGGTGACCGTGGCCGTGGGTGCAGGAAGAGGGCATTGGAATGCAGGAAAAATGACTGGTTCATAATCAAACCTTGGGTTCTGCGAAGCTCTCCCGACTTCTCTCCCCGTTGCCACGACTGTACATGTGTTGCAACTTGATCAAACCGAAGGCCTCCGGGATTTGCGAGTTATCTAGGAGGTATGTATTTGTATTCCTGGGGCAGATACATATTATTATGGTACGGATGTCAACGCCAGCCGTTGTTGCGGGATAGCCGCCACAACTATGAAATATATATTCCCGACGGAGTGGAGGCCCGCTCTACCTTTTTGCCTTTTGAGACCCAAAGATCAGAAAAGAGAAGGATCAGGATGAGAGGTCCAAGCTGCCCAAACCAGCTAACACAACCAGCATGCCGCCTACCGGAACTCTCGGTTGCCAATTTTCCCATTCTGTATGATGGGGTGCCTGGCTAGGATGACGTAAAAGCCTCGAATAACCGAGCGCTGCGGCGGACCGCCGAGAATAGCCATGTCAACGTCCTGGGAACGCCCCGTCGCGACCAAATTTTCCGGCCTAGTCCAAGGTGGTTGCCACGAACGTTCCGAAGCTCCCACCCCGTGGCCGTCGATGCTCGGCCAGGCGCGGGCAATGGGGCTGGGCATCGCATGGTGCATCGGCAAGCCGAGAGGGAGGCCGAGCGTACCAAGGATGACTAGGCGATATTGCCCGGGACTCGTGTGTTGACCCGGGATCCCAGATCAGCAGATATACATTCAATTGGGATTGAATCCCCAGGGACTACCACATCAGAGGGAAGAAATCGAAGAGAGGCGCCTGGAAGCCTTCGCGGTGGGGTGGGACGCAGATGGACCGGCACGATGGCCGCGGTTCCCGCAACGTTCTCGATCAGGCCTTACGAACGGCGAGCCGAGGGCCCGCGCCAACCTCCGATGCAATGCGCAGTTGGGTATCCATCGAAAATCATGGTGGCGTCTCCATACTTGCCGCTGGTCAGAGATTTGACGAGCAGGATGGGTCCAGGCAAAGGCGAGACAGTAAAAAATGGGAATATAAACCATTGTTGCTTCCTCCGACCCTGAAAGCCTCCACAAAGAGATTATCACCCTCTCCTGCACCTTTCTATCGCAGTCCGCAGGGCCTTGACAGCTGGCTCCGAGCTGGTATGGATCCAACATGCGACCTGGAGAAAGGCTCTGCGCCGCCTCGGCCGACTTCCTCCCTCAGCCAGAGTGTCAACCGCGAGGCCTACCACTCGGATTCTGTCTCAAGTACAGAGGCCCCATCGGTTTCGTCATCCCAAGATGCGTTCGACTGTTTGTTTCAAGTTCAGACCGTTCAATCCCATCATGGTGCCGGACTCGAACGGCACCCGACGGCACTGGAACGCATTGCGACCCAAAGAAGCCAACACAACGCGACAGTAGGTGCTGGACGGAAACAGAAATGGGAAGAGGCTGGACCCCTTCCTGACTTTGGGGCTGGCAAGCCCTATCCGGCCCCGTTACCTGACAAAGAGGAGTATGTCGTCGAGTTTGCGGGACGAGATGATCCGCTGCACCCGCAGAATTGGCCGACGAGCAAGAAGTTGTTGACGGCCACGATCCTGTCATTTACGACCCTCAATTCCACGTTTACCAGCAGCATCTACTCCGCCGCCATTTCCGCTGTGGGAACCGAATACAACGTCTCCAACGAGGTCAGCACTCTGGGCCTGTCGTTGTACGTCCTCGGCTTTGCAACGGGCCCCGTTCTGTGGGCCCCCTTCTCCGAACTCAAAGGTCGACGCCTGCCCCTTCTCCTCTCTATATTCGGCTTCACAATCTTTCAATTCGCCGTCGCAACGGCCCAGAACATCCAAACCATTATGCTGTGCCGCTTCTTCGGCGGATTTTTCGGCGCATGCCCAATCGCGGTCGTGGCCGCTGTTCTCGCCGACATCTATGATAACCGTGTCCGCGGCCTTGCGATCACCGTCTTTGCCATGGCAGTCTTCACAGGGCCCCTCATCGCTTCTACCGTGAGTGGGTTCATTGTGCAGAACTTGGGCTGGCGCTGGACCGAATACATCACCGGGATCATGGGAGCATCAGCTCTCTTGATTGATCTCGTTTTGCTGCAGGAGACCTATCCACCGATTATTCTCGTGCAGAAAGCGGCCGAGCTGCGCCGACGCACACAAAACTGGGGCATCCACGCCAAACAGGAAGAGATTGAGGTGGATTACCGCCAACTGATTCGAAAGAACCTACTGCGACCTGTCAAGATTCTCTTTCTCGAGCCGATTGTTCTGCTGCTCAGTATCTACATGGCGTTTCTATACGGCCTTCTATATCTCTTCCTGACGGCATACCCTATTGTTTTCCAAAGGATTCACGGCTTCCACCCAGGGGTCGGCGGTCTTCCATACTGGGGCCTCGTCATCGGGGAATGTCTCGGGGGAGTGTATATTATCCTCACCCAGCCCTCGTATAACCGCAAGCTGGTGGCCAACAATGATATCCCCGTCCCGGAGTGGCGTATGCCTCCAGCCATTGTGGGCAGTGTTGCCTTTGCTGGAGGCCTGTTTTGGTTCGGCTGGTCAGGCTGGAAGGCCGAGATTCACTGGGCCGTGCCGATGACGTCTGGGCTTCTCATCGGATTCGGCCTGTTTTGCATCTTCTTGCAGTCGCTGAACTATATCCTGGATGCATATACATCCTTGTAAGTACGATGTCTTTTCCGAAAGAGGGAGCTATGCTAACGCACTTTTCTCCATTTAGCGCTGCCTCAGCCCTGGCAGCTAATAGCATCCTCCGCTCTTCCGCTGGTGCGGGCTTCCCGCTATTTGCCACCTATATGGTATGTGTCACACGAGCCCTTGTCCGGACATGAATGCCTGCTAACATGTATCTCATAGTTCAACTCCCTAGGCGTCAATTGGGCGAGTACCTTGCTCGGCTGTGTGGCGGTCCTTTTAGTTCCCCTGCCTATCATCTTCTACGCCTACGGCCCGAAGATCCGCGCGAAGAGCACGTTCGCGACCGATCACGCGCTGGCTGCAGGCATCGAAGATGAGCGGGAGAAATAAAAACGTGAGGATGAGGATGAGGATGAGGATGAGGATGAGGATGAGGATGAGGATGAGGATGAGGATGAGGATGAGGATGAGGATGAGGATGAGGATGAGGATGAGGATGAGGATGAGGATGAGAATGAGGATGAGGATACCCTGTTTAACGTAATGATACCCCATTGAGTTAGTAATGTTCCGACCTACTTCACCGGTCTATTCCAAGACAGTTTCAACCCTTTTATAAACCGTTCCAGAAAAACAGCGTAGACCGCGACGAGCGGTTTTCTATACCTTAGCCAGGATCGAGCAAGCTAAAGCCTTGCATTGCCACAATTTTCCCATACATTGCTAAGTAATCTTGCGACCGACTACGATCTGGCAGCGCCAGTGCATACCCTTCGGTGAACGGACGAAAATAAACAAGGGTTGAAACATCAACTCTCAGTTCAATATAGTACTCTCTTTCACATCATCCCTCAGTTAAGTATCCCCGCTCCTTTGACAGATCAGACGCCGAACCAGGTGATCAAATCGGTCTTACAGGTGTCGCCGTATCCGATTGCATACCTTGATATCCTCGACCCACTGTCCTTCAGCGCACCGTTCCCCAGCGATCTCCTCACAGGTAGACACTGGTCAAGGCTGTCCTAAGAACTAACGATCGACTAAAAGACGAGACAACACTGTGCACCTGCAGAACTGGCCGACTTGGAAAGTCGATAACTATCTTCCCATAGATGACGCTCAACTTCACGTCTACCGGCAGCATATACTCTGCTGAAATCTCCGCCATCGCAACTCACTACTATATCTCTGGCAAGGGCAGCGCTTCTCTATAAGCAAATGGATCAAGCAAAATGGTTGACAAGGATACCCTGTTGGATGTATCTAATGATACCCTTTAGTAACGTGCCGACCTGCTTCACCGGTTCCTATTACCATGATTGCCAGCCTTCCAAGTGTGCCAGCATCTCCAAAATAAAGCCTAAGTTGAGACAAGCGTGTTTTATGTTCTAGCCGAGATCAGATACTGTATTAAAGTGACTCGTATAGAAATGCTCCTGTCACCAGGCCGAAGCCTAGCAAGCAAGTAATATGCATGACATTGAACCTCATTGCTCTTCATCTGGTAGGTCTTCGTTCTCAAACATCATCACAGCTCGGGAGCCCCCCTTCCACGATTATTACAGCACAATTATGAGAATATCAGCTGCGCAAATATATGCAACAGAGACAAAGGGAAAGGTAGAGTGAGAGCAGCGCTGGAAGGAGGACTGGAAGCAGGTGGAACAAAAAAAGGTAAGAAAGCAGACATGAACCCCCAGGTTGTGCTCGTACAAAAGTAGGTGTGTAATTCACACATTTGAGAGTAAAGAAAAAAGGACAAATAGAAGCATGGGATGAGCAATGTACACGTGAAGAAAGTTGTACATAGAGATGCAATGGCTATTTTTGACGCCTGAATTGGAAAGAATTTGAGAAGCATTCGCCCTGGGAGAATCAGAGGAGAGAAGCAAGAAAAAAACCCATCGAGGAGAATGGGAATCCAGGAGTTGGTAGAAGGAAAGACTCATTTGACTGGCTTTGTGCCAAGTTCCCATGCCGGATCTGGAGGTGGTGGATGGTAATCGGCTAGAGGAGGGAGAGAAGAACGAAAGAAAAGAAAGAAAGAGAGAAAAGGAAAGGAGGAGGGAAGAGGAGAGAGAAAAGTATGGGAACTCAGAAATAAAGCTGCAGCATGCACTGGTGATCCTTGGACCCAAGTGTCGTCAGTGCATCTCGGCCAACGCGGCCTCAAAGCCTGCAAGATCGTCATGAGATGGTTGATCGAATATCCGTCGAAAGGGAGGATCAGATGGAAACACATTTTGCGGGCTTGGATCAACACCTTCTGCCTTGCGGATGACTTCCTTCAAGGCGCGAGTGACCACCCCGGCCCGAACAACGAGATCGCGGAGAGATTGGGTATCAAAGGGGAGTTTTTGAGTGCGTGGGGGTGGAGTCAAGTCGGACAGGCCGGAGCCCTCGGTGTGGCGGCTGGGTTGTAGGATGTCGAGGACAGATTTCGATTTCGGAGAGACCTTGGAAAGTTGTCCGAGGGTGGAATTATATAGCCGGGGTTCATGTTGCGGAGAACCCTGCCACGAACCACCATCGGTATTCTTCTTGGGCTGTCTGGACGGCGCGGTCTGCAACGGGCGATCCTGCTGGAGATTGCTTTGCCAGGAAGCGTCACTGTTGCGTTTTGATGCACCGTTCGCACCTTCGTCATCAGAGTCATCAAAGCTGAAAGTCAGCGAAGACGGCGACCCGGGAGGAGAACGGCGGTCGTCGTCATCATCAATGGTAGCGAGATTGACGATTCCCTCTGCTTCCTTCCATAGTTCACTCGATGGCCCGCTCACAAGATCCAGGATGCTTGCTTGATGCCGCAGACGTTTCAGTTCTTCCACGAGCAGCGTGAGCTCCTGCACTTGGCCAAACTGACCTCGAAGACTTGCTTGTCGTTCAAGAATAGCCTTGGGAACCATCATGCTCTGAGGAGCGGCTTCGGACTCAGTGCTTTTGGTGTCCTGGCTAGCAGCGGGCTCCTCGGTATCGTCAAAGTCGAAGTCGCTGTCCCAGTCTTCGCTCACACCCTTGGTGCCCAATCCCCAGGTGCCGAATTTACCTGACGGTTGACGAGATTCATTCGCAGGAAGATCCCTTGCCACAGGCACACTCTGACTCCGAAGGTGAATGGCTGAGGGCACTTTCCGACACGCTGCACGGCTTCCTCTGTTCACAACACTTTGTTTCCCCTGCATCGTGCGTGGGCGCGCCTCGGAGTCGGACATATCACGATCAGGACGGGACTGCTCCGACCAGTCGAAAATATTCATCTTCTGGCTCATATGTAACTGTGCAACAGGGGAGCCCGCCCGGGGCATTGCAAATGAAGAACCACCGTGCCCTACCGAGGCACTGGATACAGAAACGGCGAGGGCTGACCGGAGCGGAGCGCCATCGGACTCCCCCGGCAATGCTCCGATCATGCCTCCAGTCTCGGCATCACCCTCTGGTATCGATGTGGTATCATCGAGGCGGGCCTGAGCCACAGAGGGGAGAAGAGAGTCCGGGAAGAGAGGGGGGTCTTGTTCCAATCGTAATGCGAAGGAACCGCGTGGAAGCAGCTCTTCCAGGGTCGCGACTTCCTCGTTCGACAGATGTGCACCCGCCTTTTCGAACATTGTCTCGATGTGCAACCCCTTCAATCCACCACCACTGGTCTCGTGGGTGCGAAGCGAATCCCAATAGTCGGTCATGATGTCGGTCTCATATTCGTCGCTCGACGTGAAGACACGCGTGTCATCAGAGCCTATAACAGTAGACGAGGGATCTGAAGCCGCAATGGAATGTCGTTTCGGTCGACGGCGGAGAGAGGAAATTGTATAACTATCCGGTCGAGCGGAATGTTGCCACGTAGATAGAGCAACAGCATCCGAGGTGAGTGGGTGTTGGCCACGAATGCCCACATTATAATCCTGGGAGACTGAACGAGGAGCCATCAGATGATCCCTACCATAGGCTGAAACAGCCAGTCCTGGTGGCGAAAGAGCCTGTGGGCGGCGGAAGACCGAGGGATCTGTGATATTACGGCGTTGCGGGGCTTGCGGGGAACTTGGGATGACACTGTGCAGTTTTGCAAGCTCTGATCGGGGGATGGAGAAGGTCCTTCCCTTGACCCGTTTCAAGGACCCAGCACGAGCACGTCCAGGAATTGGAGTGCCTGACGCGGTCACCGTATTGACAATGATCTTTTTCGGCTCGACATCATTCAGAGAGAACGAGTGCTTGTGCATTGGTTTTTCGGGCGGTGGACCTTCCAGTGCCGGCGCTTCTGGCGCTGGTGGAGGCAGAGGAGCTGCAGCAGCAACATCTGTGTCTGTCTGGAATGGATTACAAAACGTGATGGGAGTCACAGGCACCGATTGATCCTCTCGCGGTGTGGACGTTTGGGGAGTGATCGTGGTTGCCAGCACAAGAGCTGGAAGTGTATCCTGCTCGGATATAATTCGCCGCACCCCTGGAGGTTTGGGACTTGCGGTTGTGGACAGCCTTCGGGCTAGCTTCTCTGAGAAGCCCTCTGATTTTGGCAGTAGGTATGGTCTCCAGTTGTTCTGTGGACTGATTGCAAACTCCTCCATCATGGGCGACTCGATGGGATAACTCTCTGGGAAATGGGGTCCAAAATCCATGGCAAGAGGGGACTGGGGCCCTATCGACTCCGATCGCTGATGGCTGGTCGCCGGCCTTCGCAGAGCAGACACGGGGGACACCGACGTATTGAAAAAGAGAGGGTTGGCATTGGAATGTTGTGAGGATGAGCGCTTGACTAATTTGTTTGGCGCTCGACGCGAGCTGGACGGACGGGGAAGGATAGGGCTTGCAGACCCATTAAAGGATGGCGTTACTGGGCTGTTGGTTGAGGGACTCTCCGTTTGGAAGGACACTATCGACAGTCGACGCAGCCAACTTGTCGATGGACGGCGTGAGTGCGACTCCCGCGACTCGATCGATTCCGGGGTTTCATTCTCAGGGATTCGTAAGGGCGGGTTAGTTAGTGTTTGGCCGCGACGGCGACGTCTCGCCGCACTAAAGGACAACGGTGCCCGCCGCAGGTCAGGGTCCTGCAACGGATCCCGACACAAGCCATCATGCCCGTCGATTGCTTTCTCCGTGGGAGTCGTCCAATCTGCTCCCGCTGTGGGTGGTCGGGCGCGCCAGGCGGTCTTAGGTCGCGCATCGACCGGGGTCGGTAGTTCTGAAGGAGTGGGAGGGGGCTGATTATAGGAGAACGTCTTTCGCCGAAAGATACTGGGCTTGGAGCGTTCGACACGACCGAGAGCCAGGCCGGAAGTGGCTATTCCTACTGTGCTTAAGGCACAGAGCTGACGGGGACGTGAGTCGGGGCCAAGCAGGGGGATTGGAGGATGGAAGTCCTTACCGTTGATATGTGATCCATCCTCAGAGGATGCTGCGAAGAGTGTCAAGCACCCTCCAGCTCAGCTCCGCAGGGTTGAGGCCGTTGCGAGTGACATCCCATTTGGTGTAGCAAAGGGCAGGCCTTGGGAAACCAGAAGCAGCCCGCGATCGTCGAGGGGCCCGGGAGATAAACAAAGAGGGATCTGGGGCCTCGGGAGGTTGGACCAGAACTTAGAATTCAGCGAGGAATGAGGGCCAACGAGCGAAACCCTCCTCCTGTTGCACTTCGATCGGAATCCCTCCAGGGCCGTGAAAGGGAAGAGAGTCGATGACGACTTTGGGAGGGGGAAGTGGAGTTTGGAGTCAACAACAACAAGGCGAGTCGGGGATTAACGCTAAACTCAGCTGGTCCAGGGCAAATCTGGGCACACGCGAGGAGTAGAATCAATAATAGTATTCTCCGTAATTAGTAGGAGTACCTCAGCGGCCCATGCTACTCATCATAATCATAATCAGAATAATAACATGAGGAATGTACATCAGTTTGGGAAATAACGTGATCTTTGGGTCGTCAACCTGGTTGAACATTTACTACACGTCTCTCTCCTCCTCCGCCTGTCATACTTTCTTCCCCTTCCTGCTTGTTTTTTTTTCCACTACCGGTCAATGAAATCCCCCGACCCCCTGCAACTCCGGGCGCACGATCCCTGCGGGCTATTGCAAATCGGCGCGATTGACGAGAGAGGCTGCTGCCAGGCGGGCCACCGGCCATCCCTTGCGGCTCACTTTGCAGCTTAGCGACCGACCTGCTCGTGTCTTTCCTGTCGAGCCTGCCTTAGCCTGCGTTAGCCTTTAGCCTGGTCCTGTCGGTCCTGTCCAGACTCTAGACCGGAATCTCTCTCATTTACGGAGAAGTCCGCCTCGGAGTGGGCTGCGAGTGGCTAAGCGTCAAGGAAATTGGCCAAGCCATGCGATCCAGAATTCCCCACACATCTCGTCTCGGCTGGCTGGGATCGCGTCTTTCGGCCCCCTTAGACCTTCCCAGGATCGCTTAGTTGCGCGATCGCAAGGGCCCAGTACGGCCGATCTGTGTCCACCGGTTGGACGAACCCCTTCCCGAGGCCCTGGTGAGCTAGTGAGCTGCTGAGCTGGTGGAGGTCCTATCCTGTCTTGTCCTGCCAGCCATGCGTGGCTACGCTGCTTGGATGACGGATGTCAGACCTTCTTTCTTGCTGCGCTGGTCGGGGGCTGCAGGCCATATGTTGTTCTGAAACACTTGTCGTCCAATCCCCAACTCTGGTACTGATACGCCGTCCGGCCTTCCAAACACACCGCATGGAGGGAACGAACGAGAACGAGGCTACGGTCGGCGGCCATGCTGATCATCAGCTTAACCGAACATGCCCGTGATAGGGATTCTGCTTGCTCCTTCCAGAGGTACCTAACATCCACTCACGATCTATTCCTTTCGGACGTGCTGATCTTTACGTCCCGCCGCGCACGGGTTGACCGATTTGTTTTGTTTTCTTTTCTTTTGTTTTCTTTTGTTTTGTTTTGCTCCCCACCCAACCCCCAAACCACCCAGGGGGGATGTTTCATGAGAAAAAGAACCTGAGCAAGTTCAGGCCTGGAAGCTCCAAGGAAGCAACGAGGTTTGACAAAACCCCGATCTATACCGTCATCCCTCTCCACCCTGTAATGAAAAGGAAATCCCCGTGGGTCGAATGCAAACGACAATCGGTTCTTACTGCCGATTTTGTGCCGCCTACCTAGACCGGTGGAGGGTTAGCTTACTCCGATAAATAGCGTACCACTCGAAAAATCTTGGAAATGCGAAATTGCAGATGAAAATTTGTGAACATCGTGCAGTTCTGTCCCTGGACATGGCTAAGGCCGGTCACTGCGGCCGGAGACCGAACCCCCGAACGCTTGCGATCGGCACGGCCAAGCATCCATCCCCTTGCGGTCAATGAAAGTGCCCAATATAGAGGTTCATTGGCAGGTTCTCCTTCGGTTAAATGGCCGTGGCTTACCCCACCCTCTCACGCGCGCGGTTGACATGTTCGCATTTTTTGTCATCTTCTCAAGGTTATGGTTCGAACACCGAACATCGCCATTTGCCGGGGTCTGGACCATTTCTGATGATCCATTGCCATCGGCCTGTCGTGGGCTTGTTAACCACGCTGACGATATTCGTTGCGTCGGTCTCGCCTGCATGCCAACTGCAGACCGCAACGAGATACCCCCTGCATCATCTTTGACCTTGAAAAGATTTCTATGGTATTATTTGACTTTCTGTCGACTTAAATCACCTATGGTGGTAAATGTAAACAGATTTAGAACGTGACAGAGTGATAGGATCGAGTGCCAAGGTTGAAAATCATCACATTCTGGACTACTGAACCCGAACGATAACCAGCCAGGAAACCCCACGGAGACCTGTCAACGGGGCTATGATGATTGAAATCAGAATACAAAGAGTTGCACCGCGGGCCACCAAAATGAGTAATCTAGCTTTTGATTTATATTTGAGCTTGGTTTTATCACAATATCTGCCGTTGTGTCTCCGGGCTGTGGATGACACTGATCTTTTGGCTATATCATTAATTTAGAGTTAAGGATGTCTTGGCCGCACATCGGATAGTTGTTGTTGAGGAGGGGAGAGGAAGCCCATTGCTACTATAAAATCAATAAATTACACCTAGTCTTCAAACGGTATCTTTTTATGGAAGGAGTCCTTTCGGAGCTGTGATACCAGTGCATAAAGTTGAGGTGGACAACCGCAGAGATATTCAACCCAGCACCTCGTATTTTCAGCTGCAACTAAAATGTCTCAATGGCCTCCGGCTGGTCTCCAAATAGAGAGTGCATGACTGAGTAGATACTGGTGACTAGAGCCCACGTCAGGAATCGGGAGGCTGAAATGAACCAGAAAGTCTAAGTTGGACGAGAATGAAGTAGCGTGAAGTCGTCAACTTTTCATCTAGGTCATTTTATAACATCTCGGCCAGGGGGCTATCCTTACTTTGGCATCTGTTAGCTGTGTAACTACCGGGTGATCTGGCGCTTGTGTCCTGCAGGTCCGACTGAAGCAAACGCCCCATTGAGATTTAAAAACCATCTGATAACGATCAAACTAGCCTTCGAATCTTAATGCTTTGGAGTCTTCTCTCTTTCGACTACTGGAAATACTGTGTAATTGTAGAAGATAACGCTAATCAGTAGATTTGTAAATGCGTAACTTTTTGGGTATCCCAATTAGCTAGTAATCAGAAACCCAATCATCAGAAGAAAAACGCTACCATCGGAGCTACACACAAACAACTAGTAGCAAAGGTCGTACAAGACCAAGTGATGAGGTTGTCTGTCAGCGGGAAGCTGCTAACTATGAGAGATACTTTTCGCCATGGTCATGTGACCTTATCGATAACCCACCTGAAAAACACCCCTCTGTGGTTTGCGGCCGAATTACCCCGGACCACGAGGACGTCATTGCAGGCTCGACTCGTCGATCCACCCCAAGCCACTGTACATTTGACTGGATCGACCTGTGATCAACTCATCTGAAAAGCGCAATGGAGGCAGAACTCCAGGCCCAGATCCCTGGCCTGGACCATGTCATCTCGGAGTACTCTGTGGTGTGTTCGAGATGCTCTGCCTGAAGAAAACTTTGGAAGCAAAGCTAACGAGGGATAGGGATACCTCACTCATGCTTCCAACCTCTATGTTGAGGATGCCAATGCCCCCTCGCCATTACTGGAAGCTGCAGAGTCGGTGACGGAGCTGCTGATATCCGCCTCTGGAGATTTCTCCTCCCAGAACCGTGACGCGATCAGCAACCTGGTAGAAAAGTTCATTACGTCCCTGAGCTCAGCAAATGGTGTGGATGCAGAACGGAGGCAAATGCCTCTGACAGCAAAGAAACTGGACCAGGCCATCAATGTGGGCTCCCAGCGGAATATGTCTTCCACGCTGGGTCTGACCGGTACAAATGTGGACTTGGAATCTGCCAATGCTAGGAAGGTGGAGTCGCGTGTGGACAAGAAGAAGCTTGAAAAGGCCGAGCGCAAGATTCGGGTTAAGCAAGAGAAGAAGCAGATGAAGACGGTTCAATATGAGGCATCCCGTCTGCTCAACCAGCCGGATGAGGCTATGTCTTACGAAGAGTTCTTCATGGCCGTCAACCCTCTACAGTTGGGCTCAGACTCACAGTCCAAGAGCAAGGACATCAAGCTGGACAATATCGACATTTCTATCAGCGGCCAGCGCATCCTGACGGACGCTGCATTGACTCTTGCTTATGGTCGTCGCTATGGTCTTGTGGGTCAGAACGGTATCGGTAAATCTACTCTGCTGCGGGCTCTCAGTCGCAGAGAGGTCGCCATTCCGAGTCATATTTCGATTCTTCATGTCGAGCAAGAGGTACCTTTATTCATCCACCCCCTCACAAGATGAATGATCTGTAGCTAACGATTCTCACCAGATTACGGGTGATGATACTCCGGCAATCCAAGCGGTCCTGGATGCGGACGTATGGCGGAAGCATCTTCTCGCGGAACAGGAAGTTAGTCTCACCCTCACTATACGCACTGGCGCCTCTTGCTAACAGGATATCTTCCACAGAAAATAACTAAGCAGCTGACTGCTATTGAAGAAGAACGATCTCAACTGGCGGATACATCCAAGGATGCTGCCAGACTGGACCACGAAAGGGAGGGTCTGGATATTACTCTGAGCGACATTCATTCCAAGCTCTCTGAGATGGAGTCCGACAAGGCTGAGTCTCGGGCTGCCACCATTTTGGCTGGTCTTGGTTTCTCTCCCGAGAGACAACAGTACTCCACCAAGACATTCTCTGGTGGTTGGCGAATGCGTTTGGCCCTGGCCCGAGCCCTGTTCTGCGAGCCTGACCTGTTGCTTCTTGATGGTTGGTGATCACCCCTTTCACTTGAAAAATAACCTTTGCTAAGTCGACGCAGAGCCGTCGAACATGTTGGACGTTCCGTCTATTACCTTCTTGGCGAACTATCTCCAGGGATATCCTAGTACTGTCCTCGTTGTTTCTCACGATCGTGCATTCTTGAACGAAGTTGCCACCGATATTGTTCACCAGCACTCAGAGCGATTGGATTACTACAAGGGTGCTAACTTCGGTATGTTAATTCCTGTGGGAAGCTTTTATACTTTGCTAACTATTCCCCCCCCTTCTTTAAGAATCGTTCTACGCTACCAAGGAAGAGCGGAGGAAGAATGCTAAGCGCGAGTATGAGAAGCAAATGGCCGAGAGGGCTCATCTTCAAGGTTGGTCTCATTTTGTTCATTATATTTCTTTCGCACACTAACTGTTTATTCCAGCCTTCATTGACAAATTCCGTTACAACGCGGCCAAATCTTCGGAAGCTCAGTCCAGAATCAAGAAGCTCGAGCGTATGCCTGTTCTCGAGGCCCCGGAGAGCGAGTATGTCGTGCACTTCCAGTTCCCTGAAGTCGAGAAGCTTTCGCCACCCATTGTCCAGATGTCCGATGTTTGCTTCGGATACACCACGGACAAGCCTCTTCTTAAAGATGTTGATCTCGACGTCCAGCTGGATTCACGTATTGGTATTGTGGGGCCGAACGGTGCTGGTAAGACTACCGTGCTGAAGCTCCTCACCAACCAACTGCAGCCCACAAAGGGCTTGATCTCAGCACATTCGAGACTACGCATTGGATTCTTTGCGCAGCACCATGTGGATGCTTTGGACCTGACCACCAGCGCCGTGAGCTTTATGGCAAAGACTTACCCCGGCAAGAGCGACGAGGAGTACCGGAGACACCTGGGTGCATTTGGTATCACCGGTATGACCGGTCTTCAGCGCATGGAGTCTCTGTCCGGTGGTCAGAAATCTCGTGTTGCATTCGCATGCTTGTCGCTGACCAATCCGCACATTCTTGTTCTGGACGAGCCTTCTAACCACTTGGATATTGAGGGTATGGATGCGCTCTCTGAGGCTCTTCAGAGGTTCGACGGTGGTGTTGTGATGGTCTCTCACGACGTGACCATGCTGCAGAATGTATGCAAGAGTCTCTGGGTCTGCGACAAGGGTACTGTGCATAAGTTTGATGGCGATGTTAAGGCATACAAGAAGATGATCACCGCACAGGCTGACGCGGCTGGTGTTGTGGCCAAGCACTAAGCTTAAAAATCAGATCAATTGAAGCGTATATGGATATGGTCCAAATGGCCCCTCCATATGATGTATAATTAATCCCAGAAACACTTGAATCTGTCTAGTTTAGGAGCAGTAAATTCTCCACGTAAGTCGTGTGACTGTGGGTGGAGACTACGGAGTACATGTTGGCTCAGCCCATTTTTTATCAGCGCTCATCCGTAAGTTTTCCCGGCCCCCTGTGAGCTGAGCTGACCCACTTACTAAACGTACCTATTACACACCCTTACACATAGTTAGCAACTACTATAGGGAAAGTATACAAAAATGGGCTGAGGGATACTATTGCTTATCTGTCTTATCATCACGTTATGGCCTGAGCCGACCGTAACCTCGTACCTCTGCGGGTGGGTCCAGTGCTCCCGCTATCGACGACTTATCGACTTATCGACTTATCGCGGAACCCCAGATCTCTCCCCTGCCACCTACAACCCTCCTCTCCCAGATGCCGATAGATGGAACACCAGCAGATGACAATACAGACGAAGCAGAGCTCCAAGATATGATTCCAAGGGAGGAGGCAGACCAGTCCGGCCCACATGAGCCGCTCCTCGCACCGACCGGCGCCTCTCCCGACTACGAGGCCGATGACGAGATTCCCGCATCCGAACTCAGATACTCCGGAGGGTGGTTCATATGGATCTTGACCTTTTCGGCCGGTCTAAGTGGCCTATTGTTTGGTTATGAGTCCGTGGTCACTATGGTCAGCCAGTTATGTCGCACAAGATCTTGACTGACGATTCATTCATCTCACAGCACTGGTGTCATCTCCTCCACACTCGTGACCATTGGCTTTGATCTCTCCAATCGCCCGCTGACGACCCTTGACGAGAGCCTCATTACATCATGTACTAGCTTGTTTGCTTTGATAGCCAGCCCCTTCACTGGCGTTCTGGCAGACAAGTGTGGCCGTCGTCGCGTTATCCTCGTCGCTGATGTCTTATTTGCTGTTGGTGCACTGATCCAGGCCTCTACAAGCCAGGTCTGGGGGATGATTGTGGGTCGCAGCATTGTTGGTCTCGCGGTTGGCAGCGCGAGTGCTGTGACTCCATTGTAAGTCAATCTTGTCTTTACAACTGGAGGAACACTTTGGAACGGAACAGCTTATTAATTGATAATGGCTTTTTACAGGTATATTTCAGAGGTGGCACCTTCACATATAAGAGGGCGGCTGGTTACAATCCTGAGCCTGTTGATTACCGGTGGTCAAGTCGTTGCATACGTCATCGGCTGGCTCTTTTCCCGAACTACTGGAGGCTGGCGCTGGATCGTTGGTCTCGGAGCGGCACCGGCGTTTCTGCAGTTTGCGGTCCTTATGATTTTACCAGAAACTCCTCGATGGCTCGTGCAGGCTGGTTTCGATAACCAGGCAGTGGTCGTTTTGACACGGATATACCAGGACTGCCCAGGCTGTGACCGGGTCGTCCGCCGAGTCATGCGCGACATCAAAGGAGAGATTGCCGAGGAGGCACTGGAGCTGGGACCGAGCAAAGTTCCAGGCACTCAACCACAGTGGCTCTACGATGCCTCCCAGCGGGCGCGTGATCTTTTCCATAATGGCGGCAATCGCCGGGCCTTGACAATCGCCATGATGCTCCAGGGTCTCCAGCAATTGTGTGGCTTCAATAGCCTGATGTACTTTTCTGGGATCATTTTTACAGCCCTTTCTTTTTCGTCGCCGACGTTGACTTCTCTAACTGTGGCGGTGACCAACTTCCTGTTCACCCTAGTTGCTTTCGGACTGATTGATAGGATTGGACGAAGGCGCATTCTACTCTATTCGATACCAGTGATGGTTGTTGCACTGGCCTTCTGTGCTCTCTCATTCTCCTCATTGGATGTGTCCTGGGATCCTCAGCCCCCTTCGCGCCATCGAGACGCACCCGATAAGCAGGGAGCATTCTACCCCTTGATGATTCTGCTCTGCTTGACCATCTACACCGCGGCCTACGCATTCGGACTCGGCAATGTACCCTGGCAACAATCGGAGTTGTTTCCCCTAAATGTGCGCTCCTTGGGATCAGGCCTGGCTACTGCGACGAACTGGGGATCAAACTTCCTTGTCGGACTCACCTTCCTTCCCATGATGAAGTGGATGTCCCCAACTTGGACATTCGCCGTCTACGCGCTTGTGTGTGCCATCGGATGGGTGGCAGTGCGTGCAATCTACCCAGAAATGAGTGGAATGGGCCTCGAAGACGTCAAAGGCCTTTTGGCCGATGGGTGGGGTGTGGAGGAAAGCCTGCGTCGTAGGGCCGATGCTCAGCAAGAATAGACAACACGATACCACCAAATCAAATGATATAGAACTGCCGCCATAGAGACATCTTTCTTCATGTCATCCTCAACCTCACGTCACATTATCCTTGAACTTTGAAATTCACTAAGACAGACGGATCTGGCTCGGATCGTGAACTTTAGCGTCCTTTGACTTTCACGACACAACATCATCATTGCGAACTAGTCATCTCTTACTGACCCTGCGGTCTACCCCTCTATATCGCAACTTGGCGTGTATATACGCGATCAGAATGATGCCTTACAGACAGACCATTGACATGCAGCCTATGAGTCGCACGGCGATGGGATTGGAGGCGGGATCTCCCGCGAGAAGTCCACTTTTGAGTCTTCCAAATGAGGTGATGCAAGCTTCTTGAGATATGATCAGGGACCTGTCGCCTAACCCAGATCACCACAGGTTCTCCAGCACATCGCAACTCTCCTTCCCGCCGACCGTGACATGAGGAGCCTCAACCTGGTCTGCAGGGAAATCAGAGATAGAGTCCTGGCGCCCGACTCCGCGCTCTGGCGGGCTCGATTTGGCGACAAGTTCGACATCCCCGCGGGGCGAACCAACGCAGAGCTCAAGACCGAATATCAAATTCGGGCAATCGTGCTTCCGCAGACGATTGATTTCAACCAGGAGAAGAGTGAGCATCAAACCTTCTGGCTCGAGGTCCTTCAGCAAATGCTCATCGAGTCTCTCATCCTGCCTGTGAACCCTGATACCTCCAAGACCTATGAGCGAATCCAGGAGATCCTGACGGAAAGTGAACTCCTGGAACATCCAAAGAGGGAGAATCCATCAGAACTGTTCTGCACAGTCCAACTTGTCAGTTTTGCACTTCCCTATGAATAATACGGGACTTGTCTCACTGCAACCCTTGACTTGTCTTTAGTGCCTAACCACCCTGGCCCTCACCATTGATCCTCCGGATAAAAAAGCGCCAGCGATTAAGAACAAATGCAGTCGATCCGAATATGACATAGGGATAGTCTATTCCCATGGAATGGAACTGCGAGGTCCGTTCATTGACCACAAGAGACTCGATCTTGCCACATTGCTACACATGCGCAGCTTTTGGCAGCGCCACATCGTGAATAACGCCGAGCAGTCCTTCCATGACTCCTTCGCGCGGTTACCTGAAGACCACCGGCCCCAAGCACGAAACGCGAATGTCGATAATGGAGCAAGCCTAAGTGTTTCCTGGCTCGGGTACTATTGTAAGGTGACAGACCTGGAAAAATCCGTCTCAACAAACCTAACATTGCTCCTGGTACAGCATGCCTGCATCCCATGCCAACCACAAGAAAGGACTTTGAAGACCAACAGAGTTGCGCTGATCTTCGAGGAGCTCATTTGAGCCAAGTTGACATTATGGTAAAGATCTTTCTTCAACGCTGCACCACTTGTGATGCCCATAAAACTGACACCTTCAGACCTTGGACATTCACACCAAACCAGGCGAACCATTTTGGCCCGAAGAATGCAGCAAATTCATCCCCCAATTCGGAGACGACGAAGTAAACCGCATATATCTCGAAGGTGTACAGTCGACCCTCGGTGGCGATCCTGCAAATAATCCGGTATTTGGATTTACCGAGGCAATAGCCAATCCTTATGGCGGGTTCCCAGGCTGGACACGCATTTGTTTCGCGATCTGCAAACAGCCTGATGAAAGTGATGAAGAGGAAGCAAATGACGATGCGGGCTCGGACGCCAGCTCTAACTGGGTCCATGGGTATGAGGGTGTGATCCTGCCTGGCGGGCGGGTCATGCTGGGACGGTGGATGGACCTGAAGAACATGGATGCCAGTGGTAGAGGCCCTTTCCTCTTCTGGGACTTGTAAAAAGCCTCGCGGGGCGTCAAAGGTATTTACGGTGGAGGATATGGTCTGTATTTACCCAGCGTTTCAGGGTATATTATATTGGTATAGGCTTTTTAAATCGCATATATCTCTGCAAAACAAATCCATTGGCACTGTGCATTTCGTTATTTCAGATGGACAATGGAATTAGTATCAAAATGGGCAATAATAAAGCTAGCTGATAGCCTAGATATCCTTGGTCGTCGAAACTCGATCTGGAAAATGCCACCGAATCTAGGAAGCCGTGAAAGGTCTGGAGAAAGGTTCTTGGGTTTATAGCAATAGAAATCTTGACATGAATTATGCGACGACAGAGGGAATAAATACGAGAAAATCGACTACTCCTCGATGTCCTTCACCTTCTCCCAGTGGCCCTTCAGGTTCTCCTTCCATAAGGTAACCTTGTTATCACCACCGCTGACGGCAAGAATGTTGCCGCTCAGACTCCAGCTGACGCGCCACAGAACGGTATCAAACTCGAGTGTTTGACTGGTCCACTGGCCGGGGTTGGAAGCGTCGGACGTCCAGATGCGAACGGTTTTGTCCTGCGAGGCCGAGGCGATGTACGATTTAGACAGAATGCTGGGCGACCAGGCCACATCCCGGACCCAGTCCGAGTGGCCCTCCAGGGTCTGAGTGAGGTTGTAGGTCTTAGATTCGACGCTGTAGGTATAATAGTTAGCACAGCCGCCCAGTATGCGCCGTATGTATCACCACAGGAGACATACTTGTAGTCCCAAATCTTGATTAGATTGTCACTTCCACCAGTCACAACCCGTCTCTGCTGGCCGGGTCCAGGGTTCGAGCTGATCAAGCTGCCTGCGAAGGCCGCGGGAGCCCAGCTGATCGAGTTCACACCCATCCCGTGAGCGTGGAACGTCTGGTGGGTCCAATTGTTGTCCCGGAACTCAAGCACGCTGACATGACCGTCGGATGAGGCGCAGGCAAGGAGGCATCCGCTCTCATGAGGGGCCCAAGATACCATATTCACAGAAGCGGTGTGAAGGGAGAAGTCGAAGACCTTGGTCCAAGTGCTGCCACCGGCGGGGGAAGTTGCAGTCTGAGGTTGTTCGCGCCAGATCAAGACCTTGCCATCATATGAGGAAGAGGCCAGAATCGTGCCAAATTTGGGGTGCGCCTAGAGGGAAACAATCGCAATGGTCAGCTCGTCCCACACAAGGGTCGGTTCGCGCATCCCACTCACCCATGCGACACACCACACTGCGCCTTCATGGCTGTTGAGATCGTTCTCGAGTCAGCGACCAGACTATTTCTCTATTTCATTATCCAGGTTGACACTCTTACCCCTTCAGGGTCTCCACCAGGCGGTGTGATTCTCCTTCAATCTCGAAGATCTTAATCGTCTTATCAGATGAGCAGGTCGCCAGCCTGCGGCCATAATAATCCAAGCCAGCGTCGTGCTATATTTTGAGTCCCATGCGTCAGTCCAGTTGCATACGATCTCTGCGGGAAGCTCTAGTGACGCCAATTGAAGCCTCCCCAGGTGAACCCCGTACGTACAATCATGTCTTCGTGGCCCGAGTTCGAAATCACCTGAGTGGCCGCCTAGACACCACAAGTCAGCAAAGCAAAGATTGAGCTGAATGACAGAGACATAGCGTACCATTTTGTCGGGACCCCGTGGGGAAACAGAAATCGCAGAAGAGGAACTGGTCGGTCGAGGGGAGCTTCGACGGCCAAGGCGGAGGGGACAGCTTAGCCTGTTTCACGGTCGGCTCAGCCATATAACGTGATGATAAGCCCGATAAGCAAAAGCATCCCTCAGCCCATTTTATTTTCATTACCTAGTTAGGCTTAGTGTAGTAAATATCCCCAGTTCTCATAATGGATTTGAAAAATTCAAGACTGCTAGGTAACTAGTTCTTAGCTTTACCACTATAGCTAATAATGAGAAACAACTTTGCTGGATTGCTACCAGTGATCTAGCGATTGATAGGCTAGTTAATCTTAATTTCTATATAGCTAACGATCCACTAATCACGAAGGGAGTAAGGGGGATATATCTATCCGCGACCGAAGAACTACAGTAGAGGATCCTATAGGTACTAAAAGGAGGATATATATGTATCTATACTATCTATATCTACTAAACGCCAAATAAAACAATATTAACAAGTTACTAACTAATTTGGTCCTCTATACCGACTCTTTTACTACAAGAAATTGGTTAACGTCGGTATAGTTAGTTAAGTATATACAGTGCGGTCCATAAGTATCCATACCCTCTACTTCGGCCCTACCAGATTACTAATATTTCTGCGAGCAGAAACCTCCAATTTTCTATTTCTCTCTAGTATTTAGTATACAACCCTTCCCTCTCAATAATCTCCCTTTATGAAGCCCTTTTGCACCCAAATTGTAGGTATATTTTAGCTCGCAGATACGCGAGCGCGTTTCGAGCTAAGCTTGGCCCCCAACGGCCTCTCGGCATCGTCTCAGTGGGTGCGTGTGTAGTGTAAGAAGGCTATAGGCAGAGAAAACGCGTCAAAAGGTTTAATGTGGTTGATATTGTTGATCATGCAGCGCGTGTAGTAGTTTAGGGGTAGTCCCCTGTATACTAGGAGTCAACCCCCAATGGGAACACGTCATGCCTCCCTAGCGCCTGAGCTAACTTCCAGCGGTGGAACATATCCGACGTGTCCACGACTGGGATAAGAAGTTGCTTGCCCAATGGCGTCCGCTAAGCCCAGCAAAGAGGAGTCACGCTGGACTTTACCCACAGTTGTCTGCATTCGTTGTACCCACCACATGACTCAGTCGGTCTCCTGTTGCTGTTTCTCTGTCGGGCTTTTCTCCCTCCGTACTAAGATTCTTTGCGGCCCTTCATTGTGCATGTGAACTCGCGAGTGATCAGAACGACAAGGACAAAAGCATCTGCAGATCATGGCCCTCTCAGAAGAGAGACGCGGTGATAATGATCTTACCACGCCCACAGAATGGGAAGCGGAAAACCTCAGACGTGTCTGCGATGAGATCCCCTCGACAATATTCTTAGTTGCCGTGGCAGAGCTAGCCGAGCGTTTTACCTACCGATGCATCACGGCTCCTATGCGTAAGCTCTTTGACGAACATCTGACGAAAGCAATAACAATAACCGAACATATATAGAGAACTATATAGAAAATGCTCAGGATGACCCATTACGGCCAGGAGCTTTGGGTAAAGTAAGTTTGGACATGGCTGTGGAACGGCAGCTTCAAAAACGAACCGATTTTGGCACTGACACGCGCTCAACAGGGACAAGGAGTTGCGACTGGTATCAACTACTTCTTTACCGGCTGGTGCTATATGGCGCCTATACTGGGAGCTATCGTAGCGGACAGCTTGCTTGGCCGGTTTTGGACAATCTGTCTAGGGACCGGGTAACAAGTCCCCGTTTCCCAGTAGGCATGCAGAAGGGAACATATCTGACAAACATAACAGGGTCGCGAGTTGTGGTGTCTTGATTCTTTTCGTCACTTCTTTCCCTACAAGTCTTGAGCACGGTGCCGGTCTACCGGGCCTCATCGTTGCATTGCTCTTGATTGGCTTGGGGTCAGTGATCCTTTATGACTCGAGATTTTAATATTCCATCGCGCTGACTTTCTGTTATAGCTTTGGAGGGATCAAGAGCAATGTTGCTCCCCTGATCGCTGAGCAGTACTCGAGGAAACCTCTCCGGATCAAGACTCTGGGAAGTGGAGAAAATGTCATTGTAGACCCCAACGTCACAATTCAGACTATTTATGGTCGTTACTACTGGTCAGTGGCTATTGATCGCGGTTTACGAAAAACATTACATTGACCTTGTCCAAGGGTTATTAATATTGGGTCCCTCTCCGTGATACCGGCATCTGTACGTGCGTCCATGTCTATATCTTGCCCTGATGTACTGAAAAACATGCGATTTAGTGGTTAGAGTTGAAAGTTTCATTCTGGGCTGCCTTCCTCCTACCACTCTGCTTCTGGGTCTTACCAGTCGGCGCATTGGTCGTGGGCCGAGGAAGATATAGTAAGCGACGAATCCGCCTTCCATCCTTCACGTAATGGGTGTTACTTGCTGATTATTTCTAGTTGTCCAAAAGCCAAATGGCTCAGTTCTAATCAAAGCAGTGCGAGTCTTCTGGATCGGTCTCAAGAGAGGCTGCAATCTCGATGCTGCAAAACCGTCGGTCTTGGCACAAACTCACCCCGAACATACCGTTCCCTGGGACGATGCGTTTGTTGAGGAATTGAAACGAGCACTCGTCGCATGTTCTGTTTTGTGAGTTATCCGAAGCAACACGAGACTTCCGAATTTGCGCACTGACAGATTTTCACGCTTTTCATCAGTTGTGTGTTGTAAGTCTCCACTGCACGTCAAAGACTTGGATTGCAGCAGACTAAGCTGGATTGCAGTCCTATTTTCTGGGTTTGCTACGGACAGACCAACAGCAACCTGGTTAGCCAGGCAGCAACCATGAAAACCTACGGGATTCCGAATGACATGAGTATTTCAACTGGTGGTCCTTCCTCATTTTGAGAGTACTAATTGAGACCTATAGTGGGATGCTTCAATCCAGTCATGGTTTTGACCTTTCTTCCAACCATGTACGCATATTTCTAGGCTGCCTTATATTTAATTTTAGACCTGCAAACTAAGACATTCTCTAGGGAGAAGATCGTCTACCCAACCCTGCGACGATTTCACTTCAAGTTTAAACCGATCAGTCGAATCACCGCCGGTTTCCTGGTGATGGCCTGTGCCATTGGATATTCCGCAGGGATTCAAGACTGTTAGTAGTTTACTGTTTCAACTCACTCTTTCATTGCCTGCTGACCCAGGTCGCAGTGATTTACCGATCACCTCCGTGTTACGACCATCCTCTCAGCGGATCTTGCAGCAACGGCGGACGAACGCCAAACGATGTAAGAAACTTTTTCTTCAACAAGTCTTGCTCATCCCAATGAGATCCTAACAAAAGCCACAGGTTAGCGTCTTCCTGCAAGTCCCCATCTATACATTGACCGCCCTTTCCGAAGTTCTCGCCTACGTCGCCGGCATGGAGTACGCATACACCAAAGCGCCCAAGTCCATGCGCAGCATTGTATCATCTCTCTTCCTCCTCACCTGCACCATCGGTTCGATACTGGGTATCACACTCTCACCCGTCTCAAAAGACCCCAAGGTCCTCGTAGAATACGCCTCATTGAGCGGCGTCATGCTCGTCACGGCCGTCTTGTTCCTGCTCGCCTTTGGGAAGTACAACAAGTTAGAGGAGAAGATGAACATGCTCAATAGCGAAGAGGGGGACTCTACCTCTCTAAGCGAGACGGTGCAGCAGACGCAGACAACCGAGAAGGCTTAGAAAGGTTTCCCGAGTGCTAAAAATAGGTAAAAGGATCTTTGAAGCCTAGATGCGTCGTCTGATACGGCTTTTCTCTAACTCTTCAATGTGCTCGATTTAGAACATTATTTCATATTTCAGTTCTAATAGAGCAACTTCCATATACATGTCGCAAAACGAGAATTATTGTGTTTTCGGGGTGTGAGTTCAATGAAGGATATAGAATGAGCAAAAGTGATGATGCACGCATGTCTATATTATACTACTGACTCCCCCATCTGCCGCTGCAAAGGCTTGTTCGAATCGGCAATGATGTCAGTAATATGTTCCCACCCGACAGAGCATCGAATAAGTTCCTAACAAGCATTAACCCTAGATACCACAAAGAAGCTGTCAGGCACAAACCTCTGTAACACCACTTGCGATTCTTTCTTCCGGTTTCAACTGCTTATGAGTTGTTAACCACGGGTGTAGCGCAAGCGTCCTGTTCGTAATTGTGAGCAAGAATGAATTAGAGGCGAACAATTTGCAGTGAAGTAGAGAGGAAATTAATTTTTTATCGCTACTGACAGTGTTTTTCCATTACTATAAAATTATCAGCCTCTGGACGATAGCTAGGAAGGGGCTAGAGTAACTTACTTGCCAACATGGCTGATTAACTGGAAACTAGCTAGGTGGTAGCGTACATGGTAGCAAACCCTGGTTTCGATCCAGGTACCTTCGGGTTATGATTCGACTCACTTTTTCTACCTCTCACGCTCATCCTTCATCCTTCACTTTACACCTCCATGTCGTTCACCCATATCTTTCACCATTCCATCTCTTCACGCACTCCCCATCTCACGCCCATCTCATCACGCTCCTCTTGCACCATGTCTCTGCGGAAGAGAGATGACCCTGGCGAAAGCCAGGAACCGCGCACAGATATCCTTTACAGCGCCAACGAGGGTGAGGATTGGCGTGGCCGCCAGAAGCTGCGCGCTTCCAGAACTGCGGTGGACGCGAACTGAGTTTGCATCGCCCCCTGTGGATCCCCAGTTTTGTGTCACTGCTAAAAGTGATACGGTAGTTTAGGTAGTGGTTGTCCGCCTAGATATGAATATCATCTTCTTTACCACTTGACAGGATAGCTTGTACGCTACCAATAGGACTTCGGTTCCGGTCGCAGCACCGCCCTTGATACTAAGCAAGATCACTCCAACGAAGCCCCTCTTGACTTAATAGTCTTTGTATCTTTTCTCAAAAGAAGAAGAGAGATTAGGCTAGTTATTCTAATAATACCCCTTCTACTTCACGATAATATCCTCAAAAAGGTCAGATATAACTAGTGAACTAGCTTTTTCGTAAAGATCTCTAGCTCTAGACCTACTAGTAGCCTAGGTAATCTCAGTAGTAGTATAACTATTCGGCTCAGCCTGTTCTCACGTTCGGCTCAGCCCATCTGTCTTCATACTAGGAAAGTGGGTCGGCTCAGGTCATGTGGGGACGGAAAAACTTATGGATGAGCGCCGATAAAAAATGGCCTGAGCCGACCTGGCCGCTTGCTTATCTTATCGCGCTGACTCATCCGGGTCACGTTCCGGACACGTGCCTCGGTCTATCGGCAACCCCACGGTTCTCCGCGGTCTTTCATCGTAACTCCTCTTCTATGGCCTTCATAGATCCTTTGCATTTCCTATCTACAGCGTCTTGTTAATAGGGTTCTTTTCTAGCAGTTCTGAGATACCCCGTTGCTTGAGCCGTAGCCTTTTTGCATATTGACTTCATCGAAGCGACAGCATGGGTGATGCACTTTGTGGCCCATCGAATGCGCTGCAGAACTTCCAGAAGCATGCTGCCGTTGATCGGACCCTGCAGCAGGACCGGTTAGTTTCCAGACAATCGTCGGCGCAGGTAAGTTGACAAACGATGTTCGTGCTCTAAATGTATCTGGATATTAATGTCATGCTTCTCAGGGATTCCGATCACAAAGCCCTCGAGATGGCATGCTGGACCCGGAATTTGCTGCGTTCGAAGCCAACCTCGCAGGCCCAGCGGGATTGCCAGATCTACAACACCCAGCTCATTTTGGAGCTCCAGTGCAGCGTCCGGCTGCTGCCCACCCAGGCCCTAGCTGGGCGTCAGACTTCCAGAATCTACATATCTCCAGCCCGTCGCCACCTCAACTACAAGCACCATCTATTGCGCCAGCCCAAGCAGGATGGCATAATGAATTTATAAGCCAACAGCAGCGAGGCCCCGCGCACCATGTACAGCCCCAGCAAACGGCAATTCGCGCACATCAACCTGCCTTTGCACCTAGCTACCCGATGTATAATGCCCCGATGAATGCCCACCAAGTCCCACAGCAAGCACCCGTGGCGAATGTCGCACCAACAGAACAATTTGACGAGTCTGCTTTCCAGGCAGCGTTCGAGCAGGCTCGAGCCGATATGGAGGAGCTACAAGGAGCCGAGGTCATCCCCGAGACCGAAATGCTCGCACATGAGGAAACCGCCCGACTGGACCCTATCGAGCAAGTGCATGAAGACATTAGAATCGGATCCGACACAATCACTCAAACGGAGCAGGAAGATCCGCTTACGCGAACTCGCGACGCGGACGCTCTTGCTCAGACCGCCGGACAACTTCTCGATAGCGTCCGCCATGACCAAAGCCAGAAGTTCCAACAAAGCAGTTTCCTTGCCCTGATGCGTCGCATTCGTGATCGTGAAGTGGAGGTGGAAGGAGATGAGTTCCGCGAAGTCAGTAGCAACCCGTAACGGTTTGGCTGTCAAGCGCGACAGAAATGCCGGTATCATTATATCAATCTGTGCGGGCTTTTGTTCGTGCTAATTAATATCGGTGGCAGACGGCGCAGTCCCTCCATCCCGGCGGACGATATTACCCGGGTCTGTCCCCGGATCCCGCCATCTCGTCCGACAGCACTAGTAAGGAGCCTACCTTTTCCACCCATGCTAGCAGGGCCTAGTATCACGGACCAAGCACCAGCACAGAACCTGACCACCCTTGCCTTGGCCAGACAATCCGCCAGAGCTTGCTTCACAGTCTTTATCGACCGCCGAAGAGGAGTCGCCCCGTCTGGGGACCAACCCGATTACTCCGACCGCACCCGGGGACAGCAATGTACTGTACGAGGGGTGGATTCACAGCCACGGCTTGGTGGACCGGCAACGTCCGACTTTCTGTTTTCGGGGGGAGCACGATATCTCCTCGTGGTGAACACACCACGAGAATGGCTGAAATGGCACACTGAGTAGCGTGATCATATTGTGAAGGCTGTTGGAATGATCGGGATTCGCCAGTTCTCATCCTCATTCAACCCATTCAACCCACTAAGTCACTTAATTACCATCCATTGCGTATTTCAGTGGCACTCAATAGCCTTTCGGACTGCAAGCATGATTGGCATTTGATTGATCTCCGGAAACGATGGTTGACTCAAGTCTTCCAGTACAAATAGTCTGCCTGGCCGCTGTTGTCTCGCAAGGATTTATATTATACCCACAATCGAACAGTCTGCTTGCACTGCATTTGTCTATCCTGCTCTTCCTTTTCTGACTTCGTAGATCATAGTCAAACAGCTACACCACACTGCAACCTTCACACACCCTCCGTCACCACTCTTTAACGCTCATGGAGGATCGAGCAAATCAAACCTCTTTCACAATCACTGCTCCTCCTTCATACGCACCAAATACTCCATACAGCCTCGCAATTCCAGTCATTTACAATTTCAGCTATACGGGACCCCGAGGACGAGTTCGTATGGAACGAGCGTACCCTGGTTGCCATCGCCATCACGATCGTTCCTTCGATCACCATCAAAGGCGACGAAAGCTCTGTGATCCTTTCAACATCGCGAGCTGGTTCTCGACGGTTGGCACTCTCAGCCCGAGCATTAAGACCCTCGGCGACAACAGTTCGGCCCCAGCAACACGGCCGGGACTGCCCTTCGCCTCAGAAGCTATCCATGCGTAGCGAAACCAAACAGTCAGGCAAACCACATAGAACAGGCGGCATGAAACCGAATAAACCTTGAGTCATATTCATACATTAACTAAGAAAAGAGAAAAGAAAAAGCACCATCTCCGCGCCTACCAATGTATTCCTTCAAGAGAACAAGAAAGAAACAGAAGGGACATCATCCAACCCTTTTCCCAAACAAGCTCGCCATGGAACCCAGTCATTTGACCAAGCCCAAGACATGAAAAATGAAAGAATACAACCTCCACCGGCGTACGTATAGTGGACGCATGGAACCAAAAATCTCGTATAACAACCTCGTTCTTTGATGGCTCCGTTCCCTACTCGTAGCGGTGATCACGAGCAAATGACCACAGCACCAAGGCTACGGACACAAGAGGATGATTCGGGGAGACGGGGTGACTGGGAGCGGTTGGAACAATCAAGCCGATATAAGTGATGACGATTTTCAACACGGCTTCACAACAGGAGGCCACATTGAGCGTAGAATATGGTGATATGGCTGGATAGCAGTGGATGGTGGGTGAGAGCCGTAACTACTCGTTGTAGAAACGGATAGATAGCGCAGAGATCATAACTGGCCAGGGAAAACAATATATCGAGATTGTGACGAGAAATACCCGCAGAATGTCTAGGCAAACCGACCGACGGGGATATCGTGGCGGTGGAGGTCCCTTGACCACTCCGGAGTGGTCTTGTCTCGCTCGTAGAGGAAACCACAGTTGTGGCAGAGCGTCTAGAGAGAAACAATTAGAACCTATTCAACCGCAGGGGCCTTGGAAATCAACTTACCCGTGGGCCATCCGGTCCGTCTCGTACTGCCCAGACTGCTGTACCCCAGACCATACAATTGCTGCATCGCCAGCTTTGCCGTTCCCTGAAGATTGCACGTTAGTACATATGGGTTAGAATGTGCGTATAGGGCGACATACCAATCTGTAAGAGTACCACCTCCGCCACCATACCCGGCACCTGAGCCCGTTTCTGGGGTACCTCGGCCACCAGGAGTGCTTCTACCCAAAGGACTAAGACTGCGGAAGCGACGCTTCCGCTTATTTCGCTCTCCCCGGCCCAAAGGCGTCTCACTATCGACGTCAAAGTAGCCACCACTGCTTTGACGAGAGACCTCCGGCGTAATACCCGCGGTGGAAGAGAATCGAGCAGTCTCCCGTCGTAGACGCCTAATTTGCCGCTCGCGGTCACCCTCCCTCCTCTCGATCTCTTCCTTAGACAAAGTCTCGACTTGCGGCTGCCACTCATCACCGAGGGTCTCAGGGTCGTAACGCCAACCAGCCTCGACGCCGTTGGCGGCTTGGTTGTCAATTTCATTCCCATAGCCGTTGATCCCGCTCACTAGACCGCCGCTCTCGCAAACCTCCTTCTTGAGCTTCAAAACGGCCTCGTAGATTCCATGTGAGATCGCGCTCACCCATTCACCGCCGAGATGCAAGTCAGCGCAGGTGATTTGGGCAAATTCCTCGGCCATGCCTGGCGGGTGAAGCAGAGACCATTCGAACTTGTCGGTGTAGAGCTTGTTTTGAAGATTGATGTTAAGGTTGATCAAGCATCGGTACGCATCGTCCGGGTTCAGAAGGCTGTCGTTAACAAGCGCTTCTTTTGTCACTGTTACTGTTGCCCCAATGCCCCGACTATCCGGCGTATCGAAATTTGTCGCAGCCGGAGTCATAGATGCGTCCCGGGAAGCGTCTGTCTGCGGGCCCAGACTCGGCGCAGGAATTGGCTGGCTACTCTGGAACAGAGGATGAAGAGCCACACCCGCGTACTCTTCGAGTTGTTGGCGAATTTGATTGCTAATAGTCATAGTCGTCGCCTGTGGGTTCGGGAGATCAAGGTCACGGACAAATCCAATGGCAAACTCCTCTGGTGTAGCAAGGGCTTCATGGAGGTTCCAAAGAAAGGTGTCCTTGATTCTGAATGGAGGTAATGGCTCTGGCCTCCGGTATGCAGGAAGGGTTGGGTTGATCGCTTGATCCATGACGGCGCGGGGGAAGGGAAAGGGCTCAAGGGGCTGATGCGCGGGGACTTCCACGTCAATTCGAATCGGAACGAGTGTTAGAGGGAGCTGCGCTTGAATCTGGAGTTGGTCCGCACATCTGCATGATCACACTCGACGTTAGCATGAAGGTCCAGCATAAAAGGAGGGGGCGGGTCTTAAGACCGCGACGCAGCGCGATACAAAGAGACAGCAAAGAGCTCGAAAGATCGATTACATACGCGGGTCGCAACATTCGTTTGATCATCCATTCGCGAAACACACCCTGCACCTCGACAGGCGCATGCGCTTCCTTGCCCAACTTCTCCGACGACGACAACATGCCGCCAGTCGACTCCTCGCGCCGCAGACTCCTCAGCCCAGTGGGCCGGCGGGGACCCTCACTCTCTTCAAAATCATCATCATCGTATCCGTCTTCAGCATAATTGATCGCCGTGGTACCGCGTTTTGTCGTCCGCGGCGTCGGGCCGGTCTGTACCGGGTAGACAGGTGTCAGCAACGCGTTCCCATACTGGCGCACGCGTGGCGGATATGATGTAATGTATCCTCTGAGAGGGGACATGTTGGCGATTTGTTGCGACTAACACATGCCCCTTCACGGGGATTGAGGGCGCAAAAGCTTCTGTTGATCGACAGTCGTCGGAAGGGCTGATCAGACCTGGGGGAGCAGAAATGACGAGCAGAAAGGCGCAGGAGCGTAGGGACTGGTCGAAATTGAGACGAGTAGCCCGACAGGCTCTATAGAGATGCGTCGGTATCACCGAAATGAGATTGAATAGTAATTCACTGAAATTGGGATTCTTTTGCGCCGTCGCGTTTTCCCCAATTGAGCGAGACGGGCCCGTACCACGGTCATGTGATCACATAATTTACGCCTGAGGCATTCAATAACGTCTCCGATGGCACCACCGGCCCACTACAGAGCGAAGGATGGCCTGGGAAGGTAAATAGGAACGCGAGGGGATTGAATTTTATCTACCACATATCACATATCCACATCTCACAGCCTAAATGGGCCGCGTATGGGGTTGCACAACTAATATAGACAGAGAATATAATATGAAATCACCGACTTGCGAAGTACGCCAGCTCTGTTACTGAGAGATAGAAAAACAAAAGACATACTAGGATGATAATCACTGCCGTGTTTCATAATTGTAAGAATGAGAGACGATAAAACATGTTGGCGACGAGCCAGTGGATCTGGGTATAGGTACAGATGCGGCAGACACAAGAACAATGAATCGAGGAATAAGAATAATGATTGAATGGTGAATGGTGATGCGATCACCGCAGCCCGATAACACTCTGTTAAAATTAATTAGCCATAGGAACATCAACATGTAATCAGCAATCAGAAGGTCCTACCATTTCCAGGGTCCACACTCTCCGGATCCAGACCTTGACCTGACCCTCGACACCCTCGACATCGTCGAGGTCCACACCCTCCCACCAGCAGCGGCGGGCGGGCTTCCGCCAGAAAAGCAGGAGCTTCTGAGCCATACCGACAGCATTGTTGGTGGAGAGATCGCCGCGAATGTCGGTTCGAAGCTTGGCCAGAGCCAGGCTGCAAATAACCGCCTTGTTGGGCTCCGGAGCGCGGTGACCCCAGTGATCCTCGCGATCAAATCCACTATTCAGTATGTTAGTTACTTGTGTATCTGAAGTAAGGGAATGTAAGCTCACCCTGCCGTCAACATCTCGATGAGGTGCTGTTCAGTAGAGCCGACCTCCTCGCTCTTGCGCAGCCCTGAGAAGATGCCATCCTGCTTCAGCAAAGCTCGGCCAGCCGCACGCTTGACTTCGAGCATTTCTTCATGGCCTATTTCAGGGCGCGGTGGGATGACATAGAAGTCGAGGTCTTCGCGGAGAACGATGATTCCAGCACGGTCCTGGAGCATGTCGCGGGCGGAGTTTTGCATGGCATCAGGAGCTTCCAGCTCCGGGGACGTCGATGCAGAAGGCAGGGAAGATGGGATGGATTGCGCGACAGATCGGAAGAAGTCCAGCATGAACTGGAGGGATGCTGGGTCATACTGGAAGCTGTCAGATGCACCGACTTGAAACAAAGACCACATCAAGTTGGGCACGCCCACTTACATCAACAGGGTAGATATCACCCTCATGGAATCCGCCCATGTGGCCATCGGGAAGAAGGCCGTTGGGAAACAGAGAAAGCAGAACGAATTCTGGTAAAGTCAACAGCTCATCTCGGGACAGTGTAAACCGGATACCCCTTTATATCTTGTCAGCATCACGGGCATCGCGTCGGTAGTGAACGTAAAAGACACAAGCGCTTACCGGAGGTCCAGCGTGATGTGTTCATCTCCCCCAATATCTGCATGTAAAGAGACACGTTAGCTTGGCTGCTGGGTGCCACGCGATCCCACGTGGAAGTCGCTCGTACCTCCGAGTGTATTGATGGGTGGTCCGCCGGTCTGCTGGACCTGGGTGATGATGCTGGAAGCGCCCCCTGCGGCAGCCATCACGTATGTAAATGACTCAAGTGGACTGTAGCCTTCAGTATACGGCGGCGGTGGTTCCCCGTCGTCTGTATTCTTTCCAAGTCCGTCCCCCTTAGTATCGGAGAAGGATGCTTTGGTGTCTGCGACGACCGCCGACGAAGGGGCCGCGTCGAGAGGCTCCTCGACAGGTGGCGGCGGCGCAAAAACTGGAAGGGAAGCGGGTCCGGATGACTCGGTGACTTTGGGGAGATTGGAGTCGGTCGAGGCGAAGAGGGAGGAGAAAGGTGGAGGGCTGACAGACGCGGAGCTCGAGGCCGATGCTTCGGAGGGCGAGTGCGGCGGGGGAGCAGTATAGTAGTCGTCCTCCGCGAGGGAGTCCGTCGGGAAAGGCGGGCGCGCCGTGGTTGATGGACGTTGGGGGTATGTTGCGTCCGACACAGTGTAGCCGTGAGATCAGACCCAATCGCGACAAAGGCGGCTGGTCTGATGGGTTCCGGACTTGCGCCCAAAGGGTCCGCTTGTTGTCGATCAGGAGACACACGATGTTCGGGATAGAAGCCCGCACGTCTTGCAGAATATAGTATATAGTGAACAGCCCGGCTGAGATGAGCAGTCGATGCCTGGTGGAGCTGTTGACCTGTGAAGATTCTGGGGAAAGCTGAAAGCTAACCAGGGGAGGTGAGGAAGGATGGGCGCTTAGCTGGAGGCCAGTCGATCACGCCGGCGGTAAGTCCGACAGGCCGCCCCCTCCCCCTTTGACCTGCTGGCTCGCACGGCAGCTGAGCCGCTACGAAGCGGTTTACTCTTATTTATTATTTTCTTTCCTTGTGTTCATAGGATTTATATCAGCCTACCGTCAAAGGATTCCCAATTTACTACAAGACTAGTCCATAATCTATGTTCCTGAATAGAATTGAAGCGTGTTTGATATGCTCCTATGTTGTTTTGTGCTTGTCGCTCAGCGCTTTACACCTTGCGATCCACGAAGCTTTGGATCATACCCTCAAGAGTTGGTTCGTATTCCTTCAATGTCACCTTATCTCCGTCCAGAATGGTGTTGGCCTGTACAAACACCTTGCGAGGCACCTTGTTCTTCAAAACAACCTCACGGACCTCAGTGCCCCACCAGGTGTCTACCGAGGTGATATCATCATACAAACCCTTGCCAGCCTCTACATCAGCGGTGCTCTTGTAGACGTGCAGCTTCTGCAAATACTTCTCAACAGCAGGGCGACCGTGGCTTAGAATTTTGGACCGGTCCAGGAGGATCTCCAGATCTGACAGGTCTTCCTTGGTGTAGGACAGCTTGACAAAATCATCGCCAGCACTAAGGAAAGTGCGCAGAATGCTGTAGCGAGCTTGCATGTGAGCCTGGCCCCATTTCTGGGTCTTGGGGTCCCAAAACTCCAGAGCAATCAAACCGGCGCGGGCCATCTGGAGATAGGCTGCGAAGAGAACATCGCCGGCGTCACCGGCCATGTTCTCTTTGCCGTCACCAAAACCGAAGATCTTCAGAATCTCAAAGTCACAGCCCAGGGCCATGGCAACACATTCAGCACGGCACTCCTCATATGAGGAAGCAATGGCCCCAAACACTGAGCTCCAGGTCTGACCTGGCTTGTACCAGGTCGATACGGGCTTGCCAGACACGGGGCTGATGGGAGGGTTGGAGATATCAAAGTTGTACTCTCCTGGTGCGGTCTCCTGCAGCAGCTTGCCAGTACCATGGCCCAGGAGCTCATGAATACCGACCTGGACTTCGAAGGCAGCATCGCGACAGCGGCGGAAAACCTCAACGTCCTTCTCAGCGATGAAGGGAATGGGTTCATTGGGGGCCTTTGCACTCAGAACATTGCCAAGAGACACATTCTTGAAGCCCAGGTTCTGGCGGATGTCATCGTAGTTGGGAAGGTTGATACCAGCGGGAAGGCCAGAGCTAGCGAAGCTGAGGACCTCCAGCGATGTGAAGTCGGGACTGAGGAACTTGTCCTTTTCGAAATCAGTACCCCAGGGAAGCTTGGGAATCATGCTCTCGGCACTGTCCACCAGGGCACCGAATGCCCGGGTTCGTTCCAAGTTCACCTAACAAAATTAGCGACTCTGGAACTGATAGAGATGAACTTGACCATCCTACCAGAGCGACAAAGCCCTCCCATTCTCCACGCACACCATGAGGATCCCGGTAGGTTTCGACGAATCCCAAGTTGGTCTCCAGTGCAGGCTTTTGGTCCTTGACCCAGATACGCTGACTCTCCTTGAAAGCTTCAATAGAGCCCGCACCGAACGAAAGAGCATAGGCATCCAGCATTTTCTTTTGGTTAGGGTTTGCCGCGTAACGCTCGGCCTGCTTGACGCTGTGGGCAACCTTGGCCATTTCCTCTAGGTAGTCTCCAAAGACCAGGCGCAGGATCTTCCCCTTCAAAGCTCCCTCCAGCTCGAAGGTATTCATCTCACCGAGATCGCGGTCTCTCACCGGGGGGTTGGACACTCCAGACGCAATCAGCAGCTCAAAGTCGCCTGAAGCTGTCTTGCGGATTCTAGTGTTCTCCAATGCTAGGCCCTTCTTCTCCATCAAGTCACCAACCGCGGTGATTTCATCCTTGGTAATAGTGGGCGAGTCTGGGTAGTAGGTAGTCATGTGGCCACTGGTAGGATATCCTAGATGCATCATAGACTGTTCACTGGTCTCATAGATGCCGCCTCCAGTGCTGTTCGCCTTCTGAAAAGCCGCCTTGGTCTTCGGCGAGCTCGATGCCAGAGCCTCGAAGGCAGAGGCCGGGAGACGAGGAATGAACTTGGAGTCACCAAAGCCCTTGTAGTTACCACAGTTACCCAAGAACTGAGCAGCATATTCGAGGAAGAAGCGGAGGTGTTCATCGCTGACGTGGGTCTCCTGCGCCAGACTGGCCCAGTCGCCATTGCAGGCGCCGTGGAGGGCGAGAATGAGATCATAAATAGGCTCTGACTCCGGCGATATCTGGCGCAACGTAACACGAGTACCCTCAAATGCAGCTCTACACAAATCACCCACATCTGTCAGCTCAATGTCGCGGACGTCGAGGAACCTGCCAGGCGCGAACGGCGCCTTGTGCGGGGACAACCGACCTGCTCATGTAGTGGGCATATTTCCGAAGGCTCTCATCTTTGAGGGTGTCGAAGTGTGACTTGATTTCTAGGCGGACCACGCTGGGCGGCGAGTCGGCCAGGTAGTGTTGCTTCACGTTGTCATCCATGGTTGTTGCTCGACTCGTGTGAGAGAGGGAGAGGGAGAAGGGAGAGCGGAGTGTGGGCGATTGGGGAGTGAGGCGACTGAGGGGTAGTGGAGTTAATACGGCTCTCCGGGTAAGCAGGCGCAGCCCACTGCCACGCAAAGAGTGCATAGAAAGGTCGAGGGTCCTTCTGTAGCTATGACATCGAGAACAGGCTTGGTTTGCCAATCATTGACGGCTCTCCGCCCGCGGGTCGACGCTACCGCCGGGCCCTGCCCCACTTACATACCGTTTGGCTTGTAGGTGCAGGTTGCAAGGGTTCAAACGCATAGAATCAAGTCATAGAATTACAGTGAAATCACTTATAGTGCGCGTTCTCTGCATACAACATGCTACGCTGCTTCATTTTGAAGAAATCTATATACTTGGCTTTGCCAGCAAATCACACAAAAATGGGGTATAAACAACAACCAGCCACATGGGGTATTTGTCGAAAACGCGCACACGGCAACTCCATTTATAGCAGACTCTCGTATTTGTCCAAACCTTGCTTTTGGGTAGCTTGAGGTTGATTTTGAGGCTGGCTTGGGAATGGCGTGGGCGTCGTGTTCATATTTAGCGAGGGAGCTCTAATCGCATTGTTTGCACCCATACCGCCTGGAGGACGTGGTATGGGGAAAGCGGAGTAATTGGAGGCTTGCTGTGACAATGATGCGGAGTTCGGCATAGGGGCATTGCCCATCATGCCAGAAAATGAGGCCATAGATGGGCTAGACCTGTTTGCTCCCTGAGATTGGACGTTCCATGTTGACGAAGTTGGCTGCATCGTTGGGAAAGCGGGGACTGCAGGGGACGTTTGGCGCGCAGGTTCAAGGGGCGGGAAGGAGCCGAGTTTCTGATCGGGAGTAATGGAACGAAAGCCAAGCTGGTTAGAAGTTTGGTTGGAACCCATAGCATTGTTCGTAGACCACGAAAATGCAGGCGACAGGCTCGGCCGCTTCGCTGCAGATGGCTCGGGCTCCGTGCTGCCCCAGAGATCAACATTTTGACCATTCGAGGGTGCCGCATTCTTGCCAAGAACAAGGCGTTCGAAGTTGTTTCTCGTGCTGTCTGTATCGGGTGAAGTCAGGTCTATGGCCGACTCCGCGAGGCTATTGGTGCCATTCTGGAATCCACCAGAGTCCCCACCGGACGAAAGCTCCTGGAGTTTCCGCGTCTGCTCCCTTTCGATTTTAGTGGAGATGGATTTGATCAGAGCCATAAACTCGTTGAATTGCTGGAGGTTCAGGAGTGGGCCGAGACTAAAACTCCAGAGAATAGGCAGAACCTCGAGTGCTAGAAAATCCGAGTCTGCAACCTTCCCAACCTGTCGGAAGACTTTCAATGCTGCCATCATGACCGAAGGCTCCTTTGTTTTGATGGCCTTCAGAGACGGCACAAGTTTCTCTTGAATGGTGTATTTGTCCAAGATGGAGGACTTGGCGCTTGGTTTCGACTGAACGGCACCAGTAAGATCATCATCCAGTCCATCCATGTCATTCAAAGAGCCGCCACAGAGCACACTGAAAGCTTCCAGGCCACGAACTTTGATAGCAAGACTGCTAGTGCGACTGAAAGTGCTGGCGATGGGAGGGAACACTTCATTCTTCACCGTGCTGAAGTCAAGGATAGGGAGCATCACGGGAAGACATTTGATAGAAGCATCGACCAAAGAATGCGTCGGCGAGTCCATTCCAAGGCGGATCAACGGAAGTATGTCTATTTGACAAAATTTAGCACCGCGTCGCAATTCTTTTCGTTCAGGAAATCTTACCATCTTTAAACTCCATGCCTGAACAGTTGTCCGCAATGAGTTTCATACTTTCTAGTACGACCATAAGACCAGCATCTTTCTTGGAATCGCGTTCTTGAGTTCCTGGTTTGCCTGAGCCTGTGCCAAACACCTCTTTGAGACGGGGCATTATTTTTTCCGGCAGAGCACGACGCCCGTTAGGAATCCGTTGCAGGATCCCGAAGACATTCTGCAGAAGCAGGGGAAGGAGTTCGCGATCCTTCATTTCATCCAATAGTGCACCCAAGAGCTTTCTCTCTAGCACCGAGGCAGGGAAGTCGGGGAGAACACGGTGTAGCCCGCGAAGGAATTGAGATTTCTCATTGGCATTCTTGGCCGGTAAAGACTCCAAGAATCGAATCGTGGATACCAAAACATTATCAAAATATTGGGACTGTTGGAACTCCCTAGCATTCATGCGCTGCGCTGGTCTTCGGGTAATCAACCTTGGCAAGACGTGGGACAAAACATCACGAGGGATAGGCTGAGTGCAAAGAAAGTTGTTGCTCTGAGAAGGAGTAGTCGACGAAGAGCTCAAAAGCTTCTTGTAGGTCGTCAAATTCGCGTGGGCTTGGAGAGGGGAGACATGGGGTGAATTATAGAGAGCAACAATGATAAGACCCAAGGAGAAAAGATCTGCAGCAGCTGACACATTGGAGTCCAAAGCAAAATCCGGAGATGTGTAGTCCATGTTTAGCTGTACCGAGGCTGGCAGCCTTGGGTCTTGGTAGAGAACCTCGGAGACCGCCAACGGGGGGAGCGACGACCGGGTTTCGGAGGAATCAGGAGGACCAGAAAACCCTAGACCGGATATCTTCCAATCAGATTTGGAATTGATATAGATGGCATCTGGATTCAGATTGCCATGTACCAGGCCCGCAGACTCATGAAGAAACTCCAGGCCCTTTGCGACCTGGAGTAAGCCCTTTGAATCTCCAATTCATCGATCTCCAAGTCCCTCCTTCTTCGAGTTCCATCGGCCTCCTCAACCATATAACGGCTTGATCGAGGACCTGCGCCAGAAGAGCCTTCCTGCTCATTCCTATCCAGCAGCAGCCCCGATAAAGAGGCAGTTAGGTGCTCTGTTGCAAACATAAGACCTCCACTGCGCGTTTCCTCAACCGGCTCCAGCACCTGCAGAATGGATGGATGTCTCAGCCGGGCCAGGTTGCTCGCTTCCCGCTTTAAACGGTCAATCACATCTTCCTGTAGCTTTTTCGAAGACGACCCCGAGCGGGAACTAAATCCACCTGATCGCGGCTCGAGAATCTTGCGGTCGAAGATGAACACTGACGCTGCAGTCCCCGTGGACTTTTGCTTTGCATCGTGAATTTTCCAGGGGCCAGAGTAGACTGTGGGGTTGGGGGAGATCTGGTAGTTTGCGGAGATGTTGGAGCTGAACGATTTCAGCGCGTTGGAGAACATACTGGACCTAAATGCACCGAGGGAGAAATGATCGGGCGGGTTCAGGCGACGTTGAAGCGTTTCACAGTGTGGTGATGCCTAGGGGACCGGCGCAAGGCATGACTCGAGCTGTGTACCTGGAAGAAAGGAATAGTATGCCCCCGGGTATCGACTGAGACTCGGCAGCAGCGGCGGGATCCTCAATGCGCGATCGAGCAATCGAGGGACAAGGCGCCTGTGATTCCCATGAAGCTCTACCGGGGCAGCGATAACAATGTTCCTATCGTGGGGCGGGTCACGTGTCATCATCTCCAACGTGAGATGTGGGGATTACGTCCGTCGAGACCGACTCAGCATGCTGTACTCTGTACTAATAATGCCATGGACCACTCCGACATGAGGATTGTCGACATCCGTCTGCGGAGGCATATAAAAGAGTTGAAGAGGCAGTGAACTACGAGGTAAAGTCGGACGCGACCATGAGCGTTGGAATGAGCTTTGAGAGCTTGGGCTCTGCCACCGGCGGTAACCATATTTAAAAGGTGTTGTACGCTGTATATAGTGTGCGAAGCTGTAAAAGCGTTAGCTTGCAAAGAAACAGACCCTCTGGCGTGGCTTGCGAGAGGATATTTGATTCCAGTCATAGTTCTGGGATAAACCCCTGAAAGAGAAACTCAAACGAAGCATGCATGACCATAGAGACCGATCTATGTCTATGTCTAAGGATACCAAGGCCAACCTCGCCCAAACATACTAGAGGCATGAACCGTTTCAATGAACTGCTCCCGCTGGTAAGGTAACCCCGCGCTTTGCTGCGGCATTGGACGGTCGCTGGACTGAAAGCTCAAGCCCCCAGTTGATCCGAAATCGGCGGAGTCTAGCAAATTTGGGGCTTCTGATTGGTGCAATTGAACAGGAGTGGATGACTCATACAGTTTGAGGTGGGCGGTGAGTCTGGACTTTTCGCCTCGGAGTTGTGCTTCACCTCCGCAGAATAATGGCGGTGGAGTCATCTCGCATTTAAAAGCCGCCGGTCGCGCCCTTATCTTACCCTCATACACCAGCATTGACTGACATCACTCGCTCAGCCATGAAGTCTCTTCAGCAATTGACCCGCCGGAAGGCGTTGAGCGGTCTTAACACCCTTCGCCTGTCCTCACAGACCTTCGCATCCAGCCGATCATGGCAGAGGAACTTTGGCGTGACTGCGTCAGCCGCTTCCCAGCTTGCTGCTCTGGACGCCTCAAAGCTGTCTATTACCAAGACGACAACCCCTAAGGAGCTTACTCCTCCCAAGGATTTGGTGTTCGGAAAGACCTTCACCGGTAAGGATATTCCGATGGTATACAAGTTCAATCGCTAATTGAACTCCACCTAGATCATATGCTCACCGTCGAGTGGACCGCTACTGACGGCTGGCACTCACCTCGCATTGTGCCCTACCAGAACCTCAGCCTCGATCCAGCCACTTGTGTCTTCCACTACGCTTTCGAGTGCTTCGAGGGAATGAAGGCATACAAGGATAAAAACGGAGGAACCCGGCTGTTCCGCCCGAACAAGAACATGGAGCGCCTGAACAAGTCTTCTGCGCGCATTGCTCTCCCGACTTTCGACGGTGACGCTTTGACCAAGCTCATTGGGGAGTTTGTGAAGCTTGACGACCGATTCATTCCGGAGTGTGTGATATCCCTGGTTATCGGCATAGGATCATTTTTGCTAATTGTCATCTGTTAGCGCCCGCGGTTACTCTTTGTACCTACGCCCCACCATGATTGGGACTCAGAAGACCCTGGGTGTCGGCCCGCCAGGATCCGCCCTTCTGTTCGTCATCGCTAGCCCTGTGGGGCCTTACTACCCTACCGGCTTCAAGGCTATCTCTCTAGAGGCCACAGACTACGCTGTCCGTGCTTGGCCCGGCGGTGTTGGTGACAAGAAGCTCGGGGCCAACTACGCACCTTGCATCCTGCCCCAGCTCGAGGCCGCATCCCGTGGCTTCCAGCAGAACCTGTGGCTGTTCGGTGAGGAGGAATATGTGACCGAGGTTGGCACCATGAACCTGTTCATCGCCCTGAAGAACAAGGAGACTGGCAAGAATGAGCTTATCACTGCTCCTCTTGACGGCACCATCCTCGAGGGTGTCACCCGAGACTCTGTGCTCACTCTTGCCCGGGAACGACTCGTGCCCAAGGGCTGGGAGATCTCGGAGCGCAAGATCCGTATGTCCGATGTTGCCCAGGCTGCTGAGGAGGGCCGTCTGATCGAGGTTTTCGGTGCTGGCACCGCAGCCATCGTCAGCCCGGTGCGGAACATCAGCTACCGTGGCAAGCTCGTGGACTGCGGTCTGAAGGAGCATGAGGAAGCTGGCGAGATTGCCTTGCAGATGAAGAACTGGATTGAGACTATCCAGTACGGAGATGAGCAGCACCCCTGGAGGTAAGTTGATTCCCCGAGTGATGAGATGGCATGAACACCGTGAATGTTAACTCCTTGGCAGTTACGAGATTTAATTGTAGATGGGTACATTTCCAAAATCGAGGACTGGGCGTCCTACATTGGGATATAGTTTTGATACTACTCAAAGACCTTGCCTCTATTCTGTGCATTTGTGGCACGTGTTTTTCAGGCATTGGTGCTGTACAGAATCTTTGGGCTTTTCTATATTTTTGGTTTACCGTTGGCTCTAATGGTCCCTTTACACGGTTTACAGCGGCATGTAGAAAGTTGCTCTTCGTTTCGGGTTTATTATTCAGAGCATTTCAATAGCAGCTAGACATCCTTGATCAAGCTTCTCTAATTTCTTTGAATGAGCAAGCCCATCGTCCAACCCAAATTTACGAGTAATCCCGTCGCCGGACTCGTAGCGTGTGCTCCCTTGACCCCAGCCCCTTTTATGCATTATCACTAATATCATTTTGACCTGGTTCAGCGGCTTTCGCGGTACCCCACATCCATAGCCAATAGGATGCGCGTCCTTGCGAGCACTCCGGCTATGCCAGTTAGTCCAGGATCCATTGTAGCCGGGCCTTGCGAGTAGGGCTTCGAAAGTTGGGAGAAAAAGGGCGCGCTCTTTTTCTAATGGTCGTTCCCTAACTGATCTAACAATGAAAGGTTCTGAAATTTCCTTCACAGGACTACCTAACTAGCTTTATATGTCGTAACAATGGATCGAACCAAGCAACCCCTGATCCTCTCTGGAGTAGACAACAATCGCCGTGCTGCACTGACTGTTTTCAACGTATCTGTCGATGTTAGCAATTTCCACATCATCTTCTTGAATACACCAGCATTGTGACCTGAAGCATCAAAATCGAAGTCTCATTGACATTCCTGAACTCGTTCCGGATCTTACTCATCCCTGGAGCTAGGAGCAGCCATTCGGACATCTCCGCGCGACTGAGCTTGACCTCGCCCGATATCCCGGATTTTGCATGTGGTTCTATAAGTATGGGCCTTTATAGCCTGCAAGTAAGTTATGGGTTGGAAGATTCGGGACGGCGTTTCAATACATATACTATGAAATGGATATAGAACGGAAATAACAAAATTCAGTATTGAGCACAAATCAGCACACCCAGGTCATGTCACAGCCCCTGCGAAGGAAAAAGACATTGTCCCAAATTGACATCAAAGGAACATACTTTCAATTCCTCTCCACTCGCACCTCTTCCTTGACGCGAATGCCACGATTGTTTTTCCCATTCCGACCGACAAGAACTTCCTCATCGCTGCGGTTATTGCGAGAAATATACAGCTCGGTGTTACCATCGTCTTTAACTGTGAACGCTGTGTTATTTTTTGCCAGGTTTTGCATGCGGAAGCGGGATGTTTCATTGGACTCGTTATGTTTAACATATCCGGCTTCCGAGCTGTCCAAATCCGAGCCGTGTACGAGGACGCGATAGAGGGGGCGGACGGTGGGAATGCCAACACAGATAAGAGTGACGGCAAGTTCGACTGCCGACCAGATTATCAGGTCGACCGTATCCTCTAAACAACAAAGACGAAAATAAGTGGAGTTCACGGTAGATGATTGTTGGATGGGGTGCATTACCGGTGTAGTTTGCGCTGGACAGTCCGCCCAGGTCGATAGTTCTGATAATTCCACATATGCAAGCTCTAAAGGAGAAGGTTAATTCATTTTTAAAGTGAACAGGGTGTTGAACAACGCACATAAAGCCCAAGCTCAAGCTGATCGCGATGGTTATCTTCTCCTTGAACTTCATATTAAGCTTCCAGAGGAAGATCCACGGAAGGAGAGCAAAGTAGAAGTCCACTGCAGCACACCAGGCTAATGGAAGCGACGTTAGCGATACCCCAAGTTGAGAGAGGATTCTCGAAAGAGAGAAGGTAAACATACATCCTAGCAAGATAGAAAATGGGGTGACCGTGACTACGAGACGTCCAGGGACGCGAGGGTCATATATGGATTCGGAGGGAATCTTCTGAACCCAGAATATGATGGCCGTCATCACCGACACAACCGAAAGACTGACCATCGAGAACCAAATGGTAACGCGATGCCATTGCTTGACAACAATGCGGAGCAGGAAGATTCCTAGCGATAACTTCGCAATAGCCATTCCAAGCACAGCAAATGTCTGCCCGATCATCTCGTTGTACACGGCTTTAACAGCCATATCCATTTTTAGATTGCTGATGGGTTGTCCAAATCCATATACGCCTGCAATGGTGATAAAGATTGTGTACAAGAGCAGGAACAACTGGAGCCCTGTCAGCTTTTCATCGTCGTGCCATCGGCTGTCGTGTTCAAATGAGCCATAACTTACCCAAGCCAGATTGAAAACATGGTCATCTTCTCCGAGGGCCTTGACGATATAGATTCTCGTATAGAGTCGTAGGGGGACAAGAATAAACGAGATGAACGTCATCACCCACATTACTGCGACAGCACGAACACCTTTGCCAGCCAACATTTTCACAGTGTAAGGTGTTTCAAATGAGAATGTATCAAAAAGTGCTGAATATTGATGGGCCACGGAGCTTGCCGCCGTGAGAACAATGCGTGAAAACCGATAATGGGACCACCAGGCTACAAATACACAATGATGCCGTCAAAAGAACCTTTCACAATGGCAGTAGGGAGTGAAGTCTTGGTAGAGACTCTTGTGAGCTGTCGAAGGTCATTTTCGGATCCTTCACATCAAGCGCAAGCGAGTATGGGGAGGTGAAACGGGCCATTCAAGCTTTTGGTGTCAGTCATTTCCACTTCCAGCACTTTACACCGCTTCATTCTACATTGGCCTACATTTGGCCCAAAAAACCCATGCTTTTTGTTGCTGGGTTCGGACTTTTGCGACTCTTAACTTGGAAAGGCGTCGTTGGTGGCGTTCACACGGGGCTTCAAATACATGGCTATGCGTGCTTTTGGTAAAATTGATACGTGGGCCTTTGCAGGGGTACAATAGATGGGTATTCGACAGGTCAACTGTCAAAAGAGGGACTACCCGCGGAGGAGGGTCGCAACGTGCCGGTTTCCATGGCCAGGCCCCGAAATCTAGATTTCTGCTTCGTGATAGGCCCGATCATCACACAATCACATTAACCGCCCCAGCATTGGACGTATAATGTCTGGGCGTACTTTTGGATCACGGATAGACTCCACCCGGAAGCATCCAGGCGTGGCAAAACGGAGCAGCTAACTCTGATCAGGCGTCGGCTTTTTTTCTTTTTTAAGATTCCAGACCGAGACCCATCCTTCGAGCTTGAAAGATCGGCAACGTCATAAGAACACGAGCTAGGAGACGGGGATCTCCAGGAGTAGCTCGGGGGTCTGTGTTATGTGTAGTCCAAAGTACCTGTGAGTTATCGAATGCACCTCTTCCCACATCGTCATAACTATCAACTAAATTAATTTCTTTTTCGGAAAATTCGATACATTCCCCTAGTGCTTAAGTAAAACAGACATTTGCTTCCAATGGTAGCACGGTTAGTAATTACTATCCTATCTGGATGGAAGTTACATTGTGCCTGACCTTCCCGCCGCCCAAGCCTCCCCCTCCCAGCGCGATCACGGGTCTATATGGAATTTGGTATCGAAGTCGACTCGCATTCAACTGAGAAGGAGGAAAGTGATAACACCCTTATTATGGCTTCTTTACTCTCATCACTTGTTGTGATTGAGGCGGTTGGATAGCGTATCATGCATCCAAGTTCTGTTTCTCATCTATGCCCGAGCTTTTGCATAGGGCCTGTCATAAGCTCGAGTCAGTCGAGCGGAACAAAAGCTATCAGGTCATCCGACTCCTACAGAGAAGGGTGCCGGTAAATGCCGTCTGGTAGGAGTCGTGTTTGCTCTCTAGTAATGAATGAAGGGTTGACTATGTGTGTAAAGAAGGAGAAAGGAGGACGTGCACTTATAATCTGAATATTAAAGATCACTGGAAAGATCAACAGGAAGATAAAGCGAGAGGTGGATGAGGATAGAAAAAGGTTCATTTGCGTGAGGTTAGGGGGCTAGAATCGATCTATCGATAGCGCCTGTTTGTTACCGTACCTTGGTCTACGTGCCGCGCAATGTACTTGATGTTTGCAGCTTCTCGATTTACGTAAATTGTGGCTTAAGCAAAGAAGGTAGGAGTTGGTTTCATGTTAACAATACTTTCACATGACATGTAACTCAGGATATCTCGCATTCAGGTACTCCAACCCCAAATTGACCAGTAGAACTTTATTTATTTGCCTGTTGGTTTCAAACGCTATGTGCCTGCCGTCTTTAAGCACTCATCCGGCCCCTCGATTCAACAATGACTGTAATACCGATAGAGGCCGCATCCAAGTCTAATCTAAAACATCAAGGATCTTTAATTTATAATACACTCGTCCGAGAAGTATGTTTTCGCGAAAATTTATCTCCTTTGATGGCGGCGAAGTCTAGCAGTAGCTGTGGAGACGGTGAGGCTAGTCTGATTAATTCTCAAATAAAGGTGCAGACCCGCAGTAACGATTTAAAACTTCTGTTGATTACAAGAAATTAGCCGAATGGGCGTCAATCTAACGTCTGTTTTCCCGCAAACCCCTAATGTCTTCTATTCTCAGCAACAGGAGCTCGGGTATCCTTTAAATTGACGACAACGCTGTTCCGCTTAATGCTGGCCTACTGGATTGACTATGCGTTGAACTTTTACCGTAGTCAGATTCATTGACGGGTTCCCGCTATTCTTCCAGACAGTCTCTGCCCTCGATATTCTTATCATCATGCCATTTTTACCCGATAGCCCTCGTTAGCTTATGTTGCACGAAGCCTCTCCAGACAGAGGCACGACTTTGATGGCCCAAATTGCGGAACAAGCCAGAAAATGATCATGTTGTCCAGAAGGGAAAGTCAGGGCAAGAGGTTCAAAAGGCCTTGGGAAAGAGTTTCTGGTCGTGACTGCTCGTGGCTCCGGGAAACACCGGAGTGTATGAGTTGTGGAAAGAAGTAAACTCATTCAATCCGCGAAGTTCGTAGGCTCTGCCAATGCCAGTGTACCCCAAGTCAGCATGACTAGGATCTGTTCTTGCTCTTGTGTTTTCTCGATGGATTACCCCTGTATAGTGTTCATCCATCGGCATCTCTCAGTTTAGCCAATGCAGCCGCAATACCTGCATCCAGTTCTTCTGTCGGTTGGTTTATTTTCAAGGAACCTTCAGCCGGGGCAGCTGCAGCCGCTGTTAGCCGGCTCTCCGCCAACACTGACCGCAACACTGCCTCGTCCTCATCTTCATCCATAGCCATAAGCTGGGGCCCATTTTGGGCTTTCGGCGCCCTGGTCTGACTCTTGGGCCCGGGGGCCGAGGCCTTCTTGGTAGTTTCCACCCGGAAGTCTTCCCGGACAGCATTACACCACTGCTGGACCTTCTTCTCACCCCAGCCAGGGACGGAGCTGATCTGCTCTGGCTGCCCATTCACAGCATTCTGTAAGCTCCCAAATGTAGATATCAAGCTGGCTGCATCGGACTTATTGATGCTCCGTGGTGCCGTAACAAATTCGACCAAAGACTCCTTGTATGATTGTGCTTGTTGTGTGCGAATTGCTGTGGGCTGTGCGTGTTCGGAGGACTTGTAGAGCTCGAGGTAGTGTGCGGCTTCGGGGGCGGACCAGCAAAGCATCAGGGTGAGGTTATTGATTATAGATGTCTTCGACAGCTCCTTCAACGAGTCTTCATGGTTGGGAATGTCCACCATGACCAGCACGATGCGCAGGTTGTACTTCCCGGCGAGGAGTCGGAGTCTCGAATAGATGTATTCAGGGTGTAAGCGGTGGTACTTCAGAGAGAGAAAGAGGGCGCATGTTGTTGCTCCTATTACATAATCTGCTGGAATATCGGCATACTCCCATGGCAGAAGCTTGATGTGGTTCAGGATTGGATTGCCCTTCTGTCGCGTAGACACGAGGATTGCAGAGGGACCTGATCGGTTTGGAAGCGCCTGTGGTTTCGGCTGTTGCACTTTGGGTTGGTCGCCTGATGGTGTTCCAGGATTGGAATATCGAGTATCAGCCTCGCCATCCCCGCGAGATTGCGACCCTGAGTCGTCTCTGGATCGAGCGTCCATGGTGGGAGTTGGGCTGTGAACTGATAAAGCTCGACCGGAGCTTATCAGAGCCCGTGTGGACAACTCTTCACCGCCCAAAGGCGCAACATCCTTTTCTGCCGCCAATTTTTTTTATTCGTCTCTATTGCCAAAAAGAAAAACGGTCCAGCCTCTGCAATCTCACCATGGCTGAGCCGTACAAGAAACGCCGACTCTCCGAAGAGGATACTTCTCAAGACTCCGATACCAAAATGGAGGCCACCACAACCAAAGCCTCCGCAGTGCCGGGCTCGAAGCAACCTAACAAGACGCTCTTCGTCCGATCGCTTCCCGCCTCCGCTACGACAGAAGGCCTCGCAGAGTTCTTCTCACAGTCCTACGTGATCAAGCATGCTACTGTTGTTTTGAATCCGGAGACCAAGGTTTCCAAGGGCTTTGGTTTCGTCACATTCGCCGATCTCGAGGACGCCCAGAGCGCCCTGGAGGAGTTGAATGGTTCCAAATTTGACGGCAAGAAGATTCGTGTCGAATATGCGGAACCCCGTCACCGTGAGATCGACGAAAAGCTGGGCAGGAGTATTCCCTCTGCTGCTGCGCTCAAGTCCAAGCAGGAGCGGGAAGATCAGAGGCTGCAGAATCAGCCGCCAAGGCTGATCATCCGCAATCTGCCATGGAGCATCGAGACCACGGAACAACTGTCTCGACTCTTCCTCAGTTTCGGAAAGGTCAAACATGCAGTTCTTCCCAAGAAGGGCGACAAGTTGCAAGGTTTCGGTTTCATTGTCCTGAGAGGCAAGAAGAACGCTGAGAAGGCGATTGAGTGGCTCAACGGCAAGGAGATTGACGGTCGCCAATTGGCTGTCGATTGGGCTGTGGACAAGGAAGCTTGGGAAAATGCAAAGGAAGATAATGAGGAGAAGGAAGAGGGGAAAAGCAAAGCCAGAAGATGTGGATATGGAGGACAAGGAACATTCCGAGGAAGCCTCTGGCGAAGAAGCTTCACTGGACGAAGACGAGGATGACGATATGGAGGATCTGGCAGATCTGGAGGGCGATCTAGAGAACGGAGGCGAGGATGAGGAGGAGGTGAAAGACAAGGAAGACGAGCGCACGGAATGCACCATCTTCCTCCGCAATCTGCCCTTCACCTGCACCAACGAGTCACTCTACGAACACTTCTCCCAATTCGGATCACTTCGATATGCCCGCATTGTCGTCGATCACGAGACTGAACGGCCTCGAGGCACTGGCTTCGTATGCTTCTGGAAGTCCGAGGATGCCATAACTTGCGTCCGCAACGCCCCGAGGACAACAGAGATGCCGACTGGAGACAAAGATCGCTCCAAGCCAGCACTGAAGCATTCCGTTTTGCAGAATGAGGATGCTGACCCGAGTGGAAAATACACAATGGAAGGCCGTGTTCTACAGGTTGCCCGTGCAGTGAACAAGAACGAGGCTACGAGACTGGAAGAGGAGGGCGTTTCACGCCGCCTGGTGCGTGACAAGGATAAGCGCCGCCTCTACCTCCTGGCAGAGGGCACTATTGCGTCGAACACTCCTATGTATAAGAAGTTATCTCCTTCTGAGATTAAGATGCGCGAGGCCAGCTTCAAGCAGCGCGAGACCTTCATCAAGAAGAATCCTGCTCTGCACCTCAGTCTTACTCGTCTTTCCATCCGAAACATTCCCCGCCACATCACCTCGAAAGACCTGAAGCAACTTGCGCGACAAGCCGTGGTTGGCTTTGCCACGGATGTCACCAATGAGGTACGCCAGCCGCTCTCGAAGGAAGAACAATCCCGCTTCTCGGAGGAGATGAAGGAGCAGGATCGCCTGCGCAAAACCAAAAAGCTGGGTATCGTCCGGCAAGCCATGATTGTTTACGAGACGCGTGAGGGCACCAAGGTTCCGGAGAAGGGTGGTGGTGGCCGCAGCCGTGGCTACGGTTTCATTGAGTACTTCACCCACCGACACGCCCTGATGGGTCTGCGATGGTTGAACGGCCACGCCATCGACATCCCGGCGAACAACGACGAGGAAGACAAGGATAGGAGGAAGCGCCTGGTCGTTGAATTCGCCATTGAGAATGTGCAGGTCATCAAGCGCCGTAAGGAGCTGGAAGAGAAGCAGCGACTCGAGAAGGAGAACGACCCTGAGGAGAAAGACCAGAAGGCCGACAGTCAGGACGACAAGAAGGGCACCAAGAGGAAGCGCTCAGGCAAGGGTAAGGAGGGAGAGGGCGAGGGCGAGGGAGAGCGGGATGGAGAGGAAGACGAGGACAAAATTGCCAAGCGCAATCGGATTATTGCGCAGAAGCGCATGAAGCGGAGGGCCCGCCGGGGCAAGGCGTGATGATGTGCTGTCTATCTGGTCCTGTAAAGAACGATAGGCGCTGTCCACGGAAGTTAATTTTTTCTTGTTTGTATCTAAGGAGCTGAGCTAGCTTGCGCGATACCACCACATTGGAACTATAAAAGCATTATGATTGACAGTCGACTCGCGTAAACTCCAATCCTTGACCTGCGGGTATACTTCGTATAACCCACTCCCCAATAGAGCCTCTTAAGTGTTTTTCGCACCCTCGACCTTGCCGACGACGTTGTAACGCTTGCTGAAGAAGGTAAACCAGTCCTCCAGTACGGTCTTCTCCTTGTCCGCCAGGTCATACCACTCAGGCACGCAGTCCTCGGGCTTCAGCGAGGAGCAGGCGAGAGCACGAGAGGCGTCCTTGCCGGCGAAAACTAGACCAATATCCCAGTGTTAGTGGAAACGTGCTGCGCAGTGGAACCCCTCCATGCTGGGTTGGCTGAAGCTCACCGCGATATTGCCCTGTCGGCCCATAGGCGGCATTCCGGGAGACGTCGAAAACAGTGCCCTTGATGGCGACCAGAGTTGGGTGGCTGGGGTCAGTGCCTATGCGCGACGCGCAGTGTCAGTCGAAGGCCGCAAACCAGACCGAGGAATGCGGGGATACCCTACCGTCACACTTGGCCAATTCTTCCAGGGAGATGGGGTCGTCCTTGGGCGGATCCAGCTGGACCGGCACCTTGGGTGTGAAGCGTTCAGACATTGTGGCGGCTCTAGAGGAGTGATTGAGGTGGAGGTCGCAACTTTCAACCCCGAGGATAAAAGATGAATGGTTGTGGGGTCGGCGGATACGCCCGGCAATCGGATGCTGACGACTGGCCGCTATGATTGCCCCGGCTCCATACTAATGACTTCGTGTAGCCTGAATGTAGATCTAATTCGATTGAGGAGATAACAACTGTATCATTGATTGTAACCACAATATTTGGTAGAAACTCTGCCAGGAGAGCCCCAGTAGACTGATATATTTTACCGACGATAGCCCGCTCGACGTTGTTACTATTCCCTCTGAGCTCCCCCGCATGACGTCAAGCCACGCGAGGCTAGTATTCGTCCTCAAAAGAAGTCTTCGAGTGGCGTGCATCAGACGATGACAAGGGATATCCATCCTATCTTTGACGCAAATCAGCCCTGAAACCAAGTCGGAGGTCCGGTTTGCCCAATCTCGCCTCAGCAAGTCTGTTCAAATACACAAAACATCCAAACTCCTTTATAACAATACAGGATGTCCTCTCCTGACCCTACTTCCCACCTTAGCTCAACACGACCGGCCGAGCAGGATACGGTGCCTCAGGGCCATTATGAGCCCAAACAAGATCCTGTCAAGGCCGACGTCGTTCACCATCTCTACTTCGAGGACAACGACAGCTTCTTTCCACCTAGCTGGCTTGGGAAAGACACGGCGCCATCGGAGCGCAGATCACCGAATCATAGCACCAGTCATGATCCCAAGAATTAGGGGAAATCACACGGAAACGAACGTACAATAGTCTGATTTGTCGCCACCTGAGTTTAGAACAAAGCTATTTGGTTGTGGTTCTTAATCGAGTCATCTTCGTCGCTGATGTATACCACTCATTCCATTTGACCAACTTGCCAGGTTATATATCTTGCCTAGCATACTATATATCAACTGTGCGTTGCTGACAGGCTCGTGTACTTCAAACTGCTACCTACTTGGACCTCGGCAGCGTTTAACACTCCACTATTCCCCATTGCCAAGACATTCCCATTCAACCATGGCGCCCCTGTCGCCTAGAGATTAAGTATAGGAGTAATGCAGTAATCTCAGGTAACAGACCAAACAAATGTCCATCGTGCAATAATGCCGATCCTCAAGCTTTCCTAACTACCGTAATCTAACACTTCACTTATCAGCGAGCGTTCAACCCATCGTAAGGCAGACTGACCTCTCGGAGGGACTCCATGTGGGGGGTACCGCGGCCTGTTAGCGAGACAGACTGCGGGGGGCCGCATTCTGATTTGCTCCTCGGGACGGCCTGTCCCTCGGACTATGCCGATTTTCAGGTTACGCCGTCGACAAGATTCGTTTCGGGGAATATTGGATAGACTGCCAAGCAATGGAGGGCAATTGCCAAGATGAGAAAATATTTTCTTTGCTTGGCCCTTTCCTTCTCTCTCGTATTTCTGACCGCATGTTCTTGCTATTTATATTGTGATCAATCTTCCCTTTATCGTCGGGTGGATCAGATCGGCCGTCAAAATGTCAAATAAGAGTCTCCAGCAGGGGCCTGGCTCTCATTCGCCGATTGCTGCTGCTATCCAGCGCACCGAGCCGCCCGGCGGCTTTCCCGACCCCGAGGGGAAGCCGATCAAGGTTCCTGACAAGGGTGTAGAGATCGCCGAGAAAGACTCATTGGGCAATCGAGATGTTTCAATTGATGGTGGATCCATGAATCCGACTTATGACCACACTTGGCGTAAGCTGAAACCCCGTCATCTTCAATTGATTGGCATCGGTGGTACGATTGGCACGGCATTGTACGTGCAAATCGGTTCCAACCTGCGTACCAGCGGCCCCGCAAGCTTGTTTCTCGGATTTAGTATTTGGTGAGTTCAGATTGCGAACCTTTATTCCCTTTACCTCTTTGTTTCACTGTCTGGGTTGGACCAACGAATCCTATGGGGGATAATGGTATACAATGTCAACGGCGAGTCCGATTCGCAACCGACTATAAGCCAATGAACAAAAGAAGAGCAGCGCAGAAGCACGACGAAGCAGATTTATGAGATTTTCAACCGAACTACAAGGGTCGTAAACAGACACCTAGGCAGTTGACCGCATCCCGTGCAACACAATATCGACATTTCTGCCATCTATACAACTACTCCCATTTGCCCCAATGCATTTTTTCAAACCCTAACTCGGCTGATCGGATGCCCGAATCCCAACGCAGCCTTTGAGCCCTCCATGTTCCACCAATTTACTTGAATGGTTTGAATCTTATACTTTGATTTCCTAGGAGTTGTGTGATCTTGATCATTACCGTTTGTACGAAGCACGCTGTTCACCCGCCCATCCCACTATTTCCTTCTTAAGCCACTAGCAGCATATCAGACCCAAGGCAACTGAGATCCCATGATGCATCATCTCCACCAAGCGCCTGCATACAATCATTTTCCCCTTATGACTGCTTGACTTGGAATTCATTTATGACTCTTTGTCTCTTTCGATGCTAACTACTGCAACCTACAACGTTATCTAGGTCTTGCAGAGATGGTCACCTACCTACCCATCTCCTCACCATTCATTCGATTTGCGGGCCGTTATGTTGACGAGGCTCTCGGCGTCGCGGCAGGGTACAATTTCTTCATTTTCGAAGCTGCGCTTGTCCCTTTCGAAATTGTGGCAGTCAGCCTGATCGTCAATTACTGGACAAGTGCAATTCCAGTTGCAGCGATGAACGTAATCGTTCTCGTACTATACACGTATGTTCAAGACCCCCCATTCCGAAACGTGCATGCTGACACCTACATTGCCAGTGCGCTCAACGTTTTCGCCGTCCAGTGGTACGGCGAAGCAGAATTCTGGCTATCCCTGGGCAAAGTACTGCTCAGTGTCGGTCTGATTTTCTACACCTTCATTGTGATGCTCGGTGGCAATCCACTCGGGGACCGATTTGGTTTCAGGTACTGGAATGAGCCTGGCGCTTTCGCAGAATACTATAAAGAAGGGGACATGGGCAAGTTCCTCGGCTTTTTGTCTGCGCTTATCGCGGCCAGCTTTACTATCGCCGGCCCGGACTATGTGTCTATGGCTGCGGGTGAAACAATCAACCCGCGCGTGGTGCTGCCCAAAGCATATAACGGTGTGTTCTATCGGCTGACGGCATTCTTTGTGCTGGGTGTCCTCTGTGTCGGCATTTTGGTCCCGTACAACGACAAGACTATGGCCGAGGCTTTTGATAACGACAGGCCTGGCGCTGCGGCCTCGCCTTATGTTGTCTCTATGGATAGATTGCACATTCCTATCCTGCCGCACATCGTCAATGCCGTCGTTCTTACTGCTTCTTTCAGCGCAGGCAATAGCTATGTCTACTGTGCCAGCCGCAGTCTGTACGGTCTTGCGCTTGAGGGCAAAGCGCCGCTGTTCTTGGCGAAATGCACAAAGAAGGGTGTGCCAATCTACTGCGTTGCTGTGGTGCTGTTGATTGCGTTATTGAGCTTTCTTCAAGTGTCCAATGGTGCGTCTGTAGTTCTGAGCTGGTTCGTCAATCTAGTATGTATCTGGTCTGATATTCTCTTTTCATCCAACATGAACATCTAACAATAGAGTACTACAGGTCACTGCCTCGCAGCTAATCAACTTCTCCGTTGTCACATTCACCTATATTCGATTCAAGAAAGCCCTCGATGCGCAAGGTGTTTCTCGCCGTGCCCTGCCATACCGTAGCTGGTTCCAGCCCTATATTGCCTATGTTGCTTGCACTGCCACCACTATCATGGCCTTTGTCGGCGGTTATACGGTTTTCTTACCTGGTCACTGGTCCGTTCCCACGTTTCTCTTCTCATACACCATGATCGGTCTGTTTCCAGTACTCTACTTTGGATGGAAGATCTGCCATAAGACCAAATTTTTGAAGCCGGAAGAGGTGGATCTGGTTTCTGGCTTGGCGGAGATCGAGGAGTATACTAGGGACTTTGTCCCTGTTCCACCGAAGTGAGTTCTGAACCCCCAAGGTCGGATTTCATTGGCTAACATATCATTCCAAGGAGTATTGTCCACAAGTATGCCAACATGCTGTTCGAGTAACACCGCCAAACAACTTACTCAGGATGATCTGTTCCAATGACATATCATCACGAAGAGAAGATAGAAGATATGATGATTGTGATGATTCATGACCGAGTTCGATTGAGAGACTACTCTACATACAGAATAAAAGGATCCGACAAGACAATGAACCGCTGTGTACACTCCATCCCAATTATGCATAAAACAGGCCATCAAGGGCCTCCTGTATCTACCACTGAATCATTTCTGCTCATCAGCAGCCCTCAAAACCTCCAGGCGCTGCTTATTGCGTTTCCCCAAGATCCGCATCGTATTTTTGCGCTCGATCTCGGTCATCTGCTCCCAATTTCCGATCCGCGAGAGCGACCCGTCGACATTAACAACCATGGGACCAAGGTGGTCAAGGGTGACCCCGCCGTCGGCACCGAGATCGAGGCGCAGCTGTTTGGGCTGACCATCGCTAGAACTCTCGGCCTCGGGGAGGTAGAGATGTTCTTGCGGGGATTGCGCCTGGGTTCCTTCTTGTAGTTGAGACTCGTTGGTCTCTTGCTTGGGTGGGGCGGAGTCTGATTGCGAGGAGGACATCGTGTGCGATTGGCGAATTGATTCAAGGGCTCTGCCACCAGGCGCGCACAGGGGGAAGAGGATGGTGTAGAGTCGGGAGGTCGGGGTCTGGGGTAGCTGGGCGGTAGAGCTCAGGGACCAGGTGGGGATGGAGGCGCGGACAAGGATCGGGTTCACGCTGAGGTGGAAGAGGGCGGCGCGGTAGGCTGTGCGCGACAACTGCATGCTTGGGGTGTGCACTTGGTAGTTGAAGTCTGGCGTAGCTTGAGCGATAAACTTGTCGGGAGCGGAGCCAGGATGATTCTGGAACCTGCCCGCGGAACTACGCGTGGATTGGTCCCCGCATCACGGGAATACTTTGCCTGATGAAATGTAATTCAATTCTATCGCATAGCTAGTAGTATACAGAGCTCAAATTCCATATCTACAGTAGTCATTATTCTTGCTTTCATCGGAACCACCAATTGACCTACTTTATGATTAGCATCCGCGACCGCAAGTGTGGATCGAGGCACACGGGCAGCACTTACCGACGCAGTCACCCCCTCTCCAAGGCCTTTGATGCTATGCCACCACCCCTTCGGAATGAACAGACCATCTCCGGCCTCCAAATTCGCCTCGTACCCAGCCTCCGAACCTGTAGAAGCCGCACCCCACACCATATCATCCAACAGTGCGCGTTCTTGACCTTGCATCATCTCCTCGCCCCGTATCGCAGCCGCTTCTTTGCCCCCACTTTTGCCCAGTTGCCGCCGTATCGAGGAAAACAGCGCCTGTCCTTCCGATGGTGCTAGGAGTCGCACCACCTTCTGTCCAGCCAGCTGCACGAAGAGGTTCGGGTTCGGATCGCGATGGAGCGGGGTATATGTAGGCGGGTGTCCAATCCAGACATTCGTGTCGTAAACATCGCCCTTGCCGGCCATCAGGACGATCTCTGGCGTCGGAAAGTCATCCCGAAGAACTTGGGGCAGGTCGAGAAGCTGGCATTGTGCGAGGTAGAGTCGCGTCGACTGCGGCGATGTCTCCGCCATGCGCATCCATTCGAGAAAGAGGGTAAGCGGTGCGTGGAACTGACGGAAGCTCACCACATCCGATGCCGCACTTTGATGTGACCCATCGCCATTGGAAGATGCGTTGTGGGCGGATAGCTCGGTGAGCTCCAGTGGGACGAACGCGTCGGCGCCGTGTGTTTGGAGGTATTCCACGTTCAATCGAGTTGCAGAGCGACCGGTCGCGGTCGGCGGGGAGCTGCTGCGCTCGAACCAGTGCTTTACAGCAGGTAGGTCACGGAACTGAGAGCGCGGGAGGAGGACGGGCTGCTCGAGGGCAAAATATTGCTGTCGGAATATGTCGACGTCGGCATCTCTGAGCGCTTCGAGGGGGTGGTACAGGCGGGCGAGGGGGGAGGATATGCGTGGGATGTGAGCTGGCTGCAAGAGATCAAGGACAGACGGGCGTAAGAGTCGCCTCTGGACCCCATTGCTGTGTGTCCATGGCTGGAGCTTCATACAGGCAACTCGGGGTGCGGACGAAGGGTGAAGAGCGGATAGATTCTAGCCGCGCAGGCGCGCTACCCCGGACTTATGCCCAGGATTCCCGTTTTGGCGTTCGGCATGTTCCAAGTAACTACTAACGTTATATACTACATATACACATATATATATATAGAATCTCGAATCCAGCTTCTTCGGGGGCAGGTAATTTTCTACATTGTTCTTTTCTTCTTATTTTGAGCAAGGATTCTCGGTTGTGCAAGCACAAGCTTCCTCCCCTGCCAGCACAAAATGGCCGGGACCGAGGTTGCCAAGCATTCCCCTCATTCTGGTGACATTCTACTGCCTCAGTCTTGGATATTGGGGTGTTCCTCATGACATATTTTCTCCACTCATCGGGTCCCTTTGATATCGATCCAAAATGCCCTCGGTTGCCAACATCCACAAGCGCCATGTCTATGGCAAAGATGCTTACACCTACTACCCCGTGCTCATCGTCGGCGCGGGTGAGTCTGGTGTAGCCATGGGCTGCCGTCTCAAGGAGGCTTTAGGAACGGATCAATTTCGGATCTTTGAGCGGCAGTCAGGCATCGGTGGTACCTGGTGGATTAATCGATATCCCGGCGTTGCTTGTGATATGTATGTATTCGAAGACCATCTGGATGCTACCTTCAGCTAACGTCTATCACAGCCCTGCTTTGTTCTATTCTTTTTCGTTTGCTCCAAAGAAGAACTGGTCGACGCTGCACCCATCGGGGCCAGAGATTACACAGTATCTTTCAGATGTCTGTGAGGAGTATCAGATCGTCGACAAGATCCAATTTCACACTGACGTCCGAGAGCTTCGCTGGATTGAGGAAGATGAGGAGTGGGAGGTCCTGCTCTCTCACCTTGTTCCTGGGGCCGGCGACCTGTCATCCTATGAGCGGGAGCAGCTTGCCATCAAGGACGGCCCGCATAGTGTATATATCAAAACCGAAATTGTGCGGGCCAAGGTCGTTGTCAGCGGCGTGGGTGGGCTGGTTGAACCGAAGACATGGCCCCAGGATATCCCCGGCATCGAAGACTTTCAAGGAGAAGTCGTGCACACAGCCCGATGGGACAGTAATATCGACCTGCAAAACAAAGATGTCATCATGCTTGGCTCAGGATGCAGTGCCGCCCAAGTCATCCCCGAGTTGGCGAAGCCAGAGGCTAATGTCCGCTCCATCACCCAGCTGATGCGCACTCCTCCCTGGGTTCAGCCGGATCTCTTGTCCCCCAAACTACTCGTTCAGTGGGAAAAATGGATGCCGACTTTGCTGACACACGTCCCGGGGCTGTCGCGCTTCCTCCGCTACAACCTGTTCCTCATGTGTGAACATAATTTCTTTGCTATGTTCACCGATACAGCCTACGCACGCATGAAGCGGCCGAAGATTGAACAAAGATTCTTGGACCACATGCGTGAGATGGCGCCAAAGGAATATCATGACATTCTGACCCCCAACTACAGTCTTGGCTGCAAGCGTCGCATCATTGACGGCACTTGGTATCGCAGCTTGAATGCGCCAAACGTCAAGCTTACGACACAACCGCTGACCCGAGTTCATGCGAAGAGTGTGACGATCGGACCGGGTAGTTACTACCCTCCAGGCAACGAGTCCAATGATGAAGCCAGGGAAATCCCGGCCGATGTAATTCTCCTGGGAAATGGATTCGAGACCAACCAGTGGCTGCATCCCCTGAAGGTGATTGGCAAAGACAAGAAGGACATGGGCGATCTCTGGGCTGTGCGAGGAGGCGCCCAGGCGTACCAGGGCATTGCGATGGATCACTTCCCAAATTTCTTCATGATCTTCGGACCGAACACGGTCACCGGCCATACGAGCGTCATTTTCGCAACCGAGAATGCGGTGAATTACTCGCTAAAATTCATCAAGCCCATTTTAGACGGCCAGGTCAGCTCCTACGAGGTCAAGGAAGAAGCTGAACTCGCGTGGACCAAGCAATTGCAGGACCAACTGCAGAAAACGGTCTTCCGCCAGGGCGTCTGCTCCAGCTGGTATATCACGGCTGGTGGTTGGAACTCAACGACCTACCCGTAAGTCTTCTATATGCGATAAAGTATGCTTCTCCGGTTAACAATAGTACATCTAGGTACACTCAGCTTCATTATTGGTACCGGTGCATGTTCCCGATTTGGAGCGATTGGACTGTGAAGTGGACTCGGAAGGGTGCTCTTCTACAGGGACTTCGGAAGACTGTGCGCCTGTCTGTCACTTTCGGCGTCATAGCGGGATTGACATGGCTGCAGAAGAACCCGCACCACCGCAGCCAGGTGGTCCTGGCCTTGTTGGCAGGGAGGGATTGGTTCCTGTCCTTGGCGCGTGGTACCCGTTGAAAGGGGGAGGTCGTATCTGTGTCAATATAGCGTCGTTTCCACGTAAAATTTCAGAAACGCATTGACTCAAAGCGTATTTAAACCATCATTTAACCGGCTAGTATACCGGCCGTTTGATTCCCGTAGTTCTCCTCTTAGCCAATGGGTCCCCGGCGAATCTGATGAGTCAGCCCCACGAATCTGGGGAAAACGGCGTACCCCGCGAGGAATCTCTCCGCACTCGGTTGCCGCCATTTATTCCCAGCCCCCATTCCCAGTGATCTGATTCCCTGCATTTCATGGCTTCAGAATCGCCCCAGCTTGAAAGTACCTCGCCTCGGTCCGGTCCTGGCGATCAGCCTGGCACTCCGGCCGCCGATACAGCCAAGAGGAAGGCGGAACAGAACAACGGAACGCATACGCGCGCAAAGCGGAATCGCTACATCTCCATCGCATGGTATGATCCGATGACCCGGTCTGATGTTTTTCCGAAGCCTCGGCCTATGGGTGCCTGAGAGGTGCCATGAGCTAGCAGCAGTCTCCTTTGTAGCTGCAGCATCATGCCACGTTCACTGGTTCCCTTTTCTGGTTTCTTCTCGGGACTCAGGAAGATGCATGCCTAACGGGGCTGACCACCGGTATTTTGTTTAGCAATGAGTGCAAACGCCGCAAGATCAAGTGCAATGGACAAGTCCCATGTCAGCGATGCGGCCATCTCAATTTGGAATGTATGTGCCTTCATTTGCGCCTGCAATGCCTATGACTGCGGCCGGCTTTTTCCACAATTGCCTGCTCTCCTGCAGCTGCTCAATATCGCAACATCCCGAGCTAACCCTACAATCAGGCCGATATGCGCCAAACTGCTGCAACAACAACTTCAAAGAATCCGAGTAAGTCGCGAAGCTAGTCTCGGGCTCGTGGAACGTTATGGCTCATTCCCCTCTTTAGGGAGTTTCGGTCGATGACCTCTCAGATAACCACGCTCCAGGAACAAGTCAACAGTCTCTTCACCAACCTCAATGAGCTTAGAAACCAGAAACCCGCCTTCGAGTCGCCGCCATTCGACCATCTCTCGCGCGATGGTTCTCAGTCTGTCTTCACTCCCCTCCCTGCTTCCCTGCCAAAGGTGCGGTCCCGCCACCCGCGTTTCCATGGACCCACGAGCTCGGCCTTCAACTTCGACGTCGCCAAAACCAGTCTGCAGAATATGGGCATCAACCCCGCAGAAGATAGCATCCCTGATGACTTGACAACGGCGCACGCCACACCAGCCGGCTCCCCGGCTCCCCATTTTGGTTCCCTCGTCCCAACGATACACCCCACGAAGGATCCAATCTGGGCTATTCGCCGTGAGGAGGCCGTGCGGCTATGTAAAGTCTATGAGGAAGAGATTGGGATAATGTATCCAGTGGTGGATATTTCCACGGTTACCGCTCAAGCTAATCTACTCTACACGTTTATGGAAGCTGCCACGCGGACGGGCTTTGCACAGCGAGGTCTACCTGGGGCTGACAGTCTTCATGATGACAACACGATTATTTTGAAGCTTATTCTCGCAACCACGCTGGTCGTGGAGGGAGGCGGGCAGAGCGAACTTGGTCAACGCCTCTATCTGACTGTCAAGCCGATAATTGAGTCCAAGTTGTGGGAACCTCATGATATCAAAACAATTCAACTATTCGCTATTGTAGTACGCAAACAAAAAGCTTCACGTGCACACTCTTTGGAAGCATAGCTAATATCTGTTGATCAGGCTACCTATCACTTCCATACCGATGACGATGCCATGGCCTACCGATTGATCGGTCTAGCTGCCCGTATGTGCCTCGAAATGGGTCTTCATCGACGGGATGCCCTCATGAGATCGTTTCCTAACGAAGGCCAATGGAATGAGATTGCTCGACTCTTTTGGTCCGTTTATAGCTTGGATAGGCGATGGAGCTTGGGAACGGGCTTGCCGTTTGTGATCCAAGATGAGGACATTGATCCCAACTTACCAGAGCCGGTAGGATCGCAGAAATGCAGCGTCTTTGTTTCACGTGGCTAATGTTGAGGTTTCCAGGATTCATCTCTATTGTATCTTCGATGCATGATATCATACAATCGCATCAGCTCGAAGATTTGGTATTCTGGCCTGGGCTCCGAAGGCACGACGGATATTCGACGCGATGAAATCGGATATTTAGATTACCAGGTTCTACAATGGTACAAGCAGGTGCCGGACGAGCTCAAGTTCTATCCCGTGGAATCTCCCAAGAATGGCGAGACCGCAAGCCGAGGCATGAGACGTCTCCGAGTCCTGCTGTACCTACGCATGAACCAGCTGCGGATTCTGATTTACCGTCCGGTGCTCCATTCGGCCGCAAGCATCATGGAGGATCGCGGCCATGCGCAGACGGTGGTGGATGTCGCAAAGGATACCGTGCGTGTGCTGGCTCGATTAAATCAAATGTCCGATATATATCGCACACAGCAGATTACCTTCAATTATTTCCTGGTTGCTGCATTGGCGGTGCTGTTCCTCGCTGTGTGCCATGCACCCAATGACTTCAACCGGCAGGTGCGCGATGAGTTTTACATGGCCTTAGATCTCATCAATGGGTTCAGCACCAAGTCTTTCGTGTCGAAGAGACTGTGGAAGACCATCAAGGGTCTCCGGAAGATTGGTGAAAAACTGGGTGTGTTGGTTCGTCCGTTTGGCTCGGATGGTAACGATCCTCACTCCACCGCGGCCGTGGCGATGGCCGGCCTTGCGGGACATTCCATCGAGGATCTGTCCATGTATGGGCAGATGAATGGGGTCAATGAGCTGGGGAACAGCCCTCTGAATGGTCTGCAGATGAGCCACGAGCTGACAAATCTGTTTGAGGCTGTCGGATCATTCGGTAGCTTTATGCCGGCCACCAGTGGCGCTGATGGCATCAACAGCTTTGTTAGCACCGATGGTGAAATCCAGAATACCGGGGAGGGGTTATCGGGGATTCTGGGAGGCGAGGAGGAATTTTCTCGCGTGCTCCGCGACTTATTCTGATCGACTGAAGTGTTGATATATATTGATGCACCATTTCCCAGCGTTTTTGGCGTCAATCCGTAGATTCTATTCGTACACTTTCCATTTTCCACACTGTAGTTGGGATGCGCTGCACGTGATTGCAACCCTCCAGATTCGTCGCCTGTGATTTCCTTCCCCGCCGCAATTCACCATCGAAGACTTTCATAGACATCCACCTACCTGCAGCGACAGGATTGACTTCCACTTGTCCCAGAGAAGTATCCAGCTTCTTTGTGGTCATTTTCACCCTCCCACGGACCGAGTGGAACTTGGTGTGGGCTCTTCCATTCGATCGACACTGCCTGGACGTGGGTTCATACCACCGATGAGCCGACCTTGAGCTTTGTGTTGATTTCACCGTACGGACCTTCCACTTTTGCTTCAACTATCCAAATAGCTAGGAAACTAATGAGCGGCTTGTGGGTCCAGACTGCCAGACGGGGGTGTTCTCGACTTTGTTCGCACAGCCTTCACCCCTCCCGCACATTGCCCATGACCGTCTAGCTTCTCCACTTCCACATCGGCCACCCCCCGAGTTCACGATTCCGATTCTAGGTCTCCTCAATTCTGCGGCTTATTGCGTGGACGCCTTTCAGCGAACCTCCCCCGCTGTCCCCACGTAAGCAGCGTTGATCCTCCCGCCGTCGCCGTCCCCAACCCCTCGCATTTTCGCATGACGAGGTTGCTTCGTTGCCGCCACACTTCTCCCGCTTGTCTAATTACAATCTCGGCAACGTGTCGAGAGAGACTGGTTCGGCGTTGGCCGACGGCCTGGATAGGCTGGATCTGAGTCAACTGTCTGAATCAACCCTTTCCTCGTCCGTGTCCGCCTCGTTCGACATGTCGTCGTCAGAGGGTGCGCCGGAGTCATGGATCTCCTCGTTCTGCTCCTTGATGGGCCATGAGTTCTTTGCCGAGGTGTCGGAGGACTTCATTGAGGATGACTTCAACCTGACTGGGTTGCAGTCGCAGGTGCCGATGTATAAGGAGGCACTGGAGATGATTCTCGACGTGGAGCCCGAGGAGGACGAGGAGGAGGAAGAGGAAGAGGAGGAGGAAGACGAAGATGAAGTGCTAGGCGATGAGCGACCCATTGGCTATCGCAGGGCAGGCGACCGGCGGCATGCTCGCGTGGCGAGTGATTTGAGCGTTATCGAGAGCTCCGCAGAGCTGCTTTACGGATTAATTCACCAGCGATACATCACCTCGCGCCCCGGTATCCAACAGATGCTCGAAAAATATGAAATGCAACATTTCGGCGTCTGCCCCCGCGTCAACTGCGGCGGATGCAAGGTCCTGCCCGTTGGCCGATCTGATACCCCGGGCCAGGAAACGGTCAAGCTGTTCTGCCCGAGCTGCATGGATATCTACACTCCACCGAATAGCCGCTTCCACTCGGTGGACGGAGCATTCTTCGGCACCACATTTGGCTGCCTATTCTTTATGACTTTCCCAGATCTCAGTGTTGGACCTCGCCTGGACGGCGCGCTGACCGCCGCGGCTCTGGCCAACCGATCCCCGCCTCCCCAGATGCCGAACGAGCCGCCCACGCCAGATGAACAGCCGCTGGAGATTAACGGCATGCACGCGTCCAACTTCTGTCCCGGCCTTGGACGCGGCAAGATCTATGACCCCAGGATCTATGGGTTCAAGGTTTCCGAGGTCTCGCGGGTGGGCCCACGCATGAAGTGGCTCCGGATGAAGCCGAGGGACATCTACGAGGTGGATGAGGCGCGGAACCACGAGTTCAACACAGTCTATCGCGAGGAAGAGGCGCGAGAACACGAAGCACGCGAACGTGAGGCTGACAAAGATGGCGATACGGAAATGAATGCTGAACAATCACAAGAAGCGGTAATTGCGAATCGGAAAAAGGCACCCATGCGGCGGCGACGACCGACACCGGGCCAGGCGGCCGCGCCTTCGGACCAAATGAGCGTGCAGAGCGCGGAGATCGGCTAGGCGGATTGATCGCTCGCGAGCCCAATCGAACCGAATTCAATCTAGAAAGGGGCTTGTCACATCTAACATGATCTTCCTCAACCGGGTGTTCTGGCTCTCTGGGTCTTTTTCCAGTGGCCGGGAGGAGCTGGGGTCCGATATGGTCGACTGTGCCCGGCGGCAAGGAAGGGGAGGAGCTGGGAATTGAGGCTGATGACAGACGATGCGTTTTTCGCGTGTTCTTTTTCTTCTCTTGTTTGAATGGGATATCTATGTTTCTCTTCACCTATAGTGCTCGACCTTGTGGTTTTGTCTGTGCATGCATCTTGTTTCCCGAGCCTGTCCCTTGGCCTTTCTGCTTCGACCGAAATCAACGGAGTAATGTGCACATACCCGTCCCGGGGACCTGTAGATTGGTTGCCAACACTCGCGACGAGGACGTTGCTCGTATCTAGCCGACTACTTCCAGTATTCCCTTCGGTCTCAGAAAGTCTAGCAGATCCGATGGTATCAATCTTCGGAATCCGCGGGCACATCATTGCTTTCCATGCCGGTTTCCCTGACCACGTAGATACTGACTTTACACACGAGAGTCTAAGCCTACACTATCGACACCTATTCGGCTCCGGATCATGCCAGTCTTGGCTGTTGATGTATGAGGTTCATGACCAAAGCACAACACCACTTGATCACCCTGGCATGCCATCTGTTCCAATGGCAGGCACTCCGACTGGCTTTGGATTGGTGGCACCCTTGCATCCATCTCATATACAACCACCGCCGCTGCTGGAACCAGAAACCGTACAGGTGTCAAGCACTGGATCCCCTGGTCTCGGTACTCAGCCCGGACGGACACAGTCGACCCGGAATACCTGCTGCCGTCCACGTCACTGTTACCGTAGCATAAGGCGACCGGCGCACAGAGAAGGACAGAGTCTACGATGTCGCAGGCAGACCGTCTCGTTTGCGTCAAGTCCCAACGGAGAACTCAGACCCGTCGCCCAGTGGTAGAGGTAGGATACCAACGTGAATCAGAATCAGGCCGGCAATTCCAAATCATAGACGGAAAATGCCAACGCCAAAAGTCAAACTCAGGTCGATGTCGATACTAACCTGAGTCTCATCCTATACGGAGTAGACAAGGGTCTTCAACACGAGCCAACAGCCTCCCACCATCCCATCGCAACTCAAATCACGCCAACATCGCAGCCCCGTGGCCGTCCCCCCTCCTTGGCCTGGCCATGCCATGCCATGCCATGCCATGCTATCTCCTCGCCCCACGCCCTCGGCGACGCCGACGCAAAGCGCCAGCGCCAGCGCCCGCGCCCGTGCCCACATACTTTCGTGCTACCTGCCACGACACCAGACTCGTGTCGGTACCTGTCCAACCCGAGAGAGCGAGAGCGAGATGCGCTGGTTCCTCCCTCCGGCACGAGCATTGGTCATCATTCCTCGCTATTGTCCTTATTGTCTCGCTACGACCGGACAGTTTCATGTCCCGGATTACGAATCACATTTACATTTACTATGCCCCGGACGGGAGGCCCTAACCACGAGACAATGGACATGAACGTGAACATGAACGTGAACGTGAACATGAACATGCCGGCCCTTCATCTCGGCCAGCCGTTGACCTATCATGGCTAGGGTCATCCTTGTCCTTGTCCTTGTCCCGACGGACGAACGGCAGATGCATAGGACGATGCCCCTTCAGTCCCCAATCCAAGCAAAACCCTCATACACCCCCCCCCCCCCCCCCCGGTCCACAACGCGTAGAGACGGGGTCCGCTCGCAGGTACGTTCTGATTGGCCGCGATTCAAGCATCAAGCTCGGCTTGTGCCACTGTGTTGCGAGTGGCATAGCGTCACATCGCGTCGCCGAGTGGACTACTCGACTAGAATGAGAATCATGAGAATCGAATGCTTTGGAGGTAGCAGGGTGCCGGGCTATTTTGGTGCTGGGCTATTTTGGTTTCGGGCTTGGGTTTTGGTTTTGGTGGCGTGGGGATTTGGGGGGTGGGTTGGGTACACAGCGTTCGTGGTAACATGCCATGTCACTGTTATTTGATTATTTTGGTGAGTTTACGTCGGGCTTGAACAAACGAACCAACGAGATAGAGATAACCAAGGACGAAGATCACGCAATCTAAAAATCTAAAATCTAAAATCTAAACTCGAAAAACCCCTCGTGGAAGAATTAAATGGCGGTTTCACCGGGCTCAACCTGTGGATCAAGGAGGACAAGAGGAGAATCACCTTCGATCTACATATACATACTGTAGTATGCAGTGTATGCCCTGGTGATGGCCTATGCCGGGCATATCACCCACCAGAACAATTCGGCACCTCAACTCACGCAAAATGCATATGATCCCTCATATAAAGCACCATTGCAGTCCCCAGCTAAACTGCTATAGGGAGGTAGTTAGCTATTTTCTGGGCCCTGAGCTGGTTCCCGTCCGATGAGACTACAGGGTACGGAGACTGTGGGGTGTAAATTGAGCGTTGGAGTAGGGGCTTTTTTTAGGTGTTGAGGGCCCATCGCCACGTTTCTGCAGAACGCAAAGCGCTTCCCGGCCTCGACGATTTGGCCCCCTGCTGGCGTGGCTAGGCTAGTGTCTAGATACCAAGGGTGCTAGTTTCTCGGTTAGTGTAGATGGAGATACTGTATTACTCCGGCCGGAGTCGGTCAGGAAGAGCGGACCAAGCGACTAGCCCCGAACTTGTCCCCGGAGCTCGCCTGGTAGCAGCCGATGCGGATCCGACGGACTGCCCTTCCTGAATCCATGAATCATCCGCGCTATGGTGGGGCAACCTAAATTGATTCATGATATGCACTTCTCTGGCCTCTAATCTGATTTACGAAAGGGTTCTCCCCTTCGTCTCGGCCCCCCTCCGACCCTCGTGGTCTATCCTCCCAACGCCTTCGCCCTTGGCCTGGGGTCCAGCCTTATCAAGATGTGGAGAGTCGGCCGGGTAAGGCTATTCGCACCGAACGACTAGTCGCCTCCCTTCTCCAGTCTGGGAATGGGCCGGAAGCAATGAGCTTTGCTACCTTGGCGACGGGATGTGCAGGGCAGGATTGCGTTCTCGGGCCTTTCGCGGCAATTCTTGTGAATGGAAGGGAGATTTCTCCCCGCTGCCCCCCATGTAGGCCCGTTTCACCTTAACAGCCGGTAGGCGAGTGCATGTGGAACTGCATGGTCGGCTGATCCTATTGATCCTGGATGCAAATGCTGTTCAGGCGGGCCACGCCACGGCCGGGACAGGTTGAGAGAAAGGACGCCAATCTGCTCAGTATCAATCCTGCCTCTACGAAATGCGACGTCTGGCAGTCATAGATTGCCCTCTCGTGCGAAGATGACAAAAAGCAGTCCGCCCAGGCCGCAGGAACTGTATACGCGGTAGAATAGTACTGAATTAACCGAGACTGGCCCTCGCCCGCTCTGCTCCTCCCCATGTCCGGAGGAAGAACTGTATCTGCAAAGCCGGAGGGATGCACATCGGGCGCCTCGTCGGGCCCCGCGATAAGGTTGAGCAGGTGCAGGCGCAACCAACCGCGCAGGCCCCAAACTGCAGGCCTCAGACGACGTCCGGCCCCCGAGGTAGAGGAGGGGGCTGCTCGCGTACGGAAGAACCTGACGGGCTGGAACGAACCCAATCGAGTGCCGAGACTCAGCTAGCTAGCGAGCGGGCTGGTCCTGATAAGAGCCAATCATGCAAACTAACCCGGATGGGAAAAAGGAGACCTTCTCTAAACGTGCGGTAGGGGGACCCGCCGGGCGGGCCATGTTCAGCCCTTTCGCAGGTCTAAACCTTCTTGGGATGTTTCGTTTACGGCCGAAACTGTCGGCGGAAAATCTCCGAGAACACTGCACGGAGGAGGAGAGAACGGAGTTAGGCTATTCACGAAGGCGGCGAGACGCATCGAGGCCAGTCCCCTTCCACATCATCGCATGGCGGGGATCACGGGCTGGTGACTGGGCGCACCAACCACCCGCGTGAGCCTTGTTTTTCACAACCCTGAGCCTGGAGTGCTCGCATTGGCGTTGCGCCCCTTGGTAGCCTATCCTCCGATCCCTTGTTCCCGGGCCCAGCAGTCTGGTGCCTCGGGCACTCGTGGCCTAGTGCCGTGGGCGTCCGCATTCCAGAGGCGGCTCTTGCTCCGGCTCGGAGGCAGCATTGGCCCGGAGCATGGCCAATCCCACGGTAGAGTGGCGGGCTAATGGGGAGTCTGGTTGGTGGTGTAGGTCGCAGGCAGCAGGGCCGTCGCAGCTCGGAGCATACATATCCGACTCGGTACGTGCGAGGCACGGAGTAAGGAGCAACGGATGCTGGCATGGCCCGTCCCCGCTGTCGCTGCAGATAGCCGATTCAGAGGCGCAGCACGTTGGTGGCTCCACATGCTCCCCCAGCAGTTCAGCCCTTCGCCCAGGAGGGAATGTGGATGGGTCGGGGCTGAAGAGATGATCGAATGGGACCGGGCCCTGATTCGGCTTTCGGGGTTTAGCTGTTGTGCCCGACGTCTGCTGACTAAAACCCGATCGACCAGAAATAAAATACAGCTTGTCTCGAGTACCAGACGAACCAGGGAGTGACCCTACTGTGTGGGCCTATGGTGCTCATTGGAAATAGGATTGGAAATGTCCAAAAATCAAGAATTTTAAATCACAGCCTCAAAGTTTCAAAGCCTCATAGGCAGCAATACCGAGCACGGAAGTCTTCCGTAGTCATGGGCCACAAATGATCCATGATGAAATCCGTTCTGCAGCGATCCCTCAAAGTCCAAGTCCAAGCAAGTCCAAGTCCAGTCTAAGCCCCCAAACCCGACGGACTGGTCCTTTCCTGCCGGCCACAGGGCCACATGGTCGCTGGACGAAGCGCGACAAAGAGAGAGTATAGAGGATCGAGCCAGGCCCCCCTTCCACAATTGCAATTACGTCGGGGCTCCACCAGGAGGATGGAAACTGGCCGATCGCAACGCCAGCAGAACGCAGTAATAAGTTCGAGATGGGGGCGGAATGCATTCGAAGCATGCCCCAAAGGGCTGAAGAAGCCATTTCCAGGCGATCAACGATCAACAATCAACGGCTGTCGAGCACACCCAACTGGGAAAACGCAGGATGTTTCATCGCTGTTGGGGATGGCCCGAACGGGCTAGGGCGTGGCCACACTGAAGGCCGAATCTGGCTGTACACTTCCCTGATCGGTCGGGCTGGCTCCATCGTGCCAGCTCAAGGCCGCCGGGTGGCCCTAGGCGTCTGGGGGCCGTGGCAGAAAGAGACCGTAGACCGCAGACCGCAGACCGCAGACAGTAGACAGCACAGCACAAGGCTAGTCATGGCCCTAGTCCCCAATCACAGGCAGGGATAGGCAGGTCGCGCCAGCACGCTCCATTAGGCCCTGGGAAGGGTGGAAATGGGAGGCCTGAATATCGGCGTTTGGGGGCCAGGCGGAGTTTATCTCCCCGCGATGGAGACCGGCTTCACCGCCGATCGAAAAGGTTATTGTGGTCTGGAGCTAGGGCGGAGCTAGTGCCATCCTCCGTTTCCTCATTAGAATCAAGGATTGATACGTAGTCAAGGTCAAGGTTCAGGCCGAATCAGAATTCACGGGACAGGTATTACAGTAGAGCAGTACTCTGTAGAGAAAGGGGTCTGGTTTGTAGATCAAAGAAAGAGGCGAAGTTGCATTTGCTCCTCTGTACGTTCTAAGTTATCAAATCGGCATGATCTGCCCAAACGGTTTCCAGTTCCAGTTCTCCGGTTTCCGCATTTCCCATCCCCACCTGTAAACACCAGGCTCGTAGTATACCAGTGTACCATACACGGTCCAAAAAAAAAAAAAAAAACAAACACAAGAGGGAAGACTTGACCAAAACACAAAAAACGCCAAGATGATGCTCGCTCGTCACATGTCCCCGCAGGGCAGGGTCATCAAAAGTATTAAAAAAATGGAGAAAGTAACCAGCCCATAAAACCAGAGTGGTGAACAATTTGGGCCAAGGGAAAAAAAAAAAAAAAAAAAAAGAAAAAGACAGACATAATCATCAAAGGAGAATCATAACGTGCCACCCATTTAAGCAAAACCCCCTCGAATCGACCGGCTCGAGCCGGAGGAGGAGTGGGCTCTAAACTCAGCACAGTGACACTGAGCGCAGGACCGTAGTCGTCGTTTGCGTCACTCCGTATGGTCACGGCCGCAGATCATACTCGTACAAGCCCGCCATCGAGCGCGGCGAGCACGGGGGCGACTCCGGAGTGAGGGGGAAGGTGAAGATAGAGGCTTCGGGCGAGGAGGTCGACGCCGCGCGGTCGTGGTCGTGCGGATGTGAGGGCGAGTGAGCGTGCGCATAGCCGTAGGAGAGCGCGGGCATCTGCGAGCAGAAGCAACACAAAGAAATTAGCCTGTTGGTCGCGGCCTGGTCGGCTAGCGAGGGAATTGTACCGGGAGGCCGGGCTCGTGCGCCTGCTGCGGCACCAGCTCGATGCCCGCCATCGTCGCATAGCTCATGCTAAACGGGCTCATCATGTCCTCGTCATACGGTTTGCGGCCCATCCCCGGCGCCACCATCGGCAGCACGCTGGGCACTGGCTCGTAGTCGACGAAGGAGACTTCGCTGTAGGAGCTGGGCACGGTGTGGTACACCGGCATCTGGGTGTATGTGGGCCGGTAGGTGTCGTAGTTTGGCAGCGGAGGGTAGGAGAAGACGGGGGGTGGGGAGGCGGACAGCTGGCGGGTGCATTGCTGGGCGAACATGGAGCGCTCGTCTTGCGTGTAATACTCGTACGAGCTCGAGCGCTCTGACAGTTGGGAGTGGGCTGTGTGTGGTTTGGGGTCGGGTTTGCTGGATCGGGGCTGCTTGGTGCGAGGCTTGTTGGGCGTGGCTTTGGGAGGGGCCACGGGCTCAGCGGGCTCGGCTTCTGGTGAGGCGGAGGATGCGGCGCGGCGCTCTAGATCTTCCAAGCGTCGCTTCAGCTTTTTGCCTGTGTGAGAGTTAGCGGGATAGGTACTAGACTGGATTGGCTTTCTGTGGAGGGCCTTGGGGGGGGGGGGGTTAGGGCTGGGGAATGCTCACGATAGTTGCGTTGCGCAATGCGGTTCTGGATGCGGCGGCGCTCGGCCAGATCGGAGATCTTGGTCCAGTCCTCGTTGGGGTTTGCGTTGGGACTAAAGGCGCTGCTGTTGCTGTGACTGGAGGACCGTGAGCCCGAGCGAGCGTCGTATGTTGAGGAACGATGCATCTTGGATCGAGGCAGCAGCCGTGTTGTATAGTTTTGTTGGGGTGGAGAGAGTAAATAGTGTGGGGCAAGGCCAGTATAGAGAGGGGAAAGGGGACAGATGGTAGAGAGTATATAGAAGGAAGGAAGCAGAGAAGAAGTCTGGATTGCGATGAAGTCCGCAGGAGAGAGGGGGGGCGCGGCTTTTAGATTGATTATATACTCTCGTTGGAGAACGCAGTATGGGGCTCCTAAATCTCCCCGTCGATCAGCTGGGGGGGGGGGGGGAGGATTCCTCGGGCCTTGCATAGGCTAAGCCCCCCCAGGCCGTCGCGATAAACCCGCGCACGTCCGTGGATATCCTGGCCCATTAGACTCGAGCTGCCATGTGCAGATGTGCAGGGCACATAAGAAACCAACGAATAATCACGATTGTCCGTCAATCACAGTAACGGGAATAATTGGAATTATTGTCATGATTTCTCTGGTTATTCCCATCGGAGCCGACGCCTAAGCCTAAGCCTAATCCAATTAATATCATCTTATTAATTCCAGGACCCCGAATCCACCTACGAACCCTCCCTAAAATAAATACCATAAAACCAAAAAGTAAATTAAAAATGACGAGGGGACGGGCAGGGATGGGTCCGGGCTGGTGTTCAGCCTCGACCGGGTCTTGACTCTTGGGCCCTCCTCTCCACCCACCAATCTGGGCCACGTTTTTTCATGCCCGGAAGGGCTGCACGGGGCGCACGTATATACCATACACGTTTCCCGATGTTCTTGTTCGTCTCCGGCTCCTTTTACCGGTACCATAGTATTCACCGAGTACATGCGTCACTCCGTCACTTATCACCTCGCATCTATCTTCACTCCGTCCCGAACCCCATAGACTAGGGACTCGGACTAGGACTAGGACCTCGCCCGGGTATGATTTGAGATCATGATTCATGATATTTGTTTGGCCCCACTCTCCCTATCTACCCCCCGGGCTCCTAGTTGGCTCCATAACAGGCCCGGCCATTTCCCACACCCCAAACTCCAGTAGCCGGAATCGAGGGGAGCACCGATGACGAAGAGCCAGAGAATGAGGAGGCTAGCTAGGTTGTCACACGGGGGGTCGGGAAGCGAGAGAGGTACGATTCAGGGTATAGAAAATAGAAACGCGGGAGGCAGAAATAGCGACGGCGATAGCGACGGCGATAGCGCCTGGTAGGCCCTTGGGGGTCGGAGTTGGTGGCCCTGGTGCTGCATGAAGTGTAAAGTGCATTCTGGGCCGGGGGCAGCATCCACCTCCCACGCGTCCTGCCTTCCCGACTGGCCCGAGACGCGATGAGCCCCGGGGGGGGGGGGAAAGATGAAACGGGGAAATTCGTGGTCCGTACGGGAGTTCATGCGCCCAAGAGGGTGGTTACACTAACATTGTCTCGCTCACGTGGGTGCAGGAGCTGAGGGGAGTACAGCGATTAACCATGAGGGCGTGGGTTACCCGTTAATGAGACCTTTTACCTAGAAGGGTATGTTTAGTAAACTGCCGGGTAGCGACGGTCAAGTAGGGGAGACCTCGGACTGTAACAGGTGATGTATTTAGCTGGATAGCTGAAGTAGCTGGATCGCTGGGTACGGTAAATGATTAGGAATCCAACGCTCGGTTCCGTGCTGAACGTGAGTATACGGTAGTCCGTACTCGATACGGAGAGGGTTCCACCAGTGAACCCCGCTTAGCCTAAAGCGGCTAGTGTTGCGCTGTTGCGCGGGTGAGAACTGAGAACGCAGAACTGGGGGCCCTGCCACGTTTTTCTGTCTCGCTCACCCTCTTGGCAACGGACTAAGGGGATAAAGATCTGACCCAGCGGGTGCTGATCTCTGCGATGATCATCTTTGGGAGGACCTAGGTCTATTTGCAGGATCGTTCCTTTTTCTCGATTCGCATCTTCTCGACCTTGTTCCCCGAAAATCGGAGCATCCGGAGTCCGACGTATGGTCGGGGAACGGGGAACGGAGGGAAACAGACCAGGGCGAAAAGAAAAAAAAAAAACAATTGACCATTCGCAGTTTTGGGTGTATGGGGCCTTGGTTATGATCCGATGAATCTATCCTATATAGGGTACGATCAACCCGGGGCGAGGCCAGAACCAAATCACTGCACGCGCCTTTGAATCGTTGATAGCGGGTGGGGAAAGGGAAGCAAGTGGAGACGAAAACAAAACCAACCGTCAACCTGGTCTGGCCTGCGGTTCGACAGAAACAAAAGAGGGGGCTGCAACGAGCAGAACAGAGCCAATCTCAAGGGTGCAGGATCGCCTAACAATTCCCAATTTTGACAACGGGGGGGGGCGGTCCAAAACGGGCATGTCTCTCGATTGGACTGTTCGTATGGCAAATGGCCGGTGGCAGGGCCGGGACCCGGGTCAGGACCCTGAACGAGACGAGCGAACTGTTCGCTTGCGTTGAGTCGGTCTTGGAAGTGCTGCTTTGAGAGTAGATCCGATTACCTTGCACTTGTTGGTGCTGGGCGCTGTTGCTTCTGTCGGACTCGTCTGGTCTGCTCACAGACAGGCCGTGATCCAACCCTAATCCCCTCGTGGCTTAGCCTCGTCCACTTTGCTGGGAGCGCCAACCCCTCCCATCTGAATCCTGTCCAATGTAATGCTCGATTGACTCTGCGAGGTGGGATGGCGGGCATATGTATGGTCGTATAGTTTCTTTTTTTGGCTGCTCGCGTTCGGTTCCTCGCTAGCATGGCCGGCTTTCTTTTGGGCGGGGTTCCCATCTGTAGTACCGAGTCCGTTGAGAGTCCCCAATAGTCCCCATAGTCCCCGAGGTCCGCGTTTCGCCCAGTTGCCTGAGTGGCGTCCTGCAGGCGCGGGCGCACTGCTGGTTCCAAGGTGCTTACCCAGGGGGTTCGGGAATTGGACTCGAAGAAGGGTGTGAGGGGGCCCTGGGGGTTTCTGGCGTGGGCTAGTTCGCGGTATGCTTTTCGGGAACGGGAACAGTAATGAACCGAAGGGTCGAGTAAGGGTCGAGTGGGCGGGCGGTTAGGCCAGGCCAATCACGAGGCGGATCGCGGGGGGTGGAAGGGGAAGTAGACCAGGGCGTGATCGTGGCTGAGGGTGAGTGGCAGTAATCAGAAAGGCAGCAAGTGCGAGATTACACGGGATCCACGCCCAAAAAGGAAGAGGGTAGGGCTGAGTGACAGGTGGAACCCCCCCCCCGTTTAGGGACGGGGCGGATGACGGTATGCACAGCTGATGCGCTGATGTGCTGAGCTCATGGCCTGATGTCCCGATGTCCCGATGTCCCGATGTCGTGATGTCCTGATGTTCTCGGTACCTCTGTTGCCTCGACTGTTGACGCCTGTCGCGAGTCTCATCCACCTCCTGCAGCCTTTCTTTTGCCTCTCCCTCTTCACCGCTGTTCACGCCCGCGTCCCCGCTGGAATGACAAGCCTCCCACCGTCATCCTTGGCTCCATCGCCTCGATGACCGGGATTCCCACCACCCACAGCCCTCGCTCGACCCCGGATGCTTGGGTCGGATGGCAGTGGAAGCCTTCTAGTAACCATCTAGAACAATGTTCCTGGCGGTGGACAAAAGGCCGGCAGCGCCCATCGTGCGCCGTGCTGCTTCACGCTGCACTCTGCTGCACCCCTCGGAGCCCAAGCCCATTGCCACAGACGTATTTACGGAGTACGGCATCCATCGGACCAGAGAGCTGTCCCGCCAGACCGACATGCCAGGCCGATGATACGCAGCAGTCTGCACCCAGAGCCTCGCATCTGTGGCCCTCCTCAGCGGTGACGATGGCGTCTCTCTTCGGTGTCACTCACCAACCCAAAATAATCCTAAACAAACCTGTCATGTCACGGCAATCTCCGATCCCTTCTTACAGCTGGTCACCAGTTACACCGTGATGCGAAAATAGACCGAGTACGAAACATATCAGGGAAACGCTCCCTGCCGAGCCCATTCGATGTCCCGGCCTTTTCTCTGCTCTCTTTCAGGCCGGCCTCCCCCACCCTCTGACCCATCCGCGCGATGGTTGGACAAGGCGTCCAGCTTCGCAGTATCCTAATCGAGCGGCACGGCCGACCCTCCCACATACCACAGCCTAAGATGTGTGTTGTGGTAGACCGTAGACTGCCACCTGCACGAGGACCATGGACTAAACTTGTTGGGGTAATATGCACCTGGTGCCTAGGAATATGCTGCCCGTACTCGCAGCACTAACCCAGTTCATTCGGAGTAGCGTCGGACGATGTTGTCTGGCGCAAGTGAATCTGAATGGCAAATTCTACATTACCACTCTGTATGGCAAAACGAAATCTCCTTCCGTTATCACGTTGTTGGGGGCTAATTGCGGGTATGATGATATTATTAGGCAGCTAATCCTGCGAGGTTGCACTAACGAATACCCATCCTCTCCGCCCCCAACGAACAATACTACCAGAGCAAGCAGGAAACAAATATCTTATACCCGAGCCCGACAGACCATCACCGCTGTTTCAAATGGCTATGCTCGGCGTGGTTCCGATCTCAGCCTGCCAAAACGCGCCCCTTCCCGACCACGCTCCCGCACTGAGATCACCCTTGCACCCACCGGTTATGCAGAACATCTGTCGTGCCCCAACCCCCCCCCTTTGAACTGTGCATGGCCATTGCCTTTGTCTGTGCCTTTGCCTGACCCTGTCCAGCCCAGGCTGGATCCATTTGCCGCTTTTGCCTTTGCCTTTTGGAGCTCCGGTTGCATCCAACCTGAACCTGAAACGTGCGCCCGGTCTTCTTTGGGAACCTGCCATTGATAATCTTTGTCGAATGCAGGATTAAGAATTTGGCCCCCGGGGGCCATATTCCACGTGGCCCACGCGTGCTGCAGCTCGCCTATGCTGCCTCCTTTCGGGACTGGTCTCGCCGTGCGCGCAGATCGGTGCGACGCACTTTATGCCCCGATGGGCTTGGATTGTGAGCCTTCAGGCTGAAGTGGGTCAGTGTATCAGCGCATCGGGTCTCTTTGGGGGCAATTCTGTGGTATCGTGGAGGGGAAACATCGTGTCTGGTCTTCTGCTGCTGGGCCGGTCTGTCTCGGTTCACCAGACCGTGGATGAAACGTCGGTGGCTGGGGGCCGTCAGTACTGGGTTTGTGCAATGTGAGGGACGACTCTACTTCCCGCGAGAGCACGCTGGATCAAGAGTCTGACTGAGGAGGTACGGTAGGTCGTGTATATCGCGTTTCGGGTGTTCCATTCTCGGTGGGAGCTGAGCCGGCACAGACGTAGTTGATAGGATCTCATGACGCAATGCTGTGAGGTCTGGTCGAACGGTGCTATCACCTGATCCCCGAGCACCGAGGCAAGGTCATGGATGTGATGCCTGGCGCGAGGCCCATGAGAGGTCCGTTTCTACAGAGATGCGATGTGCAGAGCACTCAAACTATGCCTGGGCGGCTCAATCCATCTCTAGACCGGTCAACCAGAATACCTTATTGGCCACGAGGGGAGTCGAATCGCAACGTAAGCGTACTGGAGTGGACAATGAGGCCGGACTTGGTCTCTGGGACCACTCAATATCTTCCTGTCTAGCTTGTGTATTCTGCCAGCGGACCGAGTAGATTACAGGAGCAGAAGCCCGTACAGATCCTGCTCAGATACTTGGCCCACCAGCCCCGATTGGCAGTCTCCATTAGTGTCACTTGCAGTCATATACTTGTCTTCAAGCATCCAGTTTGTAAACACCGCGGATGCGGCTCCAGCGGAACAGATGTTCAATATTAAGGTTCAGCTAGGGTACACGCAGGAGCCCAATACTCAACGAGTTCTAGAAACGGAGACATTTGCCATGAGTCTCCTACAGCCTGCCACTGAGGAAATGGCTATCCTAGCGTCCCTCTAGACATATATCGGAAATTCTCCCCAGATCCCCACGAGACACCGAGAGTAAATGATGCGCTAATGCGCCGAAGCATATTGAAAACTTCTTTTCTTTTCCGAAATCGGTTCTAAAGTTGGAGTATGCCGCTCACGGGCTCGTATTGCTAGCTCGCCTAGGCATCCGTCCATATATATCTCTGTTGGAATTTTAATCACACTGTGGTTCACGAGACGCATAGCGGATATCACCATTGCCAAAGTCAAGGCTGTGATGGGTATATGCACTGTGTACGCCTGACTATGGCGAAGATCGTCCAAGAGCCGGGTGATCGAGAGTGCATGCAGAATTGCACGGAACGTGTTTGCGCTTCTGGTCGAATGGGAGACTGAAATGGTCCCGCGGGCCCTTGGCATGGATCCCTCCAAGAGATTGAGGAAGCTCATAACGGTTGCAGAGCCATCGATATATGATATGGAACGGGCGCAGGATCTACCGAGTAGAAACGCGAGCAAAAACCCCGGATATCGGGATTTGCCCCCGTGTTGATTGGCGCAATTTTCCAATCCATCCATTAGCTGTGTTAGCTTCAAAGCAGCTTCGGTGCAGGCCCTTCCGAGACTGTTGATGAGATGTCGTGCGCTAGCTCTCCAGGAGAGCCAGACGCTTGCGTCGGACCATCACATATATAATGACCGAGAATCCCTCGGCGTTGAACTTCCGTGGCTGCCCAGTGCCTCCAAATTGCAATTTATCACTTTCAGACATGTCGCACATTGGTATGCCCTCTGCAAGAGAGTCGTGTACGGTGTATAGATCTTTGTGGCGTGAAGGTCGGTTCATGAATCATCGGATAACTCGGACACTCTCTTGAAGAACTCCCGGAGACAAATATCTAGAAACATCAGGCCCACTCAGAGTGGCAAGCGTCTGAATTAAACTTCTTGGACAAATCATCCATCAGTTTGTAAATCTGGTGCAGTGTCATGTTCCCACTACCCAGGCTTGTTTGTGCATCCAGGTCCGCAGTCGGGGGAAGATTCAAAGCGTCGGTCGTGTTTGAACTTCCAGGGAAATCTACTAGAGGAAGGGTGGTGACTATGAAGCGTTGATATCAGATACCAGCCATTCAAACAGAGCTCCTGGTTCGAACAAGCCAGACAGTTCTGGGAGATTGGCCGGCCCTAGAGAGTCGGGCTGAGATAGGCAAGCCGCTTTGCCAGTTGGGTAAGATGTTGTCTACGATTGCCCTTGGTCATGATGAAAGGTTCTGTGATCCGATGTGAATGACTGTAATTCAGACCTGTGTGAAGTCTTACGTGCGTTCCCAGCAAATCCTGGCAGCATGGACAAGGCTTAGTATTTGAATCTAGCTGCAAGCTGATTGTTTACAGTACAAGCCGGCATGCCAGCTTCTGAACACACACATTCGCTCATGTCTCTAATGGGGTCCGTTAACCAATTGTCTACCCTGGGGTATTATGACACGTGGGGAGAACACACAATTCAGATGTCCCAGCTTGGTGTACTTCATATTGCACTGTCGGCATGAAAGCGCTTGGTAGCCGCCATTTCTGCCTGATCAGTAAGGGCTAGCGGCTCAATACTTGATCAAAGGCTTAGTCCACCTAGATGGTTGCACAGAGAAGCTGGGGAGTGGAAAAGTGGGGAAATATAGTAAGTCGGACGGGCCGTAGACGTCACTATAGTACTCGCTATATACTAACCTAGGTAAGAAAAAGTCTCCTAAACAAGACTAGTTCTACTAACCTTAGACCTAAAAGGATTATAAAAGGATTGCATTGTTCTCATTGGCAACCGGCTATGCCGCTGAATTGCTATTATGAATAGGTCTCCTAGAGTAGTTCTAGTATATTGGGATAAAGCCGGAACTACCTGGGAAAGACGAGGGAACGACACGCCAGTTAGTAAGAGAGTAAATATCAAAGATAATAGGTAGTGGGAACGATAGAGTCTCATATGCCGAGACATCTAAGAACCGCTATAGCGCATACAGAGCAAATTATAACAAATTAACAAGGAAGTGGGAAGTGGAACTGTGCAAATTCTAAATATAGAAGTGTGGAAGATCATAGGCGGGAGGAGGCAAAACGGAGAGAGATTAAAAGGCTGAATGGAAGGTTTCCACGCTTCGAGGATATACGGATACTGGTTTACTACGGGGGTTTGCTTGCCTTACCTGATTTTGTGGCAAAACGCTATGGCTGCTCTTCTCGGAAAAGTGGACATCTTGGCATATGGCCATTTCGACGACGATGAGTCTCCTCTGAAGGGCTATGTCTCACTGTGAATAGCAGTTCGGCACAGGTCACTATTACGAGTAATTGCATGTCAACCACTTGAGATCACAGTAGATTTCTAATGAATCATAAGGCTGACTTGACATGTTGGCACACATGCCGTATTGCATGAGTAGATCCCAATATCCACTGCCTTTGCTTAGCAACTCTACAATCAAAAGAGTTACTTACAGCCAATGAACAATTTACAAGGACAGAACCATAAGGAAAAGCCTTGAACCCGGTAGAAAGACTCAAATGTGTCCATTGGGTATTAATGACTGGACATCTAATCACGTGTGATGAAAGAAAATAGAAAAAAAAGCAGCAGAAGCCCAACAAAGCCCGAGACCTCCGACCCAGGTCAGTAAACATGACGATGCAAGCAGAAAGAATGCATGGAGAAAGGAGAAACGACGAAAAAGATAACGCAGGGATATAAGTGACCTGGCGAGGAGGCACAGAGCAGACGTGCTCGGACTAACGTAAATCGCAGATCATAGATAGTCGAGCACTTCATTTCGTCAAGCGGCACTGGTCTTGTCCCTTCGACCCAGACTAGCACGCATGCAAAGCATATGCATTTGCAACTCCAGATAGATAGAGAGATGGAGGGAGACGGGTGCGGAGCATAAGCAGGAGAAGAAACAGACAAGACAGACATCACGGCATGCCAGTAAATACGGGAATCAAAGTGGATTCGTCAAAACGCCCTGGCGGAGAGAGAAAAAGGGGCAAAGGGAAGTCAAGCAGACAAGAATCTGGGGGTTGCCTAAACTAGGTAGGCTTGTCACATCCGATCCGTCCCAGCAAGGCCTTGCGGTCACTCTGATCGAAGGGCACACGGCCACGGCCGCGTGCGCGCATCGAGCCAGCACCGTTCGACCGCCGGCGGTCTAGGCCAGGGGCACTATCGTTCACGACGACGGGGGCAGCGCTAACGCCGTCCTTGGCGGCCAGCCGCGCGGTGCCGTTCGTAGCGAGTGTGCCGTCCATCTCGACCTCGTCTTCCTCATCGCTGCGGGTATCCTCTGCATTGCCGCGGTAGACGACGCCGTAGGCGACACGGACGATCATGCCTAGCCAGACGATGGAGAGGAGCTGGATAGAGAGCAGGAAGGACAGGAATATCCACTTAATGGTGCGGTTCATGCAAATGGGGTTCTCCAGGCCACGGAAGGGCCCGAAGAGGTAGGCGAAGGAGTCGGGATAGCCGTTCGTGCTGATCATCTCGGCTGTTGCGCCGGAGTAGCAGCCGTAGGACATTTGCTGCGGCACGTTTTTGTAGATGGACCACCACAGCATGTTATAGAAGACGTGGCGGGTGATGAACCAGACCGTCATGAAGACGCCGAAGGCGACGTTGCAGGCGTTTTGGAACTTCAGATACTTGAGAATCTTGGCTGACTAGTGCGAGTGTTAGCAGACCAACAGCTTTTTGTGTCTTTATGTAGTGACCACATCAAACATACGGGAAGAAGAACGTCCACAATGTCCATCAGGCACAGCACCACATTGGACACATTGTAAAAGCCGTAGACATAGGCCGAGCTGAGCAGCGTGCTGGTAATGACGTGGTGCGACAGCATTTGATAGTGATCCTTCCGCCTCTCCTCAATATGAATGACGAAGATCTGTTGCAGCAAAAAGGCCAGCTCCACCAGGATATACCACTTCATCAAGCCGCCGAGCGAGCGCGCAGGCCACTCTTTCCAAATAGCGGCGAAATCGAACCAGTAGTACGAGTTCTTCCAGATGTACTGCACACTCACAAGAAAACCGACTGTTAGCCATAGAACCCCTGTACTATTTTCGGAAACGTTGTCCCCAACTCCAAGGAAAGAAACATACCAAACCGATGGTCCAGATAAACCCATAGTACAGAGCCAGCCAGCCCTGCTCGGCCAGCCGGAGGGCAGCCTTGCGCTTCAGCCCCCATGAGCGACCCAGAGGCTGAATCACCCATTCAATAATGATTGCGCGAGCCGCGGTCAGCGCCAGTGTCGCGCTGACGACAAAGTACGCATCGTTCCAGCCCTGGACGTACGTGTTTGACGCGGAGTCGTGGTAGGAGAGTTCGAAGAAGGGCTGAGTAAAAGGGCGGAGCGACGGGTAGAGGTTATGAAGAGCCAGCAGCATAGCCAGGATAGTCAAGGAGATCCCTATAGCGAAGCAATGCCGAACAGTATTAGCCATACAAGAACCCAACAAACGCCGAGGCTAAACACTCGAGAGAGAAAGAGGGAAAGGATAGGCATTCTGCGACTACAGGTCTAGCCGTGAGAACAGAAATGCCCATTCTCTCGAATGGCGCCATCTGCACCGTGGCAGGTTCGGGGAGACCCTCTCATACCGATTTGGTTGGTGACTACCCACTCCCGGAACGTGGTCTCCTTGGCTGGCCGCGGGCCGCTTGGGCTGGAAACATAAACATTGAGCTCCGGGGCCGACGGCGGAGGCGGCACAGTCGTCTCTTTGGCCATGGCGAGGGGGGATGAGGGTCGCAGGGCGGTTGGGAAGGAGAGCCTTTGCGTGTGTTGCGGAGGAGATGCGCCGGGGAAGGGAAAAGAGCGAGGGCTAGTCCGGCACTAATCAATCTGAGGAGCGGGATAAGTCTGGAAGCCTCATAGGTGGATCTGCCGCGTGGTCTGGAAAGATGTACAGGGTTCTGCAAGAGCCTTTGCTGTCTTTTCTCGGTCTAGTCGTGAAACGAGGGCTGGACAAAGACTTCGAGAGGATTACCAGAATCCGAGCGTGAAGCGAGGGACGGAAGAGTGCAGAGGAATTGAGGAATTGAGGGGTGGGGGGAACCGGTGAGAGCTCGGTTCAAGACCTCTCTCAACACATGACGATCGACACTCCACACCGCCTCGTCGAATCGCGGTGGTGGTGATTTGCTCAATTGTGGAGGATTCTTGCTCGAGAGCCAGCAGAAGGACATGGGGTCATGAATATTCACAAAGTTGAGCCGCTCGAGGTCTATGCTGAATCGATCTATGGGTATGGTACCGGGTTGGTATAGTCCCCCGGCAGTCTCCTACTACAGTATACAGGGTGCAGTAGTGCGCCTCCCTCAGTCCAGACCCTCCGTCACCCCACGCACAAACTCGTTCGCATTCAGTCCCAGCTGCGCCAAATCGATTCCTCCCTGGCCCGCCATCGCCCGCGACATGGCTCGAGCCACTTCCTCCTCGTCCCAGATGTTGTTTACAACGTCCACCCGCTCCACTCCTTCGATCCGCTCGGCACCTTCGCCGGAGCCCCGAGTGGGGTTCTCGACCGCCACCATGGTCCGCCAGTAGACATCGTCGCGCGCCTTGAGAGCCTTGTCCCGAACGACGGCATTACGGGTTACACTCGCCGCGTGAAGCTTGTTGTTGGCGCCCGTCAACATCGCCAGGGCCGCCGACACGGCCTGGTCCAGCTGATCCGCCTGCGAAGGAGGCTTGAAAAAGAACCGATTGGTGGAAGAGAGGTAAACCACAATCGAGCAAATCACGTCACAGACCGTAAATGCCAATGGCCGCAACAAGGTGATCAGATTGTAGAGGCCGGTGGGGGGCACCTGGCCCGCCCGGACGGCGGGGAAGCCGACGAAACCGCATCGTAGCTGGCCACAACCCAGACGTCGAGGGCAGCCAGGGCCAGGCCGGCAAGGGTGAACTTCATGCGCCAGCGGGCCGATTCGCGGCCGGCAAAGGGCGCCGAAGTGGCCAGGCCCAGGATCAAGAGATGCAGCAGGTGCGGCAGAAGCACGTGGAACGGCAGGTAGTATAGCAGGTAGGTATTGAGGTTCTCAAACGAGCAGTATTGGCATGAGACCAATGCATCCGGTCCGAAGGTCAGGTACACCTTGCGAGCACCGAGGGAGGTGAGTCTCGCACGGAGCTGCACGTCGGCGTCGGTCAAAAGGCTGTCGGGCCGGAGGCGCGACAGTCTCTGGAAGACGACATCGATGGGGGTGTTGATGCGCGAGCGGGTGAGAGAGAAGATATTGGGTTCGGGGGCATGGGGATTGAACGGCAGGCTCAGGATGAGGAAGAGGGCGATGCTCGCGAACAAGAGGTTCAATGCTCGGCTGGCGCCGGCGGGGATTGGGCGCGGAGGGGGCGACTCGCTATTGAGACGCGGAGACTGCGGTAGGCTGTGATGAGGCGAGGGAGCAGGACCGGACCGAAGAAGATGAGGAGAGACTTGAGGCTGTGAGCTGGTCAGAGATGAATTGCGCGCAGGGGAATGCCGCGAGTGCGGGTGCGGAGGGCGTCAAACAAGACGGACTTACGTCCCCCAAGAGATCCCGATACCAGCCATGATTGTAGCCAGCAAAGGAGAATCTCTATCTCATTGGATGGGTGAGGGATTGGAAGGCGAGGGAGGAAGGAGTGGACTTGAATGACAAAGATGCGACCAACACGTTGCGTCAACGAGGCGCGCCGGGGCTAAAAGCGGTCGACCTCGGGGACAGCGGAGCTTTCCTGCCCTTCACGGCTTTTGTATACATCACCTCCACTACTCCATACACGTCATGTTAATGAGTCCTACTGGCCCGAGACTTTCCAAGACCCAGCCAGATATTGTCTTAGACCTTTAAATCTACAGCCACACTTGTCTGGAGTTCTACGCACATCTCTCTTTCCCGTCACTCATTACTACTTTGACCGCAACCATGACCATGGGTCTCATTGAAACACAACCAATACGCCAGCTAATCCATACAGGAGAGTTCAATAATTGGAGAATTCGACGAAGAAGAAAAGAACCGTTCAAATCAAAATTGACAACCCTTATGCATATCCCGAAACGCCATCCACCCCAGGGCCCAACGCCAGAAATCGCTCATTCTGCTCGCACAGTCTTAGACCTGTGTGGATCCATACATAGCCGGGTGGTGTGTCAAGTCTGGGGGCGTGATAGCCGGGTGGTGTGCCATGTCCGGGATCGTGACGCCCGCCGAGTCCCGCGAGTACCTGGACGAAGCGGCATCGTTTGTGGGAGGCGCGTTCAGACTCTTGCCGTTGCTGGTGGGATTCATGGGGCTTGAGATCTTGATGGGGAAGCGTGCTGTGAAGCGCTTGGTGGCCCGCTTGAAGGCTGGTTGCGGCGTGTATGTTGGGAGGGAGTCTTCACGCTTCAGACTGGGCTGGAAGGACCGGCTGCTGCTGGCTCGACTCACCACCTTTTGCGGAGCGACAGCCCCGTACTGTCGGACGTGGCGCGCGCTGACACCCCGGCTGCGGTCGGTGAAGATGAAGGTCTGTTTGGGGAGGCATTGATTAGTATTCAGTGTCGATGAAAGGATTGGGTTCTGGGGGGTTAATGGACTTACCGCGAGGATATTCACGACACTCATAACCATGGCCAGGATGCCGGCGGAGATGACGATTCTCCAGAATGCTAGGCCAAGAGTCTTCTGGCTCATGGCCTCTGTGTTCAGATTGCCCAGCATGGCAACACCCAGGATCATCATGATTGCCGCCAGGGCAATGAAGCCTGCATCTTCGCCAAACATGGGCCATCGGCGGTTAAAAAAGCCTCGGAAGAAGGGGAGCTCGGAGATGATGAGAGCGACTTGACATCCTGTTAGCATATATTCGCCCAAGGGTTGTTTGGGGGGTGTTAAATTCGCTACATACTGCTGATCAGCGCGACAACTGCATGCGTGACGGCTTGGAAGAAGAAGAAGCCGTTGCGCATGTTGATCTTGACCAGCATGACGGCACAGGACGCAATGATATCAAGGAAGACGATGATATTGAGGACGCGGATGGCGTTCAATATCACGTACCCTGGACCGGCCAAGGACTCCTTGAGCTTCGACATCATGACTTTTTGGGCGGATAGCGGCGTAACAACTGCGAAGAATTAAGAAAAAGGAGGTTCAAAATTGGCCAAGCAGTAATAGTAAGTCAATGTGCAAGTCTCAAGTTGGGCTGCACTGGAAATAAAGCAGGACGGGAAGGAAGTCACTGGCCCGCAGGAGACTTGACGTCCCAGGAAGAAAGAAACGAGAGAATGCGAGGTCAACTCGAGAACAAAGGGAAGAAAGGGAGAATAAGAGTGGGGAAAATGAAGGCCGGGCAGATGGACATATCTAATGATTGATTCCTCGATTGATTCATCTCGTTCTCTTCGCTTCCATCAGGCTGCCTGGAGGCGCCGACGTCTCGACAAAGGTGACAATAGGCCGGCCTATGAATAGGCGAACCTGAAACCATGTGAGGATGGGCAGAGAAGGCACGCAACAAAGGCAATCTCGTGGGTTATTTTAGGAAGGCAGTCTTTTCATCCTTGTCAGTCTCGGTGCCTTTGGGAGGTGTCAGGCAGTTGTTGTTTCATAGCGAGCCTGAAGGCACTCATTGGCATTGTTAAGCGCAGAGCTGCTGGCTAGCGGCCCGTCTCTGCAGCCTGTCTCGAGTGGATTCCGGGCTAGCCTTCAGGGTCGGGGAGGGATAGGTAGGCAGCTTCCGATGCTCGAGATCGTGAAACGGGCCCATCCGTGGGCGGCTAGTCGATTGGCTGAGAGGAAATCGGCGTCCACGGAGTATAAACTGCCCGCAACTGCAGGGCCGGTGGAGTATGCTGGGTGACTGTAGATAGCCACCCCTCGGAGACGAGGGTTGGTGCTTTCTAGGAGCATCCAGTTTTCTATCTGATCACTATCCGATTTGACTCCCAAGTCCCTTGTCCCTGCAGGATTCTCACAGCGCGATCGGAAGACCCCCGCGGGTTCCCCATGAAACAATGCGCTTGCGCGCCCAATCACGGCGGCACCCCAACCGCCCAGGAGTTCAGGAGTTCAGGAGTTCAGGAGTTCACGAGTCCGTTGTGTAGGTTTCTCCGGGGGGCCATGACGGGCAGCCAAAGCCTGTATTGCATTCTAGCTTCCGTAGTGTATTGAGGCTGGACGAAGAAAGAGACCCATGGCTCGTGGCGGCTGGCCCTGATTCGCCGCCCGGCGGATGGTTTTAAACGCCCGGGGAGCCCCGCCTCCCTCCGTCCGTTTTTTTTCTTCTTCCGTATCTCGTCTCAACACACCCCACCGGCAATTGCGCTTGTCTTCTTTTGTGATCCCTCCTTCAGATTGCATCCGAATTCAGTATGACCCGGGGCAACCAGCGTGACACTGATCGGGCTAAGGCCCAGAAGAAGGCGGCTTCGGCGGTGCGTCTTGACTAGATCTATATTGCGAACCCCCCTCATCCGGGAACGGTGGACTTATACTCTTTCTCCCAAACAGAAATCCAAGAACAGCCTGTCTGGAACCCAATTTCAGAAGGCCAAGGAGGATGCCGCGGCCATCATGCGCGAGAAGCAGCGGAAAGGTACGTCGTCGCCATCCGGACCCAGCGGTCATCTGACAATCCCGACCAATCTGACTGTGGTCTCTTCTTGAACAGCCGATGAGAAAAGAGCCGCCGAAGCCGCAGGAGGGAAAAAGAAATAATAGGGCTTTTGCCAATGACCCCTCGTCGTCATCCCCCGCACCCTGGTCAACGCTGTATACTGTTGGAAACACGGTTTGTGGGGGAGAGAGCCTGGCAAATTGCGCGATGGACATATTTGGAGCGTAAGTGCGGCCGAGGCCACGACGAGGGCGCTCTCTTTGAAAGAGGGGATAGTACATAGATTATACCCACCGGCCCTATCCCCCATGTTTATGACTGTGCCGGTGTCTAGCGAGGCGTTTCAGTTGACCCTACGGCGTTCATTCCACAATCCTTCATTGCGTTCTTGGTAAACATCATAGCGAGAGATAGACGACACGAATCACGATCTGGCATGCTCAAAGGCCGATTCGTCGCTAATGGAGAGGAGACTGGATGCAGGGCAGCACGATCATGTATCGTGACCGGGCCCATGACCGTGTCCATATACAGCCCAGTAAGCCCGGGCCCTCGCCAGCCGGGCACGCCACGGCCATTTCGGTGGAGGCTGCTGGTCGACTGTGGTAGACGCAGGTGCAGGTACATGCGGTGCCTGCTCTGTATCATGCAGGAAAGTCTCATCCACCACGCTCTCCAGGCCAAATTGTCGGACCGCCTGGTCAATGAACGTCCACAGGCTTTCGCCTTCCCACCCGATATCTCGCGCAAAGCGAAGCACTCTGCCGACAGTTTCGGATCGGGCCGACTGCTCTGAAACGTGACCAAGTAAATATATCTCGAAAGTCCAGCCAGATATATCGCGTGGTCTGGCAAGACACCAGTCCAACACGGGATCCAGGAGAACTCTTGCCAGTTCCCCCGCCCAACTTGGATGGCCCTTGGCGGATGTGGCGGTGCTTGCGAGGAGAGCATGTATCTGGCGCATGTAGGTGAATGCATAGTAGTTCTTGGGGTGAAGCGCGGCGGCACGAAGGACTACGTCCAGCTCTTCGCGCTCCAGATCCAACAAAGCTTGGGGGCTCTGTAGTTCAAGTTGGAGTAGCTGCTTCCGCACCCACAGTCGATGGGACCACAGGGTGGGAGATTTCGTATGTCTATGCAGTGGTGAGCATTGATAGCTCTGCAGGAGCGTGAGCTCCGTCTTGAACATTTGAACCAACTCGCGTGTCTGATTCGAAGCATTCTGCCGGCGCGTCAGGGCCGCTAGTAGTCGACGTTTGCGCCAGTTACAGGCTGTCAGGTGCTCGCAGTCGAAGAGCAAGACGATCTCGGTGGTAACAAGATCTGATTCCTCGCCGGGTGTCATGTTCGGTTTTAAAAGACTGGCGAGCAAGGCATCGGCTGTCATAGACGCTTGATGTTTGACGAAGAGCCGTCGTGCGACCGTGAAGGCTTGCACCAGAGCCTTTTTGGTGATGCCAATAGAGCAGACATCCCGGAGAAAGGGAGAGCCTAGACTCGGCGGGATGATCTCGATTTCGAGGATCGCATTGCCTCGAGAAGCAAAGACGCCGGCGAGCCGCTGGAATGCATCTTCGGGAGTCGTCATGGATAGAGGGAGATAATAGAAGCAGTGCGTATCTTGTGTTCAAATATTCTCCGGATTTCATGATCATGCGTCGTATAATAACCCACGCGAGAGATGATCCTCCTCTATGAGAGCGTGCGCGGAGGGTGTTTGCATAGTGCAGGCCAAGTGGAGGCGGAAAGCTCCCTGCAACCCGCCGCATGTCATTTTCCCACCCCGACCTCGCAACCTCCAACCTCCACGGCCCCGCGACAAGAGACTCTTCGCAACGCCAGCACAACCCAGTCGGTATTCTGAACCGCCACCACATTTTCGCCTCTCCGTGGTCCTTGCGCCGGACTCAAACTCAACCACTCCGGCCTACTGGCCAACTCACGCCACCATGCTGTCCCTCGTTCTCACGATTCTGTTCGTGCACATTGCAATCTACTTGGTCAACACAATCGGCGCTTCCACAATCGACAGCTTGGTATGTCCATCCTGCGGCTAAGCGCTGTATCCGGATGACGACTCCCTAAAACGTTCCAACACGTTGCGGATTGACTCTAGCTGACACGCATTCTTTTCAACGTCTAGCTATGGCACCTGTATCTGAAACTACCCACATCCACCTCCCGAAATGCCCGCGAACAGCAGCGCATGAAGCGCGAGGTCGTCCAGCTGAAGCTTGAGATGAACAGCACCAGCTCGCAAGATGAGTTCGCGAAGTGGGCGAAGCTCCGCCGCCGACATGACAAGAGCCTGGAGGAGTACGAGGCGATGAGTACGTGGCCCATGGCCCATGGCCCATGGCCTACTGAGTGCTTACTATGCAATTCAATCCATCCAACTGACCCTATCCTTTCTTGAACACAGACAAGACCGTCTCAGCGCAAAAGAGCTCGTTCGACTGGAGCGTCAAGAGCGCGCGCTGGCTCAGCACAAACGGCCTCAAGATCTTCCTGCAATTCTGGTACTCGAAAACCCCAGTCTTCGCTCTCCCCGCCGGCTGGTTTCCATACTACGTTGAATGGGTCCTGTCGTTTCCCCGCGCGCCGCTGGGCGCCGTGAGCATCCAGGTTTGGAGCAATGTGTGCGCGACGGCTGTTTCGTTCATTGGGGACATTATTGGGTCGGTGGTGGTACTAATTGTCAGTCAGAATGCCGCACCGGCTGCGGGCGCAGAAGCGAAGAAGACGCAGTAATGAAAACCATACATGACCGTTCTACGAGGCCGGGTGTATTATAAACAAGGCGTTGGAAGCTACGGTGTAATGAGGATCGCATAGCCATTGCATTCATATTCATCAATTATAAACAATCCAAGTTCCGGATATATATGTAGGGGAAGGCGGCAAACTTTGGGAATGCCAATCTAGAGATACCCAAGTGGGGGTCAAATATTCATCAGATATTGAAAAATCGTTTCTCGTCAAGGACCCCCTGCCGTAGCTAGGGGATCTCGGGGCTTGACTCTATGATTGGTATATCATCACGCGAACACGAGCTCATGGGCAAAGTGAGACAACAAAAATAAGTCTGGTCTCGGAAAAGTGAGTCCGGCCCCTTCGACAGGGCTTCTGTGAGGCGAAGGCAACCAAGCCAACCCATCACCGCTTTGCCATAAGCTACAGACTCAAAGAGTTAAGAAAAGACCGGAACTCCTCGCCTCAAGAATGAGCCCCATTGAGTTACCCCGTCCACAAGGAACAAGGGCAATCGCATGACTATCGAACAACGACGAAAGGCAACCCGATACAAGGAAGACCGAAGTCCCCCTTCTCCCCTCCAACCCCAGACCGCACACCCCATTGTAACCAGCGAAGCTGTCGGGTGGCGAGCAGAGGCCGGGAAGAGTAGGGCGTAAGCCGCTATCGAATTGCTTCTATGGCGGCGCGTTTCCGCAGTGCCTGGCTTCAAAAACTCTGGAGGACCAGAGCGCAGGATGTCCGGGGACTTTCTCCCAAAGCGAGAGTGTGAAAGAAGAGATCTTCTTTGTGTGTGAGCTTTGAATGCGATTCTTTGAGCGAGGAGTTGGGAGAAGGAAAGAGAGGAGGAGAAGAAATTTTGCTGTGGTTTTTTTTATTCTATGTGGTGATGGTCAGGTGACGGCGGAGCTAGGTAAAGTTAGGACAAGGTGGGTCCGATGGTGCTGTAGTTGCCCTCAACATTATTTCCGGGAGGGAAGAGAATTCGCTAGGTCTTTATTCTCTCAAGAATATTCGGTTTGGATAATTACGCTATCTGAGTGCTCCGGCGAATACGGAGATGGAGGTTGCTTGGAAGAGTGTTTACTTGGAAGTTGCTGGAAAATTTCATAGAATCCATGACAAGGCTATGTGACAGAAAGAAAGATAACCAAAGAACAATTTTGTACACCGATTACGCCTTAGCCTTGGACTTGCCAGTCTTCTTGGCCGTTTTCTTGGTTTTGGTAGCCGGGGACTCCGTCGCAACCTCCTTCTGAGGTGTGTCCTGCTGCGGCTTCTTGCCCTTCTTCGGCTTAGGGGTATCATCGTTGGTGGCAGGGGCCTCGACAGCCTTCACAGGCTCCTCGATAGCCTTCACAGGCTCCTCAGCGGCCTTCTCAGTAGCAGCCTCGATAGTCTTTTCCTCTTCAGGCACCTGCACAGGCACATCCTCGACGGCCTTGAGCTGAGGCAGATCAATCTCGTAGCCCAGAGCCTTCAGCTTGTCTGCCTTGGCCACACGCTTACGCTGCTCCTGGTCGATGCGCTTCGACCACTGTTCGCGAGTCTTGCCCTTCAGGAGGCGCTTCCTCTCAATCTGGTTCCATGGGGTCCGCTTGAAGCGACGGTTGGCGCCCTTCCAGACCTCAGGATGAAGTTGCTCCGCGGGAACGTACTTGCACTTCAGGATGTGGCTGTACATGAGATAGTTGTCCATGGTCTCGGCGACAATCTTGGCAACGGTGTTCGAACGGAATTCGATGAAGGCGTAGTGCTTGGAGCGGCCGGTCAAGCGGTTGCGCGAAAGACGGAGCTTAGTGATCTCGCCGAACTGCGAGAAGTATGCGCGCATTTGGTGCTCGTAGAATCCGTGAGGAATGCGTCTGAGGAGCTATTAGCATATGCAACAGAGAAAAGAGTAGATGGGTAGATTCAAGACATACCCGACGTAGACAGTGCCGGGTTCATTCTTGGAATCACCCTGTTGCAGCTTCTTCATCTTCTTCTCGGCCTCCTTGGTATCGGGGATTTTGGGAATCGGCTGTTTGGAGTTATATCCCTCGTCACCGGACTCGTCTTCGTCGCCGCTGCTCTCGAAACCCTTGATGAGGGCAGCAGTCTGGTCATCCTCAACATCATCGGTCTCCTCTTCGCTCTCCTCCGGCTCGGCAGCATCAATATCGAAATCCTCGTCGTCAGACTCCTCTGGCACCTCCTCTACCTTCTTGGCCTTTGATGCGGTCTTGGGGGTTTTGGCGACAGCGGACTTCTTTTCATCCTGTGTGGGGATGACCTCCTCCTTCTTGGTCTTCTTGTTGACGGCCTTCTTGGAGGCCGGGGCAGGCTCCTCATTCTCCGCGTCGCTGAGGAAGTCGGCAGCACGCTTGCGAGGCTTGACCTGACGAGTGGGCTCGCCATTGGCCTTCGCACTGGAGGCAGCCTTGGTCTCCTTAGGCTTAGCGGTACCGGTCTCCTTCTTCTTCTTCAGAATGGACTTGGGAGCGGCATCTTCAGCGACCTTGGTGGCTTTGGCCTCGACCTTCTTAGTTTTTTTCGCGGGAGCATCGTTGGCGGCGGGCGCTGTTGACCAGAAATTAGGAACACTGACGAGAGTTTAAAACAACAGATCATAGTGTACATACCCTTGCGCTTGTTTCCCTTCTTATCAGGAGCCATTTTGGTCTGGCTGAGGTGAATTGAAGTCTGGTGGTTGCACAATCTGTCTGCGGGAAACTTTTTTCCCACTGATTTGCACCGAAGGCGGTGAGTCTCCGCAGGCCGCCAAACAACTGACCACGGCGGACAGTACTCGACCTCCCTCTTCAGAGGTTATGGGCGGCCATGGGGAAGCCTAAACATGACAAGTCCCTGACGCACGAGGAGATCTGGGACGATTCTGCCTTGGTGCAGTCCTGGGATGAGGCGGTTGAAGAATACAAGGTCCGCCGAATCGCTACGCTCACGTGACCGTGGTCTGACTGACTTATTGATGGCAGCTTTATCATAGCATTCACGCGAAAGGCGAGAATGTTGAAGATGTTCTGAGAGAGGCTGAAGCAGCAGGTCTCTCTGAGCAAGATGTCGTTCTTGAAGGAGGCGAGGTGGTAGCCGATGACGCTATGGAAACCGACACTAAGCAGACTGATGCGCAACTTGACCAAACAGCTGCGAATTTCGAACAGGTATACACTCGAAGAAACATTACTGGTATTGTGGCATAAACTGATTCCATTCAGGCTACTCAACCTCCTGGTCATCCTCCACAGCACTCTGCTGAAGAAGGATCTGGGCCGGCTGCCGGCCCAGCCTCAACCTTCCCCGCAGGCGCGATGCCTATGCCTGAAGCGGTCCTCCCTCATAGTAATCACTGTTCCATTGTCGTGAAAAAAGAAAATAAGCTGATTGTATGTCTAGTTCAAGATGAAGGTCTAAAACGTCTCATGATGTCTTGGTACTTTGCAGGGTACTATACCGGCTTGTACCAGGGACAGCAACAAGCCAGCCAGGCGAAAAGCTGACAGTTTCTTGGCCACAAGCGGAAGAACGGCGTTAAATAGCCTTACCTGTTGAGCCAGCCAAACCTTAGGCAGAATAGTCTAAGAACCCTCAATCTAGACTTTGAATATGATCAGCCACAACCAAATAGGGCCTGGATTGAACATGACTGTATGATTCGACTATCAAACTATCTAGTGGGTTTCAATCTTCAACACATTCATCATCAACGCCCACGTCTAAAAAAATAAAATATAATGGAAAAGTACAGGATCGAAAGAAACAATTCTCCTCCCAGAGCTGATTGACCCTAACAAAGAAGACATATTGCATCCGCTACCGACAAGTCTCCGCCCTGTCTATCAAATGATTCACAGGCCGCCACCAGCGCCACCCAATAAGCCACCTAGGAGGGGGATCTTGCCGAGGATATTAGGTTGGGAGGTAGGGTGGGTGGTGTGGGTAGCCGTAGGTGTCACGAAGTTGCCCGAGGTAAGCTTCTTCTGTGTAGGGGTTGGGGTAGCAACACCCTCCTTCTCCTTAATGGTGTCCTTCTGCTTCTTCTCCGTGGAGTCATGATTGGCTGTGGCCTGGTCTTTCTTAACTTCGTTGTTGTGGTCGTTGTGGTTCTTATTATTAAAGCCCCCCACCAGCTTGGCGGCATCCTTGTAAAAAATGTATTAGATTCCATGTTGCTAACTGCTTCGTCTTAACCACTAACCTCCAGACCTGAGAGAGCGGTATCAAGCCCCAAATCCTTGTTTTCATCGCGCTTGGTGGGCATCGACATAGCGAAAGCCGCCAGGACGAGGAAGACGGTCAGGAAGGACAAGCTGAAGCGAGCCATCGTGGTTGGGTGTATTCAGAGCAAGAGGATTGAATGGGCAAAAATTTCGTTAATAGTGTTCAGGCGGGTGGATTTGGGTATAGTTTCACAAATGAGAAGTGTCTATTACCTGCAGGTCAAAGAAGTAAAGACTGCGGCAAGGTGTTCAAGCCAAGAAGGAAATTATGCGAGATTTATACCCTAGCCCCTCCCTTCATCCCCGTTGCTGCAGGCGAGAATGGAGGGGAAAAGGGACGCAGGCACGATGTACGCCTTCCCTACGCGAGGTATTCTAGACACGTAGCTATAAACATAAGCTCGCGCCCCTCCATGAAATCCAATGCACCACAGTTACCCTGGCAGTGGGAGACAGCATCTTATCGCATGTGAAGATTTGCATCTAACCTGATTAAAGCTCTGGAAAGATCCCCAAACGATAACAATCGATATCGGTAGCTTGAGAATTCAAGCAAGGGATCGACTTCAAACCAGTCAGAGTGCACAGGGCGAAGGAAGAATATCAGTTGTAAAGTCTTGAAGAAACGAGCAGTGGAGCCCTCATATTTCACGGACTATTCAGAATACTGCTCATTCTCCGGTCGATGGTCCAGGCTGAACCATACGGAGGATATAGAATACCGATTCGAGCGAGGAATTTTTATAGTCTTCATTACAGAACCTCGAACCGAGCTATTTCTTTCAGATACATAATTTACAACATGGAGCTTGGACCTGGGACTGATCAAGAATTGATTGTATTGGAGTCTGTCTACACTAGCAGCTAGGTAGGGCAAAGGAGCTGAATGTAGATCCTCATCTCGCTCACATTCCACAACGATCAGACAGTGGGGCACGATTGGCGCGGACCTAACTGGGCATTCCGAGGTGGCTATTGATCAAGAGCATCGTCACAGCAGCTTCCGATGGCATGGCAAGGAATGTATCTCCCTACTTTGACACGCACAGCCCCATATGAAGGGGGCGGACGCAACACGAGGGAGTTTCCAGAAAGACTTTTGTCAAACTGTGAAAGCTCACTTTTGGCACAAATTTGACCTCGAATATCATGGAGAGCTGAAGGAGACGAGACTTCGAAAGTGCCAGGTGAAGGAGGGGGTAGTGAAGGAGGGGGTAGTGTAATAGGGGTAAGTGTGTTGCTACGCGGCGGGAGGGGAGGGATTTGTCCTGTTGAGTTAGTACTCGGGAGTAATTGGTTGTGACACCGCCGTCGAAGCAGTGACCACACATTGCAACGGAAAGACATTATTTTCCACAAGTGCATGGTGACAGCTCCGACGGAGGCTGCAGGTAACCGCGGATTGTGTAGGTTGGATGGCTTCCATGCCGGGATAAACATGCCGAAAACGCGTCCTTTCAGATCAACAATGCGGCAGTGCATCCCAAAAACTGAAACAACTGAGGATCCAGCCTCAGATTCCAATCGGAACAGGGACCAGATTCCTTGACCGCTAGGGGTCAGATGTTGGCTCAAAAGCGAACCCAAGCACCTCGATGGGGACGGCCGGGCCGATCCAACTGGCAGGTGTCGGGATTAGAACGAGCATTCATCGCTCTGGGTCTCACGCTAAAATTTGCGAGATGGAATTGAGTCCATAAGCAAGGGTATGTTGGAGACCGTGATATGTGAAGAGAAGAAAGGGAGAAAGCGTGTGCGGCAGGAATTTTAGTCTCTCCCGCGATGTGGATTATGTCAGCAATTTATCACGTGGTGGTTTGTCCGGTCCCATTCTTCTTCGAGCTCGGCTTATGCCCGATAGGTCTATCAACTACCAAATCTTCAGAAAGGCCGGTGGCTCATTCTAACCGATTTCAATCGGATTTTTTTTAGTATCATTTTTGAAATCAATGTGAGATTGAAATTATGCTTTCTTTCTATCATCAGGTATCGCGGCGGTGCAGGGTCATTGAAACAAGCACAGAGTTTTGGCGGAAGCTTTCCTGCTTGGCTCAATCTTAGGCCAGACTCTTTCCGAAGAACTCGACACACTTGGCACCAGCCTCATCCACATGGTCGTAGAGATCCGCATGTGTCAGGCCCTCAATAACGTGCAATTCTTTGGGCTCCTTGGCGCACGGCGTCCTCACTGTACCACTTGGTAGCAGCTTTGGTACCAGTGATCATCAGCAGCGGCCGGGGGCTAATCGTGTCATTGTGCGCAAATGCATCAAAGTTACCCATGATATCCCAACTGCGAGGCAGGCAGGTGTTCGTCGCGCGAGGGTGAAAAGCACGAGGGGTACGATAGTAGTTCATCAAGTCGCGGAATGAATCAGGGAACTCCGCGGGTGCATCCTCCGGCTTTTCGGGAAGCATGTGGACGATGGGGACCTTCTCGCCGCCGACATCACTGTTGCGATCCCTTCCAGCTGCTTCCAGCTGAGTCTTTAGGATATCCAGATTGGAGCTGTCCTTGTCGTAGCCACGACGAGCCATGGTGCCGGCGCACACTGCAGCTGAGGTGGCGCACGCCTTGATGCGTAAGTCGGTCTGGGTTGCGAAAGGGGCATAGCCACCGGATGCGCAGATGCCGAGCACACCGATCTTGTCAGAGTTGACGTCTTTGCGGCTGATCAGGTAGGTAACAGCGCACTTGATATCTTCGACACGCTGGTAGGGATCTTCCAGGTCTCGGGGTTCGCCCTCAGACTCTCCCTGGTAAGCGGCATCGTAGGTCAGGCAGGTAAAGCCGCCTTGCGTCAGGACGCGAGCATAGTTGGCGGGGGATTGCTCTTTAATGGATGTCCAGGGATGGGCAATGACAATGGCTGCGCCAGAGCGATCGGGGGAACCTGCCACCGGGGGATAGAACAGGCCGGCGAGCTTGTAGCTGCGGGAGGGGAAAGTGACAACTTGCGGCGACGGCATGATGATGTATATAGCTATCAGATCAAGTTTAACAGATTTATTTTAAGTAATAAAAGACAATTTCAGTGGGTTCGTTGATTAATTTATACTTTGCAAATGGGTATCGGAGAGGACTGAGATGTCCGATAAATCTCGGGAACTGAGTAGTATTTCGGCCACCCCAGCTCCTGTGGGGTTATGACGCCAACATGCAGAGACGAACTCGAACGATTCTGTATAGCCGTATAAAGCAGGAAGGGAATATTTTGATGGGAGGTTTTCATGAGACTGTTGGGTATTTGCCAATTAATTGGCTACCGTTTTTCTTGCTCTTCGCCTTCCTAACAGGTATCGTTTTCACCAATCATTTCGCCTCCCTTATCATACTCTCACACTAGTTACATAAAACTGTCTGGTTCAGCGGTGACGGTAACACCTAATAACGGCACCTATTCACGATATTCTGCGTACATGAATCGCTTCCACTACGCGAATGGCAACTTGCCGTATGCGTAGGCCTCCATAGCCACTCACAGGCATAGGCAGTCTAGGGGACTACTTCTGGGAAAGTCCTGGTGATCATCGGGAGTCAGAATCCGTGACAAGAATTGAAAGGTGGATCGTATATATTGGGTAGTTTGTGAGTGGACGGGACATATATCTTGTCGCGAGATCAGGAATCTAGGTAGGTAAAGCTATCTGACGACGACACCAAACTCATTAATCATTAAGACGTAAAACAACCTCGCCCTCGCCAACAGGCCTCTCAAACCCAGCAATGAAACTCTCAAGGATCTCCGGAGTTACGAAAAAAGCCGAGTCTCCGTCTTTCACAGCCAGCTGGTTTCTTGCTCTGACCCGCCGCCGCAATTCATCGGCATCAACATCCAAATATACAAGCACCCACCGGCCCCCCGATTCTTCAATTAGATCTTTCCACTCGTCTCTAGTTTCTTGAAATGCGAAAGCAAAATCTAGAATCGCATCTCGGGATCCTTGCCGAATTAGCTGGGCTAGTTCACTCCTGAGTGCCGCTGCGGCCTCCTCTTGATAGTCGTTGTATTTTTCTTTCGCATAATCAACCCCATAAAGACCATGATGGTTGTATATGTGGGAATCGATAGAGAGACGATGAAAAGATGGATGGTTGGAGAGTATCCATTTCGATATGAATGACTTGCCCGACCCTGTACCACGCAACCACGTTAACTCCCCACATCTCCCCTTGCATTTACGGTTAAATTGAGGGATTCGCATACCTGCAATTCCACACGTCATCACCACAACAGGGCGGGGGTCACTTTCTGTGCGGCATAGGAGAGGACTCAGCGCTTCGGGCGTGCCGAAGCTGGACGATGCGTCTGCCATTTCATCCGGGGCAAAAATATCTCCCGAGTGACGAATTATGATTAGGCTTTCAATCAATATGGATTAGAGCCTCCTCCAAGAGATGTTGGAATACGCCCCGCGGCATCCAAAGTAGTGACTCACCTCTGATACGCGAAGCTTCACCCAGGATCCAAGCTACCATCATGCCTCAGGCACCCAACGACGCCCCACTCGATACCCGTCTCTTCCGGGCGCAAAACAACCACCATCTAGGAGCTCCAGGAGCCCGACATTTAGAGCGCACGGATGGAGACAAAATGCGACGAAAAGTGCAAAGGTCACTGATCCAATTGATTCCATTCTGCGTCATCCTCCTCCTAATTCTCTACCTCAACCGGCCCCAATCCAAAAACAAGACCTTCACCTGGACTAAAATCCGCTACGCAACAACCGCAGCCTCGCTCCCCGAGGCTCGCGGCAAATGCCCCAAACTATCATCCTCCAAGAAACCAGCGCTAGTCGTTTCGCGTGTCGACGCAGACGGTGATCCGTCCTGGCTGATCAAACTCGCCGACCGGTACCATCTCTGCGTGTACCATGTCGACGCCCCGCCCGACAAGACCTCGGAGTATCTCCAGGTGCCCGCGAACCGCGGGCACGAAGCGATGGCCTACCTCACCTTTCTGATCGACAATTACGCGGACATCCCCGCTGCAGGCGCGGTCTTCGTGCACGGGTCGCGCTGGGCGTGGCATAATGACGCGCCGGACTACGATAACGCCGCCCTGCTGGCTGCGCTTGATATTGAGCGCGCGCTGCAGCCGTCGGGCTACCACAATCTGCGCTGCGATTGGTGCACGAGTACGTGTCTGCCTTCTGCGCCGCCGCAGGGCAGCCTCGAGATGCGGCTGCAGTCTGCGGTGGCACCGTGGAGCGCGCGCGCAGCGTCGGACATCGCGCTGCCGCGGGCGCTCGCGTCGATTTTCGGTGGCGACGAGCAAGAGCATGGCTCTGCGGGTGCTGCTGGCAAGGTCCACCTGGGCCGCACAGATACGTTGCGCGCGCAGTGCTGTGCGCAGTTTGTTGTTTCTCGGGAGCGGGTGTGGCAGCATAGCCGTGACGAGTATGTCGCGTTGCGGCAGTGGCTGCTGGATGGGAGTGGGAACGGGGTGGACCGAGGTCAGAGAAATGACCACGCTGCGCCACAGGATGATAAGGTTGCAGGCCGTATTCTTTCGTACATGTGGCATCTGTTGTTCGCGAAGCACAATGCTGATGGGGCGATTGATCTTGGACAGCTGAATAAAGAGGCTTGTCCGAGTGCGGAGGACTGTTATTGTCGTCTTTATGGCCGGTGTGATTTGCAATGTCCGAATCCTGGGACCTGTCAGGGACAGTATCAGATTCCGCAGTACTACAAGCTTCCTGATGACTGGGCGGCTACGCACTCATGATCTGGTTTGGTGATTTCTCTTCTTGTACATAACCACGCTATACGAGCATTATCAATTTTGTAATCTAGACCACCAACCGGTACAGGGCATTTGAGACAATTGGATAAGTTGAGCCGGGAACAAGGGAAACTGATTCGTTTTATCATACTACGCTATATACAATTTTCAGCACGATACAGCTGCTTAGAAACGGGCAAGAACGCGGTCATGAGCATCCGCAACAGCCCACTCATTGCTGTGCTTCTTGCTCACGACGGACTTGGCCTGCGCCGCAGTGAACCCGCGAGCCTCGACAGCAGGGTTGTAGCCCAGGCCGTTGAGCTTACCAACAACGTCTGACGGAACGGCGGCAGCGACCTTTCCGTCTGCGCGCTTGTACACCGTGACGACAACAGCACCGCCAAGACCCAGGTTGTGCTGCAGAGCAGCATCAGTCCCCGCAATCAAGCGGTTGTTGGCCCAGCCACGCAGGTGCCAGACCAGCTCGGCGCACTGGGCGATACCCGTGGCGCCGAGTGGGTGACCCTTGGAGATGAGGCCGCCGGAGGGGTTTATGACCATCTTTCCGCCGTAGGTGATATCACCCCGGCGAACCATTTCGTGCGCCTTGCCGGGCTCACACAGCTCGAGCGCATCGATGGTGATCATCTCGTTCGCTGAGAAGCAGTCGTGCAGCTCGCACACCTTGATGTCCTTCACGTTGATACCGGCCTCGGTGGCAGCAGTGCGGGCTGCGTAGCGGGTCATGCCGAAGCCCATCAGATCGATGGCGCTGCGGTTGTAGACCTGATCGGTGTCGGAGGCGAGGCATTGGCCGGCGATCTGGATAGCTTGCTCCTTGAGGTGGGGGCGGGCGTCGAGGAACTCCTGAGAGACGATGACGGCGGCGGCACCGCCGTCCGAGGTCGGGCAGCACTGCAGCTTGGTCAGGGGCTCGTGAATCATGGGCGCGTTCATGATTTGCTCGAGGGAGTATTCGTCTTGGAACTGCGAGTAGGGGTTCCGTTTGGAGTGCTCGTGGTTGATGCGGGCGATCTCGCCGAAATCCTCGTTCGTAGCGCCGTACCTAGGCAGACCTCGTCAGTTATTGTGCCCCCATGCAGCGCCAGAATAGACGACTCACTTTTCCTTGTATTCTCGACCTGCGTTGCCGAACATTTGCGCAGCACCGGGGGCGTTAGTGACTCCGCGGGTCTCAGCCATCATCGTGCCGAACAGACCGGTCGGGTTGGCGCGGTCGTTGTACATCGACTGCAAGCTACCAGGGTTCATCTTCTCAAATCCCACGACGAGGACACAGTCAGCAGCACCGTGCGAGACCATAGTTCGGGCCATAGCCAGACCCGTGCTACCGGTGGAGCAATTATTGTTGACATTGTAGATGGGGATGTTGGTCAGGCCGAACTGGTAGAAGACGCGCTGTCCGCACGTGCTGTCGCCATAGACATAGCAAGCCACGCCCTGCTCGACATCGTCGTAAGTGATCTTCGCATCTAGCATGGCCTTGATACCGGCTTCGTAGCCCAGCTCATTGTAGTCGACCTTGCCGCGCGGCTTGATGAACTTGGTCATGCCCACGCCCAGGACGTAGGCGGGACTTGTTTGCTTCTTGACCATGGTATTGAGGGATGTAAAGACGGGAAAGTGAATATTAGATGGAGAGTGCTAGTCGTAGACCAGGGAGAGCCCGTCTGCCGGACGGGCGTCTATATAAGAGCGCATCATGTCACGAGTGGGGAGAGCTGGAAATGCGGGGAGTGGAGCGACCGAGGTCCCGAGGGAGCAGGGCGGCTAAACGTTGCACAAATCGGTGGTGCATAATCCCCGGAGGATCGTCGTTGCCTCGTATTTGTGATCCCTTACTCCGTAGATATCGGCTATATGATCAACGATACTCCGTAAAAAAAAAAAAAAAAAAAAAAAAAAAAAAAGGCATGTGCGGAGGCTCGTCGTTCTAGGATTATCACGTGCATCTATCCACTCATCTACCCCGGATGCTCCAGAAAGTACAGAAGGAACAGGTCGCATTTGACAGACTGGACCCTGGAATGGAATACACCAGCCTCTCCACATTCCCAAGACTTCTAAGGGAGGGGGCAGGTAGGGGGAGGCAATATATCTGCTCATGCTTCAGGAGCTCTGTGGTGAGTCTCACGTTGATTCTGACGAGGCGACTGCAACCTGTCCAGCCCATCTAGCTCTTCCTGCACGCCCAGTAGTCGAGCTATGCAGCTCGTATGGGGAAGGCAGTGCGAGGCCCGCCAATCTATTCCCACCAGCCGAAGTGTCTTATTACATGACCTGCAGGTTGATCTCCAATCAGTGTTTGGCAGTGTGCATCGAGCCGAGTTTGGAATTCAAACGCTAGAAGAAAAGAAGCGTTGGCCAAAGGCGGGCTGCAGACGCAAAAGATCGATGCGCGCACCGCAGACCCGTCGCTGTAGGCCGGCGGACTGTCCTCCAGCAGACAAGGATGGAGAGCTCATATGGATGTATGGATTGCGGACCACGTCCCATAGGCCCAGCCTAGTTCTTAATCGGTATCGTTTCCTGGCGGATCTGGACTGGCTGCTCTCGTGCCCCGTCTTTTATTTCCCCCATTCTCTCTGAGGGCTCGGACGGCCCGCGAGGAAGACCAATGACAAGGATGTTTCTGTCATCATGTCGAAGTGTCTGCATTATGACGGCTAGTGACCAATAGTCCAGGGTGCAATGGCCAAAACCGGTTGGCGGGGGAGTGCGACCGGGGGAGGAGTACGAAGCGGCCGCATAGTCTATCGACGTTGGGCCTCCACGAAAAAGACAATTTCAGGTGACAGCAGGGCCAGAATCAATGCCGCGGGACTCGTAAAAGTAGTTCTCGAATACCGCGCGCGATCTCCCATACTTCACGTATCTTCGCGTGCCGTACTTGGAAACTTTGATGGGTCCAACTTCACGACGACGTCACTTGGTTTGGCCCTAAACCCGTTCGAGGCGACTGCAAGCTCGGCCCACATGCCATTTAGCTGCCCTCTGGCTTTCCCTCCTCATCGCCGTCCTTTCGGCTTGGTTGGGATTTGTATCTTCGTGGCTAGGATTTGGGAAGACTGGGCTTCGGTAGGTCGCCTCTGCGCTGCCCTGCTCGCTGCCCTCTGCGGCCGGGTGGGTAGGGGCGGGCACGGTGGGATGGACGCTAACGATATTGCCTGTTCAGCTCCTTGAGATCAACCGTCAACCCATTGCGCCGGGAGACACCCAGAGACTGCTCTCTGCACGACTCGAGACCTCCTGTCTGGCACAGGAGATTCTAGAATCGCCTCATTAGGGCTGTTCTATTGCCCGGACACCGTGGTCGAGCTGCCTGGTCGCTGCCGCGGGGTTCCATCCACTTGCCGTCCTCGTCCGGACATCCATCACCGAATAACCTGACCACTGCCTGGGCCGAAATACAGCGCCGACACCGCAGCCTAGATACTAGATCCTTCCGGATCTGACCTGGATATAGCGACCGGAAACCCCTCGGACTGCGCCAGTCCAGCAGATGATTAATTGTGGGACGCTGAACGGTCTGCTCTAAGTGCTGAGAGGCCGCTTTGCGTTCCATAGGGTTCCCAGCCTGCTACAATCGCATCGTTAGAACGGTCAGGAGTAAGAATTGGGGCAGTCTTGAGATAAGCATATCCAAACCTTTGTCAAGCGTGTCGTTGCCTGTCCGATGGAAACTCTTCAGGGATGACTATTGGCCGACGTTCTGAACATGCTCCCTTCTCTCCGGCTTCCAACCCGACACCTACATCCGCCATCATGCCGACCGAAAATACCTGGATCATGGATGATTCAACCCGCAACAAACTCTTGAAAAAATATAAGACCCAGGTGGCTTCGGCGACGTCGAGCGTCTGCGCGACTCTTGCGGTGGTGAGTGCCCATGCTCCGTGGGCGGCGGTCACTCCGGCAATGCTCTCACGATGTATACTAAATGAGATCATGTTATCATGCAGACTCCTCTAGAAAATGTCAAAACCCGCATGCAAACGTGAGTTATTCAGGGATCCGTGGCAAACGTAAACGGTGGGGCTGATCAAGTGGAATCTCTAGCCACAACTTCAAGAACATCTTTCAGTGTGTTCGTTATCTGTGGCGGACGGAAGGCCCGCGTGGATACGTGGCTGGTACGGCTGATACTCCCTTTCTTCTACTCAACACCGTCTCATTTTTCCTCAGGTGCCCTTCCTCCGCTAGCGAGTGTGACTGCCGTCCGGGTGGTGAATTTCACTACCTATAATCACGCCAAACATGTCATTTCCGACTCCTTCGAGCGTTTCACAGGCGTATCTCCGCTGGATGAATACAACAAACCCGGCAGCACCCCCACCGTGACTGGTCTTTTGACCTTTACAACTGCTGGTCTCTTAGCCGGTCTGGTGGCATCGCCTCTGGCTTGTAAGACAATCCTGACTGAGTATGCTCTTGATTTCTGAGGGACGCTAATTCCGATTGATTGTGGATCCAGGCCCCTTTGAGCTCGCCAAGAACGTTGTTCAGACTTCTGTTCTGGTGTCCAACAGAGCTCAAGCCGCTCCGGACGCAGCCCGTGACCCTTCGCTGCGTAGCAAGCCGCGATTGGGAACCATCGAGGCTATCCAGCAGATCGTCAAGCGCCACGGGTTCCGCGGCTTGTACACTGGGTTCCGCCTCCATGCCATGCGTGACACGGTGGGGTCGGCACTGTATTTCAGTGTCTATGAAACTGTGAAGCAGGTTGCTGCCAAGGAGCTCGGGTCCGACAAGTCCCCGTTCGGAGCACCCATGATCGCGGGTGCCATCTGCAGCACTGTTCCGTGGTTTTGCGTAAGTGGCTATCTAATTATCTGCATTGGCAACATCAACAGACACTTTCGTTCAGAGCTTGCTAATTGCCTTCATCTTTACTATAGACTTATCCACTGGACACACGCAAGACACGCGCGCAGAGTGTTCTGCTCGGCAAGACCAAGGAGATCGGCGAGGCCTCCGCTGCCGTTGCCAAATCCAGCATGTACAAAGGCATTTCCATCATTCTCATCCGGACCGGCGTCAACAACATGATTCTTCTCAGTCTTTTTGAATACATCAAATCGCGCATCAATGAGCTTCCTGCCTGAACGCATCAGCGGAGACTCTGCGATAGGGATGATCTGGTCTCCTAGCTTCGTATTGTTCCGAGATATGCGTTTGCACGTACATACTACTTTTTTGAGCTGAATGCTCATCAGCAAATACGAGATGAAGTTCCTCGAAAGCATAATTTTCCTCTAGAAGTTCAACTGTAAAGAATCAAATATCTCCTGTGCCGATCTACTTCGCACGAGCAGATCTCGTCCGGTCTTATAGGCAATGCGGAGTTTCTGCCTCAGGCTACCAACGCGTCATCCCGTTGCCCGGTGGGGTTGAGCAACTTCTCGCGGTCAACAAACGAATCTCTCGCTTTTCGCCCAGGCTGTCACCCCCATCTCTCGACAATGACATCGTGAGTGAACCCGGTTGTACATTCTGCGCTCATTCTCCAGAGCTAACACCTGCTTTCTGCAATTTTTAGCAATATTCTACAGCTTCCGTTCCGCCGGTCTCACACGGTCTCGTTGTCCGAAGCGATCACGCAGTATATCTCGTCCAAATATGACCAACGCCCGGACATGTTCGCGGATGATCTGATGATCATTGATCGCCTGCGCAGCGAGGCTATCCATGTCCAGGAGCCACATGTTAGTGGCGTTAGCCGGTTGGTCACGTATGCGGCGCAGCTCAAGTGGCTTGGGGGAAAATTCCCGATTGACGTGCGCGGTCCTCCTGGGGTCTCTGAAGTGATTTGAAGTCCGCGGTTGACAGTCTCTGCGTTTTACAGGTGGGTGTGAACTTTTTGTGGTATCCGGCGCTAGGGTTTAATGCTGCGCGGCCTGGTAAGTTACAGATGCTAGATCTTGCGGCGCCTTGCTCTTGCCCCGACCCTAAACCTGAGCTCGGGGCTAGCTGTGCATTGCTGTATATACGCTGACTGTAAAGGAATAATAGTATCCCAGAACAACCTGCGCTTCGAACTAGCGAATATTCTTTTTAACCTCGCGGCCTTATACTCGCAACTTGCGTATGCGTTGAACCGCACAACCCCGGATGGCCTTAAGCAGGCATGTAACTATTCCTGCCAAGCAGCCGGAGTGTTGTCTCATTTACGAACCGACATAATCCCCGATCTGCGCTCATCACCTCCGGAAGATATGGATGAGATGACACTGCAGAGTCTGGAGCAGCTCTTGCTGGCACAGGGCCAGGAGTGTTTCTGGCAGAAGGCTGTGAAGGACGGGCTCAAGGATGCTTCCATTGCCCGTCTGGCAGCGAAGGTGTCCGACCTCTACGGCGACGCAGGCGATTTCGCTGTCAAGTCCAATGCTATTAGTACGGAATGGATCCACCATATGTCCGCCAAGCACCACCACTTTGCCGCTGCTGCACAATACCGGCAGTCGCTGGATTGTTTGGAGAAGCGCAAATATGGCGAGGAGGTGGCGCGGTTACGCGATAGCTTGAACTGTGCCAATGAGGGGCTGAAGGAGTCGCGGTGGATCAACAAAACCGTGCTGGCTGATCTGAACGGATTGAAGAGCCGTGTCGCAGATGATCTGAAGCGGGCTGAGAAGGATAACGATATAATATATCTGAGTCCTGTTCCGCCCAAGTCTGAGCTCAAAAGTCTTGATCGGGCTAGCATGGTTGCTGCGAAGGCGCCCTCGCAGGTCATCGATGCTATTTCTATGCTCGGCGATAATGGCCCATTAGGCCATCCGCTTTTCTCAAAGCTGGTACCGTATGCTGTGCATATTGCGGCGAGCATTTACTCTGATCGCCGGGACCGGCTGGTCAATGAGACGCTAATCGGGGAGCTGGAGTCGATGACTGATAAGCTTAGAGAGTATGTTGGATGCCCCTATCCTCCGAACTTGAGATGGCAGTTGACTGACTGATCTACCAGCTTGTTGTCGTCATTGAACTTGCCGGGCTCCCTCCAGGCCCTGGAAAAGCCTCTGGGCGTTCCAGGAACAGTAGTTTCCCACGCAGAGGAGATGCGACAGCAAGATGGTTTAAACCGTTTGCGCCGGTCCGTCGAGGACACAGCTAAGGTCAAGTTCAACGATCGATCGGTCTACAACGAAGGCGTCGAGTTATTGGCAGCTGAAAAAGCCGAGGACAATGCGGCGCGTCAGAAATATGGTACGGATCGATGGGCACGCGAGACCTCTGAGGCCGCTGCGCCGAAGATCTACAACACGTCCAAAGAGATCAGCGGCTATTTCACGTCTGCGCAGAGCAGTGATGACCTTGTCGAGCGTAAGCTCCGGGACTCGGAGGCTGTCTTCCGTGTTTTGACTGGCACGAACCGGGACCTGGAGTCTTATGTGCCGAGCAGTCGCAGAGCTGCAATCACCCCGGAGGTGGAGCGGGAGGCTATCAAGTTGCGAAGCTGCGTGAGTGAAGTCAGTCAGATGGAGAACCGCCGGCGTCGACGGATCCAGACACTCAAGGACAAAGCCCGTGCAGATGACATCCGTACGTATACCTTGACTGAGATTGTGCTTCTGCGATCCTTTGCGTTCCAGATTGGCTGACACCCGAACCGAATAGATCCTGCTCTGTTGAAGGAGACCGCACGGCTCGAGCGTGAGTTCCCCATGCAGGCCATTCAGGCCAGCCAGTTCGAGGATCTTTTCGAAGATCAGCTGCGGCTCTACGATTCGGACCACGACATGCTGGCGCAAGAACAGCGAGACCAGGAACATCTCTCGGAGCAGGTCCGCGAAGCTAACAGCGCTTTCACGCAGGCGCACAAGGGCGACTTCTCCACCAAGGAACGTGAAACTGCTCTCCAGGAGCTGGAGAACGGATACCTGAAGTACAAGGAGATTATCTCGAACCTCGAGGTCGGCCGCAAATTCTATAACGACCTCGCCAAGATCGTGAGCCGATTCCGCGACGACGCAAAGTCCTTCGTGCACCAGCGCCGCATGGAGGCCAGTCAATTGGAAGCGTACGCTCCCCTCGCCCTCTGTCACTGCTCCCATACGCATCCGCGTCTCCCTGACTGACACCCACTATGCACAGAGACATCTCCAACGTGACAGCCATGGCCTCCCTGCGCCTTTCTCAGCCGCACCTCCACCAGCCCCCTCCCCAGCCAGCCCGCGCGCATCACCCACCCTCCGCATACTCAGGCGTGCCCCCACCGGCACCAGCACCGGCGCCGTCCCACCCCCCAGCCCCCGTCCAGCCCCATCCCCACCGGCCCTCCGAAACGGCTGCACCCCTGACCGCGCCGCAGCCAGTGCGCGCAGCGGTCGCACCGCCTTCGGTGCCGACGCCGGGCATGTGGTCGCCTCAGATGGGCATTCGGTTCGACTCGGCCGGTGCGCCACCCGGTGCGAATCCCAGCCCGGGCACAGGGGCCCCTCGCGGACAGCCGGGGACCTGGGACCCTAGCCAGGGTGTGCGGTTCTCATAGACGCGCTGGTTGCCACGCATGTACGGATCAAGGAGGCGGTTGCCAGGGTTGTACATCCGGCGGAGAGTAGTTGTCTCGTCCCTTCTTTGCCCGGTGCCGGACAGAGAGAAAACAAGCTATGCACGCTGTCTCACAGCTCAGTCTCTCTGGAAGCCTATCATGTACGCCAGGGTACTCCCTACCGTCCATCCAGTCCATCAATCCAATCGATCCAATCGATGCGATCAATTCTATCACTCGGCATCTGTCGATCTTCAGCGTGCAATACACAGTGCACCGTACTAGAGAAGAGAAATTAGTCCCAGCAAGTGTAACTCCACGAACTCCTCATGTTCCCCCGTCCCCGCGGGTCACCCCAGGCCCCCCCGCATATGACGAGAGGCTGGCGGTTGAATATTCGAACCCACATACTCGCACCTCCCGAACAAGACCTTGCGGGCACTGGCACTAAGCACGAGAGGATGCATACGAGAATGTCACGTAACCAGTATAGCTGCTCCCCCCTCGGTAGGGCCACGCTCCGCAGTCAAAGCAGTTAGTGCATCTCGGCGCGTCCTGTCGTAGGGTGCCGCCACACAATGCAAGCCACCGTAGCAGTCTGCAAGCCATGCCAGTCCTTGCGGCGCTGGCGCAGGTGGCCAGTTCGAACTGGCCACCTGCGAACTGGCCAACTGCTGGACGCTGCTTTGGCCCCTGGCCCCGCCCACGCCGTCGCGCTCATTACCGGGTAGTGGGACCTCTGCCTAAATGGGTGCCAAGCTCCACCGGTCGTGCCGTGGGTCCGGACCTGCGGACCTGCGAAGCGGGGACTGGGTTTTTCTTCCTTGCGGCCCCACGACTAGTCCTAGGCGAGCACGACATCGGATGACGAGTAAGCAGGTGGCAAGGCGGGAAGGATGCCAATGTGAGCTGGTGATTGGAATGCAGACAGGTGATACCAGGTAAAATGGACGGGGTATTGTGCTGTTCGACGACGCGGCCATTTTGCGTTTTCTCAGAGGGGCGGCTCGGATGGTTCCATGGATGGCACGTTCTCTTCTGTCTGTGAGGATTCTATTATTATCCCTTTGTCCTCGCTCCGTCGACTCCCTAGTCTGACCGGTCGTCCGGCTCAGAACCACCCCGAGCCCTCCGAGGCCCAGCCAGACCGGATGCAGGCGGCGTTTATGGAGCTAGCGGGGGCATATTATTCCACGTCTCTTGTGTGGGCAACTCTGCGCGACGGAAGCTGTGCCTTGAACCCATGAAATATCTGCGTGTACACCACAGCAGTGACTGCTTATGGTGACGTCGGCCGTCTGTTATCGTACCCGCTTCGCCGCTGATCCAGTGGATCGAAGGCAAGGTGCGGTATATGACATCAGTGTATCTATGCATCGGCGCATCGGTGCATTGGTGCATTGGTGCATTGGTGTATCAGTGCATCAGGTCAAGACGAGGACTGGGGGGCAGGCGGATCGCGACCGGTCAGACTCAGGGCTGTCCTGTATGGAGACTGGTCTCAAACAATGGCGGAACCAAAGGGGCCGGTCGATGGCTTGATGCTCTATACTCCGGCTATGGGAAAGGACCCGGCATCTGCTCCGGACGTCATCCTCCGAGCACCGGTCTATTGGCTGTCACTAGCAGAGGATCAATATGACTGATGGACCAGCTTCATTCATTTCCCAGGATGGATTAGCGGGTGGCATCCTGCCCTCTCCAGGGTACATGATCTCCACGGCTCCGCAGTGTCACGATCGGGAAAGTGGGAAGGGGATCTGAAACCTGCCGGGACTGGGAGTGGCAGTGTTGGATGGCGCGGACGGGGCTCTCCAGAGGATCCGAACATTATGAATTATGGATCGCATTATGGAGTGCGTTTTATTTGCTCGGCTCTAGACGCCCATTGATCACCCCCGGCCGGTCCAGCCAATTTTTTCTCATAAAGGTATCGTGCTGCCTTGCCCCAGCGCGCGCCCCGTCTCACTCTCCCCCCCCCCCCATTTTACCGTTATCGGTATTGCTTTTGGTCCCTGGCCCGACATGGCGTGCATTTTGTCCCTGACCACCTCCGAATAACTCACTCGACTCTCGCTTCAACCCGCCCACTCACGCTCGCTTTCGCCCTCGGCCTCGGGCACCCCCGATTTCTATCATGCGGTTCCTCCGCTGGGCCGGCATCCTCGCCCTCATCGCCTCACCTGTCGCCGCAGACAGGCTGCTACAGTCTCACGCCCTCGTTCCATGTTCCAACGATGGCATCATTTCCATTAACCATTTCGATATCGTGTTCACGCCCGAGAACAAGAGTGCCGTCGTCAGCTTCGACGGGTCAGCCACATACTCGGGCAAGATCCTGATCGACCTCGACCTATACATCTACGGATACAAAGCAGCCACCAGAACAATCGATTCGTGCGATCTCAACATCGATGCATTCTGCCCGCTCAGAGACACCAGCCTGAAGATATCCAACGTCCCACTGGATCTCTCGTCGGTCAACTTGTCGGGTATCCCGGGTGAGTCCGCCGGACGTGTGATCGGATCGTTGCCCCTCCATGCCCTCCTCAAGGAGCGCCCACGGGGCCCGATCATCCCGACCGAATACTTGCTAACATGCGGAACTCCCGATAGGCATTGCATACCAGGTCCCCGATCTCGATGCGGTGGTCCGCCTCCAAATTCGAGCCGCCGATACCGGCAAGAAAATCACCTGCCTCCAGGCCAGCGTCAGCAACGGCGTGACGGTGAACCAAGCAGGCGTGGCCTGGGCCATGGCGGTGCTCATCGGACTCGGTCTGTTGGCGACGGTGGTCGTGTCGATTCTCGGACATGCTAATATCGCCACCCATGTCGCCTTCCGCACCTTGCTGTTCCTGGGCTTCATGCAGAGCCAGGCGATGTACGGCATGACGGCGGTCGACCAGCGCCCGCTGGTGCAATCGTGGACGCAGATCTGGCAGTGGACGATGGGCTTGGTGGGTGCCGGCTTCTTGCAAACTATTTGCACATGGTTCCAGCGGGCCACCGGCGGCACCCCCTCTTCGATTCTTGCGACGACCGATGAGTATTCGGTCATTATGCAGAAGCGCTCGTATGTTCCGGGCTCGCTGGTTGCCCGCGCCACGGATACGACGATAAATGGAGGCGAAGTGGAAGTGCGTGGGATCGAGCGCGTGGGTTTCCGAATTAACATCGAGCCGACCAACATCTTCATGACCAGCTACCTGTTTTTCTACTTTGTCACGGTCGTGTTCCTGTTGATGATCTTGTTCCTCAAGTTTTGCCTGCCGAGAATCGCCAACAAGGTGAAAAGCCCCAAGCTGGAAGGCACGAGGGTCGCCACTTCAGATTGGAAGGATTATATGCGCGGGAGTCTGTACCGCCTGGCCTCGATTGGATACCCGCAGATGTGTGTTCTCGGCCTCTGGGAACTCACCCACCGAGACTCGGCTGCGGAGGTTGTCCTGGCCATCTGCATGTGGCTCACCATGACCCTGATCCTCGGCTGGGCTATGTGGAAGGTATTCCAGCGCGCGCGACTCTCCCGCACACTGCGACAAAACCCCGCCTATACGCTTTACTCGGACCCCGTCTGCCTGACCCGATGGGGCTTCTTGTATGTCAACTACAAGGCCCAAGCCTTTTACTTCATGATCCCGCTCTTTCTCTACACCCTCGTCAAAGGCCTAGTCATCGCCTTCGCACAATCCCATGCCCTGGCCCAAGCCATTGTCCTCCTCATCACGGAAGCCGCATTTTTAGTCACGACCTGTGTGATCAGACCGTACATGAACAGAACCGCCAACATCTTCGCGATCACCGCCGCCGTGATCAACTTCCTCAACGCGATCTTCTTCCTCTTCTTCACCGACGTCTTCAACACCGCCGAGCTCGTCTACGGCGTCATGGAAGTCGTCTTCGCCTTACTCAACGCCGTCTTCATGGTCGCCCTTCTCATCTTCTTCCTCCTCGTCTTCTACTATGTCGTCACTCTCAAAGAGCCCGCCGAGCAATACACGCGTCTATCCGACAACCGCGAGTCGATGCGCCTGGCCGAGGATCGGCGGATCACCGAACTGCAGCCGCTGGAGAAAAACCTCCAGGTCGAAGACGGCCACATGACGTCTAGCGGAAACGTCTGGGAGCCCCTCTCGACGCGATCCCACTCTGACGAGATCACCGATGTCCCGCGACAGTCGTATGCAAACGCCGTGCAGCCGACTCTACCCCTCATTTCAACCAGCGACTCTGAAAGCTCGCGGTCCAGGCAATACGACCCGCCGCGTCAAGAAGAGCGGATCCTCTAAAAAGAAGCATACTCTCCTTACATCTTTCCTTTTGCATATTATTGTCCATCTCATCGTGATCACCGTTCCTGTTTTTATGGTCCACCCAATATCTTTTGCACATCCACATTGGAAGCCTTGGGCGCTTCTGTACATGGTGAACCCGGCGTTAAGCTCTCTGCATTCCTTTTGATTTTTCCTAGTTGCACAAACAAAGCCGCGGCGTTCTTTTGTTAGTGTTCTCTGCACTTCCATCTGCCCGTGCACTGGCAGCGGTATGGCATTAGATACTTCGTTAGAGATCCTGCGGGGTTGATCATGGAATCTATCATGTCTTTGTATCATAGATACTTCCCCATGGAGAATGGTACTGCAGAAAGTATATTGTGCTAGTATGTACTTGTGCTTCATTAGGCATTAGACATTAAGTAGTCAAGATATTGTACAATGGCGTTCACGAGTTGCATAGACACCCCCACTAATGCAATCTTTACACTCCTCTCAGGCCATCCAGCCCACTTGACCCATGTAGTTGACGATGGGATTCGTGTCAGTGGGCTCAGTTCAAATCATGGTTCGTGGCACACGCGCCGAGTGGCTTCACGCAATGCCGTGTGACAATGCGATTCCCACCAATGGACGGAAGCCTGCCATGGGGTATAGAATGGCACTCTCCCCAGAATGACAAGTCTAGGGGGTCGATAACAGCCTTGGGCTCGTTCAAAGGGCCTCAATTGGCTTAGTTTCCACCATTGCCATTAGCCAGAGTATGCCCATTAGCATGACCATTCTGATGCTGAGCCACATCTTCAGGCTCCGATTCCTCCGACCGATCATCCTTCTTCTCGCCGGTCGACAGGAACTTCCACGCGATGCGTAGGAGGCAATACAGCCAGAAGAGATTGAGGCCCTGCAGCATGGCCAGCAGGGCGAACGTGACGATATTCGAGATCCAGCACTTGTACTGCTGCGTCTCCCAGTTGAGCTCGTAGGGGCCCACCGTCCGGAACTCGGTCAGAAGCGACCAGATGATGCGCAAGTTCAGATAATGCCGGAGATAGATCCAAGTGCCGACGTTAAGGGCATACGAGGGCATGACCAGCGTGGAATCGAGGTAGTGCAACGACTTGGAGACCTGCAGAAAGCGTGAGCATCTCCATCTCCATCTCCATCTCCATCTCCACCTCCACGGCACGGCCTCCCCTGCCAGGCCGTGGCCGGCACCGAGAGGGGCATCCTACATACCGCAAGGAAGAAGTCGCTAATGTCATGCGTGATGTACACGGCAATGCCGATATACGTGAAATGAAACCGGTAGCTCAACCCGATCAGCGCCAGCGTCACAATATGGTGCGCGACCAGCTCCTTAAAGTCCTTGCGTGGCTTCTCCATGCCCAGCAGCATCACCAGCGCCTGCTGCGCCCAATACGCCGCCTCAATCAGATAATACGTCTTGAACGCAGCCTCGTGCGTCCGGTGCGGGAACAGCTCGTACATGCCCGTCGTGTTAAAGTACCACACCGGCGACCGCGACATCACATACAGGCCCGCGGGCCCGGCGACCCCAAAGTAGATCGCCGTGTACATCTGCTCCATAAAGCGCAGCTGCTTGCCGCGCGACCGGATGCCCGCGACCCGGGCCCACGGACGCAGCACCTCCTGCATGATGAACTCACGCATGAAGGACAGTGCGACCGTGTAGAAGGCCACGAACGCGATATCCCACAGGCCCTTGCCATACTGGGCCGGCGCGCCGGGGGCCGCGGGATCGGGGTCTTGTCGGTAGGATAGGAAGACGAAGTGGTGGATGACGTTCGACTCGGTCGGGTTGAGGGCGTACAGCGACGCGATCGCGACGAGCAGCAGCAACGGGATCGACCACGTATGCTTGATGGCGCGCCGCTTCAGGCGCCGCGGCAGCGAGCGCGGCTTCTTGCGCGCGCGCCTGCTTTTGCTCGCGTCGGGAACTGGCTGCACCTGCACCTGCACCTGCACCTGCACCTGCACATGCTGGTTGGAAGGGGTTGGATTGGACGTGAAGGGGTGTTGCCCTGCCTTACCCCGGCGGCGCGCTGAGCCCGTGGCTGAAGGCCCCTGGCGGGTCGAGTTGGCGGGAACGGAATGCGCGGGCGCCGCCATCGTTCTCGACTCGAGACGCGTCGGGGGAGTGAGGGGGTGCTACAGCCGTGTGCAGTATATACAGCAGTATATACTTCTCGTGGATGAGCGAGTCCTTGGGGAGCGCATCGGGCTTGATTTTGAAGGCGCGACCGCCTTGACCTCCCTTTCTCGCTCTCCAGTCATGGCGAGGCTGCGTGGGGATGATCTTACACGATCTCCCCTTTCACCCTTTCGGGCTAGTCGTGGAGGCGGCCATCTGCGAATGAAAGCCCGTGTCGGAGTCCTCGGATTCCTCGGATTCCTCGGAGCCCCCGGGCACCCCGTCGATTCTTCTCATCGACTTTGGGCTGACTGTACGTTCCTATCACCCATTGAAGAAGAATGAGCTGTGTTGGATCTGAGAAGCGGCGCTTTTTTGGTTGTTTATGTGAATCAGCTGAACTCTTTCAGAAGTAATGGCGACTGGACGGGTACCTACAGGTACTGTTCAAATCGGACGCAAGGGCGCTGCGGGGCCGAGATATATTTATGCATCGGCATCTTCTACTGCCGTGTTTAATTACACACTTGCTGCTTAGATCAGGAGAGAGTGTGTGAAGAGATTGAGTTTGGGTATTAGGAATATGTTGGTAACCATTAAGACACTGGGCCATACATAATTAGGGACTTCATCCTGGCTCTGATTCAATCCACTCGCGAACAACAGCCATTCCCCAGATTCCCGCTGCCTGAAAACAAGCCAAAAAGCCCTAGGTCAAACAAAGTCATGCTTGTCTTCTGAGTGGATCGCAAGAACGGAAGGATGATAGCGGTCCCATGTATCGAGGAAGGTATGTGGAGAGGTAAAGAGAGGAAAGTTGACAGACACCTCCATCAATAAACATGAAAATGAAGGAGAGCGATGGAACCACTCCCGAGTATCTCAAAAAATAGGCGTTGTAATAGTCGAAATAAGAAGACTCGTTTATTAGGTATTTCCGGGCGCAGCCACCGTTCCCATATTGACACAGTTCGTGTGTCACCGTGTCGATCGCTACGGATAGGGGCTGTCTTTTGGCGACGAGCATTTGCACAAGATGTGTAGATATGCTCGTACCCGTCTCACGCCCCAAAGGCTCCAATTCCACGTCTTGAGTTTCTAATCAATTGTAGAGCCCCGTTTTTCAGACTGTGACGTGACTTCGATTGAGAGGGACTGGATTCGGGGTCCCTTCCATGATCTTCGATCCAGATCGGCGCAGGATCTTGGATGCTCATGGGTCTGGTCTGGCACATTTTGCAAAACAAAAACCACCTCGAGTAATGTACCGAACCCTTTTGGGTGACTGGAAAAAGGGAGCGACAAGCCAATGCTATCCAACAAACCCCTACTGAACTGTGATTGGTGGGTCGACCGTCAATCGCACTAGTAGCACTAGTAGCACTATTCATTGTTGGGTGTTGCAAGCCCTCTGGAGCTGTGGCTTGGCTTGGAGTAAGCAACTTGTCTGTCTAGGACCGGCCTAGCCCGCTCGTACACTATGCTGGGGCTACGAGTATGAAAAAGCGGGGGCCCCAACTTTTGAGAAGCTCTCAAAGGGCCGTAGCTACACAGTCAAATGCTGACATCATGCCATTTGCCATTGTCACATGGATATAAGAGGTAATAAACTGTCCATTTGAAAGCCACTTGTGTGCCAAGCAGATGCCAAGGAAGTTAGTCTCTCGTACTACTTACCCCGCTCCCACCTGGTGCCGGCATCCTACAGGCAGCCTGATAATGCCCCTTTGACAGAGCGGAAATCCGTACAAATATACGCACAGGGCCTCGGCGGAAATGATCCTCTCCCAGCGGAGCTTACTCCTATGTCCCATGCCAATACTGCCAATAACAGCTAACGAAGACCTGATTTAACCGGACTTGATTCTTCCAATACCGGAGTGCACAGATTACAAGGCTGCCGGAGGACGCGGAAAGGGCTCGTCATACTCAGAAATACACTCTGCACGAAACCGAAACGGTCAACCGAGCCTCACGAGGACCAGATGGTTTCCAATCCCGACACCCCGAGCAGCGCGAACATTCATGAAAGTGATCCCAAGGGCACGACACCAAAAGGGTCTGCCTTTTTCAGTCTTCTGAAAAGAAGCAGCCACCATCTCCGGCGCTTCAGCAAAGATGACACCCTACGGACCTCCAATACGAACCTAAAAACTGCGCCGGACGAGAAGGCGAGGCAAATACAACGCAGCGATGAAAATAGTCCCACGGCAGTGAAATCCTTGACTGAAAAGCCCCAGTCTGATGTGAAACCGATTGTAAAAGCATCTGTCTCGATTCTGCGAAAAAGCAATCAGCTGGGTCTCGACTCGATTATATGGGATGATTCCTCTAGGGATCGCCAGAATATGCAACGATCTGTGGATTTGGATGCTATGATCGCGCGACTCCTGCAGGTGGGATATTCGAAGCCCACCAAAAGCGTGTGTCTCAACAATACGGAAATTGTGGCTATTTGCTCCGCGGCCCGCAACGTCCTTCTTTCCCAGCCGGTTCTTTTGGAGCTGAATGCTCCAATCCAGATTGTCGGGGATCTTCATGGCCAGTTCACGGATCTTGTGCGCCTCTTTGATATGTGTGGGCACCCTCCGGCCTCCAACTACCTCCTTCTTGGAGACTACGTCGACCGCGGCAAGCAAAGCCTAGAGACAATGCTGCTGCTATTATGCTACAAGCTCAAATACCCCGAAAACTTTTTCCTACTACGGGGAAATCACGAATGTGCCAATATCTCCCGCATCTATGGATTCCACGACGAATGCAAGCGGCGCTGTAACATCAAAGTATGGAAAACGTTCACCGATGTTTTCAACTGTCTCCCCATCGCTGCAATTGTCGCAGAGAAGATATTTTGCGTTCATGGCGGCCTTTCGCCCAACCTCACGAATATGGATGATATTCGGAAAATCTCTCGCCCTATTGAAGTGCCCGAGTACGGCCTGCTCAATGATATCCTATGGAGCGACCCCGCAAATATCAAGGACTGGGGACCTAACGATGACCGTGGAGTGAGTTGGTGTTTTGGAAAGGCACCAATTGTGAATTTCCTGAAACACCACGAGTTCGACCTGGTGTGCCGGTCACACATGGTGGTGGAAGGTGGGTATGAGTTCTTTGGGAACAAGTCATTGGTCACCGTGTTTTCTGCACCAAATGTAAGTCTCTTGTGCTTCTCTCTGCTGTCAGTGATCAGAGGCCCCGGCTAACGCTCTTCAGTATTGCGGAGAGTTCGAAAATTATGGAGCCAGCATGTCAGTTTCGGAGGAGCTGCTCTGCAATTTCCAGCTATTGAAACCCTTCCATTCGAAAAATCAAAACAAGAAAATGAGGAGAGCGAAGGAATCAACAACAACAGAAAAAGCTCTGTAAGTGTTCATGTTCTTTGGTCCAAACCTTACCATTTCCACTAACCATGAAAGACTCGGCCAAGTGTCATGGAAATCTTTTGCAACCTGAAAGCGGCATCCTTTTGTAACATTAACCAATATGAATGTAGAACCAGCCTATAACTCCTGCAGTTCATTGATTCCAGACCTATACCAAGAGTGACTAGTAGAGAGACCGCTGGAAAAAGTATTTATCGCCAGCGCCCAGATTACCGTCATTTGGCGTTGGCGTGTAGTTACTCTCATTTAGAGACGTTGCTTATGATATTCTTTTATTTTGATGGGAGAAAGAGAAGGAAACAGTCACTTAAAATATTGCAAACCAACCCAATAACGAACAACATTCCCTGAGTTTTGTCCGATTTTGAGACGTAATGTGATTTTGAGCCCCCAGCAAAGGCAATGGTTAAACACCGTTGGTTGGCTCGTATCCAACCCCTTCTCTACAGGATGATTCACAACCCGCTCATATGTTGATTTATAAACAATTCCACAGCTGAAGAGGACGGCCTTTATAGTGTATCTGGCATGATATCCGGGCGGAGTTCTGCATCAATAGATCATAATAGGGATAAGTACTCATTAAGCCAATAAGGGTCCTATAGTCTAGTGGTTAGGACGTTCGGTTTTGACGTGTACCGCCTCCGAAAGTCTCCGGTTCGAACCCGGATAGGACCTTGATATCTCTTATCATATTTTTTTTTCTTTGCGACCGACCGCACCCTCTTTCACACCTGTTTTTTTAGTCAAAAATAAATTAGTGAGTGAGGGCCCTTCAAAATTTCCTTTCATTGTATCATTGGCCTGCGACCACCCCTCGACCCCTCTCTGCCTCAGGCAGCATCATCCTGTCAAAGCTGGGACTTCCCTTCGCGCCTCCATCCAAACATCAATCGGCTCCTCAATAGTCTACACTACTAACCATTCACCGGAAACAGATTTCATTCTACTTCTATAGGCTGCTTTCCCGATCTGTTTTGACCTGGGCAGATCACTTTTTCGTGTAGTATATGGTAACTATCGATATATATATTTTTCCAATTAAAAAATTACCCCACTGAGTCAATATGTTGCAAATTTGACTGATTGGCAAGTAGATTGTTTAATGAGTTAGAAAAAATGCTCCAATTGGTATTCATCATTTTCGGTGCCTATATTGCGAAACTGTTAGTTCTTGATTAAATGAGCTTAGTTATCAACAAGCAACTGGGCATTTGTTGTTGCCGTGCTACTCCCCGAAAGCGGTTGCAGAAGACAGCGAAGCTTGAGTAGAAGGGAGGGAGCTGTTTCATTTGTGAATCAAAAAGAGTCCACTTCATATCTGCATTAGTGGAAGCGGGTAATTTAGAAATCGCCGTTTTCCAAACTGATCATAAGTGTCCGCACCAAGGCCCCCAACCACGTGTATGATCATCTAGCCAATCTTGAAACCTGTAATATTTTGGCCATGGGAAGGAGACTCCTTGGGGTGGCTGTGATGGTGCGCGAGGACGAGGACGAGCCCCTAGGCGTGGTTCAAGGGTGTTGCAAGTCTACTGTTGACGTGTCGTTATTTTCAGGGCGAGTTTCTCAGTAAGCCACCTGGAATGAATGCGCAATTATTTTGCGAAAGCGCAGAGGGTCTGTAATAAATGGTAATCTATGGAAGGGTCGATTAGGTGGCATTGTATCATTATACCGTAGCTACCACCACTGTGGTAGTTCCAAGCATGAGAATACTGATTGAGATAAGAGCTCCCGAGCTTGCCAGCATGTTCACCCGTGGACCAGCCAAGTTACATTTCCCACTCCTGCATCCACTTCATCATCCATTCCTCCTGAACCGGTTCCAGCGAAGCTAAACTGCTGCTTGCAGCTAGGGTCCGCCCTATATCCGGATTTATGGCTTCATCTCTTTCCGCCAGGACACGGAAAAGCCCCAAGAGGTAACTTGCCGGGTTCTGCATAGCACTGCTGTGCGTCCCATTGTTTGTGGATTCCTCTAACGCATGGAGCCAAATGTTGAAAGGTACGGTTTGAAGAAAAATCTGTTTCCGGTTAAAATAAGCGATGATAGCGGGGAGAAGGACATTCCATTGCGTGAGCCGTGGGTTCACGATGTTGTAGACTGTCGGGAGAGGATGAGACGGGATCTCGGCGCTGTCGATCAACTCTATGATGGTTTGCGCAAATATATCCACAGGAACCCAATCGATAGTACCGGCTGCCTTCAGTGTCTCGGGCAAGAGGCCTAAATACTTTCCGCTGGCAATCAAGCTGGGAAACCATTCGGTTCTAGTCCAGATGCCTTTCCTGTGTGCTGGGCCACTAAGTTGTCCGGCCCGAATCACATATGTCAAGATTCCGCAACGCTTGCTCGCAACACTCAGCAATTGCTCTGCAACCAGCTTCGATTCACCATAGCCCAAGGGAATTGCTACATTGTAATCATCTATGATCTCCTCCGGAATGGACCCTGGGTGGTACAATTGCCAGTCAAAAGCAGCCGTGAGGCTGGATAGAAAATAGATGCGTGGTGTCTTGGACGATGAGATACTGAATTGGATAACGTTTCGCACACCGCAAAGATGGTCACGCTCAAATGCCTCAACAGGGGAAATGAGATCGAGTTTCCATGCAGCGTGGATGACATGCGTTGCCGAAGATAGTAAAGACTTGTAGGTTTCTGGAGCGAGGCCTAGGTCATGAGCACCCAGTTTAGATTGGAAAAACTCCACTCGATCGCTGGCGAGATTGGTGGGAATGCCACGCAAAGCATGCGCCTCGATCTGTCGTTCCCTGCTGTTGATCGACCGGTTGAGGCAGATAATTTTGATGACATTGGGGTGCTGGAGCAGACGCTCCAGCAGATAAGAACCCGCTGAGCCAGTGGATCCGATGAGGATCACAGTCCATTTATCATGTTCCGCCGGTGGGTGCGTTGCAGGCTGGAGACCACGGGAGTACTGCTCAAGCAACGTGCGCATTATCCGTACTCGATGCGGCTCCTTCGAGGCCATTGTCCCCTTTTGGTCATCCAGAGGGATCGTGTTGTCCGTAGCTTCTTGTCTTCCGTTATTCAGCGGATCTCCGGAACGATTTTTCCGGTCCATCGTCTCGCGAACCGCTGGATCAAGAAGCTCAGATTTGGTCGCGATCCGATGGGACAAGGTGGCAATAGGGGCCTTTCCAAGGATCTCAAAGAGCGGTATATTAGCTTTGATCTCATGTGAAATCCAATTGCGCAGCTCAACGCCGACGAGTGAGTCGACGCCCAGGGTGGCAGTGGTATGATTCGGACCGATGTTGTCCTTGGGAATCATCAACAGTCGAGATAATTTGTCCATAATTGCTTCTTGTAGAATCGAAGACCCTTCCTCTAGGGTTCGAGCCTTCTTGAGCCTGTCATGGAGCACTTTGGCCAGATCTTCAACATCTCGATCCTTCACCACTGATGCGGAACGTAAATGCGAAAACCTGGGATCCTGTGTCCATGGCGGCACCAGACGATCTTTGCTCAATTCTTCAGAGTCGAAGTCGAGGTCCTCAGAGGTATGTAAACCAGTAATGACCTGGGAAGACTGATTCTCGGCAGATGGGGTTACTACAAACTGTAGGATTGCACGGAGTTCCTCGATGTCAATTTCATCGTGGAGCTGCCGCTGCAATTTGGCTTTGATCTGGCCATTTTCAACTACATATCCCGCCCCTTTAACGACACCAAGGTCGATGGTTACCGATGGGAGGCCCATAGACACTCGGTGACCGGATAAAGCATCTTGGAAGGCCGACGCTGCGGAGTAGTTACTCTGTCCTGGATTTCCTACCACACCAACAGCCGAGCTTAGAATCACAAGGAAGTCTATTTCGGTCTGCAGGAGGCATCGGTGAAGGTTCCATGATCCACGGACCTTGGGGAGGAGCACGGATTCATAATCGTTGAGAGTCATGTTCTCGAACGAGATGTCCTAATTTCGCAATATTAATACAACCTCAATCCACGATAAATTGGTATAATAGGTCGAGTTACCTTCAAAACCATTGCACATTGTATAATCCCGCGTATAGGGCGTTTCCTGACTGCGCACTCTTCCAGGATTTCAGAGACCTGTTTTTCATCACAGACATCGCCAGTGTGACTTGTGACGGTAGCGCCATCTTTCTCGAGATCCTTGACAAATTCCTGAGAGCTCTGGGATTCTAAGCCGCTGCGAGATAGGAAAACGATGTTCTTCGCCCCACTCCAGACCATCCACTGGGCAATGACCTTCCCAAGACCACCTAGACCGCCGACTAGCAGATAGGAAACATCATCCCGGAACACAGAGTTAGTCAACACGCTCATGGATGCCTGGAGATAGATTATGTTAATGTAGTGTCCACTGTGGAGAAGATTGAGGTCTGCTTACTTTGACTTGGTCCTCCGGTTGTGGGACAATGATGATCTTCCCCATATGTTTCCCTCCCTGCATCAAGCGGAAAGCGGCCTCAACCTCGGACATTGAAAAGGCAGTAATTGGTTTGACCGGTTCAATGATCTTCTTTTCAAGTAATTGCATAACATTTGCCAAGATCTCAGCAGCGTAGTCACTCTTGTGGTAGAGAATGGTGTCGAGATCAACGGCAGAGAAACTGGCATGGCGCAGAAATGGCTCCATCTCTAGGAGACTGTTGGAGAAGAGGTCTCGCTTGCCAATTTCAATAAACCGACCAAATCTGGAAATGCAATTCCACGACTCTTTCAGTCCGTCTCCGGATAGCGAGTTCAGAATAACGTTAACTCCTTTGTTCTGGGTCAATCCCATGACCCCTGAGGCGAACGTGGTGTCTCTGCTGGAAAAGATGTGGTCTTCGGCAATGTGATATTGCTCCATGATGAACCGTCTCTTCTCCACTGTGCTGACCGTGGCAAATACCTCAGCTCCAATCCACTGGGCCAAAACAATCGCCGCTTGGCCAACACCGCCTGCAGCGGCATGGATGAGCACAGTCTCCCCTTTGCGGAGGCGTGCTGTTTCACATAACGATATGTAGGCCGTGGAATATACGACAGGTATTGAGGCTGCATCTTCGTAGGACATCTCCGCCGGTATCCTTTTGACAAGTTTGTTCTTGGTGCGAACATAGTTGCCGAATGCCCCGATTGCCCAAGCACAGACGCGTTCGCCTACGCCGACGGACTTCACTTGATTCCCAACGCGTCGAACAATTCCACTGCATTCATAGCCCAGCGGCGCACTTTCAAGGTGTCCCATGGCAGTCAGGACATCGTGGAAGTTCAGGCCACAGGCTCTAGTCTCTATCTCAACCTCATCATCTCCCAGTGGAAGAGCAAAGGTTGGGTTGTCCACGAATATGAATGAGTCCAGGAGGCCCGGTCTCTCGATCTCCAGTTGCAAAAATCGAGAAGTTTGACTGAAAGCCTGCTGCACAGATCGTTTTGGCGTGGCTCTCGCTGAAATGTAGTCGTTCATCTGATGATTTTCGAGAACGCGGGGGATGAATATGAGTTTGTCCCTGACAGAGAACTCATTATCGGATGCTGTTTTATCACTTTCGAGACTGAAAACGGATCGGAAGATACTTGTGATCGGCTGTATGTCTGTTGTTTCATCGCGGGAGTGTTGAGGTTCAAGGTCAAGCGTCACCAACTGAGACAATTTAAACTCGAACCTCAATGTGCGGAATAGACCGAAGATCAAACTGGCTTCGGGGCTTTCTGATAAGGGAGCTGTACCTCCACGAGTGACCCACAAACAAGCCCGGGCCGTGGTGATGGCTCTTTTGATGGCGTAGAACTGGGAAGAACTGAGACGAGAGAGAATTGGACGGCTGAGGTCGATCAGAAAAATGCAAGCCTTGCCATCCACCTGGGCATTTTCTATTAAGCTCAATGTTGGGGGCACACCCACAACCTTAGCCAAGGAGCCCCGTAAAAGATCCAGGAATGTACTCTCCAGTGATCCGTCGTGGATCAACGTTACCTCGGGATACTTATCCTCCACAGCAGACAGCGCAGTAGATACCATCAAACTGGTTAAATGGTCCTTCTTTTCTGGCTGGTCCCACAAACATATGTCCAACCCACTAAAGCCGTTCTTCTTCAGAACAGCCTCCCACTGGGATTCTGTCAGAGTCGGATTCGCCTCACGACTTTTCTCAGTAGCTGCAAAATGCGTTAATGATCATGTGTACAGAATACCAGCATCGAAAAGGCTTACCTAACCACCACCCGGGCAGAGTCCCGAAGATTAACGAAATACGGACGGCCAGATTCGTGACTTCGATCAAGATCAGTTTCCCGTTTGGCCTTAAAAGGCTTCGGATGTTCTGCATTGTGTCGTCCACGCTTCGGGTAGCATGCACGATATTGGCTGCGATGATCAGATCAAATTCTTCTTTCTGGAATCCTTGCTGCTCGGGACCATTCTCAATATTGAGCTTCCTGAAGCTCATGAGACCTGACCAGGCCTTGAATTTAACTTGCGCTTTCTCGAAGTAACCAGACGAAATATCCGTGAATGTATAATGGCCAAAGCGAGCGTCATGGTCGTCATGTCCACCTAATGCCTGCAATATCGGCAACGTGGCCGCGCCGGTTCCAGCGCCAATCTCCAAAATGTTCATATTCGGGAATTTGTGACTGAGTTTGTCGACGTATGAAGCCAGTTGTGCCGAGGAGCAATCGACCCCGATGCCTTTGCCGTAAAATTCATGCAGCAGGTCATCTTCCAGCATCACATCTAGAGGCTGGACTTGATTCGTCAAAATGCGAACCAGATTACTTCCCACCTTGTCAAGCAACTGGCCATCGACGCTTCTTCCAAGCTCCTTGCGGAATTTGTCCAGATTGACAGACTCACGGGCCGCTTCCAGTAAATTGAGAGTCTCTAGCTTTCCAGCTGAGGCAAGGTTGGATTGCAGTTGCATCCACTTATAGTATCGTTGATGATGCGGCTGCATATTGTCATAATCCGACTCTGTCAGTACCTGAAGAGCACCTTGAATGAATTGGAGGGAAATGTGATCTAACACAGAGAAGGTGAGGGGGTCAGCAGCGCCCGATGTCGTGGACCAGAGCTTCCTGGCCATTTCAGAAGTGAGCAGGTCGACATCAGGTTCCCAACACATCTTATAGCAGAGCTTTCTCGGCTCGACATTCTGTTGCACGAAGTCTCTGCCTGAGAGTGAGACACATTTCAATCTCTTGAGTTCGACGACAGTGGTCTTGTCACCCTGGGAATCATCCACGACCGTAATCATCGATTCGGTTTCGTGAGGGCCCTTCGACTGGGTAGCGGTATGGACTGAAAACCGATGGCCCGGCGTCTTGTTGATGTGTGCGGCGACGAAAACTTCCTTGATAGACTTTGGCAACATAGGTGCTTTAAGTGTCCCAGTGCTCATCAGTGAGATGATGAAGGTCTGGAGAATGGCGTCCATTGTGGCCGGGTGGACGACATGGGGATATTCAAAACCTTGCGGCATGACAGCTTTCGTATCGGGCACTGCGACGGTACATAATGCTTGGCAAGGTCCGCCATATGCTTCGACCAAGTTCTTGAAAGTGCTACCAAATTCAAGCTGAAGAGTTCCAAGGAGGCGAAACAGTTCGTGGGTGTCAATGACTTCGTGGCAAGCAGTTGCCCCACTTGCAAATTTCTGCTGGTTATGCTCCAGCATCTGGCTCCTCTCTCTGGTGTCAACCCCGGACCTCGATCCTTTCATCTCCATAGAAATCAGACCATGACAATGCTCGGACCACCCTTCCTCTTTGGAATGTGAATAGAGGTAAAATTCCCGCCAGGTAGTTGAAGAGCCGCGACTACCTCCATTAAGTGGGCGAAGAACAAAACTTGTTTCAATGCCGTCAGAGTCATCGGGAATCACAAGCGCCCTACTGATATCGAGGTTTCGTAGTCTAAATCCAAGTACTGTAGTGTCTTGATTCGAAATGCATTGTGCAACTGCTTCGATGGCCATTGCAATGTATCCAGCAGCCGGATAGACAATACTGGATTGCACCACATGGTCCCGCACCCAAGGGATATCCGATACACGAAGAATGTTTCTCCACCTCGGCTCCAACTCATTGAAATCATTGACAGGAGCGCCCAGGAGGTCATGTCGGGGATGTTTTCTGTGCCGATGGTTCAGACTGAGACGACTCTCGTGCCAATGGCTCACGGCATGATTCCACGCATAGGGGGGCAAGTCCACTAGAACACGCGGGGAACTTTCGGACTGGGGAAGGTTGACGGCGTTCATCTTGAGGGGATACCCCGCCGTAAGTATTGCAGATGCAGAGTCGAGCATGGCGGCCACAGAATTCCTATTTCGACACAACGTAGATGCATACTCAATGTTTACATGTTTCAATTCCGGGGTTGCCAGGATCTGTTTCACGGAGCTTGCTAGAGCGGAATGTGGTCCAATCTCAATGAGAAAGTCGATAGCTCTGTCTCGCCTGTCCGAGCTTCGTTGGCGTGCCTGTGGGGAGCCAAGACACAAATTCCGTAAAGATTCTGAAAATCTTACAGGGGAAAGCATATGCGTGATCCAATATTTGGCATCTAGATCTGTCGCTTCGACAAGCTGGCCAGTAACTGAACTCCAATATGGAACTCTGATCAGCGGATTTGTTTGTAGATCCCGCAATGCCATGAGATAGTCATCCGCAACGGCTTGCATATGATGCGAATGATACGCAGTGTCAGATTTGATCTTGCGAGCAAAGACTTCTTTTGACTGAAGCTGTTCGAGGAGCTCCTCGATGGCCGAAGAATCACCAGATAACGTCATGTTGGAGGGGCTGTTTATGCAAGCAACGGTGACGTATCCTGAAGAAACAGTTGAGATATAAGTCTCAGCCTCCTCCTGGGATAGCCCGACAGCCATCATGGCACCAGAAAGATGCGGAGCTTTGCTGGAGATGCTTGTAGAGAGCAATCCTTTGAAATAAGTTATCGACAAGGCTGCATCCATTGTTAGGGCACCGGCAGCATAAGCCGCAGCAGCCTCCCCACTTGAATGCCCGACGACTGCAGAGGCTTGAACACCCCATGACTGCAGGAGGTTTACTAGGCCTATCTGAATGGCAGTACACAAAGGCTGGCTGATGGCGGCGGTGTTGACGTTTGTGGTGTTTGCGTCGCGATTCAGCTCATCTATTGTTTGTCAGAACCACATGACACGATATCCTTTGAGTATTAGGTATAAATTTTCTCCCCTACCGAAGATCGACCATGTTGCTCCCATTTTCTGCAATTGGCAGTTAGCCTCAATCAAAGTTGACTCAAACACCGGAAACGTGTGAATCAGCTCTTGTGCCATTCCGTGCCATTGAGCTCCTTGACCCGTAAACACGAAACCAATCCTCGGAATCTTTGTGGACAACCGCATTATATTCGGGGCTTGGAGTGATTCGATTAGTTCTGCTGCTGACGATGCGGAGAATGCAGTCTTCCATGGCAGAATAGACCGGCGCTGATTCAACGTGTAAGCAAGGTCCTCCATGAAGCATTCTTCTTTGTCAGAAGTATGCTTTTGAACGTAGTGTTTCAGATTCATTAGGGACAGCTTCAACGTTTCCTGGTCGTTGGAAGTGACCACAAAAAGTCGCCGTTGACCGTCGCCGTTTCCAAAAACAGGAGGCGCTTCGCCTGTCTGAAGGGATATAGGTCGACGCGATGATTTCATGCCACGTAGGGAAAGATGTTGGCCTGCATCTTCCATAATAAGGTGTGCGTTCGTACCCCCGAACCCAAAACTATTGACCGACACGCGTCGAAGGCCATCAGATGGCCATGCTTCCAGTTTCAGAGGTACCTGTTTTGCAAATTAGCCTCTGTTGAATAAGGGGTTTGAAGGAACTTGGATACCTTCAGTCTCCATTCCTCCAAAGGAATGCGTGGATTTGCTCGTCTGAAATTGAGGCCCGGGGCGATGGCCCCTTTCTCAAGCATCATCACACACCTGATCACGCCCGCAAGTCCGCTTGTACTCTCCAAATGCCCAACATTTGTTTTAACTGAAGCAAGGCGAAGTGGTTGATGACTTGGTCTTCCTTCACCAAACACTGCTGCGATGGCTTCGGCCTCAATGGGATCGCCCGCTGCTGTCCCAGTACCATGCGCTTCGACGTAAATTGTGTCCTGTGGACGTAACCCAGCTTTTATATAGGCTGAGCGGATGAGTGATTCTTGCGCCTCACGGTTGGGTAGTGTTATGCCTGCTGTTCTTCCATCTTGATTGGTGAAAGTTTCTCGAATGACTGCTCTAACGGGATCGCCATCCCGCAGGGCATCGTTCAGGGTTTTTAAGACAAGGCAAGCAATCCCCTCGCCACGGGCGTACCCTTCGGCACGGTCGTCGAAGGCATAACATCGCCCGTCCGGTGAAAAGAAGCTGAAATCTGGTCAGCACAGTACCCTGCTCCCAAAGACCTGTGCAAAAACACACCCCTGTCGAGTCATTTCAACCGCTCGATCCGGATTGATGATCAAGTTCGCGGCTCCCACAAGTGCTTGTTTAGATTCACCGGCACGTAGATCGTTACATGCCGTATGCAGAGCTACGAGGCTTGACGAGCAAGCAGTGTCAATGGCGACGCTGGGCCCTCTCAAATCGAAAAAGTGAGAGATTCGATTGGACAAGATCGAGAGAGCGTTTCCCGTGGATTGATACACGGGCATATTCTCGGGGTCACTTCTCAGCATTTGATCATAGTCCATATTAAAGGCTGATGTGTAGACTGAGGTATTGGTCCCTCTAATAGTGTCCATGCGAATACCCGCTGAAAAGTGAATGTCAGCGACTGGAAGCATTCATGCAGCCGGGCGACTTACCGTTCTCCAGAGCTTCGTACACACACTCGAGCAGAATCCTCTGTTGGGGGTCCATAGCCTGGCACAGTCAGCCACAAATATATTCCTGCGTGTGTGATAGCCGAAGTACCTTCGCTTCAGTTGGGCTTATCTGGAAAAATCGAGCATCAAAATGAGAGATATCTTGCTTCAAGTAATATCCGCCACGCATGACCATCTGTGCGAAAAGCTGTTAAAGGCCGCCACGACGTCATTTCGATGGGAGACGGGACGTCCATACAGAACCACTCCTTTCAACATTTGGATGGTAGAAGGAGCTTGCATTGAACCTGCTAGGCGGGTGTTCCGACCAAGCATCTCGACCTTCGGCACATAAGTTCCAGAATTCCTCCGGGGTATTGGAGCCTCCAGGGAAACGGCAGCTCATCCCCACAATGGCAATTGCCTCGGTTCTATCTTGAGGATATTGCCTGGAAAGATGTTCAGAGGAGTTATTGGACGTGGAAACCAGTTCCAGGTACGTACCTTCCTAATTCGTTCATCTGAGTATCTACACTAGGACTGGCGCCATTCAAGGCCGGAGTGAATTCCTGAAGAATCTGAGACATGTCTGCCTCTGGTCTGATTCAAAGATTTTCAGCTCAAGATAGTATAGGAATTAGATGCTAGACGTAGGATGCAAAATCACCAGTCAATCTGAGTTCTAAATCCAGAGATACTATTCCAAACCCGATATATATATTACGATTTGGACATGATCTGACTGGACCAGCATGCATGTACCGCAGCTTATAGCCTTAACTAATGTACCAGAACCCTCAGGTCACCTCAGTCGTACACCGACTTTTTTTCTTAATTTTATGTTAGCTTGGGACATAGAGCGACTGAGCCCCTTCCCAAGGGAGCAACTTGTGCATCAGGGTGGGGGTCCGGCACGTAGGGTCATACATGCTGTGTAACCTTCCGTTTACCCTCATCATTGGAGGTGGACGCCGAGGTAATTGAGCCGGAAACTTACTTCGTGAATAGGGGTTTATTCTCGCACTTAGCACGACTAGGGTAGCTGTAAGTCTTCAAAACCCGCTGCTTGGTCCCCAAAACGGGAATTGCCGAATCTTGGAACCGCTATGAAATTCCTATCAAGCAAATAGACAAGGATAATGAGGAATGTTTTCCTACTTTCACAACCGCTACTTCCGCGCAAAGCTCGCTACCTTCACGCATGCAAGAATTTCGAGACCGCGTTCACCTCAAAAGATGACCGTGCAGCTCATGCATGCAAACCTCAAAATGGACTTGTACTCCAACCCAGGTTTCATGAATTAGGAGGCCAAGTATGACGTTGTTTGGAAGAGACCAAAGTTAAAGCCCATCTTTTATGCTGAATATGGAACAGTAATCCTATATGAGACAAGCTCTCTCTATATCCTGTTCAGTTTCGTCTCCATACCACTCTATTAAATGGTGGTATCAAATGGAAGCCCAGTCATATTTACGTTTACAGAGGAAACTACTACCATATTTTTTGCGTGTACTTGACGTACTCTAAGGGTTAGATGTATGTTACACGAAGATATTGTGGTCTATTTATCGTCAATAGATGATCCCAAATACACCTGGACATGGGGACCAGAAAGGGTGATCGGGCCATGTACCTCAACCCCAGGCCTCTGAGATACTATTGATTACAGATATAGTGACGTGTAGATATGTCTCTCAGCAGAGATTATTGTGACTTGGTCTTCCCCGAGATCTTGATAGCTGTTACGTTCCAGCGACAGTTCGTGAAGTCGATTTTTACCACCTCGCCTTTCCCCTCGCCTCAACTATTAGGCTCGAGATGAGGCATTTCTGCCCTTGGTCCGCTACGTCGACCTGTAGATACATCTCCTCACAAGTCAATTGGTTGTCGAGCTGCCGCATATCCAGGTGCATTCTCCCTATGCTCTTTTTGGACACTTCCGCAGCGGGAGTTCACATCTGCCTTAGGGAACTGAATGGTGATTGTGACTCTTGCTGGCCTTCGGTGATTGCGCAACTGAAGAGGGCCTGAATCGTACTGTTCAGCTCACTTGATCGACCGGCCTGACTGTCTCAGCCGACTTCATACTTTCGCGATGATCCCGAGATTTCGCGACAATCATGCCGAGAGGTTTGGATGGTCTTTAGATAGATATGCGTTGAATGTTGCGGAAGTTCGCAGGAAGACATGTAAAAACATCACCGAGAAGAAAAGAGTTCAGGCATACTAGCAGCATGCTTTGCTGAAGAAAGCAGTAGTACCTTATCCCACATTTTCGGGTAACCTGCAACGATACAAGCACGGAGGCATGGTCACAGCATGCGAGCCAGCCTCTCTTAGGTTTCTGCACAGGATGGCTGCAACCAAATTTTCATTGGGGCCAGGTCCACAGGCGCGTGCGACGTGACCCAGGTGGCATCATCCGACATAATTCGTCGAGCGTTGATCGCATGCTGGATTTGTTTTGCCTCAAACTCACTCTACCTTGTTTCCGGGCTTTCGGGGACTTGTGAACTCCACCATTTTGCCCAGTACGAGTTATTATGGTAGATACCTGGGTAATGCGGAATTCGCTACAAACCATTTTGTGGTCTGTGCAAGCGTGCGTAGCGGTCCACATCGCCTAAATATGCCGTTCTCACGAACAGTTATCTTTGTTGATAGTTGATAGGTGGGAGTTCTATCGATAACGGCCCGTATAAAAACCGGAGATAGCTGCTGGGAGCCTTAGGTGCCTCGTGATTGTTGTCGTCGATGCACTAGTCCTCCGTGATGTTGAAGTAGTGCGAGGCATAATGGTGTCCACGGCGTCCGGTAGAAATACGAGATCTCAGTTGGATCTACATGCTTCCGTCCGGCCCGGAGACTCGAACAAATATGTCGCTATTCATGAATAATGTATTTCGAAGATTAGCACGGTTCACCGTCCGTGTGTAGTCCTTCATAATTGCGTATTTCACTGGCTGGGAGGTAATATGCTGATAGATCTCTCGACTGCCCTTTTTGCCCCTCTCCACACTCGCATAATTCACTTCTTCCGCGACAAGAACCTTTGGGAGCGAATCGAGCTCCTGGTGAAAGTCAAAATATCCGGCCACCGTACAGGAACGAGTAGCATGATAGAGTATTGTCGGATAACGCTGTACCGATGTTCGCAGGGTATTTTCGCCGGGACGTCTGGATACTAAATGCAGTAAGGGGTTTCGTCGGGCTCGGAGATAGTTAGGATGATACCGCTCACGATCTCCCTGGAATTCAAAGTACGAGTGAACTCGGGCGTGACCCCGCGCAGCTTCTGAGCGAACTCATGGTGGTGTCGGATTCCGCGAACAACCGACAGCCGAGTGAGTTCCTGGCCCAATGCGATTGGAACTTGTTGCCCTTGAATGGCGGCATTGAAGACGCCCGACGATCACTTTTTGATCTTGAGTCTTGCTTCAATTAGCAGTTGGTCTAGTGGAGTCTGGGGTTTCCCGTGATGAGATACCGAGACAGAGAGATTTTGCGGAGAGTTGCTCGGGTAGTGAGGATTTGGCAGGACAACAATATGGGGACCAGGATCATAATCTTTAAGGCGCCAAGCGGATTCAATACCACTTCGAACCAGTAGTGGGCAGAGCCTGGGGAATGTTGTATCTGTGCCCCCAGCAGAACCACCTTTCCTAAAGGGATTCGGGCCCTGGCCCTGGGGACCCTTGGTTTGCTTAGATTGATTTCGATGAATGGACTATTCTTTTTGATGACTTGCCAAGTGCAGCACATAATTCATCAACATCACCTTCTGCTAAACGAAGTAAAATAAAATGCAATATAAAATCACCAGCCCGTTTAAGCAATCAAAATGAGCATCCTGTCCTAGTCTCGGAATATTGACTAGTGGCCAGGCCGTGGCTCCCACCATGTAGATTCTCCTGAGTGTTCCTGAAACTTCCCACTGACACAGGTAGCTCGAAATGTTTGTTGACACCAAGGTGGTCATTTTGATTCTCCCCATAGCATACGTTCAGAATATTGACTGTTGGTCGTTCATAAACCGGTTGATTCCAACGAGCCATTGATCGGACTATGTGATCATGTCAGCTTCATGCATTTTTCAATTATACGAGACTTGGGTAGATTGAGATACCATCCGTAGAGTTTGAATCAAACAGCAAGAAGGGTTGACCCTGATGGTCTCCTTCCCCTCGTTGCTCTCTTTTATCGCGTAGTTCCCATCGCCTCTTGGAAGGTGGTGGTATGAACTCCTTGACAGGTTTCTCCGCCCCACTATATCGGCCTCTTGAAGCGATTCCGGCACCCCAACGAAGCCGAATCTCATAACCTTCACAGCTGACTCCTTTGGAGCTGCATTTTTGACAGCCAGGTCGAGTTTCGTCACATTGGATTCGTTTCCGTTTGCACGTCCAACAGCCTTTATGGGACCGATGACGGGCGTTGGGCGCATCTTTTCTTTTAGCATCTAGAGAAACCATGGCTACTAGAATTGATAGGAAGATGAAAAGGAATCTTGAAGCGACAAAAGGAACGTGTGACCCTCATTCTGTTCATATAGGTCTCTGCGACTATACATCATGAGCGAACCGCGGGCTCTGATTGGCCGATCAAACTTCTCAGCTGCGAATAAATAGCGCGGTCTAAGCCTTTATAGGGAAGATTTTCCGGTTGAACTGCAGGGCAAGCTCATATTTGGCTCGCAAATTCCCTCGCAATGTCGGTCGAATAACACAGGAACCTGCCTCTCCTTATATTCACGGTCGGCCTGTGTCAGCCTCGCTCTTCAGACCTTCCCCACGGTGGAGCTCGGCACCTTTCGCCTCAGCTGACGTTTCGGCAAGGTACAAGCAAGCGCTATCGGCCGCCCTTGGGCTCCACCGATGATATCGGCATTGCAGGTTAGGCAGATTTGTCGTTTTGAACCTGATGATACCCTCTTAGGTGACTACTTGGAATTGGTCAGTGCGACCTATGTGGACTACAGCAGTCGGTGGTTGTAGCGAATCCGCGTTGACGTCGCCACCTTCGGGGCCCCGAACGAGGATCATAGATGCACTGGTATGTCATAGAATTGGGCAAGGCAGGCGTCGCGCTCCATGAAAAGAAGGCATAGTCCTGTCGAGATCCATACAGCTGGTCGATCGCGCCGCACAGATGATTTCATGTTCTAGAAATGCACCTTCTATATGCCGGCTCAACTTTCCCAAACAGGAAGATTCTACCTGCACGAGATATAGATGGAGATCGCGACGTCGTGGGATCTGAAGAATGGCTAACCTGTTCGCCTAATCCCCAGGATAGGTCCAGGCTCTGGAAGCGACAAGTGGGCCACGTCGGTGTCCAAGACCAGTTTACCCCGCGAGAGCCACACAACCCCGACACCCGTGGGGTTCCCCGGAGACAAGAAAAAGCCCCGGGTCGTTGGGGTGCGGGGATGCTCATTCCAATTGTCTATAAGCGTCTGAAAATCTGCTCAGATACTCTACACAAACGTCGAGCCTTGGCACCAACTTGCTTGATAATCGATCGCCTTTTGACGAGAACATACCTTCCAGTTCAAGTTTCGGACATGAACTCACCCTGATATAATTGATTTCCAGCACCTCGAAGTCAACAAAGTTATGGACCTGGCAACCGACACAACCCTCAAATTCACCGATCAGAATGTCCAGGATGCCTCCGATCTCGCTGAGTTCGGCCATGACCAGAGCCTCCAGCGCAAATTCAACATCTGGAGCATGCTAGCCTTAGCTTTTTGCGTTTTAGGAACATGGTCGACTTTCGCACAAGACCTCACTGATGGGTTTATTAATGGTGGTCCTGTCTCTATCCTTTGGGGCCTAGCATTGGTGACATTCTGCAATACATGTGTGGCGATCTCTCTGGGAGAGATCTGCAGCAGCATGCCCACAGCTTTAGGGCAGGCTTACTGGATCTTTCGACTCTGGGACTCGCCCCTCGGACGTTTCGTATCTTACATGTGTGCATGGATCAACGTCTTCGGCTGGTGGACCCTTGCCGCCTCACAAGTTGCCTTCATGACAAACTTCATTCTAGGAATGAAGGTCATGTTCAATGTCAACTGGACTAGGAAACCCTTATCGGGTACTGGTTCCATACTAGATCCCCAACGCCAGCATCGAATAAGATTTTCTCATCACTGTAACTTGCAGAACTTTACACAGCTTCAGTATACCGCCCCATTGTTGGATATGACTGAAGAAAAGAGAAATTTGTCAATGACGAAATGTACAAACATCCAGTTTTGATCTACCAATAGTTTTATATAATTACACGGGAACCGGCTCACAGCTTAGACTTCATATTGACATGCACAGCCTTGATGTTCGAGTAGGCATCCAAACCAGCCTCACCCAGTTCCCGACCGATACCACTCTGCTTCACACCGCCGAATGGGATGCGCCAATCACTATCATTGCTAGAGTTGATCCATACCATACCGGCCTCAATCTTCTTCGCTACCCGATGAGCACGGGTCAGGTTAGTGGTGAAGATAGCACTGCCGAGGCCATATGTGGTATCGTTGGCCATCTGGATAGCCTCCTCCTCAGTGCTGAAGCGAGCAATGGCAACGAAGGGGCCGAAGACTTCTTCCTTGTAAATACGCATATTAGGCGACACGTCGGTGAAGACGGTAGGCTCGACGAAGAAGCCCTTGCCATTTCCAACACCCTTGAAGGGCTTTCCACCATATGACAGAGTAGCCCCCTCAGACTTACCCACATCAACATAGGACATGATGCGGTCATATTGGGCCTGGGTCACCTGGGGACCCTGGAAGGTGGACTCCTCGAAGGGGTCGCCGACCTTCGAGACATTCTTCACTTGGGCCTTGAATGCGGCTAGGAACTTATCGTAGATCTTATCCTGGACTAGGATACGGGAAGTAGCCGTGCAGATTTGGCCCTGGTTGTACATAATACCGATGTGTGCCCACTCAACTGCCTGCTCAAGATCGGCATCATCAAAAACAACCAAAGGACTTTTGCCGCCAGTCTCCAGAGTGATATTCTTCAGGTTGACGCTGGCCATCTTCATGATATGTTTGGCGGTAGCGGTGCTTCCGGTGAAGGCGATTTTATCGACATCCATGTGAGAGGCAAGAGCAGCACCCGCGACAGCACCGTGACCGTTGACAATGTTCACAACACCTGGGGGAAGCCGGCTTCCACGATCAGGTTTGCGAGGAACAGAATGGAAAGCGGCGTCTGCTCTGCAGGCTTCAAGACAATAGTATTGCCGCATGCCAGAGCAGGGCCAAGCTTCCAGGCGGCCATAGAAAGCGGGAAGTTCCATCTGCAGGCAACAGAGTCAGCCAATGCTTCAAATCCGCATATCTTTCCACCCTGGGCTCTGGAACTTACGGGATAATCTGTCCGCAAACACCAACCGGTTCCCGCATTGTATAGGCGAATTTGTCAGGAGTAGTTCCAATAACTTGCCCAAAGATCTTGTCGGCGTATCCACTGAAGTAGCGGATAGTCTCCGCAGTCTCAGTCAAGTCGTCGTCCCGCGAAACGGTGTATGGCTTTCCATTGTCGCAAGTCTCGATGGTTGCGAGAGTCTCTCGGTTGTCCTCGATAAGCTGCGCAAGGCGGTTCATCAACTTGCCGCGGTCGCTTCCGGGAAGATCCCGCCAGCTGGGGTGGTTCAGTGCAGCGCGCGCGGCCTTGACAGCAGTATTGACATCCTCTGCAGAGCCGGCATAGACGGATGTGATTTCCGTGGCAGTCCTGACGTTTTCAAGAAAGTGTTAGCCACGCAAGGAGTATGGATACGATCGCACAGCAGCCACCCATATTGCAAGACCTACGCCGGGTTAATGCTTGCGATCTTGTCGCCATCGGACGACTTCACCCATTGATTGTTGATGAACAGGCCAGTCGGCTGCGACCAAACACGGCCGTTGGGCGCGGTCAGCTGAACAGATAATGAGGCCATGATGGGTGTATGATCAGGAGCAAAATTAAATCCTTACAAACTGACTGACGTCTGAGGACAGAACAGGCGATCAAGTACACTGGTAATGCGTAGCTCTTAAGTCCACCCGCTAGCTGCAGCTACATCGCCGATAATCATTGATAACCGTTTCGGCACGACATGCCCATTCGAGAAGGTGGATGAAATCCGCATTTGCAATGCATCTGGAGAACCACAAAGGCCCACACGGTATCTCCAGATGATCGGGTCGGAGCTCAGTTTCGCGGCGAGTTGCCCCTCGACGCGCTAGTACTAAAGGAGTAGGTCCACCCAACGATAACGGTGGCGCTGAAGCTGGCATCGCGACTCTACTAGTGTTGCTACAAACTTTCTACGGCAAATGAATCCACGAGAAGGAAGAGTGTGGACGACTAAAAGCTGGAATTGGTAGCGAGAGCTCATCTTTCCCAATGTTCTATTCCAGCCTGAAATCAAAAGAGTTGTACTGGAAGTGGCAACAAGAACCTTGCATCGCACGTGGGTTCCCCGCGAAAAGATAAGCTTTAATCGATGACACTCGGCAGTGCTGGCTTGGGCATGGGACAGAGATAGGGTCAACCTGCCCTATCGGCACAACAGAGTTGTGCCCTGCAATTTTTTTCCGGGGTGTCTCGGGTTCCCGAGCGCTGATTGGCCGTCGGTTCTGCGTGTAGAAGAGTTACGAAAGAGACATTATGGAATAGCAATGCAAAGAGCAAAGACAAAATGGAAGTTGTAAAGAGCTTCTCCAGGCTTTCGCCAAACTGAGAAACGGGGAGAGCCCACACCGCGTGTGGGCTCGGGTAGAGTCGCGAGGCCGCGTTTCTTGAACCAGACACGTTTGGACTGCTGAATCGGGCAGGTACATGCGGACTCTATCGATCTGATAGAAGCGGATACCAACCTATAAAGACCGGTTGGGGACGGACGAAGTTATTGGGTTTACTACAGCTCTACAAGTCCTTTTCTTGTATCATATTCCCGCCATGGCTTCTGCCCCTGATACTACATCAATCCCGGGATACACGATTTTCCGGGAGGGAGACTATGACAGTGTCGCTGCGACTGCCATGCTCCCGCAGGGAGTTCCCCACCCGCTAGGTACGGCTCGGGACCTTTTTGTGTCACCCCGCAGAACTCACCCGCTGACCCTCGGATAGACCAGCTTTCCATTCGGGAAATTCCAGATGCTGCCAAGATTATTCGCGATCATGCTAGCCCCAAGACCGTCAAGTTCAACTGCCTCACTCTGCGAGAGCCTCGCAAGGCCGAGTACCAGGCCTTCCGCGCAGGCAAGATCGCCGCTCCCGATCGCCGGGCTTTCGCCATCATTATTGAGCGCGAGACACAACAAGTTGCTGAGGTGGTCGTCAACCTCAAAACCAAGAAGGTTGAGGAGTGGAAGGCTGTGAAGAATGTTATGCCCACCCTTACTCTGGAGGACCTGGATGTCATGGAGCGCATTGCCCGCAAAGACACCAGTGTCATTCGCGCCTGCAAGGAAATCGGTATCACCGACATGAACAAGGTTTTCTTCGATGCGTGGGCCATTGGTATTGATGAGCGCTGGGGCTATGAGCGCCGTCTTCAGCAGGGTCTGGCCTACTACCGTGCCTCTGAGTTCGACAACCAGTACGCTCACCCTCTGGATTTCTCCGTGGTTGCCGATACCGAGACCGAGGAAGTGCTGAGCGTTGATGTTCGCACCGTGAATGGGGAGCGCACTCCTGTGCCCCTAGAGGAGCACAACTACCTGCCTGAATTCATTGGCGATGGATACATCCACGACCGACTCAAGCCCATCGACATCACCCAGCCTCAGGGTGTTTCCTTCAAGGTCCGTGGCAACGAGCTGTCTTGGGCCAACTACAAGATGCACATCGGTTTCAACTACCGTGAGGGTATCGTGATTTCTGACGTCCGCTCTCACGACATGTACGAGGACCGTGAGCGCACTCTCTTCAACCGTATCTCCGTCGTCGAGATGGTTGTCCCCTACGGCTGCCCCGAGAAACCTCACCATAAGAAGCACGCTTTCGATGTCGGCGAGTACGGAACTGGTCTCATGACCAACTCTCTCAAGCTGGGTTGTGACTGCAAGGGTGCTATTCACTACATGGACGGTGTTATGTCCACCTCCAACGGCGAGGCTGCCGTCATCAAGAACGCCATCTGCATCCATGAGGAGGACAATGGCCTCCTGTACAAGCACACCGACTATCGTGACGGCACCGTGATTTCGGCTCGTGACCGAAAGCTCATCATCTCGCAGATCATCACTGCTGCCAACTACGAATATGGCTTCTACCATACCTTCACCCTCGATGGCACCTACAAGCTTGAGATGAAGCTGACTGGTATGCTGAACACCTACTCCCTGCACGAATCTGAGCAGGCCGCCCCCTATGGCACCCAAGTTGCCCCCCAAATCACTGCCCACAACCACCAGCACATTTTCTCCCTCCGTATCGACCCCGAGATCGACGGAACCAACAACACCGTTGTGCAGAACGACGCCGTCTCCTCAGATCACGCTGTTGGCTCCCCCGAGAACCCCTACGGTAATGCCTTCCTCAGCAAGAAGACCCCTCTCCGCACATCCCTTGAGGGCGCTGCCGACTACTGCTACGAGACCCAGCGCTCGTGGGATATCATCAACCCCAACCGCTTGAACACCATTGCCAAGAAGCCCGTCGGCTACAAGATCCTCAACAATAACTGCCCTCCCCTCCTCGCCAAGCCCGGCAGCACCGTGTACAATCGCGCCGCCTTCGCTCGCAAGCCCCTCTGGGTCACCCCTTACAAGGACTACGAACTCTTCCCTGCTGGTGACTACGTGTGCCAGTCAACCGGAGAGGAGAACCACCCCCACAACTCCACCATCCTGGACTGGGCCAAACGGAATGAGAACATTGAGAACACCGATATCGTCTGCTATCTGCAGTTCGGCCTCACCCACTTCCCGCGCACTGAGGACTTCCCCATCATGCCTGCGGAGCCCGTCAGCATCATGCTGCGCGCTTCAAACTTTTACGAGAAGAACCCCGGCCTCTGGGTGCCGCCTTCGGCCATCTGTGTCGATACCCAGTCGACGAATGCATTTTCCTCGTCTTGCTGCGCCGCTAATGCTCCGGCCAGCTCGTCGAGACTGTAAAGCATGAAAGGGTCATTTGGTGTTGGAAACAAAACTTTTTTCTGGGTTATGTGATTGGATGAATATATATTGTAAATAGGCCATATCCCTTAATTTGTTCAGTCTGAAACGACATTCACATTTTTGATCATTGAGTATTTTCGCATTTCACCCTGTAAGCCCTTTGAATACTTGAGTTTTACATGCCAGCAATGTTCGAAACTGCTCAGACTCATCATCCTCAATCCTCAACATTTCTCCATGAGTGCTATATACTCAACTGCTGATATGTATATTCAGAAGGGGAGACTGCCCGTCATTAGGTTATAGTTCCCGATACATGATGTCGGTTCTCATAGTATATTTGGTTCCACTAAATACCGGGTCTCCGCTATGCATCAGATCTTTCTGCTGGAAGATTAGGATTGACCCGGTACGTGGAAATACTCGGAGCTGCTCGTCACTACTCTTGAAGCTAGGAATGGGGCAAAATGACGTAGCGCCACCTAGCAATTCCCCTTTCGGGTCGGGATTTGACTCTTTTTTCTTTTCCGCCTTGATCAAATCTTGTAGGTCCTGGTCACCCATGCCGTTGAGGTAAAGGTGAATGGTATAGTAAGATGCATCACCATTCGGCGCTTCGTACTTGCCATCCCAGTGTGGCCGGAAGTACTCGCCTCCTTCATATCGAAGGAAACGCAATCTCTCGTTGAGTTCGGTGAGGCAATATGACTTCCCTCGTCCTGCAAGCCCAGTGACACGCAGTCGGTTTGTGAACTTGTCGATTTCAAAGTCACGTAAAAAGGGCATCAACCTGTCCAGCAGTCTTTTGGCCAGCTCGGGGCTGTCCCAAATGATACGCGCACAATTTCGCGTGTCCGTTGCCAGCATCTGTCTTCCGCCTCCAATATTGATCAAAGCTCGTTCCCAGCCGTCAGAGGTACTGGCTTCGGCGAGCTTGATCAGCTCCTGGCATTCAGCCTCGGTGAGAAAGTTATCGATCACAGCGGCAAACAGGTCCTTATATTTGGGTAGCGGGGGATCGGACTTTTCAAAGTCGATCCGCCTTGCACAAGTTGTGCTAGGTGCCTGAGATGGGAGAAAGTCCTCGCGAATTTGAACTGTGCTCATAGTTGTTTGTTTTGAATCTGAGGGTAAAGGAGAAAGTAAGCGCCTCCACCTCAAGTAAGGCACTCCAAATACCATTTTTCCTCTACTAGGCGGGGCTTTCCTTTCTGAGCTGCCGGCGCTTTACGAGGGTGCTCAGAGTCAGACTCACTGAGTAACTGTCAGACCGAGCTCAGCCTCAGTGACCTGATCAGTGTACCCACGTGACCGATTAGAGCGCGCTTATTTAACTAGTGAGTGTGATTGACTTAGCTAACTCACAAATTACTTATACTGAGCACTTAGTCTAGACCTAGCGAAGCACTTCGCCTATAATATTGTTCATTTTGTGAATTACTTTTTGGGAGCCCTCATTTCCCACCATGACCCGTTTCTTGAGGTAACCTTGGCCTACCGACCCACCCACAACGCTTCCGCGTTGTGGGTGGGTCGGTAGGCCAAGGTTACTACCTCGTTTCAAGGGGGAAAAATAGGGGTTCGAGAAATTACACAATAAAAATAGAAGGCATTAGAGAAAAGCCGTTCTCTAGTAGTGAATAAAGATAATCTAGACCTAAATACTGAGGCACAAATTGAAGCTATACTCCCTTACTCTTAGCTTTTCACATGGCTTTCCTTCGCTCTTACTTCACTCCCCTATATCCCGCAACTTCTCTCCTAATGGCTGGTGGCTCTCGGGCAAATCGAGCAAGCCAGGGTTGTGTGTAACGCTCGTGTCTTTAAGAACTTGACATTTTTTCTCATCCTAGGATTATTGAGCAGCTTGCCATAATAGAAAGTCCTAGATATGCTTACATCTCTATCATTCCTACGGTCATAATGACCATCACGATCATCATCAGGGACGCAGCAAGCGATATAGTTGATGCACGTGACATGAGAATTACCTAGAGACCTATTTTAGAAGCCGATATATAAAATGATTCAGAGATTATCAGAGTTATACGCACCTATTATCGGGGCACAGCCCGAGAGAATGCTAATAGGAATGATATGCGAAACCTGACTGCCAACATCGCCAACGATTGAGCCCGTTAAAATTGAGCCAAGGAGTTGATTTCCAGTTTGAGTAATGGATTGGCCAGTTTGATCAACATTGTTTCCGTTAGCCTCAGCCGTACTTTTTCAGGTTTGAGCAACAGGAGAGGTGATTGTTGGAACACTTCTCCCGAAAGTGTCTCTCTGTATCTTGAGGTAAGGCAGCGACAAGTAGCGCGCATAAAATGATGGAAATCAGACCTAGCAGCATGGTATCCAATTGACGGCTAAGAGGATCTTTGAATAATAATAAGAGTGGGTAGAAAAATATGATGCAGATATTGATGTCCCTAGAAGAAACTAAAGGCCATTAAATAGACTAGATAAAGTTTTCATTGGGCGTTGAATATAATGAGATACAATTACCAACCACTTAATTTGCTTTGCAATTTGATTTTATTGGATGATGAGAGTCAGGTCTGGTATTTAGGGTCTAGTATGTAGGGTGACAAGCTAAGAATGGTCCACTTTGAGGACTAGGACCAGACTACGTGGTCCTTTGGTCTTTTTTATAGTAGTGTTCAGAAGATCAAGAAGGCGACAAAACGAGCCGAGCAATTGGTCCTGAAGCTGTGGAATGCATGATGGTTCAGACTTGCTTCGAGTCAAAGATTTTAAGGGGTTGGTTTTGTTTTTTACACCCAAGGTACAGTTAACTAGCAAGGTCTGGAAATATCTAGGGGTACGGAAATTCCTGCTGCACCAATGATTGGTGTAAAAATATGTCAGCAGCCACCACCGTTCAGCAACTTTGGAAAAACTCAAGCTTATCTTCTATTGCCATCTCTTTCTCGATTTTATGTATCTTCAACTTGACGTCTTGATTTAAGTTGTCTTGATAGCCCGTGGCCTAAGAAAAAGCATAGATTGTTTGAAATAAAACAACTCTAGTAAAAGGAGATGATGACTCCAACTCTAAGATGTCCGATTTATCCAAGGCCCACCACAGTCATAAGCTTCCCAAAGAACAAGTCACAGTCTCGAACACCAGCTCGGGTTTGTCAGGTATAGGATTGTCATCCCTCACCAGGTGAAATGGCGCGTCAAGAAGCAAGGCTTCAGAAGCTTCATTTGCCGGCCATGTTACCTCGACTTTGAACTGTCGTAACCGGTCAAGTTCAACGAGCGGCGCAAATAGCCTTGCCTCCTGTTCTGCAGTCATCGTATTCCCCGACTCTTGGTCCATTTTCACCCAGGCTTGAATATTCAGAAGCCCCTTCGCACCTTTTATAACGTTCCACAAGGCCGTCCATTGATCGAACCACTCGTCATCGAGGATTTGAATCCGTTGATCAAGACATGCATGTAGGAACGAGATCTCAAGCGATCGAATCGCAAAGAAGCTCCGAGACGCCAAGACTGATCTAATATCGGAAATGATTCGAAAATCCAATGACTCCATGATTTGAAGATGAATACTATTGTGCGACCATAGGATATCCACGGACTCCGAATAACTGTGTGAATTCTGTGAGTATATCGGATTAGGAGTCAAGCAAAAGCGGGAACATACATCTGCCGACAAGTCAGGAGGAGTGGAAGTCGCTTCTGGCTTGTTGAATCTTTGTTGTGTGTTAGACATTCACACCAGCAGCCGTCATTGGGTTTGTACGATAAAAAGTGGTACTTTTGGCCTTTGGAGGGACAAACACAATGTCGTAACTGTGGGCCTCCGGTGAGCATGAATGCAATGACATTGTCTCCAAAGATGAGTTCATAGATTCGATGTCGAATCTCCACAGGGATTTTCACCAAAAAGACACTGTCATTTTGTTCGCATGCCGAGGCCAGGTCCATCGTGAGTTAGGTGCGTCAGAGATAATCCTGGGAAGTCACGTCGTCAAGCCCCCGAAGCTCTTGAAGATTTGAATTTCAAGAAAAGCAGCCAGTGAAAGTATTTACGATGGGGGCTATCCCGACTCAACGCAGGCCCTGCACACTATGTTGACAGGTAGTTATTTGGGTAAGAAAGTGATGAATTCTCTCACGATCAGAATAGCCACAACTCGTGACCACGGGGCTGAATGGGATTTATTGCCAATTAAGATATAAAAAGAAAACTCGGTGTTGCCTGCATAAGTATATTGAGAAAGAATATCTGAAAAGAACACCTCGCTCATTTCAGGGTGGGTTAAGGGCAGCGGGGTAGGTTGGGGGCGGATAGATGGCGGGCTTTTCCAGCTTAACGAGTGCGCAGATTGGTGGCGAAGCTGCTGCCTATATCTAAAACTTCGCCGGGAAATCTGCAGGCAAGCAGGCAAAACAAACTATTTCGTGTAATAGCAATATTAATGATTTGTCTGATCCGTCTCTACTATCGACCTTGGCCTCGGAACCCCGATGCTCACAATAAAACCAGAGGGATTCCAGGCAATAAATGAGGGGTCAGCAAGTATTTTCAAGTAGGGTCTTCTGGACCCTTAACAGCAAGAAAACTTTTTGCCCTCGATTCTTAAACGCTAGGATTTGCAAAGCAAGATATGATTGGGAGGCGGCGCTAGATCAGACCGAAATTACCCACACAAATTAAGCCTGTGAACTCTATCTTCGATCATACCAATCCGGATTCAGTCACTATCTCCAGCACTAGACTACATTGACCATAAGGTAAAGGATCACGAGTTCGGTAAAGTCATGGACACAGGTTCTATTTCACTTGCTCTTGCACTGGTGGACTTTGCCTGTCATTCTCGACATCTTTGCAATAACCGCCCCGATCGCCAAAATCACTGACACAAGCCCCAGAGAGTTTGCAAAGCTGTGAATATCGTCCCTTCTCCAAACACAAAGCCGGTCTAATGAGCATTAATTCAGGCTGTTACATGGTCTGCAATCAAAATCCAACTCAATTCCAGTGAAGAGGAATACACAAGTATCAGGAATCCTCATACTTCTCGGCAATGTTGAATGGCAAGTTCAATGAGATACAACAACGAGCAGCAATATGAGAAGAAGCGGAAGGGACTATCTCGGTCCACTGTCTTGACGCTCTCATACAGGAGAGATATGCCCACAAAGTCAAATTCGACTAGGTTGACACTAAAGACCATATAAGTGTTTGCCCGGCTTGCAGACATGTGAGATATAACTAGAATAGAATCCCTCCTAGGTTACTATATAAAGCCAATTGTTCTCGATAACACAGCTCCTTGAAGAGTCATCTCGCTGGACATCTATCGAGAACAGCACACATCTTCCTCAGGTCACCGCACATCCTTTCGGCAGCTTACTTGTCTAGGGAGCACTCCGTGCGTCGCGCCTTGGCTAGAGCTTCAGTCGAAGGCTTTCTTCGGAGACCGACATACAAATTTGCTCATGTGGCTCAAGAATGTCCTGGCTTTTGGCGCTGATTTACTTGAAGTGGTCAGGGAAGCCCTGGATGGACTTGGGGTATGGAAATCATATTCATCCACTTTGTCGGACCCAATGACCGAGAGATCGAATAGCATCAATTTCGATGCCCACTGATGAAGCTATTCTACTGGCAAAAATCTTTGCTAGCGTTCAAAGAGAGCTCACATCAAGAAATGGGAGGAAGAGCATTCAAAAGACCATAGATTATCAATCAAAAGTATTTAATCAAAGACGAGGTATAAGATCCCAACCGCATGTGCACTCATAATATCTCAGGTAGCAATAGTCCTCCTCTTGTATCACCAGTAGCCCATCTAGCAGCCACCACCACCGCCGTCACCACCGCCGCCACCCCCACCCCCATCCCCCCCAGACGAACCCCCAGACGAACCACCCGAGTCTGCTCCCCCATAGCTACCACCCCCTCCACAGTCTCCTGAGGTGTCCCCATGGCCATGCGACCCTCCATAGGAGCCAGAGTCTGCGTATAAGGCCGCTCCAGAGTATCCGGATATAGAGTATCCCGATCCAGAGTTGCTCGACCTAGAGTTTCCAGAGCTCCGATAGCTGGACGGTGGGTAATATGCCTTGTATGCCGGGGTGGCGGCCGGAGTCGTCGAGGCCGAGCCGGACTTCGCACCCTGCCGGTCGCGTTCACCCAGGGCTTTCTGGCGGCGCTCTTGCTCGCGGAGCTCTTCTACCCGGCGATTCCAATCTCTTTCTCTTCTCCTGCGAGAGGGGCTTTTGAAGAAGTCCCACATGGTGGAAATGGTCTAGGTATTTGATTAGAGGGGGCTCGCTTGGAACCGGATGGGTTGACGGACCTTGAGTGAAGATAGATACGGACTAGTGCCGTGATCCGTCAGGCTTGAAATGAGTCGGGTAGGTGGGTGATAGAGAGGTAGAATGAGCAGGTGTAGGTGACTCGATATGCGGGCGATAAGTGCGCGTCAGAAGTCAATCATAGATAGCCTTTTAAACCACGACATCCCAGCAAGTACGCCAGTACCTTATATATCTCCTGCATTTCCAATCCAAGATCAAAATGCGCCTCACCTTGGCACCTCGTATAAACACACGAACTCACCCACGAGCACCACTACGTCGGTGGGCCAGTGGCAGTGGAGCCGCAGGGCAATCGCACAGCCCCCGCCCGGATTGGCGGCCGATAAGGCCTGTTAGGGTCGACCCGAGCAAATGGAACAACAGGCACACATGCACTAAACATAAACGGCCTAATCGATGACTCGTATGGGACCGTCCGATTTGGCGGTACCTTTTCCTGGAGATTCTGCATCGATGTCTCGCTTTTCTTTTCCGAGATGGGTTGGTAGGGACTGCGAGACTAGACGACTAAACGACTAGACGACTAGACGACTAGCCCAGCTGACGTGCTCATGCATGTCGGGCACGGTCTGCTCTTCATGGTCTATTTCTGCACGTGGAGGGCAGATTTGGGCTGGGCGAGGGCGGACCTAGGCGTCAACATAATCATGCACAAGAACACAACCCACAACCACAACCAGGACAAGGACCATGGTCAGATAGGGCGGGATCCGTGGACGTGGGCAGAAATGCACAAATTATGAAGAGTCATTTTGGGTATCGAATCGCTCGCTACTCGTTCCCATGCACCAGCACCGTTCTAACCCTAGGCACCCTGTATCGAGCACCCCGAGCATATGTACAGACAATATACAATCCAAGACAAGCCAAATGCGCGGCCCAACCCCAATCTTAATCCAGATCCAAATCCACACCCAACGTAGCGCCACTAACAAAAGTCCCTACAACTCCGCGCCTGCACCTTTCTCCGCCCCAGCCCTAACTTCAGCCTCCCCCTCCGCACCGGCCAAAAAGAAGTCCAGTTCACTAGGCCCGCCATGCGAATGCTCGTTCTCAGCAAGCTGCTCCAGCAAACTTAAGAAGGGGTCCTTCTCCAGATTGCCCGTCTCGCTGCTGGCCGTGTGCGAGCCGCTGGTCTGCGACTGCGCGCCGGGCGTCAGGGCCGCAGTGGACTGGACGGCGGTGTCGAAGGGAAAGGTTGCATATTGCGGGTTTGAGGGGGGCGTGGGGGCGATGCCGAGGGATGGGTCGGTGAGAAAGACGGGCGGGGACAGGCCGAAAGCGCCGGGGGAGAAGGCGCTGGGGAGGGAGAGGTGGTTTGTTTCAGAGTGAGGGGTGTGGGGCTGTGGCTGTGGTTGGATTTGGGAGGCGAGTTGTTCGGAGGCGCTTTGGACGGGGAACATTGATGACACGGAGGACGAGGATTGTGCGGGGTGGATGGGTTGGTGGAATTGGAGGGCTGGAGAGAGCGGCGTGGTGTGCTGCTGCTGCTTGGTGTTGTTGTTGTTGTTGTTGTTGTTGTTGTTGTTGTTGTTGTTGTTGTTGTTGTTGTTGTTGTTGTTGTTGTTGTTGTTGGGGAGAGACGGGGGGTGGGAGTTGCGGCGGTCGAAGTCGGGGGTGTGTGAGGAGGGGAGGGGCGGTGTTGGGCGCGGGTTGGAATATAATGGGGTTGGAGGCTGGTATGAGCGTGGTCCCATGGGGCGCTGGTAGTAGTGATCTTGTCGATCGACGTAGTTTGTGGAACTGTGATCAAGGCCGGGGGTAAGTGATGAGTGATTGCGGAGGAGATAATTTGAAGAGAAAGCGTGAAGCTTACCTCGCGACCAATTCATCCCCTGTATCAACTAAGCGGACGTGTGCGCCATCCGCCGTGAGACCCGGGTACCTATCCAAGAAATCCTCCAGGTGGAAGACCGGCGAGAAGCGCATCGGGCTACTGGCTAGATTGCGCACCAGTTCAGCATGGCAGGTATAAATCGTCTGAAGGAGGTCCCGCTGATGCTGCACACCGGCCCAGCAATTGCGCAACCAGGCCAGCTGGTGCATCTCGCGGGTGAGGAATTCCGCGCTCGACGAAAAGACCTCCCCTTCGCGACCTTTGTAGTGTACGCCGTGGACATGCACAGTCCCAGCCGTGCACACGCAATAGCCAACGAAAGCGGGCCACTCCACCAGCGGGGAGTTACGGCCCAGCTCGACCAGCTCTGCAATGGCGTTGGAGTGCGAGAAGCACAGGTTGGTGGCCTCAATCTGCCAGGACTGATGCTGCCCCGTGCCTCTCAGCTCCACGAGATCAATGGGCAAGAAGGGGCGGTATATAAGGCAGTGCACTAAGTGGTAGATCAATTTACTCAGAAGCAGCGTCGTGCTCTCCGGATGTCCGAACAATACCTCGATCGATGCAAAGACGTCTTGGGTCCCCGCGGCCCAGATATCGAGCTCCTGTCGGATTTTCGAGAGACTGGAGAGCGCATGCCAAGGGAAATGCGAGTCTCCCTTGACACCACCGGCGGCCAGGTACCGATTCGTGACCCCCAAGATGCGTGTGATATCGATCAAGAGAGAGGCTGTGCTGGGCGTTTTGCGGCGCGAATCGGCTGAGTAGTGGATGTTGGGGCCGACGTGGAAGAGCTCGCCTTTCATGTTGAGACCGGCGGCATGGGGCGACCACGAGGGAAGTCGCAACACGATAGAGTGGTCGGCGATGAGGCAGGGGCGCCGGGATCCGCAGGCAACGAAACGGTCCATGAGATACACAGACCAGAAGAGCCGGCGCCTCAATTCGCGCTCGGGAGGGGTCATGTTCACTTTGGATGGCACTTCACGCAGCAGGTCAAGTGCCACCACCATGGCCGCACAATTTGCTGGCGACTGTCAGCAGGGGATTCCAAGTATAACGACACGGGGATGTGGAATCGTACAGAATGTCATATAGGCCTTTTTGCCCAATCCATAGGCGAAAAAAGCTTGTGAGAGAAACAATAAGGCCTGTAAGCTCTCTATCGTGGGGCTGTCCACATCGATCATCCGTCGCGCTTGCAAAGCCACATCCAGGCCCAATCGCAAGGATTGCTCAGGCTGACCAACATGTGTGTACCTGCTGCACATTAGTGACTCGAATTTTCGGGGTGTGACCAAAAGCCCCCCCCACCCCCTGAGAGAGATTGGGCCACTCACCTAAGCGTTATGGCCGATATTGCCATAGACAGATGCATCGGTAATTGGTTCAGTTGATGGCGCTGTCGTGTGCTCGGTTCATCCAGAATATAAAACGGCTTGCCGTGCAATCGCCCAAAGTACGTATCGAGCAGGACTTGCGATAAAACCCCATTCTGCGGTGCAGGCTGCTGTGGCACGCTAGGCGAGGGGCCATGCCTGGCTGGCCGAGGGAATGACTCCGCATTCTGCGACAGCGGGGTGGACAGCACCGGGCGTGAATCGGCGGCAGTATATGCATTAAACGAGGACGCATCTACGGTATTGCGACGGGCATTCTGCGCCTGTCCGAGCAGGAGATCGTCGGGCTGCTTGTCCGGGGAGGTGGGCGAGATCGGATTTTTCTCGTCCTGGAGTCTCTTTTCGAGGCCGTCGACGCGCTTGAGGAGCGCCTCGAGGACGTCGGTCTTGGGGCCCCGCTTTTTGGGGATTGCGTCTGGGGCAGCGGACGAGGGTTTAGGGTCAGGCGGGATCGGCGAGTGGTCGGGCGGGAAAGTCCGACGAGCGACTCACCATATATGCACAGGCATTGGAAGACCTTACAGGCCTCGCAGCTGGGTCGCAGGCGATTGCATTTGATCTGGGAACTGTTCAGCACGATCGATCTGGGCGAGCTCGCGTCGCGACCGGACCTTTCTTTTGCGGCAAGACTTGCAGTTCATCGCCTCACGCGGTTCGACCGTCGCACGGCGCGGCGTCAGGCGGTCGATGCTGACCTGCGGGCGAGACATCGCACATTGAATTATGCAGGGGGAGGCATAAGGGATGGTTTGAGGATGGGGAGAGGGAAGGAAGAGGGGGAAGGGAGACGAAGAGGCGGAAGAAGAAGAGGCTAAGAGGGATCAGATGAGAAGCGCATTAAGGGAGGAGGCATTTTTGCCAACGCGTCTAGTCCCAAAGAGCAGTCAGTGGCAGGGGAAGGGACTGCAGGTGGAAAGATGTGGAGAGCGAAATGCGGAGAAGTGCGCAGTGCCACCGGAGTTTCTCTGGCTTTTTTTAGTGTTCTAGCGGGCCAGTTTGAGTTAGTTTTGCTTTTGCCTTGGGCTTTTTAGTCTTTATAGCGTCGTGGACGCTAGCGCCTAAGTGGCTCGGTTTCCATTGACCCGCTGAACTCTTCTTCTTGCTGAGCCTTGTCCGTTGCTTGTTCCATTCCCCCGAGTTTCCCTCGCCTTCCATCGTCCCCCCCTTCCGATTTCGCGAATAGAGAAAACAGATGTATAGACTATCCGCTGGACGAGAAAAACTCGTCCCCGTATACACTAGTCTATTAGCATGCCGCCAGCTGGATTCATTCATTATTAATACATCCACCCATTAATTTATCGAAGCCATGTGGAGGGATCCAGCCCTCGGGGCATTTACTACTTTCTCCCGCCTCCCGGCGCGGTTAGGGCTTCTGCCATGCCCCGTCCGAGCCGATCCAGATTGGTATATCCACCCTAACCCTTGTTCGACCGTGGATTTGCTAGATTCTTTTATGCCGTGCGTTTCCCTTCTTCCCTGCTTCTTTCCCCTGTTCATCACGGGGTCCTCAAAATGCCGCATGGACCCTGGCCTAATCCTGCATGCACCCTGCCTTCTATACTCCGTACCCTGCCCTATAACCCTCCTCTCTCGGCCCTCGTTCCTGCCCTTCCCATTCTCCGCTAGTATACCTCCTGCCAATCACGTCCCCCCCTACCCACTCACTACTAGGTTCTCTTCCACATGTCCACCCGAAGCCACCGTGTCCTGCAGATTGTGGCTGCTTCTATGTAGAACGTGTGCCCCCCCCCCCGCATTGGGCATCCTTGGCGCTCCGCTGAATATCCAGATCGGGGGTCTTGAAACTATGAACTAGAGATGAAAGGAACACCTACGCGCCGGTGGGGTGTGTCGGTTACGCTCGTATTATCGTTCCTTGCATCTTGCCTCCCCCGATCGACCGCCTGGCTACTGTTTTGGAGACGGGGAGGACTGGTGCGAGGTGGGTTGCGAGACACCGGTAGAAATGAATTTGCCGTCTCTGTGGGTAATAGGTACCTCAATGCATTCGGGACTCGACTCCGTCTGGGGTATTCTAGACCCTGGACTCTGCACTTTGAACACCCGTTTCTCCCTCCCCCTGGACTGCTTTCGGCTATTCTACACGACTAAACAAGAAAAAAAAAAGAGAGAGAGAGATCCTGCGCCCCTTTCCCCCTGGAAAACTCGGCGTTCCTCTGCAGCAATGGAGGTAATTTGTCTACAGGGGACAGACATGGCATTGCCGAACAAGCATTTATCCAACCGAGGCCTGCAGACCTGCAGACCTGCACTCCACACCCAGCATGCACATAATGTATAGTAACCCCCTCATCCGGACCCTCCGCCGAGCATTGGGCCGGCGCTAACCACCAAGACATGATATGTTTTGGAACCCCAGCCAAACGCCCTCTGTCCCCATCTGTCACCGACTGCGTCTCACTCGGGCAATAGCACGCGCCCCTCGCGTACAAACCGCGCCATGGCCTTCGCCGCCCCGCCATCCATCTTCTCCAGCCCATCCACCACCCCGCCGCGATCCCCTACTGGCCGCTCCTGACTAACTTTGAACCGGCCCTCGATGCGGGTGATCTCCACGCGCATACCGACGATGTTCCTTTTCAAGAGGGCGATATACTCTTCCGGTGCCCCGGCGATCGTCCATGGCGTAGGGCCGTCATCACCACCACCGTCATGACCGCCGTCATGAAAATCGCCATTGGGCTTACCAGATCTATACCCCATCACACCTTCCTCCCCCACCCGTGCTAAATCAGCCAACTGTGCATGCAAAAAAGCACCCACACCATCGTCTTTCGACTCATGGTATACCGTCATGCGACCGTAGACTTGCACAGCGGCGTAGTTCCATGTTGGGGCGACCTTCCCCGTGACCTGTTTGGACGTGTAGAAGTGCGGCGTTATATAGTGATCGACAGGGCTGGTGAAGACGATCAGCACCTCGCCCGGCAGAACGGCACCGATGGCACTGGTGCTGGCACTGGCACTGACTGCATTGGGACTGGGTCTGGTGGCGGGGTGGCCGTCCGTGACGGCTTCGATCATGGCTGCCGTCTGCGGGTTTGCGCGCGCGATGTGCCCACGCAGCACGCCGAGGGCTGGCTGGTGTGTGGTACTGCTATTTGGGGCCGTCTGAGATGGTTGGGGTGAGGGGATTTCGGTTTCGCAATCTTCTGCCTGGACAGCTTCTGTCTCGTTCTCGGTGTCTAGCACCCAGGGAATGTGGCTACATTGTAGAGTTGGGAAGTTGTCCGATGGGAGCGAGGTGGTGATGACGCCGAGGGGGTGCGCACGAATGAAGGCATGCAGGGTGGGCAGGTCCCGCACAGCGTGGTCGGGACGCAGGTGCATGGTTGATGGTGTGCATGTGCATACGAATCTCTGCAGGTGCGTCCTGGTAGAATACTGAAACCTGAATCCGGGGACGGAAAGGTACCAGGGACGGAGGGGTTGTTGACCCCGGATTTCCCGATAAGGCTTATCGGGCCGCGGGGGAGTCTAAAGTTCGGCGGTATGGAGACAAGACGACAAGACGACCACATGGCAGTCCTCGGAGAAGGGTATGGAGAGAGGTGAAAGGGAGCGAAACAAAGTAAAGTAAATAGAACTCCAAGAAGAGCCATCGTCCATGCACATCTAAACGCATGGTGAGCGTAGTGAACCCTACGAACGGCAGGCAAGCCAGGCCCGTACCGATCGCCGCCAGGTAGAAATCCAAAGATCCAAGATCCCATCCAACTCCGAAAAAAGCAACGAAACCACGATGACAATGTCTGCAGATCTATAGCATTGTTTCAGGCCCCACCAAACCCAACACATACCGAGCATACATACACAGTAAATCACACAACCCGCCATCCAGATGCTAAATAGAAGCCGAGCCCTAAACCTACTCAGAACAGCGGGCGCCCCAACGCCATGCGCACAAAGTCAAAAGGCACGTTCTGCCCAACCAGCAGCCGCATTGTCTCAACAGTCGTCCACGCACTGACATCCTCGCTCCCATACGCCGTCCACCCGGCACTGGTCGCCACGCCAAGCGGGTCACCCTTACGCGGGCCGCTCGTCAAGTCCAGATAGACTTTGCCCCTCGTCGAGGGTGGCGAGGACCGACCGTTAGTGCGGTAGTGGCGCAGCAGGGGCTGGACGAGCAGGGACTTCTCCGGCGGTAACGCTGAGACGATGACGAACGGCTGCTCGACCAGCTTGACCGACTGGATGGAAGTGAAGGGCTCCAAGCCCGCGGCAAGCGGCCCCGAAGCCTTGAACCCGACGGTGTAGATGGCGCCGATGCCCAGGCTGCGCAGGGCGAAGATAGCGGCCGAGGCGTCGGGCTCGGAGCCCGCGAGGATGATGGCTGCGCGGCCGCGGTACGCGGAGGGCACGTACTCGCGCGTCAGGGTCGCGCGGATGCCCTTCCACGCGGAGTTCTCGCCGATGAATCGGGCGCTACCGGTCTCGTGGGGCGCAGCCATGGCGATGGTGTCGACGAGGCCGATGGCACGCGCGGCGTCACTGACGGCTGGGATGTAGGTGGTCAAGCTCGAGATGGGCGGATTGACCGATGCGCCGCCGAATTGCGGCTGCGCTAGGACAGACTCCATGGAGCCTTTGGGACCGCGGTCGATCGAGGTGAAGGTATGCGGCAGGCCTAGCTCATTCAGACACTTCTCCATGAACATAGAGTGCGGTGTAGCGCGGAACGAGCCAATGACGTAGAGATCACGTTTCGGGAGCTGACCCATGATATGCAGGGCCTCGTTGATTTCGGCCGCGGTCAGCTGGCCCGGTGCAGCAATCATGGGAAGGAGCGGGTGTGTGATGGGGGAGAAAACGGTGTTCAGGGCGCGCGAGAGCTGGCCCGTTTGGCCCATGTTGACGGCGGAGAGCAGCGGGCCGGGCCCGCGGCTTTTGATGGTTGATCGGAAGTATTCCAATTCGTAGTTCTCTTCAATGGTGGAGACCATAGCAATCATTTTCACAATGTCCCCATACTTGGCGCTCTCGGTGAACACGCGCTGCGCCTCGGGCGCCGTCCACTTCCATGTCCCGGAGAAATCGTGGAACGCAGACATGATGATGCTGTGGCCCTTGACCTCTGCTAATCGCCGTCGGATTTCCTCTGGCAGCCAGAGCTCCACGTCGACGTACTCAACGCCCCACTGGATTGCCCGCCGCAAATATTTGTAGAACAGGGTGGGGTCGTCCATAGGAAACTTTCCGTTTTCTTTCGTGCATCGAGCAGTGAATATAATCGGCAGCTCTGTATGTTGCCGCAGGAGCATCAATTGCTGACCCACGTACTTCAGACTGGGCACCGAGCCCTGGTTGGCTGCAGCCCCATCCGATGTAGGCTCGACCAGCAAGTCTACGCGGATCTCCACGGCGTCCGATCCCACCGAGAGGATATCCAAGTTCGGCAGCGCAGCATGGACGTCCGGGAAAGTGGTTGAGATAAAGTTTGTCCGTGTCTTGGTGCGCAGATCTTCATGCGGTCTTGTTTGGCCCAGAATCAGAGATAGGAAGCGGGTCAGGTCGCGGCGCAAAAAGGGGCTCCGTGAGTAGAGGAACTCGTAGTCGCAGCTTTCGGTCAGCTGGTCTTCCGGCGCAGACCCATCTTCCACGCAATGCGTATTGATCAAGATCAGAGACGACCTGTCACACCCCGCTAAGCTTCGGTCCAGATCGTATGATGTGACTCCGGCAACGACCACATCCGTGGCTCTGGCTAGCGTCGCTAGCGATGCTTCCGTTGTCCACGGTTTCCCAAGAACTTCCGCCACCATGTGCACAATTTGTTCCAAGCCCGCGCCAAAGACAATCACGATAGTTCCCGACGGAGTATCCGCTGGCGGCACAATGGGCGGCGCGACATGGTTCTGGGGCGAGGAGGTGGAGGTGGAGGATTGAGAGGAGGAAGAAGGCGTATGATTGGAGACAATCGCGGCGATATTCAAAGCGGATGAGGCAGATTCATTGCTGCTGGCGCCAGTGTGAGGACCAGGGTCCTTGAGGGCTGTGGAGACGGCGGCAGTCTCGTCGAACAGCGGCGTCGCCGTGGGCGGCGGTGCAGTTGGCATCATCGTCGCATAGCAGACCTAGACGTTTTCATAATTGGGCAAAAGGCAGCCCTCAACCGAAACAAAACCTGCCGGCTAGGTTCGCGTCCAAATGTCCAAATCCAAGGTCACGCGAGAGGCAGGAGCAGGTTTATCTCTTCTCGAAGAAGACCGAGCCCCGGCCACGCAATAAAGAAAGACAAGTCGAGTCGCAAGGATGTGCGCTGTCACCAACGGGGAATGATGGTGGGAAAAATGGGTATGAACCGCTCAGCCCGCAGAAAGTAGCAAGTAATATCCTCCACGCAAAAGTCGGGCGGCGTCGGCCAAAAGAGGAGAGGGCTGTGAAGGGTAACTCGGACGGGCAAGCCGGGTGAAGCGCGGCGCAGAAAGAGACAGGACGCAGGGCAGGATTCAATTCGATGCGGCAGGTCGGATAGAGTTTAATACCGGGGGTGTTGCGCGTTGCGAGGGATGACCCCACGGCATTGACACGCAGGCAACATGATGGAAGAAATCGCGGGCATTCCAATGCGCAGCAGGGCGAGGATCCATCCGGGGAGGCGCGGGGGAACAGGGACGGGGTTGCATTTCTCCGCCAATCAGCGGGCGCCGTGGCCGCATAGATCGGGTATTGGGGTTTAGCGTTTAGGGGTCACTAGTGATCGCGTTGAGATGCCATGTTCAGTGTGGGATTTGTCCGGCAAAAAGAAGCGTGAGAATGAGGTTGCATATGGCGTGGGTTTCTGTGTGAACAGTGGCCTATAGGGTTCTTGTGAAAGTCTATACAGGTGGCAGTCTCATAGTATCATTCCAGGGTCACACAGCCTCAGGGTCGCACCTTGAATACGGTCACCACGCTGCAATTTCCACGATCTGATACGGGGAAAATCTCCGGCTGCACACAAAACACGGCTAGTGAGAGCCAATGACCAGGTCCGGGGTTATCCACAGACCCAGATATGCAGCGGACACCGGCCTAGTTCTAGCTATAGTTCTGCCGTCAACTGCCGTCGACTGAGCCAGGCAAGATTTGAAGACTTGGCCAGGGTTGTGACTGATACACTCGGAAAAGCACAATGCCCAATGTTCAATGGCCGTGGTAGTAGTCCACATTCAGGCGGCGAGACCATTAAAGTGAAGCGGCCGGGGGAAGGAAGCAAATAATTAAATAAGTCACCGGGATGCATAGATAGGGGGCGTGTGGACCAGATCATATTCACAAATTAGGTGTTAGGTGTCAGTCACAGTACATCGTAGAAGCATCCGCGGTTCTTTTCGTTCTTTCATACATAGCAGATAAAATAATAGAAAAGGGGCCCCCGCCAGTGTAGCAGTTCGAGATGATGACATGGGTCACATTGCAAGCATAACATACGACCAGAAAGGGGAAGAGAGGGGGAGAGTCGCAATCGAAACAAGCCGCCCACTGTACTTGGAGACAAAAGAAAAAAGGAGAGAAAGATACCAACCGAGTCAAGGGGGTATTGCGAGAAAGACACAAGGTGCAGGGGGAATAACTGGAAAGCCGCGTGCAAAATAAAAATATTTTGGCCGAAGGGAGAATAAACCAATCAGTGTATCAGGGAGATGAACTCGACATATCAGGTCAGGATTGCGCTTCTTTGCTTTGTTCACTCCACCGGGCATCAAGCCGGAGTAAAGCTATGTATGAGAACAAGGGAGTCCGTGGACAGATCGTCGCATCGCTGCATAAGAGCCCGGAAACTCGCCAGCAGGATGCTGTTAGTTCCAGAGCCACATCAAAGCAAATCAAGCGGAGAAAGGGAGGTTCGTGGAAAATGCGAAAATGTGTCACCATGGTATCCTGGCGGCACGTCTGCCTTTAGACGGAGCATGATAGCCATGGAAGATGACACCCGTGCAATAGACCTGCTTCCTGTAGATAAATATGCGGGAGGCGAGACGTGGAATGTGAAGAGAGGAGGAAGGGGGGTTGAGAGGGAGTAGACAAAGCGCTCAGCCGAGCCCGCGGCCTGTCGTCCTTGGGTTGGGCAACCGCGCATCTTAGGTGGAGACAACCGGCATCATCCTCGCATTGCCAATTTTTAGATAGGCAAACACGAACGAGAACCGCCAACTATTAGCAAATACGAGTCTGGGCCGGCGCCGGGATAGAAGTTTCAGAGAGCGGGGTGTGAAGGGTTATGTCGAAACGGAAATGCAGACGCAGGAAGGGAGGCCCTTGGGCAAGCATGACGGAGAGATAACAGGACTGTCTCGAGAGATATCACACCAATTAACTCGGTGGGGATATCGCCAGCCCGTTCATAAGCTTAGGCAGCGGCTTCCTGCGGGCAGTATTTGCCGTCTTGGACACCCGGGGAGCTCCATGGATCATGCGGGGTTCTTTCATAAGGCTTGCGTCGAGTTTGGCAGGTGCTGTGGTGGGATAGACGTTAGCGGGAGCACTCGGGCTGGCTGAAGAGGGACTTGCGGGCTCACCTCTTTGAGCAACTCGGCTGTAATCACCGGAGAGATTCGGTTGGCTACGGCTGCTTGGTGCAAAGAACGTGGCACTGGCAGTCCGCCACAGGTGGTTGGAGGTATCAGACAAGAAGTCAGTGGTCATTCGACCAGAAAAGATCGAGGTCCGGCCCCGGTTGCGCTTCGAGAGCACAATCTCGTCGAACAGCGCCATCTTCGAGTCCTTGGATTTGGGGTTGGTCCGCTCTCGTTCACTAATGAACTCATTGAAACCTAAAGATGTAAGTTTTGGCCCACTTGACCTCTCGGAACACCGGACAGAAACCATATCTTACCTTGCGTCTGCTGCAGGACAGCAATGTACTCAGCATGCTCATGTGGAAGGCTTTTCATGAAAGCATCCATATTGAACGCGTAGTACATCCCAGCCTTCTTCTTATCGCCACTGGTCGGCACAAGGAACTTCTTGTAAGTATAGAACAAGCTGGCAAAGCATCTTACGAACGCTGCGCGAATCTGATCTGGGTGGAAAGCAGCATCACAGACCAGGCAGACTTGGGACGCACACCGGTTGTGAACAGTCAACTTGCACTGCGAGCACTTGTACATGCCTTCCTCCGCGCGATCATCGCAAATGGCGCAAACCAACTTGTCGTCCCATGGCTGAGTCTGGAAATAGTGGCCCTCCACCCAGGCCGTACCTTCGGCGTTGTTGATGCACTGCACAGCAGCCTGCGGGACGATAGTCGAGGCGGCAATAGTGGATTGGGCGTACACCGATGGCGCATAGGTTGATCCTGCGCCGGCGTCCGTGTTGAGGGTGGTGACGGAGAGGTTCGAAGCATGTCCGAGGAAGGGTGCACTCGGGCGCCGCGTCATTCCAAAGGACGAGCTTCTCCGAGATGCGGCATCGAAATGGCCAGAACGCTTCTCGCGCAGGGAAGCTTGCAGCGCCATTCCAGAGTCGTTCCGAGAAGCGGGTGTAGGTGGAGGCGGAGGGAAGTGACCTGAAGTAGGGGAGCTTTCTCTGGGGGATGGCGGAGAGGCACTCGCCTTGGCTGTGGAGCTGGTTCCTGGCCGATCATAGCTCTTGGACGAATATCCACGCGAAGATGACTGCTCATGACGGGCATTGAGGAACGCGTTGAAGATCGGAGGATGATAGGAGCCAGGAAGCACAGCGGTCGAGCCAAACGCGCTGGAATTCAGACCGACATACTTGGCAAGGTTGGTTGGCGGTGCTTTCGAGGTGTATGTGGCTGCGCTTTCTGACAGGAACGTGTCCCATGGGTAGGTCTCAATCGCATACGCTGGGGGCCCAGTGGGAACACCGCAGCGGCTGTGGTGGGGTGCAGCCATTTGCAAGAGCGACAGGAGTTTCCTGCGCTGGTGGCGAGGGAGAGGGGTCGGCTGAATGGTACTCTCGATTATGTCGGCATCCAGGTCTACCAGGACAAAGTCGTCGCTGGGCAATTCGACCTTTTCATACCGGCGCTCGATGCCCACGATGTATGGGCAAGGCGCTTCAATAGCCTGGACCAAACGAGCGGGGAGGACGGGAATAAGAACGCCCGTCCATTGAATCGGGAAGAGCAGGTCGACCAGGGCTCTGGTTGCGAGGTAGAGCATGGAGGTGTGGGAGGACAGGAAAATGATGCGAGACTCAGTCAAAGCGTACTCAAAGAGAATTATGATGTTAGAAACCGACAATGTCCGGAACAAGGCATAGAGGTCGGTATTGCGCGAGCCAGGAAGCTCGTTTGACGCTTCTTGTCGAGCGAACAGCCGCAACTCGCGGATTGCAAGCTCGACCTGCGTCTTCGAAGAGACAGGGCAGAACGCCTCTGTACAGAGGTTCATAACATAGCGCTCCAGCGGCTGCCAGACGCCCATCCGAGGCGAGCTAGGCGGAACACGTTGCACCCCACCCTCTGTCATAGGCACAACAATCGCTTTAAGCCACTCCTTCCAGAAGCTCGTCATGTTAGCCTCGCGGCCAAGGATGCCGTAGGCACGAGGAATCCAGAAGCCGGTGTCACCATCCGTGAGGCCCTCAATCTTCGATGAGGCAGCGTGTCGCACCGGGCGCAACAAATCCGTCATGAGTCCGATCTTCTCCTCCACAGCGCTGATCTCGTCCTCGAGTTGCTCGCGAGATTCGGATCCGGAGGGCACGTTCGGGAGCTGCGCAAGAAGCCTTGACAATTTTGCCCGTTCTAAGGCAAGACGCTCGCCCAGACTAGCTGCCAACTCACGCTCCTCGTCCGTCATGTTGTCCTTCCGCCACTCCTCGCAGCGTTTCTCGAGCTCATCCGCGGCCTTGGGGTTCAGTGGGATCCATATGAGCACACAGATTCCATGCAGCTTCGAACCATTGTCCGTTGTCATGGCAAACCCGTGCCATGTCGACCGCGGCCGCTGGTCCGAGGACACGATGTTGATATCATTTGGGAAGGCAAACATGGGTACGTAGTCGGGGAAATTACCCCGCTGCTTCATCTCGTCGGCCATGCCTCGTGTGGGGTATCGGTCGAGCAAGACGGGCTCGAACCGCCGCTTCAACGGGTGCATTGTGGGGGAGATTTCGAGGGGCTGCGGGACTGGGATCACCGAGTTGTAGTTGCTAAGTCGTCGAGATGTGCGAACGGAAGCTGTGCCCAGGGGAAACTGCTGTTAGCGATGCGTCCCCCATAGAGAATCCTCACTGCCGCAAACAGGTGCCCGGGAAACTTCCCCAATGAACTTAGAGCTTACCTTGTCGCGCAATTGACGGCTGCCTCTTCATACTATTCATATCCCGGAACGCCATATGTCGGCGCACACTTCCAATACCCGATCTGAGCAGATTGGATCCCTGGGACGGCGAATCCTCGGACACGATTTTTTGAGTGCGAACGCGGGATCGCGGACGCGAGTTTGGCGTAATGGCTCCAGCGCTCAAGCTCATGTCCGTCAAGAAGGTATCTCGCTCTGAGGCGAATTTCAGCAGCGCCTGGTCAAAATCAAAGTCCTCCGAGAACAACGCGGACACACGCAGCGGTGAGGAAGCGCCCTTGACTGTGACGCTGCTGCGATTGCTGCTGGTCCCATTCGGCTGGTCGGAATCGCTGCGGGAGAGAGTCGATAGGCGGTTGGAGCTGCGCCGGTTGCTGACGCCGGCAAAGAGAGTCGAGTTGGGCCGGGAGGCTCCGTCCGGTAGGTGTTCCGCCTCGGCGTCCGCGTCTTCCTGGATGGCATCTGCGAGCGCGGGGCCGGGGGAGGCGGCGCCGTTGATGCGATAGTCCTCACCCAATCGCTTGAAGGTGTCCAAGATCTCGGAGCCATCCACGCCCGCAATCCAGAAATAGTCGGCGAGAGGGGCGCCCTCCGTGGCGCTGGTTGATGGCATTGTGGGCACTGTCGCAATAGACCAATTACCCTGACTGGTCACTTTCCACCCTGCTGCCCTTGTCACCTCATGGATTGCAGGTTCTCCGGCCGCATTCAATCAGGGGGGTGTACGGAGACGGAGCAGAGACGCGCGGGGAACAGCGACGGGCCCGCGGGAGTGCGCGAATTTGGCGAGCACGAAATGGTGGGAGGTCGAGGGGTAAGGAAGCGCCTAGGAATTGAGAGAAAGGGACGTCGCAATAAAGACCGAGTCTCAGAGAGAGAAAGAGCAGGGGGAATTCGGGACGGAGGGAGGGGCGGGCGAGGGGTTTAGGAGTGAAGATCAATTTTGGGGTGGGTTTGATGCCGTCTTTGTACCGGGGGAGGAAAGGTGGTGGGTGGTATTGAAGTACGGACGAACTGCTGGTGACGGAGGAAAAAGGAGAGAATGACGACGTTGACGAGATGCTTTTTCCTTCCCCATGCAAAATTGAAAATTGTCTGTGTGTGGGACGATGGAAAATTTTCATTTTCTTTCTAGTCGGAGCTTGAATTTGATCATTTTCTTTTTCTGTGTTGGACAGGGGAGCGGATGGTTGCGTAGGCTTCGTAATGTGGTTACTAGTGAAGTATTGGAAGTATTGCCAGTACTGTCGGTCCCTCCCACCACAGCGCACACCACTCCCACTGCCTCGAGAGGGACATCCAGCCTGTACCTACGTTAGCCTGCTCTGCACAGGCCAAGTGGTTGACTGTTCTCTGCGCACAGGAACCTGCGTCTCCACCTGACAGCCACTCACACCAGGACGGGACTCGACCAGGAGTTGAGTACCGAGAGGAACCCCCATCCTTCGGCCCTGCCCCCTCGGTGGCGTTCGAACAAACTACCCCGTACATATGATAATTACTCTTATTGTAAGTTGATTAGCCAGGGAAGTCCAATCCAGCCTATCGTCAAATGGCAGACTCAGGAACAATCTGTCCGCCGAACCCCTAGGCGCATTGACTAGCAATCAAAAAAGAAAGGGCTGGCCACTCAGCGCCGCCCAAACGCCCCATTGATGCACAGGAGTCTGACACGGTAGCGACCTGCAGCCAAACGCACCGCCACCAGCCGCTTTCCTGGTCTTCTGAACATCCAGACCTCCGGGGTCATAGTCTCGAGTCTCACCTGGAATCATGGGCGGCACTCGCCAGAGGATGCTCGATTCCCCCATCTCCGGCCCACCCAGCGCTAGAAACCTCCGCGACGTTCCCCACCGCGCACCATTGAAACAATGAACGGTTCGAGGTGGGAGGGTATCGGCTCGGTGGAGCGCATCGCGCACCGATGCTTGGCTCACAACTGCATCTTCGATAGAATTCATCCAACCATTTCGCCGAGCTGTTGCCGGGGGAGGAACCCAAGAGGCGGACTGACTAAGTTCCATGGTTGTTGGGCAATTCCGCAGCCCACATCGCCCGCACTGCTACCGGGCGCAAAAATGAGTGCCTGCCGAGCACCGACGTTGCAAGTCCTGCCAACGGCCATGTTCGGCATGCTCCTCGGACGCTATCGCAACTGTTAAGGGGCGCAATTGCTGAAGAGGGGCTTCCTGATGGCCTCGCGTGAGACATGGCGTTCCGAGAGAGTCGCTGATCAGTTGCTGGGCGCAGGAAGGGGGGTAAAGACTGGAGTATTAATAGTACGGGGTACTCATAGGTCGTCACAGTAGCTCTAGTGACTATAGTACATACCATGGTATTTATTCTTGACTATCAGGCAACTGACTTCCGGACTAGCGATCGTCAGCCTGTATGTAACCCCAAGTTCAGATTTTGTGTCCTGAGGAAGGAAAATTGTCGACTGCCGAGCCAAATCCAAGCCGCAACTACATATTGGCTGCCTTTCTGACACCTACACGACTCATCATTTGCCATTCAATGTCCATGCCGATGCTTCTTTCAGTCTTACTGACAGGTGAATCAATTCAGCCCGAAGCCTTTCCAATGACCCAAATATATTCTGTCAGAGCTTGAGTCAGGAGTCCATGAAAGTGGAGATACCTCCGGGGCAGGCCGATCTATGCCCAACGCGATTGCGGTTGATTGTGGAGCACTGAGGGGTGCGAATTTCTCAGTGGGTGCTGTTTTCCCGTGTAAAGGGCGGTTGGTACTCCATACGCGGCGTTCAACAGCGTACATTTAAAGTACGACCTACAATTGTCTGAACTATGTACGTACTACTGCGAGGCGACCCGGCCACCTCAACACCATCCCCTAGTCCCCAATCCTGTGGCATAGTACAACTCACTTATACCCGTTCTCCTACCTGGGCACGGCCCCCTTTTACCCTGGCCATATTACCACAAACTGCCGTATGCAGGACATGCTCGCTGCATGTTATGATTGGGCAGATCGTCCACGACGCCCTCAGCCCGCCACGGTCACACCAATCTGCGCGCCTGCAGCTGGACCTTGCGTGTAGCGTGCCTCCTCTGCGCCGGTAGCCCTTTTCGCCCGGCTGCAGTCGAGAGCAGGCTACGGCAAGGTTATCCCAACCTGCACCTCTCTGCGACTCAATCCTCCTCGGGCCGGCACGAAAGAAGCGGTGGGCGGGATTTGCTGCCCGTTTTTCAGGATGATTTGCTTGTATTCCCGCGGGCTATACTGAATACAGTGATGTTCCATGAGTCTTCCACCACCCAACAATGACATAATATTCTGCCGGTCAAAACATCTCCCCTTACTCATGCATCACGCCCTCAATCTATGGCTTTCTAAGTTTGTAGATTGAGCTTGGTCCATATCTCAAATGACCTTTCTTAAGAAGGAGGATCCTATCTTACTTTCATAGCGGTTTCATGACCTGTCAAGTGTCCTCTGAGAGCGGAAGACTAGGCGGTAGAGCAAAGGTGGTCGAAAACTTATGACACCACTGTACACCCTAAACTATAGAACAATGCCACGTCCTTGAATGTACACCGGAATGGCCTGTTTCTATTGATCAACACCGATCAGTTGGGCAGTCAGAGGCCACATCTAGATGGATCTTCGAGCCCGGTCTGGAACACCGAGAGCTGAAAATCCGGCCCAGTGCATTGGATCCCGGTTATCAGCGATGGGGGCGACGGGTCTAGACTCTGCCCCTCCGCACAGCCTGGACCATCACTGGTCGATCACTCGCCGAACTACTGTATACATGCCCTACAGAGTAGCCACACCTACCCAAGACAACACACAGCGGACAGCTGATATGTACATAGACGGAGAAATACTAAACCAGTCTTGGTTTTGGATACCATTGATGACTTCGTCCTTGGGCACTTACTGTACCGTTGTACTTCAAAATTTCATTAACCATACCACTCCACTTCGCACATAAGGTGTCGAGGTACTCGACGGCAAAATTGTCGCATCTAGAACCCTCATCCCGGTCCATAGGCTGGCCACATCCTGGGCCGAACTATCCACTCCCACACCGGCAACGGCTGTGTAACATTTTCATCGAAACGCAAGCACGCAGCTGCATGGCAAAGCCGCCTTCCGAGCCCCATGACGGTGGCGCCAGGCCCAGGGCCAGGGTCATCCGCCGGCATTGCGGCTCGGCACTTACTGATGAACACGATCGCTTAATTAGGATCAATGGATGGGGTAACTACCGACAGGGCAAGCCACATCAAGCACATTCTCAATCCGTCGCAAGAAAGCACCCATTTACTATTCTTTATATCCAATAAGACAAAAACACACCCGCAAATTATGTACGGCGGCATCGTCATACCAACCCCACCCAACCTCGCGCCGAGATCCACCCCTTGCACCCAGCACACTTGTGTCCTGCACCCAACGCGGCTGTATGCACCAGAGACTCGGGTTACATGCCGTGGCCCCGCGGGAAAGAGCCCGGTCATCGGGCCATGTTTCAAGCGCGTTTCCGGCTCATCAGGTTGCCCGTCGTGAGGAAGCCCTTGTCGCCCATGGCGCCGCGCCATTCGATCGACAACTGGCCCAGGGTGGCGCGTCCGTCGCGCCGCAGATCCTTCTGCAGGGCGTCGAGGCCTTCCGTTCGGCTTTCCTCTTGCTCCACAAGGAACGCGACTTGCAGGACGTCGCGCGGGTTTAGGGTGGGCGGGCCGGTGGAGGAGTCTGGACTCGTGGCGTCCCAATTGAGGGATTGACATTTAAAGGGTGGTCTGGGGTTTAGGCGAGTTTTCTTGAGGAGGGTGTTAGCTTGGGCCAATTCCATTCATTACCTGCGCGTTGCAGCGCGCTCCTCCATTCGACTGTTCGGGTCCGCAATTGCATGAAAAATGGGAATGAAAGAGGAAAGCTGGCTGGCTCACCTTAACAACCACTGCTCCGTCCCCAACATTCTCCAACTGCGCTTCCAGGGCAAACCGAAGCAGTCGTGTTTTCCCATACGGGCCGAGTGACTTATTTTCCACCTCCAATGGAGGCAGTTCCGATGCCTTTGTCCGCACACTCAGGCATGGCTGCGCAACGAACTGATATAGCTTGCGGAAGGTCCGGACACGGCCGCTAGCTGCTTGGGAATTTTCGCCAATCCGGGTCTCGGTGTAGCTGACACTGACAGCAAGAATATGATTCCCTTCCTCCTTCAGATCATACCGCACGATCTTCTGGAGAGACTCGCCGATTTGTAGGCCGTCTGATTGGGCCAAGTCACTAGGTGGGTCAAGGTCGAGCGTTGCAACCGACGACGGGGTTTGCATTTCGGCGACGATGCGCACGGAGGTTACCACGCGACCGGTTTCGTCGGGGGAGATTTCATTGTTTGCACTCAGGGTGCAGGCGAAGGTTTCGCCGACGTAGACCGATCCGAAGGCGGGAGGGAGGGTGAGCTGGTTTGTGTCAGCAGAAGCTACGTAGATGATAAACAGGTCGCTAGATTTCGACTTACACTAGGTGTAAGTATAAATTGCTCATCGGAACTGGCGGAAGGATAGCTCAGGGAGGCTTTGGGAGAGATCTTCGTATTTGCCGCGGGGAGGGGGGATTGATATGACAGCGAAGGCCGCGAGAGACTAGCAGAGGTCAGAGAGCCGTTATCAATTGGTGGTTGCTCTTGAGCAAAGGCTGGTGTACCGTAACACTGTTGAACAGGCATAATCATTAGCATCATCTGGACTCCATCATAGTACTCCGGGGGGTTGCATACCTTTCAGGGAAACCGCATGGGGTTCCTTCGGGGCGTCAGCGCCCGACGCAGCTCGCGGGCGCGCCATGGGCTCTGTGTTTGTTTCAGGATAGCTTGTTGTAAGACGAGATTTTGCACTGCTGTCCCAACGGGCATTGTAGTCTGCTTAACGAGTCATTTTGGCGGCAGTGAGCTAGGCAGTTGTCGCGGGCGAGCCGATAACGATAGCCCCGGGACCTGGAGCTTCCTTATCAAACAATGCAAACATCAAGAGAGTACTCATGCTGTTTGCCTCCTTCATTTTTCCCTTTCTTCATCGCTTTGTCTGTCAAGAAAGTTTCAGTTTGCAGTTCTTATTCTTCCTCCTTTCCTCTTGGGAAGCGGGAAGTCTCTTTCGCACGTCTGCTGTCTCTCACTGAAGCGGATGACGTCATTTCCCCAGCTACACTATCTAGTGAATATCGTTCACTTGTGAGGACATCTGTCTTCCTTGATCACTCCCTCTGCCTCTCTCCACTCTCCATCCTGTACACTGAATTCTGGAAACTGCACTGAGCTCCTGTGCCCCAAAGAACAGTCAACTATGAATACGGTTCAACGTGAGTATGCGGGGAACCCGGATAGCTCATCCACGATAGTTCCCCGTATCTCAAAACCCCGTCGTGTGCGCAAGAAGGTCACTCAAAAAGCCGAAGACTTGGACTCCACGGGACTTACAGCTAGACCTGGGAAGGGGGCTCCAAAGAGAAAGGCCCGCAATGTGCTTGCACTGTCCGCCGATTCAACCGGACCTTCTCCAAAGAAGCCAGCGGTTCAAGGTGACACCAATCTGCCTGGAGGTCATGTTTACGAGCAGCGTCCCCGCAGATGGCGAAATCGCCCACCTCAAAGCTACCTTGAGCGACTGAAGCGAGTCAGCTTGACCCGGTATGTGTAATCAGCATGAGCCCAACCATTTTCCTGGTCAACTAAACATATGCTGTAGGATGTTTGTTGTGGGTCAAGTTGTGGGTGGAACTGAAGAAGATCCTGAATTCCACTTCGACGTGGTCGGGTCTACTGGCAACATCTACAAGGTCGTTATCGGGAAACAACCCACCTGCGACTGCCCAGACGGCAGGAAGGGCAACCAATGCAAGCACATCTGCTACGGTATGTCTCTCACAGCCCCACAACTCCTAACTCCTGATACCACCCGAATTTTATTATTATGAATATTCTTACTGATGGCGTACTGTAAAGTTCTACTCAAAGCGCTCAAGCCTCGCCCCGAGCTCCAATATCAACTCGGCTTCGTGTCCTCGGTAAGTATTTGATTGCCCAAGGATGCTATCCTCACTTGGGACTTATCAGTCTGACATGGTTTCTTTGATAGGAGCTGCGTGAGATGTACGAGGGATCCCCTCTTAGTCGCATCAAGGCGACTGCCACCTCAGACCAAGACCACGATGGCAAACGCAAGCCTGTTGAGGGCGACTGCCCAATTTGCTTCATGGAATTCGAGGCCAAGGACGAGACTATCTGGTGTAAGGCCGCCTGCGGGAACAACATCCACAAGGCCTGTTTCGATCAGTGGGCCGCCACATCGCGCGCGCAAGGCCCCGTCCGCTGCGTCTACTGGTGGGTTTGGCTCTTCTTCCAGAGTCTCATCTGTCAATTCAACAACTAATCCCATTTCATCACAGTCGCACGAACTGGAAGTTTGACAGTGATGATCTCGATATTGAGAATATTCGAAAGACCGGCACCATCGGTGCGGACGGCTACATCAACGTCGCAGAGCGGTTTGGTCTGTCGCCTCAACGCGGTACGGGTTTATCCCTGTATTTAAAGCTCCCTTTCTTTCTTTCTTTCTTCGCGGCGTGTTCTTCTTGGGAATTGCTGACATTGGCCATTATTTGAGCAGACTATTCCGTGTACTCCTCTTTCTCAACTGCCCGACGATCGTTCTACTCTGGGTGGGATGTTGAACGAAGATGAGGAGCCTCCATCGGACTAGAGTCGTATGTCCGCTCTCTCGCGACAGACTTGAAGGTCTGTATACTGCTGATACATCACGATTTATGCTGAGGAATGGCATTCGGAAAGAAGGCGTTTTCAAGGACATGGCGTTTGATGATTGCACGATTGTATGCTTAGGTTGTATGAGTGATACCCAGTTCGAATCATCTTTAACATGATTACTACGTATTCCCAATGGCTCATCGTACACTACCCGCCAATGCTTAGGGGCGGGAAACCAAACTTCGAATTGGTAGTCATTGATGCCTTCAAGGATATTGTCGGTCACAACCGTGAATTGGTCGGTAAAGCTGTCTATTGACATCAGCGCTAGACCTTAACCAATGCATGTAGACATACAAGATGCTTACGTCCGCCCAAGGGGTTAATGAAAAGCCTTCAGAGTGGGACTAAGGTGACAGGGATAGGTAAAACCATGCTGCAGATCGTGAGATTTCAAAAAGCTGGAAGCTAACTTTAAAAATGAGAGAAAGATAAAAATCAATAATTCATGTGAGGAGAGTCCAGTTCTTTAGTGGAGTGCATAAAAATCCAATTTAGAAGGGTTGTGTGGCATTCATATCGCCCGCAATCGATTGAATGAGATTAACCGGTGTGGTTCCGAGGTATTGAAGCCTCAAGGTCCTGTAGCTCCTCACAATGTGCGATTTGGAACTTAATATCTCGATCCATATCAGAACTAGCGTGTCCAGGCATGGTTGTTTCGGTTTTGATGGCTGGGATGTTGGCGCAAGTGGGAAGTGTATTGCGCGGATTTTCAGGCGAATTCCTTTCATCATTTGCCCTTGCATCTGCGTCTGAGCCACGTCGCCGCGTAATACACTGCGCGACCATTCTAGCTATAGCAATCAATAGAATACAGATGGCTATTCCAGTGAGGAACCCGCCTATCATGAACAAAATCCTTGTAGAAGGTGAGAGTTGTTCATCAGTGGCAGCCATATTGAGTTCAAGCCCAGGTTAAACTTGAAAGCTTTGCAGGAAACGAGTCTGAAAAATATAACAAGATGAAGAGTTCGAAGGATAAGTTGGAGTGCACACATATATACGTTACTATTACGTAGCATAGACTACGCCATAATAGAATCACCCATCGCCGAGACCTAATCCGCCAGGCCCAACCTTGAGCACTATAGCATCGTTTCGCATATCTAATATGGGATTGAACGGGGGCTTACGGCCCAGGTTTGCGTAGTGAAGGGCTACAGGCCATAGTCAGAATGACCAGAATTAGCAAGCTCCGCGAAGTAAGGCGAGAAGAATGGCATAGTAATAATATTGACGGTAAGGCTACCGCTTCGGGTTGCGATTGGCTCCTGGAGCACGCCCTGAGCAGCTCCCTGAGCATCCTGAACGCACCCTGAGTGCTTATTCTCTCATGTTGAGTGTCTTCGTACCGAGCTACCTAACACACTGTTGTTATACTGAGGCATAACAGATATTTAGAGATTATTCTGTTCTCATAGCTAGGCACAGCTATACCGACAATTCCATCGAGTTGATCTCGAGCTTTTTCTCCTCGTGCAAAAAGAATGAAGGAGAAAAAATAACAAAAGCCCCAATCCCAACAGCCATCGGTACCATGTCCAAGCCGATGAGATATCGCTCCGTGTGCATCAGATGACCCTTCCATCCATCCGACAGCTCGACAATGCGATATCCATTGCGGATCAGTACCATGAGCGTTGATACACACAAAGCTGTCATTACTGGCCATCTCGCCTGCGAGGCCAGTGTTCTCCTTTTTTGTTGTCGGAGGATTACTCCTACGAGGAGTACGACAAAAATGACCGTGTTGCTGAACTGGAAGATAATTCCTGAGCGCATAACGTCACCCCCGTGGCTAAGTTGTTCGTAGTCCTCTGCGCTTGATACCAGGACTCCTCCGACAGTCTGGATGGCCAAGGAGATGATGTCGCAAATGATAAATCCAACCCAGAAAATTGTGGATGGAATAGGGAAGACGCGGGGGCTAATCTTATCGATTCTGCTTTTGTTAACGCCTTGTTTCTGAGTCTTCGGTCAATTCACTCACAGCTTGCAGAAGAGAACATAATCCGCGGCAGACAGGAAGACAGGGCTGACGATGAGACTGCAGATTTGGATCATGAAAGCCATCCAGCTCGTCGGCTTAGGCTGATCAGCAATTTCTTTTTCAATTAGAATGACAACTCACGGCAAAATGAGCCCAAAGGCGCCCTCCCCAGCCGATTGCCTCTCCCAGAGCGACAAGCACAAGCGTAATCATCCAGTAGTGCTTATACGGCCCAAATGCCAACTGCAGGATGCATATGATCATTGAGGTACTAAAGAATATAATACCGAAGAGCGATGCCCGTTCGCTGGGCAAGTACCCATACATATCAACGTTTTGATCCATGGTCAGCGGTTTCGTTGATTGATCTGATCTCCATCTGACGACCGAGGAGACCACCGAAGAAGAATTATATATGATTACAAGGACGGATTTCCCGCCTAAAGAGCTAATCAATTGTGTACTGGTGATATCAACTAGAAACCCCCTTTTTGCTTCTGCCTGGAAAGTTTCTGAAAAGCGACCGCGAAACCTCCGCATAATCTCCGCGAGTGATACGGACACACCCCGTTTAACTAGCCTGTGGAGAACATAAGCCCGCTCGACCGGGAGTATACATTAGCATGAACTTACCTAAATGACTTGACCTCTTTTGGGACTCCATACTCAAGGGAGTCTCGACACTACCTTAACCTGTCTCTGGCTTCAGATTCCATTATCTCCACCGGAAGTAGTCCGTACATACCAATGCGGTTAGACCTTTCGCCGCGGCACTCCCATCCAAGTCCCGCGCTTTCTCCGCCTTCCTCTCACCCCGTTGAACTCGCCCACTTGACGGAAGTTTCTTCAAGATAATCTCCAATGGTGCTAAAACGAGGATTGGAACGAGTATCATGCGATTTCTGCCATCGACGAAAGATCAAATGTGACCGATTATTGCGCGCCAGACAAGGCATGGCTACATGTTCGCAGTGCGCCCTTCGGGAAATACCATGCTGTCTTGATGACTCGGATGATGTTCGTGTTCGGCGGCGCCGCCAATTCACCGCTCGCGGAGGTAATGTGAAAGTGGGTGTCGGAGAATCAGAGACGGCTCTGTCTAATACATCACCGGGTAACCGAGGGAATCCGACCTCGCAGGTTGCTTCGGAATTAAATTCCGTCTCTCTTTCCCCAAAAGATGGCAATATGGCACTATCAAATTTCCCAAACGGCCTGTTTGCAGATGGGCCATTCGAACTAAGCTTTGACAATATGCTTTTTCTTGACCAAATCTTCATGGGTAACTGCGAACCAACAGAATGGGACAACCGCCGACCAAGCCAAGACCTGCAAGATCCCACTTCCACTTCCGATAACGCCGAGACCGACGACCGAGAACAGTTTGGGCGGGACTCTACCTTTCCAAATGGGATGCTTGATTCATTTTCTTGGATGGATGACTCTACAGAGTCGGCTATTTGCACTGCAGCACTGCATTCCTACTTCGATTTTGCGGCCCCATATCTTCCAATTCTCCTCGCGGATGCGTTTTGGCGGGATCATCACGCGAGTCGGTGCAGTGAATCACTTCTGTATGCTGTTGCCTGCCGCGGTATGCCCTTCACTGAAGCACCAAACAAATGGGATCTTCAGCAACGTCTTGCGTGCAAATTCCGAGAGACATTTCTCATTGCTCGAAGCAACGCATCTGATGATGAATTCATCAGACTTGATGATCTTGAAGCTCTGGCGCTTATGGTGAATTTCGAATACGAAGACGCTGGCAGTCTACCGCTCCTTTTGAACCTAGGGAGGCTTTTTCTTACGCACGAGTCGCTCGTTTTGATGACCATGCACTATCGAATTCTTGATCATGATACCACTGCTTCAACTACGTCAGCAATCCTGGCAAGAGCTAGCGAGCGTCGCGTGCTTCTCTATTGGCATATCTATGGACTAGACGCATTTCATTGCCTTGACCGCAAGCAAATATCGCGTATCTCAAATAACGACGTCGGCAGCAAAGAGAGTCTCTCGCAACTTGATACCAAGGACTATTTCGATGCTATTCTTGCCCTGGCTGTTATTGCCCGCCAAATTACACAGAGTCTGTGTAGCCCGCTCGCAAAACGTCAAGGCGTCGAACCAAATGACGTCCACGATTCATATGAGCAACTCAATCACTGGAGGAACAAAATCTGTCCGCAATATCTACGGAGGTACAAAGATAGTGCAGGTAGACTAGCGCCCATTGACCTCAAAGAGCCAAATTCCAGTAGAACGAAGAAAAACACCCAGCTTTATCGCGCAGTCTTATGGGCTCTAGAGCTGAACTGTCTATTAGAGATTGAGAGCTGTGTCTCAGATTACGGGATACAAGATAACAGAAGCTTGGAGGCAGAGATAACCGCAAGGCGAGTCGAATATGCCAGTTTACGCGCATTGAACGACATGGTCGATATATGTCGGTGGATAAAGCGGCACGAGACTCATAATCAAGATCATGAGCGACACTCGTTAATCGATCTCGCACCCTCTGTTTTGCGCAATATCTGTGCGGGCATGTGCTTTTGGTCCTGTCAACGCGGCATTGAGCTTTGCAACCGTGGTTCCCCAACTCTGCTGCGTTCCACCCACGAGAACAATGGAGATGATGGATTCAAGCGACATGTCCAAACCTATGTTGAAACAGCACAGTTGTTGCGAGATACAGCAGCGACAGCGACATCACATCAAGATACGGCACAGATCCTTGAGCGCATTGACAAACAGCGAGCGCTACTTGATTCCAGGGTGGGTGATCTCCAGACTCTCCGCCAGCCAACTGTTCTTTAATATAATTATTTGGCGTCTTGAGGAGTTATACCAGCATGTTGTGGGCCTTTCTCTTATACAGTATCTGCCTTCACTCTTATCAATACAGTCCGCCTACGTGCCTTTGTCTCCCTCTCTCGCTCGGATTGCGGGTGGATCTGAACAGGACTGCAAAAGCCAAGAAAATAAAAAATCATCATTCCCTTACTAAAATTAGCCCTCTTCTGCATAAGAAAAGCCTTCTGTACTACGGTATGACTGGCGGGTGTAGAGGTAAACTGCGCCTATGGGAAGGGAGGAGTGGGGGGATGGAAAAGCCTACAGGCGTGCAGATAGATTCCATCCATAATCATCTCTCTCCATCTCCTCCGAGTCCCCGTAGCCGGTGCTCGTCAGCATTTATTAACAGTAGTAATCACAACCCGAATGCAGTAGAACAGGGCGTAAATTAATCTCATCATAATGCATTAATGAATTCCTAGGCAACATGCCGCCCACCTGCCAGTGGGAAGGGGTTGGGCTAATCGCTGGCGGTACACGATATATCTCCAGTGTTTAAGCCCTTTTTTGGTTTTGTGCCCTTAGTGACTTCCATCTATTCCGGTTTATTCCGTTTTGTTTTTGATTTTACAAATAGACAACGGGAAAATGCACATTTTTTGATTTCAGGATTTCTTCAAGTGGCTTCTCATCTGGTGATATCCAGGTGCTCAACTTGAAGATACCAGCCCCCTCTCACCATGTCGATGAGATCGGACCTGCGAATTACTATATCGGGCTAGGTTTACCACGTTCGGCCTAGAACCCCAATCCATTGGAGGCAACCCAACTTTTTAACCAGCCTCCTTTTGAGTTCCTTTCCGCATTCCGAAAAACACCCTGATTCTCCAAGACCTTTCCAGCCTACTAAGTCTCTGGGGCTCAGAATGGACTCGAAAAAACCCTCCGATCACTCCGTAGCATCGGCTCAACAGGCACTAAACGTTAACCGTCGTGATTTGCCGACTCTGGAGCGCTTTTTGGTCAAGCTTGGCTTTTTTGACGAAGCATTTCTCAGGCTGTAAGAGCTCTACATAACCCTAATAGACTAGATTGCCTACTTATCTTATACATCTAAGTATTTGATCACTCTCATTTCATCACCATATCTATTCGAATATCTGATATGCCGTCTGTTTATGGAATGCGGTAACGACACTTGCCGGTCGTACGGTAGCACAGCGTCAAAGTGCATAGATATGGTTCTAGTGCTGTACTTTGCCCGGCTGTTTTATTTGGGCTGGGCGCGCAAGAGGCAACTAGCAGCTGAGGATAAAAGTGTTACTTCAAACTAGAGAATTTCTGAGGCTAGGATCGAGCAAAAAGGACCCAATAGAATGGATTGGAGATACTCGTGAAGGAAAAAACCCTTGACTATGGTGGAACTTTTTTTTTCTGTATTTCTTGTTGTGTCTTTAATATATCTCTTCTGATGAACACCAGACAGAGTATATATTAGTACAATTAGATGTCCAGCTATTCTAAACTTTACATAGATATTACTAGTACTAGGTATCCTGTTCTTGAAAATCTTTTCACAAAAGATGAGTCTTTGTGATTAGCATCATGTTGAGGGGAAGGGAAATACATTTTGCCCTGCCCCTATCTAAGCTTCAGATTTAAGTCCGGTTTGTGATTGTGGTGCTTGGCGATGCTAGTTTTAGCTTGGCCAGAGATTTCGAGCGATAAAATAACGAGGCTGCACTAACGTGCCCAATAATATGGTGAGACATTTTCCCAAGTCGTTGGGACCCACATATAGGGTGAGGACCTGAGGCTGGAGCTTGTTTTTCACAGTTAACGATCCCGTAGGGTCCACGTGTCTCAGCGTTCATACATTCAACAAAAGGATCGGCATATCTAGTGCATGAAAAAGAGCACTAATCTGCATTTATAAAGCCAAGGCAAACGCTTAAACGGCGCCAGGGTAGAATAGGAGTTTAGCAAAGATGAAGTTGTTAAATTCGGCCCCCAAAGTAGGGGATAAGAAGATCCACTTAAGTAGTCGTTTAGTTTCAACACGCAACACCCCACTATGTATGAAGTAATATAGAGTACCAGTTCGCTATCGAAAAATTGGCCCCTAAACCCCCGCAACGATCCAGCCATGACTGCTCTTGGTGAGGCGATCAGGTTATTCAAATCTTATGGCGGCACCCTTGAAGAAGCAAAACAAGTTTGATCATGATTTGGCTGGTAAACGGGGCCAATCCACGCTTGTGCGACAACAAGGGACGTAATATCCTCCACATACTCAACACACCTTTGCATGCAAGGCCCTTAAATTAACATCCAGGCCAATTTAGTGTTCCGTCTTGCCTGATACTGATATGTCCTTTATATACACTACTGAATCTCAACGAAGAGTCGCGGTTATTTATCTCCCGCTGCTGGGAGCTCTCGCAATCCCGGCACGACAGTGCTGCCGTCATCAATGTTAGACTTATGTGGCTAGGAAGAGGAAGCCGCGCTGTGAAAGGGTAAAGTGTAAAATGCGAAACATGGCATCAAAGCTCGCAATTGATTCCTGTTCACCAGGCAAATTTGCTGAATATGGGTATCATCATAGCAAAGGCCCCGGCCAGCCTGGCATCCCGCAAACCCCCAATACGCCACGTGAAATATAAACCAAACTCCAATTGTTACGCTGGTCTCTTAACCCGCTTGCCATCGCGAACAACTGCCAGACTGATAGCTTCCTCGCCCGTCATCCAGGACGGCATTCGTTCGGGATCAATCACACCTAGCTCCGCGAGCTTGCGGATTCCGCCGATGACGTCCGATCCGGTAAAAGTGAGCGAGACTGGATACCCAGTACCTGCCGGGCTATCATCATCACGAGTTGGGGCAGGCGCATCAAGTAGTCGAATATCAAGACGGTCCAAGGGCGCAGGGTTCTGCGAGCCCCCAGCTGTTCCAAATCGAGAGTGAATTGCGAGCCGACGCTTTTTGGATGTGGGTGAGAGTTCCGAGTCGCCGATGCTAGATTGCCGCTTGGATGCCGTACTCGTTTCCCCCTCGCGCTTCGCGTTCTCTTTATCTTCCGGTGACCGGGGTTTTTGACCCCCGCGCATATGTTCCTCCGCCGAGACTGTGCTAGCTGGGCGCGGATCCAACGGACTTCCCTCAATAGCGGCATCGGCGAAGATGCTAAACGCACCGTTTGCCGCAGTTGTCCGCCCCGGACCGCGCAGCGCTAACAGAGTGGGCAAGCTCTTCGCTGCCAGTGCAGTGGCTTTCAAGGTATACCGTTCTTGCGGGCGAGAAAGCGCCTTAGGAAGTGCCTCGCGCACCAGGCGCTGTAGACTTCGGGGGTCCGTGGCAATAGAACTTATTGATGGGGCCGCTTTAGAGCCCGTTGAAGCGGAGATGGAGGTGTATATGAAGGGACAGCTGTCGGGGAACGCGACGTAGATCAGACGCGACGAGTCAGCGAAGATCTCCGGCGTCTGTCGAGGAGATTGGTAGGGCGTATCGATGATGAAAATGCGGAGGAATGTCAGTGGGAGAGTCGATGAGCGCGAGATGTGGTAATGTCCTTTCACAAGCGGGGAGATCTCTTGCTGGAGGGCCTTCACGAAGGTCGCAGCCTGTGTACGTGGGATACTGCTCGACCAATCGGCCACAGGACTATTAGCAGACTGTTTCTGCCTGGACTCAATGAGACTGAGCTCCAATGCTGTCCATCGCAGACTTGCGGGATGATCGTCCATATAGCGCAAGTCTGCCATTGCGAGCTGGCGCAGTGTGATACCATGCCGCCAATCACCCTCCAGTATACGCTCTAGAACTTCTCGCTTGCCGCCTTTCCGATCCTGTAGGTCCTCATAGGCTTGACGGACTTCCTCGACCGTCTCGGCCGCGGGGTATGGGAGGGTCTCTTCGTCGTCGATGCCATTCTCAGCCTCTGGTTGGAGATATGGCGGAAATGATGTGATATTGCGGTCGTCAAGCCATAGCAAAGCCAGATCTAGTAGAGCTTGTCGGGAGAGTTTACCAAGGGTTTTCGTGAGGGAGGGGGTTGTCGAGGGGATGCGAAGGTTGTTTGGGAGACTGGCGGTCGTTGGGGCGCGGATTGACTTGGAACGCGCCATGGCTGATCGCATTGACCAGGTAATGGGCTTTTGTTGAAAGAACACTTCAGGAGAATTGCATGGTTCAGGACTGAAAGCGCCGAAGTTCTTGTCTTGTTTTTTTATTTCCCTGACTGGATTCCACGCGACGAAACCAGAGCATCAACAATAAGCGTCACGTGGTGATAAGCAATGGGTAAATTATGTCACGGGACTATGAAGTAGTTAGCTGAGTGATCCTGGAGCTTTAAAGGCGTAATCCAAATGCACATCAGGCTCTTGAGAGGGTTTGATAACCACAAGGTTTCTGTTGAACTTGGGAAGTTCTGTACCAGACAATCTGGTCGGTTTAGTATAATCGGGAGAGTGACAATGCCTCCCGGAAACCCAACATACACTTTGGACCTGATGAGTCGAATCACTCGAGTTTAGGGGCCATCTTAACGCAAAGCTATTGACTAGGATTCATGCCATGGGGTCTATGGGATTTGCGACGGATATCTCGACCCCAGAGACATGGCCAGCTGTCCCAAGGAGGCCCCTCCCTACCCTGGACCCTGAGCTACTACCTGGCCGTTGCTGATTTGTCCCGCCAATGCGAAGGCCGTCCGTGCTCCAACTATAGGATGTCGTGACGCAAGCTCCCGTTTCCCGAAATGCTGTCGACAGGGTTTGCCCAAGACAGTGCTTTGCGACGCGTTTTCCTGCTTTCCAGACACTTGCGCCTTTCATGGATCGCTTCTCCGGGTATCTGATTAATAATTCATCGGGGCAGAATCGGGAGAATCAGGGAAGGTTCGATGACCACACGGTGACTTCAGGTCCGACCACGGCTGAGCTGACCAATCCGGGCAACTACGTCCGCCAATGAGATGTGCAGGTGGCTGCCCGGCGAATTGCAAGCCAGCAGCCGCGCTTGTCGCTATAATTCCCTGCCCTTTTCTGCGAAGGCGCTGAACTACGATGCTATGAGGTGTCGAGGGGAAGGAGGGAGAGAGAATGGCTGTTCAAGGGTTGATATTTCCCTCGATCTGTGCGGATCTGTGTGATCGGGCCCTGCTCAACCCATTGACCCCAATTGGGGAGGACGTTCCGAGAGTGGGTTACCCGTGTGGGCCGCCTCCGGTCATCGGCCGCCCTCCCCGGTGATTTTGAGTCAGACTGGTTGTGCGACCGTTTCTGCTGCGTGGTCGAACACAGCTTGGGAGGTGAGCAATAAGCTTAGGGATACTAACCAGTAAGAAGAGAAACAATGTTAGATTGCTACTGTATGAGCGAAGAGTGAAGTATACGAGGTGGCTGCCGGGCTTCGGTCATGAACGTCGCTAGCGGCGAGAACGTTGATTAATCATCACCCCTCGTCGGCACACCCCCCCACCACTCCTCCAATTCAAACTCTAAGAAAAAACCCACTTGGTGGCCCCGAACACCCACATTGACTCGACCCTCTCTGCCCTCTTTCCTTCTCCATCTCTCTCCGTCGCCGTCGCCATCCTCGCCATCCTCGATTCCATCGCGACGCCCTGGGAATCCGCCTGCACCCATCACGACTGACTCAACCCTCTTCACCTGGGTTGAACTGTCCCACCTGTATCGGCCCAGAGCCGCAACCGGCGCGTCCGGAGTTACCTACAGAGACCGTCCATGCGCAGGACCTTCATTGTCCAACGACGAAAAATAGATCGCAAATCCGATCTCCTTTGACTCGAACGCTTTTACAGTCAACGTCAATTGATAGGACGTCAAAATGGCCAACTTCAACGGGCGCCGCGCCCCCAACTTCTCCGAATACCTGGATGACCTGAACGCCATCCCGTCGCCCTACGATGAGGCTGTGCAGCAGCGCCAGCAACAAAACGCCTTCAACCTCGATGAAGAACTGGCGCTCTTCACCAACACCGAATTCTTCGATTTCGACAAGTTCAACGACCTCAGCCTGCCTACATTCGATTCGGTGGAGAAGACATCGCCCGTTGAGGCCATCGCAGAACAGTCTACACAAAATGCAGACATGAAATTTTTGGACTTTTTGAATGGTAAGTTAATAAGTTGAGGAGTGATATTGGATTCTATTGGTCGCGCTCCATGGTTGGACAAATTCCCCTGCGGCATGAGTTTCCCTTGGTCACTCCATGCCGATCTGCCTTGCCCATGGATACATTGTCATGGAACTATGCATGATGGCTTGTGACCACCGGAATCACTGCATTACTCGCCCACTTGATATTGGCTCTGGCTGCAAACCTCATGTCTTGGCTGGATGTCGTCTTTTGGACGCTCGATGTGGCCAATCACTCCCCGCACACAGCACCACACCTCTTGTACCCTGGTGTAAACGCTATTGAGGGCAGGCACTCGCTAGGGCTGCAGGACATCCATATTGTGTGGCGTGGGCAGAGACGTCTTTTATGTCCGATCTGCCCCGAGCAATTGGTTTCGCAGTCGTGAATCCTCTCCGCTATTACGCCATTTCACGTGATCGGGAAGGCACTTGGCCCCGAAAGTGCAATTAACCAAACCATGTCGGGCTTATCGAGGGCGCGACAATGTAGATACTGTTCTTAAATACTGAATGCTAACTTTGATTCGCACAGATGGTTTGGGTAACATGCCCGAGTATCAGCACGAGCTGAACCCCGTGAACGCGTCGGTGCCCGTGCAGAACGCGTCTTACTCGAGGGTCCCCTCTGTGTCCCACGCGCATATAGCGGTTAATCCGGCTCCCGCTCAAAATTTGCCCTTGACCGCCCCTCAGAGCGTGGCCTCCACGCCTGCTCAAAATGCCGTGACCCCTCCCGCACCTGCCGCTGGCCCGAAGCGTAAGCACACCCAGAAGTCGACCCAGGCTAGCGCCGAGGAGGCTGCCCATGTTGCTGCTGAGGAGGACAAGCGTCGCCGTAACACCGCGGCCAGCGCTCGGTTCCGTGTGAAGAAGAAGATGCGTGAGCAGGCTCTGGAGCGCAGCCTCAAGGAGACCACCGACAAGAACGACGCCCTCGAGGCCCGTGTTTCTCAGTTAGAGCTTGAGAACCACTGGCTTCGGGGCCTGATCATGGAGAAGAACGGCACCGAGGAGCGCAACGAGGCGTCTGAGAAGGCGATCTCTGAAATGTTCAAGAGTTTCCTGGCCTCGCGCCAGCCCGACTCAAGTCTTTCCGAGTCAAAGCACGGCGTCGGCACCACTGCGTAAGCGGTCAAAATATTAAAAAGAAAAAAAAACCCCAAAAACCAAAAAGATCACTTATTCCCCGCAATCTGATCCATGCACTGCTACTCTGTTTCCTGATGCTTCTAACGGTGGGCTTTCCTGGTGGAGTTCCTACTCCCAACCCACTGTCATTTTTATTTTTGTTAATATGATATGAGCGATTTCTATTTTATTTTGCCGCTGTATGCTATCTTAGGTGGCATCTGTAGGTGGGAGTGGCAGAGGACTATGAGTGATGATTATCTACTGTGCAGTTTGATTGAATAGACACTTGACCTTAAATAATAAGCTCTGCGTGTAGTTATGGAATGTATTCGCTGCCAAAATGGGGCACATTGAGGCATGAATCTGTAATGGAGACCTTGCCGAGAGAATCCTTTTTGGGTCTATTACAGCTTCCAGAGATCAATCACTTTCGGACACCAGAAAGTATCCGTGGTTCAAGTTCTATGGTCCAATTCATCTCGCCCAGAGATGGAATCGAACCCACTCCACCGCAAGGTCAGTCGTTTCAACGAATTTGAAAATGAAGTGAGCCGGCCAGCTTGTTTTAGTAAATGGATGTCAAGCATCCTGGATGTGCTAAAAAGCGAGCGAGCAGTCATCTCTCGTCGCATGTGGTCAAGTAGATGGACGAATCCTGAAGGTGGATCATCATAATACCTAGGGCAGTTGTTGCCACATGAAAGCGGAACAATGCAATCCTAGGATGAAGCAGGTTTGAGAGTGCAATTATGATCTTGCCGCAGGATACCTCAACGTTCATATTACATGGTCTCCGTTCGTCTCGAGGAATTCACATAAAGTGCTGTGAGCGAAAGCTAAATCTGATTGGAAGTCCCGCAGTGAAATGTACATGACGTGAAGCATGACTACTTCAGACTGAGTTGTCAGCTAGGGAGGTTCATATCCCAAAGTGGCAATCTTGTGACGCCCACTGCACAACGCAAGATGTTCGGCGTGCCAGTATACGAGTAGCTGAGGCTTTGGCTCAGCAGATGTCGGTTCATTTTATCATAAACTTGGCCTTGCCGAAATCGATATACGCCTGTGGAAAGACTCGCGTATTTGTTGATTTTATGTTGGCGCGATCGCGGAGATAGTGAGATGGATAGTGCACATACAGATGGTGGGGTGAAGCCGCTATATCTACATTTGGATATTATTTCCAACCATCACACTTTATTCTATCTATTGAGGAGCCAAGTCCTTAAGGGAAACGGTGACTCCCAGCTCCAAAAATAGACCGCTTAGGATCAACGCGGCGGAACCTTTGCGTTGGCAATATAATTATTGCAACCCTGCCAGTCCATTGGACCGACTAGTAGCCTTAACGTCCGTCTCTACCGTTTTATATAGGGACATATCGATGCGAACATAGAAGAAAGCGGTGCAGGTAAGGCCCGGTCGCTCAGCCGAGAGATCTGGGATGTGACAGGACGCAGATAACTTGCATTATCATTGTTCTCGAGCAGTAGTGAGTGGAGTCTACAAAATAGCGTAGGTGTGGCTGGCTGACATTCAGGGTTGTGAGTTGGTCAATGCTGATGGTTGGGTGAGGAAGCAGCATGGGTTCTAAGGGGCAAGACTGTGAACCCTCGTTCATCCCCATTATTCCACAGGTTTCAGGGGCGAACACCCTTAGAGCATAGTTACCCAAGGATGACCAAACGTGATCGCGTTCCCATCCAACCTGTCATGCTGCACCTGCACACGTTTTGACACAGCAACCCACCGCCTCGGCAATTCAAATTTGAAGTCCGATGTGTCGATCTAATTTCTCGAGAGTTGACCCTTGTGGGAAGCTGTCATGTTTATCACGACCGAGCGCGAGATCCACCCCTGGATTAAAACCTCCACGCGCAAGGCTGATTCGACGCCACTTATCCGAGTCCGAGATTATCAACATCGTTTTCCCCCCAATGAGACAGAACCGAGCGCTGTTGTTCAGCCCCTTCCCAGTCGGTTAAATGTGCACACTAGCATGAACACCTTTCGAATCGGCCTAGTCGAACCCTAATGCTCCATGATGGAGTTGCTCTCGTGTCTCGATGCTTTTTAGTGGCAGCGTCTACTGCTGCTTTTGTGCGGCGTTTTCTAGGTCTCCGGCTTGGATCATCATTGGATCGCTTGGTGTGGTAAACAAGCGCCTGCATGTTTGGCTAGGCGATGCATGTGACTCCACTAGCGTCTTTATATACAGCTATTGCCTTGGTCCCTTGATGTGAAGCCTGGTTCTCTGGAAGAATTTGGAAACGTCGCCTCGGGTACCCATTATGGCCGCTGTCAAAATTTTTCTGCTCACTGTGAGCGCAGCCTCAGTTGCTATTGCGGGTAGCAATGGTAACTTGAAGACGTGTCTTCGGGATGCCTTGACTGATTCCGGTAGTGTCGCGTTCGCAGGCGATCCTTTCTATCAGGTTGCGGATGTGAATCGCTATAATCTCAATATCCCTGTCACTCCGGTGGCTGTTACCTCCCCTACTTCGTCGCAACAAGTCGCCGCCATTGTCCAATGTGCAGCGGACAACGGATATCACGTTCAAGCGAAGAGTGGTGGGCATAGCTTTGGCAACTACGGTGTGTATTCTGCCCAAAAGATGAGCAAGTGAAAGGTTGTTGAAAAATGAAACTAACATGTGGAATGGCCATAGGCCTCGGTGGAACCGATGGTGCTGTTGTCGTCGACCTGAAGCACCTCCAGCAATTTTCCATGGATAGCACAAACTGGGTGGCAACAATTGGCTCCGGCACCTTGCTGGGAGATGTGACCCAACGTCTTCACGATGCTGGAGGGCGGGCGATGTCTCACGGAACTTGCCCTCAGGTTGGCACCGGTGGTCATTTTACAATTGGCGGTCTCGGCCCTACCTCGCGACAGTTTGGTGCAGCTCTGGACCACATTGTGGAAGCAGAGGTTGTGCTCGCCAATTCGAGTACCGTGACTGCCTCTGATACGCAGAATCAAGACATTTTCTTCGCCATCAAGGGGGCCGCGTCTGGATTTGGTATTGTCACGGAGTTTAAGGTTCGCACCGAGCCTGAGTCTGGCACTGCGGTCAAGTACGAGTATACTCTCGAGGTCGACAGCACTGAGGAGCGGGCTAGTCTCTTCAAAAAGTGGCAGGCTTACGTGGCCAACCCTAAACTGACGCGCAAGCTGGCATCCACGCTTACTCTGCTTGAGGGCAGCATGATCATCACGGGCACTTTCTTCGGCACGGAGGAAGAATACAACGCGCTGGACCTGGGCAATCAGTGGGGGGGAGCTACGGGAAGTGCAATCGTCTTTCAGGACTGGCTCGGTCTTGTTGGCCACTGGGCCGAGGAGGCTGCGTTGGAGCTTGTAGGAGGAGTTGCTTCTAACTTTTACTCGAAGTCCACAGCTTGGACGCCCAGCAACCTGATGAGCTCCGAAACAATTGACGAGTTGTTTAACTACATTGACAGTGCAGACAAGGGTACTTTAACTTGGTTCCTCCTGTTCGATTTCCAGGGTGGCTACACCAACGACATTCCAGCTGACGCAACGGCGTACGTCCACCGTGATGTCCTTATCTGGCTGCAGTCATACAGCATCAACTTGTTGGGGTCTGTGACACAGACTCAGATCAACTTCTTGGAGCAAGTCAACAAGCTCGTTACCAACGATAAAGCCCCATATGCCGCTTACCCGGGCTATGTTGATCCTCTGATGCCGGATGGCCCCGAAGCATACTGGGGATCTAACCTGCCTCGGCTGCAGCAGATAAAGGACGATATTGATCCTAAAAATGTGTTCCGCAACCCGCAGAGCCCGTCTCCTGCCAACTAGAGAAATTCTCTTCATCCTTTAGCCGAGTCCAAGCTAGACACTGCTGGGTCAAGGAAGCTTGATGGGCCGTATCTATTCACAAGTACATAATTTCGTCTCACTTGACTTATATGGTGTTATTTTTTATAGAATACACCATGTTCGGGGTTAAGTCTCGACGGTATCATGATCTCCTTGCAACCACCACCACGCCTCTCACAACTCCGCTTCTCGCCCACCAGCCGAATAACAATTTAGCTCCCCGAAATTTGCCCACGTTAAGTCCATACGGTTGCCCATCTTGAAGTCTTTGGCCCAAGAATTCCGATATGCCGGCAAAAACATGCCGGGAAACGTCCTTGATTTCGATTTGGGACGCCTCGTACCCCGCCGCCACTAGAAGACGCACATACTCCTCCCGAGTAAGGAAGTTTCCGAATGGTGAGCCAGTTATCCAACACACTAGCCGCATCCTGAGACGTTGCCACCATGATGTATTATCAGCTAGAAGAAGATCATAGGCCATGAAGGAGGCGTGAAGGGTATTCCGTGCATAATGAAGAATGGGAAGACGTGAGGGCCGGAAGTGATACATCGTATCAAGAGCAAGAAGCCAGGTAGATGTGTCCGGGTCATGTGTGGTTCCAACAATATTGGAAATTGAATTTTGCAGTTCTCCAGTCCAACTCGAGGGCTTAGCGCCGTCGGCGCAGAAAACATCTGCGGAGCTACAGCTCCCCTGCCCATTATTCCGCTTCTGCTGCAGGCGAATTCGCTGTCGGGCAATTTGTGCTTGTGAAGGCTCCAGGGTGATCCCTATGTAGGTATTGACAAGAGGCTTCAGCGACTCTTTTCCAATAATATGTCGCAAGGCTGGATCGGAGCCCCCATCAGAAGAGTTGAATCCAGATCCAGAGGCCGTCAAAGCAATGTTGGGGGTTTTATCCAATGCTCCATACGTCAGTGATGCAATGTATGCCGACTGGTCACCGCATCCGCATCCCACGTCCAATATTCTCACTGACGGGCTCCTTTCCGTGGCGAGACCGGTCTCTAGAACCTGGTCAAGCAGAGCTTGGCAAGCTTCCGGGAAATCACCAGTATTCTGAGGATGTTAGTGGGACGTCAAAGTACTTTGAAGGGACGCGACTTACTTTCCAATATCCCATGTTCATCCACATACTCTCAGGCGGCAACTTCATGTTGAGCACCGCATGGTTTAACCCATACACTCTGGTCTTCCCCAGAGCCCACTTGAGAAATCCCAGCATGTCTATTGACAGTTACCAATGATTCCTTGGGCCGCAGAAATATTACAAACGATAGTGGGCCCAAGGTCCTGTTGTGACGATGCTGTCAGGAGGTTTGCCATGACGATCTTCGGGTTCGCGTAGGCGCGTGAGAAAGCTCCGGATTGGTGGGCCCCGCGGATGCCAAGCCTTGGTCTCTCTTCACACACTCCCTTTGTTGACGGTCTATTTATTTTCGCCTATAATTGAGGAGAAAATCCCAGGCATATATCACGTACGGGCAACAAAATATTCTAATAGAATGCTCTACATTCCTTGACGTCTAGCTTTTGTTGCTTTTTAATGTAACTGTTCCTCCCGCCTCCCCATTATATATTGGCGGAGGAACTCTGATTTTTCTTTTCCTCAAGAAACGATATATCTTCAAGTATCAGTTAATGTATACTAAACAAGATCCAAAGCAATCCGGAAAGTTATTTGAGCTGAACTTGAAGCCAACCGGTATGATCCAGAAACCTACACTCGATCTTTCAACTCAAAAGACACTTTCAACGTTGATCGAATATAAGGTTTTGACGGGTGCTCATGAGGTAACACAACCTCACTTTAGCCTTGCTACTGTGGCATCAGACACGAGCGGCGACATAAAGTGCTGACTCAGTGAAGTCTCCATAGTCTCCTTGAGATTCATTGGTATACTGCCACAAAACGCTCTATGTAACAGAGCAATTGATTCGGAAACCAAACCCCAAGCCCAATACATGACTCGTGGGTGGTTCCCTTAATACTCCAATCCCACGGCTACAGCTGAGTTCCGGCGGTTATGTATAAAAGAGAAAACATAAATTTAATTGGTAGAAGGTGCTTGCTCTGCCGTCGGTCCGTGAAGAGGGATTTACCAAGGAGTAACCACGGCACAGTGACGAAGCTATTTTCATGACAACTGGCAACTGAGAGAACCTTAGATCCTACTCCTTGAATCTGATTCGCTGAAAATCCGGATGCATACAGATTCGTGCGACTATGAGATGACAAAATGGGAGCTTCAACCCACCATTTGCCCTTTACATTGTCATGTGGAAACTGGATTGTGCCGCGTACATACAACTCTTAGCGCGGGGGCTCTCAGCCAGATGGAATAAATCCTTGGGTTTCCCATTAGCTCGTAATATAAACAGCAAAAGATTTCTCGTCTGGAAGAATTCGAGCATCATAAACTACCTGGAATTTCCCAGTATGGTCATGGTATCAGCATGTTATCTCCTTGCCCTTGGTAAGAATAAATTACTCTTTTCCCCAGGCCTATCACTCTATCCCATTCTTACGCACCTTCATGTTGAAAATCTAACTTGATAATAGCACTTGGGAGTACCTTATTTAACTACGCCGAGGCAAAACTTCATGATACAACACCGGTGAGAGTGAATGTGACTGTCACAACCGCCAGTCCCTCCGCTTTTGTAACCCCGAACTCGGCTCTTATATGCGCATCCTGGTTACCATGGATACCTGTAAGCTAACACTGATATGATTTCAATTTTCACACTCCAATGCCATCTCAGAGACAATGGACTAAGATTGAAATGATTCATAGTGCCCAACTGGCCGGACATGTTGCAACTTCTTCTGCGTCGATCTTACATCTAGTCCACAGAACTGCGGAAACTGTAGTATCTCCGTATGTCGTTATTGCCCACTTTTAGCGGTACTACTCGGCATCTAATGCCGCTATTTAGTGCGCTGGAACACATCCTGGCTGTTGCTCAGGGAACTGCACCGACCTGGGATCCGACATCAAGAATTGCGGACTGTGTGATACAAGCGTGAGCCTTGATCAACTATCCCGTGCATTTGCGCATGTGGCGAACTAATATTCCATAGTGTAAGGGAACAACTCCAGCTTGCTGTTCCGGCATATGCTCTGATTTGAGTTCGGATATTCTCCATTGCGGTTCTTGCACTGGCACTCCTTGCCTGGGAGTTGTCCCTGGGTGTTGCTCAGGAGAATGTACAGATGTTGCCACAGACCTCAACCACTGCGGAGCATGCAATAAAACGGCAAGTCACTTCCAGTTCCTTAAATGAGGTTAGCGTTGGTGCAGTGATCTAATTTCCCATGTAGTGCGCTGGAATCCAGCCAGCCTGTTGCTTAGGAAATTGCATTGATTTAGCTTCCGATGTTAATCATTGTGGAAGCTGCCTTGCTATTCCTTGTCTTGGAACCTCGCCAGCCTGTTGCTCTGGTACATGTACTGATTTGAGCCTCAGTAATTCCAATTGCGGGGCTTGCAATCATGCTGTAAGCATCGCCCCTATAATTTTCCTGGCCTCCGATAACACGAAAACTTGTATAGTGCGCTGCCTCAAAACCCAGTTGTTGTTCCGGCAATTGTACTGATATTACGTCCGATGTCAATCACTGCGGTGGTTGTATAGCTCTTCCATGTCTAGGAGGAAAGCCTGCTTGCTGCAACAGTACTTGTCAGGATCTTTCTACCAGCGTGAGTCATTGTGGATCATGTACAGCCACTCCATGCACTGGCCTTCTGCCTGCCTGCTGCAATGGGGTATGTACAGATCTCGCAGTCAGCACTACTCACTGTGGGTCTTGCTCGACTCCAGCTTGTACCGGTAAAAATCCGGCTTGTTGTAATGGAAATTGCACCGACCTTGCCATTGATCCGAACCACTGCGGCTCCTGCTTAACACCGCCATGTCTTGGCTTAGTGCCTGCTTGCTGTAATGGAAGCTGTACTGATTTCAGCTCTAGTATCTTCCATTGTGGATCCTGCAATGCCCCAACATGCAAGGGTACATTGCCCGCCTGCTGCCAGGGAGGATGTGTTGACTTGTCTACGAGCATCAGCAACTGTGGACAATGTAATAAGGGTGTAAGTCTGATCAATGTCTTCTATCCTTACTCGTCAATGTTTCTTTCAGCATGTTCTGTCTATATATTTCTGCTGTTTTATCTATTACCTTTATTCTCATACTCTAGTCTTTGCTTCTATTTGTCTCTTGCTTTATTCGTCTTCCTATCGAATGACCAAACATACTCTTGGGCTGTTCAGCTTCTTGAACACAATAGCATTAACTGCATATCGCTAGTGTCCTCTTGGATCTGGAGGTGGCGCATGTGTCAATGGGATCTGTGTATCCTGTCCAGCAGCGCAGCCATTCTGCTCCGCAACGGGAATATGCGTAGGTGATCCCAAATCAGATATTTTTATATATGGTATTAACATCTTTGCCAGTGCCCGACCGGTACAACATGTGTCACAGGCGGACCTCTTCCAGGGTGCTGTCTAAGTACCAACCTCTGTCCGGCTCAATCTGGATCAAGCGGTACTAATATCTGCGTATGTGACCTGCCAAACCTTCTGCTTCTTCTGCGATCCGCATGCCCTAGAAGGTTGGTCTAACTCAATTTGGCCGATATAGTGCCCAATACCTTGTCGCGTGCTTGGTGGTAGTAGTAGTCCGGTTTGTGTAGGCTACTAAATTGTTCATTGAATTAAGCGCCCCTAGGGTTGAGAGGGGCCAAAGGGCCAGATGGGGGCCAAAGATAATTAGCCAAAGGGTCTAGTGGCTGAAAAGTCAAGGTGATAATGAACAATCCAGATTTACAGAGAAATCTCCGCTCGACGCTTAGAGCAGTCGTAGGCAGAACATCAGAATCTGGGTCGTATATGCCGCATTATATGTAGCGCTATATTTGCATAGACAGGCTTCACTCCCATTCATGCCCATTAGAGTAATCGTCAATCCACGTAAATACTGTAAAGGTCCATCAAAACATGGATAAATATGTAAATCAAATCAACTATAGGGTATGATCACCCCCGGGCATTAATCACTCATGCCGCTGTGACATCCCAGGGCACTGTAATGCCGAGGTCTGTAGCAATCCGCATGGCAGAGACGACACATCCTTCAAGCAGGACCATACCATCCCAGCACCACCCACCTGCTAAGTAGACCCCATTGTCGCCGTTACGCCAAGAACTCAACGAAACAGTTGAATCAGAGAAGCTCTCCTGTTCCCTGCGATTTCGGAAAATCGAATTGATAAGTAGGCGGCTGAGTGGGCTGCGTAAGACACGAATAAAATTTGCCGAACGAAGGACCTTTGATTTGTCCAAGGGAAAGAGGGGGTTCGTTGTGACGAGAATAGAGTTAGATTGCTCATGGACCGACTCGGTTTTGGTGCCGTTCGAAAGGAGGTGAATGCGCTGCGTCCCGATGTTGTAAGAGCCTCGCGCTTCCTTGGAGCATTTAATCAAGTCCTGGGTAGCGGTGGCATGCAGCATTGGTTTAATGGTTGACTTGTCGGTGTGTGCGACCGTTTCAACAATGGTAGTAGGAATGGCAGACAGTTGAGAATCCAGAGTGGGAAACAACGAAGCAGCAACATCAGGCGAAACGGCCAAGACGACTAGATCAAAGTAGTCTGAGGAGCTGTTTCCATCTCCGTTTGAGTACTTGATTTGGACCCCATTCCCTTGCGGGATCACATGCGTCAATTGAACGCCAAGACGCAGTTCCACGCCTTCCAGAAGCTTCGGCTGAACACACTGGACACCCGCGGTTACGACGAAGTGCTGCTGGCGATGGGTACGGCGCTTGTAGTCCAAAACGTCGGAGGCTGGAAAGTTCAAGAGCTCCTGGTGCGAACAGGTACACACGCTCGAGATAAGGGGGAGGAGGTAGTTGGCCACATAATACTGCGGCAACCAGATGCGACGTAAATAGTGATCAAGCGACTCGCTAAGTTGCCCCGTGTGGAGATTCTCGGAATATGGTGAAATGACGAAGCAGCAAATGGTAAACCACAGGTAGCATAACACCGTGTATATAGCCTCCATGCACCAGTGGATCATGTCTGATGTTCGAGGGACCGGGGGCATCTGGTGAAAATTAGACGCATAAACCATTTGCGGCCTCGGAATGCAAGAGGAGCCCGATGAAGATTGCTGGTGTTTCGGCAACCTTGTAAAGCTGAAAAGGAATGGTTGCGCATGGTACTTGACTCCCAGATAGTCGTACATCCGGACCAAATTGCGATAGAAGCCACCCGCAAAGGCGCGCATGGGCACATCAGCCCATAAAGATGCACCTGCAGAGTCCTGCGGAGGAATCTGGATTGACTCCGCACTCAGTGAAACTTGATCTCTCTATCTGGCCTGTTAGTCGTGAGAGTTTCGAAAACCCATCGGCCCCTAACTCGGCAAGGTCCCCAGGGCGAGTGACGCAGGGTCAAGGATTGACCGACCTTCTCAAGCAGAGTAACATGATATCGCTTCTGGGGATCCTGGTGTAACAAGTGCGCAGTGGCCAGACCAGCCATGCCCGTACCCACGACAGCGACCGTCTTCTGGCGCGACAGCTGAGGTTTCTCCATGGTGACGACGGCTCCTAGGTAACCACGAGCCGTTTGTATGTAGAGGGTTGATTACAGGCGAGGTATGCGAGACATGGAGGCGTCTAAACACAGCTGTCCACGCCAAGTAGAGTGGTTGGGAGCAAAGGTCAAGGTGGCGGTATGGCAGTCCTCGCTGCGGAAAACTTGAGTTGCGGGTACACAAAATTCCCTTGGCTGTTGGGGCAAGCACATGGTACCAACTACACGCCCAACCCAATCGCAATCGATCGGCAATAGTCGCGCTACACCCGTATCAGGCTTATGCGCTCCTCCGAACGCCACACCCATCCATTCTTCTTTTCCCTGTTTTGTCCAGCACCCCTTTTGCACGGTTGCCTGAATCCAAGGTCCCGACGTAATTAGACGCACCACTAGCGCATTGAACCTTCAGGGGGGCCTATGCCGCGATTAGTCACCCCACATGGTGTTCACTAATTTTGCTCATAGAGACTCTTTTCACCGTGTCTGATCCGACAGTCAAATTCAAAATTATCGGAACTGATTGTAAAAATTCATCCATTCATTCATACAATTCTATATGACTCTCGCCTCAACCCAAACGGGCCGTTGTGGCGGCAATAATGTGCACCTCATGCAGCCTCCGAGGTCCGGTGGCGTGTCTAGAGCACAACCAATCAACGTTATAACAAATAAGCCGGGCGGAATATCCAAGTTGGTTCACTACGCCCTTGATGTAGACTGTCGTGCCATTCGTCATGCTATCAGCTTCTAGACCTTCAGGAAATTATAAGTTTCACCGTGAGGTTCCGATGGAGATGATATGAGGCCCAGAAGATAAAGCGGAAAGGAAAATCTACAGCAGGCGATAAGGGGCACCCGGCCAATAAAGATTCCAACGCAGCGAGGTCAACTTCATACTGTTAGCAAACTTCTCTGGCAGTAAATGCACTTCCAGAAATTGGAAAGTTACCAGTCGAAGTTCACCAGGCATTCATACTCTTCTGGCTCAAGGGAAGAGTCTCGAAAGCAATGCTTTATGCCCAGGATAGCGAGGATTGCAGCAAAGAGGACAATTAGGAAGCAAACTAGATATCGAACGGTCGTAGCGCCGCCTGCAGTTTTAGCAGATTTCTCAATAATCCCGTCGCAGACTCCAAAAAGCACTCAGTGGATACTGGTTTTCTATCTTCAATTTTGTCCTCCGGTATAATTTTTTAACAAATTTTTTGGGGAATGTTGATCTTGTCCATTCCTGGATGTATATATTTGCAGGTTCGAATTCGACGCAACCCGACGAATTGTATGCATAGCGACGGCCTCAAGGGATATCTCATCTTCCTCGCAGGTTGTATTGATTTTCAATAGAACAGTAAAAGTTGCCAGCTTAGCGTGGATGTTGGTCGTCAAGTCGACCGACCTCATGCATTTTGCATAGTATTCAGGATATCCGACCACTTAGCCATCTGGTTGACTCAACAACCAACATCTAACAACCGTCGACCAAAATTACCACCATTCACATTTAATGCCATCTTCCACTTTGAGCTGAAATAGAGCGCTACCTATGTGCAATACCTTTCCTCAAACAGGTATTAAGCCTTTTCCCTTCTCTGGTCCTTACATGTCTGGAAACAAGACCTGCTTGATTTCTAGGTAGATGTCTGATCGCTTGAGTTCTTGGTTAACTGACATGCTGCTTGCTGTCAAGTCTTAATGACCGTGGATCATCTTTGGGCTTTTTAACCCTTAAATTCTTTGAACCGGATAAAGTCTCTACAAGTCAATACTTTTTGCAAACGGACAATGTTCTCCTACGGGAAAGAAAGTCTCAGCGACCAATTGTACTTGACAATGTCCCTCGACAGCAACCCAGTCAAATAACAGAGCAAATTTCCTTTGCGAAACAAAATTCATAAGTTATGAACCAGGAGGAGGCAGTGAGGACCTTCCAAGTAAAATCCTATTTAGCAGGGAGAGCCACTAAATAGGGGCTTTAAGGATAGAGGCGGCACCGGTCTGGGGGGGGAGTGAGGTCAGTTCCGACGGAAGGTATGATTGAATAAGTCAAAAGGAACCTTGCAACACACCAAAACAAGCGACAAAAGCAATCTCTATTTTCTCCTTTTCTCTATTTGAAGATTCCAAAAATCTGTTCAAGGTAACGAGGCAAGGGCAGCATCTTGTGTGCCAGAATATGATAAAAGGCAGATCACGGTCAGGATCAGTAGGTTGGATCGTAGGAGTATGAGGCTTCAGTGCAATGACCGGCGAGCTGTGAACTGGCCGATGCTAAGCATTCTTGCTGGTAGACACCATCTCTGCCATCATGTACGCCATTCTATATGATCTGGCCACATCGCCCTCGATATTGGAGATGATGGGGGAAGTTTTAGCCCGGACTACTAGCTCCAAAGCAAGAATGAAAGTGGTGAACAGTTTGAGCCCTGACACATCATGCGGGCTGATTCGATTAACTAGTTGGCCCTAAGCATGAGTGGAAGTAGTGTGGTGCGTGGTTCGTCTACCAGTACTATATGCCGGTAATCATTAAGCGACATGGGTAGACTTGCATGGGCCGTGCACATATCTGATCCTTAGCAAGATGCACATACGAACGTAGAGTATTAATTCTGCATGGCTCTTATGAATACACGGACCAATTTGCAGAATCATGTATGCAGCTGAAGTAAAAAGAGAAAACCCCAGACATACCGCAGAGGGTATCAAAGTTCCTGCCCTGAAGAAAAGAAAGAAAACAAACGCCCGGCGTTCGAACGCCGTAAAGCCAATCCACGCAAAACCCCAATTTCCCAATTCCATGCATCAATTCATTAAGAAAGAAATATCTTCATCCGGAGTAGGTGCATCCCCTTGACAGGATTCTTGCGTAAAATCATTCGAGACCTTAATCATCGCCCCCTTCAAATGACATGGAATCAAGACCATCGCCATCTAACATTAGATTTCATGTGGGTCTTCATTGAAGGAGACCTCTGGCTTGGGCGCCGAGTTCTCATCTGTTGCTTCGCCATGCTTACCCTCCTCGCCTTCGTCACCAGTGATCTCACCCCATCCGGAGCTCCTGCGGCTGACGCGGCCAGAGGCCATGGCAAGAGGGCCGCCTACACCCCCTGTGATACTGGCAGCCGTACTGTCATTTCGGCTGTGGGAAGCCGCACCACTACGAATGCTTGCCCCGTCGCCTGCGGGTTGGCTCTGCTTCGCGGTGTAGAAACCGCCTCGTTCGCCGCCGGTGCTGCCTAGAGGTGCAGTACCAGACGAGTAGACACCGATGCGCTCAGCACTCGCGAGACCGACGATGCTAGGCCGACTTAACACACCCTGTGCGTTGAAGGCTGAAGTGCTTGACGGCTCGACCACATTGCCGCTCAGAACGCTTAGAGGCAAGCTCTCGCGGCTGCCGCCGAAGACCGATGAGGGTGCCAAGGCGCGAACAGATGCATTTGTATCCAGAGAATTCCGACGACGACGCTTAGAGGAGCTCGCCAATGTTAGAATGGAGGCATTATCGGTCAGGACATTGTTTGCTGTCGCAGTACTGTAGGTCATCGACTGGCTGTTGGGTATGAGGTGTGGGGGCACAGCGGTAGCGGGCGAGGACAAGGTTGGGAATTGGTGTGAGAAATGACCTTGTTGGTTCCCAGAGCTCTGTGTCGAGCTTCCATTTGCCTGTCCATGTTGGGTATTTGACGCGGGGTACAGTTGGGTAGATGGTGCCGCCGACTGCACAGTTGTCAGGGTGGTGGTCAACGATCGAACTGAAGGTGCAGGCGATGAGAAGGTGCTGCCTTCGCCTCCGCCGTGTGAGCTTAGTCCTCCACCTCCTGTCGCCAATGTCCCTGCCTTGGAGTACCCTGCATCCGAGATCGTGGTGTCGCCATTGGTCGAGACAGTAGGGGCAGTCGACTTCGCCGGATTATCATAGCCAGAATATACCAGAGAAGGGTCACTCCGTGAGTGAGACTCTTGTCTATCACGATCTCCGGCTTCTGAGTAGGAGGCGCTGTGGTTTGGGCGGTTAATTGTGCCCGACAGGGGATACGGGTTGTTGCCCTGGCCCCCATTCTTCTTCCCCTTGGGGTTTGTGTGTCGCTTGTTGGACCAACGGTGAGAGCCCGAATCGGAGGAGCTCTTGAGGCTTGCGAGACGCTTCATCCAACTCGAAAATGGGCGGCGCCGACCGTTGCGATCTATGTGTATACCCATTCATCAGTTAGCTGTTCCACACAGGACAGGTGTCCAGCAGGGAAGCGTACCGTGCGCCCTCGCGGGCCCTTCAGCTGTAGCCATGGTAAAATCAAGTAGCAAAGGTTTAGAACGCCTCTTGCCTGGTGTTACTCAGGAGGAGCAGCGTGAAGCAGCTGGCAGGTCGAGTGGCGCCAAAGGCAAGTGCGATCGTGCGGGACGACTGTTTATCCGCGTTGGTCATGTGCCGACCCTTGATGTCAGTCGCCATCGTTCACTTCAACTAATTTTCATGAACTCCTTTTAAATCGAATTGTGTTTTGTGTTGTCTGGATCGTCTGTGGTATCTCACAACAACCTCGAATGTGACAATTATGAAAGGGTGGCAACGTTCCTGCCGTCAATGGAATCCCACTAGTGATTCAATAGGAAAGCATGCCTTGAACGAAACATTCGCGACAAATCTCTTTCTGCGGGCTCTTCTGCCATGTCTTCGCCTGGGACAAGAATTCAAGCACTTCCTTCAGATGTGGCAGCTAAGATCAGGTCCTCTACTTCAATCACTCACTTAAATGGAGTGATTGTCGACTTGATCAAGAACTCGCTGGATGCGGGCGCACATACAATCCTCATCTCGGTGGATTTCAAACGTGGGAGCTGCATAGTGGAAGATGATGGCGAAGGAATACTACCGATTGAGTTTGAAAGCACAGGTGGGCTTGGAAAAGCACATCGTATGTCACCATGTTCTACCGTCAAGTTACTTTGCCCTTTAACTCATGTCACAGATACGTCAAAGTATCAAAGACCTGGTGTCTATAGCCATCGTGGTATATTTCTGGCTTCTTTGGCCTCGCTGTCCTTGCTTACTGTGACGTCTCGTCGTAGCCAACATCCAACGACGAACTCCGTCATCTTTCATGATTCAAAACCCGTGGCACGATTGATCCCTGCGCCAGCACATCAGGGTCTTCGGCTTGGTGAACGTGGCACTTGCATCACTGTCAACGATCTTTTTGGCAATATGCCGGTGCGTGTGAAAAGCCGGGCTTTAGCTCTCGAAAAGCCGGAGGACTTAGAAAGAGAATGGGACAATCTCAGATATTTGCTGGTCTCTCTCATCCTGGCCAATGCCCAGCTCTCGAAGCTGGTCGTTTCAGATGCGGCAAGAGGCAAACGAATCACGCTTCGTCCTACATCTCCTGCACGATCTCGCTCTCCCAACCTTTCTGCGAGTGAAATGGATCTCGGACGTATTGGGTCCATCCTCTCCCAATCCGGCATGATCGACTCGCGGAACATGGATTCATGGCGTGTCATATCGGCGTCGATTCCAGATCTCACGATTCATGCAGCGATATCGACTGTGCCAAGTCCCTCAAAAAAATTCCAATTCATTTCGTTGGGCAAGCATCCGGTTCTATCACGAAACCGCACAAACGTCCTGTTTAATGAGGTCAACCGATTAATGTCTATGTCTGACTTCGGAAACACCGGGGGTCTCTCCGACACAACCCCGGCAAGTCCATCTCCAATGTCTCGAATTTCTGACGCCTCAGTCAATGTGGCTGGTGGAAAGTGGGCCAAGCCTGTCAATAAATGGCCGATGTTCTACATACGCATTGAAACCGAGTCTCTTGAACACTTCGAGGATAGCGATGAACCCTCTGCCTCCGAGACGTCCATACAGGGCATTACAGATGTCCTTGAAGCAATGGTTCTAGAGTTTCTGAAGCAGCAGAATATGCGACCTCGTTCTAGTAGACGACTACAGAAGCCGCCCGATCGGTCTCAGAAAACTACCAGCACTACGCGGACGAGTTCTACGCGATCTGACAGCTTCACCAAGCGTGGTCGGAATTCGAGTACCGAAGAGTGTTTTAGCAGCCACCTGAAACTTCCTTCTCTTCAGAGATCGCGATCCGCGAATACGGGTCCATACTTCCATAACTGGTCCCGAGTCAAAGCCGCAAAGCGTGCTGAAAGTTCAGCCTTTGGGGCTGGCGCTAATGGTGCGGGCCCTATTTCTGAAAATGACCATTTTTCGAGCGATGAGCAACTTCCTTTTCTTACAGAACACCCACGAAGTCGTCTGAAGCACAGTCGACACTTCGTTGCATGCTCTGATCAACCAGATGCATCTCAGGATGAGCCAGTTCCCTCGGTAGGATCTCTCAGAGAAATCGACCAAGGCGAGCCCGAGCTTGATTTATCGGAGGCTTTTGCGGACAAATTGATGTCTTGGGTTGACCCGTGTACTGGGATAACACATCAGATCAACTCACGAACAGGCCAGACCGTCCACCCTAGAGCACTCAGTGCTGGTCCTAGGTCTAACCGCTTTCTTCCCACTTTCCAAAAGCCAGACCGTTCTAGCGAACCGAGATTCAGCTCTTCTTCTAGCCTCTGGGTGGATAATCTGCTAGATGGATGGGATAATCCTATATTCGCTAGAACGGAAATGTCGGTGCCAAATCTTGATGCTGGATTGGACTGCTTGCATGATACGGTTCTTTCTCCACGTTGCCATGAGGACGTTGGATTCTTGGACAGTACGCAAATTGCCAAATTCAGAGGCAAACTGCGACGTCAAAGCCTGGCGACGGCCACCATAATCGCGCAGGTCGATCAGAAATTTATCCTTGTCAAATTCCGCACTATGCATGCTCAGGCTCCTGCTGGAGATGATTCAGGGGAAGTCTTGGTCTTGATCGATCAGCACGCAGCTGATGAGCGATGTCGAGTTGAACAACTGTTTAAAGACATGTTCATTTCCCCCGGCTCTTTACATCAGTGGGATCAAGTTCACACCGCTGAAATTGACCCCATTACATTTGGCATCTCCTCTACAGAAGCTGCTCTGTTTCGCAAATACTCATATTTCTTTGGAGGCTGGGGCATTGACTACTCCTTGACCGAAAAAGGAGAATCTGGAGTGACTGTCCACGTAAATACACTACCAACTCTTATAGCTGAGCGCTGTCGACTTGAGCCCAGTCTGATTGTGGATCTCCTTCGCCGTGAGATTTGGACCAGCGAGGAGGAAGACGGAAAGCCATTAGGCTCAAAAAGGGCATTGAGAAACTTTTCATTTGGCCACGATTTTGATGACGAGGAAGCATCATCGGATAGAATTGGTGCCACCGCTGCGCATCCATGGGTACAGAAAATGAGCGGCTGTCCGCAGGGTGTCCTTGATATACTCAATTCTCGCGCATGCCGCGGTGCCATTATGTTCAATGACCCGTTGGATATTGAAAACTGCAGAGCATTAATTACACGGCTGTCACAGTGCGCATTCCCGTTCCAATGTGCTCACGGCCGACCGTCCATGATTCCCATTCTCGGCTTGCGACCACCGTCTGGAAGTCACCCTTTGTTCTCTGATGCTGGCATCATGGGCTCAGGTTGTGATGAAAATAACGATAATGGGTTGGACTTCTTGAAGGCATTCCGGGCGCGGTATGCGGATTAGATGATTGGTCGAGAGATGATGAATATTCGTGTTGTATACAGTACTATAGGGTTCATAGAAAGATACCCATCCACTATACTGACAGTCTCATCGTGGAAACCCACGCAACGTAGGATCAGCCTCTGCCATTATGCCTTTTCTCTTGTCATGTTTCCCCAAGCGATCCCAAAATCATAGCACTTCAACATCAAGGCATATGATACGTCGAATCCATCTAGGCAAAACACCCTTGGAACCATAAACAATCTAGGTATCTCGAAGCAAGCGATGACAATACGGAGTAATCCTAATCTTCCGCTTTTTTCCCCCGAAGACAGAGAAATACGATTACAAACTGGGTATTTCGGCAAGCATCATACCGTAAGATCTCCGTCGGGGGTGCGTGAAGCTTCAGCCCGCCACATTGGTGGTGTGTCAACCCTCATACTGCATGAACTAGCATAAACCGTATTCATCATGCGAGCCATGGTTCTGCACATCACCTACGCATGACTCGAAATAGATTCCGATTAGTCCCAGAGGCACACCTTGCAGATCTAGGTATCCGTGTTGTCCTACAATGCACAGATCCTGAATGACAGAAACCCTGCTTTAGTCCTGAATCCAAACTTACGGATTTTGACGTATCTCTTGCATTGGCGGCTACCTCCACTGTATGTATGCAAGATCGAAATCGGAGTGTGGCACAGACTGTCGCAGAAGGTGGTGGAGGGGCTCCATCCAATGATGCTTATCTTTGGGAGTAGAACCTGAGATGCATCACTTAACCCCTCAGTTGAAAGTTGAAGGTTGCTGTTGTGACTTAGGCCATTGCAGGCTGATTTGAGGCTGATTTGTAGGCTGAGTACAACCCATGGTTCGTACTACCAGACTCTAATAAAAATTGTCGTTCTCTCTTGCGACTCTACCTAGAGTAAATATTATCGAGTGGGAAGATCGAGACCGGGTCATGGTATGTCTGTTATAGACGGTCAGATAAGGTAAGAGTTGTCCTTCAAACTTTATTGATAATATTGAACTCTGTGGCATCATCGCTGGAGACAAGCGGCCCATAGGTCATGTGAACTTCTCGCTGGTTGTACAGATGTGAAGTCTGTGGGCAAATACACCGTGCCCTTCATGATACGACGTGCTGTCCGAGCAAAAGAAAGTACCCGAGAGATCGGCAGGCCATCCTCTCCTAGCTCGTTTTCCTGTTGTACACAAACACTCATAATCTCAATAGGATGAACAATATCTAGCCAATCCACCTCTATCGCCTTACCAATTAAATCCATTTACTATAGTATCATCCACGCGGTCGCAGGCATAGGCACATACCATACCGCCCTTGCCTCATCCATACTATCCTGGGACCTTCTGACCAGATAAATCTCAGTAGACACATGACCATTGAAGGGGTCTTTCGGCGGAGCTGCAAATATTGCTATAGGCGCAGAATGGGGAGATTCGTTTCCAAGTAGTCTAGTCTTCAGTCCAGGAACGTAACAGTGACCTTCCCTCACAGTTCTTGACAGGCTGCTATCCATGATTCGCTTGCATCAAGCTTACGGCACATTCATGGCCCGCCTCTAATCCAAACATAGCGCAAATGGCATTCTGGTAACTGATCGCATGATAAGACCGACTATACTACATCCCGATCCGCTCACGGCCTTCTGAGACTGGTGCGGCCCGACCATCCTCAGCTCTTTCCCCCGCAATTTACCCCAGACAAAATGTCATTGTCCCCATCCATAGCTCTTAACTTTCCATATCCACGGCGCTCAGACTTCCCAGTCATTCATTGATTGCCACTACCAAAATAAACCAATCAGTAACCATGTCCATCAATTTATGCCCCAATCACCTGAGCTAATACAAACATCGTCAAACTACAATACTACGATCTACGATTAGAATAGAAACACCAAAAATTCAGTATAAAAGCCTTTTGCAGTCCAAGCAGCTTTTAGCATGCACTTATACAGAAGCCGCGAGGCTCATATCCTTTAAGAATCCAAAGGATGATCCCAATCCGACTGACACAAGGAGAAACAAGAGACCCGTTTTTCCACCAATAAAAACATAAACCCGGGGGAATTGAATGGGAAAACGAAGGAAGATCCTGCGATACTCCATTTCCCAACCCGGACCCAATTCCTGCCGCTTTTCTGATGCCAGACCCCACAGGTATGAAACGTAAAACACGAGCGCCGCCCGGAGATGGAAAAAAAATTGGTATATTCACACAACACTTGGAGACAAGAATGATGAGGATAGAAAGAAAGAAAAGAACAAAAACAGTATGCAGGCCGGCATTGGAGACAGATGGTAGGAAGATGAATAGAAACACCACAGAACCAGAACAGAGGGATAGCACAGATCATGAGTCGTAAGTGTGTTGAGGGTATTGGAGTATGGTATAGTATGATATGGTAGGAAGAATGATTAGCCGTTCGTCACGACCGACTTTGGCTTTGAGGGATTTGTCCAGGACAAGAAGTCGAATTTGTCCTTGGCGTTCTCCAGGATGGAGGGGTTGGGTGGGGACGACTCAGACTGGGATTGAGATCCGGCCTGGGTCTGGCTCTGGGCCTGGGCCTGGGCCAGGGCTTGTAGGTTGCCACCGCTGCGCGAGGGCTCTCTCGGCTCGAGGACCAGCGACCGCCGGTAGAACGTCTGCGCGGTTAACTCGCCGTTCGAACGCACACGCACCAGCTCGTTCTGCATCCAGGTCTGCAGTTCGGGGACCTCGGTGAGCCGGTAGGGGATCTGGAACCGCTGGAGCTCGCTGATGATTCGGGCCGTCTTCATGTGCTTGTCGAAGTTGATCACAGCCATCTCACCGTCATCCGTGGGGAGGGAGCGGAGAGACTGGTTACCGTGGTCAACGAAGGTCAAGTCGGTTAGGTAGGTTCCGACGAAGGGTAGGCACGGGGGGACGTGGTTCTGTAGGCGCTGGCGCAGCACGGCATAGTTACGGGAAACATCCACGATGCTGCGGAGCTGCTCCAGGGTAGTCTTGGTCTTCTGGGAGACGATGTCCCAAGTCCGCTTCAGACGAGATATCATAGACAGGTTCAGGGAGCAAATGATAGCCATGAGGGAATCATAGTTGTTCAGCTCCAAGCACTTGCTAGCAATCTTCACCCAGTGCTTGATAGTGGCAGCCCGCTTCTTGGGCTCCTCCAGGTAGAGAATGGAGTCGGCCACCAAGTGAGCGAGGTCAGTCGACAGGGTTGACATAGCGCGGACGTTAACCGCCAACGAGCCAGATTTGCGAGTCCACTCGGTGTCCAGAAGCTCTTCGGGAAGAATGGAGCAGAAGATGCGAGACTCCTTGATAGTTAGCTGGCGAGCCAACTCCATCGGGTCGAAGTCCAGGATAGTGATCGAAGCTTCGCCCGTCTTCCATTGCTTCAGCAAATTGGCCTCCTTCTTTCCAAGGATGGGGGCAGGGAGGGGGGTATCAGGGTGAACGTATTGAGCGATGGCAGTGTTCGTCTTGCCCATAGACGAGACTAGGCGAGGCACCACAGGGCCATGGACGGCGGACACCTTGTCCGCCAGGTCGAGGAGGCGCTTGCCAGCAGTGGGGAGATCGGTCATCAAGCGAGTCTTCGCAAAGGTCATGATGAACTCGAGGGCGGAGTCGTCCCGGTCATGACGCCAGTGTGACTCGAGCCAGCCCTTGAACACGTTGTAAACGCGCAACCGAACCGGTCCGGCAGCATGTGGGGTCTCACCAATGTACTCGAAACGCTCAGCGAGGGCCTCAGCAAACTCCAGAGGAGTAGCGAAGAGGCGGAAGGTGAGGTAAAAGGTAGAGACAAACAAGGCGTCTGGGGTAGACTGGTGAGCAGTGAGCTTCTCAATGAGAGCACGCAGACTGCCACCCATGACATGGCCCTCCTTGTAGACCAACTCATGAGCGTAGGTCTTCTCGAGCAGGTGGGCCTCAGTCTCCTCATTCTCCTCGGCTAAGGTGGAGTGGCTGACACTCTCCTTGAGCGAGGGCCCCTGGAAGCTGCCATGGAAGCTGCCTCCAATGTCAGGGGAGGTGGCCCGGGTGGAAGTCTGCGACAGACCACTCATCTCGGAGTCGCGTGTGTGGCTGTGGTAAGTGAAGCTGCTACCCGTGCTTGTGACACCTCGGCCGAAGGATTCGCTTATGTCGGACTTGGGGTGACTTTCACGGTGGCCGCTGTCGTATGAAGAGAAGGAGCCTTGTTCAAGCTGGGTGGGGAGGACGGCAGAGTTTGGGAGAGAGGACAAGGCAGAAGGAAGGGCGGGGCTGGTGGAGGAGGCGAGGTGCGATTGGAAGGATGAGGGTGTGGTAGCGTCGGTGAGGCCAGGAGTGGACGGCGAGTAAGTCGCGTTTGGAATTGTCAAAGGCGGCGGGGGAAGGCGACGCGACAGCTCCTGCGGTTTCTCCTGGTCGGTCGGGACGTCAGGCGATGCTTGTGAGGTGACAATGCCCGGCACTCCTTGGTTGGTACTGGTTTCCGCCTCTTCGGGGTCTAGCTCGATATCTCCTATTTGCTCCAGCACCAGGCGAGCTTTGGCTAGGCAATTGCCTGCAGCGCGGACGCAATCTGTTGCAGCATCGACCAGGCGCTTGCCCTCATCCGGCATGAAGACCAGCTCGTCGTCGTCGTGAGTGTTGGCAGGGCGGAACACGTCGCGTGCGGCCTGGACCAGCTCCGAGAGCTTCTCGCACATTGACTCGCGTGCCTCCTCAAGAAAGACACTACGCTGGGTGTCGTGCTCCGAGACAGCTTCAACCACATTAAGGAGAGCCCGGCAGGACTGGACGGCCTGCTGGGTTGTAACTACCAGCTCTGTGGACGAGCGCGACTGCATGTGGAGGCCGATAAAAGATCCCAGCACCCCGAGGAACGCATCATACGTCGTTCGCAGTCGCTCGGATGCCAGGTTCTGTGCACAAATGGCAGACGACGGACCAGAGTACGAGATCCGATGGGACACTGAGATACGCTTTGTCGAGACCGACATGCGTCTGGATGAGTGATCCAGCATCTCGGTCCGCACCGACGCTCGGCTCAAGTCCATACGGCTGTGGCTTATCTGTCGGGACTCGGTTCGCTCTGTGCCGGTATCGGATGTCGAAGCAATATCTGCAAGAGTGAAGGTCTCGGACGCTGGTGTCGGGGGCATGTCGTACTGGGGAGCAGCTGTCTCCAGCTCCGCGATGGTCCTGCCCAAGCCAACCTCCTCGTTCCAAACATCGAGGAAACGAACGCCACGGGTGACGATCTTGAATGCCTTGAGGAGCATCTCATCCAAGATAGCCTCGACTTCATCTTCCGCCGGGGTGCCATTGGCGACATCCTGGAACTTCTTGGCCGACTTCACCAGTGACGAGAGATCGGAAAGCAAGGCCTTGCGGATCCTCCGTAGCCCGTCATACTTCTTGATGAGGGCTGCTTCTCGGGTCAAGCACTCAGATTTCTCCAGAAGAAATCGGACGCCGGCAATGGGGCCTCGCATCAAATCTTGATTTCCAAAATCCTTCAGTGATGACCCACATCCTCCTCGAATGATATCCCAGAAGTCGGTCAGTGCTTTTAACAAGGGGCGCATGGGCAATTGGTCGTATGCTTCGCAGTAATTGGTAGGGAGCCAGCCTCGATTCCCAGAATCTAGTAAGGTACCGTCGGCCCAGCCATTGGTGTGAACGGAGTGGACCAGGATGATATCCCCCTGGTCCAGAGGGAGAGTGACCGTCGATGGGGAGACATCTCCGGCGGGATGAAAAGGATAGAAGGCGCGCAGGTAGTTGTGAAAGACGGCTCGTGGGGCCTCTGAGGGTTCCATATTGGGTTCGAGTTGCATAGTCACTTGTGGTGTCAACGGCGGGGTCATCTCAGACTGGCTGAGGGTATGCGAATAGAAGCGAGCCGTCGTATGGTTCGAGTCGTCTTGGTCCGGCAATGTAGTCAATACAGATATGTTCGAATTCGACTTGACGATCTTCAGCGGTGGGATATTCGGCCTCATTGGTTCCATCTGTTGCCCGCTTCGGATGGATGGAAGGAATCGGTTTTCCGGAAGCCGTGATGGTCACTGACCGAGGCGTTTATGCGGTAGTAGATGCAATTGACATAGTTCGAGGGCCGTAGTCCCAGCAGATGAAGAGTGAGTGAGCGAGGCTGGTGGCAAGTCGTGAAATCAGGTATGACCGCGGGGGGATCAGATCGCCAGAGGGATAGGGATGCTCCTACACATCAAGGTCAATTGGAGGGGCGCGGGACAAGGAGGGCAAATGATCGAGTGGCACAGATGACTAAAGGGATCGCAAGTACTTTTCCCAACAATAGGTACTGTGTTGGAATGTCGCGAGTCCAGGGAGTCGCGGGGGGAGGGTAAGGAATGCTGGGGGGGGTAGAAGTCTCGGAGTTTGGATCGGGACACACACCCTTTCAACAAATAATAACAATCAAGTAATCAAACTATAAACATGAACAGACGGCCTGCCCAGGAGTCACGGAACATTGAAGGGCCCAGTCGACGGGGTCTGATATGTCACGCCGCGGCGCAATCGATCCACGCCGAATCGCCCACTTTGGAGGGATCGAAGTGTCCTAGCGAGGTTGGGAGCAATGCACCACAACACTATACTGCCAATGAAGGGGAGTCGCAACAGTGGTCCAGCCCTCGGAAGATCGCAGCAAGGACGGAGGCGCAAAACTGACTTGCAGGAGTGGGTGACGAAACTGGAATCCCTTCAAAAGCTGGTGGGATCCTCACACGCAAGGGCGGCGAGGGGGTTAAGGGCGCGGAAGGGATGAACAGTTTCCGAAGGAACGTTATATTGCCACCGGCGGCAATGAATCAGAAATCAAACCAGACGCCTCAGATCTCCAGCTATGAAGGTGCCCAAGGGTCAAACGAAGGACTGAACAGGAGGGAGAAAAGGGTGGGTGGACGAGGGAATAAGAGCTCCTCGAGGACCCAGTTGATTCTTCTGGGACTCGATCGGGATGATCCATGTGGGTTCCACCTGAGTATTGCCCCCGTATTGACGTATGGTACTCTGTACTTGACGGCCCTGGGGCAAGCCGGGTTACCGTACACTAGTGAGGTGTACAGTACCACGGGCGGCGTACTTCCCGTTCCCGTACGGCCTTTATGCTTTATTCGTACTTTATGTATCAAATGGCAATAGTCCTCGTCCTCGGGCCATGCCCCCCCCCCCCCCATAGCCTCATTTCCTTTTTCTCCCTGTGGCGATGGGGAGAGAGAAACCATATTGCTTCTGGAATCTGAAAGACACAAAACGAGCTCCCCGAAAATCAGAGCGACCCCGTGTCTTCAATTGCAGACCCCAGAACAGAAGAATCAGAAACCTGTGCTCTCTGCCTTGCCGTGCAAGGACATACTGGTCTGCTCGCCTACCGCAATGCTCTCGAGGCGCACTCGTCGCGACACAAAGTACTCCATACTGTACCTTTGTCGAGTGTCCGTACTCCCTCCGCCGTACAAAGTAAATACCTACTATACACTAAATCCTCCCCAAATTTCCATCTGGCATCTGCCGAACGCTTCCCGTTCCAGACCGCGCCAACCCAGAAGGCCATATTAATCTCCATCCTCATTTGCTCACCCCGAAAACCCCCCAAGCCACCCGCCATGGCGCGCGAATCAAAATTCTCGCTCGAAAACAATTCTGTGGGGGGATTAGTCCGGTCATGTCTTAAATGCACTGGCCGTGTGCTGGAGCCTGCAGCAAGCCCAGACAGGAACTCGATCAATCACCTTTTCCTAATGATGTTACGAGGTGCTCTTCTTTTGTTACCGTGGCGAGGCCCTCACTAGTCTCATGTGGGTTCTCTCACGTTGCCTGTCAAGTAATATCCGGTGATCGACAGCGCAGCGACCGCCCCCCCCTAAGTGACAGCAGCCCACAAAGTCTTTTTTAGTACGCCCATTCGAAGCCATTCGTCGGCCCTCACCACATTGTATTCGATCTATTCCGTACAGTATGCGACCATGCTGCGTCCAGGGCAGCCAATAGTGGAACCCTAGGTAGCATTGTAGCTCATGATGGGGGGTCCGGTCCCTGTGCTCCCGTGCCTGTTGGGGCATAGAAAATGGAATCACACTGCTCGCCGTCGCCCCGGCCACCAGCGTCTGAGAACGGAATTGCTGAACCCGCTACATTCTTTGTTTCCCTTCCCATCACCCCTGGCCACTCGTCCCGCGTGGGGCGGTGGCAGCCAGTATCGTCGATGAGCGATGGGGAAAACCAACGCAGGTTCGCGTTGGTGGACGGGAAGGATCCACAAACGCGCTGGGAGATTCGAGCTATCACCAGGGCCAAAACGGCCAGGCAACGTCACGGTCCAGTGCAGGGCGACCCGCGCCGTGCAGACATAGTCCACATCATAGGGCATAGTCCATGTCGCTGGTGCAGCTGCTGGGAGATATCGGTTGTTTTGACGTGGGCCATTGTCTACGACCCAATGCATGTAGTACCGATCACTGTTTGCGATGGGAGAATCATGGTCTGGTCTGGTCGGTGTTGCATATAGGGGGGCTTGCCTCGCCGAACTTTTCGACGCCTCATAGGACCTAGGGGGTACTTTTGTTTCTGGGGGCCCCGCCAAATTATAGCATGTAGCCTCGATTCCGGACGGCGCACAGTCGGTTACAGATGCCCCCAGGCTTGGATCGCGAAGTAACCAGAGCGAGTGGAGAGCTCACCTCCATCGGGGAGCCTGGGTCGGATCGGCGGACAGATGGGGAAACAAAGCTCCCTTCCCCATCTTTGATTCAGATGCTCCAGTGCGATCCAAGGGTCTTTCTCAAAATTGCGAAAATAACCGGTCTAGAGATGGAGAGCGGTTTGCTCCGTCAACAGTCTAGACTTACGGGCAGGCTCGGCACTCCTAAAAAAAAACGTCACAACGGTACAGAATCTTGCTCTCCGTCAGTACAGACCGTACGTACAGTATACTGTATGTCCTGAGTGCTCCGTACAGAGTACGCACTACTGGTGACTGTTTAGTGCAGGGCAATTATCCCAATCCGGATCATCCTCATCCAAACCATCAGCCAACCGCTTCGTCGAGCTGCAAGAACTCGGTGATTCTGCAGTTGCCAGTCGACTTGCCAATGTTCGCACGCAACTCGTCCCCTTAAGCAATGCATGCGCCGCCCGTCACATGTTCAGGTCCGGCCTGTCAGCACGAGGAGAATACTCCGACACGGTCGCGGAGCACCCAATGGGCGCGCGAGGCTCATAGTAATGCAAGCCCCCTCTACATGATCACAGTACTGGGCGGCTGTGGGCGAAGCTGGTAGGGTGTTGCGATGAGGGGGTGGGTTAGGACGCGATCCTTCCGCCCGTTAAAAATGCGATCTGCAGACACCCGCCTTGAATTGGGAGGCAACTCCGTGCTCCGGTCGGCAGTGAACCATGGCTGCGCGGCCAGGCGTTATCGCAGCTAAGCTGTGGCAGCGTCAGTCGCTAGTCACTCCGTGCTTCGTCACCCCTAGCAATATCACCACCAACTATACTCCGGAGCCCCTGGTTCTAACACTAAGATGCTGTGCTCGTTGATCCCTGGTGGGGTCCGCTCTCGGCTTTTATCTACCACACGGCTTGTCCAGCCTTGCTACTTCCAAGAGTAAGCAAGAGTCTCACGACACCACCCTGGCAATGCAATAGCAATCGCTCGAAATTCCACATATCCACCCTCTGTACGGAGTACCGAGTATACTACGCAGTGGGGGGGCCAGCCCGCAAGAGCGAGGCATCCTAGCACTTCCGGATAGCATGTCTCAACACGTCGTTTGGCTTGTCTCATAGCGCGAAGTGCGCCTCGTCAAATTCGATTCTAAGCTTTTGTTTTGTATCGTCCTACGCAAGCCTGCTTTGTCTGTTCAGGGAGCAGTAGTGCGCGGACGCAAAGGCATCCCCCACTAGCAAAGAAAAAAAAAAAAACTCGAGACTGAGGCCCTAATGCCCTAATGCCCTGATGCCTTGATGCCCAAGTGGGGGCAGGGTGCCACCTCCTCCGCCGTGCAGAGATGCGTCCTGGCCTCGTGCGAGGGCTGATGGTGTAGGGATTGGCTCTCTGCGAGCATGCATGAGGGGTTGGCAGCTCTTCTACGATGCTGCAATGGGAAGGTCGTTCTCAATGCCTGGGAGTTGTACTCCTCACATAGCCGCATCGAGGCCGTCAGTATGGACGGAGTATGGAAATGTATAACTAGAGGTAAATACAGAATCAAAAGCAAAGACTCTGACCGTCACAGTCCATTCTTGTCGTGGATTAATTCATCCGCGGGCCAAATCAGCTGTTGCACGTGAATCGCTGAATTCTCTGCGTCTCGTCCGACATGACACGTTCTCCTGCCGTCACGGCCCGTCAATGAAGGCACGAGGGGTTCGCGGGGTGCACATCTCAATGCCAATAGCGGAGCGTCGAGTGTTGCACTGCAGACCCGATTAGCCCCCCCGGGTCCTGATCGTCAACACTCGGACAATCACGGACGAACTCGAGATCGGAGTCGGTACTCGTGCGTGTCACGCGACTAGGCTCACAGGAACACGCGAGGTCTAAAGGGAACGTGACAAATAAAAGAGTCAAATGAGACGCACCTTGTTTCGGAAGAGGCGTTATTAGTTAGGGACGGCATCAAGAGTTGGTCTGTTCGTTCGGGATCGGCTCGTGTTTCACAAGACATGCAGCATCTGAATCGTGCTAGCTGTCTAGGGAACGGTCTATGCTAAGTACTTACGCACTGCGTACTATGTACAGTAGAGGAGCCTGGGCCAGATGCACACGAGCTGCCAGCAGCTACAACCAGGCAGGCAACACGACGTGGAGGGATATATCGCTCAAGTTCAACATGCGACTCCCTGATGAAATAATGAAGACTGCACACCGCGAGTCTGCCATGGTCCGGTCTCGATCCTGGACCCTAGTTCTAGTCCCAACCAGCAGAGAATAGGAACATTCTGACGCATGTGCATCGCTACTTTATGCCTCGCTCGTCTT